CACCAAGTCCAAGTCTATCACAGCGGCCGATCTGACGAAGTACAACCGAAAATCGTCGAAGTCGTTGAGAAAGAGCCGACTGACTTGGCTGAAGCAGCGAAAAATCTCGGAGGTCGATTCACAAGTCTCTTCAAGAGAAGCCCAGCTCATCTCGACTATCCGGTTTCGGAAATCTACGAAGGACCTCTGCAAGACACCAACCGCGCCAACGAGTTGGAAGGTGAAGCTCTTACCCACCAAGTCCAAGTCTACCACAGCGGTCGATCTGACGAAGTAAAACCGAAAATCGTCGAAGTCGTTTCTGAAGTGTCCGATCATTATTTGGCTGTTTACAGCAGCGGAAGGCTGGACGAGGTGCAGCCAATCGTTAACGACGTTAAAAATGAAGTAGATGATTTGAAAGAAAAAACACAAGGTTCTGGAACAAAAATCAGTCCTGATCTCAAACGAGAGCCAGCAAATCTCGACTTCCCTCTGTCAGAAGCATACGAAGGTCAACTAGAGGTGATGAGTAGAAATACAGAAGTCGATTCTGACCATTTTGTCAATAATTATGCCGAGGTCATCAATATATCTTCCAAGGTGGAAGGAGAGCCGATGTCACATCACGCGGCCGTTCAACAAACTGGAAGCTTAGAAGACGTCAAGCCGAAAGTTGTCCAAATAGAAAGAGTGTCCCCAAGAAGTAATCTATCTGCTTCACCTAAAATCCCTCACATGTTTGAGGAGTTCGAAACAGTCAACTTTGTTTCTTCAAGTGATGATTTAAAGTCCAAAAAAGAGTCCGAGAAACTGGATAGTTATATACCGTTGACGAGTTGGAATGAAGTAGATGCAAGGCAAGCTAACGGTAGTGATCACCTTCTTCATGATAAAACAGGCAAGACTAGAGAATTGCAACAAGTTCCACTGTTCAACAGTGTCTCTTTGTATGAATGTCAGAAAAGCGAATTGAAGGACAGTTCAGCCCTCTACGTCGATACTCATTTCACAGACGACTCTCAACCGCGCCTGGATGTGCAAATCAACATCAGACCAGGACACACTGAGCCACGATCTCCAGTTGGTTTCTCGGTGTCAATCAGCGCTCACAAGCCAGAATCCACAAGCGGCGATGTGCTTTCCGCCGAAGACCTGCTGTATGCTTCGACAGCCGAGCATCGTCAACTGTCGCCTCACACCTGGACGACGATCCGAGAGACGACCGAAGTCAGCTACATCAAGCGGGTGACGGTGACAAGCGCTTCGTCGTCGTCGGCGATGCACCACCGTCCACGAACGCTGTCGCCGTCGCAGCGGAACGCGACTCGCGATCAAAATGGGCGTACATGCCGATCGTTGGCCTTCACTGAGGAGTCCTACGTCCACCACCCCATCTATCCGCCTATGCAGTCTCTCTACGACGTTTCGACACGTCGGTACGAGTCGGCTGCAAATGGAACCAAGGCCAACGGCCAACATCAACCACCCTCATATGGCCGTGTACGAGAAGTCGCTGCCTTCGACAGGACCGAAGTCGTTCCTCGCAACGACTACATTCCACCCAACCGACGCTCTGACGAAATATTCACCGTCGGAACGCCTTTCGTCATGGGCCGTGTGGAGCGCGATGAGCGAGGAAATGAATATTTGAGGTTCATTTTTTGTTGAGTAGGGATGAAAAAAACTTAAAAACGTTCAGTTAATGAATAAATATCAGCTTGAAAAATGCACTCTCAAGTTTTTATCAACATTATTATTATAAGAATCAAAACGGAAAACCCTTTCAATGTCCTTTACAGTTCATCCATTTTATTATACTATCTTTGAAGATATTTCATTCTTCCAGATACGAAAGAAACGCAAGAAGCGATAGAAACGAAAGACACGAAAGACATGAACGTCGCTCAGATGAATTCCCAATGATTGAAGAAGACGCGACCGAATGCCGCCGGGCAACCGTCCGAGCAGCTCTTCGGTACTCCTATTTTTTTCTAGTTGTCAAATTAAAAGAGAACAAAAGTTTAGACAAAAAATTAAAAAATTACCTCTCGTGAATGGATAAAAAGACGAAAGAGAAATTATAGTAAGTTTTCAAGCAAACTTTCTTGCGGTATTTATAAATTAACGAGTTTTTCGTATTTTCAATAGGAATAAATCGAAATAGCGTAAGTGATCAATAATATTCCAATTTTCGGTAATAAATCGTTGCGCAGTCCTACGGTAGTCGTGCGAGCATGACATTGCACAAAAAAATAATTTAATTGATACTTTATGAAAGTCATTTTCAACAACTTAGCTCTTCTTTAAAAAGAAAAAGGAACTTTTTGTCAATAATGTTTTTTTGCAAATGAAAATGTCCGACTGGAAAATAGTCTCCTCAAGCCTCGATCCAATTTTGCGATCCAAATTTTTTTTTCTGAATCTTCAGGGTAAATTATTTTTCATGCTTGTATCAGTATCTGAAGACAGTTTCTTTTTGAGCTCCTCTTCCCAAATTCATCGGGCCAAATTATTCTTGAAAGTAATTAACAGGATTCTTTCTCAATTTTTTTCTATAGCAAACTAACACCAGAAACTAGTTAGATACTGAAAAAAACTCATAAGATTAGATCTTGAAAGATGCGAAAGTTGAAGCGATAGAACTTCAATCGGAAACTCACAACCATCTATTAATTGATGAAAAAAAAATGAACTATTTTCAGCGAAATGCGCGACGAGATGCCGGATGAAACGATCGAACAACGAAGAAGGCCTTTGCGCCGCGCGCGACAACGCGTCCGAAACATTTGCACTATGCTTTAAGCATAGAAGTTATTTCAAGACAGTAGACTTGCTTTTTTTCAATGAGTTAGAAAAAAATATGTTTTTCCCCCACCCGAACTTTCAAATCGACGTGTTCACTTGCTCCACTCATTCAATTTTTTTTTTTTACGGGAAACGAAATTTTCTTGTCTCCCCTTATTAAATGGTGCCTGCTTTTAAAAACTTTCCGAGACTTTTTTTTCGTTAATAAATTGTTTTACTTCAAAGGCTTAACAAAGAACTGAAAATTTAAAAACACGAAAAGAGGAACTTTAATTTGAAAATCGAAGTTTCATATACATTTCATCTCTTTATTTTCAAACTAATGATTCATTCCCAAACAAATAAAAAGCTGTCTATAAAAAAATAAAATAAAGACTCACTTTGACGGGTCTCGAAGCGAAAAACTGCAGGATTTTTTTCGACTTTTTCGGCTAAGGTTGAATGTATGAAACTTTTCATTATGAAAAAAAGAAGAGAACTCTGAAGCAATACGATTTTCGGCGGCTCTGCTGAAAATCGAAATGAACTCTAATTTGCTGTCAATTTTTTTAATTTGCTATCCCCCGAAATTGTTATTATAAAACATTTTGTTACATTTAAAAAGGTTCTAAATTAATGAATCAATTAATCAACGAGTTTCAAACATTTTTCATTTTTAGGATAATTTTTTCAATCTTGAAATTTGATGTTACTCAATCATGATTTTTTTTTTGTTTTCTTTGAGGCCTATCGTGATCCGGAAAATTTTTCAAGAGTTCTTCAGAATCTCCTTTTTTTTTACCTTTTTCTCGCTTCCTATTTTTTTCTCAAAAGGTTTTCAGAGAAAGATCAAGAAAAAAAGGAGCCTGTAGGGCCTTTCATATATTATTTCCAGGCGCTTCTTTTTCGGTTAGTTTTTCGGTTATCTTACTTCGTGTCAACACTAACCCACTGAGTTAACAAGTTTGACGCCTAACCAGTGGTGGTAAGAAACCTAGAAAAATTGGAATATGCGATTGAATTTAAATTGCGATTCGCCTTTATTTTTGTATTTTTTTTCGCATCATTTTTGCATCGCCGCTCAAAGTAACCGAAAGGTGCATTCATCAAGTGTTTGTACCCTCCAGCAACTGTACAAAGTGATGGCGGAAGAAAGATAGGATGGCGGAGAGGCCGAGAGCCGCCCCAAGTGTAAGCCGCGCCCACCGTCGTGTCGCGGTCCGCGTTCCTTCGCCTCCGGCTTGGAGTCCGCCGAAAGACTTGCGTGAGCTGCAGAGTGTGTAACGGCCTCTCGTCCAGACTCGCCGACCGACATGGACGCCGGCAACGACCTCCTCCCGCTACTTCCAGGTTCCTCGTTCATCTTTATCTTCAATTTCGAATCTAATCTTCATTGAAAAACGAGTACAAAACGTCCCAACGCCTCGATAAATTTGAAAAAAAAAATCATGACAAAGTTCATAAAAAAGCGAAAAATTAAAAAAAAAACATAACGGTTAAATACGAAAAAAACCTTCAATATGATGATCTTCATTCTCAGTCAAGAACATAAAAATAAACCAAACTTATTAAGCAATGAAAAAAAAAGAAAACAAAAAAAAAATACAAATTCAGCTGAATTTAGATAGAACAATAAGCAAAGATAAAAAAAAAACTGAGCTGCTAGAAATTACAAGGAGTAATTACCTACTCACGAAGTAAAATTTAAACACGTTATCAACGTTGACAACGCTATATTTCAACATAAAGCCTTTGTAGGAGTGCTATAAAAAGAAACGTTTACATTGATTAAAAGATAAAAATTTCAATTGGGAGTTAACTGTTAACTCCCAATTGAAATTTTTCGAGTTAGAACTCGAGTTCTAATTTGAAATTTTCAACGACGTTCCATCTTCACGCAAACTCTTTCCTCAGAGCGAAATTTCTAAGTTTTTTTTTCCATTCATTTATTTCATTCACAAATTCTATTTCTTCTTTTATTTCCATGAAATTCAGTTTTCGGAGATTATCTTGATTTGTTCGACGATTCATTATGCCGTGTTCAAAGTAATTTCCGCGAAATTCAAAATAGCCGTCAGAGAAAGAGAAAGATAACTAAATTTTGGAGGGTCAGAGACCATTTTGCATTTCGCGGAAATTACTTTTAACACGGCATTAGATTCCCTTTATTCACATTTTCAATTATAGAAACGGTTTTTGAGTATTTGTTTTTCTTGTCGCAGTGGTTTTTTTTTTTCAGTACTTCCCTCTCACTCTTAAAATTCATTTCAACTTTTTTGCAACGCGTTCAAGCTCAAAATAATATTTGTCATCAATGTTTTGTTAGTGTTAACAAGAATCCATGGTTTTCATTCCATTTTCTCGGACTTCACTGTCTCTTGTATCATCATTATTCTAACTTCCGTTACGCGCGGAAGAAATATAGCATAGTATTCATGGAAACTTGACGAAAACATGAGGCGACTGAAAAGCGATGAAGCTGAAAAGTTTAACATCGGGCAACCCGATCCTCTGGCTCGTAATTTTGGAGCATCCGTCGTGTTTTGCGAAAGTATATGAAAGAAAAGCGAATAAAACGTCTCCGAACCGGTTTATATTTTATTGGTAGGTTTGAGAATAAAACGGATCAAAATAAGTTCAAGAACTGCTTGATATTTATCATAAAGAGGTCTTCATTTTATGCTGTTTTTATAAACTTTGGTTGGATGTATTTTTTGAAGTCTAAAAATCGGATTTATTCGCAGAAGTACAAGATGCACTATCTGAAGAATTTGACGGGATTGAATGCAGCATGGGACCGGGCGTCGTCCTGGCCCAAGCGCCTTTTCGACTACCTTTTGCTCATCTCGGACGCCAGGTATTATCTTCATTCATTTTTCTTTGTTATTATTCAGAGGTTCCACTTGAATACCTCCAAAAACTTTTAACATATTCAACACTTTCTAATTAAACCTCAGTAAGCCTTCTCCTTTTCGTTTCCTTGTTTCTTCACATCATTTTTTAACTTCTTTTTTAAACACGTTCACTGTATAAAAACTTGAAATAATCAACTCCTATTTGATTAATTTATTGTTGATTTTTTTACCTTGAAGATACTATTGATGATTTCGAAAAAAACCAAACAGGTTTTTTTACTTCAGAGCATTCATCAGCTTACGGGGCTTCTGAAAAAGTCACTTTTTTATTTGTCTCTTTTAAAAAAAACTCAGCGAAAAAACTTATTATTTTTCTTTATCAATTGCCAGGACTAAAACTTTTCCAAGGAGCCTTCAAATGTATCAAGCCTCAGGACGGGAGTTATTTAGTTGAAATGAGTTTTAAAACAAGAATACGGTTCGTAAAAGCTTCGCGGAAGAACAAAAGGCTCAAATGAATTCTGACTCAACTCTCGAAATGAAATTTTCCGTATTTCGCCTTTTTTTTTCTGGTCTAAAACGCTTTGGTATAAATTTCAAAGTCGTATGGAAATTTTATACAAGCCTTTCCAAGCGCAGAGCCATTTTCAGCGCGATTTTCGGCCTTTAAAGAATTCACAGCAAGGACAGTTTAAAAAAATTTTTCGGAACTAAAAGTCCAAGATAATCGAAAAGCTAGATTCATGTACGTACATTGCGAACATTGAGCATTTCAAATTTTTCTAGTTTCTCAGTCCTCCATCCCAGTTTTTCATACTCTATCAGCCTTGCATCTTTTTTTTTCACTAATTTCCCTAAATTTGAAAAAGAAAACTTGAGGTGTTTAGAGGTGCAATAATGCATCTATTGATCCCTCTGTTTTTGAAAGTGTCTGTCTGTTGTTTTTGTTTCTCTTCAAAGACAACAGCTGCTCGAAATCTTGCAAAATAAAAAGAGAAAATTGGAAGAAAATGGGAAAAGGTGATTTTCGCTCAGAAGTGCTTTTTGGAAGGTGGAATATTCGAGAGAAGAGAATCGTTTTAGTCGTGTAAAAATTATGCGCTTTTCAACACTCCATGAAGGTTTTTTGAGCATGTTATAATCTTTTGAAGCTTTTTTATATGTTTTTGAATGGTTGATTTTGAGTATCATTCCAAGAAATGAGATGAAAATTAAGGTGACATTTGTACCGGACACGAGCTGCCTGGAAGATTTCGAGTGCGCGGGCATGCACCGTATCGATCTCGGAAAGGTGGGTTTTCCGCCCTAAAATCCTTGTTTTTTGTTCTTTCTTGTCTTGCAACAAATGGACCGGCCAACCGGCAAGTCGAGTGGCCGACCCATTCGATCGATAATATTTGTGTGATGGGGGAGAAGCTCGACGGCTATACGCACAGATATTTGCGCTGTAGGTGCCACCCCCTTGGACTGAACGCTTGCGACGACAAAAGCCTCAGTTAAAGATAAAGAGATCGGGTTCTGGAAGGCAGGACTTACTCGCAGCTCTCGTCATGATAAGATCGGAAAAAGCGCGCTTTTTGGCTCCTGTTAGCTCGAGAATACAATGAAAAGTTTGATTTTCCGAGTATCGTTGGTCTAGGGTCGTTTCTAGTTTGACACTTCATAAACATTGTCCTAGCGACTCCGACCAACATGAAAGATCTTTTTACTTTGTGCTTGAGAATTTCCCGGATAATGGCAAAAATATTCCTGGATGAAGATCAAAAGTCTGCACCACTTGGAATTTTCCGATAGAAGACACTTTACAGTTAAATAAAATAATCAGAATCCGCTGGATATTCAATTATTTCATATTAAAGGCGCACGAACAGAAAAAGGATGCCAAGAAAAGGATAATAAATTCTTTCAAAGAGCAAAAACTATCAAAGTTGAATGAATCTTCGTATGAAGACATGATTTGGGGCACGCTGATTTAGAAATCATGGAAATTGAGTGCGACTTTTGCTCTCTAGAAAAATTATGGCACTCAAAAGTTCAAAATATACGAACACAGTTGAGAAAAAGAGGGTCTCGGCGTCGTACATCTGCACAAAGTTGAAGAACATCTGTGAAAAATTGTATCGAATTCTAATTTAACTTATTCTGCGTTGATTGTCACTATTTGATTTTTAATTTTTTTAATTTTTTCTAGCTATAGAAGCCATTTTTTTCGAAGTGCGATGAACAATAATTTATAATTTAAAAAAATAATTTAATTCATTTTTTTGGTATGGAAAAATGAAGAGATTTGAAGAAAAAAAGGACAGAGATTAAAAATTTTTCATACAAAAATGTGGATATTTTTTTAATATCTGTTGAAAATTTTTCTGGAATGTATCTCGGCGTCCTTTGGCTGCCGTCGGGTCTCAAAAAAATGGACAGCATAGAAAATGAACGTTTTATTTAGCCTGAAAGAATTGCCGACTTTCGCGTTATAGGCAAGTTAGGATACATCAAATGCACAGAGAGAGGCCGAGTGCATCGAAAAAAATGGTTCTGTAAATTGGAGAAAAAGTGTTGGGAAAAGTTAGACTATGCGACAACCTTCTGCACTTCTTTTGTCGAAAATAATTCAAATAAGTATCGTATATTCCTAGAAAAGTGCGATCTTCACTGACGGCGAACCGGGCTGCTGTCTGGAGCTGGTGCTCGGCCGCGGCAGAGACTGGATCACGCCGCTGACCAAACTTTTCGACAAACTTTACCCCGTAAAATGGGCGTTTTTCGTGGCCGAACTTGAGCAGGTAGCCAAAAAAATCACTTGAGATTCCCCAATGATACCATTAGGGCCATGCAACCTACCACGTACTCTCCTCTAGTCTTCCCGCGGTTTCTTCCACAAAACGCGAAGACACCCCCGACTCTACCGAACAATCCTCCATGATCAGTTCACCGTCCGCTTCTGTGGGTTGATGGAATAAAGAAAGAGATCTGAAAGGGAAACTTTCAAGTAAATTTCAAACTCAAAGTAAGTCTTAAGCGAAAAACTAACTTCAAGTTGGTCTTATCAAATGAAAACTTTTTTTCAAATCTTATTAAAAAAATCTAGAAAAAGTGATTTAAGTTAGACATGATCGTTTGAAAAAAGAATTTGAAAGAAAAAAACTTGGGTTTTTTTAGAAAGTATTTTTTTCAAGATTTACAGTTGAACAGAAAAATAGTTTTCAGAAGGTTTTCAAGATAAAAATTGCAAATTTCATTTCGACTATGCTTCCTTTTTCTTCAACTGAAAAATGTTTGCTTTATTTTTCAAGCTTTCCAAGCATATTGAAAAAAAAATAATTCATTACTTCAAAACACACTCAATCGCTTTTGTTCCAGGTCTCGGAAGCTTCCAATTTTTCGTTGTGGGTGGTCCCAGTGACGAAGATTTTCGCCGTGCCGGCCCCTAAAAAAACAGTAAAAGTGGTCAGAAAAGTAATAAAAAAGAAGTCGCCGACTGGCGAAGTCATCGTCGACCCCGGAGAACCGCCCAAAGAACGAAAAGTAGATTCAATTAGTCTTGAACTTCAAAAAAGCACGATTTAGGTGCGGATAGTGAAGAAAAAAGCGGAGAAAAAGGATTCGCCTGACCGGGAAACGGGCACGCCCACGGCCAGGTATTGTACAAAAAGTTACTTGTTAAATCGATTTTTTTTAATTTAAAAAATTCAACCGTTAAAACAAAAAATGGGTTTTTCAGCATAAAAAACATATCGGTCGGCAAAATATGAGATTTCACTTATGTTTTTGAAGGTATTTGACCTTAAAGGGTGTCTTTAAAAAATTCCGAAAGCCTGAATTTTCTTTTTCGAGGCATCTTATGAAGTTGCAAAAATCTTCAAATAGTGAAAAACTTGGTAAAACCTATTATAGAAAATTAAATATCACGCCAGATTCTCACGTTTTTTTATGCCGAAATCACCGGACACAAAGTTTCTCTCTGAGACCTTTTCCCATATTTTGTAGTCTTTTTTGGAATTTTCTCAAGTTTCTTGAAGCAAAAAAAAATTCTTTTTCAGTTAGTCTTTTTTTGCGGCCGTGTTCTAAAAACGTCGCCCGAAATACACCATATTAAAGCAACATTTTGATGTTCGAAATCTTGCCGGATTCAACTCACAAGACGAATTTAGAAGTTCATCGTCCGAACTTCCCCTGAATGGATCCATCGGCTTGAACAAGGTCAAGTCCGTGAATTCGTCAGATTCGCTCGACGGCGACGTGACTCCCGTCAACGGCAGCTTCACCGCCTGCACTTCAGCTGACGTTTATTTTTGTTTCTTTTCAAAGGAAAATTTTCAATAACTCTTCTGTGTGAAAAATCGATTATATGGCTGGGAACTCTGTGATCTTTTTCGCTGTAACTGGATTGAAATAATAAAAAAATTCCTGTCTCCAAGTTTTTGAACTTGAAACAGGTTTCCGGTTTTGCTCAAAAAGCGCTCTTGGCCTAAAATAATAACTTTTTTTGCCGATTTGTTTCATACTTCTTCAAAAAGCTCGCCAACCTCTTTTGGACATAGACTTGTGATGAAATAGTCCGGATTTTTCAAAAATAACTATTCCGGAAAAGTTTGAAAAGTTCCATAAGACTTCCTATTTTTTAAATTTGTTTTCTATTCCTAAGCATTTTACCCCAAAGTTGCATGCTTTCCGTGTAAAAAAAAACTTCTTCGGTACTTTTGAGACGTTATAATTCGAAAAATTGGTTTAAAAGGTTCCCTCAAGTTGAATTGAAGTTGACTCAAATTATGTTTCACAAAGAAATGTTCATTTTACTATGCAGTCCGATATCTTCTGAAAACCGGCCAGAACAATGCTTGTTGTACTAGAAAAAAAGGATCCTGAAAGTCTGAAACTGCCCAACTTCCTAGTTTTTAAATAAGGACTCAAGACCCCGAAATAGCCTATTTTTTTACGGATTTTTGGGGATCTGACTTTAAACTGTTTTTCCTCAAAAAAACTAAGAAGTTATGCAGGTTTGAGATCTTCTTTTTTTCAGCTAAGAGCTTTCTGGCTATTTTTTTTAAAAAGTTAAGCAAGTTTCCAAAATAATTTCTTTGTAAATCTCTCATTCTGTCTAATCTGGTTTAAAAATTTTCAACTTTTTTTAAACATCATAATACACCATATTTAAAGATGCCTGACAGTGATGGCAGCGCGTCTGAACTGCGTAGGAAGCTTCTCGCCAACACTTCCTCTGAAAATTTCGAAGAGAAATTCCTGGTCAATGGCGAGGTTGTCAAACTGTTCTGTGTCATTTTTCAGTTTCTAAAAGTTTTCAGCCGAGAAAACTGAACGGCTTTTCATCGGCTCAACGAGCTCTTCGGCCTTCCTTGAGTCGGAGCAGCATGACCCCCGACCGGCGTCTCGATCCTATTTTTGAAGGTTCTTTTACCATCATTTTTTCTATTTTTCAAGGGAAAAAAAATTAGAAAAATTGATTCAGCTCAAGATTTTTCATCGAAGATGGCCTGTTAATCTTTCATTCTTCGATGTTTAGAGATCTTAAACAATAGTAATATGCTTTGATGTTTGAAAACTGCCATTTTGGTAAGCTTCTCATTATTTTTCAGACGGTAAGTTTTTGAAAATGCTCAAAATGTCTCCGAGGAACATGGATACAAAAGCTGAAAGCGAAGAAATCATGCGAAAAAATCAAAAATTGTTTTCTTTTAGAATCCCGCCTTTTCTGCTTTTTTTTGTACTCGAATATCTTTGGCCACTCTCGAAAATTTCTTTCTTTTCAAAAATATGAAATCTATTAGATCGGGAATTTTCGACTTTTCGATTTTTCCAACTGTTGATCAAAAATTGATTCAACAGTTATTCCAAAGAAAGGTCAATGAGAAAATTTTTGATTTGAAAAAAATCCCTGGAAATTTATTCCTTCTGATGCTCTATATGGATCTATACTTAAACTGTCTTGAATTGGAAGTAAATGTTTGCACTAGGAAAGGTTTTTAAAAAAAAAGATATTTTCCAGGGAAAAGCTCAGAACGTCTCCCGCCGCCGACGATCACAACGACGAAGCCCCAAAATTGCCGAATCACCCATCCATCTCCCGCTCAAATCCCTGTTGTAGCCCTCCAAATGATCCTCACAAAGTGTTTTTCTTATCAACAGGTTTCTTCTCACAAAGAAACTTTTATTTCTAAAATTATATTTTCCAGTTGGGTTATTTGCGGTCAGTACATCCGCACTGGGACGAAATCGCTGGACAACTTTTTGAATAGTGGTTATTATAAGCTGCTTGAGAGGTTGGTTCGAAAAAAGAATAAGTGCAGTTTATTTTTTTATTCTTTTATGAGAAAAACTATAAAAAAAGCTTTGTTGAGACTTCATGAATTTATGCATTTCCAGCTCGATCTAATTTTACTGTTGGTTGAAAAATTTTTACAATTTTGTTATTTCGATCGAAAAAAAACAAGTTTATATCATCTATTTAATAGAAACTCTGAAAAATTTTTTTCTGACTTAAAGAAAGACATAACTGCTGCTCACAATTTCATTTACGGATACTATTGGTGCCCATCTCCAATCCCTTTACAAAATACAACAAGTAGATCGAATCAACTGCGAGGAAATGGCCTCTACTTTCTGACATACACTACCGGTTCATTAATCAAAGAGTATTCAATCATTGGAATCATATGGATAGAAACATAGTATTTGAGTATGAAAAAAATAAGTTCAGATCTAAACTTGAGAAATGGTTTGAAAAACAACATCACAGAACTAAACACTCTTGATCCAACAAAAAAATATGAAAGCTACATAATCGACATTTAAAAAGAATAACTTCATGGTTATTCCAATTTACTCAAGTGGGGGGTTAACACGACCGCGAGTCCTCTTCCCTCCATCACCACAAGTTCCGACACATGTGTTCCCAAATTCTCCCTACATCTATTTCGTGAAATTTAGTACTTGTGTGTGAGAAATAAAACATTTTGATTTGATTGATTGATTTTGACTTATCCCTTTTGAAATTCGACGAAAGTGAAAAAGATCTTCAGGTGAAGAAATTATAATCAAATTTATGACCTAATATATTTTTTATGCCTGAGAAAAGGTTATTCTCAGGTCGGACAAACTTTTGATGAGCCTCCAACGAAGAGTCGTCGCCGAGCCCGCCTTGCAGTACGCGACGAGTGTTATGACCAACATCCAAGTACACATTTTGAATCCCGTCGACATCATGCGAGCTGTTCTTGATGAAGGTTTCTACTTTTTACGATGAATTCGTAAAAAAAAATCTTCAATCTTTGCTATTAGAGCTGGTTATTTTTTTTTCCTGCTACCCTTTTCTTGTTACCGAATGTCTTTTCCTAGGGCTACCTTCCAAAAAAGAGTAAGTTTGAAACGGAATTGTCTTGTTGTTTTTTGTCTTGTAAAAATTACAAAAAAAGAGAAAATGGACACATCTTGAGGATTAGAGGAAGCTTTGCTGTGTTTTGTAGAGCATCCTCATCACTGACAAGAAAAAGTTTCCTGGATTCTGTCTTCGAGCCAAGTTAAGACGTTTTAAAGTATGTATTTCATTGCACTGAAATCTTTTAAAAATTGATTCAAGCCATAACTCGGCTCAAAGGAAAAATTCAAGAAATCTTTTTTCTAAACTTCCATGAAAAAAAAAAAATTTTTCTTATACACGCTGTACTTCCAGGAGTTTGCTGTTTCCCATACGGCATAATTCTGGACAAGACATTCCTGCTGCTCGACCGGATCGAGAGCATGCTCAAAGGCAACTACGAGGTCGGAGCCGTTGATCATCTCCGGAAAACAAAAACGTTCCAGGAAACGGTCAACTGGGAGCCCGTGGCGACGCACGCCAAACGCGCCGCCCTCCACTATCGGACGCATCTCGAGCGGGTGATGGAAGAGCGGTGAGATGGGGGGAGAAGCCTTCGTTTAATTGCTAATGAGATCTGAAGGATGGGCGAAAATCTGCGTCTGAAGGCTGCCCAACGCATCATCCGCCTCGACTCGTTCATGGTCGACGCTCAGGTCTCCAAGCTCGAGAAGGAAGCCAGCAAGGTGTGCTAGTTGAAGAGAGCAAATAATTTTTGCCGCTAGAGAAGTCTTCAGAAAAGAAACTAATCAGTAAGCAAAATCTGGATGTGGAATAATATTTTTTTATTCGAGGAATATGGAATAGTGAACTTGAGGAAAGAAAGTGGAAAAAAACGGGAATATCCACTGTTTATGTAGAAAAAAATTCGAAGTTGTCATTTTTTTACAATAGAAAGTTTCAATGGACGATATTTTTTTATCTGGAAAAAAATTATTAATTTAAGGTATGGATCATCTCAAAAAAAAAGAAAAAGGTTTCTGGAAGTTGAGAACTTTTTCCAAAGACAAAAACAGTTTTTTTTTTGACTCAAACTTAAAAAGACGAAAGTGAGACCAAAAAAATTTTCGTTTTTTTCTACCTTAACTTTGTAGTATTGTTCCATAGCCTTCTCGGAAAAGTTGTACGAAACATGGTGCAATAAAATTGTTAGAATGGACTAGAACTTTCCGAAAAGCAACATTTTAGGCGAAAGAAGACCTCCGATGGGAGATCGAACAACTGCACCAGAAGAATTCGCAGCTGAGACGCGAGAATCGCGAGCTGAAGGCGTCGCAGATGAAGCTCGAGTCGCGCGTCGAGATCCTCGAGGGGAAGTTCAAGACTTTGGCGCGACTGCTCAGCTGAACTCTCCAACCGACCTTTTCCTCTCTTTTTGTTCTTTCGCGACGGGTCTCCCTGTCATTCTGACTGACGCATATTATAATAAACACTATCGAACTCTACAGAATAAATGCATTTCGTAGACTTTTTTCCCTTGAGTGTACAAAATCGCGTTCCTTCCAAAAATAGCGAAGTTGCCGTGTGACGCCCCGAGCGGACCTCTTTTCAATTTCCTCCAACTTCCACTCTTTTTTTCTCGCTCTCTTGCTTCAACGCCTACATCCGTTGTTATATTGTGATAAGGACTTCTGGCCAGGTGTACGGTAAATGAGGCTCGAAAATATTTAAGAAAAAGTCCTATCATCAAAAGAAACCGAAATTCTCGGAGAATTCTGGGCTTTTCTTTATTTTTGATTTATCCGAAAGATAAATTCGAGAAATGGAGTGATTTTGAATTGGAATAATCATTTAAGCAGGAATTAGCCGCTTGAAAATATAAAGATGAATGATTTTTACAGTGACCTTTTTCCTACGATTCGATTTGATGAAATCTGAAATAAAGTAAATAAAAATGATGATGATTCGAGTTTTCTGTCGACTTGAGATGAAAAAAAATCACTTTAGTCGCTTCACAGCCATAAATCCAGCGATCACTTCAATTCTCTTCAGGGTAGCCCTCCAGTCCAACGCCAATCATGCAAATTAGACATCACTTGTTGTTGCCAAGGTGTCAGCGCGAAAACCAACACCTGCACATCTTATTCACCATTTTTTCCTCTTTTTTTTCCCGCGAGGCTATCCAAACGTGACATCATTAGCGTATGTCATTCAAGTCATCACTTGTCATCTGTCACATATTTCAATACTCTTTATTCATTTTTATCGTTTTTTAATCTTTGGAAAGTAGAAAATGCAGTAGGAGAGAAAATTGATTATGATTCGAGAGAATGAGATGCACAAGTAGATTACTTGAAACTAGCTGAGAAAGCGTTTTTCGGCTCTTTCTCCAAATAGTTCATTTAAAAAATACTTGTAGTTTTTAAAGGCAATCGCGCCTTCAAATCACTCAAGCTCTTTCAAAAGAACTTAAAAAAAGTTCGATTTTTTTAGTGTTTAAATTATGCTCTCATACTCTTTAGAAACCCACTAAAGCCACTGATATCATTATTGTTGTAGAATAAAGATATGATGGGAAGAAATAGATAAGAAACAATAATATCACAAGTTCGAGAGTAGACTCAATAATCTGCGTAGTCTTCGTTGACATTCCGATGAGCTGTGAACAAGCAAAACGATAAAAAAAAATGATAATAAAAACAAAAATTGGAAAAATAATAGTTTTCACCAGCCGATTGGCGTCGGTTTGATGTCGGTATTGTACATACAGGCAAAATTCATGTCGCCTTCGAATTCGGGCGAAGTTCCTTCAGGGAAACCGTCTAAATAATATCCACTTCGAAGGATACTCGAGAGAACAATTTTTTCAATGTACTTCATTCCTTGTCAAAAGCCACTGTCATCTTTTCAAAGTTCATTTTTTTCAGTGAAACTTGAGCCATATTTTCCAGGCAGGCGGAGTTCTCACAGGAATGCAGGAACTTTGAAAAAAAAAAACGTAAAGTGACCTTTTCTCTTTCGCAAAGGTCAATTTTTTTTCGAGTTCTTTCGACTTTTCTCAATATCTTCGAGAGTTTGAAATTTTTAAGTTATTTCGAAAGCACATAAATTAAACTATGTGATGTTGATTGCTATTTATCGAGTTATGGCAAAAATTGAAAAAAAAGAAAAATTTGTTAGTTTCTTTACAAATAGCAACTTAGTTTGCCAGACGTACCGTGGTTCATTCGGGGGGTAGCCGGATCGGTCGGGATGAACGGCGGCGGCAACGGAAGGATGGTCCTTTCAGTGCCGGGTGGCGCGTACGGATCGCAGAAGAAGCCCATGGGCGGCTGGCCGAAGAACGCCGGATTGCCTTCTGCGATTAGCCCTATTTTACGGATGGCAGGTGAGCGTTGCGCAATGCGATAAAAACAGGAGTCGTCTTTTCCCCGGAAACCAACCAGGTGCGAACATCTCGGCGCAGATCTCGTCGCGGCCGTTCCGCGACCTCCGCAGCGGTCGGTAGCCGCCGATCCGGAGCTGCTTCATTCGCCGCTCTTTGCTCCGTCGATTTTGGAACCACACCTAAAATTTTTCGCATTGTTCTACAAAACCCATTGTCGGCTTTTCGTGAAACTTTTCCTCAAAAACTCATTTGAAGTTTTTGAAAATGTTTCCTATCTGTTCCTCTAATATTTAATTGATATACATTTTTTTTTATTAATTTCTTTTCTCAAATTTCAAACCCAAGCTAACTTGTGCAGATTCACACTGATCAGTCAATAATTTTTTTATAATGAAAAAAATAGGTTGAACGGAAAAACTTTCCACGCACTTGCAAACTGTGCGGTCTGAAAAAAAGTCGATAAATTTTAAAAAAGGTTTTGGTGGGTCACTTACAAACGTAAAATTTCAGGCATTTACAAGAAAGAAGGATTTTTTCGAAAAGGTTCAAAAAAGCCTTCGGAACACGCTTACTAAGCATAACCAGCACCAATGAAGTCATTTTTTTTACCAATAATTTTTTTCATCAAATTATTGCTTTCTACAACGAATTTAAATTATTTTTTTTTCACGTGTTGATGTTTTTTTTACGAGAGAAGCTGGAGAAGAAAAAAATTGAGTTCCTAGAAAAAAAACTCGATGTCAAAGTGCCTTAATATTGCCTGGAAAAACTTATTTTCATAAAAAAAAGAAACGCAAGAAAAAAAAGTTCGACTCGTAAAACATTTCTTGAACGCTCAACCTTTGTTTAGAATACCAATTGAAAAATTTGCAAGGAGTTATTTCCAATTTGTAATAACATCACACATTCTCATCAACTTTCTCTGAAAGCCACAAGTGGAAAATGGCATTTTTATCACATTCTCATCAAAAAATAAACTCCCATCTTCGAAAAAGATAATGCAACTCCCACATGAAAGTTACAGTACGTCCGAATTTCCGATTAAAATATAATCGAAAGGTTCTCACCCTATCCAAACAAAGGACCTAATTGATATTTCCACGAAAATCAAGGAAAACTCCCTCCAAGAGACGATCCCTTTCTTGACGATGCGTCAAGATTCCCTATTTTTGCGGTTCCTTGAGGTTTACTGTAGTGGAGAGGAAAGAAAGGAGAGAGGCTGGCGCGCGTTTGCTCCCTATTTACACCCGTCTTACGGTAATTGAATTGCCTTGGCGCGCAGCCCCCATGAGAGCTGCGAGGCGCAGGTGAATTAAAGAGGAAATGACTAGGCGACGAGGCAGCGTGTCCCGAGGAGAGACCAGCCGGAGAAGTCAGAGTAATGAGCTTCGAGAGCAACCGATGGCCTGTTTTGGGAATTCCTCCGGCGGACTCTTCGGTCCCTTTTTTGAGAAAGAAAAATTTTAATCGAAAAATGAACAGGTTGAGGTTGAAGTTGAAGTTATTTACTTCGAAAATATTTTTTAAAAGGGAAATGTTTAACGAAAGTTCCAGAAATAAGTGGGAAGGAAATGTGTGTCGTGATTCCGATACAAAAAACTATACTGGTTCGGAAAAAAAAAATCGTGTCAGATGAAAACTCTAAAGGAAAACTAAAGCATTCTGGAATTTTGAGCGTTTTCGGGATTGAATATGAATTAGGAACATGATTAAGTGTCAAAAAGGTCATTTAACAAATGAAAAGGTCATTCCTTCAATGTAATCTTATCAAATGGACTTGCACGAAAAACTTGAAAAAAAAACCCGAAAACGAATGAATACCTGGATAACCCGCATGTTGAGGCCCGTTTCCTGCGCAAGTTGTTCTCGAATGTGCCGCGTCGGTTTCGGCGTCGTCGCAAACGCATTTTTTAACGTTTCTAACTGCAAAAACTTTCATTTTTTTAGAACTTCGGAAAATGGAGGAAGAAAAAATTTGTGAGTCACAGTGTGGGCACGAGAGCTATTTTTTAAACTAAAGGAAACTTGTAAAAATATTTCGAATAAAAAAATTTGGTAAAAAAATTAAAAATCTAACGCAAAAAAATATATCTTCGTTGAGAAATGAGAAAAAAGGGTTCAAATTTGAACTTTCCTTGAATCTAGTTGAAGAAAAAATCAGCAGTCCGGGAAATTAGAGAAAAAAATTAGACCACATGTAAACTTTGCTCTGGCTCACACTTCTAACAAGAAGTACCGTTCGCGAATTTATTTTTGAGAAAATAGTAAAAAAAAATCCTTACTTCTTCCATTCATGTGTTTGAAACTTCTTGCTTGCTTTCCCTTTTTTTGCGACTAGGAAGATACCTAACAAAATACTTCTCATTTTCTATTTTTTTTTTTTCCAAACTCGGGTCTTTCGTTAACTTCTCTCCGTTTCTAATCAAAAAAAAATTAACGACAACACAAAGTTCTGCGCGATAGGAACGATGGATAGGACTTTTGAATAACATCTAGTTACCACTCCAGCAAAAAAAAAGCGAGTCGCGACAGTTTTTCGCAAACGGCCTACGGTACCTGTTTGGCTTTTATTGTGGTCCTGGGTCCGCGACGCTTCGCCGCCGACGCGTCATCGCTTAAATCTTTGCCTTCGCCGCCCTCGCCGTCGTCTAGTACTGTCTGAATAGAAAAATTTAGTTCCATTCATCTTTTTTTCCAAAAAAAACTCCTCCTGTACTTATCACTTTAATACAGGAAGCAAGGCAAAACATAAACTTCAATTCTGAATTGATTACTAGTCCCGCCGAAAATTTGAAAAAAACTCCGAAAGAAGTAAAGACTTACTAATTAAACAATATTTTACTTATAAAACTGAGCAAAATGCATAAAAATCAAGATATATTGTGAACTTGTAGTTTTCATATTTAATTCGATACATTTCGTCGAGCTTGTCACGAGCCGTGAATAACTAGAACTAATTTCAAAAAGAGGATCATCGCATTCGCAAAAAAATATGACGCAGGAAAAGAGCAATTTAATTTTTTTGTTTAATCGTTTTGGCAGGGGTAGGTGAATTTTCTTTTTTTCTAAAAATTCCCGTGCTTTGCAAAAAAACAAAGAGGCCCCCCATGACAAGTTCGAGCTCAACAAGCGGATGAGGCGGCTCGATTGGGCTTCTTTCCCCCGAAAAAAGAAATCCGAGAACCCACTTCATCCGACGCGTCGACGTTCTCCTCCTCCACGTCCGACGTGCACTCTGAGCCGTTGGACACCGAAACTGAAAAAAATTCCCAACTATTTCTCAAGGTCAAACGAAAAAAAAGAACAAGTTTGACCAGGAGCAAATAATTCTCAAAAAAGTGTTTTTTTTTAAATAAAGGTCCTCAAGAACCTAGCAATGGACGGAACCGGGAAGGCATTTAAAAAAATATCTTTTTAATATCTTTTTTTCAATTCCTCATTCAGTTACTCATTAATCAAATACTTTTTTTGTCCAAAAGAGCGAAAAAAATTTAATGTTCAAAGGCTTTTTCCACTTTTTGTTGAGAACAAACAGCTCCGAGATATTTTTTTCTCTTTCATTTTTTTATCAGCAAGTTTGTTTTATTTTAACTGACCATAAAGCCAAGTATATAGTTCTTAGCTGAACGTTCCTACTTTCTCGAATGGTTGCATTATTCTCAAGCTAATTTTTTTTTTTTGAATTGCCCTTGCAACTTTCAACTCTCCGTTGCTGTTTTGTACCAAAATTAGACTGAACTATTATTCAAGCTTCGTTTATTAGCCATTATCCAGTACGAAACTTTCTTCTAAATCTACTTTCAGTTGCTTTATCCGTTTACCTCATGTTCTACTCCCCCTTCCTACATTTTACCTCAAGTTGTATTCTTCACAGATTCCCAACTCCCAGACGTCCATCAACGACCATTTTCTGCCAACTACTCATGCTCAACAAGAGTACAAGACTCGGAACCATATGGCCGCATATTGTTCGAGCGGCTTTATCGTTATCTCAGCGGACACGGTGTGCACAGCGAGAGAGCTCAAAAGAAATGAGCCGGCTGGCTCGCGGACGACGGAAGGCGCAGATCGGATGCGCGTCCTATTATGGAATAAGGAGATTAGTGCACGGCGGTTATAGGCGCTCCTTCTCGCAGAACAAAAGAAGATGTTGTGGTGACAGCTGCAGACGTCGTTTACCGGTGTCCCTCATCTTGGGCTCCAGTTCTACTTGTGCTCGTCGTCGTCTCTTTTGCGGTGCTAGTAATCCGGTGGTGGTAGTGGTACCGAATGAATCGAGCCGCAGGTTAAGGGTCAGTTCGGAGAATAAATTAGTGCGCCCGAATTTGATCTAGCCGATGCTCAAGTTCTATTCAAAATCAGAAAAAAGTGAACTTGAGAGTGTCGTTAACACTGGATTCTCGGAAAATTAAAACTTCTGAATTGCACAAAAACTCAAAAAAGTAACAGCAAAGGAAACTGAAAGTCGCGAACTGCACAATATTCTACTTTTTGCAAATAAATCGGTTGAAATTTAAGTCTTTTTTTTTGGTAATTAGGAATTTTCAAATGTTGCGACTTTTAAGATCTTCATCCAACACATGGAAAGAAACAACTTTCGGAAACAAAGTTCGAAAAAAAAAATGAAATGGCCTTCTCCATGAGCTCTGCAAAAAAAATAGGGCTCAAAGCCTCAAAAAATTTTTAAGCTTTAATTTTTCATGTAGGGAAGACTGTTGCAAATCCAGCAGGAATTTCCAATTTTAAAGTGTTAAAAATCATCCTTCGTAGAAAAAAAAAACTAGAAAATTTCTGCCTGAACAAAACTTTTCAAACCAAATATCACTCTCCAAATCTGATAACTTTTCCCACAAAACATTATCACTCTACGATTTTTTTCTGTTTTTCTCCCATGTTTAATCTTCAGCGAAAACAGTTCTCACTACTCTTAATATAGAAGTTTCATAATAACTCAAAAGACCTCAAACCAAAACTCATTAATCCCCGAACTTTCTTCCGATTTTCGTCCCCGAAGACTCCGTATTTCCTATCAAAAAACCCCCGTATACCTGGTCGATTTGACGAAGATGAAGGCGTGGAGCTTTTCGTCGCATTTTGAAAGTCGGTCTGGCAAACGAACCGATTCCCATCCAGAATATAGAGCTGGAAAAAGCTTTGTTATTTTCCCAGGCATGTTGAGTATATAAATATTTTTTATCAAATCCGCTTGTTTTTGTTCTGATGAATGATAGTGGGAAAATTTCCAGAAAAATAAAATTAAAAAGCAAACTCGATCGACGGCTATATGTAGCTTGTCACAAAAAGTCGATAATTGTTGGAAATCCTAAAAAAAGAGTACTAACAAGCTTTCATTTTATCATTTTTCTAAATAAGGTGAGTGAAAAAAATGAAAAAAATAAAAAAATAAAAGGAGGTCGACTTTAAATAATTATTTTTTCACAAAAAATCCTCTTTTTAAGCGAAATTTCGAAAGAATCTACAAGAACTTGAACTGAAAAAACTTTGAAATTGTTCTAGCGCCTTTTCTGAGCCTTCTTGGGTTTTCAGCGAATTCCACAGGTGTAGTCTATTCATAAATTCTTTTTCCAGTGTTTTCAGACCCAAAAAAACTGAAAATGGCTTCTTCAAGCATCAGAGCAGACTGAATTTTGGATCAAAGGCCTTTTTAAATTCATCAATTAAAGCCCATAGTTGGAGATAACACTTGAAAAGCGACGGTCGAGTTGTCAGGAAAGAGCCTCCTAAAAGAGGAAGGCAGGCAGGTGCTTTTGACAGCCTTCGGTTGGCTCCGCCGAGCCAATCGCTCGAGGATTTCGAACCGGATTTACTGGGGGATTACCCTGGCGACTCGCCTTTTCTAGTGGTCCTTGTTTTTTCTATTGGTTTTAGAAGTACAAAGAGGATGAATCAAGAAAAAGAAAGCTGGCTAAGATTTTCGCAATGGGGGCTTACCGTTGAATTTAAAGTATCAAGTTCACGAAAAGCGAGTAATAAATGGTAAGTTCAATTCATAGAAAAAAAAATGAGCAAAACGAATCCGGATTTCACATCTTTTGACTAATTTCATGATCGGAAAACGATATTTTGTGAAATCGAGAAATCAATTTTTCAAAATCATACTCAAAAACACTGTTCTCTCATATTCGAATTTAAAAGTAGATTACTACCAGAAGGGAAGCCAGATGAATAATACGAAGAAATAAATGTTTGAAAAACTATTTATGAAGGTTCTCTAGCACTTGGCTTGATTTTCACTGCCATATTTGAAGATACCCAAAAATTTGAGTGGAACGTGTCAAAGAAAAAAAGGTTGAAGCTCGAGGGAATCGGAAAATGACGCGGGCAGACCTGCTCGCCCGTGTCGAGCCTCCGCTGGCATATTGAGCACTGGAAGCACTGCACGTGGAAAACTTTGTCCCTCGCTCGTCGCACCAGATCTTCTTTCTGCAAGTTTCCGTCGCAGCCGGCACACCTCTGACCGTAACGCCTGAAACAACGCGAAATACTAGTTTGAAAAAAAAACTGATAGTACTGGTCCAAATTTAACGGTGCAAAATAAAGGACCTGACAGAAAATTTTCACAATGCTCAATTTGCACAATGCTTTTCTAAACTGAAAGGATTTTTGGAACAGGCTCTAGTTTTCAGATAAACGAGATAGAATGAACCTAGAACAATTTCTGACGAATAAAACTTGGAATAAATCAGGAAGGATTAATTTTGGAGGTAATGAAAGGAAGGCTGAAAATATCCTACTAAGACCACCATACACTGAAGTTTGACGCTCAGTTTCAAAACGGTTTTTTAAATATTCAAAGAAGAATCGGCGAGGCCTTTTAATTTGTTGAGTTAAACTGTCAAAGTTAAGGAAATTTTCTGAAGCTAAGTTTGGTTATAAAAAGATCCTACTTCGAAATTGAAAACCCTAGAACACTAAAGGCTATTGACATGCAACATATTATTCACTTTTTTCTTGAAACACCCGGCTTCAGCGAAAATCAGACTCCCAAAGTAGTTTCCACAATTGTACCTTGGTCGATTTGGAAGAATTTTATGGAAGCTGGGAGGGAAGCACTAGAACCGAGTTTATTCCAAACTGGACCAAATATTATCTCATAAAAACTATATCTTCATTTTTGGATCAATACTTTTGAACGTAGAATCAGCAGGAAACTGAGAAGCATGGCTAATAAGTGACGCTGAAAGAAAGACCTGGAGAAGTCGCTTTTGCAGAGGATGAGGCCGTCGCGGCTGAAGCAGGACTGGGACATGGGCGAGAGACAGTCCGAGCATCGGAGACAGGACTGATGCCAGGACTTGCCGAGCACCGTGAACACGTATCTGGAGAAGAGCCAAGTCTCGACTGACAGGAATGAACGGAATGAAGGAGAAAAAACGGAGTCGTTTCTCGATTTCCATTTCAATTTCAATTTCAGAAAACGGCCCCCTTTTCCACTACTCATTACGTCGTCCAGCGGCCGGAGCAAAATTGCTTTGCTTTTCAATTTTCATTTTCCAATTTTGCGCGCAAGGCAAGGTGATAATGGAATATGCGGCGCACACAAACTCACATATTAATGGAGAACACTCACACGCTAACAAATAGAAAAAGAACTGAAAGGAGAAAAAGTAAATTACCTGTCAAGAATCGGCAGTGCACATGCGGCGCATTCACTCATGTCTGACAATGGGGCGTGGCGTCGACGGACGCGTAGCCGAAGGGGAGGACTACCGTAACCGCGGCGTCGGCGGTGGCGCGGCTTTGCAGCCAGCCTCCCAGGGCCTCGCCGACCACACCTCGGCCTTCTTTTTCTCTCCTAGCCCGTTCGTTTTCGTCTTTTTACAAAGATTTCTGTCTGTCGTCGTCATCTGATGTACTTTCTGACGTTTCAAAAGATTATCTAATTTTTGCGGCTTTCAAAAACGAAAATTCCTTTGATATGCTAAAATCCAGGTGTAAAAATAATAGATTGGTAAAATTTTTCTTTTTCTGATCGATTACCGCTGGTTGGTAGCATAGGATAGAATCGAATTTTTTTGAAGTCATTTTCCATGACCGTTATACAGAACTAGTTTATGAAGCAAATAAAATTTGTTCGAGGTTTTATTCAGATGAGTAGCAAAAATAAATTATGCAAAAACGGAGCTTATGAGTCTAGCCTTTTTTCAATTAGCTAGTGGCAAATTGAGTAAATTTGTTAGAAAAATTTTCTACTACACAAAAAAATTGAAAAAGATAAAACTCAAGTTTCCTTTCACAGAAAAAGTAATTTATTATTCACAGCGCTCAGAAGTTTTAGAAAGAAAAATTCTGACAATTTTAAAGCAAAAAAACCTCTATTATTCTTCCTTTCCTGCAAGGTATCACTCAACTAAACTCAATTTTCGCGAAATGCTCGATCTCTGCAATGCGAGTTCGAAATGACAAAATTAAAAAAGTTCAAAGAGAATAACAAAAAAAAAATTAAAACTATGAAAAGTTTTACTTTCAGAGTTTTCCGGTTTTCAAAACAAAAAAAAAATATTTTTCTCCTGACTTTCGATTATGGCTATGAAAAAAAAGAAAATTATAGATATCAGTGTTCGCGGAGCATGTCTTTAAACCTACATAAACGAATTTTTTCTTGATATTTTTGTGTTAAAAACAAGTACTTCGAAATGAGTTCTTTTAGCATGATAGAAAATCTCAGTGCAAGAAGAAACATTTTTTTCGTGCGAAGAACTAAACAAAAAAAGGTTTTGAGTTGCTTCGACTTTACTTGTCAAAAAGACAAGAACCTCACTGGGGAATTGGAAAAAGAAACACCCTGGGATACTTGCGAAATATGCGCCCGTGTTCGGTTTAAAACTTTTTCTGCGGAAAAAAATGAGCAAAGCAGAAAAAACAATATTTTTAACAAGTAAGTTGAAGAAATGGCTATGAGAACCTCTCTTTTAAAAGAATTAAAAACTGAAATTCTAATTTTTCAACCACATTATATTGCACCTGGCCAATGTGACAATAGTTACCAATGATTCGATAAAATGGAATTGAATTCATTTATTCTACACGAGTCTCCAAAAAAGCTCATAGAAAATTTGTATAAGTTAACAAGTTGAGGAGATCGAAGAAAGGGCGTATTCGAATGAAAAACATAAATTTTTCAATCAATAACGCTCGAATGATGATTTTTTCAAGAGGCTGACTTATCATAATCACTGCTCTAGATATTCTTTGAAAATGACAACAGAATGTAAAACAGAAGCAAAAAAGAAAAAAAGGGATCTCTCGGGAGTGAAAACGCAAAAAAAAATTAAAAATTTTTTTAAAATGATCCGACGCTCCGTTTGCCGTTCAACAGAGCGCACTTTTACACATCGTAGAGTTTTTATTCAACTTTATTGGTACCAATGGTTCTTTGAAAGGTTTTTTTTTCTTGAGCGAGTGATATTTTGAAATTGCAGCATAATTTTTCATAAAATCGGCCGTGAAATCTTGATTTCGAATCTATCCTCACAAAAAGATTTTCGACAACCTTCGAATGAAAAAGGAATTTCAAAGAGCTCGTCACTTCACTCAAACTTGTCACAAAAACGGCTCAACTCGCATTTCTTGTCCTTCAAACCGTCCGCCTAACTGTTTTCTCGCGCGAAACAATGCAATCAGACGAGGAAACCAATTCCTAAGACCAGTTTTTTCCTATCCGTGGGAGACGTCGAACAGAGTACTGTACGCCTCCGCGACGTCGGAAAAAAAAACGAAAAACTTCAGCAAAGAAATGAAAAAAAATGGAAGAATTGATCGTTTCCTGGCGGCGCAGGCCTCTGAAAACCGGCAGAAAAAGTTGAGGAAATGGACAAGTGGAAAGGCAACTTTGTCGGATATTCTTTTGGAGCACGTGAGAAAATCGACCTTGGATTCAAAACATTATATAATCTACAGTAACCATTCTTATAAAAATTCATTTAGCGGTAGAGCACGTGTTACTAGAAAAGACGTTGAGAACCTCCTGAATTTTGGGCTAGGGTCTTTTAGAAACTACAGCTAAGCAAATCAAAAAATAACCTGGCCCAAAATAATTCCTGAAGCTTGAAGATGCCAAGAACATGTACTACTGGTCTTCGCAATAGGACCCAGACGTTGAAAGCCAAACCGAAAGCGTCAAACCGCTGTGAAGTACACCCAAAGCCCTTCATATTCTAAATATTTACGCGCCTAAGATAGCTGCAAAATTATCCTTTTCTTCGTTTTTTGAACCAATGCAAGGAGGAAAGTGCTGATGAGAGTCACCTCCTATGCCGTACACTTTTAAGACTCGAAACGGCTGCGCGATATATTGTAAATCCAATCTAACCTCTGAGCTATTCCTTTTCATTTTTTATTTATTATTTGATAATTCATCTTTTCATTTTTCACATACATTACATCATAGACTTGTCAAAATTGATGTAACGAAAAGTCCAAATTCAGGCTTTTCTTTCAGAAAAATTTCTAATGGTAGAGATATTTTATTGTTGTCTGCTTTGAGACCATGTTCGACAATAGGATTTTCACATTCAGCGAGACTGTGAGCAAAAGAAAGTTTCCACGTAGTTCTTGTTAGTACCAAAGCCAACTGTGAATGAAGAGCCCTTTCGCTGTAAAATTTTTCATTTAAGCATTAACTCCCCTTTTGAAAGTCCCAAACGATTCGGCATGAAAAAGAAGAAAAAAATTAAGACTTGTTTTGGGACAGTTTCGAGTCGTGAAACTTTTCAGTTTACCTACCAATTTAAAATTCATACTGTTAAATTTAGATTCTCTTCTCTTCTTTTAATTTTTTCATTTTCCATCAAAAAAAAGTTTACAAAATCCTATCAGAAACCATATGGGAAGTTTTATCCGCCAATGTTCGAATTTTTGCAAGAAGAAGATTTTTGAATTTTTTCCACTTCAAATGTCCACTCAGAATTCTTGGGATTCCGAAAGAATCGAGGATTCGAAGCCAAAAGAAACTTCGACTTTCTCAAGTTCTGAGTGACCAAACCGACCGGTTTTCCAAAATACCTGGAGCCAAGAAGATGAAGCCAAGTGATGAGCCACGTAACATTTCCGAGAAAAGGAAGAAAAGAAGAACCGACGCGCAGTCGGATGATTCAGACACGCCTCGGTGTGGGAAGCCGCCGCAGGTAAAGGCCCGACCGTATTGAAAGCTTCGATCAGTGCCGGCGGGTCCATGGGAACTGCTTGATTGGGTTTCGCCGCCTCGTGCAACTATGCAAATGAGCCACGGAACAGCGGTGATTGTCTTTTTTCCTTCCTTCGTCTCGCTTTCTGCGAAGTTCCGAAGCCCAGTGAAAAGCTGGCGGTTTACAAAAAAAGACCGAATCTAGTAAGTGTATCCTTTCATTTTCTCACACGATCTTTCCAACCATCAAAGGTTATTTATTTTTCTTCAAATGTTAGGAATGAATAAGACTCAAAAATCAATTTTGGAAGTTTAAGTGAACCTCGGAAAGTTCGAAAATTATTCCTGAGGCGAATCGAAGATGGGAAAATTCTTCAACCGGGCTATACTTTCCTCAACTTTTTCCCTATTACTTTTTCAATGAAACTTAATCGAAACTTCTTTCACGTACAGTTCTTCAAACTTTAAAATAATCTTCGAATCTCAGGCATTTTTTCCAAGTTCCCAATTTCATATTTTTCTTAACAATTTAGGAGAGAAAAACCAACAAAATCTGCTAGACCAATACGCCTGTTGCTCTCGCTCCGTATGCAAATGAGCCATCGGAACAGAAAAAAGAGGATGAAGAAAAAAAAAACAAATCGGCTCCAAAAAAGGCGGCGCCGAAGATTTGTCGAACCGCATTTTGATAAATTGACCCGTTGCGTACACGTCGTTTCCCTTTCGGCAAGGAGGCGGACAAAAAAATCAACAAATTTTGTCGATTTGTCTCCGGAATGGTGTGCCCGAAAAGGGAAGGCCAGGAAAAAGACGGAGCGGTCGAATTCGTGTCAAAAGCGCCTTTTGTAGTCAAATAGGGAGGGAAGGATTAGATTAGTTGAGCCGCCTTGAAACTTGCTTGCAAAAACTGTTTTGAGACGTTGTTTCTACTAGTTCAAACCGGAGCTTAAAAAAATATGTTCGACACTTTTCATAAAGCTGTGTAGCCCATAATCCCGACAACGTTTGAAAAAAGAGACCTCGGGAAAATACCGAAAATGAACGAAGTTACAGTCGTTTAAGCCTGGATACTATATTGGGAAGGTACCTGAAATTTGCGAATGCTATCGGCTGGTAAATCGCTTCCTTATATGAAGAAAGAAAAATTAGATTCGTTTCATGTTTTTGGATCGATTCGGAAGAATAATTGTAAATTTTTTCAGGTCCGGTTGAAAGCATCTGGTTCGGATTTCTAATAAACCGATTCGGACAGAATGGGTCCGACTGAAAGAAAGCCAAAAATTACTAACCGCTGGCGACTCCCGACGCGATTTTCCAATATTACCGGTAGGACAGATCTATTTCAAAGTGGTGTCTATTCGTAGGTACTGCTGGGGAAATGTTTTCAGAAAAGTTAGAAGCCTAGCTCTTTCCTCTAAAACAGGGTGACGAAAAACTGAGACCGCAAACACAAAAGGCATCGCAACTCAATAATCGGAACTAGGAAAATCTCTTAAAATTGCATTACCTCTCGTAAGAGCTAAAGTAAGAGGAATCGGTCTGAAAAATCGCTTCGGCATTTTTGATGACGGGCTTTCACACAAGTTTCATCGAAATCGAAAAGTATTTCAACTATTGTATCCACTGCTTTTAAAAAATTTCGAAAATTACAGAGACAGCGTGTCAAATAATATAATCGAATTAAAAAAGCAAAAACGAGTAACTATTTTTTCGAACTTTCAAACTGGGCAATTTTCGTTTTGCTTCTCTTTCTGAGTTTCATAGGTCGAGCTAGACTAGAATGACAAAAAGAGCTATCCTACTCGCAGCCGAAAAGTTCGAAGTATGAAGAAAAAACAATAATTTACTGAACGATAAGAAGATCAACAACACATGAGATGCACCAAGTACCCATTCATACTTCTTTTGTAAGTTCAACTTCAGTTTTCTCGGATTTAAAGACGTCCTCGTCTGTTTTCCTTCTCTTGACCTCGACATCTTCTCCAGCCTCGTCGACGACACTTCTATCAACTTCTTCTGCTGCTTTTCTCTCATTCCTGTGATTCTCCTCTGTGTTTTCTTCTTCCTTTCCGTTGTCGGCCGGAGTCTTGCGCTTTCGGAAGGCAAACACGAGATACATGCACACGGCCTGCCACTCGGATTCCGACAGGGTTCCCTGCAAATCACAGCGTTCAAGGTCAGAACAGACTTTTTTGAGAGACGAGGTATTACCACTGGGTTGTTGCCAACACCTTCCACGTGCTTGTATTCTTCGGGTCCTCCCGACAGTTTCTCGCCTTGGTCTGCTGGATACTTCTCGAGGGCCTGAATCATTACAGTTGAGAATTGAATTCCTCAGAAGAGATGTCCATTTATTCTGAGAAAACCTCTTCATTTCCCTTTGCGGGTGGGGAATACTAAAAGATAACCAGATAACTCATTGATGTACTACATCAAGATCCTGCAAGTCTCAACCTACAAAAATCCGGGGCTTTCGAGTAAATATGTTAAAACAGACCATTTTGAGAATTAAATTCAGCCTTCGTTTTTCAAAACTAAAAAATTGCTCAGCTAGAACCATTCACGGCTCACTAACCATTTTTTTACTGAAATTTTCTTCCTTTTGATAGTTTTGAATACCATATTTTATGTTATTTTAGAACTTTATAATTTTTTTGGTTCACGCTGAGAATTGTTTTGAAAAAAAGAAGTTTCAAAGGAAATTATTTACGAGCTCAAAAGGAAGCTACAAAAACTTCAAAAAAATATTTATAAGCTTGTTCTGCGCTTTTTTTACCGAGAAAGCCCACTTTAAAATTCTAATTTATTGAAAAATAACAAAGTAAAGAAGCTTTTAGAGCATCACAGTTTGATAAGTATGATTCTCATGATTTTGTAAGCAAAAAAAAACTCCTCAACTCAACATTTAAATGAGCTATCTAGTGTATGAAGGTCATGCACAACCTTTTTGGATTTACTTGTATAAAAGCAACCTAGAAACATATTTAAGCAAGGTCAAAAATAGAATAAAATGACTCGGAAACAAAGTTTAGTCCCTGCGTGGAAGAAAACAGAACCTATCACTTAAAACTTTAAAAAATATCGACCAACCCGCATCCGACCCATGAGGTTGGCCCCTGCCTCTTTCCACTCTTCAATAGCTTCGGGAAAGGTTTTGACGAAAAGTAATTCCATTCCTTCTTGCTCTAATAAGCTAAAAATCATATTTGGTTAGAAATTCCAAGAAAATCCTAACTAGGGAGCTACTCGGACTCGGGTACGCGTTTGGAGTTGAAACTTTGGTGGCTAATAGACCCGGGTAAGAGTACTTGAAAACAAGAGAGATTATCTGCTAAACCCCATAGGCTTCTGAGAAAAAGCTTTTTGAGAATGAACAGTTTAGGCTTGAAAATTATCAAATTTCTGCTTTTCTCTTTCTTTTTGGTTGGAAAAAGTTTATTAGAGTTTATCATAGCCGAATCATTCAACCCGATTGTATTAAAATATAAAATAAGGTAAAAAACAGTACTCTGAAATTTTTCAGGCCTAATTTTTACATTTTCTACTAATTTTTTCTCGGTTCTCTATTGGGTTTAGCAGATATTCACACTTGTTTTCAAGTATTCACACTTAGGTCTATAAACCACTAAAGTTTCAACTCGATCCGCGTACCCGAGTCCGAGTAGTTCCCTAGTAAGACTAACTGTTGCAGCAAAGGAAAATAGGCGAGAAACTCGGGACAGTTCACTTGACTGTCGAGAACAAAGTGGAATTTGGCGCCGAAAAGCGGAGGCTTCCCGTCTCTCAGCTCATCAACGTTTTCATAGCGTATGCTGCACACAGAGTTCTTGAATTCGCCGTCTTCACTTTCTCTCGCAGCCCAGCTGAAAATGAAAGCTGTTTGGAAGGTTTTTTTTAACCCAAATAGGTACTCTTGAAGACAACATTTTGCTCGATTCAAAATCAATATCCAATGAAACAATACTCACAGAAAGATTGAGCTCTACATTAGGAAGTTGTGACTAAAAAATTTTTCGGTACTGTGTAACTGAACAAAGTTTGAGCATAAAACTTAAATGAGAAATTTTCAACATTCCGAAACAATTTGGGAGCTCGGCTCAAACTAAAAAAAAATCACACAGCGACTTTTTTCTTCGATGCCTTCAAGAATTTGTGTTGTTCCGAAAAAGATCCCCACAAACTCCGTTTGACTTTAAACTAAAAACAGAAATAGTTCCTCCGTGGTCAGAAATGGAGCAAACATTTTTCAAAGCGTTATTAAACCTGGATAACTTTGAATGTGAGAAAATTCTCTATCATTTCATTCCGTTCGAAAATCTGAAGTCATTGACGTTTTTTTTTTGTTTCAAAAAAACCAAGTTCTTCCTAATTAAATAAAATAATCTAAAGTTATGCAGACTTCTCACAACCACATCTATTCAATTTCTCCATGATAGATCTATTTTTCATTCCCTTCAAGTTATCAGACAAAGAAGCACCATTTTCGTATTTTCCTAAGAATATTTTTGAATAATTAGAAGACGTTGGCGATTGAGAAAATTTTCGAGGGCAAAAAAAAGAACTATTTCATGATGAATTTATTTCTCTATTAGAAGCGGCATGAACAAGTTAAAGCTGAAAAAATTGAGAAAAATGACTCGAAAGAAAGCAAAATTAAAATCAACTGACACGATTCTCTCGGCGTCTGGCAAAGTTCCAATAAAAATTCCGCCCGGTCTGAGGGGCTTGACGGCGTTTCGAATAAAAGTTCTGGCCGATTTTTCATCGACGAAAGAATAATGCAAGGCGAACTGGCAACTCGTCAGATCGTATGGTTTTTTGTCTTTCATTTTCTCCATTATATCTTCCTTAATCATCAAAATGCGAAAATTTTGTAATAAAATGACCAACCTTTGTACAATCAACAACCATGAAATCAGCTGTAAAAATACGATTCCTATTCCTCTGTCGCATTTCTTCGTATCGCCCTTTGGCCTGATCTATTGAAACGCTGGCAATATCTTCAAAAATTGAATCTTATTTCCGAATTTCCGTTCGAAAAAACCAGCCATTGTTACAGTTTCAGCTCTGGCAATGTCCCACTTGCGAAGATCTCCCCCTTTTCCACAAGCCAAGTCGAATATCCGCGGATTTCTAACACCGTCGTCGCGCAGACGATTCGTTGCTTCATCTGAACCGAAAAAAATCTGAAAAATCAAGTAATAAACTCACTTATCAATTGACTTTTGATCCAATTATTGAAATTCCGCAAATGAAATATTCGGCTTTCTTTGCGGTCATCGATCCCCGTTTGCTTCACTGAGTTATAATGCTCAGCGACTTGATTCGCTGACATCTCCTGAAAAATGAATATTCTATGAAAAAACCCTGCTGTTTGAAAATAGTAACGGTTTTCTTGAAGCAATTGATAGTTTTTAAATTAACGTTGTCAACATTATGATTTCCTTCACCGTGCTTGGGACGAAACGTATACAGAAAAGTCTCATTCTTGTTTTTAGAGAGTTTCGAATCCTTAAACATTGTCCAAAGCCAACAGTGAGCGTTCTATAATTTTGCATACAACGGGAAGAATTGATTTGAAAAAATTGTGAAATTCGAAAAAAACTTTTGAGCAAGTTCGCGCTCTTGCGAATGCCGAGTGCTCTGAATTTCACCGAAGCGCACGTTTGCCTCTCTTTTTCTTCTTTTATTTTTTTTTATGTCCTGTTCAAAGTGATTTCGCGAAATTCAAAATTGCCGCCAGAGAAAGAAAAAAATATAACTTAATTTTAGAGAGTTAGAGATCATTTTGCATTTCGCGGAAATTACTTTGAACACGGCATTATAATCTTCCAACTGAATTAAACTATTTGTTGTCTACCCATTATTTTCCGAGCTTCATTTTTCTTTCAGAATGGCCAGCGGATTCGTCAGCACGAGTGAGATAGAAAAAGAACGCGATGAGCGACAGCAGGAGTGGGAACGTGTTCGCAAGCCAGACGACCCAATAAGTTTTCTAATTTTCTTTCTGTCATTTTTGAAGTTTTACTTCAGCGGCTCCGGAACCTGAAGTTTGCAACAAAACTCTGTTTGAGCAGCTTCGAGATATCAAAGAAGCTAAAAGCGCCGAGCTTGAGGAAGCGAAAAAATTCAGTTAAACTATTCTTTGGTTCATAATTAATCCCTTTTTTTCTCAGAAAACTTGATTCGTGGCGTAGATGAAGATGAGAGCGATTTCTTGGCTCATGTTAATGAGATCAAACATAAAACTACAGCGCAAATCAAGAAGGTTGTTTGAAATCCTCTATTTTGAGAGAAACGCTGACATTTTATTAATTGAAGGAGGAGGAGGCGATGTTGAAAGAGTTGGCTCTGGCTCAATCGAAAATACAAACCGCTCAACCAACAACTTCGTTGAAAGTGAAACCTGCAGCCTCAACGGCTCCTCCGAAGTCGAAACAGGCTTCGATTCTTTCGGCGGCTATCAAACGAAAGTCGTGAGTAAATAATTTTTTTTTTTGTTGTATAACCCTCTTAAATCTCCGACTATCCACTTAGGTCACTTATGATCATTTTTTGATCGAAAACAAAACGATACTTTAGGGAATTTTCGGTGGTATGAAAAAAAGACCAGCAAAAATTCAAACGGCGACTTTTCCGATTTTTTCATATCGCTAGAAAACTTTCCGACGGCCACCTTTCTGCCGATTTTTTTCGGCTTTTTTTTCCATAAGCTCTTTGTTTTAAATCTTCCTATATAAAGTAGGTAAGTTATTCATGATTAAGACACAACGAATTAGTAAAAAAAAATGTTAATAGATGTTTTATAAACCGAAAAACGTAAGGGAAAAAAGTCGGAAAGGGATTCGGCGGAAAGGTGGCCGTCGAAAAAGCTCCCCAGCGATACGAAAAAATCGGAAAAGTCGCCTTTTAAATTTTCGCTGGCTTTTTTTTTCAAACCATCGAATTTTCTGAGATTTTCAACTATTCAACTTAAGCAAAATAAAAACCGTCAACCATATTTTGAAATGCATTTTTCTTTTTTAATGGGACAGGCACGTTCTTTTAAAAGAAAGATTGAAGAAATTCTTCAAGTAGAAACTTAAAATGCAATTTCATTATATTTTCAGATCAGCAAACGACGAAGTCGTGGCCAAATCTTCAAAAACGGAAGAGTCACCAAAAGCTGAGCCAACGATCAAAGTTGTAGCCGGCATCCCCGGCATAATCGATTATGCGGCTTCCAGGTTTTTATTTCATTTTATCAGAATTAGATTCACCGAATTTCGAGGATATTATACCTTGAACAAGTTCTTGATCATACTAGGAAAAACGTTTGGAGAAGATGAAAGCGTGAAAAACATATAGTCGATTCAAGCTGACTTGAAATTCGTTGGTATAGTGAGAAAAGAACGCGTTCAAATCGCAGCACGACCGCGACGCTTTGAGTCATTCCAAATGTGACCCGATGACTTTTAGTAGACGTTAATTCTACAAAAAAAATTGGGTAAAAATGTGAATGAACCTTCAAGAAACTGCGAAAAATTCAGAAGATCCAATCTTCGTTTATCGATTTATTTAACTTCCACCAAAGATAACTGCCTAGTCCGTCGTTAGAGAAAGCGAGGTCGGCCGCGGTACAATGAAAACCTCGAAAATGAACCGCTTTGTCAACGCGCCACATTTCTTGACCTTACCTCACACCTCACTCTTCCTTTTCCACGCACTCAAAAAATAAATTTGAGAATATCTGAAATATGAGGTCGTCCTATGAAAGATCGCGCCAAGGAAAATGCGAAACCGGCGTGACTAAAAAGCAGCACTTTTACGAGGTCGTTCATGTTCCGCCAGAGACCTCGTTTTCATCTCGGCAGGGATTCTGAGTAGGTACAAGCACAAGGAATATTGAAAATTTTCTATTTGAGTCCTCAATTTTTCTAATTTGAGCGACAGCGAGTCTTCAAACTCCTCGGACGAGGACTGCTCTCCCGTCCCGATGCTCCAACTGCAACCGAGGACAAAACCGTCGTGTGATGGAGGCGGCTCGTGACTTTTCCCAGTAGAAATTTATATGGTTTTACACGCTTTCCTTCGTCACATTCACTGCAAATTTATGAAATTTAAGGGTTCCGCTAATACTATTAAATTTAACCACACATAACTGTTCAAAACTTCGATAAAATTTTACTCTTCTGTTACGTCAAATCAACAACCCGTAAGGATATATATGTGAAAAAAAGTTTAAGTTTGCTCGGAAAGGATGGAATCGATGGTAAATGACTTGAATTTCCTTTCCAGAGGCTTGACTTCAGTGAAAGGAGAATAAAAGTTCAAAGAGGCTTCTGTAGGCCTCGGAGAACAGGAAGGACTCGAATCCGAGGAGTGGCCATCGATTACGGCTAGTCCCATGTGTCGTCGAACCTGAAAAATGTTTTTTGAATGAAAATTATTGGTCTTTTGGCGCCTAGTTACTAACCAAAACATTAAGAAAAGTTCCAACGAAAGCGCATATCTTAAAAAAATCAAAAAAATATCATTTTTAAATATTATAACTTTTGAAAAAATCAGACAATGAAGACAAATAAATGTTTCTCTTTTTTTGTTGTAGTTGTTTTTACATTTTTAGGAAAGTAATTAACAACTCTTATGTTTCCCAATCCAATAAAATGAAAAAAATAAATAACAAATTTCCATTCTAAAGCAGTTTTCAAATTTTTAAAAGACAGGGACAGTAAAAAATGGGGTTTGAGATGAATAAGCCATTTTGTAGAGCTTTCCATTGCGTGTAGAACAGTGTACTTGAAAAAATACAGGACTTCTAGTTATTGTTTTTTTTTTTGAATTGCAAGTTGAGAACAACCCTTTTTGAGGGGGATCCTGGCTTAACAGAAACTTTTTCTGTTTTCGGTCATTCTACTCCAGAATCTGAGCATCTAATTCCATTTCAAATCGTAGATTTTACTAGGGTTAACGAAAAAAACAAGAACAAACTTTTCTCTGAGCGCGGCGTCTACGAAAATCGCCACGAGCAAAGTCATTGACACAGGCCGGATGAACTGCCCAGTAGTGTCCCTTGAAAGAAGAACCCGTTTTTCGGACCGTCAAAGTGTTCGAAGGGGCAACCTTGCCGTTGGCGGCCCTTCCGGCCTTAACGAAGCAGTCGTTGAGCGAAAGATTGTGTCGGATGGAGTTCCTCCAGCCGGCGCCGCGCGTCCGGAAGTATGGGTAATTGCTCATTATCCAATCGTAAACCTGTGAATCGAGGCTCATTAGAAAATATTGATAAAAGTAAATTATTTCAAAGAAAAAAAAATGAAAGTTTTGGGTATTATGAAGAGCATAGTCTCAATTTTAGATTTTAGACTCTGAAATTTAAATTTCTCGAGCTAAAAGCCTTTTTTTTATGTTATTTCACGTCTTTTCCCACTTACAAAGTCATTTTACGTTGCAGTTGAGAATTTCGAAAAAAATTACCAGTAAGTTTCTTGATTCTGATAGTCTCAACCTGCAAAACTTTCTAGTTTCCGATGAAGAAAATCTCAAAATCCAAGAAGTTAAAATAGGTTTTTTGAGACCTCGAGTCTTCATTTGTCGAAAACGAAGATATTGTGCAGACTTCCAGGATTTTTCAAGAAGTGTTCTGGTCAAATACCAACAAAGGTTTGAAAAAAAAAAAGACTATATATAGAATTAACACTTTGCGATTATTTTTCTAATCAGAAATTTACGTTCCACGCATAGAAAAATAGATATCGCGAATTTTATCTAGGGAAAACTAATCTTTTATTTTAGGAAGATACCCGAAAAACTCTTCTAATGAGCTAGGTCCTAAGATCCTAGACTTTTCCAACAAAAAAGGACTCGAATTACAGCCGACTCAGAAAAGCAAACTTCGAGGCTTCGGTAAATAGTATGTAGCCCTGCAGGTTGAGACTTCCAGAACCTCTAGCAAATCTCAAAATTTTCCAGAATTCTCGAAGAACTTCTCCGTAAACCCTGTTGCGAAGCGCAGGGAAGTGGAAAGTACAGTTGAATCACGCGGGGGGAAAAGTTCTTTTCATTTTCGAACTTTTGACTTCATGATCACCTCGGACAAGACCATCTTCTGATTCGGCGACGAGAGAATAGCCATGGCAATGAGGCCGATGTAGGAGTGCTGCGGCTTGGGCTGCTGACTGCTCTGACTGAGGACGTCGATGAACGACGGCATCGGGAAGAAGACGTTCTTGTAGGGGAGACTGGAGACGTCGGTCGGCGATGTAGAATGATCCAGAAGATGCTGCTGATAGTGCATCAGTGCGCTGGCGCACAGTTCCTCCATGCTCATTTTCCGGCTGGATCTGCAAAACAAAGCAAATCTTCAATAATTTATTTATTCAGCCGGGGAAAAACGTCCTAATGGCAAGCGGAATGGCTCGGAACGTTGCGGTCGCGTAGCGGTGAGTCCCTATTTTTTCAATGCCATCAAACTCAAGTCGTTATATGTCGGCCGTTTTTTTTCCGGGGATTTATTACATAAATTGTCTAGCATCTAGACGAATAAAAAATTCCCGGCGCATTCATTAAGGTCACAGTACAATGTAACCAAGGTAAAAAAATTTAAAAAAATTTTTATTTTGGAGCAAATTCGCCTCATTTTCAAACCAGATACCAAAAAAAAGTTCTGTAAGATTTTTTAACTAAGCGAAAACCCATCTTCTGAATAATTGTAGGCGAATTTGAGCCAAAGTAAAAAAAAAGATTGAACTCCTATAAAATGAGCAATAAAGGCGAACGGCAGACTCTACAAGCATCGTGAGAAAAATGAGCGATATCCGACAATTGAGCCAAAAGAAAAAAAAGAAACTAAGGACCGGAAAAAGGAAACCGATTTGGGGGTCTCTACAAACAGGAAAAATAGAGACCCCCCTTCACATTTCTCTGGCAAACAATCATAACTTTCTTCTTTTTGTTTTGTAGTTCTGACAAAACTCTCGCTCTCAAAAACCTTTTCAGTGTTTTTTTGTCTTCGAATTCACCCAAGGTCATCCTTCAAAAACTTTTTAGACTTAAGACTCATCTTGAAGCTAACTTTTTAACGGATTTTTCAGACTCTGAGACGTTTGTTCTAACAATTGAGGTGCAGTTTAAAATTGTTTGTTTCTACATTAGTCGCAAAATTGGAGGACCTCGTGACAGTTGCGGGATTTTTAAAGAAGTATAAACACGACTACGTTTTAGGCCAACTTAACCTAAGCCTCAGTCAATGAGAGATTATCCTTGGAGGCAAAAGAAGGAAGCAGTTACAGTAGGCGAAATCCGGAGGGAGTCAGGCGAGATATTTTTGATTTTTGTAATACAGATCTTCTCTGGCCTCAGAAAAAGTTGTCGAGCGTAGTAAGATTTGCAAAATGAAATCAAACTTCCGACTAGATTGAAAATTGCTTTTCTGAATGGTAAAATTTTTCAAAAAACTTTTTCGGTTTTTTTTTTTGACGCATATACGCTTCTTCGAGGAGAAATTTTTCTTATTTAGCAACGTCTATAAAAGAAATATTTCTAGAACTTCATATGAAATTTCGACCCTTTTGGAATCGATTCATTGAGAGAAAATTTACAGACGAAAATATGAATTTTCGTACCAATACGATCAGAAATTCAGTCCTTTTTGATAAAACCTCCCGACTAGAATCCTCAGATCAACTAAACAATGCTCAGTACACTGTGATCCTAGAAGAAGAAGGAAGCAGCTACCGTAGACGAAGCGCAAGCCGGAGGGAGTCGGGACAAACCTCGCGAGAAGAGGCAAACTGCCGGAGAACGTCGTCGTGTGAAGGACCGGCAATCGCGTGCCGTCGACGTCGTCTTGGCCGCACAAAGACGTCTTCGCCTTGTTCGCAACCCAATTATGGGCTTCTGAAGGGAGATACGGTAATCGAGGGTGCCGAGAAAATCGGATTGCGTGGCTCACAAGAGGCATTTCATGAGGCATCTGTGATTGTTTGATGCGCCAAATTGTCCACTTAGCGGCCGCCGCCCCGCCGTTGAATGACTGCTTTTCCGCGCCAGGACAAATTTCATCAACTCGCCGTCCGTCGCGCGACACGTCGTCTTTGTCGCGATTTGACGTCGTTGTCTGCCTGATTCATTCATAATTTTTCCTGTTTGGGCTCGAGGACAAAGAAGAGAAAAATTTGACTAGAGCTTCTTCGAAAAATTTCGTCCAAAAAAACAAGCCACAGTTCGCTCAAAAAAAGGAAACGAATGGACACTGAAATTAAACCCCCCAACATAATTTTGGCTTAGAAAAACTTGTGCGATTTCTTCGCTCGGTCTGCCTCTGCGCCCTTTATAAAGCCGAAAATTTTCGTTATATTAAAGGCGCATAGATAGAGGCAGGCTGCGCGTTCCGGAAGGATTCTGTAGCTCGGAAATATATAAAAATAGTGACAGCCTGGCACGAAATAATCTATAACTTCAAAAACTGCAAAAAAATATTCAGTTTACCTTTTGGTTGGGTACAAGAGAACTTATGGAAGCTTTCCTAATCACAATCATTTTTTTTTCATCTTAGCTGTGAATCATGTTCTTTTAAATTTGGCGCGTAACCACTTCAGATTGAAATAAGGAACAAATCTAAACTTAAAGTTCATTTATCAGATCATTGGAAGGAAAAAACAGAGGAACAAGACAACAACTGGAACAACATGTAATGAAATAAATAAGAACGAGAATTCAAAAATTGGAAAAATCGTTTGTTAGAATTATACGTATTCGACGGCAATGATGCGGCCCTCAACGCTTGTGCCAATGAGAGCAGCGCGAGCCCTTTCGGCGTCCTGAGAGAAGAAATAAGATTAACTAATAGAATTTCAATGATTATTTTGGGTTGAATTCCGACGAGAAACTCACTTGAATGGTAGCAAAACGAAGTCGGGCCACTCCAGGGCTCACAATATCAACCGTTTCGACTTCGGCAAACTGACGGACGCGGTCACGCACGATTTGCCACGTGTAATCGGGAGGCAGCTGGAAAATAGAACATTTTCCTAACTTTTTTTTAGCGTCACCTAAACCGCATCCGGATAAGCTATTTTACTTGGTTCATAAACTATACTTTTTGGCAACGCTAAGCTTTTCTTCGATTTTCAGACTGAATGATCTGTCAAAGCTTTAAAAAACATTGAAATTTGTTTAATCTGAAATTGACTCGAAATTATCCAGCTTTTTTTTCAAACATTATTAAACAAGCATGGCGACAGTTTAACACAAAAAATCATTGATTTGAGGACATTATAACCTCACGCGCGACGGATATCAAACTCTCCGCTTTCAATACAAAAAAAATGTTTTTTCTTCTTAAGTTCTTTGAGAAATGAAAACTTTGCAAAAATAACCCCCCAACTGATGAACTAAATACTTATCAAAAAAACTGAATAAAAGGTTTTTTGATTTTTTTTAAAGAGTTTTTCTTGACCAGAAAATAAATTTGATTTTGATTTCTTGTGGCTACGGGAAACTCCCAAAAAAGCCTACATTTCGAATAATAATGACGCGGCTAGACGCATAAGACTGTTGGTTCTGGGAGAAGGGCTCTTCTAAAAACGATGAGGATGAAGACTTCATGCTCGGGAGCTCACTCTTGCCATAGTCGTAGGAAGACTGGCCACCGAAAGACTGCGAGTTGTAGCTGCCGACCGATGGGGCGCCGTTGCCTATTCCTACATTCCTCGAGAAGCTGTCGTATCCGCCGACGCCCATCCCGCTCTGGTTCATGAAGGAGTTGGGAACGGCCGCCGACTGGGCGCCTCCAACAGCCATTCCCGCAGCCAGACTGCTGCCTATGCCACCTCCGATACCGCCGCCGTACTGGAAAAAAAACCAATTGGAAAAATGTAACGAAAATCTAGCTTTCTACTCGTATGATCTTTTTCAAAAAAGTATCGAATAAGCATTAAAAAAAATCACTAAAAGTCTTAATTACAATTCGTTTTCTAACAAGTCGCAAAGGAAAAACATTTATCTTATCGATTTTTTTGATTTTGAAATTCAAATACATAATTTGGATAAAATCTTGAAAAAGTTGAAAACTGAAAGAAAAAGATATTAAAATAAAATTCTACAAAACCCTTTGGAGGACTTCCCTACAACTAGTCAGTTTTTCCTACTTTTTCATTTCTAGCAAAAAGATTATCACTTAACGGACCAAGGACTGCGCCTCTCGAGTTGGAGTCGTAGATGCACCGAAAACGGCGGCGACATTGGCAAGGGGAGCTCCGTTGGCTCCGAGGCCCATTCCCATCGACTCGAGGCCTTTCGGGAGACCTCCTTCCTTGTTTTCACTATCGGCCTGGAACTGAAAGAAAAGAATTGCTAAAATCTACGGATTTTCAGAAAGAAAACCTTTTCGAATCTATCCATTTTTACGGCCATCGTCCGATCGTACAACTTCTGATTGTTGAACATCGAAACGGCTTGAACTGCCTCGATGGGATGAGAGAACTGGATGACGCAAACGCCCTGTAAACTAGATGCTAATCAAAAACTCAAAAAGAGTGATGCTTTGGTCGAAAACTGCTCGATGGCTACCTTGGTGCGACCCTCCTTGTCGATGCGGAAATCCATCCAGACGATCTTGCCAGCCATGCCAAAGATTTCATAGATCCGATCAGTGCCGACGTTGAATGACAGCTGGAGGAACGAGGAAAACGTGGAGACAGCTTCGGAACAACAAACGTACATTGGCGACAAAGACCCGATCGCATAAAGGCGGCTCGATGTGCAGCTGACGGAGGAAATCGACATTCAATCCGAACAATTCGTATGTGCCAGAGCTGGAGAAGACAATTTGTTTGGAAATCGGATGATCGGAATGCGTGGGGGATGATGTCGTAGATTGAAAATGAGTAACTTTTTTGAAATTCAAGCTAACTTCTCGATTGATTACAGCCAAGGTGAAATCTAGTTTCCTTTTTTCTACCTTTAAGGTACTCGATAACGGGGAAGCTCGACAAGAAGTCTCGAGGGGTTGATAATTGAAATTATCAAAAACGAACGAAAAGACAAAAAAGATCCGTGGAGATTCTAGCTTCTTGTTTATCGCTGTGGAGTGGAGAGACAAAGGTAAACGGCCATATTCTTCTTGGCGACTTCAAAACTATCGAAAGAGGAAATCGGAGAGGAGTTACCATTTTTCTGCTCGATTTCAAAAATAGGTTGAATTTTTTCGTTTCAGAAAGATCATGGGGAGACAATTGCTCTAAAAAGCATCATTTCACACTAAAAGATTTCAGACATATCTTAGTAACAAGCGAGAAATTACAAAATACGACCATTTTCGAAGGAACAGCCAAAGGTGGGACAATGTCAGGGCGAAGAAACTTTGATCACCCATCCTCCGTCAAAGAAAAAAAAAATGATTGAACAAAGCAGAAACTTCGCCGAGGCAACATGGGTCTTCATACTGCGAAAAAAAAAACTTACCGCGCAGGTCTCTCCGACTCGGACTGCGTCTGACCTCGACCAGAACCTCCAGTTTTTGCGAGAAAATCAATGCCTGTCTCTTCTTTAATCCCGCGGAAGAACGCAATCGGATCCTATATCAAAAAAGAAGGAAAAGCCGTTGGCCTCGACGAGAGAAGCTGCAAACCCGGATTTCCTTGGCAATAATGTTGCGACCTTTGAGCTCAAATCTGTTCAAATTCTCGATGCAATTGTGAGCTCCCTCGCGGGTCTCGAACTCGACTACGGCGTTGCCTTTCGGCTTGCCGTTTCTATCTTCGAGCAACTCGACGAAAACCACCTGAACATGGGGAAGGACGCGTGACGAAGTGCCGCCAACAACACAAAACCTCGCCTCCCTTCTCGCGGACCAGGTTTTTCAACTCCACCCAGCGGACTTCGTACGCGATATTTGTTATGTAAACCATTCTATCGTTGCGCGACGATGCATTCGGACGACCTTAAATCAGAAGCGTCGAATTCCAAATGCTGGAAAAAGGTAAAAGATGCAGGTGAGCCATAGCCATCGAAAATTACAACGAAAATTTTCAACCGAAAGATTTCAAAAATTTACGACGTCTGAAGATAATGTTCAAAAGAAGTCGTCAAAACTTTTTGTAGAAATGCAAAATACAGAATTCTTCGAATAAGACGATGAAACTCCTCAAACTTTGATTAACTTCTTCTTATTTCCTCCAAAAAAGAAAATCCAGCAGAAAAAAAAACCCTAGAAAGACGTTGAAAATTCCAAAAAGAAAATAATATTTAAGTCTAAACAAAGACTTCTGGACTTCTGGACTTCACCGAGCTTACACAACTTCTCCCCAAAAGCGTCAAACAAAAAAAAACTATACGACAATGTACTGAACTTCGATCAATTTCCGATAGTTCAAAACCACCTTCGATACTAAAGATAATATTTCTATTCACAAAAACTGCATAATATACGGAGAAAAACTACTACAGAACTAGTTGTGTTTTTTTTTGTTCTTTCATTAGAAGGTTTCACAATGAATCTATCTATCGAAGAGAAAAGTATCAAAAAATCCACAAAAAATTTACCTCTTCTTGGGCTTCTGGAACGGCTTCTACGACGCTCGCCTCTCCCTCCGCGGTTCATTGTGATAAAGTGACGTCTTTAAAAACTTTAATTCTTGATAAGAAAAGAATTGACTTTAGACGACAGAAAGTTAACGAGAAAGTTACACCACAGGAAAAGAACAAAAAAAAGCCAATTTCTATAAGAAAAAGATCTTGTTATGAAAATTAACAAAAAGATAATTTTTTCGATCAGAGATTCCGATAAAAGAACATGAGAAGCATAATCAAATGTGACAAAAAATACATTATTCAAACGAAGCTGTAATTTTCAAAAAACCAAACATATTGACATTGTGCGTGCGGTCAATGCTATGGAGTATCCTTACAGTAATAAAATGCAGACTGCGCGTAAGTAAATTTCCACAGAGTTAACAAAAGTTGCAATTTCAATTTCAGTCACAACTTCAGTCAATTTCAATCAATTTCAGCCAATTTCAATCAATTTCAGTCAACTAGTTGTGACTGAGAATTTCAAGGAAGATTTTCGAATGATGTCATCACACTTGAAATTCGAAATGGATACTAAACAAACTATATATGAATAGATTTCCTCAAAGAGCCCAGTAAAGCAAATATTATTTAATTGTTATCCGTTTTTTTTTATTGAGGCGTTATCCGTTCAAAACTATTTCGGGGAATAAGCAGAATTGGTATTAATCCGGGAAAGCGCAGAATAAATGAGTTTCACAACAATATAGCGCTAGATATGAATTTTTACTGTAACTTCTACGTGCAAACTCAATATTTAGAATTATTTGGGCGTTCTCTACGAATATTTCGAATTCGCGCGTAAAACTCTCTGTAAAAATGCATATTTTACGATATATCGTTGTTGGACTCTCTTTTTCTGCGCGACAGGTGAATTTTTTTGTTTGAAATCGCCAAAATTACTTTAAAAACGGCATAAGAGTCAGGATCCCAGTTGCACCAGCCGCGCAGCATTCTCCCGACTCCTTTTGAGACCACTTTGAAAACAATAAACATTTAATTTATTTTGATTTGGGTTTTTTTTGTGCTCCAGAGGAACGGAAACAGTTTCGGAACGCAAAAATTGCGTATGCAGAGGTTAATAAAGAGAGATTACGAAACTTTTTAGTAGTTTTTCATTTTTGAAAAGTTTGAAACTTGCAGGCGAAAAATTTGGTCACTATATTCAATATTCAAAGCATATATCTGAAAACTTGTAAACTGTGAAAACGTTCTTCTATTCCAAGTTAAATTTATGAAGGAAATAATCTTTATTAAACTTTGACATTGAGAAAAAAATAGAAGTAATAGAGAAAAAAACAATAAACGAACGTAATTACTCTGCAAACAATCATAAGGCCTCGAAATATATTTTTTGGGAGGATAGAATATAGAGTTCAGAAACAAAAAAATTATAATTAAAGAACTTAAAAACCGATAGAACTCTTCAGACTCGTTGAAAGGCTTCTTGATTTGTTGTTTCAAGGGAGCAAAAATAAAAATCCTTAGTTTAAAAACGCAGGAAAGATGAAAAAAATATGTTTCGTCAATATGTACTTTTTTTGCTATTTTTTTCTGGAAAGTTTCGAAATTTTTTTTCAAAATTCGTCTTTTTTCTCGTTTTTTTTTTTTCAATTAAAATTCAGAAGAAATGCACACGATAGTAATGTGTCAAGAAAACTTGGAGAAAATTTCGGACAAAAAAACCTTGTGATAATTGAGCTTCCGGTTCGAGGGTCTACTCATAATGAGCTGTTACAGCCAAAACGTACCATTGAGTTAGGAAAGAGCAAAATTAAGCACAAGGTAAATCATCGGTAATCAGAGATATCCTAACAAGAAAAAAAAATGAACATTTCGGCTAAAATTTTTGTAAACGATAAAAGGAAAAAGAAAAACTTATAACAGCACCAAGAAGTCATTGAAGATTAGAAAAATAAAAAAAAATGAGAGGAGAGAGGCTTAATTTAGAGAAAAAGAGAGAAGGAAAACAAAAAATAGAACAAATGGCGGGAAAATGAAAGTAATGGGGCAGTACGAAAAGCACCTAATGGTTTTTCTTTTTGTCGTAAGTGAGCAGATTGTAGAAGAGGCAGAGCAGTGAGATATTGGCGATCGCCAGCAAAAGCGGCACCTTCCATTTTATCAGCCACGCCTGTAATCAATTTTTTTTTTGAAATTAAGAAAATATACAAGATTAAAGGATTAAGTGCTTGAAGCGCTAAATTCTAAATAGTTTTGTAATTCAAGTAAGAAAACTTCATAGGCATTTTTTCAGACAGTCACCAAAGTTTCAACAAAAAAGTTCGGTTGGAAACAAAATGATCTGAAGTTTTTGTGAATTTTTTTTTCTAACGAGCTAGTAGAAGATTCAGTGAAATTTGCCTGCTGCAAAAGATTTTTTTTTCTACACTAAGAATAACTGACGAGATAAACGCGAGCTCGGTGGCGGTACATTGACTAACTCGCAAAAATGTCGCTTTTTTCTAGGCGCGATCTCGCATTTTTCTGGGCGCGAGCTTGCATTCTTCTCGGCGCGACCTCGCATTTATCTTGCATTTCGGAAATTTTCAAATTGCGAGAGAAATGCGAGCTCGCGCCTAGAAAAGTGCAAGCTGGCGCCCAGAAAAATGCGAGACCGGCGCGAGAAAAAAAGCGAGATGTTTGCGAGCTCGTCAATGTACCGCCAGTGTCTCGCGTTTATCTCGGCAGTTATTCTTAGTGTAGGCTAAAAATCGGTTCGAGTGATCACTGTAGAGCCCATTCTTTAAGGAAACCCACGAATCGAAAATTTTTCGGAAGTAAATAAATTTTTTTTTGGCATAAGGATGAAGAAGTGAAGTTTCTGTTACTCCTGATTAGTGCAAAAAAACTTATCTGGTTCTCGAGAAAAGCAACAAATCCGCACAGTTCGATTTTTGAAAATAAAACTGATCCAATAGCAATTGTCCAGTCACGACAGTTTTTCGACCTTGAAAGTTTACTCAAAAGTCTCTGGCTCAAAAATTCATAAAAGACAAAAAAGAGACGTCTTTTGAGAGAACCTTTAAGAATCGGAAACTTTTCGTGAGCTGGATAAAACTGAGAAATCGGCCAAGGAGCACAAAAGCTTTCAACTGCAGTGCACGACTGTAGCACGAAAAATGAAACATACCTCAGTTTTGGGATTTTTTGCCGCGTTTCTAAATTATTATCAGTTTGCGGACACTACGACATGTATGTTCTCGAGAACCAGAGGGGTCCGCAGCTTTTTTTTTTGGGAAATAATATAAAGATTGGGTGGAAAGGGAAGATACATACCCTGAAAGCGGGTTGCAGGAAGTATCGAAGAGGGTTGGCGCGAAGTAACGCCTGCTCCTCCTGTTCCCGTAGAACCTCTTGTCGTCGCTGAGATGCCAGTCGCGCCGCGTCTTCACGTCGCAACCGTACCTGCACTTTTGAAGTTTGTAACGAATGACGTTCTCCGATTAACTAGGCTCTTGTTCGCAAATCCACTCGAAAAAATTTGTGACTTATTAACCCAGGGAGGAATGTATAATTGATTTCGAGCCGTCTCCCAGGGAGGAATGTATAATTGATTTCGAGCCGTCTCAGAGAACTTTCGACTTGTTTTCGTATTAATCTATATTATTCATCAAAAATACCTTTTTTGGTTTCAAGTCTGAGATCTAAAAACCACCAAAGAAGGTTTTTGTGAAAAGGTCAGTAAGAACTTCAAAAAAGCTCGAAAACCCGAGACAGACTTGCAAAAAAAGTCAGAAAAGTTGCTTGAAGTGAATCGAAAGGAATTTCGAATAGAAAACGAAAAAAGGGAAAACATTTTTTTTGCTTGGACCTTCTGATGTTCTCAAAATTTGTGAGGATCGGGAAAAGGGAAAACTTTTCTCACCCCGCCAACTTCGAGCTCTGCCAAATTTGGCAAGCTGCCCATATTGTCGGTGCTGGACTCGTTGACCGGCTCCGCGGCTGCTTGTCTGTCTCTTGCCGACGCAAGAGTCGACCGCCGGTTCACGCTCTGTAAAAAAGACGTTTTTATGTCATCTTACAACTTTTATTCATATGAAACATTTCTAGGAAGGCTAAAAGTAATTTTCTGCGAAATTTCGTCTGTCCACCAAAGTTTTTTTCATATTGGGAAACTCACAATTCTTTATCTCAATTTCACACAGATATTGAACAGTGCATGATATCACTCATTTTGAACCGGAAAAAAAAACTTCTGACAACCAAGTTCTACTTTTTAATTAGCAACTATCTCAAAAATGACCAGGAAAAAATCCTGACGTACAAAATGAAAATTCAAAAGTCAGATTTTAAGTCCATAACTCAAAAATGAAGAGTTTTTGAGAAAAATTCTTTCAGTGTCATCATCTGGTTTCTGTAATTCGAAGTTTTTCGGAGACACTTCTCTAGAATTTCACACAACATAACTATCTTGTGAGAAGTTTATATTCCCGCTTGTGATGCTGTGAAGGCCTGTTCATTTCGAGAATCCCGGAAGAAGATTTCTTTTTTGGAATCCAAAACTATTCATGAATCAAACCCTCCAACACCCTCAAATCGAAACCAAGAAACCGATCGGAGCTCAGAAACGCGGAAGTCGGATCTTACCGCAGCTGTCGCTTCGTGAACGTCGCTCTGTCGCATTAACGACGGCCGGTTCCTCTTCAATCGTGGCTGATTGCCCGACGTCACGACGTACTGATCAAAGTGGTCGTCACTGAAAATTACTCAATTCCCATACAAAATAATGAAAAGAATGCAGACAAAAAGGGCGCAAAATTAATTTTCTTTGTTCTATGGAAGTACGAAATTGCTACAAAAATGCTTGCTAGCTTTCTCAAAAGGCAAGAATGACGATTCCAGCGACAACCGATTGAAATAACTTGTTTTTCTCAGCCCAAAAATACCTTAAAGAAAATCTCGAAGAGCTCTGCGCATTCATATGTTGAGCCTGTAAGGAAGAACTCGGCTGCTGATTGGCCATCAGAAGCTTCGGATTCTCGTACTCGGTCTCGTGAAGGTCAGAAACACCGAGCTTATCCTGAAATGTCACACGTTTTGTCTCTGCAAAAGGAAGAAGCCAACATCATTGTGATGGTTAGCCGTCGGAGTCGACGTTTCTGCGGCCAGTTCGACCACGTCCGAATGACTCGGCCCAGCAACTCCAACATAGTTCGAGTGAAGTTGGAAGCTGAAAAATGAGGATGGGATGAATCGAAAAAAAGTATTGACTAACTTTTATCATATTTTTTTGAAACATATTTTTCTGTAATCTCGCGTAGATTAAGATCATTGCGTCTTTACAGACCTCAGCAATAATTCTCAATATAAAAAAACCTTGAAAGTTCATGAATCTGACCCCTGACTTCAGAGACCGTAAGATCGACTTAGATATCAACTTTAAGACTTTGTCCTTTCGAATCGCAAAAATTGTCAAATTGAACAAACAGGGCATTATTAATTAAAAAAAGCTCAGTACCGAAGTTTCCAAGATTTGAGTGGAAAAAAAATCTCAAGAGTCATCACCAAAAAGAGAGAAGTGGAACTTCCCTGACTTCAAAGACCGTAAGATCAACTTTCGAAAAAAAAAAAGAAGCCCATGTTCGGATAACTCAATAGAGACTTATCACAAGCTAAGGTTCTTGAGGTCTCGACTCGAGAGAGGATCAAATTGAATTGTCTTTGTGGAGGAAAGAATTACTTGACGTGGTTGGGCTGGCTGACGCTGTTGCCGACGTGGTTGGGCTGTCGTGCCGTGTTGTGGTGAGAGGACGAGGATGGGTAGTCCTCGGCCATGTCCACCGACAGCGTCTGAAAAAGGTCAGGTTCCTACTGACAACTTGTGAAGGAGTCTGGAGTAAATTCATTCTGCAACTTTCGTTCGACGAAAAAAACATTCTGGGTCTCTTTCAAAAAAAAAAACCTTTTTTTCGTTTGATAGTTGATAGCTTTTAACAGAAACATCGCCAAATCACACTGAACGGACCTAATACAGAACCGTCGAAAAAAGCGGGAAATTTCTTGCTCACAACTTCTCCCAGAAAGACTGAACTCCATTCAACAAAGTTTTAATTAAAAAAAGCGTTTTTCGTATACTTTTTTTGTCGGAACTGTAAAAGATTTCAAAAAAAGAGGCTTGGAACGAAAGAAGATTTATTAAGAAATATAACTGGTCCTAAAGAAATCTTTGAAAAAAATAATGGTGTAAGAAAAATACAAACTTGAAAAAAAATCACCAAGTTTCTCTTGCTGCTCTCCATGAACCATCAAAACGTCGAAAAAATCGGTTTCCATCAAATTTGTTGAAATTTTGATTCATGTTTTATGGTCAAAATAAAATACCCACCAAGAAAAAGCTGAATTCCCGTTTCACTCAGGTTTCTAATTATCTTCGAATCAATAGGAAAAGTTTCATTTTTCCGTACATGGACTATGTTGACGGAGTATAATAAACGTAAAAATAGAATGAAAATGCTTCTCATAGTTGATTCTTTATATAACGAGATTTGAACTCTTTTTGTCATTTTTTCAGGACTAACTTGTTCGAAAGAAGGCTGCTTGCTGTGGGTCTGCGACAGATGTCTCGAGTAAGAAATCGCGTCGGACAAATCTGTTCCGAACGACTCGCCGCCGTTGTTGTCCTTCAGCAATCTTCTTGTTCCTGAACAAAAAAAAATAGATGGTCGAAAAATCCAGTTTTTTGAACTTTAAAAAAATTGAATTTTTTGGTAATATCAGCAGACTTTCAGGATTACCTTTGACACCTTTAAAGCTTTAGAAAGTGTTGAAAATTATTGGCAGATGTGAAAAAATATCTCCCAGTACTCGGACCTTGGTAACGCGAATCGGACGTGCTGGGAAATTTCGAGTGACCACTTTAGTAGCCTCAGAACTCTTAAGTGATCCCTAGAATCGCCCAGAAACGTCCGGAGCACGTCTGTTTCGCGTTACCGATGTCCAAGTAGGGTAAGAAATGATCGAAAAAGCTCAAATTTCAGTGTTAAATGGAACTTTAGGAAAAAAAGAGTTCAAACATTTACGAAATTTTTTAAAACTCGAGTAAAGCTTTTCTAGCAATGAAACTTCAGCCGGAAAATTTTCCACAACAATTCAAACCATTTATTGCAAAATACTTATCCAATCCTTTGGTTTAGCATGGTCAACGTTATTATTTTTTCAATGACCAAACATTTTTTTCTGAAAGTTCACTGGTTCCGACCTGGCTGCTTGAAGCTGGGATCGAACTGCTTGGCGTGGATCCTGGCGAGTTCGGAGTCTTCGCGAGCCTGCGACGCAACAAACGCTGCCTGTTCGCAGCGTTCGCGAGCGGTCGACGTGCGCGACGCGGCGATGTCGGCCTTCTGCTGGGCGATGCTGGCGGCTCGCGTCGCCGTTCCGACGGCCTGCTCGACCTTTTCGCGGAATTTGGAAGCTCGCATGAAGAGGACGCCTTTCCGCCGCGTCGACACAACCAGAATGTTGTTCTTGTATCGGCCTTCTTCTTTCCTGCAATACTTTCTTATTGCTCGGGAAAAATCTTTCAAAATTGATGTCAAGAAAAAAAAAAAAAAACTCAATAAAATAAAGTAATTGAGAAAAAAACTGACGTTCCATCGCGAAGAGTCGTGACTCCGAAGCCGCACTTCGCATTGTTTGCCCACTCGCCGTGATATCTTCAAGTAAAGTCGATTTGATATTAAATCAGAGGCTTGAAAAGTATTAATAAAAATCCAAACCTTTCATGGTTTAAGGAACAAGAATTTTAAAAAAGCAAACAAGTGGTCTGTTTGAAAATCCTGACCTTTTGAGAACAGAAAAAAAAAAATCAAATTCCAGAACAACTCTTCGAAATACATGGACAGACCTTTTAAAAAGCCACCAATCTTTCCTTCTAAATTTTCTCAATTTAAAGTTATCCTTAACTCTTTTAGGTTACCAATTTCTTTTATTTTTGCCAACACTACCTCGCCTTGCTCAAAACTCAGCCTTTTCTTCTTATTTTGGTAAACATCTGGGGGTCAACCCTTTCTCCAGACTAATTAACTTCTTCACTTGCCCATGTATTCGTTTAGAGCAGCTCCAAAAATCACCTCAATCCATCGCTTCTCTCACAAACTCCGAAACCACTGCGGGCGTCGTTTTTCCACTCGCCCATGTAGGTTTCCGTGACAGCATCGTCAACGACTTCTTCCTGGAAAAAATTGAGCTGGGGTTGTTAAAAATGTTGAAAAAAAAGCAGATAATTCACTGGATATGGAATGTTTGAGGTACCAGAAGGACTCCAGAAACTATTCTTCTTATTCTGTTTCTAACTTCGGAAGTGCGAAAGGTGGCGGTAATTCGATGTAACAGATGTAATTTTCTGATTCAGAACTCATCGAAAAACTGTGAACCTTAGGTTATAGTCAAGTGATGGTACCTCAAACTTCGAAGTCTACTATTAAAATGGAGAGAAAGGGGATTTTTTTGGGAAGGTTCATGACTTCATCAAAGACAAAAATTGCACTTGCACCAAGTTATTCATGGAATCAGCTACAAGAAAGAACCTCTGTACAAATATTCATCGAAGTCTGGTATCGATACTTCCCCTATTAGTCAATCCTGCTATACCGAAAATAAAAATAAAAAATACTTCGACAGTTTCAAAAGTCTTCTAAGCCCCATATACGTTTATGTCCAACTATCAAGAGAGGTTATTGTGAAATTAGACATTCTCTATAGCTTTGCCCAAAATTCCTTCAAAATCAAACTTCACTCTAGACTGTTTTTCTTGTTAGGCACATAAAAACTTGATTTGAAAAGATTTTTTAGAACAAAAATTCTCAAGAAAAGTCCCTTGAAGACGAATTTCTGCCCCCGGCCATATAGATATGCAGAAGCATTCTTCAGAATCCAAAGCGGTTGCATTTCGCCCCGCGAAATTCGACACCAAAACGGCCCGTGGGGCGGAAAGTCGTCGTGTGTGGAGGAGGATTTGCAAAGCGGTTCAAGCGGCCGCAAATTGCAAGCAATCTTCAGAAAGAAAAAGGGAAAAAACTTAGAAAAGTAAAGATTTTCTTCTTATCAACATAGTATGGCATTTGATAAAGAAAGAGGAAAACATAATGATTGAATAAAAAAGTGAGAGACAGGAACAAAAAGAACGGAACGAAAAAAGAACCTCAGCGGGGGCGAGTCCATGATGTCCGTGGATGGAATCTTCGCTGGTGCAGCTCATCGTGCTTCCGCTCGACCGCAGGCTTCCTACTAAGATTTTGGGTTAAATTCGTTCTTTTATATGCCCAAAGTTTTCTTTCAGAAAATCATAAGAAGCATAAACTTTTTCAACATTTCCCAAGGGTTCCTTTCGAGGAAAAACCATTCTAGTGACTACTTGGTGCCTCTCAAGTATTTCTTTAAAAAGGACAGAACTTTCTTAATTCGGAAAAAAAAATATTTTCTTTGTTATTTTGCAAATAATCTGCTTTTTACTTCTTTTTTTTTGCCTTTTTTAAATCGTGCCAAATTCGAGTTACCTAACAACTTTCGCGTTTTGAGCATTTTCACTCTCCTCTTCTTATTTTATTCCTTCGGAGTTCCTTTTTCTCAACTTTGATTCTGATCTCTCAAACTTCTTCGAATCAAAAAAAAATCGTCAAAAAGACATGCCAAAAAAATTTTTCAAAGGTTGGTTTATTTGCGTTTTTGAAATTTTCCGAAAGGCGACTTTTAAAAAACTATCCGTTGAGTGAAAAAAAAAACTGGAAAACTTCGATTAAAAAAAAGAAAACTGCAAAACCTGTCATGCTGGTAACACGCTGATGGATGTCGCCGGTCGAGTGTTGCTTCTTGATTCGCAGACCCGAAAGAAGCGTCCGTTTGACGGCAAGACTTCTTTCGGAGAGCGACCGACGGCGACGCTGCGGCGCGGCGCTGTTAGCGCGAAGGACGAATCCGCCGCGACCGTCTGTCCCTTCTTCTGTAACCGTATCCATTCATAGCAATCGACGGAAAGTTGGAAAATGATGAAACTAAACTTCAGACTCAAAAATGATTCGAAATCAATCGCTCAACATTTCTTTTTCGGTTTAGTCATATTTAAAATCGGCTAGGGAGTGAAAATCGACTTCAATTTTCTCACGATAGCTGACCTTTATTTGCAAGAGGATAACACCATAAAAATTCCTTATTCCCACCTGAATCAATACATGAGAATTTTCAAAAATGTTTGGTTTTTGATAAATTCAAATAAATTCAAAGTACGAAAAAGAAGTTGCCTTGAAATAAAAAAATAAATTGAAATAAACTATATAAACGGTAAAAAGGCGGTCTACAGTACCCTCAGAAAAGATAGATTGCTCACAACTTCTTCAAAAATAAGAAAACGCACTATGCTCATCGTTTTTCTCCTCGTCCTCGACGCGACCGCTTCGCAAGCTGGTCAGCGACGCGTGCGTGTGCGACTTCGACCGGAACTTGGCCGCGTTGCCGTACGTCGTGCTTTTCCGGATGCCGTACCCATGCCGCATCCCTCGCAGCCATTGTCCTTGGTAGTTTCCTTCAAAATCGAAATATTCCAAGGGTCTGACAGCATATTTGTCCTTTCATGGGAAGAGAAACATGGAAATAATTTAATTTCAGAAACTAGTGTGTGAAAAAATAACCTTAAAAGTTTCCTAGAAAAAAAAGCGCAAATTTTCGGCCTACAGTGCAAAAACACATTAGTTGGAAAAAAAAAATTGGATGCTCCAAACTCGCGCCAATACTTTTTCCTCAAACTTGTGAATTTCCTCACCTCCGTCGACGTAGATCTCTGTGCCATATCCGTCGTGGAATCCGGCCGACCAGGTGCCTTGGTATCGAGCCTGCGAGTTGTTCGACTGCCTCACGCCGTAACGGCCCTTGTAGCCTTGTGTCCATTCTCCCCTAAACATCCAAAAATTACGAAAAAAAAATCAGTAGGAAAAATCAAAAGATTTCCAAAAAACCACAGGTTCTTCATGAAATTCAATAATAAAATTGCAACGCGCATAAGATATTTAAAAAACGAGACAAACTTGAAAAAACAGCTGTTTGAAACTTTTCTCAACATTCACTTTTTTTTCAGTGTTTCACTTTCAGAAAACGTACAAAAAACCAACACCAAACAGAATATTTAAAATAAAAAATCACTATGGTTCACAAAAAAACCGATAAAAAAATTTTTACAATATTTAAAAAAATGAAAAAGCTGAATTTTTTTAAAAACCCTTTCTTCTATTATATAGCCATCATAACCGCATAATCAAAAAAGTATCCCGTTTAAACCACAAAAAAAGTTCAGATTTCTCAAAAATTCCCTCAAGTTTTCCATTTTTGATGAAGTACTGAAAGAAGTTCTTAATAAACTTTTAAAAAACAACTTTAAAAAAATCGAAAAATGAACCGGGAAAGTTTATCTAGCAGAAGTGTGTTTATTACAACAGAACCGAGAGAAAATCAGAAAAAATGAAGACAAACCTATAAATCCAACGGCCGCGCTGTTCGACGCCGAGTCCGTGCCGTTTTCCGTTCTGCCATTGGCCCTGGTAAGTGTTGCCCGACGGCCACGTGTACACACCAGAGACCTGCAAAATCAGAATTTCAATCGAGAAACATTATTGATTTCGTGTAAAGTATTATTTCGAAGTGGCTGTTCTCATTTCGAGGCTGCCACCTAGATCAAGGTCTCAGGCTCCAGGCTCGAGTTTTAACATCAACTACATTCCGAGCTCCTCTTGGAAAAGCAACTAGGTCAAGTACGGGCAGAAGAACAAGAAGGAGGGTCGTCAGATCATGCTTTCAGTTTGATCAACAACAGGTTGGACTTCTAGTTTCTCCTGGTCGCTTTTTCGTTATAGCTTCGTAAGTTCTAGTCGCCTAGTCAATTAATCCTTAGGCTTGCTAAAACACAAAATGATGGTTTTATTTACTTGAATAAAGGTTTTCGATCATCTTTGCGGTGATCTGTTTGTAATTTTCGGATTATTCCAAAAAACTTCAATGTAAAACATCACCCCTGTGATAATCGAAATTTATCAGAGGGCTCGAAGAGAAAAATGAAAAGGCAAGTTTAAAAAGTCGATTAGGGTTTTTTTTTTCCAAAAATCAAACTTGAAAAAGTCATATTATGAAGAAATGTACTCTAAAAAAACTTGATACTTTCAAAAAACCCTCTCCAACATTGAAAAATTGAAAAAAAAACCCCGAACCGACCGACATTTTCATCATGCCACCACCTAGTGAAAGAATGAATGTTAATTTTGCTCCAAGACAGTTTCTTGGAGCGACAGGACATTTTGGACTTGAAAAATCCAATGATATTGAACGTGCCTCGAAGCCGTAATGCCAGGCGCCGGCGTACTCGCCCTTGCCCTGGGGTCCGGTGCAGACGCCGTGGCCGTGCGCTTTGCCTTCTTCCCAGCCGCCGACGTAGGTGCCGCCGTCGTCGAAGTCAAACCGTCCGCCGTTCATCTCCCATCGGCGTCGCGTCGTCGCCTTGTTGTCAGCCGCACGCGACACGCGATTCGCCTGTCACTCCGTCGTCAGCCACCTCTGCAGTTCTTCTTCGTTTCGTCGCGAGTCTGAGCCGTGGCTTACGATGAGAAGAGGAAATCGATGGAGATCAAGGGAAGTAAACGACGAATTGAACGCAAGGGAAAAAAAATTCAACGAAAAAGAAGAAGAGGTTATATATTTTATGAAAGTCTCTTCAGGGCAACTTCATCGCAAGAAATTACCCAAGAAAACCTAATTTTGTAGATCAATGGATTCGAAAATTTGTGGAAAATTTTCTTTGCTTTATGAATAACGTTAGTGTTATAATTTTAAAGGAGCATAGAGCAATTCAATGAAGGTCTCGCAGCGAAAAGTCTTTTTATTCTAAATTTAAGACCTAGCCCTACTACATTGATTACCTTTCTAATTTAAAGTTCAAAGAAAAATAGTTTTTAAAAGGCGTTTTTTTTCTTTCAAAGTTCTCAAAAGGCAAATGCATCGAGAAAAATTTTTATTTTTTTAAGCCTCAATTTTTTTCGGAGATTTTTTTATATACCTCGAGAAAAACTTGTGAACTCAATAAAGAAGAAGATTCAAAGTTTAAAAAAACCTCAAAAAAAGCTAAATTGCAAAAAAATCGCTCAGAGGAAACATAAATAAAAAACTGGAAAAAAAGATATTTAAGAAAAATTAATGCCTGAATTTAAAAAAAAACAAACATCGAAAAAAAGTAAGCTTATCAAAACGTGTGGGAGTGAATCGCCAAAGCAACCACTCTAGGGCTTCCGGAAGCCTCATTTGCCGGGCGTTTCCTTCGGGACTCTTGCCAAAATCGGATAAAGCTTCGCTCTGCACTTGTCACACGTGTATGTATGTAAATAGATGAATGCCGCGAGAGCGAGATTTATGGGGTCCAATAATAGTCGGTCGTTTCGTAATGGGGTGAAAAGAAGAGAAGAGTCACCAAGGATCGTCTGAGAAGCGAAAAAAAAAAAATGAGAGAGAAGATCAGAATATTTTCAGAAAATTGTCCAAGTTTAATCGTTCAATATTCAAGGTTATTGATAAGAAGCCTGGGAAAGATAAAAAAAAAAGTCAGGCTTCTCGGTAACGAATTCGGAAAACTTTCTATTTTTCGATTCTATAGTTCAAAGGCAAACTACCAAACTTTGAAAAATCAAAAATCTTCAAAAAAACAACTAAAAAAATATTTTTTTTCACGAAGTGAGAAATAAATAATAGAAAAAAATAATTTTTTTGAGAGCTGATCCAATAGTTCATAAAGCTGTTTGAAGTCGAATGCCTAAAATTTGGATAAAAAAAGCCCGGTCTTTCCATAAGACTGTCCAAAACAAAAAACCCAAATGATGAAAATCAAAAGAAAAAAAAGCAAGTTATATGGATAAAAGCAAGACCGGAAATTAAAAATCTAAAGTCAGGAAAACAAAAAAGACAAATGACATCACTGCGGCTGGAAGACTGATTATAAACTACCAAAAGAAGAACTTCATCTAAAAAAAAAAAAATGATAAACTCCTAAATTGATTTTTTTTCATCGACCAGCAGTTCTTCCTCACTTGAATATCTGGAAAATGATGCAAAATCAACAACTATTCGAAATTTCTTCGACCAATAAAAACTGAGAAACCACAAAAAAAATTTCAAAAAAACTCAAATTAGCCAAAAACTGATATCAAGAAAAAATACTAGATGACTACAGGAAAAATAATAATCTGAGGGTTGCTTTTGTATCCCAGACTCAAAACCAACAAGAATCAATCCAATAAAAGATTTGCTCTTCATTTTTCTTAGCATAGATACAGAAGCTTCAGAAGCTTTCTATGCCATTCAAACTGAAAAATCGAATTCAGAGAAAATTTTGCCTGTTCTCAAAAACTGGACTAAAAGCTTCGAAAATCGTCACAAGCCAGAAAAAAAGCTCCATCCAAAATGTCTCAAAACCAAGAAAAATTGAAAATTCAGCTCTTAACTGAACATCTGACCTCCCAGATCAAAACCAGGAGTGAGAAATGGGCTATTTTCTCAAAAGGCAAAATCAACATGAATCTAGAGAAAAATCCGTCTGTTTTCAAAATCTGAAGCTTCCAAAAAACGAAAAAATTCCAAAGATCAATTCAATAGAAAAAAAAGTGGTTGACTAGTCCAATTAAAAAAAAGGGATCAAACTGGGCCCTCATGAATCCAAGTCAATATTTCAAAGTTAACTGGACCTTCTAGAATCACATATATATCATTATTATTAAATATAAAAGCTGATCAGAAGCGGGAAAAATCCGTCAGTTATTGAAAAACCCACTAAAAGCTTCTAAATAAACTTGGGTCAGCCAGAAGCCAAAAAAATAAATCTCCTGAAGACCAGAAAGAAAGAACTGCAAAACATTTCCAAAAAAGTCGAACCCCGGAACTACGAGCCTATCAGAGGCTCGTTATCGGACCTATCCAAAATGCTTGAAGACCGAAACGGATCAATCGAATCAAAGGTGAGTCAAGAGGCTTCAGCTCTCCGATCGGGGGAAAAGGTGAGAGGAACGGCGAAGATGAAAGTGTGTGTGTTTGAGTTTCTCCCTGTGTGTGTAGGTGTGAGCGTGAGTCTCCCCGTGAGCGGATCGAGATCAATAGTTGCTAGCTGAGCGACGAGAGCTCCGAATGAGCTATCCCTTTCCGTCAGTGGACAAAAAAAAAGAGCTTCTCCTCCTCCTCCGACGGCTAGCCTGAGTGGAAACAAAGTGAGTGCAAAATTGCGCTCACACTCTCCTCCTCCTCCAAGAAGAAGAAGAAGAAGAAGTAGAAGACGACCGAGTGTAAACGTGTGAGCGGAAGGAAGACTCGGCGGCGCGGCTACAACGCGAAGAAAAAAGAAAAAAGAAAAGAAAAGCGCCGGAAAACGCGGCTCGCCGAGCCCTCGACGAAATGTGTCGGCGAGATCCTCCCCCCTTTCCCCCCGTTCACTGATTTCAGATCCGCAGGGGTCGACTTGTCAACTTTTTCCAAGCTCTCATTGGTTGATTGATCAAGTTTCTCATGATAACAGTCTGTGCAAAAAATGTTATGACCAAAATAAACTTTCTTTAATGGCTTTATAGAAGGTTGACGAGCTCCTCTCCATAGTCCAGCAAATAATTTTTAACAGGATATAAATTTTGGTTTGAGGGGCTTTTTGGAAAAGCTAAAAAATGTGCCGCGATTTGAAAAATTATGTGTTTTCTTTTTGTATTTTTTTCTATGACAACCCGTTTCTCGGATCAGTACAAATTTACTTCGAAATATGTTATGGGCCTACTGAAAATAATAATCGATTGGTCAATCGATTTCAGTAGGAATATAGTCCACACGGACTTGATTTGAAACGTCGTGGATGACAAAAATTCAAGATTGGGAAAAAAAGTATTCTTTATTTTTATATCTTTCTTTCAACACCTTCCTACTCATTTTCTCTTTTTTTTTGGTGATTCTCATTTCAAATCTTTCAAAATTTCAAGAGGACTGTGAGCTAAAATTTTGACAAGGCAAAACAAAAATTCAAAAAAAGCCTTTATAAATGATCGATCGTTTCTCTCCCCAAAAAAAAGCAGGAAAATAGTCTTTTCGAAAGGACCTTCAAAAAGATAAGTTTGATTATAAAAAACCAGACGGTGGCCTAATTTTTTAAATCGTGATTCTTTTTTTTGATTTGATTTTTCTTTTCTTTTGCACCTCACTACAGTAGTCTAGCAAAAATGGCATTTCAAGTTAAACTTAATCAGCTGAAAAAGCAGAACAATAAAATAAAATGAAAAAATCTATTTCTCAAAAAAGAAAGAATTATTTTCTATCTTTTTTAATTGTAAAAGATCAGTTCGAGTTATATTTTCTCTGATATAACGCGAGACCCAATTCACAACGACTTGAGACAGTCTGACGTGTCTCCGTCTCTTTTCTCTAGCCACAGAGGGTTAGGAACATGAGAAAAGCACGTAAGAAGAATATTTTCACAGAAAAAGAAAGATTGCAAGAACAAGTAACATCGAAATCGTCAAAAAAGTAATGAAGAAAGCAAAAAAGCAGTCCGTCAGAGTTTGCAGGAGGAATATTCAAATAGAAATTGGCGCGGCGGGTACTTCTCAACGAGTGTCGCCAGACACTGTGAAGTGTGCAAGCAACTTTCCGTCGAGCCCCCCTTTCCAGCCATTATTATATCTTTGTTTTTATTTTTCCAAGAAAAACTGGAAGACAAAGTCTTTCCCGGTAAAAATTGACGAAGAAAGCTTAAAAAAATGGAAGAGGAGGGTTTGTAGCGTCGGCCACGGACAGCCAACCGTAACAATGAATACATTTTCATATTAAGAATAGGGGAAAAAAACGCAAAAATTACTAACTGATTTGAGCAAAATTTTCTAATATAACTTTCGTTTAAAATTCAGAATTCAATTCAGGAAATTCAGAAAAATCGAAGAAACAACAGTTTGAGGGAAAATCAAATTTTTTCTATAGCCGATATTGTTTTTTTGAGCCTTCAATTTGATTTTCTATTAATGACTGATGACGCCTTTTTGGAGAAAAACTTCAAAAATCAAAAAAAAATTTGAAACACGAAAGATCTTTTAGAAAAAAATTTCTGAAGAAACAAAAAAAAAACTGAGTATGACCTAAATTTTCTCCATTGAAAAAAAAATCAAACAGCTGCAAAGCCAACTATTCCAAATAAACCAAGAATCCAAATGTTTAGAATAATCGAAAGGAGAAAAATTGGGAGATCAAGACGATGAAAAATATGGCTGATTTCGACAGCAACAGATGCGCCCCAAGGAGAAAAAAAAGTGGTGCGGAAAGCCAAAATATTTATTCAACGGATGGACGAGGATAAATGAAAAGAAGAGTTTGTAAACGGAATTCGCAGGAAAGATTTGAGATTTTTGAGATTTTAGGGTGAGTTTTGAAGGAACAGAAAAACTAAGAATTGATGGAATAAGCTCCATAGATAATCCGCAAAAAGTCCACTTATGTCTGATTCGATTGGAATTTCCCAATAATTTTGAAATTTCAAAGATTCAAAAAAATACCTTAAAAAAATAAATTGGACGAAGAAGTTTGAAAGCTTCAAAAAAATAAAAAAATAAAAAGATGAGCATTCAAAAAGATGGAAAAGTTTTTCCTCTAAAAAAAGATGATGTTTTTTTGATTATAATATGGTTTCTTTCATACTTTTTCCAATTGCAGAACTATTTCTTCCGCAATTTTATCCAAGATACCTACAAAAAGGACAAAAATCTCGCCTATGAAACTTTTTTTAGTTTTTGTTCTAAACCATTGAAAACAAATGGAAAAAAAAATAACCCTGTTTAAAAAAAAACTTGCACAAAACCTTATTCGAAAAGAGAAAAAAATATGATTTTAAAAAAAGGGAACTACAGATTTAGCAAAGATTTTTTTGTATCTAAGACTGTTTGCACCTCAAGAAATTGTTTCAAGTTGTTTTTCTAAATATCGAAAAACTTTATTCTAAGACTTCCTATTATGGCTCTTTAGCAGATTTACTACAAAGTCCTGAAGTCATTTTTTTTTTGTAAATGGAGAATCTGGAGACAAAAAATTGAACAAAGGAAATCAAGGTTGGTAAATTAAAGGAAGTTGTATTTTTCATCCGTGGAGCTCACATAAATTAAATATTCAAGGCTCATTTCATAAATTTTTTTTCCCAACAATAACCAAAGAAACAATTGAATAAAAACCTTTTGTTTTGAAAGACATGAAAAGTTTTCTTTTTGATAAAAACGATGCAGCAAGCTTATAGTTGCTACAAAAAAGTAAAAAAGAACTGAAAAAAAGATCAAATGGAAGAAAAAAAAAACCAGAAGAATTGAGGAATGAAGGTCAAAATCGAGGCTTCGGCGTAGGTCCAACTAGAAGTCAAGAGAAGAGAAGAAAAATTAAAAAAAGAAAGGTAATATTGGAATTTGAACCGTGTGGTGCACATATATTCTTATTCATGGCGGTGAGAAATGAGCGGTAGTGTTGGAGTTTCTTCCATTACAAAAAAAAAAATTAAAAAAATAAATATATCTAAAAGGTATTTTCCAATTACAAGTATGATCTGTCACCAAGGTTCATGCGGAGAATTTTAAATTCTAGCTTAGGAATCATATTAAAATCGAAAAAACCCAACGCTAATTTCTAATAATGACCGGGTAGACCTTCAAAAATGGAAAAACATCGAGAGGAGGATCAGAAGGAAAAAAAAATGGGAGAAATGGTAAGGTTAGGTATAAGCTTTTTTTTGAGGATGTTTTGAGCCTAATACTTTCAACATGTTTTTCCGAAGGTCATTCAGATGTTTCATCTTCCATTGACATGATGAAGCTGAACTTCTAGGCTTACCTGAGACCTCCGAAAATTGTATCGAAAATTGAAAGGAGAAAAGGAGGATCAGAAGTAAAAATTTGGAAAAATGGTAAGGTTGAGGATAGGATATGGGGTCGGAGGAGCAGGAGAGGAGTCGGATGCTGAGGCGGGAGTCAAAGTCGAGGGTGGCGGACGATTGTAATCCTGGGCTACTTGGCCCTGCCGCCGCTGGCAGGTCGAGAGGAAACGGATCGGCCGCCGAGTGAAAAACGTCACACGGACTCCTCCCGACGAAACCTCGGCGCAACAAACGGCGCAAAGAAAGAAAAGAAGGCAAGAAGAAAAAAAACTTCTCGAAAGCCCGCCGTGTTTAGACATTCATAGAGAGCCGCTGCCTGCTTTTCTCCAACAATAAAAAACACTTGTTTGGACAAAGGTGTGACAAGACTCTTTTGAAAGTATGTTTTCTCAAAAAGTATAACGGTTCTGGAAGAAACGACAGGTTGACATACTTCCTTCACTACTCTTTCTTGAAGAAAAGACGTCTAAAACCTCTCGTTTCCAAAAACTATTTCGCTTTAAAAAATGTATTCATCTTTTAATTAAAAATAATACATTTTTTTAAAATTCCCTCCGATAAGTCTGTATCGACGTACCCTTTCTAGCGGCGGATCGATTTTTGACCGAAAAAAACTTTGAAAGAAATTATCTTTGGAAAGTTCAGACTACGCTCTTTCGCACCTTTTTTTGGCCTTCCATGTCAACTATTTTTAAAAAGCCTGATCCTTGATTAAAATGACAAAGTCTAACTTTGCGAAACACGGCTCCTTTTCAAGAATGGGGAAATTAGGCCTTCATTCTTTACCATTTATTTTTTTCCTCTTTCATTTTCGTAAAATTTCGGTTGAATTAGCGAATTGACGGAAATTAGCGACTCTTTTTGATTCTTCATTCTTGTTAATCACAAAACGTTTCAATTAAAAAAATCTCCTTATCTGTTTAATATTTGTTTTTTTCAGTCTTCCGCATAGACTTGAAATCAATAAGGAATACTGCTGTAGAAAATGCTTGACAACAAAATCCCTTTCAAAATGGAAATTTTTTTTATCAATATTATAAAAAAATAAAGGAGAATGAATAGTAATAAAGAGACTAAGAAAAATTAGGAAAAATTTTTTTCTTTGATGGGTAGTTTTAGTTTTTTTCTTCAATTTTTCCTTCCCAGCTTACCAAATCCACCAAAAAATGAATCATAGACAATTATTTGAACAATGATTCAAAATTTTCGAGCAACTTTTGAGCTTTTTTGTTATGAAATTCAGTAAACGAACAATTTTGAAATCTTTTCGCAAGTATTATGAAGCCTAGGACTAATCTTTTCGGTCAATATGGTCAAGCTTCTGATTTTCGAAAATCATTGATTATATTTTCAATGGTATAAAACACTTATCTTTTTGTCTAAAAAGACACATTTATGTTTTTGAAAAATTGGAAAAAATCATTCTCCTTTATTCAGAACTTGGATTGAAGCGCAAAAGTTCAAGAAGAAACTGTTGGATTTTCCAAATGCTTTCGATGAATAGTCCGCAAGGTTTTCCTCTCTTAACAATTAGCATTCGAAGGAGAAAACAAGAAATATTTCCGAGATTTTCCCTATAATCATTTTCCTCTGCCTTGAAAAATTGCAAATTTAGGCTCAAGGATCTCGAAAAATTTCATTTCATCGTGGAAGAAAAAAGACGTCGCTTCTCCTCAAGGATATTGCTCTTGGCGAGGAATTGAAACGAAAGCGTCTGCATGACACGTGCGCGGGCGGGCGGCGGGCGGCGGGCGTCGGGCGGCTGCACTCGAAATTAACGGAATTAAAAATGAACGAGGCCGTGTGGATCAACGGCGCAAGCGAGAGAAAAGCTTAGATAGTAGGAATTCAAGGAAAATTTGTTCCGTTCCGATTTTTTTATCGGAGAGACGTGCAGAAATCGAATCGAATTTTGATCCTTAAGGAGTTGACTTGGGAGAAAAAAGTCGGTGTCTCTGATGTCTTCTGATGTGTGGTTCCTACTATGATTTTTTGTTCAGCAGTTTTTTTGAAAATTAGAAACAAATTCGAGAAAATTCAATAATTGAATACTTCTTTTTCAGAAAGAATCTTTAGACATACAAGAGAGGTTTTTGAGAAGTTTTCAAAAAAAGGCTTTTTTTATATTCCATAGACAGTCTATTAGGTTTGCAATTTTGAATCAAACGAAAAAATACAAGTAACACCTTCTTTGCCTCGAGACCTTTTTGAAACAAAAAAAGGGGGGGGAATGATCATGCTCCTTCAGGCCTTTTTACCAAGGAAAAAATCTCCATGTTTTTTCTCAGAATACGGGTAGAACTTTACTGAAAATCAATGGGAAACGGATAGAAAATCACTGAGACGCGAAAAAAAAAATGGAGCAGAAAAACGGGGAGAGTTGTCTTGTCAACAACGGGATACAAACCAACTGCTACTTCATCGCTTTTGCGATTACTTAGAGCTGAAAAGCAATTTTAGTTTCCATTGATCCACAAATGGAAATTTTTCGAGTTTGAGAACATTAAAGTTGATCGAAAAGTTGCTTTTCTGCTTGCAAAGGACTCTATAAAAAAAAAAAACTATAAGATAATTTTTCAGATCCCAATTCAAAAAAATCTCTTCCTCTTGGAAAAAAGCCACGAAATTTCCCAACAGATCTTAAATATTTGCTTTTTGCTGATTTACTCTGAAATTACTTCCATGAGTCGTCGATAATAAGCCTATAGGCTATAGCCTAAAGAACCTCATGATTCAATATTTTTAAAACAAAAGGAAAAAAGGCATTTCTGATCACAGATATGGAAAAAGTTGAAAATCTCACAATTCTCAGTTTCAACCAAAAACTTATCAAAATTCTCAATTATCAGCGCTTTAAGATGATTTATTCAAAACTAGTCCTGCAGCGAACTGCATCTATACAGCTTAAAGTGGCAAATTCTTTTCAAAAAACAATTCAATTTCAATCTTCTCAATTTTTTTTTCTGATTGAGAGTTCGTGAAGGCTTACTTTTAATGAGCAAGTGACAAGTGGGGTACTTTGTCAAAATCTGGCTTTCAAAGTCAAAAACTTTTGAAACTCTGAAAATTTTGGATGAAAAAGAGCAAAAAAGCAATTGGTCAAAACGACTGAGAGGAGAGATGCGGGAGAAATTCAAAAAATCGTGGAGAGAAAGAGAGAAAGATCCGGATCAAGGGATGTCTGTGGGATGAGCCGCCGTCGAGATCGATCGATCGATAAATTTCAAGAGGCTCCTCCAGGGCGAAAGGCAGGAAAAAAGCGTTTGGTGCGGTAGAGCCGAAGCGGAGAGCTTCTCTTTGCCGAGAGCTTTCCTCCTTTTCTTTCCACACTGGAAAACACGAGATCGATAGGGTCCGCCGAAGCCTCCGTCGCCGCCAGACGGGGGTGTTGAGAGTCGAGGCCGCTTTTTTCATGCACCGCGGAAAAAAAACAGAAGACAAAAAGAGGAGAAGAAAAACACGTCGCAGACTGATTTCCCAGCTGAGCAATGGCATCGGCGATTCTTCGAAGCTGTCCGGTGGTCTTCTAGGAAATCTTCAGCTGTCGTCGTCCTTGATTTGTTTTGAGACGGATTATTTTGAAGCGTCCATTTTTTGGCAACGTCTTCTGAAAAGACTCAAGTTTGAGTCTCCGTCGTTCTCTTCGGCACGGCTTTTTGAGCCGGCGTTCTCCTCCTTAGTTAAAAACATTTTTTAGAATCCTTTGTTTGATCAAAAACGTCTTCTTGAAAGCCTTTTTTGAATTTGTCATATTCAGGACAAATTATTCAAAGAACCTTCTACCTATGTTCCATTGTAACGTCTTCTGGGACGATGGAGTAGTCGTTGAACTCAATTTTGTTCATCTTCTTGGTTAAATTGCAGTTACGACGTTAATCAGGAAAACTTGAGCTGTCGGCGTCCTTGATTTTTTTGTACTTTTCAATAATTGTGTTCCTTCGTTTCAATAATGACTTTCAGAAAGTCTCAAACTTTTTTGCGTTTTTACAGCAAACCCCTGAATGCTTAAAACCTTGATCTTAATATATCATTCGTTTGAAACTCGAAAATTGCGTCTTGATCGAATTTCGGGACTCTGTTCAGGCTAGTTACGACAGTAGCGACGTTTTCAAAGGTTCGAAAACTCGAGTTTTGGTAGCTTCTTTTGGAGTTCGATAGGACTATCCAGAATGCACCTTTTTTGTCCATCTTTAAGTGAAAAACAGCTTCTTGAAAACTTCCCTTTCAAGCACTTTTTGATCAATTTTTATTTCAATTCAAATGAAACCTAATTGTCCAATTCGAAAAAAAGATCAGGTCTCAAAAAGCCTAATTTCACGCTCTGTTTATTATTTCCAGGGATATAAAAAACTGAATGAAGTTGTTCAGACCTCATATTTCTAAATTTCTTCGTTTTTTTGGCAAAAATAAAACCTTCATCCAATTCTACAACTAATCGTAGATTCCTAACCTCTAAATAATGAGCTTTATGATTTTCGAGCGGCGCCGTTCATTCTTGACATCAAATAGTCTTACAATGAAAGAACAATTAAAAAGAAAAAAAAAAAACACCGATTTTTCGATTCTTGGGACGTTCTTGAAGTCCTTCCTGGAACATCTGAGAAAAATATCCTGCATTTTTTTAAAAAGTTTCTTCGGAAAAAATTTGAACATTTCCTTTTCGAAAAAGAATGACTTATTCAAAAAAATCGAAAAAAATTAAGAACAGAAAAATTTCGAAAAAAATCAAGAAAAAAATTTCAGGAAATACAGCTAACTACAGACTTTTGAATAATTACACGATCGGGAAAAGTAAAGTTATCGTAGCATCGAAAAAAGCTTCTAAAAGTCAATGACGTATTCTTAATCTTCAAAAATGAAAATTTTCTCTGTTCAAGAATTTTTGTCAAGTCTGAATTTTCAAACTTCGCGATAAATCCCACAAAGGGCTGCAAGAAACTTTCGAAAATCCTGGGATCTGAAAAAAAAACTCAACAAATTTATTTTCGACGTCTATCAACAGAGAGAAACAGATGCAGGGGAGCAATTATAAAACGTTCAGATTGGGCCAATAATAAGCCCAAGATCGCCTCGGGGCTTATAATTTCGACGGAGAGGCAAAAAAAAAAAGTGAGAGAGGGGAGCGGATGGGAAATAATAACACGCGTCACTTGATGTTAATGAATGAAATACATATATTCTCTCGTATAGCAAAATTATAGGATGGAGCCAAAACTGCACGAAATGCAATGAATCAATCTTTCGCGTTGCTTATTACAGGAGACGTTTCAAAAAAGGAAAATTATTGAGAATCTCTCTCACAGGTATAATTAAAACTGAACAAGAAAGCAATCAAAAAACCGATCCAATAAAAAACGAAAAATGGGAAAAAAAGAATTGGTCGGTGATGCATGCGAATATTTCAAGGATATCTAGAAAACGAAATAAATGATAGTTTACAAAAAAGTAAAGTTTTCTTCTCGACACGACCTCAAGACCACGCAAGCAACATCGAAATGGGAATAAATATGTACAAGACACAGTTGGAAGGGAGGGAGATCACTGAGAGTTTTCGACGGCGGGCGTCGGCGCGGCGGCCGGCGTCCGGGCGCTCAAAGCTCTGCACAACGACTCCAGTTTCTCCAACTTCTTGTCTTGCACCGACGAGTTCTCCACCAACTCCTTGTTCGCCATCGTGAGGACCAACACGTTTCTCAAATGTCTCTTTTTTTGATTTTTCCATGAAAATATTTTCTTTCTGTTGGCAATTCATCTCTTTTCAAACTCCTTCCCAAAAAATCTTGAAAAACAGTCAGTACTGTAGTCGGTTCACGGCTAAATTGCGACGCAGAGAGGCGTGGCTTGTCTAAGCTCTCCACCAAAAAGGCGTTACTTCTTTTTTTTGAACATGTCAGGACCCATTTTTCGATGGCTCAAGTGAGTCGTGAATCAGCTACAGCTCTCTCTGGCTACATTTTCAAATTCTTTTCCGCGCGCAAAAGGCTGGGGTGGAATCCAGCCGCTGTATAGGGCCAAATTCATTATAAAATTATGAAAATAGATAGATTCAAGCGGTATTTTCCAGTTGCAAAATACGATATTCCACAAAAGTCCATGCGGAAGGTTCTTTTCAAATCCTAGGTTGCGAGTGAAATAAAAAAATCGATGAGCACAGTTCTCATTTCAAACAAGCAAATCTAACATTATTTTTTTTCTTCCTTTTTTTGACTCAAGGCTCTTAAAAAAACTCTTTTTTTATAAGAGACTAAAAGGTAAAGTCAAGGAAAAGTTTCAAACTTGAAATAAGAAAAATTGAGTCAAAATTCAGAAATAAAAGATGAAACATCAAACCTGCTGGCTTCTTCATACTTTTGTCTCCATTTGTTCACGTCCGATTCAACTTTTCTACAATTGGAGTTTACCTGAAAACGCATCTTTCTGGTAATTTCGAAAAATAAAAGAACAACATCAACGCGAAAAAGGCTTACTCGGTCAATCTCCTTCTTAAATTTGTCAAAAACGCTGTTGCTCTTGCTCAAACTTTCTGTCAACTCGGCATACTTGTCCGCATATTGTTTCACCTAAAAAGCGTTAAAAATTTATCGCTAAAAAGATTTCTGAATTTAAAAAAAATGAATGATTTGGAGTTTTAAAAATGATCTGGGAACTTGTAAAACAATAGCTTTCTTGTACATAACTTTCGAATATTTCTTTAAAATTCTCACTTTCAAAAAGAGAAATTCTTTCTTGGTTCTTTCTTAGTTGTTTTATTATAAGAAAGAAGATTTCTAAAGTTTTCTAGAATCTCTACTTTAACTTCTCATTATTTGTAAGAAAAAAAGTAGGAAACGACTTTCAAAAAAAGGCAAATTTTTTTAGACGTTTCAAAGTTCTAGATTTTTTTGCGATAGAAAAGGTTCAAAACTAATTTCAAATTTTCTAACCAATTTCTTTTGCAGCTTCATCAAACAATAAATATATTTCTTGCCCTTATAAAGTGATAAGTTTAACTCGAAAACTGCAAGTTCCTTTATTTCAAAGAGTTTTTTTTTACTCATGAGCTGAAAATAATTTTCTTTTGAACTCTTTCTGAACTGGAAGTGAAACATCAAGCTGAGGTTGAAACTGAACCTGTTCCCTGAGCATTCTCTCCGTTTCGATGGCTCCTCCAAAACGGGCAGTTTCTTCCAAGACAGTTTTCGCCAGTTCGTCCTTCTCCAGTCCCAATTTCTGTTCAAACACTAAGATAATCAAGCTTCTCGAGTGAATTCGACACCTGAACATTGATGCTGGAAGCCTCGAGTCTCGTCTTGACGAGCTTGATCTCGATGTCACGCGTCTTCAAAAGCTCCTCCCAGTACTTTTCTTTCTTCTCGTACTGAAATTCTATTTTATAGATTGTTTTCCAATTAAAATTGACTAAACTGAGCTGAGATATAATTAAAGACTTATAGCCAGTTAAACATGGATTTTAATGAGATTTTCTGAGATTGATCGGAGAAAAAGCTGGATAAAAGCAATCGAAAAAAGACGGGTTGAACTTTTTTTTTGAAGTTATGTCTCAACGCGGCCATAGAAAAATCAGAATTCGATCTTGTAACCTGGGTCTCGATGGTGGTGACGCGGCCCTCGTACTCGCGACCGAGCTCCTGCAGCTTCTCGGCGAGCTTGCGGTTGTCCTCGGCAAGCGCGTCGGACCGTTCTTTCCCGGCGTTCATGCTCGTCTCGATGTCCTTCAGCGTCGTCCGCAGATGTTCCACGGCTTCTTGTCGTTCCGTCTCCAGTTTCTTCATCTTGTTCATGCTTTCGTCACGGATCTAAAAGATGGAAAATTTACAACAGAATTCTTCATTTACAACTGAACTTGGGGCCGAAGGCAGCCAACATGGATAAGTCTTTTACATACAGGAATTTCTGTCAGACACAACTTTGACAAGACGAAAACTCTAAAAACCAAATAATCATTTTTTTGTATACACAGATCCATGGCGGACGCAAAAAGACCCAAAAAAACTATTTTTCTGGTTTTTAGTTGCAAAAACTTCCGGCAATGACCGTTTTTTTTTTCGATGATCACGAAAAAAAGTTTGGAAATATAATGAAAAAAGTGTTCAAATTATCTTCTTGAATACTCAAAACAGGAAATTATCGCTCTTCATTTTTCTTCTGTCTTCAATAAATTCACAGCAGCTTGACCTTACTATTTCTTTCCCGATTTTTCTTCTGAAACCGTTTTAATTTTTCAGTAGATTGAATTAAGTTCGGGGTCAGATGAAACTGAAGAAAAGGGAAAGTGCCAATCAGGCCTAATTATTTTTTTTGTTTCTCAAATTACCTGCTGATTCAAGCGCTGAAGCCCTCGACAGAGCTCCTCCAGCTTACTTTTCGATTCCTCAGTTCTCAACAAAACCTAAATTTTAAAAGAATTGAAAAGTTATCAAAAGTTCTCGAAAACCAACCTGGTTCGCCTTCTCCAACTTCTTCTCAAGCATATCATTGACCTTGGTCAGCTTTTCAAACTAAAATTGACATTTTTGAACGAGTAAATCTGTAAAAAACGGACATTCGTCGTCCTCTCCTTGAGTTTCGCATTGTTTCCATCCAGCTCGATAAGCTTCTTTGTCAAGTTCTTTATTTTATCATCTGTGCTGAGGCCCTCCAGCGATTTATTGATAATCGCTTCATCTGAAAACTCTGAAGATTGAATTTAAAATAAAGATTGTACAAAAAACAGTGTGCTAAAATATTCCGTATCTTAATGAATCTTCTAAAATTCTTCGGGTAAACCGAACTGTTATTTTTGCGCATTATAACGAATTTAAAAGAATAGCTTGAAGTCTCCAAAACTTTATATTTACGGAAACAACTAATTCACATCGAACATCCTTGAAAATTGTTGATTAGACGTCTTTAAGAAACAAATAAATGTATTTTCTAAAAACGAGTTCCAATAATGCGATAATTTTTGAATTGGCGCCAGAAAACAAAATATTGCAATCGCGACCGCTCAAAAGATGAATTACACGATTTTTTAACTTTATGCCGCGCTCGAAGTAATTTTAGCGAAGTCTAAAACTATCTCTGAATCTCCAAAATTCAGTTATCCTTATAACTCTTTGACGGCAAATTTTGAGTTCGCGGGCTCACTTTGAACATGAATGATTTCTCATCTCGAAAACCGCAAAAATATTTATTATAATAGTGAATTTCGGACTAACGAGTCACGTTCAATAACACAATATACAGAGCTTTTTTGCGCATTTCGTTTGAAGATCTTAACTTTTTTGCGCTCTGATCGAAAGAATTATTGTGTTTTGACCAGAGAAAAAAACGTTGAAAAACTTAGTTATAGGAACTCACCAAGAACCTTTCCCATTTCGGTTGATTGCTGGAGAGAACGGAAAAGCCGGTTATTTTTCAGCCGGAGGAGGGTGGAAGAAATAGCCGCCGGTCGTCTCGCCGATCAGCAGACGATGGGAAGGTGGATCTCGCGACACGAAAAATCGGGGGCCGCTGAAGCAAAAGCTCGCCGTTTCTCTGCTCTCTCCGCGGACAGGAGCTCCCTCCTTCCCCTACTACAAAGTGTAACTTCGGCCCCGTTCCGTCGCGGATTTATTGCGTGGCTCGCTTTACTTCAAACTTTATCAATTCCCAGGGACTGCGAAATATTTTTGAGAAAATATACTTTTCCTGGTGGTAGTTTTTGAAAATTTCCATACTGCAAAAAACCTTTCTGAAGCCTCAAAATCTTGTAAAAAGCATTCTCTTTTCTCCCTACTTCGAGTACAAAGAAACCATAATATTATTTATAAAATTTCTTTTTTTCGCATTCAAGATTTTTTTCAAAAAGAACCTAAAAAGAAAGACATGAGAAAAATTCTAAGAAAAACCTTAAAAAGTTCTTGAAATTGATTTCTAGCTTTTTTTACTTTGCCAGTGTAATAACGTTTCGCTCGGCTTTTTAAAAAATCCGTTTTTCAAAGCTATTATTCGCTAGTCGCATGAAGACCTTTGAACGAAGTCAATACTTTGGAAAAGAATAACTTCAAAATCTATCTACTACAGAGATAAACTCTCAGTATTCCTGATAACAAAAAAAGAGTTACTTGTTTTCAGCTTTTCTCAGCGTTCCCAACCTTATTTCCATAACTGATTTTTGAATCTCCTAGCAACAGATAAATAAATTCTCCGCAGTTTTTTTTCGAGCCGCAAAAAAACCAGATAAATAGAGTCAATAAAACTCTTATCCAAACAATAAAACTGGAAACTGATGAAAAAGATCCGTTTATAGGAATAACCGTAAATATGAGAACTGATCGAATCAGTGTACCAGCATTTCAAGAAACATATAAATTAAAAATTAAGAATATAAAAAAAGATTTCGGATCCATTGGTAGGGCAATTCACAGCAATGGATTCAATTCGAAAAAAAAAAATCAAATGCAAAAAAATGGTAATCAACAGAGTCACCAAAAAGGATTTTTCAAAAATAGTTTCAAAAAAATGTTTTTTTATAGGCATTATTTACAGTAGAGAGTATCAGACAGGGATCAAAAAGGAGCAAGAAAACCAGGGAACAACCTACCATTGAAGAGGTTTCATTTCTGGAACTTTGCAAGGCTCAATCTTCAAATAACTTTTTCCTTGCTTAAAAATCAAACTTCCACAAACTCACTCTAATTCCTCATCAAAGGATTCTTGAAGCTGCCGAAGATTTCGACGTTTTCGCAGTTTCCGATCCGATTTTGGCGTTTCACCAGCAGAAAATTCGGCTACGAAGTCGTTTTCGCTGAAAGAAAAAGTTAATAAGCTTTTTTTTTTATGGACAGAAACTTTTTTGACAAAATTTTATTTAAAAAAATGTTCAATGAAATTTTTAATTTCCCTAAAAATCTTTCTTAAGGGATTAGTTTTTGTGCGGAAAGTGTTGTGGAGAGAAAAACTTCGGCAGAAGAGAAAGGAACAATCACAGCCCTAGGCAAAGGTCAGGGAAACCTTTCAAAGCAGCAGAAACATTTTCAAAACAAACAAACGAGAGATAACGTTCGGAAAACTGAAAGAATCTCATACATTTTTTTTATTTGATCAATTTTTTTCATAATTTGGGAAAACCAACACATCGGAGTCATCTTCCGTCGAATCTCCTAACTTTCTTTTCTTTCGCCTCGTCGATTTCGGAGTGTCCGATTTTTTCTTCTTTCCGGTCAGAGGCGTGTCGACGTCCTTTCGCTTGGTGATCGGCGTAGATCTGATTTGAAAAATATTAGAACTAAGTGAAAAAAAAATTTTTTTCCAGCCTTGAAGAGCCCATATGCAATGCATATGAGCATGGTAATCACAGAAAGCGTGAAGAATTTTTCATAAAAATTTTCTATCCCTTCTTTCACACAAAGATTCCAGCCTTCCAATTTCAAAAAGTTTATGCTCTCATGTCCTTTTTTCAAAAGCCTCATTTATTTATTGAAACAAAAAGTTGATTGGAAGCGATTTCAGAGAAAATGCCTATTTTCTGGATGGACAGTTGTAAAAAAACACAGAAAAAGGCGTAGAGAGAGGAAAGTAATAGTGACACCCGGGACTTTTAAAACATACTGATCAGTGTCCTCGTCTGACGAAGACTCGACCTTTCTTTTCTTCCTCATCTTCGACTTCGATGTATCAGAGATATTTTTTATCTTCGGCGGAGGCGCCACGAATGTTGGAGTTTCGACGGAGGTTCTTGTACGCCTCCTTCTTGATGAAGAAGTCGTTCTAAAACCGAGATTCGTGAATTTAATTCAAAAAAAAGTTTTTAGCAGTTTTTGATGTTCTCACATCCTGTCCCATTTTTTCCTTAAAATAAAAACTTCCCCGGGTTACTATCAAGCATTTTCATTTCTTGATTTAAAAATTCGAAAGAAAAAAAAAACTACTGGACGCACTCATCACTGTCATCATCGTCGGACTCATCTTCAATCTTCTTTTTCTTTTTCCCATTCGATTTCGGTGCATCAGAAATATTTTCCTTTTTCGAAGAAGGTGCCGAAATTGGAGTCTTGACAAAGGTCCTTGGAAGCCTTCTTCTTGGAGGAGGTGTTGTTCTAAAACCGAAATTTATGTACTATAGAATAAAATATGAAAAAAAAAATACGGCGGTTTTTTTAAATCTGAAGCGAATTACATATGTACATTTACACAGGGTACGCAGATAAAGTTCCAAATACTTTCTTTTTGCAAGTTACACTTTCATATAGAAACTTCTGATATTTAGATAACAACAATTTGTATAAAAGATTCGCTTTTACGTCCTTAAAAAAATTATTCAAAAATTTCTGAATTTTCTCCTAAACGAAATTTAATTTTTTTCAGTTTGTGAGCGCCAAAAATGTTGAACGAACACTTCACTGTCGTCGCTGGACGACTCTTCAATCTTCTTTTTCTTTCTCCCATTTGATTTCGGAGTATCAGAAATATTGCTCTTTTTCGACGAATGCGCCGGAGTGTCATCGAAAGTTTTTGAAATCTTTCGCTTCATAGAAGACGTTTCTCTAAAATCAAAACTCATACGCAGAGGCGTGAATAAGTTTCAAAAAAATATCATACTTCATACATTTATATAACAACTTCAGCCTTCACGATTAAATAACTCCGTGTAAGAAAACAATTCAAGTTTTCGTGCTTCAAAGTCATTAACTTCTGCATTTTTCTCCGTAAAACCTATTTTCGACAATTCAACAGCAAAATCTATTAGTTGGAAGAGAAAATAGAAAAAAAAAAGCTTAAAAGCTTATGAAAGCTGATTGTTCCAGAACAAAAAAATCGCCTCTCATTCATTTCAAAAAAAAAAACCACTAAAAATGATAGAACTTTGTCAATCGACCAATTTTTTTCTTGAGATAAAATTTTTTTTCGTTTCGTTCAACTCAGGTTGCACCTTTTGTTTTTCTTTTATAGAACTTGATAGATAATTTCACATTTTTCAAGTTCCTAAGTATGCGATGCGCGACAATTTTCTCTAAAATCCGAGTTAGAAGGTTCATTTTTGATCGCCCGTTCATTACCGATAAAGGTTTTTTTTTCGATTATTTCTAAAATATAAAATTCAAAATAAGAAAATCTATTAAACCCACACATCACTGTCCTCGTCTGAAGAAGATTCGATCTTCTTTTTCTTTTTCCTCGTCGATTTCGGCGTATCAGAAATATTTTTCTTTTTTGAAGGAGGCTCCGAAATCGGAGTGTCGACGAGGATTTCCGGAAACTTTTGTTTCGTCGAAGGGGTTGTTCTGGAACTTCAAAAGAATGCATAAATCTTTGGAAAAAAATCCTACTTCGCAATGTTTTTTAGTCTCTTTTCACGTTCGATAATCAACTCTTCGCGTTTCGATTTTGTCCCCTTTTCTTTCCCCTTTGCATCTATCTCTCCCTTGTCACCAAAATAACCAAAACCAGTTCCCAAACTCTCTTTCTGAAAATAATTTATGCTTACTGAAATTTATCGCTTAAAAAATACCCTGAACTCAACATTGTGTTCAAAGAATCCTTCTTCGTAAGGATCCGCACAATCACGCGAACGCTGAATCCTTATTGTTTATAGAGTTTTCGAAAACCAAACCATTAAGGGACGAACAATAACGTCCAATCGTGGCTTATTAACGTCTTGCAAAAGTAATCTCAAAAACCACAAATTGAATCTAGAAACAAATATTCAAAGTCGAACCTCGCTTCATCTTCGAAAGTTCCTTTGTTCTCTTTGCTCTTCTCGTTTTCTTCCTGTGAAAGATTATACCGTCAGATGAACAAAACGACAAAAGAAGAATTACCACGCATTTTGCGCTTCTGATTATTTCCGAGAATCTTTCGGCGTCTTCGTCATCACTGAATACCAGAGCCATCTGCAAATACAACTGAACATAAAGTGATAATTGACAGCTAAACTGACATTGAATCAAATATTCTACTATTCCAAAAATTCAAAAAAATTAGAAAAAAAGATCTTGGTTCGTTTCGTTCGATCATTTTTCCATGCTTGCCTATATATATTTTTTTACCTCTCCTGTGCATCTATTGCTGCATTGTGAAACGAAAGAGACGAAATAAATGAAGAATAATTGGATGATTAAACAATTTGACTGATTTCTAATGCCGTGTTCAAAGTAATTTCCGCGAAATGCAAAATACCCGTTAGAGAAAGGAAAAGATCACTAAATTTTGGAGAGTCAGAGATCATTTTGCATTTCGCGGAAATTACTTTGAACACGGCATAAATGCAAAAAAAAAGTTTCGCGGCGAAAAACAAGGACGAGGCTCCACTTCACGCTGCAACCGAAACCGCGAGAAAAAAAAAATTTGAAATCATGAACTTCTATTTTTTATTTTACATTTTCTAGTCTTATTCATCATATATATTTCAGCAAATTTAACGTGAATCCTCTCTCAGAATCAAACAATGCAAATTCAGCTCGTCCCAGACAAGTGAGTAACTTTTGAAAAATTTTTCGAAACCAGAAGTTCAGAAACGGCGTGAAAGAGTGGATGGCGCTAGAGGTCCATGGTAAAATAACCCATGATGGAGTAGACTTTAACAACAAGTTATTAGGTGAAACAAACTTTATTAATAGTTTAAGTAAGGTTTAATTTACAGGAACCCTTTGCTGGACAGACAAGAACACCGTCTATTTAATGATCGGCAACCAGCTTCTTGAAGGAAAGGTACGCGATTAAATATATCACAAGTTTCGAGTGAAGAAAACCGGTACGCGACTACGGGGAAAAAAAATTAACAATTTCAATCCTAAAAAAAATTGAATGAAGATCGTGACTTGGGAGAAAAAAGAAAATGGACTGATTATGGCTCGAGAAAAAGTCATGAGAAAGGGTTTGAAATAACTTTAAACCTAATATTATCAATGCTCATTCAATTATTGATTTTGATAAAGCTTTCTTAGTTGAAGTGGAAAAAAGCTTTAAAATAGATGGCTGTTTCGGTGATTTTCTTTTAAAAAAACTCATTCATTTATTTATTTTTTGTTTCTCTATTTCATTTAAAAGTACTTTTGGCATTTTTTTAAACAAAGAGCTTACGTCGAATCTGATGATACTGGAAACCCTTCAGTTCTGAGGTCTCATCAGGTTCTTTCAAAAAATATTATTTCTTTTGAATAGATTAAACTAAATTTTAAATTTTAAAAACCCGTCGGGACACAAGTTCGAGGCGAAACTGAAAACTCCTTTCTCGATATTTTCAAAAAAATTTCCGAATTTGTCGCACACACACTTCAGACAATAAACCGGGTTATTGTGAGATTCAAAAAGGTCAACTAAAAACAAAAAATGAAGAAGGACAAGGAAAAAGAAGTACTTTTTTAGTTGTGCAAGTTCGATCGGCCAGTTCTAGTGATGGAGAAGGACCAGGGAAACGGGACAAAGCAATTGAAAGTACGGGCCGTGGTTCGCAACAGGATTCTGTTCAAGACGAGGCCTTCGCCGCTGCTTCTCAAGTAGAAGATCAGTGGAAAGCGTAGGCGAATCCCATATGTCGACTTTTCCAATCTTTGAAATAGTCGTTGGTCTGGTCGCGGAAGTACACAAATGTTCCGTCGATCACCATATATATCTGTAAATGAAGTTTTCTTGGCTGTCGCGATCAAATTTGTGAGAAAAGTGAAAAAAGGCGAAGATAAAAGTATAGAAAAAACAATGTTCCTTAAAATTGTCGGGATCCTTTTATTACAAGCTTTTATGATACTTCAAGTTTCTAAAAAGCTGATAATGATTTTATTACAACAAAAAAAAAATGAGAATTTCTTCCAAAGATTTTCGAATTTGAATCCCAATCAATCTTATGAATAAATTTCGTGTTATTTCGTTGGATTTGGCCTTCAGAATTGCATTCTTTTTTTAGAAGGCATATCTAGGAGAAGGTTGAATTGTTCCTTGAATGATCTATTTTTTTACTTTTAAAAATTGTTTCATATTTAGAAAATCACTCCAAAAATGTAAGGCTTGGTTTTTTTTTTCGAATACCTAAAGCTCACCATGGCGATGTTATAAGTCAAGGTGACGCCAAAGTAGAAGTTGGCGTTTCCACTGGAGCTCACCATCCACATGTGCCACATGACCGGCATCAACGTTACACACGTCACTATTGTGGCCACAATCAAAAGCGTGTAGCGCCAATCTGAACCCCTTTTTCCCAAATTGAATCAAAGTTATATAAATTTCACATTCACAAAATCAGGTACGTGAGGGAAAGCAAAAATTAAAAATTGAAGTTCCCTTGATACTAAAACATTTATTAATTTTTTTTTTTTCAAACTCACACTCTCCATAACGTTTCAAAAAGATCGGCCACAAAGAGAAAACGACCGTCGCCGTGTTGAGAGTCGGAGAAGGGAAGAAAACACTGGAAAGGAGCAAGAACAGCCAGAAAAGCAAGTGTGGATCTCCTCTAAAAGTTTCGATTTTGCTATATTTTCGACTAGTCAAAGGAACCTGATTGACATGGTGAGAGGTACGGGTACAAACCAGTAGAAAGTCATGAAAGTCAGAACGTAGAATTCGCGGAAATGATCAAAGACCTGCACGAAAAAATACCAATAGAGGCCGACGTTCGGAGTAATGTCCTTGAATGTGAGCCTGGAAAGAATTTTTTTTTCTCAATTTATGCATTTTTTTTTTCAATTTTCTAGTAGCATAGTTCATTCTCCTCAGAATGAGTCTCCGTGAAATGACCCGAAACGTCGCGGGAGTGATATAATCAAAGGCCACTTTGAGCTTCTCGCCTATTAGTTTTCTGTGCCTTTCGCCGCAACTCATTTCGACTTGGGCGCACTATTGTGAGCCGTTCAAAGTTAATACGTTTTATGGGCTCTAATTCAAATTTATTCAGTCAAATAAAATTTTCAATTTATTTCAACTACTCAGGGATCTTCATTCATAAATTTTTAGATACACTCGACTCACATGTAAAAGTAAGACGAGTCCAAAAATTCCAGACTTCCTTGGGACCAAAAATGGACGGAAGAGATGGCGGTAACGACGGCCAGCCCAACTCCCAAATAAATTCCGAGCTGCCGTTTCGGAAGGTCCAAGACGAAAAGAATATTGAAGAGAATCGCCGGGTAAACCGTCCAACTCGTCCAAATTCCCAACACAACAACGTAGCCCATGAGACATCCTAAAATAGAAATATTACTTGAATTTTTGTTGGCATTTAGCAATACCACTGAAAAATAGGTATGCAGAAAGAGCAGCGAGGAAGTTGTAGAGGGTGGATAGAGAGCAAATGGCGCAAGAGGCTATCGTGATAGGGTTAAACAGATAACTGTAAAATGCGATTCAGAAGTTTTAAGTACACTACGCGCATTTCGAACTATTTTGAGGCATTTAGTGATCCCTAAAGTGGCTTTTGCAGCTCTTTGATGTTTTTTAGCCGCAAGGATCGTCCTGCAAGCGCCACCAGCTTAGGAAGACTACAGTCGATTCACGGGTACCTTGGGACACTTGTTTGCGCTTCCCATAAAGAAAAACAGTATCTCATTCTTACCGTGTCAGGACCCATTTTTTTCGATTTCTCAGGCTAACACTGAATCGGCTATATCAATCGGTATTTATTTTTGCAAAAATTCCTTTCTTTTTTTTTATTGTTCTAAATTTTGGGAAACATCCCTAAAGTCTTCCAACTTTCAAATAATTAAATTTTTCACTAACGTTCTGAAAAGCCATCGCCCGCATCCGGCAGCTTCTCCTTCCTTTTTCGATTTAACGGCGTCCGCAGTCCACTTGAGGAGCCAAGCTACGGAGACGTCCAACAAACAAGAGAAAGCGAGAACGGAATGTTTGCCAAAATAAGAAACAGAAGAGTAGATCCACATCATCATAGGTGCCTGAGAAATATTCCAATAATCCGAAAATTCGAAAGTGTGACAAAAATTAGACTTTTTTTCTTGTCAGTTAGCCCCGTTTTTCCTTCAAATTGAAAGAATTAATATTTTGATTATTCTGAAACGTCACTATATCAATTTGAAACCTATCAAAACGGCAAGAACTGGCTCAAGGAAAGTTAGACCTCAATATTCCTTTTTCTAACAGTCATTGGGCCGGTCAAAAATTCCTAGCGAAGACGACTAATTCATGACCAAAATGAAACTGAGATTGGATCTTCGATTGTATGCTGTTCATGAAACTAAACAGTAGGCCTTTTGGAACTTCGAACAAGCTACTGCTTTAATAACCTGATGCCGTGTTCAAAGTAATATCCGCGAATTGCATAATTATCTGACTTTCCAAAATTTAGTTAAATTTTTAACTCTCTGTCAGCCATTTTCCGTTTCGCGGAATCACTTTGAACACAACATAAACTTTTCTATACTAATCTAATTATTTATTTACATTGTGGAAGTGCGGAAACGTATAGAGAGGAAGTCCATCTTTTTTCATCTCGAGATCGTCCAAAAGCTGTTCATAGCTGAAAACCGGCGTCACGAGTTCCACACGCTCTCTCGCCCAGTCATAAAGATAGGAACTGAAGAGAAACCGCAGTAGAATCGCGAAGACGGCAAATCTAAACGAAAAACCTCTCGATTATGTGTAATCAATTGAGTCCTCACCTAACATCGTTCAAAGATTCCCTTAGATGTGGGTCTTTCTCGCTTTCCGGATCTTTGTTCGCTTTTGCCGCCTTCCTCTTCATAGGAAACCTAGAGCAACTCTGGAAAATGCTTCAAAGTCTAAGCGAAAAGTATCCAACTCGTTTAGAACGTCGTGGAAAGTGGAGAAAAACAAAAAGTTGCAGAGATTTTTATTGAAAGCAGTGAGAAATTGACAAAATTTACAGTTAACGTGATGGAGAATCGATGGTCCAAACGAGAGGGAATTATTCGATTCGAGCCCGTTTCGCCTCGTTCTCCTCCTTGAGACGGCCGAAGAACGACTTGACGTCGGACTCGTGGACGACGGCGCCGTCCATCGAGCTCAGCCAGTCGGTCATCTTCCGCTTCAGGTCATTTACACCTAGAAAAGGCCAAAATTGAAATTGATACGCTTCTCATCGCTAGCTTGTGACACAATTTGTGAAAAATCTTTCGAAAAAAAAAAACTATTTTTGGCCACTTATTCAGTGAGTTTAAAGTTCAGACTGTTCAAATAAATTCCCTTGATTATTGAAGGACTGAACTTCAAAAAAAAAAATGCTGGAGACAAAAGCCGTTTCCATCGCTATTTTAAGGTCATAAAAGACTTCTAGCCCTTAAATTCCCTGGAAGAAACTTTTTGATGGGTTTGGTCAAAAAAAAAAAGTAGAAAATAAGCGTTAAATCAAAATAATGAGATTGAAGCGACCACAGAAAAAAAAATTCGCTGAATCGGAAACTCGAGTGAAAATACAGTTTAACCAATCTAAATCGCTTATCAATGACAAAAGTAAAGCTCAAAGAGCCCAAGTCATAAAATTAAAGATCATGAAACCTTGAAAGTTCTTACTATCCATTGAAATCAATCCACAAACGCCATTTATTTAGCAATTTACTGAGTTTTTTTGAACGAACCTTCCAAGTAGCGGATAGCCTTGTCCATGCCGACCTCACGAACGAGTAGACGAACGTCGTCGCCTTCCCTCGAATTCTCTTCAATTTCGTTTGCCTTTTTCACGTTCTCCTGCTCATAGCTGGCCAAATCGTCTTCGGGATCCAACAAAAATTCACATTCGAATCTCTCATAAAGAGTCTGGGAAATAATTATACAGATCAGGAAAGTTTCATATAATCTTACAGTACAAGCAGCGCATTTGCAGAGGGATTGCAGAAAAGCTTCGACGATCAAGGCCCGTCTAACGTCTCCTTCAGAGGTTTTCACGCTTTCTTCTCTATTCGAAAAACAGACAGTTCCAGTTGTATCGCGCAATTTCTCGAAGAACGGGTACTTTTCCAAGCAGCCAGTGCAGACCTGAATAAATTTCCTTCGAAGGCGCATGGTTATTGAAACAGGAATGAGATGAGAAAGCCATCTTATAAAGGTTTTTTATTGCGAATTCAACGGTAATTGGTTCAGGCCTGTCTCTGTCCTGCGTCTTTTATTCAGACTTGAGAGTTTGGTTATTTTAAAGGCGCATGTATAGAGACAGGCCGCGCTTCGAAGAAAAGGGCTATTTAGGTCGGACGAATGAAATCGTGACAAGCGGCTCATAATTTGCTATGCACAAAAACTATGCTTCAGAGAAGACCACGATAAGGCACACAAAATCTATAATAAAATGGCGAGAAAAATGTGAAACTTTAGCCACAAGTTTTAGAGTCAATATAAAGCTAGAAAACGCCTTCAAATCAACTTTTTTGCACTAACCAATGAACAACAGTCGATGTCCTTATCCTTGGGCGCTTCACAATTGATATGCTAAAAATTTATGTGTTTTTTTGGAAATATGTGAATGAAGGAATACCGAAGGATGGAACCAATCTTCGCAAGTGACGCATTGGAGCATTTCCTCGTCAATCCCATCACATGGGTACGTGTTATTGCAGGTGCAGAAAAGGCCAATGTAGTTGTGGTCGTACTTGTTGTATTCATTGTTCTTGTCTTTCTCCTGGAAAATTATCCTAGTAAAAAACTGGAAAAAGTTTCTACCTCATAGAGTTTGCATTCGGAGTCGAATTTTTCATTTCCACAGTCACATCTACAAACAAACAAGCTTTAAAACCATTTCTTGGCAAAAACAAACCTAAACTTTCGCTTCGTGTACAAATCGACAATTTCATGTCCTTCGTGGCAGTTCAAAGAACATCCATAGCAAATTCCAGCTTTTTTGGGTTCTGGCGTGCAAGTAAGACAAGCGAAAACCGCCTGTCTCGGTTTGTAGCCCTGAAAATATTAAAAAAAAAATGAATAAGAAAGACTCAAGGAAAACCTCAGGGAACGTGCATATTGCCTGATTTTGCGCCCCGAAAAGCCCTTTCGCGACTTCGTCGACCTCTTTTATTCCTTGGAGGACTTCGCTAATAGTGACAACTGGATCATCTTCTTCTGCCTCTGAAAAAAATTTCTCATTAAATTTTTTTAAATATTTTCAAACAAACCTGATGAATTCTCTTTTTTTCCTGCGGAGATGCAATCTTTTCGGGTTCAACCGCTGCATTTTTCTTTTTCTTGCCGCCTTCTGAGATTTAAAAAAATTTGAGGAATATTCCTTCAAATTCTTATACCGGAGAAGTTTCGTCATTTTCTATTGTTGCCGGTGCCTCTTCCTTGTCAATAGTTTTTCCTTCATCTTGTTCTGTTGACATCCTGAGAGCAGTTTTTTCCAATTGAAAAAGATCAAAAAAACCACGTAAAGTGAAATGGAATAATGAAAAAAAGTTCAGAAAAACTATTCGGATAAATTTTGGAGAAAAAAAGAATGGAACAAAAAAATTAAAAAAATAGTCTGTCAACTATTAAAAAGAAATTTAATCTGTCAATGATTCCTTAAGCTCGAGCGCAAACATTTTGAAGATCAGGAAATATTAAAACGGGAATGAATAAAAAATAATTTTTTTTAAATGACGATTTCAAAAAAATTTACGATTTCCCAGTCACGGCACTTAGGGGTTCCCTCGGCCACGGCCGAAAAAAACGCAAACTTTTCATTTAATATTTTTTTATTGTGTTCAAAGTAACTTTACGAGATTACAATCAACTCTCAGAGAGAAAAATATACCTAAATTTTTGGAAAGTCGCAGATAAATTTTTTTCCATGAAATTACTTTGAGCACATATTGTCTGATAGTTTTATTAAATTAAAATGTTTCTTTTCTAATATTGCAACAATCAAAAATAATATATGAATAATTCGTTTTTTAGTCTCCAATCCTGGCTAGCCTTCTTTCAAAAGGTATCTACAGCTTTATCGCGTTCGAGGTAGCAGCTGCGGCGGCATCTTACGCAGGATTCCGTGCTCTTCGCCGCAGTGAAAACTCGAGGAAGTACCTGTATCAGAACTTTCCGTCACTTTCAAACACGTATTACTGGGTTGAAGATTCGATATCGTTCGGACAGCTGACGGTGAGCCTTATTTACACAGTTTATTTGGATTCACCCGACATTCCTTGATAAAATTCACGATTTAGGGAACTCGCCTGCGTATGAACGACCTACGGCGCTGGGCGGAAGTCAGCAAGGAAGCCGAGGCGTTCGAAACGGACTGAAAATAACCTTTTTAATCCGAAAATGGTTTCTCGATCGACAATCCAGAGCCTGATCCTGGGCAGCAGTTTGATCCTGGCCCTCACTTGCAACTCCATTCACGATTACTACCAGAAGAACAAACCTCCGCCAGATATTCCAGTTCAAGCTTGGGATAAGTATGTCAAGTTGCAAAAGGCGTCTGGCAAAGATGTATAGTCGTTGTTTTTTTTTTGTTTTGTTTGCATTTTTCGAAAGCAATGAACATTTCTAGGCTTTTCTGTTGGTTTTTTTCTTGTTGTGTAAAATCGGTATGAGAACCTCGGATGTTTTTTTGAAGTTTTAAGAAAGAGAAAACTTATTCAAAGATAAATTTCTTAGAAATGTCACAAACCGGACCTTTCATTAGAGTGCAGAGCGTGAGCGCGCCACTTAAGGGATCATTTCCTTTGGATCATGATGGCTCCTGCAAACTGGAAATGCTGAAGTAAGTTGTTTTACACTTTACTACGATAAAAAAATAGACAGAATAAGTTCGTGAGATAGGAAAGATTAGATATTCAAAGTGTCTTGTGGAGTTTTTGAAGCGCAAAAGGGTTCTTCGCGAGGGTTCTAATCTTCATGATCTTCATTAAAATCAGTTCATGCTTATTCAAAAACGTCGACAAAACCATGATATAGCTTTGAAGATACAGAACAATGGAAATTTCTCCCGGCTCCGTCCTGCGCCTTTAAATTATCTCAATAAAAGTTTCCCGTCTAGATACATGTGCTGCCTTCACGAAAAAGGCCAGAAGAACAGCGAATGCCGAGAATTGGCCAAGTCCTACTTTTCCTGCCGGATGGACAACAACTTGATGAGTCGCGACGATTGGTCAAAATTAGGCTACGACGGGTAGTTCTACCTGCTTTTCTGACAGGTGAGATACCGAAAAAAACATTTCTTTTTATAACAAGTTATTATAAGGAAGCTCAATATTTTCAAAAAAATTTTTAATTTTGTGTGACATTCTTTTTCAAATTTACAGAATTTTATCTTTCGAAGCAATTTCAAAAAGTTAATATTTTAAGCTTTTTCTGAAATTTCATGTAGAAATCCTTCGAAGTCGAAAAATTTTTGACGTTTTTTTCGTTTTTTTCATCGAATTTGTGGACCTCAAATTTCGCTAGCCAGTTTTTTTCCTGTTTTCATGAGTTGAAAAAGATTGGATATATTTGTTGCTAAAAATCATTTAAAAGTAAAAGTTAAAAATATTGTTTGCCACCTCAGTAATTTCCAGAACCATTGAGCTTCATACAAGAACTTGCGATAGAAAACGTGTTTTTTTCCTGTATCCTTTCTGGAGAAACAGTAGATCCCTTTTTGTTATTTGTTATTATTTTTGTTTTAAACACAATGTACAATGTAATTCGCCCTCATAAAGACATTTGCCGGAAACATTGTCATTTTGCGAGAGCGAAATTCACATCGATAAGCGTATTTTGTGCTCTTGGAGACGAAGGCCCCGATGCGTACCAGCCAGTGACTGGAACGGTCCTCTCTTATCTCCCCTCCGTGTAATATCACGCATTATGATAAGTGACTCCAGGCGAAAAAAACTTTTTCCGAGTTTCTAGGCTTTCCCGCGCAATTTTTTATCTTCGATTCGATCGTTTGTCTTTGGAGGAATAGATTTCAGTGATAAAACGAGAAACATTGATTCTGTGAGAAGTTAGAAAAAAGGAAGGCTAAGGCTTATGAAGTTACTTCATTAAAGCTTTTGGCAGATGCCAAGTTTCAAGTTCATTAACACTGTGAATGGCTCTTTGTGATAAGTGTTTTCTATGCTTCTTTAAAAACCTGTATCGGAATGAATACCATGTTATAACCTTTCTTCTTGCGCCCAATTTCCGAGTCATAATTCATTCAAATCTATGAAAAGTATTGAAACCATACCAAATTTCGATCTGAAAAGGTTCTTCGCAGTAAGACCACTGTAAATTTGGAGTATGATGTTTTAAATAACTTTGGCAAAAAGCAAAATTTTATTAAAATTAATTGAAATTTAGTTATTCGATTGAAAAAAATTTTTATTTGATAATGATTGCGCAATAATTCATTTACGATGTTTAGCGTCAAAATTGGAAAATTTTCCAACATCGAAATTTGATTTTTTTTTTTCGAAAAGCCATGCTATTTTTAAAAAGCACAGAAAAAATTCATCAAGGGTTTAAAAGATCAGTACACAGTGATTTTCAGGATGTCCAAAAGAGCAAACTACAAAATCCAACTCCAAAAACCTTTTTTTTTCATTTAAAAATCACTCAAAAAGATTCGAAACGTCATCATATTGACGTCCAGCTGCAAGATTCCAAATAAGACGATAAACAGGTCACTTATATGGTCAATAAAAATAACTGTTGCCAAAAACATGCTTCTACCGTATCTGATTGATAAAGACCGCACAACACGATACAGTAGCCAATCGAAGATGATACAAAGAAATTGTTTATTCATAACGGAATAAAATGACGTATTGATATATAGACTTTCAAAGGGATTGGTTTTGGATCACACCAGGTTGGGGAGGAAATGTTTACAATACCGGTAATCAATCATTAAGGGGAGGACCACTGAGACTAGCAATATGGAGGACCAGTAAAGGGATGTCGGACTAAAAATACACTCATAAGGTGGAATTGAATAGGATCGGAGGGTTCGGAGCGAAACATTGGTGGTTGTTCGCTGGTTTCGAAGGCTCCATGAGCACAGGCTGGGAACACTGGAACGGCTGCATCGGCTCGTAATACTGGAGCCGAAGTTGCGCCTCTTGCAGAGCCTGTTTCAGGTACTTGATCTGGAAGAATAATATATTTATTTCGCAGTCTTCTCCTCAGACCTCGTCCCTCAACATCATATTGTCGGCCTCGAGCTGCATCTGATTCTGGACGCGACGAGTCCGGCAGTTGTAGGCGTAGCCGCGGTTCTTGAGAGTCCTCCGCTTCTGCTTCAGCTGCATCACGACCTGCTTGTCTTGTCCCTAAAAATTTTTTTTTCAAATTAATGTTCAATATGATGGAAAAGCTTCAAAACTAGATTGACGCTTTTTTGCGCGCAGGCTGATTTTGCTGACAAAAAAAGCTTTTATACTCGGAGATCCGAATTTCGGAAATTTACAAAAATACCTTGGGTAAAGCAGCAAATGCTTTCTAGTTTAAAAAAAAAGTTGAGACCGGTGAAAATATGTCAACACAAAAATTAAAAAAAGGGACGGAAAAGTCTTTTTCCAAAAACTATGTACTGCAAGTTGAGTCTCATTCAGTATGATATGCAAAATCTCTCGCTGATTTTCAGAGAACTCTGTAGATCCGGGAAAAATGAAACAATTTTTTTTAAACTTCAGTCCGCGTCTAGAGAAAATCCTTAAGAGAACATTCATTCAGATGTTCATCGAAAATTCAAAAAAACCCTAAAAAATAACTCCAAATAAAAATTTATCTACGCTGTAAATTCCGTGTATTTTCTTCACTCGAAGTGGTAGCTCTCTCAGTCGGCCGAGGCTACCCTAGAGTTTACACGGAGTCCGTGCCCGAGCCCCACCATCGCCGCCGTGCCCGTACCCGCGAAACTGAGGGATCAACTTGTGGAAGAACGAGGCGAAGGACCGTAAGACCATGCTTTCAATTCAATCGACTACACGTTTTGACTTCTTTTTCGCCAAAGGCGGTGTTAGTGCCGCTCAAAAGAGCAATTTTTCATTTTTTCACCGCCTAGTCGATATAATCTGACTAAAACAACCAATAAATATTGTATTGTATTGTATTGTGTGCACGGAATATCAAAATTACCTTGAGTGAGTCAACGTTTTTCAAATGGGAGCTCAACACAAATGGCCGGTATTTAATAATTAACTAGATTTCGCGATGAATTTTGAAAATGAGAAAACGTGATTCATAGAAGAATATAGAACAACGGACAGCAATTTTACAATTTTTGTAAGCTCATTTTTCTGTGAGCTCAAAGTTATTTATGTTGTGAGCTTTCCAATTTAACACTGAATAGGTTAAACTTCCCACCATGAGTTTCTGGTTGAGTTGGCGGACGGGAATGCGGAGGAGCTCCTCGTCGGAAAGGTAGTTCGGGAGCGGGGATCCGGCGCTGCTCGATCCGGCAGGTGAGACCGGCTGAGACTGGTTGAGGTGGTGCTGGTGGTGGTTGAGGTGGAGCGGTTGGTGGAGGTGATGAGGATGGCTGTGGAGAGTGCTGGCGATACCCGTTGACATTGTTTCTGAAAGTTAGACCTTAGAGGAAGGTTGCCACTAAACTGATAGCTCTGCAGTAACTTGACAAAATGGTTATTTTGTAAGTTATCTGAAAATTGGTCAGTTCCTTGTTTTTCAGACTAAGCTCCTAAAAGTCGAAATAGTATTTAACAAAAGACATTTTAAAATCGAAGAAAACCATCAACATCGGTTAAAATGGACTAGTCTCAGACTTGTGGTATGAAAAAGTTCGTAAACTGTTGGCAAAAATTTGATTTAAAAAAACCAAAAAGAAAAACAGCGACTGCCTGAAGAGACGCCAGAGACAGTAAGACTTCTAAAATCTCTGACGTCTCTTCATTTCGAGGCTGCAGTCGCACCCACTCTTGTTTCTCAGCTTAATATTATAAAAGTCAGAGCAAAAAAACTTAATTCAAAGACAACCAATCATAGTTTTGTAAGAAGTAACACATTTTTTTGCAGAATAGTGTGCCTAAAAAGTTGAAATAATTTGAAAAAAACTCAAATTTGTTACAGTACAAAGATTCCAGTCATTTGAAGGATATTTTCGATTCTATCAATTTAAAATGTAACTCAGAATTTTTTTTTGTTAAAATCTGATCGCCCTAAAAAATTTATGAAAAGAGTAGACTTTTTTTCATCAAAAAAACTGAAAAAAATTTACTCATAAATTCAAATGAATCACTACAGTACAATGTATATGCTTATTTTCTAGATAAAAAAACTAAAAACTTTTTTTGATCAATTTTATGTTCTAAAAAAACTGTAATTTCTCCTCATTTGATGGTCAAAAAAGCTAGACCGCTTTTATGCAGAAGAACTCTTCTGAAAAATTATAAAAGTTTTTTCTGCTGTTTCAGAATAAACTGAGAAATGATTATTTCCTGTTATTTCCTGGAAACTCATCGAACGATCAAACCTTTGCTATTCACAGTGGAGTGGCCTGAGTAAAGGTGATTGGCTGGACGCCGCGGCTCCGCAGCAACTGAAACAAGTAGGTTCTGGGGGAAAAAGTTCCAGGCGAAATCGCAAGCCACGCCCCTCACTCCTCCTCCTTTTAAGTGAAAGATGCACGGGGAATGGCTTGATATGGCCTGGGGGTGCGGCAGCAGCAGCGGCAGAAAAAAAAAAGGAAAGTTGGAGAGATAAGCAACTCAAAAAAAAGAAGAAGAAGGCCTGAAATGAGAAAGTCACACTCTGAAAGAAAGCGAAAGAAACGACGACATTTGCACGTTTTTTTATTAAAGTTTCTGTGCAAATGTTGTGTTTAACGAGAGAGGTCATTCTGCACAAAAATTGAAAACTTATTGAAAAATAGCCAGAAAACTCTCAGATGTACTAGATAGGTTATTTGAAATTCTGCGAAAATTTCTGATTATTGAAAACAAACTTTCAGGGATCTGTACGACAAAATTGAGCATGACAGGAGAAAATGGTTTTCATTTTTCAATTTAAGCTTTCGAAACTTCTGGAGGAATCTGGATCTTCGGACAGGTCCTTTTCAGTTCCTAATGGAGCTTTGATAAAGGCCACTGAACTCAGAATTTCGCCACGCTTCGATTGGTGCAAAAATCTGGTCAATTAGAAAAAAAAAAATAATTTTTCGACTTTTGAGCTTCAGACAAGACAGATATATGACTTTGGATGGATTCAAATTACGTTCAGAAAATTTCAAAAATATTCGGTTTTCTCTACCCAACGACCTCCTGTGCGATTTCTGAGACTACACTCTGAACAAACGTCAAAAACTAAATCCATTAATAACTGCCTCATTCAGAAAATCCACCGTTGGTTCAGACCATACCCTGATTGGAAGCATCCATTCAAGAATATCACTTTTATGATTAGGTTTTCAGCACTTGCCCTAGCACGTCAAAGAGTTTTTTGGCCAATCTTCAGAGATTTTCAACGTTTCGAAAGGAATTTCCTCCCTTGTAAGCGATGGTCAACTCAAAAATTGGTGCCACACACGCACGCTCATACGGCTCAAAGAGAGGGTTTCTTCGAATAGAGTCCGGATGGAATCTGAAATTCTTTGGACCCAATAAATGAACGTTCTTGACGCGTTCAAGTTCCATTTTTCAAACAATGTTCTTATATATTATCTCTATGACCTTGTCAACGAAAAAAGAGAAAATGAAGAAAATGAAAATTAAAATGATTTCAAAATAAAGATCCTCTTTAGCTCCTATTGAAAGAGAAAGTTGTGAGCAAACATATTTTTTCGCATCTTTTCTGACGGCACTGTACCCTATTGCTCAATGAATTTCGAAAATCAGAACCAGCGAAAAGAGAAAAGATCGGACCTGTTCGAAGGAATCCTCGGGCGAGGGAGCCTTTGGCGGGGGCGGGAGCGGTGGCGGCGCGGCGATGCCGATGATGGCAGTGGCCGCCGCCCCGCCGGTCACCGTCTTGAGGACCGTCCTCACCGAGTTCTCGATCGAATCCGCCAGCAGAGCGCCCACTTCGTCCTCCGTCTCCTCCAGAAGCAGGTTGGCCGACGACGCATGCAGCTTCTCGTCCTGCAGGAGAGATATTGAGAAAAGCTTCTCGGAACAATCAAAGGTCAGACTACACCAGAGGGAGACCGGTCGGTACAGGACTCCAGGTTTCGAATAAAAATACTCATTATTTTCCCTTTTTCTTTCATGTTTACCTTGTATGCTAATGTTGGGGTGGAACAAATGAAAAAAACTCTCTGCAATAATCTGAAAATTCTCTCTACGTCGGCTGGATCCCACTCCGGGATGCGGCCTACCCCCCGAAAAGTGCGGCCTATTTCAGTACATTTTCAAATTTTTTCTCGCGAAGCTGGGATTCAGACGAGGTATGGCAATTCCTCAAATAATTTTCAATGTACTAGAAATTTCTGATCCCAAAAGTGTGTTCCTATAAAACTCTTTTTTCGAGATACAAAACCATAGAAAATTATTGATTATTTTTTTTACTTCAAGGAGTTTTCAGGCCGATTATGCATTTTTTTTTTTTCCAACATAAAACCCTCTTTCGAACAATCATTTTGACAAAATAAAAAATAAAAATCATCAAGTTCAACAAAGAAATATCTTCAAAAGTAAACCCCTATTGATGGTCCCTATTTTTTTCCCGACACCGACCGGTTAAAAAAACTAATAAAAACACAAAATCTCTGTTTTCATATCACGTACGACTAACTGGCATACCAAAATTGATTAAATCAGGCCGATATTCTATTTGCCTCCCTAAAACTTGGTTACAACTCTCTTAGAAGAACCAAACTGAGGTTTGACGAGAAATGACCTGATATCTCCGACAAGCTTCAACGAGCTGTTGGACGTCATCGTCCATCGGCTGTTTCTTGCGGCCAACTATCGAGAAGCTCCGTTTGAACGTGCTGTTGGCTGCAAATCGACTCTGTCTGAGTTTCACCCGTAAGACCATGCAAAGGTAAAAATAGTAAAGCTGAACAAAAAAATCAGCCTAGTTCAAGTTGAAGCGAGTTAAGTTTGCCAGGTTTTAATATTTTTAACGCGTTAATTTTCATCTACGGCCTCATGTAAAAGTCAGTCGTTTTTTAGAGGCTTTTTTATTTGCAAAAAACGTGGAAATCTTGCTGGTAGTAAGCTTGAAAGTTTCGAAAAATCAAATATGGGCGGCCCAAAAGATGAGATCTTGTGATTTTTCTTAAGTAAATTTTAGGTTGAATTGAAATTTGTTGTGTAAAAAACAGTTTCAAAAAAAAAACTGACCCTCCGTCTGGCTCGCCGCGTCGACATGAGTATGAGTACGTGAAACAGGAACGTGAACAGAGGCGGTCCGAGTGACGCCGACGCCTCCTCCGCCACCTCCGCCGCCGATGCTCGAGGACTTGCTCAAACTAAAGCCGTCAATCCTACAGGAAAACCAGGCAAAAAGAAAACTCAACGTTCTGGAAATCAATCTCAATGTTCCGATTTAAAAAAGTTTCTCACGTTTACTCTTTCTGCTCAGCAAAGACGCCACAAAGGAAAACATGTTTCCCTTCTAACTACAGAATAATTCCTTTTTTGAAAATATATACTTTTTCTAATTGTTTCTACAGTCAAAACCTGGCGGACCCGGATTGCATGGAAGTGCGCGTCGTCTTGGACGAGAGATGCTGTTGGCCTTTGCTGGTGCTGTCGTAGGCTCCTTGGGAGTTTCCAAAGTGACATCTTCAAATTTCCTCTCAAAACAGCACAGTAAGAGAGGATCTACCGTATCAACTTGGTTGTGGTGTAGGAAGCGCGGACGTTCTTCTCCGGATGGAGCAGAATGATGTACAGTTTGGGGAAGAAGAGCAGCGCCAGCGCCACGGAAGCCGACAGAGAGTAGGAGAAACTCATGACCAACGCCTTGTGAGTCGTTCCCATGTGCAATACCATGAACGCTATCCAAACAACTACAGTGCAGTACCTGGAATCAGATGAATTATTTTAATGGGAGAAAAGGGAAAAATTGAGAGAAAAGCTTGTCAGACCGGGTCAATCGAAGACAGTCTTAAAAATTAAATAAAAAACCTTCTCTCTACTCCTAGCGGCAAAAGAAAACTAGAAATATATTTTTTTGTTAAGAATCATGGCTTTTGATTCTCTTTTTGAACGTTTTTTTCAAAACAAAATTGTTTCGAGAGGACCTATTGAACAATTTGTGAATTTTCCACATTTTCAGTGTTCAAAAAACGAGTTGACTTTTGATTAGAATCCTCTAGGAACGTTTTTTAAGTCTACTTTCCAAAACAAAGTTTGGCCTCGTTATCATAAGATTTTTTGAATTCTTTTAATTTTCAGACTAATTAATAAAGAACATTTTCAAATTTAACTAAACTTCTTCATACAGTTATTCAGATTTTTGAAAACTCTGGATTTTCCAGTTCTGAGTCAAAACTTAACTTCTGTCAAAGCGTTATTGAACAAGACATCTCAAAATGAACAAAAATTACCAGTTTATTAGCTCCCCTGTTTCATTTATGAGTTTTTCGTCTCTTTCCCTCAGGTCCATTTCTACAACCAAATGAAAAACTCACATAGTGAACCCGATAAATTTCGCTTCATTGAAGTTTTCCGGCAGATTCCTCGTCTTGAAAGCGTACAAGGTGCAGAGACTGATGAGAAAAAAATCCCAGAAGAATGGTATGAGGAAGGCTTTTCCCTCGGTACTACACTCCAGTATCAAACTGAAATCGAGAAATATCGTCGATATAAGATTTTCTGAAGAACGGACTTTCTCGGCAGAGCGTAACTGGCGTAAGAAGCGTCGGGCCAATCCCGAATCACTCCGACCGCCACGATGACACATTGCACGGCGACGAGAATCCACGTTATGACAACCTACAGTATACCAGCTCAGATCAACAAAAACTCCCACGGGAGCTTTCTCGCGGACTTGGGAACTCCATAGTGCTCCCTATAAGGGCAACCTCAGGGGCCCTTGAAGGTTCCCTTTCAACCGAAAACCCAATAAATTAGTGTTACTTGAATGACGCGATAAACTCCTATGTCATCGGACTTTTCACGAACCTGAGAGAATGTTGAAAGAAATCTTGGCTTTTTTGTCAGAATCCGTTTTTTGCTCCCGGCCAAAATCCTGGCTATCCGGTTGGTTTTGGTCAGAAGCGCCGAATAAACTACAGCAAAGGCGATCGGCGGAACGACCCTGAAGCGGTCATTTCCTCAAAAAGAAAACTCTAGAAAGCAAAAAAAAACCTCGTGATGAAACAAGAAACGGAAGAAGGCGTGGCCAACAAGGAAAACGTAACGGCATAACAGGCAAGAAGACCTTAAAATCGTTGATTCAAAGGTTAATTAGATGATTATCGATTCCACAAACGCATCTCCGTGTTTCAAGCTGTGAAAAAATGAAGTAGACACAAAAAATTACCCGATAGAATGATGTAGCTGAGCTCCCTGGTGGTGCTCTTCACCACCGGAGTGCTGTTGTACTTGAGAAAGACTACGATTGTAGCTGAACACGTGGCGATTCCGGCAGAGGCGAGGATGATGGCAAAGATGTGGCCGAACGAAGACCAAGAGACCACTTGGGGGACGATCGGCTCGCAGCCTGAGCAATAATTTGTATTTAAAGTGATTTCCGTCTTTAAAGTTGTGTCATACGCCGTTCGCCGCGACTTGAATGTTTTCGGGTGTCTGCGTCTCTCTGCTTCCTCACCGGGCGAGGTCAGAGAAACATGAAAAAACACGGAAACTAGAGAGAGAGTGGCGAGAGACGGGAGGGAACAGAGGAAAACAGCGGTTACAAGTCACGGCAAAAAGGCTGTACAAGGAAATTTTCGAGTGACGACCTTTTTCATCAAAAGACTGGAACAGAAACTCTGCAAGGATCTGAATGTACTTTTCAGCTTTTAGCTTTTAGCTCAAAAATAACTTTTCGCCTGAATTTCCTAATTTGTTGAGAAATCAACAAAACCTGTTCGGTTGGCATTGGGCCAGCTTCCGAGCGAGCAATTCTGACACTGATTTGTCGACTCATTGACAAACTGAATGTCGAGACACGTCTCGCAGATCCAACAACACGCCATCGTTTCCCGTTGCTGGAATATTTTTGAACTTATAGTCCGAGCAGAGATTAGCTGAAACTTTTGCTCACTCAGGCCGATTGAAAATTAATTTGCCAATAACTTCACAGAAGCCTATTCTTAACTCTAAACTCGAGTTGACTCTCGTTTTTCTGATGAGTCTGTAACACAAAAGAAAGAAGTTTACTCAAGTTCTAAAAAATCCTGAACAATATGCATTGGGGGGATAGCCTTGAAAGCTTCGATTTTTGCACTTTACGGATATTTTTCAAATAAAAATTAGACTTTTTAGGTTTATTCTGCAAAACTTATCAAGAAGGTCTTTTTCAGTGTGACAACTGGAAATTTCTAAAAATTTGTCGAAATATTCTCTGAAGGGCTAAAGATTCATTACAGTTGCTACTTGCGGACTTTTTCAATGATCTTTTGAAATGCAAATTACCGATAACAAAAATTTTTCTGTATGGAAGGCAATCTTTGAAAACTATATCACCATAAATGGCAAAAGAAAAGATTTATACTAAAGTTACCCTTCTTGTGAATTCCAGATATTTTTTTCAGAAATTTATCTACATAGCCCAAAAACTTAAAAAAAAAGCCGAAACTTTTTTGTATTGAATAAACCAAGACGGTTCAGAAATGAAATGTGTATCCAGTTGTATAGATTCTTAGAAAGGATTCGAAAAGGACCCTCTGTCCGATGCCACACGGTCGACTGCAGACCGACTCCGGCAGAAGACTTGTCCGATCGTAGAACATAACGTTGGAAGTCATGTTAAGTTCTTCTCTGCCCAGGTGATTCATCGATTGGAACGAGCCGACCTACAAACTTACACTTATTTCCAACTTCCAAGTCTCGTTTGAACCGGGATTCAAAACCTATGTAATCTTTCAAAACAGAAAAAAACTTTCGAAAGATTTTCTTAGTACATGGGTGGGCATAAATATTGCACCGACTTTTCGATCATTCCAAAGGAATTCCAATCTGTTTTTTTTTTTTTTTTGGTTTTTTACTTTGCGAACCGTCGCCGGTTCTTCCACCAAGATTTTAGTTCAAGCTGCAAGTCCCGAGCTGAGCAAGACTCGTGCGAGTCCAATCTGCGCGATTTCAACACGGTCAAGGAATGGACCGGCTACTCACCAGATTCGAACCCCTTGACAATTCTGCATATTTATATTTGAAGTCGAAGGCCTGGACAAAACTCTATTTTAACCGGGACCTGCTGATGGTCTCCATCATCAACTGATCGATCCTCAATCTAACCATTCCCCAGTGGGCATGAAATGAGTCCGCCTTCATCAAATTCCAAACTAATATCGTAAAAAGTGAAAAAAAAATCAACTTGTACCTCAGAATATGGACTCTCGGAATCTATCGAAGGGATGTAGTTGAGAATGTCGTACCTGGAAAATATTCTAACTTTTTTTAGAAAATAAAATCAATCGCAAAACTTCTGAAAAATACTTTAAAAAAAGTATTTTTAAACAAATGATAAATCGATTTCGAAATCTCTGAACATGGCATACATTTTAGTGATCTCTATCTACGTCCCATTCTGCGCCTATAATCAAAAACCCGGCGAAAAGAAAGCTTGAAGATGTTCTAAGAAACAGAAGAGTGCTGACCAAGCGGGCGGATCCCCGTTGCGATCGAAGTAGATGGCCTGCTTGAACTGGTCCTTGTAGGTGACGTTGAGCATGTACTCGTAGAGAAGGGTGCCGTTGCGGGAGAGCATCTCCGTGCAGAGGGTCGAGTTGTCGCGACATCGCTGGTGGTACATCGCCTTCAGTCCCAGGGCGACCACTCGGATCGAGTTGATCACTTGCGACAGTTTCGGGTCCTAGAAATACAAATGTTCTTTCAAACTCTGCTCAAGCATAATCTCTGCCATCGGCCTTTGGAAAGCCGGCACCGTAGTTCTTCCTACTGCCTCTCTTGTACCTGATGTTCTAAGAGCGAAATTCAAAACTTCTCTGCCAAAGCCACAGCTCCTGCCGCCGTTAAAAGCACAGTAAAATCAATGAAAGTCGATTGCACAAGTAATCTCACATCGAAGATGCAATAAACAGTTTTAAACTTGAGGAAAAAAAATTAATTATTCAGTTAAACTTCTCAACACAAAAAGAAAAGTGCGGAAAAAAGCTTTAAAACGTTCGAAAGAAGGAACTAGGAATAATTGTGTGAAACCTTCGATCCAAGTGTTTTTGTTTGCTGTAATTGAGATTTTATCATTTGTCTTGCCCCTATGTCCACTTAAAATTATGTCTAGGAGTGTGAGAAAATACAAAAATTCCGATTGGAGACTAGGTGAACCATTTTCAAGTAGATCTTCCAATGAATAATCGGAAATAAAGCGAAACTCCACCTCCTTGTAGTTATCGTCGAGATTCTCCTGTCCTGTGCATATCCGAATATTCTCATTGTTCTTGTCTTCCTTCGAAACAGCGAATTGACAGCTGAAAACCTTAAAAAATAAAATAATACCAAAAAAAGGATACTAACTTGAACTTTTGCTGCCAAAATTCACGAAACCAGGGGTTCATGGTGTTGTTCTCGGGATGAAGTGAGGTATAATACTGTCGGAATCCAGGAATCTAAAATTTTTATTGTAATCTAAAAAATTTGCCGTCAAAAAATCAGTCTAAAAACTTTACTTCTCAAAAAAAAAAAAGAAAAGAAAAAACTCTAAGAAAAATTTAAAAAATTCGAATCAAACCGAGGTGCTAAAAACAAAGTATACTCCCAGATTAGGATTCTCAAAAGTCTAAAGAGTCTGGCCACAAATGTCACAGAAAGAATCGACTTAAAAAATAATAAATTCGGGGAAAAAATACAAGTAAGAACACTTTTACGTTGATATTGCATCAAAAAGTATTTTTAAAAAACTGAGAAAACCAAAATTATTTTAATGGAAAATTTTTCTTTTCTGTCCCAAAAACCCATTTTCCAACCTTTGGAGCATGGATCCGAATGCTGAAACTTCCTTCAGCCTCGCTTTCCAGGCCTTCGACAACATCGTTCCGATCTGCCCAGCCGTCTGATCCGATCCATTGGAAACGCTGAATGCGGGGCATGTGCAACTGATTGAATTCCACTGACAAACTTTTGAAACAGACCTAGAGACATGATTTCAACTCGATTCACCCTATTCCTGTTGCTTCGATGCAAAACAATTTTTTTTTGCACGCTCTACCAAAGAGCTACTCCTATGGCTAATAATCATTTTACTTATCATTTTTTTCAAAGTTTTTTTGAGTAAACCTCTTCTTATGAACTAACATACGCTCAAACTTGAAAAAAATTGGAGAAAATCCAAAAAAAGGTTTTCAATTTATCATCTTCAAACTTTTTCATCTCCTAATTTTAGTTCTTTGGCTCCCTACTTTGAAAGACTTGTTCCGTTTGGCGAGGTGTTTTTGCGCCTGGAAGAACATCCGAATGGACAATCCTTCGCAAAAGCAGACGACGACCTGCGGCCGGGCCTTTTGCGTCGACAGACTTGTCAGAACCTACGATTTCAGATCAAACACTCTTTCGAAAAGAGAAAAGACCTTTCTGTACTCGCTGTCGCCAGCGAGGGTCTTGATCTTCTCCGAGTAGGCGATGCAAACCTTCGAGTTTTTCATTCCGACCAGCCTTTCCAGGGATTCGAAGCCCTTCTCGCCATAGTTGCCTAGAAAATCAACTTATTTCAATCGCAAAAAAAACAACTACAGGCGAATTTTTTTTTGCTAAATAAATTAGTTCAAACTCAAGTAATGGTTAGGAATCAAATAATACAAAATTATATCTCTCCGTATATCTCACTGCGTATCAACTCACTTTGAAAACATGGAAATCCCTCAAAACAGCTATAAAATCGTTCCTCGTTTTATTTTCTTGTTTTCATCAGAAAACTCATTTCTGCATCTTCGTTCAAGGCGACAAATTTTATAAGAATCCTCAATTTCCATCTTCGTCGTGTTTATCCCGTATTCCCCTTTTATTGCATTTTTCTCACCATTTACAACAATTACTACCGATGCAGAATGGAGCAAAAATGATGTTTCGAAATAACGATTTTTAAGCTTTTTGCGTCGTTTCTTCCTGTCAGAAGTTAACAGAAAGTTATATGAAAAAGGCAATAAAAAAATCTTTCTTTACAGCTCAAAATAATTTTCGTCCCATTATAAGATTTCACCTTTTTACGAAGAAGTCAGATGATCATCATGAAAAATTGAGTGACAAACTCAAAAAAAAAAAAACTTTTTCGACTGAATTTGGAAGTCTTCAGAGCAAATTGAAAGCTTCGAAGATTCCTTGAATTTTTGAATTTCCCTTTCCGGATGACCTTTTTCCAACTTTTATACATAAAATCCCCTTTCAACAATTCTCGCGGCATTATTTTCTGCACTGAACTAATTAGCCGCCTCCTTTTTTATCAAGCCGATATCTTAGCCAAACATAGGTGGCTTAATAGAGTGCCTAGGACGTAAAAAGCGCAGGAAAGGGGAAAGATAGTGGCGTTGAAGGAGATGGGAAAAGATAGGCGAGGCGAAAATTTGATCTACTTTTCCTTCTTCTTCTTCTTCTTCTATTCCGTTTTTTTCGCCTCAGGGCATTGTAGAGCTTCTGGGTTGGGCAGAGGGGAAAGAAAAAAAGGATATTTGGGACGAGGCGCGCGGACACTAGTCGAGGCAATTTGCACGGCCGAGGCGAAAAAAAGAAAGGATATGGGAACTCGGCCACCCCCTCGTTTTAGTGTTGATTCGGTCCAAGTGATCCTTCAAGCGGCCTTGTCTAGTGCTTGTGTCTACTCGGTTAGCTTGAAAGGTTTTTTTTTCTGAAATACGATTAGGCTTCTCTTATTTATGACTCACAGTGCCAAATCTAGAATATATCTAGAAGACGCTGGCTAGAGATTTAAAACGAAAAAATCAAATTGACGTTGGAGCGCACATTATTCACCTTATTTTAAAATGTGCTTCAACAGGATTAATAAAATAGTGTGCATAAAGAGGAGATCTGGGCATCTATGTGGTAGCCAAGAACGAATTTTATACTACGACAAATCCATCTTAAATTGAAAAAAATTGGCATAAATTTTTAAAAATGACCATCAGTAGTAAAACAAAAATGAAAAAGTCTAACATGTCTGCGCTCTCTCTTATATCGTCAGAGCTTTCATTTCTTTTGAATATTTTCATATTCAACCGGTGTGGGAAAAGAGACGTATAAAGTTCAGATTGCTTCAATTCTTGGCACCTAGAGCTCCATCAGAATCGCGAATCAATGAAAGAAATTTTAAGAATCATCAAAAAGAGCTTATAATTTGACAGCTTCTATTCAAATCAAAATTCAAAAAAACTAAGTTAAATTCGATGAAGAATCTTTCCTTTTCAAAAAAATCGGATCCAATTTCTAATGAAAAACGCGTTGAACAACTTTTAAAAAAATTTATGGTTGAACTTTGAAGCTCTTTCGGAGAAAAGAAAAAAACTGCGATTGGCTTTTTAGGACTTTCAATTTTGAAGAAGTTCAGAATATTAATTCTGACATAGCGCGAGTGTCCACTATGTTGCTAGATTTTTACAAAGTTTTCAAAATATCCTTGAAAAATGATTCGATTTGACAAATTAGCTCTTAACATTCCTCATACTGCTCTTTTTCTTTTTTTTTCTCATAGAAAAAAATTGAGAAGTGGTTCAAAGGAGTTTGTTCATGGCGAGTACTCAGACTGTTCAATAAACTCAATTTTCTGTAGAAATTCAGAACTCCGACCAAAAACCCCTTATGGCGCGCCTCAAAAAAGGAGAGTCCAACAGCCGCGACAAGCGCAAATCATGCATAACTGATCAACTCTCGAAGAAGGCCAAACAATAAAAAAGAGCGCATTTCTGAGGAGGCCGCTCACCTGCCGAGTAGACCACCGCGATGTAGGTCCAGTTGTAGTGGTGCAAGAGACGGTTGATCGCCTGGGCCTGCCATTCGTCCGACGGGACCACCCGCAGGAAATAACCGAACTGAAACGAGATTTCTTCATCTTTTGTAGGTCTGCCCATAGTCACTAAAGAGCCGCTGTCTTTTTTGAAACATAGCCAACTTGCCACCAATGTTCTTTTACTCCGAGCTACAGTAAACTTTTCAGCGCGTGGCAAGTCTCTGTGCATGCGCCTTCAATTTAGCCTAAAATTTTCCGTTATATAGCGACGGCGCATTTTTTTTTAAATTTGTACGGGGAAACGTTTTGCAAATAACACGCTTTCTTCTCAATTTTCCCACTTTCAACCAAAAAAGGTTTCCAAGCTTATTAGAACCCATATTGACAATAATTTATTTCAATTTCAAACCAAATAAAGAGTTTCGAACGGAGCTGTCCAAAAATTTCTTCTCAACTGGATTATCATTTTTTGATATTTTGACATTTTCGAACTGTTTAAAATTCAGAATTTCATATTCCAAAAAGATTATATATATAAAACAAAAAAATAAAACTTCAATTAATAGTTATCGTCCGAACCATTTGGGCTGACCGAGTTTTCCAATTAGAAAAATGAAGCGAAAAAGAAACTTGGAATGAGATACCTTCATTTACAGCACTTAGAGGAAGTATCTGACGTTAGATGACACTTAAATAAACTGAAATCTTAAGAGTCCGATAAAGAAAAATATTCACGAAGTGAAAAATCGGAAAAATTCGAAGAAATCCGAAGCGTCTATAGTTACTTTTTAAGCTTAAGTACAAAATACAAAAATACTGAATGGTTTCTCTAGCTCCAGAGCTTTCTTCTACACAAAATAACTGACTTCTAGCAGAACCATTTAAATTTAAGATTATTTAGCACCAGATAGTGTACTCAAGTACTTACAATTTAGAGCAAAAAATGAAAAAAATTAAGCTGAAATTTTAGTTAGCACATTCTTCGAAGTTCGGAGTATTTATTTAATAATATATCAGACCTGTTCCTTATCAGAAAGATCTGGTGTTGTTGATGAGTAGCCGACTTGTGGTATCCGAAAAACCTGCAATTTCGATATTCCCATCACCTTCCCTCAAATAAACTTCGGGTATTTTTTTCTACAAAACGGCAAAAAATTTTGAAGACCCCAGTGGCAACAGCAAAACAATGATAAAAAGCGGAGCCTGAGAAAAACAAAACAAAACCTGTAACAAATTTTGTACTGCTATCGTTGAGGAACTCTTGCCGGGACCTATTACCGCCACTACCGGGACGCTCTTCTTATTGCAACCTGAAACACGGTGAAAAACTTTAAAACGGAAATTTTAAGGATGAATGCCGAAAGATTTACATTTAATAGACGGAAATAATAAATAACTTTAATTTTCATCTCAAAGATTCTTTGTTTGAAGTAAAATCTCCAAAATACAAAAATTAACTCTGAGCCTCCATAATTTAATAATTTCATCGCTCTTTCTCTTCCGAACTTCGAATCATTTTTCAACACGGCATTGAGAACAAACATGAGTCAGATTCTGAATAATTATTATTAATAAGAAAAGAAAAATCGAATTTTGCTGAAAAAAACTGGAAGCTGAGAAAGTGCGCTCCGAATTTGCCCACTAGAGTGGACTTGTGTGAAAAAAAAGAATTTTTTTTGTTTCTCGTTCAAATTCGTTTGTATGTTAATTTCGTTTATATTCGTCTTTTGTTGTGAATTATTCTAATCACTGCCGGCTTTAATTGACAAGAAAGGAGTTTATAATCCTTTTTTGCAAATTACTGTTTTCTTTTTTCGAGAAGGTGCTGAATTTTTTCAAGCTAGTGTTCAATCAGTTTTAAAGTAAGTATAGTCTGTTTAAGAGTCTTTTTTGTCGGTAAAAAGCGCATTATTCTGAATTTTTCCTGAAAACGATTTTTTTTTTTGCCAGGAGGTATGAATTGAAGTCTCCTATGGGCGGTTATAAAATCTAGCAAGCGATTTTAAAATAATAGATTTTTTAAGCCAATATTATTTGTAAGGTTGAAGAAAAGCATTGAATTTTATATCGTAATTAAAGAATTAAATGAAAGAAATAAATGTAAACCTGGTGTTTGGCAACAGGAGCATTGAGCAACGCCTTCTCGTAAAAACGCTATCGTTTGTTCCATCGCTATTCTTTCAGTCCAACAGGAGTCCCTGAGAGTTTTTTTTTTTCTAATTTTTAGAATTCAAGCTCTCAAGATACCTAATTGATAAGCCGAGTCGAAACGGCAAGTGTTCGTTGATTTCCCTAACAGTTTTCATAGCTATTTCTGATCGCTGGATTCCGTACTGCTCCCAGACCTGGCCACAGCTCTCGGAGCCCGCGATTTGTCGATGGATTGGAAAAAAAGCGCGCCAATCTGAATAGTTAGTTTTGTGGATGATTCTTTTTAATCTAAAAAAATTTTTTTTTCATTCAAATTTTTTTCGTTTTGATGAAAAAAACTCTGCAACCGGACTTTAAAGTATAATAAAAGGGGAGAAAGCTTTTTCTTTTTTTGATTATTAATCTAGCTACCCCTTTCCGAACAAAAAAAGGTTACTTGAAAGGCCTACATTCAGTATATCTCACTAGAAAAAACTATTTGCAAAAAAAGATGGTTTGCGGAATTGGAAGGCGATTAGAAGAGATTGGCAAAAATGACTCGGTCGCCTTTTGAGTTCTAAAAGATCAACTACAAAACCTGGATCTCTCCGTGCATCTCGGCGACGAGCATCCGCGCCGATTGCTGGACGGTGGTCTTGGCGACGACGTCGACGACGCGAAGCATGAGCAACGTGACATGGCTGTAGAGCATCCCTAAGCGATCAGCCTCGGCTCGCCTCGCTCATCCTGGCCCCTCAAGTCGACTGTTTTGAACTGAGCGCTATCAAACGGTTTGTTGATAAGGTTTCAAAACGGGTCTTCTTCAAAAAAAGAGTCAAGGAGATTTTTCGATCGAATCGACTTCGAAAAAAGTAATTTTAGGAAAGAAGATGGACAATTCAAATATTTTTTTTTGTCGCTTGGAAAGAAAACTTTGCTTCTCAAATAAATTCATCAACTTCTTTGAGTTTCTTTTTACTAAACTTACAACTTTTTTTATTTTGACCAGAAAAATCCATCTAAACAACATTCGAAGAAAAAAATGAAAAAAAGAAATAGATTTTTTTCCGACCTCGACTCGGTTTGCGCACAAAAAAAGCAAATATTCAAATTTGGGCCACTTTTTTTCAATCGCAGCGTTGTTTTTCGTCGGAATTTCATTTTTCAAAAATTTTTAGAAACGAACACCCTTTTATTGACACTGTACTTTTTTTAAAATTTATTATTGATTGGCGGATAAAAAAAAATAGTTTTGAATAGGAAACAGTAAAGAGAAGGTTTAGACAAAAACTCCGTTCATGAGCAAACAAAAATGGAGAAATTTTGAGACCAAAAACGTCTAGAAAAGGAAAAAAAACGATTAAACTAGTCTTATCGATGAAACTAAATCGACGCAAAAAGAATAGCCTGCGGGGATAATTCTTTTTATCTTCAGAGATCATGAAAAAATTTTCCAGAATTCGTTTTTCTTCGAAAAACAACAATTCTTTGAAAAAATCGTGAATTTTGCTTTCAAAGTGCCAAAAGGACACTCAATGATTCATTGACAAACAAACAATCTTGAAGAAATTCGAACGAAAGAAAAATGAGGCACAAATAATGGCCATGAAATTATTTTATTCCTTATTTAATGCTTTCTAGATCGAGCGGTATAAATATATTTCTGTTAATGAAACAAAATGTCCATTTCTCAGACCTACCAAGTTCCCTCATATTCCTTCTTCTTCTTCTCCCAAAAAGTACGTGACATTTTGCTTTTTTTTTCCTATTGTTTCAAGATTACAGACTTCTGTGCGATTTCAATTGGATTTGAAAGCATTGAAAATAACCGCGCAATTAGGATATACATACGCCTCGATTTGATCAAACTATATTCAACTCCATCTAAACGAAGCAAACTACCGTAGAAATTAGCTGAGGAGGAAGTTCTTCTTGGCTTTTTAAGCCAGGGCAAATGAGCCGTTCCCATCCAATTTCGCCCCAAAAAGTTCATTTATTCAGTCAAGAAATTTCCCAGAAGCTTAAGACGAACACCTATTGTACAACAAGAAGGTTTTTGCTGAACTATTTAAAGGAGCAAGACGTTCTTTTTCGAAATCTGTCGAGGCGAAGAAGCTTTTCAGGCCACGTAAGTCTTTTTCGAATTCAAGCACATCGCAGCGAAAGTTTTTGGCAGAGTACAGAAACTGTCGGAAAGTTGAATATGAATTGATGAATTGGAAAAAATTGGGAAAGGAAGAAAAAAGGGGACGTCGACGACGGCGGCTGGAAAGTGTGGGCGGAGCCGAGAGTTTGCTCCGGATGATGACGACCGCCTCGGGGGGCTCCGTCGGCCTTTCTCTCTCTTGCCCAGATTCCGGCGATGAGGCCAATCAACACATTTCGAGTGCTTTTTTGCTCCATAATTCGGCCTGCTTCTGTTTTTTTGTGTTTCGTTCGCCAATATTGTCGAAATGACCAAGAGTTTCGGTCCTTTCAAGTTGTCATGCGTGCGGTCGCGAAGCGTTTCATAGGAATTCCAAGCCTCTCATTTTTTTTTTCTAACATTAACTTTCACTCTAGAAAGAGTCTGACCTGTCTGCGTTCTCTTTTTTCTCACCGCCGAGCTAAAAAAAAAGCCTGAAAACAGCTCTAAGAATGAGATTTTCGTTGAAAAAAGACGAGATCTTGTGACTGTACAGGCACTCTGACTGAACCTCGAAAATGCGTCAAAAGTTGGATTTGCAGGTCAACCGCTTCGCGTCCGCACGTGTCGAAGTGACGTAGCGATAGGAACAAAATCACAAGGTTGTCTAGTCAATAAATCCTCTATCGAGTTTTTCGAACGCGCTCCAACGATCACCGTCTGTGATTGGATGTCAAAAGATTGAAAAAAGATCAAAGCTTGGTTTGTCGGAAAAATTTGTCGAACTTGAGAAGTTAACTAATTAACTCTTTTCCGTATTAATTGCAAGATTTTTTGATTGATTTATATTTTATATAGTCCATTAAAAGCTCGTTGAACCTAATAATATTTTTTTTTTGAAATTGGTAAGGTATGATTTTGTTTTTAAGGAGCTTATAAGTACTTATAAAATGCGTTCTAGCAAACAGAAGAGCGTAACGCGCCGCGGATGTGTCGGAGTATTTCAGTGGGCATTCTAGTTGCTTCAGCACTCTTAAGTGATCCCTAGAAGTGCTCGGAAACGTCCGGTTTCCGTTACGGAGGTTCGAGTTTGTAGCTGATCAGAAAAATATTTCATTACAGCGAACTTGCAAAACTTCGAATGCTTGCAATTTTTTCCAGTGATAGTGTAACTGAAGAAATTTTCGCAAAAAAATAATTTGAAAACCGCTAAATTTACCAAAAAAAACTGAAGTTCCCTACACTTTTCACAATGATGGCGCACTTCGAAGCGGCGAGGATTAATGGAATAATTAAAGATTGAGTGAGATTGAAAGCTTCGGACTCGCGAGTCAAAGAAAACTGAAACAAAAAACAACAAATTGATGAATCGAAGCGGCTTTGTCTTTTTTGAGAGAAGTTACGAAAACCTAGGTTCTAAAAAGCTTTTTATTCATTTTCATTTCAGTTTTTCAAACATTTATATCTTCCTTTAAAAAAAAATTTGGAGCAATTTTTAAATATGAATTTCAATAATGCTCGATCTTAAAAAAACGAGAAACAATAAATGTCAAAAAGGGGGACAATTCAAAGTTTCTCATGGGAAACTTCTCATATCACGCCTCTTTGAACTTAGAATAATTGCTTTAAAAAAATCCCTATTTTAGAAATTTTTTTGACAGAAGTTGAGGTAAAAGTAAAAAAACGGGTTGTTAAAAAAAATGTTTTTTTCAACAGAGCTTTTTTTATATTTTCGTTTTTATTTTTAAAAAAAACTTTTCTCGGAATTGTGAACGAAAAAAATAGAGAAGCAGCAGCCTGGACAAACTCCCAAGCGGCCGAAGGGTGACCAAACCAAGATTGATTACCCGATATTATCCGAAAATAAGAAGAAGAGATGAAAAAGAAAAAAAAAACTCGAGGCACCGTCGCCTCTCATATTTATGGGAGCACTTGAAAATAAATAAAGAAAGAAGTCAACGGCGTGGCTGAAGTGAGATCTGCTCCATCCGAAGTCGGCGAAGGAAGTGAGGAGATCCCTCTTTTGCGGCAGAAGAAGCCGCCAAGAGATGAAGCTCCACCCACATCTATCAGCTCGCATTCTGTCAGAACTTCTTTAAAAATGTTTGATTTCATAACCAAAGACCGTATGCCCCATCTTTCTAAGTCTTTAGAGTTTTAGAGATTCAAAAAGTCCTTAAGAAAAAAAAAATTTACAAGTTCTGTTAATAAAGTTTTCACGGTTGTCACAAATTCTATTTGTTGGCTTTTTAAGCTCCTGACTAGCCGTACAATGAAAAGATACTCTAATTTCGCACATTCACAACTTTTTTTTCAAAATTTCCTGCGAATGTTCAAAACACAATCTCAATCAAATCATGAAAATAATTATTTGATTGAACTGCCTCATTGTTACCAGCTAACGAGAAAATACTTTTCCAAGGTTCAAAGCCCCTTTCGGAAAGAACTGAAAAAAAAAGTTTTTGAGGCAAAACGCCTGTGAACACACCGTTGTCATTTTTTCTTCTATGTCAGTAGGTCCGAAAAAAAAATTCCCTGAACTGGAGCGCCTTATGGCGCGCCCGACTTTTCCTCTGCATCATGCTATTTATCCACCCTCTGCAACTGCGAGAAAATGCGAGAAAAAGACAAAATAGCATGTGACATTGAAACATTCGGGCGCGCTTTTAGGCGTTCCTGTTCAGATTCGATCTTCTCCACACCAAGAGCAGTTTACCGGAATCTGCGCCTCTCTTTAGAAAATTTGAAACTTCTTACTCAGAAAAGTTGAATTCATACAAGCTTGTTCCATTTCGAGGAAAAAAAAAATCATCTGAATGATAATTTGGATTGCAAAGACGCCGCCATACGATGCTCCTCGGCACAGAGAGCGCACTCAATTTAGGAGCCTCCTCTCTTATGCAAAAACATGAAACTGCGAGGCGCTCTCGCTGATTTGATTCCAGCACTGCATAACAAGAACCGAATTTTCGTATACTAGCGCTTTTTCGTCACACACGAAAGTTGAACCAAACCGTTGAAGACAATCTTCTATTGGTTAGTGATAACGTATATGCATGCGAAGCATTTTTGAGGGTCTGATGAATTAAATTTCACAGTTCGTGAATAGTTTTAAAACCTCTGATGAAATTCCAACACCAGCAAAAAGTTATTTTCGATTTTTCTTTATTTATCTATAAAATTGAAAACTTCATGAGGACGGGAGAATTTCTTCAATACCATCTTTATATGACAATTTGGAATACATTTTTTTGAATAAATTTTATATCATTATCTCCCTCTTCATGGAATCATTCTGATTTGTTTAGGACACAGACCAAAAAAAAAACTAAATTTTGCCAAATCCAGCTATGAATGAATTAAGTAAAAATTTTTTTGAATTGGAATAAGTTGAATACATATCCAACTTTTGAGGGGATCTCGTTTGACTTAACAAACTCCTCAATTTTCAACTTTGGCATTAAATTTTCAAGTAAAAATAATCATATCGAAACAAAACAATTTATTCAAAACAATGTAACAAATTAGTTCTCCTTAGGCTTGACATCGTCTTTAGGGATAATACCGTCTTTCTGAGCCAGTCTCAAGATAGCGTCGTCGGATTCTCCCATTCTACGCAGAGCACCGCAAATAGCGTAACGAGTAGCCTTTCCAGGAATCTACAAACAATTGAATATAAACTGCAAGGAAATTTTTTTTAACGAACCAAGCGACCGGTTTCTTGGTCAACGTCGACGAAGTCGATTTGCACCGAAGCGTGGTCCTTGGGGCCAATGAGGCGGTTGGAGGACGAGCTTAAAATAACTGACATTCAAAAATTTGATGGTCATTTTTTACCATTTACGGGGAACGTAGAGCTCAACGTTCTTTCCAGAATCGTTCTGCATAGTTACCTGAATGCAAATTTTTCTAGGAAGAAACTAGATTTTAAAAAAACAACGAAATTTTTGAGCAGGTTGGAGTATATTCGAGGCTAATAACCTCAATTTCGAAAAAAAAATAACAATTAAGAAGACACGGAATAAAATTTATTTACAAGAATAAAAAATCTACCCAAGCGTACATGAAAAAACCCTTTTCACATTCAACTGTACACCAAACGAATAAGGAGAAAAAAAAAGCAATTTTTACACAATAATAAATTATGTGAAATTATTGGCAAGTAATGGTTGAAATGACACGTTTTTTTTTTAGACGTTTCAATTGCCTCCAAGAGCAACACCAGCTCCCCAATCACGCCTTCTAGCAGCTTGTCTGGTTTCTTGGCGAGATCCGTTTATAGTGTGGATACCACCTTCTTCGTTAGGTAGAAGGTTGTACAAAAACTGAGGAGTTCTGATAAGCACTGGACCATGATGTTCCAAGGGGAATTGGTAAACAAGAAAGTAGTAAACGTGGCCTACAAAAATGCCCACAAGTTCCATATATCCACCGCCTCTGATAACAGCATTGAAGGCGCACAAAATCCAAGGAAAGTAAAGTGCCTGAATATTAAAAAAAAATGAAACATAATTTTAACGAACAACTGACCTTGAATCGCATTCCAAACCAGAAAGAAACGATTGTATCGCGATTTATCTGGCACCAAATGTACAGTACGGTCATGACCATGGGTTCAAGTAGGAAAGGCACTCCCACAGCACAACAAATCGGCTGAAATCAAATATTTCAAAACGGTAAAAGAAAAAAAAAATCACCAATGATACCAGCCAGCAGATAATCAGCATGTAGAGATAATCAGCAGGTCTACCGGCATAAGTTTCGCGCTCCAGACTTTTAGAGTAACTATAGAGGAAGTATATCATCATGATCCAATGGAAACCGGATTGAGGTGTCACAGGATAGTATGCAAGAGCAGTAAAAGGCCTCCATACCTGCAAATATCAAATTGACACTGTTTTAATATACTGTGGTATGACACCATGGCAAAAAAATATATTCTACGTCTCAAATCAGAAAGAAAGATAATATTTCATGAGAAAATGATCCGAACGGAATTCCCTTATTCAATGAGATCTCAATCAATTTGAGCGAAAAAAGCTGATATCGCGAAAAACTGAAAAGCTTTTCTCAAACAACAGATCTTGAAAGGGTCCCCAGCAGATCTTTTTCATATAGTTTTTTTTATTTTTTTTTAGCTCAAAAAGCTTTTTCTACATCATTTTAAGAGCTTTTTACCTCCCTTCAGGACCCTTTGAGGATTCTCAAAGGAACTTTTCCGTTTTACCTAATTCATATTCAAAATTATTCAATTATTTTTCAGCATAATTTGGCGATATCAATCCAGTGAACATCAGAAACATAAAATCGCATCAGAAAATTCTTATGCTGCGGTCAACGATAATTTGACGCGCGTAGCAAAAAAAGTGTTTCTGGTTCAAAGGTATGAGCCGAATCGCAGCATCAGAGAGGAAAAAAACAACTGAATTTCGGAAAGTCGGGGATAACTTTCCTTTCACGGAGTTTCCGATAAGAATGCTATGAAATCTTTCGTAAAGTTTTTCAAAGTAATTTCCGCAAATTTCAAAATTACTTTTTGACTCTACAAAAAAATCTTTTTTCCATTTCCTGACTGCCTTTTTGTAAATAAAAATAGAACCTTGATTAACGCCGCGTTCAAAGCTAATTTGACGCGCGTATCGAAAAGTTTTTTTCTGGTTCAAAGCACGAGTCGAAACGCAGCAGGTTCCCACGAGGTGATTGGTTGGCTCCGCCTTTTTGACAAATATCCAACAAATTTATTTTCAAAATATTTTTTTCTTGCAAGCTGAGCGGGGCCAACCAATCACGTCTTGAGAATCTGCTGCGTTTCGGCTCGTGCTTTTGAACCAGAAAAAAACTTTTTCGCTGCGATCGTCAAATTAGCTCTGAACGCGGCATAACTTTTTTTCAGAAAAAAAAAAACAGAGAAACAATTAAGAGAAAAATGAATAATGCTCTTTATATTGGTAAAAACTTATTAAAAAGATTATTAAAAATAAAAACAATTATTAAGAAGTTTCGAAAAACACTTCCGTGAAAAGGTCTTTAAGAATATTTTTTTATATTCGAAAAATAATAGCATTCAAAAAAATAACCTAATTCAACTGCTGATACCAGTGTAATACTATGACTACCATTCTTATTGAATATATATCACTGCGATAAAACTCGATCAAAATTTTTTTTTCCAACTGGTCAGCTGTTGGAACATATTTAATATAATATCTAGTTTATGAAACTTATGCCGTGTACAAAGTAATTTCCACGAAAATCGAATTTATCCCTAAATCTTCAAAATCCAGTTATTCCTTCCACTCTATGATAGCTATTATATACTTTGTGGGAAAATTTTAAACACAACAGAAGCCATCTTTCTGAGAAAAAGTAAGACACCGATAAAATAATCAAAAAATAAAATAAAAAAATGCATACCTGCCATTTATAGAAGATTAATTCCCAATCAAGATACCAACTTTGAGCACTTATAAAGCCAAAACGACCAAGTAATGGCACAACCAACGAAATCACGAACCAATATCGTGTGATGGTAGGTATTGACTTTAAAAACTCTGATAAATCGTTTGCCATCTGAAAATTCAAACTTTGAGAGTTTTAGAAGGTTTTTTAGATTCATATAAACATCAGAAGAGCAACCAAATTGATAATATAACGCGAAAAAAGCAAACTAGCGCTTCTGAAACAAACGAGGCAATTTCGTTGATTTTTTCTAAATCTAGGATAATGAAAAATTACTCCAGGAGGTCAACCATTAAAAGGACCGTGATAATCACAGAAAAACATGTTTTCAGCGGATTTAAAGCTATATAAATCGAAAAAACAGCGAAAAATAAAAAAGAAATATTTAGGCCTGGTCCTCAGAGACGTTGCTTAGCGTCTGTTCGTTGCGGGACCCATTTCTCGGCTGGGAGTGCTTGGAAGCCTTACGTGTTACAAAATACGGAATCAATAGAACTGTTCCACCTTCTAATCGAAATTTCCGTTAATTTCTCATCTTTTTTGAGACTTCTCACTCTTATAATATATTTTCTCTATTCTCGAAATCGGTCTTTGAACTCTCAACAAGGAAAAAAGCTGTTTTCAAACGTTCAAATTTTTTTATTAGTAATTCTTTTTCACTTTCATTTCTCGTTTGTGTTAAAGAAGCAAAGCAACGTCTAATAATCAAGTGTGTAAAAAATTCATAAATGAAAAAGCTCCATCTTGTCAAGTTGCGTTACTAAAAACGATATCAAGTACTCGTTAAAGTTTCTTGGAAAGTTTTTTCAAAATAACTCGCTGAAGTATTTTGAGCAGTGTTAAGAAAAATGCTCGAAGGGAGGAGTCTTTTTCTGTATTCTTTTTGATTATAATTTCTTCGCAATCTTGACTGTGCAGCTCAAATTACTAAGCAAGGAAGTTAGATTAAAAATCTGTGTTTCGGATTTATAAAGAATTTTTTAAAATTTCATTTTCGAAAATTACATATTACAGATGAGCGAGGAAGCGACACCACTAGTTGATTCTAGCCACGTCGAACTGATAATACGTTCGGCAAGCCAATCGACAGATGATTTCACTTTTTCATGTCCTCCTAATTGGTCAATCAGACAATTAAAGGAGCACGTCCAGCTTGTGGCAACATCTCACCCGGTAGCTTTCTGTTACTAGAACTAGAGTTGATAAAATGGAAGTTCAGCCAATATCCACTCAAAGGCTCATTTATGCAGGAGCCGCTCTCAATGATTCCATGATCATCTCGGATATCATGAAACAAAGGTTTTTCTATATATTCTATTTTTTTCAAATCCGCACTTTTAGTTTTCAAAAGGCACGATATTCATAACTCGAAATTACGCTGAAAACCACTGTTCGCCTTCTCACTATGAAGAATTTTTGCACCTTTTAGAAGGCATCGAAAAGTATTCTCCACTGACTAACCTCTCATTATAATTGGACCTTTTTTCTCTTGGAAAGTCATTTTAACGTCCAGTTTTTTAGAAGAGTTGTGGACGGACCTCAAGTATTTCACCTCGTATGTCCTCCCATTGAAAACTCACAGAACATACGACAAAGGAACGTTAATAATCTTTCGTGAGTTTTTTTAAAGTTCAGTTAGAATACAAATGTAAATACTTGTAGAAACCCGGTGATTTCTTCTCAGCCCACGAACGGAGCACCACCAGTCAACTATCAGACTTGGGAAAACTGGCTGTCTTCTCAAAACCAGAGCCAAGGCCAGACCGCCAATCTACAGTATCAGCAGTACTACGCCTCTTACTACCAACAGTCAGTTTTCGGTTTTAAAATAAAAGCGAAAATGTATCATTGAAGATGGGCGAACTACCATCAGCAGTACTATGCTGCGATGACCGGCATGGTACCAGCCCCTCCTCAACAAATTACGTTCAACGCCAATTTGAGTGAGTTCCTCGAAAAAGTTCAACCTGTTCTGCAAAAAAAGGAAAACACTTTTCATGTTTTTTCGTTTCAGATGAAGCCGCTCACGCTGCTCCTCTCCAAGGAAATCCGCAAGTTCAGGCGATTGGAAACGCCCAAAATGTTTGTATTTATTCGAAAAACTTCTAACTTTCTTTTTTTCAGTTTATGCCGGGAAATAACATCGCTGTAGCTGAACGAGTCGACGCTTTGGAGATTTTCTACCGTCTCTTCAAATTTGTTCTTCTTTTTTCGGTGAGTTATTAGAAGTAAACTTTTTTTTTTGTGGGAAATGATTTTTGATTGAAAAAAATGCTTTAAAGTTTGTTAGAGAATATTCTATCGTCAAACCATTCAAATATTCATATATTAAAGAAAAAATTCAGACGAAAGAGTATATCCCTTTTTCCTGTTTTGATCTGATTTCGAGCTTTCTGATCACATTTTCAATGTCCCATTGAACCAACTTCAGTAATGAATTGAGTTCTGTAACTTGAATTGGAAATTTACTTGAAGGTTGATAATTTAATTGATATCGCTCAAATTTGTGCTAAAAAAATAATGCAAATGGAAAATGATTGAGTTTTTCTTTGAATAAAAAAACAAAATGGGAAATTGAGAAAGCGAACGGATGAATTCGTTTATGCGAACTTCCAACCTATTTCACTTCTTTCCTGGTTTCTTTCAATCCTTCTTTCAAATGTTTTTTCTTTCGAATTTGATTGATTCATATTCATAATGCTTTTTGAAAAATTATCGATGTTATAATAATCGACTTTTGTGGAAATCTATCATCTTTTTTTTTTAAAAGAACTTTGAAAAATATATATATATATACTTTTTGCTCGAAAAATCCATCCAAAAAAAGTTTTACACCGTTTTCTGCATATTTTTGACTTGCCCGGTACCCTTTGGTGCTTAGCAGATGATTATTTTCTTCTTTTTTTTGTATCTTTGAATACCGGTCACAGTAATCTGGACCAAAGTTTTCAATGTTCACCTTAAACATTTCCCTCGACACTGAATATATCCCATTGATATCTTTAGGCCGTGCTGTTGTACGCCTCCTTCGAGCGATTCGCCATCGTTCTTGGCCTCACGCTTTTCCTCTGCTTCATTCAACTCCGTCGTCATCACGCCCGCAACAACAACCAGCGACAGACGCCCGCCGCTCCCGCCGCTGGCGCCAACGATCCGGCCGTCCAAGTTAATAACAACAATGCCGGAGAGAGCGAAAATGCTTATGTCAGTCGCCAATACTGGTTTTCGAACTTCTTTTTGATTCATGTACTGTTCAATAACTTTTGATGGTACATATATGTATCAAAAAAACTTAATATTACAATATTTAGTCTCTTTTTTTGTTAACAAAAAAAGTGCCAGAGAAAAACGAAACTGTGAAATATATATACTGAGTTTCGCGCGTTTAATTAATTTTTTTCTCTACTTTTTTTATTTTTTTACTGGTAGCATAATAATTCCCATGGTCACTATGGCTGGTTTCAAAAATTTGGAAAAAAATAATACGGTTTCTGAGACTTTCGAGCTTCTTTTTGGGCTATGTTCAATTAAAAACATTGAGCTTTCAAGAAACACGTAATTTTTTCGACAAATATGGTTCATCTTTTACTTTTTTTGATTGAGCTCGAAAACTTATTTTAACCTCGAAGTTTTGGATTATGGTTTTCTGAAGAGAAAAATTCATCATTTAAAATTTTTTCATTTTGACTAGAGATTTATAGTGACAAGAAGCTTATGCATTTTTATTTACTTGAACATATTTTCGGACTTCAGAATTTGATATTAATTTAGTTTTCATGTTTTTAATAAGATTTGGTTTCGATAATTCACAACATTTCATCAACCTCCATTGTCAAAAGCAGAATTTTCTAGGTCTTGAGGCAACTTCCAAAAAAAAAAGTGTACCGTATCAATTGACATTTTTGATGCCGTGTTCAAAGTGATTCCGTGAAATTTAAAATAGCCGTCAGAGGAAGAAAACCAAAACTAAACTTATCAGAGATAATTTTGCATTTCATAGAAATTACGTTCATTTTTCCAGGACGCTCCTGCTCCGCCCGCACCTTCTGGAGTCTACGTGTTCGTCGCGACCTGCTACTCGTTCATCACCTCGTTCTTCGCCTCACTCGTTCCTGACCACCCCGTGCCTGTAGATATCAACTAGAGATGTATAGATTTTGGTTCTATTGCACACCTACCCGGTATGACCACCTCGTTGGTCAGCAACACATGTAAAAAGATTCTCCAATTATCGACCATCACCACCGAAAGCCTTCCCCTTGTCCATTCGTTGTTCATCATGTAGTCATACGTTTAGTGATTTTTGTCTTATTCTGTGTTCATGGCACGGCGGGTTCTTGAAGCGATGGGTCGTTCCGTTTCTGAAACGAGCCTTTCTTTCTTCTCCGAGACCCCTCTAGCGTTGTAGGACTGTCGAGCCTGGCGCTCTTGCAATCGTCCTGTGTGTTTTGTATACGCGGGTGTGTATGTTTGAAAAAAAACAGAAATAAATTTTATACGTTACGACATTTGTGTGGCAAGGGAAGAGGATAATATGAGACGATTGAACTGGTCACGTTCGGCCTGCCTCCATACTAGTTTATTCCCCGTTTTCCACAATTTCCCTCACGCGTTCGGCTATTTTGGTCCAGCGATTGGGGGATCGTAACGGTCGCGGCTAATTGAAGCAACTCTGGGGAAACTTTATGGATTTTATTTCGAATAGAATATAGCGTTCAAGTTAGAGTTTTGTGGAGGTAATGTGGAGAGTTTTCAGCAGGATTCGAGGCAAAAAATCTTTCAGTTTTTCTCTGGGTCCTTAGGGGCTTCTGCACATTCGAGCACAACGATTTTTCGACCAAATATAGCTCTCTCATGAAGTTTTGAGTGCTTTGTTCGGTGATAGGTCGAGAAAATGCTTGTGCAAAATGGAACTTATTTGAAAAAAAAAAAGAAAATCATTCGTGAAAATTTTTTCAAATTAATCATCGGACACCTCTCATCAGAGAAACTTCCGTTTATCAGAATCCATTTATTCAGTATCCTGTTGCGTCAAAAAGGAAAAAAAAAGTTTATTAATTACCAGATGACATGCGAAATAAATTTATGACGCTTTTCGGGATATTTTTTAGTTTAATATTTTGCTTGACAACATTTTTTACCAAGTTTATAAAGACTCTCTTTAAGTATGTCACTGAATCGTATTTTTAGAAAAAAAAAAATGTTAAACGGATACATCTATTGAAAAATTTCAAATGAATGACAAATAATTTTTTCTGCAATTCATTTAAAATCTTTTGCGTGTTATGTAGATATATTAATAAATAATGAAAGAAGCCGAATTTAACACGTTTAAATAAAACTATGAAAAAAGAGGACTGATTTTTTGACTAGTGTTACTGTAACCAAAGTCCGCAAGCACGGTGACGCAGTCTCTGAAGCTGAAATTTTTGGCGCAGATTTCCGACCAATCTGCTATCAGAAGGAAGCATGCTTTTGGAAAAAATCCTTCTCAAATAAGATAATCTACAACTCACTGTGTGTAGCCAGTTACTATGCGTTTCCTGGTATGTTTTTTTCTTTCGGAAAACTTGAACTTTCCAACATTAAAAAAATTAATATTTTGACGGATTCATTCAGTCAAATTTTTTTCAGCTGCTCTACTTGAAGGATCTGTTTTTCAAATCAAATCAAATAAGTTTTCAGTTACTATTACTGGTAGCGTCATAAAAAAAGGTGGGTTCAAATATTTTATTTATTTTTCTTATTTCAATACAAAGTTCTATTAGGCAAAGAAAAAAAGAATATAAGAAAAGAGAAAAAAACTCAATTTATTTATATTCAGTTTTTTTCTCAAAAAAATTCGCTCTTTTATAGATTTTTTTGATAAATTGACGTTAATCATTGCTATCAAAATTGCTAATGAAAAAGTATGAAATTTCGAATTTGAAAAAAATTTTGAAAGAGTTTTTAGATTTTTTTATTTCGGTTCAATTTTCGACAAAGCCTCGTAGTATATTTTTTGTTATAAATAAGCGAGTTCAGGCCAAATTTCGATTTATTCTGATTTTTGCGTCAGTAATTTCTACATTTTTTGGTGATTTGAAAGGGCTGAAGTAAACGAACATTGAAAAAGACTCTTCGCCTTGAAACCTGCACTGATTTCAGCTATGCTCTTTCAAACAACTTTGTGAAATTGATTGGTAACTCGGAGAAAAAGTTAGTTTTCGAGCAAATTGATGGACAGCTCTTCAAAATGTCGTTATTGGCTCTCCTTGGCGCGTTTTTTTTTTCGAAAAACTGGGTTTGGGAGGCTCTCTTTGAGGCAAACTACATTGTGACTAAGAAGAGATAGTTTCAATCCTTACTCAGGACATGCTCTAGCTTGAACAAGTGGATCCCTCGGACGGATTCCAGGAAAGTTGAGCGGCGCGTCCCGAAAAGGTGGATGAGCGCCAAGGTCAGGCGCTCGGGACCTCCGCAAAACAGTGTTATTGACGTGCCTACGGTCATTGCACTAGACGACGTGGAAAGAAAGAGAGTGAGAGAGGAGCCTGACCTAGTTGCGCTAGCCCGAGGGGCTCAAGGCCGTACTGTCGTCGACGGTGGCGCTGGCGGCGCTGGAAATGCCCTTTTCCTCTTCATCTCTCTCTTTCTCCCGCTCGTCTACCGCCACAGGGCCACCGCCTGAAACGATTCAACTTTCATCTTAACATAAGATTTCACTACAAACATTTTCACTCGTTTTGTTTCTCTTTACTGTGGTCAATGGTCAGTAGTTTGTCTTGTCAATTCCCTTCTCATTTCGTAGGTTTAACTGATCTTTTATGCAAGTCTGCTGGGAAGGCTGAAGAGTTAAACTTCATCAAAGGTTTTTTCTCCATTTTTCCTGAAAAGCTTTGGAATTTTTAAGTGACTATAACTTATTTGATTACGATGTTAATAAGAGTTCCTACATCCTTCCACTAGTTTGGAACTTCTCCTTCCGAAAAATTTACAAGATCCACTCTTTCAAAATTTTTCTTTATCTTCTCGAGCTTTTCGAGTAGGATTGTAAAAAAATTCCATAACTTCAATTTTTCTGACGTATCTTTTCGATTCCATACTCTCCTCCAGATTATTTTTTTTTCTCGAAAATACACAGTTCTTGATTATTTCAGGCTTTTCACGAAAATCTTCAATTCTGTTCTTAAGTTTTTTTTTCCCATTTGTATCAACTCATTTAGTATTTTCGAAGCATCTTCAGAAAAATCGTCATTTTAGCCACCTTCAAATTTTTTCAAATAGTTTTGTTTGGGTTTGTGAAGATTTTCATTATTTCTTCATAAGTGCACTATTTTGAAAATTTTCCACTCTTCAAAAACTTATACACTCTGTCCAGATCTTCGGGCAAAGTTTTCCAGTTTCAATTGGATTGACGAACGTTGTTATATTGCCGGTATACCTATAATTTATGTACAGCTTTCAAATTTTATCTTTTTTACGGAAAAGCGGTCAGTTATTCCTTCAAACCGCTTTTCATGTAAAGCATCTAAAAACACTCTAAAACATTATTCCGACTCTACTAAAAAACTACAGAATGTTCTAAAAGATTTTTAAAAAAGCCAAATTTGTTTTCTTTAACGTGACAGCAATTTTTCAGATAAGATCGTTTTTTCTTAACATTGTCGGGGTTATGGGCTACAGCCAAATGGAAAGTTTTAACTTCAAGGTTTCTAGAAGACTCTGGTACCCATGACCATTTAACACATTCGAAACTTTTTTTTTCACCTAAATCAGGGAAAAAAGTTCTCTGACCAAGAAGTCGTAGTACAATAAAGGTGCCTTGGTCCCATTGTGTTGCCTATCGGCTTTGGCCAGTCGGCCATTCGAATCTTCTTTCCGCGGCCAGCAAGTTTTCCATTTCTTCTTCTTCTTCGTTGTCGTCTTTTACAGGCGCCGTTCGCCTCGATCCGTTTTCCTTCATTTTTCGCCTTTGCTGCGCGAAATTGCCGATTTGCATTTGATTTCGATTCGATTTCATCATAAGAGATTTCTGGTTGGCCAGCCGCTTCACGACGCTTGAATTTCGCGCGTTGAGGGCTATTTTTAGACCCACTCATGTTGGTACGATTTGAGGAAGTTCATTCCATTCAAATCTCGAAAAGTCACACTTGAGACTGAGGGTAGGCTACTGTGGAAATTAGAACTTTGAAGATTGTCCGAAGGATCTGGCTGGGTTCTTTAAAGCACAGTAATCTTACATGCCTTTGAGTGACGCTGAAATCGATTTTTCTCCTCGAAACCTTCAAGAAAATATCTATGTTACTTTAAAATCTCAGTAAACTTCCGTAAGATACTTTTTTTGACATTTTCAGCATTTTTTCACTTATATATTTTTTCTCTCTTTAAAAAACTTTTCGTTGGCATTTTCTCTAACTCAGAAGCCTCTTTCAACTTCTTTCAGTCTCTCAATTCTCATGGAATTTACTTTTGGCGTTCAGAAAAGTTCCAATTTTTTCTCCGCATTCGCATTCAATGCTAATTTTCAGTTGATTATTTTTGAAAATAGCCTTTTTGTATCGAGATACCCCTTTTTCTTATTTTGAAATTTTAATTTTGAGTCTTAGAAAACGGATTTCAAATCAGATGAAAATGTTCAAACTTGTTCAATGTTGCGATAGTTTACTCGTCCTTTCGAAGGCCAGAAAAAGAAACCTAACCCAGATAACTTTGAAAAGTACATTGACACAGGACGCCTCAAATCCTGACGGCAAAAAAGTGACCCAAGTGGGTGCCGTCACAATTTTCTATGCTAATTTTCCGCCGTCGACCTTGTGCCCACTAGAATACAAAAAGGATGGAAGAAAAAGTTTTTTTTCTCTCTCTCTTTCCAATTTTTCCGACCATCCGGCCGTAACCCTGGTGCCAGTCGGTGCTCGACTAAGGTGTGCGCGAGAAAATCGCCGCAATCGGGGGGCGGGGCTTGGGCCGAGAGGAGGCGTGGCCGCGGTTTGCAATTGCGTGGCACACGTAAAAACAACAATAACACGGTTTCGGCGGCGGCAAAAACGTGGGAAAACGATTGATGAGAACAATTGGAGGCCCCTTTCGATTCGAATAATTTCATTTGTTAGATAGGCCCGAAGGAAATTGTCCAAGGTCACAAGAAATAAGTTCAACTCGGAAGTTGAACTCATCAAAAAGCTTGAAGAAAATTAAGACAATATGAATAAGTCTGGCGTGTCTGCGCTCTCTGTTCCCTCATTCACATAAAAAATGCAAGAAAGCCAAAAAAAAAGTCGAAATTTTTAAAATTCGCAAGCTTGAAAATGTAACGGTAGCTTCAAGTTGTATCCGACCCAAAACGACTCAAGTTTTCTCACATGAAAAGCCAAGTGATAGGACCAAAGCCATATGAGGTGGAAGTCAGAGCGAATAAAGTGAAATTATGCGAAGTTTGTTGATTTATATAGAAATCCAATCCGAAATCTTTCTCGAAAATAAATCCGAATCAGCCTAACTTGTTCGCTCCGAAGATAATATTCATGCCGAAAAATGGTCTTTTGTCCTGATCTTGGATTCAATTTACGATAGCTATTTGCTTTTTGACCATTTTCGGTTATTGATCTCAATCCAGATTCACTAATCAGTAGAAATTTCAGCTTTTCAAAAGCTTTAGCATTCAAAAATTCGTTAGTGTCTTTTTTTCTAGAAAAAGGAAATGTTTCAAATGTCCACGAGGCAAGATTTATTCAGGACCGAAGCCATTAGAAAAAAAAACCAGCTTGGCAATCTCGTCGGTCCGGTTTTGAGTTGGTTCCTCAGTGGCGCGAGGCTTTCATCTTTTTTTTTCGAATTGCCAGACTTCTAGGTTCAAAGTCTGATTTTTGCGGGGTTTGTCTTATTTTCAAAGTTATAAACAATAAAACAAGACTACTGATTATAGTGAAGAGAAATGGCTTTTTCTCTTAAATTTTAAACCTTGCTTTTTTATTCTCAATATTTTGCATATAGTCGAATGATACCTAGAGTGGGCACTTGATTTGAGTTCCCCTAAATGGCAAGTTCTATTTTCCTTGAATAAAAAGTGAAAAAAATTGGTTTTATCAAGATTCGATGAACTTTGTAGAGGTACTTTCGGATATGCAGATTGATAGCCCATCAAAAAAAAATGGGAGGTTTACCTTTCAGTGCAGCTTTGAAGTCTCAAAGACGCAAAAAACCCCTTTTACATCACTGCAATGGTTGATTTCAAACTCTGAGCTCCCATAACTTGGCTAGAACGCCTTCTTTTCTGTTCTGAAGCGATCAAACATTTTCGAAGCCTCTGTTTCGTCAAGATCTGATACCAACGTCTTAGGAGCTCCCCTCCTAGTTCATTTCGCAGCATAATCTCATTTCAAAACGACGCCCAAAAACAGAAAGTCGTGTGCGAAAGTGCACCCCAAACAACAGCCGACGGTTGGCGAAGGCTTGGATTGGCTTCGGCTTCGGCCCACGTCGACAGAGAAGTGAGACCAGTCTTCGGCTGACGGAACTCGCTCCTCTCCCTAGAATACGCACTAAAAAGCGAGTGGCCATTATGTAAGTGCGGGAGGGATGGACGGTCACATATACATGTGCCTCCGACCGAATACCGGTTTCGATTCGAGGCGTCCCAATCCACGGACTTGCGCGTCTAAACTTTTCCAAGCCAAAACGTCCAAAACTCGCTCGTTTCACTCGTTTTTTTTCTTGGTTGTTGACTAAATTGAATCGTCCTTTTTTTGGAAGTTGTTGCGTCACAGTCGCTTTGTCCAATACTTTTTTGGCTTGAACTGAATTTAAAGGAAAGATTTTATTCTCCTTCGATCTACCTATATGAGTTTCTTTTCCTGCTTTCCATTGACTTATCAAGACGCTCAGAATTTTCGTATTCTTTTTTTTTCTTTCTGAAGATGTCGGCTGCCAGCTGTTTTAGATCTTTGCTCAGTTACTATGTATGCTTTTTAAACTGAAACGAATACTATTCATTTCAGTTTAAGATTTTTTGGATTCCAAATTTCAGGGCATCTTGAGATTTATAAAGTTTTCCCAGTACTTTCTCCTGATTTTTATTCTGTCTCTTAACGATTTTTCGTGTTTTTCTTCCTTCAAGATGGAAAAGAAAACTTCCTTGGTGGCGCTCGGAATCGCTCAAAGCGGCGCGGTTGCGTCGCTGCTGGAATCGAGCCATTCCCCTTGCGACCACCGTTTCTTGTAATTTTTCTTTGAACTTATTCTCACTCCCTCACCCACGATATCTAAATTCATAGAATTCATTTTGGAACAGCCGACCTTCCTTTTAGCCTTCTCCATACAGAAACTTAAATACAATTTTTTTTTTTTTTGATGGAATAATACAATTGGAGTAATGGGATTGTTCTTTTTAGGGCCCTTGAGCTTTTTGCAGTCTTTTTTTGTAATAAGATAAGCTTTGAAGCCGGGTTTTTCGAAATTGAAAGCTAGCCTTTTCGTTGGAATTTTTCACTGCATTCCTAAAATTAATTTTTCCTTTTTCTTGGAATTTAAATTCTTCTTCACTTTTTATTTACAAAACACATTCCAGAGGTTCACAGGAAGTCTTCAATGACCTCCAAACAATACTAAAAATGGCAATCCAAATCAATCATTTTCTTTCAGATCACTTGTCTTTTTTTTAAGTCAGATGTAATTGACTAGGCGGCGAACAAGAACTTTAAAAGCTATAACGAACAACCGCCTTTGGCGAACTAGAAGTCCAAACGTGTAGTTGATCAAGTTGAAAATTTTACACTTCGCCTTGATACCTTTGCAAAATTTATCTGCACACTTTTAAAATCCCTATTGAGGATATTTTGAACTGACCGTGTTTTTGAGGTTTTGTTTTCTTTCTTTTTGAAGCCTTTCTCCTCCTTGTTTATGTCCTCATTCCGTCCAAAATGACGTATCGGGGTCAGTTTCGAAAAATCTCGCTGATGGACATTTTCGGTTTCATTTTGCTTCTCTAGAGTGACCACTCGGGAGAAAACAATCCAAGAAAAAGTCCGGCGTCATTTTCTGATAAGACGATCGATATAATAACCCCCGCGGCGAAAGTGTTATCTGCCACCGCCTCCATCCAAGCTTGAACCACCAGCCAACCAGTTTTTCCTGATATATTCTTTTTTTTCTATTGATTTCTATCACTTTTTTCTCAATCGATATCTTGCCAAGAGGTCAGGAAGTAATGAGAAACGTTAGCAGGACCTCGATTGGATGGGCGAAGACTGCGGAGACGGTAGTTCGGCGGGAGCACCGCCGCCGCCTCCCTTCGGCGCCGCTTCTTCCTCCTCGACTTCCTCGTCCAATCACCACGTTCCGCCATCTCCCGGTACTTTCAATGAATCGCACCTTATTTCGATCCATTTCTTAAAAAGAAACTGAGCTTTTTCAAAACTTTTTTTCAATTGGAAGTTCGACACCGGTTTTTTTTTTCGATTTCAAAGTTTAAAAGAAAAAAACAAATCGATGAACATTTCACATGAAAAATGAGCCGTAAATGAAATATTAGTTCAAGAAAACAGATTTTATATTATCCGAATTTCGGCTTTTTCAAAAAAATCAATATTCGAAGGAGAGTTTTATAAGTTATTATAAATTTTATAAAAAATTTTTTTATTATTGTAAATAGCGCGAATTCTAACCTAATTCTACCAAAAAATAATAGTGACTTTGAGCACCCACATGGAGTTTATGCTACCCAAAAAAATTCAGTATTTTTCGAAAGTTAATTTTGAAAAAAATTTGGAAAAATAAAAAAACTGCGGAAAAACAACTTGTTCTATTTTTTTAAACATGAATTGAAAGAGAATTTTGTGAAATAAAAAAAGACGACAAAAAAATCAAAAAAATGGAGAAGAGCATCAGAAGTTCATCACAACTGCTCCGATAAGCAAGTTTAGTTGTTAGAAAGAAATGATAAAAAGTTTCTCGACGGAATCTCCGTCAGAACGATGCAAAAATGATTTTTGGATTCTTCGCAGCAGTTTCGAAAATACCAATAGGGCACGCTGCAAAGAGCCCGTTTCGTTGCTAGCTTTTTGTTTCGTTTCACTTGATTACGCTTTATCGCATGTTTGTTGAGCGTTATCGCGTCGCGACTTTCTGGCGCCGTTTCGTCTCGGCGGCGGTAAATTTGAAATATGAAAACGGTTATGAGAATTTATTGTGTTTGCGAAGTCTTTTTATGGCTTTCTTCATTATTTATTCACCTTTTCTAAAAATTCTAAAAAATTATTCCAGTCAAGATGAAAGTTTTTTATAATTTGGAAATTTTTTTGACTTTTTTTAATCGATTTCTTCGAATTCCTCCTTAAAAATAATGAGCAAGATATTTACTTTTTCGTAGTCTTATCAGTAATTATTAAAATATTCTTGCTTTTTTACCTTATTTGAAATCGAAACCCTCAGCTTAGACTCAAAAATAGGATTTTGAAACAGTTCATGGGAATTTACTAAGGAATAGACTAATAATACCCTTGAAGACATGTAAATTCTTTTTTTTTCGAAAACATTTTTTATTCCAGGTACTCGAAGCGACGTCGACTGGAGAGATGTCAGCGACGAAACTTTCGTGGAACTTTGCGTCTTTCATGTACCCGATAAGCCTTTACATAACCAGGCACGAGAAAACCTTGAAAAAATGCTTAAATAAGCCGTATTATCTCCAGGATCTCAAGAATCGAGCGATGACGTCATTGCCGATCAACCTCACCCTCAGGCCGTCGACACGCGAGCCGAATGTACGTCCTTCAGGCTATCATTGGATAACGTGAGCAACGTTTTAGAAGACGTCCATTTGGGCGGTGGATTACATCCCGAAGGGCGCGAGATTCGGTCCGATCGTCGGCGAATCGAGACTCACCCCGGCGGATTCCTCGATGCTCTGTCCTGCCGAGGCGTCGATGGCCGGCGCTGGCTCGAGGACCACCGAAATGCCTTTCGATGAGGAGATCGAAGAATGGAAGGTCCGTATCGAAGGCACAGAAGCAGAAGAAACCATTGGGTCTGACAAAGGACTTAGGGACTCCAGAGTGGTCCCTAGAGTTGAAACCTTAATGGCACTTGAAGATTCCCCTCTAGCGTCCACTTTACCTTCCCCTAAGAAGACACTATAGCTTGAAGAACTTTCATTCCGAAACTTAAAAAATTAGCTTTTTTCAGAATGAAAAATATCAACAGAACCGCCTTATTTTCACCCCTCTAGGGGTTACTCTGGCGATCTTTTGGTAGTTTAAAGATGGTGCTGACGTAATTTTTCCTTTCGTGATACCTATCTTCTTTCTTCTTACGCCTTTGTACCGCTTGAGCGGTGTCGGCGCCCCAAGTCGATTAGCCGAGGTCCTATCCTGATATCAGTGGACTGGCTCCAGTGACATATCCGTCCTTGTGTGTGACGGCTGGGGATTTTGAAGTCGTGGTTTCCCACTACCAACATTTCTTAAACCCCTTGGTTGGGTCGGGGCGGGGATCGAACTTGTGACCCTGTGGACCGTAGACAGGCACACAACCTGTTCCGCTACGGCGCGCCCCCCTTTCGTGATACCTATCAATAATGCAATTGGGGAATATTGGGCACATTCTGAATTTTTTTTTTGAATTTCTTGTTTTTTCTTTATTTGAAAACTCAATAAGAACTTTCAACTTTTCTGAGAAAAGTGAGCAAAAGGAGAAAATCGGGAATAAAAAAAATCATCAAACAGTTTTTTTCAAGATCATCTCCCCTTCCGGAGGTCGTGTCCTGAAGACTATCAAGGTGGTGGACAATGCCAGGTCCAATTGGATGAAGTTCGTTCCGATCGCCAGCAGCGACGATTCCCAGAACCTCATTGCAGCTCAGGTACTTTGGAAAAAGTTAATTTGGATTTTTCTGTTTTTTTTTTCTTGGCTTCCTATCGACAGTAGACGCTCAGTTCTGGCAAACAAATGTATTTTGTTCTCTTTTTATTTCAGAGACCCTAGATCTAACTAATTTAAGTTTGAATCTTCAGATCGATCTTAACTTTTAACTTTGACTTTGACTTTAGGCTTTTTCATTTATTCTGACACGCTAAGTTGTCGGCTACGAGATATAAATTGTGCTTCTAGATTTACCTAACTAGGGAATGGTCTCCATTCGCAGTGGGACTTCTGAATGAGACTAGGATCACTAGATGTAGTTTTTTACGCTGATTCCAAATCTGGTCTGAAAAACTGCCCTCGAGACCTGTGAAAAAAGTTAGGGGCTCTCAAAGTCGAAAAATTTTATGTCTTCGATTGAGCTCATTTTTGGAGGGTATATAGATCTTGTCCCTCTTGTCACGAAAAACCATCAAGTTTCTCTCAAAAAAATTTCGGAGCCCAGATATGAACTTTCAAAGCCCCGCCTAACACAAGAGCATGCGAGCGCGGTGTCCTATGGCGATCCGACGGCTGTCGAAGCAACGGCAGCGAGGAGCAGTGGTAAGGCGGCGGACTGGGGATCACGAGGTCATAGGTTCGGTGCCCACGCTGTGCAAACTTTTTTTGCAATTTCTCCTTTTTTGGATACTTTCGTCTAACTGCTCCTTTTTTGAGTTTTGAGGCGTATAAACACGAAAAAACTGCGTTTTGAACCTATTCCAACAGCTGAAATTCTTTTTGTCGCAAATTTTTTTCATGAAATTTTTCGTGATTTTCCATGTGTATGAGCATGAGTTGGAGTGTCAAAATTTTCAGAAAAAATTTTTTGGTTTTTTTTTTCTTTTTTTCTTTTTCCAAAAGCTGTCTGAACCGAAGTCATCACAGCTACGCTGACCGACCACAGAAAAAAATTTTTTTCTTCAAAAAACCCTTCGTTATTTGCAGTGGGCTCACCTATGACCATCGCATTTTGCCAGAAAAATTCCCGCGATTTGCCCCAAATGTAAAAGATTGAAAATGTCCAAAAAACTTATATCTCAAAGAAACTTCATTTTTCTTATTTTCAGTTTCTTTTTTATTTTGGAACTTTCTACTCGCCGAAGTCTGACTATAACCTTTCAAAATTTTCATTGAACGGAAGTTTTTAGTAAGGTTTTTTTCTATTAATTTTATTCACGGATCAAAGGAAGCCTCCTTGAAAGTTTCAGCAAAAACCTGAATTAAATTTGGATGATTTTTTTTTTCTCGTGAAGAGTTAAGTGAGCACCGCAGTCTGAAAAAAATTATTGAAAAATTTCCGCATCATCTATCAGCGTAGCTGTGATGAATTCGGTCTTGACAGCTTTTGGAAAAAGAACAAAAGAAAAAAAAAACCAAAAAAATTTTTTTTTGAAAAATTTTGACAATCCAACTCATGCTCATATACATGGAAAAAAACACGAAAAAAATTTCATGAAAAAAATTTTGCGACAATAAGAATTTCAGCTGTTGGAATAGGTTCAAAACGCAGTTTTTTTCGTGTTTATACGCCTCAAAAACTCAAAAAAAGGAGCAGTTAGACGAAAGTATCCAAAAAAGGAGAAATTGCAAAAAAAGTTTGCACAGCGTGGGCACCGAACCTATGACCTCGTGATCCCCAGTCCGCCGCCTTACCACTGCTCCTCGCTGCCGTTGCTTCGACAGCCGTCGGATCGCCATAGGACACCGCGCTCGCATGCTCTTGTGTTAGGCGGGACTTTGAAAGTTCATATCTGGGCTCCGAAATTTTTTTGAGAGAAACTTGATAGTTTTTCGTGACAAGAGGGACAAGATCTATATACCCTCCAAAAATGAGCTCAATCGAAGACATAAAAGTTTTCGACTTTGAGAGCCCCTAACTTTTTTCACAGGTCTCGAGGGCAGTTTTTGAGACCAGATTTGGAATCAGCGTGAAAAACTACATCTAGTGAACCTAGTCTCATTCAGAAGTCCCACTGCGAATGGAGACCATTCCCTAGTAAGCTTTAACCTAATCTATACATTTCAATTTATCTGCTTAATTTTTAAGGCGAGGCACAGTTTTTTTTTTGAGTTGCCGCATGTATATTCAACAATAAAGCTTGCATTTAATGAGATTTCCAAAGTACAGCTTGAGCCCTGAGCTTGAACTTCTCTGAGAAAAGCAATTCCGGAAACCGTATTTGAATCATCCTATTCGAACTTGTTGCAGTCAGGAACGGACATCTTCTTCTACTCGATGAAGGCGATCAAGCCGAACACGGAGTTGAGTTTCTGGTTCAGCCGCGACTACGCCCGCAAGTTCAACTACCCAAAATCCTGCCAGCAGATCACCAAGAGTTTGTCCAAAAATCGTCTCGAAAATCCACGAAATCGAAATCTTGCAGTTAATCGATCGTCGCTGGCGCAATCGGCTGCGGCGGAGAGACCTTGTTCGCCTCAGCAGGCCATCGATTACAGCGTCAAGAAGGAGGTTGATCTCGAAGGGGTCGCTTCAGGGACTGAGACGGTTTTTCAGCAGGATGTACTACTCGAGGCGTCCAGCGCCGATGAGAAGTCCTACAGCGACTCTGATTCTTTCATGGACGAGGCCACTAGCGAAAAAAGCAATATTTCGCAAAGGTATAGCTGGAGACTCGGAGAAAGCTTCACTTAAAAAATAGATAAGCATGCACATGTTTAGAGAAAAAAATTCGAATTGGACTTCACGGCTTTTTCTCATTTCGCTGAACCGACACGATGTTTCAGTTCGACTCCGCCATCAACGGCTTCGTCGACGGCCGCAGCCGAATGCCAATCTCGGCCCAACGTGATCCAGAATCCGGTGGTTCGGCCGGTCCCGACGCGCGTCACCTCCTTCTCGACGCCAGTTCGGCCCTCGCCGCTCAACCCGCTTACCATCTTCCAGGACTACTTCCGTCGCACACAGCAGCTCAGCGAATCTTTGAGTTAGTCTGTTTTTTTGCATATATTGTTCTCCACTAAAATACCGAGATGCGTTGTCGCTGGCGGCTCATTGACTGCGAAAATGCTGCTCTTTCGCCACGCAGATCTTGGATTTCCCTCGGCCCGAATTCGCTCTGTTCTTGGCGTGAACTCGCATTTTGAAATTTTCGAACATTTTTTAGTCCGTGAGAAAAGCGAGAAAAATGCGAGTTCGGAGCAGTTCATTTGCGAGATTTTCAATGTACCGCCACCGTCCTCGCTTTTTTCCCTCTCGCACCTGACTTGGCAATCATCTTTAGTGTTTTTTTTTTCAAATCATTACATTCTACCTCAAATGCAGAAGAAAGGGTTCAAGAAAAACATAAGGATTTTGAAAGCAAAAGACAAATTTGTAGAAAAGGGGATGGTTTGCAAGTGAAGCCTTAGCAAGAAAATAACTTTTTAGCTCTCAAAGTTACTCAAATAATCGACAAATATTTTCTGATATTCCTCAAAACGCATGGAAAACCTTGGTATAGATGTATGTCGACGAAATCTGTGTCAGACCACGTCATTCGTCGCAAATCGTCTATTGAACTGTTTTTTTTTGTCTGAAAGATTATCCCTCATGTTAACTTTGAACTCTCTTGGCTAAAAATTTTTTTATATAGTTAAAACTTTCTCTTTTTTTTAACAAACTTGGCATCCAACTTTTTTTACCTCGGAAAGAGAAAAACGGCAGTAAGGTTAGAGATTTGAAAAACACTACCTACTTGTCTATTATATATACACTCTTTTCTTTATTTCTTAAATTCCCATAAGACAAATAGTGAAATATCTCCATTCATTCAAAAATTCCCTCGAGAAAAAAAAGGTTGCCTCGAAGGGTCGCAAGTAGGTCGAAAGCTCTCAAAGCGTTGCGAAAAAAGCAGTTTCAAGTTTTTTTTTTCACAAAAAAACTCTCTCGATCAAATCAGAGTAAGGTTCACAAAAAACGACGTAGATAGTTCCAAATTTACCACCTGCGAATATCGCAATTCCGGTACGGGCAATAAAATCTTCTTCATCCACTCGAACATTGCCTCAAATTCGATTTAGCTAAAATTGCAGGCGGAGGTCTTTGGGTGCCGCCGGCGGCCCAGACGGCTGCTGTCGCGGCATCTGGAGGTCGGGTGACGTCAGGACAGCCTCTCGACGTCCAGCCGGTCCTCGCCGCGACCGCCGGGGCTCACTTTGGCAACTACGCGGCCATCTACGGCAGCCAGGACTTTCCTCATGAAATCAAGCCGTTGTTCACGACGGCAACGCCGACATTCGGCGGCGGCGGCTCTGGAGGCATGGGTGGACACTTTGGCGGCAGCGGTCATGCCGGCGCTTTCCATTCGACGTCTTTCGCTCCACCGTCAACGCCCTCGCAACATGACGCCGGTTTCAGTGGCATGCCTAACGTTTGACTGAATCTTCCTAACCAAAAATAATTCATAAGTTCAGTATGTACAGCAGCAGGAGAACGGGAAGACTCGCTACGCCTGCAAGGACTGCCACAAAACATTCGGCCAGCTCTCGAACCTCAAGGTTCACGTCAGGTTTGGCACGTCTTCTGGAGGCGTTTCCTTGATCGAGTTCTTTAGAACGCACACCGGAGAACGACCCTTCAAGTGTGAAGTCTGCGGAAAGGAATTCACGCAACTCGCGCACTTGCAGAAGCATCACCTTGTACATACAGGTGAGAAGAAATGGGACTCAGAACTTTTTTGTTCAGAGGAAAATGAAAACTTCTGAACCATGGCTTGGAGTGAATCAAGGCTAATTTGTTCTTCAGGAGAACGACCTCATCGATGTGACATCTGCGACAAGAGATTTTCGTCGACGTCGAATCTGAAGACGCATCTGCGACTCCACAACGGCCAGAAGCCGTACACCTGCGACGTCTGCAACGCCAAGTTCACGCAGTACGTCCATCTCCGGCTCCATAAGCGACTTCACGCTAATGAACGGCCTTTCTCATGTGGCACCTGCGGCAAGAAGTATATCAGGTTCGGAATTATTATTATTGAAGTTTTTATAAATAGGATTTACTCTTCTTTTACAAGGTTTAGCATCACAGTATCTCCAGTTATTGATTGATTTTTATAGACTAAAAACCGTAAACATTTCTCTTTCAGCGCCTCCGGACTGCGGACGCACTGGAAGACGACGACGTGCAAGGAGGAGGAGAAGGACATCAAGGACGAGGACGAGCTCTCGCTGGTCGACGAGCTCGACCTCCGAGGTCCGGCCTTCCGACAGCCGACGCCGGTTCAGCAGATGCAGGCCCCGCCTCCGCCGCTCCAACAGCAGCAGAACATGCAGCCGGTCCCCCAGCAGCACATGCTCCAGCATCCGTACGCCTCGCTGCCGTCGTTGCACTCGTCGATGACGTCGTCGCCGGCCATGCCAAGCAGCAGCCATATGCATCATCATCAGCCCCCACCTCCTCCTCAACATCATCAACAACTGCCGCCCCTTCACAGTACTATGAACCAGATGCACCATCATCATCACCACGATCCCACAAATCCTCTCCACACCCCTCTACGGCTACCTGACCTCAAAGGTGGCATGTTACCTGGTTTAGGCGCCCTTGGCTATCAATAGGATCTTAATCAATTCTTTTTTCTATGATTATACTGCAATATTGCGTTCAGACTAGAAATACAATAGCTGGCAGATTCGATTGAAGTGGTCACTAGAGGGATTTCTTTTGAAAGAATGACTGGTCCTTTCAGATCGTTCAGTTTGATTCAGCTGCTAGTTGCGTTTTTATTCTGAACGTGACATATGTCGGTCTGGAAGTTTTTAGGTTGGTAAAAATAATAGGATAATGCTTCGAAGTTATTTTGCGAAACGTTGCGAAATGAATCGAAAAAGTTTACTTTTAACGAAAATTTCTTTTTCTCGTCCTAAAAGTGGCAACGAACACCCGGAAGTTTCGAATTTAAAAAAATTAAGACACGATTTCGTTTCATTTTTATAACCTCCAAACTGACAACCCGAAAATTCTGGAATTTCCTATTTTTCCTTCTTCTTTTTGCTTTAGAACTCTTCATTTATTTATTTTTCAATGTTCCCTGCTTGTTAGGATGGCTAGTGACTAAAAATGTAGAAAGTAATTATTCGGATTTTTTTGGTGGTTTAGTTCAATTTTCAAAGTTTCTCCTCTGAATTCCAGCGCCTTAATGTTGCCTTGACTTTCTCACTCACTCACGATCAAATCTGCATCATATTTTACTTTAATATCAATATCATCATATTTATTGCAATCTTTTATCTTCACTTTTGATTTGATTTATTTGTATGCAATTTTTTGATTCGTCTGGGAACAGATTTCCTTGAACTTTGCAGAATCTTGCCCAAACAAAACAACTCGCCGGTAATAAATATTTGAATTGAAGGAATTTGAGCTGGAGAAAGAGAGAGAAAAATCCTTGACTTATACGAAATTTTCACTTCATCCTGTCCATAAATTCGAAGATCTGTGAATTATTGAGAAAGGCGTCTTGAAACGACCTAATAGGCACTTTTTGTATAACAGGTTATAGAAATATGGGATATTTGTATTTTTCCATGATTTTGAGGATCAGTTATATCCAAAATGTTCCTTCTCGCGCTCGAGTCATTTTAACTTGATTCGTCTGTTCAATAATTCGAAAAAATGAAAGTACTGAACGAGGGGGGGAGGTCTGAAAATGACCCAATTTGCGGACTTTTAATAAACTTTTTTAGACTTTGGTTCCTTTTTCTTGATAGTTTCTCAGACCTGCTATTTTCAGAACCTTGTTAAAGTACATTGTAGAGCTTTTCAGCGAAATAAAAGTCTAGAGAAAATAAAATTATTTTGCAATAATTTTGAAAAGAGATATAGTTCGTTTTTTTTTCCTGTTTGAAGGGCAATATGGAGATAAAAGTTGACAATATAGTTACCTTTCCGGGCCAGTTTTTTCTCTTTTTTCTCTTTTTTCTCTTTTTTCTTCTTTTTTTTCTCCAAGTTGCATCAGAACCGTTCCCTTCGACGCCTGTTTCTTTGCATTCGCCTTAATGAAGCCAAACAAAAAGAGCATGCAAAGAAACAGTCCGCGCGAAGAGTTTCGTAGCTCGGAGGGAAAAATGGTAGCAGAATAGTTATACTGCCAATTTTTTTGAGATGACTATAACCACCAAAATAAGTCGAGGAGAAAACTTGAATTAACATTTATTCTTGGTCCGAACACCGCTAAACCAACAGAAGACGTGTCTCCGTCAAAGGTTCTGGGCGGCTTCAAGGAAACTGTGTCCTTCGGAAACTTGTCGGCGAGCGGCGACGAACGACCGCTGCAAAAATTGTTTCGACCGTTTCTCGTGTTTTTCGATCTTTTTTTTCGCGGATTGCCAATGAAAAGATTGAAGAGAAAACCCGCCTGGAGGAAATCTTCGGCGTCGATTTCGCCAATGTCGCCGCCTTCGCTGAAATTTTTGGCGACGTTTTTTGATCGGTTTGATATATTCGCTATGGGGATTTTTGAGGGAGCATAGGCAATCGAAACTCAGAAAGTTTTGTGCAAGAAACAAAGATACTTTAGGTTCTCGGCAAAAATTAGAGCAAGCTATTGGATATGAAGTCAGCTAAAGACACTATTCCAGCCGTAACGCAACTTTAATGCCTAAAGCCATTCCAAGTGCGGCCACGGAGTTCCCAGCTTAATCCTTCTGATAACTCTACTTTACGAATGTTTCCATGTTTTTTTGAGCGATCTTTGAAATTTAAGAAAAAAAACAGACCCATTTTCAAGTTTTCTTGGCTTCCCGTCTTCGCCTTGTTTCAACAACTCTTCCACACAGTTTATCAACGCTTCCTGTTCCAAGCGCTCCTGAAGCCGAAAAATTGAACAAGTTCAAGTCCAAAAACAGGCGCCAGTACATCGGGGCGTAGAAAGACCGGCGAAATCGGCGGCACGACGAAAAACTCGCGCAGTTCGACGTTCCCGTCCGGATCCACCGTACATAATCTCGTTTTTTCCAAAATCACGGAGATATTCTGAGCGTTTTTGTCTTTTTCCAAGGAATATTTGAACTTTCAAACATGCTGGAAGTACTTCTCCGGCCCTTTCTGCATCACTTTTTGCTTCCATTGCACGAATAAATGCCTAAAATTGTGTCCAAAATGAACCCATTCGAAAATTTGTGGGAAAACATTATCTGGACGTCTCGAAAATGCGACGCGTTGCTTTTCCTCAGAGATTTGAGCTCCCCGAGAAGAAGAGTCTGAAATATTATTCTAAATGAAAATAACTGTTAATAAACAGCAAGCTTGTTACAAAGGTCAGAAGAATAGCGAGTTTTAAAGAAATCGAAAAAAAAGAGTTCCGTTCGGCGCTGACTTCGACTGAAATAACTTTCAGACGTCAAACTACGGTGAGAAGCCTTGGAAACACCTTACAACCTTAGGGATTCTTGTACCTTCACTTCACTGGATCTCACATTTCAAATGAGGGGACTAAAACTAAAAATGTAGTACATTTGTGAAAAGCCGGCAACGATTCGGGTATCAAAACTTGATATCAAAAATAAACCGTGAAAATTTCCTCCACTTGAATTTTCTGTTCAAACAACTCCGAGCCCTTGCGTTTCCAACGATGCTCCATGTAGGCGACCGCATTTTCCGGAATGTATTCCTGAATTTCCGAAAATTGAAAAAATTACGAATTGACACTTTCTGACAACATGTGAAAAGGTTCAAGAAAAAACTTTTTTTTCGGTAGTATGAATTTTTTTTTTTTCGGTAGTATGAATTTTCTATGGGCCGGTCCGTAGCCGAGCCATTCTCCGTGGGGCACGATTTTTTTTGAAGTTGAAGTGAATCTACTAGTGATTGGCTCATCTAGAGCATTTCGAATTTATTTGCGAAGACTGATTTTGAAACCAAAAAAAAAATTAATCTCACTCTGCCAGAAATAAACGTTGCATATTTTTCAGCATGCACTTCAATTCATGAAATAAATCACAATAAAGCCTCAAAAATAAATTTTGTCCTTCTAAAGAAATTTTCAACTGATTTTCGAGCTTGAAACCTCCGAAGCCGGATCGGAAAACGGATCAGTTCCCTCGGGCCGCTCCTTGTTCATCTTTGCCGCTTTTCTTGCCAGTCGTTCCTTTCGGGTCCAGAATTGCACTGGTTCGAACTGTGGCGCCAGAAAAGGCGGCAAACGTTCCATGAAAAAATGGGAGGCCTTCGCGTAGGTCTGCACAAAACTTCATATTTGTCAGAACAGCACTTGGAACACACCGAAGGACAGGTGATGATCCCTTGAGCCGCCGAAATGAAGCAATAAGCGAAGGACAACAGGAAAGCCGAGCTTGAAAGTTTCAAAATATCGGTTTGAAACATCTTTTTTTCTCTGATTCACCCTTTTTCTGATTTTTTAGCTTATATTGACACCAACTTTGCAGAAACTTCGTATTTTATGAATATATACCGAAAATTTTACAATTTCACACGAATGATCATACAAACCCAGCGAAGACTTTGTCTTTCGGGTGGTCGGAGGCGAGAATGGTGAAGACCCAAAGAAGCTCGAGACACCAAATGCCGCACAACGACCAGGTGACGTTCCGAAGACACTTCTCCGTCACCTGACCCATCTTAAAGCCGTCGAATTTCTCCAGCTCCGATCGGACCTTCAGATGAAGCAGCGGACGTCGGCTGAAGGTCTTCGTTTTTGATTTCAGATGAGTATTATGAAAGATTGAAGTTTTGTTTCCTCCACCCTCCAATTCTGAAAAAAAAGCGCGCTCCAGTGCACCTTGGCTTCAGATTCAGCTAGCTATAGCTGACACACGGTTAGGTTGAGCCGTCGAAAAAAGGGTCCTGACCAGATAAAAAAAGAGATAGTGTCTGGTTGGTGGAGTCCCGAACTATATTTTCCGCTCCAAGCTCATGATTTAATTTTTTTAATTTATTTTCTCTAACGCAATGACGTCATTCAAAAAGGCGCTGTGGATGGCTTGCTCTGTTTGGTCTATCGCGCATTTAGAGGCGGAGCTTGAGAGAAGGAGAACTGAAAGTCAAAATAAACTATGACTCTGAAAACATTTTTAGAATAGAAGGTTGAGTGCGACAGAGCGCGCTTCGAGAAGAGGGTGAAGCCAAGTTTTGATAGGCTGTAGACGAACTGGATGACCAAGTAGCTGTTCTCCGCAAAGGCCGTTGCGAGAAGTCCCATGCAGAGCAGGAAGAAACCGATGGGGAGCCAGAGATTGGTCGTCAATTCGCAGGTCACGCCGAGGCAGGTCCACGTCGACGCGATCTTGCTCCAGTTGGCGTTGTAGATGATCACGTAAACCGAGATCAGAAACAGGAAACACGGCAGGATTCGCGGCTGGAAGTTCAATAAGGAGACAGAAAATGATGGAAAAAGGTTTCTGGACAGTTTACACGTTTCATAAGCTTCGTTTTTTTTTTTAAACAATTCTCTGAAAGCTGAATGATTCGAGATCAAATAATTTTATTTTTGTGAAATTCGTTAAATTATTTTCAAACTTTCCCGGCTTCAGTGCAGCTCTATAGCACAGTTTTACAGCTTTATCGTTTTTGGTACTCAACAAACTAACCATGGCTCCAAAATACATTCTCTTTCTCGATTCGAAATCGAGGTCCCACTGATTCTTTTGTCGACATCGAAGCACTTCGTTGACGTTGAACCCTTCGAAAATCCATTGAGAACACGCTACAAATGAAGAATAATTTGATACTGGAGTAAAACCGAACCCCAGCCAAAGGCGAAATGAACAATCAGAAAATATAAGCGACAAGTGGTCGGGGAGATTCTCAAAAAGTTCGGATTATAGAAAAACAAGACGCACATCGTGGCAAAGGTCAAAATGACGCCGCGAAGCGTTTGGTAGATCTCTTGTGGGTCCTAAAATCATCTTATTGAGGTGAGAATGACCAAAATGACATTTCTAAAGTAAAAAAAGGTTTGTAGTCGATTCACGAAACATAACCAGGTATTATCTCTTTTTTCTTCGTTATAGGATCCTTTTTTAAATGGCTCAAGCCAGCCGCGAATCAGCTACAAAATATCATTCATCCGACTGGAATGCTCGGGGAACACAAAACCATGAACCTTTAAATTTGAATGACTCTGGGAGAAAACTTAATTTTACGGGTTTTCTTGAATTTCTGTTAACTGTACAATACGAAATTCTCAAACTTTCAAAAAAAAATTTTCGCCGTTAAAGAATCAAAACTTTGAAAAATGAGTTTGGCGTGCTTTTTGTTAAAAAAAATCTCCTGATTTGAGAAGAGAATAGGATTTCATTCCTTGAACCAAATTTGAGGCAGGACGGGAGAAAACACATCTTCATTTTTCTGAAATTTTTTTCGATCGGTTTTTTTTTTGCGCTTTTTTTTGCGCTAGCCTATCTGTCTGAAAATTTGCCAACTTCCATGAAAACGTAGGAAATTTACACGCCGCACTCACGTCTTCATCGTTGGCGATGATGACCTTGCCAAGAAGTTTCGACAAAAGTCCGAGCACACTCCAAAACGACAACTGTACAGCAACCATCGCTGTGGCGTCCGCCAGATCGATTCGTCCCTTGGAAGTTCCTTGTTTCTTTTGTGTTCAATCGGAAGGCCTACGATAAAAGAGCTCGAATTTCGATGGCTGGCCGGATTCCGGTCAACCTCACACAAATCGCCTTCATACCCGAAATCGCACTCACAAACCGCCTGAAGTTATGAATTTGAAAACGGTTTTTGATTTCCCAGAAGTAGAACATTCAACTCAAAAGGGGAAAGGAGGAAAAATAGCAAAACCGTGACAAGTATTAAAAAGAGACGACTGAGCAAAATATAAAAGCTTTATTGATAAAACAGAATGCGACTCGGGCCTTGGTAACGAAAATCGGACGCGCTCCGGATTTTTCTGATCAGATCTGCGGATCGCTTAAGAGTGCTGAAGCTACTAAAGTGGTTACTAGAAACGTTCGATATCTATTTGATCAAATTTACTTTCCTTTTTTTACGAGATTATATAGATTTTTTTTTTCAAAACAAAAAAATCTCTTTTTGCAAAAAGTTACATGCTCTAATTAAGATGAGAAATTGAAGCAATCTTTGGGGAAAAAAAAAAGAAAAGCAGTCACTTTGGTCGCACGCGAAATGGCTAAACGCGTGACGGTTCCGAAGCGACCCCCGCAAAGCCATTCTAAATGCGACCAGAAGATACCATTCAAGAACAACCTCAACGTCCAACATTTGACACGTTCCGTGATTACTGCACGTGACATTGACGCAGAGGTCCACTTTCTTCCAACACGTTGACATCTGTTCACACTTTCCTGATTACAGTAACCCGACTAGTTTACCATATAGTCTGGGGAGCAGTTACAGTATAAATCGGTAGAATTCTCGTCCGCCGGACCACAGCTTTCCGTGCCGCGTTTGAAGCATTTGTTGCAACTCGAGACGCTTTTCTTCGCCGTCTCCAAAGGTTCTACGTAGTCTGAACTTCGTTTTCAATTCGATCTACGTTTGTAGATGTTTTTCTCGAACCAGTTGCACAATTGAACATTGTCGGGTGGGGAACGAGCTGTCCTCGCGAAGAACAAGACTCCAAATGTTGGGATCCATCCCGACAAGTGAGTCTGAAAATGGTTCTTATTTTCAGACTTTTAAATTTTTCCACAGTCTTTCAAACGGAAAATCTCGAAAATCGAAAAAAAGGTTTTTCAATGCTTATCAACACTTTTTCGAAGAAAAATTTGGCGACTTGAAGATTTCCCTTTTATTCATGTGTTTTTCGCATCGTTTTCTTTTTTTCTGTACTCACTTCGTAGTTTGACCAGCCGCAAGCACAGAGACCTTGGCCTTCAAATTCTCACTCAGCCCGTAAAATTCCAGACTATCGGTCAATGAACACGAAGCAGCGGCGCAATTTTCTTAAACTTTTTCATACTTTGAAAAAGAAGCCCAAAAATCACTCGGAAGTTGACAAATGGCGGAGACGTTGCTGTTGTGATCCGAAACCGAAGCGTTGAAGACGATCGGCGTGGAGAATTGGGTCAGGTCGAAGACGTCGACCACGCGGACGGTCAACGTCGACCTGAACATCTTCGACGCCTCCTCGTTCACGTAGAACAGCTTGAAGTCTTGAGATGCGCTGAAAAAAAAGACAGCTGTACTCCTTTCCGCATAACTTTTCGCAGAAAAATTTCAAAGTGATGATAAAAAATGCTTATGCTTAGGGGGCGCAAAGCCCCGCCCCTTCACGCCACCAAAATGACGATTTTTTTGTTGCAGAAACGGTTTCGAGGCGTTTATACTAGCTAAAGTCCCACTTTAAAAATGAACTGTTTCTGTTAATCTATGTAATCGACAACGCTCTACAAGACTGAATACTTTTAAAACTATGTATTTTTCAAAAATAAGCGAAAAAGTAAGATTTAACACGAAAAAAACTGACAAGTTTCACAAAATCGTCGCGTTTCAGAAAACCAAGTGAGGAACGCTTCTGAATTTTGAGTATGTTATACATTAACACTTTCTTTATTTTTTGAATAAAAATTTAAAAAAATCTAACGACGCGAAAAAAAAATCGAAGCTTGTAAAGTGACACCAAAGTTTGAAGCTGAAATGCGAAAAAATTTCAGCGACATGGTATACTTTTTATTTGTTTTAAAAACTCACAATGTGTTCAAGAATAAAAAAATTCAGAATGAAAAATAATTATTGGGACAGCGAATCAAATTATATTTGAATATTACCAAAAACCTCCTTTTTTTCGTCTGCCTCGTTGACGCATGAGAGAATAGGATCGCTTCTATACTTTTTGATTATATTATTAAGCGTTCAAAACTCTATCAATCAAAAAAACTATGAAAAAAATCAAACGACGCGAAAAAAATAACGGCTTTGAAAACCTCGAAAAAATGGCAATTTTTTTTGAAATTTTGGAAGAATTCGTGCAAGTGTCCGTAGCAGTGTTTGCGTCAAACACACCGATGCGCACTTTTAAATATTGCAGGAGCTGTTTTTTTTGGAGTCAAATTGCACATTTTCCTGTTTTATTTCGAAATAACATTATTTTTTTCATTTTTTTCTTTTTTTCCAAACCAAATGATAATAATTTTTTTCTGATTAGAAAAAAAGAAAAAAATAAGCTGAAAAATTCCTTCTGACCTTTTTTTCTAAGTAGTTTTTTTGATATTTTGTCAAAAAAATTCTTATGAGGATTGTACAAAAGATTCATACCAAAACATGAAGCTTAGTTCGGACAGCCTCTCAGAACAAAAAACCGATTCGAAAACGGTTCAGAAATGCGTAAAAACATTTAAAAAGAAAGCGTGCGGCGGCGGGTAAACCGTGAGATTTTGCCTCCAGTTGTACGCCGCGCGCGTTAGTTTTTTGGCCATAACTTTTTTCTTAGTGGAGCTTTTTTCTAAAACTGAACGGATTATGAAAATGGACAGTCTCCTCTATCGAACAATGTGAAAAACATATTTTTTGGATCGTTTTGAAGAAATGGCTTGCGGACCCTACTTATGCTGCTAGGAATGCGAAGTACAAATTTTCGGAATTTGGATCCATCAAAACTATTCTAATATGGAGTTCTTAGCTTGGACTCAATGGTAACTACAAAAATCAAAATTATTACTGAAAAGAAATGAAAGATCTTGGACCTCCGTAACGTAAAGTGGACGCGCCCTGGAAGTTCCTGAACATTTCTAGTGATTACTTTAGCGACGTCAGCACTTTTAAGTGTTCAAGAACCTCCATGGCAAGCTCGAATTTTTTACCGAGATCTAAGAGAGCAAAAATGGAAATATCTGTTCAGCTTTTCAATTTTGAGTCGTCGCTCATGCTCGGCCTCCAGAGAGCGAGCCATCCACAGAGCGTTTTCGAATGAACTTATTCTACTCGAGATTCAAAATATGAACAGATTATACGTCACAGCGTTCTAAAACGGGGTTGACGCAAAAAGAGGCGCACACTACTCTCAATGGAGCGCGTAACTTGGAGCGTTGTCAATCAAAATCAAGGTGCTTTTTTTTCTTTAATTTACATCCTATTAACTTTTTTCGCTTGTTTTTTGAAGTATTTTTTTGTTTCTATGCACGTAAATTTTTAATTAATGTTTTTAAACGTATTAGAAAGTTTTTAAAGTGTCCATAGCTCGTTAATGTGTCGAAACGTTGTTTATAAAAAGAAAAATACTGTATCCAAGTGACAAAAACCGAAAAATCGAAATTCCAACTCCAAGAATCGATCAAAATATCAGTTTCCAACTAATAACCAAGAAAAAGCTGTCAGTGTCCGCGCAAAAGAGAAAAAAATTTCGACTTGACGAAAAAAATTCAAAAAAAGGTGTAATTGGTCTGTACCTAAGAGGCAAAAACCGAAAAATCGAAATTTCAACTCCAGGAATCGATCACATTATCAGTTTTCAATTACTTAAACAGGAAAAAAAGAATACAAAAATCAAACCTGAGTTAAAAAAATTTCGACTTTCGTGAACAGAACAATTATGTAGTCCTTTGAACCAATCAAACCACAAGAAAATAAACTGCGAAATTTTAAGAGAGTTATAGGAAATGACTAGCAACACTTGGAAACTATAAATGTCAGGAAAAAAAAATGCTAGCCTTCAAATAATCAAAAAATCCGGACTCTTAATTACGACGCGAAAAAGACGATTGTTAGCCACGCCCACTCATGCAACGTCCGCATGCTTTTCAGAAAAGGGGCGGGAACCCCGCTTTAGAACGCTGTGACGTTTCATTGATCTATAGACCACCATTAAAGCTAAATCCATTTGCGCGGAAATTAAAAGTTACTCTGAAAAGAGGAGCTATTTTTTGCTATTTATAGTACACGGCGTTCTGCGTAGTGGAAGAAAATGTAAAAATTTTGAAAATGCGGAGCGGCTTTGAAAGGTTGCTCCACCTAGAGTTACGGTAGACAGCTTGCGCGCGAACATTTGAATTTCTTGTTGCTCAAGTGCTTCAGGTTATTTTTTATGTTTATTTCAGTTGTATCTTCATCTGTTTTGTTCTGATTTACGGTAATTATTTTTTATTGCGACAGCAAAATGCGAACGAACTTTTTTTTCAATTTTCAATGTTAACTGCTGGGTTTTGACAAAATTTCCCCTTTAAAGCAAAAAGCCTTTCATACACATTTTTCAGTGTCAAATTAAATTTTTTTATTCGAATCAATCAATCTCTTCATTTTCGCAACATCAGAATGGTATGGCGATGTTGCAGAGGAGAAAAAAATACCACCAGGTGGATGAACTAAACTAAATCTGTGAAGAAAAACTTTTTTTAATTTTTTTAATAAGTGCGGAAAGACACATAACCACAATAAGTCCTTTTCGGCACAAAATTTCACGTTTTTCACTGAAAAAAAGGACTATAACTAATTTTGAGGGTGAAAGGTATAAAATTGTTCAGAAAATAAGAAAAACTTTCACCCAAATGTTTTTTGTCAACTAGAAAAGGAATTGTGAAAGGATCGATTTTTTTTCAAGTCTGTAATTTTGAGAAAAACGCTATTTTTCGAGGAAAAAAATTATTTTCGAATTTAATGAGTATGCAAGTTAGCGTCGCTCTGTGTATGCACCAAAGACGTCAAATATTACGGAAATTGTGGGAGGGGCGTCGTCAAAAGAACGCCGTGAGTAAACCATTCGACACACCACAAAAAGCTCCACAAGAAGAAAAAACGTTTCATTCCTTCAAAATATTTCAGCAGTTTATCAAACCTTTGCAAATGCGATTACAAACGTTACAAAAAAACCTTTGTGATTTGAAGAGATCCAGGTTCTTCGCGTCCCGAAGCATATAAATTCCTATCATGTCTTGATCAGGAGTGTTTCGGCACGCGCTCAAAGCCTAAGAAGATCAGATTTTAAAAGAAACAAAAAATCGAAGACATTATTCACGTATTTTGGTTTGTTTAAGCTTTCTTAAGACTTACTTTCTGATAAGAAAGCGTTCTCGGTAGTGTAATGAATAAGAAACAGGCCCCTTCGCCTTCCAAATAACCTTCTGGACAGCTTTCGGCGCATTTCGCTGAAAAGTTCAAAACCTCTAAGTAAATCAGAAAATAATTTAATTACCTCTTCTGGTAGTTGTGATCCACTCTTCGGTTGTGGAACTTTCTACGGTTGATGTCGTTGCGGCAGATGGAGACACTGGCGGACTGGAAGGAGTCGAAGATGGCGCTGAAGACTTCTGAGTGGTTGAAGTTCGTTCTGAAGACGATGAGAAGGTCTCAGAAGCTGATGAAGAAGGTCTGCCGGAAGACGCGGTTGAGAAGTTTGATTCCGAAGACCGTGGGAGTGTAGCAAGGCTAGAGGTGGTAGAATGTTCAGAAGACGTCGTTGAGGAGCTGAAATCAGTAGCCGATGGGAGTGTGGCAAGGCTAGGAGACGTAGAACTTCCAGAAGACGTCATATCAGGGGATGGTGGAAATGTTACAGAAGAAGGAGCTCTAGGAGACGTCGTTGAAAAGCTTGCAGATGATGAAGTTTCTTCTGATGCTGAAGATGAAGTTGAGGATGCCGTTGAAGAAGTGTCAGTCGTCTGTTCTGAAGTTGTTGCCGTCGTTTCGGACGTTTCAATTGCTCCAGAAGTTGACGTTGATTGCATAGTAGTTACGACAGATGATGAAGCAGTCGAGGTGGTTGCAGATGTCTGAGAAGCTGATGAAGTGTCTGACGTAATCGGGAAAATCGTTGGCAAAGGCGTCGTCGTTTCTGTTCCTGAAGTCATCTCCGAAGTGGTCGTAGCACTGGTGGACATTGAAGTTTTTGAAGAAATAATCGAGGTTGATGGAGTGGGGTGAGTAGCGAAAAATGTTGACTTTTTCGTAGAAACAGCTAAAGTTGAAGTTGTATGTTGATCAGTAGGAATCAAGGTACTGCTTTTGCTTAACGTAGAGCTCAGTCTTGTAGACGTGTCTGAGGTCATCGAATTACTGGTTGAACTTGAACTCCAAGTTGTGAAATTTTCTGGAATGTTTTGAGCACTGCTTGAGGTAGAACGTGGCCTCGTAGACGTATCTGACGTCAACGGAATACTTGTTGAACTTGAACCGAGTGTTGAAGACATGCTTGAAGCTGTCGGAGTGGGCGTTGAACTTGAACTTGAGGCTGTTGAAAAACTTGAGGTCGACGTGATACTACTTGAACTTGAAGTTGGATCTGAAGAAAAGGCTGACGTCATCGGAGTACTGCTTGCAGCTGATTTCAAAGTTAAAAGGCTGCTTGACGTCATCGAGATAATGGTTGAACTCGAACTTGGATCTAAAGAAGTGGCTGATGTCATCTGCGTACTATAGTTTCGAAAATTGACCGCTCGACCGACCGTTCGACCAATATTTTTTCAACATGTCATAATAAATGGTCATTGGTCGAACGGTTGGAGTTTCAACATTTCAACATGTCACTTCAGAATGACATGTTGGTTTTTGACCGTTCGAAATGTCACTCTGAAATTGGTCGGTCATTTTTCGAACGTTCGAAATGTCACTTCGAAATTGGTCGGTCATTTTTCGAACGTTCGAAATGTCACTTCGAAAATGGTCGGTCAGTTTTTGACCGTTCGAAATGTCACTCTGAAAATGGTCGGTCATTTTTCGAACGTTCGAAATGTCACTTCGAAATTGGTCGGTCATTTTTCGAACGTTCGAAATGTCACTTCGAAATTGGTCGGTCATTTTTCGAACGTTCGAAATGTCACTTCGAAAATGGTCGGTCATTTTTCGAACGTTCGAAATGTCACTTCGAAAATGGTCGGTCAGTTTTTGACCGTTCGAAATGTCACTCTGAAAATGGTCGGTCATTTTTTGACCGTTCGAAATGTCACTCTGAAAATGGTTGGTCATTTTTCGAACGTTCGAAATGTCACTTCAAAAATGGTCGGTCATTTTTTGACCGTTCGAAATGTCACTATGAAAATGGTCGGTCATTTTTTGACCGTTCGAAATGTCACTCTGAAAATGGTTGGTCATTTTTCGAACGTTCGAAATGTCACTTCAAAAATGGTCGGTCATTTTTTGACCGTTCGAAATGTCACTATGAAAATGGTCGGTCATTTTTTGACCGTTCGAAATGTCACTATGAAAATGGTCGGTCATTTTTTGACCGTTCGAAATGTCACTATGAAAATGGTCGGTCATTTTTTGACCGTTCGAAATGTCACTCTGAAAATGGTCGGTCATTTTTTGACCGTTCGAAATGTTACTCTGAAAATGGTCGGTCATTTTTCGAACGTTCGAAATGTCACTTCAAAAATGGTCGGTCATTTTTCGAACGTTCGAAATGTCACTTCAAAAATGGTCGGTCATTTTTCGAACGTTCGAAATGTCACTTCGAAAATGGTCGGTCGGTTTCGTAAATTTCAGAAATTGGTCGGTCAAACGAACGGTCAGAAAAATGACATGTTATAACCGTTCGAAAAACTGAACGGTCATATCAGTTGAACGGTCTAATTGGTCGAACGGTCGAATTTTAGAACACTACTGCGTACTGCTTGAGCTTGGCGTCGTCAAAGTTGTTTTGGACGTCGTAGGAGTGCTAGTTGAGGTGGAAGTAGTGGTTGGCGTCGTAGTAGAAGTGACAGAGGTCTGGGGCATAGTTCTGGTCGTTGAAGTCGTAGACGTCGTCGAGGGCGTACTGGTTGAAGAGGTCGTCGGTGTTCTTGTAGGTGTTGTAGAAGTGGTAGGAGTACTACTGGTCGGAGTCGTGGACGACGGAGTGGTTGTAGAAGTGGTAGAAGTGGTAGAAGTGGTAGAAGTGGTAGTAGTACTACTGGTCGGAGTCGTGGACGACGGAGTGGTTGTAGAAGTGGTAGAAGTGGTAGAAGTACTACTGGTCGGGGCCGTGGGCGTCGGCGCGGTCGTAGGTGTTGTAGAAGTGGTAGGAGTACTACTGGTCAAAGTCGTCGACGACGGAATGGTTGTAGGTGTTGTAGAAGTGGTAGAAGTGCTACTGGTCGGGGTCGTGGGGGTCGGCGTGGTTGTAGGTGTTGTAGCAGTGGTAGGAGTACTACTGGTCGAAGTTGTGGACGACGGAGTGGTTGTAGTAGTGGTAGAAGCCGTAGGAGTACTACTGGTCGAAGTTGTGGACGACGGAGTGGTTGTAGTAGTGGTAGAAGTCGTAGGAGTACTGCTTGTCGGTGTAGTCGTGGAAGTCGGCGTTGATATAGTCGTGGTAGAAGTCGTGGGAGTACTGCTGGTTGTTGAACTTGTGGATGAAGTAATTTTTGAAGTTGACATTGTAGTTGTAGTTGTTGAGGTGGAAGTAGAGGTAGTAGGAGTGGTTGACGTCGTTGTAGAAGTCGTCGTTAGCGAGCAGTTTGTGAAATCTTCCATTTCTACCATTTTGCAGAGACCATCCGAGAACCAATTTCTCACACTCCCGCTTATGCAGTATGCTTAAAATTATAAAAAAATAGATCTAATTTTCTTTTAACATACATAGATTGTAGGTTGTACTTTCAGCGCGTACTGAGGAGCCTGGAAAAAAAAATGGATTGCATAATTTAGAGTTTTTGGAACTTTGGAATTTTGAAAATTATTGAGAACGTTGGACCAAAGTACACACTTTTCGAAAAAGTTCACTTTCAAGTCTCCACTCAACTTAATAAAAATTTTCAAGAAAAACGTTCAAACCTCCGATTCCTAATACAATCATAAGCCTGAATAGAAGCATGCCGGACGGCATTGCTTCTCGAAAAAATGAAGGAAAGCTGAAACTTTGCTCCTCTTTCTCAAGTTTTCCCGAATGGCTATCCATTTTGTTACTACTGGTAACGTTTCCGGTTGTCTTGGAGAAAAAATTTGAAAAATGAAGATTGCTCTCTTTTGAACTCGTCGAAACTCAAAAGCAAACTTATATTTGAAAAAAGAAGACCTAGTAAATTAAATATTTACTATTGAGAATTTATGGTTAGGGACCGCAAACGAATTTTTAAAAAATTTTTTTCAGCATTGAGCTTTGTATGGTTTGATAGCTGTTTCGATTCAAAAACTCAGAACCGTTTAGTTTTTTTCGAAAAAAAGATTGAGGATGAAAAAAAGTTATGACGAAAAAAATGTGGCGCGCCGCGCACCATTTTTAGTACTGAAAATTTTTGGTATTATCCATTTTTTTGACATTTTCCTCGATTTTTCTTCTGGAACAAGTTTTGATACTGGTCTAATATGATGTAACAAATCATAATAGAGTGCTAAAATGATAAAAATTAGCTAGTTTGCCGAAAAAGTCGGTATTTTCCAGAAAACAAAAAACTGACGCTTGCGGGCATCGAACTCGCGACCTCAAAATGAAAAGTCGCAGCGCACGCGCTGCGCCAAGCTGTTAGGTCTAGTGAGGGGAGCTTCCATCCGCCTTACCCTTGAGCCGTTTGGATAGCACAGATTGCCTATTTCAAAAATGAAAATTTGAAGTAATTTAGCTATTTTTATCAGAATATGTTCGCAAATCTTTACTCAAACTTTCCGTGGAAATTCACTTCGAAAAAAAGCTGTTTTTTTTAGTGCTTTTTTTGCCTCGTTAAACGATCGCTGCATTAAAAACGGCCCCGTAAATTTTTTTGGCAAAGACGAATTTTTTTATTTTATTCTTTTTAATTGAAAGATTTTTTTACTAATAAATGTATATAATTGTTTGAAAAAAACCTGCGTTCGACCGCTTTCTGTGTGATAAACGCCGCTAATTTTTTTCTCTATTTTTCAAGAGCATTTTTTTGCGTATCAAACAACTTTTTTTCAAGCACAGATGTTGTGGAGAAAAAAATTTAAGTAAGCCCCAAATCTAAATTCTGAAAAAAACAAAAAAACTCGATTATATTCGCTTATTAACGATATTTTTGAATTATGACTTTCGGCACTCGCTAAAAATTTTTTTGGCAAAGACGAATTTTTTTATTTTATTGTTTTAAAATTACCGTTACTTGAATCAAAAATCATTATTTGAAAAAAAGAAAGAGTGCGTTCGACCTGAAAACACATGAAAAAGCAAAAAATGACAAACTTTTTTAGTCCCATTCACGTTTTTGTACGACATTTCGCGCGAACGCATCAAAAAAGCGTGAAATATTTTTTAAACGAAAGAGGAAGCTTTTCTGTACATGTGTGTCAAAATTTATTATCCAGTTCCATATATTTTGCAACTAAAACAAAATGAAAGTTGAAAACCAAAAAAAAGCCACTTTTTCTATCGCGAAAAGGGGCGTGGCTTTGCGGTCCCTATTTATGGTTCATACATGGATTTTTATTTCTCGTCTAATCTCGCCCTATGAGACATTCTATCGAAACTTTATCAAACTGAAAAAAATTAATTGGAACTTCGAAAAATTTCTTGAACTTTCATCAAATTAGAAAAATGATATAGAAGATTTTTTTCCGCCGTGACAGCTTTTTTTCAAGTAATATACTTAAAAAAATTGATATTTCGACTACACTTTTTAAACGAATCATGCACCGAACATTCAATTCGTTCCATTTCGTGTGAATTTGAAACATCAAAAAAAAAAGTCTGAAAAACCCTTAAAATCATTTTAAATACTCTTCAATATAATCAATAAAAAACCAACAAAAAAGATTCAAAGCCCGCTAAAATATGCATTTTTTGTGATTGGCCGTCTTAATGTCAAAAAAAAAAAAACAATTAACTTTGAAGTGATTCCTGTATATAAATCAAAGATTGTTTGCGGGATTTTTTTTAGAAAACTCCAAAGTGTAGAGGAAACATGCCTTCCTTACAAATTCCATAACTTTCCTTAAACATACTGGATAAGTCTGGTGGCGCCGTCCGATGCTCTGTATCTGATTCTGGAGGTGTTGTGCACTTTTCACGGACTTCGCAGATGTTGCTATATCCAATCACATCTGAAGTTATGGACATTACAAAATTTTGTTTAATTTTTGATTGAATGGGGAGCTTTGTTAATTTGCTGTCTTATCATCTTTTGGAAATACACAAAAATTCCTACCTCCGAAAATCATCAACGCAGAAAACAGTATGCTCACCAGCATTGTTTTTTTGAACTAAAACAGAAATAAGAGAAATTATTTTTAGGCAAGTGCAATTAGCTTTGTATCTACTGGTAACGTTTTCGGTTGTCTTAGAGAAAGAAATTAGCATTTTTGGCACTTTCGCAGAAAAAAGGGAGAACAAATTAAAAGGTTTTAACACTTTCAAAACCGTTTAGGAGCCGTAAATTTGATGTAAACGACTTGAGGTCGTTCAGAATATTCAACATCACTCAAGTGGCACCTCGGTTAGAATACTTTACGACCCTGCCATTTCAATATAAATCCGTTATCAGACGGAGAATGAATAGGTACCCATTGATAAGGATCCACGCAATCGTTGTGCCCATGCTGCTGTTGCTGCTGCTCCTTTGCGCGCCATTCAACGTCTTCGGCGAATCCTTCTTCGTGAGTTTGGTCAAGTTGAAAAAACTTTCGTCAACTCGCAAAACTTTTTTTTAAAATATTAACTCAAGGTAATAAAATAAAGCTCAAGTATTTCATTTCCGGCAAACTTCGTTCTAACAAAACTCGCCTGAAAACTTCAAAAAACATTAAATAGGACCAGCCAAACTGAAATCTTAAAGTGCAAATCTCGAATTCAAGCTACAACCTTTTTTTTTCTAAATCCAGAAATCTATATCCAAGCATTGAAATTCGCCAAAAAAAAACTCGTGAACAGCCTCAACTTGAATTATTTGAACTCGATTTTTTTTTTTACTTTTCTTCAGCACCAAGAATGCCGGGAAACATTGCGAAAAGGCCGACAAGTGGTGAAAGATGTGTCTCGAGCGTTGGCTCACCATGAAAGAGTCCGACTCTCCAACAACTTACATCTCGCCAAACTGACCATCTTCGATAAAACTGTTAGTTTCATTTTCTTCAAGCTTTAAGTTGATTGCGACTAGCAAAAAAAAAGACTTGACAGAGTTATTTCCAACTTTTAAACTGAAGTCCTCGCATTGAATCTTTCTCAATGTAATGGCACCTTCAAAGTGGGTGAATAGGCTCCAGAGAGTTGACTTCCGCGAAATTCGAATGAACCGCCACAGTTAATAAGAAAACTTAATTCTGGATAGTCAGAAATTATTTTAAATTTCCCGGAATCAGTTTAAACACGACATTATCACAGAAGAAGATTTCCCAATAACTTCTGTCAAAATCTCCGAAAATAACGAGAATTTTTCTCGAGTCAAGTTTATGTTCCATTGACAAGCCTTTCAGGGCCTAGTGAGCCGATCAGAGAACTTCCAAGAATTGATCGCACGACGAGACGATCAGCCATGTCCCCAGCCCAATTCTACCATGTTCACGACGACTACGGTGTCTCCGCCGCCGACGACGTCTGCGGGGGCTACTTCTTCACCAGCGAGCGCCTCTACAGCTGCAGGCCAGTCCACGACGTCCCTTGGAGGTTCGCCGACGTCCTTGACAGGCGGTTCTTCGACGTCTAACGGAGCCTCTACGACTCCACCTCAAGCCAGTTCCTCAGCATCGTCACAATCGCCTCCAGAAGGTCCATTCAAGTTCGCACCCGTCTACACAAAACCCGAAGATGACCCATTTGTAAAGTATATGTCGACTCTTCATGTCAGTTTTCTATTGGAAAATTTACTAGATGATTATTTTAGTACTACATGAACCGAGAAGAGCACGTCTGCGATAACAAAGTTTCCGATTTGAATAGCCTCACCGAGGACCAGCTATTCGGCTACTTTTCCACTTTGGCTGTCGCTCATCCAGGTTTTAAGTGATCTTCGCGTGGACGAGATAAAACCTTGAAACAGGCCCTTTCTGCTCATTATGCCATCGGCTGACAACTGAAGTTGAGCAGAGGCTACTGATTCCGAGCCGGGTTCTTCATTCGGTTCAGTAATGATCATCTTATAAAATCATAACTTTTTAAAGGATGATGAATATCATTTGGTCGAACTTTTACTGTCCCAAGTTCCAAAAGCAAAAACGATATGCTCAGCGATCGCTCCAGGATGTCATGAAAACTATGAAAACACAGGTAGAACATAACTCCTAGTTATCGTTCAATTGCTTTTTTTTCAGTGAGAAACCTGACAACTTCTGTAATTTGTTTAGAATGTACCGGTTGCATGTCGATCACCAACGTTATTCAGGTAATCTGAGGAAAAATTGCTTTTTTCCAAAAAGTACTTTCAGCACAGATTCCTGCTGCAACCGACTGTTGTGCAGAACGCACTCAATTTCTTGAAAGCTTCCCTCTTTCACAATATTTGTGCGGAACTTTGTCTCGCCTTCCAGGGAAAAAATCTGACGCTCTTTCCTAACGGCTTCTCTTATAATGGGGTTGAACAAACAATCTTCTTTCAGAAAAACTTGAAAATTTTAGTGTCAATCATTTATGGAAACTAAATACCTTCAAATCGTTGAGATAGCTACTGTTATTTTACGACCTGAAAGGCTTTGCAGTCTGGTAAATAACTGAATCCAATGAAACCTGTTTTTTTTTTTTCTTCTTAGGAACTCGGATGGTGCGAACTAAACGAACAACCAAACGCCATACATTGCCTTCGAGAGCTTTGTGTAGAATGTAAGTGAAGGGAAAAATAAATAATGATTTACCGCCTGTTCCAGATTTCAAAGAAACTCCACAGACCGCCTGGTTGTGCAGCCAAATTCCAGATAGCCCACAGCAAGCCGACCAATACTTAAATATACGACAAACTAAGATATATAAAGAGAAGAAAGAATACCATCGTAAATTCGAAAGTTTGAAACACGACGAGTTGTAACCCCCGATTTTCCATGTGATTAGCATAATTCCGAATAAAATATTCCAACAATTTATATTTTTAACAAAAACAAATTAGAAGATGGGTTCGGGGAACTCGAAGGTAACGTCTTTTCCTGTGAGTTTCCTGTAGACGGAAGCGAAAACTCCGACTTTGTGTCCAATGGTCGTCTCCTGGTTCTTGTCCAGATGAACCTAGGCGGTTAATAAAAAAAAATTAAAAGTGTAGGCAAACTAGCAAACCTTGTACAACTTCTTTCCATCAAGCTTGACGCGGATTCTTTTTCCAACGACTTCAGCGGGGAAAACAAGTTCGTCCAACCACGCATCGTGAACGGAAGTCAAAGTACGAGATCGTGGTCTTTGCTGCTTTTGGGGACGAGCGCGGCTTCCTCGAAGAGGCTTGGCCAAAATCCTTCTCTGAAAATCCGAGCATAAAATAATCATATCGAAAAAAATTGCAGCTTAATTCAAAATAACCGCCAGAGTGAAAGATATAAATAAACTTTGGAAGTTTAAAGTTGATTTTGAATTTCGCGGAAATTACTTTAAACACGGCATACAGTTATCTTTTAAATAAACATAAGCAAAAAGTCGGCCACACGTCCAATTAGAATTGGATTTTTGGAAAAAAGGTGTCGACTAAGGAGCCAAAAATAAAATATGGGTGCTAAAATACAGGGTCGAGTAACTCGATTGAAATGAAAAAACAAGTCAAAAAAATTTTCGAATCAAAAATTCTATGCTTAATAACTACTTTTACACTTTTATCTACATACTCAGGGAAAAACGACAAGCCAGCGCCCATCTAAAAAAAAAAAAGAAACGACAGATCAGCGCAAATGCACCGTTTTAGAGAGCACGGTAAATTTGGAGAGACCAGACTCGTGGGCTGGCCTGCGGTTACATGCGCGCTGGTCTGCCGTTTTGTGTTGAATGTGGCATGCCAGCGCGCAGGTTCACAGACAGTGTGCATGTGAGAGAGGAGAGTACACTAAGAATAACTGCCGAGATAAACGCGAGACGCTGGCGGTACATTGACGAGCTCGCAAACATCTCGCATTTTTTCTCGCGCCGGTCTCGCATTTTTCTGGGCGCGAGCTCGCATTTTGAAAGTTTCCGAAATGCAAGATAAATGCGAGGTCGCGCCGAGAAGAATGCGAGCTAGCGCCCAGAAAAATGCGAGATCGCGCCTAGAAAAAAGCGACATGTTTGCGAGTTCGTCAGTGTACCGCCACCGACCTCGCGTTTATCTCGTCAGTTATTCTTAGTGTACGTGTTTTGAAAAGTCCTACAACGATATATCGTTAAATATTCATTTTTACCGTAATTTCTTCGCGGGAACTCAAAATTTTAAAATTATTTGGGCGTTTTCTACTGTCATTTCAAATTCGCGCGTGAAACTCATTGTAAAAATGCGTATCCAACGATATATCGTCGTAGGACTCACTTTTTTTTCCGCCTTCCCGTAATACCCATTCTGCCTATTTCCCGAAATCATTTTAAACGAATAACGCGTCTATTTTGAAACCGCCGAAATTACTTTGAACACGGCATCAGTAACTAGTTCGAATAACTTCTTGGAAATGATTTAAAAATAAGGCTGACACCTTTCTCGTGAAGAAGAACAAAAACTGGATGTTGCGAAATATTTAGAAGGATAAATTCAAACATTTTGAAACGCTTTCCGGGTTTTTTCTTCTTTATAGTTCAATAGAAAAAGAGCGAAAAAAATGTTTTTATCCATATATTTCTTTTTAAAAAAAGTGCATCAACCATGAAAGGTTTTACAGAAGATGATAAAAAAATGATGAAAAAAACCACGATATTAAAAATTGCCAATTTATAATGAAGTATTTTTCCTTTTGAACAATAATCAAAAAGGTTCTCTATGCAATATTTTTTTATAGGTACGGAAGAGAAGAAAAAAACATGAAGGAAATCGAAGAAATTGAAGAATTTTTATATGATAGTAAAATAATGAGGAAAAATTAATTTTTAAAAAAAGCAAATAAATTTTTTTTGAAAAAATAAGAAAATAAGATTCTTTTTAATTTCTTATTTTCAGAAGTAAGGCACTGGTGGGGGACGCGCCGGGTTTCTGGTCTGTTCATATTTTGAATTTCAACCAGCTAACTCCGCACCCTGCTGAGACGGAACCTTTTCACGTTGATGTTTTATCGCGCAGAACTCATTTTGATCTTTTTTGATCTAAAAGATAGAAAAAGAAGTCAAAAATGCAGCCTTATTAAAGGGCCATCGTCACCTATAGATAAAAAATTGACGCGAAAGATATTGTAGCCTTAGGGGTGGAGTTAGCTGTGTGACATTCAAAATCTGAACAGACTATAGTTTTATGCGTCTCAATTTTATGTTAAACTAAGCATCACAAATTTTCAGCGAAATAGAAAGAACCACTTTAGAATAAAAAAGACAACAAAGGCTTTGGAGAGCCAGATATAATTTTCAATGACACGAAATCACTTTTGACGCCGTATAATTAATAAAACTAGAAAAAGAATTTTAAAAAAATAATAGAACATTACCTTGGCGAGGAAAATGACGTCCTTGCCTCCGAACTTCTTCTCCAGCTCGCGGACCAGTCTGACCTGGAGCTTGTGGAAGGCCTTCAATTGTGGGACCGGGACGTAGATAATGATAGCGCTCTTGTTTCCAGCTTCGACTTCCTGAAATTTTAAAATAGAAAGTAATTTATTTATACGATGAAATTTCATTTTTTGAAAATAGAACTGACCTTAACGCCGACAATGTACAGTTCGCGCAACTGTTCTTGCACATCCGAAGCGGTTTCAAGGTCAACAAGTGCTTGGGACACTTGCTTCTCCAAGTCCGTCGCAGACTTGCCGTCTTGTTTTAGCAATTTGCCGATAATCTCGGGCATTTTGACCCAGCTGAAGTCTGTAATGATTAAAAATTTAAAAATTAAAAAAATTAAAAAAATTAACTATTACTAGAAAAAAATCGAGTTTTAAAAAAATCGAAATTTTGCGTGGAAGGTTTAAAAATTAAAAATTTCGACGCTTTTTAAAGAGCAATAACCGTATTTTTAATACAAAAAAGCGAAAAAAAAAAAAAAAAGAATTAAAAATACATAGGCCGTGAAGGCGCAGACCCCCCAGACCATACTGTAACACTTATTTGACGTGTAAAATTCGCGGCAATGGAACGCTGGTGCGCGCTCCACTGAGAAGCAATATTCCTGTTTATCACAGAAAAGAAAACACCCAACTCAGGCACTGGTGCGCGCACGCGCGGGGGTACTGATTCTTTTTTCGCCTTTTTCACTGAAATACGGTTTTGAAATAGATTTTTTATATTTTTGTGATACTACCTTGTGTCCCTGCTCACGTTTTAAAGCTGTTCCGAGCACTTTCGAACAAATTTATGAAAAAGAATTGCCAAGTGAAACTTTGATATTTAAAATTTTTGGGCAATCTAATTGTTATAAACTGGTGCAGAGCAATGTTAAGAGATGAACAGACATGAAAAATATTAAATTTATAACTTTTCAATTAGTTAAAAAGCTAAAAAACAAAAGAGACACCCCGCGCGTGCGCGCAGCAGGCGGCGCGCATGCGCATTTTTGGCAACAAACACGCGCCGTCAGTGCCTGAGAATATTAATATATACCACAATATATTGTGGACTATATCGCAGCGAGAGTAATGCTATACCGCAGGGGAGCCGCGAGCAATATCGCTCGCCTCTCGCTGCGACCTCGCAAACGTCTTGCGCTCTATCGCTCTCGGTAAAATTTTTCTTCAAAAATGTTTTTCAATTTTCAAATTTTTGAGAGAGAGAGCGATATGGCAGCGAGACTTTGACGAGGTCGCAGCGACATGTTGACGAGATCGCAGCGAAAAGCCTTGGCTATATCGCCTGCGGCCCGCTGCGATATCGCCAATTATGTTGGGTGAAATATTTCAAAGAATGTTTATGCCGTGTTCAAATGAAAATTAATTTGATTCCGCGAAATGCAAAATACCCGTTAGAGAATGGAAAAGATCACCAAATTTTGGAGAGTCAGAGATCAATTTGCATTTCGCGGAATCAAATTGAACACGGCATTACATTAAATATTATTTGTGGAATACTCTGTATCTAGCTTGAGACTCATTATACGCGACCACAAAAAGAATATTCCAGTTTTAGCTGCCTAAAAAGTGTTTGAACGGAGAGCTATTCATTGAAATTTTTGGGTTTTTTTTTACCTTCGGAGATTCTTTGCAGAAGATGCGGTGGAAGGAATTTTATTTTTCATTGAAAAGTTTATAAAAAACTGGATCTAATTTTTTGTTTTTTTTTTCATCAACTTTTTGCAGTTATTCAACATGATTGATTCCTGACTTGAAAGGTCTTTTCGTAGATCCATTTAGTGCGCAAATTGAATGGAATGCTCAGATGAGGAGCCTGAGCTCGCACATGCAAGCTGAAGTCAGGAGAGGGGTAAAAAGGAAGGCGGGGCTGCGTATTTTATGACGTTTTTTTTTTCCAAAAAAAGACTTCTCCGATGGGAGATAGGAGGTTTAATTGCCTTTAAAAAAACAAATTTTTAAAAAGGACATGAGCAAACAATATGAAGTGTTCAGCAACAAAAAAAAAAAGAAAGAATTGACATCTTCGATTGAAAAAAATTATAAATAAAATTAAGAATCCCTGAAAAGAGGCGAAAGTTCTTCGGAGATTCCGGTGCCTGGGCATATTACAGTATAGCCCCCCGCATATGTTGGATATCACCCCCCGCGACACGTTCGAACAAGCCCCCCACACTTATCCAATATAGCCCCCCCGCAACTATCCAGTATAACCCCCCACACCGAAAAAAAGGTCACGCAACGATCACGCAGGATACGTGTCACAGCTTCCATTTTTTTAATTTATTTTTCTAATTTTTTTGGTATCATTCGTCGTTCTTGGTTATTTTAAATGGTTTTTTTGTATTTACGCATGTAAATTCGTGTTCTTTTTGTGAATTTAATAATTTTTGTGATATGATTTGCAAATCATGGAAGAAATAAGGTCGCTGACCGAGTTTCATGAGAAGTTCAAGTCAGACAAAGAAGTTTACGGGTACGTCTCGGCGAGATACGTACGAATATCATAAAATTATAGGGCGCGGACCGCTTAGAGAAATTTAAGATGAACTTTATTAGTTTTCAATCAAGTAATTATTCTGAGGAATAGAATTGTTTGCTTTTTCTTTTCATGCACATAAATTAATAAATTACTTAAGAGAATAGGCTTAGTTTTTAAGGCTTCACGCGGAGGCGGAGCGCGCATAGCGCGAAGCCGACTGTGGCTCGCTTCGAAAAAAACTGAGCCACAGTGAACAATTCCTCAAATATATAAAAATAATTGACATAGAGGGGGTCATTCTGAAATAAAGGGGGGTCATTCTGAAATGGGAGGGGGCTTGTTCGAATGAGCTCTGGGGGACTATTTCAAAGCCGTGCATTCTAGAATACATATTCACCCCCCGCGTTCGATTCTTCCCCCCACATGAAGTCTTCCTATTTTACCCCCCGCAGATCGGAACTTGGCTTGGTGGGGGGCTTGTTGGAACGCGGATGGCGATTCTGGAATTTTCCCCCCGTGCCTCACTTGCGAGAAAAATGCCTAACCGCCGTGGACCTGGCGTTCGACCAAGGCAGCGAGAAACATGCACAGTTCGCCGTCAACGCGGTCCAAGTGACACGCATGTTCAAGGCGGCCGGTCGTATTACGGTAATCAAGCTTGGTTTTGGGTACTAAAATGAAAACTTTTGTACTTTTTGTGGCGTAACTTATCTTGTAACCTCGAGAAATCGGTCCTTACATATGTTAACAGATTGCAAGAAAGAAAAAAAAATTAAAAAAATGTCCTGGCTCCGAAACTAGTTAACTGACAGCGCAGTATTGACCGGTCGCCGGCACTTTCTTAAACATGCGTGGTGAATACAAACATTTTAAAAAGAGATTCTAATCGAGTAGTGCAGGTTTTGCTGAGGGATAAATTCTTCCGAGATTCTGGCGTCGAAAATGACCAAAACAATCTCGCGACTCGGGTAAAACGCAAAAGTCTTCGAAAACTTGGTTTTTCACTAATTGGTTTTGTTTTTGTTCAAAAATTGTGTTTTCTTAAACATAGGGCAGCTTCTCAAGATAATTTTTTTGTCTTTAATGATTTTTTTAGTAGGCTAACTTCAAACAGTATTGAAGATTATCGTGGATTTTTTCTCTTCAAAAAATCTTTGTAGGCTTCAAAGGCGCAGAATTTATACTGAAACCGGCAAATTTAAATTTTACTTTTCTCAGGTCCTGACATCTATGACTGGAATTGAGCAGTGAAACTCGCAGCTACAATGCAAATGTACAGCTGTAAGGAGTTGTCATCATTTCCCGATTAAAATGTGTTTTTTTGTTTGAAGCTCCTGGTGGAGATGATCTGCAGCAATGAGCTGAAGATCGAACTTCAGCACGTGGAAGAATGTCTTCAGCTGTATAAACGGTTGTACGGGGCCAGTGACGAAGAAAGTGTCCGCGTGTCCTGCCGCGCGGCCACCACTCAGTCCATTACCTCCTACTTCTCGAACCGATACCTATCTTGTGTCAGTTTTTGAAATATTCTGTCAATTCTGGGAGTCTTATAAGCTTTATTGCATTTCTCGAGCTGTAGATCTCATTTGTTGAGCCTCAAATTGATTCTTATTTTTGGACTCATGCTGGTGCGAATGGACTTCCCCAATAGCGGCCGAATGGAATTTAAAATATGTCTAAAAAGGCCTAATTTTTTCTCTCTCGAGTTACTTCCTTTCTTTTCAGCTTCTTCTCTTGGTTCCAGTTTTTTTTCTCAAATTTCTACTGTGGATTTTACCTTCAAGCATAAATTATCGGTCAAAATTTTGAAATTTTGAAAATTTGAAAAAGGCCAAAAATATGAGGATAATTTATTTCTATTATAGCGATTCTGAAAATGGTTTCTTTAAAAATTCTGTAGTTGCCTTAGACACGAGAGGCTTGAGTTCTTTCATCTCTCAATTTAATTTGTCTTGGAAAGACTTGAACCAGTAGCCTTTGGTCTGGAAAATAAGGGTCCGACTAGGAATAAATATTCAAATTCAAGGTCCCGATTGTAGCGGTTTCGGCATTTTTCCTAGAAAGTTCAAGACGTCGGAACAGTTCTTATCGAAAGTCGGTCTAGCCTTCCTTTCGAGGAAGTCGTCCTTGCTCATCAGGTATCTTTTTGGAGAGTACAACTCTATCAAGTGCTCAGATCCTTTCTCCTGACGTGGAAGGACAAATGAAGGCTCCCACTGGAGAAGAAGACGTGGGAGATCTGACGCTCAGTTGTCAACTTCACAACGAAACAAAAACGTTAGTTTTTTTGGATATATAAGGAATAAATTAACTTTTGGGATTCGTGTTCGTTCTCTGGTCTATGCAATGGCGACGCATGGAATGTTGCTCCAAACCGTTGGTTCTCTACTTCTTTCTGGACAAGATTCATTAGAAGAGTCTTTGCGAAAGGCCATTCTTGGAATTCATCGACCGATTGGATGTCGCCTTGAAGACGACGTTTTCAATCGCTTCTACGAGTTTCTTGATGCCACATTTGCGGTGTATCTCTATTTTATACATTTTTTTTCATGTTGATATTTTCCAGGTGGCGCTACATATGGATCGACGACCGGCTCTGCTGGCGGTGTGGAGCAAGGTTACCGGCGTGGAAAACGCAAATTGCACAGAGAGAGGCTGAAAGTGGAGAGAAAAAGTCCGTTCACTGACTCGGGAAACATTTCGGACGAAAGTGAGTTTATTAAAAAACTGTGAAAAAAAAAACCAGTTGAGACTTTTGCCTCTTCAGGACCGCGAAGGACCCATCGACATGGACGAAGTTCGACTGATCGCCTACCGCGACGTCTGCCTTCACCTACTCCGAAAACTTCTCCACCTCAAAGCCTTAAAACCTGCCGCCAAAGCCTTGTCTGCAATACTCATATCATCCCCAGATTTAAGTTTCAGAACACTCGCTGTACAACTTATTGAACTTTTATGTGAATAGTCATTGAAATCGAATAAAATTCTTTATAGATTCGTAATTTGTTTTTCAAGCCAAGATGTCGAAAGAAAAACTTTGTATACTGCAATTTTTGACCTACAAGAAGAAGTGAAAATAATTTGACCATTAAAAAATCTTCCGCGAAAGAAACATCAAATTTTGAAGGAAAACTTTAAAGAAATAACATTTTTCTTTTTTTTTTCCACACTCGTGTTTAAGACAGTGCTACGGGGGCCGGTGGCCGGTCAATATTGCGCCGTGAGTTTTGAGGTTACAAGATGAGATACGTCAAAAAAAGTACAAAAGTTTTAATTTTATTACCGAGAAACCAATCCTGACTATACCGTAATATGGCCGGCCGCGTTAAACAGGCGTGTCCAGTTGGTAAGAAATTCTATGTACATAAATCTAATTAATCAAAATTTAAATAAATAATTGTTCCTTAAAAAATCTAAATCTAATTAATCAAAATTTAAATAAATAATTGTTCCTTCGAAAAAAAAGAAAGATAATGCCGTGTTCAATTTGATTCCGCGAAATGCAAAATACCCGTTAGAGAAAGGAAAAGATCACTAAATTGTGGAGAGTCAGAGATCATTTTGCATTTCGCGGAAATTACTTTGAACACGGCATAAATGTGCTCCACCCACCGGCAGAAAAAAAAAACGAAAAGGGTTTCGAAGCGATTGGGCCTGTTTATTTTTTTCGCGCGCCCAATATTTTTCGTAATCCAAAAATTTTTAATGACTTTTTTTCCCCAAATTCGATCAAAGTTCTTCTTTTTTTATACTTTTTGTTCTGAAGATCATGCCGTGTTCAAAGTGATTCCGCGAAATTCAAAAATAGCTGTCAGAGAAAGAGAAAGATAACTAAATTTTTGGAGGGTCAGAGACCATTTTGCATTTCGCGGAAATTACTTTGAACACGGCATCATTCTTGTTTAATTTTTTTAATTTTTCGAGTTGAGACAACGCATTCCCGTTTTTCGAATGCGCTGAAAAAAATTTTAATTAAAAATAATCCAAATTTTGTTAATTATTAATTTTGAAAAAAATCATGTCATGGATTATATATTTCTATTTATATCAGACAAATCTTATTTCATCTCTATAGTTTCGATCAACTGATTCATATAGAAAGTGTTTATTATTTTTTTTTGTACATTAGATAATAAGTTTTGATTCGTCTAACGTAAGTTTTTTGGATCAATTTGATATCAAATTATTCTTCTGTCCTTAATTTTTTCATATTGACAGCAGAGTTTTCTTTTTTCGAAAAAAAGTTCTTGGCCTTTTTCTTACTATTGCACACAATTTACGATTAGTACTTCTGTATTTTTTTTTTCTTATCAGTAGAATATTCTTACAAGGCGGTTAGTTCAGCGCAAACACGCACTGTTCGCGCGCCGCTGAAACGTTTAATTTTTTTTTTTACGGTTCAGATTTGCTTTATCTGAAAATTCAAATTGCATCGGCTTTTTTGAATTGGTGCCAACTGGCCTTTTCTTATAGTCAACTTTTTCGCTTTTATCATCACAATTTTTTTTTATCAGGAAATATGCAACCATACTCGTTTGTCTCTTTAATTATGACGGTTTGTCGGAAATTTAGATTTTTTTTTCCATCTGATCAGATTGATCTAAGTTGGAAAAAATTATGTATTGTTTCAAAGTTTGTACTTAGTTTAAGTGCACTTTGGATTCCATAAAAAATTTTTCGTGCCGAGTCTTCCTCTAGCTTTCGAATACTCTACTCGTACTCCGTACGTCCTTACTCGAGCTTCCGTCCTTCCTCTGCACACGAGCGAGGGTCAGAGTGCTAGAGAGCGCGTCGGTTTGAGGCTGCAGCAGTTTTCGCACTCTGTTTGCCGCCATTTTCTCCGTCTTCACCCCACGCCGCAACTCTCTCCGCCCAAGCGTTTTTCTTAGCGTTGTTGTCCATCTACCACGCCCACCATCTATCCTTCGTCAAAATTATTTACACGAATATTTCTGACGATCGGTCAGTATTTCTTTTTTCTTGGTATTCCCTTTTGTTTCACCTTTTATATCCCTAGCCAAAGAATCCAACTTTTTCTTTTACTCTTTTCGGCCGCTGTCGCATCGATCGTCTCACACACCTCTTTCGCACTTTTTTTTTTTACTTGGTTTCACTACTTTGAAAAATTATTCTTTTTTCAGAAAAGTAGGCACTATGGCTAAAGCTAAGGCTGACGGAAGAAAAGGACGAGGACGTCCCCCGAAGAGTGCAAAGAAAACCGATGAAGATGGAGCCCCTGTTGCGCCAGTGAAGGTAATTGATTTTTTTTTAAATTATTGTTTTGGAGATTCCAGGATTTTTAAAAAGTTTTTTTTTTACTTGATATCCAATGTTTAGAAAGTCGAGAAGAACCCTACTGACAAGAAGAAGCGCGGACGCCCACCAGGCGCCGGAAAGGCGAAGGCTGAGCCCAAGGCTAAAACTACATCTTCGCGGCGAGCCAAGAAGGACGATAACGATAGCGACAACGGAGAGGTATTTGTGCTTTTTTGTTTCAAGTAATGTTCATAATTATTAGGCTGATGCTCCTGCCACCTCGTCAATCGAAGACGAAGAAAATAGCGAATAATCTCTTCAATAACACCAATCACCAATTGTATCACTGAACTTGTTAACTGTTTTTTTTTCTTGAAATATTTTTGACATTCCACAATTTGTAAATTTTTTCATCTCGTTCATTAATCGATTTTGACCCAATAAACAGTACGAAAAAAAAACTTTATTTACAGAAGTTAACTGAAATATAGAAAGATATCTAACTAAAATGATAATAAGTTTAACGAAGTATATAAAAACTGAAAAGTAACAATTGGAATCAGAGAAATTAATAATGCGCGGGAACTGTTGCTAAAAAGATGAAGATTTTACATATCGAAAACCATCCTTTTTGAGAAAAACAAGAAATTCCGTTTTTCGCAAATTTTGAATGAGCTCTTTCCCGCGCGAAAGTGAACATCAGAAACTATCTGTTCCGCGACACTGCTACGCCAAACAAGTTCTCTTTTGGGTTTGTCAGACTAGCGAAACTTTTTCAACGCATCAGAACAACGTGGACAGTGTGCGGCCGAGGGTGGTCTTGTGTGTCGTCTACATCGTTCGCAGAACCGGCGACTGCTTTCGTCGATTCTGACGGTGGTAACGTCGCCCCGACAAAACTTCACTTGGGACGCGTTCAGCAGTTCGCAGAGCTGCGAGTGGAAACCGTCGTCGGTTTGGATGGCCGCGAGAACGTCGAACGCCTTCTCAGCCAAGGTCAACTCGAGAGCCTGAAAAATTTCGCATTGGTGTGTGTGTGCGCGTCGCGTCGCGTATTTGTGTCGCCACGCTCACCTTTTTCGAAATATCTATCGACGGGCCGGCGGCGTTGGAAACAAGTGTTCTCAACTCGGAAATTATAGACATTGTTTCGTTGAGCTCGGGGTCGAGCTCATGAGTCCAGCAGGCGTCGGCCGCAAATCCTTGTCTGAGAATCTAAAAATCGATCGTTTGAGTGGTATGGCTCGGGACAAGTAACACGGCAAATTGCGCGCCTTTTTCACAGCTTCCTCCGAAATTTAATGGATTTATCAGAGGAATTCTTGTTTTGTTTCATTTTAACTTATTTGAGAGAAAAAAAAAAAACGTTAAATGGTTTTTTGTTCAAGAATCTTTCTCTAAAAGAGCTACGGCGTATTTCATAAACGTCTGGGCGATGATCCATTTTCAGTAATTAGAGAAAAGGTCAGAAATGCGCCAACCACATAATTAGGAATGATCCGAATAAATCATTTTATTTAGGGTTTTTGCCAGATTAAAAAAAGCTTGAAAAAAGAAGGCTCAGACTTTCCTTTAGAATCCACTGTGTCTTCTAGGTTTTTTAATTTTTCAAATTGAATTTTAATCAATTTTCTTTCTATAGTTTTTACTTTCTCGATTGTACCCACTTTGGCTGAAATTCATTGAAATACTTTGCTCCACACCTTTTTCTCATGAATCCCAGGAAGATTCTGGAGAACTTCGGCAGCCAGATGAGGCAAAACCGGCGAGATGACGTTGGCCAGGTTCAGCGCCAACCTGAAGCCAACCGTCGTCAGAATCGAACATTAGAACTCACTGGTAGTTGGTAAATTGGGCCGACAAATGAGAATCGCTGCCGATTGCGTTGCAATAAAGGCGGTCGCGAACAAAGTTCTGCAGAAAAAGGTCTCCAAAAAATCGAGAAAAAAAAAGCTGACCACGTAGTTTGAACTAATTGTTCTTTGCGTGAATTGAATGAAATCATTTCCCACAGTTCTGAATTTGAACCTTTCGTAGTTTCTGGAGCATCGTTTCAGGAAACTGGCGCTTTCGCTGAGAACATACTGCAAAAAAGCTAACATGAGCAATGAAAAAGAGAAACCTGGTCGAGAATTGGCAGAGGCCCAACAGGTTGAAGGCCTTCATATTTCCAGGATGCGCCGATCAAAAATCGGAACACATTTCGAATTGAGCCAATCTGATTATGAAAGTATTGAAAAAAAAACAGACTTTTGTAAAATCAAAACTACTTTCTTACTCAGAACTTTGAACCTTTTTAATGCTCCATGAGAACGATATTCCGTGCTATTTCCATAATATTCGAAATTTAAGAATTTTTTCCCTGGGTTTTGTGATAATTTCTTATCTGACTTCTCTACATTGACCAAATTTCGCGAGGTAAAAACTTTATTAGGACCTACTTTGCTCCTTTAAAGACACCACAGTGAGGGAATTATCATGTTAAAGGTAGACTTTTAGGCGTCGTCCAAAGCTAGAAATCGAATGGCGTTTTTTTCTACTATGTAGTTCTTGATGAATTTTTTCTACTTTGAGGGTTCATTACTCGAAAAATTGTGAAATTCGTGAAGGCTGACTATTCGGGATTTTAAATTGGTAGCTCAGACAGTTTTCTGGTCAATTTCCAGAAGAAACCCAGTCTCCTTGTAATTTTGCCACACGAAACCTTCTTCTCGATGTCGAGCAAGGAGTTCTTGCCGATTTTCGACTCGCCGGCGTTCTCCGATCCAGAAAGACAGACCCAGAGACGAAGTCCGTCGGCACCGAGAGCTTTCTGCCGAAGCGATCCGTCGGTGACCTACATAATCTCCAATAATTGTTCCGCTTTTGATGACGAATTTCTTAATCCCGAATGTCTCATATTCTAATTTTTATCTCCTACTTTCGAACAGAAATTTGAGATAGGGAGGCGCGGAAAATTCAAAATGGCCGAGCAGGTGGGCCTGTGTCACTGGTTCCTCCACTTGGTGCCCTAGAAGGCAGGACATGTGCGCCCTGTCACGAAAGCCCATTGAGCCGACCGAGATAATTGGCCATTTGCGCAGAGAAGTGCGACATTGGAACACGAAAAAATGAGTGAGATAAGAATTTTGACGCCTTTTATTAATGTTTTCTTTTCCAAATGAATCACGCAAAGTTGATAAGAAAAGTGATAATCAGAATTCATGAATTTAAGGAAATTTCTTTGAGGACCATACTTGTTTTAGGCTTTTTTTCTAGAAAAAAATGAATTAAAAATTAGAGTTCTGAGCTTCGAAAACGGTGAGTATTCTTTGATATATCAGAAAAATTTAAAAACTTGGCTTTCATTGATTTTCTCTTCTTATTGTTTGAATATAAAATTCTTCTTGACATCTGATCATTTGGTGGCTCATTTTGAACTCTGAAATGAACATCTTACAAAGCTCATTTCGAAAAAAGACGGTTTCGCCTGTTAAGAATCATTGAAACCCCTACCAGAAATCAAAACACTGAAAAAGATTGTAAAGGCGGGGGGAATGTATTTTTGGTTCAAGCTTTCCTGAGTCCTCTTGAAAAGTTCAATTTCATCTTTTATTGGACTTTTCTTTCTTTAAACATCAAACTTCTCTCTCTTTTTTTCAAAAACAAAGAACTTCGAAAACTTTTTCTTCCATGAAACTTACCAAGTTTGGGTCAACAACGTTTCCAATAGACTTGGACATCTTCTTGTTGTCGTCGTCGACGCAGAACCCGTGAACAATGATCCGTTTGAAAGGCGCTTTGTTCTGGGTTTCCATTCATCGAGTTGAGATTTCACAAAAAGAGGGAAACCTGCACAGCAACGCTCGTCAAAAGCAAAGATTGGAACCAGCCGCGAAACTGATCAACGCCTTCGAGGACCACGTCGGCCGAAGCCTAAAAGATTGAGAGCTTTCAAATCACATTAGAAAAACTAGGGTCAATTGGAGAAGCTAAACTATTCGAGGAAAACAATCATCCTGTTCATCAAAATTCTGAAATAATTCTATAAATTTTGATCGGTGTAAGAAATTTTGAGCAAGTTTGAAATTTGTGAAATGACTCATTAGTGTAGACCTTGAGGAAGAATCTTTGAAAATTAAGTTTCAAACTCAGAAATATTTCAAATTTTGTATATTGTACCGCAAAAACAAAAAGCTCAACATGAGATCTTCGAAAAATAGATAAAACAAACTTCTATAAAAAAAAGGGAAGAAAAATTCGAAAAAAGTTGATAATTATTCAAAAAATATTTGTTCTGCTAAAATTAAAAATCAAGGATTGTACATCGCTTTCGGCGTCTTCATATGCGTCCCTGGCTGAATGCCAGGCAAACCCGCTGTCCAGCCAAACGTCCATAATATCGCCGCCTTTGGCGAGTTCCTCATTTGGACATTCGATGCCCATACTTTCTCGGAGCTGAAAATATCTCTATCGACTTCAGCAAACATACTTTCCAAGGCGCAGCGCAACAGTGTGTGCGCCTGTCTACGGTCCAAAGGGTCATAAGTTCGATCCCCGCTGCGGCCCAACCAAGAGGTTTGAGAAATGTTAGTGGTGGGAAAAAACCGCGACTTCAAAGTCGCCAGCCGTCACACAAAAGGACGGATAGGTCACTCGAGCCAGTCCACTTATCACTGATATCAGACTTGCCTCTTTGATTTGAGGTGCCGACTCAAGAGGTACAAAGGGGTAAGAATAAGAAGAATTAAAATATTTTTCAACTTCTTTGAAACTAACTCTCTCATCCAACAAATCGTCAACAGAACAGCTCCACCAGAAATCAGCTCCATGGCGTTCAATCTTCTCGGCAACTTTCTCGACGAATTCCTTGGAAATGTAGGACTTGCCTTCCTTGTCAACGAGGGCAGGAATCGGAGTTCCCCAAACTCTTTGTCTCGAAATGCACCACGAGGGTCTCGTCGTTACAAGTTGAGTCAGAGCGTTCCGCATGTCTAAAATTAAGAAATCTTCTTTATAAAGCTAATATCAGGAAAAAGGGAGGAGTTTGTAGAAAATTACAAAAATTACCTTTCGTGTAAAATATTCTTGAGCAAGATCAGTCTAAAACGGGTTCCTCCTATCTATTTTAGAAAAAAAGGCTCATGAACATACGTGGGCTAACAGGCTGTTTTTCACTTTCGGGCCCCCCTATTCATTCAGATGGCTTTCTAAGCCGCGGAAAATGCATTCATATTATTTATCGAGCTTTTTAAAGTACATTTAGTGAGAAATTCGTTGCCTATCTTTTTGCCTAGCTCCAAACGGTAGAAAAAATCGAGAGGAATCGTAGAAAGAGCCTTATAAAAAATTCCAGAGCTGATTAATCGACCTGAATTCTAGTTTAAATGGTACCAATGGATGATATATACATGCTCATGAAATTTTAAGCCGTTTGGAAAATTGAAAAAAATAATCAACTTCTGACCCCATAAGAAAAATGATTTCTGAAATCTACAATTTTTTTGGCTCAAAAATCATTATCAACTTTGAGTTAACCCTAAATGAGGTATATGCTTCAAGTTTCCAGGCTTCCGGACGTTTTTTGACCAAGTTACAGTGTTTCAAAGTGTTATCACTTGACGGTTTGCGTACCCCCCCGTACCCCCAAAAATCCGAAAAATCGATCTGTTTTCAATGTTATTCCACATTATAAAGGGAGTTTTATGATTTGGCAGAGTTTCAAGCCGTTGGGATGAGTTTTTAAGGAAAAAAATAGATTTTTGGACCACCGGGAAGGGATATTTTGAAATTTTTGAATTTTTTTGGCTCAAAAATCAATATTAATCTTGAGTTAACTCTAAATAAGGTATATCCTCCAAATTTCCAACCTTCCGGACGTTTTTTTGACCAAGTTACAGTGTTTCAAAGCGTTATCACTTGACGGTTTGCGTACCCCCGTACCCCCAAAAATCCGAAAAATCGATCTGTTTTCAATGTTATTTTACATTGTCAAGTGAGTTTTATGATTTGGCAGAGTTTCAAGCCGTTGGGATGAGTTTTTAAGAAAAAAATAGATTTTTTTGGACCACCGGGAAGGGATATTTTGAAATTTTTGAATTTTTTTGGCTCAAAAATCAATATTAATCTTGAGTTAACTCTAAATAAGGTATATCCTCCAAATTTCCAACCTTCCGGACGTTTTTTTGACCAAGTTACAGTGTTTCAAAGCGTTATCACTTGACGGTTTGCGTACCCCCGTACTCCCCAAAAATCGGAAAAAATCGATCTGTTTTTCAATGTTATTCCACATTATAAAGGGAGTTTTATGATCTGGCCAAGTTTCAGGCCGTTGGGATGAGTTTTAAGGAAAATAGATTTTTGGACCACCGGGAAGGGATATTTTGAAATTTTGAATTTTTTGGCTCAAAATCAATATTAAACTTGAGTTAACTCTAAATAAGGTATATCCTCCAAATTTCCAACCTTCCGGACGTTTTTTGACCAAGTTACAGTGTTTCAAAGTGTTATCACTTGACGGTTTGCGTACCCCCCGTACCCCCCCAAAATCCGAAAATCGATCTGTTTTCAATGTTATTCCACATTATAAAGGGAGTTTTATGATCTGGCAGAGTTTCAGACCTTCTGGATGAGTTTTAAGGAAAATAGATTTTTGGACCACCGGGAAGGGATATTTTGAATTTTTGAATTTTCTGGCTCAAAATCAATATTAAACTTGAGTTAACTCTAAATAAGGTATATCCTCCAAATTTCCAACCTTCCGGACGTTTTTTGACCAAGTTACAGTGTTTCAAAGTGTTATCACTTGACGGTTTGCGTACCCCCCGTACCCCCCCAAAATCCGAAAATCGATCTGTTTTCAATGTTATTCCACATTATAAAGGGAGTTTTATGATCTGGCAGAGTTTCAGACCTTCTGGATGAGTTTTAAGGAAAATAGATTTTTGGACCACCGGGAAGGGATATTTTGAAATTTTGAATTTTTTGGCTCAAAATCAATATTAAACTTGAGTTAACTCTAAATAAGGTATATCCTCCAAGTTTCCAGGCTTCCGGACGTTTTTTGACCAAGTTACAGTGTTTCAAAGTGTTATCACTTGACGGTTTGCGTACCCCCCCGTACCCCCCCAAAATCCGAAAATCGATCTGTTTTCAATGTTATTCCACATTATAAAGGGAGTTTTATGATCTGGCAGAGTTTCAGACCTTCTGGATGAGTTTTAAGGAAAAATAGATTTTTTTGGACCACCGGGAAGGGATATTTTGAATTTTTTTGAATTTTTCTGGCTCAAAAATCAATATTAAACTTGAGTTAACTCTAAATAAGGTATATCCTCCAAGTTTCCAGGCTTCCGGACGTTTTTTTGACCAAGTTACAGTGTTTCAAAGTGTTATCACTTGACGGTTTGCGTACCCCCCGTACCCCCCAAAATCCGAAAAATCGATCTGTTTTCAATGTTATTTTACATTGTCAAGTGAGTTTTATGATTTGGCAGAGTTTCAAGCCGTTGGGATGAGTTTTAAGAAAAATAGATTTTTGGACCACCGGGAAGGGATATTTTGAAATTTTGAATTTTTTGGCTCAAAATCAATATTAAACTTGAGTTAACTCTAAATAAGGTATATCCTCCAAATTTCCAACCTTCCGGACGTTTTTTGACCAAGTTACAGTGTTTCAAAGTGTTATCACTTGACGGTTTGCGTACCCCCCCGTACCCCCAAAAATCCGAAAATCGATCTGTTTTCAATGTTATTCCACATTATAAAGGGAGTTTTATGATCTGGCAGAGTTTCAGACCTTCTGGATGAGTTTTAAGGAAAATAGATTTTTGGACCACCGGGAAGGGATATTTTGAAATTTTGAATTTTTTGGCTCAAAATCAATATTAAACTTGAGTTAACTCTGAATAAGGTATATCCTCCAAATTTCCAACCTTCCGGACGTTTTTTGACCAAGTTACAGTGTTTCAAAGTGTTATCACTTGACGGTTTGCGTACCCCCCGTACCCCCCAAAAATCCGAAAAATCGATCTGTTTTCAATGTTATTCCACATTATAAAAGGGAGTTTTATGATCTGGCAGAGTTTCAGACCTTCTGGATGAGTTTTAAGGAAAATAGATTTTTGGACCACCGGGAAGGGATATTTTGAATTTTTGAATTTTTCTGGCTCAAAATCAATATTAAACTTGAGTTAACTCTAAATAAGGTATATCCTCCAAGTTTCCAGGCTTCCGGACGTTTTTTGACCAAGTTACAGTGTTTCAAAGCGTTATCACTTGACGGTTTGCGTACCCCCGTACCCCCCCAAAATCCGAAAATCGATCTGTTTTCAATGTTATTTTACATTGTCAAGTGAGTTTTATGATTTGGCAGAGTTTCAAGCCGTTGGGATGAGTTTTAAGGAAAATAGATTTTTGGACCACCGGGAAGGGATATTTTGAAATTTTGAATTTTTTCTTCGTTTCGTTTTGCAAATGACCTAGTGGATGTAAGAATGCGCGTTGATCACGATTTTGCTAGTTTCAATCCAAAAAAACAGGAGATAAAAAAGTTATTCGGGAAACTTACCCAAAAATCACATGTTTTTTTGGAATTTCCGGGTGTTAGATGGAAAATTCGAATAATCCATGTTTGACTCAATAAAGAGTATTTTTTTGTGGTTTTTAAAAAAACTCTGTAATATGAGCAATAATGAGCAAAATGAGGTTTAAGATTTTTTTAAAAAAATTGAATAAGATTATATTGCACCTTATTACAAACTTTGGAAGAGTTTCGTCGATTTTATGTCAAGATATAGATTTTTTTGAAGGGTTCGACCGTACCCCCTTTTTTTGAGCCACAGTATCTCGAAAAACGGCTTGAGTGATGATATTCGGTTTTTTTTTTCAAAAAATCCTAAAAAATCGTGTTCTACAACATGTTTGATTTAGAGAAAGTTTCACCCTAACGCTCATTTTTTTTCAACTCACCCTACGGCGTTACCACACATGTGAACGATAAAAAAATACAAGTTTAACAATTAAAAAAACTAGCAAAATCGTGATCAGCATACATTCATACATCTACTGTGGCCCAAAAAATTATTTTCCTTAAAACTCATCCCAACGGCCTGAAACTTGGCCAGATCATAAAACTCCCTTTATAATGTGGAATAACATTGAAAACAGATCGACTTTCCGATTTTGGGGGAGTACGGGGGGGTACGCAAACCGTCAAGTGATAACACTTTGAAACACTGTAACTTGGTCAAAAAACGTCCGGAAGCCTGGAAACTTGGAGGATATACCTTATTTAGAGTTAACTCAAGTTTAATATTGATTTTGAGCCAAAAAATTCAAAATTTCAAAATATCCCTTCCCGGTGGTCCAAAAATCTATTTTCCTTAAAACTCATCCCAACGGCCTGAAACTTGGCCAGATCATAAAACTCCCTTTATAATGTGGAATAACATTGAAAACAGATCGACTTTCCGATTTTGGGGGAGTACGGGGGGGTACGCAAACCGTCAAGTGATAACACTTTGAAACACTGTAACTTGGTCAAAAAACGTCCGGAAGCCTGGAAACTTGGAGGATATACCTTATTTAGAGTTAACTCAAGTTTAATATTGATTTTGAGCCAAAAAAATTCAAAAATTTCAAAAATATCCCTTCCCGGTGGTCCAAAAAAATCTATTTTCCTTAAAAACTCATCCCAACGGCCTGAAACTTGGCCAGATCATAAAAACTCCCTTTATAATGTGGAATAACATTGAAAAACAGATCGACTTTTCCGATTTTGGGGGAGTACGGGGGTACGCAAACCGTCAAGTGATAACACTTTGAAACACTGTAACTTGGTCAAAAAAACGTCCGGAAGGTTGGAAATTTGGAGGATATACCTTATTTAGAGTTAACTCAAGTTTAATATTGATTTTGAGCCAAAAAAATTCAAAAATTTCAAAAATATCCCTTCCCGGTGGTCCAAAAAAATCTATTTTCCTTAAAAACTCATCCCAACGGCCTGAAACTTGGCCAGATCATAAAAACTCCCTTTATAATGTGGAATAACATTGAAAAACAGATCGATTTTTCGGATTTTTGGGGGAGTACGGGGGGTACGCAAACCGTCAAGTGATAACACTTTGAAACACTGTAACTTGGTCAAAAAAACGTCCGGAAGGTTGGAAATTTGGAGGATATACCTTATTTAGAGTTAACTCAAGATTAATATTGATTTTTGAGCCAAAAAAATTTAAAAATTTCAAAAATATCCCTTCCCGGTGGTCCAAAAAAATCTATTTTCCTTAAAAACTCATCCAGAAGGTCTGAAACTCTGCCAGATCATAAAAACTCGATTCATAATGTAGGATAACATTGAAAAACAGATCGATTTTTCGGATTTCGGGGGTCTACGCTAAAAAGTTGAAATATTTCTGTTTTTGCAGTGTTGACACCTAGCTGAATATACTTCCAAAAAGCCCGCGAAATAAGATAATAGTCTCATTCAATTCTTATATTAACTTTAATAATCATTTCACATTGATAGTCATCCGCGGGGGGGTACGTACTTTTTCGAGGGGAGTACGTACTTTTTTTCAAAGGGGGGTACGTGATGACGTCACAAAAAGTAGTTGGTTAGCCCATGTATGCTCATGAAAAACAAAGCAAAACAAAAAAACATATTCGCAGCTTTCATTTATCAGACAGTTTTTATTCAAGGCCTGCTCTTAAAGTTACTCTCTTTTTTTAAAATCTGGCTGTTCAAAATTGATGACTGAAAAGTTCTCCTCTGTACATTTTTTCGGAATGTTTTCTGTTTCTCACCAGACTCGCCAGCCGAAACGTCCGTCGTTTCGATAATACCAGCGGCCTGCTCGCCAATCTTGCTCACGTCGATGAACCATTGGGAGCTGCTTCGAATGACAACTGGCTGAAAAATCGCTACATCCACACGAGCTTCAGATCACACGTATAACGGCCACCGGACTACCTCTTTTTCTTCATTTTCAGAACTTTTTTCTTTGATAATTTTAATTTTAACGCAACTGACTCCGTATATTGAGGGCAAAAACACCGAAAAGGGAAAAATGAAGCGGAAAAACCGCTGGACAACATACTTTTGCAGTACTGAAAAAAATAAACACTTATAACTCTCTTTTTTTTTGATTTAAGAGTTTCGCCATTTTTCTTGATTTCGCTAGAAAGAGTTGCTGAATTCAAAAAAGGAAATTAGGAAATAATAATAGGCTTATTCACTGTATACTGTAAAAAATAGGTAGTTAAAATAATACAAGACAAAAGTGCAATGAAATAAGGAATGAAAAATATTTCCCATCATTCAGCTCATTTTTGGCTCACACAGTCAATTTTTATAGCTCGAAACTTCGGTACGAAGACGTAGGCAAAACCAAACGATTCGGAGAATTTGAACTCGCGCCAAAAACGCATGGCGTCCGCTTCGCCCGCCGTTTCGAGCCGATAAAAATGGATAGTAACAGACCTTTTTCGTTCTCCAATCATACGGGTAAGAATGGACATATTTAGAAGTGTGCAGGACGTCCTTCTTGAGAAGTCGCAGAGCTTCCGTCTGACCTTCTCCCAGGACATATTTCCCTTCCAAATCGTAGCCCATATTCCGAGTATAGCAGCCTTTTTCGTCGACAAAACTTTGGACCTTTTCGCCGAGGTTAGTTGCCAACTGCAGGGATATGTTTAAAGACTTGGATCAGAGATGCGAATGAGACGGGTCATCCTAGGGGCGAAATACCCGTGATGCGGTTAAAAAGTCAAAAGAGCCAGTCAACTTTAAACCAGTTTGATTCACCCATTTTCGGAAATTCGAACTCAGCGTGCCCTTAGGACGCCCCGTCGACAACGCTAAAAACTTCCCAACCTGATAATCCTGGAATCCGTGAGCATAACTCGTGTGTACCAGTCCAGTGCCCATATTAGTCGTCACATGGCCGCCTTCCAAAATCGGAAGCGCTAATTCATTGTACCTATAATAAGAATGATTGTACCTAAAATAAAAATAACAATTTTTCGAATAGGAGAGTATTTTTGTTTCTTCAGCTTCGGCATTATTTTTGGAACAAGTTTTATAATTTTTTGGGAAACGGTCTGAAACCTTAAAAAAGCTAAATTTATGGCTCCTATCTATATTTGGAATGAAGACATTCATTCCCCTCTAAGAATTACTGAAAAATTTTTTGAAGTCAAGAACAAATTTAAAAAATAATGGAACACTGACATTCCTCTACTGAAACTTCAATGTTCGAGAAACAGTGTTTGTTTCAAAACCATACCAACAGCTCCGATAGTGCTTCCCAACCAATTGTTGGCCAGAAATCTCGCTCAGAACTTTCAAAGAGCGATTCGTGGCCTCCTCAAAACCCTTCACCAAATCCTTGGCAATAACGTAGACATCTCTGATGGGATTCCTGGGAAAAATTGATATTCGAGCAGAAAAAATTTGAAGAACTTCATTTCATCCTCAAATTGAACCAGACAATAGGAAAACTTGGACGAAACGCAAATCGCGTTGTTCAGAGGCAATGTCCAAGGAGTCGTTGTCCATGTCTAGGAATTTCAAGAATTGAGGAGAAATTGTCGAAAAAAGCTACCAGTGCAAAAAATTGGGTGGGTTTTTTCGGCAAGTCACCCAGGAGCTTTTCGTTGAGATCGATGAACTGAAATTTCAATAAAAAATAAAGGGAAAATGGAATTTCGGGACCTTGAATCGGAAATAAGCGCTGGTACTTTCATGCTTCTCGTTGTATTCCAACTCAGATTCGGCCAAAGCAGTTTGCGAACTGGGAGACCTAAATCTTCCCGTTCAAGCGAAGAAAATAAGAATGAGTATGAAAAAAAAAAATACAGCTGTCTCGATTAATTTTAGAACTCTCCTCAATCCTACATATTACATAGCTCAACTGTTCATTTGAAATTTCTGATAAAAAAAAGAGAAGTCATTCTAGTTTGTTCTAGAAACTTCTATACAGTTCTCGCTATACTTCAGATAACTTCAATATTCTTCTATAACTCTCTGAGATCATCTGGAAACTTCTTTTATCTTTACAAAGAGATCTTCAAGCCTCTAGAATGTTCTACTTCTTGCTATAACTCTATAGGGCTCTCTAAATTCTACCTTTGTTCTAGAACATCCCATAGATTCCGGAACTTCGGGATCTCTTCCCTCAGCCTTGTTTGTTATCGTAAATGGTCTAATTTTTTGTTACTCATGAATTTTTAACTACAACTTATGCACTGGTTACCTGCGGACATAACAATTAACAACTCCTCCAACAAAAACGAACCAATAAACCGGCTTGAAAGTTCGGTACACGAATCCTCTTTCGACGAGGTTCGCGAAAGCGCGAAGTTGGGACGAGACGTAGTCGTTGCTCATCGTGATGTACGGCTTCTCCCAGTCCCCAGAAACGCCCCAACGCCTTCAAATTTCAGATAATCGATCTATATTCCTAGATAAGAAACTTGAAGGCGTTCATTTGCTTATAAATCGCTTCGTTGGCCACTTGTCGTGCTAGTCCTCGTAACTCGATGTCGTTGGCGGCCTGAAAATCAGGAAATTGAATGGGAAACTGAGATTTATGATTTAAATAATGTTGCAAGTACAATAGTCTTTCTTTTCTGGTGGCCGATTGAGAATTTGGTAAGACTTTGGGGAAAATATGCTCAGCAAAACTTTAGACCTTCAGATCCCAAATGGTTGAAAAAATAAGAGTTTCAAAGCCTCAAACATCAACTGAAAGACAAAAGTGCGAGAGTGAAGTTCAGAAAATTTTTTTTATAAAGGTTATTTCAAAAAACTATAACGCGACCTTCTCTTTTCTGACAACTTTCAGCTCAATCGGAAGCCCATGGCAGTCCCAACCAGGCCGGAAGCGGACTCTGCAAATATCGACTTCTTTCCGAGCTCTCTGAAAGTTTCTAACCGATATCCCAATCCAATTCTGCTCTTCACAATGAAATCCTTCAAGATTTTATTGATGGCGTGGCCCGTATGAACCTCTCCATTCGCATACGGCGGACCATCGAGTAGTTCAAAACTGAAACTTTCCGAAACATTTGAGACAGGATTTTTACATGTGACATAATAACAACCTTTAAAAATCTGTAATTTTTGAATTTAAAAACTAATATTTTTCTTAAAACCATAACTAACACTGGTCTCGAGGTCTGGGCGCTCTGCCAATCGTAAAGCTCCGAAATTCCGCCGGTTTTCGCGAGATTCTGGTCGAGTAAGGCTCTTTCGGTGGTTTTGACATGTGAAGGAAAGTCGGACTGAGGCAGAAAAACCGTTTTTTCTTTCTTCTTTTCGGTGGAAAGGCATCGTAGAAGACGATTTCTGGAAGTTGGGTACGAAAGTCAAAAAAAAATCCGCGATATGGTTTCAAAAATGAACTATAAATAGCGTTTTTCTCGAATTTTATACAACTTCGCTTCTATTCTCTATTTAGAGGGGCTTCTGGCCTTTTAAATTCCATTTTTCAGGGTCGCTCAAATATTCAAAACATCCTATGGTAAGCATAAATGAAAATGAAGAACTTTCAAAAAATTCCCAAATAGTCATATTTTGATCACAACCTACTCATTTCAACACGCTCAGCAAGAAATTTCATAACACTAGGGACAAACTGTGAAGAAAAATGGCCTTTTACCGATCAAAAATTTAAAAATCACAGTTTTTTTACCTAAAAAAATGGAATAAAAAAATTGATCATCTCACTTAAAAATTGGGTATTCTCGACGACGGACACGGCCTCAGCAATGCATTCCTGGTCAATGCCATCAAGATCAACTCCTAGAAAAATTGTTTCTAAAAAGGGGATATTGTTTACCGAAAGCAATGATGAATCTTCTACGAATTCCTTTCTTCGAGAAGGCGATCACCAGCCGTCGGATGAAAAGATCAACTCCGTTCTGAAATTCGTTCAATGGTATTTTTCTTCTCGTGGTGTACTTGATTAAATAAACTTTTGGAATTCACAACTTTGTTCATTGGAATTGAAAGAAATTACTTATTTATCTATTGTTATGGAGGAGTCATAAAGAAACGCTTATGGATTTAACTATGGTTTTTTTAATGTTGAGCTTTTTTCAACAAAAAATTAAGCGATCATGAGAAAAAAAAAAGTGTGTCAGTTATTCAAGCGAAAACTTTTTTGAACTGAACAATCGAATTTTCTTAAAATGCTTCTTACATCAAAGTATTTTTGTGTTCTTCTCACGAAAATCGTCACAAAAATTCTTGTCTGGTAATGAAGCGAATTAATCCAAAAAGACTTCTTTTTCTTTCCAAATTTCGATGCTTCTATAAAAGAACTTCAAAAATCCGAACTAAATCGGCGCTGCCGACGTGTTGCTTGGTCTCGTAGTCTACCCGATGTTGAGTACTCAAGGTATTGCCAATGAGCTCAGGAACCTGTAGAACTTCGTAGACGTGACCGATTCGACCAGTTATTGAGAAAGACTGGAAAAAAACCCCGATAATCCTTCCAGCACCTAATCCTTGCCAAAAAGTCCAAGTTTCCGTGGCCGGTTAGAGAAAAATGAACTTTCTGTCCTTTGTGTTCAAACGAGAGATCCCGGTAGGAAGGGCCGGACATCCACTGAAAACCTTTTCTGCAAAGTCAATTTTCCATTTCAAATACTAAAACGTTCAATGACTGCTTTTTGCGTGCTAAATGGGTACAGGAAAACAAATCAAAGTTTATGAGACAACATGTAACAACAACAGAGTACTAAAGCAAAACAAATGAAAAGGGTGAAGAAGATCAGTCGTCGAGCTCGTAATTTGAAGAAATTTTGATGGGAGAAAGCTGGGGATCGCGTTTTCGTTCTCTCTCCTCCCTGAAAGTTTTGTGATCTCATCTTGGTTAGCAATTTACATGAGTTTATAGTTATTTGAGCTTATAATTGGTTATAAAAACCGATCAATAAGGTGAATTTCTTTAGAAGTGAGGTTCCCATCGTTCGGCTGATTCATTATTTGAAGTTAGGCGAAAATATCATACACACTATTTCTACTTCTACTACTCAGTGAACATGAAATTGAGCTTTTCAAAAAAATTTCAACAAGATAAATTTTTGTTTGAGAAGTCCTCGTTATCCAATCATTTGCTATCGTTTAAACTATCTTCTTGAATTAAACTGAAACAAACCTGAGCTGTTTCGCTTCGCCAGGCGACAAAAATCGGCCGACGTTGGTTTTTTCGTCAACAGTCCAGAGGAAGATATCGTTGAGCGTGTAACCAAAAGCCTTCCAACCAACGAAAAACAGCACAAAAGAGGTGATGAGCCGACGACGAGACCACTGAAAAATTTTTTCCTGTTCGTTGAAAAACTTATTTATGACAAACCTGCTGATAACTAAGAGGCTTTTTCGGAGTAAAGGATCGAACAGCTTGTCGGAACAGCCGACGCCACTCCCAAACGATCATTATGACAAAAAAGAGGTTAAACGAACAAAATATTGAGTAAAAGGACAAAATCGGAAAAAAAAAACAACAAAAATGAAAGAATCCTATAAGATTTGAAATGGAATCAGCAGACGGCCTTGGCCTTCTGGGTCGGCAGCAGACCGAAACGCTTCTTGATGATGATGCGGTACTTGCTGTTCTTGTCTTCCGGCGAGAAACGAGCCGGGTGAGCGGTGATGGTCTGTTGTCCTTCCGGAGCAGTCTTCTGAAAGAAAACCCACGTTTTGGAAACCTTCCAACTCCATTTCTACCTTCAAAGTGTAAACGCGGTGATTGTTCTCGTCCAAATAGTATCTCAAGAACATTTCTCAGTAAGGCACGTTATCTGTAAATTTATTGCGCTTCAGTGAGAAATATAGTTATTTCAAGAACCAGCTCCAAAAGCTTTCAAATATCAAGCATTATTCATTATCTGAACACATAAATAACTTTAAAAATTGTTGGTTCACAGAAAACCAGAGAAGTATAAACCCTGCCATTTTGCGAAAAATTGATTACAGATATTTTAAACGCCAGAAAACGTTATCACTTCGAAAAAAACAAAACAATATAATAAATTAGAACTTTATAGAAGTCTGGTAGCGTAACAAGCAGCGTAACGCATAAAATTTGTGAATTATCAACGTAACAAGGTAAAATATGAATACTGCAGTAAAAATTTGTTTCCTCAACAAAGCTCGATACATAAAATATTCAAATGCATAACAATATCACAATCTCTCGAAGATAAATAAAATCTCTTTTCATATTGGGCCCAGCCCTACAGTTTGAAATACATAGTCCCACAAGGATGTCGAGATTCCAAAACCTAAAAAATATATATCAAAACTGTTCTCAATCGGTAAATACTCACCAACATCAAAGTTTTTGAAATGATGGTTGTGATGATAAACTTTTCTGAAATGCATGTTAGTGAGAGGCTTTGGCGCTCCATGGTGAAGATAATAGTGAACCATGTCGTACAGTACGTATCCAAAAAGCTTCCCGGCGCCAAATGCGCAGAAAACTGGCCTAAAATATTTTATTCTGCTTCATTCTATTACAAATAGTTACCAGGGAAATAAATTAGAGTATACAATGTAGAAAACCGAAACTATTAAAGCCGCTGGAACTGGAGGAAATACCAGTCGATCGCCGTCCATTGGCGTTTTATGATGAAGTCCTCAAGAAAATTGAATATTTGAAAGTTGCTTTGAAAGTTCTCACCATGTAATAAAAAGTGCAGTAAAATTTGTTGCGATGAGTTTGGATCCGGTTTCCAATGAAAGACCCATCGATGCAAAGAATATTCACATAACGTCCAGGTTAAAACACCAACGACGAATAAAATTGCCCAAGCGCCTAAAGAGGCTTTGAGAGCTGAAAAATTGTGGGTTAGCGGATTACGAAAAGGATGAAAACATACTAAGAGAATCGGTGAAGGATAATATTGACAAAATGGAAAAAAGAATCACTAATGGGACCCAAACGAGCGGGACGGTCCACCAATACGTTCTCGTCATGCTTTCAAGCAAATTCGAATCAAAAAGTCTAAAATTCAAAATATATTCCCGAATAAAAAAGCTAAAATAACCTGATAGTACCGTCATATGGCTGATGTATCCAATTCCAATAGTCATGGCCGAGAAGACCAACCCTTCTCAATACACCCCGCTTCGAATCTAATACAGGATCACCCTAAAGTTCAAACTTAATGAAAAAAGATCACAAGCCACTTGGAGAATAAGCAAAACCTTTTGTAATTGTTCGACATCATACTTCTTCAGCATATTAAAAGCTGCTTCAGAATGTTCATGCAAAACTCCTAATGTTCGTTTCTGTCCTCGCATGTAAACGCTTATATCTTCTCCTGCTACTTTTCGAAGAACCTAAATATTCAAATTCATGAATTTTTTGCATAAAATAACCTTTTCTCCTCCGGGGTGCTTTTTGGCGAAATTCGCGACATCATACAATCTGCCATCTAAGTGTACTAGAAGAGGTGTCGTTTCTTCTTTTACCATATCAAAAAACCTAAAACAAAAATTTTATCTTCAATTTTTTCAAAGCAAAAAAAAAAGCCGAAACAAAAGCACAAAATGTGAAATGCGCGACATGGTTGCTAAGCATTGTGCCAGTTTCTATAGAGCTCTTGGAAGCCATCCAATATATGACGGAAGTACAGGAAATAGATAAATATAACCGATATCTTGCTCTGAGAGCTTTCTATTGTTCTCTTTTAAAAATCAAATCAGTCAAGTTAATTGATTAAGAAAGAATAGAATCTAAAAACTTCGAAACCGTGAAAAAAATTTTTTTATCATCTGAAAAAAACTGATTATTAACCGATTAGGCAATGAACTTTTGAAAAATTAACTTATAGGCTACGAACTATGAACGAGGTATAGAAAAAGAGCAAACAAAAATTGAGAAAAACTTGAAGTGTTTGTATATTTGAAAAAAATGTTTGCAAAAATGTTTAAACAAAAAGTAACACCCGTTCGATTTGAATTAAAATTATTAAAGGGTACAATCAAATACCAGAAGTGTGAGAAAAAATACCCTTAAAAACACAAAGCGGTTTGAGAGAATTTCTCAAACTTTTGAACTCTGCAATATTATTTGAGCTTTAAACTGCACTGTTTAAAATAAAATATTGAAAAAATGACTTTTCCCTCTCTCGCCAGCTTTACGTCTTTTTCTGTAGCCAAACTCTGACGAAAATTGTACAATAATAAAAGGAAAACGACAATAAAATAGGAAAAATTGCGTGGGAATCAAAAAAAAATTTGGGAAATTGGCACGTTTCCCAAAATTATCCTCGGCGCACATTTGCACGTCTTCAACTTTTTCAGTTAAGGTTTTCAAAACTTTCGAGATTCAATACAATTTTTCTTTAGATTTTAACTTCTTGTCTAACCGATCAAATCATTACATGAATTAAAATAAGATAAATAGCCGAGGGCCTGGAATAATGGCGCTATCGGACACATCGCCATCGCGTTATCAGTCGACGCATTTTATGTGGAGATCACATAGTTAAACGCCAATTTTTATTACCTTTCTAGTTTTTTTTTCCTTTTTCGAAGACATATACGGATGTAAACATGTTTCAAAATTTCAGAAACTGGTCTTTTCGTCAACCTAGTTAGGCGAATAAGAAGAAAAAAGACCGATTGTTGAAATTTTGGTCCGAGGAAAAAAAAAGGAAAAGATTGTAGTTTAACGACGAGACAAAAGCAAACAAAAGTGCTTTGTTTGCTCTTTCAACCCTTTGAGAAAGTGCTTCAACCCCTTGAATGTGTCAAAACAACGGAAAAAGTCCATTGTATTCTTAATTCTAATCTAATCTTACAGGAAGCTTGAAGAGAAATTCAAAAAAAAATAAAAAATAAATTACTAAAACATAGATTTTACTTTTTAATTAACTTGCATGCATACAAATTTAATGGATTTCTCATTCAAATTCCTCTAAATTGATTGTTTCTAGAATTTTTGAACAGGAAAATAATAATGACGATAGTCGAACGCATTTGAAATAAAAAAATTGAATCACTGAGCAAACTGAAAACTTTTATCACAGAGTGAGAAAGGGCTTTAAAGCGGAATGATAGGAAGAAAAAAAGAACATAAGAAAATTCTGGTTCGTGGTCGAGTAGTGATTCTCACAAAACACGTCATGTACAACTTTGGGAATAAATGGTAAACGAAAATTCCTGATTCAGAGGTCAAAGTGATTCACGATATTGTCTGATAGATTGAAAATTGTTCATTTAAAAAATAGAAAAAAAAAGAAGAGAAAAGGATAAAATGGAGGGGAAACAAGGAAAAAGTTTTAGAAAAGTAAATTCAATCTTATCAAGATTCATAGCGCTTCTATATATAACAGCTTCTCAAAAAAATTTTTTTACGAACTATTCTATCGAAATGGAAAAATTCAAATGACTTTTTTTAATCAATGAATGAGTCATCTTTTAACAAGAAAAATTTCATTTCCAAAAAAATATTTTTTTCGCTTTTTTTAGCTTTCTTTTTCGGCGAAAAAACTTCAAAAATCTCTAAATAACTCTGAACAGGCTTTCCGCCTCAAGAATGTCATAAAATTGTCTTCTTCTCTTTTGATCAGATCATTGTTACAAAGACTAAAGACTGTGCTGATAATTGACCGATTCGGCTAGAATAAATCCAGTTGTTGCTTCTTAGGAAAAACTCAATAAAGAAAGACGGCATTCCTTGAATAACGAATGAAATGCTTAACGAATATTGACACATGCAAATGAATTACAAATAGCTCTCATTGTGGGACAAGCGGATGGCAGAATTGTTGTAGCGGGTGGCGACGGGCGGAACCATGCGGATGACGGCGGGAGCCTCGTCGACGTCTTCTTCGACGACGTTGGAGAGAGGTCGAGGCGAGGGGCGTGGGACCGGTTCCGTCGCTGCCTTCTCCACGACGTCTTCTGCTGCCGAGGCGGCCGGTTCCTCCTCTTCCAAGACGAGACTTTCCATCCGTCGGAACTGCGTCTCGACGAGTTCCACCTTTCCAGAAATGCTCCGCATCGCTTTCTGTCGGCCTTCCACCGAAGAGCTGCAAAAACCGTTTCTGTAGAAATACTTCAACTAGCAGCTCTAATTTCAAGGTTTCTACCAAAACCTTTGGACGAGCTATCTCAGATCACTTAAAACTTCTGAGTCAAAGCCTTCGGATTCACGATCATGTGAACTTTTTGAAAATTATTTGTAAATTATGAAAAAAACAATATTGAATTCACCGTTGAGAATTTGATTTTCTAAATATACAAAGACGTCTCCTTCCGAATATTTTTAGGAAGCTGTTCGACAACCAAGGAGCTCCAGATGTTCAAACTTTCTACTACGCAAATTCTAATTCCACAATCTCAACTACCAAAAAAAATGAAGCAAACAGTTCAAAATTTTTTTCAGAAGTCCTTTCAAAACTGTTCAAGACATGTTAAGGCTTTTTCCTGCGTCGTCGACTGACTTGTGATCGGCATTGATCTGAGCGGCAAGCAGAGAAGCGATCCTCGACAACTCGGAGATGTCGTCGCGCAGACGACGTCGTTCCACGCCGAGGACGCCGCTATTCTTCTGACGGTACGTCAGAATCTCGCGCAACTGTTTCTCCAGCTCATTCACTCGGAAAACCATCTGAGATTTTAACATAATTATTGCAATTGTTCTAACAGAAAAAAAATTCCGTATATCCAATTCCTTCAAACAAGTTTATGGCCAAGCCAATGTTTTTCAGACCTACTCGGAGTTCTGTTATTCCATTTTTTTTAAAACTGCAGCCTAATTTTTCGATAACCCAGAACTATAGTAAGGCAAAAAATGGTGAACCAAAATCCGGTTACCCGATTTCACAAAGACAATCCTCTAGAATTTTGTTGAAAAATTGGTCAAATACTCTTTGAATGTTTCAAAAAAAAATAAAAGGTCTCCAAATACTTGCGAATTTCCAAGACAAAGCTTCAAAGTCAATGAAAATCATCATTAAAAAAAACCAGTTATGAAAGTCATTTCGAGACATCTTTCGAACGGCCTAATTGGTATTCAAACTACAGTACTCCTACCGTTCCTCCACTCAATCCAGTCATTTCCCTGCTTATCAAAGCAAGTTTACCTGGCTGGCAGTGGAATTGAAGGAATCAACGACGGCTAGTCGTGCTTCATTGGTCTGAAGAGCGTTTTTCAGCTGCTCCCATTTCGCTTCGAGTTTCTCACTTCGATCCTGAACGGAATTCGATTCTTCAACTTCAAAAAAACGTTATTTACATCTTTCTCTTTATCGGTTCGGAGGATCCGGCTGACCATTTCCGACATCCGACAGAGTTGCTTACCGTAATCATAGGTGCTCTGCAAAAAAGTCCTATAGTGTAAAAAAAAGGGTAGAGCAAACATTCAGATAACTATACATCAGAAATGATGAATTACAGTAATCTGGTTCAGAAAAATGTTTATTCTTCATTTTCCTGATTTGAAAAGTTCATAGTAGCTCATATACAGCTCTTTTTAAGGGTTCTAGTTTTTCCAACAACAAAAAAAAACGGAATGAAAAAGACAACAGCGCTCTATGGATGCGAATTTATTCTCGTTCATAATTTATTTTCGAAAACTCAAATGAGGTCGATGCACCAAAAAATCTTGGAAAAAATACAATAGGCCTACCGTAGCTGTCTTCTCCAGCTGTTTTCTGTCCTCTCGCAGATTCCTGACGCCTTCTTCACTAACATCCGTTAGGCAATAATCCCTCAGAAGTGTCTCATATAACTCTTGAAGCCAATCAATGACCTGAAGAGAAAATTATCAATGGTTGGAAATTTGCAAGGAAAACCTGGTCACAGTCCTTTCTGGAGGTGAAAAGTTGCATGTACTGCTGAAGTTTCAATTTCCTGACATTTGCCAGTTCAAGACATCTACAAAAAAACTTATTCACTTTTGAATTGAAAAAAAGTGATGGTCGCATAGGGAATGGTTCAATGAGTAGCGGCTGCGGCGCGGTTACTATATAGGAAGATGAACTTGAAAATTTTCTAACTTTCGTATGAAGTTTTCAATTTGCTATAAATTCTCGAGAATAAGTTCTGACGATCTAGTTAAAAAAGTATCGCAGAGGCTAACTGTGCAATCAACTAAAAACACAAAAACACGAATATCTGGAATTGCAAAGTATCTTTTTCAGGACTTTCTGTATTAAAAACAATCTTCAGAAAATCACATTTTCAAAGTAAAAATTCTACGAAAGTGACTAGGGTAGATCTTCATATCGGCCATCAAGTCGAGTTTTTAGAAAATTACGAACTTTACCCATACATGGGCAGAAATCTTTCAAAAGCCATCAAAACCTCCTTCTAGGCTCACTAAGTTCTGTACTGTCCCAAGGATGACTTCACGTTTTCGCCTTCTTCCAGCTCGAAACACGACCGCAACGCATTGAGCCATTCTATGTGCGACCTTTTAAGGTTTTTATTCGATGAACCTTTGATGTCGCTGACAATTATACGCCAGCTGGGCTCTGATATGACTCATCAAAGTCTTCGTCGGGAGTGTCGACGTACTCTTTTCTAGGAATTTTATCGCATCAGTACCGTTTTCAACTGCTTCTTCGTACAGCTTTTCTGGAAGTAGTTTTTTGAAAATAAAAAGTCTATATAAGTTGAGTATCGAGTGTCTCGAGTTCGAATAGAGAAAATAAATTAGATAAGAAATCTCTTAGTATTTGAGTTTTGGTCCTCTCTCACTTATTTAAATGCATTTCAATCAAATTATGGGCCAAACCTCGAATTTTGACTGTAGAAAATAACGGAAGTATCGTTAAGTAGAAAAAAAAAACATGAAATGAAAAATTGAATTTGAAGCTTTTTTAACCGTTTTTTTCCAATTGTATTTTTTTGAAAGCCATTTTAGAAAAATAAAAAAAAAAGAATCGTAAAGATAAGTGTCCGTTTATCGATTTATACTTCGTTCTCAAGATTATTTTTTGAGTTGGAAAACATTTTTTTGGATCCATTTTCGTCCTAGTTTTATAGTGGATCCTCGAAAGATGCCGCTCTTTTGCCTGATAGTTCAAAAGAAAAAACTCACGAATCTTGACAGTTTTCTGTTCGATCTTGGTCTTCTGAGTCTTGGCCTCGTCCAAAGTTTTGACATTGTCCGGCCGACAAAGGGCTTCGAGCATGGCGTCGGTGTGTTTTGTCAACTGGAAGTCCGACTCCAAATTTACAATTTGAAATCCAGGTTGTAGAACCGAAGCAAGTTTGCTCTGAAGCGATTTATTGGCGATGGCGAACTTTGACTGCGCCTCGACTCGCTTCGAGAAATGCTCTCCGACATGTCGGACTTGCTCTCGCATCTGCAACATTTCAAAGTCGGTTCAAAATGCTTTCTGCGATTTGTTGACAGGAGTATGATCAACCAAAATTTGAAGAGAAACAAGAAAAAAAAAATTGAACCTGTGTCGGAAACATTTTGATCGAAGATTGCGATTTCCTAGTGAAACGTGATTTCGCAAAATTCGAAATAGCCGTCAGAGAAAAAGAAAGAACTAATTGTTGGAGAGTCAGAGATTATTTTTCGTTTCGCGGAATATACGGAACATCTAGGATAAAAAAGAATTCGAAAGTTAATATTAACATACAGAAAGCACAAATTTACAGTAAAAAGTCATTATTAAAATGCTAATACCCAATACCCTAAAAAGGCTAGATTACTGGGTATATTTTTTTTCGAACCTTTTATGGTGACTTCTCTAACCTTTTTAGAATTGTTCTAATATTACAATATCTGAAATTTTTTCGAACCTTATGAAGAGAAATCGAATAATGGGGACAGACGACCATCAGCCTCGTGGCCATGTCAGCCAACTGCGTCGATTGTTCCAAAATGTCCTGAAAATGAGTGAAATTGCTCAAAACCCCTGAAAGAAGGCTTCAAACTTTGCTGCGTTCTTCGAGAAGTTCGTGCTGTTTCACCATGTTTTCAGCTTCGTCGGCGTTGTCGGCAACCTGGAAAAATTCTTTCGATGTGTTTATTTCTCTCAAAAAAAAATACCTCACAAAGAGACTGGAGCCATTTCTCGCCACAACCTTCGATCCAGTCGAGAAATCTGTGCACGCCGACCGCATGTTCTTCGATCATTTCCTCTTTTCCTTCGGTTTCTTCCTTTTTCTGCCAATCGCAATCATTTCGACTCAAAACTGTGTTCCTAACTCACTCTCAAGCCTGAAACGCCATTTTTGAGCTGTCGGGAAGCGAATTCGTCGTCGACTCGGCTACTTGAAGCAAGACTTTCGGCTAGTTTTTCCACTTAAAAATGATAATGCTTGATGAACATTCAATTCAATTTATTCCGTCGTCAGAGTAAGATGAAGAAAATCTCTGCTGAATCATGGCATAATCGAAGAGTTTGTCGTCGGCGCAGATTACGAATGAACATAATCATTTTGAATTTTCTTCAAGTTCTGATCGCACGTGAAAAGGGTAGACGCTGGAAGGTGCCTAAGTGGTCGCGCCCGACTTCAAACTACTTTCGCAGGCTAGCATCAAACTTTTAACTTATTAGGTAAGAGCTTTAGCCCGATTCAAGCTCTCGCCACGACGTCTGACTTTTCGCAGGCGACGGTTTCAATTCTACAAGAATGTCGTTGCGAATGGCCTATCTAAGGGTTTTCGTACAAAAAAATAGTTTCATGAAAAAAAGAGATAAACGTTTGTAAAAAAATTCGTGAAATTAGGGGATTTCATAACCGTTGAAAAAAATCATCAAATCGTTTTTTTGTTATTCCCGGCAGAATGATGAAAAAGTTTAATAACCATCTATAAAATCTAAAACTCAATCCAAAAGCCTAATGATCAATATTATTTTTGTCTCAACTTCTTTTTTCTCTTCTTATATTTTTTCTACCACAAAAACTTAGCAATACACCTTTTTTGAAATTCCCGAACTAAAATACCTTCTTCCAGTCGTTGATTGTTCAACTCTCCGGCATTCCTTTTCATCTGACTCAAATCATTCAAAGCGCTTGAGATTCCCTAAATTTCTTTATTGAAAATATTCTCAGACTTGAAATCGCCTGTCGGTTTTCCAGCCACTGACTCGGTTCATAGACACAAGTTCCGCCGAATTGTTCAGGAAGTTGGCTGACATCAACGTACTTCGACAGTTTGTGAACTGAGATGAGAATCGCCTAAAGTTTCAGCAATGGATTGTCAACAAGAAGAAAACGAAATAATAATTGAATTCAGAGCCCTTTTCTGAGATATCCGAAAAAGTTTACTCTAACTTAAGCCATCACTGATTATAAAAAAATTCAACTTGTTTTTTTTTGGTGAAATTCTGAGCTAGCCGCTCCCTCTGAACAAAATGAGTTATGTACTTGCCCTTGTATGGCACCGACAATTTTTCTATTCCAAGGATGGTTCAGTACAAGAGCCACTGTAGTTTTCGTTCAAGTCAAGAGAATGTCGACCTTCTTTGAAAAAAATCTCTCCCCCAAACCTTGAACTCATAACCCTCGAGGATCAAGTCAAAGTTGATCTTTTGCTGCTCGAGGAACTTCTCCGGCTGGACGATCAACACCAGACGCAGCTTTTTGTACAAGGCTTGCTGAAGTCGACGTCTTCTTCTTCTTTTTTGACGTTGAACAGACCTGACAGGCGCGCAGAAGCTGTTTCAGTTGTTTGGCGTGAGATTGTCGGGCGTCGACGACGACAGTAAACGCCAGAGATGACGTCATCTCGCTGAGCAGACCCATCAGGGAGACGACGTCTTCGTAGGGCGTCGTCGAGTCTGGAGACGTTGGTTGGTTCAGAAGTAGAATGCACTTTTAGGTATTTCAATAGTTTATGAAGACTCACCGGCGTTCGGGGATATCACTATGATGGGACATCCTTCTCGATCTTGACCGCCTGAAAAGGGAAAACTGTTGTTTCCTCTCAAATCAGTTCAGTTTATTCCATTCCAAGAACTGAAAGATAATTGGGTGAAAAATTAAAAATATTTTCATCGAAATCATGAATAAAAAAACCATTTAATCAGTTAACAAATTGTAGATCACAACGTCTTTTTCAGAACTTTTTCCAAAAAATTTTCATTTTATGGATTCAGACCTTCTTACTTTCGTGAATAAATAATGAAACTTCTGCGCATAAGGGAAGCTTTTATTGTGAAGAGTCCGAACAGGACTGCAAAGAAAAATGTTAGGTGTATACATTTCCTAAAAACGAAAAAAAGTGAAAAAAATAAAAAAACTCAAAAAAATATAAGTTTTAAAAATTCAATTTTTTTGTTCACAAAAGAGAAAAATAAACTCATTCTAACTAAAAAAAGGTAAAAAAAATTAGAGTCAAGCTGCTGGAATTTTTTTCGATAAACTTGCAGGCCAAAAAACGCCCAAAAAGGAGGATAATATAAAATTGAAAGTCAGAGAAATAAAAAAATTTTCCTTTCAAGACGCTGAAATTTGAATGATAAATGATGCTCCAAACATAAAATTAATCAAGGTGGTTTCATTTGTCCGATCAGAATCCCCTGAGACGACGGACCTGGCAAGAAGACAAGTTTCCGGAGGATGACGTCACGATGCCGTTGGACGTTCATCCGGCCGACGTCGTCGTCGACGTCTTCAGAATCTTCAGGAGACTTTCGAAGAGGAAGTTCCGCAGGAGACTGCGCGACTGATCAATAGTAGTGTTGTGTAACTTGCGATTATCAGCGTCGCATTTGACGCCGTTCAAACGAGACCTTGCAAACCCCCGCCAAACGTCTTTTAATTCGGCCTGAATCGGCTGGTTTCGGCCAAGTTTAACGGTATTTTAGTATCGGATGGCAGAAAAAGGGTGTAATCGGGGAAAGGTTGAGAAGACCAAAGAATCACAGCTGACTGATAGAGGCCGATTTTGCAGATTTTTTTTTCCGATAGGTACCCAGAGGTGGGTGATTTGAATTAAACAAACTATTTGAAAAAAAGGCCATTGAAATTACATAGAAAATGCATCGAAATTGATCATTGCTTAAAAAAATTTCATCAAGTTTGTTAATTTTTTCGACCCGCTATAATTCGTTTCAACTCACTTTAATTATTCTAGAACTTAACGGATCAGTTTTTTTTTTCTTAAAAAACCACTGGAAATTTTCAAATGATCACTAGAGCGGAGTTTTTTTCTCATTGCTGAAAACTTCAAAAAAAGCTGCCCTTTTGTCTGCCGCTAATTCTGTGTTGACAAAGGCTAGAAAATTTTTATTAGAACAGGCAAAAATTCTTACTCAGTAGATTGAAACAAAAACAAAAAGAACCAAAATTTAAAAATTCCCGGTTTTGAAGGTTTTCTAGCAAGTTTCTTATTAACATAGAAAAAACCTTTGGAATCCAAATATCATTCGAAACTAAGTTTCAACCATACAGCCCGAGCCGAAATATGCAAATTAAGAAAAAAAAAATTAAGAAGAAAGGCAGAAGCGGCCAAGGACTGGCAGAACAAATAAGGTCAAGACAGCAACTTTCGCCGCGGGATTCGGCGATCCTCCCGCTCGCAAACATCCAACACGCGCCGCTGATGGATTTACAGCCCCAGAAAAGAAACTGTCTTTTAAATTAAATGCCTAGGCTCCCTTGTTTTTGGATCTATGGTGTTTGTGAGAGCCGCGAGAAAAAGAAAGAAACCAACTTTCGAACTGATAAAGGCAGCAGAACTGGTTCGAAAAAGCAGGCGCATGCAAACTCCAGCTCAAAAAATTCCATCTTCGATTGATGAGAGCTGAAAAAAAATCATACACCACTCACAAAAAAAAACGGACATATAAATAGTTATCGAATCCTTGTAAATCCCGAAGCATTATTCAATGATTGCCTTATTAAATGATATTCTTGAAAATTATGCTCTGAAAATGAGATGAAAAGGAAAAAAAACACACATACATAATTTTGTGTGTTTTTCTTTTAATGCCGGCATGCCGTGTTCAATTTGATTCCGCGAAATGCAAAATGATCTCTGACTTTCCAAAATTCAGTGATCTTTTGCTTTCTCTAACGGGTATTTTGCATTTCGCGGAATCAAATTGAACACGGCATAAAAGTCAGGAAAAAAATAAATCAAAAAACGGGCGAATGCGTATTTGCGCTCTATGGAGAGGTAGGAGCGGAGCCTCGTTCACTTCCGTCGAATTTTTGTCTTATTGTTTTCCTTTTTCTTTTATTTTTTTCAGGAAATCCTAGGGTTCAACTAAACTCAGAGAAACGGAACCTGATTCGAAGTCAGCCTATGGGTAGACTTACATTTTTCGGAATTCGGTCGATTCAGAAAAATTCCTTAATCGCTCTCGGACATTGGTAACGCGGAACGAACATGCTTCGGACGTTTCTGGGCAATTCTAGGGATCACTTAAGAGAGCTAACGCTACTAAGATGGGCACTAGAATTGCCGAGAAAGGTCCGGAGTACGTCTGTTTCGCGTTGCCAATGTCCGAGATTTATGTGTTCCTTTTTTGGCTATTGTATATAGAAGCCTGCTATTTTTCCGTTTTTTTTTTTAAATTGGAGACTTTCTGAATAATCCTTTTATAATTTTTTATGACTGGAGCTCCAGAACTAGCTAGTTTTGATTAAAATTTTATAAATTGATTGAAAAAATGTTTTTTCGATGAAAACTTGAGAGAGCTGACTGAAAATTTGGTGTTGGGTTCGAAACTTATGTAAACTCCATTAAAGTGTTCAATTACTGTCTTTAACTTGTCTTGATCCTCACTATCACGTTGTATGAGATATTCATATTCACCTCAAAAATCTTTCTGATTCACAGCAAAGTGTGAGGCCTCATGAGGCGGCTCTCGAGGTTTGCGGCGTATCCAATCGAAATATCGCACTCGAACTCGCTGTCAAGTGTGCTGCCCTATCAAAACCTCTCCACTCGCTCCATGATGAAGCTCGAAGAATCGCGAATCCTCTTCATCGATATCGTTTTTATTACTGTTCTTGCAAATCGAGAGGTTGGATTTTTTGTTTTGCGCTTCAAATTCTAAAATTCACTCAAACGTATTTTTATTCCATCTATGTTAAACTTACGAAAAATTTTGATTTCGGGTATGAAAAACATAAAAAAGGCCGCAAAAATTGAACTTTGCCTATTCTCTTTGAAATTCTAGATAAATTTACAGATATTTTTGATATTATGTAGATCATGGAAAGGGAGAGCTTTCATATTTTAGTCAAAAATTTCTCAAAAAAATATTGGAAGTTTATGAAAAACTATTTCCCTAAATTGGATTATCCATCAGCATAGAAACTTTTTTTAACGAAATAACTCGAGCGATACAAAAAAATAAGCTGAAAAATAAATTTGAAGAAGAAAAAAATGAATAAAAATCACCTTTTTCTTCCAATCTTTTTTTATGGAAATTATGTTTTCTAAAAATTTTTTTGAGGATTCTGAAATTTGGAACCAGGTAAAACAGGTATATAACAGGAATTGGAAATGAAGAAAGCTTTTCATTTTAAAAATTGTAAAACCTCAAAGAAACTACCTAAAACTTTAAAGACACCGTAATTTTTTCCTTATTTACCTTTACTCCATATTGATTACTTATTTGGAGCAACTAACACGTTAGATTTTTTCAAAATTTACTCCATTCCCCGTTGGTTTTAGACAAAGAAGACTTATAAACCTCTACTTTTCCCACATTTTTTCTTATATTTTGAAGACTTTAGCCAATGTTGAATGAACTATATCCATTCGGAACCTATGGAGAGTCTCTAAATCCTTCTCTGTTATGAAAAATGTCCTCTTTGAATCATTCTTCTGATGGAAACTAACACATTGTACATTACTCTTCTCATCGTGCTTCTGAATTTCGGAACGACGTCGTTCGGACTCCATTAAAGTATAAGAGAAAAAAGAGGCTCGAAATGTGTTTGGCGGCGGATGCTCATTGGTCCAGCCCCACTCGCCGAGCCACGCCCATCCCAAGGAGCTCATCGTCGCTCCATTTCGGCAGCCACTCGTTCTTCATTCGACTTCAAATCGGGTTGCGGTGGATTCCATCAAGGTGACTGCCCACAAAAGCCTCCCAAACTTGAAGATTCCGTGTTGGCTGCTTGCAGCGAGCCTAATTGTCCTTTGCTGCTCAATTGGTCCCCTTCAAGCAGCGAACACGCTCTTCTCCTTTTTCTTTTTGAACCTTTCTACAGTATCCATCCGTAGGTAAAGCTCTATTTTGTCGCTAGACATGAAAGTTTTAACCAATGAATGACAGAAGCAGGTAAGTTTGCGATTTAGTCGCTTCATCCCAAGTGGAAATTCGTTTTTCGCATGAAGGATTGCTTAACTACAAAACGGTTTCAAAGAAGACCGTAGAACGACTTGCGCATGTCGTTATAAGTAATATTTGAAAAAAAAAATGTTCCAGTATTCTGCGGAATGCTACGAAGAAGGTAATTTTACTTTTCGGTTGGGAATCTCTTGAAAATTGATCAGAAAAATTCTTGATGTAGCAGAAGAGGATTTTGAAGGTCCCAAACTGCCCAAAATTTTAGTTTTAAACGAACGAGGGCTTAAAATCACAAAATGGCCTACTTTTACAGATCTTTCTTTTGACTTAAGGGTGTTCTTTTTCCAAAACTAGAAGGTGTGCATGCTGAGAATTCAGGATCTTTCTCAGGTTCATCAGTGAGCGTTATGGCCAATATATAAAATGACCTTCTTGTTAGATCTTTTCAGCAGCTGAAATAAAGAAATAAAACATTTTTCAAGTTTTTCTCAACTTACTCCAGGAAATTGTTAATAGGAATATCGTGTGGAGGTATCTTTCCGTTAACTTGGAATAAGGTAATCAGGATTTTTTTTTTCATCCCAGGTATGTCAGTTGTAGTGGCTCTTCGAGTTGGGAAATTTTTTTAAAAGTTTTTTCAGACCATCTGGTCTAGCTTCTCATTTACAAACTGGACTGACACAAGTATTTCGATACAGTTTTCGCAAATTTTTTACATAACGACTTTGGAATGCCCTGTGAAATCATTCATAGCTAACACGTGTAAGCAAGATTATAGTGTTAAACGATATATTTTTTTCCTGAAGTTTCCAGCATTTTCAAAGTTTTCGCTTTTTTGAAAACAGAGAAGCTCATAAATCTACGGATCCGCAAAGACCAAATTCTCTGTGATTTTCATTGAAAAAAAAAACTTTGAGAGCTTGTTGGGTTGAAAAAATGTTTCAAAAATCAAGCAAAAAGCTCGGATTTTTTTGAGGAGCAACTGGCCCACTTTTTTTGAAATTCCGAAAGTTCCGAAATTTTTTCCACCGTTCCTCATTCTCTGGGGTGTTGCATCGAAGCAATTTCGTCGTCGAGAAACTTTTTTTCTTCTTGGAGACGTTCCGAGAGGCACTTCGATCAACACACAATTTCCTGACGACGTGCAAATGTGTCTTCTTTTTGGAGGGGAAATGGAAATGGAGACGGGGAGGCGGCAATAATCAGAGAGAATAGGGTTTACTCTGAAGAAGTTCTCTCTGGAATGGGTTCGAAATGGGAAGTTGATTGAGTTGTCCGAGGCAACTGGAATGTTCGCACGGACGTCTCTGCTTAGGCGCTGCCCTGGGGCCGTTTGCCTACTAATTGTGTGTGTGATTAACTTCAATTCGCTTGTCTCTTCAGGGATTTGTTGTTCGAGAGCAACTCGAACGTCTTCTTTGTATATAAATATTTTTTGAGCTTATTAGCAAGAAAAAAGTCGATTCTTCAAGACTGATTAAATTAGGAGACTGGGAATACAGAATTCTTTCGTTGACTTTTTTCATGGAATGGAAATTTAAAAATAAAAAGCTCCACACAGGAGAAAGTGAATTTATTCGCATTAAAGCGTTCTTTCGATACATATACGTATGAATGTGATGATCCGAATTGACAACGTTTGGTTAAATTATTTGAACGAATGAGGTTTGAAATATAGCAGGAATTCAAGTGCAACCCATATTTTGAAAAAAAAATCGGCAGGAGAGTCCGGTAGAATTACAAGAAAATCGATGGTTTTTTAAAACTTGGTCGTTTTTCTACAAAATGCCGAGTTCCTGGAGCCAAACAGCTGCGAAAAGAACGATGACGATGAGAATCGGGACACCGATCGCGACGGCGATGATCGCGCCGATTGGGACTGAAAGTTGAAAACATTCACCTAATTTCATTTTTCATTTAAAGACTCACTTTTGCGCTTTCCTCGGCTTTCTGTAACGAAAGTTCTTGTGGTAGTTGTGCCCGGTCGCGTGTATTCGCAAGCCAAAACTGAAAAAATAAACTTAGTCCGATCATTTTTTGCTCGACTCTAAAAATTATATTCGAAGCCTGGCCGAAGCCCGCCTATACTTCCTCGCAAAAATGAGGCCCGATTCCCGGGCCGGCCTGAACTACTCGGATTCGGGTACGGGTTTCGAGTTGAAACTTTAGTGGTTTATAGACCCAAGTCAGATTACTTGAAAACAAGAGAGAATATCTGCTAAACCCGGTAGAGAACTGAGAAAAAATTAGTAGAAAATGTGAAAATTAGGCCTGAAATTTTTCAGAATACTGCTTTTTACCTTATTTCATATTTTAATACAATCGCCTTGAATGATCCGACTATGATACACTCTAAAAAACTTTTTTCCAGCCAAAAGAAGGAGAAAAGCGAAAATTTGATAATTTTCAAACTTAAGCTGTTCATTTTCAAAAAGATTTTTCTCAGAAGCCTATGGGGTTTAGCAGATAATCTCTCTTGTTTCCAAGTAGTCTTACCCGGGTCTATAAGCCACCCAAGTTTCAACTCGAAACGCGTACCCGAGTCCGAGTAGTTCCCTAGTGAGTAAGGCCGCACAAGTCTGTTGCCTTTTTACATCCGAAGATTTGCTCTATCAAAAAAAATAGCTCACAAGAAATTTAGTTTGGTAGAGCGAATTTTTAAAGCTTCAATGACCTAGTACGAGGAACTAACGAGTGTCAACATATCATGGTGGGCCGTATTACCGCTGAAAATTAGGAAAAAGAATTTTACCAATCTGAATATATAACGATACTTTTTAAATTGATGGTTGAATTATAGAAAATTATTAGAGTTTTCAAATTTTCGTTCAAATGCTCACTTGGTTCGTGTTGCTGTGGAGGATGAGCCGTGTAGCTGCAGGCCAGTTGTTCTCGATAGTCTAAAATAATTATCATTGAGAAAATGGGTCTGAAAACAATTCAAAAAATTCGTTTCGTTCTTTTTGCACATTATTCCAATATATTTATCAAGAAATTCATCAACTATTGTTTCGAGATAACGGTTAATAAACTACTTTTTTGAATTTCTTAATAAAGGCTATGAACAAAGTCGAATTTGACAAAAAAAAAACAGAGCTTTTAGATTCTAAGAAATAACGCAGCCTCAGAAAAACAAATAGAAAAAAATTTAATACTTCGAATTTCAGAAATCTTTGGTTTAGAAGAGAAATACGTCTATTACACTTTATGACAATTTTCGAATTTTCTAGTTATATTTTTTTCTTAGTTTCTTCTTTCCTAAAATTTTGATTATAGTTCTGAATAAAAATGATGAAAGTTCTGCGTTTCAGTCAAGCCAAACAACAAAAAAAAAAGCGAAACCTCTTTGTTGGGAGAAGTTTTGCGATGGCGAGGCTCGCCTTTCGTATTTTTCAAACGTTTCCCTCGCATCCAGCATTTCTAGTTTCCTAAAAAGTTATCAATATTTCAGAACAATAAGATTGATTCGATTAACATACCCAATTGGAAAAAAATTAGGTGTTTTAACGGTCATTTTATGGGGTTTAGAGCGTGTGACACATGGATTTGAAAAGGGGAAAGAGATCGAAAAATAGTTGCTATGGGAACTTGGCAGGGCGCCAAAAATTGCTGAGAAGCTTTATAGGTATGATATAAAAAGGAATAGACCTTTTGAAACTACTAAAGATTTTTTCATTGCTAATTATTGTTGTGAAAACTTTTCTTGAGCCGAAAATTCAGATTCTTACGATATTTCTCTAACAACTATGTATTTTGAACTTTCCAATTGTTCCATGCAGGGTGAAAAAAATCAAAAATTTGTTTATGAACATTTATTAAAACACCTTTATGAAATGTTTTAGGGAGCGTGATAAAAAAAGGGGAAAAATCAGATAACAGTTCTAATTGTTCTTTGAAATCATGTAAAAATTTTTTTGATTTTTTTCATTATCTTTCTAATAAAAAAAAACAAAAAATGATAAAAAGCGCGAATCAGTCAAAAAACTCACTGTTTCCGGGTTAGGTAATGAGATTGGAGAGGTTTGGAAGACGTGGGAAGGCGGCGTTGCGTCGTCGAGGTCGAAGGACACACGGGACAATAACCCCAAAACCTGTCCGCTTTTTTTCCCTGCGCCTCCGCTCTTCTTCCATATTTATTTGTTGGCTGGAATTTAATTTGACGTTTTTTGTCCATCCAAGTGCCATTCAGTTTTCGAATGGGAACGATTTTCGACAGCCAATTTCAGCCATACTCGATATTTTCCACTTTTGAAAAAGCTTAAAAATGAATTTTCTTGGGAAGAAGTTCTCAGGCGTCTCGTGAATGTTCAAAAAGGCTTCGATCACAGTATAGTGTGTATCTTACTCGTAAGATCAAAGAAGTTCGGTCAATTGCATTGCTGGAGTGCTAAAAGATAAATATTAGAAATGTATGAACTAAACTTCGTTCTTTTAAGCTACTGCGCCTTTGATCATTCTGAAAAAGTATTATCAGAGTATACAAAGCAAAAAAACCATCAATTAAAAAAAAATCGAATTTTTTTATACGAGAGGATGTCATTTTACGTCAACGGCTGTGACCCCAAAAAAACATCATATCCGACGGGCATTTATTTCGAATTAAAAAGTTTTCTTTGAGTTAAAACTAGTTTTTATTTTTGAATTTTCTTTTTTTAAATAGAAATAAATTCCAGTTGACTTAGCGAAACTTTGTCAGAGGCCCAATAAAGTTAATTTTAACAAGTCCCAAGCTTCTTAATTTTTTTCAGTGTTCAACAGTACAAGTTTTCAACTTTTTTTCCCGAATTTCAAGGAAAGTTTGATCTATCGAAAATAGTTTCATTAGCCTGAAAAGCTGTTGAATTATTTAAAATGGAAGCCGCATCCGCCGCACTTTTTCTCGTCTTATCTGCGCGGCTTCACGTTTTATTTGCGAATGCTACTCTCATTCGTCCTGTCGTCGCCCCCGCTAATCATTAATTACGAAAGAAAAACGTTATATTATATCGATTACTCTTCGTTTGTGCAAAAATAATGCTCTAGTGTTGATTTATCGTCTTGATTGTCAATTATCTATCGTGAAAATTGATTGAAATATGAATTTGATGATGGAAAATATATGTTCTTCACCTTTTTTTTACACCTTTCTTTTTAAAACTAACAGGCCTGAAAAGCTTCGATAGTTTTGGATCACGGTGACGTAAAGGTTCAAGTTTAACAGATAAAAAAACTATCTTGATAAGCCAAAGTTCTCTTTATTTATTCAATTTCTTTTCCTCTCGTTGATTCACTCGCACCTGCACTTAATAACTTCAAACCGGAACTATTATTAGTCATAAGAAGCTGTAAATTGAGTGAAGGGGAGCGAATACAATTAGTGGAACTCACGCAGAAATTCCATCCCTTTCACTAGTCTTCGCCTACTTTTTTCCGTCCGAAATCGATCCATCATGCGTCATTTATTTTTCGACACCCCGTATGTACCACAAGGCCCATGTACATGTAATGCTCTTAAAATTCAGTCCTATACCGTCGTGTATTTGAATACGCAAAGGCAAACTCCCTGTTTTGCAATTTTGTACATTGTCATTTTGAATCTGAAAATAGATATGTCCTGCTCTTTTTGATAGTATATGAAGTTGCTGTAAGAAATTTGAAAAAATTGAAAATTTTTTTTTGTTGTTTCATCGTTAACTGATTTTTTATATTTATTTTTCACGTTTTTTCTAATGTTTTTTTTTTTCAGAATCTTCCCCATTCCGCAATTTCGACGCCGTTCAAAGTTTGGTAATCCGTGAGTTTTTTTTTCAGTTAAAAGAAATATACGTTGTTCAAGATAATTATACCTTTCTTTCCAAAAAAAACTCCATAATTTACAAATATCTTGAAAATAGCAACGGAAACACAACACAATTTCCAGTTTTTTCGTTCATTTTCAGAAACAGAAAACCTTTGAACGAAGTTCGAATGATTCATATTTCTGTGTTCCGTTCTCTGATCATGAAAAAGCGATGAACTTTCTCTAGGCAAACAAAAAGATGTTTCTTTTTATGTTTTTTCTTCTTCTTCTACAACTTTCAAGCACTGAACTTTCTGCCCAACAATGATATTACGGCTGGTTTTTTTTTTTGAGATTTTCTTTCCTCAATCAAAATTTTTCTGCGGTGAAAACTGTGTAAGTTCATTGAGAATGCTTTAATTCTGTCCCTTTTTCGAAATAAACTTTGATAGATCAATGAAATCAACGTTCTGAAAAGTCAAGAAAAGTCCATTTTATGTCCTCAAAAAATGAGAAAGTTCCGGCGGCTGTGATTGTGTAATGTTCATATAGTACAAGTATTAACATCTAATGATTTTCCAGAAAGTTCTGTAAAATCAGATGACCTTTTTTTGTGTGCTTTCGGACTTTTTTTTAAATTTTTTCTATCTTATTATCATTTCGAATCATTCAGAATGCGCGATGCCAGACGAAAACGGGACGGCGAATGAAGAAATTCGGTATCCACAGTCGCAAAAAGTCCGGAAATGGACGGCACACGCCGGTCGCAACAGATTTCTTCTCAATGGAAATGTTCGATTTTGATATTATACGAGACAGGTCTTTCGTTTCTTTGTATGAAAGATCGGAAGGATAGAAAGAAGGTAGAAAGGTGGAAAAAGGAGTACTATACACCTTTACTAAAGAATAATTCGTGGTGATTCAGGTGATCCTGTCGCGGAAGAACAACGTCTTCGTCTTGACCATCTTCCTGATGTCCACCACCCTCACCCTTTTCTTCATTTTCGAGTTCGTTGCCGTCTTTTTTCCATGAAACCTGATAGAATTTTGAAAAAAAGAAACGTGAGAACAGATATCGTAGGCAAAGTCGGAAAGGGTGGAAAGAGGCTCCATAGAAATTTTCCTTTTACGGCGACAAAGGCTCTTTTTTGATGCCATTTTTCGTTATTTCATTGGCTGTTATGCACCATTTTTGCTGCCTCTCCCCTTTTCCAGCGTTTCTAGAGCTAGAAAAAATGAAAGGCTCTTTTTTGCTGCCTTTCTGCGGCCTTTTCTGAGCCTCTCCCTTCTAGAGGTCGTTATACACTATTCCGACGTTATCGGAGAGAAAATTTTGTGCTTCAATTAAACTTTATTTTTAGCAAACGCTTTATACAAGCAAAAAAATGGTGGTCACAAGAAGAACTTGAAAAAAGAATAAAATCGAATAAATTTTGGACATGGCGGCTGAGATTTCGTTATATAATTTTTTTAGAAATAAAAAAAGAAAAGGAAATTTTTAAAGCTCTATTGTCTTTTTTTTAAAGCTCTATTGTCTCACCACAGCAAATATGTATGAAATCTTCTTTTCACAAATTTTCATCTCATTTTTTTGGAAACACACATTTTAGAGGCCCATATTACTGGAAGATCTGTCCGGCGATCCCTATCGCAGCGGCGATTTTGGCTCTTTTCGCGACATCCAACTTTTTTGCGACCGCCTTCGCGGATCCAGGAATCCTGCCAAGAGCTGAAAATCTGGAGGTGATCGAGTTAGATCGACAGCACGTGGAGTCCGTCAGCGCGGAATTCGGTGGGTTTTCAAGATTTGGAAAAAGTTGATGAAAAGATAATTCCGGTTTTTTTAAAAGTCTTTCAATGAAACTCCAAAACGTCCTTTTTGAGTCTCTCTTATGATTTCAATTTTTTTTCCATTTTATTATGTATCACAACCAACATTTCTGAAACCCCTTGTTTGGGTCACGCCGGGGATCGATCATGTGACCCTGTGGACCGTAGACAAAGAGAATCAGCCAACATGCCAGTTCAGCCGACGAAGAGGGGACCAGCGAGAGGACTTCTCGGGTCGCCGTACGAACCAAAGACGTCTCGATCAACGGCCAGCCCATCCGGCTCAAGTACTGCTACACGTGTCGGCTTTTCCGACCCCCCAGAAGCTCCCATTGCTCCGTCTGCGACAATTGCGTCCTCATTTTCGATCATCATTGTAGGTTTTCAGGAATTTTGCATAGTTCTATCAATGAATCCGATCCAGTTTTATTGAAAAACCGAGCATTCAAAGTTAGTTTTTAAACTAGCCGGTGACAATAAAAATTAAAAATTTAAGACTTTATTGCTTTCCGAACTGATGCCGTGTTAAAAATAATCCCCGTAATGATTTTTCATTAAAAGGTCCTTGGGTCGGAAACTGCGTCGGCCAACGCAACTACCGCTACTTCTACCTGTTCGTGTGCTCGCTGACCTTGTTGGTCATCTCCTTGTTCACTGCCTCACTCACTCACATTTGCCTCTGTTTGTTACCTGTTTCACAGAGCGAATATCTCGGATTATTCCAGTGTCCAAGCAGATGACCTTCGTGGACGCCATCAAGCACACGCCCGTCTCGTTGGTTATCACCACCGTCTGCTTTTTTTCGATCTGGTCAGTTCAGAATTTTTGTGAGAAACACAAAATTTAATGGAAATATGTAGTTCATGAAACTCTGATCCTACTTTTTGATAAATAATAGACTTTTTCTAAATATTGAAATAATTTCCGAAGTCGGCTCTTTTTGATGGAGAACATCGCTCGTAAATCAAATAATCGAATTTTGCAGATTTAAACGTGAAAGAAAACGATAATATAAATCAAAAGTTGTCCAAAAAAAGTCTCCAATATTTCAATGACTGGCACTACAACGTTCCTGGTTTCGATTTTAGACTTTTTTCTTTTCCGAGTAATTCCAAAGAATTCCAAAGGTTAATTAAATTAGTTTCTGTAAATAAGAACCAGAATTAATTTTAAACGAGTATTGAAGAAGAGCAAAACGGAAGAATTGGACAGAAAAGCTGGAAAATGAAGTATCTTGAAATTTTTTGGTTAAAATGTTTCATCACTCGTATCCATCACCTGTGACAACTTTTTCCGAGATTATTTAACTCCCTCAATAATTGAGGAATTTTTTGAAATGTTCCCTCATAACTTCGCTTTTTTTACAGGTCTTTAATGGGCCTTTCCGGATTCCACTCATACCTTCTGGCGTCTAGTTTAACGACGAACGAAGATGTAGCTTAATTTTTCGATTCCCTAATAAAAACGGAAAATTCAGATGAAAGGAACGTTTCGAAACAAAAATCGGCCTCAGACGCCAAATGCGCCGGTAGTTCGGAATCCTTACACGTTTGGAATCCTTTCAAACTGCTCAAATCGTCTTTGTTCCTCACAAACGCCAAGGTTTTTTTTATTGTGGAAAAAAATAAATGCAAATATATAAAATATGTTAATTATGCCGGTTTTGAAAAAGAGATAACAGAGTTTGGGGGAAAAAACGAGAGAAAACATGTTAAAAATATAAATTTTTCGGGAAGGTTGAAATAATTTAATCTAGTTTTCTTTCAAGAGAAGTGAAGCAAAACAAAGTATGACGGAACTTGAAAAAATGATCCAAAAAAAAAAAACGAATTCGTTGTAGTAGTAATGGAATGAGAAGAACAAAGAAAGGTAGAATTAATAATTTTGGTATAGTTTGAAATCAGATGCTTTTCTTCTGACTGAGTGAAGAAAAAAAAAGAATATTGGAGGAAGGAAACCACAAAATTCAGGAAAAAGTGATATGATTTTTGTTTTCCAGTGTACTCGACCCGACGGGTGAAGTGATTTTAGCACCTTACGTCATGCGACCAAAAGCTGTTGCTCATGTTACCGACGAAACGGAAAGAATTTCAAGGTAATTGATTTGGGAATGAAGCGGACAACAGATAAAGCTGTTTTCAGGTACGATCACAGGATAACGGTTAATAATTGAGAAACGAATCGCCGAACGAGGAAAAAACGGGTTCACAAGCCTACGGGAAACAATCAAAACGACAAAAACCACAGCAAGAAATACTCATAAACTCACCAAAAAATGCCTTGATAGGTCATTTTTTCGAATAATACATTAATCAAGTAAAAATAAACAAGTTTAACATGCGAATACAGCGTTTTTCATGAAAAACAACAGCCGAAAGTGGCAGGAGTCGCGTCAAGTGGAGCGTCGTCGTCTTCGTGTCCGTCAAAGTGGGGCGGCGATTTCTTCTCAGCCTCGGAAATGACGAGGCTCTGCGCGAGTTTCGTAACGGCCGTCGCGATTCCTGTGTCCTGGAGGGCGCTCGTTTCGAAGAATAACTGGAAAAATGTTGAAACGGGTAAAGAGAAAGGAAGTAAAGAAGAAGGGCACACACGAATCGGGCAGGGGTATCTCGATAGAGGCAATAGTCTATCCAAGGGTCTGAAGTTTAACGGTGGTACCACGGCCTTGCAAAATCATAGAAAAGTGCGATAGACTTGCGATATGCCCCTCACTAGTCAGCACTACCGGTAGAGCTCCGATAGTGCTGAGTATATACCGGAGGTGTGACGAAGAACATATTATTATACCATTTCGATCCGTTTTGAGGTACATGCTCGGTATACTTAGTGACAAGGCTCGTTCAAATTCTGTTTTCTTGTTTTTTTTTTTTGAGATTTTAGAAGGCAGGAAGAACTAGAGAAGTAGAGATATCAGAGAAGCAGAAAGCTGCAAAAATTTCACGCTCTCTCTACGTTCATATATAGAAAGTTCCCAAACATCGCAATTTTCATCAATCTCCATGTTAAAAATGACGCTCTAAACCATTCCAAATGCGACCTCTTTCGAGAGTTTCACGAACCGCATGGATGCTATCAGCGAATCTTTGTCCCTCCTCAGTAGTGACGCGTCTCTGCTTCGCCAAATCGCTTTTGTTGCCCAAAACGACGAATTTGAAGTCGTTGGAGGTGTTCGCCCTGTCAGCGTCTGGAAATTTTCTCCGATTTCAAGGGAATCTCCAACTGCAAAGTAAAACGACCTCTCTCGTCGGAAAATCTCTTCATTTTCGAATTCGTACCTGTAGCCCAACTATCGAGATTGCGGAACGTCTTTCTGTCAGTGATATCGTAGACCAGAAACACGACGCGCGAATTTCTCAGGTACATGGGAACCTGCGGAATTCCGGTCTTTCAAACTTCTCAGAAGGAAAAAAACCATTGACCGAAATCTTTCCTGTCCGGCAGTGTCCCACATTTGCAGCTCTACGCTCGAATCGCCTACTTTTCTGGAAATAAAGTTCGTTTTTTGACGTTTCCACCATTTTTACATGACGCACATCTGTTTAAAAAGAAAAAGGTAAATTTTAAACTTCCATAATTTTGTTAAGCCTTGAAAATAGTCATAAATTCCCGCAATTTTCCAAATCTTATTCGTTACGAATAGAGAAAAATGTTTGAATTCCCGCCAAAAAAGCGGTTTTTTTTCCAGTAAAGTTGCTCTATGGACAAAATGAGTTTGAAATTACAAACGAACATGGTGCAAACGACGAAATTGGCACCAAGAGTGGCGCTGTAAGTCGCCTGGAAAGGACGACCGTCATTTCGCAGAATTATGCTCGTCTTTCCGACTCCGCTGTCACCCAGGAACACGGCCTTCGCTTTTACGTCCGCTCGAATCATTTGAGGCTCAAAAAAATCAGCTTAAAGATGAATCATTTTGCGAGCTCTTTCCACGATTCACTCTGATTTATTTCGTCTTCTAACTCGATTTTTCGAAACCCAACTTTCCGCAACGGAAAGATAGAAGGGCGAACAATCTTTCGTTATTTTAGAAGAGCAAAGCGCAGATATTACTGTAGTTCGCCCCGATAAACGACTGCGCTTCCATAAACGTGATGATTTTTGATTCATCTGAACTTTTTTTTTAGGTTTCCGTAACGTTTCGAAACTACGAAAATCCCGATCAACAGAAAATCGGTGCAAAAGTAAAAATTTATGAAAGTTGTCATATTTGTTGTTTCAAAACAATATATTTCAAAAATAACTCTCAGAGGCTAATTGGGAATTTAATCGAATACTTCTAGAAAAAAACTCATTACAATCATATCTAATTTTTCAAAAAAATCATTTCGGGCCCTTTTTGAAGCTTTCAAAAAAACAACTTCCAAACATTCTCAACAAGGGTAAATTATTCAATATATCAAAAATAATTTGAAAGATAATTCTTGGTCTTTTTGAAATCCAATTTCTCCTGTCGAGACCCAGCTAATGGTACTAACGAAAGAAACTTCAGCGCCATTTCGAAAAAAATTTACAAAAAAATTGCAAGTTTAAAAAAAGAAAACATGGCGAGATATGAAATAAAGAAAAAAATCGATACCCAGAGACGATTTTTAACCATGTACACAAATTGTGTGCGTGAACAGAGCTTTCATCGAATTCGAGTTTTCCACAAGAAAATTCATTTTATACACAACAAAACAGTGATTTCAAAAGTCTAAGGTTAGTATCAACTGACAAAAATGAACAAGAAATGCTATAAAAACTTAAAATCTGAAGAAAATAGAGTGATAACTTTCTTTTTTTCGTAAAGCACCAGTAAGTCGTATAATTTTGACTACACGCAATCACAGAAACAATAAGGAGAGCCTTTCTAACATGACGAAAGAGGAAAAAAAAGGAAAAGGCAGGAAAATTTGAAGACGAGAAAGCGAAAAAAAATTTTAAAGTTTTCCAGAGAGGATTTTTTAAAAAAAAACCTCAATTCAAAAACAGCGATGACATCAAATACAATAAACTATCAATAAAAAGTTGGAAAAAAAGAAGAATGAAAGGCAAGATGAGCAAATTGCGCATTGAAAAGAGGTAACCTGGCTTAAATTCATGAGGATCTACGAATAAAAGTTCTCAAAACGCTTGGCATTTTCCTTATTATCGCGTTGGTATGACGGTTCTGGCGATCGTTCTGAAACTTTATCCTTTTTCTTCTATACTAAATATCAACAAATAAAAGTGACGAAATGCTTGGAAATGACGTTTTTTTGAGCCCTGGGAATTCTCCGACTTTTGATTGAAAATTTGAAAACTTCAAACAAAAAATTAAGAGGTCCTAAATCTTATAGGGAAATTTTCAAAATCTATCAATTTCACTGTTTATCGTGTCAAAAGGAAATCGGATTTCATGTTATTATATTGAGAATATTTCAAATTTCCTTAAATTCTATAGAATTCCAATCAAATCAGTATGAAACTGAAAAATAGTGCGATTTATTTTTCCTCTGTCAAGAATAGTAAATTTTCTTTCACTTAATGTTTGAAATAATCCCTTTCCAACAAAAAAAAATCTCAAATTCCCACAGAAACTTTCAAAACACGTTCATGCTTTCCAAAACGTTACGCCTACAATTTCTCTCAAAAAAAAAAAAAGAATCCATCACCAAACCGTTAAAAATTGCACAAGCATTTGAAAACGTACACGTCATTTCAATAAAAAAAAAGCTCGAAAAATATAAAAACCACATGCTACAGTCACCAGATTACCGTATTGAAAGCAAAAAAAATTTGAAAAATCGTCGGGAATTAGTCGATTCGAGTACATCTGAATGAGAAAGTGATGCGTGCAGATTACAATCGTGCAAACGGAAATGAGAAAAATGATTCAATTTCCCTTTTCCGGGAAACGTAGAAAAATATTGAAAAATTTGCAAATTTTTTTAAGAATTTGATTTGCTAGTAAAAAAAATCTGAACTTTAGAAAATGAAAATAAAAATAAAAATTGTTAAGGAGGGTTGGGCAAGTGAAGTTAGTGAAAATGAAATGAAAAAATTTGAGAATAATGGTAAAAAAAAATACAAGCAAAAGTACAAAATGCATTAATTGAAACAGCCACACACAGACAGAAAATCATGCACCGTCGAGAACAGACTAGCTCGGGAGTCCCGAGTCAAGCAGCGGAAGTCTAACTGACGCACCTTCAGACCGCGACGGACCCGCCACCTCGTCCAGACTCGCGTAGTCGTCTGCAAAGGCTTTCAAGATGAAATGAACGGACTAAGGAACTTCTGAGTTCTAAAACTGAGTTTCTAAGAAGAGCTGAAAGAAAATTCTAAGTTTTCTTTTTTGAAAGACCAATACAAAAAAAAATAAGTTTTTCAATCAACTTCCAAAAATGCTGAAAGCTTTCAGGCTGTATCAAAAAATTCAGATTGAAAGCCAAAAATTGATTATTGACAAACGAAACTTGATTTTCAGGCCTCTAAAAGTTGCGAAGTTTGCTTTTCTGAACCTGGATCAATTCACCAAATAAAAACCCACTTATCAAGGGAATTTTTGAAAAAGCATATTTTTTTCTCAAAAAAATATGTAAGATCTTAAGGTTTTCGGGTTATTTATCTAGTACACCAAGAAATACTCTCCTCAACTTTCAGTAGAATCCAGAAAGAAAAAAATAAAACTTTATTTTAAAAAAATTGCGCTATCATCATGTCTTTTACTAACCATTTAATGAAGGAAAAACTCTCAGGAAAAATCTACTTTTCTCAACTCTCCAACTCACTCTGAGTGCGCTCGACGGGAGCTCTATTCCTGACTTTCTGGTTCTCGAGCTCTTCCTCCTCCTCCGTCATCGCATGAATGTCCGTCTCGAAAACGGACTGTCGCTGCAGGTAAAGAGGATTGTTGAAGTCGGCCTCTCGATGAGGTTCACTGGTGAACCTGAGAAAGGGGACAAAGATGAGAACATCATTGATGTTCGATTACTTGACTGTAGGAGCATCCGGGAACTTCTCCTTGTTGTATTTCTTGCGGTAGATGCACATGGCGGCGGCACAGACCAATCCGAGGAAGATGAGGACGATCAGGAAGAAAATGAGCCAGCCGGAGGTTCTCGAGGAGCTCAGCGAGTCGAACGTTTTGGCTGAAAAGTTGCGCCGATGGATATTTTGCGCATATCTTAGAGTTTTGTTCTTTGAAATAAAAGTTTTCTATGTCAATCGAAGAAAAAAACTGATAGCATAAGCTTGCTTCAGATTTTGAGAAAAAAAAATTGTATTCATAACTTCATTAGGGATAGTATATAAAGCTACTTTTTCATACCTTATCAATAGAGCACACAAAAATCTCAACGATGACCCTTTTTTTCGCAAATTTTTTTCTTTTTTTATTTATTTCTTATTTATTTTTTTATTTATTTCTTTTGTTTTATTATTTTTTTCTTGAGGTCCCAGATTGCTGAGCCACAACTAAAATGACCTAATCTGAAGGTCAAATCTGTCCTCACCGGCATCACCGCATCCGACTTGATCGACATGACAGCAGCCGATGGCGGCGTCGCACTGATGACCGTCGCCGCAATCGCCGCACTCCTTGGCGCATCTTACGCCGAAAGTTCCCAGCGGACATACTGAAGCCGTTCCGATTTGAGTCGATTAACGTAGTAATTATGAAAAGGTTGCGTTTGCAAAATCGATAGTTTCCGATTCCTAATTGATCTTAAGGGTACCAAATGGTTCTAAATGAGAGATGGCCCCTTGAAAAGCCTAAAAACTTGACTTCACACGATTCTGAGCTTTTTGAACCAAGATACGACCTTTTGAAGTTTAGAATGACTAGCTTGACTGAAAAAAAAAAACCGAAAGATCGATACTTTCAGATTTCTAATGGGTATTGAGGTTTCCAGATCTTGTTTTTCTGCGTTTTTTTTACGCTGGTGTTTCACAAAATTTTCTAAACTCACGAGCATGACAGAATTCGCCGGTGAAGCCAGCCTGACATTGACAAGAGCCGGTGACGGCGTTGCACGTCGACGTCGCCAAGTTATTGCATTTGCACTTCTTGACGCAGTCGGGTCCGTAGTAGAACATCTCGCAGGGGACGTCGCATCGGTCGCCTTTCCACCCTAGAGGGGACACTTGCAGGAGAGCGGTCGTGACGTCACGTACCGGATGGACAGGAACATTCGCCGGTCGTCGGATTGCACTGCTTGTACTCGCTGGAGCATTGACAAGGCTTGTTGCAGTTAGGACCCCATTTTCCATCAGGGCAGCCTGAAAGAAGCAAGATTATCTGAAGAAAATTAGGAATTCAGAAATAAGGTAAATTAGGAAGATTTAAAGAAATAAGGTAAACGTATATGTTCGAATTTTTGTTTTTTAATTGGTCAAAATGTTGGAAAATAAGAACTGTTGAAAAAAAGATTGAAGAGTTGCTTTTGACGACTACAGCAGACCATAGGCAGCAATTTTATTTTTTCGATCATAACTGTTCAAAAACGCTTTCTGGATCTTCATAGGCTTAAAAACTCACCAAAAAAAAAATTTTGACAATCATTTCAGAGCTCTAACCCCTTCACATGTGAAAAAGTTCTAATGAAACTCTACCGGAAAAATTTCAAACTGGGTTTTGAATTTCAAAGCATCTACAAAATTTGGAAGACATTTTTCAAAAAAATGATAAAGTTTGTGAAATTTAAAAAATGCACAAAGAACCTGAATTTTCTCGATTTTAAGGATGAAAGCTTAATTTTCCTAGATTTTCGTGAATCTTATGATGAAAGCAGCTTGGACAAAAAGGATCACTTAAACTGAAAGTTCAGGAAAAACTTGATTGATATTTCAAAAGAGAACCTTAATTTTACGATTTTTGGAGTTTTTCAGCTCTATATTTGAAAACTTAAAAGCGAAGGTTATCTAGGTAATAAAAATCAACTTAAAATGTTTTCATTTTTTTCTCTCATCTGGAAAAAAGGACTCTCTAACTTTTCTAGGTTTCCAATTCATAAACAAACGGCACCTCTACTGCAATGGCGACCCTCGAAGCCGGCGGCACAGACGCAAGTTCCGCCCAAGGAATTGCATTTTCCGTTGTTCTCGCACCTCGGACAGTCATACTTGCACTCGAAACCCCATTTATCCGCCGCGCAGGCTGAAATATTTTGAAAAGTTCAACTGAAAAATCAATTTCAACATACTCTTATCACAGGAATCGCCTTCATAGCCAGGCTCACATTCACAGTCACCATTTTCGGGGTTGCATCTAGAGAAAAAAGATAAAAAGGGTAATTTCAAGGAATTGGTGAAGTCTCTCAATAAATCAATAAAGAAAATTTTCAGCTCAACTACAATTCCAGAGTAAATTGATATGTTTTTACAGCTTTCTCTAAAATTTGCTCATTTCATTATTTAAGTTATCAATTTCGTTATGAGGAGTTACATGGAAACCAAATTTTTTTAATAAAATTGGGTTGGAAAAAATCATGCTTGCTGCAAAGGACAAGTGAAAATACGAAAAAGGTTGTAAAAATTCGGAGAAATTCCTATGTTTCCTGAACAAAACGTTTGCAAAACCTTGTTTCTTTTTTCTCCACCAAAGATTCAGATAAAACTTAGAGTTTCGGGGAAACTCGCTTGAACTTTCATATATAATCAATTTTCCAAAAACCGAATACTTTAAAATTTTTCAGAGAACTTTTAAAAAACTTAGAGAGAAACAGAAACTATTTTTCTTAAGTTCACTTTTGCAAAATTAGAAAAAAAAAAATTTTTTTTAATATTCATATGTTGTTTGACTTGCTTACCGATGTCCTTTGGCACAATCGCATTTTTTCTCGCATCCCTCGCCGTAATAACCTTGCAGACACAGTTGCTCGCATTTCACACCAGATCTGAAATATTCGAACTCGATGAAAATTTTTTCCTGTAGCTCGAAACCTTCCAGGAGGACACTTCAAGCAAACTCCCGTTTTCGTGTCACAAGATCCATCAGTACAGCTCGAACACTTCTCTTGACAATCCCAGCCATACGTTCCATTCGAGCAATCTCAAAAATTGGGCTTTTATATATGTAATTTGAATGAATTCAAACTAAGTTATCAACGAAGAACTTTTTCCTTTTTTTGGTCTAATGAAAATGAATTTTAGAGAAACTACAAACAACCGTGAAGTCCGGTATCATTTAAAAATATAAGTTTCAGAAAGTAATAACTTTAGAAAAAACTTAGCATCGTTCATTTTCAACATATTGATCAGCAAATTTTGGCTGCTTTCCTTACAGCAATTTTTCATAGTTTCCCAACTTCCTCCCGAATCACCTTGTTCACAAGAGTTGCCCGTTTTCCCGATGGGACAAATGCACTTTCCGGTTTCCGGATGGCACCACCCGCCGCCGCAATCGCACGTCAATTCGCAGGAAGCGCCGTACTTTCCAGCGTCACAAGGTGTATTGCAACGATCTCCTGTAAACATGTAACAAAATAGAAGAGCCCATCAATCTGGAAGACTACTAGTGGTTCGAAACAATTCTTCTTTTTAATGTCCTGCACATTTCTGATGCAAATAAAAGAGATCCTGATTCTGGAAGATTAAAGTTTGTTGATAATGATGTGAGAGGAACTCATCATTCAGATAATTTAGAATTATTTCGAGACACCGTTGCTGATTTTTTTGAAGCGCAAAAATTTGCAAGGCCAAAAAAACAGACTTCGCAAACATACTGCTCTGTTTCCGCTTCAAAGTTTGTTTCTTTCATTTTGACAAAGTTTCACACAATTGCCATATGTCATATGGCAATTGTGAACACAGCACCTTCAGAAAAACAAAAGAATAATCGAGGAGACGGTACCTTTGAAGCCTCGATTACAGTTGCAAACTCCAGTTTTCGGGTCGCATTTTCCATTGGCACACTTGCAGTGAGAAGCGCAGTTTTGTCCGTAAGTTCCTTCCGGACAAGAAGTCTCACAACGAGGGCCAGTGAAACCTTGAAAAAAAGGAAATGAAAAGAGCAATGTTCAAGGGAAAATTTTATTCTCCAGCTTTCTAAATCTATGAAAAACTACTTCAGTTTATTCAAGTGGAGGTCACAGCCCGTCCGCCGCGACTGGAAAGTTTCCAAATGTCTGCGTCTCTCTGTTCCCTCACCAGCGAGGTCAGAGAAACATTAAAAGAGCACGTCAAAAAGAGAGGGTCGTCGAGAGAGGAGGAGGGCGCAGAGAAGTCAACGGACTAAGAGACGGTTTGTGGAGCTCTGGTTTCCCACAACCAAAACTTATAGTCTGTTCAGATTTTAAATGTCAAGACCTCGCTCAAGCTCCGCCCCCTAATGGCGCGATAAACCAATCAGAGAGCGAGCCATCCACAGAGCGTTTTCGAATGACGTCATTCTACTTGAAATTCAAAATCTGAACGGACTATATTGAGCCCCTTGGTTGGTTCGCTGTGGGGATTGAACTTGTGAACCTATGGACCGTAGACAGGCACACAACTTGTTGCGCTACGGCGCGCCGCTTTTTCTTCCCTTTGCTTTTTTCTCAATACGTTTCTTATGGTGAGAAATTTCGACGTTGCTCGATTGAAGTCCCTACCTGAGGTACAGGCGCAAGTTCCGTTGTACGGGTTGCAACCGGCGCCATTCCTACACTGACAGCTCGAGCAGGGGCTCCCGTAGGTACCGGCCGGACAGGAAAACGCGCAAGTCACGCCGTCGAATCCTCAAAACTCGTTGATTAACTCAATCCTGCGATTCTCTTCACAACCTGGGTCACAGAGACAACTTCCATCCACGTGATTACATTTTCCGTTGGAACATTCGCATTTGTTGCCACAATCGAGGCCGAAAGTTCCGGGTGGACAGTGTATTTGGCAGCTGCAAAAAAAAGAAATCATTTTTGACGTTATCATTATACTTTTTTTCAAAAAGTAAAAAGTGAAATATTTTAATTATAAAACTTTTTTTTAAATAAAAAAAGGTTTAACCTTATTCTTTTTTTCATAAGGGATAAACAGTCACTCAAATACTCAACTCGCCTATATTTTTCCAGAAACTTTACAATTTATCCGGTTCCGGTTGTTTTCTAAGCGTTTCATACTTTTCCTGGACATTCATGGTTCAATTTTTTGGAAAGCTGCCAAAAAACTTTGAAACGGACGAAAACTTGCCTTTTCAAAGAAGAAAAAAGGGAAAAAGTTCAAATTTCTCTTGTGAATTTATTTCAGAGTACTGTTAGCCTACTCTTCCAAGCATCCCAAAACCCACTCTTCTCCAGTTTTCCCGGGCTTGCAGACGCATGCGCCCGACTCGGCGTGGCATTCGCTCGACACGCTCCAATCGCATTTGCACTGCTTATCGCAGTTGGGACCTGAGTTTTCGTTGTTGTTGTTCTCGAATATAGTGTATACAAAATCCTTTCGATTATTTTTCTGCTTGAAGGAAACTTCAAAAATATCATAATTTTTAACTTGGATTCATCATAGCTAACTAGCATGTAGGATAAATTTTCTTAAGAATTTTATACGATGAGTAAATTTGAATGATAGTGCTGATCTCGATTTTTTAATTCTTGCCAACAATCATCACCGTAAGTATATTTAGAACAAGATTGTTCACAATTATCGCCGAAAAAGCCTGGCTTGCACCGACAGAAACCCGTGCTGGGAACGCACCTGGAAAGTCGGATATTATTTGAAAATGATCTGAAAAAAGCATCTTGGGCCTACATGATGGTGTTGTTCATGACGCAGGTGCACTGTTTCCCGCATTCAGCCCCATACATGTTCTCATCGCAGACTGCAATTTCAAACTTGAATAGGAAGGATGGAAAAGAGGAATAAAAAGATACGACTTGATAGTTTTCAAGTACCCTAACTTTTTTTTTTTGAAAGCCTTTTTAATTCAACTTTTTTGATATCGTTCATATTTCTCAACCTGAAAAAATTATTGAAACCAATTTTGTATTCTGCTAGACAACATAATTATTAAATTGAGATAAAAAACTGCTGGAGCAATTTTTAGTATATAGGGTTTTGACGTTTTTTTTGGCCATTATAGTAGTCGAATAAGGGGTCCCTTAAGTGTCTAAAAGTAGAGGCCTCTTCAGAAGTCTTACTTGGGCCACTAGGATGCAATTTAATGGCTTCTATAGAGGTGCTTTTAGTGGATCCAAGTAGTCCCCGAGAAACCTCTTAAGGTGCCACTAGGGTTTTTCCGGTTTGTAATCGGTTTTTAGTATTGGGATATAGAGAGCATATTGTTCGGAATACAAAAAAAAGAAACTTCGAAATTCTACAATTTTCATCGGATTTATCACTTGAAAAGACCTTTTTTCAAGAATAGACCAATAAATTACAAAAGACTGGAATCACCTCTCTGGTCGCAATTCGGACCTTTGTAGCCGCGCTCACATTGACAGGAGCCATCGACAGGATCGCAAGAGGCGTTGGAGTCCGAGAATTCGAGGCCAGGGCAGTGACAGTCTTTTGTGCACTGCAAATTATTCATTCCAATTTAAAAGTCGATCGAATAGAAAGGGTTGAATATTTATAAATAATTGACGCGGAACCGACTGACAAAGCGGTCTCATCTTCGAAAGAAAATGGCTTTTTTTTGGGCTACTATAAGGGTCAATCTTTTCCAAAGAGTACTGTATGAGGAAGTCCGCGTTTGGCGCGTTTGCACGTTCTGAGTGCTCCCATTTCCGCGTTTTTTTACTTATTTTTTTCCTTAAATTCCATCGAAATGAACTTCAACTATAGAAAAAAGTTGAACTACATCAACTATTGCTACTCACTTGTTAAAAACAGAAAAAAAATTTAAAAAAAAAATGGAAAAATGCGGAGATGGACCACGCGCAATGTGCAACCACGCAAAGTGCACAGGCCAAACGCGGAATTTCACATACAGTACTCTTTGGAAGTCACTCTTGTCATAGCACCTTTTTTCTGAATTTTTTCACCAGTTTGTATTATCTTATTTTCCACAATTTCATTGATTTCGACTTTGCGTGGGGGTCTGGTCGCCCCGCCGACAGCTCTGGCTGGACTCACCTCGAGGCCGAACTTCCCACGAGGACATCCGGTCATGCACTTCTTGCCCATCCAGCCGACGCAGATGCACACGCCGGTCATCGGGTCGCAGTCCTGGTTGTTCAGACAATCGCATTTCTTGGCGCAGTTCTGGCCGTAGGTTCCGTTGACACACTGTTCCTCGCACAGGGCGCCCTGGAAAGTTCGAGAATGAAGAGACCGCTTCATAGAGAGAAATCACAATTATCGCCTGTACTTTGTTCCAGGTTTGAAACTGACATGAGCGTGTGGGCGGCTGATTTATTTTTTCTTCTTTTTTCGGTTCAAAAATTTCAAGTCAAAAAAAAAAACCAGGAGGTCGTAGAATGTGAATAGACCTCTTCACAACTTTCGTAGAAACTCAAGTAACCCAAAAATATTTCGTTTTGAAAAAAAAATGAGAATCTTCAAAACCTGTAATATAGTGTCTATACAGCAGAAAAATCAAGCTTTTTTCTGAAGCTTTCCACTTTTTTTTTAATGATTTTATGACTAACATTACACCTAAAACTTTTATAACAAACAAGAATAAAAGGTTTGACCTGAAAATTATCAAGACCTGCAATTAGCGCTATATTTCTAATGCAAGAATTTCTTCTCCGTTTTTTTCTGAGGCTTCCCAGTTTTTCAAGTTTTCCTCACTTTTCAAATTCTCGCTAACATCTAATATACTTTTCTGGAAAAACTAGGGAAAAAAAACTCTAAAATTAGATTGATCAGAAACGAACCGTGAATCCAGGCGCACAAATGCACTTTCCATTGACATTATCGCAGGTCGCCCCGTTCAGACATTCGCATTGGAATTTGCACGATTCTCCAAAAGTTCCCTTCAAAATCGACATTATCATGGATTTTCGAATGAAAATCACCTCCTCGCACTTATTCAGGCAGTACTCGCCAGAAAAACCGCTAGGGCACACACATTCGCCATTTTTATTGCATCTGGAAAATAAAAGTGAGGATAAAAAAGAAGACTGCTTCAGGAAAGTTGCCGATTTTTGAAAATTTTATAAATTTCTTAAATTAAAATGTTCGCATTTGGAATATCGATCGCGATAACTTCTTAGACAAAACAACAAAAAAAATCATCCAGGTTAAACAGACTAATAAAAATTCATCTAATCAAAAAAGGTTATACCAAGCTCCAAAATCCTTCTTATGTGTAGCTTTCGACAGAAAAACCAATTGATACTCAAAAAAATTTGAGCTTGACTAAACAAAAAAAAATTTAAGAAATTTTAAAAAAGTTTCCTAAATAAACTTTGATCTTACTGTCAACGAAAGTTTGAAAAATTTCTACATGAAAAAAATTTTTTTACCTTTCTTTTTTTCTCACTCAAACTTCAAACAGAAAAAAACCCAAGAAACATTGAGATTTTTTAAACTTGAGGCTCGAACTGAAAACCATTGAACCGGGAAAAATCCAAAACAGATAAAAGAATAAAAAAAAATGGGTGGTAAGAACAGAAAAATATTTCGTAAAACTCTGAAAAAAACCGACTTTCCACCATTTTGGCAAGGACATTTGTTGACACAATTTGGCCCCCAACGGTTATTTGGGCAGGTTTCTTCGCATTTCTCCCCAGTAAAACCTGAAAATCAACAAAGTTCATTGAAAACTAAAAATATTCAGTTTAAACCTGACTCGCAAATGCATTTTCCCGTTTCAGGATCGCAGGCGGCACCGTTTTCACAGTCGCACTTTCTTTTGCAGGAAAGGCCCCAGAAACCAACAGAACAAGCTGGAATAATATTTGTGTTGATTCATTTTTACCACATTTTGTCATTTTACTGCTGATTTTTAATGGATCTTTCAAAAAGGTATGCTAAAAAAAAAGGGAAATTTGCCATGATTTTAAAAAGAAAGTATTTCCAAAATTTCCAATAATAAAGAAAATCGCGCAGCCATTTTTTCCATGGGGCGCAGAAAAATCACGATCAGATCTTTAGAATGAAAAAAGTCAGCTTCTCTGAGTTTTTCTTGCAGAATTTTTTTGCTTAAATAAGAGAGAAAGTACAAAAAATGAAGCAAGCCTCCATTAAAGGCATAGGGGCAGTAAAAAATGGGGTTTCAGGTGCAAGCAGTATCTTATATAGTTTTTCTTTGCGAATCGAATGGTGTACTCAAAAAAATTACAGATGTATCAACTTTAGAAGAAAAACGCGATTTTACTTTCCCGCCTTTAATTTTGAAAAATGCTTTGGATCGGCATGCAGATAACTGTTTACAGTAGCGGTGCACGCGATGTTGCGGACATCTCATTAGACTCGCATTTTGTGTGTAATAACCGGCTATCTGCTTCAAATTAAGGGATTCTGCTCTGGGAAATCGATTAAGAAAACAGAAAACAGAAAACAGACATTGATAATAAAGAAAATACAAATAATCGCTATCCCAATCGAAACCTGTGTAAAGTCATCATTTTTCACCAGAAAAGCATTTTTGCGATCAAAGTTTGCAAATCATACACGAATAGAAAGCTTTTGTGACGAAAAGAACTTTAGTGACAATAGAAAAAATTGAAAATTGAAAGAAACGAAGAAAAAAGCGAAAATGCGAAAAATGGCGAAGCCTGTTGTCCATGGAGCAACTTTACTGCAAAACGCCCTTTTCGCGGGAACTCAAACTTTCCTCTCTCCGACTTTGAATTATTTTTTCTCCGAAACTAGGAAGTTCTGTACGTTTTCAAGTTTACCGTTCGATTCGCAATAAAAAGCTCTACAAAGTACTGCTTTGAACTGAAACACCGTTTTTTACTGCCCCTATGCCTTTAAAGGATGGATTTTTCGAGATTCTAAACGCTCTTACTTCATCTTTTCCCTTTCGCACTTCATTTATATAGTTTCTCTATTCAAAAAAAAAAAAAAATATCGAAAACTATCGAAAAATATCCTTCAATACTCATGTGATGAAAAGTTGGATACTGTATTTTTTGAAATTATAGATCCAACTGAACTTTTCAGGGTTCCTCTGTCAAACCTTATTATTATTAACTGTAGGGTGAACATATTATTTTCAAGAAAAAAAAAATTCGTCGTTTTTTTTTCTCTGCAGAGAAAGTAGAAGATCTCCAGAGCCGCTAATTGACTGTTTGCCAAGCGAATAGAAGGTCAAGCATGACAGAGTGGCTATTCTACACGTCAAAAGCGGCTCTTTTTCCCGCAAAAAAGGATTTCTGCTACGGATGTGTATCTGAGTCGCACGGAAGAGATTTTCCGAGGAATACTCAAGTTGGAATAATTTTTTTCGTTCTGGGAAAAGTTGACAATGATGAGATTAAGAGTATTTTGAAGGAAAGGATAACAGTGAAATCAGGAGCGGTTGTACGATAGAAATCAAAAACAACTAAATTGAACTGGCCGACTGTAATTTTTCAAAAAAATCCAAAAAAATCCGAAAATAAATATGTTTCTGGTCTTTTTTTAACTGATGGTTTTATCTACAGAAAACTTTTTTTAAAATAATTTTTTTAATTTTTTTTCATTTTCTGAACACTTATAGTCCACTATCGTGAATTTTTTACGATTAAAATTTCTTTTTCAAAAAAATTTATTTCCGTAACTTTTCCGTGCAACCCTGATATGCATAGGATGACTATAAAATTCATTTTTACAAATTTTCTCATTTTTCATTTTTCCGTTTTGATTTCTATTTTTCGCTTTTTATCACTTATCTCCGGTAAGATAGTTTAAGTATAAAAACGTTTTTCCTTACAATTCACCTACAAGAAGAACAGAAATTCAGTTATTCCCTGAAAACTTACAAGAAGAGCACTGTTTTCCACCGTAACCCGGGTCGCATTCACAGACGTCCGGCTCAACGCAACGTCCTTTTTTACAGGGCGGCTTGCAATCGGCTGAAAGTCAACATGATATCGTCAAAAATATGGATAAATCTAAAAAAAAAACTCAACCTGTTTTCTGTTAAAATGAGCTGAAATAGGAGATTTTTTTTTTCGTATAACTTGAGATATTGCAATTTGGACAAAAGATTTTTTTATAGGCTGAATGAAGATCTTAGAAGGGTCGATCTACATTAAAAAGAACGTGTGATATGGATTTCAGAAAATTCTAATATTATCGTACAAAAGTTAGGCACATGTTCTACGCAATTAAGATTTAGGCCAAACGAAGACAGAGTACACAGAAGGAGAAAAACTGAAAAAACTGTCATCGAATGCTTTGAAAAATGTCAATAATTCGTTTTTCTTTCATTTTTGTGGTGTCCAAAAACGAGAAAGTCGTGCAGATTGAGATTTTCAGGCTCTTAATCTAATACCTCGAGGAGTGTTCTGGCCTTTTTCCCAACGGCTAAGTAAGCTAAGTGACCTTCCCTGTAAAACAAAAAAAAAAAAGTAAATGATCGATTTATTGACCCCTGAAGAAAAAATTTCTTTTCCAAAAGCGACAAGCTCCCATGTATTACTGTTGTCCCCACGCAATAAATTTCTTTTTCCCCGCACATGAAACTCCAAAAAAGACTCACGTGCACAGACGTTCTCGGTGGTCTGATAGTAGCCCTTGCAGCATTTCTTGACGTATTTCTCCTTCTTGACCAGTTGTCGCTGGTAGGAGGCCTTCTCGCCTTTCCTGTAACCCCGTGATTCATTCCGACCATCCTGACTTATCACACACTTTTCGACTTGGCATTTGAACCCGGTCGCCGGCGAAAAACACGTCTCCGTGTCGTTGTACGTCACCGTGTGGTAGACTTTCTTCAATTCGTAGTCATCGACGCTGAAAAAATGCTGTAATCACGAAAAAGATTTGATAATGAGAAAAAGATTGAAAAGTAAAAAGGAGATTGATGAGTGAAACAAATTTCAAACTTTAGTGGTTTATAGATCTAAGTCAGAATACTTGAAAACAAGAGACACTATCTGCTGAACCCAATATAGAACTGAGAAAAAAAATTGTAGAAGGTGTGCAGATTAGGCCAGAAAATTTTCAGAACACTGTTTTAAAAAAAATCTTATTCCCTACTTTATTACAATCGCCTCGAATGATCCGGCTATAATAAACACTACATAACTTTTTTCCAGCCAAAAAAGGAGTAAAGCAGAAATTTTATAATTTCCAAGCCTAAACTGTCCATTTTTAAAAAGCTTTTTCTCGGTACCTTATTAGGTTTAGCAGATAATATTGCCTGTTTTCAAGTAGCCTTACCTAGATCTTTAAACCATCACAGTTTGAACTCGATCCATACGAGTTCGCGTAGTTCCCTAGTTAGGTGAAAATATTTGAAATAAAAGTTTACTAAAGCAAAAAAATATCTCCGTAGAGAGAAAAACTCGAAAATTTTCGAGCGAAAAAAACTGAATAACTGAGCAACTTGACAACTATGAAAATTCGAAATTAATATGAAAGCTCAAAAACTACTCATTCAACCCAAAAAGCAACTCAAAAACGTATCAATTTATAGTGTCAAATAAACCAAAAATGGCCGCTATTTGAGGCATGCGACACTACTACATAACGCAACTTGGTTTTGTTTGATCAACAGAATGATCCGGAAAAGGACAAGACAAACATGGTTTTGACGGTGCAGACGTGGTCGCCGGTCGGTTCCGGCGTCGATTTCGGGTCGGCACAGTCAGATGGACAAACGAGAATGGACAACAACCCTAAAAGGGTCAACTGCCATCGCATCCTGAAATCTAGAGTTCAAAAACAGGATTCGACGATTCGAACACGAAAAGTGAAGCGAAATGACAGATATCAGAATAAACACTGCGCGTCATAATTATGGACGCAGCCTCTTTTTTGCAGTTTTCAAAAAATCTGCAGAAATTTTCGCAATGATTCTGGTTTCATGATGAAACTCGGCTCAAACTAATGACATTTATAAGACAATTAGGGAAACTTTGGTACAGAAAATTCTCAAAATTCGTCAAAAGAGGTTTGAGAAAATCATTTTTAAAATTAGTCGTAATATATTTATATCAACCACGGGAATTTTCAAACTCAAAGTTTTGAAAAAACACAAAAAAAGAAATGATTCAAAATGAAAATTTCATAAAAACCTTTTGAAATCGTCGTTTTGTTAAAAATGACAATGAAAATCGGAATAAGAACGGAGAACACAGAAGAGAAAACATAAATTTCGCGATAACACCACTATGAAACATTGGTATAATCCGTTTCGGAGAGAAAAAAAAAAGCCGATGACTCATCGAAAACAATTCTTGAAACGATTATGACTATGAATATAATTCGATAGAACTTGATGGGAAGGAAAGCTATTTCGAAAGCCGATTGAATCAAAAAAAAAATCAACGAAATGGTAGATTTTGGAAAATTCAGGGTAAAAAATAAGCCTTTTTTGTAGAAGAGAAATCATTTTGGCACGAATTTGAAACTGAAATGATGAAAATGATGAAGAGCGGGTCAGTTTGCGCTGGAAGCGGAACACATGAAACGAGAGATAATTGAGGAGCAGAGGAACGCCGTCGAAGAGGGGCAAACAGGCGGCCGGACAGGTAACAGGTAATGGTATTGCGAGAGGAGTCTTCCGATCGATTCTCGCCGGACCGATAGAAATCTCCACAGATATCCTCCCTCGCTATCAGTCTCCCCTCACAAATTGCCCATCTTTTTGGTCGGTTCCGAATGATTTGCCGTTTCAAGACGAAAGGAATTCAAATAGATTTGTTAGAAATTTATGAAAAATTCACTCAAAAAAACTTCGACTCTGAAATAATAACATCAAAAGATTTAAAAAATTGTATCTTTATCCAAACTGCATGAGATTGCGCCAGAAAATGAATTTTTTTTTAGAATTCTCCGTGATTATTCATGCTGAAGCGTTCAGTCACTATATTTTTTGTTATAAGAAGCTTGACAACTTTTTTTTTACAGAATCATAAAATTATTCTCTAATCATATAATTGAAGCATACCAAAGCAGTGAGCAGTAGAAAATGAAGGCTGAAGCAGTCAATACTACTTGACAGAAATACCATTTTCGATTTAAAAAAAAAAAAAAGAGAAATATTTTAAACTATTCCAGTCGGAGAATGAAATACTAGTTTAAAAAAATCCCTTTTCATGAAATTTCGGATTGTCACTCAATCCCTAAGCAAATTTATGACTTTCAATGAAATGAAAAACAGTATTCAAGCGAGATTAAAATCGAAAGTCTATTAAAAAAAAAATCCAAAAATTCCGAGTTTAATAATTTAAAGATTAGAAAAAAATTTTTGCAAAAAAACCACTAGCTTTCCTATAGTCTGTTAGCTATCAATTCAAAGACACAATAAAACAAAAATTGCCGAAAAATAGGATTCTCATTGTACTCAAAAGTACCAGAATAATTCATGTCCTGAACGATTAGCATTAATAGGCTCATTATGAATGTGTTCGAGACATGGTAATTATTGACCCGACACCTTTCTAATACACGCTCAAGAAAGAATAAAATTAATTTTTACTTCAACTAGAGTGAGTGAACTAGAGTATAAATAAAAATAAATCTGTGCTAAATAAAAGCGTGAAGCTGAGAAAACGGGGAAAAGTCCAACATCAATCAGTCAAAGCAATGGTTTCGCCGAGAAAATGGGAGAAATCATGAAATAACCGATTTTTCTAAAAAAAAAATAAACATTCCTTTATATCAGAGAAGAAATAATTAATATTTCGCGAGCATTCAGAAATGGCTTAAAGTTTGAATTCGTAGGCGTTTGAAAAGGCTATAAAAGCAACTTGTAACATGAAAATCTCTGAAATGAACCAACAATGAGCCAGAAGAATGACATATTGTCGCAAAAACAGACAGATAAGAAAAGCATTGTGGTAAACAAATCGGAAATGATAAGAAGACTGATCATTTATGGAAAAACCGCAAAATTTGATAAGAAGATCGATAATTTATAAAGAATAGCCACAATATTTTGATGTAGATTCGTAAATCTTTTTTTTCTTCGAAAATCAAACCAAAGAAAAATTTGAAAAATGAAGAAAGCTTAAATATTTCAACGAAACCTGTGTACACAGCTATGGTTATTTTGATGAAATCACACAAAGTTTTGAAACGAAAACCTAGAAAACAGTACTTTGGCTCGTAAATATCGAACAAAGAGCAAATTGGAGCGTCTTCTAGAAAGGAAACGAATTAGTACGTTGCGGTAAACAAAATCACGGGACGAGCAGTTAGGAAACTCGAAGTTTTATTGGTTACTCATCGAGAGTTTCTTCGATTTGAACTTTGATGCTTCATATTTTGAGGAAAGGAACACTTCAAGCTTTTTTTTTGAGAATTGTTTTCAACAAAGATAGCCAGAAAAGGCTGCTAAGGTGTCTGCCAAACGAAAATTCGTTAAATTGAAGTTTTTCGTCGTATCCCCCACTTTGGACTACACACTGATGAAGTGAGAGGGTTCTTTGAATTCTTCAAAAATATTTCCTATGATGTTTGAAACAAAAATTTTCTAATACTAATAGATGTATTTTTGCAATCAATCAATCCATCAAATCATAAATTTTCATTTCTCACAGGCAAGTACTGAATTTACGGAAAAAAAAATGAAGAAAAATACGAGTGTGAACCCTTTTCAACGATTTTTCACACAAAAACATAAGAAAATCTCAAAATGAGCTGTTGGAATACTTAAAAATGGATCAAATTATCACTTTTATACAAGATTACATGCTATTCACATTACTTATAGACGTTTTACAATTGTGAAATGGAATAGAACAGGTTGCACTAATTAACGATGAAGAAGAAAGACTCTGAATGGCCAAAAAACGGATCGAATTCTTTTGAGTGGACGCCCAAATGAAAAAAGAAGGTCACACCACAACAGAGGTCTGTACAATTTCGATGATTCACGCAGGTTTCCTCGGGTTCGCTTTTCTTTGCCTCTCAGACCCACAATGTTTATCCCATTGCATCTCTCGCCTTTTGTTATTTTTCTACCCCACTTTCTCGCGTTTACAATGCGGCCGGACTTCGATCGAATGATCCTTTTGAATTGATGTGCTCTGCTCATAATAGAGCCGAACATATCTGTTAGAAACTTTCTGTGGGATTGGTAACTGATCAGGAAACAAAAAAAACATGATTTGAAGCTCGGGAAAATTGTAAATTTCGGAAAATGTTTTGCTTAACAAAGTTCAGTTTGAAAATATTAACTGCAAAAAATCTAAAAATTTCTTCAAAACGCCTTTTTTCAAATATAGAGCTTCACTATATAAGAGAACAAAAATTGAAATAGCGGGTGTTTGGAAAAAAAAAATGGGTAAAGAAGAGGACAGGATGAAGCAAAAATAACTGAAAACGAATATATATTTTAATACACTTATATAGACATGAAGCTTACTTAATATTCCAATATTAAAAATAAAATTTACGCTATAGATAAAAAAATATGAAAGTCAAAGAAGTTTTTGAGTTTTGTGAAGTAGCCAAAAGAGAGAACTACAGAGACACTTTTTATCGCGTGATTGGTCTTTTTGAAAAGATTAGTTAAATACTTAAATAAAGAAAAAAAATCGGAAAAGCATTTGAACGTATAAAAACTGATAAGAAAAAACGGAAACGATAAATTCCCGCCACTGATAATTTCAAAAAACAAATCCGCTCAGCCGATAAAAAGTGCGCTACAGAGGTCACTTGCCATTTCCGAGGGGTCAAAGGAGGGTAAACCTAAATTTTTTACTGTTTTTTTACTTTTTTTTTTCTTTTTCGAATAGTCTTTCTTCTTGTTATTTTCTTTGTTATTTGTGACAGTTTTCCAATTTTAAATGCTTCGAATATTATTTTTAACTTGATTTTTACCTTGCATTGAGAGCAAAAAGGGACACTTTTCCAATTTTAAATGCTTTGAAGATTATTTTCAACTTGGAATTTTTTTTTTCCGAAATTGCTGCTGATGACCAGGTCTGTTTAAGAGTGTTTAAGAGAATTTTTCACGCCTTTCCCCTTGTTGTGAGCGGAACAGGAATTTCAGTTTTAATATTTTTCCAAATGAAGCGATGCTTCCTCAAACATCCCCAAAACTCAACCTTACCACCGGAGAAAGGAACAGTTAAACGGTCAACATTTATTGTGTACATAGGAGAGGCCGATGGACTTCCGCACACAGAGAGAGCGACCCCTTCCTCTTTTTTCCACACACCAGTTCTCTAACGCTTACGTGTTCTTTATCTGGGCCCAGTCAGCTTAACAGTTTGCTTCAATTTTTGTCTTTCTCTTGGTTTACTGGGATATTCCAGGGTAACCATGTGGTCGCATTTGCTGCTGTTGGCCTGTTTGGCGCAACTGGCACATGGCGAGGACTACTATAAACTGTTGGGAGTGGAGCGAGACGCCGATGATCGCACCATCCGGAAGGCTTTCAAAAAGCTCGCCATCCAGAAACATCCGGACAAAAATACGGTTAGGTTTGAGAAAATATGAAATAGATAAGGTTGAGGATATTTTTCTATCGGTTGAAGTTTTCGTTTTGGTTTTTTTTTTCATTTTATAGTTAGACCTTGAAAGGGAAAAACGAAATAGGCGGCTCTCTTTAAGCTATCACTTGGGTGAAAATTTGTTAGTTTTATATAACGATACCATAATGCAGTTTTTTATACTCCTCTCAAAATTTGTAAAAATCGAAGTGTAAAAAGAAAAAATTTTTCACTGATTGGGCAGCTGATGATTTCATTCAACAATAATATTTTGACTTTTCGCAAATCCCAGATATTTCAATCAATTTTGAGGTTATTTCACTTTGGAGGATTCTTCGAAGTCCTGAAATTTTCATTCCCTGAAAATTTATGGTCTAGTTTATAATTTCAGAGATTTATTCTAGGATTTCGAAATATTTAATGACCAATTTTTTTTTGAATTTTATAAAGAATTCAAATTTATATTGGTTTTTATGACTCCATTTTTTTTCCAGGACGACCCGAACGCCCACGCCGAGTTTGTCATGATCAACAAGGCCTACGAAGTCTTGAAAGATGAGAATCTTCGCAAAAAGTACGACCAATTTGGCGAAAAAGGCTTGGAGGACGGCTTCCAAGGCGGCAACAACTACCAGAGCTGGCAGTTCTACAACGACAATTTCGGTTTCGAAGGTCTTGTAGTTATATTGAAAGAGTATTTCTGCAGGGATCTACGACGACGACGTCGAAATCGTGACTCTCAACCGCGCCGACTTCCAACGCCTCGTTTCGGACACTTCCGACGTCTGGTTCATCAACTTCTACTCCACTTATTGCTCTCATTGTCACGAGTTGGCGCCTACGGTTAGTTCATTCAAGGGATAAAGAACATATCGATCATCATGAGATAACATTCCATTCAGCACCGAGAAACGATTTTTATTTTTCAATAATTTTGAAACAGTATTGGTTTTAATTGAAGCTTCAAATGGCTGAAACGCAAAAAAAAAAACGTTTTAATATGCATATATGCAATCAACTAAAAGGCAAGCAAGAACTTTTTACGGTCCTTAGTCTCGTTCTCCTGCTCGTAGTTGATCTAGTTGCGCCATAAGGAGCTCAGAATGCAGTTCCGAAGCCCAAAAACTGTTTCCCAGATGGAAGCCTCGGAATGAGAGGGATCAGAGAAAAGTCCAGACTTTACCCGGAATCTCTTCCAAGAGAATTCCATCATTTTTCAGTGGCGAAAGTTCGCTCGCGACATCGAAGGAGTTGTTCGGATAGGCGCTGTGAACTGCGCCGAAGACCCGATGCTCTGCCAGTCGCAACGCGTCAACGCCTATCCTTCTTTGGTCTTCTATCCCACGGTTTGCTTCCATTTATCAACTGATGAAGTACTGTTTTGATACGAACGAACTGATCTTTTTTTGCGCCATGGAAAGAAGTTAAATCTGGTATACTCTTTTTCTGCAACTTCTTCCTAGTTTTCAATCCAAGAATTTGTGGATACTTAAAATCACTTCCAACCATGTTACTGTTCCGAAAAGAGGTTTTTTGGTTTGAAATTAGCTCGGAACTTATGTAGGTAATCGGTTATTGAGAAAGATCTCAAAATCTGGAAAAAAAAATTATGAAGTTTAAAACAAAGGTGCTGAGATTAACAACTATATCAAATAAAGAATGGCGTTACCAGCAAGCAGAGGCTGTTGCATTTTCAAAAAAATTATGAAAAACAGTGACCCAAAAAAATTAAAGAAGTTAAGAAAGAAAAAGAAATAATAAAAAAATTAATGAAAGACTTTTGCAAGAGATACTGAAAGTTATCTTTTTGATTGAGGGAATGATAAGATACGGGTTGGAGGTTTAGGGAGACTTTGAACTTTTGTGAGATAATCGTTTTGGACGTTTTTCTTCTCTGATTCTTTACTTGAATTGCAAAATATCCTTCTAAATTTCAGCCCTGTAGAAAAAAATGTTAGCATCCTAAAATTCCGTGACAAATAGAAAAGGAAAAAACTGAGGAGAGCGTTTTGGAAATCTTCATCCAAAACATGAAAATCTAACACCTGAATGCTTGAAATTCTTCAACTGTTGATGGTTATCTACTCTTTTTGAGTTCATTGCTAAAATATTTTTTAAACTAGAATTTAATAATTTTTGAGGTCATTGTTGAGATCTTTCGTATACGAGCTTTTCTGAAATGATGGTTTACTTCTTGCAGGGCGAGTTTTATCAAGGCGTCCGCGAGGTTGAACTCCTTGTCGACTATGTTGTTCAGCGCCTCAAATCTGAGGTTTTCGTTATCAGAATTCATCATTCTATCGAGAATCATAGGTCCTCCACTTGAACAAGGGAAACATCGCGGATCTGAGCCAGTACTGGGAGCCGTACAATGAACGGCCTTGGATCATCGACTTCTGCAGCAACGAACACGACGTCGACTGTCTTTCCCAGAACAATCGGTGGGATTTTCAGAAATGATGATTTTTTAGTAGATTTTTTTACTTCTAGGTGTGGTACATGAACAGTGATAAGTTGATTTTTAAGATTAACAGTTCGTATTGTAGAGCTTTACGTAGCTTTTCCGATTCCATATAGCTGATTCGTAGCTGGCTTGAACCATCAAAAAAAGTCCTTTCACGATGAAAAAGGAGACCACGCCCCTTAGCGTCCCAAGCTAACCATGAAAAGCTTCAACAGAAACTCGTAAAAACTGTAACTTTTGAGAAAAGCTCGATTTTAACTTAATTTCAACATAGAGAAGAAATGGTGAACAGAAATTTTCTAACCGTAATAAAATATCCTGAGGTGAAATTTGATTGTAAATGTTTCACAGCTTCATCCTAATTGGAAGCTTTAAATGGCGGAGAAGTTTGAAAGAGCAACTAGAAAAAAACTTGTAAATAAACGAGAAAAAAATGATATTGTTTCGTATATAGGGCTGCTTTTCTGGAAAATTGCATCTTTCGCGGGGATTTTAAAAAAATATTCCATTTTCACTTATAACTTTTTCTTTTTGAAAAAAATTTCAAAGTCAAGAAATTTTTGTAAAAATTTCGAAAAAAATCGCAAAAAAATTTTTTTAAGGTGCATTCAAGCTCAGACCTCATATTTTAATGTCCGTTAACGCTTTTACTAAACATTTATCATAAGTTCTTGGAATCTTACAGAATATCATTTCAGACGAAAAACTGTCGGCGATGCTCGACGGCCTCGTCAACGTCGGAACCATCGATTGTTCCGCGGAAGAGGAACTTTGTGCCGATTTCGAAGAATCTTCGGAAGGACCCTTTTTCTTCCCCAAGGGGAAAATTGAGCCGGAGAAGAGACAGGTGAAAAAATCTTTTCTTCAAAACGCTGATATTTGTGAAGAAAATTCTCTTTCATTTAGATTTTTTCAAGATAAACTTCGAATTTCTAATGATGATTCAGGCTCTCAACACGATGGACGTCCAAGAAATCGCCAAAAACGTCATCAAACTTCTCGATCCGATCCAGACGATGGACACTGAGCAACTGGACGAGCTTATAAGTTAGTTCACTGTTTCGTATTCTGATGTTCAAGGATGAGATGAGAGATAAGGATGGGGAACTCAATTCCAAGGTCTTATTCAGACTTATAATTAGTGTGTTCAAGTTTAGAAAAACTAGGCTCAATCCAATGAGAGTCTACTTTTTCGGATTCCGAAGACCTGTAGCAGTTTGTCTGTCTTTGGTAACGCGAACTGGACCCGCCTCGGACTTTCTGATCGTATCTAGCAGGGTTGCACGAAACTCGAGCTCGTCTCGAACTTTTCGAGAAGATAGAAACACTAAAAATTGTGAGCAGAAAGGCCAAAGTTTGGTGTAAGAAGTGATGGTCCCCATGTACCAAGAGCAAATTATGTCGAGTTTTGACGTATTGCAGGAGATAAGTGAAACTGAAACGTTGAAAAAAATTCGGGAAGTTTCGCCTTTTAAACGTTTTTTTGTGTTATTTTCTCAGTTCTTTATCGTTTTTGTTTTTTCTATCTACCCAACAAATTTTTAGACAATTTAGTTTTTTTTAGTCCTACTGTTTCTTTCACATAGATTTATTCATTTTATTCTCTTAAAAATTTCTCGGCCTCTAAAATTAATTTATCGTGCAACCCTGATTTTTAGTAAACTCTTAAGCGGCGTCATCACTCTTAAGGGATCCCTAGAATTGCTCGACGTCCGGTTTCCATTAACGAGGTCCTAGTCTGTAGAAATCTTAAAGAGCTATTCCTGTGGAGGGGGGCGGGGAAATTTATCGATTTTTATTTTCAGTTTTTTGCGATAAAGGTGAAAGAGGTAATAATTTTGATAGTAAAGTAGCGAAAATGGTCCATTTTGTGATTTTCATCTAATAACTTGTCCTATTTGCTTGCGCGGGAAAAATCAGACAGAAACCAAATCATATTTTTCTAGATCACACTCCGGACGAACCTACCGCCGTCTGGTTCGTCGCCAACGAAGGCCAATTTTCCGAATTTCCCGAATACCGACGAATTCCGGCTCTCATCTCGAATCCAGTAAGTCATTTTTCCAAGGAAAAAAACACTTTGAGTTATCCGAGAGAATTTCATGACGATTAGAAATTTCAGAAGATATTCATATTTTTTATTTGTTCCAGATCTACAGCTACGACTGCTCGACAAGTTCAACTTGTTCCGAATTGCTTGATACAACTAAATTGCCTCAGTTTGTGGTCTTCAAGAAGACTGGTGGTTACGAGATTGATTATGGTACTGCAGAAAATTTATGATTTTCCTAATTTCCGGAGTTTTCCAGTGAACCATCGCGACCACCACAGCGTTGTCGCGTTTTTGAGAGAAGCCGCGATGTCGCCGTTGATGGCCTTGGATCGAGATAGCTATGCAGAAGCTGTTAAAGGCGATGAATTGTTCATTGTCGATTACTTCGCCCCTGTTAGTTTCTGAAGATTTTTTGGAATTTTCTGAAAGTTAGAAGGTTTTTGTTTCAGCTCTAAATATGAAGATGAAAAATATTTTTTTATTTTTTTCCGGGTAAGATGTTTAAATTTGAACAGATCTTTTTAAAGTTCTGAATATAGCTAGACTTTAAAAATCTTTGAAAAATCCAGTTATCAAAAATATTCAATATTAAAGAAATTTTCTCTGTTTCAAAAAAAGCCCGAAAAAGTTTTTTTAAATATAAAAACATCTGGCTACCAAGTCGCAAAAATATCTTGTAAAAAAACAAGGAAAAAAATAACGTTCTGCTGAGAAAATGAGTCAGGATACTTTTTCGAAAAAGTCCTTTAAAAATTTTGTAAACAATGGGATTATTTTTTTGAAATGAATTGCTTAAAATTTCTGGCCAAGAAGGAAATATAAACCAATTTCTCAGACAAAATCATCAAACGACTTTTGACCAATAGTTTTTCATGCTCAGTTTTGAATGTATTAGACTAAAAACTTTTTGTTCAAAAACTTCAAAATTTTTTTCTTGACGATTATTTTGCTGAATTTTTTTATTTTGCTCCCAAGCCTGTTTTTCTGGTGTGAAAGAACCGGAAAAGTTATATTTTGTCTCCATTTCGAGAAATTTCCTTTTTACTTGAAAAATCTTCTACGAATCAAATTGGGAAAGCTAATCTCTGTTCCTCCCATTTTTCGATCTCCTTCATTCCCTTCATTTTGCATTCCAGTGGTGTCCTCCTTGCCTGAAAATGATCGGAGAGTACCGAAGATACCACCATCAAGTGGCTGAGAATGAGATCCTCTCGAGCATCAAAATCGCCACCCTCGACTGTCAGAAATATCGGGACCTTTGCACGGCTGCCGGTGTTCAGAGGTAAAATAATCATTCGAAAAAGGGAAAGTGTAAACTTTTCAGCTATCCAACAAGTGTTCTGTACACTCCCGCGGGAAAACAGCACCGTTTGACGGGATATCACGCCATGGACGCTTTGATTGATTTCCTTGAGGTTGTTTCAGCCTTTTGAAAATAAAATGGTACGAAAATAATTGTATTTTTCATTTGCCATGACTTAGAGTCAGATATGGGCGGAACTGAATTTTTGATTTTTGGAAGGCGGAAGTTTTTGGAAGGCGAAAATTCGGTTGGTGGAGCCTCTTTTAGGCTCAAAAAAATCTTTTTTTTTTTGTGAAAAATATTTCCGCCTCAATGCGAACTAATTGATTTCAGAACGCCATAGATCCAGCCGTGACTGAACTAACCCCTGATACTTTCGAAGAACTCGCCATGCAGCGAGGCGAAGAAGAAACCTGGATTGTTGATTTCTTCGCTCCCTGGTGTGGTCCTTGTCAACAGGTAGAACTCAGATAATGGAATGTAATAAAAATAAATATCATGATAAATGTAAATTAAACGGTATGGCTTTTTTCAATGCTCTCTAGTTTCCCTTGGCAAATTTTTGTGTTCAGTTTCCTAAAAAATAAAGATGGTGAAGACTCAGAAAAAAAAAGGGGCAGGTCCTTAGACAGTGTGTAGAACGATGAGAGTACGAGTCTGGTCTCTCCAAGTTTGCCGTGCTCTCTAACCTCATGTATCCGCGCTGGCCTGACCTTTTCCTCGAGGGCTTTGAAATTCGATTAGAAACTATATTTTTAGTGATAAGATTTCTCCTATTTTGTCTCAAAAAGCTCGAATTTGAAATGATTTTCAGTTGGCGCCAGAACTCCAACGAGCCGCCCGTGCCCTTCAGGATCAGGACGCCAATATCCACGTCGGAACGGTCGACTGTCAAGAATACGCGGCTTTCTGCAAGCAGAAATTAGTCGCCGCCTATCCCACAGTCCGGCTTTTCCCCGCCAAGACGTCCAAACACGCTAGAAAGTCCCACTAGTGAGTTTCGGAAAGCAGGAACGGGATTATTCAAAGGAATTAGTGAAGAAATGAGAGGAATACGAAGTATAAGGCTGAAATATTGAAACTTTTACTTTGAGAGTTGAGATTTTAAAAAAAGTCAATAGATGACCAGGGCATATTGATAGGAATGTCTTTTTTTTTTTCTCATTTAAGATACGAGTTGTTAATTTTAAACCTGTAAGTCCAAGTTTTTCGTAGAGTTTTTTTAAAGTCATTTCTTTGAATTTCAAATTTCAAACCATCAAATCATTTATTTTGTTGTTATAGTCATAGATGTAATCGACTGGGCGGTGAAAAAGAACTTTCAAAGCTATAACGAACAACCGCGAACTAGAAGTCCAAACGTGTAGTCGAAAGAGTTGAAAGCATGGTCTTACGGTCCTTCGCATCGTTCTTCTGCGCGTAGTCCATCTAGTTGCGCCTTGACGAGCTCAGAATGTAGTGGATGGTGTAGCTGAAGCCCGGAGACCGTGCTCTAGGTGGAAGCCTCAGAATGAGAGCGACCACTTCGATTGAAGATTTTACACGGAATTTCAGCGATTATCCCAACAACATGTGGAGAAACTCGGATTCGATCCAACGCTGGGTCTTCGGAATGCTGCCTTCCAGCGTTGAGGCTCTTGGAAACGACTTCTGGACCACGGTATGTCGAATCTCATAGAAAGAAAAAGAATAACGTTATTTCCAAGGTTCTTGATGCGGACGAGCCTTGGGTCGTTGATTTCTACGCTCCTTGGTGTGGACACTGTGTCCAGTTTGCACCGACTTATGAGAAGTTGGCCAAGGTTTGTTTGAAATGAAACTGCGCAAAGAACATAGGAGCTTGAGTTTTAAGTATTGGATGCGAAAGGAACTTTCGAAAACTTTTATGTTCTCTCATAGGGAGAAGGTTTTGAAAACGATTTTCGTTTTCTAAAAAAGAACGTTTTTTTTTTTTGAAATGCTACATGAAGGTGACACTTTTCATTTAACATTTCAAAATTCTTATTTTTGCCAAGCTGTGGAAATTTTAGAAGTTCAATGGACGACTGAAGTTCGCCAAGGTGGACTGCGACCAGTGGCCAGGCGTGTGCCAAGGAGCGCAGGTGCAGGCATATCCGACGATCCGCCTCTACCGTGGCAGGACCAATTCGAAGCGACAGGACGTCTGGGGCACGCAGATCAGGTCTCACGACGAACACGGCTTCGCCCAATTCGTACAGCAGCAAATCGGCATCTCCCACGACGAATTGTAGTTTTCCCCCCTTTTCCTTCTCACTTATATCATTTTCTATCAACTTACTGGTGCGTCATGTGGCCTTAACTCAGTGCATAATTAAATAATAATCATATTATATATTTATTTTTTTAAAATTTACTAAAAGAACCCATAAAAAAAGTTTGAATTGTTGCGATACAGAGTTTTCAAAACTCTGAAATGTCCTGCGGGTGGTAATAGTCTTCCTTCAATCTGCAATTGAAAAACCTGTTATGACAATAAATTGTTATCTGATGGTTACCTGTTGACGTGCGCTGGTATCAGGGAAGAACTGTTGGAAACGAAAAGAGAAATCAGTTGAGAGGGGAGAATGTCAAAGGCCGGTTGGATCAGCTCCACTTTTCCTGAATAGTTTGGGATAATCCTCAAATTCAAAATATCGGAAACCTGAGAGCTTATTTGCTAGATCAAATGGAATATCAGCACGACAAGAAGTGTTCAAAGCCGAGGGATCCGGTATGAAGAAAGGCGTTATCTAAGAAAATGGAAAAATACATTCTTTGAAGAAATCTGAGACATATACTGTTAGAAACTTGATTACGGACAGGAAATTTGTATGAGTCTGTAATGAACTTTTTTTTTTATTAATAAATTACTTTTCCTTCGAGTTCCAAGAAGAAAATTTAAAAATATCGAAAACCACATAATAAGAGCATAATTAAATTTGAGTGATCCTTTGTTCTTTTCATTGAACACCTAGCTATATGATCTAAAGAACATTTAAACTAGGAAAAAAAAATATTTGAATTATATTTCAACCTGAAAAAAGTCAGGAAAATTATTAAAAAGGTTGAAAAATGGAACTTTGTAAGAAAAAATAATAAACTTTTTAAGTAATACCTTATAAAACGCGGCCAATACGAAAACAGGAACAGAATGCCGTTGAGCGGTCAGGGCAATGGTCAAACCGCCAGCCGGAACAAGACACGATCCGTCTGGAAAAACGGCGGCGCCACTCAAAACGACCTCAAATGTTTCATTTCTGTTGAAATATTTTATTTTAATTTCTCACCTTGGTCGTCTCGCACATCTTATTTCCGACGTCACAATGCTGAATCGGCGTCGCGAAATCAGGAGAATCGTCAATTTCAGTACTTTTAACCACGTTGTAAACCTGTGAAATTTCCTTTTCAATCCAATGGCTGGCTATTATTTTACTCTATATTTTCGAGTACGTCTGGCGCTGGCCAAAAATCCGTCTAAAGTCGGGGAATTTTTCAGAGAATAAACTAAAACGACGTCTTGAGAGTTGATGAGCTCACTGGCTTGAGATGCGATACTATCGCGAGAAGTTTCGACTTCGGTGATAATCTAGAAAAATTCAATAAATGCACAATTTTTATGAAAAAAAAACCTCCTTGATACTCTGAATCAGGTCCTTCTTGATCTTCTTTATGTTGAAGCTCTTCTCGTTGCTTCCGATTTCTCGCCAAAGAGTGTATAAAGAATCATAGGGCGTCAAACTTCCTGGTCCTCCAACTTCCAAATGAAAAAGTTAATATGTTTATTTCAACCTTTAGTCGCTTGAGCTTCATCTCTTGCAAGCTTAGAAACCATCAAAACAATATTGATAATAATCAGCTCGTTTGGCTCAACAGCAGACAGAACTCTTCCATTCCGGTGCAAAGATTGGATCAATTGACTGCAAAAAGAAACGTATAGCTGAAAAGTCGGATTGAAAAACTCACTGAAGGCTTTCAAACTTCTCCTGGAGAACGACCTTTCTCAAATAGTTTATCACTTGAAGAGCGACTTTTTGCGAAGATTCTCGCGAATCTCTGAGAACTGGAAATTTTTAGGGAAAATTAAACAAAAGAGTACCTTTTCCGAAAACTGGCTACCAGCGACCTTCTTAATGATTCGATCTCGTTGCTTTCCATCACTTCTGTACTGAAAAAAAAATATAAGAACGATAAGCGGAAACGAAAAAATATTCAACAAAAAAAACGGTATTTCACCTTTTTATGCGATTCGAGTCAGCCTACTTAACCTTCTTATTAATTAAAAAATTTTCACTAATTTATCTCTACAAAAAAAAATAATAGAATAGGTGAATATAATCTCTAAAAATTTTAAGAAAGTAAATTTAAAATGAAAAGAAAATGGGAAATACCGGCGGAGAATATCGCGATAGAGCGCTTATGTCGAAAGCTCGTCATTTTGTTTCTCGCCGATTTCGCAAAACTCTTTTCTTTTTCTCAAGCCTTTTTTTTCCCTCTTTTTCTCAATAGACCTTTCATTTATCTTTGGAAATATGTTGTAGAATGCAAATATTAAAAGCTCGAAAGTTAATATTGAACGGGCTAACTCCAGGATCGTCTAAATCGTTGGCACATTCGCTATTACTCGCTAATGGTTTCATTCATCCAGTTGGAAAAGGGTTGTACAGGTATAATAGTGATTTGTTTTTTTGATAAAAAAATTTCTGCAGCATATTGCCGCTTGGACAGCGAGTAATCGATCGAATATGCCGGATTCTGGACGCCGAATTACAACGGATCGGCGCACAAAAAGTGTCATTCCCGATATTGGGTTCTAAAGTTCTTTGGGATAAAACTGGACGATGGGAAAGCATGGGTCCTGAAATGATGACGTTGAAAGATAGAACGGAAACCCCTTTTTGTCTTCAGGTTTCCCCTTCTGATTTTATTTTCGAAAAATTTTTTATTTAGCCAACCGCCGAGGAAATGTGCACGGAAACAGTTTTAGCGTTATCACCATTGAAAAAGAATTTGTTTCCACTGATGCTCTACCAAATTTCTGAAAAATTTCGCGATGAAATGAATCCTAGGTTGTTTTTGGAATTTTTCAATTCGGAAATACTAATTTTCAGGTTTGGGCTGTTGCGATCACGACAATTTCTCATGAAAGATCTCTACTCTTTTGACAGAACTTATGAAGACTCTTTGAACACTTACAAAGCGGTCTGTAAAGTTTACGACAAGTTTTTCAAGAACATTTTGCAGTTAGAAGTTCACAAGGTTTTTTTTTCAGATAAAAATTTAAAAAAATTTTTTTTTAGACAGCAGCTGATTCTGGGATCCATGGTGGCCAATTATCTCACGAATATCATTTGAAAAGTTTGTTAGAAGAAGATTTTGTTGATTTTTGTGACGAGTGAGTGTTGTCGGTGAAGTTCAAAAAATAAATTTTATTATAGGTGTGGCACATCCAGAAAACCGGAAATTTCGCCTCCCTGTACTCATGAAAGTCAAAAATGCTCTCTAAGAAAGCTCAACACGGTAGAAATCGCCCATACTTTCCATTTGGGAAAAAGATACTCCGAAGTGATGAACGTCAATTTCGAGGGAAAGCCACTAGATATGTGCTGTTTTGGCATCGGAGTAACGAGGTATAACTTATTATAGAACTATTCGTTGAAAATAAATCAATTTGTAGGTTATTACCGGCTGTTGTTGATTGTTTATCCGTTTCTGCCGAAGCTATGAGGTTTCCCAAGGCAATCGCGCCGTTTGACGCCGTAGTAATCCCCAAAAAGGTACATCAAACAATTTTTGTGTATAAAATAAACGCCAAAATGTTTCTTTGCGAAATTATATCCAACTCAAAAAAAATGGTTGAGAATGAAGAGATTTAGGATCTTCTCAACATAGGCAAAGTCGGAAAGGGTCGAAAGAGGCTCCATTAAAATATCTCTTTTAGTGCGACAAAGGCTCCTTTTTTGCGCTATTTGATAGGCCCTTAGTCACCATTTTTTTCCTGCCTCTCTCAGCATTTCTTGAGCCTTTGTAATTCTGAAAAACTAGAAGGCTTGAAGAAAGGACTTTTTTGCTGCCTTTCTGCGGCCTCTTTTGAGCGTCTCCCTCTTAGCGGTCATTATTCACCATTCCTACTTTGTCGTTTTTTCAATATATCACAACCGATCCAAAATCAGTTTTCTTCTCATTGACGATCACCGGTTTATTTCGTTTAAAAGGTCTTGCTAGACATATTCAAAGGCTCATAGAAAATTTTATCAAAATTCAAAGGCAGAAAGTTGTTTCTTTTTATGTTCTTTGCACCTTTGGAAACCGAAGAAAAGCCTTTTTTCCAGACTTTGATGAAAAACGTACTGCTGGAAATGTTGTTGTCTTCCTCGAAAGACATGTTTTCTGACGGCGGCGTTTTGCTGGACGACCGGACCGAAATTTCCGTCGGAAAAAGGATGAGAGACGCGAATCGACTGGGGATTCCATACGTTATCGTTCTAGCTAATGAGACGGAGAGGTCTCTTGAAAATCAGGTGAATATTTATTAAGATTAAGTTTTAGATGAATGAAAAATTCCATGATTCCATAGCACGGCTCATACGTCGGCTGGATCCCACCCCGGGGTGCGGCCTACCGCCCCCCTCAAAAAATGAAAATTGAAGGAAATTTCAGAAAGTTAGAGAAGATGTGGTTTTTTTAATAAAATTTTTGAATCGCTTAGAATTTTTTTACATAAATCAAATCTTGTACTGATATAGTTTTTTTCCCGGGTTTCAGAGCCCAGCTGTGGAGCTTTTCTCGACGGAGCCAAAAAGCGCTGAATTGGTGAGTCACGGCGCGATGTCGCTGACCCAACTCGTCAGCTTCGTCCAAAGATTCAACGCCAATTCTCCAGTTTTCTAGTCAATCTTTCCTCTTGTTTCATATTGTTGAATTTGTTTGCGTGTGTCACGAATAATATATGCACTTCTTATCTTTCCGTCTGTTTTTTTTTCGTTCCAACGGCTTTTTGTTGCCACCAGTCTCTGGTTCCTCCCTTGTTTTCTTATCATTTTTATTTCTGTTTCGGTTTCCGATCAACGGCGATGTCCGTCCAGGAGGTGCAGGCCTACCACGACCGACGAGCTTCTTCCGCCGAGAGAATCGTCAGAAGTTCGTTTTTTCATGTTTTGGAGTGTTGAGAAATGGGAATTTCTGGGGACATCGAATTTTTTTTAATGAAAAAACTTGATTATCAGGGAAAAAGAAAAAAATGAAGAAACTTTCGATTGAAACAAAAAAACTCCTAGAACGAAAAAAATTATTTATAAAGTTAAGAAAAAAAAAATCAGTTATTCAGTTTCGCCTAAAAAAACAACACTGGAAATTTGATTGAAAAATAAGTTTTATAAGTAGAAAACTCAACCAAAATGTACCTTTTTTTCCTAATTTGGAATATTTCGTGTGGTTCTTTTGAGTTGCATTTGCTTATTTTTTTGTGAGTATACCGATTTTTCTTGTTTTTTTATCGCTTTTTAAAAATTATTTAATATGTTTTCTTGTGCCACGGGAATGATTTCTGAATAAGAACTCTAGCTTCATTTTTTTCAACGTTTCTTCGTTTCTCAGGCTCCTCCTCTTCCATGTCGTGCCCCCATGGACAGTACAACACATTTGGCACGACGTCGATTGTGAATCCTGTTTCTAAGGCACGGCAGCGAAGGAGTAGGAGTCGAGGAAAGCTTCTCACTTAGTAGTTATTAGCTAAAAAATTCAACTTTGGTTTTATTTTGGATACTGTATTATTTGCAAAAATGTTATCAATTCTGTGATATAGCGCAAGAAGTTTGCGATGTCGCAGCAAAAGGCGATGTGTCGTTATTCTCGCAGCGACAGTCAATAATATTGAGCGAATTCAAAAGTTTTGAATTGTCGGATTTTAAAGTTCTAACCTCACTAGGGAACTACTCGAACTCGGGTACGTGATTCGAGTTGAAACTTTGGTGGCTTATAGACCCGGGTAAGAGTACTTGGAAACAAGAGAGATTATCTGCTAAACCCAATAGGCTTTTGAGAAAAAGCTTATTGAAAATGAACAATTTAGGCTTGAAAATTATCAAATTTCTGGCTTTCCTCATTCTTTTGGCTGGGAAAAAGTTTTTTAGAGTTTATCATAGCGGGATTATTCAAGGCGATTGTGTTAAAATATAAAATAAGGTAGAAAACAGTATTCTGAAAAGTTTCAGGCCTAATTTTTCCATTTTATACTAATTTTTTCTCGGTTCTCTATTGGGCTTAGCAGACATTCTCACTTGTTTTCAAGCATTCTCTCTTAGGTCTATAAACCACTAAAGTTTGAACTAGATATGCGTACCCGAGTCCGAGTAGTTCCCGAGTAGTTCCCAATGCGTGAACTGGTGTCGTTGATATAGTCGTTGTCTTTGTCGTCAGCAGTTTTTCTGTGCTTCTATTTTATATGTAAAAAAACGGGAAAAAGAGGGGTATTTTTGAATTTGGAGATAACCATCATAGAGTTAAGGAAATCACTTTGTTGGACTTCAGAAAACACCGGCGCAATAACCCAACTGCGAGTTCTGACGCTGAACATGTGGTGCCTGCCGCAGCCGTGGCCAATCGGAAGTTCTGACCGCACTTTTCGACTTGAGAGACTGTCCGAGGCCCTGATCCGAGAACGCTACGATATCGTTGGGCTTCAGGTAAATAGGTCCAAAAAAGACGGCATAAAAATGTATCAAGCCCAGAAAACAAAGAATAATCAGCATAAGAACAAACGATAATCAACATAAGTAAACGGCTTGAAGTGAAACGTCGAATTATTGATTTTTTGGTCATGCAAAGATTTCTGTTGACTCTGAATAATCTAATACACGTAAAACTTTTGATGGTCGGGTGCATCTTCACTTAGAGCTGCTGGGGCAGCCGCAACGCGCCCCGACGGTAAAATTCCCAAAAGAGCCATTTATCTTATTTCGTTCCACCCATTTTCACTCATCTAGTCACCACGGGTCGACTGCTTCAAATGGCGCCCCGTCAGGAGCTCTGATAATCTTTTTTTAGCTTCTAAAAGAAAAGACATTCTCCACGAGACTGATATCATCTTTTTTTGTTTTCCAATCGACTAATAAGAGAACTTCTGTAGTGGAAATCGAAAAGAGATGTTTCAGGAGCTGTGGAGCGAGAAGGATTTCTTGAGATTGGCCGATCGAATCGAAAAAGAGTATCCATTTCGTCATTATTTCCATTCTGGGTTCACCGGCAGCGGCGTTTGTGTCTTCTCTCGGCATCCCATTGTTTCGACACTTACTCATAGGTTTCTAAGAAGCTCTATCCGAAAAATATCATAGATAATGTGTTTTACTTGAGCAGAAATCGACAAAAAAGGCAGAAGAGTCAGAAATTGAAAAAAAAAAATGTATCCTTAAGGTGTCATTATGTAGTGTTCATTCATGTTATTCAGATTCCAAGACCCAAAAATTAAATAACAGTTTTAATTGCATTCGGAAAGTGTCATTCGTTTAAATTTCATTTAATTTACACATAAATCTGCAAAAAAACGTTTATAATAGTGGTTCATTGAGCTTCTAGACTCATATCTCGATACTTTTTCAAAAAAGTCGATGAGAAAGCACCTGCTTTATCAAAAAAATAGCAAGAAAAACGAAGAGAACAGACGATGTGATAGGAAAAATCGAATATGAACGGCTTCTCCTAGGGTTTCTCGCAGTCGAAAATACGTTTTCTCCTTAATTTCTAAAGGATATCTATAATTTTCAGATTTTTTCACGTAAAATCGCTTATGAAAGAATGCCGTGTTCAAAGTAATTTCGCGAAATGCAAAATGATCTCTGACTCTCCAAAATTTAGTTATATTTTCCTTTCTCTGACGGCTATTTCGCATTTCGCGAAATTACTTTGAACACGGCAGAATATTCCAGCGGAATTGTCTTGTTTTGATTTCTTTTGAATGTTCTAACTTTCAAGGTACTCTTTGAATGGCTTCGCTCATCATATTCACCGTGGAGACTGGTTCGGCGGCAAGGTTTTGCACCAAACTCAAAAATGAAAGTTGAAATTGATTTGGTAGGTCGTTGGACTTGCCGAGGTCGAAATCGGAGACCTTCGCGTTAATTTCTACACGACGCATTTGCACGCCGAGTACGACCGCGAGAACGATTTGTACCTTCCTCATAGGTAGAAATTATCAAGTTACTAATTTATTCCGTTTTTTTCCTAGGTGTGATCGACTAGGTAGTGAAAAAGAATCGTTTAGGCCATAACGAAAAATCGCCTTTGGCGAACTAGAACCCCGAAAATGTAGTTGATCCAGTTAAAAGCATGGTTTTACGGTTCTACGCCTCGTTTTTCTGTGCGTACTTGATCTAATTGTGCCTTGAAGAGCTCAGAATTTAGTAGATGTTGAAGCTGGAGCCCGGAAACCGTGCTCTAGGTGGAAATCTCGGAAGGAGAGCAGCCAATTCGAGTGGACGAAAAAAATAACTACTTTTATAAAAAATAAAACTGTTTGTTTCAGGACGGCCCAGTCCTTGGAACTGAGTCAGTTTGTCCGACACACGTCTCGTGGCTCTGACGTCGTCATAGTCACTGGCGACTTCAATATGGAACCCCAGGATTTGGGTCTTAGGTACACTTTGATTTTGAATAGTTCTTGAAGTTTGCCTTCTATTGTCTGCCTTTATTGATTTGTCAAGTCTACACTGTTTATTTTATTTGCGGATGAACAGCTTTTGGGGCTGTCGAAAAAAAGAAAAAAAGACTAACGGGAAAAATCCAAACGGTCACAAAAAAGGAGTCTAAAGCTGCTTTTGAGCCTAAAAAGTGTCAAAGTCTCTCTGAATTTCCTTTATTCTATCTTTTTCTGACTTCTTCTTTATTTTCTCCTAAGAGATCCTTTGAAGCCTTTCAATGGTTTTTTTTTTCAAAAAGTTTCTTTTAATGTCTTTCTAGACTTTGCCCAAAATTGGGAAATTCATGTTTCGAGAATGCAATGAACAAAATTATTTTTATGAGAGAAACTGCGCACAGTTACTTCTTTTGTTTCCTTTTTCAAGGTTTTCTACGAGTTTGTCGCAGGATCTACCGGAACTTAAAAATGTGCCCAGCTACGCAAAATTTCATGCGGAGGAGGCTATAGTATATACACAAAATAAAGTCATAAAAATAGAATACTTGAACATTTTAAAAGCTTTTTGAAAGCTTTTTTTTCAGTTTCCTTTCTTCTTAGAAAATCTCCGCCTTTGCAGGCTGATCCTGGCGCAGGTGAAGCTTTGTGACGCGTGGAGAATGTGTCACGAGAAGGAGTCTTGCTCGGAGACTGGAGACGCGTTATCGCTGTCGGAATGTCGCGGCGTCGTTCAGGGCGGAACCTGCGACCGACCGGACAACTGCTACACCAGAAGGTCCCTAAGAAACAAGGTCAGATAATAATTGAAACTTTTTCCTTGTCATCCAAAAAATTGATTTTCATATATATGCCTTCCACTCAAGAACTTACTTACTTACTTAGATACTTAGATGGTCCATCTTCGCTTTCGACCTTTTATTGCCTTTTAGTGCCTTTTATTGATCGAAGCGTGGACCACACGTTTCCGAGGAGGTCTTATGCAATCGGTCATCCAGTTTTGTCGTCCTGGTTGACTGGTATTCTTGCGAAAAAGTTCCATCCGTGGTGTTGAACGTGTTATAGCATAATTTTGGTCTGATTATCCTTTTTGCCTTGCCAGGGCTAAAAAAGACCGCCCATTCTGTTAGCAGAAGCAAGCCGAACTGCGTGACCGGTGTACCGTTAGCCGCCATAAATGGCGTTGCCTCCCCATCACCGCGTAGAGGTGGTACTTGAAGGGGCACTCAAGAAACGTTTCTAAAATGGTCCGAAATCGATTTCTTTGGCGATTTCGGCCAATCTCTAAACGAAAGCATTTATCCAACCAAATTTGAAAGTTTCCTTTTGTTTATAGTAGTCAAAGTCAACTGATTGAATTTTCAATTTTCACGAATTCTTTGAGCCAACGTTTAGCCAAAAATCAGATTTGAGTTCATCTCTATTGCGGGAAACAGCATTTTTTCAGAACCCAGCAAGTTTTTAATGAGTTTCTATTTTTTTTTTAAAACTATTAAAAATCAGGAAGAAATTGCACAATGAGGGACGGTTTCAAACGATTTACCTTGTTTTTCAATATTTCTTTCCAAAAAAAAGTCTTCAGGACGAAAGCAAGAGAATCGACTATGTTCTATTCAAAAGCGAAAGAGCCAACGTAAAAATCGAGGAGTGCGAAATCGCGATGAACCAGGTCTCCAACACCTTTTTTGAGATCATAACTCTTTTTTTGTAGATTCCTTGCGAAGAGAAGAATTATTCGGACCACGTTGCTTTGGAAGCTCGGTTCACCATTCAGGATGACGCGAGACAGGTGATTTTGAAAGACGTTTTTTTTCTCCGGTTTTTTTTTAGTAATTTCAATGAACAAGGAAGTTTTTTCCTTGAGTTTCAGATCCGTAAGGGTTTATTTCTTCTGAGAAAAACCAGTTATTTGCAGCAGTCCCTGTCGTGGGAGTCGAACCGACCTCTCCTGATCGAGGCGATCGGTATCGTCTCCGGGGGCCAAAGAAGGGCTCGAAGCGACCGAATCCTGTTCTTCATCGGCACGGCGGCTTGTCTCTTGCTCATCCTCGTCTCATTCTTCGTCTCCGTGTTTCCCTTCGCGTTTGCCTTCCTCAGGTTGCACGAAACGTCCGTCTTTTTCCTAAACGATGCATTTAGGTTTGCCCTAACCGTTCTTGCCGTGTTCTTCGTCTACCAGGGACTAATCGGACTCACTTTGGAGAGGAAGGCTCTCAAAGCCGCCAAGCAGTCGATGCAGCAGCTCTTGAATAGTTAGGGCATCACTGACAGGATTTTTAGGAATCTAGGTACTTAAAAGGGTTTTGCATGTACTGGAAGCGTGTTAACGAAATTTTAAACTTTAGTAGTTTGCCAAGGGGACAGAAAGCTTGAGCTTGATTTCGAAGAGCTGTTTCTAGAGCATTTTTAGAATTTTGTGATCCGGAAATATATTTTAAGCTTCAAGTTTCTCCACAAGTGCATTGAGAGGATATTCAAAGGGCCTTCAAATATTCGCGAAGTAGTGTGCAAAAAGAGTAGCTTTAGACGCCTTTGCATTATATTTTTTCTTATGACCTCTTTTTTATCACCTTAAAATCTTCGAAATAGTGGTAAAAGGTAAAAGCAGAAATGAAAGGAAAAAAAAATATTACTTGAACATGTGGATTGGGAACTTTCAATTGGAAATGTGAAGACTTCGACTTCTTCTTAGGACTTTAATTCATTAGAGCTAAACTTATATACATTTTCATCGATTCATCTTATCTAAACGTTGTATTATTTCGAAGAAAACCTTGAAAATCCATCTGAAAGCTGTGGGCGGGGCCTAAAATAAAGTGGTTCGGAGAAAGGGCGGAAAAAAAAAATCGTGTTCTGGTATTTTCTGGCTTCAATCATTTGCAGCGCATCGAATCTAGTAACGACTTTTTCCGACTTTTGCCTTGCGTTTTCAAAATTTTATCGAGGATATTTCGCAAAAATAAAATTGTCGGAACAGAAAAATGTTTAAAATTCTCACTGTTTTATGTTCAAAAAACTTGGTAAAGTATTTCCGAACATCATATCATCTTTCGAAGCTGTAGAAAAGTATAGTTGACTCATAAATCAGTTGTTTTTTCCTCGTTCCAAGACCTATAATTTCAAAAAAGTTCAAAAAGCGGGAAGTGATAAATTGTCACTGAAACACACGCTCTCTGTTCTCCTCGAAAAAAAAATCTTTGCAGCAAGCTAGGTGAATCAACTGTTTTCCAATCAATGAGGCGTTTCGTTCTGAAATTTTTTTTTGAAAGAAGAGATAATATCAACTTTTACGTGCTTTTTTCTCTCAAAAATGTTACACCGTGATGAATAGCCCCCCAGAACAATTTTCAATTGAAATATGGAAAATTTAATATAAATTTCTTGCAGTGCTCTAACATTTTTTGGTTCTCTTTTTTTGAAATCTTGTGAATTTCTTTCCCAGAATAAAAGAAAACGACTTTGTTCCTGAACTTTGTCGATTTCATTCCCGTTTATGACTTTAGCAATTGTCGTTACAGTTCGTTTTGACGCGTTCTCTGGTTTTTCCCAAAATCCTTGCTGCATTTTCAAGGGGCAGAATTCTTGCATGACTTGTAATAAATAAGAAAACATATTTTTTCCTCGATTCATATACGAAATTTTCTCATGCTCCTTTATACACCTCAGCAAGGATTTCGAAATATATTTTTGAAATATAAATGTACAATATTCCCCACGAAAAAGTTTTTTTCCCACGCTTTGATCGATTCGTGTGAAAAAAAAATGTTTTTATTGTCGATCCTTCCCTCCATTTCATTTCTCCTCACTTTATGGAAAGAAAACGTCTAGTCACTTCTTCTCGTCATCCTCAAATAACTTTGTGATTATTATCGGACTAACAACTTTCTGTGATTGCTTTTTCTATAAGAGATTTTTATAAAGTTCATTCATTATGCTGGTTTTCTGTTAATTTTTCGAACGTTTTCAGCGTTTCTGTATATTTAAAGCTTGATTCAAGGGTTTTTTTACTTTATTCATTTTATACAGAGTCATGAATCGCTTGACGAATTGGTTGAAGCGAAAAAGCTGACATCAACGTCGTCACATACTCTCGTTTCGGACTTCCTGGTAAGGCTTTCGGCAATTTTTTGGTGAGATAGACAAAAAGAAAAATTTTCATATTAAATTTATTCAGAAAATGTAGCAAAGCTATTCCGATTTCTTACTTTATTTTTGAAAGAATTTTAGCTGACACTTTTTTCTCAAAGAAGCCTTGTTTGCATGTTGAGTGACTCAGCGCGATACGGTGGCACTGCGTTTCAATTAAGAACTGCAAAGCTATTATAAATCGTTTTTTGTCTGGGCGAATTCAGAAAACCTTCTGATGAGATTTGAAAGAGATTGTCATTTTGAGTCCGAAAAAAGTTGGTTCAGCTTCAAAGAACTTCTATCAACAAAAAACCTGGTTTTTCAGTTCAAGGAAACATTTCCGATTCATGAGCATCAAAGTCTTTTTGTTTTGATTGAAAGCTTTTAGGAGACGAAATAGATGATCGGCCGCCGCCCACGCAGATCTACGTCGCCTCTTTCGACGATAACGCGCCGGAATTCAAGGCTTTCGGGTCGCATTCCACGAGGGCTGCTCTGGTAAAGTGTTTTCCATTAGAAGGTTGATAAGTCTTCAAAAAGAGCCGCGGAAATCCTTTTAAAACCTTTTAGATGCCACAGCGATTTCGATGAACCGAAAAAGTTCCATTAAGCATTTTTAAAACAACCTCAATTTGCTTCGACAGACAAAAAGAGTTTTTTTTTTTTGGAACATGCAGACTTTAAGCGAGGCTTCATTTAGAACAATGAAAAAAATTACAAACATGTTATAAACAACAAAAAAAAACTACCTTTGAGAAATATTTTCAGATCTCGGCTGGAGTCGGCATTTCGATGACCCTTTTCTTCTTTTTGAGCGTCTTCTTCGAGTTCGACTGGTACCATCACAGGAAGGGAGTCGACGTTGGGGCGCTTAGTGAGTTTCAAGGAAAAGTCTCCTTATATAGTGATCAGGGATAAAAAGACGCTGAACTTTCTGAACCTTGCGACTGGACACATTTTAAGTATTGAAAGTAACTCAACTCTAACCGCGTTGTGGCCCAACTTTGTGAAGAAAACTTCGACAAACCTAAATTCGCAATTAAATTGTAGCGGGTCTGGTCCTGTTCCTCGGTTTGGGCCTCCTCGTCCATTCGCAAGTCCTGAAAGGCATCAAGAAGAACAACGGAGCGCACTTGGTGCCCTTCATCATCTGCTACGCGACTTTCCTCTGCCTCGAGTCACTCATGATCCTCTTTCTGATGTGAGTAATCGCGCTCAGACGGACTTTCCAACTTCAAGAAGGCTTTCCAGGGGTCACTTCATGTCGGCGCCCCACTCCATCGACACTCGTCCCGCTACAGTTTGTTTTTGTTCCTTGGCTTCTAGGCTTTCTGTGAGGAATATTCAATTTATTTGTTTGAATCAACAAAAAGTTTTGAGGGATGTTTTGAAGGGTTGAATGAAGCGCGAATGAGCCTCTCCTTTGAGAAAAATATTGATGAATTTTTTCCTCCATTCATTCCAAACCTTGTCGAAAGTTTGATCAGTTTTACGTGCAGAAAATAGAAATATAATTTCCCATACCTTCGAATAATCGATCAATCCAGTAATCAAGACCCGAATAATTCTTAAGATCTACTTCATTGGCCTCATAATGGCCTCGATCATGTTCGTCCAGGCGGCAATGCTTCATTCGGTTACAAGGTAGTTTAGAATCGCCTTCTGAATGAGAAAAAGAGGAGAAACCTCGATTCAGATGCCGCAATTATCTGGAGAAAAGGAGCATCTTCGACGCCGAGATGCGGGTGGCGGAGATGAGCGTGAGTTTTCAAAGGGAAAAGGAAATCAGAACGAAAATTCGCAGAAATCGCAGAATCCGGCGATGAAAATCGTGTACATTGGCCCCTCGGAACGTGTCGATTCTCATCAGGCCGCCAATTCCACGCCTCCCATCAGAACCATTTTGGCCTCTGGCGATTCTCTTGCCTAATTTCGTACATTTTATGTTGATAAGTTTGAATTTTTCATTCATTTCGAAAGTTGTGCGACTGAATCGCTTGGAAAAATAGTTTAAAAGTAGTTTGATTTTTGATTTTTATTTTTTTATCGTTCATGGAGCGTTCATGCCAGATTTTTAGTTCCGCTGCTCCATTTTCTGTCAAAACCACTGTTTACGCCAAGCTATTTTGTCATACACCCCTTCAGGAGGTCTTGCGGTGGACAGACGGTGTTTTTCATTCGTTTTAATATGGAAACTGAAAAGAAATCAACTCCACTCAAGGGTCCACTTCAAGAATAGAACCGTCGTCTTTGTCACCCGCGAGGCCTGATATTTCTGCTGCATTTCCTTTCATCTTGCATAAGTTCGCATAATTAAATTTACATCCAGCTTTAAAACTAATCGTTTCACTGATATGATCGGTTTCCTGTGAATTTTGTAGTTTCTTTTGCCTTCCTTCGCCAAATTTTCCTTGTTAGTCTTGCCTTTCGTGTAGAAATTGTAACGTTGTATTTATCAATATTGTTCCAAACAGGTTACGCAACAAAAAATTGCCTTGTCAATATGAAAAGAGATATGAATAAATAGTTGCTTGGCGGGCTTTTTTTTGGGATTCTTTGTGTACGTGCTACTTTTTGTTATTTTATGACAACTGTTTTTTCAAAGTTTTCTGTATTTTCAAGGTGCGATTCCGTCACTTGACATCATCTCATGTCCAAGGTAAGAGTTCGCTTTTCATGGACTGTCTTTTTCAAGTTAAAAATAACTATTATTGGGTGAATTCACCTGATGAACTTTTTCACGTCTAATCTTTCTTCAAGTCGTTCTTTAATCTTATTAATTTCTATTCTACAGACTTCCCAATCTGCATATTTCAAGGTTTTTTTTTTGGGTCGAGTTTAGTTGTCAGGGTCGAAATTAGGAGGTTGGGAATGAAGCAAAAAATAAAAGATAGGTTTGACCAGTAAGTCGGTAAAAAATCACATTTTTTTTCAACTTTGAAAAGCGTACATAATTTTTCGGAAAAAGGAAAGTTAAGAATTGCAAAAGTGGGAAAAATGAAAAAAATGTTCATTCCTCGGAAAAAAATTTGTGTTTCGAATTAATAAGTCATTTTAAAATTAAGTTCTACATGGTTAAATATGAAGAAGGGTTCGGTTAAAATGTTTTATATCTTTAGAAAACTACTACGTGCATGGCTTGAACAAAAGAAATTGGCTGAAATCATGTTTTGGTGATAAGAGGGATCACTTTTCAATCAATCAATCAATCAATCAATATTGGTTGTTTTAGTCAGATGGAATCGACTTTTGACAAAAAAATTATATTTTTTAATTTTTGAGACTTGTAAACTGATTCCAGATAATAGTTTTTGTAAAACAAGAAGGCTTTGAATCAATTTTGCTTGATTCATATCAATAGCACAATTTGAATTATGAACAATGAGTTTCACCTTTTTTTGTACTGATTTTCATATAAATTTTCAGAAAACTCGATCACTTCAGAGGAATGGTTATTTACTGAATAAAAAGAAATCATTTTTCACAGTTGACTTTCAGTTAAAGGCGTAAATATTGATACAGTTTTGAAGAAGAAAATAACATCTTCTTCTACTTCTTCCAACGCCTTTGTACCGCTTGAGCGGCGTCGGCGCCCCAAGCCGATAAGCCGAGGTCCTATTCTGACACCAATGATAATAGTGGACTGGCTCTAGTGACATATCCGTCATTGTGTGTGACGGCTTAGGACTTTGAAGTCGTGGTTTCCCACTTCCAGCATTTCTTAAACCCCTTGGTTTGGCCGAGGCGGGGATTGAACTTGTGACCCTGTGGACCGTAGACAGGAACACAACCTGTTGCGCTACGGCTTAGGAAGAGAAGCGCGCCCGGAAGAGAAAAATAACATCATTTTTGGTGAATGATGTTTACACAGTATATATATATTTAACACTTCTTCATATTTAAAAGTTTCCTGTCTCGCTCCTAATTTTACATTTACAATTTTCATTTCTGAGTGCTTCTGATACCATAGAGAGACCAATTTCCAATGAAACGGATGATATTCTTCGGAGCGATTCATTTCAACGACATCTTTTTTCACACCTTCCTCCTTCGATCGTCCCACCAAGACTTCAAGAAAAAAAACCATTTTTCCTTTACCTGTTCCGAGACACGGACAATTTTTCGTTGACAGAGGTGACCGATGGGTGGCCCATCCTTTTCGCACCTTTTTTCACCTTTTCAGGGCCTTTTTTGTTTGTTACACTGTCTTTGTTGAAGATCAAGATCAACCGTTGCAACCAAATTATTTAAAAAGACACTTCAGCAAATTATAAAATAGATAATATTTTAAAGGATAATCTTCTTTTTCAAGCCTTTCGAATTTGTTAGTATATCAAAGAAGTTCGGAAAATCTTGATATTTTTACATAGAACTCTTGAAAAAAACTCATAAAATATCTTTATTACCACTAAAGATTTTTAATATAATTGCCAAAGAGAATTGACAGTGGTCACCCATTTGAAGGATTGGAGGCTCAGCCACAAAATGTACAAAAACACAGGGATGTTTAAAGCGAAGATAGTGTGGAGGAATTCTTGGCTCAAAAAGTGAAGATGTTGTTCCATCGAGAAGTTGGGTCTTTGTCTTCGACATATTCTGTCGAGTAGCGCCAGCTGAATCCTGCCGAACCGAACCAGCAACTGAAACAAGAAGGAAGTTAGTGAAAGGATTGAAGTAGTTGTTTCATGGCCGAATCGGACTCATTACTAGCTTCTGAGAGGTCTCTCGCTCGAATCTTCTCGCGCAAGCTTGTGCCAGGGCCGGCCTTGGCGAGCGGATCACGTATTTCAAGTCACGTATCACACTTTTTGAAGACAAAAATCACGTTTTTGTTTCTTTTTTTTTTCATTTATCAGAAATTATAATTTTCGAATTTTTTCGGTATCTCGGTCTGCTCGGATTTCGTCAAAAATTGTGTACTTGTATACGATTCGAATGTTCTAAAAAAATAAATAAACAGTAACCTAGGCATAAATTAAGGTCTTTTGAGTATCGAGGTTTCCTATTTTGTGAATACTCATGACCCACCGGTATGCATTCATGTTCATGGGGAGATGTTTGTGACCGCCCTTGTAGTTGATCACAACCAAAGTGATTTTCTCGAGGCTTTCCCGAGACATGAACCATCTTCCATCGATGCCGTAGTTGTAGAGACGGCCCAAGTGATGAGACAGCTCCACCACTGTGTAGAGAGTCACCTCCTTCACTTTTGGCCAGTAATTCTGGAAAGCACCGTTTTGAGGTCCACTACATTGCGTCATCGAAACGAACAGTGAGCTCTCGGGACGCTTCGCAGTACAGATTAACTCTGTCGTTGTACGCTCCAGAGATCTTCAGGTAGCTCTGGAACGAGAACCACTCGTACAAGTCCAACTTAGATAGGTGGACGAGATACTGAAAAAGATTTTCGATCCTGCTCAAATCAGAGTTATTACCGCTTCTGCGACCGGCGCATCCAGTTCGATGAACTCGATCCAGCTGTGGAACAAGTCCATTGCTTTCGACATGGCGTTCAGGTCGGCGACCGTCCATCTGAACAGGAGACCATTTTGAGAAGTAGTTTTGAATATCTCGACATAGATATACTGCGGTTTTAGATGGGCTTGAATAATTTTTGAGAGTTCACCTGAAGAAAGAGATGTTAATAGTGAACAGGTGATTTCACAGTTATAAACGGTCAAGTTTCCATTTTCAAGTGCCTTTCCTTTACGTCTTCAGGTGTATTATTAAATATTTCAAAGCTTTTCCTCTAGGTAAGAAAGATGGGATTGAAGAATAGAAGATCTAAAAATTATTCAGCAAGCTCTAATATTAAGGTTAATATATTTATATTTTCTTAGAGGAGAAATTTAGAAAATTTAGATGTTTTTTTATTGTTGTTAGAGACGTTAAGCTTAAGTTTACGAAGTTTTGAAACTTTTTCAAGATTCGAAGGCTGGTATCAAACTAACTTTCTCATCAGAGCGCACAAGGCAAGACGAAAAAAAAAGATTGAGAAAAGATGAGCTAGGCTGAGAACATACAGTAAACTATACAAGCCAATGCTGACAAGTCAACTATCGGCTTCGCTTATCAGTGAATAACTTATGTGATCCAGAACTATAACGTAACATTTTGTGTTGAGAACTCACGAGCTGTCGATGACAATTTCCACGGTGTCTCTCACGAATCTGACGGCGACGAATGCCTTGTAATGACGCTGCCAGCCGTCGCCGACCTTTGTGGCCGTATCGAGGTTCTGCTTGATCACTCTCATTCTCTTTATCTGCAACTTCCTCCGTCTTGGCTTTCGATTTCGATGCCGCACTCACATGCTTGTACTTGTTGGTGAGATAAGCCTCGATGTCTCCGCTCAGAGAGATCAGATGGATCTGCTCGAAGAACGTGAGCTCGTCGATGACTTGGAAGATCGCGCAGAGCGGTAGAGGTGACAGAACTTCTTCCCTTTCGTTCGACCCCAGCAAACGGAAAAGCGGCCTCACTGGCGAGGGCTCGATGATGACGTCGCTCTGAAGATTTTTCCGTATGCGCTTTCAGTTTTCGAGAAGTGATTTAGTAAAAAAAAGTTTCGGCCGAGTATGGGAGTTTAACTGAAGGCGTTTGTCTACTTGTTGCTTCACGCTTTCCTTCTGATAAATTCTGCGCCTTTTTGAAAACTTTTCACTTAATTATCTGTTTTATGAGTTTTTTTCATGAGAATCTTTGTAGTTATTTTCGAGAAAATTTTCTGAATTTACTGTACCTCGTAAGTTGGCGTCTTCTTGCGGTAACGCTTGGAGAGCTTGCGGACGAAGTTCATTTTAGGTGTTCGCTCTGTAAAATTAACAAATTAGCGTGATGACTGTGTTTCGTTGACATGTACGAGTCACGCCGGCGAATCACACGCTTTTTTCAGAAAGACAATGGGCGAAAGAATGTTGGGCGGTGGTCTATAAGTGTTCGCTCGATTTTCGAAGGTCTGGGGGGAGAGGTCGGAGGATGACTAGCATGATCTAGAAACAAAGAGAAAATTCCAATAGAAATAGAAATAGAAGAGAAAAGAGTGGGAAGTTTTCTGAGTGATTCGCGCTAAACTTGTTCTACTTGTGGAAGAACGAGGCGAAGGACCGTAAGATCATGGTTTTCAATTGAATCGACTACACGTTTTGACTTCTTTCTCGCCAAAGGCGGTGTTAGTGCCGCTCAAAAGAGCAATTTTTTCACCGCCTAGTCGATTCCATCTGACTAAAACAACCAATAAATATTGATGATGATGATGATGATGAAACTCCGCTACGGTACTTCCAGCTTTTTTCAATTTTTTTTTTGAACCAGAAAAAGTTGGAGGAAAAGGAATTCGGAAAGATGGAGAATGAAACAAAAAGCAGAGCACGTTTCGCTGTCGTTGCTCAACCAGAGACTGATTGTCCTAGGCCTCCTCCAGGAATCAGAAGCGGGTTTTTATCTATCTATCAATCTATCTCTTTTTTCGTCCAGCCTTTTTGTTGTGAGAAGAAAGACTGGGGCCGGCCTGCGTCATCGGTTTCTGCCCTCTGCCACGCGGAAGCAAAAGCCCGGAATTATTACAATTATCTGTGTTTTTAGAAGACGTGGTTCGGCGAGGTCGCCTGGTCGAAGGACGACGTCATCGTTCGTCACGATTGGCAGGAGGTTGAAGACGTGGCGCGCGTGGACGACGTCGTCCTCACCGTCGGAAGCACCCATCTGTTCGTCGTCGTCGTCACGAAGAGCAGCGTCTACGTCTTCAGGGAAGACGACGTGGTGGGGTGAAGGAATATGGAACAAAAATTAGAAACTGAAGTCTGCTCACTTGTTTTGTTCAAGTTAAGTGAGCGTCAAAATTGACGAATTGGGGATTATTGCTCATGGAAAATAATTGTCTTAAGTGTTCATTATTTTTCAGGGCACCAAAAAGTTTTGTTCTGAACCTTTCTTTTATTCATGATTGTTTTTTTTAAAACTGTGAAAAAAATGTTGAATTAATTTTTTTATAAAGAAGGTTTTGAACTCATTTTATACTTGGCGTCAAGAGCTTTTTGTGAAAGGAAACCTTTTCAAAAGTATTTGGACCTGGCTGGAAGGATTTGGCACCTTTATTGACCAAAAAGCAACCTTTTAGAGTTTTCGTGAAATTGTCTATATCCTAAAGTCTGCTGAAAATTTTTTTCGCGTTTTAAAGAGAAAAAAATTTTCAAAAAAATCTAAAATCAAAAAGTTTGGGTTCATTGAGTATGTAGAATTTTCCAGGTCCTACATTAATCAGACGAAAATAAGATTTTTCCTTAATTTTTGATTTAAAAATGAAAACAAAACTGAGATTTTCAAAATCAACGTTCTGAAATGTCAAATTTTGAAGAGCCGATGCTGGTACAGCCGATTGACCGAAAAAGCGGAAGATTTGCGATTTCAATCTCACCAATGGGAATATATTAGAAGGGATTGGAAAAAAGAAGATGATCAGGAAGCTTTAAAAGGTGAGAACGGATTCCGAAGACGTCACGGTCCAAACCTTGCAAAAACGTGCAATTCTTGTAGTTATGATAAGAGTGCGAAAGAAAGAGCGGAAAACGACGTCTTCAGATCCGAAAACGTCGTCATCGGATGTACGTCTTCTGTGCACCGACGAGCGCGTCTTATTCGTCGACAATCGCCGCCCTCCAGGCCCCGCCTCCGACCCGAAGACGTCGCGCCTCGCCCTGTACGTTCCCTTCTTTTTGACGAAGAATGTTCAAACATCAGTTGAGTGGAACAGAGGCAACCTTTGAAGGTTGCGGAGAAGATTCAGATAAAGAAAATACTTTTTTTTGATTTGGAAAAAAATTATTCAGAGAAGAGGGAGATCTTTGTAGAGTTCGGCTCTATCTGCAAAATTATTACTCCAGTCTGCCTCGCAATTTTTTTAAGGTTTTCAAAATTTGACCCGTTAGATTTAATTTCAGTTATTGTGAGTTTGAAAGAAAATAAACAAAAAGTTCACCTGATTTATAAAAAAAAACCGCAATTTTTGCAGTTATAAGCCTAACTTTTTGCATTTGAAGAAGTTTGGGGAACTTACCAGAAAGAGAAATTTAAATTTCTGGAAAAAGATAGAGAAAGGAAGAATGATGATTTGAAGGACCGCCAGCCTTCTCTTTTATACCACCCATCATAACCTTTTTTGGCAGACTCTTCTTCGCCCTATCGGTTCCGCCGGACCGCCCACAATTTATTATTTTGTAAATATGACATGAAACAGAAAAGAAGTGTTCAAAAATCTATTGACACCTCGGCGGAACGAGTCTCAGAAGCATCAATAATGTGCTTCTTTTCGAGTTTTCATTGGGCGATTCTCGTTTTTTTTTTATGTTCAAAGTGACTCCGCGAAACTCAAAAAAACCATCAGAGAGCTGAAAATATAACTGAATTTCGGAGAGTCAGGGATAATTCAGAATTTCCCATAATTTGAAAGCAGCACTAGATATACTTTTTGACTTTTCAAGAATTTAACCCTGTCTTTCTTTTATTTGGACAAAAAATGAGGGGTCAAAAGATTTTTTTTCTAAAATTGTGGTTCTAAAAAACTTTGTATAACAAATTTTGGGTAACGGTCTCCAATTTTTACAGATTTAGGAACTTTTCGAAGTTCTTTATAGGAATTATAAGCTTACATCAGTATTCGAAAGAATTTTATAGTTTTTGGTGTTCGAAATGTTTTTGTTGTACAAACAACTCGAAAAAGGTTATTTTTCTTGCAAAATCTTTGCTCCTGACAAACTTGGGAAGTGTGTAAAAAAAATCCTAATCGATGAGAGTTCATTTTTCTCTAATAATGATGTACACGGTAAAGAAAAAATGAATACTGAAAATTCCAACCGAATTCAGGCAATTTTTACGCAACACAGCTTCGGTTTCGTCGAAATATTCTGATGCGCATCAATCCTAGATCCTTGTTTCTTTCAGAATCCACGACGATTCAATCTACCGACGCGGCGCGTTTCCATTCGTTCCAATCGTCGTGCCGTTCCCATATCCCGTCGAGGTCGCCAAGGCGGATTCTGGCCGTGACTTCTTCGTCCTCCTTGACGTCACCGGCGCAGTTTTCGCCTTCGGAACGGGAACGTGAGTCAGTCGGGGCTTCGGTGACGTCACGAGGCGACTTGAAGACGTGGCGAGTTGGGCGTCGGCATGGTGCGACGAGTCGACGAGCCCGTCCTGGTCGAGGCCCTCGACGGCATCAGAATCGTCGACATCGCCTGTGGCGGATGGCACACCTTGGCGTTGACAGGTGATTTTTCCGGCCGAAAGGTGTGAAAATTTTGATATGGTAATGTTTCAGTGAAGATGGGAAATTTTTATATTTTCATGTTTCTATGATTGCTTTGGCGACGAAGAAAAGAGCGCAGAGACGGTACCTTTTTATGACGAATAAAATATACATGAAACCGTTTTTCCCCGTTTCTGTGTCATAACCTCTTCCTTGAATTCTGACGGTGTAAGGCTCTCCAAGAATTCTGTATTCTTCAGAATCTGGCGACGTCTACGTCTGGGGCTGGAATCATCAAGGACAACTCGGCGAAGATAAGGTGAGCGAAACTTTTCCAACCGTTTTTTTCGCCCCTCCGCCGCCGCCGCCTTCGTCGCCGAAACCACCACCGATTATGGTACATCAATCATAAGGCGAAAATTCGCGGCCCTGGTCACGTAGGTTCCGCTTTTTTCCGGCAACCTTTAGCTTGTGATCGGCGGCGTTGTTACATTTTTCCATGGGTTATGGTGGAACTTGTACTGTCGATCGGAGAAGTTTGTCTTTTTCGTCGGGTGGTCGATTGGACTCTTGGCCCAACCGATTTATCTTCTCCCGGAGCCGTGACCGCCGATTACTGTATTACACATCTTCCGAGAATTCCGATTTGTTACAATGGAATTCAGAACCGGCTGAACACTGATCTTATGATAATATTGCCACGAAATCGAGAATTATCTGCAAACATGTTTCTCGAAACCGAAAATGGCACCAGTGTTCGTCTCGGAAGAAGAATTTTAGTATTGAGTTTAGAAGTTGGTTTGAAACTTCGACTCAATTTTTTAATATTAAAAATCGGAAAATGGAATCATTCGAAAAAGTCCGATCCGCGTCCGGCTGGCGTTACCAAGGTGCGAGTAGAATTGACTTCTCCGTGGAGCACACAATCATTAAATGTTGACTTTATCGTGCAAAAAGTTCTGTAAATCTAGAAAACTGTGCTAAACCAGTGCCCAATGCTTTTTCAAGAAAGCTTGCAAATTTTAGAATTACTTTTTTTTCAGAAGATCATTCATATAGTCTGTTCAGATTTTGTATGTCAAGTAGAATGACGTCATTCGAAAACGCTCTGTGGACGGCTCGCTCTCTGATTGGTTTATTGCTCCATTAGGGGGCGGAGCTTTAGCGCGGGCTTGACATTTGAAATCTGAACAGACTATAAACTCCTTGCTGAAACGTGCAGAACGAGCTTTTTCTTAAAATTATTCTTAATTCCTTAGAATGTTTCCTCGGACCTTGGTAACGCGAGCCGGACGCGAATCGGACGCGTCGGGGCATTTCTAGTGACCACTTTAGTGGGGTCAGCTCTTTTTAGTAATCTTAGAATTGCCCAGAAACATTCGGAGCATGTCCGTTTCGCGTTGCCGAGACCCGAGTTTCCTTTCTCCGTGGAGAATACACATGCATCATGTAACCTTGTGTTGCTGGAATATTCTAAACTTGTCTGGTCGGTTGGACTCTTGGCCCAACCGATCCATCTTCTCTGATAAGCGAAGCTGTTTTCGCCGCTGATTACTGTATCTCTCCTCTTCCGAGAATTGGTTATCATTCTTCGGTTTGTTACAATAAAATTCATAATCAATTCAACAGTGGTCTTGTGATCACTTTTTCCCAAAAAGTATATTTATCGGCAAAATTTCTTGTTATTTTCGAAAAAAATTCATTTAAAAACAGGAAAAAGCTTCCCAGTGTGTGCCACTGAGACTGTCAAGGTTTCAAAAGGAAAAATTTGATTAAACGCCTACATTTCATCGGACCTTGGATTATGAAAGCAAACCGGACGCGCTCAACACTTCTAGGGCTCACTTAAGCGGGCTGACGCCACTAAAGTGGTCACTAGCAATGCTCAGAAATGTCCGGTTAGCGTCTCGTTCGAAACATGTAGGACTTGTCCGCAGGCTCGTGCGTCAGGCCGGGCTTGGAGTGTTTATTTTTTGAAAAAGCCTGCGCGGGCTCGGGATAGGCCGCGCTTCGGAAAAAATTCGAAAAAAAACGAGAAAAAATGATCAAAAACACTTCTTTTCTCGTTGAAGAAGCGAAAAACTCGACAGAGCCTGCTGGGCCGGCCCCCGCACAAGCCTGCATGTCCGTAAAGCGCGAAAAAAAAATGTTTTCGATTGAATCATCTTTTGGTTTGAAACTTTATTATTTTTTTTAAACGTTGGCGAGTTTTCCAAACATGATGATTTCATAAATTCTTTGAGACGATTCTTTTTGTCAATTTTTTTCGATTGGTAATTCTAGATGATGAGAGGACATAAAAAGTACAAAAAAATTATCTTTCGAGCGCACTTGGTCAACGAAAATAAGTCTTTCGAAAAACGTGCAAAAAAATCAACACTTTTTTTCAAATTTTTTTATAGAGGTGAAGAAAACTTTCTCAAACGTTCTCATTAGGAAAACATGAGATACACTTTCTTCACTGAAAAGTTTGACCAAAAACGGGTTTTCAGGTTTTTCTGCAAGCTTTTGACACGCTTTTCGTCGGTTTTTTTTCGTTTACGAGTTTCTTTCTCCGTTTTAGAATATATATCCTAAAGCAGCCACCAAAAAATTTTGGACGGCATTTCAGAAATTTTTTTAGTTAGCACTTTGATCATTAACAGCTTTTTTTTTAGAATCCGACAGAGCTCTTCCCAACGCCTGTAGACATCGGCGTTTTGTTAGCGGCAGGAGACGTCGAAGAAGGAGTCGTGGGCATCTCGGCCGACGGCAACAGTTCCACGCTCGACGTCTCCACCCGTTCCTCCATTGTTGGGGCCTCTCCGCATCGTGACGCAGAAGCCGACGACATCGTCCTGCGTCGGTTCGTCCTCGGCAACAATAACAGCAACCAATCGCAATTGTACGCCCAACTCGACAAATCGTGACCTTTTCTCTCGTTTGTTTTTTTTTTCTCCTCTCTTCTGTCACACTTTGTCAAGTGTCCACTTCTCTTTTCTGAAGTCGGACACAAGTTTAGAAAAACTGTATGAGGCGGGTCGAGACTAAATGTTTTTTTAAAAATATTAATTTAGGTTTAAAATGTTATTTAATTTTAATGCTTTGAAGGTAGTTCTTTTTTTCCAAAAATATTTTTTTGCCGCCCGATATTTTTTTCTTTCAGGTTTCTCGAAGAATGAATATGGAGAAATAATTGAAGTCAGACGACGAAAAGAAATCTAAACTGTGAAAAGTTCACCTATAACTTACCCGGAGTACTGATGCCGTTTCAATTAGGCTTATTCTCAAAATGACATTCGGAATAGATATTTACGTCTTTCAAATGGCACATAATGCATCAGCTTCGATTCGGAAACACATTATCGCAAATGGTTCGAAGCGACTTCTTTAACCCGACTTCAAACAGTTTGCGCGCCTTGGCAGGAAAAGTGTTAGAGCGGCCTGCTAAACAACCGCCATGCGACCGCGACGTTCTAAGCCATTCCAAGTGCGGTCAGGATTTCAACAAAAATTTATGGTTTCACTATCCTTTGCAGCTACATTTTTCCTGCTGACACTTTCTTCTTCCCCATGATTCCCCCTTAGTTTATGGTGTTCCAGCTGTACTCTAATTTTTGATCAAACTGCGAGGAACCAAAATGTGCGTTTCTCGCGAAAATTCGCCGCAAGAAGCGCTGGTATGTGCTCGATTTGGCTGATAAGACGAGCACAATAACTGGCAGGAAAAAGAAGATTGATGATTTTTTCGGTGATAAGAGCTGATTTGTGACAGGAGCACGTGTCACGAGAAGGACCGATTGAACTGTTTTGTTTGGACGAGGTCGAAGTCGGCAGCTCTTGATTGCGATACATGTTGAAGTCTAGTTGTTGGCTAGAGTGGAAATTAGTTTTTGAACCCATCTTCGACGGAAGTTTCCTGAAAATAAGGTGGGAATTGGACAGAAGTTTCATTTTTGAGAAAAAAAAATATTTTTTAATGTATAGGGATAGTATTAGAGAAGCTTTTAGCCTGATTTGGCAGAGAAAAAATGATTGAAAGACCTTAATATGATTTATTTGTATAGTCTGTGTGCCACGACTTGAAATTCCACCGAACGAAATTCCGCTGTTCCGCTGCGTACGTTCGCGAAGCGTCTTTCGAATCTAGGTCACGCTTTCAATTAAATGTTATTGCTGTGGGTGTGAAAGTAGAGTGCCTTGATAAAAGAAAAAAAAAATTAAAAGCGCGACCAAGGTTCGCAAAGGCGCGCAGTGCCACAGCGGAATGTCGTTCGGTGGAATTCCAAGTCGTGGTACACAGACTATAACAGATTATCTGAATTTACCTTTCAAATCGTAAAGAAAACATAGTTCCACAAAAAAAGATTGCCTTGAATTTAAAAATTTTCTGGATTTGTTATTATAATAGCTGCCGTTTAAGAAGAAAGAAGAAGGCGATCCGCATCTTTAAATATTCCGAATGATCGATTTCAAGCTTCAGTATCCGAATTTGTCACATTTTCTAGCCAGCTTCTCTAGTCTAAGACTCTAGCTTTCCTTCTCTTCCCAACCAAAACTGACTATTCAGCAAAAAAGCTCTTTACGGCAGCTGAGCACTCTATCAGAGAGTCTTGTTTACCCTCGAGGCACCGTATTCGGAGAAGAATCAGAGTTTTTCGGAGCGAAAATGAGGAGTGAGATAAGCCCGGGGGCTGATTTGTGGCACCACGTGTCGTTGCCTGAAGATAAGGCTCCTGCGAAACGAACCAAGGCATTGCGCGACGATGCGGTTCGTGTCGTTGCTTCTCGTTTTGGCGGTCGCCGTCTCGGCCAAGCACGTCGACCTGCCCAAGCCCTTCGAAGACCACTGCATCCTCGACGACAAGACCAACCTCTACGATCCCACCAAGCAGTTCGCCATCCCTTGGTCAGTTCTGCACGATGTACAGTAATCTTCATTGCAATAGCTATGGCAGTGAATGTGTTCTCCGAGTGACTTTGTAGAGGCCCAGAAGAAGCTTCTCAATAAGACAAAATCAGCAGTTTTTCACGCAGATACAATGCCAAAAATTGTCAAGTGTGTGGGGAAAATTTGAAGTCTTTCAAAATCGAAAATGTTTTTATTTCACCGCTTGATTTCCACAAGATATGGCTGCTTCGATGGTCACAAAATCGAAAATTCCTTCCAAAAAATAATTATATTTATTTTGTACCGAAACAGAATTCGATCACTGTGTTTTTTAACCACTGGGCAATTTTTGAGACCTGGTTCTGAATCTGCGTGGAGAAAACTCTCTACTGATCATACTCTCATTGAAAAACTCCCCCTTTGAGTTTGCATCTAGATTCCTTCACCTAGAAGGGACAACATTTATCCTAAAATTTTAAGGATATCGTAAAATTGGCTCAAACAGTTATGGGTTGGCTAGATTGAGACCTTGAGAGTTGCAACCTGCCAAAAATGCTATTTTCAAAATTCAATGCTCCAAAGTTCTAGCTTCCTGAGAAGCACGCGAAAAAAGCAGTTCTTATCAGCCAATTTTTAGTGAATCATGGAGTTTCGAGTATACTTAGCTTCCTTGTAAGGAGCTCTGAAGCGTCAAAAGAAATAGGAAGTCAAAATTTTATTCTCAGTTAAATCAATGAATTTTTCGCCAAATTTCAGAGCTAGACTTTTTTTGAGCCGCTCGAGATCAGAACCACTATGAATTTACTTAAAAATATGAAACTTTTTCAAAAAGTTTTTTTTTTGAAAATAACCATTTGGTTAGAATTATAAGCCCTTGTAAATTTTCGCCACACATCTATTCCAGCCAGATGATTTATCTACAATCTCAGGTTCGACGTCGACTTGGACCAGCCGCCAAGCAAGCGATGGAACCAAATCGCCACCGCCTACAAAACACAAATCTCCGAGCTTATCACTGTATGACTCGTACTTTAGTTTTATCACTGGTCTCTGATCTTGGAGGTGCTCATCGACTTCATCTCGCCGCTTTTCTCCGACCCGAAGGAGGTCATCACCTTCATCGACAACGTCTTCGGAGACATGGCCCTCAAGCTCCAGCAGCCCTACCGCGATGAGATCATTGTGAGGCTTCAAATGGGATACTTGCTTGGATCGCTGAATGATGGATAGTTCCAAGAAACTAGAGGAAGAAGAAGAGGCACTTTCTACAAAAGTTTTGGAAAATCTGTCAGAAAGAATTTTCTAAAGAAACTTCCATATAATCAAAAAGAGACATCCGAAAACTTGGAAGGAAGGCAAACATTATTTTTTGGGTTGAAACTAAGATGCTCTAAAGCGAACCTTAGTCGTTTTAGCAAATTTCGAAAACTTGTATTTCTCCGAACCTTTTGTCAACTAAATTTAAAGAATTTTCGAAGTTTCCAGAAAAAAGCGCTAACATTTTTTTTCAAGTTGCCGTAATAAAAAATAGCCACTTCTATCCTTGTTCTAAAAATGTAATGAAATGTCATTCTCTCAAGTCTGACCAGAGAAAACGAAAAATGCGACCGATCATCAGAAGGAAACTTTGACCAATCATTAGAATTGCGGCAAAAAAAGCCCATCACGGCGGAAATCAATCGGTTCTCCATCAAACGAAAACATTCGATTCGGATGTTATTTTAACAGGAATTACACGGCCACCCAGTTTTTTTTACGTGGTTTTTTTTAGATATTGCCGTAAAAAGGGAGAAAGAAAACTACGTACTTGGGACGAGAAGTCGAATTTTTTGAAATAAAAGGATAACTGTTGAGAAGAAAAAGAAAAAGGTAGAATCCCAAATCTTGGAGAAATTCAACAAAAATCTGACCTCTGATGTGCCTAGAAAAGTCGGAAACACCTGTGAATCTACAGTTCCAGCATAATTACTAACTATTGAAGAATAAAAAAACAAATTCATCCCGAAATTTTTTTCACAAACCAATTCTTTCTTTTTTAATTTAATATTTAACAAATTTATTCCGAGAACTTTCACAGTGTTCCTCATTTTTTTTTTCGGAAGGAAATCTTCTGATTAATTTTTCTTCTCAAATAACCTATCAACGTCTTTTTCCTTTTTGGGATCAAAAACGTACCGACATCATAAATTTCATCTCAAATGCTAAGGGCACAGTCCAACGACGTCATAAGATTGCAAAAGCCGTTCTCGCGCAATTCGTTGGAATTTGTTCTCATCGAAGATTTATTAGAAGTGCGGTTTTTCGAGTTTTTGAGAACCAACGAAAAAGAGCAGAAAAGGTTGCAAATTCAAAACTGTATGGAAATTTGAAAAATGAAAGTAAGTTATAGTCTGTGTGCCATGACTTGAAATTTCACCAAAGGACATTCCGCTGTGCCGCTGCGCGCCTTTGCGAACCTTTGTCGCGCTTTTAATTTTTTTTTTCTTTTATTAAGGTACTCTACTTTCCTGTGCTTCCACAGCAATAATAATCAATTGAAAGTGTGATCTAAATATGAAAGACGCTTCGCGAACGCACGCAGCGGAACAGCGGAATGTCGTTGCGTGAAATTTCAAGTCGTGGCACACTGACTATAGAACTAGACGAAAAAGTTCCTAAAAAGGATAATTATCGGTTTTTCGCATGGAAATGCTTCTTCTCGTTGTGTTCTTTTCATTGTCCCTTATATCTCTAAAGGGGCCACTTTCGCGAGCTTCAGTGCTCACTAGAGTAGAAGTAAAGTGGTCTCTATAGGGAAACGTTCAAGGACCCTAAGGTTGCTCCTTTAGGGACCACTCTTCAATGAGATTACGGCTTCTTCGTTACGCAGAGCTGAAAAAATATTAATTCAAAGTTCCTTCCAATCATCAAAATTTTCACTGAAGTTCTTCCAAAAATTTCGAGTTCTTTTGAAAAAAAAGAATTTCAAGAAGAGCTCGAGAATTGCAGGCGATTGCCAAAGCGTCGGAAATGCCCGTCGGCCAGATCACCCTCTACAACATCTTCTACGAGATTTTCACCGTGTGCACCTCGATCGTCGCCCAAGATCCCCAGGGACATCTCTACCACGCCAGGTTCGCTCCCGGTTCTTCTCCACTTCTGGAACTTTGGCTGTACCTTCCAGGAACCTGGACTTTGGTCTGTTCATGGGGTGGAACGCCACCATCCACGACTGGCCGATCTCCGCCAGACTCCGCAAGATGATCGTCAACGTCAACTGGCTCAAGAACGGTGAGACTATTGCGCTCTGCGGCTAATATTCAGGCGAAAAAAAAAGAAAAGTGAAGGAGAATAATTAGTTTCAGGGAACTTTTGCTATGAAATGCTCACTTCTAGGAAAACTAGTTTTCATAAAACAGCCGGAAATGCCAGAAATATGCGCCCCATGGCTAATTTTTGAATAAAGAAAAATCGAAGAAAAAACTTCGGAGGGACTAAACGATTTCGCGTAACCAGTGCCACTTTAGTAGCATGGCCGAGTATAAATAACGTTGAATTTAAATTTTTTTTTTTATAAAAAGCCGTAGTTCCAACGCAAAAGCCAGAATTTTCATACGAATTTTCAAAAACCGTATATTTGCAGCAGCAAAATACCTGGAGCTAAAAAGTTCTGTAAAATGTTTCTTTGAAACCCAGGAATTTCTAGGCAAGCTCCTGTTCAAGTCGAACAACTTCGCCGGCTACATTGGAATCTACAACGGCCTCAAGCCCAACGCGTTCTCCCTCACCGCCGACGACCGCTTCCAGGCCATCGGAGGTGCAGATCCTCTTGAAATGTTCCAACAAGACCCTTAACTTCTTCAGGTTGGTACGGTATGCTCAAGTGGTCTCTTGGCCTCGAGCCCGAAGGCAAGTGGATGTCGTGGCTCTCTCGCGAGACTCTCGAAACCGCCAACAGTTCGTTTTTTTTTTATCAAATCATCATTCGAAATGACTTGGAAAGTTCCAGCAGCTCTCCCGTACGTTCCTCCTTTCCGGCTCTTTTTAGTGATTTTGCATATCCTTATTCATCGCAATATTTTTCTCCAAATTGTTCTCTAGACTTCAAATGAAAGGAGATTTTCAGCCTACGAAGAGGCTAAACAGCACCTGATGAACACTCCCATGCTCTCTCCCGTTTACTTCATTCTCGGAGGCCAACAGCAGTATCAGGTGCTCTTTTCGACCTGACAGGAAGTATCATCCTTGTTTCTTTCAAGGCTTGCATCATCGCCCGCAGTTTGAACAGCACGGCGCTGCTCACCGAGATGGACCCCAACTCGCCCGACGGATGGTTCCTCCTCGAGACCAACTACGACCAGGACCAGGAGGTCATTGATATTTCCATTCATAGTGAGACACAAGTTTATTTCAGGTTCTCTACCTTGACGACCGCCGAACGCCCGGCCGTGCCTGTATGAAGAAGCTTGGACAGAAGAATGTTGGATTCGAGGTTTGTGAGGATCAGAAAGTGAAGAAATTCTTGCTTTCATCAAAGTTTGAAGATAATCTGTCACTTTTGGTTCAAAAAAATATTTTGCGACAATCAGAAAAGGTGAAAGAAGGCTTTCGCAGTAACCTGACATTTTTAAACTAGCGCCTGAGAGAACGGGTTTAAATTAATTTTTCGTTAATTTGAAAGAATATAAAACAAATTTGAAAGAATAGTTGAGGCTTTCAAGTTTGTGAGAAAAAAAAACGAGGTTTTTGGTTCTTAAGCCAATTTTAAGTGATTACTAGACCGAAGCAACTGACATGGAGCGCCAAAAGGGCGCCACAACTCTCTGACACATTACTTCGTCGTTATCCAGCTGCGAGAAAACGACGAAATAGTGTATGTCAGAGAAAGAGTTGTGGCGCTCCACTTCAGAGAAGCGGTCACTTGAGTATACTTTCGAGTTATTCTTTTTCGAATTACTTGAAGAAAATCGACTAATGACTTTTAGCGAAATCAGTCATTTTATCCTTTTTTCCAGAAAAAGATCCCTAAGTTTTATAAAATCTTAAAGAAGATTTTTATTTTGTAAAATGCAACATTTCAGGGAATCTTCAACGTCCTGTCGTCGCGGTCGAACCTCAACAAGCTGACAACCTACACGGTCCTGATGCAAGTCGAGACTGGCCGCTTCGAAACGATCCTCCAGAGTTGCCCCGGGGAGTGCTGGCCGTGGTAATCCAGCAACACCACTAACAATTTCCAAGTCTTCGTCTAATAAAGTCATGCATTTCATGTAATTACACTGTATTTTTAATAAAATTGCCGCAAAAGCCACTTTTTTTTTTCTTTTATGAAGATTTCGATTTTCATAGTCTGATAGCCTCGGCCCGAAACGAGTTGGTCGCACGAGGAATGGCTGGAAGCGTCGAGATGAGCAAAGTGCGTCCGACCAGAAAACGGGTTGCACTCGTCGAAATCGGGAATCCATGAGTGAGAATAAACGTCAAATGCAGATTTAGTTTCAACTTGGCTGCAGCTCAATCGCTACGTCTTAATGCGACCAGAGAAAATCAAGCCGTGTCAAATGAATTTTCTTTTTCGAATTATTTTAAAATTATCATTTCATGAGAATATCAAAATAATAAAACAACCTGAATCAAGGTATTCAAAAATACCGAGGTGGCTAGTTGCCAAAAAGAAAGCGATTCGAATATCAGCGATTTTTATTTTCGCAATATCCGTTCCCAGGCTCCTTAACTAGAAAAAAAACTAACTAAAACGTGAAATAAGCAGAGAATCTATCAGAAAATTCAAGCAAGGTCATCGTGAATATTGAAAACCCGAGAACTTTATTCTATAAAATGGAAAAAGATACAAAAAAACGGCGGAATATTTGAATGAAAAAAACAAAAAAATTTGGTTGAAGCCTGTAAGCCACGCCCCTTTCCCATGGCTGCACCATGGGAAAAGTTTTGGCGGCGTGTGACGTTATCGCCTCAGGATCTATGAAAGCCCTCAGTTTTGCAAAATCCTCACTTCCGAAATCAACCGATTTTTCTGGTTAGTTTTTTTTAATCGAATTTTTACTGTGAAATTCTTAGAAATAAATTTATGCACTATGCCGTCTTCGGATTATTGGGGCGTTTTGAGAAGTTTTTGATTTCATTTTCATGCCGTGTTCAAAGTAATTTCCGCGAAATTCAAAATAGCTGTCAGAGAAAGGAAAAGATCACTAAATTTTGGAGAGTCAGAGATCATTTTGCATTTCGCGGAAATTACTTTGAACACGGCATCAAAAATTCGAACTTGCTTTTTTTCCGTGAAATTCTCAAAATTAATCACTGTCTGCTTAAGTATGCAGTTCTCATATGAAATTCAAGTCCAAATACTTGGGGTTTTTTTTTGAGTGAATAAACGAAGTTCGAACTCTGGTACTGCAATCCACTCAAAAGATTTCTTGACGGGAAAAAAGGCGATAAGAAAATATAAGACACTGAAGTTTTTTCAAGCTAACAACAAATTTAATTTGAGTTTTTCTGTTCAAAAACTTTCGAAAGTGAACGCTTAATAACGGGCAAAGTCTTTCTGAAGCTAACTTGGGTTTACCGGTCATTTCACTTCGAAAAATATTAAAACGCAAAAATTATTCATCCAAAATCGCTCATCCTCATGGACTAACCTAGGCATTAATTTTTGACCCTATGACACAATTTTAATGAAGAGAGGCTCTGACCTTTTTTTTGACCGCTGCTGTTAATGGCGCTAAATCCACTGCATATATGTGTTGGTTCAGAAGGAAAGCGATGAATTACCAACTGAACGCTAGATATTCTCTGTTCGATATGCCGTCTCCCACAACGATCAGCTTGGCTCGCAAGCAAGTTCTGCCTCTGAAGCCCAAGTCGTCCAACTACGTGCAGCGCCTCGAGAACAAGCCCAAGGTTAGATTTTTTGCACCTTTTTGACATGAAAATCGTGAAAGTTTGGATTCGAGCTATTCTATAAGTTTTCTAATGGCGTGTTTATTGGAGAAACGGAACATGCTTCAAAACGAAAAATCATGTTCATCGGCGCGCCAAAGTTGCTCCAAAACAGTATTTTTATTTTGGAGCAATTTTTTTTGCGTTTCGCAGCAATTTTCGTTTTGTCCGATGAACACGCCATAAATTTTTTTTCATACTTCTATTGCTTTATCAAGTTTCAGCTCTTTAAAATCTATTACAGTCTTCTCGAATTTCAAGTGATGACGTGCCTGTGACAACACTCGAATTGAAGAAAAAGAAGAAAGTAGAGAAAAATACGATCGTCAATTTGCTCTACCGTAAGCCAGATCACAACTCCAACAATGGTGAAATGGACTGTCATTCACCCAGGTAAATCGACTTTTTCAAGCGTAACACCTTTCTAATTGAACTGATCCACGATAATTGCATCCCACGATAAAAAACAAAGTTCGAAAATCCCTAAATATTTTATTTGTGAGCTAATGTATTACCATAATCTGTGAACATTTCGCATCGCACAGTACACATTTTAACTGACGCGCGAATTTTTAAAGATTTTTTGATTTTTTTTTTCCTAACTTTTAGTTGTTTCAGAGACAAGCGTGCGTCGTCTCCAACGTCGTCGGGATATGCCACCGATACCTTGATTGACTTCGAAAACCACGAGAATGACGATCACGTCTTCCACAACGTATATTTTCATTTGTTTACCACATTATTAAAATTTTATATTCAGAGCCTCTACGCGCCTCTGAGGGTGTGTGAAATGTGCTTTGGCGCCGCCGTCGCCGACGCACAAATTAACGGCATGCCAATTCCATCATTGGTCAACGGCCCCTGGACCAACCACGAATCTGCCGACCACTTTGCCAGTGGGGACCGTTTCGCGTCAGTTTTTTTGCTTTGTGCCGTGTTCAAAGTAATTTCCGCGAAATGCAAAATACCCGTTAGAGAAAGGAAAATATCACTAAATTTTGGAGAGTCAGAGATCATTTTGCATTTCGCGGAAATTACTTTGATCACGGCATTGAATTAATTTTCGATAGATCAGACTTCAGTTTTTTTAAAAAGATAATATTTTTTTATTTAGGTTTCTAACAAACATCATGCAAACGGAGAATTTGTTCTATTAATCTCCCTTCTGGTCGGCCTTCCTTCCACAAATTGATTAACTATTATATCCTGACAACTAATGCGTGTTACTAATAAGTTGATCATGTACGATGCCTCACATAATCCTATACAACGATACGTATTGTAACTTTCTTGATTATTGCAAGCGATAAAGTTTTATCATCTGTTCTTGGCCTTCATGGGTTTTATTCGGTTTCGATCCAACGCGTCGAAGGTTTTCTTATCTTTTTCTAGAGTTTCCTTCCACGGCGTTTTTTTGGTACGTCAGTCGAAACGTTCCGTGAATTATGGTAGTTATGCTTTAAACACATCGGGACGCATTATCGCATAATCCAAAAATGTTTTTTTTTTCAATTTTAAAGTTTAGAATAATAAACTAATGCCTTCCGAACTACACCAAATCTTCTCTATTTGAAGAATATGAAGTTGAAAAACATTTGAACATCATATAAAATGTATAGCAGCGATCATAAAAGGTAAAAACTCTAAATTGCGGATAACGAACGAAAAACAAAATGTTGTTCTCGTATAGACGATTCACGGCTAGCTTGGGACGCAAAAAGGCGTGGCCTGTCTGCACTCTCCACTAACCAAGGCACTGTCTCGACGATTTTCGTGGCAGGACCCTTTTCTCGATGGCTCAAGCCAGCCGTGAATCAGCTATAGGTTGCCTCGCGTCCGAAAAATCAATAAAAAAATATGAAAAAAACTTCAGAATAAACGAAAAATTTGAGAAGAGCCACGTAAAAAAAGAATAATTTTTTTATACCTTGGAAATTCCGCTTCAGAAAGCCGAGTAATGGATACGAATTCAAAAATTTAAAACCTTGGAGAGCGAAATGTTTAATATAGTTCGAAAAAAACCATCAAAAAAACTAAAAAAATTAATATAATTTTTAATTAATTATAAAATAAAAACTTTAAACTGCCATGTCCAATTCAATTTGACTCCAAAATACACGAAACCGGTTTTGAACTACGTGAAAGAAACTGGATAATGACAATAACCCTACAAAAACGTCAAAAATTAATGATTTAAAAAGTTAATTAAAAGCGAATTTTTTATCGAATCCTTCAGTAAATCTATGGTTAGTGAGTCTGTTCATAAGAAAACGGGACCTGCACAGAAAAAACTACTGCTGCCGTACGATTTACGGCGCCCGCCCTGGATATTTTTTTTCTGCATTTTCTTTCACTGCCAAGAACGCCGTGAAAAATCGGTTTTATTTAGCTCATCAAAGGCACGAGTAACTTAAATCTTACAATTTTGAAAGAGTTTCCCGCAAAAATTAGAATAAATAAAATTCTATCCAAAATTAAGAATTTTTCTCGGTTCACGGCGTTCTTGTCAGTGAAAGAAAATGCAGAAAAAAATACCAGGGGCGGGCGCCGTAAATCGTACGGCACCAGTAGTTCTGATCTGTTCAGGACCCGTTTTTTTGGATTACAATACCCACCCTTTAAAGCTCTCGCAAGATTTACGGAAAGAGTTAATTGGAAAAAAGCATATTTTTTGCTTTTTTATTTATTAATACTTCTTTTAACATTTTTTCTATAAGTACAAGTTATTATCCAGTTCCTTTGGCGTAGTTTGAAACCAGTTTCGTGTAAATTAGAGCAAAATTGAATTTACTGATGCAGTTTGAAGATTTTGTTATATGAATCATCTAAATTATATTTTTTTCCAGTTGTTTCATGGTTTTTCAGATTTAAACAAACATTTCGCCATACGAGGTTTTTTTCTGAAAATTTCTGCTTCCTATCCATTATTTGTTTTTCACGGCGTTCTTTTGACGACGCCCCTCCCACAATTTCCGTAATATTTGACGTCTTTTGTGCATACACAGAACGACGCTAACTCGCAAACTCATTAAATTCAAAAATAATTTTTTTCCTCGAAAAATAGCGTTTTTTCAAAACTATAGACGTGGAAAAAATCGATCCTTTCACAATTCCTTTTCTAGTTGACAAAAAACATTTGGGTGAAAGTTTTTCTTATCTTCTGAACACTTTCATACCTTTCATCCTCAAAATTGGTTAAAGTCCTTTTTTTGAGTGAAAAACGTGGAATTTTGTGCCGAAAATGACTTATTGTGGTTCTATGTGTCTTTCCCGACTTATTGAAAATTTAAAAAAAGTTTTCTTTACAGATTTAGTTTAGTTCATCCACCTAGTGGTATTTTTTCTCCTCTGCAACATCGCCATGCCATTCTGATGTTGCGAAAATGAAGAGATTGATTGATTCGAATAAAAAAATTTAATTTGACACTGAAAAATGTTGCTGAAAGGCTTTTTGCTTTAAAGGGAAAAATTTGGTCAAAACACAGAATTTAATATTGGAAATTGAAAAAAAAAGTTCCTTTGCATTTTGCTGTCGCAATAAAAAATAATTACCGTAAATCAGTACGAAACAGATAAAGATACAGCTGAAATAAACATGAAAAATCACGTGAAGCACTTGAGCAACAAGAAATTCAAATGTTCGCGCGCAAGCTGTCTACCGTAAATCTAGGTGGAGCAACCCTTTCAAGCCGCTCCACATTTTCAAAATTTTACATTTTCTTCCACTACGCAGAACGCCGTGTTTTCTGAAGCTAGGTTTTCAAGGTTTATAAAATGTTTCTTTTTTTCATTTGCTCCTCGAATTTTCCTCATTACAATATTTTTCGTATTTACAATTGCTTATTCAATGAGAGCTGATTCACCTTCATAATATTTTTTGTTTTCATTTTGTAATCAGTAATTTAGAGTTTTCCCCTTCCGAAATCGTTCCTAAATTTTTTTTAACGCAAGTGAATGTTTTTTTCACATCATAATCTTCAAACTGACAAGATTTCGAACATTTCAGAAGTTATTATCCTAAAATTGCAAATTCTAAAATTGAAAAAAACAATTTTGAGTATGCGATAGTGCGTCTCGGTGTGCTTACACCCTAAACATCATAATTTTCGAGAAGTCTTGACCTTGCGTAATAAAAAAACGCCGTGTTTTTGAATCAAATATTGTAATAATATGTGAAAGAAATGTAAGAGTAGAAAAACTTTATTTTTGAATCGAAAATCGTAATAATTTTCAAAAAATGTCTTCAAATCTTCAAAACTTTCCTCCCACAAGTGAGAAGTGTAATAAATATGACATAATTACTGGAGTTCATTCTCACTTTTTAGATATTTATGTGAAAATAGAGACATAATTTTCAAATCATCTCTTGCGGCCTCACTCTCACTTGTAAAGAGGTGTCAAAAATGTGCCGCTCAATTTGGTTTCTCATGAGCTAAATGAGTACCGCATGATTAAACAATCGTCGAAATTCCTCACATTTTGTTTGCAAAGAACCCAGGCTACTATTAAATATAATAACTTTAGTCTTTTTGGAACCCAACAATAAAAATTCAAGTTTTGAAAAAGGATTAGAGAAAGTTTTTTCACTTCCAGAAATTTTCCGAAGTAAAAAAATGTTTCTGACTAGGGAACTACTTGAACTCGTATTCGCGGATCTAGTTCAAACCTCAGTGGTATTTTTATCTGAGTCAGAATACCTGAAAACAAGATGGAATATATTCTAAACCCGATACTGAGAAAAAATTTGTAGAGAATGTGCAAATTAGGTTTGAAAGCTTTCAGAATACTGCTTTTCACCTTGTTTTAGATTAATACAATCTCTTTGAATGATCCGGTTATGATAAACACTAAGAAACTTTTTTTCCAGTCGAAAAAGGAGAAAAGCAGAAATTTGATAATTTTTAAGCCCAAACTGTTCATTTTCAAAAAGCCTTTTCCCGGTACTTTATTGGGTTTAGCAGATAATATTGCTTGTTTTCAAGTAGCCTTTCCTAGATCTTTAAACCACCACAGTTTGAACTCGATATGCGGCTACGAGTTCGTGTAGATCCCTAGTGAGGTTAGTTTTTGGCTCCTTTTGAACGCTCACGATTTTTTTAAACGTTTTCAAATCGTTTTTGATGAGTTTCCTTTGTTTATGTATGTAGAATAAAGCATTTTGGAATCGAAAATCCTATAAATACTTTATAAGTGATATTCAAAACTTTATAACCTCTCTTTCTCACTCGTGAGAAGTGCAAGAAATGTGACATAATTACTGCTCAAACAGGTCTCTGGTGAACTAAATGAGTGTCGAATGATTAGATAAACGTCGGAGTTTCCCAGTCACTTGACACTTTGGGCCATTTCTTTGGGCAATCTGCCGACAATGTGTTGAAATGGTGCGAAAGAAAGGTGTGCGTCGCAGGGATCCTAAAACGAATCTATCGATTCAGTGGGGCGGCGCGTACGCGTGACGGCCCGCCTCGTGATGTTACCCACAGGCTTTCTCTTGAATTCGTCACCTCAGCCCCCTTTTTTTGTCTCATTCCCTCGTTTGGTCTCCTGACTTGTGGTTCGGTTTCTTCCTCTCCATACTCATCTGGGCCCTTGCCAACAACACTCTTGTTTGTTCAGTTTGTAAATAGTTTGTTTATAAAATGGAAACTTTTCCCATCTTTTGATCGTGACGCGTTTCCTTCTCCTTGTAAGCTTCTGTAGTAAGCATTAAGTTTTGATTATCAAAATTTTTCTTTTTAAACAGTAATGTTCTATTATAGCGCGTTCAAAGAGCACGCAAAAGTGTTTCAAAATCAAATGTTGTGCTCATTGAACGTGCAAAATGTTCCGAAGAACTACAATTTCAGAGAATATATTTTTTTTTATGTTCAAAAAGTGTAGTGATGTTTCAATTTGAGCATTATTGATGATGCGAAATGAGAAAAGATAGTCACTAAAGAAGTTTGAAAATATCGCTTCCAAGGAACAAATTAATTTTTCATTGTCAAAGGTTGTCTACATTGAACGTTCAAAGGTGTCCAAAACTGTTTTTTTCTCAAGTTCAAAGCTATTTTGTTTCAAAAAAATTTTTTTATTCTGCTTCTTTCGCATTTCACATCCAACAGTTACACACTTGTATTTTGAAGATTTTCCGCGTTCGTCAATAATTTTCATCATATATTTGTCAAATATCTGTTTAAAAAAAAATTTCCCTTTGTGTCTGCCTTTGAAAGTGCGGGAATCTATTTCAGTGCTCTGTAAAATCTACATTTTGAACTTATCCGTGCTCGATTTTCCAGTAATCGCGCTTCGTTTATCAAATCATCAGATCATTAATATTTTTAATTTCAGCAATATCTTTTTTGCAAAAAACCTCTTCGGTTTGCGCCCCCTTAACCGCAGCCGACACGTAGAAGCTAAATAGCATCTTTATCTATCTTAACTTTGTAAGTTTTCTCATTTTTCTTTTTGAAACGAGTCATCTTCCTTTTTGCAGTTCGTAATGAATTCCCAAAGCCCCAGCCGTCTCCCGACGTTGCCCAGTACGCCGACGTCATCCAGGCATTCCCAGGTGAGGATTTAAAGGCGCAGCAATCGAATTGGCCTAAAATTTGGAGAATCAAATTTAAAACTTTTGAAAATTTCCCTTAATCAGAGCGGAAAGAGCTTTTAACTCAATTGAAGATTCATGAAATGAATTTTTCTTATTTAAAGAAGTACGAATCAAGTTTGGATTAAAATACGTTTAAAAATACTTCGGTTCGAGTAATTTTTTCTGCTCCTTTGATTGACAAAATGGATAAGCTGCTGTTGTTTTTTTCGATAAAAAAAAATAATTAGGGGTACCTTTTTTATGCCGTGTTCAAAGTAATTTCCGCGAAATGCAAAATGATCTCTGACTCTCCAAAATTTAGTGATCTTTTCCTTTCTCTAACGGGTATTTTGCACTTCGCGGAAATTACTTTGAACACGGCATTAAAGAAAAAATTGAAAAAAGCTCTTAAAAATTAAAGAAAAAACGTTAAAAAAAGGCAAGGCCTTTCCAGATGAATTTTTTGATTGGCCAGTTGAAAATGAACGGTTTCCTGGTTGTTAGTTCATTTCACTATAAACATGGTAAAAATAAACAAATTTTTCAATCGCAAGCATGTTCTGTCACCAAAGTTCATGCGAAAAAATGAGATTCCTCTTCAAATCCTAGCTTGGGAGTGGAATATGAATCGTTCAACCGAAAAGCTCATTCCTAACCGCCGATTTGATATTTTCATCGAGGGAATCCCGTTCATTTCAATAGTTTGAATTTTAAGGCGCGCACCCCGCGCACACGAGCCACCGCCGCCGCTCAAAGGAAGTCGCAGTCTTCGAGTCCCTCGGCCATTTGCTACGCGAGTTCGCAATTTTGTCATTCGCCCTCCGCGAATACGATTCCGTTGCCGCCCACGAAATGGTTGTCCGAGGTTGCTTTTCGAGAACTTTTCTTTTTTTTTTAAATCGTTCACACATAAGATTCCCTTCTCGAAAGCTGGTTTAAAGCTTTTTTTAGTTAAATTCGTAATTCAAAAATAATTTTAAGCAAAAAAAGAAAAACATGGAATTAAAAAGCGAAAAACAAACTCTTGAAATCTTCTTCAAAATTTTTTTTGGCGATGACTCGAAAGACGGACATTGTAGAAAAATCGAGGGTTTGAATTCTAAATTTCTAATAAAAAGTTATCAATGAAATTGATCATCTTCAGCTCAAAATTTTGTTCAAAATGAGCTCATGATAATGTTTTGAAGGTCTCCCGATCGCCGAGCTTCGAAGAAAGGTACCCGTCATTGAGCAGCTCGCCGTCGCCCAGTCTTCTGAAAGAGGAGCAACAAGAAAAAGAACACGTCGTCGGAATCCGTGTCTGTCCTCTGCAGCTCATCGCCGCCGTTGCCTCCTCATAACTTGTATATTTTCGAGCCCCTGAAACGTCGATCTTTATTTTTCTTACAGTCGATATATAATTGTAGAAATTTTTGCATCGAATATTGAGGTTTTGAAGATTATACTTTTTTCCTTATTTTTTTCCGTTTTCTCTTTAGTTTTGAGCCATTCCCAACAATTCATTATCAATCAAACAATTTGAAGCGAACAGATTTTGAAAGAATCCTTTTTTCCCAAAGATTGCTTGGAATGGCAAATGATCACACTAGTAAGGATCTACTATAATTAATTAGATTTTTCACATTAGTAGCTTTAAGCGTATCTCTGATTATTGGCCTATATTTTGAATATACAACTTGTACTCGCGCAATAATACCACTCGATCCGCTTTTTTACTTCTTTTCTAATTAAAAATGTAATCCTTTTTCTCTCCTTTTTTGCATGGCGGGTAGGAATTTTCTCAGTGCGTGTGTACATGTGAAAAGTGTGAAAGAGGACTAGGTTTTCCGACATATGTTTATGTAAATTTGCGTTTCCTATGTTCTGAAAACAGATCCTCGTTCGAAAAGCGCCTCTTTGCCCCGCGGCGATTATTTCACACCCGCCTAGTAATTTTTTCCACTCCTCATTATCATTTACTTCTTTGTTGATTCTCTATCTCCATTTATATCCTTCGTGAACTCCTAATCACCTCATTTTGTGTCGCGCTTGTCAACATGAATGCGGGTGTATCGTCTTCGAGATGATATACAAAACATTTATCGTGTTACTATTTTTTTTGTATTTTTTTTTCCGAAAAGATCTTGTTTCTTCCTGTATTACGCCCGTGCAAGAGTTGGAAAATGGTTGGGAAGAGTTTTTCTTTCGATTTTCAAAATTTTCTCCGTACTGTTGCACCTTTAAAAAATTTCTGGACGATTTTCCGACGATTTGGGTTTTGCCTTTTTTGGTATCCGAGTGCCGCTACGTTGTCCGATTTCACTCATTGTTGTCTTATGGATCTAGTCATGTTTTGTGATGCAGTGAGGGAAAAGACGGTTGAGCTTCTTATGTTCTTTTATTTTTAGAACTTTGGCTCTCAGGTCTTTTTCTTAACTGACCGCTTTTTACCAAATCCATAAACTCTCTTCGTGATATAGGTGTCGCAGTTTTGCCTTTTTTTCATCTTCTTTTTTTGAACACTATTCCATTTTCTTCTCGGGTCTCGTGCGTAATCCACCCTTTGGAGAAAACCTTCCAATCATTGCATTGTAATTAATCTACGTGTATACGTTTGTCTATAATTTACCACTTAGTGAATTGCTATAGTCTTTTCCCGTTTCGAATGTATATTGCGTTTTTCTTTCTTTTCTTCTGTTTAGCTAATGGAGTTTATTATATGAATAGCTGGAGGAACTTTTGCGGAGGAGAAAAGAATCGACGATTGAACCATTGGGTCGGAATTCGTCGCGACTTTTCTCTGCTGCATTCACAGCTGACTTAGACATTCACTGAGAAACAGTCTAAAACTTTATTTTAGATCCGTTTCGCTTCTTGTCACAAGTTTTGTCGCTTCCTCTGTCCGAATTCATCTTATACAACTCCACCTTCTGAATTTGTCAATCTTGTTAAATTTGAAATATCTGTATTTTTTTTTCTGTTCTTTTTTTTTACAAACGCAAACTTCATCATTCGAAGTTGAGCACTGTTGCAGCCGATAATATTTACTTCTGAGCGTCGTGGTTCTTTTTCCAAAAGGAAATAACGACAAGAAAATGACTGAGAGAGAGAAATTTAAAAAAAAAAATCGGCAAAGGAACAGTGTCCAGCATTTTTGGACTAATACGAGCACTAATGAGACATCCGGTTCACTATTTTTGTTTCTCTGTTTCCATCAAGATCATTTCCCACCCACTGAGATTGCAGTTTTTGCCTTCATAACATCAAGAAAGGCTTTTTTCCTGCTTTCGCCCTCAAAAACGTCACGGTCCGTTTAAAAGTATTTTTCGCAAGAGAAATACAAATAAAAAGGTCGGACAAAGTTGTGTTTATTTCCACAAGGCATATGAAGACACTGATGAAAAAAGAACTGTTTAAACCGAAAAGTAAAGAGAAAAAATAATTTGAAGTTTACAAATATTTTCCAAGAATTCTTCGAAGTTTACAGTTCTGAGATTCTAATAAATCAATATTTAACTGAATCTAGGGCTGGATGAGTTCCAATTTGAAAAATGGAAAAAATAAAGATTTTTCTTTCTCCGTACTGCTTATGAAACATTTTTCAGTTCACGAATCGAAATTCATGAGCGTTAAAATTCAATTAATATTATTCTAGTTGGATCTTTTGAAGAAGATTAGCGTGAGCAACTTGAAAGTACTTGGAATTTTCGTCGAAAGACCCCGTATCAAATGAGAGAAAGGCTATTTACAAGCATTAAAATAAAGTTATGGAAAACTGATGTTACGAAGTTACCTATTGCGAATAAATGGCTTGAATTGCGGACTTCAGTGCGTTTAAACATAATTTTTCTGGGTTTTTGGTTTTGGTTTCCTTTTTGGTTTCTTATTCAATCTGCATATACAAGAATATGTGAAGTCAGTGCCCAACACACTCGGGGACGAACACCTTTAATTGGCACAAAAAATTCAGCGAAATTCGAAAAATTTGATCGCCAAAATGTCCGTCAAATAGTACGCAATCAGTAGCTTCCTACGGGCAAAATTATATTCAAATAATCAAAACGAACACTAGACGAATCAAGGGTTGAAAGTGGCGAAGGTGCAAATGTTGGCCAAAGGAGTCGAGACTGCGTCGGCGACTGGCGCCAGTCTTTTCCGCGGCTCATCCTTGGGGTGGTCGAGAAGAGCGTCGATGCAACACTTGGGCTGGATCAGCTGTCTAATCCGTGGTCGCGTTCCTTAATCATTATTTTCGTTGAGAAAAAACGCCGTGTGTATAAACCTTTACGGATATAAATGAGTTTGTTAATTGAAATTGAAATTTTATTTACAGCTGTGCCAATCTCGTAGACTGGTAGTGATTTCCTTTTGGGAACTTTTATACGTTGCGTAAACTCTCATGTAATTATCTCAGAAAAGTAGTACATTTTTGTCAAATGCGCAAGACGTTGATTTTCGAAATTGCGTTTGCAATATACCAAACCGCACCCAAAAATTTTAAAATGACGGCTTCAGAAATACACTGCGACGCATAATTATAGACCCACCCTAATTTCTCCGATTTTAAGAAAAAAATTGAAAAAAACTTTCAGCCACCAAACTTTTTTTGTGATAAACCTTGTTGATAAGGAACATAATCATATCATAATTATCAATCACCCAGTTGAAAAAGTTTTTTTCAAGATACGAGAAAAATCTGATTTTTTTGACCGACGCAGAATTATAGACCCACTATAAGTAATCAACAAAATTTATTTCACAAAGTCAACGAAGTATAACAAAAAAATTAATTAATAATGTGTGATGCCTCCTTGTTTCTGAGTGACTTCGAAAATCCTGTTCGGCATGCTGCCAACGAGTGATTGCAGCAGTGACTTGTCCAAACCATCCCACTCGGCACGAATCGCTCTTTTCAGATCGTTGACCGTTGTATACTGCTTGGCATTCGCGTAGACCCTTCGTACAAGGACTGACCATAAATTCTCTACAGAGTTGAGGTCAGGACTGCACGCGGGCCAGTCCAAAAGAACCACGTTATTGGCCGCAAACCAAGCCAATGTGGAGTTGCTCGCGTGAACAGATGCATTGTCTTGTTGGTAAATCATATTAGCACGTCGTCGGCGACGGAGATAGGGCAGGAGATGCTAGGCAAGCGGTTGCTGGTAGTCTTGCGAATTCGTTCTGGTCCCAATAAAAGAAAGAGCTACCGTCCCGTTGCCGCTGAAAGCCGCCCAGACCATGAGGCTGCCGCCGCCGAAGTTTCTCTTGGAGAAGTACATCGGATCTTTCCTCAAATCTCTCCAGGAGTGAGCGTACCCATCTGGCCCATCAAGGTTGAATTTCTTCTCTTCGCTGAAGATGATGTGAACAGAAATTGGGAATCATAAGGTGATAGAAAAAATTGATACCTCAATCCAATCCGTGGCCATGTTAGAGCGTGCAAACTGGAGCCGTTCATTCTTATGGCGTTGCTGTAGACGAGGTGCTGCCTTCACTGGAGTATTCACAAATCGACCGGATCGATGAATTGTTCGTAAGATGATGTCCTTCGAGACGTTTTCAGGAATTTCGGATCTGATTTGGTTGGCGGACTTCGTAGAGTTTGATGCTTTTCGACAGACATCTCGTTCAGCTTGAACCGATAGCAGCCTGTGCCGTCCAGAATGTATTGCTGTGCCGTATTATTGCGGATTCCTTGCATAACGGTCAATAGTTCGTCTTGAGCGACCTGTTTGACGAGCGATTTCCCGATGGGACAAGCCGTTGTTGAGTAGAGCATCGATTACCGCTTTTTCGGTATTATCAAATGGAGTCGATTTAGGCATTATGGCTTATAGTGATACACGAGGACTTTTTCTCTTATACACCACTGAAAAAACAGGAAAAACGTGTTACCGGAAACGGAAACTCGGAAAACTCTGGGGTGGGTCTATAATTCTGCGTCGGTCAAAAATCAGATTTTCTCGTATCTTGAAAAACTTTTCAACTGGGTGATTGATAACTATGATATGATTATGTTCCTTATCAACAAGGTTTATCACAAAAAAAGTTTGGTGGCTGAAAGTTTTTCAATTTTTCTTAAAATCGGAGAAATTAGGATGGGTCTATAATTATGCGTCGCAGTGTAGCAAAAACTAGAAATTCGAACTAAAATTTGGCACGGCTTGTAACTCTAAAGGATCTCCATCAAGATTTTCAAAAGGTGTTTGCGCACGACAAAAAATCTTGTATGAACTTTCAAACTTTACGAAAACTTACTTGAAACGGCTATCCTGGTCCTGACAGCCTCCGGAACAGTCGATTTTTTCATCGTTTCGATTATTTTTTCCAGTTTCAACTGCATGTCGTGGAGTATTTCTCTTTCCTTTCTTAAAAAAAGTTAATATACGAAAAAATTAAGAAAAGTCTGGAAATTGACAAACTTTTCATTTCTGAAAGCGAATTCCTGGAGATTAACCGACCGGAAAGCCACTTTGTACGAAGCCACAGCCTCGCCGCTCGCTGACAACATGCTCACTGAAGAATAAAATTAAAATACGTTGTTCTATTCAATTTTTTATGAACAAGATAAATTATTAACATACAAAATTGGCTTTTTGTTTAAAAAAAAAAACATTAAAAACTCTTGAAGGTACTCTTCGATTGGAGCTCTGGATGAAGTAAAATTTCGCGCCTTTATATTCTTTCATTTGACACAATGAAAAAAAAAGTATAAAATTAAGGCTTCCTTATAGAAATTAGCCCTCTTTTTTCCAATTTTCCCTCCCGTAATCTGTTTTTTTTTTTAATTTCGTTAAAATTTAGGCGCAGAAAAGTTGACGAATAATTTTTTCCCCCTCTATTGAGGAGAATGAATCTGTAGGAAAACAATACTTCGAGCGAATTGGTACTGAAAGTAATATCGTGATTACATTAAAATATAAGAAAAACCAGATTAAAAAAACTATTCAAACCATATATCTTTTTCAGAATCGAAAACAATAGTAATAGGGTGTATTTATCCATATTTCTGTCTTCCATCAAAATGAAAACTCGTAAAGAACTAACCTTCAAAAATAGCCAACTTTTTCTTGAGAATCGAAGCTTTAGCCAGAGCTATACTTTCTTCGCAGTAGTCGGAAAAATCCTCCCCTTTGTATCTCTGAAAAGTCATGAAAAATCAAGTCAAACTGAATTGAACTTTCAAAATGCTGATAATCATTATTATAAGATATAAAAACAAGGATTTGCTCAATTCATGATAACTGGGACCGTAAAAGGATATAGCCTATTTTTTTTCTTGCCCATTTTTCTTTCAGCTAAAAAGACCGCATACCGAAAAAGATCAATTTTGACCATACTTCTCTTCAAAAATTTGGTTTTTGCTGTCTTTTTTGCAGTTTTGTGGGACAAAAGCTGTTTTCAAGGTACCTTTTTCGCATTTAAAACGTGACCGTCTCGCGTGGAGCGCTCTATACGTCTCGTTACACTTTTGATAAAAGAAAAATCTCGAATTTATCGCGGAAAAAAAGACGAAGATACCTGGTAGTAACATTCGCCGAAAGCTTCCCAAGTGAACATCTCCTCATCGGAAGAATTCGGACCACACAATTTGTAGGCAGCGTGGCAAAAGGCCTGTAGGAACTCGGCAAACAGTCCAATCACCGCTGCAATCATTCAGAAGATATTCAAGTCAAGGAAAAAAAAACCTTTGTTGAAGGTTTTCGCCTTGGGACCGAGAGTTATTTCGGCTGGAGGGTACCGGCTGCTGTCGCTGACGATGGCTGACGTGGTCATTTTCTGAAAATAGCCCTACCAATTCCTAGCCGATTATAGTCAAGACCTAGAAGCGAAATCTTGCTGATGAATATTAGTAAGAGAACTTCCGACGTAGACAAATTTTCAAAAATGGAAGTATGAAATAACTTTATGTCACATCGTTATTCGAACTTGTTACTCTCTCCAATTGAATTCTAAGAACAGAAAAATAGTTATAGACGATTTTTATTAAAATTATAAACTTGATAACAGACAAACTTTTTTGCTTTTTCGTGCTAATTTTTTTTTCATTAAAATCCGCTAAAGCTCTAATATTCTTGAATTAATTTTATTCGATTAAGATACGAAAAAAAAACACTGGTGAAATGTAGAGATTGAATTGTTTAAAACAAATTTTATGAAAATAATTATTAAATTAACAACATTTTTCGAGATACAGGTGTACACGATGAGGACAGCACAACAACTTGCCGGATAAAAAAACAATACTACAGAAATTGGGAAAGGTAAACAGGGTTGTAACAGAATGAAAAAGATACGCAAGGTATTTTGATTTTAAAAATTAAAATGAGCTCATATTAACATCGGCAGAGAAATCAGGAGCGCCATTTTCACGTTTAACTGCTGGACCGCCCATCCGATCTCCAGGTCTCTTTCCTCGTCCTCTTCTGCAATCGAAAACTTATAATACACCAACGATACAACTTACATACCCGCCACCACGGAGACCTCCGCGACCTCTCATCATGCCACCAGGACCACCCCGCATCCCGCGAGGTCCGCCAAATCCGCCTCCAGGAGGACCCATCGGGCCACCCCAGCCGCCGCCTCCGTAGCCGCCGCCCATTGGACCACCCCATCCAGCATTTCCATAGCCGTCACCACCGCCCCAGGCATCGTTGTAGCCGCCGCCAAAGCCAGGATTTACCCAACCACCGCCGCCGCCGAAGCTAGATTAAATTATTTCAACTTGCAAGTTATTTGGTTCAAGTACTTGTTTTGATAGTAGTTCCCACCGCCGTTGCCTCCTCCTCGGCCTCCGCGCATAGGCCCTGGTCCACCAAACATGTTTCCTCCAGGGCCGCCGTACGGTCCTCCTCGACCTCCTCTTTGCGGTCGCTTCTTCTTGTCTCCTTGTGGCTTGGCCAACGAGCAGTCAATAGTGACGCCTTCCAGTTCTTTTCCATTCCATTCTTCCATCGCCTGAATATTGAAGAGAATTGATTTGGCTTCATAGACTAGTAAAAACCTTCAAGCACGGTTCGCGTTCTTTGAAATGAACGAAAGCGTAGTCTTTGATCTTCTTGACGCGCTCAACCTCGCCAAACTCTTTAAAGATTTCAGTAAGCTTCTCCTCGGTGATGGCTTCCTTGATATGACGGACGTAAAGGACTTTCACCTTGAAATTCAAAAAATAACCAAACGTTTTTTTTTACGTGTGAGTACCTTAGCCATCGTCTCATCATCAGGTTCATCCTGTTGCTCAGCCCAGTCAACGAAAAGATCAACATTGAACGGACGAATCTAAAAAAAAAAATACACCAGTACACAACTTCAAACCGATTCAATCGGTTACCTTGTGTTGTTGAATTTTTCTCTTGGCATCTGAAGCCGCTTTGTGGTCGATGAAGTCGACAAAGCAAAATCCGCGGTTCTTGTGTCTGTCCGTAGAGTCAGCAAGAGTATACACGATCACATCAGAGACACCCTCTGAAATAGAAAAAAACCTTTCTTTTGAACATTTAGAAAAAAAAATTGATGGCAATGAAGATCTAAAAATTTTGATTAGTGTAAACCGTTGCAGGCTCCGCTTTTTTTTCCAAACGGTTTTAATTTTTACCTGCGTGAGTTTTGAGCTCCTCAAGAATTTCGTCTTTAGATTTCGACTTCGGAATGTTTCCAAGAAACAGGCGAGTGTTAGCCACTGAGACGTTCACTTTCAGCGTTTTTCCAGGCAAAATTTCGTGGCCGTCAAACTACAAAATTTGCATTTTTGCCACTTTTGCGTTCAAAAGAAGTCGTTCTTCAAAATCCTCAAAAGCGTGAAAATTATGAGTAAAAAAAGAATGCTGCCGAACAACGGATACGAAAACACAAAACATCGAAAACACAGATCAGGATGAAGAATAAACTCTGATCAAACTAGGCAATACCGTTTTGGCGGCTTCAGCAGCTGCAGACTTGTCACAGTAGGTCAAGAACGCGTAACCGCGATTTTTGGCGGTCAATGGGTCCATCATCAGTCTCAAGTCCCAAATCTTTCCGGATTTCTCGAAGATGGGAATTAAGACGTCTTCGAAGACATCATTTGGAATATGTCCGATATATATCTAAACAAAAATTGTTTGTTAGTGAGCATGCAGAAATCTGGTATTCCAAATTCAAACCTCATGCCCTTGACCGACGGGACCAGTGACAGGACCTTCCCAATCTGGTGGGGGACCGCCGTATTTCCTCTGACCAACGGTGATTTCCATTGAGTACCCAGTTCGATCAATGATTTCTTGCAGGCTGTCAGATGGAGGACCAGAAATGAGAGCGCCGCCGAGAACCTTGAAAATTTTCAATACCGAATGTCATTTTTTATAATGATACCGTCGCTGCACCAAAGTTTCGAACACGGTCTTTGAAGTTCCTCATGAGAGACATCAGGTACTGCGGCTTGTTCTGCACACCGAAAAGTTTAGACTTCTGAACCAGGAATAAATTCAATTACAAAAACAGAAAACTACCGTCAGCTGATCGCAAATGTATTTTCCTTGGTCTTCTGGGAAAGAGTTCAACATTTCGATGGCTCGTTCATCGAAATCTTCGGGAGACATAAATCCGGATTCATAAAGCTTCGTGAGCGCGACTGCTACTTTCGGTTTCATCTTGAGCTCCACGAGTTTCTTGTACTGCTCATTCTCGGAGTAATCCTATTAAAAATAAAATATATTGAATCAGAAAAAAAAATTTCAAAAACAGGTCTCACGTAAAATATTTTCTTCAAAGGTTTTTTAGGAGAACTTACTTCTTCCGCTGTTCCATTTTCGGCTTCAACTGCCGCGTCCTCAAGCTTGACCTCAGTTGTCGCTTCACCTTCACTCATTCTGCAATAGTAAATTAAAATTCAAACCAAAAAGTAGAGAAAAAAATATATGTAAAGCGAGAAATTAAAGGTCATTCCAGTTTTACGTTGTTAAAAATATGAACGGCAAATTTATGTAGTATGTCTCAAGGTCAAAGTGATGAAACAATTGACACAAAAAAATGCTCAAGAATAGGTAAATGCGATAGGAAATATTAACAATATAAATACAAACAAATTTTCAAAAGGACGCGATTTGAAGAGGCCGCGAAAATCGAAAAAATCGAACGCGAGAAGGGGTAAGAGGAAGGCGTGCCGGAGATCATTGACCCACTCGGTCCATGCGCCTTTAATAACGCGCTATCCTGCACGCCCCCCTCAACATCTGCTACGTGTTTTTCCTTGCTTTAGACGCTTTTAAATCAATAGTTCGCACATGTTATAGTTTGAGAGGTCAGGGGAGACAGCTTTGTATATAATTTTTGGCATTAGGTTTTGAGCATTGTGAAGTTCTCGAGCAAAACACTTAAACTTTTCATAGGGTCTTTTGTGCAGTGTTTTCTTCTATTTCGTGCTTCTAAAGTACGAAGTTTCTACTGCCTCTAATCTGTGGACGAAACTAATGAAAATTTTGGGATTTTGATTGTTTAGGCGCAGAATTGTTCTGCGCCATTTTAGTTTAGACCGAGTTGGAAAAAAAAGGATGTTTGGATTTGGGATCACGGTGTTCCGCGCAATGAAAAAAAAAATGCGAAATTTTGGGTCCCAGCGGCATATTATCCGTGGCGCATTATTGCGCCTTTCTCATGGTTTCTGATGCAAAAATTGAATTTCTTCACTTTTTTCATTGGTTTTTTACTTTATTCTATTTCTTGCATTTATGTGATCCGCCTCTCTATGGGTGCATCTTGTGGAGCTTTAAATTGCGCATTTTTTTCTAAACCGGTTTCAGATCTTTAACTTTTTTTCTCAAAAGAGCTGAAGATTTTTTTCTAAAAGTCCTAATTTTTTTCAAAAATTTTTGAAATCTGTTTCGCGACATGAAAAAGAGTCACTCTATTTCGGAAACTATAGTTTTTTTAATTTAATCAGTTAATAATAAAAAAAGTTATTATCTAGTTCCTTTGACGTAGTTTGAAACCGGTTTCGTGTAAATTAGAGCCAAATTGAATTTGCTGATACAGTTTAATGATTTTTGATATATGAATCATCTAAATTATATATTTTTACTAGTTTTTTGATGGTTTTTCGGATTTAAACAAAAATTTCGCCATACGAGGTTTTTTTTTCTAAAATTTCTGCTTTCTATCCATTATTTGTTTTTCTGAAGCTGGGTTTTCGAGGTATATAAAATGTTTTTTTTTTCATTTTCTCCTCGAATTTTCCTCATTTCAATATTTTTCGTATTTATAAATGCTTATTCAATTAGAGCTGATTCACCTTCATAATATTTTTTTGTTTTTCATTTTGTAATCAGTAATTTAGAGTATTCCCCTTTCGAAATCGTTCCTAAATGTTTTTTTAACGTAAGTGAATATTTTTTTCACATCATATTCTTCAAACTGACAAGATTTCGAACATTTCAGAAGTTATTATCCTAAAATTGCAAATTCTAAAATTGAAAAAAACATTTTGAGTATGCGATAGTGCGTCTCGGTGTGCTTACACCCTAAGCATCATAATTTACGAAAAAGTCTTGACCTTGCGTAATGAAAAAAACACCGTGGGATTGAATCAAGCTTTGACCGAAAGAAAATTTAAAAATATCATGAGATGCACAACGGAGTCGAGGTTTAACTAAAAAGATAACTACGCGAAATTCTACCAGCTAATTCATTTATTGCCCGCCACATAGTAACTCTTTTTTTCAAAAAAACTAAAAAAAGTAAGAAAAATCTTCCCAAAAAAAGTGAAGTTTTTATTCTATAACAATAAAGATAAAAAGAAGCTTTGAGAGTTTTGAATAATATTTCTCGCAGAAGGTAAAAGCAGAGTACTCGTGGAAACAATATTTTGGATCTAATTTTCACGTCTAAGAAAAATATGGTGGAAAATAGCGGTGGTATGAAAAAAACACCGGCGAAAATTCAAACGGCGACTTTTCCGATTTTTTCATATCGCTAGGGAACTTTCCGACGTCCACCTTTCCGACGAAACTTTTTCCGACTTTTTTTTTCTCGATAAACTCTTCGTTTTACATCTTCCTATATAAAGTAGGTAGTTTGTCCATAATTAAAAACACATAGAAGTAGGAAAAAAATGTTCATAGACGTTTTATAAACCGAAAAGCATAAGGGAAAAAAGTCGGAAAAAGTTTCGTCGGAAAGGTGGCCGTCGGAAAGTTCCCTAGCGATATGAAAAAATCGGAAAAGTCGCCGTTTGATATTTCGCTGGTGTTTTTTTCAAACCACCGGAAAATATAAAAATTGAAAAGCCTTTATCTGATCACTCAACAGTAACTTGCAAAGTGAACATAAATAATCCAAAAATTAACATCGAGAAGCATTTTACTGTAAATGATTATTCAGAGGCAAATTTTTGAATCTTTAGGACAAAAGATTGGCTTGGATTGATTGGAATTATCGTTTTAGTACATGTGACACAGCTGACAAAATGTACAGCACTTTTTTTTGGATATAACTTTGCCACTAATTGATCAATTTATACCCAAGAAAAACTATCAAAAAAAGTCTAATCTTCCATCCGAGATAATGAAATTGAAGAGATACTCTGAAAAATTCCTACATAAAATATAAAAAAATCGAATAAATCCGAAGACTTATTGACCTATAAAACTAATTGGTGGAAATACCGGAAAGCTATCAAAGATTTTAGAATTAAAGAAGAAGAGAAAGCTATCGATAAAGGACCAAACAGCAAGAAGTTCTGGAATTATATTAGAAATAAGACCACCATATTCGTTGATCCGCCTTTCATGCAGACTAAAAATGGATGCACCAACGATGATAATGAGAAAGCTCAGGCTTTCAATGATTTCTTCTGTTCAGTTTTTACTAAAGACGATGAGAGACCATTCATAAATAATATGAGCTCGGTTGGAAGTATGGAAGAAATAAATGTTGAGCCATATATCGTATACGAATGTTTGAAGAAGCTTAGACCTTTACATTCTGCCGGTCCGGATAAATTTTCTAACATCATAATACAAAAACTAGCGGCCCCTTTGGCACTACCTTTATCAATGATTTTCCAAAAATCATTGGATACCTCATGCTTGCCTAGTTTATGGAAAAAATCAATAGTTCGACCTATATATAAGAAAGGAAGCCTTAGTGAGCCTCAAAACTACAGACCTGTCAGTTTAACATGTGTCCCATGCAGAGTACTCGAATCCATCATCGTTAGAAGTTTAAGAAATCATCTTTGGAACAAAAACATAATATCCAAAGCACAATACGGATTTTTGAACAACAGAAATACCGTTTCGCAATTGCTTCAAAAGCAAAAATATTTGATTCAAAACGTATATGAAAAAGCCATAGTTGACGTAATTTATCTGGACATAAGTAAAGCCTTTGATTCCGTAACACATCGAAGAATGTTGAACTTGCTGGAATCCTATGGTTGCAATGGTCGGCTACTCTCCTGGTTTCAGAGCTATCTCATTGGACGTACCCAAATGGTACGCATAAATGAAGCTTTGTCCGATGAAATTCCCGTACTTTCGGGTGTACCACAGGGTAGTTGTTTGGGTCCTTTGTTTTTTCTACTTTACATCAATGATATTGATAAAGTAGTCAAACACAGCGAACTATTAACATATGCCGACGATTGTAAATTAATGATAAGCTCGAAAATAGAAAATTTCGAAAATAAGCTTCAGGAAGATCTAAACTCCATTCATAACTGGTTAGCAAATAGACAGCTTGTCTTATCGAGTTCAAAGAGTATACATGTCAGATATGGTAAATCCAATACTGAGAACCCTTCTTACACAATAAATGGCTCAAAAATTCCAACAGATGTAATCATCAGAGATCTGGGCGTGCATTTTAGTTCTAATTTGAAAATGAGTGGCCACGTGAATGTTATTGTGAAAAAATGCATGAAAATCGTGAATAATCTTTTTAGATGTTTTACCTTCTCGCACACTAACTTCATGAACTGCTACAAGTTGAAGATTTTACCTGTTCTTGAATATGGGTCAGAACTTTTCTGTCCTCTAAAAAGAACAGATATCGATAGACTGGAATCAGTTCAAAGGAAATTCACAAAAAGACTTTTCCCTAAGATGAATTACAAAGAAAGACTTCAACGTCTTGGACTAAACACCCTTTGGCAAAGACGTTTAAAAAAAGACATAACTGCTGCTCACAATTTCATTTACGGATACTATTGGTGCCCATCTCCAATCCCTTTACAAAATACAACAAGTAGATCGAATCAACTGCGAGGAAATGGCCTCAAAATAGAGCGGCCTCTACTTTCTGACATACACTACCGGTTCATCAATCAAAGAGTTTACAAGCATTGGAATCACATGGATAGAAACATAGTATTTGAGTATGAAAAAAATAAGTTCAGATCTAAACTTGAGAAATGGTTTGAAAAACAACATTACAGAACTAAACACTCTTGATCCAACAAAAAAATATGAAAGATACATAATCGACATTTAAAAAGAATAACTTCATGGTTATTCCAATTTACTCAAGTGGGGGTTAACACGACCGCGAGTCCTCTTCCCTCCATCACCACAAGTTCCGACACATATGTTCCCAAATTCTCCCTACATCTATTTCGTGAAATTTAGTACTTGTGTGTGAGAAATAAAACATTTTGATTGGATTTTGATTTGAAATGGTTGACGCTAGACGGTCATTTTGCCCAAATGACGTTTTTTGCACTTTTTAGCTATTAACGCTTATTTTCATCAAAAAAGTGTCTAAGCTTATCTAAAATCAGAGACGCCATTATAGATAGCACTCCCAAAAGTCTCCTCTTGGCGCATTCCGCGTGCGTGCGCGCGCCAATTCAAATTTCGTCTCTTGAACTAGATTTACAGGCTTCCAGTATATGGTTCTTTTTGTATAATTTTTTTCTTGCATAAAAAAACTTCCAATTAATTTTTACACGGGTATCATATTTATGATAACTGGATATACGGGCAGAGTACCTGAAATTTTTTTGATTGCTACCGAGTAGCCTGGAAATGCTTCCCAGGTTTTTATTATTATTATTTTTAGTCATTTCGGTTTTCTAATTTTTATTCATTCTGTTTTCAGACTTTCTTTGAAATTTGTATGAGCTGTACACGTTGTTCTCCATTCGCTCATGAGAAACGAAAAATGAATTTTCAGCAGCAAATTTCCTTATCATGCGAGGAGCTTTGAAAAATCGTATCTCCGCTCAAAAACTTTTCCAAAAAAAAACTTTTTTCACGGACCTCCGCGGCATTTTTTGAGAACAGATTTGGAAACAGCATGAAAAACTTCATTTAGTGAACTGGGTCTCATTCTGAAATCCAACTGCGACCAGACACCATTCCCTGGCCAGCTAGAGCTAAAATTTATGCTCGACGTCTCACGATGGACATATTATGGAATATTCAAGATTCATTTTAAGAGGTATATTTGTGGGCACATTATGGTACCTTCCCCATTTGCCTGTGCAAGTGAGTGAAGGCGAAAATTTGAATTGGCGCTAAAACAAGAAAAAAACTTTCTTAAATAAAGTTAGATTCCCTAAATGAGTCAATATTAAATAAAAGAAAGCTGGAAATGAATAAGTAAGAAAAATTATACAAAAAGAACCATATACTGGAAGCCTGTAAATCTAGTCCCTCGCATGCTGAGCAGGTGTCTCAGCGGGTGTACCCGTATTTGGGGCTAAAACGGGGGAACAACGGGTGTAAGAAAAATATGTAACCCAGCTGTGCTAAAGCGGGGTCTCAGTTGGGCTAAAAATTGCCAAAAGTTCTATCAGCTGGGCTTATACGGGTTTAATACGGGAGCACCCGCTGAGACCCTGTGTTAGCACGGCTGGGTCACCCTGCTCAGCATTCGAGTCCAAGAGACGAAATTTGAATTGGCGCGCGTACGCACGCGGAATGCGCCAAGAGGAGACTTTTGGGAGTCCTATCTATAATGGCGTCTCTAAAATCAGTCATTTTTGAAAAGCGACACTTTTTGGGCTGGACGTAGAAGTGACCATTTTGCCCACTTTCAATTTTTCACTTGTATTTATTGTTTTTATTGCTATTAAATGACGAATCTGAGATTCGATGAAAATCTAAAGACATTAACAAACTTTGATCTTTTAGAATTGGTTGACTCTCTAGGGATCACGAACTTTAGAGGAATCTTCAAGCGGGATACTTTACCGATACAGGGAATACAATCAAGGGAAGTAGTGGAAAGGTGAACCACAAAAGATAAACTAAATATTGAAGTTTTTCTTCTCCAATTCCTTCTTCAATTCATCAGTTATTTTCGACTCCTGAAGCTTTTGGATAAATTCTTTCGCCTCTTCGAATGCATCCTTCACGTCGAGAGCGCTATGATTATTTGTGTAGAATGAGGAGTGGCACCTGAAACAAATAAAACACAGAAAAATGGACCACAATTCGTACACTTACACTTCGAACACGGAAAAACGACGTCCGATATCACGCGAGAGCGCCGACGCGAAGCGTCTCTTTCCTTTATGCGAGTAGAGCGAAACCTTCAGCTGCCGATCCGAGATAAACTCTTAAAACGAATACATTGCATAAATATTTTATATAAATTTAAAATACCTTGTAATGCAAGCAATGCACTGCACCAGATGATCTCACAAGCTAGTCGATGATCGTGTATTTTAATGAATAGCTTTGCGAGAATCAGAAGAGTATCCGGAGAATGGTTCTGTCCACAACGATACGTTTTCTGAAAAAATATATAATAAAGTTGCTAAAATACTGATTTAATTGTTATAAACCTCACTTACGTCACAGTTTTTATCAAGACACTCATTGACAAGAAGCTCAGCTGCATTCTCATCATTCACGAGAAGATTCTAAAAAATTGTAACAATAACATTGTTATAAATGTATAAACCAACCTCGTATAACAAATCTTTCTTATCGTAGTTGACCAAAGCGTTTCTTAATCCATTTTCCACCTCCTTTATTTCTTCCGTTCCATAAACACGTTGAAAATAACATTTAAAAAGGCTTTCCAGAGACGCCTTTTCCAGCAGTCTTTGAATTCTAGGATCTTGACGCCAGTTCATTCTGAAAAAATATATATAAAATACCGTGCCAATAAATCAAACTAAAAAAGTAGTGCAATAAAAAAATTACACGTGAAAAGCTGGCACATTACGTATGAAAAAATTTGTTGCTCAAATTTTCACCATCTATAAATGATCATTCTAAAACTAAGCTCGAATGAATTAATGTGCTCGTTTCTACGAAAGAGAAAAGAACAATACTAATATGAGTTCATCGGAATATATGCCGTGTTCAAAGTAATTTCCGCGAAATGCAAAATGGTCTCTGACCCTCCAAAATTTAGTTATCTTTCTCTTTCTCTGACGGCTATTTTGAATTTCGCGGAATCACTTTGAACACGGCAATAACAACAAGGGAATAGAGGAAAAAAGCGATGCTGGCAGTTTCTCTCCTTCCTCTGCGTCTCTGCCTTTCACTCTAGCCCAACGCGTTTGCGTGTTGCGTCGCGTGTGTCTAGTTCAACTGGGGCAAATGTGTGATTGTGCTCGCTCAGAGTGAGGAAGAGAAAAGAAGGTCACACAAAGAGAAAGACAAATCGCCAGGGCAAAGACGTCACAAATTGAACTTTGTTTTCTGAGAAAAAATAGACAGTGAAAATTTCGAAATTTATTTTAACATGGTTAGATGTCGTTGGCGCCTTTTTTTATTTCTTAAATATTAGCGTATTTCAATTTTCAATCAATTAAAAAAATAAAAATAAAAAAATTTTTAGCGGTGCCTAAAAATTTTAATTATTGTTAACTTGAAGCCAACCTTTAAAAATAACAAAAAAACACCGAAAAACGGAAGCATTTTTGAACTGAATCTCTATGAATAAATTATTTTTAGGTGGTCCGAACACACGTGACTGATAATTGTTCAACTATCATAACTTTTTTTTAAACAAGATTGTCGGTAAATGCTGTACTTTGAGGTAAAGTGGTGTATAGCGCGAACGCCTCTTATCTCCGAGAGATGTGTGTGGAGCAGCGCAAGTGCGCTTGCGTACAGTTTTGATATCGCGAGTTCAATCCTCGCAGCGGCCATTTTTTTTTATTTTTCAAGAAAAATAGCTTTTCTTTTTCAAACTTGTGGTTTTATACTGTTTTTAATGACTTATTACGACTTTGAAAAACCGGAATAAACTACTAAAAAAATTTAAATCCGATATGAAAAACACAATGAACGACCAAAAAGTGTAAAATCTAAACTTTCAGTACTAAATTTCGCGACTTTTTTTCACTACTGTTTTGACTATAACTTTTTTCTCAACCTTTTTTTCGAAAAAAACTAAACTGTTTTGAATAGTAAATTAGAGCAGCTATCCAACCATAGTAATATTGAAGTTCGAAAATTTTTTTGAAAATTCGTCTGCGGTCCCTATGTCTACTCAAGTTGTAAATCTTATGAAATTGATGGATGAGAAAGGTATTAGAGAAATTACACAAATTGATAAGAATAGTGTGAACACAATGAATAGAAAAGAAATGTTAGATTTCATTAATAAACAGATGTCTACTCCATGGTACACTCGTTATATAGAAGATCAGATTCATCGTCCAGCTTGTAAAAAGAATACTCAAGAAAAACGAATTTATCCAGATGAATTTATCAAAAAAGTAGAGTATCATCAACTTGAAGAACACATTAGAAATTTCCTTCTCGAAAAAGAGGATTCAGTACTCAGAGATCTTTGCAATAACTTTAGAAATAGAGTTACAATCATAGAATTCTCACTACAATTAGAATTTGCGAATAGGTGGAATACATTTAAATTCACTTCGAGAATCATATTTACACTTAGTGATGATTGTTCAAAAGTGTATAAAGATTTTATTGAACAAATGGTAATACAAATTGTAAACTATTGTGAAGGATACTTTGAAATAGATCCGGATACCAAGACTTCACTTTTTAATGTTGAACGATTTACAACTTCTTTTTTTCACACAACGTTTTAGTGTGAACAAAAAAACCTTTTATTTTGTTTTTTTATTTTATCTTTTTATTTTTTTATTATTGAAAAAAATTAACTTATTAAATTATACTTTTTAGGAAGCTTTTGCTTACGCAATGTATAATCTTCTCAAAAAGTGATGAAAGTGATCAAAGTGTAAAAAAAGCATTGATGAATTGAAAGGAATGAGTAGAGATGAAGTTCGTAAAGAACTTTTTGAAATGAATAATCAATTAAGAGCTATGATTCTAAAAGCTCGTGAAGTTCAGAAAATGAGAAAGAAGGAAATGATTGATTTCATTGCTTTAGTGAGAAACGTTAGTGAGAAAGTTTGATCTTTTCGAAATTCTTTCACTTCTAGGAAACTATGCTTTTGCTTGATAAATTTTTTTTCTAATAAATCGGAAACTTCATTACCTTTGATAAAGTGAAAAAGTAGTACTTTCTTCATTTAGAAAAAAATGGATCATTTCAATTCAATGTCAAGAGATGATCTTCGTAAAGAAGTCATTAAACTTCTTGATATAATGTCCGGAGGTGTAAAAAGTAAAAGAATCCTTAAATCACAACAATTAAGATCTATGAGTACCTTAGAACTTTTAACGTTCATTAGGAATAATCTACAAATCAACACAGCGGAACTTAGAGATGTTCCAATTGATATTAAAGAGGTATTTCCCTTCGAAGATCTTATTTTTTTAGTGATTACAAAGAAACTAAAAAAAGGAATTGTAAGAACTACAACTTATAAAAAAACAAAAAAATAAATATATTAATTTTTGATAAATACTTTGACCTTTTTGAGAAAAGAGGAATCGAATATTATATGAAAATCATTACAAACAAAATAAATTCTTTCTTTGAGAAGAATAAAAACTTTGTGATCAATGATATTCGAAGTGACTCTAGTGTCAAAATATATTTGAAACTAGAATTCAAACAAAAGAAAGACTCTCAAAAAAGTGAAAACTTTGCTGTAAGATCAGAAACTAAGGAATTGTGTGTTGGTGAAGATCGAGAAGAATGGTATCAACATGCTTGTCAAGAATTAATGATGAATATGGAGAATTTACAATCAAGAGGTTCTGGTTGGACTATTTCAGGAATAAATTACCTTGAGATGAATCAAACTATGTGTCATTCGCCTGGTGGTTCTTCCTACATGGATCTTCCAAAATGTATTAATGTTAAACATTGCGTCATTAATCCTAAAAATAATGATGACAAGTGTTTTATGTGGTCTATATTAGCTCATCTTCATCCAGCAAAAAGATCATGTTTCAGAAATTTATAATTACACTCCTTTTTGAAAAACGAATTGAATTTTGAAGGTCTAACTTTTCCTATGAAAAATTAAAGATATAAATAAGTTTGAGAAGATGAATGATCTTGTTGTAAATGTGGTAGAATGTACTGAAAAAGGACAAATAAATCCATTACGTCTTTCAAGAGGAATCATTGCTGATGATAGCAAAGTTATCAACTTATTATATTATGAAAATGAAGAAGGAAATTCACATTACTCCCTAATCAAAAATCTTGATAGCCTTATGAATAAACGAGGAGAGCATCAAAAAAAGTTCTGTGTTAGATGTCATTGCTCTTATAATGTAAATATGAATGATAAGAGTAGATCAAATTATCACAGACACCTCGAGGACTGTGGTAAAAACAAACCGGTTTCACACAAACTATCCAAGAAAACATCTGTAAAGTTCAAAAATATCAGTAATACACAAAAGCATAGATACGTCATTTATGCAGACTTTGAAAGTATCATTGAGAAATATCAAAAGAGCACTAGATAATCCAAATATATCTTGGACTACTGATGTTGGAAAAACACATTCCAGCTGGATTTTTGTTTCATAGTAGTTGATTCTTTCACCAAAAAAATTGTATAGTATCAAATCTTATATTGGGCATAATACTGCGCTAGAATTTAATAAATACATCATTAAAAATATCTCAAGAAATTGTGCATTTAGGTGATGTGGAAATGAGAGAATTAACTGAAGAAGAATGGACTGGGCTTTCCATGATGAGAATAAAGAGTGCCCTAATTGTTCAATAAAGTATGATTCTAAAAGAAATGAAAAACGACTAAAGTTAGAGATCATGATCATTGGACTGGAGAATATCGTGGACCTCTTTGTGGAGCATGTAATCTATTGAAAAAGAAAAAAATACCTTCATTCCGATATTCTTTCACAATCTTAGAGGTTATGACTCTCATCTGATTGTTGGATGTCTTGAAAGTACTAAATATTTGAATGAGCATGAAATTGACATCAAAAAAATATTTCTAGTAACACAGAAAAAAATTTATTAGTTTTAGTTACAAGTTACCTTCAGAGACAGATAATGAATATGATAGATGTGAATGTAGATTTCTAGATTCTTTTTTTCTTTCATGCCTTCTTCACTGGATAAACTTGCTAGCAACTTGAGTGAAGATCTTTTTTTCATATTAGTAGAGATTATTACTCTTCTTCCAAAGAAAAAAATTCGAATTGATGCAAAGAAAAAGGTGTTTATCCATATGAGTACATGGATTCTTTCAAGCGATTTCAAGAAACAAAAATTGCCAAGTATTTCAGCATTTTATGATTATCTAAATGGTAAAAAAATGCTCGCAAAAACGATTATCTGTATGCTAAGTTAGTTTGGAATAAAATGAACTGTAAGAATTTAGAAGATTATACTGAAATTTATATGATCAATGATGTCCTTCTCTTGGCAGATGTTTTTGAGAATTTTAGAAACTTGAGTCTCCGGGTTTATGAACTTGATCCTTGTTGGTATTTCACAAGTCCTGGATTAGCTTGGGATGCTATGTTGAAAAAGACTAAAATGGAATTAGAAGTACTTCAAGATGTTGAGACTAAAGTACGAAGTTTCTACTGCCTCTAATCTGTGGACGAAACTAATGAAAATTTTGGGATTTTGATTGTTTAGGCGCAGAATTGTTCTGCGCCATTTTAGTTTAGACCGAGTTGGAAAAAAAAAAAGGATGTTTGGATTTGGGATTGAATCAAGCTTTGACCGAAAGAAAATTTAAAAATATCATGAGATGCACAACGGAGTCGAGATTTAACTAAAAGATAACTACGCGAAATTCTACCAGCTAATTCATTTATTGCCCGCCACATAGTAACTCTTTTTCAAAAACTAAAAAAGTAAGAAAATCTTCCCAAAAAAGTGAAGTTTTATTCTATAACAATAAAGATAAAAAGAAGCTTTGAGAGTTTTGTGAGATGCGAAACCGTTTTTGCAGTACAAAATGAATTATTCATACTTTGATTGTTGTTTCATAGTCGAAAGCGCATGATAAATTCTTTATATAATACATTTACTGAGGTAGAACGGTTGATTGATTTGACTGTTCGAAGGCCGTCGGCGGGTGCCAGGAGTATCTTCGGAAGTAGGAAACGAAGAAAATTATTTCGGCGACGTAGACCGCCGCAGAAGCGAGAAGTGATGCCTAGAAGTTGAATAATTATTGTAACACTGAAATAATCAAAAAAATAAAAATAAAATTAGAACTCACCGCAGCGAGAGCCGGCATGGTTGCCCAGATCGGATTTATATCGGCCCAGTGGCTGGCACAGAAAACTGCCATCAATATAGCAGAAACAAGAAGTCCGACCGCGGCAATAACATAGAACGAGGCTTCCTAAGTTTTCAGAATTTCCGATTTGCTCGATGATTCGAGTTAGACTAACCAAGACGAAGCCTAAAGTGGAAGAAATCTTAGTGTTGAGCATAAAGGTGTGCTCCAGAAGAATGGCAAAAGAGCCGACGATAGCGAAGAAGCAGATCGCCAGGGCCAAACCACGTTCATCAGCTACTGGTTGACTTGAACATACCAGAACAATACTCAGGAAGCATAAAGCCTAAAAATTTCAGTTTTATCAGAGGTTTTCTGTCGAAATTTCGGTTCCCTGCTGAATTCTTACAATTGAAACAACTTTGAGGATGCCTCTTCTCGTTGAGGAATACAAAGTATCGAAGTACATCAGTTTACCGCCCCATTCCATCACATGAACTGGACTCGAATGCACATAAACGTCGTTCCCATCCATCTGGCAGCAATTTTTTTCGTTAAATAATTATTTTTTATTGTTACTGAAGCAATGCGCGAAAAATCGAGTAATTTAAAAAAAAATCAATTTTTTTAAAGAGTTGAGTTTTTTCGGTGCATTTTCGTAGTGAAAATGAACCATGTTGCCGAGAAACCAAATATCGAGCACACAAAACACGAAAAGACAACATATTTATTCTATGCTCTTTGGAAATTTTTCAACAACTGGCTTAAGGGCAACACGACTCAAACAAAATCAACCATTCTTCCTCTATGTACTGTTCGAAAACATAAAAAGAATTATTTTCTTGAGACAATGTGGAGAGGCTCCAGGGGAAACGCAGTGAATAACGGAACATTTTTTTTCAAATATCGAAACTAGAGTTTTTTTATTTTCATGATTTACAAAGTTCATATAAAGGTATAATTTTCAACGACTATATATTCTATGATATAATTATTTTTTTTATGGTCTAGAGAATTCGAGAATCCAAGAAAAAAATGTTTCAAACTTGTCCCTAGAGCGCTTGTGAATTGAAACTTTCAGCTGTTTTTGAATATTCTATGTCAAAAGTGGTTGAATTTTTCAAAGAGACAAACTTTCCTACAAGAATGAAGCTTCATGATTCCGAGGGGCAACCCAATTTTTCGGAAACTTTTCTCAAATTAGTTGACTTTTTATTATTTTTCTCTGAAGGAAATAATCTTCTAATCAAATCTTAAAGACTTTAAGAAAGTTAAAGTTTCTCTTATTATCAAAGTTAATTCCAGAAAAACTTGTTTGTGTCATAGATCACGGTCCTCATAGTTTCTTGCGCAACCTCCCATTTTTGAGAATAGAAGTCTGCTTTCATAGACACATTTGGCCGCCAGAGCCTCAATAATTCGCCGGACCACCACCGAAGATTGGACTCTGCGCAAAAGTGCAAAAGGGGACGGAATAACACGGGAAAAACCAAGAAAAACGGGAAGTAAAAGGTAAAAAGAGAATCGGAAGCTGAGCGACGGTCCGCGACGGAATGTTTGCCTACCGCCTTTCCGCTGTCTTACCCAATTGCCCCACGCACTTCAGCCGCCGGCAAAAGCCACAACAACCTCCTCAGGGATCTACAACCAAAATGTGATCATCGTCTCGAAACGAGTTCTGCCATTCAGAATCCAAAAAACTTCATGCAAAACGTCTATTCTTTTCACCTTTCTTGCGAGAAGCGCGCCGAAAAAACTTCAAAATAAAGCCAGAAGGCCGTTTTCATGAGAATTTACATATCGTCAAAGGGAAACTCTTCTTTTCCGACCATCTCGGATCATCTACCCGCTGAAAAGCTTTATCTTGTACCCAAAAAAGAAACCAGAAAAATTTATAAAATAAAAAAGAGGTCTGAGAGTACAAAAAATCATTAACGCAAAAATCATGAATTTTTTTGACTGGATCAATATGCAAAAAAAGGCTGAAACAAAATGTTTTTTTCATCTAACAAATAATCAGAAATTGACATTTCAGACTTGTCTGAGTTTCAAATTTAGTTCTAGAAAAGTACAAAAGAAAAAAAGAAAAAGTTAATAGCCTTAATCAAATTTCAATAAAAAAATCTGGAAGCTCAAATAAAGATATTCCATCAAGGCATATGAATATCAATATGCGTTTGGACATGAAACAACATGGAAAGGAAGGGATTATCCGCTAACGACGGCCGGTCGACCGAGTTCTCCTCGCAAAACCGTCCATTCTGCCGTTCCAATAGATCCGTTGATTCCGATGCTTCTGAACACGACGTTCACCCAAAATAAGGTTGAAAAATGTATGGATGATCAGTTGATATGAAACTTGACAAGGTCTTCAATCAGACAAGAGGAGAATTCCAAGTTTATTCACATAATATTCTATCAATTAAAACTGATTGAGAATAATCCGAACTGAGCCTATTTCGTCAATGGATTCAATTAGAAGTGATCGCTAATTCTACGAATTCCCGTTTTTATTTTTACAACTATAAAGAATCTTAATGAAACTATCCTTTATTAAGGTAAAAAATTAGCAATAATCATTTAGACGGCGTGAATCTTTAGTTTGTGGTCTCTTCTCCCAAAATATTTGCATTACCGTGCTTTCACAGCCACTTGAAAATCTTAGCGGCCTTTTCCCCATGAGATGATGGTGCCAATCCGTTAGAGAGTGAAATTTTTCGCTTGAAACTCAGATAATGTATCGAATATAAAAATAAAGGTCTTTCCGAAATTATTTTTCTTCGAATTTTTCCTAGAAAACTTCCGTGTTATTATCAAATTTAAGAACCCACCTCGACTTCGGCTTCAGAAAAAACATTTTCTTTGCTTGAATTTTCAATAAAAACTTTTCATCACTTTGAAAATAAAAACTTCAATTTTTTTTTTCAATACAATCAGTAACCAGTTATTTGAAACTCTGAAATGAAGCGCATTAGGATCGCCACAGCTTTTTCTCTAACCTACGCTACTTCGTCGCTCTCTAACTGCGAGAAAACGACGAAACAGTGTAGGTCAGAGAAAGAGTTGTAGCGAACTTCATGCTCTTCATGTCAAAGAAAGTGGTAATGACAGGTAAGTTTGCTCCACTGACCAGTATCGATTCCGCTGTGCGGAGCGGCGGAATAAGAAAAGGTTTTGTTTTTTTTTCTCATTTTTCAAATTTATTCCTCGTTTAAAACATTTTAATTGGTCAATTCCATTACTTTTCGGGTTTAGTAAGTCTTTTTGAGTTTTCTTCACTTCGTAGGAGCAAAGGAGAGGTACAAATCCCAAAGATTCAGGCTTTTTTCTAATAGATTATGTTTTCAAATGTTTCTTGCATTTTGTGTTTTAAGGAACAGTTTATAGAATAATTAAGTGGTCTAAATGTGTTTCATCTGATTTGAAAAAGGATTTACCGAAGTAGGAGAGTCATTAAAGCAAAAGGCTTTTCAAACGCTATGAATCTGGTTTCATGTACGTCTCTTGCTTCTCTAGCTTTTTTTAAATCCTTGGAGGATATCAAGTTTTGAAAAAAAAAACCATCTTTCGAAATTCTAACAGTATCGTATGCATTCGTCTTCTTCCTCGTTTTCAAATCTATTCAAAATCTTTCAGATAAAGATGTACGGTTTCCAGAACAATTACGGGTGAGTTTTATTTTCTCTTCAAGAAGATTTCTGTATTTTTCAGTAGTTATCCTACCTATTCAAATCCCAACGGTTACTCTCTCCAACAGTCCTCTCAACAACAAACCCAACAAGCTCAGCAACAAAGCAGCGTTTTTGGGTAGAATTAATCAAAGTTTTGTCTTATGTCTTGTGATTTCGTAGAACAACACCTTCTGCTGCAGCTGTTGCCGCGGCGGCCACCAGCCAGTATCCTTATAGCTCTGGCTACGGTTACGGCGCTCAAAGCGCAAATGCTTCATCTACTTCGGCTGCCGCCGCCTACGCTCAGGCTCAAGTGGTAATCATCATTATAGCTCACGTAATTTTAAATTATTTTTTGTTTCTAGGCTTCTCGAATGGCAGACGCTTATTCATCGATTGCTTCCGGACTAACTTCGGCTTATCCAGGCTATGCCAGTCGTTAGTTTCATTCTTAATCTGGAAACAATCGTTTGTACGTCTAGGCAAGTCTTTTTTTTCACACATCTCCTTGTTTTTCGGGCTAGAATCGAAATTCCTCTAGTTGAAAAAAATCGTCTTATCCATTTTTAGAGCTTGTAAACAAGCTTCAAATATCTTTACTTTTCAAAGAAATGTAATTCTTCGCAAAGTAGCTCTGTTCCAGAGTCTTCGGTCCCCGGAGGCAATTATTTCCGGAGCACGGCCGTGAACACGAACAAGGCTTTGAGCTCTTCTGCGATGTCCACTGCTACTAAGAATCTCAGCGGTTTATCAGCGTTCTTCTTTTTTCGAAACAAATGTATGATATTTAAGCGTCGGCCGGCTATCCTTACGATCCGGCAGTTATAGCCGCCGCATCTTCTTTGCTACAGTCCAAATCGGCTCCCGGCAACATGTGGAACAAGAAAAGTTGTATTTGGAAACCTTTTTCAATTATAAATGAATATCTTCAGACACCTTCCCCAACAAAACCTACGCTGGTGGCGGAGGACCCAAACGTTTCAACCAAAACCAATCGGCGCCCAAAGACGTTCAACAGTTTTATTGCGAGGTTGAGAGATCAAGAAACAAAAGAAAAATATTATTTTTAGCTCTGTAAAGTGTCTTGCGCTGGTCAGTTGACATACAAGGAGCATCTCGAAGGACAGAAACACAAGAAGAAGCAGGCTCTCGTCAAGGGATCCGCCCCTCAGAGTCTTCCCAAAAATAAGGTTTTTTTTCGGTTCGCTTCGAAAAAAAAAATGAAATTATTCCACATCAATCGGAGAAAGTTTTTCAGGTTTCGTTCATTTTGAGATCTTGGCGGTTCAACAATATGCCTAGGAAACTTCACTTTTGAACTTTAAATTTCTATTTTCATAGTTTCGACTCTAGGAAAAAGTATATGATCTTGAACTTCAAAAAAAGAGAAGATTTTTTTCATTGCTCAGGATATTCCAACTGCAAGTGGTCACTCAAATGAACTGAACAGCTTTCGAGAATAATCTTAATATGAGATTGCAGCATTCTGCGGAAAAAGTTTCGTACTATCTCTCCAAATAAAATTAGGACATCTTCTTCTATTTCAGAAAATTTCAAAGTTTTAGGTTCTGATTCGAGAAATGTTCAGGTTTCATTCCGCTGCGACTTGTGCAACGTTACCTGCACTGGACAAGACACCTACAACGCCCATGTCCGTGGAGCGAAACATGTGAAGACTCTGACGCTGTGCAAGAAGCTCGGCAAGCCGATTCCTTCCACGGAACCCACCATCATCCCTCCTTCGGAACTCGGCGGCACGATTCCGCCCGTCGCGCACCAGTCGGCCATTCCCGGAGCTCCCATCCCAACAGTCGGCGTCTCCAAGAGGTGGTTCTAGAGTTTGAATGAATATTTTTCCGATGAAGGCTTCTGGGGAAAGATAGTTTGAAAGGTCAAAAATCCAAAAAGCTGCGACTTACCAAGTTAGTAATATAAGTTGTTAAATTTGCTTGTGCACCATTTTCATCAAATTTAGTAGGAAATTTTCTGCAAATATATTACTTTGTTCTATTTTTCTCACTTTCTCTTGTTGAATTTCATCCATTGTTCTTTATAGTCGCTTTGACTCTAGATTAAACCCAAAAATCACTTTTTTTTTGAATCTAAGATAGGAGGTCTCTGGGTAGACTAATTTATCACGTGTTCTGTTTCCTAACATTAATAATTGCCAAATAAAACTATAAGATACACAAATAACCATTTTCCTGAAAAAAGTTTATTGAAAACGGTACACTGACTGTTTCGAAGCCTTTTGAAGTTCTTTTATCTAGGCGTATTGTACGATGAAGTTCCAACAAGACTTTTAGATTCAATTTTCTATTCATTTTTCCTCCTAATAAAAAGTGCATACTTTAATGAAAAAGTTTCTCAGAGTTGTCGGAATTTCGACGGTCAACTTTGTCGGCGGATCCAAGCTGAGCTCAACCGGACAGCTGGAGACCAAAAAGGCCGCCGTCGCAGAAGCCGTCGGAAGTGCTGGAAAACTCGTTGACGCAACGGCCAACGCTGTCAAGGCACAGCCTCAAGATATTCAGGTACTTTCAGAATACTCATATCGAAATATGATGAAAAATGGCTTCGAATAAACTTTTATTATTACTCAAAACGTGTAGTGGAGGACCATTTTAGGCTCTGATCGCTGCCGAGCAAAACGTGCAGCCGGTCGGCGAGGAGTACATCGACTCGGAGCGTGACCCCACGGGAAAGCTCCTTCAGTACATCTGCAAGCTGTGCGACTGCAGGTTCAGCGATCCCAACGCCAAGGAAATCCATTTGAAGGGACGTCGTCATCGTCTTCAGTACAAGAGCAAGGTTTTTATTGAGAACAAAAGAGAGGGGCGAAAGTGTAAAAAGTTTTTCTGATGATGCTAATTTATTTAGAGAGAACCGAGGAGAATACAGTAAAATTAGGAAAAAGAATGATTCAGCAAAACGCGAAGTCTTCGTGAGGATGAACCTATAGAAAGTTAGAAAGTAGTACAGCATTTCAACGCGACAATTCGTTGAACTTTTCAAGATTTAAATGATTATTGCTTCTATTTCATCTCAAAAATATTGAGTATCCTTTCTTTGAACTCATTTTTATGGTTTACTAGTGGTCGCTTTGATTTTTTTTTTTCGATCACGGAAAAAGAGATTTTTGACTTCGAAAAAAGTTGAAGAAATAAAAAAAAATTGGATTGAGGTTGATCCAACACTCGAAGTCGATATGCGCAACAACAACAACAAGCGTCAAACTAGAAACGATCCGAGAGCTGCACGAGGTCGTCCAGCTCCTGCCATCCCTCCGTCCGTTTTTCCAACCAATGAAGAAAGGAAAGAAAATGTTGCAGACCGATTCCGCTGCGCGGCATGTGGTTTGGTCCGGCTCCGTTCGAATCTCGTCGCACTGAACCTATTGAGGAACGCTATCTCCAGGTTTTTTTCAACCTTTTTTAAAAAATATATTACTCGACTCTCAGGCGAAACACGCTGCAATTTACCCGGTGGACGATGTTTTGACTGGAATCGAAACCTTGGTGAAATCGGCTGAGGAAACTCTGCGCAAAGTTTCGGATGAGCTCGAGAAGGAGAACAAGTGAGAGAAAAAATATGTCTCTAACGGTGGCAGAACCAAAATTTGGAAAAAAATATTCAAAACTACATGATGTTGATTCGGAGAAAAATAAAAAAAAAGTAGAACTTATTAGATGTTCAGAAAAAACCTTTTTATTTCGGAAATGTTTCTCCTATTACAAACGGAACTGTTGAATTGATAACTGAGAGCATAACATAAAAATTAGAAATGCATAAAAAAGCCAGATAAAAAAAAACAATGCAAAAAGATAAAACGGCTATTTTTGCGCAGAGTGAAGTTTTAGAAGAAATATAAGCACACAATCGGTTTTTAGAACTGTTTTTTTATTTTTGATTCCGAGATACGATATCCAGAAGAAGAAAAGAGAAAGGGAACTTTTCAGGCCTGTGTCCGAAGTGAAAGAAGAAGAAGGCGTCGCCGCGCCGCAACCGGAACGAATTCTCAAGGGCGTCATGCGCGTCGGAATCCTCTCCAAGGGACTTGTCCTCAACTTTGATGAAATTGTATCAATTTTGCTCTTTTTCCTTGTTTTCATCGTTCTTCATAGGTCGATCTCGTTGTTATGTGCACGCCGGTGCCGACGCTCGAACTCGTCGACAAAGTTCAGACGCTTTTCGAAAAGCTTTCGGTAGAAATACACACTTCTTTCATATATTTTTGAATATTTCAGGAGTCGACCAATGTTGAGAGAGGCGTCTCGCTGGCTTCCTTCGTCGTCAGCAGTGAAAATTCGAAGCTCAAATGCAGAATTTCGCTGACTTCGAGCGCAATTCGCACTGATCAGTCAGGTACCTTCGAAGGATTTCTAGCACCTAGTTGAACTTTGTTGAAATAAAGTGAAGGTCAAAAAGACGAAGGTAAAAATGGAACAAAGTTGTTCGACAAGTTCTCCCAGTAGCCGTTTTCAGAGCAAAAAAAGAAATTTTTTATAAGTTATGGTGAAAATTACGTGGAGAGATGTTTTTCAAAGTTTTTTTGTATTATCAACCTTTTTATTTGCTGGAAAAAGTTATTACATTGACTTTGATGGGAAAAAAATGCATCTTTGGTGTAAATTATCATTTTTTTGAACTAGAAAGAAAAAAATATTTGTTAAGGGTTCTCTTTGAAAATTTTTTTGATCTTGGAAAGTTGAAGTTTAAAAAAAGACCAAACTTTCTGGTGCATTTTGCCGCCTTGTCTTTTTTTCGCGTCTTTGAATTCATCTTTTAATACCCTGCAAAAGAGTTTGTGTTTTAGGAAATTGAAAAATATGTTTTTTTTTTTCAGGAGGGGATTCTAGAATTTGGATGTTTCCAGAGTAAAGAGCCAAAAAATTCCTTGTTCTTAAATGACAAACTCGAACGAAGATTGAAATGTTTGCTTCAGGGTGTATTTCAAAGAAATATTATAATAGCCTGTCCAAAATTTCATTGTGAGAGTTTTGAAACGCAAAATCATTTCCCCCAAAACGGCTTTTCTTTACGAGACTTTCATAAACTTGTCTACGCTCCTTCGATCACTTGAGCAAGAGGTTTTGAACAGGCTAAACCTTTTTTTGAATCACTTTTTGGCATACACCCGAAAATTCCTCATTGTTTTTTTTCTCGTGTGCTGTCAAGCGGACGGTTAATGGAAAGATGGTCTACGAAATGGATTTAAAAATGTTTATGTATCAAATCAACAACAATCCACACCCGCGATTGAAGTTCCCACAAGATGAAAAGAAGTTTTGGCCTAATGAACATCATATTTTCCCGAAAATTCGAAAGAAAAACGAAAAAAAAAAGGAAAAAGAAGAATGAAAGGAGAAATGTGAGGCCATCTTTCTACCGCTTGCAGATCCCGTCGGAAACGACGTAAAATGCGTGGACAAGCTATATTGCCTTGAAGCGCTTGCACAACTTCGCCATGCAAAATGGTTCCAGGTCGGTGGTGTATTGCGATTATTTCTCTAGTCTCTTTTTTCTCTCCAAAAATGTCAACACTTTTTTTTGACTCCATTTCCATTTTTGATCGTGATGCACCATACTTTCAAGTTTTTTTGCATGATTATGGTCAGTTCCTCAAATGGCGATGTCTTTGTTTGAGTTTTTCAAAAAAAGTTATAACGTTTTTTTTATTCTTAATCGTTAGAATAGTTTATTTTTAAAGGCTTGTCAAAACTGAGTTTGAAAAAGTTTTTTTATTTTTTTCTTCCTGACTTTCCTTTATTAATGGCATCGAACATGTCTTTTTAAAAATAAAAAAATTTAAATGTTCTGAACAAAAAAATTGAGCTGGTTTATTTTCAACTTCGGAGAAGATATTGCCTTTTTGAGCTGACTATACTAAATATATTTTCGCAAATTTTCATCCTTTTTCAAAAAAACTTAGAATCATGCTGAACGTTCAGGCTAGGTGCACGTATTTGCAATCGTGCTCGATTACTTTGCGCATTCTGCGTGAAATTCGCAACCGTTTCAATGTCTGGAAGCCGTTGAGCGACTGGGTATCTTGAAAATTTGACTTATGTATGTTCAATGGAACATTTGAAGATGTGCGAGTTGCTGGTCGAGAAAATTCTGACGTCGAATTCGGGTCCCCTGCCGCCGAGCGACGCCTTCCGTCGTGTCATGGAGGCCTTCTCCAGCGGAATTCTTTCGCAAAGTGAAGATATCTCTCATTTGTCTGCATCTATTCCGATTTCAGGCGGCATTGAAATCACGGACCCTTGTGAGAAGGAGAAGACCAACCCGCTGCAGAGTCTCACCAAGAAACAGAAAGATGATCTCACCGTCAGCGCCAACGAGTTCATCCGTCTCATTGCTTTCAATCAGTTCTACAAGGTAATTCGAAATGTTCTATTGAAGAATGGAAGAAAAATAGTAGTTTCAGTTTCAAAGCTCTTTTTAAAAATTGTTTCTTTTTTTCAAAAAAATTATATTCTTATTCGGTTTTAGTACGGCCCAATGAGGTTGAAAAAAAAAGTACCGAAAAAACACAATTGAACCCTTGTTTGAAAATAGGTTGATAAATGGAAAAGACCATTTTGCGCAAAATATTCGAAATGCCAACTTTCCCCTAATTTCTGTTCTGATTGTTAAGAAAAGCTTTTTGAAAGTCTCACTTATAATCGATGACGAGAAAAATAAGCCAGAAAAATGAATTTTTGGGCCGGAAGGTCTCTTTAATTTTTTTCTAAATATTAAACTTCAAAACTTTTTTTGGTTAGAAATTGTTAGAAATATAAATTTTTCGAAAGAGGCTAAAAAAGAACCATTTTTTGCGTTTATCTACAATTTTACACATTTTGAAGGTCCTGGGAATGGAACGTCTTCCGGACGTTCGCCCATCGATCACTTCTGACCGCAAAAGACCCAACGAGGGGAGCGTCAACGGCGACGGTAGTTCTAGAAGTTATTTGATTTTCTCATTTTTGTATTCCCAGAAGTGAAGAAGGACAAGAAAGACGGCGATGAGGAGATGCCCGAAGAAGCGCCGACGGCTGTCTGAAATATTTTATCTTCCCTTTTTAATAATTTTCTGAAGTTGTTGCTTTGTTTTTTTCGTTTCTCACACTTTTAATTTGATAAATTATACGTGAGCTCATACACGAATCATTTATGATGGGGATACCATAAGGTTCTTTTATTAATTCTACAGGTGTAGTAGCTTTTAGAAGAAAAAAAAAAGAGATAATATTTCCAATGTTTAGGGAGTGTAGGAAGGCAGGCAAGAGCAAAAAAAACTGAATGATGGATGAGGAGAAAAAAGGATTCGATGGAAAAGAACAAAATGGCAAGAGGAAATGAGCCCCAATTAGTGTGAATTGTCGGCAGAAATTTCGGAGAAAGAGAAAACAAGCAACAAAATTTGAGAAAATGGAGAAAAAATATGATAGAAAACCTTCCTGACTAGTACACATGAAGAAGAGAGAACCAAAAATGAAATGAAAAAGGAGAAGATAAAAGCCGTCGGGATAAGAAGGACAAAAGGAGGAAAAAGGGGGGAGAAATAAGTTAAGGAACAAGAGTCCTAGAAATGAGTATTGCACTAGGCGATGATGATGATGATGATGTCGTTGATAACGAAATTGAGTGAAGAGAAGGAACCGGAGGAGTCGAAGAGCATAGAAACGGTAATTGAGCCATCGGGATTTCTCGAATGCAAGTATTCGCTGGGTACACGGAAGTTGAGGCCATGCATGTAATCAAAATTCACGGTCCGTAGTTTCAGAAATTCTTTTGAGCCGGTAGTATAAATAAATGTTTCTATTGATTAGCCAATTTACGGACCGTAAACTTCTAAAGGGGGAGATTGACGTTGTGGGCGGGGGTCCAGGAGCTCGTCTGGACCTTCCAGCGGTCGTAGTTCGCCTCCAGCTGCTTGTTCAGCTCCGGCAGCTGCGCAAACTCCGTGAAGTGTGCAAAAAGCTTCCCGAGCGAACATGTCTGAAATTATAAAAAAACCTTAATAACAAAAATTTTCGATGAAAAATGATTGAAAGGGCATTTGAGGTTCCAAACCAGATTTTCATTAAAAAAATTATTTTCTTCAAAAATTTAAAAAAATGCAATATAGCCTGTCCTGTTTTTGAATGTGAAGCGGTCGCTCAAGCTCCGCCCCTAATGGCGCGATAAACCAATTAGAGAGCGAGTCATCCACAGAGCGTTTTCGAATGAAGTCATTACACTTGACTTTTAAAATATGAACACACCAAATGGCATGAAACAATTGCAAACATTTTTGGGGGAATCCCATAGAAAATCGAAAAAAGACTTGCTGAAGAAAATTTTTTTTTTTATTTTGAGAAGCTAACACAGAACTTTGGATATAATTTTCTTTCCATCTCCTTTTGGACATAATTGAGAAATATCGAAGTTCAAGATTTAAATGAAAAAAACAAGTGAACTTAAAATTTCCTCAAAAAAACAACCCCTAGCTCTGGTGGAACTTTTGTAAAAGAAAAATAGAAAACCAATGAATCCGCATTGGGTGATAGGCACATTGCAGGTGTTCCTGTCGAAAACTTCCATCGTGATCGGCAAGCCTTTTTCCCGCTCCTCCCGAGTCTGAATGGGCAAGCTCAGAAATGCATCAAGCCAAGAAACAAATTAGTACTATTAATGAATAGATCTGTTGCCGAAAAGTAACTTTCTGATCAATTTAGTCACAAAGCCGCTTTTCAAAGCTTATTTTAAAAATCAAAAAACTCTCATAAAACAAACTTAGGAAAAGACAAGAAGTGCTGTGTTTCAAGTATCTGAAACTCTTCTTTCAGAATAACAAATCTTCTTTCCTAGAGCACTTATAAAACATATCTAGAGACGCGTTTTTCCATGAGCTTTCTGAAAATTTGAGATCATTTCACTTTGAAGTTGACCTTTTCCTGAAAGTTGGTCAGAGCACTTCCTGATGTATCGGAAGAAGATTCCGAAGTCTCAACCTGCACAGCTTCCCAGTTTGAAAAAAAGAACGCTTCAAAGTCAAAGAAAACAGTTTGAAACTTTCAAAACCTTCTTTCGGTACATCTAGGAGTGCTCAGACCAAATCTTCAGGAATTCCCAACCACACAGTGAAATGAGTCTCCTCGTGAGACATTTCGGGACGATGAACCTGTTCGAAATACTCTTCGACGATCCGGAAGCCCCATCGTTGGCAAAGAGACCACTCTCGCGTCGGATTCGAGATGTCGGCGCACTTGACGAGCATGTCGCAGATCGTGAGCGAGTTCGTCTCCCTTTCCTCTTCCATCACGTCCACCACGTTCATCTACAACTTTTATTTTGTTTCTTTTTTTCTATAGCAGGGAGTTCATATAGGTTTCATTTTTAGTTTTTAGATTTTGACGTCTTTTTTTCCGCCAAATTTAAACGCCCCAATAAGCCAAACATTCTTTTTTTCTAGTAGCGTTAGAGTGTTCGAAGTTCAGAATTATTCCTGAACTTATTTTTAGAGAGTTTCAAAGCCAATCTTTTTTCTTGATTCATAGCATCTCTTTTTTCTCGAAACACGAAAAAACACCGACTCCATCTTTCCAAATTTGTTTCAGGAATATATCTCAATAAATCCTTCGAACCCCCCAACCATCCTTTTTTCGACATTTCAAGATTTGATACACCTCGCATTATCATCCTCTCACCACAAATCTTCATCCCCGCACTTATAATGTTTTCAAACACAAACGTGTGAATGACGCACGTCCGTAAATTTTCATTATCCGTAAAAAAGGAAGAAGAAGAAATATGCGGCTTCTCAAAGAGTTATCTCAAAGATCTCCGAAACTATTGCAAAATTTGGTTTACAAAGTCACGGGAAATTCATAAAAACCTTTGAAATTTTAGGCTTTTCCGGAAACAGAGTTCTATCCCTCATAATCGCAAAAAAATAAGATTTTCTAGCCATTTTCTCTGATGAGAAAAGATAGCTTGGACTGAAGATCGGATTAAGAATCCCGTGGTCATTTAAGACTCACGCCATTACGCAACACTTTTTTCTCATGACTTTCCCTCGGAATTGTACCTCTAATCCTCAGTTATATCACGTTTTATCCTACAAAGCGAAAAAAAAAAACGAAAACAGAAAAACAGATTAGCCTGGTCAAAAATCTCGGAATCGGAGAAAAAATGAACCCGATTGAAGCCTCTTGAATACTGGGTTGAAAAGTTTGGAACAGTGAAATGAATTCACAAACCTTTATAAAATGGAAAATTTCCAGTTGAAAAGATAACCAAAAACGACATTTTTTTCAAATCTAACATCACAGAAAAATCACTTCTTCTATTCGGACTTGACCACAGCAAAAAGTAGTTTCCTCTTGATTTGTTTTAGAAGTTCACTTTTGTTAAATTTGAAATGTGGATAAATTTTTGAACTTCAAAGGTTTAATTAAAATATCCAATTCTTATGGAACTTCCGACTAAATACACAAAAAAAAAACTGGTTTACGAGGTAAACGAAACCCTTTCACTGATGATGATGACCTCCCTTCAATGATAGTTCTTTATTCCATGAAATTTTTCTTCGATTACTCTTTTCAAGGTCTCTTCGCGAACCTTATTGAACTTGGCGAGGTATTCGAAATGCCGGCTGATGTCCGTCGCCAGGACCATTTCGATCATGGCGTGTCGCATGGAGATGAACTCTTCGCGGTTCATGTTGGAGAAGATGTTCACCTAGAAGAAACCGAGAAATAGTCATCAAGGAGAAGTTTTTGTCGAACATCGGCAGAGGGTTGGAAAGTGAGTTGGAAGGCGAGGGCGATGTGGTGGTTTTCCAGGACGGAATGGTCGTTGTAGAGGACCGCCAGCGACTGTCGCGTGTTGATCAGGAAGGCGTTCCCCCGGCCTGAAACACCAACATCAGCTTCAATCGTTCAAAAAAAAAAAAAACGCTATTTCCAAGGCCTTTGAAATACCGATGAGTAAAACTTAGAACCATTGAAAAGCTCATTTAACAGATACTTTGAAGAAAATTGAGATTTGTGTTTTTCGTAGTTCAGCCGTGAATATTTGCTTCTCAGGAAAGATCAGAAAGGTTCATTTCGAAATTGGAAATAAGGTGGATTTCTACCAACTTTAGACGTTAAGCGAAATTTTTCAAAGCTTGAATTTTCCCTTTGTAGTTTTCCGGTGCAATTTTATCAAAGAATGTTGTCAAACTGACTCTTTTTTGGAAAACAAAAACATTCAGATGACAAGAAAAAAGTACCAGGATGATCCAAGTCGTGGACGGTGGCGGCAAGAATAGCGGCGACCGCGTGGCTTTCGTTGACGTGCGCCGCTACAGAAGGCGAGTCCAAGAAGAACGACGTCGCCTGAAAACCTTCCTTCTGTGCTGAAATTGTACCTCGAACGCTTGAAACCCTATGTTTTCGTGGATATTTTTGTGCCCATATAATCTCTGTTGTAGATTATGTACAGTAAACTCAAAAAACGTTATTATTTGCTTTCTGAGGAATTTTCAATATCTGGCACACTCGGGAGACAAAACTCTTACAAAAACAGAAGGGAAAAAATTTCATCAAGTTTAAAAATTCAGTTATCTAATAATCTGCATTGCCTTACATGCAGTAATTTTCTTTTGTTGTGGAATGAAATCATTTGATTTGATTGATAACTTGACTTTGGCCTAGATCTTGTTGAGAAAGCGAAAAAAGCGGAACCTGTAGGACGTCGGCGGCGTGAGTTGCATTGTGATATGTGTTACCCGCATGATAATGAGCCTCGATAGTCATAAGCCATCTGTTGAGCGTTTCGATGTTGGCCCCGAGCACGTCGTTCACTTTCCACCTTTCATACACCTGCAAAACTTCATATTTCCCAAAAAATGATCAAATTTATGTCTTTAACTATACAAATTTGCCGCCTTTATGATTGGTTTTTTTTAGTAAGTAAGTCGAAAAAAGTCGGCTTAGTTTTTAAGCATTCCTGTTCGGATTTTTAGTTCTTAGGGCAAACTATCGACTTATTTTGACTATAAAAATATGTTTTTTTTGCTGTTTTTTTATAAAAAAATCTTTCAGCGATTTTCCATGAATTTTAATCGAACAAGCTTCAAATGATTTCTTCACCGCTGCCTTTAGAAAAATTTTTTTCCATGGATCTTTAAACGATTATGGGAACCATATTCAGAAAAATATATTCCCACGTCTTTTTTTTTTTTTCTTATTTGACAGTGAATAAACTGTTGTGCCTTTTTTTAGACTTAAATAACTTCTTTTCTTCAATTTTCCATTTTTTTTTCTCCTCTTTAACAAAATAAACAATTAAGAGCACCTTCATGCCGAGCTGGCTCAAGGCGTGATATTCGGATACTTTCTCGAGGAGCAACACGTCAAAACTCCAGCAATTGTCATTCTCGAGGGCGTTTTTCACGTCGGCCGACACTCGCCGCCGTTCCCCATGAGACCCTGAAGATTCTAAAAAATTCGAGTTGGGTGTCGGGTTGGGTTGAGAACAATGTTGGGCACATATCCACACACACACAACGTAAGCACCTCGTTTCTCGCGATACGCGTCGACGACGCTTTTCTTGCGTTGTCGCGCCGGATGGTGCAGTCGGATGAGGCCGTCGTAGTACTGCGTCGCGATGCGGTCCGAGTCGCGGAACCGCGTTATCGACGGCGCGTACAGCTCGTGCGATGACAGAACCTAACAAATGTATCTTTTCATTCGGAGAAACGTCTTTTTGAGGCACATAATATAATAACCAGAAAAAACTCATAAGTTGAAAAAAGGTTGATTCGTAAAAAAAAGAAATATAGTCGCTGATTGGATAAACAAAATTCTGATTTTCATAACGGAAAATCTTTCCTGAGAAATTTAGAAAGGAAAATAAATGAGAATAATGAGTTAAAACAATAAAATTTTCGTCAATGAAGCGCAGATATTTTCGAACTTGAAACTTGTAGATAAACAAAAAAGGGGTGATTCAAGAAAATAACGGAAGAAAAGTACCCTGACAGCGTCGCGGACGAGCTGCGCCGGTTCTCCGTCGACGCGAGCGGCCGCGTCGCGCAAAAGAGACAAAACTTCGGAAATGGGCGCCTCCACGATTCCCGCCTGCGACTTCAAGCTTTTCAGCGACACATCACGAAAAATTGCAGCTGAAAATGACAAGATTGGAGCTACTGAACAAGATTTCAAAAAACCAACCATCGCTTCCAGTATTCGGCCGTTTGAGATACACGTATTGTTTACTGAAAATTCATAAATGTATTGTTCATCTCTTCATTAACATGGGCATCACAGAAAGTCATCAAAATATTTATCCCAAAAAGGAAATGAAAAGGAAAGGAGAAAGATGCGAAATAAAACTTATAAACAGCAATCTCCTCATCAAAATGTGTTTACTCCGCATTTCGCGACTCAAAAGGGCGGGACTTCTCTGCGCCCTCATCGTCTATCGGCAACGCTCCCATGATACCGCGCTATTCTCAGGTTTCTCTAACCTCGCCGTTGAGGGAACAGAGAGACGCAGACACTCCAAAAGAATCATGTTGCGTCGAACGGGTTATGGTTAACTGTCCTTTTTTTAATTTAGGAAATATGAACCAATTTTTGTGAAAATTCTCGGATTTAAGTCAGTGAAGTGTATAAAGATTCTTTCCTTCAATTAGAAACAAAGCTTTTTCGAAGAAAACGCTCAATCATTTTTTTTTTTTCTTTCTTCATCAGAGCGAAGAGCTCCAGATCACAAAAAATGAGTTTTTCAATGCTTTCTGATGGTTTTCTCTCGAATAAATTACGTCGATTTGATCTGAAAGGGAAGGAATTACTTGACGGAATGCGTCGGGACCCGGATGCACCTCCAATCGGTGCTTCTTCGACGTTCGTAACTTTCTTCACGAGCTCGCGGCAAAGATTTCCGTCGCATTTCAGACTCTGGTTGGCCTAAAAGATTATGTTAGCACAAAAAAATTAAACTGAACTATTAAACTTTCTTGAAGAATGCAAAAAATTGACTCCCACTAAAAAAATTTCACCATGTTCAACTTCCACATCATTAAATATAATGATAAAAAAACTGTGGAATTTCTGCTACAGAAGAAGATTTTTGATCGATAAGAAAAAAACATAACGTGAAAGTTTTATTTTTTTCGCAAAAAAATAAACAAGATGAATGAGAATAATACCTGTATGCAAGTTTAAAATTTAATAAATATGAAGAAAACGGGAGAAAAAAATCGAAAAAAAAAAATCTCTGTCAAAGGCGGTTTTTTTTGAACGCGCATCCTCGAATATTAAAAAAGCTGTTGGAAAAGGAAAAGAGTGAAAATTACCAATGACTTCCGTTCGGATGCAGCCAGTGACGGCCTCGTAGGCGCGGTTGACGTATTGGACCAACTTGGATTCGTCGCACACTTCGACGGCTTGGTCGGCCTGCAAATGTTGGGGATCGCCAGTATATTTTCCAGTAGAAAGAAAACTTGGAAGAAAACAATCGGTTGTTGGTAAACTATTCGAAATCTGACAACTTGACTAATTCAACAACAACATAAAGGATCTTAAATTTTAACAATGGAAAGCTCAAAAAGGCTTACGCTACAAAGAAAAGAAGTTCAGTTTTCCGTCCAATTCAGATATACTTTTTAAGGGGATTCCTAAACAACATTAAGATTACCAAAGTCCATTTCCTGACCAAACTCGATATTTCCGTCTCTACTTTCACGCATATTTATGGTATCTTCTATGTGCCCTATCGAATTTGGGTCGATTGTTTTGAAATCAGACACTTCAAACTTTATTGAACGCTCAGAATGAGTTTCTCGCTTGTTCAACGAAACAAGTTATGAAGAACGAAGCAAATTTGTGACAATCATCCGAAAATACAGGGGTTGAAATACATAATTTGAATTTGTATCCTTGCCCCCGCTGTTCTATGAACAGGTTTCCAGGAAGTAAAAAACAAGATACGAAATTAGATCTAAAAAGCGGATTATTAAGCTTCGATTGCTACAATCATCACCTTTTTTATCTAAGTTTGAAAATCCCGCTCTTTCTCATACCTATACTTACCCATTTCAGCAATAAAAAAATTTTATTTTTCCAACCAAGGAGGCTTTCACGCCTGAATTCCCAGAATCCTATCAAAATTATATTATAAAAATAACCATGAAATAAATGAAAAAAAGAAACTTATTTTTTTGAAATAGAGGAAATTATCAGAAAGCTGCAAAAAGAATACCTCATCGAGGGCAGTGAATAGAGCAGGCAAAACTCGGAGTCGATTCGACATTTTCGCGAGAAAATCGAAGAGACCCGTTTCTCTGGTGCTCCATTGAACGACCTAAAAGTCGAATATGACAATTTCATTTTTTGGAAAAAGCAGAAACAGAAATTTAGAAAGTCGAAGAAACAGCTCGGACCTTCGAAACGCGAAACAGACGCGAATCGGAAGTTTCGGGGCATTCCGAGTGACCACTTTAGTAGCGTCAGCGCTCTTAAATGATCTCTAGAAATGTCCAGGAACGTCCGGAGCAGGTCCGTTTCGCGTTACCAATGTCCGAGAGTTGATATCAGATTATTCCCTTTTTGACAAAAATATGAACCGCCTTACTCGGTTAGTTCATAAAAATATGAACATTAATACAGAATCATCTGAAAAAAAAAAACACTTTATCTAAAGAAATCAATTTTCAAACTTGTGTGAACTTTTTAATGTTCTTTCTGAACCAACCAATGAAACAAAAACTGTTGAATTTTTATATTTCTTGACAAACTTACATGAAGAATGTTGGACTGTGAGATCGACCTCCGTCGTTTCTCACTAACTTCTCTGCAAATCGCAACAAAATAATGATTTTTCTCGAACGACAAACCTTTCGGAAACTCCTACGAACAACACCTCTTCTCTTGATATTGACGAAAGAGCTCTGAGAAAAGATATTTTATCTTTATCATTCTTTGATACATTATCATCATCATCACGATTTTCAGTACAGTCTTTTTTTAACATAAACGTGTGGAATTCTCTCATTTTCCGCCCTATCTCCCAACTTTATAAAGCTTCTTCAAAATTCACTTCTTCTTTCTTGAGCGAGACTTTGCACTCTTGTCATCAAAAAAGGTTTTGTCAAAAGCCATAGAGCGCCTATATTCTGTTATTTCAGCCCACATCATTCATTTCCAGTCATTCTGTTCTTTGCGACACGTTTTCTCAGTTAATTTGCAGCCAAAAACCTTTCAATTTTCGCCAACTTCCTCCTCTTTTCCACACCATGGACATCTATAATCATTTTCCATTTCCGACGAGCTTAGTAATTCGACAAAGCCTACGCAAGCAATGTACACAAGAGAGACGGGCCCCTCCGATAATTGCCTTATAGATATCTTATCAACAAGTCTCGTACGACGCGGCGTACCCTACAATTTGAGCAAAAATTGACCCGTAATTCAATTTTTTTCCAGCTTCAGCCGCGCAAAGAAAAAAATTTCTGTTTAAAGATAAAGAACGAAACGAGAAAAAAACTGCAAATTAGAAAAATTGAAAAATTTTTGCGCCAGCTGAATAAGAATGACCAAAAAGAAAAATTGGATTTAGATTTTGAATTTTTTTTTCTTTTCACGGAAAAACACGCCGGCAAAACAATCTCAAGCATAGCCTACGCGTCGAGACGCTTACTGAGCTTCAAAATTGAAGTAAAAACTTTATTTCCGTAGTTTTCAGCGGCTCAACAAATCCTCGATGTTTAGGCTTACTAGACCTTATTATATTCTGATCCTTGGGTGGTATGAAAAAAACACCAGCGAAAATTCAAACGGCGACTTTTCCGATTTTTTCATATCGCTAGGGAACTTTCCGACGGCCATCTTTCCGACGAATCTTTTTCCGACTTTTTTTTTCTCGATAAAACTTTGTTTTAAATCTTCCTATACAAAGTAGGTAGTTGGTTCATGATTAAAACACAAAGAAATAGAAAAATGTAAATAGATGTTTTATAAACCGAAAAAAACTTAAGGGAAAAAAAGTCGGAAAAAAAGATTCGTCGGAAAGGTGGCCGTCGGAAAGTTCCCTGGCGATATGAAAAAATCGGAAAAGTCGCCGTTGGAATTTTCGCTGGTGGTTTTTTCATACCACCGATCCTTGGGAGTGAAAATGAGAAAATCTTTGGAAAACACAAGAATAGGAAAGCTGAGAAAGACGGCCGTAAAAGAACAGAAATTATGAGCTCTCAAAAAGATTCAAGACTACATTTAAATAAAATAAATAAACTGTATATAAGAATAATTCCGTTCCGATTAAAAAAATCTTCTTGATTATCATTAGAGCACATGTAGGCGGCGGCTTTTTTTTTTCGACGTTTTCCATTTTTCAAGCGTTAGTTTTGCTAACAGCAATTCTTCTCTTTGCCTATTACTGAGACAGGCTTTTCGTGCAGAGATTATTTCAGATGAATTACAATGCCCCTTTGAACCAAGTCTAAAACATGATTTTTCGAACGGCGATTCAAAATATTTAAAAAAAACCAGGAATTCTCTCCCAAATAGCTGTTACCTTGCATTTAAAAAAGAGTCCGTTGCAAAGATCTATTTTTTGTGGAGATCGTTTCAAGACCCTTATTTGAAACTTAATGATTTTTCGACTTATCAGACAAGCTGTTTCAATTTTTTTCGAATGAATTTCCTGCTGCGCGTGTTGTATTCCCATAATTTTCTATTCAACAAAAAGAAAGGAAAAAAACTGCATTCGTTTCCCACCAAAGTGTACCATTGTTTTGTTTCAGGCGCCAAAACTTTGCGGTAAACGTTGGGGCCAAAACAAAACGAAACATTCACACGCACAGAACGTATGTATACACGTAATCGTAAAGAATCCGCGATGATGATGATGGAAGGCTGAATCAGAGGCAAAACAAACTTGGCAACGTGACAAACGTCGGCGATCCGCAGGTCGAAGAGCACCAAAGTCGGCCAAAGCTCCTCGAACATCGCCTCGGCCTGAAAAGTGAGCTTCAAAATAAAAATAAATTTTTGTTTTGCGTGTTTGAAGTGATGAACTCCTCTAGAAAATAATAATTCCAGTCGAAAAAAATGGAGATTATTGGAGCTTGAATGTATAAAAGTGCATACCTAACAAGGGAAGTGGTTTTAGTGTGAAGCATGGAATTTCTTACAACTTTTCCCAAAAGCTTTTAAAAGATCTATCTATATGAATAAAGAAGATTCCAAAGTTCCCACTGAAATGACCTACCTTTTTATGTGTCTCAATTACATTCATTTTCATCTCAAAAAAAGTTTCTCCTCTTCGTTTTTCGCACCAAAAATATTGAAAAACTGAATATTTTTTTCCTGTTTTTCATGAGAAAAATGAAATGAAAGTTTTTATTTACACACAGGGAGAATTTCCCAAATGAAAGCGTGATGATGGTGATATATCAAAGAATAATAAATGATGATTGGACGGAATTGATGAATTCTTTTCATTTTTCAGAAAACCTTTAGTCAGTATCAACAGAAGTGGTGATGTTCGTGAGTGATTCCAAAGAGTTTTTCGTTCGAAAAGGGGAAAACACTATTCTATCGTAATTATATATAAGCGAGCGACAAGGGGTTTTTGTTTTTTTAGATATAAAAAAATATTGAAGAAGTTTTTTTCCTGTCCAAGAAAAAAATTTTTCAATTCAGTTCCAACAAACTTCAAAGATAGCTGCTCTGAAAAAAGAACCCTGATTTTTTTGAAAAAAGAATTATATTCTATTCTAAAACCTTCGGGAGAATGTTCAAAGAAGCATGTACAAATTAATTAAAAAAATATATTTGAAAGTAATATTTATTCAAGTGCTTTTTATATGATACTCAAAAAATCTCAGCTTCAAATATAATCAGCAACTTTTGGAACAAAAAATCAAGTTGAATGTTTTCCAAACTTAAAAAACTTCATAACTACCTTCTTGTTCTCGAACACAAAAAAAATTCTGGAGAAAAAAAAATCAGACCTAATGAGAAAAGAAAGACTCGCCATTTGACACGTTTTCGCTCTAATTGCTTCTCAGTAACCCCTCGAAATTTTTTTATTTCTCGTTCAGGAAGATTTTTGACGTGTATTCAGTTTATCAAAGACTGTCAGAAAGGCTTGAATACACGATTCCTTTCAAAAATACGGGACTAACGTCTCTTTTGTTGAAAAAAATTGACAAAAGCGCATGATTGAGATCAATTCTTAAAGGAAAAATGGGTGAAAAGAAAAAAAAATGGAGGGAAGGGTACCTGAGAAGCCGTACAAACAACGGTGGTCCATCCGGCGGCTCTCAAAGACTCGGTCAGAGGACCCTCGCTGACGCCTTCCGTCACGAGTAAAGCCTGCAAAACCTTTGATTGAAGTGGAAAAGCTAAGGAAACGGAGAAAAAGTAACAAGGAAATCATAAATAGTAGATGATTCCTCCAAAAAAAAGCACCTGTAAATTTTTTTTGCTGATCGGCAAAAAGCAATTTTCAGAAGAAAAACAGAAAAGCTTTTTAAAACAAGTTTCTTTCTAGCAAATCTCCAACATTTTCTATGATAAAAGGATTGAGAGGGTTGAAGCGTTAGAAATATTCCAGATTAACAAAAAATGTTCTATTCTTCCTAGAACTTCTTATTTCTACAATTTTTCCTAATTCCATTCGTTTCCCAACATGCTTGAAGAGCATAGACAAAACTCTCCGGCGAAAAAGGTAATATTTTCAAAACTAATCTCGACTTCCAAGCCCTGCACAATGCTGTTGTCAACTGATTATAACCCAAAAAAAAGCTGACAGGTTTTCTGAATGACATTCCGGCCTTTGTGAAAGTTCCAGTTTATTTATGTGGTTACAAGGCCAATTTAGTTCCACCAACAGGTGCTTTTCAAGCTTTCCCAGCCTCTATAAATATCTGAGAATTGATTTTCAAAGCCAAAATGCATGATAATTATTATTCCTGAGAAAAAAAGTAGTTTAACAGTTCCTTGGATCTATTGGGATTTGAAATTATTTAAAGGCTTTCCTGATCGCCTCAACTGAAAAAAAAAACATTTTGCATTTCTAAGATTTTGAAGTACCCTCCATTATTTCTTCTCCACGATACGATAAGAATCGTTTTGCATCTTGAAAGATTGGCAAAAGGGCGAAAAAGACGAAATAATTGGCACCGCTCAAGCAACGGATTGTCGTCCTCGTTTTGCACTACGACGACGGCTCCTATGATCGATTGTTGTTGAAACGCGCAATTCGTCACAATTAGCTTCGTTGAATAGTGGACAAAAAAGAAAAGCGGAGGCGCCCCAGAGCTCGGCATTTAACACGCGATAAATCCCGCGAAAGAACTGCGAAAAAACCCCATTGAATGAATGAAATGTTTTTTTTCTGCTTTTTCTCCTTGTTGGATGCGAAATGCACGGGTAGTCGTTAAGGATGGGGCTTTCCTTCGCTTCCATTGGTCGACCCACAAGAACAGCTCTCGTTCTTTGTTGACCACTATTCAACATTGGAATTTTCGCTTAATCAAGGACTTAAAAGGAGAAGCGGCTCATCAAATGAAAGAGGCCGAAATAACCTCCCTTGAGCAAGCGAGGATGAAAATTGCGAATTCTAACGTCCACTCATACACACTCATTAGAAGCTTATTTTTACTCCATCCAATACTAGTTTAGCAAAAATATTACAGAACCGTCTAAACCTTTTTTCGCGCATTGTTACTCTTACTTCTCAAGCCAGCCGTGAATGCTTATGAAGATAAAGCAATTTTCTATGAAAAAAGAAGATTTTGATTCTTTTTAGAAAAGAATATGCTCCTTCTAAAGAAAATTATGAAGCTATTCACATAAAACTTTCCAAATGAAAATTGTTCATCAATTGAAATTCATCTTTTCAAGCTACTTCTTCCAGTATTTCTGCATCAGATCTTTCAAAACCTAAACTACAGTATCAGAGTGCACACAAATCCTGATGAACTAGCGAAACTCACATTCAAAAAGTTACTCGAAAACAACTCCCTGGGGGAATGTCCACTTACTCGGCGGACTCAATATTCCATAAAGAAACTTCAACAACGAAGAATGGGAAAATTGAAAATGAAAGTTTACTATCAGTATCCATAAACAAACTAGAACTTAAGGAATTTCCCTGACTATCCAATTTCGGACTCAAAACTTGATTGAGTAGAAACTTAAATTAATCACTAAATGGAGAAAAAAAACTTGCAAGATTTAAAAAAAAAATTTCATTATTCCACTCTGTTTAACAAAACCTTAGGTCAGAATTTATTTTTCTTACAATTTTCTCTAAAAATCTCAATCTAGCGGTTAAAGAACTATAGAGAGACCTTTACTGTTATACTCCCTTGTCCGTTTAAAAACTCATCAATATACTTCAAAGCAAACAAAAAAAAAAACATGAAAAATAAGAAATAAACTAACAGATTTATAGAGTTTGATGCTCATGGGACCGAACTGGTCGTAGGCGTGGGACGTTGCCGCCGCAGCGGCGTTGATGGTCGTCGACGGAAGCAAAGGCGTTGTCGGTGGTCCCTCGGACCCACCGCAGCACCATCGCATCGCCTTGGACAGGCTCTGGGCTCTTCTAGTCGTGCCGCCGCCTCCGCCGCCGCCGCTGCCGACGCTGCTCTTGATGCTGTTGATGATTCTGCTGGTGCCGACGCTGCTCTGTCTCCTTGCGGCTTCACAGCAGTCTTGCGTCCTCTTTTTCCACCGCGACCGCCCCTATCGATCTCTGACGGCTCTCCGCCTCCGGCAATACTCTCTCATGAGCTCCGTGGCGTGTGCGCGGAGCGCGCGTTGCTTTTCCAGCACCCCACCCAACACAACAAAACTCTCTCTCGTGTCTGTCTCGGCAACACTCGCCATTCCTACACTTCCTCGGGAAGTCTGTGTCGGCTCTTTGCCAGAGGCCATTTGGTCACTCCCCTCAGGCGTTCCTCCAATCAGCCGTTTTTTTTTTCTCTTTTTTCTTCTGATTTTTGTTCGTTGTTGTTTTTTTATTCAAAGGTATCGTTTTTTCGATTTTTCTAGAGATATTTCATGAAAATTCATCAAATAAACAAAAAAGAAACATACACGCAAAATAGCTATTTAAAAAACTAAAGTTACATCTTTAAATGATGGTCTAGTTTTATATGCTTGAAAAATTGTCCAGTACATTTTGGAACTAAATACATGCAAATTTTGAGAAAAGTTCATCACTGTTTAATGGTAAAGGTGTTATATCATAAATCCGTCTGGTAGGGACTAAAAATCGTTTTCACTGATAGCTGTTATCAAATAATCTGACTACCGTTTGATAAGCTTGAATGATCAAACAATATTCTTTGTTTGAAAAAGTACATCCGTTTAACATCCACTCTCAATGTGATGCTTTAGAACAGCAAAAATTAAAAACCTTCAATAAATATATACTTCTATTTAGTCATTAAAAAATCGAACTCAAACTTTTAAATAAGTTCTTTTTTCAAGTTGCTATTAAGAAAAATCCACCTCGCAATGTTCAAAAACTCAAAACAGGTTTTTAAGGATTTCGAGAGAACTAGAAACCGTAATTTTCTAAAAGTTCTAAGGCTCTTTTTGATGTTCTGAGATACATTGTAAAAAAAATTATTGGTGGTTATTGGTTTATTGGTTTCAATTAAAATTATAAAAAAACTTTATCTTCAAATAACGGAAAAAAGTTTGGGTGTTCTCTGAAGATTTCAAAAGGTCATTCAAGAGCTTCGACAATAAGATCTTCTAAAAAAAGTAATTACTTTCTAATCTCAACTTTTTCCGATAAAATAAACTCTTGCAAAACAAGGGAATATGGGTTTTTGTGGATATCGTCGCCCACTGCGTCCGTGTGTTTTGTTGACGCAACGCCCTGGGGCAATTGTAAGAATTTGCACAGAATGATAGCAAACACCCGTGCGTGCCAATGTTAAATCCCGTGTTCATGTGTCGTTAAACACGCCAATATATGTAAATGTGTATTTTTTCGTGTGTTAAGAATTTCCCCAATAATAATAACTGGTTTTCATATATTTTTCGGATCAACTACTATGGTACAGATTGAATGAAAAAAAATACAGAAGCTTACGAAAAAAACGTCAAGAAAGTGGAACGCGGTACATGGAATCGCACGAATGAACAACGACGCGAGGACCTCCCTCATGACCAATCAGCTGCAAATAATCTTTATAATGGACTTTTTTTCAACTTTCTTCCAGGTGACAGCTTCAGTAAAAAAATTTTTTTATCCTTAGGGTTAATAAAAAAATTTCTACCATTAAAAAAATCTTTATTTGGCATTCAAAAAAATCTTTTTTTAGTTTGCACTGAGCTACTTTTAAAAAAATTTCAAATTAAAACTTGCATGAAAAATCTATTTTCGTTATTTCAGAACTTTTTTTGTGTCTCACTTCAATCTACATGCAATTTTTTTAGTATTAATTCACTAGAAAAACGACCTTTTTTTAAAAATAAACTATTTGAAAAATCAGTCGAGAAACTTCCATCAATTTTTTTAGACTTACAGTATCGTCGCTTCCCTTCTTTTTTTCATAAAATACAACTTGAATTTAATGTAAAAATCACTTGCTAATAAGAAAAAGAAGAAAAAAACCTCGATGGTTTTTTCCTGCCGATTCTCGCCGATCTTCTCAAACCAGCTAGTGGCGACCATCAGAAACCTTGAAAACCGAAAAATTGAAACTATTTGAACTTGATTACTTCTCGAAATCAGGGTACGACTGATAAAAATGTACCGAATCCCGTTTCTCGCCGATTCTGTCAGAAGCGAAAGTTCTGAAATAAAAAGAAAAGTGCAAGTTCGGATCACTACGATCGATAATTTCTTTTAGAATTTCAGAAAGTGCTTTATACGAAAGTGAAAAACCTCGCGATATTTTATTGATTTGATTCCTTATGAATGAATCGATAAAATTATATTCAAATAAAAAAGAAAAAATAACTTGAGTGCGGTATTGATCACATCGAAAGCACAACGCGTGAACCCGAAATAAACAGCTTCTGGGAAGAGAATCGTCATTTTCTGTAAAGAAAAATAAAAAATTTGGCTCGCAGACTACAGAAAAAGACTTCGATAAGCTTGAAAAGACCTTGGCATAATCTTTATCGTGCCAAGTGTCCGCCATATCACAGCCATCCAGAAGAATCGAGTGAACTTTATTGAAGTTTCCTTTTTTCATGGATGAAATCTGCAAAAAAGGAGTTATTGCCGGATACTTCAAATCAGAAAATCACATTGGATAGTGTGAGATGCTTGAAATTCCTGCATCCATTTATGAGCCTGGCCAGATCTTCACCAACACACAAAAAAGGGAAGACACGAAGAACTCTGAAGATTGATAAATTCATCAGTTACACCTGAAAAAAAAACCTTAAAGTCCTAGGAGATCCTTCGAATGGATCTTTCAAAAGCTGATGGAGTAATTCCATCACACATTCTGCTTCAAAATCAGGACTCTAGAGAGAAAAGAAATTCCAAAAATATTTGTAATAAACACCTGAGGTTTTATCCGCTTGTTTGGAATGCCCACGTTAAGCTCGAAAAGTCTGAAAAAAATGAAATAAGATGGAATTTTTAATAAATTTCATGGACCTTCCATAATGCTTTTTCAAAGCGGGGGCAAACTTGTCAGCATATTTGAAATCGAATAAAGAAATCACAAGTCGAGCAACGGTATTTCGTGGCGGCTGTTTGTCCAACAATTCGTCAAATGCCACCTCAAAGTTCGAACTCACATGGCTTAATCCACAAGCAAAACATTTACAAACCTTAACTTCCCAAATGGGTTTCGCTTCAAACACGTCGATTTCAATATGAACGTTGTTGGATGAAAGAAGCTCCTCTTGTGTACCCAAACAGTTCAGCCACTCGTCAACCGGCACGTCTTCATAATCTTAAGTTGATTTTATTTAAACAAACCTTAACGTTTTCAGATCTTGCCTCCAATCCTTGCCACTACTTTTGCCGGATCTGACGGCGGGTGGTAGAACTTGAAAATGAGCGGCTGATCGTAGGTCTGAGCAATAGATCCAAACTCTTCCTCGTTTTGCGGATCACTTTTGGCTTGTTTCCATCTACAAATTAATATAATCCTCTTGCAAACATATATGAGCGCCCATCAAAAATCTAAACCTCATTGTTCTTTCTAGGGGGCTGAAAGGAGATGTTGGAGAATTCATCTGCTCATTTGTCACAGTAGACAAGTTGAACAAGGAATTCGTTGCACTGCTTCCCATCGAGCTATCATCCGAGCAGGAACTGTTCATACTAGTAAATTTTTTTAACAAGTTGAAAAACAGAGATTCAAAGGAAATCTAAGACTCACAGTAAACTTTTTTTCTACACATGAAAAGAAAAAAACTTTTGAACTGGGCTAGCGCGATTCTACCACGCGATTGGATTCAATAAGAATTAAAAAAATAATTTTTTTCGAATATCAACTAAGAATGAGTACGCAGACATTAAAAAAATAAAATTATTTTTTTAAAAAAATTTGAAATTAAATTTTGCCAGTAAAAATCACAGTCAGGCACTGGTGGAGGACGCGCCGGGATTTTGGCTCTTATCTTAAACTTTTGGGTGAAAAACCCTTTTTCAAATGGTTAACCATTTTTAAGTGCGAGTTTTTGAAGAACCATATTTAAATAGAAAAATGGGTATGGTTGAGCTCTATGCGTCAAATTTCATTTAAACTAAGCATCGTGATGAGATAAAATGCATTAAAGTAAAGAAAGACAGTATTTATGAGCTTATATGGACAAAAATACTTCAGACCTGAAGCGCAGCGCGCGCGCAAGCGCCACGATCTCGTACGAGAATTCTCTTTCTAGAAAGTGGAGAATTTTTCTTTGGTTTGTTAAAGGCGCAGTACGACATACAGGTTGTCACCTCAAGAAGAATGTGCAATGAAAAGCTAAATTACGGTGGCCCTAGAAGTCATCGAGTTTTTTTTTACATGTACGACTCTTCATTTTTTTTTTTGGCGTGTTCATTGGAGAAACGGAATATGTTTCAAAACTCAAAATCGAGTTCATCGGCGCGCCAAAGTTTCTTCAAAACAGTACTCATTTTTGTGGAGAAATTTTTTGCGTTCCGAAACAATTCTCGTTTTCTCCGTTGAACACGCCATTAATTTCTAATTTTGCTGCGTTCATAGTAATTTCAAAGAATTAGAGATTCAATTCCGTGTTCGAAGTGATCCCGCGAATTTCAAAATAGCCGTAGAGAGTGAAAAAAGATATTGAATTTTCGAGAATCCGAGATAAATTTGAATCACGCGGAACTTTGAACACAATATAAAAATGTTTATATTATAGGCTATATCATAAAGTTTTAACTCTTGACTCAGAATAATGGCTGCTGACATTTCAAGAACAGAAGTGCTGAAAAGTTTAGAAATCAAGACGTCAAAGGTACGCGTTTGGCTTTTTCGACTTATTGTTTTTTTTTAAGTTCATCGAGCAGTGTCATTTACTTTTTGAGCTGGAACTGTCTGGAGAGGAACGCAAAGAGGTAGAAAATGCCTTGAAAGTTGCTAATAATAACAGTGAGTATAAACTATTTGAATGATTTCCTGAAGTGAAAATTTTTTAAGTACAAAAGTACAATGAACTGAAATTGAAGCGTGAGCAATCTGAGGATACTTCAAAAGGTATCTCAGTCCAAATTCATTCTATACTGGTTGTTCAGCTGTGGAAAAGTTTTTGCTGGCTGAACTTCCTGATGGAATGAAGCAATCAACTAACTTTTCTATCAGTGAAATGAGTTTGAACCAAACTAAGGGCGAATTGGCTTCCTTTGAGCTCAAAATTCAGAGGTTTACTTTCAAAAATTTCATTTTTTATTATACGTTTTAAGAGATTTCGTAACTCATCGAGACTTGAGAAACACCATGGAGAGAAAGAAGTCGATGTTAAAATTTGAGAAAGAAAGAGTATATTTAATGCTTCTTAATCATTTCATGTTTAATGTCTTAGGTAGAAAATCGCCAACAGAAAGACAAGTCTTTAAATGAGGAGCAGCGCGAACTACTCGAAAGGATCTCAACGAACTTGGATAAATCACAATGCGCCATTCGAGTCCGAATGGTATCTATTGGTTTTTTCCTGATGAGAATGTATGTTTTTTTTCAGTTGAAAGATGAAATAGCTCAAGTCAAGATCAGAAATTCTGTTTTGACGAAACAGTTGGATGAAAAAACTGTGAAGTGCAGAGAAGTGGATGCTAGCTGTCTGTTAAATGTAGGGGATTTTTTTTATCAATTAACTTCTTTCAGTGAAAGCCAATAAGAAAACGCCCATCAAAAATTTCTTCATTGATTGTGCCAAAAGCTACGTTATGCACAAAAAGGTGCAGTCACGGCTGAAAATTCTGCAGAAATCTGTGTCCAAATTAGAGGCGAGTGCCGTCTTTTTTTTGGCGTTTAAAAATTTTTAGGAGGAAATCTCGAAAAATGGATCTCAAAGATCGCTCGACGATACCATACACTTCGATTGCTCATTCATCCAGACAGCGGTAATTATGAATGTGAGTTAAATAATTCGGGTCTTTTTTTTTTAAGAATGCCAAAGAAATTGAGTCAAAACGTCTGTCATCTTCTTCTGCGGTTTTCGACTCTAAATGGAGAAAACAAATCGAAAAAGAAGCTGTTATATCTGAAAAGCGTCTGGAACCAGAAACGCCTCGCCCAGAAAAAACTCACAGAAAAGATCCTCCTGTGAACACGTCAGTTCAAGTGAAAGATTTGAAATCGAAACCAACGAGAGAAGCTCAACCTGAACCTGAGCCTGAACCCGAGCCCGAGGAAGATAGCCCACTTCGAATCGATGAAGAGGTTGGCGTTATATAAATGACAGAACAGAATAGCTAGGAAATTGGAGGCGAAAAAAATAGGTTAGAAAAAGGCTGTTCCGCGATCAGCTGTATTTTTATGTGAATTCTCTTGTTTTTTTATTTTCAGTTAGGTGTATTATTTTAAAGTATCCTTTCTGCGGTTGTTACAGAAAAAATTAAGAAGAAGAATAAAAAATAAAGATTGAAGAAAAAAAAAGTTGAGAGAAGGTTTCAGGTTAGAATTTTATAAAGGCATTTTTTCAGCCATTTTACTCTTCGGCTTCTTTTCGAATATGAGTTTCAGTTCGGAAATGAAGAGGCAGATGAGCCGATGGAAGCGCAAGTAGAAGAGGTTCCAGAGCCACATGTTGAACCTCAGGTTTTTATTTGAACTTCAAGCAACACGTTCAGAAACTTTTTCAGGAGGAGCGTCTCGAAGAAGGAGATGATGATGACTTGGAGCGGAATGTCGTCAAGGAAAACGAAGAAGTTCGCCCAATGGTAGATAATTTTCCCGAGTATTTTCGACTGAAATTTATGAAAACCGCAGGAAGTTGACGAAAATGAAGAATTAACAGAAGATAACGCGGACGCCGCTCATACATCTTTTTTCAATGATGTTTGTAACATTTTGGTTAAGAATCAACTCCAGTTACGTTCAGTTGATCAGAAATGTTGAGAAGGATGTTGCTGCGAAAGCTGCGAAAAAGGCAAAGCAGCCGAATGATGGCCAAGAGGAGTATGTTTGGTTTTCTTAGTTGCTGTTATTCATCTTTTCCAGACCCGAAAGTCTGAATAGTTCGATGTCGGAAGCGATTTTGGACATTAGTATGAATAGTCAAGGTTTAGAAAGTCTGGAATTAAAAAAATAACTGTGTTTCAGACCCGGCTGGCGACATCCTAAACGCGGTGGAATCGCGTTTAGAAGGTGATGACAATGATAGCCAAGGTATCTTTTCTTTCTATCAAAGTGCAGACAACTTTTTGCAGGAAAAGAAAGCAATTTTTCGTTTACGATGTTCGCTGATAACAGCGATCTCGGCGGAGCTGGAGGTGAGACTTTCGACATCGAAAAAAAAAGAAGTATTTTCTTGTAGACGTTTTCGACTTCAATTTTGACGCCGGCCCTCTGGACGCCGGAAACGACCAACCTTTCGTCTTCTCTCAAGGCGACAACGACAACGATCCTTTCAATTTCGGGGCCAAAGAAACCGGCGGATCATCCTTCGACTTCAACTTTGACATGTCTTCTTCCGGAAAAAGCAACGATGGAGGATTCCTTTTCTAATAATTTATTGCTTGTGAAATTGAAATCTTGTGAATGTCCTGTACCATTCTTATTTACATGTGCTATTAAATTAAAAAAATAAAAATTTTATTTAGTTCATATTTATTTGTAAGTCAGTCCCTGCTTTGCTTCACGTATGCCACGTAGTAAAATACTGAAAACTTGTTGATTGAACTGTATAAAACTCCGAGCCGGACTTAAAAAAGCTGTGAAAGATGTTGGGAAGGTTAGTCGGGACATGAGATCGACTCTCCGCGAGATGTCCACATTTGTCGCTAATAATTCTCTGATCCTGAAAGGAAAACTTTTTTGAAGCGAATAAAGCCTGAGTTGGCTGAAAATTTTCTTTTAATATTTTACATGTTTCCAAAAAAATATCAAAAGTAATCAGGAAATTCTTCTGAAGCTTGGAATAACTTTTAGGCTTGAAAACAAGATTAAAGTCTTGAAAAAGTTCCTTTTATCCGTAATTTGAACTTTCAAGAAACAAAAAAAACGGTCAGACTTGCCAATCAGAACAAAAGTTCAACCGGTCCCTACATGGAATGCGGAAATTTTCTTACTCCTATATCTAATTTTAGATTCAGCTACATTTTCAGTACATTTTAAATTTAAAAAACTTGATCAAACTCCAGAAAAAAAAATATTTACCAAAAAACCCCTCTTTTTCAGTACTGATAAGTTTAAGTGACTATTTTGGTTCATTTTGCAAATTTTTCAATATGTTGTAAACCAAAAATACTCTAAAAATAGAGCTGAAGCAGAAGAAAAAGATGACTGATTTCAGTAGAAATCGGTCGTTAAACAGCTTAGTTGATAACTTCCAAAGAACCTCGTAATGATTGGTATTCGTCGGACGCGGTAGGCCGAAAGGTCCAATCTTAAGGGCTGCCGGTCCGAAGGACAGACGCAGTCGTCGATCCGCGTCTTTTTCTTCTTTTCCTGCAAAAGTTCGAACCCTTTGCACGCTTTTGTGATGAGTCAAACTTTTCTTAGGAATTCTTTCCGGCCGTAGTAGTTCACAACGGCGTACTCCAGCAAGGCGCCAAAAATGAACGCCAGACACACGCCGATCCAGACATCGACGGCCTGCAAACTGGTTTGCTTTTGTATAATCTGTTCAGATTTTGAATGTCAAGTACAATGACATCATTCACAAACGCTATTTGAAGAGCATCTTCAATTGATTTATCGCGGGATTAGGGGCGGAGCTTGAGCGATGACTTGATATTAAAAATTGAAGAGACTATATGTCAAGTCAAAATTGTGAATTCTGAACTTTTCCAATAAGTATGTTTAATGAAAACTTCACACTTTAGACGAGCGCAACTCTTTTTTTGAGCCTATAATTCTAGAAAAAAGTATCTTAGTTTTCCAGTGAATCGGATCTCGCACCAGAGAAACTCGAAAAAAATATCTTGATTTTTCAAAAGTTTTTGTGGTTCAATATGGACCTTGAAAAATGACTCTATGAGAAACAGAAAAGAAAAACAAATAACCATATTGAATAAAAAAAGAAAATGGACTATTTCAAAATTATTAACTGATTCATGTAGATAGAGAAGTCTATAAAAATTTCGACACTACTATATTTTGATCGTGAAAAAGTTTTGGTTTAAGTTTTAGAGCGAATAGCTTAAAATAAAACCCTGGAAATGCTTCGAAACAGTCCCGAAACTTTATTATAAAATATGGAAAAGCACCTTGAAAACCCTCGAAACTCGAAAAAATAGGTAAAACAGAAAATTTCCATTGACCCTCCAAAGGAGCTGAAAAGGTTTTGCTAAAAGCTCCTAAAATGACGAAAAAAAAGTTTTTAGCTTCTTTTTCATAGCCTCGAAATCTTCTTTTTAGTTGCTGTTCAGTATTTTTTTATGAAAGGATGTGGAAAGATGCGAAAATGAAATGGAAAATATTTGTTAGGGATCCTCAGACTTTTTTGAAAGAAGCTTTTGTGGAGCTTTTTCGTTTTGCGCAAAACAATTTCAAAAGCGACATAGATTTATCATGTCAGAACGTTTCAAAGATCTTCAAACTTGAAATTGGACTTTTTACTCTTTTTTTCAAACGGAAGATTGAGCTATCTCAGGATGTGTTTTGCCAAACTTTTCGTTCTAACTAAATTAAGATAAAATAAGAAAATTTAATGTTGAACCGTACCTTGATGTAAGAGACTGGTGGAAGTTTCGAGTTGATACCGCTGGCCTGAGTTGTCATTGTCAGAAGCGTTGTAACTCCAAGCGACACCCGTGCCGGTACCGCGTCCTGGTAATTTCACTTCACTATCATCAAGTTTGAATAATTCTAAAAACGCGGATCTTCATCGATTTTGAATCTAGCAATTTGAACCAATTGATATTGTCTCGAAAGTTTGTATTCCTACTGACAAATTAGTTTTCGGCTTCGTCACGCGCTTATAGAGCTTGATTTTCCTATTTTCAGCTCTTATTAATCTAGCTCTGTGCGCTTTTGTATGGGCGAAGTGGTTCTCATTACACCCAATTTTGTGGACTATATCGCAGCGAGAGTAACGCTATACCGCGGGGGAGCCGCGAGCGATATCGCTCGCCTCTCGCTGCGACCTCGCAAACGTCTTGCTCTATATCGCTCTCTGAAAAAAATTTTTTTCTTCAAAAAAATGTTTTTTTATTGAATTTGATTGATTTCATCATAAAAGTCAAAAATAAAGCAAAAAAAATGTTTTTCAAATTTCAAATTTTTAAGAGGGAGCGATATGGCAGCGAGACTTTGACGAGGTCGCAGCGAGAAGCCTTGGCTATATCGCGTGCGGCCCGCTGCGATATCGGCAATTATGTTGGGTGTAGGTATTGGGATTGCAGTGTCTTTTTTAGAGTTCTAATGGAGGACCTAGATTCATTGAATTAAGAGTGAATTGGTGGTTAATACAGAGAGCTTATTTAAAAAGACATTGAATCGACTTAAATTCATGAAAACCGCAGGAAGAATACAGTTTCAGAAGTGTGGAGTTAAATACTAAACCTTAAAACGACTCTTTTTCTTGAGAATTTTTAGAAATTCGTCTTTTTTGTTTTGTTTCTTCGAAGTATTTCTATACTGACTGTTTTACCGGTATAACAAACTCACTTTGTCCAACCAAAACGAGACCCAAGAAACGACGACTAACATAATACATGGTATGTAGAGTTGAATTAAATAATAACTGAAATTTAAAACATTTAATGCAAATAAAAACTAAAATAAAAAACGAACCTATACTCCCTGCGGAGCAACAAGATAACCCGTGCACAGCTGTATTCACCTATAAAGATACGGAAGATAAGGCACTTCAACGTTGGATAACACATCGGTTGGAAAAAGAACGGACGGATAAAACGGAGGTAGTTGTATCACATGAGGTAGACGGCCCAGTACATAACTGCCAAAACAAAAATATAGTTCTAGTCTTTTTTTTCTGTCGTTTGTTAGAAGTCAACTGAGAAAAGGAACAATAAACGAACCATTGAAGCAAGCATAGCCAATGGGGAACACCTGCAAGCAGAAAGGACATAGAACCAGAAGTTTTCGAGAAAAAAAGAAAGACGGCTCGGAGACGTTGGCTGGTGGTAAAAGGTCAAAAAATGCTCTCAAAATTCAAAAAATGGCTGTAGGACAGAAAAAAAAAGAGAATTAGGAATCAGAATAGCTTTGAAACCCTTCAGCCAACGCTCCTTGAGTCAAAACGAAGACACACCAGCCGAGAGACGACATCGATCCGTTTTGATCGCTCTTTATATCGTCGAACGAATATTTTGCAGCAGAAGGAAGTCCGCGTCTGGCCTGGCGGCATGGCTCGGTAGCCGTCGTGCGGCACTTGCTTCATCTGCGCAATCATGACGTCATTTGTGGGACTCCAGAAGGACGGACAATCCTCTGAGAGACTTGCGTCATGTCCTTGCGCGCTGCGTAGTTAACAAGGGCAAACTCAAGCAAGGCGCCAAAGATGAAAGCCAAGCAGACGCCGATCCAAACGTCGATCGCCTGCAAATGGCCGGTTTCAGAACCGTCCTCTTCTCAATTCTCAATCCTCGCCTTGGTATAACTGACTGGCGGAAGCTTTGCGTTGATGCCCGAACTCTGAAAACGAGGTTACTCAAACGCACACAACACGGAAAGAAAAAGAAAGAAAGGAGCTCTTGCCTGCGTCGTCATCGTCAGCAACGTCGTCACTCCTGAAAACAGAGGTTCCTTGCACTCAGAGGGGGTCGTCCAAATGATTTGATGGCTTTTCGGAAGTTTTTAAACAGTTTTATCAAGCAGTCACACTAACAAAAAAAATTGATAACAAATCGGAAAAATGGTTTTTTTTTTCATGGGCTTTGGTGGCTCAGAAAAGTAACACTATCGAAAAAATCCAGACAATAGTTTATTCAAGATAGCTTAATGTCATTTTTTGAAGAGTTTCCGATATTTCTTGTGAAATAGAGTCTTTTTGACAACTTTTTTTTTGGTTTTGGTATAATAACAGCCAACACAGAAAATAGCGGATTTTGCCTTTAGAGCACACATGCATACACAGGTTTTGATTTATTTTATACTTATTAGTCTGTCTCGTTTCTCTTTGCTTATTTTGCCATGCTGTTTTGAGGTACCCAACTAAGTTATCCTAGGAAAAGCTTGTTTTTAGGCTCATTTTTCTACGGTTCATTTTTCAAAGCTCTGTTTTCAGACACTCGCTAATTTATTCTGTGAAAAGCTTGAATTATTGAAGTTCTCCTCCCAAAAAACCATCAAAGTTGGGCTAGTAAAGCCATACCAAGTGTGACTCTGGCCGGCACCGAGTCTTTATCAAGCCAAAACGACACCCAGGACACGATGACGAGCATAAAGGACGGAATGTACAGCTGAAACAGACAGTTCCGTTGTAAAATAACAGAAAGAGGGACTGATATAAGTAAAAGCGAAGAAAAAACGTTGGTTTGGCTCTAATTGAAACGCAGTTGCAAGAAAAAAGTCGACAAATTCAAAGGCTGCAAAATTTTTAGCATGATGTAAAAGTTTTTAAATTAAAAAAAGAAGCGGATCGTGATGTCAGCTATGCTCCTTTTATTCATTTTAAACGCCTTTGTCACGTTTTCCAGTTAATTTCATCCACACTTCCTAAAAAAGCTTGTCTTCTCGTAAAAATTATGAGCAACAAGAAAGTAGGAATTAAAAAAAGGAAGAAAAATGATATTATTCAAAAAAAGGTAATATGAGAGCGAAGTCCTCTCAAACTTCTTTTAAATGCTTATTTCCGGTCAAAAACATTTTCACGGCTTTTAAATTTTACTCCGACAGTCTTGCTATCACGGCGTTGCGAGCCAGACTGTGAATTCTAGTCTATGCTTCCGCTGACGGACGAGAACAGAAACAGTAACCATAAGAAGGACAAGAAAAGCGTCAGAAAGCAGTACACACCTGCAACAGATAGTAGCTGAACTCACGACGGAGTACCATGCGTGTACGCAGACATGAATATTCACCTGGGACACGATTAGTTCATTTCTCGAGTGAACAATTAAGAAAGAATGGACACGACGTGGACAAAAGACACAACCGGTGGCGGACCTGTGTTTGTTTTTGAAGTGCAGTAGTCCGTGAGGACGTCCTGCAGCTCGAAGGAAGGTAAAGACTGCCACAGTCCCTCCTTCTGCTGGACCGGATTCGTCGACTTCCACTCGTACTTGATGTCTTGCGTCGTGTAGGCGTCTGAAATCGGGAGTTTCCTTGAGATGAAAAAAGAAAAAAAAAAGGAAATGTGACGTATAAGAAAAGAGCATAAATAAAGACGAAAAAGCAACTCAAAGAGCTTTTTTCGCGATTTCAATTATCTACTAAAAATCGGACAGAAGTACTGGCAGTATAGCAACTTTCAACTTTATTTTACCGCCAAAAATAGCCTCTGTACACAAGGTCTTATCGTTATGAATAAATTAATATAAAAAATGAATTAAACGAGTTCTCCTTTCTATTTAAACTTTTTTTATGTTTCCGTTTCATCACAAGTACATAATAAAAAAATTATTATTCAATGTCTAGTTTTCAATACCTTCTCAAAATAATGTTTTGGACATAATCCTTCAAAGTGGATATGGAAAAATTTTTTTAAACAGTTGATGGAAAAAAATGAACAGATATTTAATTATAATAAAAATAGTTTTGTTACAGAAATAGAGAGTGAGTAATTAAAAAATAAAGTAAGACCGAGAAATTCGAAACAAAAAGATGAGATGCTCTCAAAACGATTGTGGAAAACTTTGAAAGTAAATTTGTGAGTCATACTTAGTTATATAACTCCCAATTCATATTGGAAAATTTCTTTTATTAAAACTGTAGCTTAAAAAAAATCAAGAACATGAAAGAAGAAAAAAAGGAAAAATAGAAAGGGATAAGATAAAAGACTTACAGGAAGCCAAGTCTATCAGGCAGTTCTGCCGATCGAGTGGGTAGAACTCCAAGGACATTGGACAAGAAAGAACCAAAGATAATCTGAAAAAATTAGACGAAAAATTAGCTTTAAATAGAAGGAACATTTAAAACAAACCTAACGCTATAGAGAATCGACCCATCTTTGTGGATACGTATTAAAAACGTTGGGTTTGTCGATGAGATGCCGTCGAGCTTCTCTGAAAAACAAATTGATGAATTAAATAATATTATCAAAACTTTAATTACTTTTTCATTCTGGAAAAAAACGTGTCGGGCATCCAAATTTGTTGGCTTTGATCGGCATTTTTCCGACGTGGCGAGAACAACAAATGGCGGAACCTGAAAGCCGGAAATGTGTTGGGAAAAAAAAGAGAGAAAAATAGTCCATGTGGGAGTCATTAGGGTGAAATTATAACAAGAAACTTTTTAGCGTCGTTAATTTCAGTTTAGTCAGCGAGGAGAAATCTTTCAAGGCAAAATTTTGATTGAATGCGTCATTCAAAGCTGGTAAATCTCTCTAGGCTTTCAAGACATTAGCTCCTTAATTTCACGACATGCATCGGAAGTAAAAATTTTTTCTTCTTATTAATCTTTCCGTTTTTTTTATTTTTTATTTTCGCGAGTTCCTCTCAAACGCATTTTAAAAATAAAAATTTCAGATTAAATTTTTGGGGTAAAGTAATCAGAGGAATATGAATGAGAAAGAAACGAACAACAGTTTAAAATGAAGAAGGTCCAGGAATTATATCTTTTTCTTTTCTAAGCTACAGTAGCCAGCGTTAATCGTAGGATGAAGAAACTAAAGATAAAAAAATAAAAAAAAGGTTTTAAAAGAATTTGTAGCAAAAAAAAAGGAGGCTCACAAGAGCCATAAACAAACTTCCTATAGATTTTTTGTTTTTTGAGATGGAAAGAATAAAATATCATTAGGATCAACAGTAAATAACTAAAGAAATTTCAGTACCTCGGTGTCGTCGTCCTCGTACCGCCCGTAGGCGAGCCGCGCGTCTACCCATTCTTCGCGGAACGTGAACTGCGAACTGTACTCCATGTTGACGTCATCAATCTTCGAAATGGAACGCAGGTATATGTTCACTGTCACTAAAACTGGACCGCCCGTGTCTGTAATAGGTTAATTTCAGATTTCAAACAGAGAAACAATATTTAAAAATCAAAAGCACTTTTTTTTTTAATTTTTGATTATTGTAACAGAAGCATTTTCAGTATCATGTAGGTTTTTCATTTTGCGAACTTATTAGGAAAGTCTTTAAAAAGCTATTCTGAACGTTTTTCGACCTCGAAATCGTTTAAAAAAATTGTGGAAAAAAATTTTTCTCTACTCAATTTTTTTAAAATGTTTAAAAATTTGGCTATCACAGATCATTTCATGACTATGGAATAAAAAAATCAAGTTTTTTTCATTGAGCTTCTTGAATTTCTCAAAACGATTTTGAAGGTTTTCGGGGTTCAGACAAGGTAAAAAGCTTAGAGAGTAAACAAAGCTCTTTCAAACAAACATAACGAAACTAAGAAGGCTCAAATTCCATGGCATAGATCATTGAAAGGAAAAAGAATTCATTTTAAAAAAAGTCGTTTTTGATTTCAATATCTGACTTGACCAGAGGTTATTAACTTCTGTGCTCATAAAGACTCGTCTAACTTCAGAAATGAGCTCAGTCGGATACACCTTCAACTTTGAGAGCCACAAAGGCCTCGAGGCAACTTTTGAGCACAGATTCGAATTTAACGTAGAAAACTACATCTATGGAACCTAGTCTTATTCAGAAATCCCACTGTGAGCTGAGAACATTCTCTAGTAAGTCATCGGTGATTGGACTACAGAATGGATTTTGAAAAAAACACGTTCTCAACGCTGAAAACTAGGAATCAGCGCTTTAAAAGCCAAGTTAGGAAGCCATTCGAAATAGAAGTTTGCTGCAAAAGTTGGTGAATGGAAAACGAACCAGGCCAAGAAGTGTTGAGACCCCTGGGCCGTACTCGCCAGTCGTAGTCCTTGAGAACGCGCTGGATGATCTCCTGCTCCTTGAGCTTGCGCTTGGCCCAGGCCTCGGCGACGAGCGTGCAGATGAGCACGCAGCCCAAGGCCAACCACCGCGTCATCCCCTCGAAGACGTTCAGATGACGTTCAGACGACGACGACGACGTCGACGGTGGCGGCAGTGGATGATCGATGTGCGGCGGGTTGCTTCATAGCCCAGACTCCCTCGGCTCTCCCCCTCTCCCTCTCTCTATCCTTCCACAGCTCCTCGTCTTTCCGTCCGTCGCACGTGTAGCTGTCTCCTGCCCAAAAAAGGAAGAAGGAGTGAAAAGAAAAAGGCGCGCGACAAATCCGCCAAAATGCATTTCGCCGAGAGTGCCCCCAAGGCTTTCGGTTGCAAGTAAAGCGAATTTCGGCCCGTTCCGTTTCTTCTTTCCTTTCTTCGAGTGTTTATCACAAAGAGCCTCGCCTTGCGTGCCAACAATGCCATTGCAATTTTCGTCCCGAAAAAAAAAATGCTCCCGAATTCTTCTCAAAATAGTTGGCTTTTTTGGGCGTCGATTCTTTTGAGATCACACTGGTCCGAAAGTTCTTATAGAATCAAAACGTTTTTCTTCTTTTTCTCAAAAAGCGTTCTCGTTAAAAGAAAAAGGTTTTACTCGTTGAGCACATTGTTTGAAGAGATTTTGAAGCACAATGATGCCCAGAAAAAGGTGAGGTTTCAAAATAAGTTCCAAGGTTGTGTCAGCACTAAAATTTACTGGTAATCATTATTATTACTGGATAATGTTCTTGAAATAACGATTTTTTTAAAGCTTTTTGAAATCGCTTTTTTTGGCTGCAAGATAGTTAAAGCTCAAGCAGATAATTCGGTTTTTTTGGTTTGAAAAAAATTATAGAAATTCGAAGAAAAACAGGACAGAGGCTAAAATTTTTTTAATAAAAAAATTGTGCATTTGTTTGAATATCTATTAAAGAATATATTTAGAACGAATTTTATGTAAGCGGCCGTTTCGGTTGTATCAACGTTCAGAAACTTCGGAAATAATTCAAATAACTCTAAAAGGTAGAGTTTTTTTCTATAAAAAAAGGCGAATTCAACTTGGTTCAAACTTTTTTTGAGCTCATGACCTTTAGAAAAAAACTCGAGAGAGAACACCCACAGTTCAAAAAAAAAATCAAAGTATTTCAATTTGCAAAGCACAGCGTATAAAAGCAATAGGAAGTTTTGAACTTGCAAGGTTAGACTCTTGCAGTACTAGGATACAGGAGAAAGGATACTTTCAAACCAGAAAATCCTCAAACCGGAGAAAATTTTTTTTTCTCAGCTTCAGATCTTCAAAAGACCTTCTAAAAAATTAATGAAAATAGAATCGAAGAAATTTCGGAGACAGAATGACTAGTAGGCTTGTTTTGGCCAAGGGTTAAGATATTTAATCTCCTTTTGAAAGAAGAAGAGCGAAAAAATTAAATGGTAATAAAGTATGTCCGAAGTGCGAGGATAAAAAGAGACGCCATAAAACAATATAAAGCGATAAATGGGTGGCTTCCTCGAGGCCATTAGGCTACTCCAAGTGTAAGGAGGCGGAAGGGGCGGATTTCCTGAGGCAAAGCCAGCCTGTTGAAAAAGCGTAAAATCAATGGAGTAGCTCATGAAATATGACACGCCATTGAGTGTTCGCATTTTTGAGCATCTCAAAACGGCGGTCAGTGCCTTACACTTTTACGTGATTTCGCTGCAAGGAACACGAAACGAACATTTCGCTGAACAGTTGTCAAAGTTGAAATTCGCAATCTTTCTGCTTTTTTTCCTCTCATTTCTTAGAAACTCGAAAAGAGCAACAACCTAAAGACATCTGGCCGATTAAAAAAGTTTCTCAACCCGTCAGCTTTCTAACCTTCTTTCTCTGTTCCATGGAACTCATTTAGCTGGAAAAAGTTTGAATCGAAGATTAAGATTGTTATTTGGAGACATGAATGAAATAAGAGTACTTTACTGGGGTTCTTGAAGACGCTTAGCGCAGTTACTACTGTATTTCTCTACAAGACTAGTTTTTCTATGAGATATTGAATATCTTTAAGGTCACCTTTTAATAGTTTCCGGAACTATTTCCCCCAAAAAGCTGTATTTTCTAAGAAATATTTGAAAAAAAAACCGAACGTATAGACGCGTTCTTTTGAAACCGCGGCGTTTCTTTGAGGTCTCTGCAAAAAAAAAGCAGAGAAACGAGGTTGCGAGCTGTGATGAATGGCTCAGATCTCAGTGTTATCTGCTAAGTAGGTCTTTTCCCGTTCCGTACTTATTTGAAGAGAGAAATCTCGACTTTACTCAATCACGTAGGTTCTTGGAACGCCATAGAAACATTACCTGGACAATTGATTAAATTTTTTCAACCTGTGTGAACTCACATTTTGATTATCTGAACTCAATCAAAATTAACACTAAATGAGCTGTTTTGAGTTCTGAAATTCACTTTTTGAACTTTTCGCGTCTTCAATAATCCGACTTTCTTTTTTCTTTCGCTTGAGAAATCTTACTCCGTTGCACCTGCTGCACTGGGCTTTTCATCAGCGGCGCGTGTGAGTCCAAAAAGCAAGTGTTGTTCAATAATTCAAAGGCATTTACGCGCCCCTAGACAAGCAATGCATGTGCGAAGGCTGCATATACGTCGAAAAAGAGTGCCGACGACGGACGGATGTACGAAAGTGCGTCAGTGGGGAGGCTGACCGACAGGGCTCTCCTCAGGTTTCACTCGCCGTTTTGCTCTTTCTTGACGGCTTTGATGTCCTGATGAATGGCTGATATTGGGATTTGCGACGGCCTAAATGTTTGAGATGATCGATGGAGTTTTTCCGAGATTTTTCGGAGGATTGATGACACAGCAGCGATTAGAAAAACCAATGAAAAACAAACAAATCCTGCACTTTAAAATAGAGAAAAATATACGAAAAGGGTCTTCCAATCAACATACGAGTAGCTTTTCTGAAAGAAATATTTTTTGTTGGAAATTCGCTTTTGGTGAAATTTTTTTAAACGCCCTCCCAGAAAAAAAAGTTGAAAAACTTTCATCTGTTATATCAAAAAAGTTTTGATAAATTATCAAAAAAGCTCCAAGTTCAAGCGACTATAATCCGTCCAAAGCCAAAAGAACTGGAACTGTGAGTTTCCTCGACCAGATTTCTTCTCAAATATTGAACCTGGAACATAAGTAACCAATAAATTTATTAACATTATTATTATTAAAAAGCAATCAATTATTATTTGTACACGTTAAGATTGACTAGGACGGCAGTTTGTCAAGGAACTTTGAATAGAACTTTTGTTTGTCCTCTGCCGACAATTTGGCTGCAGGCTTCTGCGGCGCACGTCTTCTTGTTCCAGGAGCGTACGGCCAATCTGGCTGCACGGTATCTGAATCGAGTTTGCGGAAGTCGAACGGCGACACCGGGTTGAAGGCGTGACCGTGTGCGTAGGCGACAGGCGAGGTACCCTGAAGATGGGAATTTTTCCGTCTCAAGTACTCGAAAAGGAGAAAAAAGGGGGAACTTCTTCACTGACCTGCTCCACGGCTCCGGATAGGGGGAATCGCACTCCGGCACCGTTTTCTCCGATCGGCAAGGGAAAGTCGATACCGCCGATGAAGAAGGAATCGTCTCCTGGAAATTTCAAAGCGGTCCTAAATTTTTGAACTTTCTGAAGAATCGTTTTTTTTTATGAGGTTGATAGTGAAAAATCTTTGGAGGTGAAAAGAAATAGCGGCGCGCCGTAGCGCAACAGGTTTTGCGATTCTATACGGTCCGGAGGGTCATAAGTTCGATCTCCGCCGAGACTCAACCGAGGGGCTTAAGTAATGTTGATAGCGGAAAACACGCTTTTTCATTTTCCCAGCCGTCACACACAAGGACGGGTATGTCCCTAACTGATATCAGAATTGTCTCAACAACTTGGGTCAAGCGGTACAAAATCGTAAGAAGAAGAAAAAGAAGAAGAGGAATAGAAACAAACTAACCAGGCTCAACTTCGACGGCAACTCCAGTGTGATGGACGAACGGATTACAATATGGAGGTTTGCACTTGATCGGCTCGTAACCGTAAGGAATCCGACCGACGACAGCCTCCTTTGCGTGTTCTTCAAAACAACAAAATATGTCCATTTCCCATTGCGAATCGGTCACTTCTCGCTTCCCGGAAAGCAGGATTCTGGCCGAGAAGCGCCAAAGTCTCCGGTTTGATGTTGAGATGGTTGGTGGGACGGATTTGATAACCAACCTAGCGAAATTTGAGAAGAAATACAGGATATTCAACATACTTTTGCGTCAAAGTTGATGTTTCCGAAGTAAACGTTGCCATCGACGTCGAAATTACCCCAGCCAGGAATCGGAACGATCAAGTCGCCGGCCATACTCTGAATTTCCCCTTTTTCGGTTTTAGTTCTATTAGGAGACCTTCCGAAGTCTGTTCTACACACTTCTTGGAATTTATAGAAACTTTCAATATCTGGAAAAATCGTTCGAAAATAAAAAATATCATACATTATAAAACAAATATTACTAAAAACAATAAAGAAACAAACGATCTTGTTGGCTGGATTCAACTCGACGCCGGTGTTGAACTGGTCCGTGAAGGGGAAGAGCGGGAAGTTGTCGGCAGTGACCAGCGCCGGAAAAACGGCCTGTTGCCCTTTCACCGGTATAACCAATGGCTCATCTCCTCCGTACAACTGCGCGTCAACTTGAAAATTCTGATTATCAAAAATCAAATTTTTATTAGCTTTGATAATAACTCATTTACCAAACTTTTGACGAAATATCCTCTAGAAACGTTCACGAAATTCGACTAACAAGATTCTTCAATCATCCCACAAATACACAACCGTAACTTCATTTAGAATGTTCTCAAAATATTACGGTTCTAGTAAACTTTCTCAATCCAAACAATTTTCCAAGGAATAAGCATACCGAGAAAAAGTATTATTTTTTTTTCTTTTTTCAAGTTTCAAGATTGAAAGAATGAATCACTGAGCCCTCGAAAGATATGTAAAAAAAAACACAGGAAAATCTAAATTTCGACCTTGACCTAGAAATTCCATGCCTTTTTTGAGTCAGTTGTTCCGTTCTAACGCAAATTCAACCTTTTGTAAGCTTTTAAAATGTATAAAAGAACAAACCTAATGAAAATAGAAGAAAAGGGGCAACTAGAAGAAGCATCAAAAGGAAAAGTGGAAATGAAGACAAAGGAGATCCGAAAAAGGCGGAACCAGCACGCGGATGATAGCGCTTTCGATCGAAATGAGAACAAAAAACGAATTAAATCAATTTATTTCAATGTACCCGTTGATTATTGCATTTAGGCCCAGTTAAGGCAATTATTAAGAATCGTAATTTAATTAATTAGTAAATATTTTTCTCTTTCGTTCTTCCTCCTCTTCCTCTCTTCTCGCCTTGTTGGCCTTGAAGCCAGGAGGCTCCACTGGTCCCATTCCATGTCCATACGTGATCAACAACGGGTCCGTTCCAACGTTCACAGCTCCTGTAGTTATTCAAGTTCAATAGAAAGTTTAAGATTTATAGGCTATGTTAGGGTTTTTTTCGAAAATAAACTTTATACCACTATACCGAGAAAAAAATTCAGAAAAAGTTCGATGGGATTTTTTTGATGTCGTAATAAGAATTTTTTTAAATTTTTAACGTTTTTCGAACGGCTTCAGAAGAAACTGGGGTCAAGAAAAATTTTCATAAATAGATTGAGGTTTCAAAAAAATTCAAACTTCGCCCTGCGCCTTCAAACTGCTCTCGCATAGTTTTTGAATAGTTTATCAGGTTTTTTTTTTTGAATTTGCAGTTTTCTTCTTTGATGCAACACTATTCACAAATAAAGTGATTTTGGAACTCCGTTGAAAAGTCAATTTAATTTTACAGCGACGTACTCTGACTAGGAAGAAGTCTATTTTTTGCATATTCGCTTTTTCGTCTAGTTTGAAGATTTCAATTTAATGCGCTATCAAGGAAAAGTTCAGTTTTAGGAATTTCCAAGCTGAAAAGGGTAGAAATTGAAAAATTTAAGAAATGTTTGCCAAAAAAAAATCTCTTGTTAAAAAGTAGTTCAGAGATAGGACTAAAGACATTTTTCTGATAACAGTACTTTTAAAAGAAAACGGCCAAAAACTGGAAACTTTGAACTCACCGCTCATTGGGAACCGGACACCGACGCCGGCTGGGGCCAAAGGAATCGGGAAGTCGAAGCCGCCGTCGAACAAGTAGTCGTCTCCGGGTTCGACGTCGACTCCGAACGCCAGGTTGTGGACGAACGGATTGCAAAGCGGAGGTCGGCATCGGACCGGCACGAAGTTGCCTGGCAGCACTGACACTGGGATCGAAGGCACGGATTCTGAAGTAATCAAGTCAATTTCCATCACCTTTTCAACAATTATCACGTCTGGATTGCTGGAAAGTTCCGTCTTGAGCAAGGGTGGCGATTGTGTCTCCAGTGATGCCCAAGACGTTGGTCGGCGCGTTCAAACTTCCGAATCCCACACGGGTATTTGGTCTGCCAGCCTTGATTCCTCCTGAAGTTGAGCTCAAAAGTTTTTGAAAGACTCAAGTCAATTTCAAGAAATTAGAGAAAGTTGTCGAAAAAAACTTTGCGGAAGTCTAATTCAAACGTCGTAAAATTGTTGAACTCCATGTTTTTCGGAGGTTTTCCTCTCAATTTAGATTATTTCCAATATTTTTGAACCTTTTATCGCTTTGAAATTGGTTCTAACATGTTCTCAAAATTTTGACGTTTTGAGATTTGAACTTCATTTCGTTTGAAAAAGCAGAGCAAATATTTCTCGCAGAAATGTGAGAAACTAGAAGTTTCAAACTTTTCGAGTCGTCAAAAAACAGCTAACTTTGCAGATACTCAAGATACCAAAGATAATTGGACTAAAAATAAAAAAATAAAAACAATTAAAAGTAGTGACTAAAACAACCAATAAATATTAATGATTGAAGTAAAAAAAATTGTTTCAAGTAAATTTTTCTGTCTTTTTTTCAGCTTTTTTGCAAACTTTGGACAAATGTCTGACCTTTATAATCCCAGATACCCCATCCTAAAATGGGAACGTTCAGGTTGCCATCAACGGTGATCCTGTTTCCGGGGTTGATGTCGAGGCCGTTGTTAAACTCGCTGTGAAACGGAAAAATCGGCGAAAGCGAAGAAGCGTCGCGCCCAGGATTCGGCTGCAGATGGTGTCATCAAGATCGTGTTTTTAGGAAAAAAGAAACCTGATAAAATGGCGGCAGGTTATAATCTTCGACGCGCGGCTTGAAAGGCGCCGGATTCGGCGGATAAGCTTGTCTCTTCACTCGCCGAAAGTAGTACTGACGACCTGAGTTTCTTATTATCAAATAAATATTTTCCAAGATACATTAATCACGGAAAAAATTTTCTATCGCCTCAAAGTTGCCCTTAAATCATTGAAAATGGTTGACTAACCGTAAGAAATCTGTAGAAGGGCACATAATGCCACGAGCGGCAGAAGACTCCTCCGCATCGTCGAGATGCAGCGAATGGCGAGATAAGGTGGATCACTTCATTGCGGTCACTAGAACGAGATTTTTCGTTGGCACCCTGCTGATCGAGGAACGTGAAAAAAGGAACTTGATTTTTCGAGGATGTTTTCCGAGAATCTCGACCTTCAAGCTTTTTCGTTTCGTAATCAACCCCGCTTAGCGAGTTTTTATCGCGTCACCCTGACTCCAGCATTCTTGAATTACATAACGTGTTATGAAAATTAGAAATGAAGAAGTTCCATTGAATTCAATTAAATTGACATAATTCTAAAATGATTTTTTCCTTACTGTGGTCCCATCGTACGTTGGTACGGAAAACATCTAACCTCACGACTCTTTGAAAATTTTTTTTTTTGTTTTTAATTTATTCATAAATAAACACAAAACTTTCGAGTTGTTAGTTTTTTAATGAAAATCCGGTATTTTTTTCTTGAATAATTTCTCTAATTGATGCTTCCCATTCTTGGGAAATCACTTTCAACGCGCCAACTCATTTTATTTTTGTTTTTTTGTTTTTTTTATTCGTTGTTTTTTTACTTTGTTTCTATGTTTCTCATTTATTCCAAAACTAAGTTTTCAAGGCCTCGATAAAAAACGAAAAAGTGCAAATTTTTAAACTTTCAAAAGCGATTCTTAATATATAATTAGTAATTAAATTTTTTCAGATAAATTTTTTGAAATGGTAAAAAGGAAGCTGAAGAGCTCTGATGGAAAGACAACAGCCAAAAGAAAAGCCCAAGAAGTTGAAATAGATCCAGAACAGCTCAGGCGTTAGTTTTATTGGTTTCATTTTGATTTTTTACGTTTTATTTCAGATTTGCGTTATTCATTTGGTGGCAAATTTACTTGCGAAAGGCATTTATTCTTGAAAAAGGACGTTTCTAGAGAAGCGACTCTAATTGTTTCAAATATTCCTTCCTATTTGCCGGAGGTATCTTACTTAAATTATCATGAAGTTTTGATTTCATTTTCAGGGCTCAGTTACTGCTTTAATCAGTCAATTTGTACCTTACCCTATCGCAGAATCTGCAATTCAACGGAGTTCGGCCGGCTCTTGGTCACAGGTATAATATATATTCTAACTTTTAATAATAATTTTGATTCGTTACGAAGCTTTTTTTCCAGGGCCAGCTCACAATGAATATTGCATTTGAAAAAGCCAGAAGCTGTCCTTCACGCCTTGAGAAACTGCCAAGACGTCGGTCCCTATGTTCTTTCTGATTTCATTGATACTTCAGAAACTCCTTCAGTTTTGAAAGGTTTTTTTTTTTCCTTTCAAATTGATTCAATTTGTTATAATTATGTTTAGATTCGATATCACTTTATGAGCGCATCTTCCCAAGCGCAGAACAGATGGAACAAGCCACTGCAGAATACATGTCGCGTTATGACGAAATACAAGAAGATGTGAGTTCTTTATTGAAGTTACCTCTTTTTGCACATTTTTTATTTTAGTCGAAACGCGAGGCAAGAAAGAGGTTCACAGAACCCGACGAAGAAGGCTGGGTTACTGTTACCAAAGGATCGAAAAAGGTAGGCGTTCAAAAAACGTTTGGAAAGCTCTTCATGAAACTTGGGTACAGTTTTTTATTTCAGAAAGTTTACCTTACTGTCTGAAAAAACAGCTTAACGTACATATGTTAATTAGGTCTCAATTTTTTTGAAAAATTCTGTTTTTTTCAACATCCGTTAAAAAAAGTATCGACTGTTTTTTTCAGAAATAATAGCCTGCTCAAGAGCTAGTTGTTCGTAATGTTATTCTTGGAATTTATTGAGTTTTCAGATTTTAAAAAAATGAAATTCTGAGATAAATATATTTGTAATGAATACAAAAAACAATGTTTTTTTATCATTTGATTCTCTAGAATAATCTTTCGTTTAATCTATTTTTTTCTTCAAACAGAGATCTAGAGATTGAACTCAAGGTCTAGTCTTTTTCTTCATATCAATTTTTCATTGGCAGATTTGGAAGAAAAAAATTCTCAGATACGTAGAACGCATTTTTACAAGAGCAAGGGGCATGGAAAGAAAATTTTTCAAGAATTTTTTCGAGACTTCGATGTTTCTCGCATCTGATGACCATAAAAGCTTGAAATAAATGTAAAATAACAATTATCAAAAAAAGGATTCTCCTGCGCAATATACGTTAATTTCAATTTTCCAGGTGGCCAAAGCTGTTAAGCTGAAAAAGGACGACATTCCATTGTTAGGCGGCATACCGAAAGGGAACAAAAAACCCAAAAAGGTGACTTTTTTTTTCGTTAAAAAAGGAAATAATTTATTTTAAAGGTCGATCTGGCTTTCTATTCCTTCCAAGTGAAGCAGAACAAGTTGAAAAGTAAGTTTTTTTTTTTCCAGGTGTACATTTATTCATTCGAAAAACGATTTAGAAGCAAATGAGCTTCTGAGGAAGTTCGAAGAAGACAAAAAACGAGTAGCACAACTGAAACAAGCGAGAAACTTCCGGCCGATTTGAATTTTGTTTTTCTCGCAGTTATAAGAAAATCGACGTGATCATTCTCACGCTCATTTTCAATTTATTGTTATCTCGCATTGTTATTTTCAATTGTTAAGATTGTATTTGAAATGAACAAAACCCTATTGCCGTGAGCGTGTGACGTGGCCAGATGAAAAAATTGCGATAAACGGAAGCAACGATTATTTCTCAACTTCGATGGGCTTGAAGGACAAGCTGGGGATCGCTCTCCTCAAAAGGAAACTCAAGAAAAAAGGGTCGTCCAGCGGCGGCGAAAGCGACGGCGACGAAACGGATGGCAAGGTTTTCTGAAGAGGAAGGTCCAAAAGGTGTCAAGTTGAGAGTTTGAAAATTTCCGGAGAGGTACTTCAAGGCCTGTCAGAAATGGTAAATGACCTGATAACGCAAATTAATTAGCTTTTGTAAGGTTCTGTATAGGGAGAAAGATACATTGACTTGTGAAGGTCATGTTTGAAATCATCTCATTTCTGGTTAACCATGGTAAACGCGTTCATCACTTTTTTTCAGCTTCAGTGAATCAAATTTTAGATGTCATATCGATAAGTTGTACATAGTTAATAATTAATTAATTATTTTACTCAAACTATCTGCAGTCCGAAGATTTTTACGTATAGCCAATGAGGCGCTGTATCTTTTCTTATCTTGTCAATACTTTTTTCGATGACTCAATTTAGCCATGAATCAGCTAAAGCTTCCAGCAAAGTCTTATCGAATTCTCAACTCTCCACCTTTTGTACTACCTTCGTAAAAGAGAGATAAAAGAACTAAAATATGGTCTCAGCCATCGACGGCTTCCACGACGTCCGGCGACGAAACGGCCTCCTCCTCAAATCCATTGAAGCGAATTTTCCGTTCAAAAAAAGATTCCGAATCTGGTACTTCCAAAGATGAAACAAATATTTCTCCAGTTTGTTTCCATTTCAAGTTGGAGGCTTTTTGCGCAATTTTTTTTGTGACAACTGTGTAGATTACTTTTTTGAAAGAACAGGAAAGACAAAACCTTTTCTTCGTTATTTTGCTAGGAAGTATTTTTTTGAGAAAGGCGATTTGCTCTGAAGAAAACAGAAAAATTTGTTTCAAGAACCCTGTTAACTACTAATAAGTTATCTACTAACATGGTTTTAAAAAAAACTTTCGATGTTCCGGGAAATATTCAGATGTTCTCTTGAATAGTGTTTTCGAATTTTCAAAAACTTTTGAAAAGGTAATCTTCAGCTGTTGCAAAACTTTGCACTAAAATCCTCCGTCAAAAATATTAGTTTATGAGGAAAAGGAGATTTTTAGGACGAAGACGTCTTGGGAGACAATGAAGAAGAAACGTTTGTAGTGGCGAAAGATGCCAACTTTGGAATGAAAAAATACACGGATACGGACAAACCCGCCACCTGGAATGTTTGACCTTCATCCTAACAGAAGCTGAATCGGACGTCTTTGAAGGTCCTTGTGCGAGTAATCGAGGCGCGCGACGTCGACTCGGGAGCTTTGCGGGTTCGTGCCGTCGTCGATGGCCGCCAGAAGGCCACGAGGACGGTCACTCAAGTGACGCCTAAATGGAAGCAAAACTTGCTGTTCACCGAGAAAAATATCAGCTTGGAAAAGCTCGCCTCCCAAATGCTTACGTTGAAGGTGAAGATTACCAAGCAATTTTATCTAAACTCAAAGAGAGAACTGTAAAAAATTTTAGTTTTAACTGCGAGTTGGGAAAATATTTTTCATTGGTTGAACTTTCTCCTAGAGCTGAAATAAATCTCCTTCCTGAGAAAGCATGTACCTAAAATCGACCTCTAGAAGGAAATCGATTTTTTATGGGCATAGATCTAAAAAAAAAAATCGAAAAATCTGGTTTTGGTGGTCCTAGCCTAATCAGAAAATCTCAGTGACCAAAATAAAATGGATTTAGTTGACACGAGCAACGCGTCTGGGCGAAACTGTCCTCGGACGATTCTCGTGCCATCTTTCTGCCATTATCCATACTTCGGATCGTTCAATCATCGGCAAATGGGTCGCTCTATCGGAGCCGACCGATGACGAAGAGCACGACGACGTCATCTATGAAACTTGCGGCTTTTTGAAGGTTCCATCCATTCAGATCCATATCTTCCAACTCTTCCTCAGGTCTCCATCTGTATTTACCGGATCGATGAGTCTCCTCCCAATTTGATCGATAACGACGGATCTGAGGAGATTTGGAGCGGGGCTCAGATTGTCAGCTACACTTTGAAAGTCGGTCTTGTTGAGGAAAGAGCGAAAATTCGAGAAAAAGTTATAAAAACCATTTGAGTTTGTAAAGAGATAGTTTTTTTTTTGTCACGCAACACAGCGTTGGAGAATAATAGTTTTAAAAATGTTCTAAATTTGAATTAGATTTAATTTAAACTTTTTTTTCCTTTTTTAGTCGCAGTTTTCAAAGGATTTACGTTTAAAATAGGAATTTTTGAATACGCGCAAAACCCCTTCAAATCGTAATGAAAGTTTGAAAAAGTGATAATTTTTTTTACTCTTTACCGGAACCTGAACTTTCAAATTATTGTTCTTCTAATTCACAATAAAACGATAGTGTTTTTTTCAAGAAGCGTTTGCAAGTTGTATTAAAAACATTGTTCTGAATTGATATTTTCAGCATTTTTTTCAGAAAAATTTTTCAGAACAAGATTTTTCTTAAAAAGTACGTTAACACGGTATCTGCGTCTAAAAAAATATCAAACCTAAATTAATTCTCGAAAAAAAGAAGTCTTGAAAAGAATCAGTTAATCTCTTCTTTTTGATGGTTTCTCATCTTCTCAGATCACTGGACTGAATTTTCCAAACTCCATTCCCTCGTTTTCCACTTTTACTGAACATTTCCGGTCCGAAAAAAATTACCCAAAGATATTTCCAGATTCGCCTGTTTCGTCTCTGCCACGTTAGCGACCAAGTCGTCGACTTGGTCCGGGAAACGAACAAAAAGAAGAAACGAAAAGATCAATACAACTTTTTCGTCTCTGCAAGTTTTTCTGAGAATCCCAGAAAAATGAGGAATAACTTAAGGTGCGTTGCGGGGATCAGGTGACTGAGACGACGGCTGAACCCTTGCTGTCGTTGATCGACGATGACGTTCTCACGGATGACGTCACTTTTGAGCAGGAACTATATCTGCCCATCCAGTGGCCTACGGTCATTTCCAAGGTTTCCTGAAAGTTTCAAATACTCTATCAACTTCGCATTGTTTCAGATTACCTTTGACTTGTTCCTAAAACGAGGACGGAAGAGGCGGTACATTGGACAGGTTTTTTGGATTTTCATCTTCCAATTTGTTTTTTCCTAGGCGATCATCCCGTTGAGATCGATTTACGAGCCAGGCGAAGCTGGATTCTTACCGACGTTTGGACCATCGTTTTTGAATTTTTTCGGTCTCGAAGCGTTTTCCAAAGTGAAATGGCGAGCCAAAGGCCGACAAGTCGATACGGAAGATGCTGGCAGCAAGTGAGGATTTCTTGAGATTCAGAAGATTTCGAAGAATTTTGAAATGTTCCCAAGAATTCCACACCCAATAGTTTGAAATCCAAAAAATAAGGACCACTTGAGTGGAAAAGCCTGTTGCAGCTGTATCTTCCACTAAATTTTTGGTTTTTAAAAAATTCTCGTAATTTTTCGAAAACGTCATTTAAACTTTCCATTTAGATTTGTCCACATAACTTATATTTTTCGATTTTTCGGAATAATTTTTTTCTAATTTTTTTAAAAATTTTTTTGGACAACAGCAATTTTCATATGGATTTTCTTGGTGTCAAAGAAATTTTTCGTACTCCAGATCAAAATAAATTAAAAATTGAAAAAGAGGAACCTTCTTGAAGATTATATAATTTTCACCTTTTTTTGAAACGATGTGAGTCCTGATATTTTTAATATGAAACGATTCATTGTCACATTTCCGCAGAGTCATCATTTAAGGAGTCATTTGAGGTATCTGGCACGACTTCTGGTCGCTGTGGACTGCGTCGAATACATGGGAGAATCGACGGCGCGAAGCTTCCTTGACCATAGTTCTCTCCTGCAAGCCGCCGAGTTCGAGGTCTCCTTCGAACATAAGGATGAGAATCACTCCAACTGCAACCATTTTTGCAGAAAAACCAGGCGAGATACGTCTTGAACTGCTCGCTGCAGTTCTGCAACATGATCAACCCGCTTTTCGCCTCGGACAACGTCCAGTTCATGGTGTCCGTCGGCGATTTCGGCAGCACCGGCGCCGAAAAACGAGAAAATTCGAGCTCCGCCCTTGGGGTTGGACTTGAGAAGATATTTTCGACTCACGAAGAAATATGTCCAGGCGATGCCGAACTACGACGGATGCAAGTATTTCACGATGCCTTGGGGCAACATGAGGCCAATGATCGAGGTGTTGTGTCTTTTCGAAGACGTCGAGGACCGGATCCGCAGGGCCAACGCTTTGATGAAGGTATTTTCGAACGAAAGAGTTTTGAAAGTCTGAAAAGGGAAGAAAGTTGTTTTTTCAACCAAAAAAAAATTGAAGAAAACTGTCGAATTCTGGTGAAGCAACCCAAATAACTATCCTCGTTAGGGCTTCCTGATTTACTGATTTTTTTTTTGTTTTGGCTCAAGTTTGACTCGTTGAGATGACGTACATGCTGGACGCGACGGCGTCGACGATCCAAGGGCTCGGCGAAGGGTCCGGCGACAGAGCCGCCTCGCTCTACCGAGAAGCTCTGGACGACCTCGAGAGAATCGTTGAGCGCGTCTACGATCATCAGAAGTAGAGTTTCGAGATCTCCTCATACCTGACTCTTTTCATTCCAGTCCTTCTTCCTTCACTACCCATCTTGACGAGAATCTCCAGCTGGTCCGACGGAAGATTCTTGACAAGGTTTTATTATCTGAACATGTGTCATAGATATAAAGTTTGAGAGAAAGTGGAACATAAAATGAAAAAAAGGGTTGAATAAAGATACCATGAATAGTTTACTTTGAATCTGAAGTTAATCTCAAAAGTTGGGGAAATTTTCGTTGAAAGAATTTACTGTAAAATTTTTCTCTATGGTGAAGAGAGAAAACTGAAAATAATGGAACCGATCTCTTTCTCCAGTCCAAAAAGAAAGTTGTCTTTTTTTTCAATTTTAAGCCTTTTTTACTTTTTTACACCCTCGCGCAGATTCAAAACAACTGTCTATTTACTGGTCTCCTCTAGAAAACACTTTGTGCTCACATTATTCCTGGTTACCTTTGATTACAGCTGAAATCTGAAATCACGGAAGTCCGATACGATGTCGCCTTCCATCACACGAATGTCTTTGCCAAAGTCTTGAGGATGTTGACCAGAATGCGACAGACCGTTTCCGAGTTGGCCCAGGATGTTCAGGTCCTCAGAGAGATAAAATATCCCTAGAGAAACCAACTTTTAGATCTCACTACCCAGTATAACCGTGAAGATGATCTCGAACAAAAAGCTCATCGGTTATGTCAAAATTCCTGTCCAAGAGGTCTTCAGCGCTGAACGAGACGCTTTTTCGGGACAATGGTGCGGCAGAGTTAGAGCCATCAAACTGAACTGGCCCGCTTCTTTTGATCGGAAACATCGTCGCGAACAGGTATACTGTAGGCTAGAAAGGATGAGTGGTCACTGGAGACTTTTAGGATTTCTTACTTTTGAGAAGTTTTTAGAACTCGAAGCTTCTATGACCCTGCATGGGTTCTTAGCTCTTAATTGGCGTTCCAAATTCTTGTCACGGCTCTTCGATTCAAGATTATGGAAAAAAAAAAGAGTTTTACTCAAACTTTTAGAGTTAAACGCCCCATATTTAGGCAGATTAGCAACGTAAATGTTTGAAGCGGCGAATAGCAACAGAAATGTAGTAATGAAGATTTATTTGACTGAAAAAAAGGGGTTCAAAAGTCTAACGGATGAGTATCAATGTCTAAATCCAGAGAATTGTTGAATTCTGTTCAAATTTCAACTTTCATTCAATTTTCAATCTCATCCTTCTTTCTGAACACTCACCCACCCTTGCAGTTTCCTGCGGTTCTACACTTGAAAATGTGGTTTGGGTGCCGTTCGAGGACGGTCAAATGGCAAGAAGCCATCGAACCAGCTGAACCGAAGTCCTTCGTAGAAGTATTCCAGTCGGAGGTTTCGAAGACAACAAGAATCTCCTCAAGTATTCATTCAAGAGGAAAACGAAGATCGCCCGTCAGTGGAAGCCGGCGCCGAAACCTTATTTAGATGAGGACAGCGAGGACGTCGGTCACCTGATCGCCGGCATCTCTGGCTACAAGTTTGTTGTGAGTTGTGCTGCATATTATCGTCGATTTATTTGTTTATCATGAAGGGAAACTGGATTCTGCAAAACACACACGACATGTGGATGGCGCAGACGTCGGGAAGGCCGACCATCGACGACAAGGCGCTCGAAGTCGAGATTCGCAACTCTGACAAGAAGTTGGGAGAGTTCGATTCTCAGAAATCGGATATTTTATTTCCCAAACAAAATAGCCCCAAATAATATGACAAAGTCAGTAAAGTGAATTTTTTCAACACAAATACATCTGAAAAGATCCACAATTATAGATTTTATCTCTTATTTTTCAAATTTCCCTGGAGAACTTTAGAAACGGCTGTAGCCTCTCTAAAACTTCATTATTCTCTACTCGCAGACCTTATCATTGAAAAAAAGATTTTTCAAAACTATTTGTACCAACTTTTTTTGAGACTATTTTTTTTACGAGTACAATCACTTTACCATCTTCCCAAGTTTACTTTTTTTTTTTTTTTGAATTTTTTTTGATTTCCGTAGCAAAAAGAATGAATCAAAAATAGTTTTAAGACGTGAATTTCAAAAATGAATCGAGGTTTCAGAAAAAAAGGGAAAAAACGAAGCAGCGACATGTAAATACTTTTTTCATATTTTTATTTTCGTATACGTATACGAAAAATAATAATATGAAAAAAGCATGTGAATTTTCAAAGTTTTTCATCAAAAGCTAGGTGATTCCAAAGATTTTTTTTTTTTGCAGATGGGCGTTCTACAAGTACACGGAGTACTTTGGCAGCGAGCTGACGGCGGCGCAAATGTCGCAGGCTCAGTCCGGCTGGGAATACACCAGCAAATGGATGGTGGATCCGCATCGGAACGTCGGCGGCAAGGACGGATGGGTCTATTCGGTGACCGGAAAGTTCTGGGACCCGAGCAAGGCCGTCGACCGTGAGGAGCGTCCTGAACACAAATACCGTCGACGGTTCATTCGTCGCACCCGACGCGCCACTGCTTACGCCACAGATCATGAGGACATTGAGAAGTTCCAGCAGTCGTTGGGAGACACCAAATGGGAGGTTAATCAGTGAAGCCTCGAGAGTTTGAGACAAACTTTTTTTCTAGTACGCGCCGAAAAAGAACTACGCCTATCATGATTTGGAGAAGTCTTCGGATTCTCTTCGGAGACGTCGTCTCTTGGTTGAAGTCGAACTTGATCGGTGCGGATGCTTTTGAAGAAAAAAAGTCTTACCATATGTTGGGAACCTTCTTGAAATCCTTAGACAAACTAATTTCTCTCATTCGAATTTCATTTCTTAACTCTCATAGACTTCATTTTTTATGATTATGAAAAGATTTAGTTGAATTATTAGAATGATAAGAAACTTATTTTTTCTTCATTGCACCATGTTTGCGTTTGACCTCGAGCTCTACGTCGAAAAATCGCATCGCGTACGCAACGCTTTACCCCTGCCACTACCCATATCGCCTTTCGAGTCGGGAAAAATTGACAATAAGCCTTTCAAACACTCCAGAAAAGAGCTTATGAACGAATTGAGTTATCCTTTTTTAGCAAGGCCGAACAGCTGGATTTGGTGGCCTCGCGTCGGTTGCAGCGTCTCTATGAAGCACATTTACTCACCACGAAATGGCAACTCCGCTGCTACATCATGTGGGCCAAAGACCTGCTCCCGATCGTCAAGAACTCGTCGCACGCCTTCGTCCGCATCTTCTTCTGCCATCACGCCAAGCAGACGCTCATCGTGGAGAATTCCCAGAATCCCATCTGGAACGAGACGATTGTCTTCGAATCGGTCGGATTACTTCTTCACAGTTCTTAGAACGGACTTTTTTCAGATTCTCATTCCTGGAAGCATCCGAGAAATCATGACCTATCCACCGGTGATTCATGTCGAAGTTCGTGGAGAGCGATCAAATGACACTGAGGTAACAGGGGAAAAAAAAATTAAATTTTTGTCAAGCTGTGAAGTTTGGGAAACAGTTTTTTTCCAACATGTCTTACACCCCTTGGTTGAGTCGCGGCAGGGAGCGAACTTGTAACCTGTGGACCGTAGAAAGACCCACAAACTGTTGCGCTACGGCGCGCCTTTTTTGTGACCTAAAATTATCATAACTTTAGAAAAATCTTCTCTTGAAAACCACTGAAACAAAACCATAAAATAGTAGCTTTTAAATGTTGAGCATGATATTTTTTAAGTTTTCATCTTTACTGCGGACTTTTAAATTCTAAAAACGCACATAAAGTAATTTCAAAGTTTCAGAAACGGTAGAGGCAAGGGTGTGTTGAAACTTAGCAGTTTATTTTCAGATAAAAATTTGCAAAAAAAGGAGATTGAGTAGCCTTTTTTCCAAATCTTTTGAATTTAAACTCATTATATTACCTTTAGGAGGTTAAAATAATTTTTATTATTGTCAAAACTACCTCCCTGAGCTTAGGATTAATTTCTACTCAGAATAGGTAAATTTTTTAAAGTCAGCCTCTCTCCTGTACAGCGAGTTATGTATTTGCCCACATAAGCTCGTTTTATTTTATCATTTTTTCGTTTGATTTACTTTTTTTCTCCACTTAGGTCAACTTGGGCCGTTTCGAAGTCTCGCCGCACGTAATCACGTCGTCGTCGGATCCTCGGTCATCTCCTCAATGGTATCCACTCAGATTCCATAAGAATCACACCAGGTTTCTCTATAACCTTTCTTTTTTGATACCCTCCACACTTTCCAGAGGATCAGTTTTGGCTTGTTTTGAACTATTTCAAGCTGGAAAGAACGACGATGTCCCGAGCATGCCACGGTCCAAGAAAAGCACCAAATCGTTAGTCTCGAATCTTCTTGGCAAAATAAATATCAATTTTAAGCTCTGGACGGTTTGATATTCCGGCCGATCTTCGACCAGACTTTTCCAAGTACACGGTTCAGTTTTTGTGCTGGGGAGTCAGAAACTTGGGTCGGTATCAGGTTCAGCGAGTCTAGGACTTTTTGGAAGTTCTGAACATCTTCCAGTTGCTCTCGGTGTGTCGGCCGTTTGTCGAAGTGACGATTGGGGAATGCGAACTTTCGTTGGAACCTTTGAAAAACGTCAACAAAGATCCGAATTTTCCTGAGCCGATGATCAGCTTCCCGGAGGTTTTATAATGAAAAAAAAATTCGGTGACTGTTGAAATCGGAGAAAGTTTTTATTAAATTAAATCATATATTTGAATGTTAGAAGTGCTCGTTAATATTGTGATCTGTGGAATTGGTATTAAATAGGTAAATTTCAAATATTTTATCTTTGGTTGGGGAAGATTCATCAATCGTTTTTAAGGACAATTTTTAGAGAAATTATCAAATCAAACAGGATGGAGAAAATCAATTTTTTTTCTTAGAAGTTTCAACATCAACTGCTTTTTCAACCATTCTGCGAATAATCAACCCATTTTCCCAATAGGTATCTCTGCCAACGGCGCTGGACTTTTCTCCGCCCCTTGTGGTGAGTCTCTACGACAAACGAGCCTTCAATCGTCGGCCTCTGATCGGCGTCTGCCTCATTTCCGACTTCAGCAAGTACATCCGAAAACAAATTTCCAAAGTTTTTGTGTTCCACTTCCTTTCCTACAAGTATTTTCTCAGAAAGAAAACGAAACGGCCCACAATTGGGATGAGTACGACGAAAATATGGCGCAAGATGACAAATACGAATCGTCGATTAGACGCTGCAGATCGCTGAGACAGGTTGATTCTGGGGTTGCTTGAGAGTTCTGCTCAGAGTTTGGGGCTTCTTCAGTATTCACTCAGAAGGATCTGAGCTCAAAGGAAAATAGAGCCTAGGAATATTAGCTCACAAACATTTCTAAATTTCAGCCCCTAGTTTCTTTCTTTTTTCCTTTACTCACTTAAATTTTTCATATTTTCTGACATTCCAATATTTTAAATAACATTACAAAAGAATAAAATCAAAAAAGAAACATATTGGAGAAATAGTTTGAATAAGTGATTAATGTTACTTGCACAATTTACAAAAACTTCGTCGCGCACTAAGCTGAAAGATCCGAACAGAGTTCTCTGAGCTGAGCTTTTTTTTTCCTATGAGCTCAGGTTTCTTGGGCTTATTTTTTAGCTGTTCTGTTGTCTGCAATGATAGGCTGAAGATGTTTTTTCTAGGAAGGTATGCCGAACTTGGACTGGTGGAGCAAGTATTACGCCTCGATGGGACAGGTTCAGAGGGCTCCTGGATACGAAGAGTCTCTCTTTTATCACGTTCTTCTTGAAAAAACTGCTTTTCAGGTGCGGCATGGAATATCTCCGCGTGCTCAAAGGATCATTGGAGGAAGAAGGCTGCTACAATCATTTCGGCGACTTTTTGGACACGTTCACTTTTGTGAGAAGCACCAAAGGCGACTTTGATGATCCCGAGGAAAAAGAGAAGATGGGAGAGTTGAAGGCGAGGCTTCTGATCATGAGGAATGATACTAAGGAGGAACACGGTTTCGTCATCCGCCTTTTTAGTTCTAATTTCGTTTTTTAGAAGTTTTTGACCCGCCTGGTGTCGAATTTGTCGGTCCTGTCGAGTGTCTGGTTCGGGTTTACGTTATCGAAGCCGAAGGTCTTGTAGCGACCAGGAAAAGCGGCATCTGCGATCCGTATTTGGTGGTTCGCTGTGGAAAGCAGAAGGTTTGTATGATTATTATACGAAATCTTATTCAAGACTTCAAAGAAACGCTGAATAAGGTTTTTTCAAGGTCTAACCAAAAAGTTGTCAAATTGTTTTTCAATACACGTTTATATATCACGAAAAAAACAACTTGTGGAAAGTTTCTGTTTATTTGAACAGTGGCTCACGAATCACTAATCAATTTCTGTATCATGTAGCGAAACCCAAAAACATGAAAATCTCTCCAAAATCCTCGCAATTCTTTCTTTTCTCAAGTTATGATTCATTTCAGGTTTCTCTCTGAGTTTTTTTTTCCTTTTCAGAAGAACATGAAAAAGAACTACCGAGCAGACACGACTGATCCAGTTTTCGGGGAGATGATTGAAATGAAAGTAACTGTTCCGGTTGAGAAGGATTTGGTCATTTCCGTGATGGACAAACGACGCTTGCTGGCTGGTTCACTGATATTGAACAAGAAATATAGAAAATAACTGAAATTGAAGACGAAGAGTTGGGAAAGACGAAGATCGACCTGGAGAATCGGCTTTTGACGCGTTGGCGCGCGACTGCTGGCCTCAGTCGACAATACACGGTCCATGGCGATCTTCCCTGGCGAGACCAACTCACTCCGTTGATGACCCTCCAGCGGTTGGACCTGCAGCCGAGCTTCTGAAACTTTTATTTTGTCAGCTACTGCATCCGAATGCTGCTTTCTCCGCCCAAAGTCCTACACAGAAAGATCAAAAACGCGAAAGAACAGGAAGAAACGGAAAGAGGACTCTCTGTTCTCGGCGTCGAATTTTGGCACTCCGATGTCGTCGCCAGTTTAGAACGGTATCAGCATTTCGTACTCAATAAAATCTAGTGTCCCAAGAGGAATGGCTCGATGCTTCAAATCCATACTTTCTCCTTTTGGAAGATGTGCTAGTAATTTTTCAAACCTGCTCTTATGTTGCATCTGGTACCGTTGGAATGTCTTTTCTGTTTCGCTGACGCATAATTTAAAGCTTGGAAGTTTTTTTTAAACTGTCGAAAGTCGCTTCCTTGTCGGACACGCCTTCATAGAAACCCCTGCACAATCGTTTTGCGTTCATCCCTTCCCTTTGATTTCTGGACTTTCTCAACAGTTTACTTCAAATACTTTCCAGAGAAGAAAAGGAACTTGTGGAGAATCAACGATGTGCAGCTGGAAAAGAAGAAGGCTCAGAAGAGGAGGAAAAGCTGGAAAAGTCGGCTCGTGCCTACGCTGAGGTTTTCTATACCTGAATATACCTTCAGTCCAAATTTTGAGAACGAAGAGGAGAGGAAACTGCAGAATTGGGAAGTCATCGAAATGGAACGTTCTGGGCAAAAAGTAGATTAATTAAAGGGGCCTTTAATAATTCAAATTCAGAAAGATAAGGGCCAAATGACCCAGAAGACGCTGGAGTTTGCTCGCCACCAGAATCGACGCAATGTCATGGGCTCACAATTGCAGACTGTCGCTCTGTATGTTTTGCATCAGGTAACGTCCAAAATGAAATAAAGACACCAAATTTTTAAACTAGATGGATCTCGTGCCGGAACACGTGGAGACGAGAGTCCTGCAGGCGTCGATGAGCGGAGCATCTCAATGTGGAAAACTGAAGCTTTTCGTTGATTTGTTTCCGGTTAGATTAATTTTCATAAATTCAAAATTTTCAATCAACTTAAAGAATTCGTCGTTGAAAAAAATCTTAAAAATAGCTGAAAAAATTTTCCTGTATACCACTTGAACTAGTCATCGTAGACTTCGTCAAAAAAAAAAAAGAAAAATTGTTTCAAAGAGTTGTGAATGAAATATTTGACCTCCTTTTTTTATTTGATGAACGTTTATTAGGTTTAAAACTTGATTTTTTTTTGGCATTTTTTAAGTCCGAACTCCAGACTGAAGAGTGAAGAACACCGAACTTTGTTCTTGCCCATTTTCGTTCCTCCAACATTTTTCATAATTGTATTCCTTTTGTTACAGCTGAGCTTCGGTCCGGTACCTCCGCCGTTGGACATTTCGCCCCGACAGCCGGAAAAGTACCAGTTACGAGTCGCCATTTTGAATGTTTCCAACGCGATTCCAGTCAAACGCAGTTTCGGCGACCCTGTACAAATCATTTTTGCATTCGAGATCCATTTACATCATTTAGGTTGGTGACCTCTACGTCAAAGTTTTTGTCAATGGGATGTTGAAAAGCGAGAAAACCGATGTTCACTACAGGTGTTGACAATTATTCTATCTGAAAGTCCAAGGTTTGTCGTAGGTCCCTGGATGGCTGCGGCGAATTCAACTGGAGGATATTGCTCAATATTGACTACAATCCGTGGGAGAAAAAGGTTGTCGCCAAGACGAAGACGCGATTTTTCAGGTTCATTGAGTCGGAATTGTACCGGTAATTCTAAAATTTAGAAAGGCGCGAGAAGATTTGGTGGATCCCTTGATAATTATTCAGCTCTGGGACAAGAACCGATTCAAAAAGGACAAGCTACTTGGCGAAATCGAGCTCGATTTGACTCGTTTCATGGGTATAGACGTTGTATGAGGGGCATAGAAAAATTTTGCGAAGTTTTTTTCTTTCATGATGAACCTCAAAAAAGTTTTTTTGATAATGTTGTGGACAAAGCCTGTAAAAAATGGCCAACAATGTTCATAAAAAAAATTAGAAAAATCCGAAAAAATGGAGAATCGCCATCAAGTTCTGTAAGAATATAGGGATGCTCAAGTTAAAAGTTTTTTTTTATCCAATTTAGTTAATTATTCGCTAATTATAATTAGACCCCTCAACCTTGTGATTACGAGAAGCTGAACAATATTTTTTTTCTTGATAGAGAAGTTGATTTTTCGATTTTTATAATCATGAAATTTATCACAAATTACCTTATCAGCAATTTATTAATACAAGTTTGCGGTTATCATGCAAAAAACTACATACATTGAGCTAATCTCATTCAAAAGAACCTTTGCGAGCTGAGTTCCTTTATTGACTGCAACTTCAGATTTCAGAAGGAATCAATGAACCTGAGGACATTGGCATTTTTGCAAAGAAGGATCGAAAGCGCTGGTGCGGAAAGTGCTGCTCGAGAAGGAACTGCCTCGTCAAGTGATGCTCTCTCAAGGGAAAACTTGAAGTCTGACTTTTCCAGGTGTTGCACCTGTCTTTTCACCTGCACGGTGATGAGCTGTGCCGCGCTTTGCTGCTGTTGCTGCTACAAGCGCAAAAAGAAGAAGGAAGTGAAGCCGTTTCCGAAGCCGCCGGTTTCCCACCCCAAACTTTATAGAGAACGTCAAGACTGTTTTTAGAAGTACGTCGTCGCGCCGGAAGATGTCGGATACTTGTCCATGTTTGAGACGCAGTCGATCTGGGGCTGGTGGCCGATGCTCACGTCCAAATCGCCTGTATGTAGTTTGGTTTCGGCTTGATTTCAATACGAGTCGGTGAAATGGTTTTCCTCAAAATGCTAGTCTTCCTACTAATATTTTTTGGCCTTCTTTCTGAATCGCTCAAATCTCTCATCGAAAAAACATTCTTTTACATTTGAAGCAAAAAAAAAAATTTGACGAAAGATAAGTTGAAAGTTCATTGAAAAATATTTCGTTGGAGGGCCTCTATGACAAGAAAAGAAATCGGAAATTTTACGGTCTGCCCGGTTCGGTTAAACACGGGTTTGCATATAAGAGTTTTTTTTTATCCTCTCCTCGAGCTCCCAAAGCTAAACATGGTTTTGAAAAAGAAATGATAACTTGAGTATTATTTTTTTGATGTAATTTCTCAACATTCTTCATAAAATGTGCTACAGCCTGAACAAAGCTGATTTGCTTTCAGTTCATTGACTAATACTTGAGCATTCAGGGAACAGACGCGGTGGGAGCGAAAAAGAAAGACGACGATCTTGAAGAAGATCAGCAGTACGTGATGGGACTCGTCGAGATGGAGATGATGCTCGTGACGTCAGAGGAGGCGAAAGTCGACCCAGTCGGTCGCAAAAGAAAGAAGCCCAACCACGTCAGGCCATTTCCTCCCTAATTCAAAAACCGATTTTGAATCATGATTTGAGATTCAGAAACTTTATCGGATTTAAAACTCCAATAATCTTCTCCGATTTTTAAATAATAGAAATTATTTTCCATGTTTAGAGTCCATATCTGGAGGCGCCTCATCGTTCGGCTTGGAACGCATTCTGGTTCACTTCGAGGTTTTTTTTTTCGACAAAACGGTTTTTAATATTTGAAAAATGACCAGAGTTCGACCTTGCGCTCGATGGTTCTGGAAAAAGTTTGGCTGCGCCCTACTCGTTTGGGTTCTCATCATTTTGCTCATTTTCTTCTTCATCTACGCCATTTTCACCAATTGGCCACTCATCGTCCTCCAGATCTTCAAGTGAAGTGCTCTCCCGACCGCCCGTCAGTCGTGATCCAATTCTCTTACTTGTTTGTTTTGTTGTTGTTGTTGAAATAAACGTTCTCACACCCGCTCGAGAGTCAGTTTGAGTTCGCTCCAATTCATTCAGCCCTGTGAATTCCTTTAAACTTTAAAATGAGAAGATTTTTTCTCGTCTTATCAATGTGTTCCATTTGTGCGATTGCTATAAAATGCTCCATTTGTGACTCTTACTCCGGCTACTGTGATTTCGACGGTTCTTCTTGTGTCGGAGCAAAATGTTCGTTTCGAATAGCTCCAACGTCGAGTAAGCCACAATTATTCCTGACAATCAGCTCAAAAAACTCAGGTGGATTGGTTCGAGAGCAAAGAATGTGTGTTCCATCCGACTCTCCGCTTGGATGCCGTCGATCAATTCTATGGGAAGGAATCGAAGGAAAAGAGTGTGTCTGCGCTACAGATATGTGTAATTCTTCTAAGAATGTTCCGACAAACCACTTATTACCGCTATCAATTTGCTCCTTATTTTATCAACTTCTTAATTTATAAAAAAAAAGAACTGTTTGACCATCATTTATCTCCCTTCTGCTTTCCTAGATCTCAGTGATTCGTAAATTGAATGTTTTTTTTTTACAATGAAGGGTACCTTTTTTTTATTGTTGTTGAAGAGTTTCATATTGACCTATGCAATACTTGAATTTACTCGGTTCAAAAGCGCAGTATTCAGTTCATGGAGAAAAACACTTGCTATGGCACAGTAAAATAAAATGCGAAACGCATTTTTTTTTTTCGAAGATCACTCAGAAAAATTTTTCAACAACAATTTATTCTTAGAATTTAAAAGAAAAAACAAGTAACAGAAAGGCACCCACCATAACCAAGTAATGATGATTGAGCCTTAAGGACAAACAACCGAGTAGAAAAGTGGGATCAACTTTTTTTTATTCCTTAACAGCAGACTGGAGCACGCTGGCGGCTTCGTCGACCTTGGAGCGGAAGATGTCAGTGTCCTGGAGCATCATGATGAGCTCAGAGTTGTCGATTTCCAGCATCATTCCAGTGATCTTTCCAGCATCTTTGTGTCCCGGATACATCTTGTCAATGAGAGCGTAGATGCGCTCGCCAAGAAGTTGTTTTTGCTCCTTAAAAGAATTTTTTTTCAAATAACGAAGTCTTCGAAAATTACCTGGGGAGCGGCAGAAGCCAACATGTGAGAAGTCAGTGGCTCCTGTCCACCAATCACAATTCCAGTTGGTCTTTGTTGGTTGAACTGCTGGAACTGCTGCTGGGAAACGTTTTTGACTGCGTTCGTAGTTGGACGCGGCTGCTGCTATAATTAAAGAAATTAAAGAGGTTGAGAATTTAAAATATCTCACAGGTCCACGAGGACCGGCGGCAACAGCAGGTTGACCGGCGACAGTTGGTTGTTGCATTCGCGGTTGTCCCATTCTCGCTCCTTGCACTTGTCCGTATTGCTGAGGTTGGGGTCGGTTCGGCGCCTGTCCACCTTGAGGCCTCACTCCACGCCCCTTAAAAAAGTGAATTGATAAAACTTTAACCGTCTCATTAAATTACCTGCTGGTACATAGCACTTCCCGCTGCAGGAACCATGTACGGTGTTTGAACTCCGTATTGGTTGGCGACGTTCCAACGTCCTCCTCCTCCTCCACGAACCGCGTTCATACCAGAAACGAATCCACGTTGCTAGAATGAGCTCAATTTCTTAGAAGCTTTGGGATCGTAATTACAGGAACGGGGTTGGCGACATAGTAACTAGCTTGGTTCGGTGGGTACATGGTGCCGCCAGGAACGTTGTTGTGCATACGCATGCTTGCCAAACGCTGCATGTACTGTGAAGCTAGCTGAGCGCGGCGGTCTTCCTTCCTTTGAGCCAAGGCCACGTAAAGCGGCTTGGAGCACACCATCTTAGAGTTCATCTCGGTGACGGCGTTAGTCGCTTCATCCGGCTTTTCGAAGCACACAAAACCGAAGCCTTTGGAGCGACCATTTTCGTCAGTCATGACCTAAGAAATATTTTTTTACATTTGGTTTCACGTGATGAGATACCTTAGCACTCGTGATGGCGCCAAACTGTTCGAATTGCTTTCGGAGACCTTCGTCGTCAACCGTCTCGTCAAGATTCTTCACATACAGATTGATGCCTTGGTATTTTTGCATTCGTTCGGCCTGAATAATTTTTGAATGCAAAACTTTATCATTTTTCAAATTCAAGAAAAAAGCTTGGAGGTCCAAAAACCTTCTGCATTTCGTGTCTTCTCTTCAATTCAGCTTGTCTCTCGCTCTTCTTCTGCGCACGGCACACGAAAAGCTTTGTATCGGTGCCATCCAAAATTTGCTCATGCATAGCGTTTACAGCCTGAAAAGTTTTTTCAAAAGTAATCTCATGAAACTTTCACACCCGTTCGGCTTCCTCCGGCTCAGAAAAAGCCACAAAGCCAAATCCCTTCGATTTGCCTTCTTTGTCGTCGTTCATAACGGCACAGCTCGTGATTTTTCCAAACTGAGAGAACATCTTTTCAAGTGACTCCTGATTCAGACTGTCGCCAAAGTTTTTCACAAAAACGTTCTTGAATCGTTTGGCGGTTTCACCGAGCTCCCTCAAGCGTTGAGCACGAGGTTGGAACTTTCCAACAAATCTGAAAATGAATTATTTCAAAGTAATCCGATTTCCTAAACTCACACTTTCTTTCCTCCAAGCAACATTCCGTTGACCTTGGAAATCGCACTCAAAGCGGATTCATCGGTTTCAAAATGAACAAATCCATATCCTTTGCTATTTCCTTCTTCATCAACAGCAACCTGTAAATTTTTTATCTATTTGAAAAGTGGTAAAATGAAACAACCTTGCAGGAAAGAATAGGACCAAACAAGGAGAAAGTGTCGTAAATCGACTTATTGTCGATCGACTTGTCCAAGTTCTTGATGAAAATGTTTCCATTTCCCGATCTACGCATGGCGGGATCTCTCTGAGACCACATGATACGCATTGGCTTTCCGTTGATAGAATCGAAGTTCATGGTATCCAATGCACGTTCAGCTGGAAAAAAAAAGTATGAAAAAGATTCTCCGTTTTCTTAGTCACTCAAAGTTTACGAAGTAACATGAGAAAAAATACCGTCCGCTGGCTGCTGGAAGTTGACGTACGCGTATCCGAGCGAAAGACGAGTAGCATTGTCACGGCAAACGCGAATAGACAGGACTGGGCCAGAAGCGCTGAACTTCTCGAAAAGCATCGACTCTGTCACTTCCGGATGAAGGTCGCCGACGTAGAGCGATGCCATGGAGTACGAAGCAGATGTAGGATTAGCGGGAGCGTTTTGAGCAGCCATCTTTCTGAATAAATAAAAATGTCAATAAATCAGAGTGTAATTTTTCTAAGAAATTAGAACTCCTTTCGATTTGAAAGCTAAAGTTTCAATTAAAATTTTTTTTAAAAGGAAGATGAAACGGAAAAGATCAAATGATTGAAACTAGAATTGTAAACTATATTCTAAAATATGAGAAATCTAAAAAAGAAAATCAAAAAACTTGAATAGAACCGCGAGTTTTTTTTTACAGAAAATATGAAAAAAGTGAGGCTCAAAATACTGAAATGTAACAACGTACGCTTAATTTCGAAATCTACCTACGAGATCGACAGCATTACAAAAACAGACCTCTCGAGAAAAATCTATTCACAACAACAAAGTACTAAAAAAAACTTTTAGGAACTCACCCTTTCAGCAAACGACGATCAGCAGCGAGAACAAAAACGAAGTAGGTTTTTAAAAGTTTTTCGTTTTTTTAAGGATTTTGGATAATTTTTTAAATTTTTATGGATTTTTTGGGAATAAATATGGGATTTTGTCCTTTAGGCGAAGCCAGGAATGTCGGTTATCCCTCGGAAACCGAAAAAATGAAGAACGCTTTTTAAAGGAGGGTTAAGATTTATTGCGTCCTGCAACGACTTATTGAACTTACAGTAATCGTTTTTAGGAATCCGGCTTGTTTTTACTTTATTTTTCATTATGTAATTCATATTTTCTTTTCCCTTTCAAGCGATAATGAAGTTCAATTTCATACTCAATTACCCTATTAATAGTGTAATCAGCTCAAAGGTTTTCTTGTTTTTCCCCATTTTCACCTGAATATATCTTATTCGGATTGAGAAGTCTATTTTTTGCTTCTAATGCCGTCTTCAAAGTAATTTCCGCGAAATGCAAAATGATCTCTGACTCTCCAAAATTAAGTGATCTTTTCCTTTCTCTAACTGGTATTTTGCATTTCGCGGAATCAAATTGAACACGGCATTTGAGCGATTCAGAAAGAATAATAATATTTTTGATTTCTTATTTGATGAACTCAGTACCATGACTTTCTCATAATACGTTTCAAAAATACTTGCTGGACTGTTCAAAGACACAGAGTTCGTGCATGACGGATTTCATTTTTCTTAAATAGTTATCCTCCATTCAACTCTAAGATTCTGAAAACCCCGAATTTTTCGTGCTAAATGGGGTTTTTTCTTCCTCTTTTTTCGAGAACGTATTTATTGCGTTTTCGGAAATAATTCTCACATTTTTGAGCTTTATTCAAGTATTATAAATTATATTTAACTCTGCCTTATTTCGATCTTTTTTTTCCGAATAATGTCTTTTTTCTGTTCGATATTTTTTCAATCTTAAACATACTTTAGGTAAAAAAAAACATTCGGCTAACGACATGGCTCCTTCCACGACTAAAACTACGGTTTGTGAAGTTTCTCCGGAGTTGAGCTATAGAACAGAGATGGTTTCCTTAGCAGGATCCGGAGTTTTTTGAGCTCAATCAAGAAGGAGAAGCTTCTAGTTTTTTTTTTTCAATTTGCTGCACTTTCTGCTCAGGAGTCCATCGTTCTTAGTTCCTTTTTTAATATATATATCACCTCGTTTTCTTTTGAAGGTCAAAAAGAATGCTGAAAACATTAACTCACGCTTGTCCATGGTTATGAAAACCGGAAAGTATGTTTTGGGATATAAACAAACTCTCAAGTCGTTGTTAAACGGAAAAGCAAAGCTCGTTCTTCTCGCCAACAACACTCCCCCGTTGAGGTAAAAATTACTGCATTTAAAGCTAATTTGACGCTTTATAAAACGGTTTACTCGTTGAGAAACACGAGTCGAAACGCGGCATGTTTCCACTGCAGGATTGGTTAGCTCAGTTCATTTGACTAAAGAAAAAATATATTGGAAATTTTCCATAAAAGACAGCCGTTCAATCTCGATGTAGTGGACCGCTGCGTTCTGGTTCGAACCTTTAGGCCATGGAAAAAAATTTTTGCTGCGAGTGCCAAATCAACTTTGAAAAACTGCATATTTTGAAAGAAAATTTTGATTATAGATCCAGAAAGTCTGAAATCGAGTATTACGCCATGTTGGCCAAGACTGGAGTTCATCACTACAATGGCAACAACATTGAGCTCGGTACTGCTTGCGGTCGTTTGTTCCGAGTTTGCACGCTTGCTGTCACCGAGGCTGGTGATTCAGACATCATCAGGAGCGTCCCTGCCGACAGCGCATAGTTGATAATAATTGTTATTTGTTTGATTTGTTATAATTTAATAAACTTTTGTAAAAAAAGAAATCATTCATCAGGAACTTCTTCATTTCCTTAATTACATTATTAAAAGATGAAGCAAGTGATAATGAAAATGGTGAACGAACCCGAAAAGAAAGAACGGAATTGAAAAATTACCACCTATCATCATACCTGAAACTAGGTAACAACAATTATTAAGATCATAAAAAAATTTACATAGAAAATTAATTATTACATAGAAAAATGAGTGAGATAGTTGGGAACAGTTATAGGCCGTTCCGCGCTAGCTTGTCACGTTTTTCTTTCCGCCAAAAAGCCAGGTCAAATTTAACCAACTTTCGCTTCAAGACCTTTGTTTCTTGCCGTTATAAAAGCAGAAATTTGATCTTATTTGGTATACGGTCTTTTTGGCGGGGAGAAAAACGTGACAAGCTGGCGCGGAATAGGCTATACTTTCACTAGTTGATTTGACTCATTAAAGCTTCCATTTGAGCATCGTGTATAATATCTCGAATAGCTTTCTGTGCTTTCAGCAGCTGCACACGATCTTTGTAGCCAATTTCGCGTAAAGGATGGTACAAAGATTTACCTGAAGAGATTTTCATGATTCTTATCATCTTTTGGAAAAACTCACAAAATCCCATGTATTCATCCATGTCTTCCGATTCTTCTCGTGTTCTCTTTGCTGAGGGTGGTGTCAAGTAGTACCCCTAGAAAATATTTTTTAATCGCTCAAAGAAGATTGAAACAACGTTATCATTTTCTGTCGTTCGTTTTCCTGATCTTGGCTGCGGACTCGGTGAATGGCCAAGATTGTCAAGGAACATCATTGCTTGATAAAATTTCCATTTTGGGGGTATGACGCAGCCTTCTTGATCGTAAGAGACCTTCAAAAATTTCTAAATTAATTCTAAAATTCTAATATGTATAAGGTATTTCAAAAAAAAAAAAAAACATACTCTTTTACGAGTTTTTACGTAGGTGTCTTTCAAATTTTTCCAAAGCCGTTCGACGTCGTCAACTGAAAATTCTTGATATAATATTTGCTACTTTTGTGATTTTCAGTGAGAGAATATTATCTAAAACTGAATTTGGAAAAAAAAATTCAATAAAAACTTACGAGACATGGCTAGTTGAAACTGTTGATTTATTTGCTCGGCAACATCGGCAAAAAGTTCTCTTCTCGAGATTCCGGTCGTCTTTTCCCTGTAAAAAATAAAATAAGCTCGATGATCGCATAAAAGCAATCTAGAGCTCCGCTTTATCTTCAAAACTGCTATAATTAATCATTTCACTGCAGTCGAACATAATCTGAAGTCAATGAAATTTATATATCTTTGCCTACCTTTGAGAGTCCCAAATTCCAGGTTTCAGGCAAACCGCGTCAATCAACGAAAATCTAACCTCATCCGTAATCATATGGGTTGAGAAACTCTGCTCAATTGATAAAGTCACAATAAAAGTATAGATAACTTAACCAACCGGTGAAAGAGGTTTGCTTTCCATAACTGATGCGCGATTGTCCCATCGTTCCATTTTTAATGGAGAAGAAGTTGAAAACCCCGAATTACTTTTTTCCTATATAATTGAATAAGATATATATCGAAAAACCAGTGATCGACAAACATAAATTGAAAAAAGTTTCGATTCATAACTTGTTATAGGCTTATTGAAAAATTTAAAAACTTTTTCGAATCAAAAAGAAACATCAGAAAAAAAGTGCGGAGAAAAACCGTCGCAAGCGACAAAATCGAAACGCCTAGCGGCTCAACCGCGTCGCGTGCGGTGCCGCGTTCCAGAGAAACTTGGCGCCAATATCAAAAGTTTTAAATTTCGTGAGACAAAAATTGAATAACGAATCCATTTTATTATTCCATATGGCATACCAGTTAATTCTCCGCTTAAACAGTGAATGAAATTAGAAAATCATGCCAGTAAAGTTTATAAATATGTTGCGCACAAAAAAAAAATTATTCTCTACTCGCACCTGTATTTAAGCACTAATAATAATAAAAACATCGACCTAAAAAAAATAAAAATTTTATACAGTTATTAACAAAAAAAAATATATATCCTCTTCCTAATTATATTCCACATTACATGATACTAATTAATTGAAGGAGTTCTCATTTGCGGTATAGCTGATTCACGTCTAGCTTGGGACGCTAAAGGAGCGTGGCCTGTCTGTGCTCTCCACGAGCCAGGCGCTATCTCGTGTATTATCGTGTCAGGACCCTTTTTCCAATGGCTCAAGTCAGCCGTGAATCAACTATGAAACCCGTAGGTGAAAAAGTGGCAATAGGCATTCCTTATCTATGTATTTATAGTTGAGCAAAAGATTCTCATTGAGTTGGTCGGTAATGAAGGGGGTGTTCTGAGGAAATCATGGGAAGAGACGGCGAATGCAGGTTGACGCGAACGGAGAACCGCTTTCCGGCAATGTCTACTTCGTAGGTCCCGCGGTTGATGTAGTCGTTGGACACGCCGAACTCCTTGTTCTCGACGTAGGCGATGCACACCTGAAGCGCTCATTCAGAAGAAAAACTCGCGAAAAAAAAAACGAAAATTATTGATGTAGTAAGTCTAAAAACTTGAGAAATAATAAAGATTCATTTCAAACTTCACGCATTCTAGAATTGAATGTCATCTGAACAAGAACGGTATCAAAATTCATTCTTCAAATTAATCCAAAAATAAATTATTCAGAAACGAATGCCGGGCTGTTTGAAGGAGGCGGAATTGTTGGATGTTGTGAAATAACCCTTTAAAAATTGATCAAAAACGTTCAAACATACTATGAACCCAAAGTAAACTCGATCAAAAAAAAAACTGGAAAATAATCTGTTATTGGAATTTCAATAAACTGCGGCCTAAATATTCAAGTAGCTCTACGCGAAATCAGAATTCAGATTCCTCAAATTGACCAAAAATAAAAGTTTGAAAGTTTTCTCTGAGATTATAGTATCATAATTCTGAACTGAAAACTTCAGTACTTTTTCTTGCGATTTTTGTCGAATGAGACTTTCCGAGAGAAAATTAGAACTCCAAAGATGGGCTCTCATTTTCGATGCTTCTAGAGGGAATGGAGCTGATTAAAAATACAAACCTGAGAACCCAAGGTGAAGCCATAGGCCGCAGAGGTTGTCAAGCCAACAGCCCGGCCGTCTCTGGGAATGGAACGTCTTCCGAAGATCAAGAAAACCTCCCACTCACCTGTACAATGTCTCGCCGCCCTGAGGCCACGGATCGGTCTCCTTGTCGTGTTTGTCGATGAGAATCTGAACGAATCTTTTCGAAACTCCGCGTTCCAGTTGCGTCTCCAATGCCTTCTTGCCGATGAAGTCTTTCTAAAAAAGTCTTCTTATTTCAGAGACAGAGTGAAAAAAAAATCACAGATTTGGATTCAAACAACTTTCGAACTACTCATTATTCTCCACTAGATCTTCTTCTTCTTCTTCCTACGCCTTTATACCGCTTAAGCGGCATCGGCCCCCCAAGTCGATTAGCCGAGGTCCTATCCTGATATCAGTGGACTGGCTCTAGTGACATATCCGTCTTTGTGTGTGACAGCTGGGGATTTTGAAGTCGTGGTTCCCCACTACCAACATTCCTTAAACCCCTTGGTTGGGTCGAGACGGGAATCGAACTTGTGACCCTATAGACCGCAGACAGGCACACAACCTGTTGCGGTACGCGCACCATTATTCTCCACTAGATCATTCAAAGGAAAAATTTCAATTGTGAACCAAAATTGTAAACAAGTTTCCAACTCTTTGTTAGAAAAAATCAACACAATAGACTTAAATTAGATACGGACTTTGTTGTGTATTCGTGGATGATTAATATTCAACAATGAGCCTGTGTTTTTATTTTATTTTTTCTCAAAAACATACGTTTTTTGAGTTTTTTGATACCTTTCGACACCAAAAACATCGTAAAACAATGAAAATAACTCAAAAGAGTATAATGCAAAAGCTTACACCTTAAAGATACCGATCTTTCTGTTTAAAAACCGAAAAAAAAACCTTGAAATCGACGCGGAAGGCGCGCCCGCACTCTACAGGCGTCACGGTGGCGTTGATGTCTTGGCCCCAGTAGACGTAGAATTTCTCGATACGAAGCTGTCTGAGCGTGTAGTAGCCAGCGTGCAGAAGACTGTATTCTTTGCCCGCGGCGACGACTTTTTCGTACACATTTTGAGCCATCTGAACATTCAAAAATTGACTTTGCACATTTCGAAGAAAAAGAACCTCGTTGGGAATATAAATGACCCATCCGAGTTCACCGCAATGAGTCACACTGATTGCGCGGATTCCCGTAGCCATTCCTATGTTTATCTCCTGAAGGGAAGGATTCTTATTGACACTTCTTTGAATTTGTCGCATTTGATTTGATTTCGAACTATATTCACCGATGGCTTTGAGAAAAACGATTAAAAAACGCTAATAACTTGTAAAAATCAGCATTTTTTCTTCTAAAACGGCTTTTTGTGATTTTTTTCAAAAACCGATCGAAAAAAATTACATTTTGCTTCTTTTTAAATTATATTTTTTTCACCAAAAAAATCTCTGAATGTCTTTTTGGCATCAGCCACATTTCTCTTGCGTTTTCAATTTTTGCGACATTTTTTTCGAATTAGCCACTTGATATCAATTTTTTGATAGAGCCACCTCAAAAGAAAGGGGTCGAATGATTCAAGACCGCATTAATCATGAGATACAGTTATTTCAGTCGAATGCGTTTCCTTCGCAAAACGGCGATGAATGAACTATCAAATCGAATCAAAACGACAACTGATTCAAGCACATTAAAACAACACACCATGCAAATTGATATCAATAATCACACGCAAAACCTGACAACGGAACGTCGGAAACTCGGTGGAACTCATCGACACGCCGGTGACGTCAGCCATCAGATACCTCGACGAGGGGCCGATTATGTCCAGCGCCGTGTAGGCGCCGGTTACGTCCTTCAAATAGGAAATTCTTATTTTCTTTCTCTTTTTAGTCTGTTCAGATTTTGATTGTCAAGTCCTCGCTCAAGCTCCGCCCCTAACTGCGCTTTGAACCAATCAGAGAGCGAGCCATCCACAGAGCGTTCTCAAATTATTTCATTGTACTTTCCATTCAAAATCTAAACAAGCTATGGCTTTTCTTTCGAGTAGAATACTAAAATGAATAATTTTGAGTGAAGAAATTCACAATAAATGTATCTGGAAGAGTAAAAATTTTCAGAAAATTAGCAAAAGGTTCTTTGGTGTAGGAGTTGGTTATTTTAAGTGGTTGAACCTACCAAGTTTTTGTAAAGGACGCTTCAAAGTCAAAAAAATTGATCCAAGGCTAAAAATAGATCATTTTGAGATTTTTAGCACTTCTTTCTCAAAAACTGAAGTGTTTTGCAAGCAGTCCCGTTTAGGATCTATTTCGTACATATAAAAAGGTTCCAGCCTTTTTCCAGAAAACTGAAAAGAAGCTTTTTCATTCTGAAATCTCTCAAAAGGCACACGAGAAAAATACCTGAACATGGACATTCACTTCCATTTTTGCCGCCCACTTCTTCATCCAAGTCATGCATCGTTCTTGCTGGATTGTAGGGGCCACCATGAAGAAGCTGAAACAACTTAAATGATGATGATGATAAAATGACAAAGGCTTGAGAAGATTTGTCAAATTTCCACATATTTTTGTCGCTCTCTATAGCCTGTTCAGACTTTGAATGTCAAGCAGAATGGAACTATTTGAAAAGGCTCTGTGGATGGCTCGCTCTCTCATTGATTTATTGCGCTATTAGGGCGGAGCTTGAGCAAAGACTTGTAATTCAAAATCTGAACAGAATATAATAAGTTTTGCCAAAACAAACATTTTCGAATTCAACAAAAGGCTAAAAAAATAGCCCCGGTTATTTTTGAGGCTAGTTTATCATACTAAACAAATGAGACCTTGAGAAAAAAAAGTCGTGGCTCAGCGTTTAGTTTCTTACCAGTTTTGTAAAAGAATAGGTCGAAAAAAAAACTTGAAGACGAAAAGGCCTGAAAAAAAACCGCTGATTGCTTAAAGCTAGTTTATGATACAAAATGCAACAGATTTGAGAAAAATAGTAGTAGCTCCGCGTTTTTTTGTCACCTTCGAAGAACTTTATCGAAAGATTGCAAAAAAAGGGGAAAAACAGCGTGGACTATTTTCTCCAGCTCTTCCTCCAAAACGAACCTGTCCTCGCTCAAGCGACTCAGCGTGCAGTCGGTCACGTATCCGCCGTTTTCATGCTGCATTCCCGTGTAGACGGTCGTTCCGATCGGCTGGTCGACGTTCGCCGAACACAAGTACTGCAGGAACTTTACCGAATCGGGGCCCTTCAATCGACGAATCAATTGGTGATTCAAATAAGTTGGCGAGAAACCGTGATGTCAAATTTGGCGAAGCTGCTCATGTCAATGAGGCCGACGCGTTCACGACAAGCTTCGTACTCCGCGGCAACTCTTCAATTTTCCACGAGTTAGGAACTTTCGGCAGATCTGCTCACCTGTCGAACCATATGGGTTTTCCGATCAGCGTGTCTTGTCCTTGCATAAGAGCGTTCCTTTCCGGTTTGCTGTTCTTTTCAAACCAAAGGGGCCGTTCGTATCTTGAAGAAACCACAAATATAGAGTACCTACTAGTACCGATCAAAACCTATTCATTCAAAATTCATATTTTTTCAGTTTATTGAACGATATTTCCCGAACTTTCGAAAAACTGTCTAACTTTGACCAGAGATTTCAATTTTCCTTTGAGACACAAACCGTCTTTTCAAACAAAACGATCAAAAGTGAAAACTTTCCTTTTAAAAGCCTATTCACTTGAAAAAATTGATTTCCAAAATTAAAGGAGAGTTTGATTTATTTATTTTTTGAAAATTTTCGATTTTTAGATTTTTCTCCGAAAAACTACTGTTTTTTTCCCGAAGTCTTTCTAGTAACAACATGATGCAAAAATAGGATTAGTCCGAGTTCAAACCCCATGATTTCTCCGAAAACGGCGCCGGCGTCACGAAGTTGATGATAGATTGGCGCCATCCGGAGGTTTCTGGCCGTGTGGCACTGATACGAATGGTAAAGATTACGGTAGGTGGCAGCTGGAAGCAAAAAATATTTCACTGCGCATCAACTCGCAGCCAAACCGGCGATTTCTGGGACGCGTTCCATTAGATATTGGCTGTTGGCGTGGAGTTCGACGAAGCGGGCGACGTCCACACGAGAAACGTCAATCGTCTCCGCTCTCCCTGAACAATTTTCCGAGAGTTTTCAAAACTTTGCAAGTCACTTCATGTAGATATCCTACACAGATTTGCTAGAAAATGTGCTGAAAAATGCCTAGAGAACAGTAGAAATTGGAGATTTTTCTTATTTATGGGGTGAAGTTCTGTGAATAGAGAATCCATGATGTGTTTATGGGTCAGTTTCATTTTTTTTTTCGGCCTTGCCAAAATTAGCATTTTTTTTGAAGCCGCATAGAAAAACTTATCTTGAAAATTTTTTTTTTGGAGAGCTTCGTTTCATTTTTTTTTTCAAACACTATAATTTTACTTTGACTGAAATTCAGCTTTATTTTGTGAAAAAAAAAACCCAAAAACTGAGTAAAAACTCGAAAATCACCATCGCAAATGAGCTCCGTCAGAACTTTAGCCAAGCCACCGGCCAGGGCGAGTCCTTGGCCGTTCATTCCGCACATCACAAAAGTACCCTTTTGCCTAAATTAATTAATTGGATAAGAAAAATAGAAAGAAAAACCTGACTACTCTCTCCAATAGTCGGTATTTTATCCGGCGTATAGGATTCCATGCCGCAAATCAAATCGCCATGTCCGATTTCGCCGAGCATCGGCAAACGATGCAAGCTGTTTTCTAGGTTCTTCCCTGAAATCTTTATTATTTTTCAACGTAAAACATACTATAAAGCATAAAATCTCTTCTCTAACAATTGAGTTACCGCTTCGTAGTTATGAGCCTATAGACATCGCTTCAGATCTCGTTCTAGGACTGCCATAAAGGTAGAAAAAAAATTTATTTTCTTCAATAATGAAAATAATAAACTAATTTTTCAGCACATTTTTCCAGAGCTATATCAGCTTCAATACTTCAATAGGAGTTTTCATAGTGACATTCTAGTTAAAAAAATTGTGAATTTCAGCTAAAAAAATTTTTTCAAACTTTTACTGTTAACTATGGAAATAATTGAGGGGACTCTGAACAAAAAGTCTATCATTTTTTCCGAGCGCCAAAAAAGTAATGCAAAAAACGTCCTGAGGCGTAAAATCCTGGCTGCGAGCAAACAATAGACATTTCAGTTCAAAACGGACCGAACTTGTCCCAATCAGGCTCGGGCCGGTTCCAGTGGTCGTTGCTGACCGTGTGCCGAGCCAACGGCCTGACTCCCTCCTCGGCGAATCCGGCGCAGAGAGTCTTGAAGGAGGTGCATCGGAACATCACGTTGCCTTCCAGGTCGTTGAATACTGCAAATTCTCCCGTTTCCGGACATCCTTGACGTCTTCTCCTACTCGGCGTGAAGTCTCCGACGACGCCAGTCGGCAGCTTCGAAGTGTGGATGTAGGCGTAAGTACAGGGATGTGTGGCCGTTTGAATGTGTCGCTGGAGCAGTGGCTTCACCAGAACAGTTCCAGACCACTGAAAAATGATCAGATCTTCATTTCAGTATGGAAACCATTGGTGGGATATAATTTGAAAATGAAAAATCGATTTGTGCAAAAATCTCCAATAGGGGATTAAAGGAGCATCGATAAATTCTAACTAAGGAATTTTTTTAACCCCCCGGTTGAACTTTTGCTGAAACTTTGCTGAAGTGTACTTTAGGACCCCTTGATTCCAGAACAGAGAGAAAATTTCTCGCAATAGATCTCGTTTTCGAGTTAGGACACTTCAAAAACCCGAAATAGCGCTTTTTTAGGCTAAATTGCGTATTTTGCACACTTTGAAGCTCCATAAATCGGAAACAAGATCTATTGCGAGAAATTTTTTACTTGATCTGCAATCAGGGGGTCCTAAAGTACACTTCAGCAAAGTTTCAGTAAAAGTTCAACCGGGGGGTAAAAAACGTTCCCTGGTAAGGAAAGGCTTCAAAACGAAAAGTCTTTTTCCGCGTTATTTTTATGTCTTCAAGCACACCAGCAAGATTTGTACACAGACTATGAAAAAAAAACGGAACAAGCAATAAAATTTACTGTAGGATCTTTAAGTTTGCCCTTCATCAATTTTTACCTATAGTTTTTTAATCTTTTTCGAAATACTGCAATATAGAAAAACAACGCCTGAAATTCAAACTTCGAAACATTTAGAAAGCTTTTTGAAGAAAATGGATGTGACAAAACCTTGAAATTGAATGATGCGAATGAATCTCCTTTTTTTAAATATCAAAAATAAAATGGGAAAACGAACAATTCCGGCCGCGTCGACAAAAACCGGCGTTTCGACGAGTCCTTGGCAGGTTTTCACAGCGTAAACTTGCTTCTCATCGCCCAACATAACTTCTTCCACTTTGCAGTTTTCGAAAACTTGGGCTCCTGAGTGTGATAAAATATTGGTCCGAAATGAAAAAAGTTATAGGAATGATAATTTGAAACCGCCAGCCTAAAGTTTGAGAAAATTAAAATTTCCTACGCCTAAATTAAATTTTTTTAAATTCCAACTGCTTATCAAAAGGTAAAAGTTAAAGCTCTGAGCTCTCTTGCATGTATGAAGTTGACTAGTCGTTGCTTTGAGCTAACAACTGAAATCAATTTTTCTCAAAAAAATTAGAATGCACCTATTTTTGAAACACGGAAAAAGTAAAGAGTTTATTGTTAAAAACAGTGAAATGTGTATTGTTGTGAGGGACTAGCTCTGAATGGAGTATAAAAGCTTTCATGAAATTACTTCCTTAAGGAATAAATTATAAAACTTGCTGCCAACTAATCATTTTTTTTTTCAAAAATAATCTATTTTCTTTATGTAATAAGCTTCGATGAATACCGTCAACAGAAACCCTTAAATTGGCCTCAAAGTTTTATTAATTCAAAAAACACGTCATAACTTTGTTCAAACTATCGGGATTTTCTCACCATTTTCCTGAGCGTGCCTCACAAGTTCTTGGCTCAACGCCACCGGGTCCAAAGCCACGTCTTCAGGAGAAAGAAGAGCCAGCTGGAATAACTTCTCAATCTTCTTGAAACCTAGATATTTTTCTACCTGAACATCTTCGGTCTGCAAGAAAGGCCACCTGGCGAGCATCTCGCTTTGGCAGTCGATCAGCTCCACGTTATCATTGTGGATAATCCCTAAAAGTTCCTTTCGAAACAGGGAACCGTTTGACGTTGACAAAACCTCGGCTGTACATTCGACGGAGGCACATCTCTGACGACATTGACGACGCCAGGTAGGCTCGGCCGCATTTCACATACCCTAAAAAGTTCAAACTTCTATTTGAAAAATGATGCTTCTTCTTCTAAAAAATAAAATAAAAAATGTTTGTTCGAAACCAAATGGAGCTATCATGCTGGCTATTTATCTCAAAAGATGGACTCGTATTCAATCCCGTTTTTGAGGCCATTTCAGTCTCTAAGAAATAATTGGTGACGCAGCTTATTTGTTTATTTCGAAATTCTGTGATCCAAGTATACTAGAAAGGGCACTCAATTGTTGTATACAACGCCAAAAGTTCTACCTGTTGTGCTTATACAGACTTACTACAGGCGTACCCGCTGAGAAGCACATCTGGTTAACTCTCATCAGCTTGAGCAGAGAATACATGAAGTTCAAATTAGAGAGACTACCCTAGGGTACGCTTTAAAATTTTTTCGAGGAAGAGGAAAATTAAAGCTTTCAGGTTCATTTCTCAGTAAAAGAAAATGATAGAGGGGATACTTTCGAGAGTATGGCTGCGATTATTTCAACTAACTAGTAAGATCCTTCTCTAGTTGAAATACAGTTTCTGGGAACTCACGGAATTTATTCTCCTCAGCCAAGGCCGCATAGAGCTTGTGGGACTCCTCGGCGATCGCCTGCATGCTGGCGTCTTGCCAAAAGATCGGCGCCGACACGAGTCCCGCGCTCAAACTCGTCGCTCCGCCACATCCCACACTGTAAGGAACAAGTTAATAAGAAAAACTAGCACTAGCGATTGGAATTGAAGTTTCGATGTAATTATTGCGCTACCAGTTTTCCTCGTCTCATTACCTCTTTGAAAAATTAAATAAATAAAAATTTATTATTTATTTTTAAAAAGATAATCTACAAAAAAACTTCTTGAAGTGAATAGAGGATTTTCAGCTCTGTTGTGAGCTTCGAAAAATTTTTTAAAGCGCTAGACCGAAAGTTTGAAAAATTCTTCTGGCTTTTTAGTCTTTTCATAATCTGAATGTCAAATCGCCGCTCAAGCTCCGCCCCTTAATGTGCGATAAACCAATCAGAGAGCGAGCCATGCAAAGAGTACTTTCGAGTAATTTCATTGCACTTGACATTCAAAATCCGAACAGACTATATACAAGAAAAAAACTATAGATTTCGAAACCTCTTCGACAATAGTTGGATCTAAGAAAAAAGAAGGAAAAACGAACGCTTCTTTCTCGAAAAGACAGACTTTCTTGCCGCGCTTGGCCAAATGATAGGCGAGTGAAGCGCCGGAAATTCCTCCGCCGCAAATCACGACATCCGCACTCGACGTGTACTTTCTTCAACAAAACAACTCATTTCAAAACATCCCCGAAATCGACAAACGTCGAAAAACAGCGGGAAGAGTCGATGCGAAACGCTCGCTTGATAACGAACATCCCACAGGCCGCCGTTATTTTTACATTTACAGAAACGATTTCGAGGCGCTTCGGTCAGTTTCGACCGGGTGCCTTATCTGGAAAATTTTCGTTTTTCAACTCATTGGGAAGATTTTGAACACTATTATAAGAATAAACTCCATATCTGGAGCTTGGATGTGAAAATAAAATGAAATTCAATAATTGTTCAGGGTGACGTGAATCTTCCACGCTACTAATTTTTTTCAATCCGCCTCAAGGTTTTAATGCGTTTTTTTCTTGCGCTTCTTTAAAACAGGTAAAATATTTTGATTGAGTAAACCATCTTATTAAACCTTGCCTCGAAATTCTGTAGGGCGAGCTTAAAAAAAAGACATTAATTGAAACTTGAATTTCCCGACTTTACAATCAGATGACTTTTTCCGGAGCTTCTGTAAGTAAAAACAGAAGAAATAATAAATTCTGTGAGTTTTATTCACACATTTACGAGTTTGTTAGTGAGTGAAAAAATAATGAACGTTTAGAAGCTCAAAAAATGCTTTGAAACTGAAATGTTTAACCAACGACTTATCAACCAGCGCAATGAAGAAAAAACAAACAAATCATGTGAATTTCATTCAAGTGGAATCTTTTTAATATTAAAAATATCACACAGATTTCCGACTGAGTGCGAGGCAGCGAAAAAAAAAAAGAAAAACAATGATCAAAGTTTATTGTTTATCATACAGGACCTCGTGCAAAAGTTTCGTGAACCGTTGAAGGATCGCGTCGCTGCGCATTATATACGAGAGGTACATGCCGACGAGGATGATCGACTCCTGGACTGAGCCTTCGAGATCTCCGACTCTCAGAAGCATCTGAAAAGCCCTATCTTGTGTTTTCTGTGCAAAATGCGTCGTTTTTTCTAATTAATTCAACCGGACACTTCTCATAAAAACTGGATTGCTGCAAATTTCAAACGCCTATTGTTTTTTTTTAGAGTTTAATAAAGATTTAAAAATGTAGTTTTATTGATCTAGGTGAGGGTATTTAGAAATAAAGGGGATTTTAGGCTGAACCAATAAAGTTGCCAAAAAAAAAGTTCGAGGTCGATCAGATAAGGAAAGTCTGAGAAAAAAAAACTTTTTTGGAGCTTCATCAAGTTGTCGAATTAATATTAACAAGCTGTCGCATCGAAAAAACATGTCGAATATGAGTAAAAATAACTTACAGAAGAAAAGATCTAAACGAAAACTAGTCTGCCAATTTGATGTGATAGAAAACTTCGGTTGATTTGGGAAGAACGACCTTCCAAATCTTGCCCGATACCTTGATTTGACTGATGACCTCGGCGTACTTGCACTGCCGGAGGTGCACGAGGATCTCGATGAGGGCGCATCGAGTGGAAAGACGTCGGTCGCGGCAATGACGCACCACGTCCTGCACCGTCTTCAGCGCTTCGTCGTTCAAGCCCGTCTGGTAGAGGTACTCGGCCTGGATGTGGCCATAGTTCAGATTCATGATTTCCAGAGGAAAAAAAAAGCTTTGATTATCTACAATTTGATAGACTCTGCAAAGAGAAAAGAAACCCGGAGTTCCAATGAAAGATAAACTCGTTAATGTGAATAAAAGTAAAAAACTTTATTTCAAAGTGACCTGAATCTTTCACACTTTACTAATTTTTGGAAGAAATTGTTTTTTTCTTGACTCTTAGTCTTTTCAAAAGTAAAAAGCAAAAACACTGCAGGATTCTTAATATCATTATGAATCGCTCTTTACCAAACCGCACCTCTTTTATTCGGAAAAAGGAGCATTTTAAAACAAAATAGGAAAATCAATGTAAAACCTGAAACTTTTATTATTAAGTAGTCTGTGGTCTTTTATTCTCTGGAATTCGGTAGTTCTGATTTTCCGAACTTCAAAATAAAAAATACAAGAAATCAACTACATAAGTGGAAAAAAATGCTTTGATTTTCATGAAATCTTTTCTGGATTTCTTCTCAATAAAGAAAATGATTTACTAGGCGAAAATAGTGATGTATTTACTTTGAATTGAGAAAAAAAAAACAATTTCCTCTTCAGTCATACCTTGTGAAGAGTGATGGTCTCGATTTGATCGAACTCCTCGTCTTCAAAGTTCAACTTCTGCATGAAAACCCACGATATCATGTCCAAAGATAACCCAAAATCAAGAGAGATGTTTTGAAGGCCTAGAGAAGTGATAAACCGAAATTTTCGCAATTTTAATCCAACGTAGGAAGCCAACTTTGCCGTGTGGACTTTCAATTCTTCGTCGCTGTCATGTTGGGCCAGAGTAAATGCAATAATACTCGAGCATTCTGCGAATTCCAGGGTCATATCTTCATGCTTTTCCCTGAAAAATGAGCATTTTCGAGCGACAACTTTGAGACGAACCCTCCTTCGGCCGGAAACACATCGCGAACTTTTGAGGAGCCAGGTAGTCTAACATTTTCTTGGAAAATCTTTGAATAGACATTTTCGTATGGAGACACGTTCTGAAAGAACCTTTGATAGAAAAGAAGCGGCGAACTGGACGATGAAAAATGGAGTGCGTTTAAATTCGTTCTATCGAAGATTCAAACGATTTTGATTTTAAACGAACGCAAACTGTACGTTTAGGGGCATTTCTAGCGGTAAATTTAGGTCCACTCGAACTCTTACGTGATCCCTAGAAGTGTTCAGGAGCGTAAAGAAAAAATCAACTTATATGTTATTTTCAGAAATTTTTGTTTTTTGGGAAGCTGGAAATTACGGGCTTCTGTGTAAAATCGACGGGAAAACCTCCTGAAGGCCATGAAGACAAGCTTCAGTGATCCGCACCCACACCTTGGCATCGTGTGTATAAAAAGGCAAAAGAACGCGGAATATTCGAAAGGCTTCTTTATTCCTTCCTTGATACAAAGCCTCAAGTCCACGGGCATAAATATTCTCCAATTCACGTTCGGTCAGCTGTTTCTGGAAATTTAATGAATAGTCGTTTTTTCCATCAAAAACTGTTTCCCCAAATTTCCAGCAAACTTCTGAACTTAGGCTCAAAAATTGATATGAAACTTAAAAATCTTTAATCTGATTCTACGTTTTTGTGAAAAAAAACTTCCCTTTCTGAATTTTTTTTCTGGGAAAAACTCAAGATTGTTTTCTAAAGCTACAGTGAAACTAACGAAGAACGAATTACTATTCTTCTACCAGAGAACTTTCTGAAAACTCTCTTCAATGACGTACCTAGAAAATATTCTTATGTTTCGGCTCTCGCGAAAAATTCTAAATTCGGAAAAGATATTGTGAGAATCTTACGATATTCCACAGCAGGCTCAATTTCCGCATTCTATCGTTCTCACGCTTCTAGCTCTTACGTCATATTTGCCTTTTCTGATCGCATCGCTGTGCTCCTGATCATCACGGACCCTATTCTCAATGTATTCGTTGACCATTCTCTTGCCGACTCGCAGTATTTCCCGAATCGCGTCGTCCGTCGTCGCGAACTCTCCCGCAAAATCGCTGGACCCGAGAACTTCTTTCAGTTGCTGAATGACAATCTTCTGAGTGAACGAAAAAAGTCGAAAGAAACGATAAGAGACAAAATAATATATGTTTACCTCAATACTTGTCAGCTTTTCGACCGCCAACAAGCCTTTTCTCAGCACCTCCGCGTCCATCATCGACGGGCCGGCCTGGTCGGAAGCCATTTTCTTCGGAAAAGAGAAAATTGATTCGATTGGAAGAATAACAGTTGGCGGAAGAAAAAAGAAAAACAAGTCTGGGCGTGGCCCCGTAAATCGGTTTGCAAGCACGTGCGCAGAAAAAAGTTCATTGGGCATGGTTTCATTGAACGCCAGGATTCTCAAGTTCCAATTCTGCACGTTCAAGGAAAAGACCAAAGAATAAATTTATGAGGAAACTGAAAGTTATCATTCCATCTACTTTTGACGACTTGGCGGGCGACAGAAAAAAATTAAAAATTTTGATTTTAATAACCCCATTTTTTTGGTAATTTTAGAATAAAAAAATGGAAACTCACAAACATATTAAAGTTAGAAGCGTCTTCGGCGTGCTCCACTTGCGGAATAATTAATCAGAACTTGCCGGAATATTAGTATTCTGCAATTTTTTACCAATTTTAAGACATAAAATGACAGTAGGAAACAAATAAAGCAAGAGACTGGGTTTGAAATAAACCAGAATTTATAAATTGAAAAAAAAATTTAACAAGGTTGCTAGTCTAATTTAGTAGTAGAAACAAACCATTCGAAATTTTAAAACTTTAGTCAACTTGAAACAAGCAAACATTTTTTGGAATATCTACAATAATTGTGACTGAAGTTTTAAAATATTTCGAAAAACTAAAAGCTGCAAAATGATTCAGCGATGCTTTCGAAAAAAAAAAAGAAAGCGTCAAACTTAAAGGAAAAACATATCTAAATTTGTAAAAGATGATGAAAATTGAAAGAAAAAGAAAAAATGAAACTGAAAAGGCAAGCGTAAATATTTTCTCACAAGCCAAAAGTTTGAATTTGGGGCGCATTTACTCATAGAGAAAGCAAGAAGTTTTCAATTGTGTTGTGGAAATTAGATTGGGGTTGCCAAACTTGAGTTAAAGCTCAAATATTTGAATACATCTTCAGAGAATATTTTAAAACTGTTTCATATTTAATTCGAGGCTAGGTATAAATTACTATAAATTGGAATAGATTGTAGAAAACCAAAAAATCAGCTCCGCTTTTGCAAAGTGAGCATGACCGGAAGTAACTCGTTGGAGGACAATAAAAAGCCACAATTGACCATGCACTCGCCCATTGTGCCGCAAACCTTGGCCAAGTCGCTTTCGGGCTCTTTCAATCCAAATGCAATACCCTGTAGTCGTATTCTTGACCGCTCTGGTTCCCAGCACCTTTTCCTACGGCGAAGACAAGGTTTAATTTTTGAAATATCGAATTAAACTTGTATGTTTAGGACGATCAAGAACCGCTGCAGTGCAACTTCTGTGTGCACTCTCGGAAGAAGAAAGAAGTCGAGGAAGGACTGAACCAGGAGCCGGACTGCATGAATCGGCTCAAGTTTCTGTCGAGGTCGGATCTTCGAAGGACCTGCACCGAGAAGGAGAAGTACTGTGTGGTTTGCGAGAAACGTTGTAATCAACAAAAAGTTGAATTTGAAGTCAACTGTCACGAATCTCAATGGATTTTTCGTCATGATTGACCGGGATTGTGCCGAGGAATGCGCTGAGGGTTTTTCGTTCTGAATATATCTCATAAAATGATTAATTTGAGGATGCGAAGAACGGGGATACGGGCTGTTCTACTCGGAATGTACGCGGTGTTGCCAAGGGTCGCTGTGCAACGAATTCGACGGCCGCGCCTACTATCTTCCTTTGGCTGCGGATTCTTCATCCACTGCGATCGCCTTTATCATTTCTTCACTGTTTGTTCTAACCTTGTAGTGTGATTTCGACTCGTTTACCGATCAATTAGAAGAGAAATACTACAAAGAAGTCTTTCCTTCTCTTGGATTCGATAAAGAATTTCCTCACGACGATCTATTATTTCTAAAGTAATCAAAAGCTGCTTTTTTTTAAACAAAATGTTGGAAAAACATCGTATACGCTCTCATTCATGTTTTTTCGCATTTAAAAACTTTTCAAAAATATATGATGTCATTCTCAAAAAGCCAACGTTTTTTTCTCGATGTTCAAGTTATAGGGCGGAATCGAGAAGCTCTTTGAAAGACTTCCAAATTAGATCAAAGAGTGCAAAAAGAGAAAAATCTCTCAAACTTTTCTTCCCCCTTTTTTTGCAACAGTTTTTGAAGTTGTTTTTTCTTTTCCACATCTCAAAACTTCTGCAAGAAATTTAAGACGTTTTCAAAATGTTTTAATGTTGTTTCAAATTTTTATCGTTTAGTTGAAATCCGTGTGTTTCATGTATTATCATAATTTCGAGAAGATTGAATAATTATTGCTCTTCTGTGGTAAGTCTATAGTTCTAGCCAGTTCCCCTCAAACGCATTGGTCGCATGAGAATGGCTCGCGCACCGGCTGAGTAGCAGTTTCACAAAATTTCGCCCGACCAGAAAACGACTTGTGCGCAACTTCATCGGAAAGCTTTAAAATCCTTATTTGAGCCGTTGTGTGATCGCAACGCGTTGCCATTCCAAACGCGTTGCCATTCCAAATGCGATCATAGCATTCTACGTCTGAATTACAATTTGTCATGGATAGTTCCAACAGTAACTTCAAATTTTCAGCAAGAAGAACATTTTTAAAAATATCTTATAAAAATTTACTTATCCTTCAAATTAATTTTTCGAGTGTTTTTTAAAGAAAATGGATGAAATGAAAGAATAAATTATCTGGTCAAACAACCTTCAAAAATGCAGAAAAACTGTATTATGTATATATTTTTGTCTTATTGTATATACATTTTCGTATTGTATATGCTCTGAACCGAACTTCCATGTGAAAAAGTAACTATAACTTGACAGAATAAAATTTGCAAAAGTAGAAGTTTTTCTCTCACTTGAAACGAACTATAAACCCTAAAGGATTGATGAGACAGAAATTTGAAAAAAGAAAATTCGCGGCGCACACTTTTCGATATTCTCCCATGCTTTTTTGAATATTTCACAGGAAGTTGGAAGCGAATCAAACTATAGTCGGAACTCGGCAGTCGTATTTCTCCCACAACCACATCTAATATTCTAATTTTGGGCGGCAGATCCACGCCCAGAAGCTGCGGATAATTTGGCTTTTCGCCCGACGGCACACATCGAATCAGTCGTCCGGGCCCTATTTCTAGACTTTTTTCCTACTAGTTCTAAGTCTAAGATCTAGGACTGAAAGCTCCGCCTCTTCTTGGTTTTTGTTGTTTTCTCTACAAAAATCAAGTTTTATTTGTGCACTAAATTTAGCTAAAACTGACAAAAACCTACAGAATCTCTTCTAGAACTCATCTTCCTTTGAAAATTTTCAACTTTCGTTATCTTCAGCGAACTGTCAGGCAGGAAAAAGAAAGAACGCCTTTTTTTGAATGAAAAGTTTTTTTGATGTAAAATAAGCATTTTTTCTTGTATTTTTTCTCCCAAACATTTCAAAAAGGACAATATCCTTTAAAACTAGTATCTTTACAAACGAAAAAACCTTTTTTTGAATTTTTTTTTTCATGGTCCCTAGATTGAGTCCATTAAACTCGACTAATCGGCCAGATTTTTCGTATGTATTTTTTTCTACGCTTTGTTTTGCGTTGGCCGTTTTTTTGTGATGAATATCAGATTCCATTTTGAACGCTCAGGCTGTGAAATACTAGAAAAACACTCTTTATTACGCTTTTAGCGTCTCTGGTTATCAAATTTTCTTTTTGTTTCAATTTTAAAAGTGAATGGCTCATCCAGCGCTGTTTTTAACATGAATTCAAAAACCAGAAAACAGTGTCCGAAAATAATTTTTTTTTATTTATTCCAGAAATTTGTGCATTTTTTATTCCTTTCGAATTTTTTTGAAAAGAAAAATTGATTTCTCTTCTTATTTTTCCAGTTCAAAAACAACCTTTCACTCTCAATTATCAATTATTCACAATTCACACCAGCAGATTTTTTTTTGAAAAGCTTTTTTGTACCGCCTTTTCTTTCCTTTCGCCTCAATTTTGATACTTTTCTCACTAAAAACATATTTTTCGTAAGAAATCGTTGAACGCTGGTGGATTTCCGGTTGAATTATCAGGGCTCTAATAAGGTGTTTTTCCGGTCAAAGAAGCAGTAATGAGGCTTTTCATCAACTTGGTCTAGCTTTACCACTTTGACATTTCTCCAGTTATCGAGACTCCAATTTCTTGGAAACTTGATGAAAAAAAAGAAAGAAAGCTGAAGTTCAGAATTACAACTTCTCTAATCAGTTTTACAGCCAGGAAGTAAAACGATAAAGTCCCATTAAATTAAACTTCTTGTAAAAACTATTTGACAATCCTATATTTCTGTTTCTGTTCCATGGACAAAAACAAAGGCAGTAAATAAGCTGAGAAAAGCTGGGTGTTGTTAAATATAGGCCCTGTGGAGAAGAGGCATGGAAAAAGTCGTTAAAAAGATATATGTGGAAGCCTCGTCCGTTTTATTTTTATGGAATCACCGAGTGGATTGGTCTTTCTTTTTTTCGAAAGGGAGACAAAAGCGCTCTTGAACTGAGAAAAAATGGATTCTAGTGAGCAGCTGGAGCGTTAGTACAAAAAAGAGCTCTGTACTATGGCACGCTGGAAAATTCGGTCGGTTCGGTCGCTTTTTAATGATGCTTATTTTTTTAAGTTTTTAAATTTTGAAAAGTTTTTTGGGCTTCATTAAGGTATCAACGGTTTTAAAGTACGTATTTTTGCCTTTTATGACCCCTTTCGAAGTCAGTTTTCAAAAATTCTGGTCACTTTACAAAAACTCACTTTTTTCCTCCGAATTTTTCTATTTTCGCCAAAAATGATCTCAAATCTTAATGAGCACTATTTCGCACTTAACACGTTTTGCTTTCAGTTTTTCAAAGCAATATCCGAAAAACTCAAAATCATCTCTGATTCTCCAAAATTTAGTTATCTTTTCCACTTTCTGACGGCTTATTTGAAATTTGCAAGATACTTTGAGCTTTAGTAGTTTTGTTAAAGGCCCTTTAAGAAGAAATATCCATTAGATTTTCCTCCTAAAAGCAAAAATATCATGACGAAGAGAGTCCAAAATAAATCTCTATGCATTTTTCCTTGTTTAGTGGCGATCATTCCCTCAAGAAAAAAAACCTTTTGAACCTATTTTAGGCACGAAACTTTGACCCCAAGGCTTGGAAAAAGGGCTCTCCTCATCAAAAAGTCCACTCGATCGCTCTCATTCTCAAAAAAGAGGCCAATTAGTTGGGAGCAGAGATTGCGTGCCGACACCGCATTTTCAATTTCATGCCCAAGAAGCTCGGAAGGCGTTCCCCACATGAAAAAGAAAAAAAGGATCTCACGGAATATTTAATGTTTTGTATCTCTCGACCGCTCACTCAGTTCTTCAATAAAAAAGAACATTACTCGTGGTAAAAAGTTTTTTTTTTTTTTTGAATTTAATTCTACTGTGTGCAAAATTTATTTATATTTAGAAAACTAACATGTACACTGCTTTTCTATTCCCAAAGAATGTTGTAAGGCTAAAAAAAAATTGAAAAAGTTATCAATTTGCATCGCATTTTTTCCTATTGTCCAGACCCAGAAAACTGCTAATGGGTTTAAAAAAGGTAAAACCTTCGAATTTTGTTTATAGAGCAAGAAAATCGGCGAAAAATAGTCGCCGTCAATCATTGCTCAGTGAATCTAGGCAGGGCAGGTATTATACAAAAATTGAGGTGATTTAAATGCATTAAAACTTCAAAACTACTTATTAGGATACTTTTTTCGGTTCCACCTTCATCTTTACACAACAAAAATAATAAAAAATGTTTTTCTCTTCTTTCAGAAAAAGTCAAAGAGAAAAAACACCTGCTCGATGCAAAGAATCAGGTTCTTTCTTTTCAAAAAAAAATCTTTGAATTGGAAAAAGTTGGCATTTCGTTTAAATCAGCGCCTTCGTCATGATATTTTCGCTTTCAGATGGACATTTTGAAAAATAACTCGTCTAAATGAACCTTTAATAAGACTACTCAATTTGCCCCACAAAAAGCTGAATTTCGTAGAATATTTTTCGAGATCACTTCCTGCTTTAATAAATTAAAAAAAAATTCCTCCCACGCCTCTAAATTGAGCTTTTTGGTCTGGTTTTTTTGACCGTAATTTCACTTATTTCCAAGTAATCGACTTTTTTTAAGAAAAAAATTCAGACCGATAAAAACCACAGCAATAATTTATGAAAACTGCTCTGAGCTTGTGAAATTAATTTTTGGTTAAACTTACATTTTTTTCTTTCTTATTTTTTTTGGAATAAAAAAACCTCAAAAAGACTACTATTTGAATCTGCTCAATTTTTTTCTTTCAAAACTATCGTTCTTTTTCTAAGTTTCTCAAATCTACTTGAAGACAAACAAGTCAATTTTCCCCTCCTCCTCTCATTAAAATATTTTTAGCTTTTGCTCATTTCCAATTTTGACTACAGGGACCATTTGAGTTAAAAATTTTCAGCTATAAAGTCAAAAAACAATAAAAAAGTAAAAAAAACGATTGTTATCTGTATTTTACAACTTTCCTTTAAACCTCATGATTTTAATAATTCAAAAAGTGAACTAGAGTGACCACTTGGCCGGTGTTTCCTAATTGGCGCCGTGAACTACTCGCTGGAATATTCAAGCCGAGGTGCACGCACGCTCACACCGCTCATTATCTCACTTTTCAGCCGCGTTTTCCTCGTTTTCCTTGGAAAAATATGATCCCTTCAGGCACTCGCCAGGCCCTTTTAATTTTGTTCTTTCTTCCTCTCATCCTCCGTAATTCTTTCATCTTCTCAACAATCCCATAAACTCTAAAATGGTCTCGATTCTGCAGGAAGTATATTGGCTCCGGTACATTCTAGTTTTGGTGGTGGAAGAACGAGTCTAATTGATTGTGAATTATTCATCAAACATCCGGTTCATTTATTGAAGGAGCCTATAGAGGATCTTCTTTAAAACGAGCGTAGGCCAAAATTATTACATAAAACAAATTATTCTTAAAACGCGCAGAAAATCAGACAAATAATGAGCTTAAACATAAAATAGCGCTTTTGCCTCAAAACCAGAGTTTAATCACTTTTCAGTTAATTTAATTCTATGATGAATAACAATTCATTATGCATAGTATGACTAAAAAAAGTCAATTAAAAAAAGAGGCTATTAGTCAGAAGTTGCACATATGAATGATAAAAATAAAAGAAAAGAAAATTAAGCAAAAAAGAAAAAAAAACCTCAAACATTTGTACGTTAAGTCCACTGTTTGCGCCCCCGACGCATAAATCGACGACATTTGTTAAGTTTTAACTTTATTTGTCTTTAAATATTCATAATTTCCCAAAACATTCGAATTCCATCGGTTCCGTAGTAACTTTTTTTTGAAACCATTTGAATTATACCACCACCGTCTTTTTAAGGCACTGCAGATACAATTGAAATATTTTAAAATCGTCCGGATCGTTTCGATTTATTTTTTCTCTCATCTCGTTCCAGTTTCCGACGGAGCCTTAATTGAAAGTTTTGAAAATCGTATGGATTTTTCTTTACATTCTCTCATTCCATTTTCTCATGAAACTCAGAAATCGTTTCACTTCAATTTTCATCCATGGGAGTTTCCCATTTCATAATTAAAATTCAATCTGAGAGCGCTTATAAAAGTGTTTACTAGACCTCTTTTTCACATTCCGGAGAAAATTTCCTATTTACGTGTTCAGAAATGCACTCAAGTTTTTCTACCTGAGACTTACCCTTTCGAAAGTGAATAAACTTGTCCTTTTTCGAAAATTTTATTCTATTCTCGCATATATTTTTTGTTTTGTTGAAATCATCCGACATCTCGTTTTGAGCATATATACGAAATTTCCTCGGGGAAAACTCGTTCAAGTTGGGATAAACAATTTATTGAAATACTTGTACGTTGTCAAGCCTCAAAATTTCTTATTCCAAATTCTTCGCTTTTACTCCGCATCTTCGCTGTCAAACTCTATGGTCTTTTATTTTCATGCAATGATTTTTTTTTAATGGTAGGAGAAGCAAAAAAAAAAACCATTTCCTAAGACATAAAAACGATATATTTTTGGAGCCGTTTTCCTTCTTCTCTTTTGGTTTTTTTTGTGAAATGCTGTTGAAAAAGCAGGGATTGATCGCCTCAAAACTAAAAATTTTGATGGGAAGGCAATAACAGAGCTTTGCACCTACCAAAAAGTTTTTTTCTTCCTCTTTTTAGGAAACTTCATTATAAAACCTTGCCGAAACAGTCAGACTTCCATGGTATACCTCAACGAAAAGCTCATATCCCTCAACTTTGAGACTGAACACTGAGCGCCTAAAAAAGTAATTTTATCGAAAATTTAACTCGAAATGTGTCTAAGATTTTGATTGATCATCAAGAGAAATTACGCAGGAAAATTTCGCACCTGTTCCTCCAAAGAAGGCCTTTTTTGTCATAACAACTCCTTTTATGCCAATTTTCGATGCGAAATATGTATTGTTCAGTAATAATTATTAATTTATTTGTATCTAGAAATAAATGAGAGCGATGTCGCCAGTTTGATGGAATCGCGGAGGCAGCAGCGCGTCGCGCTCGGCCGTAGTCGCAGCGCTGTACGACATCGCAACGATCGGGGAGTCGCGCCGCCGCTGCCGACGACATCGTCAATTCGTCGCGATTTTCGTGAACCCGCCAAACGCCTAGAGATCACCTTGGCCGTTGTGGGGTCTGTCAAGGTTGGTTGAGTAAGGCAAATCGGAAAATTCAGTTGGTCTGTATCCATTTTGATGAAGTTTATCGCAAAAGGTTGCCCGAATAAAAACTTCTTGCGCTCAATTATACAGATTGCTATCTTGAAAAGCTCGGTAATCTCAGAAAAAAAAACCTTCTTCAGTTTCGTTTTGGTATTTTTAAAAGTCTTTTCAGTTGCTTTCCAATGTTCCACACATTTCCCATTCCGAAGCCATTCTAATTCCATCTCTAATTGATTCTCGAAAACAGGAACAAGAATTTTTCCATTCTATAATTATTCCATCATAGAACTAAATTAACTCGCGTTAGTCGCTCCAATTAGGAATAACTAAGCCTTTGAGCTGTCGCATGATGAGGTGGTGTAATTGAAAAATAAGCCTTGAAATAAAAAAAGAGTTTATAGGTTGGAAAATCAGCGATGGTCTCACAATTCCTATGGCAAGGTTTCATCGCCGATTATCGGCCGACGGTGGAGGAATTCAATTGGATCGAGTACGATTTGGAGCAGGGAAGGGCTCTTATGCTCCAAGTGAGGCTTCTTCTATGGAAAGTTCAGGAAAAATTACTTTTTACAGTTTAGTCAGTCTGTAAATCACTTACAATTTGAGTTCGACAATGTATAGTTGAATCCTAGAAAGGGGAAGGAAAAACTCGATAAATTATGAAGATGCATTTTGGTCCTTGTTTATAAATACTACAAAAAGGTCTCAAACATTTCTCAATTTTTAACTAAATTTCCAGATTATCGATTCAAGCGGCTCACGAGACTTCCTTGCCATGCGAAACTTGTACATAAGGACAGCCGACGCGTTTTTGGTTTGTTCTTTCTAAAATTGTCCTACTCGTTTCTTTACTTTCGTTAAGAAACGGTCAAAAATAAATTTTTGAGAAAGAAAAATACACTATTTTCAGGTAGTTTTCGCCGTTGACGACGCTCAATCCTTCGAGGAAGCTCGAAAAATCATCGAGGACATTTTGGAGCACCGGGGTCGCACTGTAAGTTCTTTTTACTCAATGAGATCACAGCTTTTCCTGACGTAATTTCTTTCCACCTGCTTTCTTGAAGGTTAGAAGTAAATGCGTTCGAAATGTAAGAATTACTTCCGCTTCTTGAAATTTATGAAAAGCGAGACCTCAAAATTGAAAACTCATGAGAACTTAGAATTCACAGAGCGAAAAATCTTAATTTTTCTGAATTTTTTTTTGAGGTTACTATTTCCGACAATTTGATCTGTTTTGAGGTGCCGATAGTACTGGTGGCCAACAAACGTGACGTCATCGAGGACAATCGAGATTGGCGCGCCAAAGGATCCTACGCGTTTGCGCGCGCCAACGCCATTCCGATGGTCGAGTGCTGCGCGAAACGGCAAGCTGAGGTCTGGAAACCTTCAAACATAAATCACAATGGCTAGAATCCGCGAATAACCGAAAATTTCAAAAAGTTTAAAATTTAGTTTTTCGGTTGATCTAGGCAAAATAGGAGCTGCAGAAGAGAACTTCGAAATCAGATCAAAAATAAAAGCTTCGTTATATTACTGGCTTTCAAATTCTATCAATTAATATATCAACGAAAAATAATTGATGAAAGGCTATGAAATTGGAGTTTCTCAGTGAATCAGTTTTTGCTGTAAGAAACTTTCAGTCTTTGCTCATTTTTTTCCCTTCAAAAAAAAAGGACTTCGAGTTTTTACCTCACTCCATACGACTTAAAAAATTCTGCCGTGTCTGCGCTATCTTTTCTCTCAACCTCGCTGCCATAAAAAGAGAAAATAGAACGTCAGACTGTTTCAAGCAGCTTAAAAGCTCCGCTTTTTAAATCACACAAGAAATGTCATAACTTCATTCCTTAAGGTTGCCACGGCGTTCCAGGAGCTTCTGGAGCGCCTTCGCGAACAACGCAACATTATGGTCGGCGATTTGAAAAAGAGGCGGTTAGTTTCCAAAGTTGAGGTTTTGAACATTTTCAAAACCCAGGCAATCGATGCCGAGCACACGGGCGTACAGCGGCATCGACCTGGCCGACATCGAAAAGCTCAAGGACAAGCAAAAGCCTTCGTGCATCGTCTCATGACCATAGAAGACGTTTTTTTTTGCTTTTCTTCCAATAAAAGTCAAATAATTTACTACCGGTACACGAGGTTTTTTTTTTCCTTTTTTAAAGTCACAACTTACATCACATGCAATAACGGGTAATAATCAAAATATGAAAGTTCGAGGAACACGTAAGAATTTTCAGGTGAGTAAGGCAAATAGAGGTGAGCAGGGTTAGTGGTCAATTTAGTTCAAATCAAGAATAAAAAGTTACTCGCGGACATAATTACCAGGGAAAAGGCCTATTCTGGTGCCGATTCGGCCTTGCCACCAGCCGGATGGATCTGAAAATTGTTTTCAATCCCTTTTCCAAAAAAAAAAAATGTACCTTTGTTCATGAGTTCAATTTCTTCATTTATGGAGAATGAGAGTTCATCAGTGTCCTGAGCGTCGTAAGAGTACAGGGCCACGACAACCGGCAAAAGTTTCGGTTTGGCTGGAGGCGGAGGCTTCGGACCTCTTTTCGGAGGCTGAAAGGTATATCAAGATAGTTCAAAGTCACAAACAAAAAAAAATCTAAATATCTCAAAAGTTTGAGATTGACACATAATCTCATAAAACTTATCAAAATAAAATAAAAATAAAAATTTTTTTTTCGAAGTTTCGTGTCGCTACTAGTAGCAGAGCAGCAAGAGTTTTGGCTTTTCTAGTTCAGCTTTTCTTTAAAAAAAAGGTACCTCAGCATTGCGTTGAGCAGGCTGATTCTGAGTGCTTCTCAGAGCTGATCCAGCTCCGATGGCATTTCCTAAAAAGCCAATGGATATTCGATGTCGGTGCAAATCCTACTCAGTTCATTTTGATAAGCATTCGAAGGCTGTCGATCGACGATGGAGCTCGGCACGGTCTGCAGAGGGACGCTGCCGATGGAAGACGGCGGGTTGGAGGCGTGGGTCGGGTGCCGCGGCGCCTTCCGGGTCGACGTCCGAAGTTGGTCGCGTCGGGGCGTGTATCCGCCTGCCGGCCGGTCCATCGAAGGTCCTGAAATTCATTGATTCAGCGCATAAGTGGGCGAAGCCAAAAAAAGAAGTTGACCTACAAAAATTGATAAAGGAGTAATAAAAAAGGAGGTAGTTGATAAAAACTAAATTAATTTCCAACCTCAGCTAGGTAGGTCTGACTCAGATTTATAAGGGGTCGGAAGGAGGTTAACAGTATTAAAAAAATGGCTAGGCTTATTGTTTGATCGGAAATAGTTCTTTTCTGGTTTAATTCATATATCTCAACATCCTCGACTTGAGAAAGTCTGAAGCGGCTCCGCTCTAGCCACAGTCACAGAACAATGAAAATGGTACGAGAAAAGAATGTACAGACAAATGAGAATATTTCAAGATGCGCTCATGTATAAAGAATTTTTTTGCCAAATAATTATTTCTGAGAGGAGTTTTTTTGTAGAAAAAATAGCCAGGAAGTTCAAAAAAATTTCAAGAGTTTTTTTATTGTTCAGGAAGTGACTAATTCAAAAAGCTATCTGCAGTAAAAAAATAAAAATATTAAAAAAAAATTCTTTTTTTTAATGGAGTGCAGCGATATTATTTATACCATAAAAACAATGAAAAAAACGCGACTATGAAAAAAGCTGAAAATGAAGAAAAAAACAGAAAGTTTAGATCAATTCAAAGAAAAACTAACTGGTAGTGTTGGGAAGTCCCTTGCCTACAGTAACCGTCAGGGTTTTTCCGGAAGATTTCAAAACGGGCGCCGCAGTCTGGGATCCATCGCAAACGAATTGAACGGTTCTTGTTCCGCCTAAAAATATAAGATTTCTAAAGGGAATAGAGCACAAAGTATAATATAAAAGAAACTTTGTCGCTGAACTGATATTTGATTCAATTCAATCAACAAAGGTTCTTCTTTCTCACAAAGATTTCATCCCTAAAAATTCTCTTTAAAAGAGATAATTTAGATATTGCTTTAGAAATTAGATAGAGCTGATCATTTCTTTGTAGCTCAACTATGCAAAAACAAACTTAAAACAGAAAAATTGAGTTCTTTTTCCTATTCCAAGTGCAGTCACCCTCAAAAGAAGCGAAGCCTATCCAAACCTAAAAGTAAAACTTCAGAGACTTACATAACTCTAGAGATGAAAGTATGAGCTTAAAAACATGAACTATTAGTGACTCAATGTTTTGGCTTCTCATCGATTCTTTCGGAGAACGTGTTTTGTGCCCAGAATTTCAAATATAATAGAAAGTAATGAACCACCTCCAAAACGCGTCTTTTTCAAAGTGATCGTGTGCGTTGGCCGGAAGTCCAAGTGCAAAGTTCCGCCGTTCGTCTTCTCTTTGTACCGTTTACTAAAAAACGTTTTTCCCTGAAGTACTCGCAAAAAAAAAAACCTCAAAGCAGTGCAAAACTCAGTTTTGAAAGGGGTTTCAAGTAGGGACGTGAAATCGTCTTTGACGTAGATCACAATGAAATCGTCTTGATACGGGGACAAACCAATCGATTGAATCTTCGTCAGGTCAATTTGCCTGAAAATAATTCAGAACGAATTAGAAAAAATAACTTTCTAGTTTAAAGTTCCATACAATTTCATTGAAACAGGAAGACGACAAACCGTTTGATTATTTCGAGCAATTTTCCCTTGTCGGCGCCTTTTTTCACTTTTTGTCGGCCAATGAGAGTCAGGTGCAGTGGGGTTACCAGCATATCCAGTTTTGAGGTCTACAAATAGTATTGTCCTTTTTTCTGGTTTTTTTTTACAGTTCTCATCAAGTTGTGATAAACAAATATTAAGAGGAAGCTCCTATTTTGAATTTCGAAGAAACGTAGATTAGGTCCAAAATTGTGTAATATATTCTCTAAATTGTCTAGAATCGGTAAGATTATTCATCAACAGCCTTTTTTCGAGATCCAGCTTTTGACAGTGTAGATTCTCGCACCTTGAACTGGCGATCGTACTTATTGACAGTGTGGGCGAAGTCGACGCGTTGTCGCTTCCCGACCAGCGACTGCAGTGCCGGATGGTGTTCCAGGCCGATGTAGTCGCCGACGAAATTCCGATTCAGCGAGTACCGTCGTCGTTCTTTCTTGCCGAACATCAAGTCCGACGCGGCTTCCTGACAGCATTTACCATCTTAGTTATCATTTCGAAGCTTTAATTCGGACCTTGGTATCGAAAACCAAATGCGCTCCGGATTTTATCAAATTTTTCTTTTCGTAACGTTTAATACAAAATTTATTTTGAAGAGAGCGCAAAACTGTTCGGTGTATGCATCCTTTCAACCTACAGTATGCTAAACCGGAAAGTATGAACTTTAATATGTGGAAGAAACAAGTTTTTCATTAATAAATCCTAAAGACCTTTTGTTTCGCGTGCCGCTTATGAGCAATATGCTGTCGCCAGGCCTTCTGAATGACTCTGGCAAATCCGTCGTACTTCCTCTCGCGAGTTTCCTCCAACAAGAAGAGCTGAAGAAGTGCAAAAGTCTCGTTGATGGGGGGAAACTCGGACCGATTCGGGATTTTTGATGAAGATCTTGGTCTTGCCCATCTGGTACTGGGATTGGTCGATGTTGACGCTGCGGCAGATGATTTCGCAGGCCTGCGCCGGGGGGCCGCGGCACGAGGGCCACGTCTCCTGCGTCAGGATCGCGTACCGCCAGACGAACTTGTCGAAGGCACGTCTGCAGAACACGGATTTTTCGAAGTGAAAGAAATGCATGCTATTTACAAGAATAGTTGCTTTACTCGATACTCTAGACTGAAAATTCAGTTCTGTAAAACTACGCAATCTTGTTTCAAAGCTGGAAAGAAGTTATTTTTTTGATTTGAGGGGTGGATCCTCAGCTACGCAGCTTTCTAGTTTTTCAGAAAAAGGGGTATAACAGTATCAGAACGGCTCCTTTTGATGAACGGTCTACAAAATGCGAATTTTTGAATAGATGGCAGAAAAGTTAATTCAACCGGGAGCTATAGAAATGCTGTAACTTTTAGAGTTTTCAAAAAAGTATGGAAAATTCGAGAAAGATGGAAATTAAGCTTCAGAACTGCTCATTGTTACGGAATTTGAAAAAATAAATAATTTCAGACGAGTTTAAACAAAATCTAAAATTTCGAGTAAAATTCCCGGCCTTATCAGAGGGGTGAAAAAACCAACCGATATGCGAAACCAGCTCTTCGAACCCGTATGTTTTCCTTGAGACCGAGATATTCAACCTGATGTTGGACCCTGAAAAACAAAGTTAAAATCTGGAATTAAAACTTTGACAAAATCAAAGAAAACGATTTTTCTTCTTCAATTTGATAGTATCAGAGTTTTTTTTAGCAAATTATTACAGTTAAAATCAGGAAAAAAAGTAAAAATCGCTTGAAGATCTAATTCTTGGTGCATAATTCTCAAATTGAAGGTTGAGAGGAGAAATTTTTGGACACGAAATAAAATTCTGGAAAATCTCCAATTTTTGCATTCGATTTGCAGAAGAATGGCCGCAAAAGGTACCGTTTTTCATCCCAATCGCCAGGTCGTTTCGTTTCATTGGGCTTTATACACCGGACGTAGTGAGGCGAGCATTTCATCAAAGATTCTACGAGAACATTTGCTTGATTCTGAAGGAAAAAAATATGTGTATTATTTCCTGAACATTTTTTAAATCACCCTAATTTTGGTCGAAAAAGTGGTTGGTCGTTTGCCGCCAGACGTGTCAACCACATCCGGGAACAGAGATCGAACGAAAGAGCTAGAAAATTAAAAATTAACAAAGAAAAGTAATTTTCGAATTGAAATGAAATTAATAACTAAAAAACGGACTTATTGCTTTGTTGCATTAGAAGAATGAGGTCCGAGTAAAGGACATCACGATTACGGTCACAAAACCCATCAATGTTATATGTTACCTGAAATAAAATGTATTGGCCAAAGAATTACGCATGATTTTCTGAATTGATCAATTTAAAATGAGAAGACTGACATCACCGGCGTAGTGTCGGATGAGAAAAGAGTCCGAGCCGGGCAAGAAGTGCGGATGTGAGGAGAAGGTCTTGGAGAGCTGGACCAGCATCTGTCGGTCGACGCCTTCCGATTGGCCGTGGTTCTGGGCACAAGTGTCGTCGACCAGGGACATTATTCCTGGAAGTTATTTCTTCAGTAATATTTGAGAAATGCTAAACTTTTTGATAATAAAAATTTTAATCTTTTTTTCTTGCTATTGTATGAATTTTAAGGATTCCCGTTTTATTTAATGATTCTCCAAGACCAAGGGAAAAACAAGGACAAAGTAGATATTTTTTCTAGGATTTAAAATTGGAAGTAGAGGTTTCTTGAAAACAAAAAAATAAAAAAAGTTCCCCTTTTTTTGTGTCATCAATTCACCTCTTAAAAAAATTACTTATCCCCATATCCGTAAAGTGTAAATGAAACAAACTTTCAAATTTATCTTTTTTTAAAATCTAATCTCCTTTCATGTTGTTCAAAAATATATAAGCAAAATGAGCTTGCACCGATTCAAAGCGAAATTCAAAAATGAAATAAAGAAAAAGTCGATCAATTAGTTTGATTCCTTGTAAAAATCTTTTACTCGAAGTGGTCGTTTCAAAGCAGATTTGCGAGAAGCCAAGATAAAATGCCTTTGAAAAATCAAATAGTCTTTCTCAACTGTTATAATGTTTTTTTGTTGTTGAATCGAAATGGATTGAAAAAGAGAGGAAGCAGCTAGAACGCATTAACTAACCACTTTTTATTTATTAAAATTTTTAAATTGAAAAAGCAGAGAAGCTGTTTGAAAAAAAGTAACATCAATGAATATCTTCAACTTTCCACTGGAAATCCCTTACCAGGTGGTCTCTTGGTCTCGATAAGGTCGCAGACAATTTTATTATTGAAATAGTCGATTTCGGTCCATTTGATGCCTTCGCGCACGTATTCCTCCTGCTCGGCTTTCAAAGTCAGTTCAATGAAGATTTGCTGGAGTTTTTCGTTCACAAAGTTTATACTGAAAAGTTCAAATTAAAAGTTAGAGGATAGGGGTTTAAAAGTACCAAAATTGTTCAAAACCGTTGTTATCGAAAATTTCGAAGCCATAAATATCCAGGATTCCCATTGACAAGTCGGAAGACGACGTCGAAGGCACGTGCATCGCCGAATTTATCGATGAAACTGCAGATGTGAAAAATCGAGAATATTCAAAGATATTAAGAGAAAAGAAGTATCATAAAAGTGTACGAAACGGACCCAAAAAGTCGAACATTCTCGAATAAATCGCCTTGACCCAGGCGTCGCGAGTGAAAGAAGCCTGTTCGACGTTCAGTTTCATGTGGATTTCTTCCGTTTTGTTGCCCCATCTTTAGAAAAGAGTATTCATAAGGTTAGAGAAGACCGGAATACGTTTTGAAATTTGTTAAATTGACATTTTTTTCTAAATATTCGTGCTATCCTGGAAAAAAAACGAAGTTGGAACAAAAACATCGCAAGTTTACAGCGGAAGAAATAAGAAAAAGATTAGGAAAATTACAAAAATCTCTAGGAGTTTTCCGTGAAAATGTAAAAAAATTCGCGCCTGCTCTCCATTTTTCGACCCGTGAGCTTGGCACTGATCTGTTCGCTTGTCAATCCGAGAAGAAACGCCGGAAATTCGAGATCTGGAAGTGTTTTTGTTATCCAAGGCTGTCAGTCAGGTTGATTTTAAAGCAACAGATACTTAACAAATCACAAAAAACATAATTCCACTCACAATCTTCGCTCTGGACCGAGGCGAAGTTGTCGTTTTCGACAAAAGTGATGTTTCCAATGTGAAGAACGGCGGAAACCAATCGAAGGATCTCCAGTTGTTGCTCATCCGACAGACCGACCACTTTCATTGCGTGCTAAAAAAGCTTTTTGAGAAAAATGATTGGAGTTCCGAAAATGAAGCCATTTGAGAGCCAAACGAAAAATATGGCTGTGAAAATATACGAAAAGAAAAGTTCAAATTTTGAATGGCTCAATATCCCGTTAAGATGCTCTCTAAGAGATTTCAACGACAAAAAAACTAAAAAAAGAAAAAAAGTTCTTAAAGAAAAAAACAAAAAAATTAGATTGCTGTCGATAGAGCGAAAAAAAGTTCATGAAACGCTGCTCGAAATATTGATACCCATTCCATCACGGTCATTTTCTCTGTTTTTCTGATACAACCACAAAAAACTGGAAAAAAAAGAAAAAACTTTGAACTCTATAGGAAAAAAAGGCTTCAAGTTCTACTTAACAAAAAAAAAACATAGTATCCAAATTAGACTCATAAGTTCAACAGTTTAAAAAAACCGAGAAAAAAACGAACCAAAGTGTTCTGGAAGTCTTTCCCGTCGTCCGTATCTTGTGCCTTGTAAACGCCACTGATGTTCAGGTAATTATAATAGGACAGTTCGCCGATTCCGAGGGTACCTGAAAATTAAAGTTTTGACAAACTTCTCTCAATAAAACTGATCAAAATCTGAAAAAAATAATTAGTCCCTATAAAAGAAAAAAATATCAGCTGTGAAGATAAGTTTCATTCCGACTTCTTTTCAATACAGAAAGACTGAAATTTGGGTCTTATTTCTGTTCAAAAAGTTTCACAGTTCTAATTAAGTACGGAAAAGATCTTACTTCTTAAATTAGTATCCGCTCCGGCGCAAAGTTGATAAAAAATGTGAAAATTTCGATCTCCGGAATTCTGATGAACAACTCGCGATTTTTCCAAAAGGAAGTTGGTCAGCTGAAAAAATATTGAAAAACTTTTTTTGAATCTTCAAAATTTGAACTCGAAAGGGAACACAATATTGGATAACTTTCCAATTTTTTTAATTGAATTTAATTTTTTTATCTGGTTCTTAAACTGTGAAATAATATATTAATTAAGCTGAATCATAAAAAAAAAGAATTTGAAGACTGAATAACAAACTTAAGCCATGAATATTGAGAAATCAACCTTTCCGCCGATGGGTTCGCCGCCTCGACTGAAAATAATCTCGACGTATTTTCCGAATCGGGAAGAGTTCCAATTTCTGACCGTCGCACTGTTTCCGAAAGCTTCCAACAGTGGATTCGATTGCAAAATTACGTCTTTCACGTGCTAAAAACGATGGTCGCTATATCAACTGATATTACTGGCCTAATTAATAAAAAAAGCCCTTTTTTTCTGACTTTCCTCATAAGGGAAGCCTAATGGCCCTTAGAAAAGATTCAAACGGATGATGATCCTTGTCTCACCTGAACTTTCGGACCTCCGCCGGAAATCCTCGAGATATAGTTCATGATATATTTGGCGGCAACCGTTTTCCCTGCACCCGATTCTCCACTGATGATCACGCACTGAGACTCGTTGTCGATCATCATGTTTCTGCAACAAATCTGGTTTTCACAAAGTTTTGAACTTCTTATGTAGGAAAATTGTAAGGAAAAAACAAAAAACTATTTCTTTTCCCTCTTTTTTTCACTTTAGCTCATTTCCATCATGAGAGCCCAACCTGTACATATTATCAGCCAAGGCGTAAATATGGGGCGGATTTTCGTACTGAGCGGCGCCTTGGTACTGCTCCATGTCCTTTTCGGTGAAATACGGCATCTGCTTGAAGGGATTGACGGAGATCAACACCGGACCGATGTAGGTCTGAAAGAAGAGGGATTTCTGGTTTGCAGAGCTGGAGGGACGGACGAAGATGCTGTTGGCCAGGAGACGTTTCTTGAGATTGTCGACGATGGCCTGGTCGCCGAGTTTCGGCAGCAGAACCATGTCGTCGACGCCCACATGCTGCACATTGACTTTCGATTGCCAGTGGAAAGCCTCAACAAAAATATTCAACCGTAACTTTTTTAAAATTTAAACTAATTATCTTTTCCTTATTTTTTGCATCATTGATAATGATTAAAAAAAGCCCAAAAATTTCGTCTTTGAGAAAAGTAGCTGAAAATTCACTGAGATGACTTTTGAAGAGTTCTGTTTCATACTCAATTGGAACTTTCTTCCCTTTTTGGCTTCGAGCCGAGTTATGAAGCCTCGAAAATTCAAAGATTTTTTTTCCGTATAATAAAACCGTACGAAATTTGAGGCGTTCTGAATTCACTAAACAGCAAAATAGGGAAGAAACCGCGTTCTTTAAAACCGATTTCAGTCAATTTTCAGAAACGGATTGTTTCGCATTCCCTTTTGAAGCAAAAGACAAAAAAAAGTTGAAAATCGGAGAAAGCATTTTTTTTAAATTCTATCTTTTGATTACATCATAAGGTTAAACTTTTCTGAAGTGAGAAAAAAAACTCGTTTCTTCATACCCATTATTCGCAACTACTTTTCGGAATCGTCCCAAAACACTCAATTTCAAACAAAACGCACTAGAAAACAAACTGAAACTCGAATTTCGCGTGAATAATGCCGACGTTCCAATCTAAAAACCTACTCAAACAAAACTAGAGAAAAGGCGCTTAAAACATGACTATGCAAACAATCGAAAAGACGCAAAATTTATGTCAATAACTAATTTTTCACTCATATCCTACTGAAACTCACCATTTCCTTCAATTACATAACAACCGTGACCGCGCTTCTTTTTGGGCTTGCCAGCAGCTGAAGAAAAACATTAGAATAATCAAAAAAAAATGGTACTGGAGTATTTCGAAACGGTATAATTAAGCCAAGAGAATGTTAAGAAATGAATAACAGAACCGGAGGAAAGCCTGGAAAAACTGGCAAAACGGAAACCCTTCTCAAAAGCCTTTTTTCAAAAAAGATCTTCTAAGTGTCCCCAGAAGATATTTTTCACCTCACTTTTGCATCTTTTCCGAATCCTACATTAAATGATGCTGGAAAGCAACTAGAAAGATTCCAGAAGATTCAAGAAGGATCCTTTGAGTCCATGTAAGAGGTACTCAAAAGGATTTCCATCATTTGAGGGGAACCTTTTCAGCTTCTTCTGCAGGGTCCTCTAAAGAGAATTTCCGTTTTATCTGTGAGATTCAACCCATAATAATAAATAAATGAAAGACAGGTCTTTGTAAAAGTAACTAAAAAGAAAATTGACAAATATTATAAGAAACAGAAAGAAGAGCCAAGTTTAAAACAAACAAACTGGAAAAATATCAAAATTTTGAGAAAATTTCGAAGTTTCTACAACGGAATAAGGAATGTGAAGAACTTCAAGATTGAACTTTGAGAAAGAAAGAATCAAAAAAAATCCTCCATAAGCATTTTTAAAGTTTCCCATTCTTCATTGAAAATGACGAATTATGACGAAACTTCGATGAATCACGAGAAAATTTATGGCACAACCCCGACAAAAAGTCGAAAAAAAAAACAAGGATAGACGCGGCATTTCAAAAGCAACAAAAACTAAGACGAAATTGATCGATATATAGTTCTGTCGGCACGTTCCATGGCCTCAAAACCATGAATAACAATGGAAAAGGAGTCTCTCCCTCCGCGAACGCACTCGAAATTTGCCCAAAAACTTGGCGTACCTGTTTAGTTTAAGAGGGCAAAAGTTCGACAGTTTTTTTCGTCGCTAAAATAAATTTTGAGTTGTTGGAAAAAAATGAAAAAAATTTAGACTCATTTTTTTCTCGGAAAGAAAGAAATCAACTTCAACTTATATATTCATGTTACTTCAGGAGTTGGTAGCAAAGAACAATCTTTCTTCGATTGCAAAAAGTCGACTTAAAAATGAAAAGTGAGAAAAAAAGAGGAAAAACCTTAATAATGGCTGAATTGCTTAGTTTTCCGAATTTCAGCCCGTTTACGTGTTGTGAAGACTTCGGGAAATGCCTTGTGACTCACAATTTCTTTCTTGCAAGATGAGAAAAGTTGGACTTGAAAGGAGAAGTCATAAAACGATTCTAGTAATCCTCCAACTACACTTTCAGATCTCGAAGCAGAAAATTTTTTGAATTAAGTCCTTTTTTCAATGAGAACTTCAAAGAAAAGGCGGTTTCGCAAAAAAAAAAATTGAAAAAAAAGGAAATTCGTTTTTTTTCGAATGAAAAAAGGCAAAGTCAATCAAGAATATGCTATAACTTCTAATCAAAAATCAAAAACTGAATTATTGTTTAGGCGCAGACTTGTTCAGCGCCATTCGGATTTATTATTTTTTTTTCATTTCGAACTGAAAATATTCAGAGCATCAAATTTGAGACCTACTCGGGAAACACGAGGTCTTTTTGAAAAAAATAATAATAAATTCAATTATAAAAAAATTTCAACTCTCGCCACTGCTTAACTCAAAATATACAAATCGATGGCAAAATCACGATGGCAAAAACGATAAAAATCGGCGCGAAACGATAAGAAAATGATGACTCGAAGAATTCGAAGAGAGATTCCAACGGCCACTGTGACTCACACCACCTGAGGGCGAAAGAAAGTCAGAGAAAAATGGGAGAGAGAGCCGTTTTTGTTGACACAGGGCCCTGTTGTCGACGGAAACAGTGTGTGGATGACAGAGGGCGAGGCACGACGGCCGGTCCGGAGACGCAGACGGGATGAGCAATTAAAGACATTTTCCGCCGTCGTTTTCGGTTGGAATCAACTCCGCCGACCGTCCCGCATTCGCTTCAAGGCATAATCCCTCTGCACAAAACGCCAAAAAGAAAAATCCATCGAAAACCTTGGCTGAAGAAGTGCAATGAGGAGGCTATCGCTACAAATTCCGACTCGTTTGCTGTTGGATTTCATTAATTTTTTTCCATGCTCTTCTTTTCTTCTGTCGTGAACGTCTCAAAGAAAAAGAAAACTCCGTCGAACTTTTTTTGCCCAACACACTTGGGACCGAAGACCTAACCTGCAGGAGCTGCGGTGAGGAAGCTTAGGATCGAAAAAAAGGGAAACAAAAAAACATTTAAGAGATATTTGAACCCGATATTTGCTGGTCAATCCTCTAAAACTTGTTCGAAAAAGTCTAAATGAAGAACCTATAATTCTCAAACCGCACGAATCCCTGATTTTTGAAAAAGTACGCACAAATTCTGTGTGCACTATATTGATTACTGATCATAAACTGTGCAGGTTGAGATTAATCTGAAATTTTCAGATTATTTTATCGAGTTCATAAACAAAAAAATATGTGGAATTATCTTTGAAGTCTATCCTCATAGAATCTAAAATCGTCTGATGTTATTTTCGAAAAAATTTCGAATTCTTGAAATATACAATGGCATTGTTTCTACATTCCATTCACAGAGCGACTTGCAAGGTCGTGACTCGAATTCCTGCACCTTGACTGTCTTTTTTTCCTCTATAAATTACAGACTTGGGAGAAAAATAAGTCACAATAGGAATGAATATATTTCAAAATTTTGCAATATTTGTAAAAAGACAAAAAGGAAAAGCTTTCCGAACCAAAAAAAACTCTATAATACCTAATAAATTTAATCAGCGATGCATAACACGAGAAAAAAAAAGTTAACGTCGACAAGGAAAAAGAGTTCAAAAAATTCGGAAAATGAGAAAAAACAAATCAACCAGTATTTTCTCGAAAGCAAGACCGCAAAATTTTTCACACAACCCTCATGAATATTATCACTTTATTCAAATTGATGGAATCAAACAGGAAGAGATCGATATGTTGTGTGGGAGGAAAGAAAACGAAGCAAAAAACTATATAACATTTTCTATCAAGGAAGGGGACGTGAACAAAAATTACACGATAAAATCTTTTCATAAAAACTACAAGAAGTAGGCATAAAACAAGGATTTGGGAAAAAATAAAACAAGAAATATTATCTATCAACTGGACCAAAGAGCGTTCATGAGAATCTTCACTTTTTCCTCACTCTTCGGAAATTCTAATCAAGACCAAGGAAATGTGCCTTTTCTAATTTCAACTCCAAGAAAGCGCTGTTCCTTTTTGATTTTGAATTTTGAAAAAACTATGAGAAAACTCAACTTTAATCGAATTTAAATTTCACAAACCTTTGGTTCGGACTAGTTCCTTTTTAAAAAACGACATATATTTTTTGAAAACTGTCAGCGGGGGTCCATTAAACAGGAATACACTATCAACCGGAAACAAGAACTTCTGGCCACAGAACAAAGAGAAAACAATTTAAAAAACGAATGGATACATCAGGAAAGGTCAGTTTTATTGGGATGGGAGCAGCTGACGTGCTGCGAGAGATGGTAGACTTTGACGAACTCGGCGAGGCAGAGATTGCAGCGGTAGAGGGTCCGGTGGACAGTCGCGACGTGTTTCTCCAGCACTTCGGCCAGTTCAAAAGAGCAGCTGCACTGGACACAGCCGAACGGAGCGCCGCCTTGTCCGTTGGCCGTTTCCGCCAATTGCTGCTCTTCAAATCCTAAATAAAGTTGTGCTGCTAGTCAATGAAAAAGTAGGATTAGAAGAAATTGATGTGTTTTAATAAGATTTTCAGTTTTCAAAGAGAAAGTTCAAACATGTAGTGCACTCCGCGCGAAACATTTACGTTTTAGGAGGACAGTCGATAAAAATCTACCGTAAATACAGACTTTTGCTCTACAAAACTGCTGAAAAATACAGCGGAGTGGCGTCAAATTTTGTTCGGACTTTTTGGTTGCTGGGTTCAAAAGTCATTCAAATCTTCGTTTGTTTCACTGAAGTTGACCCATCCTACCCAAGTGTTCGTTTTAAACAAACAAACGGGAAAAAACCTGAACTTTAGCCCCACTCGACCGCTTTTTTTCCGTTTTCCCTCGTAGGGTGGTCCAAAATGACCAAGAGTCTTCTCTATAGTCTGCTCAGAAAAGGCTGGTTGGGATTATTTGAAACGTACTTACTGTGAAGCTCGCGAAAAGACTCATTGCTTTGAAAAGAAATCAACAAATTTTTATTTTATTCCGATGTTCTACAAACAAAAAAAGTCACAAAATGGAAAACCTTGATGTATTTTTCTTCTTTTTACAGTCAAAAACTACAACAAACTTAACTATTAATTTTTTTCTACTCTTGAGAGTAGTTATCAGGAAAGCTTCAGCTTTCTTGAAATCAAAAAAACGAACCAAAGACGGATTTGTCGATCGAAGAGTTTCTGGAAGAGTCGGACTCGCTGTGATGAGAAGCGATGTCTTCGTGAAAATCCTCCTCCAACTTCGGCATCATTATATTTGGCGCGATCGCGTTGACAATCGACGTCAGACCCGCCACATCATCTTCGCTTTTTCGATCTGAAACTCATTCCGAGTAAGTCGTAACAAAACCTGGGCCCTCCGCATTAAATTACGGAAAAGTAAATAAACTTCAAGATATCGGAATTTGAACCATTCAATAGATGAAGTCATTGAATGAAGAGTAGGACCTTTTCCACTTCTTGCCGTGTTCAAAGTGATTCCGCGAAATTCAAAATAGTCGTCAGATAGGGAAAAAGATACCTGAATTTTTGAAAGCCAGAGATAACTTTGAATTTCGTGGTAATCACCTTGTACAAAGCATTACTGGCCAGAAAATCGAGTGTTTTACAAAACAGCATATTGGAAAAAAATAAAAAACAAGGAAAGCTCTAATACATGTTCTTAAAATGTAATTCTAAAACAGTTAGAAAATTATATTTCCCCTTTTTTATAGTTTCCTTTTTTCTTATCACATCAAACTTCATTTACAACTGAGAAAGTTGATAAAAAGATAATGAATGACCGAAAATGGAAATGCGGCTGCTCTGAGGAGAGATTCCAGTGGCGATAGTACCCATGCTGGCTCTCCTTCCACGCGCCCGTCGGACCAACGGCTTCCCGCTGTCGAAGCCGATTCCTCGACCTGATACTTGTTTTTCAGAGAAGCTTCCCTTTCATCACAAAACCTTTTTTGTTTTCATTGAATTTGCGAACGTCGTCAAGAGTCGCGTCGGAATTGACAACGAAAACGCGGACGTCTTTGTCTGGATGACATCTTTTGATGTGGGACCTCGTGTTGTCCCTCCTCGAGCTGATCAGGAAACAGTACGGACAAACGCAATCTTCAAATTTCGGAAGAAAAACTTTCGATTTCAGATAAAAATACATTATGAAATTTTTTTAAAGGAAAGTACCTATAAATCCAGTTTTTCTGAAACATTTTTTTGGCTCGATGAATTGCTAAGTCTCAAAAAAAGTTTCAAGAAAAAAATAAGCTTCAAATCTTAGTTTCTTTCATTGGGGGAAGATTTTCGAGTCGTTAGATCTTGAAAAATATTATTTTCGCAGGTAGTTAATTAACGAGTCTATTGGTCAGTTTGAAAAAAAAAATGATATTTTTGTTAAACTTTGGAATTTTTCTTGTACATAAAAAAAAATTCCAGCCACTACTATAAGAAATGAATCAAAATATATGCAATGAAAAAAATAAGGCTAACTTTTTCCAATTACCTCGAGTCAACGAAGGACTCTGAAGAACGGAATTGATGATATTCTCGCGCGATCGGACCGCCACTTCACTCCCTTCAATGTCAATACTTTTCTGAGAAAATAAAACATATTAACTGTATCTGCTTTTTTGCGGAAAGCAATCTTGTAATTGCTGCAGCGGTTCACCTAGAAAGGCAATTTCTGATCTTCTTTTCTCAACTCGCAAAATCTACAATCAGAAGCCTAGAGCATGGAATTTTATCATTAGAATCGTCAAGCAAAACGGTCAAGCAGCCTTCGAAGAAATATCAAACTAACCAGTATTTTGTAGGACTACTTGTTCGAAAGTTCCATCGATGCCGTCTTGAAAAGGTCGATAAGGAAGCTTTGGGTGGAAAATTTCGACGTGCTGACGGCATTGCATCGCGTTTGGATGTAAAACCATACAATATGGACAGACGTTCTCTGAAGAAAAATAATGCATTCGCTTATAAACTGGAGTCTTTTCACGAGTTTGAGAATAAATTCAAACCTGCGCTAGCTCCTGCCTTCGTAGAAGCGATCATATGCATGAGAACGTTATAGTCATTCACTGATTCTAGCAAATCCATGGTGTGGCTGGATACACGAAAACTGGAACAGAAACGCTGGAAAACTATTACTTGACAGGAGTAAAGCAACTCGAATGTTCGCAAAGTTTAATTTTAAGTTATCAGAAAACAGAAGAAGCTCGACAATAGTACAAAGAACAAAATAGAAGAAAGATCATTGATTGAAAACTATAAGCGTTAAAACCTTTGGTGATTTTTTTGAAGAAGCAATGTATTTTTTTTAACCTATCAAAATGAAAAATCCTCTTTGAAGTTTATTTCAGGTAGAAGCTTTCTGCGCCTTATAAACTGCAAAAGATTGAAAAAAACTTTTATTTTTAAAAAAATGAATGTAAAGACGTAAGGTCAGATGTTTTTGGTGCAGGCTCAGTGCTCACCGACCGTAATACAAAATATTTTTTTTTCTGAAAGTTTTGCTCAAAGTTCAGCGACATTTGCAAACAAACAACCCGGCTATATCCACCTGCAATATATACCTTAGGTTCGGCTTAATCCTTCCCACTCTATGCCGTCAGTCACGCCTAATTGCGACCTAGAGAGCGCAAGGTTGCAAGCGGATTACCCTACCGTAATCCGTTCTGGTTTTATAATCACACTAATTCCACCCCAAGGGGCGCATGTCCATTAGACGGAAGAAGTACAATCTAACTTTAACTTGCAGGCTAAGCTTATATGAACTCGGTTAGTGATTCCGTAAGCCTGGATGAATAGGAAATACATTAGAGATGAGAATGAAGGGATGTAAGTTTGAATATGCCGCGGAGGAAAATGATGATTATCCATGAAAAGGTGGAGACCTTGTTTAAAGTTTTCATAGTTAGGGCAAAAATTCCTCGCTAGGGTGTCTTAAGGAACGGAAAAATTATCAGGAAGATTATGATTATGAGACCGAAAGCCGTTTCCAGGGTTATTTCAGGTCAAGCAAGACTAGTCTCCTAAAAGACATTTATTTTTGAACAGACTAAAAAGAAGTCGATTTGCTAGTGAGTCCAAATAAATAGGAACTTTTGTGAGAAGACCGAAAAACTTGGAAAAAAGTTGCATGAATTATTTCTTTAAGAGAAAAAAAGGCCGTTTTTCCCCATTCTGGTTCCTTCGGCGCCTTTTCTGTCTTTTTGAATCTTCAAAGCTTAACTTTCCGCTTAAATGAAAGTTGAATAGGAAAATAACTTTCTAGCTTCTCCAAAAATTCGAGTCCACATTTATTAAATTAGGTAGGAAATGGAGAAACAACAAAAAAATAGACAAGAAGAATTATACACAATATGTACGAAGGGCAACAAGGAGAAGATCTAAACCATAAGCGAGGTGCACCTCTAGAAGAAGCGCGTAGGAAGACTCAGGGGGGCGGCAGAGTGGGATTAGGCACACGGCTTAGGCTTATGCAGCAGTTGCGGGGCTTTGTGTCCGCAGAACGTCTATCTGCGGCTGCGACTACCGCTGCGGCGACGTCGTCGTTCGTCCCGTCGTGGAGATCTGGACCGCGAACGTGAACGATCCCTTCTGAAAACGTTGGATTCGTTGAGAGATGCCTGAGGCAGTATATGCTCCACAAAACTCTTTCTAGCATTATCAGAATCTCAGAGAAAGCTTGACGTCTGTTTGAAAAATTTCTTCCTTTAAAAAAACTGATTCTTTGTGAATGAAAAAGTTAACAGTAGGTTTATAATTTCAGAGCTTCCTCGACATAATTTTGACAGGTTCACCGTGGTCACTGGTTTGTTTTTTTTTAGCTCGCTCACGTTTTCCATATAAGGTTTGAAAGATAATCTACGGTTTCCGACCTAGTGTTGACTAAAGTTAAAAACTTATCAACAAAGAAGAAAAAGCGTCTCACTACTTCAAGCAATTCTAAAAGCGAAAAGCTCTACGAATCGCGGCTTTTTAAAGACTTCAAATCGAAATATGTAGTTTTGAAAGAACTGAATTCGAAAATTATTAGCTCGCTCACGTTTTCCATATAAAAATGAAGTTGAATTGAAAGGAAGAAAATTAGCAATGTTCTGTAAAATTTTTCTTCCAAAGACTTCTAACAGTACTGTATTCTCGAAAACTGATTTCTCGAACTCTCACGTTAAAACAAAAATCAGCTCAAATGTCGCAAAGCCGCACTGGTCCAAAAAACCAAAGCCCCGTGATTTTCGGCCTTTCACAGGCTTCAAACTAAATTCTGCAAGTGGGGCTTCTGCGCATAAAAAAGGCGGAAGTATAAGAGTTCCCCTAGGAGTGCAGAGGGAGTCTAAGCCGCAGGGATATCCATAGAAACCTGGAAGTTTGGCGGCGTGGCGATGGAGATGAAGAGCTTCGACGTCGGTGACGTCCTTGGCTTTTGAACATTGCTGAAAAAACGCTCGGATTCGGGTTGGAAATACCAAATCAAATGTCTCACGTCTAGAATCGTCTTCCGATGAAGCCGATTCCTCCTTCACGCTCTTTTTCCCTTCTTTTCGGCCTAGAAAATGCGGATGATCAGCTCAGGATGTTACGCAGATGTAAAGGATGAAAACATGAGAATTCTATAAGCCATCTTCAAAATAACCTATTTTCGCTCTTTGAAAGCTAGTAACGTTTCTTTATCAGTGACGCACCAAAAAAATAAAAAAATAAACTAAAATTTTTCAGTCGGTTTTTTTCAACCAAATATCATATCGGAGTGGGAAGAACTTACATATCATTGAGCTAGAAATTTAAAAAAATTTTTGTACGGGCTGTCAGCTAGAAAAACTCTAAGTAAAAAAAGAATTTCGAACTCGAAAACAATTCGCCCTAACCAGTGTAAATTCAATTATTTAAAAAAATTGGAGAAATTTTCTGTAATTTTCAGGTTTATTTCTATTAAAAAAGTTTTTCTGTGCTTTATTCAGATTGGTGAAAAAGTTCTAAATGAACAAGTTAAAAACTAAAACTCTAAGAAAAAAAGAATCGTATCCAAAAAGTACCTACTTAAAAGTTCCAAATTAGTCACAGTATTGAAAAAAATCTTTTTGTACCAATATTTTAGAAGTTGCCTAAATGCTTTATTCACCGTAACCTAAAAGGTATGATCGCACTTGGAATGGCTTTTTTGAGAAGCGCCGGACCTAAAACGACTTTCGGCATCAAATTTTAATAGCAGGCTGCAAAAAAGTAATAAACACAACTTCAAGGCTTTGAACCACTCCAAATGCGGTCAAGGCTTATAAGAAAACCAGTATATCCTCAAAATTTTCATATTTGAAAATTTTCTTGCACCTTCGGTTAACGAAATCTGCTCATGAGCTGAAATATTTTTTAAACTTGATAGTTCCTACTTGATTTTTGATTCCGAGAAGAGGACGGCGGTGGCGGACTGTCCTCGCTCGAACTGGGCTCCCTTTTGATGGCTCGTTTTCCTAAAAAAAAAAAAGACATCATTAAATTTTATTTCATTTCTAATGATCAACAAACCTTCCTTCTCATCCTCACTCTCGCTGTCCGAGTCATGACGGCGTTTCCGTGAATTTTTCTTGTCCTTTTTCTCCTTCTTTGCCTTCTTATTCTTCTTCTTTTTCTTGTCTTTCTTGGACTCAGAAGGATCGCCGCCGCCCATCAACTTCTTCATGAGTTTCTTCTTCTCCTTGTCGCTCAACGACGACAGGAATTCCTGCATTTGTTCGGCCTCCGAGAGCTCTTTCTTCATCGACATCAACTGCTGTTCTTGCCGCATTCCTAGAAAATTTCCTTTGAAATCTTTGGTTGTGGTTGGTTTAGTAGCTTATTGACGGAAGCTTCTATTTAACTATTTGAATTTTGCTCGATGCTTGAGTTCTTCCAGCAGAAAGGGGGCAACCGAATCGCGAGAAAAAAATAATAAAATTTTGCAAAAAAATTGTCAAATTTATTTTTGAAATAAATCCTTTTTATCTTTGCGAGAGAAAAAAAAAAACGAACAGTTCAGTTTTCATCGATCCGTTTTAAAATTTAAACCTTTAATTTCAAGATTAGAACTATTCTCTCTTGTTTGCACACTGTTTTCACGTTTTACGGCCTCAACGGTGAGGGAAAGGAGAGCCAGAGAAGCGAGACAGTGTCAAGTTTAGCAAAAAGTTTATAAGTCCTGATGCAACTTTCATTTTTGTTTTCCACAAAACCTCTTAAATATTTTAAAGTCCAAAGTTGAAACCTTCAAGCAGTTTGTTACGTGAATGGTGATAAAGTTTTTTTTTCCATTTTTATTCAATTTTTCAGTTTTGCTCTCAAAATGATTGTCCTTTGATCAATATTTCATTAGTTCAGAGAATTAAATCTGTCGGAACGGGGCTAAAAACTTGAATAACTTTTGCAGAATGAAGAAAAGAGCACTCTTATTTTTTCAACCGAAGAGAGTATGTTATTCAGAAGACTCTAGATTTGATTGTTTAAGTGGAGTTCCAGCTACCTGTGAGAACGTTGCCCTTGAGCATCAGGCCGTGCTCCTCCTTCATGCTCTCTGCGAGCTGCGCCTTGTCGACCCATTCCTCGTCTTCTTCTGCTTTCTCCATGTTTGCCGACTTCTTTTCCCCTTTTCGTTCTCTTCGCAGGTCCTTGATCAAGTCCGACGGGTTGTTCGCATCTGAAAAAACCGCAATCAAAATATTTTTATGAACTATTGACTCTCTTTTCTGCTCGAAACAATGAATAATACTAAAGTACAGTCTGGGTTTTAAATCAACTATGAATAAACTATAAATATTATCATAGAATAAAAAAATTCGTGATTTCTACTTATCACGGTTACTAAAACGTTTCATCGCCGTAAAAACTCAACCATTTGATTTTTCATTATTTTTTTAATTAGAAAAAAATACAAGTTTCATGGCTTTCATCTACTCAAAAAAATATCCCTACGAAAGCTTTTTTTCAACTTTTTTTCTGTTTTTCTGAGAGATTCCCCAAAGAAAAAAAGTAAAAAATTACAAAAATAGGCAAAAAGATGAAAAACTTCAGTCTCCATATGTTCTAACCAACAAAAAAATCCTTCTGAAAAATCCCTTTTTTTCAGTCCAACTTTCTATTTTATTAATTTCAAGCGAAAATTGAAAAACCAACATCCTTCGTCTTCATAATTTCCACTTTTTCCGAAAAGCGGACATTCTCGATCCGTGTTAATATGTCCCCCACTTGTGGCATTTACAACAACGCACGTTTCGAACCTAAAAATTCATTATTTATTATAAACTTCTCTGTTTCAAATGAATTAATTCAAACCTGAATACCAAAAGGCTGATCCTGAATCAAATCATTTCCTTTGGCCCAATCTTCACGTGGCGCTTGATATTTCCGTTGCCATTCGAATTTCGGTTCTTCCTGGAAATTTGCAGATTGAAGAGAGATTTCTTCATTCCATAAAAATACCTTGGGCTCTTCTCGTTTGGTCATACCGGCGGGAGCGTCGTACATGAAAGAAAGTCCCATTTTCGCCTTCTCATCTCCCAAAAGCGCCCTGAAACCAAAATTTTTATAAAACCAAAATTTGAAACTTTTGACAAACTTATTATTCAGAATTTCCTGCTCTTTTTCATACTGCACTCGAAGTTCCTCTTGTTTTTTCTCGTCCATGGACTTTTTCTGTCGCGCTTCCCATACCTTGAAGAAATCGGATTTATTTATCAAACATCGAAATAAATGACGTACTCTTTTGAGATTCCACCATGCCGAAGGATGGAAGTCCTTCTTGGACATGAAATTTTGAAATCCTTTTCCCATCTTGACTTCTGTGAGGTTCGGACCGAGTCAAGAGAAAAACCTGAAGCTTTAATTTTTTCTTTTATTCGAAAAAATAAACTCTATTTAAAAGCTTATTAAAAAGGTTTTTGAAAGAAGGAAATTATAGGAATTTCTTCTTCCAGTAAGCCTACTCTTCGCTAAATGGAAAACATTCGAAGAAAAAAAAGGGTTCAAAATTGGAAATACCATCATGGCCAAAACCATTTCGAAACAAAAAAAAAATGAAAAGTATAAAAAAAAGGTTTTATATGGTTCATTGTGAAATAACAACGGGAAAGAATAACAAGACAAAATCAACAAAGAGTAACAAGGATAACCAAGAAAAACTTATGAAAATCTATCGTTTCGCGTCGAAAACTTTGACAGTACAGTCGGCGGATCCCGTGGCGATGATTCCTTCTTCGGACCAAGAACAGCACAAAATGCGCTCCTCGTGGCCGTGAATGTCGAAAAGAGCCGTTTTTCCCGACCTGAGAGAAAATACAAGTTATAAAAACGGATACAATTGGTATCTAGAATAAAAGATTGGTAGATTGGTATAGAATTCAGTTTGCATGAAATTCACCGAGAAAAACGTTTTGTTTAAAAAAACCTTCATATTTTAATAAAAAAAGTAAGTTTTTCAAATTGCTCGAAGACTCTTCTGAAAAACCGCGAAAGAACGTCAAAAAAATAAGGAATGGCTTGATTTTTGCTTGATAAAAGCTTCACGAGATTCCTATATAATCACTAAAAAAATCAGGAGCTTTTCCTTTCAATATTCAAAACAAATAAGAGTTCATACAACTCGCTTCACGCGCGAAACATCATTCAGGCAGGTTATTTAAAAAAAGGAATAAATGTTCCTTTTTTCGCAAACTCATACGAAAATTGCATGAATCTGACGTTTTCTGATTGTTGGGATATCGAATACAGGCAAACATCAACCAAGAATCAACTATAGTATTCGAAAAAACTTTTCAGGTCAATAATTTAAAAAAATTTTAACATTGCACCATAGCATTGAAAACAACAACTTATCACCACCACAGCAGCTAAAACGACTTTCTTTAGAAAAAAAAAACAAAAAAGGAATACGTACCGGATATCCCACATTTTGGCGGATTTATCGGTGGCAACGCTAACGAAGCATTTTTCGTCGTTGGGACACCATTTAACGCTCTCGACCCAGCCTTTTTCATGTCCGTAGAAAGTCTGTTTTACCAGGGAACCATCTAAAAAAAAAAATCTGGGACTTCCGAGGGCTCTCAAATGGGGATCCAGGTGAACGAATGTTACAAAAAATGACATTTTCAGCTTTTAATTTAATGTTTTCGGTAGTAATCTTCAAAATAAAACCGAGAAAAAACATACCTCTGCTTTTCAAGTCATAAAGACGAGGCAAAGGATCGGTACTACTGGAAATGGTCATTCCCGTTGAGGGATGAATGTCGATGCTCGTGAAGGCTTTCTGTCCGCGAATTCGAGAAAGTTCTCCGGCTAAGAAAATCCAGTTCGATTGAAATACTCAAAAGGATGGGATACCGAGCTCCAAGTCCCATTCAATGATTGTATGGTCCCAGGAAGAGGAAACAACGTGGGAATTATTGTTGTGAGACCAATGGACCGCGCTGATTCTGTCCTTATGGCCACCGATAGTTACCATTGGGATCTGGAATTCGTAATAATACAACGTATTTTCGAAATTCTTCGAAAATCCTTTTTATTCTTGAGTTTTTTCCATCATCCCACTCGGTAAAGATAAAAACTTTTCGAAGAACTGTGTACCTTTCCTTCAATGAAGAGTTAAAAATATAAAACATACCTTCGTTAAATACGACTTTTTCCTCTTTTTCAACTTTGCATCGTTTTCATCCTCTTTCTCATAAACTGTACTGACGTCGTCCACTGAAAATCAAACTTTCTTTTATTTTAACGAAGAAAATTCGAAGTAATCCCACATCTTGTGTTCCACAATTTAAGTGAAAAATCATAAGATCCAGAAATCGCCTGTTGCGTTTTCGAATTGGCGGCTACACATTCAACACTCCGTTCGTGGCCTCGGAAAACTATCTAAAGATGAAAATTTCGTCAAAAAAATTTCTTGAAAAAAGAAAAGCTGAAGATTTATGCCACAGAGAAAAATGCATTTAAAGAACTTCCTCAAAAAAATCTTGATTAAAAATGATTGGAATGCAAGAAAGAGTTGATCATCAAAAAAAAGAAATTAAATTAAAAGAAAATATGACCTGTTTCTCCAATTTGTCGTCTTTAATCGTGTACAAAGTGAGAAGTTGGTCCTCACTTCCAACGATAATTTCTGACCCGTTCATGCTTTTGCCTTAGAAAACAACCATGTATGAACTATTAGGAAGAAATATTGACCAACCCGGTTTCTTCACCAAAACACTGCACTTGAGTAGCCCATCTTTCGTGGCAAACGTCGTTTGTTGGCCTTTTTTGTCCCAAACAACGATATCTCCACTGTATGTCGTTGAAAGTACACTGAAAGACAAGAAAAATTGAATAAAGAGCTGAGAAAACTCACAATCCGTTGGCTGCATGTACGGAGCTAACCCAATCAGGTGCTTGATAATCGTGTAAAGGTTTAGGCGCTTCGAGACCAAGTACACATTCGACTTTCACTACCACTTCCTTTTGATCAATAAAAAAAGTTTTTATCGTATTTTCATAACTTACAGTCTCAAATTCGTACTCGGAAATGAACTCTGCTAAGGTTGTGCGAAGGAAAACGTCTCCAATCAAAAATTCGAACCTTTTGTCCTCCCAAGACTCTGAAAACGAAAAACCCAACCACTTCTTAAAATACTTCAAAAACCTACCATTTTCTAATGATATACTTTTATTCACCAAAGAGTTGATTTGCTCACAATCAGCGGAGGTGGGGACGTCAAAAATCGTTGTTGGAAGGTGGTCGAGACTGTGATTGGAAATAATATTTTATGAGAACGGATTGAGAAATACCTTTTATCATTTGTGAAAAAGGAAAGTTGGACGTGAGCGGATTGGTCAGTTGTTATATCGTCATCCATTTTGGTTGATTATCCTGTAAAATGCTAAAAACTATTGAAGAATGATAACTTGGTCTAAAATTAAAAAGCAGGAGTTAAAAAAAAAAGGAATTCAACCTTTTCGCAAGTTTCAAATAATAGTATGCTTTTTAATGAGCAAACAAGTTTGAAAAAAAATGGAAAAAAAAACCAAAAATTATCAAAAAGGGAAACTGAAATATTTCGTTTTTTTTCTCATTCGCCATGGCGCGCAACTGCTTTTTTTGTAACAAAACGACAGTTGCAAAACGATGGTACGACAAAATCTCAAGTCCGCAAATCTCGAGGACCGTAATCTTGTGTACACAGATCTAAAGTCCCATAATCTTGAAGACCAAAATCTTGGAGACCAAAATCTTGGAAACCACAATCTTGGAAAGTAAAAATCAACGCTTTCGCGAATAGATTTTGTCAGAAATTGTATTCGGTGATCCAAACAAGAGAATATAAGTAGATAAAGTGGAATAAAGAAGACTAAAAAGGAAGATTTCTGCTTTCCAAGATTGTGGTTTCCAAGATTTTGGTCTCCAAGATTTTGGTTTCCAAGATTATGGGACTTTAGATCTGCGTACACAAGATTACGGTCCTCGAGATTTGCGGACTTGAGATTTTGTCGTACCATCTGCAAAACATAATCGGCGGGGGTAACGCGAAACGGACATGCTCCGGAATTTTCTGGGCATTACAAGCAATCACTTGAAAGTACTGATGCTGCAAAAGTTATCCCTAAAAAATCCTCAAAAACCCTCGAAACGAGTCCGGTTCGCGTTACCGAAGTGCAAGTGAGAGCTTTCAAGCTGCGGATTAGAAAATGTTGAGAGATTTTCAAAAAATGATTGACGATGTTAAAGATATTAAAAAAGGTGTTTAGTTTTTAAGCATGAATCGAAAAAAATGAAGATCGAAATTTTCTCAAAAACTTTTTTTGAAATATTTTCATGGCTAGAGATACATCTTGATCGCGTTCTTGAAAGAACTTGGTTAAGAGTGATAACACACACGATAAGGCTTCAGATTAGTTTGAAAAAGGTTCGAAAAGTTTCATAGTTCAGAAATTATGAAGACAAAAATTATTGACTATAGTCGAAAACTCGAAAAAGGTAAAATTGAGCAACAAACAGGTTAAGCCTAAGAAAAGAGTTGGGATAGTTAAATACTAATTATTTTTCTCTTAACTAATTTTATCTTTTTCTTCATTCATATTCAGAAAAAAAGAAATTTCTTGCTTAAACATGTCAAATCAGACTAAGTTCACAAATCTCTTTCCGTGAAAAGGAAATCCAAGTGAAAGGAGAAGCTCTGCGGTTTAGGAGAGAAAGTTAAGGGAAGGAAAAGATTTATTGAATTTCCTCCGGGGAACTAGGCCAAAAAAAAAACGGATGGGTATATTTTCAAAAAATCTGGGGTTCGTCATAACATTTCTCGGAGCAAATCCAAATCCAATTGTTTTGCTTGACGGCCTCAGCATCTTTTTGTTTCCGTTGGAGTTGAACCAACCAGCGTCAGAAGTTTTTCTTTCTTACTCTTTGAATTTTCGATTTCCGAGTTACTTCTGACTTTTTTTTTGTCATAAAATATGCATCGAAGGTGGTATGAAAAAAAAGACTGCGAAAATTAAAACGGCGACTTTCCCGATTTTTTCATATCGCTAGGGAACTTTCCGACGGCCACCTTTCCAACGGATCCTTTTCCGACTTTTTTCCTTTATATTTTTCGGTTTATAAGACATCTATTTACATTTTTTTTTCCTATTTCTTTGTGTTTTAAGCATGAACCAACTACCTACTTTATATAGGAAGATTTAAAACGAAGATTTTATCAAGAAAAAAGTCGGAAAAAGATTCGTCGGAAAGGTGGCCGTCGGAAAGTTCCCTAGCGATGTGAAAAAATCGGAAAAGTCGCCGTTTGAATTTTTGCTGGTCTTTTTTTCATACCACCGCATCGAAAGTTTTTTTGAGTTATCATTAGATTGTTTTTTTATAGGGTTTTTAGGTCAATTTCGATATCTTTTTAATATCGAAATTGACTGTGATTGAGAACATATTAGAGTTCAGCTGACAATTTTTTTCATATAAATAAGGAAAAAAACGAGTTTTTTTCAATTTTTCCGAGGAATGTATGGTTGATAAACTTCCGAAATTTTGAAAAAAAAAGTTAGTCTTTGAAAAATCCGTTTCGAAGTGTTTGAAATCGTAATCTTTGCATGAGCTGAACTTCGTATGAAGAATCATCATTTAGAAAAAAAAACTTCAGAAAATTTTATGCAGAAAGTTTAAAAAAAAAATGAAAATAAAAATTCAATAAAAAAATACGTTGTTCCTTTGTTTTTGGTGTAGGCTTCGTGTTCACGGACAGTAATCCAAAAATTTCTTCCAAAAGCAGTCTCGTGTTCGAATTTTGATCCATTGTAGTAAAAACTCGGACAAGAATTATTGAAGTGGGTACGAGAGGCTGATCTTTAAAAAAAAAGAATCAAAAAACAAGTCCATTTCATTCATGATGGCCATGCTTTTTAAGTCGGAAGCCGCAATGTTGTTGTGATCGCAAGAACTCCACACCCATCAAGTTAATCCAACTGAATTTGAAGAATCCAGATCGTTTTGGGTGGCCGATATTAATCCTCGGCGGCAGCAGACGCCGTTGTAATGGAGTCGTTGGGCAGCGGCGCGGATTCCAACGGCCAGAAACGGTCCCCTGAGGCGTTTCCTCCTTTATTTTCTTTTCTAGCGCACATCTCTCACCAATTTCCGGCCAAATGTCGAAAGAAAAAAAAAGGCGAAAACTGCCAAGTTCCAAGGTTCGCAGAGCAGTTTTTGGTTGGCGCAATAATCGAGTCGGCAAGGCAAGACGTTCCTTCGGCAATGTCTTTAACCAATTATGCGATGGGACCGCCCGTTCGCATCACAGATAGGATCTTCTGAGCTTCATTGGTTTCTAGCCTACAAAATGCTTATTTCCTCGTTCCTTACGAATGAGTTCGTTCCACTAAAAAATTCGGAACGCTCTCAAACCTAACGAAAACAAAGTTTGAGGTAATATAGATGTTCATACTTGAGTTGAAACAAGTTTTTTTGTTCATTCAATATCTTAACAAGCATTGCTTTTTTTTTTCGAATAAAAAAAAATAATCATAATGTTTAGATTATCTCCCTTGCATCTCGTTGGTGATTTACTTTTAATACTCTTAACTCTCGTATCAAAACTTTTTCAAATGACATAAATCTCTCTGAGTAACCTTAAATTCTGATTCATTTTATTGCTTAAAAAAAGGAATATTCCCCGCCGCACTACTCCTCCCACTCCATTTTTGACTCCGCCCACTTCTTTCGACTTCACCTCGAACATTTTCCAATTTCTAAAGCCTTTCCCCTGGTTTTTACTTTGCAGTTTTCTTCAAAGCAACATGAAAAACAGACACGCTTTTGTCTTCGTCTGAATTTTAAAGCTCCTCCTTCGTTGACACTTTTTTTTGGGTTGAACATTTTCTATTCCGTTACTCGTTCGCTTATTCTCTGGAATTTGTTTTCACAAATAAAGACAGTTTTATTTTCAAATACTTTCCCCTAAAAAAATCCACTGCTTCAACATTCTATAGAGGTCACTTGCGCTCTGATGCCGCATAAATTTACACGCGCCATTTGAAAGTTTCCAAAAAATGCGCATTATGCCTTTTTAAAGATTAGGAATAATTGTTTTGATAATTTCCTCGTATGCCGTGTTCAAAGTATTCTCCGTGGAATGCTAAATCATTTCTGACTCATCAAAATTTATTTATCTTTTTACTATCTTTGACGGCTATTTTGTATTTTGCGGAATCACTTTGGACACGGCATAAAATAATAATATAAATAATTTTTCATTGTACTTCCAGTCAATTCAAAAAAACTATTCTTACTTTTTAAATATTTGAAATTACAGACCGTACAGACCTTACATTTTTTGAATATTTGGTTTGTCTCATCATCCCCCAAACTCTATTTTGAAATTCCAGGCAAGTTTATTATAAACGCGAAACAAATTATTGTGCCAAGGCACTTGTCTCGTAGAATGAACCAGGACACACGCATTCCTTTGTTTCTTGGCGATTGTTTCGCGGCGCCCAACTCGAAGTCGTCGTCGCACCTCCTCATTTGAATTTTTGATTCCCACCTCTTCTTTTTTTTCCTCGAAAAGTTCTTCACCCTCATTTTTTTTTTCCTGCAGACGACTCCTGGCAGTTGAGTGATGGGTCCATCCGCGGCGTTGCTCCCGAACTTCGTCAAGGCGTTCGTCTCGACATGAGTTCTTCCGCGCCATGTGGCTACTTTTTCCCCTACTCTTTTTCCCAGTTTGTCTCTTATCTTGATTTTTTTTCTTTTTTTCTTGCGAAACGAAAGTTGCGAACTTTTCATGACCGCTTCAATCGGTTCAAACATAGTTTTTTGAAAAAAGAAGACATTTTGTTTGGCAAAAATATCACGGAAACTAGCGCTTAGGCTAGTTTACATCAATTTCTTTTGTATTTTTTTCGAAAAAAACAGTACGTTTTGAAGAAACTGAATCACAATCACGGCGTTTCGAAGCAAGGATCGGACTTTAAAAAAAACCAGAAAACTCTCACAGCGAAGTTTGAATTCGGCTAAAATTTCACAAGTTTTATTCGTTTATTTGCAAAATTTCTTTTTTTGAAAGTTTTTTTTTAATTTTCAGTTTTAAAAAAGTTGACATAGTTTAATGCACTCTTTTTCCCATAACATTGAAATTTGAGTGTTTTTATACATTTCTTTTGTTTCAAGCAGAGATGAAGTAAAAAAAAGTCCGTTGGCGCGCGTTTAGATGGCTACTTTGGAACGCCGTGTGCTAAGCAACGGAGTCGAGTCGAATTTCCGCCAATAAAGCAAAGAAATTGAGGTGATTCCGTCGACGAACGGGCTCGGCTGGGCGGGTTGGTCGCCATGGACGCCTTGCTCCAAAACGGTCAGATTTCCTCGCAATAAACATGTCCAACTTGCAAATTCGACATATTCGACGTGACGTATCTTTTCTTTGCAGTGTGGCGGCGGCGTCTCGCAGCAACTTCGGCGGTGTCTTGACACGAAATGCTCAGGGCACGCCGTACGGTATCGCGTCTGCGCCCTGAAGGTGAATGGAGAATCGGCAGAGAGGAGATTTACGCAAGAGACCAAACAATTCGAATCGAATCAAAAATACTTAAGAATAATTCAATCGATAAGAATTTCAAAAAATATTTTTTTTTAAACTTGAAACCCATCGAAGAAATATTTCTTCATAAAATGTTAATTTTTCGATTTTTCGAAACTCTTTCCTAAATCGCGGTTTTTTCCATAGCTTCATTAGGTTTCACTGGAGTTTCTGTTTTCGAAAACGAATTCCATCAGTTTTACAAACTCTAAAACTTCTATTTCTGATCGCTTTACTTCAATGAGCAATCTAAAAATGTCTGGCGTACTTCATAACCCGAAAAACCTTTTGAATGACAAAAAAAAGCACGAGAGAGGGTAATTTCGTGGCGTTGTGAAAGGAGGAAAATCGTGAAAATTTACAATTTCCTGCCTTTTTCGATGATTGTGTGTGTTCCTCGAGGTTTTTGAGGCTTTTCCGAAAGAAGATTTCGGGACTTTTTTGTTGAACTTTTGGCGTTTCTAGTATGGCGAGGAGCGCTTGAAGCACTTTTTGAAAATAAAAAAAGTTACTTTTCAAGGTTAATAGAATCTTTATATTTTAATAAATTTTTGAAAGATATTGAACAGATCCGAAATGCTTAAGATTAAAATTTCAGCTTCAAAGACTCCTGAGCTTTCGAAAACGTACATTCTCTTAAGACTGAAAACGCACTCGCAGCGTGATTTTCGACGCTCTTTCAAAATGAACTAATTGCCTCACTCACCCGAGAAAACTTGGGCTTTTTGGAAGAAACTGGGTGTGCGGCAAATCGAAGTTTAAAAGAGGCGTTTATCAAAATATCAAATATATTATTTTATGGGAGAAGTTTAATTTAAATCTGTTTGGAATTTAAATTTTCATTTAAGATGGGCCCAATGAAGAAGTTTTATAATCAAAGATAGTAATAATTTAGGAATGTGAGTCGAAAAATCGTTGGACCCGTGACACGGTCTGTGGCGGCGAGGAAATTGTCAGCAAACAACAATGCGAGGTTCTTTTTCAAACTTTTATTCCGAATTTACTTTAGAATTCAGCTTGAATAAATAAAAAAAAGTATCCGACAAAAAGCATATATAACATGTTAGTGATTTCCGTTGAGTTTATTTTTTTCGAGCTTCAAATCCCTTCGTGACACTTTTCAGTATCGAGTTTTGTATCGAAATTTACAATCCGTAGCCCGAATAAAAAAAAAAAAATTTGAAATTTTTCGATTAGTTCTAAATTTGTTTTCAGTTGTTCCTGTAAAAGTTCAATTTTTCTTAGCTTCAAAATCTTTAGGAATAATCCATTCATCATATTTTTCAAATCAAAAATCCGCAATTCCAAAAAAAAAAAACCAACTTTCTGATTTTCCACATCTATTTTTGTGTGAAAACTGTTAACTTTCATAAATATGACGATAGAAGTGCTTATTAGCCCGGTTATAATGTTTGAAAAATCGAAGTTTCGCATTTAAGTCGTTCTTATTCTATTTAGGCGCTCGATTCATTTTTTCTTTTTTTCTCATTGTTATACGAATTTTGTTCCCTGTAAGTCTAACCATTTGCTGATTCTGGGTGGTTTGCCGAGCTCGAGCCACGGATTCGCGGTTTTTGTGGCGAGTAACTGATGGAACTCCGTGTCAGGCGGCCACCAACAGAGCCGTCTGTAGCCGAGGAACCTGTCAGGTCAAAATGTCACTACCTTTTTATGGCTGATTCACGGCTGACTTGAGCCATCGAAAATGGTCCTGACACGGTAAAAAAAAAAGATGCATAGTTGGTGGAGAGCACAGACAGGCCACGCCCCCTCGGCGTCCCAAGCTAGCCGTGAATCGGCTACATTTCAGGAAATTCTATCCAATCCTCAGCTCTTTATTTCTTGTTTTTTTTTAAATTTTGATCTAATCTAGGCTGTGGAGATATTTGGTTGAGGTTCTTAGTGATTAACGGAAAAGTTCTGAAGTGTCTACAGTACGTTTTTTCAGGCTAGCGATGATAAATTTTCCATCTTTAAATTGAGGCCTTTGTTTTTAAATTTTACGAATCATTGACCGTTTTGCTAATGTTTATTTATAGACATGTTGAGATTTGTCTCAACTAAAAAAAATGAATTTTGCAATTTTTGATCTCTCTTGAACTTGTTGAACTCTGAGACCGTATGCAGGAAAGAGAAATAATGTTTACAAAAAGTGGTAATGGCTTAAAATCGCAACTTTCATTTAAAAAGGCTCTTACAACGGTGTTTGAAAGGCTTTTCTGAGATTAATCTTTTTTTGAATCCTTGAATTCAGTTTTGAGCCGTTCATCGGTATATCAGAATCAAATCCCTATCACTGTTTTTTGTTTCCAGGTGGTTGGGTGTGACGGAATGATCGGCTCTTCCCTGAGATTCGACGCTTGCGGAGTTTGCGGCGGCCGTGGAGACACCTGCGAAAGCGGCAAATTCGTTTGGAACGTTTCGGGTCTATTTCTTTTTTTATATAATAAAATAGCAAACGGCCTTATCATTGGCTTTATACAGAAAAAAATGTTGACAGGTTTATCTCCTTATGGTAAATGCGTCGGAATTTCATTCCAAGCTTCGAAATAAGCGAAAATTCTCTTCATACATTACGTTCATAAGAACTGACACGCGACTGGAAATATTTTGAAAGTTTTTAAAGTCATTTACGGGTATTTAGCTAACTCTTTCATTATTTTTTTGCAAATCGCCTTAAACTTATTGTTTCAGAATCAAATGTTTGAACTTTATAGGAGCGCTTGAATTAGTTTTTTTAAAAAGTTACCATTACATTAGAAGTTTAATCAACAACAGGTTCGGGTCCAAGGCTAAATTGCGAAAAAAACATAATTAATACAATTAAAACCAAAAAAATTTTTACATTTGAGTCGAAAAACCACGAAATTTAGTAGCGATTCAACATCCTTATAACAACCTCAAACTACGACTTTCCTTTTTTCCTATTTTTTTAGTCTTTTTTTGTTTTGATGAAAAAATTGTGCCAAGGTGTAAATTCTGGAAAATTTTCAATACCTCCCTCTATTACTGTAACAGAGGAAATTTTGACGAATAGCCCTTCTTCAAGGCGTCAATTTCAAAGACCCGAAAAACAATATTTTGAAGATGTTCAGCTTCAAATCAATGTTTTTTTATAAATATTTTCATTTATTTTTATTTAATATTTTTTTATAATTCAAAGAAAAGGTGATTCAATATTCTGATTTCAGAAGAATACACACCTTGCGCATCGAATTGCGATACGGCGGCCGACTGGGCTAACGCTGGCCGCGAAATCGCCGAGTCACACGCGATAATCGTCTGCATCAACTCTGCGACATCGCGCGTCGTTCCTGAGAGACTTTGTGCCGATCGAAACAAGCCGAAAGTTCCTTCGAGACCCTGTCCTCCGCTCATTTGCCCTTCCAGGTAAATTCGAAATTTATGTTGTTTTTCTTTTTTTCAATGAGTGTAAAAATTTTTGATTAGGTTATTTGAATACACGAAAAGACTTTCAAAGCTTTTCTAAAAGTACCAAAAAGGCTATTTTCATGATTTCTATTTGACGCTGAGACGTATTCAAAGCTTGGAGTTGAAAAAAAGCCTCGATTTTTCGTTTCTTTTTTTATCCGAAAAAAATGACTATTTTAATTATCTGCGATTTTTTTAAAGTGTGAATTCGAAATTTTTCCTCTTGCACTTATTTATTGTCTTTTTTTATTTCGGTTTTTCGTTAGGAAACGCGTTCAAAATTGTGATCTTGCTCATATTTCCTTTTTTTCGAGTACGCAAGTTTTTTTAAAAAAATATGTAAGGACTTTTTTTAGTCTTTGTTATCGAAAGTTTCTTTCAGTTGAACTTTTTTTCTATTAAAAAAATGAAGCTTTGAAATATAAAAAGAAATATTCTTTCCAAATGGAAGATTTTGCAGATGCCGGTAAGTCAAAGTATATACGGTATGTATTGTGTGCAGTGCCCGATTTCTGGGATTTCATATCACTTTTTCCACTTTTCGTGCACCTTATCATTGGCCGTTCACTTTTCATATGATTTATGGGCTTTTTTTATTCGATGGATTTTCGAATGGCACGGATTGGTTTCAATGTAAAATTTATATGGAAACAAATTGCACAGAAACTGTCTTGGCCGCTGCATTTTCATTCCAGAAGCAGAATAAGTTTCATTGATTTTCATTATTTGTTCTCCAAAAACGAAAGATGATTCTTGATGACCAAAGAATGAATCATTTTATGTTCCTTGGTTAGAACTGTCCGAAATTTCCACGAATGACTGAAGAATCGAAAGTTTTAGCAAACATCTTAACTCAACAATTTTTCACGGTTTTTAAGGGGCTTTCATTGTAAATTCTTGTATTTAAAATTAAAAACTTTTCTTCAAAATCTCCTATCGGCTTACCAGACTCGGGCAAAGTCGGAATGGTGGATAATGGCTGCTAAAAGGGAGAGGCTCAAAAAAGGCCGCAGAAAGGCAGCAAAAAGGCAGCAAAGAGACTCCCTTTAACGAGCCTTCCATTTTTCTGGGATTTTAAAGGCTCGAGAAATGGTGGAGAAAGGGAGAGGCAGCAAAAATGGTGCATAAGGGTTGAGAAAATGGAGCAAAAAGGCAGCAAAAAGAGAGCCTTCTTCACCCTAAAAGGAACATTTCTATGGTCCTTTATGGACCCTCGGAGGGTCGTTCCGACTTTGCCTATGCATGTTTAAAATAATCATTGCACCTTCAAAAAATTGGCCCACTTTTTACGAATGGATTATGGCGTTTTCAACACTTTTTACTGTACCCTGCAGTCATTTTTTATGATTTTGACAAAAAAGAAGCAGAATATAAATATTTTTTCAGATTCTTTCGGAGTGGTCAAAATGTCTGCTGCACATTTTTTTTTTGCTGTCTTCTGATTTCAAAGTTTCATAAATGCTATTATTTTACCCAAAATTTCGAAGAGCGCGCAATATTTTTTCGTGGAATTAACCTTTCTGTCAGCCTTCAAAATGATCACTACACTTTTAACAAGCGTATTAAGCTTCTCATGAATGATTTCTGCGATTTTCAACACTTTTCGGTTCTCTGCAGTTTTGTTGATCGAATAGTTCAAAAAACAAGCAAAACGGAGATATCTTCTTGAGATGGATGCCTTCGGACTGGTCGGAATGTCTGCCGCACTGCGGGCCCGGAACACGGAAAAGACACGTCTTCTGTGTCCAATCCTCCAACAACTTCACTGTCCACGTCCCCGACAGCTTCTGTTCCGATTTCAAGAAACCGGTGAGAATTCATTTGGGCCGTGAAAAAAGTTGTGGTAGACTTCAGATCAACTGATAAATATTGAAGATTTCTTTTTGTTATTCAACTTATTTTTTTATAATACTTCTGTAGCGCCTTTTGAATTAGCCTCATATAAGCAAATTCTCAACTCAAAACATTTTTTAAAATTTTTCTTATGAGACGCTTATGAGAAGGTTGCTGTGTTTTGCTCCATATTCATGTCTATTCTCAGCGCTTAGAAAGAGGGGTTGAAATTTGGATAGAATAGTATGCACCGAAAGTAACTTCTGAAAGTCTCGGCCTGCACGATTTTCTAGTCTTGGATAAATAATGGCTCAGCTCCAAAAAAAAGCCTATTTTAACAGATTTTGCGGTTTTTCTTTGACTTCCAGGTGTTCTTTCTCAGAAACTGAGCAAGTTGAGACTTTCAGGACCTCCATCTGGTACAGAAATGAGTTTTTTAGCTGATTATCATGTAATTCCCAACCAACCAACCAAAAAGCAAAATGACCTCCCTTGTTAGTGGCCGCTACAACTTTTCCCCAATATAATCTTCCTTTCTAGGAGACACTTTTTTCCAGACTTCCGAGGAGAGTTGCACTTCGACGACGTGCGGCAAGTGGGAGACCGGCCATTGGAGCAAGTGCACCACGACGTGTGGCCAAGGAGTTCGACGCAGGAATGTCCGCATTTCCATTTTTCCTTGTTGCTCTTCAGATTTTCTCCAATTCCAACCTAAAGAATTTTTTGAAAGTTATTTTTTTTTGAATGAGTTTTTTAAGAAAGGAATATATTAATAGAAAAAAACTAAAAGTTTATTTTTAGCTGTTTTCGTATAGGTAGAGATTTAAATTTATTCTATGAGCGTCAAGAGAAAAAAGGCTTCTCTCAAAATTTATTATTCTCAAAAAATATAACAATTAATCCGTTTGCTTTGAGTCGAAACTAAAACTCTTGAAATGTTCAGAATTTTGAGCAAGAAGAAATATTTGTTTGTGAGAATGAAGTCCGTTTAAGGGAAAAATTATTCGAAGGTAAATTCTTCCAAAGATAGATTTAATTTCAAAAAAAGAATGAATAGGAAACTTTCATTAAGATGTTTGGATGGAAGGAAGCGTAATTTCCAAATTTTCGGGTCGGCGTTCAAAACCGAATCGATTAGATCTTGAATTCCAATAGAAGACGACCTTCGTTCATGACGCCGACTTCTGCAGGTAGAGTGCGTCGGCGGAAGCGACTGCGAGTCTTCGGGACGTCCGGCCGCGGAATCGCCCTGCTACGCGGGCATTCCCTGCAACGCCTTGCCCTCGCTCGTCCGCCCGTCCTCCATGTAAGCCTCGGCTTCACGTTTCCGTCACAAATCTTTCTTCTTCTTCCAACTCGCTTGGGAGCCGCAAACAAAAAGAAAACAATTTTCTTTTCGAACAAAGTTCACTGAAAAATGCGAAGAGTCGAATTTTGAAAAGTTAAAAATAAGACGCATTCAATTTAGAAACAGAAACTGTATTGGAATGGTTCGTTTTGGCTTCAAGGAAGCATTTTGTTCTGTTTGCGAGCATTTTTTTTTACTGTTTTTGATTTTCAAAATGAAAAGAAAAAAGTCTATTTGCATCTCTTTATTAGATCATTTCATCATCCTTTGCCTGTTTTTTCTTTTTTTTCGATTAAATAATCTTCGAAACTAACAGATTTATGAATAAAAAAATAGAAATTTTATCGTTAGCTGTTCAGATACGTGCCAATAAATCAGATGTCAGTCAAAAGCAACAAGAAAAAAAAGATAAGAGGTTTTTTGATTGTCGAGCTTTGAGAAACGAGGAAAACTGTAAGTCCAACTCAGCGAAATTTCGCAAAAATATTATGTTAATCTGCAAAAAAAAAACGCGACATCTAGTAAATTTTACTGATTAGATGTGTAATAAACTCTGAGAGGACAGATTAATAGAATTTGCGATTTGACATTTTTGAAAATGAATTGAGAGACGAAACAAATTTACAGTTTCTTTTTTTTTTAAATGTCTTCGTTCTACTACTCAAGACAGGTCCGAAAAAAGTTCTCATTTTGGTTTCTACCACGAGAAAGCGGAAGTTTCCATTTTATTTGGTTATTCGAAACCCTCGAATTCTCATCTCTTCATTCCATCAGCTCCCATTCGCCTTAAGACATTTTCCTTTTCGGGAAAAAGGACAAAAAGCGAAAAGAAACAAAAAAACAATTGCACGCGGCCGTGGGACTCGGTCAAGCGAAAGTTGGTCCTGGAAAAAAATCCCCAAGAAGCCTTCATTTTCGTCCTTCCATATATGGAGAGACTCCGCCCACTGGCCTCATCGGCCGCCCATCCTAATTCGCTGACTCCGCCCACCCTCTCAAAAAGCACTTTTCACACGCGATTCGAGTTCATTGCAGTTTTTGGGAAACAATTTTTGAATATTCCCTGGGCGAATGCGATGACATCAAGGATTTTCTATTTATTGCTCATCTTACCGGGAATTTCGGCGGCTTTGTGAGTTTTGACTTTTTTTGGAACTAATTTAATAGATTAGTTGAAAAATTTTAATTTACCTTGTCACCACATCTTTTTGAAAAATTCTTCATCATCATTTTTATATAAGTTTTTGTTAACTTTTTTTTCATGTCCTATACTTCAGATGGAGAAAAGCTCAAACACGTGTTTCAAATTTTTTACAAGCAAAGAATTTTTTTTTTCATTTTTTTTCTGTGCTGAACATGAAATATCATGATCGCACTTGGAATAACGTGAAGGCTCCAGAGCGTTCGCTTTGATCAGCGTCCGACCTTAAAACGGTTTGCGCTCGAAAGTATCAAAAAATGGGACAGCGTGTGGAGTTACAACCGCGACGCTCTGAGCCTTTTTTTTAAATACTCCATCTTAATTTCTGCCATTAGCTTTCTTCTGATTTTTCCTTTCAACTTCTCATAATCCTCTCAATGAGCTATAATTGAAGTGCAACTTGGGACCAATTTGTGCCTCCAGAATGCATAATAACCGCATTACACGGCGTGTCAAGTGATTGTGGCGATTCAGCCGCTTCCCTCCTCAGAATGGCCAAAATCGAATTTTCCTTCGAAATTGCCCATCAATTCCGTGGCCGAAAACCGACAATTTTAGAAGCAGGATGAGCCCATAAATTTACGACCCCGTAGGTTGTAAATTTTGATGGATTCTCAGGCTTTTGCGCCGTTTTAATGAATTTCGCACCTTTTTTGAGATTTTTTCTACTTTTGTGGAGTTGAGGAGAGAAAAAAGCGCAAGATGCTTGTTTCAGTGTAGTAGCATCTGAAAAACACAAAAAAAAGGGATTTCTGCTTTTCAGATTGTATTTTTCTTCCTCTGTATTATTTTTAGCATTTTCTTTTTTTTAATTGTTGCTTTGCTCTTATTTCGGCTTCGAACGCGGTTTTTATAAATTGAGCTTTTCAAAATGGTTCCCATCCGAGTTCAGTCACGTTGACTCATTTAAAAACTTTTCTAAAAGTAGTTCGAATCTTCGAAAGTTTTCATGATGTTGTACCTCAACTTGAATGAAAGACCGCTATGAATTTTTTTTTACGGAAGAAAAAAAATCAAGTAATTTGTAGCTAGAAAATTGCACCCGATAGAAAAAAGACTGAAATCGAAAGTTTAAGTCCAAGTTTTTCGAGAGCAAATTTTCATTTTTTAGCTCGAAAAAAACGCGTTGAGTATTTCATACCAGCTGGATTAGGAAATGGTTGTGAGATTATATTTTTAATAGATAAAGTCCTGGGAAACGATTCTCAAAAATAAAAGAATAATAGAGTATTCGCTGGACCCTACCGGAAAAAATTGTGAGAGGCAGGATAAGCTCAAAAAGACACATTCAATCGTATTTTTCGAAGTGAAAAAAACCTACTTGAAAGATCTGATCAATAACAGATAAGCCGTTTTTTTTTAAGACGAAAAGTTGAAAAAAAGAAGTTTTCAAGCCTTCAGGAAAGTCAAAGTTGTTCCTTTCTTTCTTCTTTTGTATGAAAACCACCTGGGCTTTTCTCGGTTGTCCCGGTTGTCGGTCTATCATATCCATCAAGCCATAACTCTTCGTTACTGTTTTGGTTCTGGCTACCGTTTGTGACCCGCCAGCACGTGTGTCTGATAAGATAATCAGCGGCGGCGATTCCTTTGAATTCATCCGCGAAACATGCTCCATACACGTTATTGGCCATTTTTGGAAGCGAACCGATGCGCAAACGGCGGAGCTTTCCCGAGGGGTTAAGTGGGAATGTTTTGCGGCGTCTTCAGTCTTCTTCCTCTCTCCGTGTTGCCAAAACTCAAAGACCCATTTGTCATGTACACGGATTACAATTGGCTCTCTTTCCTCGCTTCTCAAATAATCCTGAACCCATTGTACGTTTTTTTTTTTTTTCGGTGGTTTCACTTGGAATGGAGTCGAGGTTTATTATTAGTGAAGGAAGGAAGGCCTTGAAGACACAGAAAATGCCGAGCTGGTGGGAAAGTTCTTTTTGAAGATTCACGCTTTTAAGAACATTTTTAAGAAAGATCACCTTTAAAGGATTTTTACCGCCAGTTTTTAAGTCATTTAAAGGGGTTTGGAAATTAAGAATAATTCCGATTGGTAGGAAAAAAAAACGAAACAGTTTAATTTATCACATTTTCTGGAGTCGACGAGAAAAAAAAGTTTATTTTTGAAGAATTATGAAACTATTTCTAAATTTTGAAGCATTTGAGGCTGTAACCGAAATCAAGAAATGAAAAAAATCTTTATCACTATAAAATTATTCATTTAGAAGAAAACAGTACCAAACATCTTCACTTGATATCTATTATTTTCATTCGATTTGAAGAAATTCTTGAACCTCAGAAGCAAATGTAAACTTCCGGACGAACGTTCAGGCTTTGCAGGCTGTCAAATGATGGGAATCGAGGCAGAACCTGATTTTCAATTTTCTTGGAGAAAGACAAGTTTCCAAAAGCTATGAGCGTTCAGAATTTTTCAAGTTTGAATAGGAATTTTTCTTTTTCCAAAAAATTGTCGTTCTTCTGGCCTAGCAGCTTGAAAAAAGAAACTTGAATATTTTTAACCCCAAAACAGCTTTTTTTTCGAATTTTTTTGTCTAAGAAAGCCCTGTTGAGTGGCTTGAGATGTTAATGAGAGCCACTATAGCTGAGCAATTAATCGGCGCCCAAAATGACGGAAAAGTATAGAAATGGCAGTTCTGACGATTTGGCGAGGCTTTTTTCCAACTTTTGGAAGAATGCTCGTAAATTCGTCAAGCTACAAGTTTTGGCCAAAAAAGAGGACGTTAATCTTTTTTCACGATTTGGCAAGAACTTTTCTCGCCCTTCTAACGGAGTTTGGTTTTTTTTTTTCTGAGGTGTATTCGAACAATTCGAGAAGTTCTAAGTGAAATAATTCAATAAGAAGTTTTAGTAAAATCAAATAAACAGTTTTTTTATTTGGTTTATTAATTAATGATTTTTTTTTTGTATTAGTTTGGTTTAGTGAATTGTTTGGAAATCGGTAAACATATTAATTCCAATAAATTTTGTTAGTTTAAATTCTTTGAAACGTTGTGGGATAAGTTTTCATGACTTGTCCCAAAAAAAGATCTCTCTTGTAAACTGTTGCGAGAGATCTTCCGTTCTTGCAGCGTTTTCTTCAAATAAAGTTCTATTCAATACAAACTGAGCAAAAGTTCCGATAAAAATTGAGCCAAATTCGATCAAAAATTGATCTAATTTTTGCTCGGTTTTTACTATGCTAAACTTGAAATCAAACAAAAAGTCCCCAAAGATCACTTAAAGAAAACGTCAATCATAGGGCGACTACAAGGTCCTTAACGACTTTTCAGTGTCATAAAAACGTCTTACTCACCGCTATACTTATTATTTTTTCTGGCAAGAAGAAAAAGTTTGAAATATTCGAAAGGACATAAAAGGGAATGAGAATTATTTGCAGCCTTGACTGGAACGAGCGGACCTACCTCGACGGGAATTCGTTCGGATCTCTAGATCCCGTCTCTCAATCTCCTAGGTTTGGCTTTTCTATTCCTTTTTTTCCGATGAGTTGAGTAACTTTCCCAGCTAAAAAAGTGCAATTGGAAAAGAACTTTTTTAGAGGTTCACTAATGAATTTTGGTTTATTTTTATGCCAAACTTTATTGAAATAGAAGTTATTTAAAGCCTTGATACAGCAGTACAGTGATTAGTTTTGATAGAATTGAAAAAAAAACTCTTGCATGAAATTTCCAGGAAGCTCCAGTATTATTGATTTAAAAATTTTGATGGATTAGAATTTCAAAAATGTTTTTTCAGTTGTGGTCTAATTTAATTTTGATAGCCTTCATTTTCAGAAGAAAACATTTACAAAGTTTATCTGGTTTATTGCGTGAACAATGAATTCATTTTTTCTTTTAGATCTGAGTCTGCTTGTTGTTCTGAACGTACAGACTTGAAGTTGAGAAGAAAAGAAAAAATGAAACGTAGCAATGTCAAAATCAGTTGAGCCTAGTAAAATATTTCTGGAGCCGCACTTCAAACCACCACCTGCACCGAGAATACTTGCAAAGAATTACCGACCTCTTATAATGGTCATAAGATAGGCTGCAAGCTAGAAAAACCATACGGAGCCTGTTTGAAAGTGAGAATATCAAACGAAAGACGCTATCGGAAAAACTAATTGAAGTACGATTCAAAAAAAAAAATTTTTTTCGGAAAAAGTAGCGATCCGGTTTTCGATTCGGCAAATCACGGTTCGGAAAGTATCAGCCCCCTACTGAGCCACATACCAGGACGGATATGTCTCTAGAACCAGTCCACTGGTTATCAATGATAACCGGGCCTTGCCTCATCGACTTTGGGCGCCGAAGCCGCTCGAGCGGTACAAGGGCTCAAGAAAAGATCATTTCTACCCGGGCAACCCAATAACATGGGAATTGTATGGAGCTCAAGTATTTTGCTGCCGGATCAATGGAGCCGTTCATTAGTTGCCAAGAAAAGGCTGCTGTCGAATCGTACGGCTGGAGATTGCACTCGTTCCGACCCGAAACACTTGAGTTGAATAGAAAGGCGAGGAGCAATTTTCTTTATGTGTAGCTCGACGCTTAGCGCATTGTTTTGGTTTTGCACCAAACGGCTTCTCGTCCAATTAGTCTCCGGCCACTCCAAAAACCACACTTTCTCCATAATTTCATCACTGGGATCGTCGATTCCATGTTGTCTTTTAGTATTTTCGTTTTTTTATGTGGGTGCGGAGAAATGACTCGGAATCGGAGGAATAATTGTGAAGTGGATTATTTTTTGAATGATTAATGCAAGGAAAAAGTTATCAAAATTATTGTGGACTGTGTAGTTAATAATGCAATCCAATATGATCTTGATTAGAAAATTGAACAGAATGGGAAATCTAATCCTACGTTCTGAACTCATTAAGCCCAGAAGGAGGGTTGGACTACAAAATTATTGCGAAAAAACGCATGAAAGAAAGTTCTTAAAAGAAAAAAAGAAACTTCTGAGGTACAGTGTCCGTCGAAATAAGATTTCTTTTTCAAAATTCGTCAACAGAATTGCGTGAAAAACTGCATCTAGTGAACCTGGTCCAACTGCGAGTTGAGAAAGTTCCCTAATTACTAATGACTGTAATTTGCGAAGACCCGGGCGGAGTCCTTCAAAAATAGCCTGCCTATGTGTGGTTCAAATCAAATATGGATGAATAATCTGTGGAAGGAGCACTTTCTCTGTTCAGACTGATTGCCGGCGAATGGAGCGAGTGCTCGGCGACTTGTGGGACCGGCGTCGCGAGTCGCAGCGTCGAATGCGTCGCCATGCATCCCATCACCTCAGCCATCATCAAACTCCCAATGTCTGAGTGTCAATGTCAGTGGTGTGGCGACTTCGTCTAATGCCGAAGTTTTTTTTCAGCTCAAACACAACCCAACTTGTTCCAAGCGTGCGAAGTCCGGTCGTGTCCCCTGCAGGAAGACGCCAAACTCACTTCGGACAACACTCCTTTCCAGTGGCAGTACGGCGACTGGACCCAGTGCAGTGCTTCGTGTCTCGGAGGTGCTGAAGTCTTGGAAATTTGAAGAAAAACCGGTCTTTCAGTATTTCAGCTCAGAAAAGTTGAACTAAATTATCTAATATACTACTCTCAATGGAGACTCCTTTTCACAATTACGATTTTTTTTACGATGAATGCTTTTTTCTTCCGCTCTCCTCTTTTTAGTCTCTTCCCAGTTGTAAGACAGGACACGTTTTCAAAAAAGAAAAAACGACGCTAAACTGAATAGTATGATTTGACCGATTAAGGTCAATTTTTCAAGATTGATTGGCCAACGAAAAGGCCAACTTCCAACGAAGACAGAAAAATTAGAACTAAAATGTTATATTTGTGAACATTATCCACGGATTTGACTCATCGACTCACTTAGCTAAAAAATTTTGAGCTGAATTGCTCTGATGAATCAGTCTACATCACGAGAATATACATTTTGCAGATGTGTCATAGCTACAAAATGATATAATCATTCCAATTGAGACAAAAAATATTCTTAAGAAATCCAATCCTCTTCTTTTTGAACAATTTTTCTTGCCCCAAGCAAGCGGTCAATGAACTGAACCGCCAAGTTTTTCTTATGGTAGCTTACAAGTCTCTTCAAGATTTACGTCTTCAAACTTCAAAAAGACGCCGTAATCGCGCCGTGGGTTTAAGGAAAGCAGAAGGCGGCGCTCAAATGTGTCGAGATGTCTTCGGGAAAGTCCGTCCAGTGGTCGCAGTGCGACGCTCGCCGCAGACCGCCTGAACGCAGCAAAATCTGCAACCAGCATCCCTGTCCGCCGTTCTGGCAGGTCGGATTTGCCAGTTAAATTGGGACTCAGTTCAACTCTCCAACATATAATACATCATTTGTTAGGAGGATTATACTTTTTTTGGAATTTTTGGAAGTAGAAGATAAATCTTAACAAAAGAGAGTTGAGAGAAACTGGAAAAATTGCGATGAGTTGAGCAAAATAGTTTTTTTTTGAATAATTTAGAGTTCGCTTATAGGCAGTAGACATGCTTAGATTTGAAAGTATTACTATTTTTCAAAATATCCGAGGTTAATTGAAACTTGAGTGTTCGGAAAACCGAAATTGGAGAAGAAAATAAGTGAGCAAGAAAAAAGAAACAATTGGTATGAAAAAAAAACGATTAAAAAAAATTGAAGTCATTCAATCGCTGGGATTTTAGCTTGATTTTTATGGTTGAAAGGAAGATTTTCTTCTTTTTTTTCGAATTAATGAAGTTTAACCGGCATCGGAAGCAAGTTAAAATTGAAAAAAAAAGTCGAAAAATTTTCCTCTAACTCATTTCTCTGATTCAGGTCGGCCAGTTCTCGGAATGCTCAGCTTCTTGCGGTGGGGGAATCGCCAAAAGAAGCGTCAAATGCGCTCAAACTGTTAGCAAGAGTGGAGGTGAAAAGAAACCTTGAATTAAATCTTATTCTCTTTTTTTCAGGTGCTGATGTCCATATCATTCTCAGAGATGACAAATGCGTGACCAGGAAACCCGACGAGAAAGATTCCTGCAACGTCGTTTCCTGTCCTCCCACTTGGGTGGTGAGTTTCAGTGACTCACGGCAATATTTATCAATTTTTTTGAATTTTTTTCCAATTTTTTCAAGGTTGTTTCTCTCACAGGGTAGTTCCGAAAAAGTCACTTTGTTAGTTCGAAAACTTGCTGAAGAATTCTTTAGAACACACAGATCTAAAAAAAGAAGAAGAAAAATTTTGAATTTACGACAGTTCAGAAGTTTGAGCCCTAAATTAGTTTAGAAAGCTTCTCCAAGTTTTTTCAGATAAGGATTTTTCGGGTTCAGTGAGCTGAGGTCTGAAAAAAAGTTTTCACATTTTTTGGCCGCATCAATAGGAATTCATCAATTTCTTGAACCTTCTTTTTCGAACCTCCTCTGAAAGTTATATTATATCTCATTATATGATTCTCATTTTGAGACTGGCGAGTGGACGGAATGCTCAAAGACCTGCGATTCGGGTGAGCGGAGAAGGAGAGTTTCCTGCGAGGTTCGCGATTCGAAAAGCCGAATCGAACGGCGGCCGGACGTCGACTGTGAGGCCGCAGATCGACCTCCTAGCGTCGAAATGTGTAGTTTTGGTGAGTTGATTGAAAAAAGTGAGCTCGAAGAATGTATCAAAAAAGACTTGAGTTAAAGTTGCTGCAATAAAAAGGGGAAAAACTAGGCTTTTTGAGCGAAATTTGCAATTTTTTTAACTCATCAAAAACTAGGCTGTGTTTTGAGAATGAAAAGACGATTCGTTCATTAAGAATCGGAGTTATGTACGCTTTGAAACTTTTTTCACTTATAATTCAAAGCTTCAAACTATCTCAGACACTATTCTTAAGAAAATGAATATTGTGAGATTTTGTCAAATCTTCCGGTATAAGATGATTTGATTTAAAACTGCTGCAAAGAGCTTTTTTCGAGTTTTGGGAGGTTTTAAACTTTTTTTAAATTTGTAGACAGGTTTTTTTTTTTGGAGCCAGGGAATATTGTCGCGTTTATTTTGTGCTTTGGAAGTTTTTTCCAACAGTTTTCATCCGTTGAGCAGCTTTAGTGAAAAAAAGATCTGTTTTATTCGATTTTTGCAGGTGTTTGTTCCAAACCTCATCTTTTCTCCAACCGGGTATTCGAACAGAACGTCGACCAGAAAAAGCTCACGATAGGCATTGGAGGAGCCGCGACTCTTTATCAAGGTACCTTCTTCTTTCCTCGAAGAGAAAAGCTCGCTCAACTTGCTTTTCTAGGCACGAGCATCAAGATCAAGTGTCCGGCGAAGAAGTTCGACAAGAAGAAAGTTTATTGGACGAAGAACGGGAAGAAAATCCGCAATGATGGTAAGTCGACTGGATCCGAGTACTGTATTTTGAAATTGTGCATACCCGGAAAATGGTTTTGGATTATAAAAGGTCCAAAAAGGAGTTTTCTGAATGGAACGGATGCGAAATTAAAGGAAAAACACAGAAAATTTAGAGATGTACATTTACATGCGCCTTATTTTTGAGACTTTCTCCTTTGTTTTTTTTTAATAATTTCAAGAACTAATACGATTAATCATAGAGAGATAGGATTTCATCTATTCAGCTCACATAAAAGTGTCTGGAAACGGGAATCTACGCGTTTTCCACGCGCGGATGGAAGACGCCGGCGTCTACGAGTGCTACACGGACAAATTGCAAGGAAACGTCACCTTGCGATTCAAGTACCGTGAACATTCCGCGGTAAGGATTGCGGATTCATAAAAAAAATAAAGTTATCATTAACTTCAAATGTTGGAAAATTGCCTTGTGTGGACGATAATCTTTGAAAATAAGTCTTTGGGAAATTATTGATAAAATGGCTGCAGAAAAAAAAACACGGACTGTTTGCTCATTAGGTGAAACAAAAACTGAAGTTTTTTGGAATACATCAATCGATTAATTCACTTCTGAAGAAACATTTTCTGTAAACTCGCAACACACTGTTTTTATTTAAATGAAAACATATATTACTAGTCAAAATAATTGAAAAACGGATTTCAAAGAACACTTTATATTTATTGAAAAATTGATCCAAAACTGAAATTTTCCGAAGGCAATTTTCTACTATGGAGAAATGGACGGAGTGGAGTTATTACCCGAATGGAGACAGATCAAAAAAAATCCGATATAATGGTGAAACAAAATGCCTTGCATGACCTTGAGTGACACTGAAACTGAAAATGGCGACGCCGGCAGGAAAACTTTCTTTTTTTTTCGAATCACTTCAACGATATTTTTGAACAGATTCACTTCAAGGAAGAAAGAGGACGATGAATTCTTCGTTTTTTAGGAGCAGAAGCCGAACCTCGGCCGAGGCGCCAAGAACAAAGGCAGGAAGCCGATGATCAACACGACAATGATCGAGGCGTTGTTGACCGCGCCGAACGACGTCGAGGCCACCAAGGAACTTCAGAAGTACGGGGATCTCATCAATGCACGATGGGACATCGGACACTGGACCGAGTGCCGGCAGAAGACGTGCCACGTCGCCGGTTATGAGGTCAACACATTTATACATTTTTTTAGTCTTCAGAGAAATTATCTTCTGAATCGATGAGAGAGATTATCTTCTGAATTGGCAGTATTAGACAAATTTTAAGCACCCCGAAGATCAGCTGCTCGTCCATTTAGTAAAAGTACGACGCCCAGCTTTTCTAGGGTTGGCGAGCGTCGGAGAAAAATCTCATACAAGAGCGGAAATTAAGATCGATCACTCGGAGAGTAGAAATGAGATAATCAGAAAGGGGTGAGATCAGCACATTTTTGATTTTGTCACCAGTGTGTTCATAACGTAGGCATTAATGCGTGTGGTTTTATAGGAATTTAAGGCAGAAAACATTAAGTACTGCAAAAAAAAAAAGAACATAAAATAATTTATTCTTGAATTCCAGGCAAGAGGAGTTTCATGCAAAGCGACGGTCGGGAATGAAGTCCGACTTGTTGACAACTCCATCTGCGACTCTTTGGCTTCTGTCCGGCCGGCGGAGACTCGGCCCTGCCATCGGGAAGACTGTCCCAGATGGGAGGCCACGCCTTGGAGCGAGGTGCTGAAAAATGTTTTAACCTTAAGAGTTTCATGGAGCCTAAAAATTAAAGACTATTGAGAATTAGGTTTAAAAAAAATTGATATACCCTTGAGCGTGGCTGATAAGGTTGATGATTTGGTTTAGTTCTTCAAAATCAAGTCTAGTTCATATTTCTAGAGTTAAGCTGACATATATCCGTTTTGAAAAAAGGTTAAGCTTAAAATTAGAAGAATAGGTTAGTTTTAAAATTCATCATCGATATTGTTGTCAATCTTGATTTTTCATTAACGAAATGATTGAAAGCTTCAAATTCCTGTCAGAAATTTGAGCTAAAAGCAAGAGCTTCGAAATTTCCTTTCAAAATTGGAGGTTTTCTGAGTTGCGACCTTCATTCACTGAATTAATAAACCTTTAGTCGGGTTCGGAATGAAAGTACTCTACTTGTTAGGTCGAAGTTTTTTTTTTTGAAATGAGCCTGCCTCGAAAAATCTTATAAAAAACGTTTTTTTGTTAACTTTGTGTGTTAACAGTGTTCCTCGACGCGCTGTGTCTCGCCCTACACGGCCCAGCAGAAGAGAAACGTCACGTGCAGCTTTTCGAACGGCACCCTCGCCGAGTTGGACTCGTGTGACGTCAGCAATCGACCTGCCACCTTCTCCGATTGTCCCAATCGTGAGTGTGACTAGCTGAACCTTGTTAACAGGAGAGTTTTTGAAGAAAATTGCAAAGCCGAGTGGAAAACGTCCGAGTGGGGATCGTGCAGTTCGGAATGCGGGACGGGGGGAGTTCAGGTGACTTTCTGGAAGAGTCTTTAGGACTTTTGAGAAACTGATCGAATCTATTAAATTCAAGAAGTTATAGAAAGAAATATCATTTGCAGTTCAAAAATTGCTGTTTTTTTAGTCTCTTTTGAGAGGTTTCGCAAAATGCGCCATTTTTTGAAAAAATGCTCGGAAAGTACAATCTAAAAAAATTGTTTTGATAAATCCGTTTTTTTCTCTTCTTCTTTTTTTGAGCTTTCATGAGAAAATGATTGTTAGAGAATTTATGAGAAACATAATTTTCTAGGTGATATTTTTTGTGCTCCCATATCTCAGTTCTCTAGTAATTTTTAAGGGTTTTCTGAAGAGAATGATTGAAAAATTCAAGAAAATTCAACTTAGCAAAAAGAACGTTCATGAACTGCAGCTTCGCCTTCTGTTCTGCACGTGGGCCTCGACAGGAAGGCCGGCAGGACGCAACTGCGAGTCGCTCCGAAGGCCGCACTCGGCTCGGGCCTGCGTCGCCGACGAGCCTCTGCCGCCCTGTCATGCCACCGCAGCGCCCATGTTCTTGAGAGGTATTTCCAGAGGGGAATCAGGGGTAGCTACCCGGCAGCTACTTCCACATCAAAAAGCGTTAGCTAATGGGTGATCAGGTACCAAAGAGATACCACAGAAAATGTTACCTGGATACTACCGGAAAGGTATCTGAACACTATTGCTTTTCTACCTGGAACTTGCGATTGCCAACGGGTAGTAGCTAAAAAACGACCCGCAATTAGCTGACGCCGATTGACGCGTTCTTTCGAGATATTGAAAGTTTCAAATTATTCCAAGAAGTCTCTATGCACTTTGTAGACGTTATATCCCATTCACGACTGTTTGAAACATCATCACCTGTCTGTTTTCAATTTCAATTTTTTTTTCTTGAATTTTAAAATGCTTTGAAGTTAAAATAAATCGCAAACCAATTTTTAAAAAATTGATTTTCAGACGCGTCCTGTGAAGATCAATCACGCTTCTGTGACATCATCAAGCTCTTCCATTCGTGAGTTTCCAACTTCTCTTAAATCATGAACAAAAGTTCAATCTTCTTTTCAATCTCATTTTATTTTTTCAGCTGCGACTCAGCAGAAGTCCGACAAAAATGCTGTGCGACGTGCACATTTGTCGAAAGAAGAAAGTTTTAAATTGTTGTTTTTTTTTTTCGATTTTTCAAAGTTTCTATTTTCTTTTCCCTCTGATTATGATCTCATCTTGTGCACAACTGCCCACTCTACGTTTCAATTTCCTCACCAAAGATTTTTCCCTTCCATTTTCTTTTCTCTTGTTTCCCGCGGTTTATTGCATTTATTTTGAGTTTTTTTTTCCAATGAATTCATTTATATTCAAAAAGAAATAACCAGTTTATTTGAGCAGAGACCGTAAGTGAGATCACAATGCGTTTTCATGGAAGCCTCGAAAGAAAAAATATATGAGTAGAACCAAATTCAACGTGATTAACTATGTACCAGAAACGTGCGGATAACCGTTCACAGATGAAGTTGAGCAAAAAAATAAAAGTGGAAATTTGGCATAGAAAAATAGAAAAATGAATGAAATTTGTTGGGTTGGGTATGACAGAAAGTAGGATTCTGAAAAGAATATGCAAAAAAATTTTTTGTTTCCACTTTTTTACTAACTTTTTGGACTTTGAAAGTAAACATGAAAATATGTTTCATAAAAAAAATCAGGTTCGGGAAAATCCTACTCCTGCTGAAAACCCTCTAGGTCAACTACAAAATCTGAGTTTCTAAGTTCTACAACTGCACATGAAGGAGTTCTTCGCTGCCGGGCTGCGGATTCTCAAGTAGCGGCTTAAGGGATGGCCGACGCGCCGACGGCCGCAGCGAAGGACAGCCCATTCCGTCCGTGTCGAAGAAGTGTCGGAAGGTGAACTCGTAGAAGGCCGGATTGTTGGGGGCTCTCGTGTTCAACGTCTCCGCCTTGTCAGATATCTGAAACAGAAACTTCATGTTCAAACGAAAGTGATTAACAAAAGGCGAAATTTCGATTATTCAGAGATGTCCTCTCGAAACAAAAGAACTAAAAAGGTTTTTTGGAGGCCTTTACCGGCTTTTCTAGATTTTGCGCTTGGATACGGTTTTAAAACAAAAAAAAACTAAGAGTATAAAATTATTTCCGTTTTCAGAGTACTTGTGAAGAAGTTCAATATTTCTCTAAAATTACGACTTTGAACGGCTCAAAAAATTTTCAAAAACTTCTGAAATAAATACTCAAAAACCAATTCAACAGGTAACATTACTTTTCAGAATCTTTGCTGGATTTTGAAAGCTCAGAAGTCGAAAACGGCCTACATATACACTGAAGAACGCTCTAGACCTCGAGTCTTCAAAGACATGACTCTTTCGGATTGGAGGAAAAGAACTGGAGGAAAATTACTAGGTCAAAGTATGAAATATGAGAAAAGAATTTGAAAAGAAAGTGAAACCCGAGTTCAAATAGAAAGAGAGTTTGGAAACTGACATGGATCGTATCGAAATTGGAAGTGTCCTCGGCGTGCTCGACCCGCGGAATGAATTCGGCACGCGATTGTCGCAGAGTCGCGAAATTGATGTCCTGAAAATATTTTCTCATTCTGAAGACTAAGACTCAACTAAAAGGTGATTGTTAGATTCACCTTAAACCATTGATGTTTCTTAATTTGGGACGCTCCTTTCGAACCTAGACGATTTGAAGCGTCGCAAATGAACTCCTGAATGACTTTTTTGAGTGCGATTCGCAAGAAAAGGATAAACCTTGATGATAGAAATGCAATCAGCGGAGAGTCGACCTCCGCCAGCGCTGGCAGATACGTCCAGATAAATTCGCCAGTTCAAAATCTAGAAAACGGAAAAATTCGAATCGTTCGAATGGTTCTTGAAATTTGGCAGATTAACCAAATCTAGTAAAAAAAAAAAGAAAAACTTTTATCTTGGAATCAATGCTACTGTATTCAGATATTATTAGAAAATCCGGAAATCTTCAATTTTAAATGTGTACCTTGTCCTGGGTTTCCCTGGGGTCGTCGCGCATCGACATGAATGGCGGCCGACCGAAAACCATTTCGTAAAGAATAACTCCAGCCGACCACCAGTCACACAGCTGAGTGTGGCCTGCAAACATAAAATGAGACGAAGATTTTATTGAAAATGTTATGTTCTTTTTTTCAAACTGCTTTGTTTGCTATTCACAGCTCTAAGATGTTTTTGAGACTTGACCATTTTATCGGTCCTTATTCCATCAAAAAACTGACCCGTGCGACTGATGACCTCCGGGGCCATATAGTTGCCGGTTCCAACGACGGAATGAGCGCAATTTCGCTTCTTCTGATGCCGAATGTTTAGCACTTTGATACTTTCTTCGGTGGCCGCGATTTCGGCCGGCAAAGAGAAGGAATCGGCTCGCTGGTGTTCGTTTTCGGTTCCATAGTACCTGGAAGGAGAACCCATTCGCTCAATTCCAAAATGTTCATTCAAATTCAAAAAGCGAGCTTTTTCTTTCGCCCTGTATCTCAGGGAAACTTGAAGAAAAGTTCCGGTGAATTGACAAATATTATTGAAAAACTTTCAAAAACACTTAGCTTCCCAAAAAAAAAAAACGTATATTTCGAATTAATGATGCGGGTAAATCTTCTATTTTTTACCTTATTTGTACATTTAAAATCTGGTTTTGCCTCTGAATAAGTATAAAAAACAAAATGATGAAATAAAAAATGTAATACCTCCTATCGTGAGTCCATCTCAAACCGGTGCAAAGTCCGAAATCCGTCAACTTGATATGTCCATTTTTATCGATCAGGATATTGTCCGGTTTGATGTCTCGATGAATAAACCCCACAGAATGGACATATTCTATGGCGCAGGTAAGTTCAGCGATGTAGAACCTAAAATTGAACTTCTTTTGAAAAAATAAAAGAAAAAAATAGGGAACATCATAAAACTGAAGCTTTTGCAATGCAATACATTTCATTCAAGGAAGCGTTTTTAAAGATTTTTTGCTTGATTTTTTTTCTGGCTCATCATCTTCTTTCCAGTATCAACTTCTAATCTAATTTCACGGTCCAATAATTTCAAAATCTGAAGCGGACCTGGCCAAAGACTCTTCGAAAATGCCCTTATTGATTAGCAACTGCATCATATCACCGCCAGGCACGTATTCCATGATGAAATAAAGACAACGATGGTCTTGGAACGAAAAGAAAAGTCGGACGATCCACGGAGAATCTGCCTCGGCCAATATGTCCCGTTCGGCTTTCACATGAGAAGCCTGGAAGTCGATTTTTGACTTTTTGTAATTCTCAAAACTTTTTTAGTGTGTCTAGCATAAATAATGTTCTAAAAAGAACACGTCGAAATAAAAAAAACTTGTACTTTTTTTCTGAATTACCCTTATACTGACTTTTCAAGTTTTTTTCAATAACCATTTTATCATATATCCAGTTGCAAGACGCATATGAAAAAAAATTAGGTTAAAAAAGTGCTAATAAGAAAAAAATAACAAGTTTTGCCGCTCAGTTTCTTTCTCAATGGAATGAAGAAAAACGTTAATCTCAGATGGCAAAGTTATTTGAAATATGTGACAACGAGATTTAAACAAATTTGGAGACATTGAAAATATTTTATCGAAAATGTGCCATTTTTTAATTTCGGAAAATGATTCACTTTTGAAACCTTTCATTATTTGCGCTTAAAGTCGTTTAAAAAACCACATTTCCCATTCTTTCAAAAAAGGCCTAATAAGTAGAAGTTTTATGAAAAAAGAAATTCATACAAGAGAGTACAAGTCGGAAAATAATAGCATATTTGATCAAATTTTTCAGAGTCCAGGACAAAAAAAAATTGATAAAATGAGAAAATCCCCGACCTGCTGTTTCATGATGACGTCTGCTTTTTCCAAGCTTTTCATCGCGTAGACCTTCCCCGTATCCTTCTGAACCCCGAATTTGTCTAATTCATCGCCTTTCATTCGCAGTGAACCTTTCGAACCAACGAAACTTTGCCGAAGGCTCCGACGCCGATGTGTTGAATTACTGTGAACATTTCTTTGCCCATTTTCTGCCTTCTCAACCTCGTATATCTGAAACAAATGGTTGTTTTATCATTTGAAATGACGTCATCACCTCGACTCTTTTTGCTGCAGAAGTTCCAACATTTTCTGTCGCATCATTAACGGCAAATCGGCCGCATTCATTTCCTTCTCGAGCTGAAAACGATAATATTTTGATCTTTTTCATTAAATCAGTTCAAAAAAAAAATGCTACTTTTCTGAAGTTGAAATGAAGTATTTAAAATTTTTTTGGACTGGGGGGGGTCTGAAAAAAACAGGAAAAACAACACTTCGACGCGAAAGCCTTGCCGAGAGACAAGGAGGGCGCAGAGAAGTCCCCTTCCGACTCGAGAAAAACGGACTGTACCTGCTGGACTCGTTTCTCGCGTTCTCGATGCTGTTGGAGGAGCCGTTCGACGTGCTGCTCCATGTAGAAGCAGAACATGTTGGGCTTGCACGACTGCAGGCTCGTCTCGAACTTGTTGGTCTGCAACCGCTCGCGCACTTCCAGAGGCAGCGGCGACGTGCTTCTTTTCGTCGAAGGCGATGACATTCCGTTGGACATTCTGGCCACGTTGCCGTTCGGCACCGGCTTGAAGTTTCTGAAGTTGGGCTTCGAATCATTCTCTTTTTATCGTATTAGTCGCTCTATCTTTTAAAAAAAGATCCTAATACCTTATCTTTCCTTTTCACCATCTTCCTCATATTAACTAACGTTTGCAAAGTGATATCCAAGTTTTGCGGGGGCATGAACAACGTGGACGGATGAGGTGGGCCGTGCCAGGCTTCGTCTTGGATTTTGGAAGTCGACGGCGAAACATCCGAGTACGGCTGCGGCATCAGCTGGAAAGGGATTTATGTTTCAAAGAGTCATAATTTCCCTGAAAACCTCATCCTCGTAGTTCATATAGACCCTGGTAAAATCGGCGTCAGTCCTTCGATTGGGCAGTCCAATCAGGACACTTCTAGAAGACCCCGCCAAATCTTGCATTCCGAGGTTGGCCTGAAAATGTCCGGAAATAGTCAACTTCGGGAAACTTTTTTAAATATAAGAACTTGAATTTATCGAAGCGAAAAACTGTTCAAAAATGATGAATAACTGAAGATTCGTCTAAGAAGTCATTTTTCAGTTATTTGAAAGAAAAATTCGAAAGTTTATAGACCCATCCCATTTCGAATGTCAATTACAATGACGTTCGTCGAAAACGCTGTGTGGATGGCTCGCTCTCTGATTGGTTTACAGCACAATATGGGCGGAGCTTGAGCAACGAATTGACATTCAAAATCTGACTATGAAGACCGTTGTATTTTCTAGAATGGTGCTTAATTTAATAGAATTTTCACTTATTTTGCCGGTCCTACACTTTGAATGTTTGGTGGAAGTTTACAGGAACTGACCCGATGCGACGGAGAAATGTTTATATTAACGATGCTGGTGGAGGGTACAGCGTTATTGGAGGAAAGTGTCGTGTGGTAAACTGGCTGCTGAGCTTTCGTCTGCCAACTTTCGTGTCTAGTCATCCGACTTTCTTTGTTCTCCATCATTCTCAAAATAAATTAATGAGTCCCTTTTCACTGTACAAACAGGTATTACTTGTTATACGGCTCAATAGAAATATGTGTCCTCCCGGCAGTCGGGAAAATCACAGGATTTGCAGCGAAATCAGGCCGACCGACATATGGAGACCTGAGCTCTTTGTTTCAAAATTCAACCTGCTTTCCAAATTCACGTTTTAATATGAAGATGGGTTCGAACATTATCCGGAGCAGCCGGCGTAGGTCCCCGATAAGCCGGTTTAGCATCGTAAGATGGGGGTGGAGGTCTCTGAAAACACTACTTTTAGAAAAAAAAAACAGAAAAAACTTACAAAATGAGGTGGCGAAAACGAATTGATCAAATTTTGGTGTTGAGCTCTCATTGTGGTCCTAAATAATAAAAAAAAAAACTTCGACTTTATTCTAATCCAAAAACCTCTCGTTTTGTGAAGAATTGTACATTTTCTGCTGCTGAAGCTGCTGAGAAAGTTCCATGACGTCATTATTAACCTGAATTCGATTTTTTTCCTCTCAATTTTTCACAAATTGAAAACCTTGAAGCTAACCTTTTTTGGGGTCGTCTGTTCTGTAGATGTCGGGGCTGGTTTTTCTTGAGGCTTCGAATTTTGCTCTTGTTCACCGCCTTGTTCAAAAGCTCGTAAAGATTCTCGAATTTCTTCAAGTTTATCACGATGTCGACCGATTCGCACTTCCTGTAACTTTTTAGAAATAAAAGCTGAACTCAAAAATCGGGTAATTTTCCGTTGTGAAAAGTTTCATCGAACTTGATATTTTTTTATAGGCCCGAAAAAAACAGGCCGGGCTTTGAAAAATTTTTTTTGAAAAAAATCTTGAATTTCATTTAAAAAAATTTCACCGAAAAAAATTATTTTTTTACTTGTTGAATCATAGTTTCTAATAACTCTATAAGGAAAAAAAGATAAAATTTCCAATTTTCTCGTTGAAAAAAAGCGAAAAATTCAAAATGAAAAAATTTTGAGCTTTTTGGGCCGGGCCGGCCGCGCTTGGGAAGTGGCCGCGGGGCCGAGAGGTTGACGGGCCGGCCCTCGCACAAGCCTGGTTACAACCTTAAAATTTTGAACTCCCCGAGAGGGAGCCGGGCCCCCTCTCCCCCGTCTGGCGCGACTTTGCGGCGAGGATTTCGCAGGCTTGCGCCGTGAATTGCGCGAGTATGTGCACATGTTAGCCGCAAGCTTGCGCGTAGAGGCGCAAGGGTTGCGCGAATTATCCATGGAGCACGCATTCGTGATATCCTTTTCCTTTCTCCTCCTCGTCCTTCCTCTTATTTTCCTCTTTTGAGTTACAACGCTCAAAGGTCGCCTGTATTTTATTTAACTCAAGCTTTTTTTCTATTTATCCATAGCATTGAATTTTCAGCTTGATTTAAACAAAAATACAAGCAACCTGTGAGTGTCGCAGCTCAAAGAGGCTGAACAAACACAGAAAACTTGGAAAAAAAACTATATTTATTTCTAAAATGAACTAATTTTACACTTTACAACAATTGAAGTCTTTAAGATGCATTGGATTTCATGGTATCAATCAATAATGAAAGGAAAAAGATAACGTGAGAATGGTAAAATTTAAGCTATGTTTAATAATTACAATGACTCGAATTATTTCCAGTAATAAAACAACCGGGGGGTTTTGCAAAATAGTAAGATTCAGAAGACCCGGAAGTTCAGAAACAGTGAAAAAAAGTGAAACATGGAACAATTTCAAAAACGCAGAAATATCAAAAAAATACATCATGACATACAATAAAAAAATTTCCACTTGCAAGAGTTCTGATACTTCAATCTAATGAAAAGTAGTATTATAAAAAGTATTTTTTTCAAATCTTTTTCTGTGCAGTTTAGTGAGCCTATTTCTCTGCAAATTTTGAAACCCAGTAGGTAAACTTTTTGTTTTCAAGCATCCCTATCCAGGTCTATCTAAAAAAATGTTGCAACTCAACTTGCAAACAAGTGCCTGCGTAGTTACCTGGTAAGGGCTAGGTAAAAATATAATTACAAGTAGCTTGAATAATTGATCGCGCATAACGATTTCCAGTATAGTCTCGACTTTTCAGAAAAACTACATGAAATTATGATGTTCATATTCTTGCAAGTGGGTTTTCAACAATATAAAGATGTGTACAGTTGCGCTAGCAGAATCTCGATAGTGTTGAACACAATTTCTTCCTTCATTCATCCATTAGCCTCGGAAAAAAAGTCTTCTAATAAGGACCTGCGAATCGATGGCTTGGGACGTTACGCAGCGAACGTTCCATCGCTCTCATCTAAAAAAACTTTTTTTCAAAGATAAAAAAATAATCAAAAATTACTTTTTATTCGCATATTTCGAACCAGGGTGGAGGAACCTCTTTCTTTTGACCATCATCGTGTCGAAAAATTCGGCGTATCATAGCTGAAGTTTTATAGTTGCTTTTTTTCACTTTATACGATTTTTTTGTTAAAATAAAAACATATTTTTTTGTTAAACAATCACATGATTATCAGGGTCCCTTTAATTTTTTTATATGAACAGATATTATATCTGGTACACTGCGTCCAATAAGGATAGGACCACCCTCGATCATGGACTTTTCGGCGAATCCAGAAAAATATATCAAAAAAATCTGTTAAAAGCCATCCGATTGAGCGTAAAGAATTACCTATGGAACCCAAGTTTCATCATAATAGCCATTTTATTAATATTAATCCATCACAAAAATCGTCTTTTTGACTCTGATAAACTTTTTTTCGAAATCTCTTCAAGTTTTCTGTATATATCCTTATTATAGACGTAGTGTACAGCTTTGGATTGTACCAAGAACATAAGAGAAATAATGAAATGTTATTCGAAAAACTACAAACCTCAACATTGCAAACTTCCATATATCATGTTCACCACTCCATGAGAATCTTATTGTTGAACTCTCTCTTCATTAGATCTGAAAAAAATTCAGTATTACAGCTAATACAAAGAATATCGAACTCACTTTTTTTGTAATTTCTGGAGTTAATTTTTTTAAGAAAAAAATAATCAAAAAAACGTCTTCGCTAGGAAGAAAAAAACAAAAATAATTACCTTTCTCAAAGTATAATCGGATAAACCAATACATCGAATCTCTCGAAAAAGATACGTTTCGACGCGTCGCATACAAATATGAAGTCAACTAAAAAAACGATGATGATAAAATTTCATTTATAAAAAAACCAGAAAAAAATATATAGAAAAAAAGAAAAACATAATTTAGGAAAAATAGAAAAACATAGACGAAACAGTTTCGGAATTACTGTAAATGAGTTTGTGAGCTCTAAAGCAGCCCTCCCATAGCGCAAGCTTGCGCCCTGTATTGCGCGAGGTTCGCGCAAATTTTAGCGCTGGGTTTTTTTCTTGGCGCAAGCCTGCGGAACTTAAATCTCTCGCCGCAAAGTCGCGCCAGACGGGGAGCTCTCTCTCTCTCTTCTTGTCGGCAGAGCTTACTTGCTCTAGATGAGTTTTAATCGAACGAATTTTTTAAATTTCCAATCACACTAGTTTTGATTGGATATATTTAAAACTTTTCGTTTTTCTTATTTATTTATTCGAGGTAATTAAAACTTTCTTGGTTCTCTTCCTCCACGCCACAGATCTTTCTGTGAGCGAAATAAACATTCATTCATTCATTCATTCATATTTCGGTTTTTTCGACATCTTAAGTTTGCTATGTTATATAACAAATATTGAGTAAATTTTTTTTTTGCGCTGTATCTACCATTGCTTTTAATGACACTATGCGTTCTCAACGAAATTTCGTCCAAAAAAAACTGCGCATTTTTTTTTTCAAAAGTGATAAAGTTTTCCATTACCGTCCTATTTTTCTCCGAAATATTGGACAGTATATTTTTAAATTCATTTCTGCGTTTTGGAACAGTTTCTTTTTTTCGGCAAGTCGGAAACTCATTAGATATATATATATATTTATTTATTATATATAAAGAGGAGCATTTCAACGTTTTTATATTTTTCACCTGAAACTCTCGCACTTTACCTATGATCTTTATTTTCTATATTTTTTGCGTTTCAGGTTTCATTTTCTCTGTCGAACTTTTTTTTTCAAGAATGCATTATTAAAGAATTCCATCGTGATGACGCATTTTGGTAGCAGAATAACCAGAATCGTATGTTTTATTTCTTTGTTCTCAACATTCCTATCTTCTGAGTGTAAATATTGGCATTATTAATAACATTGGCGAGGTTTTTTTTATGAAGAAATGTCAGACAGCTATCAGCAAATGTGCGGAAATGAATAAGAAAGTAAATAAAAAAATAGATTTTTTATTTGAGGTTGTTGCGATATAGTTATTTCGAGTCCGAATGCGTATAGTGTGTAGAGTATAATTATGAAGTGATCTTTTAGCTCACTTTGAACTCGTAATGAAAAAAAAAGGTTGTTCAACCCTAGGGTAACAGCGAAATTCTTGATTTTCTGTCAACTAAGGTTTAGTTTTACACTGTTTTTAATCCTTTTGAATAGAAGGGATTTTTGGTAGGAAGAACTGTGTTGATTCAAAAGAGCAGATAGTATTTAAATTTTTGAGAGTTCGACTGCGCAAGAATACTGAGCGATGGGACGATCCGGGAAAAAGAAAAAAAGCTTGATGTCCAATTTTTCATCTTTCCTAAGAATCGCTTTGCGAAATGGTTGGAAAAGAAAAGCTTTCAGACAGAAAAATTTAGCGCTGTAAAGGGAATCGATTAGGAGGGGGTTTTTTTTTGCTTTTCCAATGCCAAACTTTTTTGATAGTTACATTAAAACTTGAGCGATTTTGAAGGATAGCTGAGAAAAAAACCAATTTAAGATCGAAGAAAAAAATTATTGGTCTTCTTCAATATTTTTTTAAAAACTCTTTGTCAGGGAATCTGACTTGGAAATTTTTTTCGGGAAATATTATTCAGTTTTTTAGATTTTAATCGAATTTTTTTATCAAATGTTTCCTTTTTTTCAATTTCCCATATTTATGAAATGAAATACCAGCGTAAGATTACTGTGAGATTTAGAATTTTTCATCTTTTTTTTTCCAATCAGAATCTCAAAGACAATAATATGCTTTTTTCATTATTTTCTTCTTCAATTTTTGACATCGAAACTTTCTGTCAAAAGAAAATGGATAGGAAATCAGACTCATGTAAGATTGATAATTTTGAATGAATTTCGATTTTCAGACTTTTTTTCTAATTGAGGAAACTTTTGTTTACACATTGCAGTGCTGGAATTTTGTTTCCTTTCGCTACAAAGGAAGGATACTTTTTCCGCGTTTCTCTGAGAGAGACAACCTATCAGGTCGATATCGACATACCTGAACGCTGCTTTCGCTCCTCGGCTTCTCATGTGGCCGCATAGCCGGAAAAGTTGGAAATATTCGGTAAATGAATTGTGGGAGAGGCTACACCAAGAAGAAAAAAGAGCCGATATCGGAAAGGTGAGGTTAAATAATAGGTTGAAGACGCCTCACGGCAAAAGACGTTACGTGTAGCGGAGTGGCGGCGGCGTTTTAGTGGTCACGGCAAGGAGGAAGAGAGAGAAAACGAGAACACAGAACGGACGCGACGGTCGCTGGGGAGGAGGAGAGGTTTTGGTCCGTTTCCTCTGGCCCACATTCCAGTGTCTGGGACTCTCCGCCGTCGGTCTGCGGACTGTTGTCGCGGCACCGTGTCTGCCGCTCTCCGCGGCATCGTCGAGCGCCTGTCCGCTCGGCACAACCGTCTGCCGCCCTCCTTGATCCGTCTGCTCTTTCGCCACGTCCCTCGTTTAGTAATAATATTGGTGGCGTTCCAGCGCGGAAAGCACCTCTCAAGGTCCTTCTACGGCTTTTAGTTAAGAAAAAAGTTTTCGGCAAGTCCTTGATTTGCACTTCTGAAGTCGCTAATTGGTCTGCTCGATTCCACAAGTCGCGGCACCACGGCGATGTTTCTAACAGTTCAAATTCTTTTTTTTTTAACTTCCATCATCAATAAGGTGCTCACCGTTCTAAAACTTGACCTCAAAATTGACTTCAAACTCGAAGTTCCTGAAGATTTACTGCTGTTTCGTTTTTTCAGTACATTTCTGGAATTTTTCTCGAACGTAGATTTGACTCTAAATCCATATTTGTTTCCTCGTTGCCGTGACGATTTTTCAAATTTTCGCGATGAAGTTTTCTCTGTTCATGTTACTTTTAATGTAAACCCCCTTTGAAGCTGAGAAATTGACTGCCAAAGGCTGCAACAAGCCTCCTTTTTTGCGCTCACTAGTCAGATATAATCGTCAAACGGGTATACTTGTTCTGACATATCCTCTTCGAAGAAGTTACGCGCTACTGCTTTAAGAGCTCATTTGAGTGTTTTAAGCTTCTTTTTTTTCCTCAGTTTGATAAGACGACAGCGGTGCAATTCGATTGGCTTTAAAATAGCCTTTGTAGTGTGTTGCAGTGATCTCAAAATCTGAAATATCGTTTTTGTTTTTCAATTTTTGTTTGATGGTCTTCTGTTTTTTGAATGCACCTAGTAAACTTTAGTTTTCCTCCGTTTCCTGCAACAACAATATTTTCTCATCTTCCTGTATTCAAAGTTCATTTTTTTTTTTGCAGCTTCAAAGACCAATTGAACTTGAAAACACGCGAGAAAGTTCAAACTTCCACTTTCAATTTTCTAGCTCGCAAATAATTCAAGTTTCTCATTAATTCTGTTTGTTTTCGGCCCGAACTCGGTTTTTGGATCTTTTCTAATAATTTCGTGCCCGCCTCTGCTTTTCGGAAACTTCCTTCATTAATTTTAATTGGAGTCTTCTGCCTTTAAATAAGTTGTGAGCTTGGATAGAAGCTATATATTCTGTTTAAATTTTGTTTGGCTTTTTCAGGCGAAAGCTTTAATAAACTGCAGGAATCATGTTCTTTTGTCAACTTGACGGAGGTCCCGTTGCGATTTTACGTCCCTTCAAACAATTTTCGAACGGAAGATTCTCTAAATTTCATAAAATAAGTTTCAATAAGAAATTTCTAAAAGTATTTCGAATACATGCCTGTTTTTCATTGACATTCTCGACAGCATCGATTTCGAACATGTTTTTTTTTGAAATGATCGCGTGACCTAGAAAAATGACACTTCTTCTTTTTTTTTGGCCATTTATCTGCGTTTCAACTTTTTTTCTACTTTTTTTGAAAAAAATAATATTAATTTTTCAGTAGTTGAACTCGGCGAAAGATGTTTTCATCGGGTAGCAGTCGTCGACCACTGATTAGGTTAAAACTTTTCTCTTTTTGAGTTGAAGAATATGTTTCCCTCCAGTGTTGATGAGAATTTACCTTAAAAGCATTTTTGAGCAGAAATTGAATAATTTTTTTTTCATTTCAGAAGCAATTCTTCCTACGACCGTCCGCCAATGAGAAATTGGCCACTTTTTGTTTTTTTGATCGGACTAGTAAGTTTTTAATTCTTTCTCTTCCCCCCACAAATTTCAATGCATACTGATCTTTTTCAGGTTGTATTTTTCTACGCGATTTTCATTTTCCAAGCTCAATATGCTGAGCTGAAAATTGCGCACGAACAGATCAATGTTTTGAACTCGGAGTTGCTCAATTCAAAGAATAAAGTCGTTGGTCAGGAAAAAAGAAGTTTTTTTATCTGATAAAACATTTTTTTCAGATACGAATGTATTGTTGGAAAAAGGTGACTGCAAATGAGAAATCTTTAAATGAACAACTTTCTTCGATTAAAACTACTCAAGAAGGTTTTATTAAGTCTGAATTTTTTTGATCTAAGTGGATTTTTCACAGAGTCGTTAAATTTTCGTCATTAGAGTGTCTTTTCTTCAAACTAAGCCTCAGTTTTAAACTTTCAGAATGTTCAACTTCTTTGAGGACGTCCAAACTGCGCGTTGATATTTTGGAAAAGGAGAACAGAGAAGCTGTTGAGGCAAAAAAGTTTGAAAACATCCCTTTTTCATCTCAAAATTTTTCTTAAGAAAAACTTCAACCGAGTTCGATGAACTTAAGATTAAAGCAGATGATTTCGAGCGCAACAACACGGCCTTGACGAAACTCCTGGCGACGCAGGAATCTCTGATCACTCATTTGAACCAATCCGTCGCTATGTTTGTTGCTCATGCTTTCAAAAGAAAAAAGAAAAATAAAAAAATCGTTTTCAGGCTTCAAAATGAAATTTCCGAGATAAGAAAGGGTCGCGAAACGACCGTCATGAAGCTTCGTGTTTGTCCAACTTTCCTATTAAAAAGAAAATTAATTTTTTCAGCCCCCAGAGTCAGTCACTCCAGCTGTTGTTAGCCCGGTTCTATCAGAAAAAGCGGCTGAAGCGGTTATTTTTTCTTCGATTTTGAGGTTTATGGTTGATTTCCTTTAGCCCGCCGCTGCTGCTGCTGAAGTTGTGGAACAAGTTCAAAATCCGAATGTCGTTACTCCGGCCGTTGCTGACAAATCTACCCAGACTGGTTTTGTGTTTCAGTTTCCAATAATATTTAAGAAATTGGTTATAGAATCCGACGTAAAAAGTGTAGTTCCACCGGTCCTTCCGAAAGTTAGCGGCGGAGATTATGTTGAACACGCTGGTATGTTTTTTTTTTAAAGAAATATTAACTTTTGGAATCAAATCGAAATTTTGATGTGAAAGAAATAATAGTAGATCTTCTGAAAATGAGTAATCATTTTTCTTCAGATGACACGGGAGACGCCGTCTGAAACTTCAACTTCCTCTCGAAGCAATAATTACATTTTCCCTATCTTGTGAAAATTTTTGACATTGAAACGTTTAACTAAACTCTCTTCATTTTCCTGGCCAGTTATGAAAAAAATGTTTGTCTCCAACTTGAGATTGTTCTTTCGAAGAGTTTCGCATAATTTCTATGTAACTTTTCATTTTGATTATTTATTAAACAGAGAGATTCCATTGTTCGGGTTTTTAAATTTAGATTTGTTTTTTTTTGCGTAAAATTCGCATTGACATGGATAAATACGTCGTTGATCTTTTGAATTTTTATTTCTACCGATAAACTGAATAGAAAGTTTACAGGGAGTGATCGTTTTACCACAGCCGCTCGCTCCGACGAGCATTAAAAAAGTAGATTGGGTTTTTAATATCTACGCTCTTTGTGAATACGTTTCTGCGTGAATTTCATTTTTTTTTTCCTTGTATCGATGGAAGAAAAATGAAATTTAAGTTTTGACGAATTTTGACGTCATGTAATAGAGCGTAGCTGTGTACAACAAATGCACCGGATTTGACGAAATCGTCATTTTTGCGTGTTCCTGGTTTGAAAATAAATTGGCGGGAATTCCAATTTTCTTCCCATTTCTAATTCGTGCTTCTTCTTACTCTCCTTTGTTTGTTTCCCTTTTCAAGCATAAATCAACCGTTCATCATAGATTAACTCTTACTTTTGATTTTATTCCTTGACTCCAAAAAATTCACTTTAGTTTAACATTAGCTTTCTTTCTTGAAAAATGAGTTCAGTAAATTTAGATGAATATTGACCATACGAATAGCGAAACTGTGTGAAAAAGGGGTCCCTGCAATGAGACTTATTTCAGTTTTGTTTTACAGAAACAGCATGGCATTGAAACTAGATCATTTTAGCCTGCTGCAAGACCCCTCCGGCGAAAATGATCCCATCAAGAGTTTTTTTTTTCCTTATGCTATCTATTTTCATTTTTGTTTCCAGAGGAGTTTGCCAGGCGGGTTCATAGCCAGTTTGCTCTTCAACAGCTCGTTGGTATCGAGAGTTTACGAAAAGGTTGTTCAGAAGCTTATTTTTATAAAAACTCAAGAATTTTTCGCAGAATGTAATGTAATGAAAAAGTTGATACGGGATCCACAGAATATGCGGCTAGATGAAGATAATTTTCGAGAATATATTCCTCTCACTACTTTGATGGTTTGTGAGGCAATAAATTTGCTTTTTATGATTCGCGTTTTGCAGAAGCTTCTGGAAGAGTTTCAAGAAACTGGCGAGCTTCGAAAATTGTTCACAGCTCGATGTATAAACAATTTGGTGCGCATTTCTAAGAGCCACACTTCTATCATTGTCGATTATATAGGTCGTTTTTTGGGAAGTTCCAAGTGGTCTACCAAGTTATTTTTGTAGAAAGCTATCTCGATTCGAGCATTCAAACAGCCAAAATTCATAGCCAGCTTCTTCAGTTGAGTCCTGACTGCAAGCATGTCCTCAGAAATGTAAGTTTCCTATTTTTCCAGTTACTTTTTTAAGAGGCAGAATCCTCGAATGCCTCAAAACACTGAAAACGTCTTTTTTTAAAGACTTTCTTTTGTTTAGGTATTTTCAAACAAGAAGACCATATTCGCTTTTGTTTGATTTTAATTTCAAATAACTTTCCAGGGTCTCAAAAGCTACATTATCGACCAACTTCAAAGGATTTTCGCGGACATAAACGAGGTTTTTTACTCATTCTTCTTTCTAATTGTTCCGACTTTGCAGAATCAGGAATATTACTCGGAATATGTGGTCGCCGTCATATTTTTCTTGCTCGAAGGCAGGCGGAAGAACAAAATTCCAATTAATGTAGAACTTACTTTCGAGTAGTTTTAATCGTATGAAGATTATTTCTAGGAATTGATGGCCTCAAAATTGCTCATCTACTTCGAAGAATTCGTTTTTGTGGAGATCGGATTAATCAAACGTCAGCCCATCTTTGAAATGTTTGTTTCAAACTTTCGGATTTTCTAAAAAATGAAATTTATCCAAAATTCGCATTCCGTTGAAGTTTTGTTTTTATTTTTTGCATAAAAGTGAGAGAAAACATGAAAGAAAAAAAATTATTAATTCAAAAAAAAGTTTAGTTTTAAATTTGGGGTTTCAGTTCTTTTATTCCCATTTGAACGCATTTATCTTCATTATATTCTAAACCTCGCTGTTGTTACTTTTTTTCGGAATTAACTAGAAAGCTTTCATCTAGTTATCCCGATCTCATACATATCTTATGCACAACTCTTTTTTTTCTCAAAAAAAAAAAATGAAGGAAAATAATTACAGTTTGTCTTTGAACCAATACCGACAAGCTCTCAACGAATTTCGCATCCTCGACAGAGACAATAGTGGAATGCTCAGTTACTCGAAGTTGTGCCGCTTCCAAAAGTTTCCCGCTCTTCCTTAGAAATCGAATTCTATTTTCTTCTCAAATTCAGTGACACCTTCAATACATTTTTTCTGAAACGAGTGCCTGAAATATCGCAGTCGTACATTTCGACGTTCAGTCAGTTGGAACTGGACTTCAGAGGATTCGTCGACTTTTATACGGCTGTCAAGTTCAAACATGTTTGTTTTTTTTTATGTTTCAAGTTATTAGATCCTATTCGATAAAAAGAAAAATCTACGATTTCGAAGCGAAAAAAAAATCAGTTTTTCTTGCTGGCCATATTTTTTTTTTGTTAGTATCTTGCTGTCACAAACAGGTTTTAATAAAAGTTTTGACTATTTTGGCATGGATTTTGCAAAACGAATCTTTTAGACTCGGGCCGGTGCGAAATTCCACTTTGAGCTTTTCGATTTGAACAACGACGGTATCATCGACGCCGATGAAGTCAAGCAATTTGTAAATTCTCTGCCTCCTCCATTAGCTAATATGAAATATCTAATTTTAAGTGTAGTTACGTTCCGAATTTTTTCCCTCCGGACGAAGCGTCGCCTGACTTTGAAAATCTCACCACGGAACTTCTTGACATGATCAAAAGCGATGCCAGATCGTAAGATTCCCATGAAAACAAACTTTAAAAAAATTATTTTGTTCAGGATCACATTGGAAGAATTCCTTGCGAGTCCTATGAGAGCGACTTTTTCCGGCGTCATTTCTAACTATACCGACTTCAGGTGTTACGAAACTCGCGAAGAGTCCTGAATACCCTTTTAAAACTTCTTTTTCAGTTTGATACGGCAATCATAAACAATTTCACAAAAATAATAATTGCAATCATTCTTCTCAAAAAATTTTTATTGATGGATGAAAAGAATGAACAACATTGTCAACAACAGCAAGATCGAGAAACAACAAAAATATCAACAAAATGGATTAGGTTTGGAAAAAAAAAGAAACCGATTTTAATCAGTATCTGTCGTGAGATGGTTGAGAGTGTCGGCAACCTGCAAAGTTGAAACTTTGAAGTCAGTGCCATAGCTCTCCCAAAAATCTTCTTGTCAAATAATGATGAGCTTTTTCTATTTATGAAAATGGTTGATGGCCGTTGGCTCTTGCCTTAAAGGCTTATGCCGTGTTCAAAGTGATTCCGCGAAATCCAAAATAGCCGTCAGAGAGCGAAAAAAGATAACTAAATTTTGGAGAATCACATCTGTAGATTTCTGAACCTCAGCGGGCATAAATTATAAAGGAAAGAAAAAAAGTTTTTAATTTAATTTTTAAAACAGCGCTGAATTGGCTATTCTGGGTATCTAAAGCATGGTCTGTTCAAAACTTTGTTAGAATGATAGAGGATGTTACCTCGGTGTAGAGTTCCTGATAGGCGTCGCTGGGTCTGATGAAAGTGATGATGGAGGGACGACGATGGCCGATGGCGAGCCCGAGTTGTTCTCTCGATGGAACGTAGGCGTACGGGAGGCCCTTTTCTTCGCAGATCGCCGGAATGTGTGAGTAGACGTCGATAGGGGAAACGTTTCCTGAAGAAAAAGGAGGGGTTAATGAAAATAAAAAACTTGAATGAAATCGAAGTGAAATCAAAGAAAGGTCCTTCATCCAAAGGAACGCTCTCCCACTAATTTTTTGTAATCTTCGAATAAGCTTCAGGAATCTCATTCTGCGGATGGAAGAGTGTAAAAGATAACTTCGAGAAAATTCCAAATTGTAAAAGTATTTTTTTTTAGTAAAAATATACTGCAATTGGAATTCAAAAAATACTGCAAAAAAGAAATCGCTAATAGCAGGACAATTTTAAAAAAAATTTGAACAAAACCGTAAAAAAAATCTAGCACCTGTGTCGAAAATTCATTCACCTTCACTAAGAATAACTGACGAGATAAACGCGAGGTCGGTGGTGGTACATTGACGAACTCGCAAAAATGTCGCTTTTTTCTAGGCGCGACCTCGCATTTTTCTCGGCGCGACCTCGCATTTATCTTGCATTTCGGAAATTTTCAAATTGCGAGAAAAATGCGAGCTCGCGCCTAGAAAAATGCGAGCTCGCGCCCAGAAAAATGCGAGACCGGAGCGAGAAAAAAAGCGAGATGTTTGCGAGCTCGTCAATGTACCGCCAGTGTCTCGCGTTTATCTCGGCAGTTATTCTTAGTGTTCTACAACCTCATGGATCTTTTCGAAAACTTATATAAGGTATTGTCGGTTTTTAAACTAATTGAATTTTCGAATTAGAGGAATTCAAACAATCTTGAAAGTTCAGATAAAGCTGTAAGAGTAGTCTCTAGAATTCATAAAAAGTATTATTGAAGCTATGTTTATCATCTATGAATAGCTTCGAATTGAGAGTTTCTCTCTTGATTAGTCAAGACAATTTTATTCTTCGAAAAGTTTCGATTATTTCGAACGTCATTTTTTTCATATGTTACCCATCAAACGTTTCTTGGAGACGTTTAGAACAAGACATAAACTTGGGGAAATTCACCTGCTAAGATAACGATTCCCTTTTCTCCTTTGCGGATGGCCTTTTGTACGTCTTTGATGCCTTCCCGAAGGAGCGCATGATCTCCAGAAACCTTTTTCACGAGCTGAAAAAGATAACGATAAGTGTAAAATATAATCTATTTACCTTATACACTTTCTTGGCCAATTTTCTGTTCGCCAGTGGCTGAGCGATAGGATTCACCTGTAAATTCATATTTTTCAATGGAAAATAGTCTATTTTTGTTTCTACCAAAGCGCACAAAGCCGCGTAGTCGTCTTTCTCAGTAAGCAGGGTCTCTGCGCTTTCGCTGGCTACAGAATCGTTCAAGGGTTCTTCCTAAAACTCATGATAGCTCCATTTTTTATAAAATCCTATTACCTCTACCAACGAACGTTTCTTGCCCATATTTGCTGGAAAAAAAGAAGTTAAAATAAATAAAAAATAAAAAGACAGATATTGAAGTAACGAAAAGGTTGAAAACCTCTAAATTCCAAGCGAGAAATAAAAAACTTCAAACAAAGTTTTTATTTCCAAATTCAACAATTCAGTTCATGGTGTTTAACAGCTTCAACATTCAAATCAACAAGGTATATGTAAAAAAAAACAGATTCAATAACATTTATTCGCTATCGGAGTCGAATTTGACAGAATTGACGGACTGATTGATCGGTCCACCACCGTAACTTCCCTAAATTTGCAAACTCATCACTTGATTCACAAACTAGACGAGGAAAACCTTCTTTTTTTTCGTTTTCTCATGACGGAAAGCTTTACCGACAACAGCGCCAAGAGATTTACTAGCCTTTTGTCCCCAAGTATCATGGTTCTGAATACAGAAAAATGAATCAAAGGGTCTCGAATCGATTTTTACTCCATCAAAAGCGTTGCTGCGGAACTTTTCGGGGACGTCATCTTTTCTCAACTGAACGCGGCGGAAAGGCGACGATTTTCTGTTACTTCTTGCCGAGCCATTGGCTTCGTGATCCGGCTTCAACAAAAATCAATTTAGGAACTTATTTCGGCTAAACCTTAACGGTGGAAGTTGCGAGTGGCTCGCCGAGATTGGTTGGAGTTTTCAAGAAATCATCTCCGTTCAAATTCTCGTCCGTAGCTGGCTAAAGCATCAGCGCAAATCATAAATACTTTTTCATTAAATTTTGTGGCAAGCTTTAAAAAAAAACTAAGTGAATAGGATACAAACAGTCACTAACGATAGCTGAACAGTCAGAAAAAGCACATAGCAACGATAGAATCGAAAAATAGTGATATGAAGGAAAAAAATCAACGGTTGAGATTTACCTTTTTTTGGGGGGTCTTCGCCTTGTTTTTTTCACGTCTTCGTCCGATGAATCAGAGTCCTCAGAATCGTCTTTATTTGTGGTTTTTCGGAGTCGGCTGAAAGTTCGAGATCTTCTTTTTATTTTTTTGATATATTAGTGATATTTTTTTCACCAAAAGAAATTAAAAAAATCTAACCTTGGCAGGAGTTTTAGCCGGAGTTTTTGCAGGAGTTTTGCTCTTGGGTTCGTCTTCGTCCGAAGAGTCAGAAGAACTCGAAGCGGCCTTTTTGGCGGCAGGCTTAGCAGCAGAGGCAGGTGTCTAAAATAAATTGAATGATACCATTTGAAAACTTTCTTTAACTGTCATCTATTTCCGAACCTTTTCCAAAATGAAACTTTTCACAAATCAGCGATTGCTTGCTTCTACATCACTCAATTAAAAAAGTATCAAAAACGCTTCCAAACATTCAAAATCGATTGATCAATGAATTTCTATTTCAATTATGGATTCACTAGTAATAGAAAATTATGAATAAGTTTTAGGTTTCGGGATACTATCGTTCTATTTTTAAAAAGAGCCTTCGAGTCGAAAACCATCCAGAATAAAGTTTAAAAAATCAGAGAAAAAAACCAAAAAAACTTGTTCAAATCAAACGCTACAAAAAAAAAACATTAAAATTCATCCCCGCCTTTGCGGGCGTTTTCGCGGCCGGCTTATCGTCACCATCTGAAGAATCGGAAGAACTCGAAGCGGCTTTTTTCGCCGCAGGTTTCACTGCAGCGACAGGTGTCTGAAACGAATATTTTTTTTTGCGTTTAAAAAAAATGAACCTTCGCAGATGTCTTCCCCGGAGTTTTGGTTGCCGGTGCGTCATCCTCCGAGGAATCAGATGAGCTCGAAGCAGCTTTTTTGGCAGCCGGTTTCGCAAATACAGGTGTCTGAATATAACCGGTTTACGAAAACAACTTTACGAAAATACTGAATAGTACGTGTAGTCGTACATTGCCGACTTGAAAAGCGAGGGATGGAAAGCGTAGCGTGCGCGTTCGCGGTTCTTGGCACGAGCTCAATTTAAGCGCCATCGACTATTTAGAGAGTTCGTTTATCGCTTTTTCTTTCTTCTTTTAAAATTCATTATTGACTTTTTTTTCATATAAGCATTTAAAAATAGTAGAACGGATGCAAAAAAAGCGGTGAGCGAGCTTTTTAAATGGTGGGTGGCGCTTGAATTGAACTCGTGCAAAAACCGCGTACGCACACTCTACGCGTCCCGTCCACTTCTCCGCCTCCCTCGCCTTTCAAATCGGGATGGATTGACTATAACACGAAGGAATTTTTTTTTCAAACTTAGAAGTACAAAAACCAAAGACAGAAGAAGGTTACCTTGGCCGGAGTTTTAGCTGGAGTTTTCACGTTAGCGGCTTCATCATCTGAAGAGTCTGACGAACTGGAAGCAGCCTTCTTCGCTGGCTTTGCTGCCGAGACTGGGGTCTAAATATTATTCAATATCTTCCCGATTTTTTTTTTCATCAGCGAAGAAGGCTGCTTCCAGTTCGTCAGACTCTTTTTTTTTCACTTTTTTGTCGAAAATCGATAAAGTTTGAAAATTTTCGGATTTTCCAACTTAAAAAATGGATGGCAAAAAATAATGAGAGATTTTCTTATGTATTTACTATTAACTCGGTGAAAGTCTTGGAGAACATGAGCTCCGCACTCACTGGAAAAAAGCTTATGCCGTGTTCAAAGCGATTCCTCGAAATCCGAATAGCCGTCAAGATTGAGAAAGTTAGCTTAATTTTTTTTTAATTATGAAGAAGTTACTTGGAACATGGCATGCTCGAGACATTTTTTCTGGCACACCTTAGCCGGAGTTTTTACTGGAGCTGCTTTCTTGGCTGGTTCGTCATCGTCCGACGAGTCAGAGGAGCTCTCAGCCACCTTTTTAGCCGGAGGAGTTGCCAACTAAAAACAAAAGTATGAAGAAAGGCAGAGAATTGGGAAGAAAAATGAATAGGAAAGTTTTCAACAAATTCACCTTATTCCAGAATCAATATGATCGTGAGACTTATAAACAAGTTCGAGCATAACTTTTAATTAGAAACGATTTCATGCGGTTAATTCTTCTCATCATCATTTCCGAATTTACATATATTCATTTTAGAAAAAATCATGTGAAACCTTAGCTGCGGGTTTCACTGGCGTTTTAGCCGCAGGTTCATCATCATCGGAAGAGTCTGAAGAACTCGCCGCAGGTTTTTTCGCGACAACGGGCGTTTTGGCAGGAGTTTTTGCGGGCGTTTTAGCGGCTGGCTCATCGTCCTCCGACGAATCGGAACTCGAAGCGGCTTTTTTGGCTGTTGGCTTGACAGGAGCCTCAAGGAGAATATTGAAAAAATGAAAAAAAAAAAAAATGAAAACCTTGACAGGGCTTTTTACAGTGGCAGTCTTTGGTGCAGGCTTATCATCATCAGAAGAGTCCGAAGAACTTGAAGCGGCTTTTTTTGCAGCTGGCTTCGCCGCGACCTGAAAGTTAATTTCAATGAAGTTTTCATGACGAGAAAAGAGCTTTGTCGCATTTTGAGAATATAAATTTCATTATTTGATACCTTAACAGGAGCCTTGCTTTTAGGGGCTTCGTCATCGGAATCATCCGACGAAGATTCGGCTTTTTTGGCAACAGATTTCACTGCGGCGGCCTACAAATCAACAAAAGCCGGTAAAATAAAAAGTGAACAACAAACCGCAGGTTTCGCCACCGCTTTTGGAGCAGGCTCATCATCTGAAGAATCAGAAGAGCTTTCGGCCTTCTTAGCAGCTGGTTTCGCAATAGGCGCCTAGAAAATTGAAGTTAATCAGAATTTCGAGCTCCGCTGTATGAATAGAAAAACCGTAAAAAAAACCTAACAAAAAAAAAATAGAAAAAAATAAGAAAAAAAATTTTTTTCAAGAGATTCGGAGATTTTCCGTTCTAAGAATTTCTTATTTGTAAAAAAAAAACCTTCACTGGAGCCTTGGCTGCAAGTTTTCCTTTGGGTTCATCGTCATCGGATGAATCGTCGCTGCTTTCAGCCTTTTTTTAGCAGCTACAGGCGTCTGCGAAAAAAAGAATATATGTAATATTTCTCTTCGATAGATATGTCATTAAAAATAATTTATCGAAATATCAATATTTCATAATACCTCTTTAAAGTTTAAATTCTTGTTCAAAAATCTCTCGAAATGTCGTCATGGATGGTGGTTTGAAGTTCTATCTCGTTGATCTTTTTGAAATTTCACACTTAAAAAAACTGTTTGAAATATAAATTTATGAATGAATGAATGAAATGTTTATTTCGCTCACAGACAGATCTGTGGCGTGGAGGAAGAGAACCATGAAAGTTATATTTGAATTTTTCAAAATTATCAAAAATTTTTTTGTGAAATGATTGGCTATTTTTTTCGGATCTAATCGAAACTGATATAATAAACGACCTCTGGGCAAGAGAAATTTCAAAATTACTTTGAAAAACTGAACTATCAATAAAGTTGACTTATTGAAAACTTGAAAAAAATTGGTTTTCCCAATTAAATTAGCTCTCTTTCAACATCCAAAAAAACTACAAGAATCAAAATTAATAAGTCCAACCTTAACGGGCGATTTGGCTGGTGCAACTTTCGGAGCGACTGCAGGTTTTTTCACCGGCGGCTCATCTTCCGAAGATTCGGAGGAGTCGCTAGTTTCTGCTTTTTTCGCAACTGGCTTCTTGACGGGTACAGCGGCCTGAAACAACGGATAATAGATTTTCTCTTTCAAAGAATAAGTGTACTTTAACTGGAGCCTTCTTGGCAGCCGGTTCATCATCATCCGAAGAGTCATCGCTAGATTCGGCCTTTTTAGCTGTTGGTTTTGCGACAACTGGAGCTTTCACTGGCGGCTTTTTGGCTGGTTCATCGTCATCGGAATCGTCCGAGTCGCTGGATTCAGCTTTCTTTGCTGCCGGCTTTGCGGGAACAGCTTTCTGCAACAGTTTCCTTTCAAAGTGAGAAAAAAAATTTTTTTAATGAAAGCGGAGAAAAACTATAGACTGTAAAAACATGAAATAGTTTTATTACATGAATGTTTTTGACAAAAAATTGGCATAACTTCATAAAGAACCTACCAAAAATCATCACATCAGATGAAAACGACAAACTATTACCTTCACCGGTTGAGCAGCCCCTTTTTTCGGCTTGTCATCATCAGAAGAGTCAGAGCTTGAATCTTCCTTTTTGGCGGCCGGCTTGGCTGCGGCGGACTCAAAATTTCAATTTTGTATGTCAAACGTTTGGTCAGAAACCTTTAAAGGTGCTTTGGAAGGAGTTTTCGCCTTGGGTTCATCGTCATCCGAACTATCAGAACTAGTGTCAGCCTTCTTTGCTTTTGTCGCAGCAGCTGTCTTAACTTGTGTTTTGACTGGAGCTTTTTTGGGCTCATCATCATCTGAAGAGTCATCGCTTGTATCAGCTTTTTTCTGTGCTAGCTTGACCGGGGCCTGAACAAGAGCTCATTTTTAAATAATGCTCATTTCATTATTAACAACCTTAACTGCATTTTTTGCCGGGGCTTTAGCTTTTGGCTCGTCATCAGAAGAGTCGCTGGAGCTTGATTCTGGTTTCTTAGATGCTACCTTGGCAGGTACTACCTATGAAATACATTAATTACTTTGATGCATCTATGGAGAGTTTACCTTTGGTTGAGTTTTCGCCTTCGGCTCATCGCTATCTGAATCTGAGCTAGATTCTTTTTTCGCTCTCTTGATTCCGATACCACCATTCACATTCTGAAAATTATAAATCTGATGATATTTATTTTTAATAATCATACTCCGTTGACTTTTGACTGCGAATCGTTTAACGAGTTCGTGTGCGTCCTTTTCCTTTTTAGTGTCTCTGGTATGGTTACATCAGCGATGGAAATCGCATTCGAACTTTCCTTGCTATTCTGAAAAGAAAAAAAAAACAATAAAACTCATTGAAAAAAAAAAACTTACGAAAGCGTCGAATTTTTTAATCTGTTCCGATGTGAACATAAGCGAGACGGCATCGTTATTCCTTTTCTTGACTTCATTGAAGACGATTAACTCTCTAAGAAAATTGTCACTCATTTTGTACCCTATAAAATAAACTTATTGAGTTTTGATATTTAGCGAAACTTTTTTAATAGGAAAAAACCAAAATGGAAATGGAACGAATGTGTGACACAAATGCTGAAGAATAACATGACGTTACCAACATGTTTGATTTACAGCATTAAAGTATAACCATTCGATCCGCCTCATTGAGATACGTACGAATATCATAAAATTATAGGGCGCTAGTAAGAAGAAATAACTTTATGATGTGCAAAAACCAGAAAAAAACTCCAAAACGTTCAAAATTTTCGCTGCATTTTTCGACGCTGATTTAATTCAACTATCGCTACTACGCCATGAGAAGAAAAAAACCTTTTAAAAATAGGAAAAACATTATAAAAATTTTTTTAAAAAAACAATGCAAAAAAAGATGAGAAACCACAGTAAAAAAATAACCGACCGCGTCGAAGTCCGCGCTTACGCACAGTATGCTCCTTTAATATTTTTTTTTTTTTTTGGGAAATACATTTTACAAATTTTTTCGCTACGCGTATCAAGTTTGCAAATTGTTTGGAGCTACCTGATAGTGTTTTTAGTGTCCACGTTTTGAAACTACATGCTTTTTATGTCAAGTGTTTCATTTATTTGACGAATTTTTCACTGTGGCTCAGTTTTTTCGAAGCGAGCCACAGTCGGCTTCGTGCTATTCTCCGCCTCCGTGTGAAGCCTTAAAAACTAAGCCTATTTTTTTAAAAGTAATTCATGAAAAAGAAAAAAAGCAAACACTTCTATTCCTCAGAATAATTACTTGATTGAAACTAATAAAGTTCATCTTAAATTTTTTTTTTCAAGTGGTCAGCGCCCAATAATTTAATGATATTCGTACGTATCTCGACGAGACGGATCGAATGGTTATACTTTTATGCTGAAAATCGAACATGTTGGTAACGTCGGATTGATTTGATTCTTTTTATCAAACATATGTTTTCTTATATCCTTATTTCTTAATAAAACACCAAAAAAATATTGAAAAAAAGAAAGAAAACATACCTCAATAATTGTAAAAATCTACGGAAGCAAACAAAGTCTTTATTACAATATTCGAAATTTCGGGGAAACTTTAAAAAGATATTCTCTATAAGTATGAAGGCTTATACAAATTAAAAGTAGTGAACAAATAAATAAATAACCGTTTTAGGATCAAAAAACGGTCAAAATTTTCAAACGCGTGTTACTTGGAGCGTCGTAAATAGCAAACGCGCGCTGTGGGGAAACTGATAATTTTTTTGCCTTAAGGCAATTTGCAATGCGAAAAGTTCATTGCGGTATCAGAAAAAAAAAGAACTTTGTACAAAGTTTTAAAAAAAATTGTGTTAAAAGCTGGCCTGAAATAAACTTTGGAAAACAATGAATAAAGAAGTTAAATTTAAACTGAGAAAATGGCGTGTTATAACGAGCATTTTCACGAATAAAATAAGATTTCAGTGGTATGCGTTTTCTCCTCCAGGATCTTTTTTTTCTTTCAGTAAACAGGAAACAAAATGAGGTCGAAACAAAATGATTCTAAAAAAGTGAAGTTGTGGGTTTCACATTTTGCACAAAATTTGTTATCTTTCAATAGTGCAGAAATCATTTGTTTTTTTTTAAATTTCTATTTTGAGGGCATCAAAAGAAAAAGGACACAAAACGAAAATTAAAAAGAAATCGTATGAAAAAGCCGGCTCTAGGAATGCTTCCTGTGTACGAATCAAAAATAAAGGAATTAACGAAAAGGTCCGTTTTTTGATATAAGACTGCAGCCTCGTACGATATCTTAGGAGAAAACTTTCGAAAAAGTGGGGAAAGCGTCATCACAAAGGACAGTCAAAGGAAGCCGTGAAGAAGTCTTTCTATAATCGAAAATAAAATTCATCTTCTTTTTTTAGCATCATCATAAGAAAATTCCTGGGAATCTAAGCAAGGTGAAAATCAAAAGGAAGGTTCATTCATCAATTAGGAATTTAGGAGAAATCTTCGAAGAAACGTATCCCAGCAAATGCTATCTGGCCTAGTGCTAGTGCGGAATTGGTAAGAGAAGCAGATTTCAATTTCAAAGTTTTCTCTAATGTTTGAAGGTCCAAGTGAGTGCTCGTACAAGCAGAGAAAAGACACAGAAGAACTTAAAAGTGCTACGACAAAACAGCAAGGAAAGCGCAGAAAATGTTAGTTTTTCGAGTGAAAATTCTACGTACTTTTTTGAGGTGCCTAAAAAAATCCGCGAATTGGACAATGTTAAAACGAGCCATGTTCGTTCATTTTTTAAGGATAGTTTTCCACAGAGTGTTCAGGATAACACAACGAAAGAAGAGTCCGGCAGCCAAAAGGGAGGCCTTCTAACATTTACTGCGGACGCTGAAGAAGGGTCGCAAAAGTTTGTCGACTGGGTTCTGCAAGCAAGTGAGGATCTTCACATTTCTCTCCCAATAATCCGAACCTTTTTCGTTTCAGATGGAAATGGTTGTGGTCTCAGCAAACTTTTCGCTGAAAACGTGGAGAATTACGTGGCGCCTCAAGAGTTGCGGACTTCCACAGCGTTCTCATCTGACAGCAACAAGGAGAAGAACCGTTCGACGGTAGTTTCCAGGAAGATTTTTATGGGAAGCAAAAAAATTTCTTTGATAACTTTTTGGGTTTTTAAATTTTAAGAACCAGAGATTTTTTTCAAAGAAGAGGAGTTTTTTTGAATAGTCAGGTTTATGAAATCTCTAATTTAAAAGTTTCTATTTTTGAAGTCTTATTCAATGCATGATAAGCGTTTTTAATTCAGTTCTTAGTGAAATTATTCAGCCGATCTTGATAGAATCCAAAATATTTTGAAGAAAAAAATTTTCAAAATTTATCGTGGTAAAAAAAACGGGCATTTTCCTCTTTAGGACTTGACTTGCTATGACCAGACGCGCGTGAAGCTTCCAACCGACGAGATGTTCACATCAGACTACATACACGCCAACACGATCACTTTCAAAAACTGTGATCGTTCCTACATTGCCACTCAAGTATCTCTTTTGAAGCTTGAAAGGAATTTTCTTTTCATTCCAGCTTCCTCTAGAGGAAACTCGTGTGGATTTCTGGCGGATGGTGGTCACCCAAGAAGTCGAAACAATTGTCGCTCTGTTCGATCCTTCCAGTGATGTAGAGAAACTCCATAATGAGATTCGAACGCGCATTGCTTATTCAGGAAGTCAAGAAAAAGACAAAAGCTTCGAGGGCAGGGAAGCCGTCGACACCAACGAATCTCACCACTACGTCTCCGACACGTTCGCCGACGACGGCGAAACCGTCGCAGCGTGGACAGAAGACTTTGAGACGTCGCTCCAAAGATTCCGAAGACAAGGCTGGCAAAGAAGTCACTGTTTCGGTAGAAAAACTGGCCCTTTCTCCATCATCACTTGAAATCAGACTGGAAGTAACGAATACTGGCCCCTGAGAGAAGGCGACTACATCAACTACGGTCCGTACTTCATCCACACTCGAAAAGTGGCGCATCCAGATCTAAAGCTGTTCCCAACGATCTACACGATTGAAGTCCGTTTGAGCATTTCTTCAGATTCGGAAGGGAAAATTTGCAGGTCGTTGAGGAGAACTGTGCCAACGCAACGTTTGTCAAGCTCATAAATTTCCCTCAATGGACTACTGGAAAATTGCCGAGTAGCCGAGTCATCTTGAAGCTCATAAGCCAGATTCGAGAGATTCTGGTTATAAATTTTCTTTTTTCATCCTCACATGTAAATTTTTTGAGGATCCCAGATCTTGTCCCAATGTGGGTGGTAGTTTTTCTTCTTCTTGTTTGTCATGACGATATCTTTCCGGACTGTTGTTATCAAGTCAAACATAAAGAAGAAACATCAGGAAAAAGCAGTTTTTGGAGATTTCCTGCATACTTTCGGCCTTATTTTTTCAGTAATCAATGACTCTCAACAGATAAACTTTTCCTGAGTATTTTTGCCCAGGCCCACTTAAATTTTGGACCAGATCTGGAATTTTCACTTTAAAAACTTCTCTCGTCAATTTATTTTTCCTAAGATCGACCCTCTTCGGAAAGGCAATGTTTTGGTTCACTGCGATACGGGAATCAACCGAACCGCCGTCGTCATTCTTTGTGACGTCATAATCCATTGTATCTTCAACAATTTAGAAATTGATGTAGGGATGTAAGAATACTGCAAAAGTCGAATTTCGACAGGTTGTCGAATTGTGCCGAGAACTGCGAAATCAAAGGGCGTCCTGTTTGCAAAATCGCTTTTACTTTCTGTGCGTCATTTTTGTTGTTTTGGAGTACATCCATGTGAGTTTTCTCCATCAATTCCAGCTTCTGAGTACTCTTTTCCAGTCACATTGTTGCCAGGGCTCAAAAATAAATCTTCCTATGCACGAAAAAATTTCGCACGTCGTAAAACAGATGGCCATTGTGAGTTTCACCGCAAATCGGTTGAAAGAAAGTTAATTATTGCAGGAATTCTCGAATATCAACGCAAAAGAATTCGCTGTGAATATTCCTCTTCATTCTGACCCGATAATTCAGAACTGAACCACGGATTTGATTCGAAATGAAGTTTTTATAAAGCGAATTCCCTGAGAATCACAACATCCCATTGATTTTTCAGAGTTTTCCGAAAAGCAAAAATAAAAAAGCGGACTCTCGTCAACCATCAAAGAGAAAACTCTTTGATTCGCTCAATGCATTTTTTTTTTCTCGCTCTAAAATAAATGTTTGCCCCTAGAGAGCCTAAATCGGAAAAATTCGGAACAAATAAAGCAAACCTTAATTGGAAGCTGACCAGTGAATGGTCTCCGGTCGCAGTGGGACCTCTCAATGAGACCAAGTTTTCTAGATGTAGTTTTTCATGCTGATCTCAAATCTGGTCTCAAAAACTGCCGAAGAGCTCTGTGAAAAAAGATATGGACCCTCAAAAGTCGAAAAATTCAGCGTTGAAATTCAGTGGTGAGCAGAATCCAGCAGAACTTCACGTAACTGGAGGAGATTTCGTGTCAAGAACGATGGAAATTTTTTTTTTCGGTTTTTTCACTAAAGCCGCTCTGAAAAAGTCAACAGCTAAGTTTTGAGAACTTAGTTCTCACTTTTTGGCGTGTGGATTTCTGAAAATCTCCTGGAAGTGTGGTAGACTTCATGAAGTGAAGCTTCACGGCAACTGAAAAATATCCATTCACTCTGCAAAACCAAAGATCGACGTCAGAAAATGAAGCTGATGGACGTGATCAAACTGAGCATTTTCAAGGTTGCTATAATAATCGAGTGGTTGGCATTTATTTCTTCTACAGTAACCTTTGTTTTTTTTTTTCAGTGAACAAAATGGCAACCAAAGTTTCTGATGTCAAAAAGAAGAAGTCGTGAGTTCGAATGGGAAAAAGATGCAGAGTTCGGGATATTTTTGAGGCTGCCGAACGACAGAAGTCTGAAAAAAAATTCCCAGAAAAAGCATCGCAGAAAATACGGGGCTAATCAAAATCACTCAAAAGAAGGTACAGAAGAGGTTGGTTTCTGGAAAACTCTTGAAAAAAATGAACGTTTTGTCGTCAGAACCAAGGAGATGTCGGTATTAAGGGAAGCAAGGTACGGCTGGAAGGGAATGATTCGAAAAGTCACTGGAAGAAATTTAGGAAACATTTTCGCTGAAGACTGTGATGGATTTGAAAAGAGAGACGGATTCAGTTGCAGAAAAAGCCTATTCATTTATCAACTGGGCCTATAATACAAGTGAGGACAAGGAAGGGTCATCTTACCCTGAAAGTTGGTCAGAATACTCCTCGATGTACCAGATGTAGACCTGCACAAATTTATAGTTCTTGAGAAAGGACACCTCAAAGTCGAAAAAACCTCAAAAAGTTGAAACAGGCTATTTTGGAACCTTGAGCCCATTTCTCGAAAACTAGGAAGTTTTGCAGATTGAAATTTTCAGAATTTTCTTCTGACACATCAAGGAGTGTTCTAACGAGATTTCAGGAAATTCCCAAACGCAAAGTAAAATAATCTTCCTTGTGAGAGACATCCGGAGAAACCACAAAAAGGATGAAAAATTTTCCTATTATTCAGACGCCGGCAGCGGTGGTCTGACCAAGTTCCACGGCAATAACATAGCGACTTATACACCTCCGGCGGATCAGAAGACTGAAGCTTTCAATTCGGAAGTCAATAAATACAAGAACCGAAGCCCTGTAGATTATGTTATTTGTTCGATCACAGTATCAATATTCCCAGGAAATTGTGTGCCTCGACCAAAGCCGCGTCCTGTTACCTGTTGATGATAAAAATTCTTCGGACTATATCCACGCTAATCATATTACTTTTGAAAACTTTGACCGTCCTTATATCGCCACTCAAGTCTGTGTTGGCTACTCTTTGAACGGAATCCTCATTTTGAACTCAGCTCCCTCTTGAAGAAACTCGCGTTGACTTTTGGCGGATGGTGGTCTCCCAAGAAGTCGACACTATCATCGCTCTTTTCGATCCTTCGGCAGTTTGTGAATCGAAACTCTTTTTTTCTTCATGACGCTCTGTTGAGGATACAAAATCGAAACCAATAACGCCAGCCACGGCAACAACGCCCCCAACGCCGAACACGCCGACGAGTTTCTCGACGACGCCGCCGAAGAAAACGTCGAATAGGCGCACTTTTCTGAGGATTTTCCGTCGGAAGAAACAGAAAGAGCAGAAGGAAAAAGACAAGGATGGATCGCCAGATGAGTCCGTGATGAGCAGGTTGTCATTCGATTCGGTGGGTCGATCTCGTCTTTTTGGATGTTTCCGTTCAGGCGGAAGCCACTTCCTACTGGCCTCTGAGCGTCAACCGTTATCTGACCTGCGGACCATACTTCATCAACACTAGGAAAGTGGAGTTGCCTGGCAAGAAATTCTGGGCGCCTACGATATATTCTATAGAAGTGAGTTTTATCCGAGATAAACATAATATTTTAAAAAAACAATGTCCTTTTTTTACACAATAAGATCAGTCTGCTTCTCATGACACATTAAAAGTTCTACTTTTTTCGGAATAACTATCAAACTTAAAAAAATTCAGGGTTATTTTTTTATTTAAAAATTTTTTTATTTATTTCTTTCACCTTGTGGTAGTTATATTTTTTTATTCTCGGACCTCGGTAACGAAGATCGGACGTTTCTGAGCAATTGTAGGGGTTGCTTAAGAGTGCTGACGCTACTAAAGTGGTCACTAAAAATGTTCCGGCGCATACGGTCCGCGAAAACAAACTCCGAGATCAAACTAAAAGCGCCCTTGTCGGGCTTCAAATTATCCATGGAGCAATTAATGTTGTATTTATGTTTGGCTATTTCTTCTGAACCGATTTTTCAGATTGTGGAGGAGAACTGTGCAAACGCGACGTTCGTAAAAATATTGAATTATGCAAACTGGACGTCGCAAAAGAAGCCGTGCTCCCCGCGAATCGTCATCAGCCTCATCCAGCACATCCGCATGGTTGCTCTACCGATCCTTGCGTGAAACTCAGATTTTCAGATAGATCCGCTGCAAAAGGGAAAAGTCGTCGTCCATTGCGACAACGGCGTCAACCGCACATCGGCCCTCATTTTCTGTGACGTCATTCTCCAGCGAATTTACAACGACTTGGATTTCGATGTACACAGAGAAATGGCCGAATTGCGAACAAAGTTTTCTGGATACAGGTCGTCGAATTGTGCCGAGAACTGCGGAATCAGAGGGCGTCCAGTTTTCAAGATCCTTTTTATTTCGTTTATTCGATCTATGCCGTCGCTACTTATATTATGGTGAGGTCGGATTGAGCCGGCTTAAAACATGTGGACGATATCATACCAGTTAGTAACATCCGGAAACTTTGATTAGTTTTGGCGGGAGATAGGAGTTCAAAAAGAGACAAACGATTTTTGAAATTTTTCTTCTCGAAAACCTTCTTCATGCGGCCACTAAGTTTCAAACCGTTCCAAAAAGTTTCTCTCACAAAAAATTTCAAAACGGCCGATTTTTCCAGAAACGAGGTGGAACAAGAGCGAATCCCAAGTTTGACACAATCTACACACAATTTTCCCTACTTCGAGAACAAATTAGAAGAGTTGGTTCAAGGAACGGAAGAAACCTCCGAATAAGATGAATTCCAGGAATTCGGAATCGAGCAAAAAGATAGCAGAGAAAGAACGTCTGGATGAGGAGGAATTGAAAAAAAAAATCATGACTATTTTGAGCTTTATTTTTCTGTAGATTTAAAATGAAACTTATAAGATTCCAGAGCGTTAAAAGTTTGAAAAAACCAAGTAAGAACGCATAATTACCACGCAAAAAACTTGAACGTCTTTGTATTTTTTTTTTTCAAGCAGTGTATAGAATATAAATTGTCTTCACAAGTATGTCGACTGCCGTTCGAACGATGGAAAAAAAATTTACCGCTCGAGAAAGATGGTAAATTGATAGATTAAAAATTCATTCGTACAAACTATAAAAAAAAGCGACCTGAATTTTGAAAATTCAATAACAATATTACAAGAAACAAAAGTAACCATTTGAAAAACAGTTCTAAATAGCCGAGTTTGAAAAATATGACACAAAGAACACGTAGAATATTTTCGAAATTGTACTCAGAATCGATATTTACAAGCAATTTGAGATTGGGAAAGGCACAAGGAAAGTAAAAAAGGTAATGTTAGATGGAAATCAGTTTTTGTTGAATCCTTGCATAGAAGTGGATCTGTGGCCGAATTCGGGAACCGTTTTGAAGCAGTAGCACTCGAGAAGCCGCATCGCCGTAGGCTTCAGCTGCTTTTTCATTTGAGGACTGAAACTCTCTTTCCATTATTTTTTTTTTCCGAAGTTGGTGTACCTCCAGAAGATGTACATGTAGAAGAGGACGGCGTGATGAAGATAGTAGATGAGGTAAGTGAGGAAATGAATAAAATGGAAAAGATGAGAGGAGGGCGGAGAGAAGATGTACTGCATGATGCGCATGATGTAGCTCGGCACGTTCAGCAGGACAAATGTGCTGAAAAGTCAGGGATTTCAGAACTCGGAGAGAAGGAAAATGTAGAGAAACTTTGAGAAGCGACACATAATCTTATGAAAAAATGTACTTGATTCATTATTGTGCCAAATCTTTGAAAGTTTTTCCTAAATTTTTTCTTTTCTTTCTTTAGGAAAAAAAAACTATTCACGGAGAAGGCCATGCGTGATGACGATTATTTTTCGAAGTCGCACCCGACCACAAAGTGACTTACGCGCATTATTCAGTTCAAACAACTAGAAACTTCATACTTTCTCAAAGCAAGTATCAATTTGATTTTGGTAGATATCAAAAAGTAGAGTTCTCCCACTATACTCGAAAAACTAGAAACATTTATATCCTACCAGAAACATTCTGAAGGTCGCCGTTTTCATTGAATTGCAAGTTATTCTTCGAGAAAGTTATAGAAGGAGTAAAAAAACATCTTTTGAAGTCTATTAAATTCTAATGAAATTTACAAATATTTCATATTTCTAATGTTATCCTAAAAGCACCTCAATCGATAGAAAAGGAATACCTAGTGACTATCAGAAGCGTCCGACTGAGCTGCAAATCGGAAGATCTCAACTTTCCGCAGTTTCGGGACCGATTCGACTGCGTTGAGACGTGTGTGTTGGTGGGGTTTGTCGTACTCAGAAGCAGTTTTTTGGCCGTTGTTTCCTCCTGAACTCGGCCTTTTTCTTCTTTCTCAAGTAGTGAAACTGACCACCATCTCCGTGTCGTTGTTGTTGGTGGTCGGCGCTCGGAAAAAGCGAACCCGTAGGACTCCCGAAGAGTAGATCTTCATACATTGTCGGTATCGATACGTCGAGAAAGTGTTGACGATAATGATGAGGATCGCCGGGATCAACGTGCAGATCGCCGCGTCCATCAAAGTGAAGACGAAGTAGTGCTCCGAGACCTTGTACCTACAGTAAGACTCAGTTTTCAGAGTGATTTTATATAAATCATCATTGACTTGAGTCCATGTTCGTATCTAAAGGTATTCTCGCTTTAAACTTAATGAAAATTCTTTATGTGGCTTCAAAAAAGAACAAAAATGGACCAAAACTCTGGACAGCTTCATTGAATTTGTCTTTTACTTTAAACTACCGAGTAGCGGCTAGAATTCAAAAACTGGAAAGTACAAGGAGGAAAAAAAAAATCAAAAACCTTTCTCAAAACGCAAAATCACTTATACTTTGAATAGGATATACTAAAAGGTTGGCATTTTATAAGAAATTCTCACCCGAAGACATCGATGTCCTCGCTGAGACCACAGAAAGTGCCGCCACCGGAGCCGGAATCGTAGGACTCGAGGCCGGCAAAAAGAAAGACCCAGCTGTAGAGAATCGCCGAGGTCGCCACAGTCGCCAGGGTCATGTTCCTCGAAAACTGTTTCGTGCACACCCATTTCCGGATTCCTAAAACGCAAATACCAGTGGAAAAGGAAGAATAAGCAGTCTTGAATTCCGTCTTATCATTCCTCACATTAAAAAGAGTAAACTTTCAAAAAAGGCCCTATTTTGATGGATCGCTAATTTCCTCAATTTGCATAGAGGCCCAAAAAAAACTCTACAAGTCTAACCGGTATCACTCCTTCATTATTTAAGTCTACTATAGTTATTCCTGTGCATAAAAAAGGTAGTCTTTCTGATCCAAATAACTTTCGCCCCATATCTCTCACTCATCCAATTTCTCGTGTATTTGAACGCATCATTACTCAAATGATAAGATCTCGTTTTTTTCTGAAAAAGTTCTCTCAATTCCAATTCGGCTTTCTCAATCGTAGGTCATGCAAACTATCTCTAATCAGCTCCCTTTCCTCCATTCAAAAAAATCCTTGGCATCTAATCTTCCTATCGATGCTGTTTATTTCGATTTTTTTCCAAAGCCTTCGATAAAGTAGATCATAACCTTTTACGCCTAAAGATGTCCATTTTTCGGCTTTTAATGATACTCTCTGTCGCTGGTTCTCCAATTTTTTTATCTAACCGTTCCTCCATTGTAAAAAGTTAACAACTCGTTTTCTAACAATTCTTTTTTTCTAATCCTTCGGGTGTACTTCAAGGGACGGTCAGCGGCCCCCTTCTCTTTCTCGTTTTTCATCAATGATATTGAAAAATTTTATTGATCCTCAATCCTCTATCTCTATCTTTGCTGATGACCTCAAGGTTTATAGCTCTTGCCCTGATTCGCTTCAAAAGAAGCATAAATGGTATTTTTCCAATGGTCAGAACTTTGGTCTCTTCCACTTGCTGTTGAAAAGACTTTTTCTCTTCACTTTGGCTCTAACAATCCTCAAACGGTCTATTTTCTTGATCAATTTCAAATCCCACAAAGATCAATTGTTCGTGATCTAGGCCTTCAAATTGATGAGAAGCTCTCCTTCAAAGACCATATTTCCCGTATCTCTGCCTTTGCTACATTACGGTCTAATCAAATACTAAATACCTTTAAGTTTTCTTCCCCCCTGCACTACCTCAGAATGTTTCAAACCTACGTGACGCCTATTCTCGAATATTGTAGTGAAATCTTTTCTCCCTCTATCTCGTCTGAGGAATGCTTCAAACTCGAGTCTTCTCTACGCCAATTCAGTAGAAAAGTTTTTATAAGATGCAATGTTCGCTTCAGTTCTTATTCTGATCGTCTCAGCCAATTTGGCTTTAAACCTCTCTTTGTACGTCGTTGTATTAACGACATTATTTCTCTTCATAAAATAATTTGCGGCTCTGACCATTTTCTCAATCGCAATGACTTCTTCACTATTTCTCCTTTTACAGAGGAATCCACTTCGACTTCGCACTTCCGGTCAGTTCTCTAAAGATTTTTTTCCAAAAACTATTCCATTATGGAATAAACTTACCTCTAGAATAAATTTTAACGTCTCTACGGATGCGCTACGGGTTAAACTTAATGATCTCCCTAACTCTGCCTTTTTTTCGAATCCATTCCTTCCCGTTTGCTCTGACTTCCTTTCTATCCCCGGGTCATAGTCTACTCGTTAGGGTGGACTAATTCCCGTTTTGGTTATTCTGCTGCTTTCGTATTCTGAACTATTTTTATTTATTATTTTCCAACAGTATGCAGTGAATAAACCTATTATTATTATTATAATTCTTTTTCTAATCCTTCAGGGTGTACTTCAAGGGACGGTCAGCGGCCCCCTTCTCTTTCTCGTTTTTCATCAATGATATTGAAAAATTTTATTGATCCTCAATCCTCTATCTCTATCTTTGCTGATGACCTCAAGGTTTATAGCTCTTGCCCTGATTCGCTTCAAAAGAAGCATAAATGGTATTTTTCCAATGGTCAGAACTTTGGTCTCTTCCACTTGCTGTTGAAAAAGACTTTTTTTCTCTTCACTTTGGCTCTAACAATCCTCAAACGGTCTATTTTTCTTGATCAATTTCAAATCCCACAAAGATCAATTGTTCGTGATCTAGGCCTTCAAATTGATGAGAAGCTCTCCTTCAAAGACCATATTTCCCGTATCTCTGCCTTTTGCTACATTACGGTCTAATCAAATACTAAATACCTTTAAGTTTTCTTCCCCCCTGCACTACCTCAGAATGTTTCAAACCTACGTGACGCCTATTCTCGAATATTGTAGTGAAATCTTTTCTCCCTCTATCTCGTCTGAGGAATGCTTCAAACTCGAGTCTTCTCTACGCCAATTCAGTAGAAAAAGTTTTTTTATAAGATGCAATGTTCGCTTCAGTTCTTATTCTGATCGTCTCAGCCAATTTGGCTTTAAACCTCTCTTTGTACGTCGTTGTATTAACGACATTATTTCTCTTCATAAAATAATTTGCGGCTCTGACCATTTTCTCAATCGCAATGACTTCTTCACTATTTCTCCTTTACAGAGGAATCCACTTCGACTTCGCACTTCCGGTCAGTTCTCTAAAGATTTTTTTTCCAAAACTATTCCATTATGGAATAAACTTACCTCTAGAATAAATTTTTAACGTCTCTACGGATGCGCTACGGGTTAAACTTAATGATCTCCCTAACTCTGCCTTTTTTTCGAATCCATTCCTTCCCGTTTGCTCTGACTTCCTTTCTATCCCCGGGTCATAGTCTACTCGTTAGGGTGGACTAATTCCCGTTTTGGTTATTCTGCTGCTTTCGTATTCTGAACTATTTTATTTATTATTTTCTAACAGTATGCAGTGAATAAACCTATTATTATTAAGCTTTTCTTTTCTGGACCTTTTGTCCATACTCCTAGCAAGGATTCTCAATCAGAGTTTTAATTCCGAAAAATTCTTTGGATTTTTCAGATAACGAGAAAATAACAGAACGACAATCCAGTAAATAAACTCTGAGAAATTTAACGGAGTCTGATAAAAAAACTATAGAATTCTACAAAAAAAAAACTTCAGATTTATTAGATTTTAGAAGAGTTTTGCCTCACACTTTCACGTTGAAATGCATGATTATATAGCATTTCGTGAAACTTTCGAGATAATTTCAGAATATCCGTTAGACATCCACACCTGGCCGGTAGAGAACAATCATCCGATCGCAAGAGATCCACGAGATCATCCAGACGCAGATAAAGTCGCTGAAATGAGCCAGAAAGGTGAAGAGCTGCAAAAGAAAGATACTCTAAGCAAAAGAAGAAAAGGACAGACTTTGCATCCGATTTCAGATTCGCCATAGATGGGCAATTGGAGGTACATGTCGGCGCAGGTGACAATTACCGTGAAAAGAAAGATACAGCTCGAAATGGACAGCGTGCACAGGTAGACGTTCGACGTCAGTCTCTTCAGCCAGAAGTTCGTCCTCAAAATTTGGAAATTTAAAAACAATAAAACAGAGACTAAAGATAATTGTCAACTCATTTTCCAGCTTTATTCATTCATTTTTTTGTGGCTCAAATGTACAGGAGTCTTATATATATAGTTTATTCACTGCCATTATTTAACACAAAAAAAATAATTGAAGAATAGATTATCAAGTGAAGGAATAGGCGCGAGTCTTTTTTACTTAAACTTTTTTTAATCAATTTGTTTATTTTTCGCAACATCGGGATGGTATGGTGATGTTGCAGGGAGGGAAAAAGACCATTTTATATAAAATATTTCTTTTTTTTTACACCCTATTTCTTAAATTTGCGAAATCAGTCTAAGAGCGAAGAGGCGAGGTTTGTCAAAGTTTTTTGAGAGCAATTGTGTTTTTGAAAAATTTGAAATTTCTTTGGATTTTTTCCTAGCATGGGTTCCTTCCATGACGTAGAGTGTAGCAGAACTTCGAAGCTTATTTTTCACTCAGCTGATCTTTGAGGGACTTTTTTTTTTGAAGGTACTTTTTCTTCTTGGTGGCTTTTTTCAATTTCGCAGTCCCCAAATTGAAGAATTCGTCGACACCTCCACGGCTCATCCTTCCGTCCAAGTGTTCAGAAAAAGAAGAACGTTAATCTTGAGCCATTTGCGGTCCATCCGCCAAGAAAATGGGCACTCGTCGCGGTAGTTTTTCAAGGAAAGATGTGCGACGAAAAATGGCTTTCCTTCAAGACTTTCTCCGGGAAACGGAGAGGCTCGTGTTGGTTTATGGCCCTTTTTTGCAGGAACTTCCCGCCAAACTCATTACCGAAACGAATAAAAAAGGCCTCAGGAGCTCATTTCCGCTTTCTTCCAAGCAGTTTGGAATGAAGGACATTTTTCAAGCAGTTCGAAAAAATGACAAGGTTTCGGGTGTGCGGAAGGTTCCATTTCGAAAATGGTAAGATTTTCAGCATAAATGAAAAAAAGTCGATTTAAAAAATAAAGGCTTTTTGACAGTGTTTGTTTTCGCGCAAATCGAAATATAATCAAATAGGATAACTGGAAAAGGTAAAGGTAAAATCAGTTATAAACTCAAGTCGCTTGATTTTGTGCAATTCTGAACATAATCTCTATTTTTTTCAATTGAAAGTTATTCAGAAAATGGAAAGCGCTTCAGGAAAAAAAGCTGGGAAAGAAAGTGGGAAGGTTGGAAAGAAAAGAACTTGAGCACAAAATCCACCGTAAAAAGGTTAAATTTATCATTTTAAAGAAGTTTCAAAGAAAGTCTGATACAAAAGACGTGCAGATATTGAAGAAAAACCTTATCAAAATCAAAGCCATCGAGTTGCCGAGGATGCCGACAAGGCAGAAGATGGGCACAAGATGGCCCGAATTGCGACGCATCCAGACGAGGGACTGGGACTCGCCGATGCTCTCCAGAATCTTGGAGACAGACAAGAAGAGCGACGAGTCGTCCGAACTCCCGAACGCCTCGTCCGGCTCTCCCGCCGTCATCATTTGTTATTGGTTCTCTGAAATTTTGAGAGCTTGAATCTGTTTCAAAACTTGAGAACAACACGAAAACAGAGACATTGTCGAGAAATTACATCGTAAAACCCAGAAGACAAAACAGTTTTAGGTTAAGGAAAGTACGAAGTTCGATAAAAATTTTGCCGGTTCTCTTTTAAGAATAATATGTTGTTTTTCCTTAGTCAATACTTCAACGAACCCTAATAAAGTGAAAAATTGCGTTATTTTTTTTTAATGAGAAATCAGTTCTCTCACTAGAAATGAATATCTTATCGTGAGCTTGAAAAAAGAAAAGCGACAATATTGTATCAGAAAAAAGAGAAAAAAAAGTAAATATCGAGAACACCGTGGAAAAGAACAGAGAAAAGTCGGCGGGTCCTTCCATTATTCACGAGCCTTCGATTCACAAGCAATCACGCTAATTTTCCCTCCTTTTTTTCCATTTTTGCACGTTTTCTCGTTTGGAATAAAGCTAATGCACTAGATATTTCACTGTTCGTGTGGGCGTAAAAAAAAGATGGGAAGTGAAATTTTCTCAAAGTAATAAATATACTTTAGTGGAAGCCTCACCAAAGTAATTATAACTTTGATGGGGCTAAAAATAATAAGTCTGCTGCCCTTTTGAAACGTTTCAATACTAAAAGTGTATAGATTGTTGACCTTTGACTTGAGGCCTCTTTAACGGGGATCTGGCAAAAAAAAAAATGAGCAAAAAGAGGAGGTTTAGACATCTCTGTAGGGTTTCTTATCGTGAACTAGCGGTGAGCGGAGTATAGTTTCATAAGAAAGGAAAAAAGAACATCAGCTCGGACCAAATAAAGTTTTTCATGCATGAGAAAAGTGTTCAGCTTTTATAGATATTTATTTTTGGAGTTTTTCCCAGAGAAGTCACTCCATCCAAAAATTCCTCACTCAGAAGATTAAAAACTCAACTTTTGAAAAAAAAAGGATTCGCTTTTTTTCAAGTTAAAAAGAATTTTTGACACATGAAAAAAAGGCCCGCTGACCAAAATATCAAAAGAAACTAATCTGCACAAAATTAAATTAGTCTTTCAATCCCACCTTTTTATTTGTTTTCGATTGTGATTATTTTCTTTTCTCTCGTTCAGATCATACCAACTTCAGATTTATTTAGACGAGTTAAAATTTATCTTTCGGCAAAAACGAAAATCACCCTGAGGATCCATTCTGGACGATGGAAATTTGAATAGTTAGCTATTTAGTAGCTTTAAGACATTGTCGGTGGAGCCAAAAAACGTCCAAAAGCAAATAAGAAGAACATATTCAAGTCGTTAGAACCTTCAAAACTACGCAGAAAAGGGGAAAAAAAAGAAGGAAAGTGAGAAGCTGAGAACAGACGTTCGGTTGGAACGTCGCTTCTCTAGGGACCAAATCGCGGGCAATTCATAAAATGCCTCGGGACTCTGCAACAAAAATGACGAATTGGACCGAGAACTAAAAAAGGAAAGCCACTAAGCTTAAGGACGAAAGTCAAAGGAATTCCAATTGGAATGAATCAGGTTTCTCTCTCCAGAAAGGGGCCACTTCGCTTGGAGAAATGGCGTCGTTTGTTCTGAATGTTCTGAAGAAGGCAAAATTTCGAGCCCACTCTTTTTTATCTTTTCCCATTCGCATTGTTGGGAGTTGAGGATGAAAGATCGGCTCTCCAAAGAGAACAGAATGAGCAAGAACTTTCGAAGAATGCGCATAGATAAGTGCTATTTTGAATATTAAAACATGAATCACTTATATGGAAGAAAGAAATGGAAGGAGCTATATTGTTCATTGGACCGTTTGAAATTCGTAGTCTTCTCTTTCAAGAATGAAAATTGTGGTCGTTCAAAATATTTGGTGAATGTGGAATTATCATTTTTCTATCACCAAAACACCTTTTCAGAAAAATACTGTGACTATAAAAAATAAATTTCATCGAGAAGACCTAAGACAGCCAAAATTGAATTTTGTTGTTCGACGCAACTTCTTCTCAAGTAACGGCTTGATTGAAAGGAGAAGTGAAACAAAAATCGAGGAAATTTCACGATTCTGTGAAACTTCAAAAGTCTTTGAAAAAGGTAATAAAAAATAACATTTTTTTTCATTAAAAGAATTTCGGAAATAATTTGAGATCAGTGAAACAACTGAAAACCGATCAAAAAAGAAACGCCATTTCACAAGAAGATTGATTTTCAAAAAATTCTAGAAATTCACATTTTTATCGAAAGCAAAAGCAAAACTTTTCGGCCTTCGACAGTCTCAAAAAATGTTTCCGAACAGAATAAAAGCTCATGAGACTCTTCAAAGATCCTCTGAAGGCTCCAGTTTTGAAGATTTGACAGAGAAAACCATCTTAAAAGTCGTGGCATTCTCTAAAATGAGCCACAGTGAGCAAGAGGAAGCGAAAGCGTGAAGAGGCGACGAAAAGTTGAAGTTGAGTGCTGTGGGAGGAGGCGGAAGAAGAGCAAGAAGCTTTTTCGGACCTCTGCGAAACAACCGTTGTTGGAGGGTGAATTGAATTAGGATGCGCGATGGGTCCCTCAGTCTCCAGCCAAAAAAAAAGAAATGGGAAAAAACACGCGCAGATGATGGTAAAAATGCAAACGTTTTTTTTTCTCACTGGAGCTGAACATTTTTCGCGCTCAACTCGGCAGTTGCCATAAATAGAAGCTTCAAAAACAGAAACAGTAAAGTCGGCAGCGGCGAGTCAAATGTTTTTTTTTCTCCGGAGAGGTGGGTCGCTCAAGCATGAGAAACACTCGTGAGACATGGAAAACAACAAGGTTTTCGGACCTTCTGAGGTCAAATGGCTAGAAAAATCTTCCCATTCTCCAAATCGAGTACTGAAAAAACTTTTAGCCAAAAGCTCAAGCCAGAATGAATCATTGGATCGAACGGAGTCAAATTCCCTACAAAACTAAGGTTAAAAAAAAGTCAAATCTCTCTGACTTACTTCAAAATCTAGTAACATAAACTTAGGTTTCAAAAATATTAACTAGGTATAGTCTGTGTGTCACGACTTGAAATTTCACCGAACGACATTTCGCTGTTCCGCTGCGTGCGTTCGCGAAGCGTCTTTCGATTATAGGTCACGATTTCAATTGATTGTTATTGCTGTCGGGGCACATGAAAGTAGAGTACCCTAATAAGAAAAAAATTTGAAAGCGCACAGGCTAAAAATATCAACTATTTGGTTATTCTTCAGAAAATTAAAACTATTTCTCTTTTTTTTTTTCAAAATCCTAAAACTGGAGAAAAGCAACAGTGTTTCATTAAAATTAAAAGCTGAAACCGTCAGAAAACAAAAAAAAAGTTTTTTTTTTGAGTTTTGCAAAACGATCACAGAAAATCAAAAATTATAACAGAACGTCAAGGATCCAAAAAAAAAAACATCATCAATGATTTTTTAGATAAGCGACCTCAAGAATGCTTTTAAACCAGGCAATGAGTGGAACACCACATGTCGCGAAATCCAAGAAAACTTTCATCATATCAGGTGAGAAGAAAAAGCCCCGAGGACAGTGTAAAGCCACAGATTTTCGTCCAATAGAGCCCCCACGAAAGAACAGCCTCTGATTGTCGAACCGAATATTTTGATCGATGAGGTTCAGTTGGCCTGGAAAGAAAGAAAAAAAAAACTGGAAGATCAAGGACCTTTCTGTCTGAACAAGTGGAAGGTTCGGCTTGTTTTTCGAGAGCCTTCCATAAATGTTGCCCTTTTCCTCTTCTTTCCGAGCTTCACCACTCAATCACAAATCTGCTTCTCTTCTTCTAAACGTTATAGGCGGCAAAACCTCGAAATCTAAAAAAAGCGAGAAAAAAGGGACAAATTTGCCTCGAGGGACTCGTCGTAGAGGATGGCTTTTCGACTTTGAAGTTCGGAATCGGACAAAACAACTTATTATCGCAAGATTCAACGTGGAAACCTGCTATTTCTATGTTTAAATTTGTCCGGAAAATTTAGATGTTCCGTTGAAAAAGGTGTAATTTTTCTGCAGAAGGCTGCTCTTATCAAAGCCGACGATTTTTTGCTCTTTAGAGTTTGCTCAAGAAAGAATGGAAACAATTCCTAGCACTGGAAGCATCGAAGAAAGAAAAAAGAGAAATTTCGAAGAAGAGAAAAGAAAAAGAAGGTGCGAAAATACATTCGAGTATCGTGTTTCAGAGCCCAGACCAACATCCGCTTCGTGGTAATGTAAGACGAAAAAGGTGTGTTGACTGAAGAAAAAGATTAAATTGAATTTGTGGAAAAGGGTCTTCAAGTTCAAGTTATTCAGCTATTTAATGTTAATTTATTCCTCTGAACGAGGCATCAGTGGCGCGAAAATTGTTTTTCCTCCAGTCGAGCGAGATCTCTTTGCTGCTTTGGATCCAATTTGCGAAAAAATCCAGCCTTTTCTGAACCATATTTAGCGGAATAGGATCAAAAATGCCTTATTTGAAAAACATTAGAGATACACTCTTCATCTGAATTTTTGCGAATAAAAAAATATCGAGATTTTTTTCTATCTAAATATTAATCTCAGAACTTTTGAGAGTACCTCGAGTGTTTTTTTTTTCAAACTAAAGCTAGTTTTGAAGTTAATTTGCGACCGAAAAAGATATTTAATCTAAGTTAAAGGGGCAAAAAAATGAGAAAAACGCTCAAAAAAATGAAAAAAAGTTATGATTGAAGTTAAAGAAGATCTATTTATTGATTTTTTTAGACGCGTGATGACAATATTTAAAGTTAATTAACTTATGCAAGTTTGGTTTGAAATTTCCTCATACCAAGAAGTCATGACGTAGAAATGCAATACTCAATTAACTTGAACGAGTTTTAAGACTCGAAATAATATTGAAAAAAAAAACAGAAACGGAATCCAAGGCGAGGACAGAAGAGAGACAACTGGGATTGATTGGGAGTGGCCGGTGACTGACGGGCGGGACGTCTTTCCGGAAACGACGACGTCTAAACTTGGCCAGGCCCTCGAGACGTGGGAACATCCGAGAAGAGCCGCAAGAACAATCAAGAAGAAGTTCGTGGGCGGATCGCTTCAAAAAGGTCGAACGGAACAAGAAATGACGAGGCTGAATTACTGAACAAGACAGGCGATCCGCTTGAAAAACTCTCAAAAATTCTGACGCTCGTAGATAGCCGCGCACATGATATTCATGCATGAAAAAGTCTGCGAAGAGCGAGTTGACCTACGACATTAAAAAACAAAAAAAAAATTTGGGTGGAGCTGGCCAACCTAGTGCCTTCTATCCTGAAGTCAAGAATTTTTGACCAAAAAAAATTCAAAAGAATAATTTAGATCGTCTAAACATAACATGGGAACTTTCTCTCATGTATTGTCTTTTTTTGACTAGAACCAGAAAAATAGTCGCAAAAAGCGGAATCGTAGAGGAATCAACCGACAGAACTATTGAATGAAATTTGAAGATTACAGCGCATCAAATGGAGGCCTAGAATTCACTTTTTTTTTCTTTTTAAATAATTCTCAGTTTTTATTTAAAAGCTTAACGTTACCGAAAACTTTTTGACAGCCTCGAAAAGAAAAATAAATAAATAAAACATATCTTTTTAATGTTTCCCTAACAATATAAATTTCAACAAATCATTTTTAATAACTTAAAGCCGTGAACACTTTGGAGATTGAAATTTGCCGAATAACCTTCAAAAAACTGAAAAATTTCCGCTTAAAAAAGCCGTCTGACGGCTTGACAGCTAAACAAAAGAACGCAGAACCCGAAATTTCCTTGGGACTGGACAGCTTCCAAAAATTCAATTATTTCTGATTATAAAGAATCGGCCACAGAGTACACATGGACTTGTATTCTTATTTTCACCTTTTCCGTCCATTTGCAACAAAAAAGGTCATTTTAAAAAGGAAATTGCTTTATAGGGAGACGAACAGAAATAGAAATAATATCGAAGAAAAAAATTTTCATTTTGAATTGAGCTCTGTGAGCTCCGTTCCAGACAAGTCTAAGTGAAAGAAAAATCTGAAAAAAGGCACCGGGAAAAAAAAAAGAGTTCAAGGGCGTTTTCAAACCAAAAAAAGAGCAACGAGGGCAAATAAAAAAGCAAAACTTGTCCCAATTTTCTCTATTATGTCCGGAAAAATTTTATTTATGCCCATAATATTCCAAGTTTCTATCCAAACTTTCTATAATCGTCCTTAAAGTATACCATCAGTTTGATTATTTTCTATATGACTCTCAAGTGAAAAAGTTTAAATAAAAAAATTTGAAATGAAATTTTGTGATTCTCGCAAACGCTAATTTTTTTAATATATATGAAAACTTAAAAAAACAAACACCGTTGCAAAAATTGGTAAAATATTCGAGCGGCGTTTGAAATTCTAAAAACGCTTAATTCGAGAATAATGACTATCATTTTTCCAGCAAAACAATCAAAAAGAAAAAATGAAAGGAAAGAAGAAATAGCAAAACCAACAGTTGGCAGCTCTTCACGAATCTTGACCTCTATCGATTTTCTTCCCATCAGCTGTCAAAGATTTTCACCTGAAAACACAGGAGCGATGAAAAAAAAGATCGCTTATTTAACGACGTGAACGCTCGTGAAACTTTACAAATTCCCACAAAAACAGGAAAAAAAGGAACTAATTTTTTTCAACCGCTTTCCTTTCGCAAAAAATATTTTTTTTTTCCTTCATTTATATAAGGGACTTCTGAGCGAAAATGGCGTGCAAGAATGAACTTCAAAGAAAAAGGAAGAAAAACGCAAACAATAAACACAACGAGCAGTTATTAAAATCTCTGAATGGCAAGTCTACTTCCAAAAGCTTCCACTCAAAATCGTTGGAGTTTTTCCAAAAAAAAAAAAACATGAGTGCACACGAAGGGGAAAAAAACTTGCTCCAAGGTTTATTTTTTGCGTTTAATTCAATGGGAAATTCCCGGTTGACTGGAGATGCCCGTAGGCGTTTTATGGTTATGGGATTTTTGACTGGGCTTCCAACGATTATTCTGACAATTCCCTTTAGCAATTTTGCAGCTTTCTTTCTTCGTTAGCTTCAAATTGAAAATAAAACAACAAAAACCAAATCAATATGAAATCCTTGAAACATATTCCCAAACATACCTTTCATTTTTGATTCTCAGACATATAACTCTTTCAATTTGAAGAAATCTATGGAAAAGAAGGGAAAACATGAACGTTTCAGTTTGAATGTGTCTGGCAGGCTTCCGAAACTTTCTAATTTTCTCAAAGTAGTTCAACTAGCTGCCCTAAAAATTGTATGAAATTTTTTTTCAAGACGCCCGAAATTTTTTTTTCCGAATAGCTGAGAAAGATTCATCAGAAAAAAAGCGTTCATAAAATCATCATTGAAAAACTGAACTTTTTTTGAGATATGATAAAAAAAGCTACCTAAGCGAGACGCATAGAAAAAAATACAATAAAAAGCAATCTAAATTATTTCCTGCTATATATACCCTTCGAAAACAAGAATTTTTGGATACTGGCAGCACTTCCTCATCATTATTCTAGCTAACGTTAATTCTAACTTAGCACAAGACATTCCTAGCTGAATATTAATGAATAAATGAGTAGAAATATTTCAAACGAAAACTCCTAGCGGATGAGATTCTATGAAAAAAAGAAGTTTTGAGACTCGTTGACTGAATCGGCTAGTCAAAGAGCATTTTTCAGGAAATTCTTCGCCGGGATGACACAAAATGAGTTGATTTTTTATGGTCGGACGAGGAAGCTCCAATAACTCAATGAAAGCCGATTCTGACGACAGGAAATAGTGCTTGCAATTGAATTTAGACGAGCGTGTTCGTTTGAACCGAGATTTCTCACAAGTTATGAACGGCAACCAGATGTAGATGTGAAGAAATATCGGAAAAAATTAAAATGAACAAAATACTCGAATACATAGTTTTGTTATGGTGTGTTCATCGGAGAAACGGAACATGCTTCAAAACGAAAAATCGTGTTCATCGGCACGCCAAAATTGCTCCAAAACAATACTAATTTTTGTTTTGGAGCAACTTTTCTTTTTTTTTTCAATTTTCGTTTGTCCGATGAACACGCCATTAACAAAAACAAATCATACATGTGAAAAAAAATTTGAGAACACGCATGTTCAAGGCGGCCGGTCGTATTACCACGGCGTTCTTGTCAGTGAAAGAAAATGCAGAAAAAAAATACCAGGGGCGGGCGCCGTAAATCGTACGGCAGCAGTAGTTTTGATCTGTTCAGGACCCGTTTTTGGATTACAATACCCACCCTTTAAAGCTCTCGCAAGATTTACGGAAAGAATTAGTTGAAAAAAAGCATTTTTTTTGCTTTTTTCTTTATTAATACTTCTTTTAACGTTTTTTCTATGAGTAAAAGTTATTATCCAGTTCCTTTGGCGTAGTTTGAAACCAGTTTCGTGTAAATTAGAGCCAAATTGAATTTACTGATGCAGTTTGAAGATTTTGTTATATGAATCATCTAAATTATATTTTTTTTTCCAGTTGTTTCATGGTTTTTCGGATTTAAACAAAGATTTCGCCATACGAGGTTTTTTGAAAATTTCTGCTTCTTATCCATTATTTGTTTTTTTCTGAAGCTAGGTTTTCAAGGTATATAAAATGTTTCTTTTTCATTTGCTCCTCGAATTTTCCTCATTTCAATATTTTTTTCGTATTTACAATTGCTTATTCAATTAGAGCTGATTCACCTTCATAATATTTTTTGTTTTCATTTTGTAATCAGTAATTTAGAGTTTTCCCCTTCCGAAATCGTTCCTAAATTTTTTTAACGCAAGTGAATGTTTTTTTTCACATCATAATATTCAAACTGACAAGATTTCGAACATTTCAGAAGTTATTATCCTAAAATTGCAAATTCTAAAATTGAAAAAAACAATTTTGAGTATGCGATAGTGCGTCTCGGTGTGCTTACACCCTAAACATCATAATTTACGAGAAGTCTTGACCTTGCGTAATAAAAAAAACGCCGTGATTACGGTAATCAAGCTAGGTTTTTGGTAATAAAATAAAAATTTGTGTACTTTTTGTGGCGTAACTTATCTTGTAACCTCGAAAATAGGTCCTTAACAAATTGCAAAAAAAGAAAAAAATTAAAAAAATTTCCTGGCTCCGAAACTGACGGCACAATATTGACCGGCCACCGGCCGCCGTAGCACTGTCATTTTTCTCCAAGATTTGAGTTTTATTATTTTCTTATCTCTTCATCATTGTTCAGAATATATTTATAATGTGCTGCGCAGCGTTTAAGAGAACATCATAATTTTACTTTAAGTACGCCGGTTTTTTTCAAAACTAGGTAAGGGATATCCTTTCTCGCGATGAGTTTGTAATTTTCTTGAAAATTTGCTTGAACAATAACTGGTTGTCAATATAAAAATTCTTAATCGCAAAATTTCATAATTTTGGAAATGTTGTTCTTTAAATCTCGCATTTAACACATTATCAAGTCTGTAGTCAATAGTCCGCAATTTTGTAATTTATAAATTTGAAAATGAAATTTTGCGCTTTTAGCTAGTTTGTGAATAATATAATCGAATTTACAGGTTTTTTTTATCTAACTTTCATAAAATATAAAAATCGCCTACGCATAAAAATTACTTCCATTGTAAGATTTTTACTAGTCGTTGTAGATTTTTGAAAGTTTCGACTTTTTTTCAGCATATATTTATCATCTTTTAGAAATGACAGGACTTCAAGATGTTAATTTGAGTCTTGCCGAAGTCATCAAAGTTTTTCACAAAGGCAAAGTAGCTGAAAACTTGGATCCGGTTCTCGCTGAAACTTTGAAGCTGCCTGAAAAGCTTGAGTTGCCGGAAGTCAGAGGTCCTGTATTCGTAAGTGATCGATAATATTCTCGATTTTTAAATTCATTTGTCAGGCCATTTTCGAGAATTATTTCCACCGAGCTAAGATGTTATCAGTTGTGGACGGAGAATTGGAGAAGAAGGCTTGGGACTTTGTAATCACATATTTCGTCCAGAAGCGAAGAGTTCCTAGTGAGTTTTGTCTTATAAAAATTGATAAAAGCTGTTTGACAGGCCGCGAAGAGCTCGTAACAAATCCTTTCTGTTTCCTTTTCAACGAATGGGGTCAGGACGCTTTGGAGATGTCGAAGTTTTTCACAAATTGCCATTTTTATTCTGTTGGTTCTTTTCCCTCGAAATCTCTTGAGTTTTAAATGTTTTCAGCAGTTGAATCATCAACTCATCAATCAGGTGAAAACTTCTGCCGATGTCAATAGTCAACTCCTTTTCTTTGAAACTATCGCGAATAAAGTTTCAGTCTCGATTGAAATCTCCTTGTACTCAAGTGGATTATCTTTTTTTCTCAACTAGATTGCAAAAAAGAAATTTTGAGGAAGAAGGTTACCGCCGGTGTTGAAAACCAGATGTAATTACAATACAATTGATTTGAAGCATTTGACGTTGGAGGCCAAGTTTTTTCGCTGTTTTTTCATGTTTAGAAAATTGACTTTCAGAAAATACCTCTTGAAGGGAAAGCAACTCGGTCAATACATCACCCAAGTCATGTGGCCAGCCATTGAAGCTGCCGTCCAGAAAACCGCCGAATAGTTTATGTATTCATTTTGTTTTTCTTCACATTTATCCAGATAAAGTATATTATTATTTTTCTGTATTCATTCGGTTCATTTTTTGGTTCAGACCCTCATCGGTATTTTAACAGTCCACAAAATTAAAAGAAGTTCCCAATATTTGTTGTACCGATTCTGAGCGGAAAAATCAAAAATATGATCTAAGTTAATGTATAATATTTTTTTATAAATCACTGTTTTGCTAATTGTAGTAGAACTTTTTTTTTGTAAGATCTTTCGAATTTTGCGAAAATCCGGAAATGAATCGAGTCTATTATAGCATGTTCACGACTTACTGGGACGAATATGCATGTCTGCGTCTTTATTATTTCTGAAGTACGTGTCAAGACCCTTTCTGCGATTGGCCCTAGCTAGCCTTTAATTGACTATTCTTTTCAATATTTTCTAAAGTTTCCGGTGTTGTAACCTAATTCTTGATAGGAATTTTTCTTGGTAATAACGGTTTTTGCTGGATGTTCGCAGGCGAAACTCAAAGAATTGTTTTATACCCTGATATAGCTGATTCACGGCTGAGCCATCGAAAAAATGGTCCTGACACGATAATGTACGAGATAGCGCCTGGCTCGTGGAGATCGCAGACAGTACACGCCCCCTTAGCGTCCCAAGCTGACCGTGAATCAGCTATACTTGGAATAAGTATCCTAATGTCCTACAAGTCAGCGAAGTTTCCGAACAGACGATAATAAAAACTTGAAAACGACCAATAATATTCATTTTTTCTCCGTTATTTTGTTTTAGTTACAGATGAAGACGGTCACGGTCAAGTCTTATATGAATAGGACTTTGAAGACATGTGTTACTCATTATGATATCGGTGATCTTCCTCCGGAAATAGCAGCGGAGCTCGCGAATTTCCCTAACGTGCCGTCGTTCGAAGAAGACATCTCGAATCCTTGGAAGCTATCGCCGGAGACCTCGCCAAAGCCTTTGATGATGCCTTTCTCCGGCAAGTCTCGCAGGGCTTCGACGCAGAACTCAAGAGAAGCTGTCGTCAATACTTCTTCGAGTACGAAGCAACAAAAAACCACGGAGAACGGCGAAATTAAATCTAAAGCTGCCCCTTGTTGTGATAGTCCTTCAGGTTAGTTTTAAGTACTTCCAGGGTGAATTTTTTCATCAAAAAAAGATACCTGATTCCTAGCTAAAAATTCACATTAACATGTGAAAGAAGTTATACATTTTAGAGGAACATAATATTTTTGATTAAAAATATATTCAAAGGCGTAGAAGTCTTGTGTGAATTAGGATGAAACTGGAAAACGACCTGAGACTTTGATTTTTTTTTTGTGTATTCCAAAAAAACCTTTGAAAAAAATTTCTTAACAGGCAAAACGCCTATTTTTTTGATTTCAATTTAAATTTTTTTCACATATTTTAATTAATTTTTTTGAGACCACTTTGAAATATTTCGAATTCCACTGATAATTTTAAATCTCACTGTTAACAGTGTTCACATTAACTAAAAATCTCAACGAATATAAATTTTGGACGAATTCTGGAGTAGAACCAACTTCTTTTGAAAAATAATTTTACGAGAAGAATGCAAACATTCTGAAAATATTTCGGAATTATTTCGAGTTACTTTGATTATTTCAAAAAAACCGGGAGTTATATAAACTCGTTCAAACGATGATTAGCAGAAAACCAATCTTATAAAGAAGTGGGAAAGATTTGAACTTAATTCATTGATATCGTAATTTTCGCATTTTTTCCGCTTTTCGTGGCCGTGACACTTATATTTTCAAGAATTTCTGAGCATTCTACCTTTTTCCAATACTCCGTTATTGAGAGATTACATCAAGAAAAATACGCATAGAATAAGAACTTTTTCCTTTCAACAAAAATAAAGTAATGGAAATCGGACATTTCAAATTTTTTTCTGCTAAAGTTTCGGCTTGTAAATTAGGCATATTATAATAAAATAAAAATGAATCGAAGGAGACATGGGACTATTCGTTTCAGTATTCGGTAATGGACCGCGAAGTACAGAGAAGACGCGGGAAAACCGGGAAAGGATTCCTTTTGTTCGGTTTAAACTACAGAAAGCCGTTGAGGAGTCGGAAACAGATACAGACAGCGATCGTTCTTTTTTCTCTGTTCGTTCATCCGTCTTTCTCAAACAAATTTATTTTTTAAGGACGGGTTTTATTCGGACGAAGATGATGAGGAAAAATTTGATCGAGAAATTGCCAAAAAAATGCATGAAAATGGTAAATACCCGAGAACCTACGATGAGGACTGGATGCCTCTCCGATAAATTATTTATCTAATCTTCGACCAATTTGAAATAAATACGCGATCTGTATGTATCAGTTGAGAGCTTTTTGCATGTTTAATTCACTTTTAATCACTTTATTTTTAAGCACTGAATTTATTGTTTTGTTGGAACAATAAAAATCAATCAAAAATTTCATTATTCTCGTCAAACGGTACGTTCCCATTTCCGTACTTGTTTTTTTTTGTTCTTTCAATGTTTTTTTTTTATTTTTCTCATTTTCTTTTTAAGAACTTTTCCTTGTATTTTTGAAAACATCCTTCTCTGACTCTCCAAAATATATCTTTTCCCTTTCTGGCGGATATTCTGGTTTTCACACTGCTGTCTTCAAATACCTAATTTTTGAAATTTGTGCCGAGAAGTCTATAATTCATTAGAGAAGAGTTCTCCAAATGTTTGGGGAAGAAACCAGTGACCGGGGCCTGGTGACCGGATTTCCCAAAAGGCATACGTGGACCATTGCCAAAAAGCGAAAATTTTCTTTTTTTTTTCTTCTTGAAAATAAATGACATTTCATATTTCTTTTCTTTTATTGCTTAGCTTTCTCAGATCCTAATTGAATGTGACGATAAGATACCTATACTGAAAAACTGTTATCTTGCTTCTTCCACTAAATTTTACTTATGGCATTCTTTTGATTGTGAAATGTTACGTTTATTTTGTATTTCTTGCATTTTTTGGAATTGACGTTAATCTACTAGTCATTTCTATCGCACTCCATTTGTTATCACAATCTCCTAAGTACGTTTTCGAATTTTTTGTACTAAATCTCCAAAAATTCAGAAATGCTAATCAAAGTCAAAACACTGACAGGAAAGGAAATAGAGTTGGACATTGAGCCCAACGATCGTGTTGAGAGGATCAAAGAAAAGGTATAGTTTGACTTTTTTTTTAAAGTTTAGACAGAAAAAGTGTTAAGGTCGAAGAGAAGGAAGGAATTCCACCGCCACAACAAAGGCTCATTTTCGCTGGCAAGCAAATGAACGACGATAAAACGGCTACTGATTATAAAGTGAGTGAAAATAACCGAAGTATAAATTTGATATAAATTCATTTTGAACTTTATTTTTCATATTTAATTGCTACGATGAGACAACTTTGAAAAAAAACAGTGACCCATATATTGAGGTGCGAGAATTTCAAAAAGCAGTAGGAAAGTTTGACAAAAGAATCTTTGAACTCTAAGATTATTAGCAAGTATAACTTTTTCTATTACTCTTGAAACTGAGCTTGATTGAAACGCGTTTATTTCACAAATATTTTTTAAACAAAATAAAAATGAAGTTTTTGAGGTTGTCGGTGGCTCTGTGCTACATCTCGTGCTCGCTCTTCGAGGAGGGTCAAATTGATTTCGATAATAGGTATTTTATTTTTTGCTTCTCCGGAGCAAAATATGTTCTATTAATTTGCAGAACCTGCTTGCACTCAGCTCGACTACGGTTTCTCACTCGCCCTGGCTTTTGATATTTCTCGTCGTATTTTCGCAACTTGTATGAATGTAAACATTTTATTTCTTTTGCATTCGGTCTGTATGAACAGGTTCCCAGTTTTCTATTCAAATAACGAAGGTTGATATTTATTTACATAGAAAATTTCAATAATTAAAGCGTTCGAGGAAGAAATAATCATGCGGGTAAAGGTTTGTAACAATTGTAGGGATACATTGTGAGACCAGAATCGCTGTGAAGAGATATGTTTGTGGAAGGGAAGTTCGAAATATTGTCGTTTTATCTGAGAAAGTAGGTTTGGTAGGAGATTTTCAATGCCTGATAGGTTAATTGAAAAAATTCAAGGGATAAGAAAATATAGTCTTTCCAAAAATCTAAACATAGGTGTTTGAAAAATCATTGGAAGTTTTGTATAGGTCTCGATACGAAAAAGCCGTTAACATTTTTTTTTTTGGTAAATTAATATCTCAGCCATCAAACAAAACGCAAAGATTTTCAAACAGATTGAAGTTATCACAAAATAAAAAAGAAAAATGGAAAACGAGTTAAAATTATTAATGACGTTCAAAGTGGTTTTTTGAAGCTAGAAATCTTGAATTTCATTCCATTTGTTCGATTTACCTCTATTTTATGAAATAGAATCCAGAGACTTAAAGTTTCCTCTCAAAAAAACACTTGAACCAGTTAATCATTTTTTTCATATTATTTCTAAAAATTAGAAAAAAAGGACTTTTGTTCATGAGATCACTCAGAAGGTTATACTTTTCGCGAGAAGGGATACAGTAGACGTTGTTGTTGTTCAGTGGGTAGCTTCACCGGATCTTCGCCTCTGCAAAACTGCTCTGTTTATCAGTGATAACCAACACTTATCGTCCCTCTGATTACAACTTATAGATACCCAGAACTCGTGCAAATTTTCAGGTAAATATCGAGGTCTTTTCCAGGGAGTAATGAGCATAGTAGGAGGCACCAGCGGGGTTACTGTAATGACGGGGTTCGTCGACGTTTTTTTCCCTTCTCCTGGTTGGAATAGGCCAGGAGCATTGCATACGATAGCGCTCTTGCGTCACACTCGCTCATTATGCGTTTAGCGTTAGAATAACGTAGGCTAAACGCCGAGGATTAGGGAATTTTGAGACAGCTGCCCTGTTTTGAGACACGATTCTTTTTCTGTACGGCTGAAGGAAATAGGAAAACTTACGGAAGGACGCTCGCCACTGTGCCACCGGAGGTGAGCCTTCAGATGGCTGCTTTTCGTGTAGACTTTCCCACAGCCGGCAATGTGGCAGTTGTGGATTCCGCGTTTTCGCGCAGCCACGTTATTGATGCCTATAAAATCAGAAGCATAGATTAATACAACATCTTTCGCGCTGTATTCCTTTCGCATTTGAGTTTGTACAAATTTTGAGAGGGTATTTACACGATTAGCAAGGCAGTTTATTTTAAATATTTTTAGCTTTCCTCTTTTTTGAATGTAATTTTGGAAATTCTTCAACTAAGCAACCGAAATCTTCCAAAAGTCCTGGTCCCAACAAAAAAGAAGCCCATAATCATGGCTCAACGCTGTGGTGCAGCAGATGTGGGATCTGTATCCGTTGCAATCAGAACGGTCGGATCTCTGAGAGCACTATCATGAGAGTTCATCTTGCACGGTGAGCTCCCACCAGGGCGGCATCTCGCTTTTATTGGCTCCGCTGCTCTTTTTTTATCTATCTCTTTCCGCTGGTAGTGAGAAACTGTCGAGCTTTAGAAAAGAAGTTCTCAAGACCTTCATTAAATTTGTCCGCGTTTATTTTTAAAGTATTTCGTTTCGTAGACCCGAAAAAATTAACCGATTTTATGAGAAAATAGATGAACTAGAAGTGTTTTTCCAGAAAAATTTTAGAGGCTCTAAAAAAATGACCGTGTAAGAAATACTCTTAAACTACTAGACTAAAAGCTTCATCAAGATCCAAATATTTTAGCTGGATCAGTTGAAAAACGCGATCGTTTTCTTTTTCGGAATGAAATAAAGCGATGAGAGTCGTGTGCGTGGCGAGGTGTGAAACTAACAATTAGGCGCGGCTGGGGCCGTTTGAAAAACGTTCGAAATGGGAAAGCAATGGGCAGAAAAGACGTCCATCTTTCTTCGTTCTTTTTTTCTTATGCAGAAATGGGCCATTTTTGAGGCGACGTTGGGAATCCGAAGAATCGTCCAACTGACTCTTTTTGATTTATTTTTGTGAATACGAGTTTCTGTTAGTTGAATTGTTCCCAAGACTCTAGAAATCACTTAATTCATGTGAGATTTTTCAAGTTTCAATGGAAGTAATTTAACAAAACTTCAAGCGAAAGAAAAAAAAGTTTCCGAAGGGGGAAGTTCAACTGTTCATGAATGGGTTCCAAGTTCAAATAATGAAAATCTTTGATGTTTGTTCAAATTTTTATACTTGTAGCGTAAAACGAGATCTGAACTCCGAGTATTTCGATTTATAAACCCATCCATAAACCCTACTTTTCCGACTTCAGAAGTCAGAAGCTCTCTCTGAACTTCCTGGAGAGTAAAAATTGAGCCGCCTTAATGGTTTTTCCTGAAGGTGCTTTGAAAGAAAAGGCTTTTGAGAACTAAAAAAGAAAGTTTTTCGGTCGTACTATACTAAACACTCGATCTTCAAGACTGAAAAAAATAAATGATAAATGATAAATAATTTTTTTAATTTTTTTATAAATTACAGGAACTCATTTGCAAAAAAACTCGGGATAAGAAAGCCAATATAAGTTTTATTTTTTTGAATCTCAATTGACTTAATGCGGTTCTGACTTAAAAAGCGCATTGTATAAGAAAACAAAAAACAGAGAGAACATTCGAAAAAGTTTTATTTGCGACGCTCGTACGCGAAACGGCTTGACGCGTAACGGTTGCGAAACGGTTAGCGCTTGTTACGATTACATGAACAAGTTTCAACTCGAAACGCCTTGAACCATTCTGAATGCGAACGGAGCTTTCAAATCGTCGGGAAATGAGTACACAATTTCAATCTACTAATATCCGAGCATCTAATTTGACAAAAGTCTTCCAAATTTCTGAAAGGAATACCAACCTATCCTCTCGGCCTCAGCGCAATTGGGACATTCGCAGTTGCTCCGCGCCGGGTACTTTCCACCGCCTCCGCCGGAAGAAGACGAAGACTTTGGCTGGAACATCAGCAAGATTCATTCAACTAAAAATAAACTCGAACCTTTGTCGTGGTCGCGGGCATTCTGGGCGATATCGTCGAGGAGCTGGAGGTGGAGGCCGATGTGGAGGCAGAACCGGACGTCGGTGCCGACGTCGCCGTCGAGGCCGAGGCGCTGAGAAGGCCTCCCAGCGGCGAGAGGTACTGGTAGGCTGTCGCGTCCGTCGGGTAGGCCAAAGGCCAGCTCGACTGGTCCACCCACCTGAAAATCACACTTGAAGGAAAGATGTTGGCTCAAAAAGGACTCTCATTCATATTTTGATCGCCGGAAACTCTTTTAGGCCTCTTTGCAGGTCCACGAATCAAAGAAAGGCTTCAAGTAAATCTTGAGACTTAAAAAAATGACCCTAACTTTTTATTTTGAATTTTAGTGGGTTAGAAATTGTTTCAGTTCTAAAATTTTCCTATTTGAGACGAAGGAATGAGTTTTTTTCTCATCATTCATATTTTTTTAATCGCAAAAGAAACTAGAAAAAAACTTAATCTAAATAGAGAAAAAAAGAAAAATTTTCAGCACAGATCTCACAAATTTCCACTTCTTTAATTTGGTAATTACTAAAGTCTGAAAAATAAAAAGTTAAATCTAAAAAAAGAACTTCAAAGAGACTTCAGATCTCACCAGTTAGGATTCGGAATGAACTGAGGGTATGGATTGTAGGCGACATCTGTTGGAAGTATGAACTTGTCAGCTCCTGTTCGGACCGCCTGAAATATTTATTAATTTTCTCGAAGTTTTCAAAGCTCTTTCTTCCTCAGAGAATTCGTAGAAGATTTTAAAACAGAACTACGCGTTTTAATGTTTTGAAACGATCTTCAAAAGTTTTTACGAAAATATTGAAACGGAAAGAAACTGAAATGTTTAAAAGATTGGAATGAAACTGTAAACTAAAAGTGGCTTCTAATTTTAAGAAATTTATCCATCCGAATTAAATTTTGAGCTCATTCTCTGTTTCCTTTTTGAATGAGGGACTTTCTTTTTCGAAATAACTTTTAAATCTCTGGACTCTCGAGAAATTTGGAACAAAAATGAAGATTTGGGGAAATAAAAACGAAAACTTTAAGATCGAAAGTTCGAAAAAAAGGAAGATCTCAAATTCATCAAGATATTTAATACCGAAATGGACTCCTTTCACGTCTAGTATTTGATAACCTTTTTAGTTTGTGTTTTTCTTGAATTAAAAGAAATTTATATCCTTAAACGGATGACAAGTTTTTTTTTCATGATGCTTCTAGCAGGAAAGTCTTAAAAAATGAATGTTGAATATCAAAAATGAACCGATTTTATCTGTTTGGCCTTCAAATAAACATTCTGAAACACTTCGAGGATAAATCCTCAAAAAACCACGAAAAATGAAGGAAAACGGATGGGACTTCTGAAGCTGAAATCAAAGACGGAGGTGAGTCAGACCTCGGTCTCTCAAACAGATTTCTAGAAGACTTTGATGAGTTCAAAATCGGTAGTTTTTGGCTTCAAAGATGGTTCAAATACAAGGAGACCATCTTTTCTCAGTTTCAGCCATTGAATCTATCCTATTTATTAATAAAAAGTGAGTAAAATTGAAAAAACTTGGTTTCCAAGAAGCAAGTTGCGACAAAAGGGAAGTCGAAACTCGAGTTTCTAAAGATGGATTTTACAAGGAAGACACTGAGAGCTCAGATTTTGGTTTTTGACTTTCACGCGGTTTCAAACAAAATGAGACCGACTTTTCAGAATTCCGGTAGTTATAACTATCTTCAGAGATCATCAAGGAGGGAGTAGAAACCGTGTTTAGAAGAACAAGTTCATAATAAAAAAGAAAAATTTCGGGACGGGACCAGAAACTATCATCTGATATATTGAAAACAGGAGAAACTAGAAACACTTCCAGTCTGAAAGCACAAATTGAGAGAAAAGGAAGTCGGACCTCGAGTTTTTCAAGCGGAAGTTTCCCGTCGGCGCCGAACTTGTTGCAGTGCTCGACGAGCTTCGACAACGGCGATTCGGCCTGGGAAATTGATGGGTTGGTGTCAAAAAAGAAGCGTGGAAAAACGGAGCGATAAATAAAAGGCAGGTTGGCTGACCTCGAGGAAAAAGGCGGAGCGGCTCACCTGGAATGGAATGGCCGGATGGAGGTGATGGTGGTGGTGAGGAAGGTGAAGCTCCTCGGAGCCGTTCGATGACGTCACTGGAGGAGGCACTGCCGTCGTCGCCGAATTCATCGTCGTCAATCGTTTAGTATAAATGACAATTCGCACCTCGCTCGGCCTCCTCACACTCTCCCGCCCCAGTCCCCCAAGCTCCGCCTACTTTCCTCGACTACCGTAGCCCGCGTTTGATTCGGCCGTACATGGGGAGATGAGCCTGTGAGTCTTTTTGATTTTATTCCTTGAAAAAAAAAATCCAGAAAATGTGCTTTTCAGTAGATTTGACCGTTGAATAGTAAAACAGCTTATGAGTCGATGACTTTAATCAAATCAATTTAGGCAAAACGCATTTCGGCGAAGGTCTCGAAATGAGAAAATTATGTCCGAGTCGATGCGCAGCTGAAATGCATTTTTTATTCTAAAAAAATCTCTTTTTTAGTGACGGAGCTTCGGAAAATGAGCTTTTTTTGAGCGAGTATAGCCTTACACGGTAAAGGAGCTAAGTAGATGCGCAGCCAAATTCTTCTCACATGAAAAACGTTTCTTGGACTCCTCTAGAAGCTGCGAAAAAGCCGTAACCAGCCAATCGGTACCTCAAGCCGGAAAATGTGTGAGACATTTTGCAGACAATTATTCAATCACTTCAACTTTTTTTCAAATAGAGGACTCGAGTTACATCTTTTGAGAAATCTCTTTTTCGAATCAGCCCTGAAGTTTGAAGGCGCTAACAAGGAGGTAGTTTTACTTTGTTATTGAGAACGTCTTGAAAACTGACCAGAAAACTCGTTGATGTACAAGAAAAATATCCTGGAAGTTTCAGTAAGAGTTTTTGAGAAAGAGACGTCCGAAAATCGCCTTTGTAACGGGCTTTTGAAGGTTTTATTCGACTTTCAAGGAGTTTTATGGCCAACTTTAGGAAAATCCCCAACCGCAAAGTAAAATTACCTTTCTTGTCAGTCGTATTTAGTGAGAAAAACAGATTTTTGGGCTTCAGTTGAATGATTTCAAGTAGTTGATATAGTCGTCATCAAAATTGGCAAAAAAATTTGTAAAGATTTTTAGATTTGTCGGTTTAGTTGTAAATGAAGTTCGATTTTTTTGTGATAAGTTTGCTATTTTACCCTGCATTCTCTACCACTTGCTCTGTATACGAATTTCAGTTTTGTTTTTCAGACTTGTCGTCGTTTTTCTGACAGTTACATCGTCGATCCATCAATTTGTTGCGTGGCGCTCGTGCCGCCTTCAAGTGAGACCATAATTTGCGGAAACATTAGGTTTTCCTTTTCTTTTTGTTTTTTTTATTTTGTGATTTCTGAATTGAGAAATCACTGAAAGTTCCTTTTCTTATTAGCATTGATGAGTAGGAAAGGAGAGGGACGTTGAGTAAAGAAAAAACAGATTAGGAAATTCTTGGCCCACCCTTTTTTGAACGATTTTGACTCTCAATTCACACAACTCCTACGAGTTTTGTGAAATTTTCGACTGTTCAAAGATTCTTTTCATGCAAAAGATGAGGCGTTTTTACCCTCAAAAAAACTCTTTCGAAATTCAGGAATTCACGAAATATTGCATCGGAAACTCTTTTATGACCTAAATCTAGGGACCGCAGACGAATTTTCAAAAAAAATTTTTCAGCATTGAGCTTTGTATGGTTTGATAGCTGTTTCGATTTAAAACTCAGAACCGTTTAGTTTTTCGAAAAAGATCGAGGATGAAAAAAGTTATGACGAGAAATGTGGCGCGCCGCGCACCATTTTTTTAGTACTGAAATTTTGGTATTATCCATTTTTGACATTTTTCTCGATTTTTCTTCTAGAACAAGTTTTGATACTGGTCTATTATGATGTAACAAATCATAATAGAGTGCTAAAATGATAAAAATTTGCTAATTTGCCGTAAAAGTCGGAATTTTCCAGAAAACAAAAAACTGGCGCTTGCGGGCATCGAACTCGCGATCTCAAAATGAAAAATCGCAGCGCACGCGCTGCGCCAAGCTGTTAAGTCTAGCGAGGGGAGCTTCCATCCGCCATACCCTTGAGCCGTTTGAATAGCACAGATTGCCTATTTCAAAAATAAAAACTTGAAGTAATTAAGCTATTTTTATCAGAATATGTTCGCAAATCTTCACTCAAACTTTCCGTGAAAATTCACTTCGAAAAAAACTGTTTTTTTAGTGCTTTTTTTCCTCGTTTAACGATCGCTGCATTAAAAAGGGCCCCGTAAATTTTTTTGGCAAAGACGAATTTTTTTATTTTATTCTTTTAATTGAAAGATTTTTTACTAATAAGTGCATATAATCGTTTAAAAAACCTGCGTTCGACCGCTTTCTGTATGATAAACGCCGCTAATTTTATTCTCTAGTTTCAAGAGCATTTTTTTGCGTATTAAACAACTTTTTTTCAAGCACATATTCTGTGGAGAAATATTTAAAGTAAGCCCGTGATCTAAATTTTGAAAAAAAGAAAAAAACTCGATTATATTCGCATATTAACGATATTTTGAATTACGACTTTCGGCACTCCCTAAAAATTTTTTTGGCAAAGACAAATTTTTTTTATTTTATTGTTTTAAAAATTACCGTTACTTGAATCAAAAACCATTATTTAAAAAAAGAAAGAGTGCGTTCGACCTGAAAACACATGAAAAAGCAAAAAACGACAAAATTTTTTAGTTGCATTCACGTTTTTGTACGACATTCCGCGCGAACGCATCAAAAAAGCGTGAAATATTTTTTAAACGAAAGAGGAAGCTTTTCTGTACATGTGTGCCAAAATTTATTATCCAGTTCCACATATTTTGCAACTACAGCAAAATGAAAGTTGAAAACCAAAAAAAAAAGCCACTTTTTCTATCGCGAAAAGGGGCGTGGCTTTGCGGTCGAGAGAGACAAGGAGAGATAAGAGAGCGCAGACAAGTCAGTATTTAAAGCCCTAGCGAATGAAGTATCTGTATACAACAACATATCTTCTATTCATTTTTCGGGATTACTTTTCTTTTCATTAAGATGTGTTTTAGCCATTCTGCAGAAAGGAAATTACCTTACTTCTCGGTATGAATCAGGTAAATCGACACCCAACCATAATTCAGTTTTTGTGAGTACCCAGCCCGAGCAATCGGAAGGTTCATCGCGGAAAGCCGGATTTGCGGCCAACCTGAACCGGCACGACCGGCTAATGAGAAGTTGGATCGCTTCTCAAACTGGCACCTTGGTCGAGGACACGGCACAAAACGTAGGATGAAGAAGAAGAAGGAAAAAATTTGGACAGGCTCAGGCCTAATTGTTTTTGCAATTGCCGAGCGGCGGTCCTTTTGGGGCCAAGTGCACGCAACAACTCATTAACCTGCCGCATATGTTCAGGCGATTAGAGCGACCGACTCGGATTGCACCGCCCATCGGCAGGTTAACGACGCTTGGGACTTTGGCGGCTTGTCGGGGTCCCAAGTTGGCGCTCAAGTGTGAGCTTCCGGTGAAAGAGGTTCCAGCCTCGCACTTCCTTTCGGCTTCGGGTGTCGATTGTGGGATCTTGGCCGGTTAATTGGAGTCAGACTCACCTTTACCTGTTTAACCCTGCCTCATCTAATTACTTTTATTTGAGGTGACTAAACACTTCTGGGTTTCAAGGTTAGCACTGATCACATTTTTAAAAAAACCTTCAAAAAATGGAGATAATTAAGCTTTTATGGAGCCTTATTTACACTGATTTCCCCAACCTTTCTTGTATTTTTCTGAACTTCCAAAAGCTTTTTGTTTTTACTCTTATTTTTAACTTTAGTGTCGGTTTTTTCGTTTTCTGAAAATAAGCTGACTAAAATTATCCGCTTTAAAAAAATCTGCAGTTTAAGAAAAAAATCTACGGTTTTGTGAACAAAAAGTTTTTTTGAGTTACAAACGTATTCGCCGAGATTTTTTTCGATGTTTTTTTGGATTGACTAAAACTTTCGCATTATAGGTTCAAAAAAAGTTATACAAAAATATTTTTTTCCAGTGCTTTTATGGTCAGAAAACTGAGATTTTTTAAGAATACTTCGATCAGAAAAAGTTGTTTTTGAAAATTCAAATTTTGAGTTTCCAGCCCAGTTGTTCGATCATTTTCGTTCCTTTTTGAATGCTTTTCAAGCTTCAAATTACTGGAAAATAGCTTCGGGGCCTAGTAGTTCGGCTTCTAGTTTTGATGTGATTAAATTCTTTTGGGTGAGGAAGGGGAATGAGTCAGAGATGATCAGACTTCCTGTTGATAATTCAACTGGCTTCTCTTCTTCGATTTTTTTTGTGAATTTTGACCCTGTCTTTTTTTGAATCTCATATTTCATATCTAAGTTTGCCAAAAAATTCTTTACATTACGTCGTGATGTCATAAATTGCATACGGCCTTATCAATTATGAAAAAAACCCCAGGAAAGCATTTTTTCTCTTCGTTTTCATACTTTCAAAAGCCACAATTCATAAGAAACCTGAAATTTCATTTCAAAAAGCTTTTGGAAGTACACAAGTACAAAAGAAATTCTAGACTTATAAAAAGAAATATTGCCGGTTCAAAACGGGACTCGTGTTACCATTAGCCTGGAAACGGAAGAACCTCATTAGCTGATCCATCGGCTGAATCCAGACAAATCCTCATAAGCTTGGCAGAACAATAGTGTCAGATATCAGGTCGTGCTCATCCTCGGAGAGCACGACATGATGTTGCGCGGTAATCCGCGGATCCCGCTGCGAGTCGGTTGCTCTCGGCACGTCTGTGTTCAGCACAGCAACTGACACTGACAAGTTGGGCCGAGGCTAAGCCAATTAGCTCGGCTGGGCGTCCAGGAAAAACCAGCGCCGAGGTGTCAGTTGTGACCAATTAGGTCAGTTAACGGATGGTGAGTCGAGAAAACTTTTTTTTTTTGGTGAAGAAAGAAGCAGAGGGTACGGTAAGTCTATTTGCAGAAGCTCTCTGAGTTATTATTCGCTTAGATAGTAATTGGTTTGAGTAAAAAAGAAGTGAAAATAACTTCCAGAAAAAGACCATGTTTAGGTAGACTAAATGATAAACTTTTTATATTATAAAAAAATGTTCTGTGAAAGGAAAAATATTTATTTTTTTTGGTTGGAACGAGTCTCGGTCTTCAGTGAAAATAATTTATCAGCTTTAATCTTGAGAAGCTTCAGTTTATTTTGTTTTAAAAAAATCAATCGAAAAACTTTGTGCTCGAGAGGTAAAAATATACCCTAGAGCAGAATTTGATGATCTTTTTTTCTGAAGCTAAAGGGAGAAAATCATTCTTCGACAACGTGGAAAAGGCTAAAAATTCCAACAAAAAAACCTGAAAAAAATGCAGTGTCTGTTTGAAAAAGTGGGATCAAGTGGAAGAACAACAACACGACATCGTTTGAGTTTCGCAGGACACCTGCGTGAGGTCGTTACCGAGCCTCAACGAGGCGGAAAATCGGACAGAACACGGCCTTCGACGCCGTTGCCTTTTTCGCACAGCCGTGACGCAACCGCAGCCGTTACGTCACCGCCGAGGGATCCGCCCTTGGTCGTCAAAATCACTTGCGAGTTTATTAAACGATGATATTATAAACAACAAAACAAGGTCAAACTGTGGGAAGGGATTTCGGAATGGCATCTTTTCTTGGCTGAGAAGAGGAGTCGACAATTTAAAGGTTCTTATATGCAATTCAATTTTACTATTCGTGGAATTTCAGAAACGTTCTGGTAGATCTTGGAATGTTTTGGATCGCATTTAAGAACCCTAAATATTCATGCATATGCCCTAAAGACTGTGCGCAAGCTCTTGATTAATGAAATCGAAAAAAATTTGATTTGATAAAGTTATTTTAGTAAAGCTCATTGATTAACGCTAAATTCGAATCTCTAACGAGAAAGTTGAGCTAACATTTTTTTTTGGTTGGAAAACGCTTCAAAGTCAAAGAAATTGATGAGCAAGCGCACAGGCTGTCAGGATATTTGAAGAAAGAAGGGAAGGTAGCAAGACTTCATAAAAAAATCTTATAGTGAAAAATCTACAAAGGTTCACAGGAAATAAAATGAATAAACTTTCCATTCATGATAAAAAGAAGTTCGAGAAGCGAGAATATATTGAAAAGACACGTCTAACGAAGAATCTTAAAGTTTTCTCTTTAAATTCAGAACCTGGGATAAGAAGGGCCGACTAAAAAAATACATAAATAAATTTTTTTAAACTATAAAGTCTAAAAATCTAGAAACACTCAAAAAATCTGGAATCTTTGTTTAAAAAAAAATAGAAGATGAAGAAGATTATATACTCCCCTGGCTTGTAAAGCAAAAGCGGTGAATGAACTAAAAGTATCTTAAAGTAGATTCTCGAGAAACCCGAATAGACTGCCTAGACGCAGGGACTAAACTCTTGAAAAAATGGGAGAAAAAGGGATACTAACAATCTCCTTTCCTTGGGAAGGAGCTTCAGAAGACTTTTTCTAAGCTGCGCAGAAGCCGCAGGTCCTGGCGCAGTCACGACGCATGTAGATGGAGGAGATGCGGCACACGTCCGGTGTCGTCGAACGCCACGCCGCGCACCACGGCGACTTGTCCAGGCACACCTTCAAGTGACGTCATCTCCTCGTCACTTCGTCAATCTACTCACCAATGACGTCACCGTCGCTGATCGTCCTCCGTTGACTTCGGTCGAGCCGCGGCTGGTCCCTCCTATCCCTGAATTCCCGTGGGTGACGTCATGAATGAGGAATTTTGGCGCGAAAAGCGTGTTTTATCAAGAACATTTACTTTTTTCTCAGAAGTACCACTGCTCTATCTTACATCACTGCCAAGAAATAAAAAACAATCTTCTCGAATATTCTTGAACCGCGATAAGAACGTTCAATCTCACAATGTTCCTAACTCGGACAAAAAAACTTTCAAGGCGCGCGAAACTCAGAAGACTCCAAAAAGTTTGCCCTATAAGAGAAAAGTCATTTTCAGCTTGTTTAAAAGGTTCTTCTTATTTCTGGAGAGGCCGTGTAATTCGAAAAATTTACAATGAAGATTCTGAAATTTCTATGAAAATGCTCAAATAGGAATATTATTAGAGAACTTTTTCCCATCACAAAATGAATGCCGTGTTCAAAGTGATTCAGCGAAATCCAAAATAACTGTCAGAGAGTGTTAGAGACAAATTAACTTTAGTGGGTCATAGAACTTTTTGCATTTTGCGGAAATGACTTTGAACACGGCATAAAATTTCCAGCAGTTTCAAATCAGAATTATTGCACTATTTTTGGTAGAATGTGTACTTACTAGTTAAACTTCATTCTGAAACATCTATATTTCAACTTTTCTAACAGTTTCTGATGGTAGCACCAACCTCAAAAAGATTTCGAATAATAGAAAAATCCATTGAACAGAAACCATTAATCGCCTATTATGTGATTTTTTGCTTCAAAAAAACCAAAATTTACGGACAAATGGACGAATCTAACAGTCATTTATGCAGGTTAAATTTCTACCACTCGCATTCGCTTACAGCATCAAAAAAGTAATCCGATCTTATTTTCGAGTCATTTTTCTTTTTTCGAAACTTAATAATTTTTTGCCAACAAAATTGTTCAGATTGAGCATGTGTGCTCTCTTTTGCCTCAACTTAAAAGGTACAGACAAGTTTGATAAAGTAAGATTGATTTAAGCTTTAACTGAAAAATCGGATTCTTTTTTTAAGGCTAATTTTGACAAGACGACACTTCCACTAAAATTTGACAGAACTCTATCATTTGCAAAAGCAGGCATGAAAAAAAGCAAGCAAAGGATCTGAATAATCGAGCTTACTAGGCCTAGACGTGTTGCGAATACGTCCGATGCGCTGTCGTTGCCGAAGACGTTGGGCGATTGTTGAACTTCTGGAGTTGTTGACGATGACCTGCGAGAAGACGTGCAAGAATCTGGAGACGTCAGAAGGGTTACCGCGCGATTCTGGCTAGTTGGTCGAGGACGACGGGCCGACGTGGCGACTGGCGTCAACCTCGCACCTTCAACTTCCTCATCATCAGCCTCGCTGTCGTGTTCGACGAGCACGACATCGTCAGTGACGTCATGCAAAGGGGGGCTAAGCAAGGCGGTTGGCGGAGCGGTCGTGTAGACGAACGTGCCGATGGACACGAATTTGAAGCGCCGCTTGCCGAGAACGTAAGAGACGTCAAGCAATGGGGCAGGCGTGCTTGGCGCGAAAAGCGGCGTGTCCGAGACTGGTGCCTCCAGAATCGGCTCCAGCGTCGTCGTCGTCGTCGTCGTCGATCCTGTGGTCGTCGCTTCTGAAGTCGTCGCTTCTCTTGTTGAATTAGTAGCTGTTGTAGTCGTCTCTGATGTCGTTGACGTCGACGTCGACGTAGAAGGGATTCTGACCGATTCTGGCGAAAATTTCAAAGCATTCGACAACAAAGGATCAAAAACTGAAGCAAGCATTGCAAGGCAAAACGTGTGTGGCTTTTAGGAAGTAATGGTGTCAGTTTGAGACCTGTGCTTCGTGGAACTCGGTCCAGGACGGCCTTCGCGACGACTCTTATCCCGTTCCACGTCTCCTTGGCTGTTGGGATCAGTTGGCGTTGATCCAGGATGAAGCCGTCCCATACTAAAAAAAAAGTACTATGAATATCCGGAAAAACAGGATTCATCAAAGTTTTGAACATATGAAGTTTCTGGCTAAACAATGAAAATTTAAGGCGAAATACACTTGGGCTGCGTTCTCAAAATCAGTTTTTTAACAATTCTTTTTTTCAAAAAAATTTCCTATTTGGAATAAACTTACACATAAACTTCAGTTCAGCCTTCACCCAGAGTCTCTAAAAAAAGTTATTGTTCGATTTACCGCGTAACGAATTTTTCCCCTCTATTCCTCGAAGGCTGAACTGATTTTTTTATTTTTAATATATATTTTTACTTCTTTCTTACTTTTTTTATTTAATTTGTATATCAAAGTGAACTCGTTGGGGTTCACACTGATCTGTATATAAATTACTACTATTCTTTAAAAAAAGTGAAAAATGCTTTTAACTTTATACCTTCCTCTCCAGGTCGAAGCTCAACGAGATAGACATATTTGGCACCACCTTTGCCTTTCGCCCAATCATCAGAACCACCAGCCGATGGATCTGAACGAAAACTTGATCAAAATCAGTTAGGAGCGATATTAGATGGATTATTAACGAGTTATTTTGAGCCTCCGGTATTTGTACAGCTTGCCTCGCGTAATATGACAAGATATTTATTATTGGGACGTTCTGGAACGGGCTTTGGGCTTCTTCTTTAAGAAAAAGCCTGCGCGGGCATCATCAGTGAAAAACTAGAAAAAAGGATATAATTCATATTATTTATATAATAAAAAAACTTCAAACTTCATCATCAAATTTAATTTGGCTCTAAGTTACACGAATTATGTTTCTAAAAGAGGAAAAAAAGATACAAAACCGCGGAAGAAAAAACTATTTTGAAAAGTTTTTTAGGGTCTCTAATAGCTCTAAATTTTGCGACAGGACGCAAAGTTGTATTCAGAATAAAAATGTCATCCTCTGCAAAAAAAAAACGTGAGCCCCGTGGCAAGGTCTCATTTTTCTGATATCGAAAAAATAACACTTACAAAAAACCACGTGACAACGTGTCATTTCATCCTTTTTGACCTGGATTCAAATATCCTTTCTCCTTCCCTTACGACTCGTCTTGCTTCTGCACTTCAACGTCTGATAAGTTTTGAACATCCATTTTCTAAGTTGTTTATGAGTTCCTAAGTTGTAAGCGCTAGTAGATTAGGCCTGCGGGACTCCCGGGGTGCCGATCCTCTTTGCTTGCGAATTGGATACGCAAAGTCACGCCGAAGCCCATTCCGGTGGCCGAAGCACAAACTGTTGGCAGCGCGATGCTGACAAAGCGATGATGGGACCCCCGCGGAAAATGCCGTCACGGCTTTCGGCGTCTAGGATTCTTAGTTCTGACAAGGCCGAGCGGAGCTCTAGCGTACCGCCTAGTTAGTTCTTCTGACTGCTTAAAGCTTACCTAACTTACTTAAGACTTTACATAGATAATCAGTCAAACATTGCGATTCTAATAATGCAATCGACTTGCTTTTTTTTTGCAATGTTGAATTTATTGCAGAAAACTTTCGAAGAACTTGTTGTGATCATTCCATAAAAATTCGACGGCGCTAGATCCAAGGCGGACGGAGTTCGATCAACTGCGAGGCCGGCCATACAATATCAGGTATCAGCCCAATGCTCTAAAAAGCAGCTGAGGGTTTTTTTCTGTGTTTAATTTCAAAGAAGGAAAAAAAAGAAGAGTAAATTCACAATGAGTGGAATCGCTCTTCACTAGTACAAAGAATGAAATTATTGTTTGTTCAAAACTATTGACACCTAAGTGTACCTGTTCAAAGCAGACTAGTCAGGCTTTTGCGAGGTTCAGATTGTCAACCTATACGGACGCGTATCGGACGTTTCGCGGCATTTCTAGTGACCACTTTAGTTGCGTCAGCATTCTTAAGGGATTTAGAGTTTATCAGAAACGTGTAGGGCATGTCTGTTTCGTGATACCAATGTCCGAGAAGATAAAAGAAAAAAAATTATTGGTGTGAAAAAGCGCGCCCCAATAATAAATCTATTGTCAATTTACCTGAGGCAAGCTGTAAAAATACCGAGGGCTGTGTTTTAAAAACCAGCATTTCTATCATGGTAACCTCCCACAAAGTTATACGAAAACGCGAAAAATAATCGAATCGAAAAACGAGAAAGTTTTCAAAAAAAAAAGAATGATCGAAAAATGATCGAAAAAAAAATTACTGAGAGCTATGGTGCTCTATCGATGCGGAGCGTCGAAAATTGTTTTTTTTTTCCTTTTTTTTTTCGAAGTTTTTTTTTCAAAGTTTCTTTTATAAAATTTAGTCAACTATATATATACCTCATTCCATTCAGCTTGATACACCATAAATCACACTTTTCCATAACTTTTTTTTTGGGAGTTTGAAAAGAAGGTTCTGATTTTAAGAAAAAAAAAAGACAAACATAAAATGTCTGCGCCAGTTCCAAAACGATATCGCGTTCCGAACGTCTTTTCTAAAGCTGAAACTGCAGCTCGACCAACTTCCTCCTCAAATGGTCAAAGTCAGTTGAATTTCAATTCTCATGGTACAATTTCGCGAATGTCTTCAGGAACCGTCTTTCTTTGGTGAGAATAAGGATGGATCCACATTTGGGAGTATGTGTGCAACGTCAGGAATGCGTCCACTTTGCCTTTGACTTCTTTCGAAAGCATCAAGTCTCGTACGGCTCTGAAAATATTTTCCAGGTTAGGTTTATTGTTTTTTAGTGCAACTATAGTTGATAAGTTTCAAAAAAGGTTACTTGAGATTTTTTCCGCAGTTTTTCTTGATTTTTCCGTAATTGTCGATGATATTTTTTTTCCAGCATGTTAGCCCAAGTGTGAAAAAAATTTTTGTAAGAAATTGTAAACCTAATCCATAAAAAAATTTCCAAATATTCCGAAAAATAGAAAAAGATTTTTTTCGAACTCTCACTTTATTTTTTTGAGTCTTAGAATTCGTACATTTTCATTAAAAAAATGAAGAAAAATATTTTTTTCTCAAAAGCATTTTTTCGACTTTGAGGCTTCATTATGAAACGCAACGTTTTTTTCGATATTTCTTTTTTTTTCATCATCACCTTGATTCGGCCTCACTGAAGGGACCAGATCCTTGGTAGATTTCTGAGCATTTCTCATCACTTGATCCGAGTTCTGAATTTTATTTCTTTTCTCTTTTTCACAAGCTTTTTCCCGGGAACCTCCAAAGAACCAGTCAAAGTTCCTGTTTAAGTCAACTCCTCCACAGCAACGATCCCGGAACCACCTGTCTTTCTTACAGAAAACGCCTGCGCGATTCTTCCTCCACAAGCGAACCTCAAGTTCATTTTTTTTTTTTGCTTTAATTTAAAGATAATGTTCTACCATCGGCGAAATATCACTGCGAGAAAACTCATAACCGTCAGGATTGAGCACTGGGATGATGTAGAAGTGAATGTTCTCAATGGAAGAGCGGACGATCGGATCTTCGTCGTAGTCCGCGATTAGCTGCAGTTCCACTTTATTCATTTACTTCAGATAGATTTTTCAAGGGAAATGAAAAGTTTTGAAATCTAGAAATATTCATACTCGATCGATAAAGTAGACGACGGTGTGAACGGCCGCCCATTCACGAGCATGAATTCCTCCGTCGATCCAGAAGATCCTCTTGTCCGTCCTAGACACATCTTTACCGATCTGAAAGTTTCCATGCCGATTTTTCCCTTCATTCTATTTCGAAGATGTCGAATTTCCTAGTGAAAACTGTCGTTTCTAAAATTTGACACAGATATTTTGACAGGCTCATAAATCTCAACAATAATCGATTGAAAAAAGTTTTCAACTTTCCATCCAGCTGAGAGCTTTTAAAAAGAAGCTCTTGTTAAGGTATCTGGTAGAGTCTAGAAGTTTTTTCTTAAAAAATACCAAATGATTTTTCCAAAGATTCACCTTGATTCCATAAATGGACCTCCCTTCGTGAGTCGTTCCCATGTCGAAGACCTTGGCTCGGTCAGGATACTTCCTTTCGACGTCACGCATGTAGCCGACGATCGTGTCGTAAGAGTGATACTCACCAAACGCGTACTGTTAGGAAAAGAGTGATAAAAGCTAGGAAACAATCTGTACCCTGGCCCTGTTGCTGTTCTCGCTATTGAGTCGTTTCTCAAAGTTTAACCGTCGCGGCTTTCTTTCTCGTTGCATTATCAACCTATGGAATTGGTTCTAATTTCATAGAAGCTCCCAGAAACCTCTCGACGTCATCAATGGTGACGTCATACGTGATGTTGTTGGCACGAAGAGTCTCGGAGAGCCATTCCAACTGCGAATCCGGTACCATAATATCGGCCTTGTGTCCAACCGCCATCGGTGTCAACCAGAAGTCCAGCTGTAGGAAACATTGAATTTGGCTGAGAAATGCGAAAATATTTGAACTTGTATTACAAATTTTCATAGAGAAAATTTTAATGAACCTCAAATTGGTGGGATTTCTCATAGAGAGCCCTTAGAGCGATCAATTGATCCAAGTCGTCTGTAGAAGCGCGCAATACTGAGAACTTTCTGGAAATGACTGTTTTTTCATAGTTTTTCCTCTTTTTTTTTCTCAGAGCCCTACCTTTCAACATAAATATCTTTCTAGATCATAGTTAAAAATCTTGTAAATAAGATATCCTATAAAAACTGAGCATTTTGCAAAGAGGCGAAAAAGGAAGTATTAGGAAGTTGTTCAAGGTGTAAAATATCGTTCTCAAACTTTATAAGGACGGAGTCCCAGGAAAGAGTACTCGCAAAAAAAGAGAAAAAATCAGCTAACATCTTAGGCGTAGAATGCCTAGAAAAGTTTGGGGAATATTTTCAGAAAATGATTTTATTCTGTAAACGGCTCATTATTGGATTTACAAGCGCCGGGTTTACCAATTTTTTTTGTTCGAATTTTTTTCTGAGTTTTTTTCCTAGGACCCCATACATCAAAAAAACCGATTTTTTTAAATCTTTTTCTAGAGAAAAAAAGAGCGTTGCAGCTTAGAGTAAATGCTGTTAATGAAACAGGTGCACCCGTTGTGCTTAGGCCAATATTTAATGGCAAGTCGGTTTTTTTTATCATCTTTTTTTTTGCATTTTTTTTCTACTATTCATGCAATTAAGATGAGATTCAGAAGTTTAGAAAATTTTTTTCAGTTCTGAACCTATTGTTTGGCTGCGGATCAAACTCGACGACCGCCCAGACGACGGCTGCGACGCCGAGCAGAAGCACGAGAACGGCTTCTGTCAGGCGCATCTTCGTCTTGGTCCCAAGCGCCGGTCTGAACCTTTCTTTGCTTCTTGGAACAAACGGCAGGATAGGTGAAACGCTCATAACGTAGAAGCTAGTTTTTTTCCAAGTTATTTGAATCAGGGTAAAAAAAAAGAAGCAAAAGATATAAAATTGAGATAGAGAGGATTTTTGACCCCAAAGGAAATTTTTAAAAGTTTATTATTTGTAGTTATTATCCTGACAATTTCAGAAATTCATAAATAACGAACATCTTGAGTTTGTATATTTTTCCATTAAATCAGAGCTCAAGAAATGAAGTTGGAAAAGTCTTTTTTTATTGATTTGCGACGGATTTAATCAGTCTGACCTGCCTGCACTCTCTTTCTATTACCGGTGAGGTTATAAAAACAAAAATGGTGAAAACAGGGAGAGAAAGAGAGAAAGAAAGAGAGAAGAGTACCCAGAAACGCCAAACTTTCATAATTTGTGGTGAATGAAATATAAATTAAACTGAAATGAGCTTCAGGTGAACTATTTAGAAACATATCGAACTTATTGCTCATGTTACAAGAAACAGTTCAAAATTTTTCCATTTTTGATTTATTTGAGTTCAAATAAAGCTTAAGATATAGGAAAGCTGACGGTTTTAGTACTTTCAAAAATGAGACTAAAAATCAAAATTATATGAAAAAAAAAACTACTAATGGACAACAAATACGAGAGTAGACATCATAAGACGAAGCATCACGATAAGACAAAAACAGCCAAAAACACGAGAAAATTCCGGTTTTCCCAAAAAATTTGCCTGATTTTTCGGGCCATCAGAAAAGGAAAAAAAAGACAGAGTTTACGATCGCAAGGATCATTTCTCAAGTGTTTATGACAATGACCACTACGGAAATTGTTTGAAACAGGGAAGCCTCAGCAGAAGAGAGAAAAGGAATGCGTGAAGGTAACCAGTTGAGAAAACGGTTTTGCGTTGAAGGAAACAATGGGGAGAACCTACACACCTAGGCATTAAAGGGCACACGCAGTAATTTTCCTTTTGAACCCTTTTCAGAGAAAAAATTTCGCTTTCAGAACGGTTCTCAACACGAGTAAAGTGCCAAAAATTAGGCTGAAGCAGGTTGAAAAAACGAGTTGAACGGCGGTCGCAATGGTAAATGAAAAAGCGCGGGAAAGCGGGTAAAAAAAGTAATGAAAGTTCCGCTCGTACCTAGGAAAACTCCGATCTATGGAAAAAATTATGTCCATTTACCACGACTTGAAACTGTCTAATGTGTCTGTGCTTTCCTGTGACTGAAATATGAGCCCTCATCAAGAGAAAGAGAGGAGGGCGCAGATATGTCAGACTTTTTCAAGTCGTTTGAAATGAAGTAAACTTAATCTTTCTCACAAAGATCGAATAAAATTATAATAATGACTTCCGACAACGACGACAAAAATTTATGAGCCGTATTTGTCGCTAGCAATTATGATTTTCCGCCCTACGCGGTACATAAACTCGCTAGCGTTGAATCGGAAGATCAATCCGATTAAAAATAACCGAAAAAACGTTAGTTTCCAAGCAATCGGATCGGAATGCGACAAAAAAAATGTCCTTGAACGGGTGACAAAAAAGTCTGCCATGGCTGAGTAGGAGTACGAGAATCTCAGAAAAAAAAGAACATTGATTTATATTTCATGGAAGGTTGACCGCGATGGTGTTTTCTTAATCGGAGAAGCAGTAGTTGAAGAACTGTGGTTAATTCAAACATTAGTCACATTGAAGTCTCATCAGCTTCTGAAAGTAAGCAATTTCGTGCTCCAAGGTTTTGGGGTTTAAAGGGACATTTGCAAATTTCAAAAAGGATTACATTTTTTTTGTAAAAAAAAACCACTTTAGGACTTTATGTTAGGTCAGAGGTTTCAAAGAAATTTCGAAGTTCAAAAGTTTGTCTTTTGAAAAAAGGTCAACCTACTTGAAAATTCTGCACATTCGAATTTAAGCCAAGGTCTCCGATGAAAAGATAGGTTTGAGAATGGCATCAATGAACAAACACAAAGGCAAAAGGTCAAATCTATCAGGGAAATTTCTTCAAAATTCTCAGTAATATTTGGAATTCCATATGTATAGGAGACACCAGTAAACAATGAACTAGAATATTAAAAGAAAAAGATACTAAGTTTTAAGCAAAAAAGGCAACTCTTGAAGACGTTTTATGACAAAGGCGATTTTTAGAAAGGTCTGCCGATCTGAAGTGGAAGAAAACGAGTGCTTGAAGAAGCGAAGTGCCAAGCCTCATACGAGTTCGGCTTGGCTTCGAACTTCAACCTGGCAACTGGATGAGGTCGACAAGAAAGGACTTCTGAGGCGATTGGCAGGTCCGAGGCAAAGGAAACAAGGCGATGCAACGGCCGTAGGTTGCATGGCAAACTGGATAGGCAGTTGGGAGAAAAAAAAAGAAGAAGGAAGAAGTCGGCGGCGTCTTCTTCTCTCCGCTCTCTTCGTCGGTCTTGAGAAGAAAGGAAAAGCGCGCAGGTGGTGGCCGTCTGTGATGATAGGCGGCCCAATCGAAATTGGCCCGAACCGACGGCTAAAACAACTTTTTGCCCGACGGCAGTCTTGAGAGGAGAAACAGATTAGCCGTCGACGGTGATCTTGGTCAAAGATATTGGCAAAGGTTCGACGACGTAATTAGATGTCGGAAGGGCTTTGGAATCAAGCCGACGCTGTTGCTGACCTGCAGGTAATTTTTATCTAAAGCTTCAGAACTTTCCGAAAATCTTACAGAACGCTTTTCGATAGTATTAGATGATATTTTCAAAGTTCTTAACCGTCACAGCTTTCTCATTTTCGTGAAAAGGTTTTTGGATATCTTTCTCAAAAACTAGGAGTTCTTGCTCATGGAGACTTCCAGCAGGTTGATTTACATTGTAGAAAGATTTGTTGGACACTCGAATTCATGTATAATAACACTCTTTCTTAATGTTATTCTGGTTATAAGGATTCAAGCGGGCTTAATGCCACTTCACTTCATCTTATGACCTTTTTTGTAGAGGGAAAAGCCAGCCTTTTTTATAAGTCCAAGGTAAGCTCAATATTGAAGCTTGAGAGCAAACAATCAAGTTTCATTTCTTATTTAATTAGAAGAGTTGTGCAAAGGTTAATGGCTTCCCATAGGAAAAGGCGGCGTAGAATGATTTTTTTTTCCTTTTTTTAAATGGTTGGATTACTCAAAAAAAAAAATTTAAGTTAATGGTTAAAAAGATCTTAATTAGAAGTTAGAACGCTTTCTGAAGGCTGAAAATAAGAGCTGAAGATACACTGTAGCTTTTATCCACGGCAACTTATATGTTTAGGTTAATAATATTTTATTCACTACCATTAACAGAATCTAACAGAAAATATTTCTAAAAAAAAAGTGATGTCTGAACAATTTTTTTACGGTTGAACTTTTCAGAAAAAAAAAAGCTTCAAATACATTTGACTCAAGTTTTCGGACTTCTCGTAGACTTCAAACGAATTATTCAGTAAAACGAAAAAATAAGCCGAAATCTGAACATGTTTTGTAGAAACGGGAGAACTTTCAACAAGAACGAGTCGAGAAGAAACTTGGTGGGAGCAAGTCAGTCGGAATAAAAAAAACGCGGCGAAAACCAGAAGCGTCGAGATTTGGACCCTTTTTAGGAGCCCTTTGGCACCATTTGAGACACGATGCTAATCTCGACGCGAACCGGCCGACGATGGGCGGAACCTCGACTGCAGCCAAAGCTCCCGAGGCGATGGAGGCGGATTTCGTGGGCGGCTGGGTCACACGCCCACTTGCTCCGGCCCAGCTTCGGTTAAGTCCTGAGTTAAGTCCTAGGTTCCCGCTCTTACTTCTTTGTACTCCCGTTTAGTATCGGATACCGTAGTCTCAAATTCGCCCCGTTTAGTATCGGATACCGTAGTCTCAAATTGTTTTTCTTTCGGGAAGTGCCATGTGAGAATCATCGCAACTTCTATAGTAGATAAACCAAGGAAAGAAAAAACTCAGAACGAAAGTTAAAAAAGATTTTAAATGTGAAAGGAGTGTGAGAGAGGATAGAAGGCTTAAAAACTTTCGCACCAATTTTTGTTTGAAACTTATAGCAAGCTTGAAATTTTTTCCAAAACAGACGCTTCCCAGTAAGCTCTTCTGATGGATAGGCAAAACAATATAACTTTTACGCTCCTTCTTCTTTAAAAAAACCAGAAAATGACGAAATTTTTAAATGAAATTCCCTGCTTTTTTGAGAATGAAACCAATTTTTTGAGTTTTAATTTTCCTAAACTCTTCACAGAGCTCTTTTGTCTATTTTGAAGCGAATTTTTTTGGAACCAGCGTGAAAAAAACTGACTCTAAAAAAATCTACCGTTTTGATAACAACGCTCCTGATAAATTCTGATAGAAAAACACAAAAAAAGAAATCAGAAGGTTTTTTTCTGTTATAAAAATTTTTTTCATCTTGATGTTTTTTTCTTGATTATCTTCTGATCTGCGTTGCCCTCCCAATAAAAAAACTTTTATCGAAAAACATTTGATAGTGATTGTCCATGCAAGGTCACACTAAAAATGATGAATCAAAACGTAGTTTTATCTATCCAAACTCCAAAATTTATCAGAATTCTTGTCTTATTCTTGTTATTTGGCAAGCCATTGCAATGAAGGGGGAACTGTGAGCATGTAGGCGTGATCGTAGACATAAATTCTCTTGTCGAAGGGATTGTAGGAGATCATGTTGGCGTTCTTGTAGAGGTTGATCCATTTGAAGTTGGGCGAACCGTAGACGAGCCGGTAGAAGTCGAAAGATGTTGAGACGAACGATGACTGCTGTGTCGAGTCGTCGACCTGAAGATTTGGAGTTCAAATGAAGTTTCTAAATTATACCTCACAGGTCACACCTGGAAAAAGTTTGACCTGTCTTCGCTCTCATTTTTACGTTCTTTTATTTTCGTCTTTTAGACAAATAAGACTGTTGATAGTTCAGGCTGCTCCAAATCGTATCAAATGAGCTTAGTTAAAAGCTCTTCAGTGAAAGCTTAGAATTGTCGAACAGATTTGGCGACCGCACTTTTTATTTACATTTTTAAAACCTTAAAATTTCGCTCTAGCTGACTTTACCATGTTTCTCATTGGCTCTAGACCAACAGCGAAAAATTAGCCAATCACAGACGCAGCTCTCTAGAGCACACTTCCAAGATTTTAAGAAAAGAAAAGTACCAAATAAATCTTTCCGCAGATAACGAACGCGTTGCCGATTTGGGTATGATTCACCAAAGTCAGATTGAAAATGTCGACAATTGTGAAGTTACTCAGATCGACCTGATTTTATATCTGCATGGCTCTTTTTCATTGTAGTTTACCTTGGCCACAGAGAGGAATTCTTCCTTTTTGTAGTGGAAGCCAACCCAAAGAGCGTTTTCATCGATGGAAATGTCAAAGTAGGCCATCGATTGATTGTAGAGGTACTGGAAAAACATCAATTTAAGTTCATTGTATTAGAAGAGTTGTCCAAAAAAGATAAGTTTCATTGAAATCCAATTTCTTTCTTGTTATAAGGAATTTGCGGGTGCACAAAGAAAGGCTCAACGCGTAGCGGCTCCGAAGCGGTTAATATGAAGACTTACGAATCTTACTGTCAACTTGAATGCAAACTTCAAAGTTCTGACTTGGAAAACGCGTTGAACCATCCCCACAGGCGAAAGAAAAAAAGTATTTCTTTGCAAGTGAAGGACGTTTTCAAGCTTATCAGAGTGTTACCTTGATCTTAACTTTTCTTTTTTTTTTAATTATAGAATTTCAACTTTTTTCAACGATAATAGAAAAAAACGCACTTCATCTCCTCGATAAGCTGCACCATTTATTGTGAGCTGTTGATAGTTTCGAGAGGACAGTTCGTATTTGGCAATGATCGGATGGCCGGCGCGATGGTAGAAGACTGAGCCGTTGAACATGACGTGGTTAGTTCCGTCAAATATGTACGGCAGGCGGTGACTTCAATCAATTTTGTCCGTTTAGTGAAGTTGCTCTAACGCTGATTCATTTTTTTTTCCAATCTCAAGCAGTTAGAGCCCGAGGCGTTCTCCGAAATTTGTGTATAAGATTTCACGAATTTTGAAAAATAAAACGAACACTTTGCTGACGTGTTCCCTGCGCATTTCGGCCTCGGTGCTGTACTCGACGAGCTGGTTGCCTTGGAAGTGGTTCATAACGTATCGCTTCCGAGAATCCTCAAGATAACTAAGTATTGCTCAGTTTATAGCTATTTTCACATCTCCTGTTGGTGGATAGGCGTCGCGCATCCAACTGCCATAGTATGTAGTTGAATGCGAATGAAATATCGGTTTGCCCACGTTCTGCAGCTTGCAATCTGAGAAAGCAGGGACATATATGAGCATTACAAAAACGGATGATATAAGAAGATAGTGAAAAAATACAAACGAGCTGTGACGCCTTGTATGTAGGCGACAGGCGTAGTGACGACTTCTCTTGTCGTCTCGATCGAATAGTTGGCAATGCACATCTTCATGCAGCCCTCCACCTCGCTGTTGCTCTCCAGAAGCTGAACAGCGACGACTGAACGTCTTGAACATGTTCTCAGACCTGCTGGACCATCGACGGCATCGGCCTTTGCGTGGCCACCGGAGCGGCCGTCGTCGCGCTGTCGCTGCCACACTTCATGTCTTCAACCTGAAATTTTAAGATGGAAAAATACTTTTTTTTCTTTCAACTCATTCAGACTTTTTGCTCAGTATGCGTATAGGCTGTTCAGATTTTAAATGTCATCCAGCTAACTCCGCCCCTGCTGCCACAGTACACTTTCGCGTCGATTTTTTATCGAGCGGGAGGATTTTCGATCTTTTTTATTCTAAAAAATGGAACAGAAGTAAAAAAAAAAAATGTAACCATTTTAAAGGTTTATCGTCATCTGCGATGAAAAATTGACGCGAAAGATATTGTAGTTTTGGGGCCGGAGTAAGCTGCTTGACATTAGAAATATGAACAAACTATATCCAAGAACTTTTTCACAAAGCTCCGACGCGATTTATGAGCCCGAATTCGGAATCAGCATGTAAATATGCATCTAACTCTGGCTTTCTCTTTGGGTACCTTAGGACAGTCGAAAGCTCTTTCCAACAAAAACATGTCGCTAATGGGACAAGCGGCACAATCGGCGTCTTTTCCAATCGGACCAGGACTTCCTGAACTCTCTCGGGTGCTTCAGGATTTAAAAAAACCTCACCAGTCGGTCCTGGGTGTCCAGGAACGCCCATCAGTCCTCGTCTCCCCATCGGACCTGGAGCACCGGCTTTTCTGAAAATGTTTCAATTCTCTTCTGATCATTCGAATTTCCATATAACTGACCCTGGCGGTCCTACAGGACCAGTCCTTCCCGTTCGGCCTCGCAAATCGGCCTTGTCGCTGCAGTACTCGTGAACCTCTGTGCATTTCTCCATAACTTCACTGATCTTAAAACAATTTTCTCATTCATTTTCTGATCTTCTATACCTTGACACTTGAAAGTGAAGTGAGCCAAAGTCGATCGGCCGACGAGTTTATGTCCCTTTTTGACCGCTGTAGAGCTTCTTCTTGTCTGCATTCGTCTTCAAGGTCCCATATTCTGAAAAATGTAAATTATTTTTTTTTTTCCCACCGAACTCACCTAATTCTCAAATGTGTGTAAGCAGTCAACGTAGTTAACAGGATTCCCAAGTTGGATAAGTGAAGCCGGTACATTTTTGTAGAGAATGTTTCAGGGCGCGGGTCTCGTCATAACATAAACAAGAGAGTGAAACTCAATACCGCAACGCTTTGAAAATGTTCTAAATGCTTCTTTTCTTAATAATTTATATCAATATGAAAAAGTTTGGAAGGCTTCTGAGGGAATTTCCTTCTTATCCTCTTATTGATACTCTTCGCCATCTTTTTTTTTGAATTTTTCGATTTTTTAACTATCAAATAATCTAGATTCTTATCAAACTCAATTCGTATGAATAACGATTTTTAATAAAATTTGAATCCATGAAAAATTTTTTTTTTGCAAATCCGCAAATCTATTTAGTTTTTTCCTCACTTCAACAAGACGACTGTGATTCGCAAATTTATTTGGAAAAACAGGCCGTCATTCTGAAGAGGCGGCCTGCAATTCACATTTAAAATTTTGTTTATTTTTCATGATTTTAGTGGTTTTGATATGAATTTAGAAGGTGTATCGTTTCGCTATAGTTATAATATGATTTACGAAACGTGTGGTTCACTTTTTCATGAAGAGGAAAACCAAATTTCCTCTGAATATTTCATTTTCGGTTGATTCTGGTCTCAGTTTAATTTTTTTTTTTTTAATTTTTCCCATTTATAGATGGAACTGCACGTGTGGCCTTCGGATTTTGGCCTTCCTTCCATAGATGTATCTTCACTGCAGTTTTTGGTTCAAATCAATATTTGAATTCCGAAAAAAGGAAAATTATCTTCTCAGGCGTGCGCGAAGATGTGTGCCAGCCCTATTCAAGTAATTTCTTCGAAAAGCCCCTGGAACTCCCCTACTGGTAGGTTCTTTTGATTTTTTCGAATAAAATTATTTCTTCCAGGTGAATATCCAGTACTTTTCGATAAAACAAATGAGAAAACCGCGGCCATCACTGATTTTGATAAGTACGTTGAGAATTTAATTTATTCCGGAAAATAATCTAGTTTCTAAGGTACGTAGATGTTCTGCGACGTTCTGGCCAAGACGTCGTGATTGATCAACTGCTGACTTCCCAAGATCGAGCCCAGCTCGACGCTTTTTTTCATGCTATCTTCATCAAAAATTTGAACCCAGCAGTGGTTGGTTCATTTTTTTATTAAAAAAATTAATGACTAAATTCAGCTCCAAGCTTTTTGGGCAGATGACCTCAATTACCACACGGTGACCCAGCATTGGTATTCGTCTCGTCTGCATTTCCCATATAACCTATATTACCTGGAAAAACGGAGAAAACTCGCGATTCGTCGATTGGAAGGCAAAAGTACTACAACTGTGCTGAAAAATGCGTTCCAGGTTTTTTTCTCTGTTTTCTTTGTTGTAGATTGACAAAAACTCTCAGGCTCTCAATGTTTTATCTACTAAACTGGGCGACAATAAGTTCTTCTGCGGCAATAAGTTGGCTTCTGGAAGGCATTCTTTCAATTGTTATCTGTAATTGCAGGCCAACTTCCCTGGACGCTCTAGTTTTCGGCTATTTAGCTCCTTTGTTGCGTGTTCAACTGCCAAATGATCGGCTTTATGTCCAGCTTACCGCTTGCCCCAATTTGGTATAAATTTGAATTTTTTGGAATCACCTTAATCAATGGGTTTCAGGTGAGGTTTGTCGAAACAGTTTCGACTATCTACCTTCCATTAACGGAAGAACAACTCAAGACACAACAGGTAGAGTCAAATTTGGCGTTCTTTCATTATTTTTTCCTTTTAGCTTAAAACATATTTCTCAAATCACACGAAAGTTTCAAATTGAATAGATCTTTTATAATAAATTTTCAAAGTCCTGGGAAGATTTTTAGTGGCCGCTATAGAGGACTTCTTGAAGAGGACACTAAAAGGCCACTAAACCCACCTCTATAGTGGCCACTTCAGTATTTTTTCATCCCGTATTCCTTTCAGTAACTCTGATAATTTTAAAACAAACAGATTGGACCAGGTACGTGGATCCTTTGGCCCCTAAAGTGGCCACTAATTTTTAGTCTCTTAAGTGGCCAATAATTTGACTACTATAGTGGCCCTTTAACGTCAAAAACCAATAGTAGCCACTAACAGTTTTCCCAGTCATTTTGAAGAAGGAACTAGAATGTGATAAATAAAATATCAATTGCAATTATCTGAAAGTTTTCTTCAAAATTGTTTAAAGGATGTAGGGCACCGACAAGACACTTGAAGCTTTGCCATTTTCTCAAATTTTTACTAAATTACAAATTAAATTTTACCCGCCTTTTGATACTCACAACATTGCTTCCCTCTTTTGAGTCGTTCCCATGTTGCAGCTCGATCGGAAAATGTGGCAGCAAAGGTTGCAAAAAGCCAAAGCCGAGAAGGAGTTGATCAAAGTGAGACCTCTTTTTTTGTATCAAACAGGTTGTTTGTTCTCTAGAACTCGGAGACGTCAGCAGGCGAAGTTTCGGCGGCCGAGGAGCCCCCCATGCGAGATTCCATCCTTTTCGCCGTTGCCGCCGTCACTCTCTCCGTTTTATTCGCTTTACATTCTGGAATTATACAGGTTTTACCATTTCACATACCTTTTTTAGCCTCTTATATCAATTTTTCAGGTCACAGTTGAAGATGATGCAGAGGTCATTGCCGAATGATTGATAAAAACTCGTATCTCTAATATTTTCTTTTTTTTTTTAGGTTTCGCCTAGTTATAATGCATTTTATTGTATAAAACGAAACGAATAAAACTTTTTGAAGGTTAATTCTGTGAAATTCTCGTTATTCGCTCTCAAGGTTTGGGTTTTCCGTCCACGGCCTAGTTTTCGCAATCAGCGCGAACATGGTTTTTTGAAAATTTTTACCTTTTTTTCACACTCTTTCATTTATGAATTGTTTTTGACATCATGAATGCCAGGAAATGTGAATTTATGGCACAGAACTTAGAAATCGAGGTAAAGAAAATTTGCGAAAAGCTGTTAAATCCGATTTTAGATTGTTCCCCGTATCACTGAACGAGTAATTCATTTGATTTCTGGAGATGTTGGACCTTTTGAGGCTTCGATTCCCGCGAAAGTTCCTGTTTGGATGGCGACCATGTTGAAACGCAAGCATCACTGTCATATCGTGGTGATTCTTCATTTTCATTTCAAAAATTTTGTTCGAAAAAGGCTTGAGCTTTAAATATATATGTTTTTTGTTGTTCAGTGTCCTGAATGGATGACGGTAGATGAGCTGAAGCAAATTCTTGCCGCTGAAAACGAGATCATGCCTCTGACGCAGTTGCCCGACTTTTTCTTCGAACTCTCCCATATCCTGGTTCGCGAGGCTCATGACGATATTAAAGATGTTGATCAGGTATATATTAATCCAAATGTGAAATTTCCAACGAAATGGGACCGAAATTCTCGTTATATTCCGCGTCGTTCAGGTCAAATCGTTGATCCAAGACATTTACGACAAACGAGAAGCCAAGTTGCGGACGTCAACCTTGGAGTTTCTATCCAAGGTGACATTTTAATCCAGAAATGAGTTGAAATAATGAGAAAATTTCAGCAAAGATCAGTGACCCATGCGCGGATGTCCGCCGTGCAGCCGATCGAGATCGCGGGCGCCAGGACGACTCTCAAGGCTTGCCGACAACTGTCCCTAGTGATTCGCAACCACCAGCAGACAACTCAACACTGATCAAACAAATTCATTTTCTGTATAATCAGATCAACAAAATAAATACTGTACAATAGAAACAATCACTTTCGCGACACCGGATGGATCTTGACACGAACATTGGCCGTCGAGAGACAAGTCGGGGAGCTGTACAGAGGGATGGAGGAGTTGGGGCCGACCAGAATGACGACTGTCAGGGCGACTTCTGCGGACTCGCTCCAGCAGCTGGCCGCCGTCATCATGATCTGAGAAAATTCATCAAATTAGGAAACCGCTCACATGAAAAAAATCTTTTTTATATTCATTGAACATGTACAATATGGTTTTTAAAAAAAATTTTTGAAATCGATTCCAGATTTATGTGGCTTTTCAAGTTGTAATCTTCTGAAATTTCAAGCTGATGATTGCAAAAACTGAATTTTCTCTTTCCTGAGTGAAAAAAAAAACATTTCATGGATATTTTTTTTCAGATTTTGAGAAAGAATATCGCCATTGTTACCTCATTTTCCTAGAAATTTGAAGATTCATAAAAAGTGAATGACCGAAAGTTTTTGATTAAAATCGGAGTGGCAGATCGAAAATATTTTCAATATTTAGGTTGATTGAGAAAGCGCAAATGTGCAAAATAAGGCGAAAAGAAGCTCGAGGAAAGGGTAGCCGATTGAAAAATCAAATAAACTATCATCTCTTGGAAGTTTTAATCAGTTTTCACAGAAATTGAAGAATACCTGAGTAGACAAGACAGTGTCTCCATTGGTGGTCTTGAAGTCGGTTTGGCGCGGTTTCACTAACATAGAACTGCTATCGGGATATCCGATCTTGAATTTGTTTTTCTATTTAAATTCGAACATTAACAAACCTTGATTCTGATACGCTCAAAATCGCATTCTTTCAAATTGTGCAATTGCGCTTCTAGTAATATCGCATGTGGAAGTCCTGAAATGAACTTGACGGCAGACTCCAGAGCCGCGTCCTTGTTGGGCTTGGTGATCTGAAAGTCAGATTGCGAACTTCATAAATTCGGTATCATGGACCCGTAACCATTCCAAAAGAGGAACTCGTTGGAACTAGGCGCGATTGGTTTTCCGACCCATACGTGGCTAGAAGCACCTTTTTCACCTTCCCACCCCACCACGTAATCGGATATCTCCAAAAAATATTTTTAACATAACTATCGATTTTTATAAGCTATATAAACGTTATTGCGAGAAACTCCGAATGGAAATTTTTTATCAGTCCCAGAGTCACGCGAGGTTTTTTTGCAAATCAGTGTCAATGAACTCTTATACAGAGCGATTTTCGATCTCATTTTGGCTTCTCGTGTCTCTTAGCCGAGTCAGCCTCAAAGTCCAACTATTGGTCTTTCTTTTAGAACTTTACATGAAGAGAAAGTTTTGGAGCTTTCTAAACTCAGAAATAAACTCAGAAATTTGAAGCTTTTTCAATCATATCGAAATCTCATTGAGCCTTTTTGCATATAGTTTTGTGCGAAAATGAAAGAATGTAGAAAAATATATTTAACAGCCATTATATATATATATATATATCCTAGCACATTTTCCCGTGTAATTTAAAGCTCACATTGGCCCATTTAAGAGCGATTTCAGCGGCCGGCGGTAATTTGGGAGGCAGGATAGGCGCGAACTTTTCGAGAAGATTGCAAAGGGCTCCTGCCGTCGTGACCTTCTTGACGTTGACGCCGGCGCCGGTGAAGTCGAAAAGAGAAGAACTCTCAACGAGAAAGTCGTTGGTCGAGGAGTTCGCGGCTACTTGGAGCCGGGACAGTCTTCTGGAAGATCAGATTTGGGACTGGAATAGCGAAGAAGACCGACTCCCGGGCGACGATGACCGCGTTGCGGCCTCTGAGCATTCCTCGTTGCCATTCGGCCATGTTGAGGATCAGTGTTCCGGCGATTTCCAGCAGGGTCAGGTACAGCCGGCAATGGATGAGGTAGGCCGAAAGATCCGCAGAAACTCCCGCGAACTGACATTCGATGCACTGGATGTCGAGTAAATGCTGAAGTACATTTTCCATTCCGTGTTATATTTAATGAAAATAAGCTTTTGACAGATTGGTAGAAATTCTGAGAAGTTCACTTGGATCTAATATTTAAAAAAACACTTGATACAGTTTAACATTACTTACGAATCGCTGAATTGAAGTTCGCTAGTAAGAAAGATCCACTTGCAAGAAAAGTAATTTTCGTGTGATTTTTTTCAAAACTTTGCCCACACTCTGAAACTTTAGAGGGTATTTAATCAGTTAATCTACTCCTGAATTCCCGAAATTTGCGCCTAAACTAAGGATTCACGCTTGGAAACTTATATTTTGGAATCTCATCTAGAAAGCGAAAACAGATTGACTGAAACCTCAAAAAAAATCTCGATAAATTTCATATAATGCTCAAATTTTTTTCTTATATAAAAATTAAAACTGCACACAAAAATGACCACCTCGACGGAATTTTCGTGTGATAAATTAAAGTCAAAAAATAAATATTCCTTCGCGTATCTCATGAATAATAAAAATTTTCTCTATCACCATTTTGTTCATTTTTTGCAATATAACTTTCATATTTCCTCAATATCAGCTCGGAATGAAGTTTGATCGTCCTCTAAGCGTACCTGATGGATAGCGCGCAAAGCGTCCACGATCTCTCCGCTACAGAAGACCGTCTGAGCGACGTTGTCGACGGCCATGTTCAGCTCCGTCAAGCAGTAGATGAGCCGTGCCGCGCCACTGACGTTGTCGTTGTACGCCGTGATGGCTTGCGAGTCACTAATTCGGAAAAGTTCCCTTTCAATTCGGTTTTCCCTACTGCGAAATGTTGTTCCGAAGAATATTGCGATCCTCCAAACTCGTCGTGCAACTCGATTCCCGCAGCCGTTCATAAGTCCGTTCTATGATCTTTTCCGCCTTCTCTCCGCCGTCCTTGAAGCTTGAACGACCATCCTTTTTCAGATCGTCAAGAGCCTCAAACTTCCAGTTGTTCGAGAAGTAGACATGAAAGAGCAAGACCTTGACAGGTTTGACCATATGAGCAGAGGAACTGCGCAGAAACCGATAATGAGCCCTCATGAAAGGCGGGAGAACTGACACGATGGATTCCTGTTTGGAAGCCGCGTTCAGAACCAAGATCAGTTTGGTCAGGTCTGGAAGTAAGTTCAAAACAAGGGAATCAAGACTGATCGAACATTTGACGTCGGTGATGGGTTGCTCTCTGGCGTGGAACAACGGATGGATCCCGAGAAGACGTCGCGCCATCGCCTGAACTTGAACCGAATGGTTCAATCCGATCGCGGCCATGCATCTGAACAGACATTGGGCAACCACCAAGAAGTGTTAAGTTTGTTCCAAAACTGAAACAAAATGATCCTAGAAGGAATGGGTCTGACGAAAAACGATTTACGCGCGAAAGCATAAATATCTATTAGAGTGGTTCCCCTAGACTGTTTTCTACAGTTTCTAACGTCCCTACAGGAATCTGACATACCATACGGCTCAGAACTATGTTCTGTCTAATTTCAATTTATGAAAATTTCACGAAAATTTTTCCTGCTTCGAATGGTACCAAAAATCAGCACGAGTCATAGATTCAAAAAAACCATTTTGATTTTTTAAAACTAAAGCTAGAGCCGTCTTATGAACTTTCTAGGATTTATCCCGAAGTTTTCCTGGTTTCTACTTTTTAGCTTCTAGGGGCTTTTTTATTGTTTTAATTACTTTTGAAGCAATGGAATTTTTGAAAAATGAACAATCTGGTACCGAGCAGCGCCTTGAGACATTCCACCTGCGACCAGAGCCTTTTTCAGAGAGAAAAAAAAGTGGAATTCTCACTCGAAAACGGCATTCTGATCGTCTGGAAACCGTTTCATACACATGAGCATCGCTTCGACGCAAAGATCTATGCAGTCGACGTCGGCAAATGCCGCCTTTTTCAGAAGTTCCCGCATGGCTTGTCGCGATTCGGGCATCCCGTCCTATAAAATAAGTGTTTTTTCTTCAAAAAACAAAATACAAAGATTATTTTGATAAAATAGAGCAACTTGCTGAAAAGTTCTCCGAGATTCTAGACCAAAATCGAGAAAGCAACGGACAAAAAACTGTTTTCAGCAGTTAATTCCGTCATGAAATACTTTTGGCGCTTACCAGTGGAAGAAATGAAAGAAAAAGCTGTAAACTAGTTTGAAATATTTATATATAGCCGATTCACGACTAGCTGTGGACGCAAAAGACGTGTCCTCTCTGCGCTCTCCAGCCACCAGACATTGTCTCTTTTCTTATCATGTCAGGATCCTTTTTCGATGGCTCAAGCCAGCCGTGAAACAGCTATGAAAATTGAAATGGCAGATTATCGCTCCTTTTTGAATTGAATCTTTTTTGTGTGTACTTTCCTCTTCACACAAAAACTTTCAGCCTACCTCTGACGCCAAAAAAGAACTTTCGAAACAACTGACTGAACTTATATCCAAGTTCCGTAGGAAACTCACATCCAAACACTTCAAGATCACATTGAGCTGCTCACAGCTCAACTGACTGTGCACAATCAACGGAGTCAGAGCGTAGATGGCGTCCAATCGAACCTAAGAGAATAAGATAAGAACAAAGTAGAAATCAGTTGAAATCTCACCTCTGCGATCTCATCGTTGAACATATCGGCCAGATATTCGAGGGCAGAAATCGCGAACGGCGGACGAGAAGCGGCCAAAGTTCCCAGAGAATAAACGGCGGCTTTTCGGACGTCTGGGAATGGAAATGAGCAGAGGATACATTTACCACAAAATTACAGAAAAGAAGAGAAATTCATGAATTGAGAATTGACAAGCAAAATCTTTACGCTTTTACATTTTTTTTTATTGGTCAGAATATTTCTTGATTTACGAAGTCAAGATCCTGGAAGTTTCAACCTGCCCAAAATTCATAGTTCTAAAAGCCGGATGACTTTGAAAAGTCTTGAAATCGTCCATTTTACGTGTTTCGAAGGATTTTTTTTTCCAAAGTTGGGGCGTTATTTTTTTTAAACCGCGAACTGTGCCGGTTGAGACTTTCGGAATCTTCGTCTGGTAGATCGAGAAATGTTTTCTACCGATTTCCAGAAAATTCTGAGTCGCAAAGCGCAATTAATTACCTTGAAAGAAAGAAAGATCAGCTAGTTTGAAGAACTGAATATATAAATTAGAAAAAAAGGTTTTTTTTGTGAAAAATTTTTTTCTTTTAATTTACCTTATGGTTTTCTATCATTTTAACTATATAAGTCTAACCTATTGAAAGGTTAAAAAAACAAATGACTATTTTTCAATAAAAATTTTCAAGTTCTTTCACAAACCATATAATGAATCGTACAATTCACGTTCATTCTCCAATATTTCTACCTTTTCCATCCAAATTTCGATAATGAGAAACGAACCCATAAACTCGTCCTCGAGAGCAGTGACAAAGGCGCCACAAGCGCCGTGGGGGATGATGGAATCTTCTTCTTCGGCCGCGGGTTTCGTCGTCGGCGCCTTCGAATGGAGTTCCTTGCCTCGAGACCAGCCCTCGGAAGCTTCTTGTCTATAAAAATCCGAATAATTTCACTAATTTCTCGATTTCTAACATATTTTTGCCCTTGTGACGAGCGTTAAATCGCCATCTTCCTTCTTTTGCCGCGTCTTTCTTCCCTTTGCTCAGCGAAAACATCGATTTGTCCATTTTTATCACTCCCGCTGCCTAAAAAACTATCCTGGCCTCGAAATAAAGCCTCTTCAAACTGCATACGATAATCAACTTGGAAATGTTGAGAAACCAAACTTTACCAGCGAGAAATTTTTCCATTTTTTTTTTCGTGAACATTTAATTAAAAACTGAACAAACAAAACTAAAGATTTTTCCCTGAAATAAGGAAGGTTCTTTCAAAAAAGATATTTTCTTCAAATGAGACAAGATTTTCCAAAGATTTTGAAGTCATTCATCAGAAAAAAACCTGGAAATCGAACCTTATTCGATCTCATGAGCTTTTTGTCAAGCGTCTGATAGAGAAGATCGTCTGAAACGTTGGTGAATTCTCCCAAAACTTTGGCGGCCTCCGCTCGAACTGACGTCTTCAACGAGTAATATTCAGAAGGCCCAGAAAACAGTTCCTAAACCTCAATGTCGTTGATTGCATCACAAACGGCCGTGAAAGCGTCATCAGATAAAGTAACAGGAGTTTTGCCAGTTCCAGCGACGTTTTCGCTGCAAAATAGTTACTTTCCAAAGTTTCTCACTCCAAAAGCCTACGTTGGCATTTTATTCGCAAAATAAACAAGAAGCCGTAAAACAGTTAGTCGAATATTCTTATCGACATCTTCTCTCACCTGGAAAAGCCTATACTTTGAGAGCATATCAACAAAAAAAACCTCCTTGAGAGCCGAATAAGTTCTCTTTGAAAGTGGCTTGGCCCTGTCCATAAAAGTCGAAAGACCCTGAAAATATATGACATCTTTTTTGTCGAGAAAAGTGGTCCCAACCTCAAGAGCCGCTCTTCGAACTCGACAGTCCCTGTCGTTGAGCATCCGACAAAGAGTCTTTTCGACGATTCTCAGCCGGTTTTCGTCAGCACTTTCTTCAGAAATATCGATAGGACACAATAGAGAGTAAGACTGTACCAGTAGACGCAACGGCTATGTGAAATCGAGCGACTATCACCCGTCTATGGGATCCTCCCAACGAGATCAAAGACTGTGCGATGCATCTTTCCAAGCAATGATGAACCCTTCAAAAGATCAGTCCGGCTATTTTTTGAAAAATTAAAAACTTCTCCGGTAATTGAATGTACTTCAAGATTCCTTTAGACATGGCCAGAGTGTAGAACTTTATTATCTTGTGATCTAGAGCCGACCTCAGAAACAACCTGAAAAAATAATCAACCTTTGGGGAAAATAATGAACTACTTGTTGGCCTCTTCATTGTTTGTCAAGAAATCCATAAGTCTTCGCCACTGAGCAATCGTTGCGTTGTTCATGAAGGCGAACAAAACTCCGAGAACTTTGCTGGCGACAGAATCGTCTTTCGTTCTAATCGCACCCATCACCAAATTTGTGGCCACACTTTCTAACTCCGCTCCTCTTGTGGTTTTCCCGTGTTCAATGTGTAACTCGCGAATCAGATGAAATGAGCTGCAAAACATTTCTTTGATCCAATCAAATTCTTAACATTCTTAATCTCACATAGAAGTTAAACGCCTTTCAAGCGATGTTAATAGGTCTTCGACAACTATTGTAACACTTCTGCGCTTGTAAGTTTTCCGTGGTCTTCTTGAAGTGGGAGCTGTCGTCTGAAATCTCTCAATTAAAGCGAGAAACTCAAAAAAAGATATACGTTTTCATTGAGCTTTTTCTTCTTCGTCCGCACAGCCTCAGCAGGAAGCGTCCGCTTGCGCACAATACTCGACTGAGGAACCGCCATTCATAAACAGAAAAAAAACTTGCCAATCGGTTCCAAAAAACTGGAATATATTTCGAATTCGTAAAAATAGTCTCAGTAAAGTTGCCCTAGTGCTCATTTCGCTGCGTATTTTGACCCGTGCATTAACGCTGCTACTCAGCCGTCATCGAGCTTTTCTCGCACTGCGCATATCTTTTGTGTTTATTTTTTTGTTTATTGAAATATAATTTTGAATAAGCTGTTTTTGAGAAATGTTCCCTCATATTCCCTATACAATATTTTCATATCTGGCTTTTTAGATTGTTCTAGAAATGATAAAAATCGCTCTGCAATTTTTTCACCTGTTCTTACAAATTTGGCGTTTTCAATAATCTTTATAGCTTGATGCTAATGCAAAGTAGATCAAATTGCCACGTGTTAAAGTTCTCTGAACTATCAAGGCTCGAATAGCAATATGAATGAGAGGGTTCGTATGTTTTTTTTCCATATTTAGACTAGTCTCTATTAAAAATAAAAAAATAAGTATGAATTTCACGAGGTCTTTTCACTTTTTAAAAATTTAGTAATCTGGTTTAAACGTATAACTCAACTTCCAAATTCTCTGAAGTGCTCATGCTTTCTTCCCCAAATTTTCGACAAGCTTTTTTTCTTTCATTTTTGAATTTGTCAAATAAATGTAAAAATCGAAATAAATTTTAATTAATTGAGCTATTCTTTTGCGTAATAGCTTCTTTGATCATTGTTTCTTATTATTACAGTATTCAAAATAATCACTAATAAATAGAGAAAAATATGCAGAATAAAGCTCTCAAATAATTATAATTATATAATGTTACTTTTTAATAAATGCGTCTCAATTATTATCAAATTTTGCGTTTTTTTTTTCGAGCTGAAAATACTGACTGCAGATTTTCGCAGGTATGTTATCCCGTCAGCTCATGCTGCCGCGCCTCGCAGTTAGGGCAATCCACACTTCGTCAAGTCTGACATCGGGACATCACATCGAGCACTGGTGGGGACCAGAGAAGGCCGTCGGCCGTGAGTTGGTCGGATTCGGATCTAACGGAGATAACGTGAGTTTTTATTACAATTTATGTTCATTGCTTCTACAAAAATATGTTTGCAACAATATTGAGGATTTTTTCGTAGAGAAAATAATATTAGAGAGAGAGAAGTATGCGTTTTCAGATCTACCAAGACAGATTGGATTACTGGTACCCTGCCATCCGATTCCGCAAGGAGGACGGCGTCATCAGCCCACTTCGTCAAAAAGAGCAAAGCGACTGGAAAAAGCTGACGCCTGAAGAGAAGAAAATTCGTGAGCCAATTTTCCGGATACCTCTGATCATGTTTTTCTTTTAGTCTACAGATACAGCTTCCGCCAAACGCTTTCCGAGTATGAAGCTCCTACTGGCTACTGGAAGGTATTTCTTGCCTTTTTTTTTCTTTTCCATATAGCCTTGTAAGTTCTGACTTCTTGATTCTTCTTGTTTTCTGCTATAATTAAATAGAACTTCGTTATTTTTCTTCTCTATTTTGAACCTCTTTATTATTTTTTCAAATATCGAGCTTGAGACAGAAAAAATGTGAATATGTGATTTTTTTTTAAAGTTGTTGCAAAATCAGAGGTCTTGATCTCTTAGTTTTAGTGTTGCATGTTTAACAAGTTTATTGGTTTAAAAAAAGAGGAGAGTTTAATTTTATTTTTTTCGAAAGTTTACAATCATAAAGTTCCCTAGTCGATTAGTTTTGCAAATTGAAACGAAAACTTTGGAAAAAGGAAGATGATGGTTATGCACTCTAGAATTTTCGGAATTTCTTGATCTATTAGCCGAAAGTCACAACCTACAAAGCTTCTTTAGTTTATAGAACACGCCAAAAAGGTTCCAATTGAAGCATCCTGTCGGTTTGATTTTTTTTTAACTTTTTAGGTTTGTGAAAACACTTTTTTTTCTCAAAACTAGGAGGGTGTAAACTTTAGAAGTTTCAAGATGACCAGTGAGAAATGAGCGGTGCTGTTGGGCAACCCATTTTTTCATCAACCCAACCCATTTTTAAAGCCGCCGACCACTCCTCCCAAGTTTTTCTAAATTAAAAATAATACTACCTTCTGGTGGCTGAAAATTGTTTTTTTTTTGTGACCAAAACTATCTCCCTGAGGCTCAAACTTGATTTTTTTTTCCTGTTTATCCAAAATTTTTGTGAGCCAACCTCTCCTCCCGGCCTGGATGAATTCTGTACTCGCCCATATGAGTTGGAGTTTAATTCACCATAAAACCTGATCGAAATTTGATAGATTGAAGAGTTGTTTTTGAATTGAAAGTTTGATCTGTCACCAACTTTCTTTGAGGATTATTAAAAAAAATTTTTAATTCCTAGCTTGGAAAGAAACTATGAATCAAAAAACTCAAGGCTCATTTCTGACCGTCGAACCTAATATTTCAGGAAATTTTTTTTTTGTATATTTACGTAAATTTCTACAAGTTAAAAAATCTTTCCATAAAAATTTCTGTAGTTAAAAAAGCTTTAAAGACAATAAAGGTTTTTTTATGTAATTTCCAAATACAGAGTAAACCTTTATCGATTAAAATTAAAACGTTTGAATTCAGGTTATGACGGCCGTCGTTCTATCAGTCATGGCTTTTGCCACTTATTACGCTGTCTTCCTTAACGCCTATGGTTCGTTCTCATTTTTTTTTTTTCTGACGATACATTTTCACTTTTCAGTTTACCCTGAGCTTCCGCCAACCTTCCAGAACGAGTACAAGGAGGCTCAAGTTGAACGCGCTCTTGTCCTCGAAAAGGTCCGTTTATAATTTCAAATCGAAGGTATAGAATAAAATTGCAGGGTAACTTCCTCGGAGCGCCGACGAAGTACGATTATGAGAACAAGAAGTGGAAATAAGTTAATGTACTTGTGATTTTTTGAATGGCTTGTTAATATAACCGTTTTAGTTAGTTCGAGTTGTTGCTTGAGTTCTTTGGATGAGGTCTCCAATCTCTCGTTGCGGTCACCACACTACACCCCCAAATCTTTCGTCTCCTTTTTGTATTGTATCCTCCACGTGTTGTGGCTTCTCGAGAGATATTGACTTTCAATAAACCTAGAATTTCCGAACAAAAATATCACAGTTTTCATTGATTATATTTACAATCGAAGTGTTATCACAAAAGCATTATGACTGATTGAGAGTTTGGGATAGATGACCGGAGTTGGGCGAACGGGTCAACCGGTTCTTCGTTCTTCCGGTTGAGTAGTTTTTTCATGAAATCATCCGCCTGAATCGTATTGAATTTTTTTTTTCGCGGACTTTTCCTCAGTACCTTGTTGGCGCTGCCAGAGACTTCGACCTCTTTCACTTCACCGATGTTTGTCGGTTGCGAGGCAGATGCTCGCAGTGTTTTGTCTGAAAATAATTCGAATTTCAAACGGTACTTTCATGATTATATCACCTGAGGATAGTTTTCCAGTCATCCTAGTGAGCATTGAACCCAAGGCAGAATATCTTCTTCAAAAATTTTTTTTTTTTATTGAATTTAGAAATGGGAAATACTCACTTCTTTGGTAACGATATAGGGACTGTTAAATAATTGACCGACTCGTCGAAACCTGTATGCATGTTTTTAGCGACGTTTATCTAAAGAAAACCTTGAGAAGAGAACAAATAATAGAAAAAAAAATAACCTGTTCAGCAACGGAGGAAATGTACTCGCTGGTGTCCTCGTCACTTTTAAGCCGCAGAGCGACGTTGTTGAACAGCCGAATCTTCGAAGGCCTCCAGATGAACGTCTCCGTGGTGGACTTCAGACGGACGCAAGGCTTCGATGAGGCTCTGCCGACCTGAAACAGCGAGTTGAGGATATTGTGACTCTTGGAAACCTCGATGCTGACAATGTCCTCGAGACTCATAATCTGCACGTCGGACATGGTTTCGCTGTCGAGTTCGTACGTCGTCACATAGAGCTTGTTTCTGAGCCAGAAGCCGTATTATTTCCAACGAATTACAAAGAAACTTTGTCAGCGTGACGACAGTGTCGACGTCATCTCCTTCGTTGCAAGCGTTGACGAGTCCCCAGCCGGCTGAATGGTTTTCCATTTGAGAAGGAGACGGCTTAGACTCACCGACGACGATGTTCTGCTGCGGGACCAGGAACTGAACGGTTTCTGAAACGAGGCGAGCCAGATTCTCCTCCTCTTCGCTGTCCGAAGAAGGTTCGCTAGTTTGTGGTACTGCAAGACGACGTCATCCTGTCCTTCTGGGCTTCTCACCAGAATCCGTCTGACGGGTGACGGCGTTGATCGCCCTCTGTCGAGCGGCATCTCGGGCGATGTTCAAGTAGTACCGTGACGCACTGTTGTAGCCGTCCTTGACCATTCCCGCAAATTTGCGTTCTCCGCTCCTGGTGACGTCACCTTTGAGTGCGGCCGTGCCGGCGTACTGTAAAAGGTGATGGTTTCGAGGAATACTTTTCTTCAAACTGTTTCTCGGGAAAAAAGGTTCTTCGCTGGGTAGGTCTGACATTCTATGCCAAGGGTTCATTAATATTGGCGAAACACCCAACATAGAAGTTTGAAAATGTTCACAAACGCCTGGGCACTTTCTTTTCGCGCGACGTATAGCATAAAATTCACACTGTCGGATGTTGTGCACTTTTATCTTTTTTTTAGGTTTTTTTTTTATTAGGTTGCAATATACGTCCCCCCGCAGAAAAAAAAAACTTGAGTCGAAATAGCATCTCCGTTGTCGGCCCAAAGAGCCTGCACGATTTTGATGAGAGATTCTGGAGGATCGCTCAGAGGCCCGAAAATTCCGAGACGTTGGGCTTGTCGCAGACACACGTACTGCGATATGACTCCCTTCAATTTGAAAAAAACATGATTAAAATAATCTTGAAATATATTTGGACTGGCAACACTAAACTTTTATGACCAATTGCCTGAATATCTAGAGCCTGTGATTAAAATCGAGTAGTGAAAAATTTGAGGCTTTGTGGAAGATCAAGTTCAGCCGAAAACTTCTTTGAAAAAACTACTCGTTATTTATTCTCATTAGAGAGCCTATTATCAAAAATAACTATATAGTACGTTCCGCACAAGACGGTCAAGTTTCAAAAGAACAGCGGATAAAAAAAAACCACCGTGATTAAAATCTTTTGCTCTACAAAACTGCTAAAAAGGACGCAAAAAACAAAATCCTTGATTCGAAGTGGGATCAAATCGATCTAGTTTGGTAAACGGTTCTTTTGGCCAAAAAATGGTGACAAGCTAGCGCGGAATGGGCTATATGAAAAGCAGTTCAATTCATCTGGATAACAAATTCCAACCGAAACACGTCGAGCCATTTCAATTGCGACCACCGCTTTTCCAATCACGTCGATTGAGATAAACCCTTCAAAACGAAAACCTGAACAAGATTGGTCCTGTCCAAGCAGTCGACGCAGTTCACTCGGATCGTTCCCTTCTGCTTTTGCACTATTTGACCTATGAAAAAAACAAATCCAGAAAATATCAAGTATATTTTCAAACCTGTTTTATCGACCCAGCAGAAGCCAACTTTCTTCAGTTTCTCATCCAACGATTCTACTAAACTTTTGAGCTGAATTATCGATTTTTTTTTTAGAAAATTGCTCCGGAAAAAAAACCTTGGTGAAATTGAGCCCCCGGCAGTGTTGGTGCAAATCAAACGAAACGTAAGTCAAATCTGGTTGATTAAATTTGATGACATGCTGGAAGAAGAAACATTTTTGTTAAAGTTTGCTGCGAAAAATGTTCACTTTATAACTTTTAACGACTGTGAAAGTGATGAATTTTCTCAACTTGTTACCTCCAAAAAGCGCTGAGCAAGCTGAAGTTCCCGTCCTTGTTGGTTGACAAGGTTGATGGCGGCGATAGGAGTTCCGTAGTGCTTGAAAAGCTGGCCAAAGTGTTGCTCGAAGAATGGCTGGGTCTGCTCGACAGAGCGATCCAGGCTTAACGGCGGGCGATATCGCATGCCTCGCTGTGACCAGAACATCGGCGCCGACCCTCGGATCTGGTGAAACAGAATCTCAAATTTTAATCGTCTGAATCACACTTATTGTCTTAATATTATATACATTTCAATAACTTGAAAAACTTCTGCTCACAATTGCAGTCTCTTCTAATATAATGATACCTTTCCACAAAAATTGTGTTTCGTGACGAAGAAACAGTGATCTAAACTAAAATAAAATGTCTTGACCGTATATATCCTTTTAATAGTATATATCCTCACAATTTCCGCCAATAAATCATGAAAAAAATTGATACGGATCTAACGGAGGTTGCTCATCCCAATAATAGAACATTTTTTTTAGTATCACTCATGTTTTTTTGTTCATGAAGAAAAACAACGATTATATTGAAATTCTAATTAACCTGCACAAAAAGAGAGCTCATGGTCGAAAAATGTTGAGCAAGACCTCGGTCTCAACGAAATTGGCAACGAAAAGCTTTTTTTCATCGATTCCTCTAAATCAAAGAAGAATATATTTTACAATTTATCAAAAAGCCACCTCCGGAGATAACGAGTTCCGGACCGGTGGGTAGAGCGTCGTGATATGATCGTTATCGTCAAAGATGTGTTCACCTTAATCATTTTTTTTTTTCCTACGATTTCGATTTTTCTTTATAAATGCTATCCAATCTGAACGAGAAAAATATTGTTTCTTTTTTTTTATAGGATTAGAAATGATATTTTGTTGAAAACCTTGTTGAAGTTTTGAAGATGCGAAAGTCTTTAAGGACCGTGAAAATCACTGAAAAAGCTCTTTTCGAAAAAAAACCTTTTTATCTCTTTCAAAAACCCCAGCAAAGAAGTTTTAACTAACAATACCTGATCAACAATATCCAAATTGGCCGTTGCAACGAATCCTTGTATCAGAGGACACGCCCTGGAGTTAGAAAGAAAGTTATCGCTTGAGAGGAAAACTTTTTTCGAACCATTTTTTATTATCTTCGATATCATCAAATAATCCTTCGACCATGTAACGATTCCAGAAAAAGGAATCTTCCGTGGTCGATGAAGCAGTGAAATATCTTCGAATTCGCCAGATAATCTCAAAGAAGCAATCAAAAAGAAAAAAACCTTTGGGCCGATAGAGTTATGTCCCTTTTTGGGCAAAAGTAAAAGTCCTTGGAGTCATTGAACAGTCGCAGAACATCAGACAGGATTCCAGGATCGTTGGCTGTACAGATAAATCGTTTTAAGCTCAGAAGAAATGGATGCAAAACGAACTTCCAATCTTGTCTTGGAGGAACCTGAAGAACTTCTCCGTATTGTGCTTCAACTTGTTCGCCGTCGGCCTCAGCTGCGACTTGACCGAGTTCACATCGGTACTGTTGAGCCCAATCCCAATCACCCGGTCTACACGTTCAATCGGACATTTCTCCTTGAAAAATTCGGGAAAACATTGAACTATTAATTGCAAACTTTCAGCCTCGAGTCGTGAAAAAACGCAGCTGTTGAACTTTCGAGAACGAAGAAGAGAACTTTATCAGCGCCAATTTGCAAGATTCCGATCAGACATTTCACTTCCCCACAATAAGAAGCTATTTGATGAAGACCTGATCCAATCAGTACTAATAAAAAAGCTCGTACGTTACCGTCGACATCTCCCTCAAATTTGGAGAATGTTCCACTAGACCGATGACATTTCACTGCCCTACAGCCTTCTTGTAAAATAAGACCATCATTGGCCAAATATAATCTCATCTGTACAAAGTAAAATACGATTCAATAAAAGATAGCGAAAGAAACCTCGACTAAGACATCCGCGAAACAACTTTGAGGTAATCTCAACTTCTGAAATAAAGAGTAAAAATATTTCTATCTTCTCTTATAAACGTTGAAATAACAAAATCTGCAATGTTACAGGTTTTTTGAGAAATATCGAAAGAACTCTTCGAAGACATTTTAACATACATAAGGACCTTGACAACATGTAATGCTGGTAGACTTCAAAAAACATAACAATTTATTTATAACAAAAATTACTCTTCACTGTCAACGTTGACATTCGTGAGGCCTTTGTAGGAAGTGCAAGGAACATATGTGCACAGGGTGTAAAGCTTGTGAACAGAGTCCTCATCTTCATTGCGGCGGCGAGACAGGCGAACGCGAACTCGCACAGGAACGTTCCTGTAAAAATATTTTAATTCCGCGAAATTTAGATTTTTTCAGAATAAATAAGGTATGGTGCTACTCTTTCCTACGTTCGAGGTTAAAAAAAACTTGGTCAACAGGAAGGTTACACTAAAAGTTGTAGCAGTCTTTTCCTTACAAAATTCACTTTTTAAGACGAATCGGAATACACCTTACTTTAAAAAAATTAACTTCGACTCACTTGATTCCCTTGGACCAGATGTATTTGTTCAGCTTGGTGTCAACGCGAACATCATCGGTGTTCATCTGGGCCTTGGCGAACTTTCTGATGGCTGCGATGGCTCTTGGAGCACGTTTCTTGGCACCACTGAAAAAAATTCACTCGAAATTGAGCATGAATGAAAAAGTTTTCAATTTATTTTATACCGTGTTCAATTGATTCCACGAAATGCAAAACAGTCGTTATGCCGTGTTCAAAGTAATTTCGGCGATTTCAAAACAGACGCGTTATTCGTTAAAAATGATTTCGGGAAACAGGCCGAAATGATATTCCCGAAAAGGACACAAAAAATGCAACGAAATATCACAAAATATGCATTTTTTACTGTAACTTCTGCGCGCGAACTCAAAATTTTGGAATTACTTGAGCATTTTTTATTCTGTGTTCAAACTGATTCCGCAGAATCTAAAATAACAGCCAGAGAAAGTAGAAGACAACTGAACTTCGGAGAGTCAGAGATAGGTTTGCATTTAGCGTAAATTACTTTGAAAAATGTTTTCCTACATCTACGCCTTCCGGGAAATACCAAAATCTTCTGCGCCTCCCGGGAATACCATTTATGCTTACTTCCCGAAATCATTTTAAACAAATAACGCGTCTGATTTGAAATCGCCGAAATTATTTTGAACACGGCATAGGACAAAGAAAAAAATAGCTAAATTTCAGAGAGTTAGAGATTATTTTGCATTTCGCGGAAACTACTTTGAAAAAATTTTCCCTGCACCTACTTCGTAAATTTTAGTACTTGTGTGTGAGAAATACAATATTTTGCCTGAAAGAACACGGCGTGCTGCTGACGGGGCGCCCCGCCCTGATGAATGAAATAAATATTATTATTTTTAAGCTTCCTAATATTTTTGGGTTGAAAGAATTTTATCAGGAAAAAAAAAAATTCATGAGGTATTGATGGCTTATAATCTCAGGCACTGACGGCGCGTGTTTGTTGCCTGCGAAAGTGCGCGTGCGCACCGCCTGCTGCGCGCAGGCGCGGGGTGTCTCTTTGATTTTTTAAAGCTTTTTAACTGATTAAAAGTTATAAATTAAATCATTTTTATGTCTGTTCTTCTCTCTGCTCCAATTTACAACAATTAGAACGCACAAAAATTTGAAATACCAAAATTTCAATTGAGTATACTTTTTCATAAATTTGTTCGAAAGTACTCGGAGCAACTTTTAAACGTGAGCAGGAGCACTGGCTAGTATTACAAAAAAATATAAAAAAATATTTCAAAAACTGTATTTTTAATGGAAAAGACCAAAAAGAATCAGAACCCCCGCGTGCGCGCACCAGTGCCTGAGAAATGAAAAAAATTTTCAAACCGTCCGGTCGCAATAGGGTGAAATGCGCTCTATTTATTTTTTTAAAAAAATTCAGTTGGAAAAAAACCTTTGAGATCTTTTTCTTTTTTTAGCTAGAAAAAAATATTTTTCTCTCTACGAACGTAAAGTGCAAAAAAACTCAACCTTTGCAGCTTTGGAAAAAAAAAAACGAGCGCTTTAAAAAACGTATTCATTAATGTTATTCATTCAGAAATGAAAATCGACTAAAGATATGAAAAAAAGCTTTCCTCAAAAATCATCAAGACATCGAATATATTGTACTTCAAAATGAAAGTCGACAATTTAAAAAACATTAGCCTTCATTTTCTTTTTACAAGTTGACTTAAACAAAAAAGAGCTATGAAATTTCTTTCCGATTGACGAGAAAAAAGCAATTTATGGCGCGCACTTCATAAATCGATCGTATTAATTTTTTCAGAACGTTTTCAAAGTACAGAACTAAACTTGTGTACTCATCGAGATTTAACTACTATAGTTACCTCGACATATATTCGCTTGAAAGCATGGGTTGGAGAAGTAAATATCAATTCATAGGTAAAACTGAAAAATTCCTTTGAAGATCCTTAAAGGATCCTGAGAGGGAGATAAAAAGCTTCCTCTAAAAGCTCCTAAAATGATGTAAAAAAGCTTTTGAGTACCTTTTTCATAGCCTCAGAGGATCCTTTTTGAATCCTCTCGGATCTTTTTAGTTGCTTTCCAGCATCCTTTTTGTCAGAGGATGTGAAAAAGATGCAAAAAAGAATTGAAATGATGTAAAAAAGATCTGCTGTGGACCCTTTCAAGGTCTTTTTTTGAGAAAAGCTTTTGGGGAGCTTTTCAGTTTTGCCCGAGTTATTGGTATACGTGTCCAAAGAGGTACTGTCGTGTTCAAAGCTATTCCGCGAAATTAAACAGCTGTCAGAGTGAAAAATATAACTAAATTTGGAGTAGTTAGACACAGTTTCAATATTTGGAAAAATAACTTAGAACACGGCATCTACAAAGGATAAGTGAACTGGAATTACAAACTTCTTGGAGCAAAATGCGAAATGCAAAAAAAACTCACATTCCCTTGATTTTGGCGTGAAGGTGGATGGTGAACTCGCGCGTAACAACCTCGTTGATGGTGCTTCGCGATTTTCTGTCCTGCTTCGGAGGAGCCATTTTACCTTAAAAAAAACCTGTATTTTTCAAGCATAATTAAAGAATTTTAAAACAGAATGTGTACGTAATGAAATAGAGACCCATAAACCGGGCTGAATTATTAAATATTTGACAATTATGAATCTAAAAAAAAAATCTAACTATTCACCGGACGATAATTAAAGATATTATCACACACTAAAAAAATGAAACATCAGAAACAATAAAAAGGAAAAAAAAATGAAAGTTGGAGAAAAAAATTGTAATTATTTTAAAAAATCCCTAAAAAAATTTTTTTCGGAAATAGAAGTTACACAATTTCGGCAATAGATGATATAATAAACATATTCCATCCAATATCTAACGAAATAAACGAACTTTAACAGAAAAAAATACAATAAAATAAAATAAAAATACAAAACGGATTTTTAGGACTGCTGGGGAAGAGGCAGGTTTCGTTGTGAGACTCATTTACGAACGTCGTGCGACGGAGCAGTTTTTTTCCCTAGCAAAAACTTATACTTTTTTTCTTATTTTTTTCGTATTCAAATTCAATGAAACAAACTATATAAATATATAGTATATATATCTCGGACATTGGTAACGCAACATGGACGCGAATCGGACGTGTCAGGGCATTTCTAGTGAAAACTTTGGTAGCGTCAGCACTCTTAAATGATCCCTATAGGCCATTTCGCGGCAGCTTCTCACGTTTTTCTTTCCGCCAAAAGGCCAGGTCAAATTTGACCAATCTTCGCTTCAAAACCTTTGTTTCTTTCCGTTATAAACGCAGAAATTTGATCTAATTTGGTATACGGTCTTTTTTGGCGGAAAGAAAAACGTAACAAGCTGGCGCGGAATAGACTATAGAATCGCCCAGAAAAGTCCGAAACACGTCCGTTTCGCGTTACAATCCGAGCGATTTTTAACAGTTATTAAATTTATTCTCTATCAGAAAACTTATTTATATATTTAAAACGCAAAAGGATTCTACTCAAAGTAACTGAAAGCTCTGAAAGAACTTGCATGGGCTGGTAAAGGACTTTCAAGTTCTTTCGAATGATTTCAGAAAATATTGCGATTTATAAGCGGCATTAAGGCATTTGAGAATGCTCCGTTAGATATTATGAAATTTTTTTCGTAAAAAAATCACGCTTCTGCAATGTTTATGAGGATTTTATCCCGGTTGGTCATTGGAAACAGTTCATTTTAGAATTTATTTAAGATAAAGTCATAAATATCAGACAGAAATAATAATACAGGCTGGAGGAATGTAAATATAAATATATATATATATGTTGATTTTTTTGGCTTTTTTTCTCAGACGTCGGAAGCTGGGAGGCAAAGTGTTTTTTTCGAACTAAAGCGTCAGCAATTTTCTCGAATTGAGTCCGATCTTCTCGCCACATCTTTGCTGCATTCACATTTGCTGGAGATTCGTCATTTGGTTCTTCAAATCATTGAGAATTATATTAAATTAATAGGATCACCTACCCGCTAACATGCTCACTACACTCAGTAGAATCTTTTCAATCGACTGAACTGGACTCCACCTGAAAGAGAAAAACAATGGGAACAAAGCCAATGAACAAACCTTTCAGAAGAGGACTCGTAACCTGTCGGATCATCTCCAGGAGCGTGAAGAATGGATATGCAAACGCGGCCATCGTTATAAATATTCGGGTGAAACAGATCGCAAGTGAATCTTAGGAATCGTTTATTTCATTGAAACTTGGATGACGTCGCAAAAAAAAAACCTCATCTTTGGTGGGCTGAGTGGATAATCTTGTGGGAAGGATATGCGAGCTGGAAACACTCCATTGGCAAAGCAAGTGTCTTCCGGACCCGTTATCAAACATTCCCACTCGAAGAAGTTGTCTTCATCGATTGGCGCCGCGATAATGCCTTCCGGAGGTCGAGTAGTAAGCTCTAAAATTCGAGAGGGTATTGAAATTTTACGTTATTTGGAAAAAAATTCAATACTTAATTTTTTGATTTCATACCGTTTTAATACCTTATCAACTTCAAAGATGTTAGAAATTCGCTCTTAAGAGAGGTCTTGAACCGCTATAAGAACCACGCGCTCCCCTTACACTATTTCAGAAAAAAGGAAATAATTCAAGATAAAAATTCTAACCTTTATATTCAGTCATAAGCCGCTTCAAAGCGTAACCTGCCATATCGTTGTCTGAAATTATTTTTTATTCTGTCTGGATAAAGAGACAAAAACGAGAATTGAGAAAATTTAGTAGAAGAAATCCACATAAAAAGCGAACTTATCGTCATGAAAAAAAACGAATAACAAGAAATGAAGCGCAGGCACCCAATTTTGTGGACTATATCGCAGCGAGAGTAACGCTATACCGCGGGGGAGCCGCGAGCGATATCGCTCGTCTCTCGCTGCGACCTCGCAAACGTCTTGCGCTATATTGCTCTCTGAAAAAAATGTTTTTTTCAAAAAAATGTTTTTTTCTTGAATTTGATTGATTTCATCATAAAAAGTCAAAAAAATAAAGCAAAAAAATGTTTTTTTCAAATTTCATATTTTTGAGAGGGAGCGATATGGCAGCGAGACTTTGACGAGGTCGCAGCGACACTTTGACGAGATCGCAGCGAGAAGCCTTGGCTATATCGCGTGCGGCCCGCTGCGATATCGGCAATTATGTTGGGTGGGGGAAAAGAAGATAAAATTTTTAAAATAAAAAAATCTTACACACACGCTCATTTGCGGACCACTGCATACACGTGACAAACTACAACACCATACCCGGGAATTAAATAAATATATAAGAGAATTCCAACGAGGTCTTTCATGCCGTGTTCAAAGTGTATAACTAAATTTTAGAGAGTCGGAGTTCATTTTGTATTTCGCTGAAATTACTTTGAACACGGAATTAGGATCTTGAATCCAAGATCCTGAAGAAGTTACCTTTGTGAGAAGGTCACTCATTTCTTTTCGCACAGTCAGAAATTGGAAAAAATTGAAACAAGAAAAGAAGTTTGCTCACTGCTAGCAGACAAAAGCATGCGTTTTTTTGCAAAAAAAAAAACTCAACATAAGAACAAAAAAATTTAAAAATTATTTATTTCGTTCATCAAAAAAAGAAGTAAATAATTAGAAGTAGAGTTATCTTTTGGGCGGTTTTTTTCTGCTCGTATCGCTTGTTTCTCTGTGCTTTGTAACATCATTAACTCCTGAAAACTTCTTTTTTTCAGAGCTTTTTTTTTTTCAATAGTCCAAATCATAGTAAAATTAATAAAGTTAAAAAAAGTTCAAGTTGTTTTTTTGAAACTTCAAAGAGGTAAACTTTATGCAGGTTCAAAATTTACTTTCTCCAAGTTACTCATGAGGTCACGAATTTGTACTTCGTTATACACACCGCACTCCTGAAAACAACGGTTGAATCAACGAGATTGCCTAAAAATGCCTTGATGTAGTATAGTACTGTGTAGATCATGTGAAGAAAATGGAATCGGTATTGTAGACTTGACGCCCGTTGATTTCTCATTTCGCGGCAAACTTCGATAACCTGCCAAAAGAAGAGGCATAATCTGTTTTGCTGGAGGTGAGCTACGTCAACATCCAAACTTTTGTAAATACGGTTCATGATGAGGAAGCTCAAAATGAAGACGGAGCTTCGGTTGATGCCATCGTCACACTGCACAATTATTCTTCCTTTTTGCAGTGGATCGGTCTGAGAGATGCTAGAGAGAATAAAATAAGAAGAAGTCGGCCGACCTTGACCATCTGCTGGATGAGTCTGACCAAGCCAGGCGTGCTCTCCGAGATTTTTTTCTTACTCCACCCAGTGTAGTTAAACAGTTTGACAAATGTGGCATCCGCGCAACTTTCTTCCACAATCTGAAAAAGGTCGTCATAGGAGTGCCCAAATCGTCAGAAAAAATTTTTTTCGACAATTTATTTTTGCAATCGTGGTGAAAATATTCTTTTCTTTTGCGTTTTTTTTTTTCTAACAGCATTTCATAGCGGAATTCGGAGACGACTGAAAAGCGACTTTTCGCCGGCTGATATCAAGTAGATTTTGGGTCAATAATCGGATAATCCTAAAGACTTAGAAAAAAAAAAATTGAAAGCAGATTGGAATGGAATATGGTAACTAAAAAAATTTATGACCCGACATTCTTACGCCTCGAAACGTATTGAAGGCTACATTATTGAAAAAAAAAAATGAAATTTGTTTTTTTGACCTACAGTCTGCTAGTTCACCTCAATAGTATAAATCGTAGGGGCGTCCGGAAACCTCTTGTTGGGCGGTTCCACCTTTCGGTTGTTGATGAAGAAAGGTCCGTCGTTTTTGTAATCGTTCTTTTTCAGTGGCCAATAGCCAGGCGTAGCCAGCAACTTCTGATATCAGGTGAAAAAATAAGAAAGAAAAAAACAACTCACAGAAGGATTGACGTCGGCGGCCTCTTTTTGCTGCTCAGATTTCTTGGTTTTTCCCTTTAAAAATCTGGAAATCAAGCCAAATTTAGACGGCTTCGGAGTGCTCGGTTGGAGAGGCGTCACTGGTGTGGCTTTCATCGGAACATCCTTAAAAATAAGCTGACGTAGAGTAGATTCTAACAGACTTACGGCCTCACCATTCGGGTCGAAAAGAGCGATTATAGTGTTCACTTCTTGACTCACCACCATCCGCCAAAAATCGACGCAAGTTTCCGCAGTAGGCAACTTCATTCAGACAATTCCAGTTTATTCAAAGAAACTGACTTGAGTGGCGATAAAAGTTCGATCGCAATTTTTGAATTTCACGTGGTTGGCGTGAATGTAGTTTGATGGAAACTTCTCATTGGTTGGAAGTCGGACGCGGGTACGGTCAAAGCAAACCACTTGCTATGGAAAAGTTTCAAAAATGCAAACATTTTTTTTGAAAATACCGGGTAACGATTCTTGGCTTTGTTTGTAATAGAGTTAAAGGCGTCAGACGCTTGCAGTTCAGCAGGCGGCGTATATCCTTCTAGACTCCCGGCGAAAAGTCTGCTGAGGCCGCCGCCAGCCGCATCTTAAAAAGTTCGAGCCAAGTCTTTACAAAACCATGCTCAGGCCGCGGTCAAAAAGAAAGTATGTTTTTGGAGCTGCGATTTTTCAGTTCATCCTTTGAAAGGACCACACATACTATCCAGCAAAGAGCTCGAGGAAAAAAAAAATCAAATTTTTCTCTTTCAATTCTTTTTAAAATTTTCATCGGCGATTGACGCTTAAAAATATGTTTCTGAAGGTTCTCACATATACAAGGATTTTTTTCAAACTAAATATTATTTCAAATGAAATCAAACTAAATATTATTTCAAATGAAATCAAACTAAATATTATTTCAAATGAAATCCAGAATACAAACTTTTCTTGTTAATTTTGTAAATTCTATCTTTTTTTGAAATAGTTTTCTCAAGAGGTTTTTTTAGGTTCATTTGGATTCATTTCTATATTTTGATTAAAAATCGATTCGTCACATTCAGTAGTCCCACTAATCGAGTCCAATTTTCAGTCATCCGACTCCGAAAAATTTAAAAAACGAACTCGTTTGCAGAGCCCAGTCGACGAACTTGCGAGCTTTCTCGGCGCAGTGATCCAAGGCTCCTGGCGCCAGTGGCGCCAGTGTCGACGCCGTCGAAGCTTCTTCTACAGGCGGTAGTCCTGCCGAGAAGACTTCTGTCGACATTTTCGCTGACGGCATTTGTTCCTTTGAAAGATTTTTGGGTGTTCCCATCATCGGAGATAGCGGCTTCGATGGCTCCTCTCTAGATTTCAGCTGGACTTTCTCCCGTGCTGTCGAAACTTCTTCCCTCGATCCTCTTGGAGGTGGTCTTTTCGATACGAGTGGGTTTACCGGTGAATGAGTCTAAATCTTTTTTTTTTTCAAATTATAAGTCATCTATAAAACCAGACCTTCGTCTTCAACATCTGTGTAGTTGGGTTCCCTTCAACCTTCAACAAAAATAAATTTTTGGTTGATTCGAAAGCGCTTTTTTTTTTGGGCGTTTGGATAGTCATAAGTGAACAGTTACTGAAAAACTTTTTTTGAACTAACCATGGCTAAATTGGGATTTTTCAACGCGATAATAGAGACAGTTTTTTACGCATATGAAGAATCTGTGCTCAAAAATTGCTGAAGACGTCTAAGAAAAGGTTATGAGCTTCAAGATTTGCAATAAAAAGGCAGCCAAACTACTATACAGCCTCGCAGGTCTGTGATTTTAAACGTTAGGCATACGAGGAACTCTGTAAAACCATTTCGGCTCGACTCCTTAGAAAGAAACTTGGGCCGTGACCAGTTAGTTTTGCTTTTAGTTTCGACTTGGACCAATCTCAATTTTTGTGTCGTTAATTGAACTGAGAAAACTCGTTATACCTCATACGCCACAGCTCAAAATATTCTGATTTCTTTGTGCTCTCTTCACTTGGCGAGTTCATTTTCTTTTTTCTATGACCACTCCGTTGGGAGAAAAGAAAACGCAGACAGGTCAGACTGTATCAAGCCGTGGTGAATGAAATTCATCGAAAAACCAACGCTTTCTTGACTTCTCGGCTCTTGTCCCACCGTCGGTTCCGTTTCCAGAGATCCTTCCTGAACTCCCCTTCGTAATTATTTCAACTTCAAGCTTCTTACTTTCTTTTTTCGATTTTTACTTATCTTCAGGTTCTCTGAATTTCTGATCGATTGTTTCATGTTACTTTTCTCCTTTGTCTTTCTGAACTTACAAGTTGGGGATGTTTCCCTTATTAATAAAATAAAAAAGCTTACAATTTCTGTCTGTTTGAGTCAACTGGTTCACTGCTCATTATGTTTCCTGTTCACTGAAACGACACCACAGGTATAGAGAGGAGAAAGTAAGCCAACCGGTAAAATTATATACAAAAAGTTGAAAAATACTTCTCAGGACACGGCGTTCTATCCGTTGAGAATTATCATCGCTGGAGAAAAACTCGATATTTTTTTATTAATAAGCGCGTCAAATCGTTCTCTTATTGGTCAGAATTTCACGTTTTTTTCAAGTCGAAGAACAGTTTGAAAAAAAGAGTTTTGTTTTTTTACTACTTTTTATTCGTTTAGTTTTCACTAAATTTCAACGGATTCGGTTTTTTTGGAATTACAAGAAAAAAATAATGTTTTTGAATTTCGTATTTGAAAAAAATCGAATTTCGAAAACTCCTACTTTTTAAATTGCATAGAAAAACCAAATAGTCGATTTGAAAATCGTTTATATACGTTAGCCGAATAAATAAAAGGGTGCAATACTAACTCTCTACCGGTAAACGTCGACTAAAATGCAATGGTACACGAAAAATCAAAAAGAAACGTTATTTAGTGTTGGCTCTTGATGAACTTGATGAGACCATTGGTTGAGGGATCGTGGCTTGTGACCTCCGAAGAGGAGGAAAGCTCAGGTTGAATGACTTTGGCCAGTTGTTTGCCGAGCTCGACACTGAAAAAACAAATGAATGGAAGGCAAAACTGATCGAAATCCATGTAATGTTTTTAAACTTGATATGAAGAGCAACACGCAGCAAACGAGTGTTTCTATATTTTCGAAATACAGATTTTGAAGTCCTACAAAGTGTGACGAAATTTGGTCCGCTAATATACGAAATTTCAAAACTTCTATAATCATTTTGAACCGCATTTTTCAAAAATAATCCCGATATTTATCTTTGCTCGCTTAAAAATCCTATTTTATTTGAATTAGAAAGAATATTTATTGTAACGTTCTTTTTCCGAAATAAGAAATTCAAGGAACCAATTGAAAGCTCACCCCCATTGATCATAGCTGTTGATGTCCCAAACGACTCCTTGGACGAAGATCTTGTGTTCATAAAGGGCGACCAAGGCTCCCAAAGTGAACGGAGTGATTCTCTTCAACACGATCGAGGTCGTTGGCCGGTTACCTTCGAAGACCTGGGAAACGCCAAGATTCAAAAAGAATAGGGAAAAAACTCCGGGGCTCAGGGAAACTTCGAGCAATGGAAAAAGCAGACTGTCCTACATTTCTAGGTTTCTTCTCCCAAATGTTTGCTACATTTTCCGAATAAAAGTTGATAGTGAGAAGAAAAATAATCAGAAATTTAACTTGAATACTAAAAAAATCTTTTTATACTTGGCACTTTGCTAAAATTTCTTCTAGCAACACTAAAATAGGGTAGTTCTCTCCTCTATTGATGACGCTATTAAACCAAAAAATAATTCTTTCGAAGAAATAAAAAATTCCTTGACTCTCACCTTATGGGGAAGGATGCTTTCGATGGTCTTCTCGTCTTTTCCTTCCTTTTTCAGCTCGGCTTGAGCTTCCTCACGAGTTTTTCCCTTCATGAGCGCCTCGGTTTGAGCCAGGAAGTTGGCGAGCAAAATCTAAAGCCCCAAAAGTTCCTCAAAGCCTTTTTTGGTTGGGAAACTTGATGATGGAGACCATCTCGGATGGGATTGAGAGTTTGAACAGGGGCGATAAAATCGGCCGGGATGAGCCGAGTTCCTTGATGGATCAACTGATAGAAAGCGTGTTGGCCGTTGGTTCCAGGCTCTCCCCAGACGATCGGACCGGTGGAATAGTCTACGCGGCTTCCGTCTCTGTAATTACTTGTTGAATCTTCGAAACTTGTATATGAGAGTGATGACTTTCCTATTTGGTTTATAACAGAAAAAAGCTTGAAATTTTTTTTTGTACAATAACTTTTTTTAAATTCCTGAGGTCCATGAAATTTAGAAAGTTTCAGAAAGACCTGATCCCTGCTTTCCAACAGAAAGAAAAATCGAAAACAGTTGGTAAAAAGAATAAAACGTATAAAGTCACTACAACAAAAAATTTTTTTCGGAGCAGTACTGATTTTTGCGTCACTATTATGTAAAAGGCCTAACTCGGTTCAAACTCAACATTTTTTCTCAAACCAAAGTTTTCGTAATTTTGAACATCTTATCAATCTGATGGCTCAAGTTGGAGGACACTGAGAAAATAGTTTCCAGAAATCGCTCAAGGTCCTTATTTATGGCAGTCAACTAAGACCTTGTGACAAATTTGCCGTTGCTTTCCATGTCTCCTTGCTGGAAGTAGGCGGCGAATCGATGGAGGTATTGGTCATAAGGAAGCAGAGCGTGGGTCTCGGCTCCGTACACGTTGATGTACAGAACTCCCAGCATCGCCATGATCACGGGGATCTAAAAGATGAGACTACTATCGTTGGTACAGAAACTCTTTTTGGCGCGTATTTGAAAAAGACACACTTGAAAAATTTTTAAGCATCAACTTTTAACCATACGTCGGCTGTCCCATTCCAGCCTTTTGCGCGCGAAAAAAAAATTTTAAAATTTACTAAAGTAAGCCGCACCCCGGGGTGGGATCCAGCCGACATATTTTTCAACACTTTGATAGAATCTCTGTTTATAGAGAAAAAAACCAAATATCTCATAATCAAAAAAACAACGACAGTTTTAAAAAACTTATAGAAAAACGTTGTTTCTTACTGCACTTTTTTCAAATTTTGTCATTCGATTTTTCAATCTACTTGATTTCTTCCTAATCTCCTATGTTGGTTCATGCATACTTTTTTTCAAATTATCAAGTTCTTACGGTTATTTATTTTTCTAAAAAACTCAGAAAAGAGAGAAAAATCAAAGAGATTGTCCAGATCGCACTTGTTGAAGTTTTCAATGAATGGAACAAATGTAGAGGACTTTTCGTAAAAAAGTTTTTTTCCGAAGCTTTTTGCTTCTTTTTAATCTTTTCCTTTTCAAGACACTCGAGACATACATTTCTACCAATTCAAACAGAATAGAACAAGAATCTCGCTATGCTACTTTTATGAGTCTGAAGCCGCCATTTGCGGAAAAAATAAACCATCATAAATAATTTTATAAAATGTAAAATTTTTATTCCCCTTCTAACATACTTTCCAGCCCATTAAGTTTAAATTTCCCCCGATTATTTCACGTCAATTACGCTCCGTAAATGTTCATGGATACGGCCCTTAAACGAAAGTTTCAAACTCACATTTTTCTCAAGCGGCGTACTTTGGAAGTGCTCATCGCTGGCGTGGGCGCCAGCCAACAGAGCTTCGAAGTTCTCGAAGCCGATGTGGACGGCGATGGAAAGTCCGATGGCGGACCACAGGGAGTATCGGCCTCCAACCCACTGAAAACAGATGTTATAGCGGGGAAGGAACCTTTTTACGTACATCCCAGAACTCGAACATGTTCTTGGGGTCGATTCCGAACTCTGTGGCCTTTGGAACATTGGTCGAGAGAGCCACGAAATGCTTGGCGACAGCGCTTTTGTCTCCGGCCTGCAAATCTTTTTTTTTCGGATTCTGCACTAGAAAATCCTCACAAGAAGTATTAGTTAATTGTGAACAAACCTTGGACAAGAACCAATCCCTGGCCGTTTCGGCGTTGGTGATGGTTTCCTGGGTGGTGAACGTTTTCGAGGCGATGATGAACAACGTCGTCTCGGGGTTCAGCTTCTTCGTCACCTGAAAATCAGAACTGAATTAGTTTTCAAAAAAAGACAAACCTCAGCGATGTGGGTTCCATCAATGTTGCTGACAAAGTGAACGTCGGGTCCGACTTGGTAGTGTCGCAAAGCCTCCGTCACCATCAGAGGTCCCTAAACATGGAAAAGTTAACTTGGAGAACTTGGAACTAGCCAAGGTACTTGAATCTGTAGTGATTTTATAGTAGAGGTAAGATACTTGATTCTTCACAAAAACTAATTCAAAAAGTAACAGCAAATTTTTTTATTGTTTTTTTCATACCATCATTCTCCTTTATTTGAATAAAAAAACCCCTCTCCAAGGGCATCGAGGGGATTCACGAGAAAATAATGTAAAAGATAGGAAAAAAACATTTTTTTCAACTTAAAATTTGCTCGGTTTCGACTTTTTTTTCTGTGATTTTTTGAAAAGCTGGCTGTGGAAAAAAATAACACTGAATTGGTGAGTCGAAAAACAGCGATTTTCAAGAAATGTACAGAAAAATAGCTTCTCAACATTCTTTGTATATTCCATCAAACCCACCAAATCGGAACCTCCGATGCCAATATTGACGACATCGGTGATCTTTTTTCCAGTGTAGCCGGTCCATTTCCCAGAAATGACGTCATCGGTGAACTCTTTGATGTGAGCGAGCACTTCGTTCACCTTTGGCATGACCTAGAGAAGCTCAAGTTGTTTCGGAAGGGTTCGTAGGGAGACTGACGTCCTTTCCATCGACGACAATCGCCTTGTTGGACCGATTGCGAAGGGCGATGTGCAGGACGGCGCGATCTTCCGTGAAGTTGATCTTCTCCGCCGAAAACATCGCCGAGCGCATTTTCTCCACGCCACGGGATTCGGCCTGGAAAGCACGAAAATGATTTTTCCTTCTTCAAAGTTGACACCAACAACTTTTCGCTCAACTCTTGGCTGGATTATTGTTTCCGAAAAGGTTTTCCCAAACTAGGAAACTTTTTTTGAAACTAAATGCATTGGAAAAGTGGATGAAATCACTTTTGATAGATTACATTTGTAAATTTCTTATTTAAATTTTATTCTTTTAGACGGACTTCAATTCAATCAATTTATTTTCGCAATATCGGGATGGTGTGGTGATGTTGCAGGGAGGGAAAAAGACCACTAGATGGATTAACTAACCCCACCTGTGAAGAAAAAAGTTTTTTGTGTGAGAAAAGAAACATAGGACCATAATAAGTAGATACTTAAAACCAAGTTGATTATGGCACAAATCTGTAATGCCGTGTTCAAAGTAATTTCCGCGAAATGCAAAATGATCTCTGACTCTCCAAAATTTAGTGATCTTTTCCTTTCTCTAACGGGTATTTTGCATTTCGCGGAAATTACTTTGAACACGGAATAAACTCTTGAAAGAATATGCTCGACGCCAACATTTTCTACATACACTAAAAACATGTCCTTAAATGTTTTCTTGTCTTCCTCTGCCAGTAATTCATGTTCAATGTCATTCCAAACATTAGTAATGCTATGTGATAAGAAATTGAAGAAAACCAGTGAAGGTTTCGTTTTATTAATTTAAAACCATTTCCTCTGAGCTGACTGGGACGGTCAAAGATGTTATGTACCTGGATGGGAGAGTCTGACCAGCACTTATTATGCAAAAACTGATGTGATAATACCAGATCCTTAACTAAACGCCTAAACCATCTCCCGAAAATTTATCATTTACTCTTACTTTTTGAGTCCTGTTAGTCAAATAAGCTCTTGATTGAGAATAACAGCTAACCAGTTTCAACAGAAGCTTGAAAGTTTTCTCGGAGACTCGGTGTTTTGAGAAGTCGAAGAGGACTGGACCATCGCGAGTCTCGAAAGTGTGACTGAAAGGGAAAAATATCCCAATGTCCAACTAATTTCCGAGCCAACCTGAACTTCTGGAAACGGTCCGGTTCGTTCTTGAAATGGTCGAGGATCGTGACATTCTTCTCGTTTGACTCGACGTGAGCCTTGAGCTCCTGGAAGACCGGGTCCTTCGTCAGAGTCATTCTTCCTTCAGAAAAAGAAGAAGTTTGGAAATTCAAAAAGGTCCGAAGAGAGTGCAAAAAGGCAAACACGTAGCCGAGGGTTGTGTAAACACGGAAACCGTCAATAATTACAAATCAAAGAGTGAGATTCACGGAGAAAATCGTACAGAAATATACTAGCTTTTAAAAAAGTGTATTGTCATTTTTCTAAAGATTTGAGATGAAGGAAAATCTTTCATTAAATAAAAAAGGTGAATGACCATTTCCTTCTAAGAACCATCAAAAATCCTTCGACACAACATGATCGCTTATCAAAAGGTATAAAAATCGGAAAGAAAACTCGGACCACCGAATCGGCAGGAAAATTCGCGGAGAAATGCTCGTGAATGGCGTGACAAACAAGAAAACCGGTCAAATTTGGCAAAAGAAGAGCAAAAAAACAGACGTAAAAAATGTGTTTTGACCAAAAATTGTTTTTGTGTTCTTTTTTGTCATTATTTTGACACAAGCAGACGTGGGGAAAATGAAAGTTTTTTAGAGAAAACACAGAAATTCTCATACTTTTTTTCCATGTGAAAGTTCAATTTTAAAATGAATAGATAAATATAAAAATGAGTTTTCTCTTACACAATTTTCAAAAAATTTTTACCACTCTTTAAATTTTTTTAAATCAAAGAAAGAGTACTCACAGCCAAAAAGTTTTTTTAAACTTCTGAAATAGAGAGTAATTTTTTTCGTTTCGTTTTTCTATGTTTTCAGCTGAAGACGTCTGAATCTTTTTTTAAAAATTAAAAATGTAGGTTACCAAAATGGTGAATGAAATTTTAAAAAAAGCCAGCCCACGTAGATTTTGGCAATGATGCAAAATAAACAGCATAAACGCCGAAAGAAAAAAAAAATTTAAACTTATTTCTTTTAGTTTGAAAGTTATTTCGATAATAATCTTCGCCAATAGCAGAGTAAAAAGAACCAAGGGAAAACAAAATCAGCCTACAAAAAGAGGAAAAAAAAATCTATAAATAACAACTTTGGAATAAATGGAACCTAATCGAATTATATTTTCCCCTCCAATCACTTTGCACCACTCAAAGACCTGGAACTGATGAGATAGGAAAGATAGAGAGACCCGCGACACACAAACAACCGAAAAACGCTTGAACAACAAAATCAATGTGTATACGTGCAGTTCGCGGCAACTTCTCCCTCTTCACTGGAAAAAAAAACTAACGGGGTTCAAATCCCGATGAACAGAGCTTTTAGAAGGTTCATTTCCTTCAAAATCAGAAGATGAAACCAATCAGAAAAAAAACTCTTCCAGCAGAAAAATGTTAAAAATATTTTCAAAAATACATTCTGTGGTGTTTTACGGAGCATTATAACTTAATATAATACTTTAGATGAAGGGTTTTTTTCCGCGTTATTTCAAGTCATAAAAAGAATGTTGCACCTTTGAAAAACGACGAGAGATTTTTTTGATTAAAAAAACCTTTTCCCAGTATTTTTTTATAATTAAACCTCCACAAAAAAATATGAAAAAAAGGAAAGAAAAAAAGGAAAGAAAAAAATAAAAATATATTATAATATAATAATCCTTGGTTGCCAAAATAGACGATTTCGAAACTCGAAAACAGACTTGGATTTCGAAAAATCAAAAAATAACTGATAGAATTGAAATGCGGCTAGTCCAACATTGTTAAAATAAAAAAAGAATCGGTTCTCATTTTGAAGATTTTTTAAAAATTGTGCTTGTTATTGCCCTTAATCTACAACGTAAAACAATTTCAAATACGTTCGAATTCTGACAAAAAAGGCTAGACGTGCACACCTTACACTGTTTCGATGAATTATTTATTGACTCATAAAAAAAAGAAGAAAAGCTTTGAGAACCCGGAGGGCAAGAATGGAAGTGAAGAATTATGCGATATTAAATATGGGAGAGAAGGATAATGACAATGTTTACAGTACGATAACAGTCATGGATAAATGACAAGATCTGGACTTTTAAAGAGTTTAGAGGCTTGTAAGGCTTGGTTTTTCCTCGAGCTTGATGACGGATACGCCGGTCTGGTCTTGATGCTGTTGAAGTGTCAAAAGCCTCTCATGCTCCGTTGCCAGAGCCCATTTCTGATGACGCAACGACTGGAGGATCTGGTCCAGGGCTTTCTTTTCCTGAAAAACGATTGTTAAATAATTTGAATGTCAGTTTGCTCGAGTATTATACTGTAACAGTAGGAATACTATCTCTCTCTCCGTTCTATTGTATTTATGTATTTTTTTTTAAACAAAGAATGGGGGAAATCTATGAGGATTTCGAAAGAGTGAAATGGGTTCCGGTTTTAATAAGCCCTGAGTCGTTTCAAACAAAGGCGGGAAATTCAAAACTCCAATTTCTTTCAAAAATCTACTTGTTGCAGTTTTTTTAAATCGTAAAAACCTCGCAAAAAAACCGACCTCGCACTAAAAAAATTTTTAAATGAATACCCTGCAAAAAAGATTTAAGAAAGAATGAATTCTAAATGTACTATTTATTTTTAAGCATTAGAAAATATAATTATTATGAAATCTTCTGTATTTTCTTCATTAGCCATTTTGAACGTGAAAAGTCAACTTTGAACGAATTTAATTCAGAAATCATTGAAACTTGTTCTAAGAACGAGGATCGAGAAGACTTACCTCATTCAAAACTTTCAGCTGTTCGTCCAGAAAAGCGGACTTGCTCTGAATGTTATTCGCCTTGAGGTTTGTGTCATCCATCTAAAAGACTATATTTCTATGGAAACTCCTAGTCTAAGCTTTGAGTTACAATCGCGATTCGGATATACCGTATAACAAGTTGTGAAACAAAAAGAAAAGTAAATTTATTGAAGAAAATGAAAAAATAACCGTCAACATCACCAACGACATGGAATAAGCCAAAATTTATTTATTCTTATATTTTTGGATGCCGGCTGGACTCATGACGCAGATGTGGTTGAGGTCGCGGAACTTCTGGTTGTAGTCCAAGCCGTAGCCAACGATGAACTGAAAAAAAAAGTGGAAGAGTGAAAAAGGCGCTAAAATTGTTCAGAAAAATCCTTTGAGAAGTCCAAAAGTATTGTGTCGCTCGCTACATACCCATTTCTTCAGAGGCTTTTCAGGATTTCAAGAACAGATAAGGTAAAACAAGCTCAAAAAATTCCTCAAAGTTTAATAAACTTATTATTTCGCAGCTCTGGTAACTTTTTAAAAAGTAATCGTTTCAATGTTTTAATAAATACAATTATCCTTCTAATCTCTTCCTGCCCCCCCCTAATCGCCTTTCCGTCAAAAAAATTTGTGAAAATGATCTTTTTTTCCATGTCTAATTCTTCAATCCAAAAAAATAAGTCCCTTTCTCCTCAAAGTCCTCAAAGAACATTGTCATCAAAAAGTATCATGAGTGAAAGACACTAAATCACGTGTTATTTATCGGCCTCTTGATAAGAGAAATCGGCGCACGGAACACACAAATCTTATCATATTCGTCGTTGAAAAACGTCTCGATTTCTTGCAGAGACGGCCGAAAAAAAGTATCGAAAGATTTTTTTCCCGGCCATTTTTGGTATTAAGAAGCGCAACAATGAAAAAAGGCTTAACTCTTTTTTTTCAGAAATTATTTTTCCTTCAGATTTTGCGTACTACACCTTCAAATTAGAAAGATTCTGAACTGTATGCCCTTTATTTTCTCTAATCAGCGTGGTAATAAAATAAAAAAGGGCATTTAAAAACAAGAGCGTCCAAAAAGAAAAAGAGGACGCAGAGGGTCTAGAATGTCAATTTTGATGCGAATATGAGATAAAGCGGATCAAGTGCTTTGAAATTGAGACCACCTCAACTTCAAATATATTCAATTTCCTTCCAATTCTTTCAGAATATTATAAATCTATTGAAATAACTAAGCTTCTCAAAAATATTCTTCAACTCGATAATTTTTTTATTTCAGATGTTCATTAATCTTCAGACATTGGATTGAAAAAAACTAGATTTGTTTTTAAAAAGTTGAAATTTTTGAAAAAAATCATTGAAAATCTGGAAAAAAACGCGTAAGAATCACCTTGTCGGGGATATCAAAAGCGACGAAATCCTCGGCGACTTCCACAAATCGCTTAACTTTTTTCGAAAGCAACAAGGCTGTCCAAGTTTTTTTGACGCCTTAATTGGAATTGGATGATTGTTTTTCTAAGAAAAAACTGTACCTGTCTCAATCAAAGTCTTCAAAAGCTTATCGAGCGTTCGGCCCGTGTCCGAAATATCATCGACGACCTTAATAATTATCGAAACGAATGAACTCATTCTCAAAAACGAAACCAACCAAGACATTCTTGTCCTTGAGCTCGTTCAAGTTACTCATGCCCATGATTTCGATCTTAAAAATTTAAAAACTTCCAAAGAAAAAATAGAAAAAAAAAACCTTTCCAGTGCTGGCCTGATCTTCATAACTCCTCACTCGGATGAAATCGACCGTCATCGGTTCAGGACAGTTGTAACGAGCATTCGAAAGCTCATCAACCTTCAAAAAATCTGAATCAAGCTCAGAATGTTAAAAGAGGGTTGATATGACAATAAAACTCGAGGGGAACTTGAAAACGAAACATAAGTGAGAATTACTTTTCTCTATAATCGAATTAGAAAAAATGGAGAGAAGAACAAAACTATTCGAAAAACAATAAGAAATTGATAATATACTCAAAAATTTTTTCAATTGCTACAGTTCAAAAAACGAATGTTTCCCAAAAGAACCTATATAACGACAAAACTTACTCTTCCATATTAATTTCTCAAGTTTTTGGATTTCTTTCCTTTTCATGGAGCCTGAATGTTTACTTTCTTATATATTGGTTGCACTTTCTTGTAAAATTTCGCGACCTCGAAAACCAACCAAAGCGGTGAAGAACTTGTAGGAGCCTTTGAGAACACAGAGCAAGGCAAGCGGTTCATCTCCAATCGTCTGGTGAATATCTAAAAGAAAATAATTCAAAAAAAGTTGTATTCTAAAGAAAAATCTTGATTTTGAGCTATGGAAAACAAAAAAATGATGTCCACATGAGATTCCTCGTCATTGTTCGAGCGCATAAGATTTTGGAAGAAACAGTTTTATAATTTATGAAATGGGGTTTGGAAGAATTGAGAAGAAAATTCATTCCTTTTCTGAATTTTTCGAAAAATTCTTCTCTAGTTTCTGCACGAAACCACCAAGTTTGAAAAGAAAAAAAACCACGAAAAAAAGAAAAAACTTTAGTGGCTACTTGAGAGGTTGGTCTACTTGGAGAGGACACTAAGGTGGCCACTGTAACCGCCTCTACAGAAGTTGCTATCTTGCGCCTTCGTCTCAAGACCTCTGATCTCAAGGAATACGGTATTTTGGCCGAAAGCGGAATATTCGATTACCTTTAGCCAAACGCCGAACTCGATCCTTGATCATTCCCTCGGAGATAACGACGGCCGAAAGATCGCCATCATAACACCGCGGGATGTCGAAAGCGCCGACTGGGAGCTGAAAATTCTTATTTTCTGTAGGAACAAAGAAAAAAGTGCAAAGAACCTCGAAATCGTCGGGGATGACAACGCGTGCTTGCGCCATGGCTGCGACTCGTGCGACTCTGCCCGTGCGAGGGAACCTTATCAACTTATCAACACCGTCCGATAACTCTCTCGTTCGGTAAAACAATCGATTTCAGTGGCGCACTTTGGCTGCCCTTTGAACCACGGCTTTAAAATTTTTTTATTATAACAAGTAACAACGATTTCCAGGCGTAAGTTCAACAAAAACAAGAAAACAATAAGAAAAAAAACCAGAAATGTGAAGCGTTTGGAATGAAGTTTTTGAAGATTTTTTTTTTAATTTCCTAGTTCATCAAATGCATTATTACATCTGATCGAATCTCACACTGCAAAAAAGGAAAGTAAAAATCTATAAAATTTGCAGCCTTTCTTTAGGAATGATTCTCAACTAAAAGCCAAAATTCTGAATCCAGTTTTTTACCTGCAGCAATAGAATATGAAGGCTTCAAAACATATAGCCTCCATCCAAAAAAGCAAACTGTGAAACAAAAAACCGAAATTATTCCAAGTCTCAGGTTCTAAAACTTCAGGACACTTATGCCCATATGGGTCTTTCGATTTCAGAAAAAGAAATTTAAAGACTATACATTTAGTGACTACATGCATCTACTCCGAACGCTCCCAAACGAAACAATCAACAGAAAACAATGAAAAGTGTCAAATCCATCCGGCATATTCTCCAATCAAGTCACGATTTTCTTTGCGTCCACGGTTCACAGCGCTTTGTTTTCCCTTGACTTTCAATCGCGTCTGAAGAAAGTTCTGATAATCATATCAAAAGAAAAACGATAATAAAAAATTTCCTTCCTTTTCTGATAGTTTCCCTATATAGAAGGCATGAAATTCACACAAAACTTCATGAAAATTTTAAATTTGTGAGAACATAAAATGCAGTTAACTCAACTGAAGTCGTATGAAAACATCAGAAAAACCCCATTCGCCGCTATTTCACGAAAAAATAAACTACATAGGCCTATTAAATCTTCAAATCTTTGCGAAAACCTCATTCAAAAGTCAAAGAAGTGAAAGAGGTACTGAGAGTCAGCCAAAAAAGAAAAAATAATAATCGATTTAGGCGTTTTAATAAGCCCTATCGATTCTCAAATGTTAACGAAGTTTAAAATAAAGAACTCAATTTCTATGTTAAGTTGAAAAATTTCGGATTACAGCCCCAAGAAGAAAATGAAAAATTCAATTTAAACAGCGCACCTGCGTTCACCTACCCTCATTTCTTCATTTGAAAAAATTAACGTTATGAATTTTTTGCTTTTTTGTCAGAAACTGACGATTTTTTCGAATCGAATGCAATTCAGCTATAACTTACAACTAATTTTTGTAACTGAAACAGTCTCCAAAGGATTCAAATGTTCTTATGAGAGCAAGAAGTTTTTTTTCCTCTTTTCACCTCGAAATTTCTATAGTTGCCTGTAACCTATTTTTTTGAATCGTTATGAACCTTCTGCTTATTCCGTTGCATGTCGAGCTTCACTTTTTGTTTGATTTCCTCTGGAGTGAACGTCGCCACGCTGGTGGCGATGGAATTGGCTTTGGCAGGCGCCTTTTTTCGTCGGGGTACCGGGACTTCTGCGGCTTCTGTCTCTTCTGTTTCGGGCTCATGTTGAGCTGCGAGTCTTTCGGAAGTCGTCTCCGGGACCGTTCCACAAGGGATCGCCTAAAAATCCGCTTTTTCGGACAACTATAGAATTTACCTGAACTGCTAGAAATATATTCTGGTCAATAACTTCGAAAAATATATATATTTCAGAGAAACTAAAAGTTTTTTTGGGAAGGAAACGAAAACAAAACTTTCATCAAAATTATAGGCATTTTCGATATTAAAGATTCAAAAATTGAAAAATAAAACGTTTTTCTTCTTTCTCCAGTTAGTTTCTTTTCAGAGCAATTTCAAAAGCCGCGACATCCTTTCAAAACAAAAAACTTCTTTCTTCTCTTTGGGAAGTTGATTAAGAATATTTTTTTCGAAAAAAGGGAAAACCTCATGATCGGCCTTGTCGACATCATTGAAGCATTCTCGTTGATATCCGTTCAAATCGATATTGTCGACTTGTGAAGTCGCCGTGTCCAGCCAATCATTGAACCGCGAATTCTTCGACAGGACGATTTGCTAAAAAAAAAAATACTTGGTGAGGCTTTTTTCCGATTTTAAAGCGTTATTGACCAAAGTATGAAACAAAGTCAAAAAAAAGGAAATGCAAAACAACAAAATCAACTGCTTTAAACTCAACATACACACCTCGTCTCCAAAAATGTTTTTTTTTTCGTATTTTTTGCTTGATTCGTTGAAAGAAATTAGCGCTTTTTCTCAATTTGCAAAAAATTTGAAAAGATAAATAAGTGAAAAAAAAAGAAATTAGCATAATAAATCTCCAACTGCTTTTATAACGGAAAAAAATATGATTTTATCACGTTTTGATTTTATATACGAATTCTCCAAAACAATAAAAACACAAAAATATTTCAGACTTGCTCATGAAAAGATATCAAAAATTAAAAAAACATCATTATATTTCATTGGAATAAAAAAAGAACCTGTTGCTGGGCTTCAACATTCTCCGCCTGGAGCTCCTCTTTGTCGACGTCATCCTCGGATTCTTCGCTTTCCTCTTCTTCCAACAAATCTTCGAGGCTCTGAAACAGCAAAACGGGAATACAAATATTATTAAATCCCTCACTTCAGGATCACTTTCATCGTCGCCTTGGTCGGTTTCAAAATCGTCTTCTTCATCCTCACTGTCAGTTCCAGAATTATCATTTTCGCCCTCTTCATGGGCTTTGAAATTACCCTCATCGTAGGCCTGAAAGCAAAAATATGAACGGAAAAAAAGTTTCCGTTTTCAAAATTTTGATGAAGCCTCTCAATCGTTTCTATAAACTCGCTGAGCTTTCTTGTCAAACTCCAACGGTGGGAAAACTTTCATTCGAAAAAATAACCAATATTAAAACTCAAACTTTTGGTTTTGATAATTTTTTCCTGATCTTTAAATCGAGTTACCTTGAAAAATCTACCTCTTTGTGGAAAAAACTCAGATGAAACTTAAAATGAATACTTTTTCTATCGAATTGCAAGTTCCCATGGACCAGTAATAAAATAACGCGAGAAACATAAAAATTTTCGTTACTCCCAAAACTATCGACTTCTAAAAAAAAGAAAAGTTTTAAAAAATCGAAGATCCTTTTTTGAATATTTTTTCTCCAAAGAAGCGCATATTTCCTATTTTGGATGAATTCATCACTCGCTGAAAAATTTCACGAAAAAAAACTTCGATAATTAAAGAATTTGATCACAATTTCAAAAATTTCCTTAGCAAAACATATCAAAACTGAAAAATGAAAGGCCATACGAAGTTCTTCTTAGAAAACGAACTTTATTCAAATCATTCTGCATCTTTTTCGTAAATCCCGACGCTTCGATCAGCACATCCATGTTACTTTTCCGTTCAATATCGGAAAACCTCGGCCAAATTTCGCTTTCATAGTCGAAACGGCGTCTGAATATACGAAGTTCAGTTGAGGCAGGTTACAGAATAAAATCGAACTTGAAAAAGGTCCGGATGCACTCGACATCACGGTCAAAGTAGTACTCCGCGTTGAGGTGATCAATAGAGACCATTTGTGGGAAATCGATCATCACTATTTTTTCGTCCTGGAATCGAATAATCATAAAGAAGCTAGAAACCGATCTAGCAACCACGAAAAATTTACTTATAAAAATTCAATGAAGCACTCTTTAGAGAAAAAGGAAATGGATTTCTCTGAACAAAATTGATTTATTAACGTGGCGAATTGATAGAAAAAAACAAGCTTTGTATAACTTAATGTATGAGGAATTTTCCATCAAGAAAAGGATAGAGTATATCCGTGTGATTTTGAATCCAAAAAAAGCCTAACCTCGACCAAAATGATATTGAACTCGTTGAAATCGCCGTGGATAAGACCATGTCTTGCAAGTTTCATAATAAGGGACATACATCTGAAAATGCTTTTTTTAAAATATTCTTTGCATCTCAACAAAGAACTTCAACAATCACCTAGAATACAGGGCTCCAGGGTCATTAAGTTCCTGTACGTTACAAAGAGTTTTTCCCTCAATGAACTGCATGACGACGAGATGTCGGGAAACGTCAATGGCCGTAGGCACCGGAAATCCTCTTTCGTGCAGGGCTTTCAGGAAAGCAAATTCCTGGAAAGGACCAAGTTTCGGGATTTTTATCATGCTTTCCCTGCCTTTGCGGCGGCGAGACGGCTCAAATAAAGCCAGGACGCGTTTTTCCGCTTGTTGTGATAGTCGCGCTTGTCTTTGACCTTCCGGAAAGAGGTTCTGCCAAGTCGATGGAACTTCAGACAAAGGTCCTGTGAAGCAAACATTTGAAGGAATCTCTTGAAATGATCCGATCTGCATGTATAGTGCATTCGCCGTAACTTTTAACTTTCTGCCTGTCTGCGTCTCTTGTTTCCCTCACCGGCGAGGTCAGAGAAACATGAAAACATCACGTAAAAACAAGAGCGCCGCCGAGAGACAAAGAGAGCGCAGAGGGATCCTGCCGTTTTAAGTCGAGGCGAACGGACTACAGAATGCCTCAACGGGTAGCGTTTCAAGTTCTAAATTTGATTTCTGTATCGCCCACAATGAGATTCATTATGTGAACGTGCGGAAGGCGTTCCCAGACGGTTGCGTTTCAAAACAACAGATTCTAACAAGCCATTTTCGTGCTATCATGGACTCCACAGTTATGGAGAGTGCAGTATAAGTTACTTTTCAACGATTCATTTAAAAATTTAAAAAAATCTTTGAAATCATTGAAATCATTATAAATGTTGACGAAAGATATTTTTGCCTTTTTCCAAAAAAAAAACTTTATTACCGAAATCATGTACTGGAAAAAAAACAAAAAAAACTCTCAATAAAAAAATGGATTGGAATAAAATTTCACGGTTTTGTTAAAAAGTTCGCATGCTTCAAGCTCTCTAAAGACATTTCTGAGAAGTGAACACAGAATGATTTTTAGAAACCAATCAATGAAAAAAAGTCTTTCTTTTAAAAAAACTGAATGGAATTGCTAAAGAAAAATATTCAATTTTTTTAGCAGAAAAAAACCTTCAGATCAGGATCTCCGCCCACATAGACGTCAGACTCTTTTCCGATTCCGATCTGATTTCCGACACTTCCGACCACGGAACGTGAAGTCAAAGCCCTCAAGGCCAAAAAGTCGTATCCTCTGATCGTAAGGCGATATCCATCAACTGAAAAGCCTCGATAAAAAAGGAAGAGATTGAAATTTCATAAAAAAAATAATTAAAAACAATAAACGGAAATTTGAAAAATGAGCGCTCAAAAAATTTTGTTCTGAGAAACAACTCGAATTTCCTTTTTGCATATATCAAATGTACACCAACAAAGAAAAAGTTCAAAAGATTTCATGAAATTCCTCGAAAAAGGAAATTTTTTAAAATTCCAATGAATTATCGAAATCTCCTTTTCAGTGATTCTAAGAAAAGAAATTATCTAACAGTTAATTTTGCTCTGAAACTCCTTTAAAGTCCAGTTTATAAAAAAGGGTTCCAAAAACTTTTCTCAAAAATCATCTTCAAACAAAGTTTTCCTTCTGTTTTTTGAGCTTTTCCTTTAAAACTGATTTTAAGAAATGCTTCCTCAGAAATAGTGTTCCATAAAATGAAAAATCATTTTCCGCTATTTTTCCATAAAAATGTTTATCTGTTCTTCCTTCACTGAATCTTCTAATAGAATATTATAAAATTCGAAAAAAAATAGAAACTAAGGAATTATCAGCGAGTTTCAGGCTTTTTGCGATTCCCGAAAACAGCAGAAAACAATTTCCCACTACATTAAATACGGCCTCTGTGCGAGCAAAAATGATTCTTATAGAAGTGGAAGAAATTTTTTTATTTATGTATTTTCGTTTGAAAGTGAACTTCCAATAAATAACGAACACTTTTTTTGCTCCGCTCAAAAGCACACAGCTGGTGCTTGCAGAGGTCCTTCAAAGTCCTAGAAACGGCGCCCCGATGGATTCCCGAAATCGAAGAAATCAGGGCCAAAGGCACCACTTCGTGGTTTTTTTCATTCCCATTTCAACCTAAAAAAATGTCTTCTTTGTGATTTTTTTCTTGCAATTAGTTAAGCTCAAAACTTTCGAATCAGTCATTTTAAATATGAGAAGATTTACAACATCATAAAAAAGTTATTTGTTTTATTTTCTTTTTTTCTTGATTCGATGCATTTTTTTTCCGCTTCTTCTTAGCTAAAACAGAAGCTAGAAACTTCTCTAGGTTTTTTTTTTTCGATGATCATGTGAAAAAACCAACCGATACAAGAACCCGAAAATGTTCGGCGTCCAGGTAACGCATCGCAGTAACGTTCATACGCCCCATCTTGGAATTGAAATTCGTTTTTCATTCGATTTCTATGTGAAAAAACAAAATAACATCTCCGAAAAGAAACGGTAAAATTCGAAAAATTTCCAAGAACTGCTACCTCAAAAAATAGATGCGATTTATTTTCGTGAGGAAATGTTTCAAAAAATTGAATGTGCGGAATATTCAGCTATAAAAAAGCGATAAGCAAACAGTAGGAATAAATTACAAAAAAATTCAATTTAGCTACCTATTCAAGAAATTTCATTTAAGATAAAGTCAATCAAATCACAGATGAGGTTGAAGAAGTTTGAAAAATAGAATTGAATATATGATACAAAATTTACTTTATAGATTCTAAAATCGACACTTCAATTAAAAAAATACAATAAAAATAGGCCGGTATAAAACAGCAAAAATAAACTGTGGAACCTCGAGAAGCTCGAAAAAAACAGCAGATTCTACATAGAAAATGGGAAACCGGTACTTATGACGACTGGAAGATCTTGAGGTCTTGCAAAAAGGCAACGAAATCCAGTTCCCCATCGAAATAAATTTGTAAAAATCCTATCAAAACCAATTCCTTCCATTTCTACCCAAGAAAATGAAGGGTTGGGGAGAAAAAACATTTAAAATATGCTCGAAAGAGGGGAAGAGAAATAGATTCGTGGACAGGAGATTTCAAAATAAACTATTCACATCCTAGACTTTTTGACGGGAGGGACATCAACCGAATAAACCATCCGTTCCATAACAACGTTTCCTAATTGGGTGTTACTGTTGAGGAACTGTCGCCACGTCGATAGATTCATGATTTTCTGCCGATTCGCCGCGATCTGCAGCATAACCCTTGTTTTTTTGGAACAAAAATGTGTTCACATGTATCTATTTCGTGTTATCAAGTAAAATGACTTTTTTTGGAGAAACTTTATCAAACTTTTTCCGGTAAGTTTTTTATGATTTTAACTCCAGACTTGTTTTTTTGCAAATCTTTATAACCTTCAGTTTATTATTGCGTTACTTCATTTCTGAAATTTTGCTGGCAAAAAGAAAAACAGTATAAAAAAATTTTAAATTAAAAATTTCATTGAGAAAAAGTTAGGAATCGCAGCTTTCTATTTTTTTATTGATCTTCGTGAGACAAAAAGTCTAAAAAAACAACTTTTTTTTGGAAAACTCCGATGATTTACTGAACATTCTTTATTCCGCTTAAAGATCTTGAAAAAAATTAAAAAAATCTTGAAGAAAAAAACTGAAATCGGCAAATAATTACAGTCTATTTGCAGCCGATTTTATTTTCTGAACTCTTTTTCATCGTAAGAAAAGAACTTTGAATGGAAACTAACGTAGTCGAGACAAGCTTCCAACAAGCTGTTCGCACCCAAAGTGTCGGCCCAAGTCACGCATTCGAGAACGTTCGCAACGGCTAATCTGGAAAGATAATCATTCAAAAACCACAATTTTTAGTTTATTGGAAACCTGCCAAGAAGCTGTTGTTCACAAGTTTTCTTTAACTCTGACAAAGCATATTTATCAGCAATCTGCATAACTTCCGCTGCGTCCTGAATTTTTGAATAGATTGGAAAAAGAAAATGCAGATCGAACCTCAACTTCTAAATTGGTGATCAAGGTTCCCGTGTACAGAAATTCGAGCATTACCCGCACAGCCATTGACGAAAAATCAGATATTGTAATTTTTCGATCCTGAAAAAATTAGTATTGAGATAAAAAATCGTAGGCAACTTTTTTTGTTTCTCACAGCTTTTAATTATTTCTAACTGTTCTAGTCCCTTCTTGTAGAGAAAAAAAGACTCACTTTCAAAAAAACCTAGATTACGATTTTTTTTAGAATACTTTAAGACCACTTTTTTTCATTCCATATATAAAAATATGTTTATATTTTTCGAAATTTTTTTAATTTTAAAAAAAGATTTATTCAAATATTGATTCTGACAAGTTCGGGATTTTTTTTGAGAAATTGAGAAAAAAACGAACCTGAGTTTCTTGTAAACTATCATGACTCAACATGGCGCGGAAGACGGCGGAATGCGAGATGAGCTTGTAACTGTGGGTTCGGAACACTTCTCTCGTGTTTTCTGCGCCCGCACAAATCTCCATGTCGGCGCCTTCTCCCGACCGCAGCATTTCGAGCTCTACAAAGAGTTGTTTGAAAATCATTTGGAGATGATGATGCCGCATTCCACTATCGTTGGAAGATTTGGAAGAAAAAACTATGAAAACTTAGCCAAAGACAGCTCTGAAAATTCAAAAAATACAACTTTTTTCATCTGAAACTTTTAAACGACGACTTTTTCTCTTCATTTTTGCTTTTTTTTCATTTTCTCGTCATAATCTATATTAATTTTTTTAAAGACAATGAGGTAACTATTTAAAAAAAGTTAGAAAAAAAGGCGTCGTCGGGGAGCGTCGCGGCGAAATTTCTAGATTCCTAGAAAAAAAGGTAAAGTTGTCTTTGGCACGTTCGCTGATTCGCTTCAATTTTTTTACTATGGAGAATTTGATGATTTTTTTTTCTTTTTTACAGCAGCATTGATACAAACTCTCAATCTTTTTGAAATGAACTTAAATCGAAAGAATATCCTTCCAGTTCTAATTTATAGATACATTTGAGGAACGAACCGGCGTCGATGAAGCCTTTAGGGACTTCCATGCAATGTCTCTGCAGGACGGGTGTCGCTGGCATCTTCTTGCACGGGACTTTTGTGACGTCAGGAATCAACTCAATGCAGCAGGAAATCACAAGAGATTTGTCGCTTCGTATGCTGTTTTGCACCTGAAACGGTAATTATTAGAGCGTTTGGTTGGAAATAAGCGGTATTTTTGGGCTATTTTCACTATAAAAACATGATACTCCTGGGAAAATCCGCCGATGGCCGCGAACGAATTTTCTCCTCAAATCCTAGCTTCGGAATAAAAAATTCTAACGGATTTTGGTGTAATAAAAAACTTCCGAATTTAAAAATTACATTATATCTCAAAGTTTTCGTTGAATCGCAAACCGCTACTCCCTGACGCCACCTTATGACATCATCCGGAACACAAGAAATAAACGTGACTATATATTTATTTTATTTACGTGAAAAAATTGAAGAATGGGAAGAGCCTGAAATAATATGGAAAATTTTTCACGCCGAATCTAATTTTATAAATTTAAAACGTGAAAAACAAATCAAATAATATGGCTCCGTGTGCGAACCGCCAAGTCAAGAGGACGTCACAGGGATGGTGTCAGGGAGTAGCGAATTGCTATTCAACTCGAAGTAAAATTTTATAAATTTTATGAATTTTCTTTCCTATCAATTTGAAAAACAATACTAACTTTTTGTCGAGGAATGTTCCGAAGTCCCCAGGAATGCCCGCCTTTCGGCGGTTTCGCGTGGAACTCGCCAATATTAACGTTGCTGAACTTGGCTTCGTCGTTGTCGTCCAGAAAATAAAAACGATATTCAGCTTTCACAAGAACCTGAACAAGAACTTTGAAATCCCCCAGATGAATCTGCAAAACCTCTTTCATCTGAGCAGTTGCAGACATTTTCAAGAATAAAGATACGTGATTCGCGTTTTCTTCCCGTTTTCCGCCCGGATATAAACATAGTTGCCAGCAGGCGTCTGGTAGGGCGTTATCTCTATTATCGTTCAGTATTAATCACTCATTTATTATTTCAACTCACCGAAAAACACTGCTTCTTAAACAAACTCCTGGTTGACTTAGCTTTATGAGGCTTTCGAAGTTGTTCACCTTAAGTCGAATAATGAACGAAATGGGATAGTATATTCTACTTATTCATGCCGTGTTCAAAGTAATTTCGACGATTTCAAAATGGACGCGGTATTTTTTTTAAAATGATTTTGAGAAATAGGAAGTATCGGTATTGCGGGAAGGCGCAGGAAAAAATTAGTCCTCCAACAATTCATCGCTAGGTATGCATTTTAATGTAACTTCTGCGCGCGAACTCAAAATTTTGGCTTTATTTGGGCATTTAAAGAAATTTCAAATTCACGAATAAAAATCAGCGTAAAAATGCATATTTGGCAATATATTGTTGTAGGACTCATTTTTCCTGCGCCTTCGGGGAATACCAATTCTCCCTAATTCCCGAAATATTTTTTAACGAATAACGCGTCAATTTTGAAATCTTCGAAATCACTTTGAACACACGGCATGAAGATAAAAAGTTCATTTCAAAAAAAAAAAATTTAATTTTCTTAACTTCAACAATCCATAAGAATTATTGATTTCTTTTGCGCCTTTTAACCAAAATGCGAGATTTTGCGAACATTACTATGAAAAGATGTTCATTTACAAAAATTTTCAGGTCGTTATATTAAATTATAGATTTCAACACAAACAATACTGCTGAAACTCATTTTTTTCGAATGATATTACGTTATTTATGTGAATATGGTCTCGAACAAGTACAAAAAGCTTATTTTTCTCAAAAATTTCTCGAAAAACAAAAACGTACCGTCCATCTCTGCACGAGAACAACTGGCTCAACAGTAGTGACACATTCGTTCTTAATTGAAGAGAGCCTACGCGAAGATGAAGGAGCGAACGGAGAGTTGTCATGACCCCCAAGCAAAGAGCTGCTCTCGGCCCTCTCTAAAGAGTTCCGAGAAGAAGACATCGCTAGAAAGAGAATGTTCGATGACCAATAAATGCAGGTCATGTGACCTTTTAACAATTAAACGCTCGACAAAGAACAGAGAAAACAAAAGTTGAAACAAGGACGAATGTGAACAACAGTCAAGCCCTTTTTCCATATCAAACGTTCATTAATCTTTTGTTCGCTCAACAATCTAGTAGTTCTCCATTAAAATAACGGGCTTTCTTTGTGAACATTCAGGTGATAATACCTCCAAGCCGGCGTTTCCTAGCAGCACGTAACATTGCGACGAATGTAGGTGATGAGAATGATCATGAAACTCACTTCAAGAATTTCTTTAGTCAGAAAAAACTTCTAAAAAAACCCAGCGTGACGTATTATTCATTTCCAAAAAGAAATTTTTACAAAAATAAATGTTTCGAAAAAAAAAAATAATTAAAAAAAAATCCCAATTTCTTTTTTAAATTTCTTTTTCTGACAAATTCAATCTTTTAAAACGTGCTCGAACTTTGATTTGAATAAAATGGAACCTTTAATTAATATACACATCGAAATCAATAAATTTAGCCTTTTAATTAATCGATAAAAAATGAGCAAACGATAAAAATTTAAATAGAAACCAAAGCTGCTAAAAGTAAGGGGTAAAGGGACTCATTAAGAAAAAAAAGAACAAGATGAATATCAATATTAAGATTGGATCGATGGGGAAGTGAAGGAAAAGAAAAATCAATTTATACAGCCGATATTAAAGTGCGCCAGTGTTCGCGGAGGTGGGAGAGTCTGATGGTGGTCGTGACGTCAGAGCACTTTCGCGGTGAGACCCGCATTAAGCCTTTTTTTCTTGCGATTTCAAGAAAGTCTTTCATCGGGTTTCCATTTTTTTATTTCAAATGAGTTGGAGAAACGAATGTTTAATATTCAAGTATTGAAAAAGTGAGCTCAAAGATATTAATAAAAAAACTACCGTTAAGCGAAATTCTTCAAAAAAACAGCGTTTCTACCAGAAAAATTAGCTCCTTTACGAGTTAAAATTTTGTTTTTTTGGGTCTTCCAGGATTTTCATTATTTTTCCACTATCGAAAAAAAGTACTGAAGCACAGGCGACTATATTCATTAATAACAAGAAAAAAAGCACAAATTTATTGGGAATGGCTACACGAAGCTTCAAAACACCCATATATGATCTAAAAAAACCCTAAAAAAACAAAGGACGCATCGAGAGACGCGCGCTGAACGACTCTGACGCGTAAGAAGGCGTCAATTTCCACGGGGAAAGTCTTTGTGGCCATAGCTAAACGACCAATAAACTGTCCTTGTCGTGCCAAGAGCACAAAAAAATTGGATGAAAAAAACTTTAAAAAAATTTAAAAAAATTTGAAAAAAATTAACGAATGAAAGAAATAAATCTGGAAAAAAACTTATGGGAAAAATTTTTTTTAAAAATTTTATTAAAAAGAAAAATAAATTTCTGGAAAAATACATATTCAAACGAGTAGAAAAAAATTGATAAATACATTTACGATGAGAGAAGTCCGGATAATAAGTTCAAAAGTGCATTATCTGCTTGGCTGAGGTCAAAATTCAGCATCATTTTTGTCTCTGACAGCGAAGTGGACGGCAAAACCATCAGAAGCTCACAAATTCTAAAATATAAAATTATTTTGTCGAAATCTTCTGTTTGAAAACCTAAATATTAAATCCTCATCCTTAACTTCATTGATTTTCTTCGTTAGATCTTCACAGAGGTCCCTTGAATATTCACCAAACTCAGAACCCTGAAAAAAAAAACTTGGATTGAATCGACATAAATTTCAAAAGCCAAAAACCTCTTTCGATTTTTCTCTGGACTTCGATTTGGTTTGAGACTTGAAGTTGTCTGTAGAAAATCCATTTCAATCTCAAAAACTTTTGAAAACTCACTTTTTGAAGAGCTTTCAGATAAATATAGGTCATTATCGTCCTTCAGCTTTGGAGAATTTCTAAAATCTACGATTCAGTTAACTTTTATGTCAAAGTCCTGCCTTTTCTTTGACTTGCTAGGTGGTTGTTCTTCCTGTCCGGGTTTTCTTTTCGATTTCTTCATCTCCCCACAGTACCTGGAATTCAAAAGTTTCGAGAATAATAAACTAAAGTCTTACTTTTTAGCTTGCTCATAAAATTCATCAGATGGATCCTTCAATTCGAAGATCATATCCTGATCATGATAGCCAGTTTTCTCTTCAAAATAAAAAAAAATTACTTCTCTTTTTTTAATATTATACCAAGAGTTAAGTTCATGTCATATGGGAACTTGAGAGGCTTCGAGTCAGGAGAATTGAAGTATATAGTGATATTTGGTGAAAAAGAAGCATATCCAGTCTCGGAGACCTATATGGAAGGTCACACAAAACTATTTTTCATTTTTTTTTTTTGAACCTCGAAGGGAGGTTCTGTAACGACTCTGGTCGGCTTTTGGTAACTGCTATGAAGACTGAACCGTACCTAAATACAAGGTCAAATTAAAAAAACAAAAAAAATAACAAACCTTAGTGATAAACCTGTTATCGGTGAAAACTAGGTCTTTATTACCTGGCCGCACAAAAACTGTCCAGTTATGAGTGTGTCCATCGGCTGTTTTTTTGCTTAACATGGACGACTCATGGCCCACCGAAACCTACAAAAATACTTACATCACAGCGAGGTTGAAAAAATATGAACCTTCACAAGTACTTTAGGATGCATTACAACAGTCGAAGTTGTTGAAAGTTCTCTGAAATAATTTAATTGAAACCCTTGTAGATTCGCACAAAACATGAGAAAACTTCTATTGTATAAACCTCGGAGAAAAGTTGAGCTTTGGAGAAATAAACACAGGATTCAGCAGAAAATGACAACCATCAGACACTCGCGTAAAAAAATTGATTTTCCAGTTTCCGTGCGCGTGGTCACGCTCCGACTTGCTACCGTACACCAAAATCGAGAGAAATTTAGCGAGGCTCCGACCAAATCAGAGAAAATAATTGTAAAACTAGTTTTCTTTAAAGATAAGATCTCATCGATCTTCAATATTTTTTTATAAAAAAATTGTGTGTTCATTTTTGATGTTAAGGCGTAAAAAAATTTTTGTTATAATTATTTATTATTCATATACAAACGAAAGTCGAAGAAAAAAAGAGATTCAACTGTGCCCCGCAACGTCAATTTCTTCGTCATTGTCGTTTCCATTGTCATTGTACATTTCGAAATCCGCGTTCGGAGATTTGTTTGCTCCTTCATTTTTCTGAATTTGAAGCTTGGGGCAAAATATTCTAACTATTTCATAAAACTTTCCGAAATCAAGGAAACACTAATATCTTTTCTAAAACACGCATGTTAAGACAGTGTTACGGCGGCCGGCCAATATTGCGCCGTCAGTTTCAGGGCCAGGAAAAGTTTTTGATTTTTCGCTTTCATTTTATTACCGGAAAACCTATCCTGACTACCGTAATCCGACCGGCCGCCTTAAAGAGGCGTGATAAAGCTTCGAATTAACTAGAACGAGAAGATCCAGTAGTGCATCTCTAGAAACAAGTCGAAAAAGTTCTTCTCACCTTTTTTGCCTGAAATTTTCACCATTATGTCTAGAAGATTTTCGATTCATTTACCTTCAACTCCCATTCGTACTTGCCGTTTTTATAAATGCATTTGGCTCCCCGTAAATCTGTCCTGAAATTAAATTTTTAAAAAGATGTTCATGAAATAATGCTTACAAAACCCGTTGTAAAGCATCAATGGCCATTTTGTTCCTCCAAGTGTCGTATTGAAATCGGCATTCTTCCAAAGCAATTGGCTTATCTGATTCTCTCCCAGGGAGGGCATTCCATAATCTGAGCAACATGCGTTTATATCACGGACAAAACCAAGGGTCTTACTGCGGATGTTGTTCTTTGATCTGAGATGCAGTCAAATCATCTCGATTCAAGATATTAGGAAAGCCAAAAGAAGCGCATAGGAAGTCTTAAAACTCAAAATCTTGAATTCTCTGTGGGTAAGTTCAGAACACCTTGAAGAGTTGAGACGACGTGGGAAGGGACGTCGATCAAATCTCTATTCCTTCTCCCAGTTTGCTTCAATCGCAAGGTGTACTTTTTGATTTCAGAAGGCGGGCTGCATATCTGAGAAGATTATTTTTTTCATGAAAAGTTGAAGTTTTATTGGAAAGAACTCAAAGCTAAAATTGATTCACACCAAAGACCTCTATCAAATAAAATCTCAAACTAGCAAAGAATCTATATTTTTTTTTTTCAAAGAATTGTCAACCTCTTTCAAGACGTGTCGAATCAGAGAGTGCATTTGTACGTGACAAGTTCCGTTTCCGCGGTCCCAGCCTCGAATCGACAGTTTTCTTCCCTAATTGGTCCGCTTGTTTTCAATCCTTACATGTTAGTCCAAAAAACCTTGAATGGGGGATCGCTTTGAAGCATAATTATCTCATTGCAAAGATTGAGTGGCCCTTTAAGTGGACGGCCAGTTGAGTTGGCTGCGGTCCTAGATAACCGCGTAAGCTTCTGCTCAAGGTTGGCAAACGCCGAGGCTAGACAATCATTCTGAAATGATCGTTTCATTTTCTCAGTGAAACTAAATCGTACATAGAACTGCTGTCCGAGGTTCTGGAATAGAGTGACATTCACTGTTGCGGCAGAGGGAAGGCCACATGTGAGCAAGTCGAGAATCGACTCCATCGAAGTTTTTCGAACCTTGTCGCGAAGCTCACCCACCGCGTCCTTGATTAACTTGTATAAATTGACGAAATTTATTGAAATATGTACCCAATAATCTCCAGTTGATAAAACACCAGCATTTCTGAGGGCCCACAACGTTTTTCCGACGCTTAGAAGATCGATCGTGTCGTCGACAATGCATCTATACAAACATGCTGAAAAGTTGACTTCTTTTGAAAGTTTTATCAAATATTCTACTGGTTTAACTTCGAAAAATGAGAATACAGTTGAGCCGCTCTCTTTCAAAACGCTTTCTTGTATGGGAATAGGTAAAAGCTGCACGGCCGCTAAGCAATCCACGTGTATCCGACTTCTAAGCGGCTTTCGCTGTCGGTATGAGAAATGAGCGCAGCCGATACGCGCTGAGACATCCTACTTGCGACCAGTTCAAAGTCGTAAGGAAAAAAGTATTTCTACCTTTTACACCTTCTGCGACCGGAATGAAGTTCTCGTCAAAAGGAAACGCTAAGTCTGCAACTCCTTCCTGCTCCAGAAAGTTTTGAACTGGAGATGGCGGTCCTTCTTCTTTGATCTCTGTGTTTGAAATGTCAACATCCACAGAATAATGCATCTGAAAAAAAGTTTTCAAAATTTTTCTTACTATTGGAAAGTTTATGCGTATAGTTGATTGAGCTTATGTGAAAAAGTGTGAGTCACTAAGGTTATTTTGAGTCACACTGTGCGACTCAAAATAACCTTAGAAACGGTCTCTAGTCTGTTCAGATTTTGAATGTCAAGCAGCTAATGTCAAGCAACTCCACCTCCAAATCTACAATATAGGCCATTCCGAGCCAGCTTGTCACGTTTTTCTTTCCGCCAAAAGTCCAGGTCAAATTTAACCAAATTTCGCTTTAAGACCTTTGTTTTTTGCCGTTATAAAAGCAGAAATTTGATCTAATTTGGTAAATGGTCTTTTTGGCGGAAAGAAAAACGGGACAAGGCGCGGAATAGGCTATATCTTTCGCGTCAATGTTTTATCAGCAGATGACAATGGCCCTTTAATAAGGCTGCATTTTAGACTTCTTTTTCTATCTTTTAGATCAAAAAAGATCAAAATTAGTCCCGCGCGATAAAACATCGACGCCGAAATTAGTCCCGCGCGATAAAACATTGACATTCAAAATCTGAACAGACTAAAAACTCAATGCCTGATAGAAATTTTAAGTATGAAGACCATTTCAAAGTTATAACTGATTCACGGCTGGCTTGAGCCATCGGAAAAAGGGTCCTGACACGATAATGCACGAGATAGTGCCTGGATCGTGGAGAGTGCAGAGAGACCACGCCCCTTAGCGTCCCAAGCTAACCGTGAATCAGCTATACAGGAGTAAAATATGTTTTTTCTAGGAGTTTTATACCGCAAACAAAACTGAGAGAAATAAACTATAGAGACATTGATGAACAATCAAGAGCGGTTGGTACTAACTCTTCAAACTGTCTAAAACTCGAAAATTAAAAAAAATACTGTCTAAATGCCGACAACATGAAAAAAGACGGACGGACGCGGCGTGAACCCCAAAATCAATGAGTGTCCAGCGTACACGCGCTGTTGGGGCGGCCGGTTAACCCGCCCTCCTCCATGCAAACGCTCTTTTCGTTTTTGAAAATGCGCCTGCTGTTCACATTATTATTGCTCGAAAACAAGTGCGATTAAAAATTTGGATTAATTATGAACAAGCCTTCATAATTTTTGATGTAAAAGGCTCGACACTCAAGAGATAATTCTTGTTTTTTTTTCTATTTCCACTTCATCAGATTAAACTTTTTTTTTTCTCAGATAACCTCGATTGTTCAGCAGCTCACTGTTTGATCAGAGTAAAGTCGAGCGCTGCCGGCATGGCTTTTTATTAAAAGTGAACTTGAAATACGCGTATTATACCTTTTTGAGAAGTCTGTTTCTCTATAAATATTTTTTTCAAACAACAGTCTGTCGTTTTTTTTGAGACAAAAAACGATTTTATTCATTTTAAAAAAATGAAATACTACGCGAATAACAATTAATTCATCGCATCTGAATTCAAACTCCATGAAATCCAGCTGGATTGAACGGAAAGTTTTTCGGCCGTCGCCGAGAGTTCAAATGCAAAATGCGCACGGAGTTTCGGCTAGCCTAAATTAAACTTCAAAATTGTTTCAGAGAATGATTCAAAGTGCAATTTTTTCTCTCTCTTTCCTTTTCTGTTTTTTTCATCAATGTAACTAATCATATTTTTTTAAGGTAAAAAAATCATGACTCAAAGTCGTGGATTAGTGATTCAAGCCAACTCCGGCGCAAAACCTTACGCCACTTTGTTAGCTTTGAACGCTTCCGGTTTTTCCATTGATAAAACTGTGTCATTTAGCGAACAGCAGCTCTTGTTGAATTTGTGAGTGTTTTAATGGATTTTTGAAAATTCAAATTGATTGTAGGGATGGTGAGAGGCTGACAAACGACATCAGCATCGCTCGTTTGATCATCCAGAGTGGCAAGAATAATGAAGAGTTTCTGGGGAAAGACATTTCCGAGTTTGCCAAGGTTTTTGCAGATTATTGATTGTGGAATTAATGATAAATTTTCTAAATGGGCTCATCTTCAACTTATTTTGTTGTTATTTTGAAGATCGACGAAGTCGTGAACGTGTGCGAAAGCGTCGTCGACGGTTATTTGTCGCCGGATGTGCTGGAAGAGCTTGAAGTGGTGGCCCAGCTGCCGAATCGGACGACTCTTGCCGATATTGCCATTTTTGCTCTCGTTGTCGGCAATGAGAAAGTAGGTTTCAAAGCCTTTGAGCCCACTTCCATATGTTTCTGGCGATTGCGCAATGAGGCGCAAGATCGCGTTCATGTTTTAAAATTATTCTATTTTTAAAGGTTTTTTTTTTGTATTTCTGGCGACTTTTTCCTTTTTCTCTGATTTTTCTATGAGTCTGATCTTTAACTATCGAATATTTTTTCCAAACTTAACTTTTTAAGATCAAGTGAGTTTAAAATTGGAAACACTTCTGTTCTTGGTTTTTGAATTTTTTCTCTAAAAATGATACTCGCTGATTGACGTCTGGAATAAAAATCAAGACCTTTTTTCAGCTCAAAGCCAAGTTCTCCAAAAACTTTGAAAAAGTTTTGAACGATTCCAAGTTCCACTCCGCACACGCTTCCGTTGGAATGTTCAAAACCGAAGCGCCAGCTAAGTCTCAGGTTTTTCATATCTCCAACTTGTTTATAATCATTTATGTTTCAGCAAAAACCAAAAGAGAAACAAAAGGATGAGGGTAAATTCATTGAATTGCCAGGGGCCGAGAAAGGAAAGGTCGTCGTCCGGTTTCCGCCAGAGGCTAGCGGGTAAACATTCTCTGTAGAAGATATAAAATTATAACTTTTTATATTTAAAAATAAATTTTAGGTCACGAAAATAGCTCTTTTCCGAGCGTACTATTCAAAAAAATTTAAATTATTAAAGATCTAATTTAACTGATAAGAAAAAAATAGAGTTTTTTTCAAGGCACGCAAATTTTTTTAATAAGCTGTTATAACAACTAAAACAACCTTCGGCCTCGGTAATTTTTTTGAATTTTTCTCCTCACAAGGTATAACTTTTCTTCGTCTTATCATTCTTGCATTATTCAATTTTTAAGATGTTTATTCATTTTTAATGTAATGTTTTTACAGCTATCTTCACATTGGACACGCCAAGGCTGCTCTGTTGAACCAGTACTACCAGCAGGCTTTCGATGGAGTTCTCATCATGAGATTCGACGACACCAATCCGGCCAAAGAGAATAGCCATTTCGAACAAGTTAGTTTCATCCGCCTTGAGCTAATTTTGGATTATTCTCCAGGTAATAAAGGAAGATTTGGCGATGCTGAACATCGTCCCGGACCGTTGGACTCACTCCTCGGATTATTTCGAGACGATGCTCGAGTTCTGCGAGAAACTTCTGGCCGAAGGAAAAGCCTACGTCGATGATACCGATACGGAGACGATGCGCAAGGAGCGCGAAGAACGCGTCGAGAGCAGAAATCGCAATAATGGTATTAGTTTTCTGGATTTCGGAAAATTCGGACGGTCTTCAATCGATTATTTGATGCCGCATTCGAAGCGATTTCGCGGAAATCGTCTCTGAATCTTCAAAGTTTAGCCACCTTCCATACACTCTGGAAGAGATTTTGGATTCCGTGGAGTACTTCGAAAGTTTTTCACTGCTAACAGCCATTTTCAAAAATTTCCTTAAAGTTGTGAGTTTGTCACGGAAATTTTGCAAGTCCTTGTACGCTTTCTTGATCTCCACAATGTTTCGCGAGCCTTGCCAGGACGTTTCGGTCAAAATTTACAAGCCCTTGATTATATGCCTTTTATATGTTTTTCTTTCGAACTTTTTCAGTTTTCAAGAGCTGAGACAACTGCGTACCGCTACAATTTCAGTTTAATAAAACTTTCAAGGTAGTTCAGCCAGGAAACTCAAAAATCGCCTCTTCTAAAGATGTTCCGCGTATTGCTCCTACTTGGAAGCGGTTCACTTTTGAGAACTGCGAGTGTTTTTCGAAAATTTTTTTGTGAAAAGTTCCAAGAAATTTATCAAAAACTGTCCGAATTTTCGAATACATTTTTTTTTTGTAAAGTTCTCTTATGCCTTCTTCAGAGCCGGCCAAGAACTTGGCGTTGTGGAAGGAAATGAAAAACGGGACGGAGAACGGCCAAAAATGCTGTGTTCGACTGAAGATCGACATGAAGTCCAATAACGGCGCCATGCGTGATCCCACCATTTACCGGTTTCTAAAAAATCAATTTTTTTTTCTTTTCAATCCAATTTCTTCCAGCTGCAAACCTGAAGAACATGTCCGAACTGGCCTCAAGTACAAGTGAGTTCAAATTGAAATTGAATAATCATTTTCTAAACTCAGGGTCTATCCTACTTATGATTTTTGCTTGTCCAATCGTCGACAGCATCGAAGGTGTTACGCACACCTTGAGGACGACCGAGTATCATGACAGGTATTTTTTTTAATTTTCGCAAAAACGTTCAGAATTGATTTTTCTTTTGCCTGAGAAAAGAAAGTAAATAGATTTTTCAGTTTGAAAAAAATTTATCTTATTTTTTCTTTAAAAACTCGGTTCTTTGGATTTTTTTTCCAGATGTCGAACAAAATTTATAGTGTTGAAAAAAATTTTTTTATCTTACTTAGTAAATCTTTTTTTCGCACTCTCAATACGTGTTTTGGTTATTATTTTGTAGTAGAAGATAAAAAAAGAAATTCTGTCTCATATAGGTTATATTGATTTCAGAGTGGGTTTAAAATTTTTTTTTTCAACATTTCAATGACTCATGCCAGATCATAGTCTTGAACTGTTTAAGAACGGAAAAATAGTAAGTGAAAGGTAGAGTCGCTGAAAGATTGCAGACAGTTCAGAACGTTTCAAGTCTTGCCGGAAAATCTGATTTTTCAATTATTCGAGCGTCAAGTTCAAGTTGTTAAACAACCAAAGATTAACGCGTTTTTCTGTTCAGAGATGATCAATTCTACTTTATCTGCGACGCTTTGGGCCTCCGTCGGCCTTACATTTGGGAGTACGCCCGTCTGAACATGACCAACACCGTGATGAGCAAGAGGAAGCTGACTTGGTTCGTCGACGAAGGACACGTCGAGGGATGGTAGGAAGACCTTCGGGACTAGCAAGAAGGGGATGACTCTCAGGGACGATCCGAGGCTTCCAACCGTCCGCGGAGTCATGCGCCGCGGTCTGACCGTAGAAGGCCTCAAACAGTTCATCGTGGCCCAAGGCGGCTCTCGTTCCGTCGTCATGATGGAGTGGGACAAGATCTGGGCTTTCAACAAGAAAGTTATCGATCCCGTCGCGCCGAGGTGGGCGAACGTTTAGAACGCATTCAATTATAATGTGTTGAGTTGATGATTTTCTTGGTAAGAGGCTGAAAAAGGGCGTTTAAAAATTGGTAATCATTTTTTCAAACCCGTCTGGCCGAGTTAGAAAAACATTGTAAATGGAACTCAGCTCGTTTAAGTATCTTATTTAATTTTTGATAAACAAACTTTTTGAAGCTCACTAAAGCACTACACAATAAATATTATTAAAAAAACTACATTAGAGCGTTCAATTTTTTTCATAAAGTGGTCAGCGATATCAGTTATTTGTCAATATCAAGAAAAAATTCCGCCGCAATTAGCGACAAAGTTCAAAAAAACTTCAATTTTACCATTATACACCTATAGGAACAATTTCGGAAATTCCAAAACGTCTGACTCTTTTTCCATCATTTTGAATCTTCATTTTGAATCATTGAATCAATCTTCAAATTTTTTTTCTATTTTTTCCAAGGGTTGAATTTTTTTTTGCTTGATTCGTGAAGGTCTTATTTTTAAGATACACCGCCTTGGAAAATTCTTCTCCTCTGGTTTCTGTGGAGCTGGATGATCAGGTTGCCGAGGAGAGCGTTTCTGTCCCGTTGCATCCCAAAGTTCACAGAACTAAATATTCAATTTTTTGATCCAAAAAATCTCAGAATGCGGAAGTTGGCTCGAAGGATATTTTCAAAGGCAAGATTCTGCTTTTGGAGCAGAACGACGCGAAAGAAGTGAAAGTCGGCGACACGGTGACTTTCGTCAACTGGGGCAACATCAAAATTGTTGACGTCAAGTCGGAGAATGGCGTCATCAAGACCATCAAGGCGAAGCTTGACCTTGAAAACAAGGTTTTCTGAGAAAACTCATTGATCTCACTGAAATGATCTTTTCAGGACTACAAGAAAACTCTGAAAGTCACTTGGCTGGGCAAAGTCGGAGTCGCAGAAGGCAAAGATATCCCGGTCGTGACGGCTGACTACGACCACATCATCAGCAAGGCGATCATTGGCAAGGACGAGGACTGGAAAAACTTCATCAATTACGACTCTGTTGTTCGTTTCAGAGTTTGAAGCAAAACAATCATGAAAACTCTTCAGCATTTCACGAAAATGATGGGCGAGCCGGCTTTGAAGACTTTGAAAAAGGGCGACATCATCCAGTTGCAACGCAAAGGCTACTACATCGTCGACCACGCCTACCAGGCCAAGAGCGATTTCATGTATAATAAATGTCCCTTACCACTGTCCTATTGAAACGTTTAGTGGGACTGAGACGCCTCTTCTTCTGATTTCCATTCCCGACGGCCATGTCAAGGAGGTTGCTGCGCCTGCCGACAAGGAGAAGGGCAAATCCAATGTGAGTGCAACAAAAGAGATATTTCTATTAGTTGATAACTCCGAAAAGACTGTCGATGTTTATTTCTGTTGTACAGTAAACTATACAACTTTAAGTTTACAAAAACGTTTTTCATAACCAAAGTAAAACGAGACAAAAGAACCTAGACTCAATCGCCGAAGGCGATTGCGCAGAAATAAAACTGTGAAGGTGACCTGCACATCTTGATAATGCGCGGCAATTTGAAATCGTTTACGGGGTTAAATTTAGACACTATAAAAATTTCATAAATTTTTGACACGGTTTTTCATTCATTTAGTTGTTTGAAAACTGTTTTCAACGAGATAACCGGTTTTATTGAGAGCACGAACGTGAAAGGCTCTGGAAACGAAGCTGTTGAGCTTCATTCCAAGATTGAACAACAAGGAACACTTGTCCGTCAGCTGAAAGAGAAAGACGCCAAGGGACAGGCCACGAAAGATGCCATCGCTGCTCTTCTTGAGCTCAAAAAGCAGTTCAAGGTTGCAAACCAAAACATAAAACAACGGAATTTACAAATTTAGCAACTTACTGGTGCAGAGTTCAAGCCTGGCTCTCCTCCAACCGTTTCTACTCCAGCTTCAGAAGCTTCTTCTTCAAACGGAGCGCTGGATCTTTACAACGCCATCGAGAAGCAAGGAAATACTGTCCGCGATTTGAAAGCCAAGGACGCCAAGTCCCAGGAAACCAAGGACGCCATCGCCAAATTGCTCGACCTCAAGAAACAGTACAAGGTGTTCATTGCACCTCTAAAGAATTAAATATTTATATTCAGAAAAAAAAAAACGATAATGAATTGATATCAAAAGTACAATACTGTCTATCGCATGGTTTTGAAACTCTTCAGAAAAATTATTCAATTAATTGCATTTCTTAGAATGTATCATACGCAGCTAGAAGAATAAGAGCACTTATTTTGAAAAAAATGTAATCTTGGTATATAATAAAACTTTGAGAGTAGGAGGAAGTTTTTACAGTAAACCCTAGTTTTGATTTTCAGTTGAAATACATTTTCTTTCTTTTCTGCATTTTTTCTTTTGTACCCTTATGCGTTACAATTAAAAACTACCAAAAATTTGAAAGCTAGAAAGGTCTTAAATTTCGATAAATTCTATCACTGTCCTTCAAATATAAATCATAAACTAGTTTTAAAAAAAGAAAGGACATTAATTTTTATGGAGGAGGAAAGCGCTGATCAAGGAATGAGAATTTCTAAAATTTGGCTTTTTTAAACCTGTTTTCAGTCTTATTTTCATGATTCAGGCTGCTACTGGATCAGATCACAAGCCGGGAGCTCCGCCAGCTGCTGCTCCGGCTCCAATCACTTCAACGCCTTCTGCTTCTGGGGGAGCGTTGGACCTTTATAACGCTATCGAGAAGCAAGGAAATACGGTCCGCGATCTCAAGGCAAAAGACGCCAAGTCCCAGGAAACGAAAGACGCTATCGCCAAGCTTCTCGACCTTAAAAAGCAGTACAAGGTGTTGATTAAGCCTTGATAATTGAATCTTCGAACTAAAAAATTTTCGAACAAGGCAAAACTATATGGCATAAGGGGCACGGCAAAACTTGCTTTCCATGGCCGATTTGTCACAGGAAAACCCAATAAAATAGTCATCAGGCTATATGCTAGTACTTACTGGAGGGGTTGATCTTGTTCGGTTTGCAATTAAGGAACCTTCATGATCTAATGATAACGGATCAACATAAAATCAAACTGAAGCAACTTTGCTGTATGAAAGTTTTCTTTTGCTAAGAATGGATCATTTGGACTAGAAAAAAAAATGACATTCCTTCTGTTAATAGAACTAAGTAAAGACTCGATGGCAGTTATAGATGATTCCAGAAATCTATAGAAAACTGCTTTTTCTGCTAGTTTCAAAATTCCGCTCTTCTACAACCAGCTCCGTTTTTTTTCTCAATATCTAAATCTTAGGCCGCAACCGGAGCGGACCACAAGCCTGGTGTTCCTCCAACTTCTGCCCCAGCTTCAGCCACTTCAACGCCTTATGCTTCTGGAGGAGCGTTGGATCTGTACAACGCCATCGAGAAGCAAGGGAATACGGTCCGCGATCTCAAGGCCAAAGATTCCAAGTCCCAGGAAACGAAAGACGCCATCGCCAAGCTTCTCGATCTAAAAAAGCAGTACAAAGTAGGTTTTGAGAGAAAGCTTCTTTTTCCGCGAGGTTTTCATCTCTCATTTGCCTTCTCCAGGCGCTAACTGGGAGCGACCACAAGCCTGGCAGTCCTCCAGCTGGATCTTCTCCAGCTCCTGCCGCAGCTGCCACAGTTCCGGCGGGAAATGGCGCTCTCGACCTGTATAATGCTGTCGAGCAGCAAGGAAACACTGTTCGCGAGCTCAAGTCGAAGGACGCAAAGTCCCAAGAAACCAAAGACGCCATCGCCAAGCTTCTCGATCTGAAGAAACAGTACAAGGTCTATAATTCACTGAAAAAAAGAAAAAAATTGAATTTAAAAGGCATAATTTTATTTATATTTTCACCTTTTTTTCAAAAATTTATTTTTTTAAAAATTTGAAACAGAACATTCTCCCGAGTTTTTTTCTCATTTTTCTGAGTTTTTAGATATATATATATATATATATATACAGTACTTTTAAGGCCCTGACTGGAACGGACCACAAGCCGGGTTCTCCTCCAGCTGCTCCAGCTGCTTCGACGCCTTCTGCTTCTGGAGGCTCTTCCACGGATCTCTACGACGCCATCGAACAACACGGAAACACTGTCCGCGAACTCAAAGCGAAGGACGCCAAGTCCCAGGAGACGAAAGACGCCATCGCCAAGCTTCTCGAGCTGAAGAAGCAGTACAAGGAGAAGCACGGCCAAGACTACAAGCCGGGAGCTCCTCCAGCCGTTTCAGGCTTGGTTTCTGCTGCCAGTGTCACGGTAGACGTGGCTGGGGAAATTCAGAAAAAGATCGAGGAACAGGGTAACAAAGTCAGGGAACTGAAGTCGAAGGACGCGCAGGCCCAAGCCACGAAGGACGCCATCGCCGCTCTTCTTTCCTTGAAGTTGGAGTACAAGGTTTCTAGAACAGCAAGTTCCGACGAATAAGGTGATTCAGGAGAAGGTTGGTAGTGAGTACAAGCCGGGTGCAGCTCCCGCAGCTGCTGCCAAAAAGAAGTCAGAAGAAGTTGAGCCATTGACAGCCAAGCGGTTGACTGAAGAGATTGAAGCTCAAGGAAATCTCGTTCGCGAACTCAAAGCTGCCAACCCGAAATCGGTTGGAATTGCAATTATTTTTATATCAATATTTTTGGAAAAATAATAGTTCAATTTCATAATTTGAGTTATTGTGAGTTTCTTTCGGACGGATACTTTGACTATTTTGATGCGAAAGCACTTTTTAGTTGAGTTTTTTTGAAAACTTTCTTTTTAAAAAACGAATTGAAGGTTCATTCGGATTCGATGTGTCAAGTTAGCTTTTTCTTTTAACTTCTTGCCGAAAGCTACAAATTGGATAATTTTAACTTTCAGAGGAAGAAATAATTTGAGCTTATTGGAAAGAACAGTTAAAAGTAAAGTTGAATCTTCACGAACAGCTGAGGATATATCAGCTCTTACTGTGAAAATATGGAAATGATCGAATAGTATCTTTGAAGCACATTGATAAAAAAAATGAAATAGATTCTGTCTTTACAAAAAAAAAACTTCAGCTCAATTTTTATACAAAAAATCAGATTGGAACCTCAAACTTTCCAAATTTTGAAGAATCCGTATAGCTAAGGAACTTAAAGTCAGCTATAAAATTTTGTTTTAACTTACTTCAGTTTACCATCTCGTACTAAAACAACAATGAGCTTATCAACTTTCTCGGTTTCAAACGAATCTTATTCCTGAATTTTGCGAGTAAATATTATTTTCAAGGCCGAAGCTGCTGACGCCATCAAGAAGTTGCTCGAGCTCAAGGGAGAGTACAAGAAAGTGACAGGCAAAGATTTCCCCGCCGCCGCCTCTGGAAATAAAAAACCCGGGAAAGAGGTTTGAACCCTTCGAAAACAGTTTCGTCTAGGCTTTAATATCAATTAGCACAGTAGTTTTATTATCGATTGTTATGTTCACTTTGCACATCTTGTCCGCTTTTGTTAATAAATTGTCTTCTTTTGTTCTCTTTCCTGTCAATAACAACGCCATTAATCATTTGGCTATTAATTTCTTCATCTCTCCGCTTTTTTTTGTACGCTTTTTTACTTTTAGGCTCCGAAGAAATCTGAGAAGAAGGCGGAGAAAAAAGCAGAACAGCCAAAGGATGATTCTGACAACAAAAAGACGAAACTCGGCATCGAGGTCGCCAAAAACGACAATTATTCCGAGTGGTACAGTCAGGTGAGATATTTCTCTGCTAAAAACTTCTCAACTGACGATTTTAGGTGATCACGAAAGCGGAGATGATCGAATATTACGACGTTTCTGGGTGTTACGTTCTGAGACCCTGGTCTTTTGCCATCTGGGAAATTATCAAGAAATGGTTTTTCGGGCTGTAGTTCATTCATTCATTAAATATGGTCAGGTTTGACACCCGGATCAAACGACTTGGCGTTAAGAACTGTTACTTCCCAATTTTCGTCTCTCAGGGAGCTTTGGAAAGGGAGAAGGAACATATCGCCGATTTTGCTCCGGAGGTGGGCAAGTTCGAAAAAGATTCATTTACCTTTTTGTGAGCCTCAAAAAGTGTTATACATACCATTAAGCCAATTTTCTGAACACTAATATTAGAAATAATGTAGTAAAAAATAGGGATTCAACGAGAAACGTGTTACTTTTTCGAATATGTATTAGTTTTGAAGCTTCAAAGTTATGAAGGTGTTTAAAGCTTTTTTTCTTTTTTTCAGAAGGTGTTTGAAGCTTTTATGAAACGAAAAACAAATTTGAATTGTTTTCGATTCTGAGTGCTCTCGGATTAAATCATGAGCTCAATTTCATTAAATATTGAAAATAAAATTCTAAATTCAAAAATTGTAATCCTATGAATTTCGGAAAGTTCTCGATCCGGATTAAATTTGACTAATCAGTATTTTCCTAAAAGATGGTGAATTCTGTGAGAACGCTTGGAAAGTTATTCTTTCTTCTCGATAGCTTTTTTTCAGGAAATTTAACATTAAATTTCGAGACTTAATAAAAAAATTTTTTTTTATTTGTCGAACATTTTCCACCAGAATGTTTCAAAAAAATAGAAAAATCCAGTATTTTTTTAATGATTTATTACTTAAAAATTAAATTTAACTAAGTAAAAAAATTCAGGTTGCTTGGGTAACTCGCGCAGGTTCTTCTGAAATGGCCGAACCCATCGCAATTCGTCCAACCTCTGAAACGGTCATGTACCCATCGTACAAAAAATGGATCCAATCCCATCGCGATCTCCCTTTGAGGCTCAACCAATGGTGCAACATTGTGGTCTATCAGGAAGTCCTCGAAATCGACTAATTCAATATTTTCAGCGATGGGAATTCAAACACCCGACGCCTTTCCTCAGAACTCGAGAATTCCTTTGGCAGGAAGGCCACACGGCCTATTCCAATCCTCAAGATGCCGAGAAGGTTTTGCTTCTTTTTTCAGTTTCGATGAAATTCAAAATATTTAGGAAGTCTTCCAAATCTTGGATCTTTACTCTGGAGTCTACCAGGATCTGATGGCGATCCCCGTGATCAAAGGACGCAAGAGTGAGAAGGTTTCTTGGGTTTTTAACTTTATCGGGAAAACATATTTTTAAGGAAAAGTTTGCTGGTGGAGTTTTTACCACTACAATTGAAGCCTACGTTCCAGTTAACGGGCAGGGGCGTTCAGGTTTTTTTCTTTTTTTCTTTCTCTCATTTTATTTGTTTTTCTATTTTTAGGCTGCAACTTCACATCACTTGGGTCAGAACTTTTCGAAAAATGTTCGACATTTCCTTCGAAGATTCCACCGGCCAGCGAAGCTTGGCTTAGCAAAAACTCTTGGGGACTCACGACAAGGTTTGGGAAAAATGATTGTTTTTTTGCAAATAATGTTTTTTTAAAAGTATTCTATGTAATATTTTTCAAGGGTGTATGACGTAGTTATTCTTCTTCCAAAACGAATGATGGATTTTTTTATTTTAGCTTCAAATATATGAGGTTACAGCTTTTTAAGACTTCATTAAATTTTCAAATGAAAATTGAAATTTTTGAAAAATTCGATTTTGATCGCAGAAAAAGTGATGAAAAAGGTTTTAGGTATTTCTTTACAAGGCGAACAATATCAAAAGCTAGGTTTACTTTTTTTCTAGATCAGATGATAACTTTCATTTTGAGTTCCCAGCTTAAAACCATATGAAGTGATGAGTTGATGAATATTAAACGTACTTTTCAAAAAATAAGTCTTGAAATTCTATTTCTGATGTGATAAAAATTTAAAAACTTACGTAAATACGGGAAAAATTGAAAACTTTCTGAATTCAGAACCATCGGTGCGATGGTGATGGTGCACGGCGACGACACCGGCCTCGTTTTGCCCCCAAGAGTGGCGGCAGTTCAGGCGATCGTCCTCCCCGTCGGAATCACGGCTTCGACGAAGCCAGAAGGCCGCGAGGCGATCGCCAACGCCGTAAGCAAAGTGGCGGCGGACCTCGTCGCAGAAGACGTTCGCGCCGAGGCCGACCAACGAGACAACTACTCTCCTGGATGGAAGTTCAACTACTGGGAACTCAAAGGTGTTCCCATCCGGATTGAGGTTCGCAAAGGACTCTGAAAGCATCCGGAACTTCGAATCTTCAGGTGGGCCCGAAAGATTTGGCCGCTGGACAGGTGACCGTTGCCATCCGGTACAACGGCGAGAAGAGAACGCTGAAAAATGAGAATCTTCCCGGACAAATCAAGGATCTTCTCGACGAGATCCACAATGCCATGTTCGAAAAGTGCGGGTTTTCGGAACCGTATTTTTTTTTTGCTGATCTTCAACATCAAACGACCTTTTTTGTGGGAGGTTAAAAATTTGACTTCAGAGTCAAAAAGCTACGGGACGATCATATGAAAATCGTCTACGACATGAACGAGTTCTGCGACCTTCTCAATCAGAAGTTCATCCTTCTGGCCCCGTTCTGTGGGGCGCCATCTTGCGAAGAAAAGGTCTCGATAGGAAAGATTTCGATCTGAAAAAATTCTTCAAGATAAAAAGAGATTCGGTGCGTGAAGACGGCCACGACGGTGCTCAAATGGGCGCCAAGAGCTTGTGCATCCCCTTGGAACAGGTTTTTTCTTTCTTTTTTGAGCATTTCACATATTTCTTTTGTTTCAGCCTTCTGAGCTCCTCGGAGAGAAATGTCTTCACTCGGAATGCACGGCGAAACCGGTTTCTTTCGCCTTGTTTGGAAGAAGTTATTAATTTATATTGAAATTATCGTATATGTTGATCGTTTTTTTTTTTTTTGTTTCTTATCTATGTATGGGTTGCTTTGTTTAAATATTCTACCGGTGATAAGATTAATGAAGATTATTGAGTTTTCTTTTTGTTTCAAAACTTCAAAGCGCTTCTCACGCATTCATGCTTCATTTATTCTACATTAAAGAAGACCAAAATTGTTTTGAAAACAGAAGTTTCATATCCATGACGAGGAGCATAAGAGAATCATAAAATGTGGCCATTTCTTCTTTCTTTTTTGGGTAAGAGAAAAAAGAATATTTCTCTCATTTTTGATTTCAGTTTTTGTTAGTCATACCTACGGGATTTCTACCAAAGACGACGTAAATATCGCTTTGTCTGTGATTGAAGGAACCGCCGGATATCGAATTCTCAATGGAACAAATCAATTCGGCGCCCATGGTGTGTTCAACTTTTGGAATAAGAAAAAATTGCGGTGTTTTTCGAAAATTCCTGTTGTAGAAAGCAATTTAAAAGTCTCATGTAAAAAGAAGAGTGCGAAAGCAAAAAAAAGGAAAAAAAATCAGAAGTTTTCTCAGAAATCTCAGTTATAATTGGTTTTTTGAAGTTAGAGAGTAAAACTTGAGAGAAAAAATTTTTCTAGAGGGCATTTTTAGGCTCTGCATTGAGTTCTGTTTTTTTGCTAAATGGCGATTGAGAAGAAAAAGCTTGATAAATATTTTTTTCGAAACAACTGTATATGAAAAAGTTTCTTGATTCTAAGACCTTTTTGAAGAAATTACATCTGTTGGTATTGTGTAGCGGATATCGAAATACTCTTAGAACTTTATGAATAACTTTTTTGACAACGTTTATATAAGATTATAAAAGTAGCATCATTCACTAATAAGTTATGTGTGAAAACCTAGTTTGAACAAATCAAAAAGTTCAAATTCACAGTGTTTCAAATCTCGAAAGCTCAAAAATTTGAATGATTCCTGTTTTCCTGTCCATAACAACCTATGATGAAAAAATTAAAATTTTCTCAGGGGATGGCGGCAGTGGAGACGGGGTAATAGTGATGGTTAACACCTCGGAAGAGCTTGTTGGAGGGCTTTCCGAGTGTTGGAGAAGTCGATTTCCCGATTACAACGGAAAATATTGGGTTTTTCTGCCGATGGATCTTCTTGATGGGTTTGTTTTGGAAAGTCTGATACAACTATGCAGAGAAAAGCAAAAATGGAACAATAGGTCACAAAAGTATCCTGAGAAGATTTGGAAAGAAGCTACTTTGAAATATTATCCCGATTGATATTCTCCAAGCAGAAACATCCGAGAAATATAGATGAACTCAAACTTCGAAGCTAAATGAAAAATCGTTTTATTTTTCTCAGATGCCTAAACTTGTAACCTGATAGTATTAAGTAAAATTTGTAAAATGATCATTTTTCTTTTAATTTTCTCGAAAAGCTGTAGATTCATTGAGCCTAAAATTAAATGCATACAGAAAAAGGGAATGAGTAACATATCAACATAGAAATCGTGACAAACTTCGAAAAAAGTGTACGGAGTGATTTTTTATTTTTTTTGGGTGTTCTAAAATCTTCTCGGCGTAGCTTTGAAGTTAAATATTTCATAATTCTCTCATTAAATTACCAAGCTTGTATCCTGGTATTGCGAAGTTTGTACGTAGCTCAAACATGTGCCCATAATGCTCCATTTTTTTTTCCCTCAAGGCCTTTCATGCTTTTTCATTTCTTTACTAAAATAAAAAGACCACTTTTCAAGGTCGGTCGCAGAATTCTTGCAAAATTCGTCCTGTATTGCGGGAATTGTTCTAACCGATCCATCAAGACCTCACCACGTCTACGACCAATCGCCCTTCTCACATGATTCTTCTTGTCCCAATGACGTCTCAAGTTGATTTTTTCTCTTTCACCCAGAAAAAAATTGTTCATCTTCTAGGCTGGTACAGAGAAGAGCGAGGAAGTTGCCGAAATAAAATCAACCGCGGCGCCGAAATCCCACAAGGCCTTCGAAACGTCGAATGGAAGGTCTTGATGGTGTACATGAAGGATCCGAAACAGCTGGACCTTGTTAAGAAGGTTTGAAATCAATGATACAAAGATACCGACTGCGAAATAATCACTTTAACTGTAGTTCTTGAGAATGAGGCAGCTTTTTCAAGGTTTCATGTTGCCTATTTTGTTTCTGGTTTAGTCACAATTCTGTGAAAGCAGTGTCCAACAAATTTAAAAATGAAATCTTTGAAATGGCATTGAATGAAAGAATTTTGGTTCCACGAATGTTGATCCACTAATATAAACGAGTTAGACGACAAAGCTTCCCAGAAAGTTGAAATATTTGAAAAAACGTTTCAAGCGATTAGGTCCCAGGACGTCTCACTATCTGAGAAGCACGTTTTGAACCTCAAAAAATGATTATTTTTGAGTGCTACGGACTGTTCAACGTGCCTGAAGATGGCTCAACGAGCAGATCTTTTCCGTTGTGTGGAATGTCGTTTGGGTTATTCAACTCGGCGGCCGGAAATTCGCAGATTTGTTTCCGACGAGGACTCGAAAACGCTCGGATCTATGCTTTCAACATTGATGCGACGTCGGTGTCCCTTTCTGAAAAGGATAAAGAACCTTATTTTCAGCGCGATTCCACTGATGTGCAACCCGTTGGCTGGCCAGAACGTCTTCTCTTGGCCGGTTCCAGCGATCACGGGCTCGAAAACGGAGCAAAGCTCAAAGTATATGATAATTGCGACCCGGGTGAGGACTTCTAACAATCGACGACGTTTGGAAAAGAGAGATGATCGAAATTGGAATGAGGACGAAGAAACTGTGTTTTGAAAAAGAGTAGTTTGTGGCTACATGGAAAAAGTATCTCTTTGAATTTAATCTCAAATTCAACCAAATTAGCCCTTTTTCCTATTTTAGGTATTATCATAAATGCATATTCTTAGGAAGTTCATAACTGGTACTTTTTCTTATTAAGTTTACTTTAAATCTATAATAATTCCAAAAATCGTTATCCGGTCGTTTGAAGCCGCAGGAGGCTCTTGAAAAAACACTGAAACAGCTTTTTCTTCCTATAATTTTATAAATGTATTCCTCGCCCTTTTAAAAATCTGAAAAGACATTGTTCGTTCTAGTTGGACAGCTTCGGACTGATTCCCGACGTCTCGGCTGGAGAACTTTCCGTTTTGACCTCCCTGATCGCAGTTTTGGCGACGGCCCAAGCGATCGGCTCTTCTCTGGAGAATTTCGAAGCGGCAGTCAACCGAAGTTCTCGTTTCGTCATGTTCGCCGTTTTCAATGGCGAAAGTTTCGACTACATTGGAAGTAGCGCCACCGTGGAACGCATGAGGTCATCCAGTTTCATCGCAAAAATACGAAAAAAGAGAAAAAAAAAAGTTTGAAGAGGCTCATAATAATCACTTTATTCTTAAGTCTTGGGTGTTTTTAGACGGAAAAATATTCGTTAACATTCACCATCACTAGACTAGTTTGAGCAAAGTTGTTGAATATGGTTTTTCGAAGTTTTAATAAACGACTTCGTTCTGAAATTAGTGGTCTTCACGGCTAATAACTGAAAAAAAAGAATCCTTCATGGCTCCGTTTGTATCTCTACAGAACACCCGAAAAAAAAAATTGAAAGTACCAAAATTTCAGAATGGGCGTCTTTCCGCTACCACAAATGAACGTGACCCACATCCAGCCGATGAACTTGAGCCAAATCGAAGTGATAATCGAGCCGCAGCAGGTTTCTCGGCTCCTCGACTTCAGTTCCAAGAATCTGGTGCTTGATTCAGATTGGAAGTACCAGCGGCACAGATTTGTTCACGCATGTTGATTCTGATCGCTACGCCAAAAGCAAGGAACCTTTGGATCGGATTTTGAATGCGATGCGGAATGGAGCATTTTCAGCCGGGTCTACTGTTCGACCAGTCAAAGAAGGATCTAAGTGAGTCTTGCAAATATCGAAAATCAAACGAAGAGAATGAGTTAACGATTCTGCTAGAAACTAACTAGAAGTGCCGCCGAAGCGGAAAACGTCACCGCGCTAGCAGGGAACTTTGCAAAATATTTAGGCTCCAAGTTTTTTTCCCAAGGAAACTAGTTATTATTCATGACAGAGGCGCAATAACAATGTATGCCTCAAAAATGAGCTCACCCAGTCCCCGAGAGCAACTTTATTGCACAGATTTGAAATCAGCGCAAAAGCTCCATCGGATGATTGAATCAAGTTTGAAAAAGGCTGCTTCCGATTTCAGAAAACCTTCAACCTTGTTTTACAAACTGTATATTTCTGAAAGCTTATCGCTTTTTGCAAAGTTTTTCCGTACCGCCCAAATCAATAAAATCTCAGCTAATCTTCCCAATAATCTTTAAGTCAACTCATTCCTACAAAAGAAACCTTATTTTTCAGAGTTCCACCAGCCAGTTGGCATTCGTTCGCTCGAGGCAACGGAAACATCCAAAGTATTGTCCTTTCTCCTTTCGACGACTCTTATTCTTACAAGTATTCCGGAGAACCGCATAACTTCTATAATTGATACCTTTATCAGTCGCTACAACTCGATGTTGGACCAGAACACGTGGACCCTCGGCGAAAGGACCAAAGCTATTTCGGACATTTCTGCCGCCGCCACGGCCATGCTCTACGCCGCCGCTGATTTCACGAGGACCAACGTCTCTAACTTGAAAGTCGACGACAAATTTGTAAGAATCGGTTTTGTTTCAATGATAGGTTGGCCGGTTATCTTTGTTGTTGGTGGGTATTGGGTATATAAATCAAGTATTATTAAATAATAATTCGAAAATTCCTTCTCTTTTTCCGTGTTTCACTGTTATTTTTGATATCATTTTTCAGTTTGGCTGCGTCCTAAATTTCAGTACACTCTCCAAACTCACGTGTTTCCGAAATTATGTTTTGAAGGTAGCAACTCTTTTCGACTGCATGGTCATGTCGGAAGACTGGTTCTCCTGCAACTTCCTGAACACCCTCAACTCTCAACGAGTCAACAAAAGCTTCGGTTTGAACGACAGTCTTCCAGAATCAGTTCAGGACTTTCAGAAAGCTACTCGTACTACTCGAAGTCGACGTTCATCAGTGTCTCCAATGGAAATCCGCTTCGATTCTTCGTCTATTGGATCTTGGTTTATGCCCTCGGCACGAACAGACATACGACGAACGTGAAGAACAAGAAAAGCTGCATGGATCTGTCGGAACATCAGGCGGTTCGGTTTTCAGAAGATTCCGGTAGTTTAGGGAGGAACATACAGACTGGAATTTTTCGAAGAAGAAGACAGGAAAGCTTCGAATATCGAACATTGAGATTTGTTAACCTAGAAGAACAGATTGTAAGATGAAAAAAAAAATGTCCAACGGAATCAGAATTTGTTGTCTCTGAAGCAACATTAGTAAACTTTTTTTAGCCCCGAAAAAAATTCGGAAGCGTTTTGAAGAACATGCGAGAGTGATATGATATAGCCATTCATAATCATCAGAAAGCATTGGTTTGAGTATTTGAAATTTTTAGAAAATTTTTCAGGCCCGAAAGAATGAAAAAGAGAGTGGATTATACACTGCGACCCATAATTATAGACCCACCCTAATTTCTCCGATTTTAAGAAAGATTGAAAAACTTTGAGCCACCAAACTTTTCTTGTAATAAACCTTGTTGATAAGGAACATAATCATATCATAATTATCAATCATCCAGTTGAAAAAGTTTTTTTCAAGATACGAGAAAAATCTGATTTTTTTGACCGACCCAGAATTATAGACCCACCCCAGAGTTTTTCCGAGTTTTTCGTTTCAGGTAACACGTTTTTTTCCTGTTTTTTTCAGTGGTATATAAGAGAAAAAAAGTCCTCGTGTATCACTATAAGCCATAATGCCTAAATTTACTCAACTTGATAATACCGAAAAAGCGGTAATCGATGCTCTACTCAACAACGGCTTGTCCCATCGGGAAATCCGCTCGTCAGACGGGTCGCTCAAGACGAACTATTGACCGTTATGCAAGGAATCCGCAAGAATACGGCACAGCAATACATTCTGGACGGCACAGGCTGCTATCGGTTCAAGCTGAACGAGATGTCTGTCGAAAAGCATCAAACTCTACGAAGTCCGCCAACCAAATCAGATCCGAAATTCCTGAAAACGTCTCGAAGAACACCATCTTACGAACAATTCATCGGTCCGGTCGACTTGTGAATACTCCAATGAAGGCAGCACCTCGTCTACAGCAACGCCATAAGAATGAACGGCTCCAGTTTGCACGCTCTAACATGGCCACGGATTGGAATAAGGTATCAATGTTTTCTATCCCCTTATGATTCCCAATTTTTCTGTTCAGATCATCTTCAGCGACGAGAAGAAATTCAACCTTGATGGGCCAGATGGGTACGCTCACTACTGGAGGGATTTGAGGAAAGATCCGATGTACTTCTCCAAGAGAAACTTCGGCGGCGGCAGCCTCATGGTCTGGGCGGCTTTCTGCGGCAACGGGACGGTAGCTCTTTCTTTTATTGGGACCAGAACGAATTCGCAAGACTACCAGCAACTGCTTGCCCAGCATCTCCTGCCCTATCTCCGTCGCCGACGACGTGCTAATATGATTTACCAACAAGACAATGCATCTGTTCACGCGAGCAACTCCACATTGGCTTGGTTTGCGGCCAAGAACGTGGTTCTTCTGGACTGGCCCGCGTGCAGTCCTGACCTCAACCCAGTAGAGAATTTATGGTCAGTCCTTGTACGAAGGGTCTACGCGAATGCCAAGCAGTATACAACGGTCAACGATCTGAAAAGAGCGATTCGTGCCGAGTGGGATGGTTTGGACAAGTCACTGCTGCAACCACTCGTTGGCAGCATGCCGAACAGGATTTTCGAAGTCGCTCAGAAACAAGGAGGCATCACACATTATTAATTAATCTTTTTGTTATACTTTGTTGACTTTGTGAAATGAATTTTGTTGATTACTTATAGTGGGTCTATAATTCTGGGTCGGTCAAAAAAATCAGATTTTTCTCGTATCTTGAAAAAAACTTTTTCAACTGGGTGATTGATAATTATATTATGATTATGTTCCTTATCAACAAGGTTTATCACAAAAAAAGTTTGGTGGCTGAAAGTTTTTTTCAATCTTTCTTAAAAATCGGAGAAATTAGGGTGGGTCTATAATTATGGGTCGCAGTGTATCTCAAATGTGTCTGCATGAGGGTTATTTTTGTCTTAATGGAGTTTTTTTTAAGTTAAGGTTCTCTAAGTGCTCCACTGAAGACCTGTTATATAATTTTCTAAATTTTTGATCTTGCAAGTCTGAACTCAATTTCGTTTGTTATCTAACAAGATTTATTCCAACCTTTTTGTCTCGAAATTTTCACAGAGTGTGTAAATCGGGGAGTGAACGATGAAAAACGTGTTATATTATGTGATATAAATTTTGAAATGATAGGAAAAAGTTTGCGATTGCTACTGATTGAGGTCCGTTTCGGTCATCAAAGTCGGCCCAAGCCAGCTCTGATTCCAAAAACTCCTCTCATAGAAATGTTTCAGGTCTACTCTTACGACTGGCAACCGGATCCCTGGACCGGGAAGTACAGCTGTTATCGGTCTTCGATCCAGTTGGTTCAGCTCCAATCGCCAGCTTTTTCCATCGAAGGTCCCAACTTATTTTTCGTAACTCCATAAATTGGATAATCTCAGGATACGATTTCTCCAACACAACTTATTCGACTTGGACAGAGTCCCAATACAGTATTGACACCCTGAATCTTTTCTTGATCCAAGACTCGAGTTTCGATTGGATCATGTTACTGATCGGGATCTTTATAGCGTTGTTCAGCTTCTTCATCGTAGGTCAGCTCCATTTTGACTTATTTTCAATTTCCTTCTAATAAGACTATTTTTAAAATACTTACTGTTACAGGAAGGTGTCACGAGTCGACCTTTGTGATTGACGAAGGCGAAGTTCAGGCGGAAGAAGGCGAACCGCTTTGATTTGCTGCTTCTTGTAATTACTTGAAACTTGCCTATTTTGACGGTTTTTCTCAGTTTCTTTGCTATCTAAGACTATGATCCACGTGCGAATCTCGGCGCGCAACGGCTGCGAAGCGGTTTATTCAATTAGGAAAATTTTTTTGGATCTAGCCCAAATTTTTATCAAGGAAAAAAGTTCTCGGAAACGAGAAAAAAACTATTTGCTAAGCGCGAAATGAAGAAAACTTCGTTAAACATTTTGAGACAAAGTTTGAAAAGGAGAGTTTCTTTTTTGGATATTTCGATGAAAATTTTTTTCTCGTGTTGTTCATAATCAGATTTTCAAGAAAATCTTCGAAAAATCAGATAAAAAGCTGTTATTTATTCGAATGCTTTTTTCTCGCTGCACGATTAAGATGAGAAGATGATTTTTATTTCCTATGAGTGAAGCGCAAAATGTTTGGACCAGGTCTGCGGGAACCCTGTATCTTTTCCGCGAATAAATTCTTTCCCAGTAAAGGGACTCATTCCGAACATGTTCATATCTCACCTTTCTTTCTCTTCTTTCAGAATTATATACTTTTATCTTGCTTTATATTTTGACTCATTAATCAACTTCTCACGGGATTTCTTCGTTTGGATATTTGTTGATCTCTTCTTTTTACTTTTTGCTGAATAAATTTTTTTCCTTCCCTCAAACATTTTTTTATTAGTTTTTTTATTTTTTTATTTTTGGACGGTGAAGATCCCAAATTTACTGGCTTATGTGTAATTAATCCGATAAATCTAGATATTTTTTTCAAGATATTTTTTTCGAAGTTCTCTTACCAAGTCGTCGTTCTTTCTATTGAAGGATGTCGGATGGTGAGAAGACGCTGAAAAAAACAGTAGAACGAAGTGTTACGAGGTATTCGATTAATAAATAGATTATTTATTGTTGCGATAATCTCCAAGGCTAGAGACAAATACACGGCTTGCTTGGATTCGAATTTGACCGCTGGAAAAATCGGCTGAACAGGTTTGTAATGATAATAAAGGCAGAAATTGAAAAAAATGTAGAAAAAAATTATATTCTATAAGTTAATATTGTAACATCATTCTTTGATTTTTCTTTGAAGCTTCTAAAGTATCAAATATACCAAGAAAAAATTGATTTTGAAATCTAATAAGGTTGGTTTTTCAACTCTCGATCGATGCAATATTGTTTTTGCGACCCAAGACGCGAAAGTCCAAGGTGGCCTAATATGACAAAAAACGGCTTTTTAGGTTGAGGAGCTTCTAGTAATTGCTTATACTCTTTCAAAAACTCCAATATTTTTTTAACAGTTTATCAGCTAGAAAGTATGAATATATTCAGGCCGAGTGGGCTTGCCGAGCCGAAAGAAAAGCTTTCGACGCGAATTGTCCAACATCTTGGGTCAACCACTTTATTCGCAAAAATCAGTTTGAAAGGTTTTTCCGAGCTTCTTCTCCAACTTCACCTCCTTCTCCAGGTACAAGCAGAACCTCTCTGAACAAGGTGTGAATATCGTCGACAAAAATGAAATCGACAATTAGAAGAGTCGCACATCTTCGAGCCGCCCGTTTTCGTATCAAATCAAGTCTCGATTTGTCTTTCCGCCCTCCGATTGTGCCTTTTTCCAGTGTAGCTAGTCATGTAGGAACCTGTCTTTCTCCTTATAATAGTCAATAAACGTTTTCAGACGTCTCCTTCGGATTTCCCTATACAATACCGATTTCTGCGCGATCAGAACAAGCCTAGTTTTGAGCTTTTCGCTGTCGGTCCCACACTCGATTTCGTTTTAAGGTTTTGATTTTGTTCGAAAAGAAAATTCTTTGATTTTTTAAGAAAAACCGAAAATTTTTAAAAAGGGTTCCGAAGAGAAAAATCGCCTCCATTGTGATATTCAGTTACTTGAGTCTGCTGCGCTTGTAGAACCTTAGAAAATATTGGCAAATGTTTTATAAAAAAAATTTAACAAACTTATAGTTTAAAGCTTCTAATCACGCTTTAGCGAAACATTTTTCGAATTGGCTGTCGTTCCACAAGTGAGAAGAATGAAATACAGATGGTTTTAAATTATCTGTCTGAGTGGGGAACTTCCAGAGCAAAGCTGTACAACACCAAAGAAATCCTCGACAAGTGTCTGCGGACGGTTCAAGAATGTCTTGCTCAGAAGCTCAATTCACCAAAAATCGTCTCGAGTTCTGCGAAGTTCCTGGCGTGTGTCTACTGGCAGGGACCCTCAGAACGGAGATCTGAAGTCCTGGAACTTGCCGAAGCCTTCTCCAACTATCGTAATGAGCGATTTGCTGAGATTGGTTGGTTTTTTGTTGTTGCGAAAGTTGCTTTGCGATTCGAATAATTAGCTGATTAAATTTTATTTCGAGCACAGCTTGAATTTTCAAGTAATCAAACTAAAATTTTCAGAACTTATAAAAAAAAATTGAAAATAAAAAATCACAGCTCTAAATTTTAGGGTTTTCTGAAACATATTTCAAGTTAAAAAAGTTACTTTTTCAGGGCTGTTTCTCAATTCTGTACTCGATCCTAAGGAATTCCTACGAAGGATTTCAGATGAACCACCAAAAATGATCATCCATCCAGTTCGTTTCTCAAATATTTTTTGAACCTTTCTGCGTGGTCTTTTTCCTCTCCTGCAGCATCGCCATACCATCCCGATGTTGAAAAATAAATTATAAATAAAGCGATTAATTGAGATTAATAGGTACCTTTATATAAAACTGTCCCTCTTTCTTTCAATATCATTTTGTTTTTTCCAGAATGAGCTTTCATTATGTGTTGGACTCTGTTCTTTGCAGTACGACGACTTCAAAACGGCGATGTTCGTTTTTTTTAATGCTCAAGACCTTATACTCTCGTTTTGCAAAAAAAAAGTTTCTAGGGTTTTCCTGCGTCCCAAACCATTTGATCAAACCTTCCACGAGTTGGTCGTCAAAGGAGTTTGCCAGAAAATCAAAGAGAACAAGGTTTAAAATCTTTCAGATAGTGGAAAAAGTTTTCATTTCAGATATCTAATAAGGAAATATTTTCTTGGACTATGAGCAAACTTTTGGACTCAAATCTTCTCACTATTGAAAGCGAGACATACGCGGCGACAGTTGGGCCTATTATTGAGTGAGTAGCGAAATTAATCGCATATGACTAGAAAATAAGGTTTTGAAAGCTCAAAAAAAAACCGCATTCGTGATCTTCATGATTATCTTTCATGCTGCCTTTGCAATCGCTCATACTTCTGTACTTCTGGAGAGAAGTTTCTTTTTTTCCGCTGTTTTATTTCTACAATTCATCAGCTCGCTGAACTATTGTCAAGTTAGGAATTTTTTCCGGAAATTTGATTTTGAGTGAGAAAATAGACTTGAAAAAATCATCAATAATCACAACGAAAGCTGATCTTGATAAATATTTCACTTTTATATCGAAAAATGTGTTTTTAAGGGCTATAGAGCCACAGAAGTAAGAATAATCAAGTTCAGAAGAAAATTAAGAAAAAAAAAATAGAAATATAGCGATGAATTGTTTTCAGGTCAACTTTATTTTAATTCCGCATAAAAGTTTCTAATTAATTGAAATTTTATATTATAAAATAAAGTTTCAGTTGATTGGAAACTTGGATCAATAACTCTTTAGAAAAGCCGCTTCTGGTTCATGTATACCATTAGATATGAAAAAAAAAACGCGCTACGAGAGGAAAGCTCAAACCTCATTTTTATAAGGAAAGTGTGCTTTCAAAAATATTTCACAGACTCTCCTGCAAAAGTACAAAAGAGGCCAGAGAAAATGGGAGCGTTTTGATTTTGCCGAGTGGCAAGAAATTCGACCGACTTGAACTTATTGATTCCGAATCGTTTGGAAAGTTATGCAACGACATTGACGTGAGATACAAGTCAGGGAATCAAGGTTTTTGGATCTTGAATGAAGGAATCAAAAAAGATTCATACTTCAGGCCTGATCTCCTGGATTGAAGTGAAGAAAGCTTTGGAGGAAGTGAGAAAAATCAAGAAGAGCTGCAAGTCGAAAAAGGGCGAAGGAGTCGTCGTGGTGGACGCCTACAACTTCGGAAACGGCTCCGTGCCGAAAAAACCAGCAATTGATCGGTTTCCCAGGAAGAATTCGAAAAAGAAGAATGCATGTCTATTTTCAGACTGAAGGCGTCCTACAAAACCGTTGTCTTGGTCGTCCGACATGCCGATGTCGCCACGGCTAGGCTCCTCAGTCCTCACGTTTTGAGCGCCAGCCGACTGTTAGAATTTTATCTTGAAATTTATGAACTGGAGTTTCGTTAAGAATTTCGAGGTTATAACAGCCACATATCTTTTCTCAATAATTTTTTATCTTTTTCACTAAAATTGTTGGTGAGACGATGAAGTTTTTTTTTGGCATCACCTTGACGCACACTGATCACGTTTTTGTTTTTGCAGTTTTAATGTTTATTTGACAGAGAAAAATGCTTCAAAAAAGATTTTTACAGATTATTTGAAATCTTCAAAAGAAAGGTTTTTCACAGCTGACCTGTCTCTTTGTCTCCAAATGTTTTTTGTCTATTTAGAAGCATTACAAATCACTTACTTTAATGAAAAGATGTTTCCACGTAAAATCAGTATGCGAAATGTCGCCAGGAAACTATATTGTTTTTCTCAACCTTGTTTTATACCGGTCCTTTTCGTCTTGGCCGTTTAATCTGCAACTTTCATCCAACTCCGGTTTCAGATCAAGCGACGATATCATCGTGATCAGAGCGGCTCTGGAGTTCGGCCCACTTGCTCATGTGGTCTCCAGAGACCTCTACCGAGACCATCGTGGACAACTGAAACCGGAAGTTGACGCAATCTGGAATCGGTGGTTCACCGATGCCGTCCACACGTGCAATTCCACTGCCGGTGTTGTCGAGGTTGAAAAAGCTCCCAAGACAAGTTCAAACTTTTTCTTTTCAGCCCAAAAGAAACTTCAGCCGACGGGTTCACCGCCTAGATGATGGAACTTTCCTCATTCCTGTCTTTGAAAAGCTGCCAAATATTTCGCAATACAAGTACTTGATTGTTTCTGCACCTTGACTTATATTTTATAGCTTAGTATTCTTTTTTTTTGTTGAATTTGTAATAAACATTTTAGATTGGATTTTTCTTTCTTAGATTCTCTGTCGAAAACGCTGAAATCTATTTATGTTTTTTTCATCTGATTCAGATCTCTCAAAAACGTTTATTTTTTTGCTCTAAAGTGATGCTATAAAAGGAAAAGAGGTCTTTTTTAAAAATTAGTTAATAATTTTGGATTACATCTCCGTTCAGCCTCAGAATAGAGTCTCGTGCTTATTTTTTTTTAAACATGATGGCTTGAAATTATGGTGCAGAGAAAATGGTGTCAAAAAAAAGCTCACAAAAATAATTTTTTACACAAAATTTTTTTCACGGTTTTGCATGAGCCGCGCGCTGTTTGTGGGCGGGGCACGGTTCTACAATTTTGCTTTATTTTTTTTTCAGTTTCTTTTTTGGTGAAATTGTATAAAATAAGTTTGTTTTATAAAGGATCCTCGTCGCATGACCACGGACCTAGGCAAACTTGACGATTTGCTAAAAGATCAGCCGTACGTCTCTGGGTTGGTTTTTGTTTTAAATTTATTTTACTCAAAAACTTTGCATCTATTTGCTGTTCAAATATGGAAATTTAGGTACACACTTTCGGAGCACGACTTTGAAAAAAAGAAATCAGTGAAAACATCTGATTTAAAAGGACGACCTCACCTTACTCGCTGGTTCCATCATATTTCAAGCTTCCCTGAAACTCCATCGAAAAGGTTCAAAAAGTAATTTTTAAGTCTTTCATTTTTATAATTTCAGTACTGAAAAAATGACTGTGGGAAACGAGGAAAACCTGCCGCAACGTATTTTGGAGCTGTTGGACTCTAGCAAAGAGGTTCACACTTTTTCTAAAAGTATTTTTAAAAAAGAAATGATACGTGAGATATTAAATTACTGTGAATCACCTAGAAAAAAGGTTTTTCAACCACAGTATTGACTTTTCGCATCACCAGTTCAGAAATAAAGTAGCAATCATCTGAAAGGCTTTTTTAGAACTTCAACTCAATTTTCAGGGGTTTAACTCAATCACGCTTGCTGCAGAATGGAAAATTGATCATCAAAAGCTGATTGGAGGCATTAAAAGTTTACTGAGCAATGAGAGGGTTTTTTAATTTTTGTTTTGCCTAATAAGTTGTTCGAATTTAGCTCTTGACGACAAAAGATGTTTCTGAAAACCGTCTGGCGCTTACAGCTGAAGGAAATCAGATTGCAAGCGAAGGATCCCATGAATTCCGCGTTTTCGAGTTGGTTGGAAGTGATGGATGCGCACAGGCTGACGTCGCGGTTTCAAAACGGAAAAAAATGTAAATGAATTTAGTAAATTTAGAAACAATCTTTTGGAAAGCTCGGTTTGAGCAAAGCGATGGCCGCCGGATGGGTTTCTTTGGACAAAAGTGGCGCAGGCGTTCGAGTGGTCTGTGTATATTTTTTGTTCTCATTTTTGCTGGGAGAAAAACCTTGAAAAAAGCTTTTACTTGAAAATGAGAAAAAAAAAATCTAGATGAAACCTTGAGTTAGAAGGTTTTTGGCCATAAGTGAGATTTTTTACAATACCGAATTAAGGTATAACTAACCTGGTAAATCAGTTTACTAGTTAGATTGATTTGTTGAGAAAAAAATATTTACTTCCAGCCATTTTCAATTCAAAAAAGCAAAAATATGAATTTATTCGACAATTTCATGTAAATTTTGAAGATTCGCAAAGTTCAAGAGGTCGAAGACGTAGTCCGAAAACAATTGGATGCTCTGAAAGTTGGAGAATCGCCAGTTGGAGACAAGGAGAAGCAGGAACTCAAAAAGAGAAAGCTTATTTCTGAGACGTTCGTTTTCATTTCTTTTTAAAGGGCTCAAGTGTTTTTTATAAATTTCAGAGTTGTGAAAGGACTTCATGTATCCAAAGGCCCTGCCTTCACCACAAATCTGGCAAAACAAGAAGCCGATCTGACACCGGAAATGATTGCGAAGTTGGTGGTTCTTCATTTAAAAATACATTTCCATGTTCAGCGGATCCTGGAAGGATAAAACTTTCAAAAAGTACAACTTTGATTCACTTGGCGTGGCACCGGCCAGCGGACATTTGCACCCTCTCATGAAGGTTTTTTTTGCAAGTATGAATTGAATCTTTTTGATATCGAGGTCCGAAGCGAGTTCCGACAAATCTTCTTCTCTATGGGTTTCTCTGAAATGCAAACCAACAAATATGTGGAGAGCTCTTTCTGGAACTTCGATGCCTTGTTCCAGGTTCAAAATATATACCAATGCAGCTCAAAAATGATATTTTCCAGCCTCAACAACACCCGGCTCGTGATGCTCACGACACTTTCTTTGTTTCTGGTTTTATCTTTTATCTTCTATTGTTTATAATATTCAATTAAAATTTGTTTTCAGATCCCTCGGTCAGCACAAAGTTCCCTGCGGATTACCTGGAGAAGGTGAAAACCGTGCATTCGAAAGGAGGTTTTGGATCGATTGGGTTGGTATAATTATTTCTATACAACGGGGAAAAAAAGGTATTCAGTTATAACTACGACTGGAAATTGGAAGAGGCGCAGAAAAATGTCTTACGAACACATACGACGGCAGTATCAGCCCGACAGCTGTACCAGTTGGCTCAAGAAGTTTGTTAATCCAATAAAAAGGAAATTGAGAATTTCCGAAAAGAAAGTAGCGTACAATACCTAGATGGAATCTAATTGAGAAAAAATTTCTCAATTGGAAGAAAAGGAAGGAGATAATATAAAGTTCTCTGATTTATCCTTTCTCTCCGGAATTTTCCCATCCACTTCAAAACTGGAAAATAGGAAATTTTACAATGCGTTTTTCTCTAAAATAATTAGAAACTTGAAAAAAAAAAGATTTTGGGAAAATACGCCAGAAAAAGTTGATGAATTTGAATGAGTCGCTATGTAGAGAAGGTAGTGGAAAAACTTATTTCAAAAATATATTTCTTTTTTCGACGATTTTTTTTAGAATCTCACACAAATAATCGAAAGTAATAAAGATTTTTTTAACAGGAATTTCACGAAAAGCTAAAAGTAATTGAGATATTCGTACTAAATTCTTCTGATACCAACTAAAGAAAGGAAATTTGTTACTGACCAAAAGGAAATACTTTTCTTTCACTCAATTTTTTGCGTACATTCGCGGAAATCACTTTTTGGTCAAAAATGATCGATTTTCCAGGGGTTCAAGCCCTCGAAGCTGTTCTCAATCGACCGTGTCTTCCGAAATGAGACGCTCGACGCGACGCATCTCGCCGAGTTTCACCAGGTCGAAGGCGTCATCGCCGAGAGAAATCTCAGTCTTTCTCATCTCATCGGCATCTTCACGGAGTTCTTCAAGAAGCTCGGTATCGTTTTCCCTGTTTTGTGAGAAAAAATTCGATAATGCAGGAATAACCAATCTACGATTCAAGCCAACCTACAACCCCTACACTGAACCTTCCATGGAGATTTTCGCCTATCACGACGGTTTGGCCAAATGGGTCGAGGTAATTTTTTGCGAAAATTCAGGAGAACAAATTCAAAAAAAAATGCAAAGTTTTCTCTAGGTAACGACGAAATAGTGTGTGACGATGTTTTGGCGCCCCATTTCAGAGCAACGCTAAAAAAATGAAGGGAAAAATAGATAAAGATAAAGTTTTCCACGTTGATCACATCGTAGGAAGTAGGATCCCAATATTAAAAATTTAGAAATACTATTCACTCCGAAAGTTTTGAAATTTACGTTAATGAACAACCAAAATTATCTTCTCAGATTGGAAATTCGGGAATGTTCCGCCCAGAAATGCTTCTACCCATGGGTTTGCCAGAAGACGTCAACGTCGCCGGATATGGTCTTTCCCTAGAAAGGTGCTAATTTTTTGATAATTTGATATTTATTAATGTTTCAGGCCGACGATGATCCGCTACGGCATCAACAACATTCGCGACATGTTCGGCCCGAAAGTCGACCTCCAGATGATCTACAACGGGCCGATTTGTCGCTTGGATAGGAAATAATCGTCCCTGATCCATCAATCAGTTATTGCTTGTTGTTGTTATTAATATTTATCATATTTTTAAATTGCGTTTATTTATAAAATTTTATGGGATTTTCTTCTTGTTTTCCGTGTTGAAGTTTGAGGAAATCGCGAAGGCTTTCACTTCAAAGTTTATTTGTGACAAATTTCTATGAATTTTAAAATTTTAATTATTCTTACCAAACGTTTCAAAAAAATTTGTGTTGAGATTGGTTTTTGTATTATTTTTTTTCTTTTTTCGATTAATATTCTTTTCTCGGCAAGATTTTCAAGAACCGAACGGAGAAGATGTAAAAAGTTTTTTAAAAAAAAGCAGACCGGGATAATTAACTTGATATAAAGGTGTTGTTCAGATGCAGTTCGAGGAGTACACTAGAGATGAATTTTATGATCAAATAGTAGTTTACGAGGCTCCTGGGGTTCCTGCGAGGAATGACTTCGTGACTTTGGAAGCTCAATCCTCAGTTCCCAGAAGCACACACGAAGAAATTCCTTTCAAGGAATGGATCGAAATGATCAAGCCGTGTTATTCGGAGTGCAAATACTTGAAAGCTCTCGAAAAGTCCTACGAAGAAGAACTCGAAGGCGCTTCGATGGAAACTGTCAGACTTCTGTTGTGAGTTTTTTTGTAATACTGAAAAGTTCGCTCGAATGGCGCAATATTTGCGCGGCATTGCAAAGTTTTCAAATTTATTTCCTGTTTCAAATTATTTTCTGGAAATTTTTCTTCGTAGGCAAAAATTCGAGTTCATTATGTTTGGCCCCAGCTTGTCCCGATTCTTTCAAGCTACAGGAGAATTTTCTTTGATGCTCCTGTTTTGTGCATGCGCTTTCAATTCAGCTCAAAATTAACATAATTCCGATTGCGCATACACAGAGACAGACGGACAGCCTAGAAGAAGAGGGTTCCGAAGTTCGGAGAAAGGAAAAATCGTGACAAACTGACGCGGATTGGGCTAAAGGAAAAGGTTTATGCTCATTGGGCAACAGAAAGTACATTGAAACAGTATTTATATTTTTCAAACGAATTCGAGATATTTACTATTATTCAGGTTGATTGAAGGAATGTGCGATGATGTTTATACAGATATTGGCAAGAAAGCGTTGGCGAAACTTCTCAGCAACGGGGTCAATGGTTTGCAGGACGAAGCGGAGCGGAGGGCGATTGAGGATGTAATTTTTAATTTTTTTTTTCCCTAAACTATTCGGATGATCTCTTGTTGAATAAATATTGATTTCAGCTCCAAGGAACCGATTGGTCCGACGCAGACGAAGAAGCAGAGAAGGAAAACTTTGAAACTGATCATTTCGATATGAATCGCACAATTTATCAAAATTAGCTTGAGGCTTTGTATTTATTGTTACACTTCTTGATTTGTTTCTGGAATTACATTGTATTATTCATCTTCATCTTCATTTTTCACATGACGTCTTTATTGCTTTTTTTTCTCCGACTTTGCGCACTTTACTCATAATGAACCGATAGCAAGATAGATGTTTTTGTTATGATTTTTTTTTTGTTGAAATTTAAATTTACTATCATTTTCCTGCATTTTAATTTCAAGACACCAAATTTGTTTTGTGACCTTGAGAGGAACATTATTTATTTTGCTCATTGCCAATCAGAATTTAATTTTTTTTTGTTTGATTTTTTGAACTTGAGAGGTTTTTTTACGACCTCAAGGTACTTTAATTTTTTTTTTCGCAAGGAAATACAGAAGTGAATCGGCCACGCATTTTTCAGAAAGATATGTAGATCAGATAAAATACAATGGTAAATGATTTTCCGGAAACTTGAAAATGCTTTCAAAAAATGGTCCGTGTATATAATATTAAAAATTCTTCTCTCAATGACCTATATGAATCTTCTTGTAGAACCTTATCACATCGTGATAATTTAAAATTAATGAATTGATAAAATGTTTAGGACCGTCCTATTTTGAGGAAAATTACGGAAAATCATTTTTACTCTATTACCACAGCATACATCCTCCACCTCTATTAGACTGTAGTTTCGACTTTCAAAAGTGTTTTTTTCTCGCGCTCTTAGACTCGATCAAAATTTTAGAAATAAACTCTTAAGTTCATTAAAAAGAAAATTTCAATAAATTCAATAGATGGGAGATTCAAAAGACGACTTCAACGATAAGGCTTTACTGAAGGTCCTCGCAAACAAAGCAAACGGTTGCCTGGCCATTTTCGGTCGTGGGGTATTTCAAATCAGCTTCGATTCAGTTGAGCAATTGATTCAGGATTACTACGCAGTCTACGACAAAGACGCATTATTGGTGGCCACGCACATCTTCAAAAGCGACGTTTGCCTGAAAAGGCTCACGTTGCAAGGTTGGATGAAGAAAATGAAGATGAGAAGATTTTCTCGTAATTAGCGAAGAATGAAAAATAGACTTAGTCTTTAATTTCTTTTTTTATACCTGTTTTTATTTATTATTTCTGGAAGTTTAAATCAGTCTAATATTACTCATTCTTAAAAGGACCAAACCAATCTCTGAGGAAAGTTCTACGATTTGAATGAGAGTAGAGAGTTCCCCTCATCCTTCAGTTTTTTGCAAGTTTTGAGGATTAATTCAGGTAGTGAAGATCAAGTTTCATTGGATGAAATGAATTGATTCTTTCGAAAGAATGATCGAGTTGTTTTTTTCTTAATTTTCGTAAACTTTTATCGATAGTACTTCGGTTTGATGACCTAAATTTTTTGAAAAAAAAAAATTGACGATAGAACAATGCGTCGAAATTTTTATGTCAACTACGAAAATTGATGTTTCAGCCGACAATGACTACACGATGGACTACGTGACGATGAACGAAGGACAGTTCGAAAAAGTTGTCCGCGAGGCGATCACCTTGCTCAGGTACCGCGTGGTCCTGTACAAGTACCAGGATGGCGAGTGGACCATCGAGGCCAAGGTCTTCCCTCCAGGAATCTAGAACTGTAGGGATTTTCTCAGGGAACCGTTGGAAACGCCGGCGACTTTGAGGATATCGTCGGCGACGCCGATAAAGCCTCCAATTTTGCAGTTTTTCTTCATTCAAAACTCGATGATGTTAGTCAATCACAACATATATACAATTTATTACACTTTGAAACTTGGAAAAAAAGTTCAAAAAGTTTCCTCCGTCGTTTTTTTTTTAGGTTTTTTTTTTGCGAGTTTGCTTCAGAAAAACTTGAAAAGTTGGTCAATCAGTTTGCTCAAGCAAAACTAAAAAACGGACTTGGAATGATTTGAAGCATAAGCGGCAGCTTGAGGCTCGCCTGACCTGAAACGACTTTAACTGAGTAACCTATAGTTCGAAAAATAAAATGGGAAATAGCTTCCAGTTTTGTTTTCTTATTAGTTTTTTACTTCAATTATTTAAAAAAAAGTTTTGACTTATATTCGTTTGGCGCGAGATCTAAATTTTCGACAGGATTTTGCGATTTTTTTTTTCAAATCCATGTTCATCTCATTTCTGAGTTTAGAAAAAAACTGTTTATTGCATCTTCAATGTAAGAGTACATGTGCAATCGACTTTCATTGATTTAACTGTGTTTAAACGGCGGCAGGAGCTGTGGCTTAGGCAGAAAAGCTGTGAATTTGGCTCGTAGAACATTAGGTACAAGAGAGGTCGTAGGAAGAAGTACGGTGCCGGCTTTCCAAAGGCCGATAGAAAAAACCATTTCATTTCTGAGTATATTTCTCAAATTTAGCTTCAATAAACTAAATTTTTGACTAGCACCTGGAAGTTGCGAAAAGAAAGAATACCGCTTGAGAGAGGAAAGAACTTGACAATTTCTACATCACAAACTATCAAACTTCGAAAAAAAAAAGTGGTGGCAGTAACCTTTTTTTGATTGTCTCAAGCCGGCTATAGTTAATTGAAGAGGATTTTTAAAAAAAAACCATGGAAAAGAGCCTAAAACTTTTTTTCACCACCTACTTTGGAATTTCAGAACCGCATAACTGTTTGCTCTTGGGATATCACTCAGCTGCGCATCGTCGTCACTGAATTCAACGATACGACAGCCTTCTCAAATTTTGAGGTTCACTTTTCATTTTAGCCAAAATGCGTTTTTCCATTGCAGCAATGTGTCATCGGCTTGAATCCGACCAATTGTTTGATCCTCAGAGATCAGCTGGACACAGAGAAAGACAAGAAACTGAGCAACGTCCTGTCGAATCTGAACGTCGCGGAGAGTGAACACAGGTCGATGGCCAATTGGGAGCAAGTCTGCTCGGTCTTCAAATCGGACCATTTAGGTTAGAGAAGAGGGAAAAATGTTTGGATCGACTTTTCAAAAATGCTAGAAAAAGGTCTTGCAAATTTCGAAGAAGGAAAAGATAACTAGAGAATCACAGGGACGCTTTCAAAAGTCATCAAATTGAAGTTAAACGTGGAAAATTATGTTAGAGACGGACAGATAAAGCTGTAGAATATTTGGATCACTTCTTTAAATTGGATCAATTCTAAAAACCAACTGTATTGGAATATTAAAATGGAAGAAAGTCGAAAAAAAAACATGTTTTCAAGCAAGAAGTCTAGGGAGAAGCTCTACTTTGAGAATTTTGAACCTTATCAGTCTAGTTTAATTATTTTTTTTTCTCAGTTTCTTTGTTTTTATAAGCGGATAATAATTTTTTTTTACTTATATTGAGATGAGCTAAATTAATAAACCACCAAACTTTGCACTCGATCCGAAAATGGCAGGGGGTTATGAAAATTTTCTAATTAATAAAAGTTTCATCATTAGAGTGGCTGAGATTCTCATTGCAAAAAAAAGATGTTCAGAATTGAGAAAATTTTTTTTCACAATTTGAAGAGAGGAAAAGTTTCGAACAAGGAATCAAAAATTAGTTCAAAAATCTACAAAATAATTCATTTGAAAGTCTCACTACTTCCGAAAAATTTTTCTAGTTGGAAGGGGAATTTCGGAACTCTTATTTTTCAATTTTAAAAGTTTTGGAAGATTCGAATCATTCGGAAATTTTGCAGAAAAAGTCAACGAATTTTCAAGAGAAACTAGAGAGTGCATGATGAATCTTTGCTCTTTTCTGCTCGCCGACGACATTGAACAGTACGAGGGAAAGTTCTCCTTGACCAATTATGGCACCACGGGGTTCATGCACCTCGACGCGGCTGCCGTCAATGCCTTGGAGCTTTTCCGGCTCAATTATAACTATTCAGGTGTTAATCTCCCGGTGAAGACGAAAAATAGAAGTGATTGAGGGGAGAACGGAGGCGCTGGCTCGGCGACGCTCTACTCGGTCCTCAACAAGTGCAAAACTCTACCGGGACAGAAACTTTTGCGTAAGGAAGTTTCTCATGAATTGCAATGCTTTTTTTAGGGTTCTAACTTTAGGAAAGCGAGCAATGTTTTTTTCCTGAAAGTACCTTAAGCTGTAACAAACAAAAAAGTCAATATTATAAATGTGAAATTTCGTTTTATAATGCCCGCTGTATTCGCCGCGGCTTGACACTTTTCGAGCGTCTGCGTCTCTGCTCCCTCACCGACGAGGTCAGAGAAACATGAGAACAGCGTACTATCATGGGAGCGTTGCCGATAGACGAGGAGGGCGCAGAGAAAAACAGCATTTTCAAATCGCGAAAAACAGAGTATACTCTAGGAAAGAAAGTTAATAAGAATAAGAACGAACTTCGGGAAAATAAGGCACTAAAAAATTAAAATTTAACTTTTTGAGGGGGAAATGCGTTTCTATCAGGAAAAAAAATATGAACACATCTGAACGTAAGACAGAGATTAACCTTATCTAAAAGAGCCGTTTTAGGTCTAGTTAAAAAAAAAATAATGATCTCTGAACTGTAGGAGATTGGCTAGCGCGACCTTTGACCGATGTCCGACAGCTGGAAGAACGTCAAGACGCCATCGCCGCGTTGATTTCGGCCGATGAGATTCGGCGCCTGCTGGGAGACGTCTTGACTGTTCTTCCTGATTGTTCCGCTTTGAGCAAGAGATTAATTCGCGAAACTTCAACTCTGCTGGTTTGAAAAGAGTCGCGGAATCCAGAAAAAGAACAAAAATAAGCAATTCAGGACCTTTACCGAACCTTCCACGTCCTCACACAGCTGAATAGGGTTTGCAATCTATTGATGAAGCTTTCTGAAACTGAAGACGGTGTTTACAAAAACGCTGTCAAGGAATTGCTTGTGGTTTGTTTTTTTCAAATCATAAAGTTCAACCAATATGAAAAACTCAGGAACCGATACGGTTTTGTGAAATATATTTCGAGAATTTCACATCTTTGGTCGAGAACACCATCGACCTGGATTACTACAAAAAGAAAAACGAGCTTCGCGTTCTGCCGAGTCTCAGTTCTGAGCTTCAGCAGAGTGCCACGGATATGGATGCGATCGAAGCCGATTGCGAGAAAATCCGCAAGAAGGTGCGTATTGAAAACAAAAAAGTGCCAGAAGCCTAGAAACTGAAGTCATTTACTTACTTACTTAGATACTTAGATGGTCCATCTTCGCTTTCGACCTTTTATTGCCTTTTAGTGCCTTTTATTGATCGAAGCGTGGACCACACGTTTTCCGGGAGGTCTTATGCAATCGGTCATCCAGTTTTGTCGTCCTGGTTGACTGGTATTCTTGCGAAAAAGTTCCATCCGTGGTGTTAAACGTGTTATAGCATAATTGTGGTCTTATTATCCTTTTTGCCTTGCCAGGGCTAAAAAAGACCGCCCATTCTGTTAGCAGAAGCAAGCCGAACTGCGTGACCGGTGTACCGTTAGCCGCCATAAATGGCGTTGCCTCCCCATCACCGCGTAGAGGTGGTACTTGAAAGGGTCATTTAGTGAAGATTTCTTGAAAATTTATTCAAATTTATGTTAGGAGGGAATTTTCAAAGTTTGGTTTGACAAACTTTTTAGGCCTGAAATAACTATTTTGCAGCTTTAAAAAGTCTTAAAAAAATTTAAAGTTTGCGCTGGCAGCGGCGAATAGAAATTCAAATCTGGACCTGAAGAGAACGTTTGAAAAAAACTTCAGAAACGTGTTAGAGTTTCCATTTTTTTCTTTTCTCTTAAGCTTATGATTCTTACGAAAAAAGTCAGAAGCTTTGAATTTTTTTTTTTGAAAGGTTTTCTTGTTTTTTTTTTTGCTATCGTTGTGTATCCGTATCAAACTTCGGTTTGGAAAAACAGAACCAAATTATGGGCCATTTTATTCGATTATCCAGTTGAAAAGATAAAAAAACATATTAAATTTTCTAGTTGGCCGCCAAAACCGAAGTCGACGGTATCAAACTCGAAAGAAACTCCAAGTTTGGCTTCTATTTCCGAATGACCTCAAAGGTAACCGAAGTTCTAAAAACTTTCCTATTTTTCCACAGGACGAGAAAAGCATCAGAAACAACGGAGAAATCATCATTTTGGACTCGAAGAAAGGAAGCGGCATCAGCTTCACTGTTAAAGGTCTCGAGCCCCTCAATGCGAGGTTTGATGATCTCGGAATTGAGGAATTTATGTCGAAACGTTCCAGGTATCAAGAAATCCATGGGGACTTCAAAAAAGATCAGGAGAAGTTGACCAAGTCGGTGTTGAAGACGAGTAGTGAGTTTTTGATCCAAAAAGGACAACATTCAAGTAAAAAAATTTTCACGTTCACATTACTCTAGATTCTTGAAACGTTGAAAAGTTAAATTTTTCCTTTTATCTGAGACCATTGAATTTCTGTAAAATAACCCCCAACACTATTGGAATAATAAAATCCATAAAGCTCGCTGACAATTTGAGCCCTGCTACATCCGGTGACATTATTTCCATTTTCGTTTTTTTAAAAGTTTTCTGTGGATGAACCATTGTACTATCGTTTGTTCTTGAAACTTTCGAAAAATGAGCTTGAAAAAAAATAATATTGAAAAACTTCTCAGGGGAGCTTATTGAGTATCTGCCCTTCTTGTCAAGCTCGTTGTCGACGATGGACGTTCTGATTTCCTTGGCCGAAGTCTCGGCCACCGCCTCCAGGTCTTATGTTCGTCCCAAATTGCTTCCACTAGGTACTGAATTTGGTTTATCTTTGATATTTTACTTTCTGTATAGCTTTTTTTTTCTGCTGTGTTTTTAAAACGTCACCGACTCGAAACACATATTTCAAGGCTTTTCGCTATTTCCTATTCTCGTTAAGGGTCCGGAGTCTTGAATCTGAAGCAGTGCAGACACGCGGTCATTGAGCAGAAGAGCGAAGAACAGTTCATTCCAAATGACGTCGTCTTCGGTTCCTGAATATCTTTTTTTGTAAAACAATAATAATTGATTTCAGATCAAAAATAAAAGGATGATCATTTTGACTGGTGCCAATATGGGCGGCAAAAGTACCTATCTCCGGTCGGCGGCTCTTTGTGTTCTGATGGCTCAAATCGGTTGGTTTCGTAGATTTTGTCTTCTTCTTTTTTTGAATTCAAAATAAGTTCATGAGAAATAACAAAATAAAAAGATAATTTGTTTCCAGTTACAGATATATGCTCAGAGGTTGCAAAAGTAGGAAAGTTTCAAAATTTACTTTCGAAATGTGTTTTCGACTAGAGTTTTTTTAAATGACGAAAAATTTCTTTTTTTTTCGGATCACATGGGTATGGCAATTATCCCAAAAATTTAAAAAATGAGCTTGATCGAAGGCTATGTTTAATATACTTCTGGCGCAATTTTACAACGAAAAATGAAACCATTTTCTGACTGCCAAATCCCTTCGTAATGATTCAGTAAATTTCTTTTTCTCGATAATATTTTCTAACTGAAATCTTTAGAAAAAGCGGAGGTAAGTCAAAAGCTCGTCGGATTTTGTCAGAAACGAAAATTTTCTCCAAAATCAAAAGTTTTCTGAAGTGTAAAATGAAACATGATTTGTTGTTGGGATCAGAGAGACATTTGAAGGTTCGTTCGTTCCGGCGGATGAGGCGACGATTTCTGCTGTCGACGGGATCTTCACGCGCGTCGGCGCCTCGGATCAGCAATCTCGCGGGATTTCCACCTTCATGGCTGAAATGCTCGATTGCTCCAGCATGCTAAAGGTTTTCAGGACCAGAGAAACAGGAAGGGAATGTAGGAAACCCTCAGCAAGCCACGAAAGATTCTCTTCTCGTCGTGGACGAACTCGGCCGTGGAACTTCGACTTTTGACGGATTCGGACTGGCCTACGCTATCGCCGAGTTTTCTGAAATTCCCAGAACTTTTTCCAAATGATAGGCCGTTTCCAGAGAAATCCTGAACAAAATCCGGTGCTCCTGTGTTTTCGCCACACATTTTCATGAAATGGCCGAGCTTGCGGAACAGGAAGGCGCCGTCGCGATGCAGGTCGAAACATGAGAATAATTGGAACAATTTTTAATTTTGAGCCGATTTGGATATCGTTATTGATCTAAACAAAAAAAAAAAGCAAAACTGCGAAATTCCAAGTTGTTTTGTCCCTTTCTTAAAACTTAATTGAGAAAAATAGTTTTATTGATTCATTTCGTTCTTAATGATCTGATGACCATTTAATAAACCTTCATTAATAATAATCTCATAACAGTGCTTCTTTTCCAAAAGACTGTTTTAAGCGTACAAAATGAATTTCTATTGCAATGTTAAAGCTTTATCAGGTCCGTCCAGGGATCGAACTTTTTGAAAAAAAAATCTATCTTAGTACCTATCAAAGTGAGGATAAAAATCCTGAAGCTTCAGATATTATTCAAAAACTATTTCCCTAGGTCTGAGCCTAGTTTAATCCTGTTGATTGAGACAAGTTGATTCATTCATATTCACTTTCGAGTGGACCTTCTCTCTTTGACAGTTCTCAAGACCTCTTCGAATTTAATGAACGGGAATGTTCCAGATGGGCGTGACGATGGAGAACAACCAGATCACGATGCTCTATCAAGTCCGCCCAGGGATCGCCCAGAGTTCCTTCGGGCTCCAAGTTGCTCGGGCCGTTCATCTCGAAGAGAATGTTGTTGCGGTTTCTACTAGCCTCATAAAAATCGAATTTTTTTCTTTTTCCAGAAAGCCGAAGAAATATTGGCTGAAATGGAAAACCGAACCGACGAGGAATTCCTCGAGAAACTGAAAAATGCGGACGACAACGATCTCCGTCGCTTGATCCTTCTCAAGGCCGAAAAAACACACTAACTATTCGAACTTATCCTCTCACATTCATCACGTGTTTTATTGTATACTACCTCAATTTGTACGGAACTTTGTCAGGCCCGGTCTCTTATATTTTACTTGTATGACGAATAAAAATATCTTTTTTTCCTTATTTTTTTGTTTTATTAGACTTTAAAAGTTATTTTCTTCAATTACTTGTTCTTTTCGAAAGTGTGGAAGTAAATATTCCGGCTCTTCGAAATAATTTTAAAAAAACGCTTTCAAATCTCGTTCGGAAGTTATCTGCGTTTTTAAATCTGCGTAGTGGAGATTTATCGTCTCTTTCCTCTGATTTTCAAGAATTTTTTTCTAGTTTCCTTCATTGGAAACCAATTAAAGTTACATTTACAGATGTTGGAAAGCTCATTTTGGAAATTCTTAGATTTTTTTTTCGCGTATGACATTTTTAGCTCGGAAGTTTGTGGTGTTCGCTCACAGAATGCTCACAGCTTTTACTGCTTTTACATTGTTTAAATTTCAGGGAAAAAAATGATAAAAAAAGAAAAGAGATAAATCGGAAAATTAAAATTTTTTGGTAGGTCTCTTCGGGAAGAATCTTGTAAACTCCAAAATGTTCTGAAAAGAGGTATTTGAAGATGTTCCTAACGCTTTTCAAGGCATTTTTCTCTGAAAGGATAATTTTTGGGACTTAGTCTATAGTCTTCTTTAGAAGTTCAACTGCGAGTTGAGATGATTCGCTCGTTAGTTGACCTCAGAAAATAAGAAAAAAAGAAGGAATTTCCGAACTCGAAAATACATTTATTGCTCAATTCAGGCTTGGAAATGAAACGGGAATTCTGCCACCGGTTGGAAGCTCGTTGTTCCAGTCGCCGGAATCGCGCAAGCCCATCTAGGGAGATTGCGTCGGGGGTTGGCCACAAAAACGCGTTCTTCTCGTGGCTTCCAGGCTTCTGGCCCGAGGCTTTCACGATGCTATCGGAGACAGTTCTCTCTGGGAAATGCTCGTCCGGCCGCAGAGCCTCTGGGTCAGCCTCGTCGTCGTCTATCTCTCCGCCCTCCTTCTCTACCGACTCTATTTTGTAGGTTTCCGACAGATGATGCAAATCAAACCCTTCTCAGGGCAGTAAATAGAGAAAAAATGCCGTATGCAAGATAATGATAATTGGCCTGAAATATCGCTTTTTTCACCTCCTTCTTTTTCTCCTGTGAAGGTCCTTTTCAGAAAAAGGTCTATTATTGAAGCCTTCTAGAGGCCTTTTTTCCAAAGGTCCTTTTCAGGCCATTCTGGACTTTTCCCGTGTATAGCACGTTCCGATTATGCAAAAAACTTTTTTTGACTTTTTAAGAAGAAGTTTGAGCCATTTACCGTTTCTGGACTGTTAAAGCATAAACCACGGTAAACGTATTTACTATTTTCTGCCTAAAAAGAAAGCTCATTTTTAGTTGGGTGGCAGGAAATTTCTATGATTTCTTTTTTTGAAAGATTCTCTCGTAATCAAGTTTTTATATAAAGCCCTCAAAACTTTTTTGAAGATTCTAGTAACTTTAAAATTATTTATAAAGTGATATAGTTTTGAAATCTCTTTTACCGCGGAGTATTTTTTTATGCAGTCTATTTAGAAAAACAGGACTAGGATGTTATGAAAAAAGACTCGCAAACCAGTAGATCATGGGTCGAAGAACAGGAAGACTTTGACCTCTGTTTGCTGTTTCAAGGTCAGCTCCGTCTCGAGGTTCTTCCGCCAGCGTCGGGTCATCAACAATGTCGACAAGTACTCTGAATTGGTAAATTTTACGATTTTTCGATTTTTATACGTAATTTTTTAAAATCATAGTTTTTTTTTTTCTGAAGATCCGGAGTAAAATTAGTATGACAACTAGGTTTACTTCGCTATCAGAGTTGTATTTTGAAAAATTTAATTCAACTAAACCATGAAGTTGAAATTGATTTTTTTTTTGGTTTCTGTTCTGGAAAATAGACATTTTCCTTTAATTCTTTCAAAACTATTCACCTCAAGTTTTTAAAAATTTTCTTTTGTTTAGAAAAAGGCGATCCTCATTTTGTAGGTTAAAGAAAATAACGGAAAAAGTTTCAGAGAAGTAAAATCGTATGATTTTTTTGGTTTTTCCGGAGGTGTTATTTCTTTATTTTTCCAGCTTCCTTACGAGAAAATACGCGATGATCCGGAACTCGAAGCTTTCGTGAACACGTTGAAGCTCTTGTCGGGCGCTCCCTACGTCGTCTTTGTTAGTTCCATCATCGAATGACACCTGGATTACCTGAAATTGCTCAGTTTGACCAGTCGAACTTCGACGTGACGATGAACCACGTCTGCAACCTGGAACTGATGCCCGGGGCTCTCGAGAGATTCGCCGCCGTCGCGTTTGAGCCCGAGGCCGAGAGACGGTTCCGCGCCGTCCATCCCAGCATTCCGGTCGTCACCGTGGATTTCACTGTTATAAAGGTGAATTTTCAGCTTTTTCAAGAAATAAACTCGAACAATCTTTTCAAAAATCATTTTGGCCCCCTCGAATCTTATAAACAGGAAAAATATGATTCTGAATAAATAATATTTTGATTGTTCGAATTCGGACATCCCAATCGTTACCGTTCAAATTACTCTGAGTAAACTTTCAGCTCATGGAATTCGAAAAAAACTATTTTTGCATCATCGGAGGCATTCGAATAGTAATGATATGATTCGAAGAAGATCCCTTTTTTTCTCCAGAATCTTTCTTGTTTGTCCAACGGTCCACTTATATTTTTTTACAATAATTATACCGATCAAATGGTATTTAATTACATCTCTATTGAAAAAAGTTTTTGTATTTTCGATCCATTTCTTAAATAACTGTAATTCTCATATTTTCAGGACGCGATAGATCCCGAACTTGAGAATCGCAAGTATGTGATTTATCAGCTGATTCTTCTAACGAGAGCCAGAATCGCGGCAGCTTTCGCCTCGAAAGACTTGAGCTTCTGGGCTATGCAACAGGTTGCTAACATGAGCAAAATGACCTCATTTCTCCTGTTTCAGGACTCGATTTGGGTGGAAAATTTTGCGGTGATGGACATTGAGAACAGATTCACGGCGCCGTTGATTTTCGACGTCATCGGAAACGATAGGGTGATTCTTTTTCTGGGTTTTATTCATTTTTCTTTGCTTTTTCGATGAGTTCAAAATTTTAAAACATTGCAATTCGTATTGCTCAAAAAAAATCCGTGCAAAAGTAAAGTATAAAAAAACCAGGTGTTGAATTGATTATGTTTTGCAAAGGACTGGGAAAGTTCCTAAAAGAAAAAAATAAAAAAAATTTTTTTTTGAATAGTTTATATTAACACAAGTTATATTCGTTCCTTCCCGAGGGGAAAGGCGAGATGAACAGATTGACGAAAGCGAAGCGTTGCGTGTGCGACGCGGCTTATGGCGAGAAGCCCGGATTCAAACGCGAGCCACTTTTTTTCTTCTTCTTCGACAGTTTTTTTAAGTTGTAACTTTCTATGAGCTTTTAAAGTTTCAGTTCAACGAATGAAATTATAAAAAAATATTAGAAATATGAACTTGTTTTTCTATCATTGCATTTTGATTTCGAGTTTCCCGCCAAAATCCGCGTCGCGTACGCAACGCGTCAATCTCGCCAATTTGCCAACCTCGTCTTTCAGGTCAGGAAAGACGGGCCATACATTTCCTTTCATTTCTCTGATACGACTTTGAAAAACGGAAATCGTTCTCTTGAAAACTGCCAAGAGAAAGGATCAAAGAATCGAAAATCGCAGATTCCCGAGTACAAACGGATGGACGGCTGGATCTGCGGGTCGACGTTCTTCGCCCGCGGCGGCGCCTTGGCAGAAAATTTCTTCCTCAAGGTCCGTCATATCTACCTGGCCGATCTATCACAAGCCGTTGCGCAGTTTTTTGCGCTTCGACTTTTTGGAAAGAAGAAATTCAACAGTAGTTTTCTTATCGAACACGATCTTTGCCACTCGACTTTTTTGATAGGCCAAACGGAAAATCCCTTTCAAAGGACACATGCATGGAAATTTACCCCAAGTCGAGGGTGTAAATAGGATTCCCAAGAAGGGAATATTTCTGTTTTCACCATATTAACCTTTCTTAGCCTAAAAGGTTCGCATATCCTTGAAGAAATTCAAAATTTATTCGCTTTAAACTCATTTACGTCATTGTAATGAAGCTGAGTAAATTGGCAAGCACTAGACCTAAGAATCCTCGGAAGAATCTGAAAAGATTTTGCAAAAACTCCGATGATGAAGAAAAAGCTACCGAGTCCCATTCGTTCTCGTAGCCTCAGAGAAGTATTTTTGCCTTCTCTGAAACTTTTTAGCGACTTCTCTAGAGATATTTCTCTGGAAGCAACTTCTGAAGAATTTTTCTCTTTTGCTCTAGTATTCATTTTATTTTTTATTTTTTTGTTGAAAGTGATAGAATTATTCCTTCCAGTTGGACGCTCTGATGAGAAGCCGCCAATCGCCCGACTCGGCTATCATGTCCTACCTGTGCGGTCATGCTCATTATCAGTGTCAGACCATGCCCAGATGGTCAGACTTTCATTCTGGAACATTTTCAATTTTTCGAAGAAAACTATAAAAAATCAAAAACCAAAATTCATGTTCTCTCGTAAGATAATTCATTTCCAGGATTGTCTCATCGTCCAACTATTTTCGAGGACCTCGGGACTTAGTGCCCATCATGATTCAGGTGAAAAATGATCCAAACAACAAGAAAATTCCGTTTTTCGAGTTTTAAGTCTTGAAGAATTTATTTTTGGAGCACGACAGAATGCTAATTTTTGGTTTTATTCCTCTCTTTTAGTCCGATTCATTTTTTCATTACTTAGACTGCATTACAGGTCGATCATCAGTCAAAAATGAGCAAAATGGATCTTTTCAAGAAGGAAAGATTCGCCGTTTTGCGAAAAGATGGCAGCTGTGACGCTGGAGCTGTCGCCAGGCTTAGGTATAAAGAAAAAATGAGAAATTGATTTGAATCAGAACTTTCAGAGACGCGGCTCGAGTGGCACTTTTAGAGATTCAAACGAAAGATTTGCGGGATCACGAGACCTTCTCAGAAGCCGTTTACTACGAGATCCGCCGTTTTTTAAATATTGATCCTTATAATCGCAAAAAGTTTCTCACCGTTCATGAGTCCCTTGTATAGAAAAATTTGGATTATGAAGAGTTTTAACGGGTAAATTTTCTTTTGAGAAAGTCGCACGCGGAATGTCTTGACATCTGCAAAGAGTTCTTCGATTAGCGCCAGACCCGAAACGACTTTCGCACTTTGGCATCAAAACAATGTCTGGTTGTAGCCCGTTCTGACCTCAACGCAGTCAGCCATTCCTATTGCGACCGTGGATTCACGGATAAAAACAAATTCTTGTCTCGGAAAAAGTCATTTTCTATCTCGGGTCCTTTTTCTTAATAAACGATTTTTTATGAGAACATGTTTCAGAACAAATATCATTAACCCGACTATCAATAGTTAAGGTATCAAAAAAGAAGACAATGAAAACAACAAAGAGCGAATAAATCAAAAAAAAAAACATTATTGACGTTGTCATTATTGGAATTCAAGTTAAAGAACAAGTTTGGAAAAAAAGGAAACGAAAGTATGATACATCACACAAAACTGCAACAATTCATTGTAGAAAAGATCATCACATGGGAGGACACTATCAGCGAAAAAAGAAGAGACAACACAATTGTAGAGATTTCGCTACTTTTTAAAGAAAAAGAAACGTTAATAAGACGAAAAATGAATCTAACAGTGATAAAAGACAACCGCACCAGAGTCCTTGCGAAAAATAATTTTCGATTATTGAGAAAGGAATTCAACGATAATGATGATAGATACCCGTGGATTATTTTCAGGAAAAGAAACTTGGGAAATAATGTTGATAAAGGAAGAAGATGCCCGCAGGATTTGGGTTCAACTCAAACATCGTTTTGAACAAATCATTGAGGTGGTCGAAGAAGAATTGTGTTTAACTTGAGAAATAACTTAGAAAAGGAGCAAAGTGCTTTGGTGGCTTATTGTAAGCGATGATCCGTGGGAAACCGGCCTTAAGAGCTATTAATTGATATAGGATAATAGCCAAACACGAATGGGAAAAGGTCAGAGTGGAAGGTACACGCGAAAAAGGTCTAATACTGGACAGAAATGGACTTTTCCTTGCCCTTATTTCTTGCTCTTGAGGGCGTCGGCATTTCTCTGATGTGCACTGGTCATTTGCTGCTGCAAGGCGCGCATCATGTGCGGATTCATCATAGCCGCGTTTCCTCCCATCATGGCTACTGAAAACATTATCACTTTTATCTCTTAATCGATCAATTTTTATTTTTTCTTTTTTAGTCTTAATCGACTCGACCTAAACAAGTTGACCGTTCACGAAAACTTTTAAGCAACTGGAGTAAAAAAAAAGTTACGTAAAGATTAAAGGTTCAATTTTAGGCCATTCGATTTGAAAATCAACCCAAATCTTAGAAAAAAATGTTGTTTTTCAAGAAACATCCAGAGGCTTCATTTATGAGAATTACAAAAAAGAAACTGCTATGAATGAACTAAAAAAAGCAAGCACTTCAGAACTAAATTAGATGAAAAAAACATGGAAATTTTTTTCTCTCGTTTTTTTGGTGAGCTAGATTTTTTTAATCACTGCATTATTTTATTTTTTTCAAATAAACGAACCTAAAGCCGCCATTTGCTGTTGCTGTTGTTGTTGTTGGACCTGAGCTTGCGCCGAACTGTTCTGGCTGTTGCTCTGCTAAAAATGAAGATGATCGATGAAAACTCTGGGATAGGAAAGTACCTGCGCCGCTTGCATAATGGCCATCATGGCGGCCATGTTTGGATTTTGCATTCTCTGAGCGTTCATCGCCGCCGCTGCCAACGTCGGGTTCGCCCACATTTGCATCTGGAAGAGTTTAGAGCTAGTTTTTGTATTTATATCAATCCATTCATAGGTTCGGATTAAATCTGAAATCACCGACTGAAAAAAAGAACTTTAAAAACTGATATGAAATTCCAGAAATAAAGGCGAAAAAATCGAAAAAATATGGATAGTAGTTTTGACGAAATTTAAAAATTTCATTGATAAATCTGGTTTTCCGTTGAAAGAGAGATAGATTTCATTCTCATTTATGGAAACATGGTCAAGGTAGATATTCTAATTTTTAAATCATTCATTCATTCAAGTTCTTTTTTTATATTTATTTCTTAATATTTTTCTTAAAAATCAATAAATTATATCAAGATAATCCTATTGAAACAGAACTTCAAGAAATATGGAAATTCAGAGAATGAATACAGAAAAGAAACGAACCATGTGCTGCTGCAAGGCGGGGAAGTTCGCCTGCTGTCTCATGGGTCCTTGCAAAAACTGTTGAAGTATTATTTGCTGCATCTGGGCGCTCATCGCCTGAAAAAAGAATCTTTGAGAAACCAACTTTTTCTTTTGTTCTAAATTTTCAATACGTGTCTCCCATCCCGGTAAAACGCTCGTTGGGGCGATTATATATCGGCTCTCACTTCACTCAAATACGTTCTTTCCTGTATTTGTATTTTCGTGCTTGAGTGAGAAAAATAAATAAATAAATGAATAAACTTTTCTCAATTTTGACTTCAAAATTCAAGAAAAAATAAAAGTGAAATGGCGCTTGAGAAAAATGAAAAAGAAGTTTTGAAGTTAATTCTGCGTTCAAAGCTACGTTAAGAACGTCATAGTGGTCACCATAAGGGCTCGGGGGAAAATGGCCCTATGGAGGGAGGTAAGGTGCTCTCGTCAGGGGGACCTACAAGGGCCGCTGAGGCTGCCTCTCTAAGGACCGACCACTCTGGCGTTCCAAAATTGAGAAATTGGAGGAAAGCGACGATTTAAAAAGAAGAAGTCACTTAAGAATACCTAGCAACCCTGAGGAAAACCCTAGAATCTGATTTACGCCTAGAATCAGCTTTGTATGCGGCAAAAATAAAAAGAAAGGCTATTTTCAATGGAAAACGAACGTTCGAAGCCGCCGAGTTGTTCTTTTTCGAGTTTGTCGGCGTCGACGACTTGGACGGCGCAGACGACATTTGTTTCAACTGAAAATGTAATTTCAAATCATTAGTTTTTCAGGTGGAGGTGAAATGTTGGTACCTGGGGCATTTTGCTGCTAGCCGGAGTGTTGGAATTGGACGTCGTGGCGACGTTCGTCGGCGTCGAAACGCTCGAAGTTCGGTGCTGGGTCGGGAGTGGCGAAGAAGTCGATGGCAACGAGTCTGAAACCATTCAAATCAGTTCTGAATCAATTTTTTGCAATTTCACTGAGCTTTTATACCTAATGTTTTTTTTTGTTTTGAAATATGCTGGATTTTCAAAAATTCTGTCGATGGACCTTAGAACGTCTTTAGAACAAATTAGAAAAGCTTTACAAAAAATATTGTTTTTCATTTCAGGTATTTTGAAATAATTCTAAAGAAATGGTTTTCCTTTGAGTCTTTCGCATGACTTTTGAAAGAATTATAAAAGAACTTGGAAAAAGAAAACGAAAACACACTGTTATGAGCCCTCGCCGCCTGGGACTGTTGACTGGCGGCGGCGGCGGCCAGTGCATCGTCCAATTTTCCTTCGGCCAATTGTTTCTCAAACTCCTGAAGAAACGGTTTATTTTATTCATGTCACTTTCGAAAAAGAACCTTCTCCTGACTGCAAATCTTGGCGAAAGCCTTTTTCAAGAGCCCCGTGTGGTCATTGCGGATTTTGCGTTTCTGAGCACTTCGAACACACGCCTCACAGTACAGATGAAGCTCGTCCGGATGCGTTCCGATCGCCTTAAAATAACTAGTTTCCACATTTTTCTTCCTCTTCCTTTTTTATTTCAATTTTTTGCTTTTTATTCTTCTTCCTGTGCTCAAGTATTTTTAAGTCGTCAAGTCGAAACATATTGAAGGTCTAATGTCTAAAAATTTCTAAAAAAATAATAGTTTAGAAAAAAATTTTATCAATTCAGAACATCCAGAATTCAAATTTCGAAAAAAACATCCAAAAAAATAATTTTTCCAAAAATCTATTAAAGTTGGTCAAAACAAAAAGATTCTGTTTTCAACTAGGATTCTAAATTTTTTTGAAGAGAAGTAAAAAGAAATTTTTTTCGTGAAATAATTTTAAAAAAATACAAACTTTTTCAACATTAGCGTTTAAAAAAATCACCGAGAGAAATTTCCGAACGAAAAAAATTTTTCTTAACAGTATGATCTCTACAGGAATCATCGAAAACTTCGATCAGCCAAAAACCAAAAAGAAAAAGAGACCTTCCAAGCGGTCGTGAAATCCGTTCCACACTCTTCACACACGTAACAAGGCTCCGTAACCGGTCTAAAATAAATAGGAAAATTCAGAGAAAAAAAGAAGGAAAACGAACCTCATAACATTCTTGTCTTTGAGTACCCGTTGAACGACAAGATCCAGGCCGAGAAGCGGCACGAAATCTGGTTGATTTGCGTTGGGAATGAAGAAGATTTCGGGGCCAGGCGCTTTCGGACCATTCAGAAGCTGAAAAAAGTTTAAAACCCATTTTCAAAATAAAAATATTATTCAACAATATTATGGAATGTGAAAAAACCATGGAAAGGAAAAAAAGAGAGGAAAGAGCAATAATCGGAAGGAGGTCTGATTTAGGGGGAAGGAAAAAAACATTACGTGTTCCGACGCGATGAAATCAGTCCTATTTTCATAAGACTTAATTTTGTGAATATTCCCAGTTTTGAAAAGAAAAAAAATTTTTTGAGACTCAAAAAGGATAAATTTCCTGTCTTTCCAATTGATTTTTTGAATCGAATGAAACGTACCACGAGCTGTTTGTCGGCCTGAGATCGGAAGGCGGCTCGAGCCGCAGCAGATCGCTGCTGTGGAGTCTGAGCTGCCAAAGCCTTCGATTGAAGCTGCAAAGTGACTTTTTTCGGGTTTGTATTTTCTGTATTTTCTATTTTGGAAAAGTTTGTCGAGTCTCAGTAAACGTTAAATCCTTTTTATGTGGAATGATACTTTGCTTCCCTCATGTACGGTTCCTCATTATTTAAGACAAGTCGTTTGATTTAATAGTATTTATGAAAAGAAAAAAAAATTTGCATGGTTGAGAAGCGATCGATGATGTATACCTTTCGAGAAAAATCAATTCTCGCTGGATTATGATCAACTATTGTCGAGCAAAAAATGTCTGGTGCAGGCAAAAGGAAAAGAGTGACTCTCAATATAAAAAAGGGCGAAAAAAAATTAATAATGTATAAAGCTATCTGGAGAACCCAAGGTTTCGAATAAAAAAATTTAAAAAAATTTTCTTTCGACTAGATAAAGCTTGAAATTGTTTCAATCGGCCCTGTAAATCAGGAGAATTAAGGATTCTCCGTACCTGTGTCAGTCCCAAGCTGTTGCCGGCGGTCGAGGCCGACACTGTGGGATGGTCCTTGACCTGCTGCTGCTCCTTCTGGGCGAGCTGCTGCTGGTTGATGTGGGCGATCATCTGGGCGATCAAGGCCGCCTGCTGTTGGTTGGTCGTCCCGCCGGCCTTCGATGCGACTAATCGGCTCAGAAGCTGCAAACAATTCACAAATTAATGCCATTTTTGAAGAAAGTTGACCTTTGAAAAGGAAGTTCATTCAAAATAGCGATTGTGTAAATTCGAGAAAAACTCATTAAAACCAGCTCAGGAATCTCAGATCTAGGCGTTTAGCTCAAAACACTCAGCTCTGAACTTTCAGCTCAGAAATTAAAAAACTAAAGCCGAAAAAAATTCATTAAATTTATGGGAGGTCAAAACTTCAACGATGATTTTCTGATAGCATCACTGCCTCATTCTCTATAACCTTCAAAGGAAACAGACCTCTTGCTGCTGCTGAGGCGTCAACCCGCTCAAAGCCAACAACGGATTGCGAGCCGCATTTTCTGCAACAAACCGAGGTTTCCTTCTGATTTTCGGTTCGAAAAACAAACGTTTGGTATTGTTGTTGGCATTTTGGGCGTTGCTCGAGGCCGGTTTATTCAACGGCGGCGCGACGATCGGCTTATAAGCCGTGCCGCTGCTGTTACTCGGCGGAAGGTTCGCCGTCAGTTTCTTCAGCTCGGCCGCCTGAAAAGCTGCACCTTTAGGGCAATACTCAAGTTTCTCGATGTAGAAAAGTTATAGAGGTGAAACTAGAGAACGCATTAATTTCAAAAATTGATCTTTTCTCAAGAACATTGGTGCTTTGAAAGGGACACGATTTTTTCATCAACAAATTTTAAAAAAGCAGTCAAAAAATTCTCATCGAAACTGTTGTGAATTCGAAGCGTTTTCGAGTCATGGAAACTTACAAAAAAAAGAGATGGTTGGAGTGATTCAGTTTCCCAAAGAAATCAAAGAATCGACGAAAGAAAAATGAAAGACCAACGATAGAGAACGCTTTACACAATCTTGGAAAAAAAGAAGATTCTTTTTTGAAAAAGTAAAGAGTTGAGTTTTATAGAAGCGTTTTTTTAACTGCAACTTATTCCAGTTTCACTGGATCTTTTTATTCGCTTTCTACTCAGTTATTGCAGTCCAGGATGAACTTTTTACGGTCTTATGAACACCATGAAACGCGCTCTTTCCAGCTCAACTTGCTTCGAAAAATAACCAGAAACGGGCATTTTTATCAGACAAGGAAGTGAAGATAAGGGCTTCGAGCCATGATAAGGGCTCTCAGAAAGTGAAAGAACCTTCTGAGCGGCGAGGGTCTGACTCGATTTGACCTTCTTGAGCATCGTCAGCTGCGCTTCTTCCTGTCTCAACGCCGCCTCGCACTGCTTGATCATGATGAGCCGTTCGTTTTTCTGCTCCTCGCTCAGTTCCTTGCTCAAGTACTGCAAAACAAAAAAGTTAAAAAAATAGAAAGTGACTTTTCTAGCAACTCAAAGTTTGAAGACTTATGTTTAGAATACAGAAGCAGTTTTAGCCTTCAAAATTTATCCCTAAAGAGGGAATACATCTAGAAGAAGCCATTCAAAAAAATTCAGCAAGAAGAAATATCAAAAAAAAAATTGCCCTCATTATCGTAAAAAAAACTTTTCTAACTTTCTCACGAAAAGCTGAACGGATTACTAACTTATACAAACCTTCTTTGATTTTCTAAACAAACATCATTTACTTGTAGAACTTATTTTCAATACTAAATTCACGAAATGTTAAAAAAAACTGCTGTAGAAGCCAGGTTACTGATGAAGTAATTTTCGAAAAGAAAGAAATCTTCTTGTTCTTTCGAACTATATCCGACAAAAAGCGGCAAAATGAAGTGTGAAACCTTCTCGAGATGTCCCCGGATGACTTCGACTTCGCTGTTGTGCAGGGAGGAGACTTCGCTCTCATCAGTCAACGCGTAGACGTCGTCATCGTCGATCTGCAATCAGAACCTTCGTTCCTTCTTCCTTTCCTCATCCAGCCTACTCGAATTCCGAATCGATGGCTGAACTGATCCATGTTGCCGCCGTTTTCCAACTTTCGTTTTTTCGCGACGGGAACGCCGTCTTCGGCCGGCATCTCCTCGTCTTTTTCCTCTTCTTCTCCCTTCAAAAATCCTTTTTATTGTTAAGAAAATCGAAAAGAAATATTGAAAAATTCTTTCAAAGTGAAAAATTTTTTTCGAGAGTCTCATTTTCAAATTTCACCCTTTGGGATTCCTAAATTTTTGGTCGAATTCCCCGAGGAAACAGATAAATTTACGTTAAGGAGGAGCAAAAACAAGATTCTCACTGAAAATAACTCTTTATTTAAGGAATATTCTACAGAGAACAAGAGAAAATGCGATGATTCATTAAAAAAAAGTTTTGAAAAATAACGGAAAAACTATTAATCGCTTCCACAGCCTTTAACTTCACTAGCCAAAACTTCATCCTAATTCATCGTTTCCACAGCACCAACCCCGTTCTGAACGTGTTCCTGTCCGTTTTCGTCCTTCAGTTTGATCTTCTCCTGCGCTTTCAAGGCACTTGCCCGTGTACTTCGTCGTCGTAAGGAGGCCGGCGAAAGTTGTAAGCTCTCATCTAGAAAAATATCCTTCAAAACTGAGAATATATATAAGAAAAGGGTAGCAAAAACAAAGAGGATGGTAAATTCTTACAAAACTCACTGTCAACGCCGGACGAGGAGGCGTTGGCGTAGCCAACTTTTGCCGGAGAACCATTGGAAATCTGGAAATATTGGAGATTTTCACAGAGGTAATATTGGCAAGATTATCAACAAGGTCATGAAAATATTCCATTATTAAAACTTTCTGAATTATCAGACTTTTCAACGATAAAATTCAGCTGTGAGAGTGTTTGCAAAGACCATTTTAACAAGTTCTACATCAAGATAATGCAAGTTTCCAATTGTTTCTTCTTACGGTCTTCGCTTTTTATGTGTGTTCAACGCTACTTTGATGATACCCTACCGATGAGAGATCCATGGGTTCGATGGGTAAACTGTGGGACCCGTTGGTTCCGTTGGATTCGCCGAGGCCGTTCAGCGACGCCGTCGACACCTGATCAATCTGAAAAAGTTAACATAATTCATCGATTGTGTTCAGATTTTCTTTTTTCACTTTTTTTTTTCCAAATTTTCGAGATTCGTTCATATTTTTAATTAAAAATGTTTTTTCCAGGTATTCCAGAGACTTTTTACGAAATTTTTGTTCGTTCTAACCTTTTTCCAAAATTTTTTTTCTCTTTTTTTTCCGAATTTTTCAAAACATCCTTTTCATAAATTCTCTTAGAGAAAAAGTAATATCATTAGAGATCCATCAAAACATCTGAACCTAGTTCAAAATATGAATTGAAGCGAATTTTTTCCGTTCAAAATTCTAAATCAAACCTGAGCCATCATCGAAACCGTAGAAAGCAGAAAAAATGAAGTGAAGCAAGAAAAAAATAGAATTGATGCCAATCAACACGCCAATTGCATTGATTTAAAGCAGAAAAACGTGGCGTCTGAAATATTTAATTAATAAAAAATGATCACTAAGTTGAAAACGCGATGCGATAGGCGAAAAGTACGATGAAAGGTTGAAAAAAAAAAGAAAATAAAATGGAGCGAAAAAATAATTTTTTCGGTGATTCTGCAACTTGAGTATTTCAAGGAAAAATTTTTTTGGTGAATCATCATGAAAAAAATAGTCAAAAAAAGTATGGAATGAAATGATATCGACAAAGAGTCGAGAAGGTTTTTTTAAGATTTCAAAATAACTTCAAATTATCTTTTTTTGTTACAAAACGTGTTCAAAACGGAATCTCAATTTTGTTGACATCAAATTCCCAATATAAAAAAAAAATTCAAAAGAAAGGCGCCAAAGTGAAGGTCAACCATTTCGTCGTCCACCTCCGAGAACTTTCGCTTTTTCTAATCTTCGGCCAATTAGTCAATTTTTACACTTCCGGAGGCCGTTTGCAGCGATTTTGCAGCATTTTGAATGAACTGCGACTTCCATGAATGGAGTATGAAAGATCCGAAATCTCAAACTTAAATTCTCCAAATATCTTTTCTGATGATAAAAATAATGACAATACTTGAAAAAGCAAAGATAAATGAAGAAAAATTTTTTTGAAACGAAAATCAACATCGTCAAAGTCGCACTGTTTCAGATGAATGATAGATCCAAAGTTCGTTCCAAATAAAAATGGGATTGTAAAAGGAAGAAGCGGATCTTTTAAAAAAATACGAAAAAAGAAATAGTTGAAGATACCTATAGCCTGAAAAACCCGGATCTTCGAAATTTGAAATATTTAGGTTTGGAAACTAAAAAAATTTAGAGATAAAAAAAGACCGGAAACCCACTAATTATAACTTCTATAGAAAAGAAGAAAAAATTCTGAAAAATTTGAATTGTTGTAAGTCCATAAGGATTTTGATAATCTATCGTTTCCAATTGGATTAAAAAGACTACAAGCACAGGCAGAATAGTCAAATCAACGTTTATGGAACTGCCGCCAACATTAAGAATCTAAACAATGCGAATCGTTATAAATCCATGAGGATTTTGAAAATCTACGCCTTTCAACTGAGATGAAGAAGACGAGAGGTACAGGTAGAAGAGGTGGATTGGCTCAAAGAAGCACAAGGAAAGGAGCGTGGAGGACGCCGAGTGTGATGGCGGTATGGGGGGCAGCAGGAAAATGAGAAAGAAGTGGAGTATACAAACAACGGTTAGAGGATGGAAAGTGGGAAGGGGGACATCGACACACGAGTCAATCGATTATTTCCTCGTTTTCCATGTACCTCCATTTGTGCTGCTTCTGTTCTTTATGTGTCTCATCAGCCAGCAGCCAAGGTTGATCGACCAAACCCGAAGAAAACCGGCAAAACGGCGCTTTTCCGGTGGAAAGTCGTCGGAAAATGATGAATTGATGGAAAGAGATCAGCATTGATCAATCGTGAAGACGAGGGTCACGATCAAAGGCAATTTTCGACTTTTTCAAATGTCTAGGTGAAGCATTAACGATGAAATCCCTTATTTTTAAACTTGAAATTTTAAACAAAAAAACTGAAAAATTTTAAAATTGACCTTAAATCTGTTTAGAAAAAGACAGAAATAAGTTTAAAAAATACTTCTCAAAAGTTTAATCAGTTCTTCCTTCGACCTTTGAAAGTCGAAATTTGAACTTTCAAAAAATTTCCCAGTTTGCGAAATTCTAGAAACACCTCGAGATAAAAAAAAATCACCAATTTTTCATAACATGTTAGAAACGCGTTATATAAAAAAATCTGTAAAATATCAGAAATGGTAAACAAATGGAGAATCAGAGAATTGATCCCTACAATGAACAGGACGCTTCTGCGAATTTGAATATGAATTTTGAGATGAAGTAGAGAGCTTGAATGGTTTCACTAACCTATCAAATATTGATCATTGAAGTGAACAAAAATAATTGATCAAAAAAAAACCATCTTCCAACTTTTACAGCTAGATAAAGCATACATCAAATCACTTAACGTTAAATTGCTCCTTTAAAACAATTGAAAACTTCCAAATTTGAAAAAAATCACTTTTTATTGATACCGAGCAGGATCTCTACCGATTCGGAGCATTTTCAAGTTATCGATTTAATCTAAATAATTAGTACTAACAAGATCAAGTGATCACTTCAGTGAGTAAATAAATACTCATTCGATCGATACCTCAAAGAGCGGCTGGCGCAAAAGCTTGCGGCGCGTCAAAAAAAAAAAAGAAGAAGGAAACCAAAAAAGTGGTGGTGTCGAAAATCAGACAAGATGGTGGGAAGAAAGCCAGCAGCCATCAGGACGGCCGGGCAATAAATTGGAGGCGGCGTCAGGGGCAAAGAATAGGGTAACAAGTAATCGATGAGTACATATGAGGAACGGCCTCTTGCCTGCTTTGGCCTCGACCGTGGCTTAATGCCTAATTTCTTCGTCTTCTTCTTTTTCGTCCCACACTCATACACACGGGAAATCTCATCCAACCTGGTCACTTATTACACTCGGGCCACTCAAGCGGTCACTTCCCGACAGCTCGCTGGTACCTGGAGGGATCTCAGCCGGCTTCCTGTTACACTTGAGCCCATCTGTGTGGCATCCTGTGTTCGATAAATCGACATGAAACATCTTGGCTGAGTATCTCACGATCAGCAGTTCCAAACAGAAACCAAAGCTTGAACCAAAATACTGATCTTGACTGGAAATAGATTGATCTTGAAATTTTTGCAAGCCATCAATCGGTTTTTTTCGAAATCATGCTTGAAGCCATTTCATTGGCTGATGTCAGAAAAAAAAAACTATCTGAAGGCAAAGCGTCGCCCACCAAGAAATTTTGAAAAATGATCCTAAAAAATAACAAAGAAAGCCAAATTTTGGCATTTAGAAATCTGAAAATGTTGGAAAACAACTAATACGAAGCCTAGTTTTCTGGAAGCGTTATACAAAATGACTCACAAACCGAGGAAAAGTGCGTCAACTAAACGAGCCAACTTTTTATGTTTGTCTAGAAAAATCCTTGACGAAAAAAACTTTCTCAGGAATCAAAAATTATGGAAAAAAAAAAATGAAAATTTTTGAACTTTCGTGTAAAATTGCTGATTTCCGCCGAAGACATCAGTTTTTTCTTTTAATAAAAACTGCATCAAATAGGGTTTCATGGATCTACAGTACTGTACAGCTCTACTAGCAGAATTTACTAAATTCTGAAACATCAGAAAAGTTGAGGGTAGTTGATTTTTAAATCTCTACAAAACCAAACTCAAACATTCTCAGACGGTTATTACTCAATTCACCGCTCACTTGGGAAAAAAGCTACAGAGACGTCTAAACCTCTTCAATTCGCGCGCTGTCTGTATAATCGTGTGAAAAAGCACAATTGGATCTTCTCAAACTACCGCTGAAGGAAGTACAAATTTGTGAATCGCATCCATTCGCGCACTGTTTCTCAAATCGTTCCGAGACCTGATCTTTCTCAAATAAAAGGCGAATGAGCTACGGCATCTCGTGGACCGTGCTATACGGCCACTTCCAGCACCTCAAGACCAAGAAAAGGTTTAAATGAAAACCCGGCTGCACATCGCTGCGCAAAAGCCAATAATATATGGCGCGGCGTCCAACTTGGAAGCTAATTTCCATTCAATTCGCCGGGGTCTCGTCAGCAGTGAAGAAGTAGGAGCGAACCAAAAAAAAAGGAAAAGAAGAAGGCGATGCGGAGGACGACAATCGTTACACACCCTCGACAATCCGACGACATCAGCCGCCGTACCGACCACCAACCTCCCAAAACCAAAACTTATCCCGTTTCGCGCCAAAAATTTGTTCTCCAAACCCGAACGCGGCGCAGGACAACTGTCTCACCTGCAAACCTGCAGAGTTTTTTTCTCACATAATAAAATATAAAAAGTTGAAGACTGAAACCAAAAATTTTTCCTCTAATAAAGCATGCAATTGCAACAAAAAAAAAACTCCAGAGAGCTCTGAAAAAAAGAGGTTGAAAAATGAGGTCCTGCAGATCTTGGATTCATTAATCTACATGTTTTGTGGAAAAAAATATTTTCAAGATATGACTTTGAAAAATTCGTTTTCAGTGGCTTCAGAACATGTTTTTTTTCTTGTGACAAAAACTTTTCAAACACAGGAAAAAAACAGAAAAAAAGCATTTTTTTAATTGATTGTTCTCTGAAACTTTTAGTGGAGGGGCTGTTTTTTTCCTCATTAAATAAACGACTCAAACAGAAAGAAAAATTTCAATTATTGATAGAAAATACAGTTTGATCAAAAAAGCTTCTTATCCTACTGTCTTAGAAATGGAATATCGGTTCAAACCCCACTTCTTTTTGTTTAATTTCACCGTCGGGATCAACATTTTGAGCTAGTCTCAAAGATTTAGCGCCAAAGGCTTATCAAACCATTCTTAAGAAACTATACTGTAAGCTTGCAAAAGTAGCGGCAAAAGTCGGTGAGTGGAGACTAATAAGGTGGCGCCAAAAACACACTCGCCTTCGAATCATTTGGGCCTATGAGAGGGTAAAAAATGGCTAATTGCTCACGAGCCGCTTTTGCAGGAGTTCTTGAAGCAGATAACGCGCGAGCGCCAAAAATCGATCGGCCCTTACAATAGGCGTGTGGAAATCCGTTCTTCTTCCGCTAGACTAATGCAGCAGCGTTCCCGAGTAATTTCGTTAAATTTGAAGGAGATTGGCGCTGAGGGGGCGCTCAAGTGGCCTCAGAGCTTCTTCCTTCATCACTCGATTGTTCAGTTCAATCCATAGAGATCTCAACAGAACTCAAAAGTATACCACAAAAAATTCGGAAATTCTGACGGACGAAAGACTGTAGCAATTGTCTCTTTTTGAGGTCAACTGCACCAAAAAAGCGTCATTCAAAACGTCTTCTGGAAGCAAAAAGTTCTTCTACAGAAAAAAAAAAACTGTTTACCTACAGTATATGAGTCGACGAAACGTTGCTGAAAAAATGACCAAATGATGGGCCAAAACAGGTGATCCATCTAACCTTACAGTCTTCTCGCTTCTTCTTGACATAACTAACCGAAAAATCGTAAATTGATGAAATTTGAAATTTCGTAGACATTCAAATCAGCTCAAACTTTTCACAATTCTGATCAATTTAGAAGTTTGATGACGATAAATAAATTTTGAGTCGAACTGTCTAACAAAAAACTAAACTAGGACAGTACTCATGATCTTCTATCCTATCAAGTGAGCGATAAAGAGGCGATTTATTCACCTAAGTGATCACTTGAAGGCTCAGAGCAAACCAAAAGGGCTCCTAGCGCTTATCTCTTTGTGTAAGAGAGCCAAATTTTGAAGAAAACTAAAATCTGAAGATTAATCCTAACATGAGCAACACGGTGCAGCATCGGCTCAACGTTGGGAGAACGGTCGAAGCTAGGGACTACATGACGAAGTAACACGAAACAAAAAAGACGGGAGAAAAAGGAAATCGGTGGGAAAAAAGGAACCTCTCTCCGCCGGTCGCTCCGTCATTCCATCCATCCCAGCATAAACGCCGTCAATAACGCTCATTCGCTCATTAAAACGCACACTCACACACAGGCCCTACACTCACAAACACGAAACTCACAGAAACTCATACTTTAGTAGAGGAAGGAGCGCATTTTCTTTTCCTTCTTTTGGGAGGCCAGCCCGAAAAGGTGAAGAGTGGTATACACGTGCGTGACGTCGGCCCCTCTCTAGGAGAAAACTCATAAAACAAATCATCAGACGAGTTGCAGCTGCCTTCCTTTCCGCCTAAATATCGGTTCCATCCAAGACAGATTGCTGGTTTTCCAATGAGTATTTCAAAATTCGACTATATTTCAAGGTGAATCCAAATTGCAGCTTTATTTTTGAGTCGAAACGAGGAAAAGGAATGAGAAACGAAATGGCGTATGACTAAGACTGAAAAAGGTAAACAGAAATGTTATGAATCAGGAGGAAGTTGACCAAATGTGAGAACTTCTACAGTTCTCGGCTTGTACCACGTCTTTCATCAATTCGTTCTGAAGTCTCAAGTTTTTACAGTCCATGAATGAAGTAAATGATAGCTAGTAGAAAAAATAAGCATTTACAGGGTCAGTCTAGAACAAAGGGTTGACTTACAAAATATCTGTAAAACAATGACACTGATCATTTTTTAAAAGTAGGTTTGTCTTTATTTGTTCATAAACGCTTCAACCTCCGACAAGCGGTGTTGACTTTATTTTTTGAAGTTTTCGAAAAAAAAAACTAGCGAAATCCAAAAACTGTCTTGCCACGACGGTTCGAAGTCAGAAAGGTTATATTTTTGGCTTTATTCTTCGTAAAAATTTTTCACAAGTACATCTTTGATATCCGTGAAGTTGCTACTGTGATAAAAAACCACAATCCCAAAATTGAAATTCGATGTAGATGGACGTTTTATAAAAAAGATAAACTCGAAAGACTCGTAAAAGTTCCTAATGTTGATATGCTAGAAAGAAAAAGTAAAACTTCAAAAATACAGTTTTTATCGTTAGACCTTAAAAATGCAGTTTTTGCATTTCTCTTCACCTTTTTACGTTCTCTCTTCTCAAACGGTGACTGTAATCTAAAACTCTTATTTTTTCAATGAAATATTTTTCAATTAAAATTCAATTCACCAGACTTTTAAAGTAAAAGTGAAGTAATAAGTTGTTTGCAAGAAAATATTGATTTTCTTTTTGATAATTTCTTTCTCAGAGAACTTAGTTTAAAATGATTTCCCAACGAAAAGTTTGCAATGAAACAACAAAAAAATTACGGGAGGTCTCAAATATTTTTGGGCGCAAGTCACTCGGAGGCTAATCGATCGAGGCTGGAAACATACGTTTTTTTTTTCGTTCTTGTCGTCTCAAAAAAACAAAAAAACTTGGCGCGTTATATACGACTTTGTGGAGTTAATCGAGAGAGAGCCATTCTGAATTGGAGACGAGATGGCAGGCAAACAGGAGGTACTAGCCGATGGAGAGCAAGGAATTTTCTGGAAAAAGCTGTTCTTGCAGAAAAAAAAAGAATGAATGGATTTTTCCTAAAGGTTTGTCACTGAGATTAAAGAGAATGGCCTGGGATACCTGAGTCAGACTCAAAATCAAAGTTTGATCTGGTGAAAAAACGGTGAGAGTGTCAATTGAGATCAGGATCGCTAGACGAGTTTTTTAAGCTGATTTCAAATCTTATTCCGAAAGTCGTCAAAAAGCTTTTCGAAAAAAATTATGGACGGGAAAATTCATAGTTTTAATTTTTATAATTGATCTGCTTTTCACTGTGGTCGAGAAAAATAAAACTAATTAACAGAAAAATCGAATTTTCAACATTGACAGTTCAAAATTTTTTCAAACCTCTTCGGTAAGTGTTGATCAAAGGCTAATCAACCCCATCTGATTGAAAAAAAACTCGAAATACTCAATTATAAAAAAAAATTATTGATCCGATAGTTTGAAATAAGAAAGAACCCGTTAGAAAAAATCGAATGAAATGCAGAACAATCGGGAAAATAATTATGAAATCGAATTGATAAAACCGGAACGAGCGTTTGGCTCTCCACGTCATACAGGTTGGCAATAGAAAACAGTTTCTTTTCGAGAGTCTACTGTGGGGTCAAAAATCAAAAAAAAAAAGAAGCGTTTATCTTCATTGCTAACTCTTTCAAGTTTAGAGAAAAAAAAGGGAGCTTAGGATAATTCAATTTTAACCTTTGCAACAATCCTTAAAATTTCCAATTCGTCCGTTTTTATAAATAGTTTTTCTTTTTTATACAGTTTTTTAATAACTGCCAAAGATCTAATTTATCAAAAATCCAGTCAGGAAACCATCTTTACTACAATTGTATGAGCCAGAGAAGGAAAACATCCAAGAAGTAAAAAATTTGTTCAATTTTTAAAATCCCTTTTTGAATGTCGTCGGATTTTGTTATAACAGTTTCAACTGGCTGGATTGCGTTCTAAATTCCAGGAATTGAGCAATTTCTAGACATTTACCAATGATCGGAAAACATTGTCAGATTGATTTCAAGATTGGACTCTGGAAAATCAATTTAAAGATGATCCCCTAAAGTACAGATCGGATTTAAAAGAAATCTCAAGGCAGAATTTTCACTTCGGCTTGTACAAAGAAGTCATTCTACCGGTCTACTGGGAACTTCGATATCTTTGAAGATGAGCTAGAAGATTCAAATATGTTTTAGATAGAGACTCTGAGATGTGAAGTCCGCACAGATTCCTGTTTTCGAGAACCCAAAAAGGCGCTCTGAAAGGAGCTCAAGCCTTGTGGCTTTTCTTCTCTGAAAAATTAGAACACTTACAGAACCTTCTAGAATCTTCATTCCGATTTTCAGAATTACGAGTAGACGACTTTTCAGAACCTCCTCGGCATCAGGAAAGAGCCAAGAAGTATTTTGCGGCGGCGGTAAGAATCAAGAAGTTGTTCGGGAAATATTCTTCGGCTGAGCACTCGGATCGGACAAACGGGAAGAGCCGCCCGTCCACACAAACACTGCGCCACGTATGTATAATTTGGCCAAATGCCAGGCGCTTCGACATGCCCCCAACACTTCTTTTTCGTTCTTTTCGTTGGCCCTCCTCACAGCCATGGCCTTCTGGCGGCCGGAGAACCAGCCCCGTGTAATCGACACTTTTTCGAGCACCCACAACATTTCTTCTTCACTGACCATTCGAGGGTCGAACCTTCTCACATTCTTCGTAACGATGCAGAGAAGAAGAAAAAAATGAAGCGAATGAGTAGCGCGACCAACCTTTACACAGAAAGAAAAAATCTAATCGCATTCCACTCGGAAATGTTGAAAATGATTGTACCTGAGGTCAAGAGAGTGCAAGAAAGAAAAAATTCTAGAGAAGTGCCGTTTCTTCTAAATGAGATCAGCAACCTTAGCTCAGAAAACCAACTCCAATCCAAAAACCCCAAAGTTATTTTTGTTTGTGTGGTCAGAGAATGCGCAAAAGTGAAAGTCCTAGAGAAATCAGATATATCGAAAAGACAGAATACAAAACTCGTGACTTCTTTCGAGCTCTGAGACCTTAGAGATTACTGTTGGGAAAGTGGAACGAAAAATATCACAAAAAACCAAAAAACTAAAGAATTTAATTTTCAACGTCCAAATGGGCGTCCAATATGGTGAAATTCAAACTTTTATGACTCCCCAACGGTGATCCTCTAAAGTACAGATTGGATTTGAATGAATGCTGATTCTCACAGACTGTACGAGAATATTTTTCAATTTTCAAAAATTCAAAGCTTTTTCTGATTTTTTAAATCTTCTGGTGCTTGAACTGCTTCATCTATCGCTTTTTTCGAGCAAACAGTTCTCATTGGGAAACTCAGAAACGTTCAGAATTTACTCTGAGGATAATTGAAACTTGAAGAAAAGCCTCATAAATCAATTTACCATTTTGAAAGAAAACATAACCTTGTTCTCAAAACCAGATACTACTGGTCATTGATCATTAAACAACACCCCAGCTTTTGGAAACTTTACTCAAGCAAGAACAAACAAATCCTTCCCATTGAATGCTTTTTCGAATTCAATCCCAGTTTATTTCTCAGCATCTACATTTTTTGGGTTATCATTATCGGAGGATCCTTCAAACGCCACAGACCACACACGTCAAATAGATAACGCCAAACGAGGCCATTACAATCAAATGAAACTTAAAATAGCTGAAATCGCTGTGATTTTTGGGTTCTGGAGCAAAGGGAAGGAATTTAGGAGAAGAGTTTCTCTTGAACTGATCTAATAGAGATTTCCGTTTCTTCAAAAGAAAGATGAGATCTCAAGTCTTCTCCAAAAAAAATTTAGCAAAACATAATTTTTGAAAGATTCTGCTAATTTCAGAAGGCATACTAATAAACTGATCCTATCGATGGATGGTACTTCTCAGTGTAGGTTCCCATCCAAGGACGAGTTTCTCCAGAATCGAGAGTTCAAGATAAAGACCACTCAGGAGGTCGAAATTCTTCATTTTCGAGGCTGCTTTTGAGAGTAGCTCTTTCAAAATCTTCCACACATCCAAATAGTCAGCTGATCTATCTGATCTCCCTGATCAGGAGTCCTGTCCACCAACCACTTTCCTTCGAAGAATCATTTTCTTGAGAAAGGAAGATCCAAGGGGAAGACCACCCAGACAGGCGGCCTGACACCTCTCCGTACTTTGTCGAAATCTCTCAAGACTATGAAAGGAGGCAACAAACAAGAAGAACCGAAATATCGATTGTGAAGAGATGTCGGGTGTCGTGGAAAGTGAAGAGAAAGCCCAGAAATTGAGGAGAATCAGATGGAGCGGACGTTTGGGAGTGGACACAAAAAAGCGACGGAAAAGTGAGAGAGAGGGCGAGAGAAGCGAGAGGAGGTGCTCTCTTTGCTTGGCGTGGTGGTTGTTGAAGAATTTGTATGATTATCGCCGGGGTCGCGGCCAAACGCAACTTTTTTCGCCACGCAACACCTGCCGAATGGGGTGTCGTTCGAAGCTTCTTCAGCTCCTCCAGCTCATCGTCGCCTCGACGGAGCGTGACGAGGTGTCCGCCAGCCGAGGAGCTGGAGAAATTTGAGAAGACGCTGAGAATGGCCTGAATCGGAACGCCAAAACAAAACACTCAAGTTTCAGCCTCATAATTGACAGCGCTCGAGGATTTTAATTCGATAGAGCGAGTTTTTAGTTCTGATTAGTATTTCAAAATAAAACAAACTTTTCAGCAAAATCAAGTTTTCATGAGCGAGGAGGACACTTTCAAAAAAAAAAAAACAAATGTTTGAGAATTTCCTTTTTGCAACTCATCGAGGCCCCGCTTTTTCTGGCCACTTTCTTCTACAGAAAGGTAGTTTTCCTATTGAAAAAAACTTTTTTTGTCGGTACTTTGAAGAGATTTCTTGCAGTAGCCATGAAATCAGAAAACAAGGATTTATATGAATAAAAAAAGTGATGGAAAGGATTCAAAAAATTCAGTAAAATCAGCGATGAACTGTTTTTTAAAATTGAAAATCACTTTCAAACCTCAAATTATTTCGATCACTAGGTTATGATTACCCTCTATGCTCTTTTCAAGCCGATAATTATGAAAAAAAGGAAAGCATATTAAAGTAACCTTTCTTGGAAAGGAATAGCTGGAAAAAAGAACTTGAGTTCCACCTGATTAATAGATTTTTCTAGTCATAAATCAATATGAAACCTGCTGACGGAAAGTGAACTGAATTATTAAAACAGAAAAGAAACTTGAAAAAAACTCACAGTTCATTCAGACTTCTCAGATCTCCTGAAGTCACCTATACTAATCATTCAAAACGCGCCAATATACGATTCTCATCGAGAAGGCAAAACCAAAAGCTTCAAAGCTGCTGAGAGCGGCGGTTAATAAGATTGTGGAACATGGGCAAAACGAACGAAAAACGAGAAAAAAGGCCCCGTCGCCGAAATCTTCCACTTTGTTATCCAAACGTCCATCGCTTAGCAACTTCCCCATTTCAACGGCTGATTGTACTGCTTTGTTGGCTTGAAAACGCAAGAAAAACGAAAAAATAATCGAGATAATCTGTAAATTGTGGCTGGAAATAACTTCCAAAATTCATTTTTTTTTTTTTGAATAATCGTTCTGAAATTGCTGATGAAGAAATCCATTTTTGTGCGAAATTTGAGATTTTCTTTAAATTCGTTCAAACGTTCTTCGGAGGTCTCAAAGAAGATCTATCTCAAAACTTTGATTTCAACTCTTGAATCACTCTTCAAACTCACTTCTTGCCAAAAGCAGGTTAACAGTGAATTTTGTGAGAATCTTAAATTTCCCTTTAAATTCATGACACTCGGATGATTTTCATATTGATCAGTCCTTAAATAATTTCACAAGTATTCTTGTTCAAAAAATGATTTTTTAGAGTTTTTTTCGGTACTTTTTTTACAGTGACGAAGTTGCTGATCAACTTTTACTGAGACAAACGAAGAAATAACAGAATTTCAGTGCAAAAATAAAAATCTAGAAGTTGTCCAAAAAGCGGAAGCCAAGCAAAAAGCTTTATTTCCATAAAACGTGCAAAACATTTCACTTTTCAAAACGAAGCTCGAAACGTCGAAACATGAAATTTTCGAATCAAACACTTGAAAATTGCAAGCTTAAAGTTAACACTGCAAGTCCTCGAAAAGCTTCCAGAGATTCCATCAAGTCCCCGGTAACTGGCAAAAGCTTTTGAGAAAGCAAAAAGGAGCCGTCGCAGGACAAGAGAATAGGCAATAAGTTTTCGGTTTTATTCTCAGAACGTCGCAAGGGAAGCGGAAAACGAACTTTTCGAGAAACGCTCCGAAAAATAAAATATTCTAGACGAATCACATGAAGATGATGACGCAAAACAGGCGTAATAGAAGCAGATGAAAGTAGGAAAAAGACTGAGGAAAACGAACTCGACAAAGGTGACACTTTATCAAAGTGAAGGTCATATGAAATGCACCTGTGAGTACCAAAAAAGAATTTGATAATATTTGTTGGCACTGACTTTTTTTAGAGAAAAATTATCATACAAATATGATAAATAAATGATGAAAAATTTCACACCTTTTTTTCTTTGAAAAAAATACAGGCTATACAATATAAAAACATTAAAAAAAGCCTTTTTTTCGCGCTGAGACCTGTTTTTCATAAAGTTTTAAAGACAATTCTAGCCGTTTCTACGAACAAAAAGGATGAGATTCCTCCAGCATAACAAGAGTCCAAAATGAAACTATATTGCTCATGTTACAAGAAAAGCAAGAAAAAGGCACATTTCAAACAGAAAATGGCACCCTTTGCAAGTGCAAGACTTCTCCTATTTCATAATTTATTATTTTTCGAGGCGCCACCTTTAAAAAGAAACTTGTGGGGCGGCAGACGAAAGGAACTGAAATCGAAAAGTCAGGAGAAAATAGAATTTAAACAAAAGGCGGCCGAGGGCTCTAATTACGTCACATGACATAGTCCTCATCCAACTGATTATTGCAAGGCATAACAACAAAAAAGTTTCGATATCAATGAAAAAAAATGACAGCCTATATTGAATATCAAAGTTCCAGGAGCAAACATTAGCTGGAAGGAAACGTAAGAAAAGAATAGTTCCAAACAATGTTTGAAATTCGAACGCCGTTCATTTTTTATTATTATACGTCGTGAGTACTCAAATCTCATGTAGCTGTTCAAATACCGAGTTATTTTTAGTCTTAGAAGTCCAGAATGCAAGAAATTTTCCAGAAAAAAAGTTCGCTAAAACACGTATTTCTAAGGGAACTAATTAAAAAGGTCCTATTTTCGAGATATGTTGATCTTTTGATCTCTCAAGGTGCAAAACTTGTTTCTCAACGCTGATAATCTCGAGCGACTATAAATACCTCCATGAACATATAAAAACGTTCTGATCCGTTTTTATAGTGCTAGAATGTCGAATTTTTTCAAGATCAGTAAGAAGTTGGGCAGCAACACTGGAATGAGCTCAATTTTCAAAGGATTGGACACAAAAAGATCTGAAAATTGGAAAAGGCTCACAATTTTCAAGCTCAAAACCGAAAAAATAAACATAGAAAGTGTTTTTCAAAGCTTTTCAGTGAACTTAAAATTCTTGAATTCCTTGCAAGCAGCACTTGGATATTGTCAAAACTTTCTCTTTTCTATATGAAATCAGTAGCATAGCTAAATTGAGCTCAAAATATTCTGGATTTTCGCAAGGACTGAGCAGCAGCTTACAGGTGGACTCAGAACTTTCTAGCTTCCAACCGGAAATCTCATCTGAAACTTTCAAGCATGTTCGGTGAACCCACCAGCAGAGTCCTTGTTAGCCCAGCCGACTGATAAGCTTGTCCTGCCCAGCCGGAAGTACTGCTCAAGCCGAAATTGACCGTTTTTGATGGGAAAAAGGGCAGAATGAACGAGGCGAGCAGGTGATGGCGGCTCAAAAATGGTCAAGGGAGTATAATGGGTTCGGAGTGAGACTTGGTTGTCCAGAGGAGGTATTTCGATCGATGTCGGTTGGTCGGTTGGTTGGTGTAGCCGAGAGAGTGTTGTGTATGTACGTGGGTGGTGGTGGTGTATGTGTGTGAAGAAGGCAGTCAGATGCGACGAAATAGTCGCGGAGATAAAGAGGGCGAGAGAGCGAGTGAGCGGCGTCTCTCGTCTGCTTGTGCGCCGGCGGCGGCGGCCTGAATTACAGGCATGGCCGCCACTGTTCCCAAGTTTTGTCTCATCTCCTCAGAGACCGAATCCCGGCGCTCCGACGCCGGCCAATATGTATCTCGTTCAACTCGCAATCAGCCGCTCGACCTGCTTCCGTCAGTATTTGAGTTCCAGCTGGCCTCTGTCCCAAGAAAAGACCTGACGCCTTTTTTGAAGTCGTTCCTAGTCGGCAAACAGTTCAGAAGCCAATGGAAAACAACCGAAATGTTCTGGCAGACTGGCTAGCAAGGCCAAAGAGAGCAGATGAACGCCAACGGCTGGGAAGGGAAATTTCCAGCGGACGGAAAATTTTCGTGTCAATATGTATATCTATCAACTCGTTATGAAGCTCTTGGAATTGTTTGCCTGATCAGAAACCGCCTCTCAGCGGCTAATCAAAGTTGAGCGTTTTTCCCAAGCTTGATTACATATTTACAGCAGTAATGGGACCATTTTACAACAAGTAGTACTGTATCCAAATTGATTCCAAAAGAAAAAAGAAATATCACGCACTACTAAAAAGAAGAATTCGGAACAGTGTATGGCGATGACCCTCGTTTTTTTTCCCCATCCTAAAAAAATAAAAAAAGTTCTTTTGGAAAGACCAAAAAAATGTCAATTGAATTAATCACTAAAAAAAGTACTTCAAAAAATTGAGAGTTTCAGTTTGAAAAATGTGTAAATAAGAATTTTTTTAGTATATCATGTGAAAAAAAAGTCCAAAAAAGAGAAGAGAATTATTCAGAGGAAAAAAAAAACAATATAGTCTCACGCTTTTAAGAATGAAATTCCCAGCTTCTTCGAATTAAAAAAGCCTTTTTTGTGGATGCGTTTTTTCCGTTTTGCGTTCACTCGGGAGCATTTTTTTCACATCAATCGAATCGTAGAGTAGAGAGCGCAGACATTTTCAGACTGTTTCAAGTTGTCGCGAAAAATCTATGCAACGACGTGGGTCAGCTAATTTATCAAGTGATCAAGACATTTTTCTCGTATGGAATTGTCATTTTTCTACGGATACTGTCTTCATGAGAGTTTAGAACGTCTATTTACAAATTTTCTACTAGAAATTTACAAACTGGAGTTTTCCAAAACATAAGAACCTTCTAAAAAATACGTAAACCTCTAGAAGCCTTTAAATTACAATATCAACTTTTCAGATCATGATAGTTCTCCAGTAAAGATCAGAAGCCCAGCAAACTCTCAAAAATCACTCTTTTCACAAGTGAGATAATTTCACTCTCAACTGCGAAACTTTCTGAGAATTTCATCGAAAACTTTACTTTTTGAATCAAAAAACCCTCTTTTATCAAGAGACCTTAAGGTACTTTTGTGCAACGTTTCATCTTCGACAGATCACCGAAATGTTTCGTATAAACAACCTTCTTTCCGCTAGGCCTTCTAGGTCTATCTTATTTCGTCAATACTTTTTCTCCTCCGGCTTTTTCCTTCAAATTAAACTATGAACTATAAACAAACTATTATGATTGCACAAATTCCCTCTCAAAACGACGCTTCTCCTTCGGCACACAATACAACAGAGGCGATCATTCTCATGATGATATTTGAAGTTGAACTTGGGCAAAAAATAAATCTTTGGAATTCTCGACCCGCTATCGATATCTGAGTAGAATTCCTCAGAAATCTGCTCTCGTTTGACATACAATACGCGGAGAAGCTGTTTCGAGGTGAAGTCATAGGACAACCAACTCGGGGGGTTCTTCATTCATTGGAAGTGTTCTCCGGGGCACATGCGTTCTTTCTCCTCTCCTGATACACTGCGCGTTTCGAGCTCCTCTCCTCGTCTCGGCCGACGGTTAACACTCTGGTTTAGCCTCTTTGAACAACCGCCGTCATTGATTACTTATAAAGTGTTTGCGTGTTTCGCGTGAAACTGTTCCTTTTTGCGAGGTCGTCCCTTAGAAAGATCTAGAACAGCCAAAAACGAGTTGCCGAATGGAATGCCGGAGGAACTTGTGAAGCAAGAAATCATTAAAATCTCTCAATTTATCTCGAAAGTCTGTGAATTTCCTTTTGAAAGAGCGTTCATTTGCAAAGACCGACTAAAAATTGGAAGAAATAACTCAAAAATAAAAGGAAAATTATAGAACAAAGTTTGAACAAAACACAGGCTATCTGATCCTACCTGTATCTTTTTTTCCATATTCTTCAAAAAAATGACCAAAAAAATTTTCGATATCAGTTTTCCGAAGAATTCGATTCAGAAAAAAATTCTAGAAAAAAAGGAAATTCTCTTTGAAACTTTTCATTCCGATCAAAAATTCTCAAAGCGCATGGCCTGAAACTCTAAAAAAACTCTTCCTTTCGAACTTTTTCTCTAGAGCAGTCCTTGCACTTTTAGGAATCCCAGAACATTAGCTTGAGGGCTGGATAGATCAGAAGTTTTTTTTAATTTTGATTAAGCTGAAAATAAAACTATCAAGGTCTAATTTTTCCGACTTCAGCTCATTCACTTCCAAAAAAAAAGCGATTTTTTCAGATGTTTTGTTTCGCAAGTCTCTTTATTTAGAGACTGTTAATATACTCCTGAGAGCGAAATATAAGATCAAGAACTAGAAGAAACTAGTGATATTCATCCATGCAGCTGTATAACGATTCGGCCGACTTTTCTGCCATATTTCAATCAATTCCAGCCAAAAAGCACTCGAAATCTTTGTCATCTCGATATGAGACTAGGTGGAATGTGATTTTGGCGCTGAGCCGAGAAGCGGACGCTCTTCTCTCCGCTTTTTTCAGTCCGAGCATTGTTTGTTCTCGACACCGCGCCGGCCGCTCCGATGCATAATAGGTGCGTGCAGTTGCCTCGCCAAAAAACGAAGAAGAAGAAGGAAAAAAAACGCCCCCATCGCTTCGCCAATTTTCCAACTTCACCTTAAAAATCAATCCAGCGTGTGCCGAGCATCTCAGGCCCCGGGGCACACACATAGACCGACAAAAAGGAAGAGAAAAGAAGACGGCCGTGTGGGTTTTTTTTTCTTCTTGAGATATTGCTCTGGGGACTTTTTGACTTATCACAACTCCCCTAAACTTCCACTTCTAATCTTCTCGGGATGAGCAGCGGTGGCAGATTCGAAATAAAATTGGAAGAGGAGACTAGAAAAGAAAATATTTTCCAAAATTAATGGAAATTTGAGGTTTCCGAGTTATTTCAACTTCTTTTCATCAATTATCTCAAAGCCTGAAAGAAACGAGATCAGAAACCTTAAATAAAGAAAAGCAATAAGGATAGATTCAAAATTAAAGTCAGAAAGGGAGAAATCGACAAGAAAGTTCTTCTGGAAACAAATTAAAATTGAGGTTTCTTTTAGTAAGTTTTCCCTATCAATACTCCAGGTGGAATTTGAAAGTACATTGTTAACTTCTGATCAGGCGCCGAAGTGAAGATAATATCAAGGATCGATATAGACGGTGCTCCTAATATTTTCTCATAAATTTCATATTTTTAATCATTGATAGAAGCTACGTTTATATAATCAGAAGAAACTTGGAAAAAAAATTCGACAAGGAAAAAAACCCCATTAATTTCATATTTGAGGTACATGGCTGATTTGGATTATTTCGCCTTATCAATGAGAAAGCAGACTAGAAAAATTGTTATATTAGTCTAATCAAATGTATGAACTGAAGATTCATCGCTGATCATATCGATCTAATGTCAAAACGATACTCATCACTACCAAAAAGGCACATGCGTCCCGCAAATCAGAGCTTTGCATTTTGCACAGAAATACCTCGAATTTCGCCCTTTTATCTTCTCTATAAAAGTGAGCACTATATGAAAGTGAGCCCAAAAAGAACTGCAAAATGCGATGTACTTCTGTGCAAAATGCTCAGGATGCATGAAACCTTTTTTGCAGAATGCTGGCATAGGCACTGCTCTTTGCACGATTTCAGTAGATTTACTGGAGCACTCTTGAAGATCGAGATTTATATCGCGGGAAAAGTGAAAAAAGGAAACAATAGACGAAAAATCTTCTTTCAATGTATCGCAGTTCCACTAGACTACTCCCCTGAACAGCCGCGAGAAAGAATGTAATAGGGACAAAAAATCAGAGAAAAGGGATAAATTATTTCAAAATTTGATACTTCGCTGATCGAAGTTTTTTCATTCTCTATCAAAGTAATATATAAAAATATACCAAAAACTTCAATTATTGAATATGAACTCTTGATCCTTAATATCCACTAGAAGTCTGATACACTGCATCCAGACTTGAAAAAAACGAAAAAAATATTAGACTGAAAACTCATCTTATGCTATAGACAGCTGTGATTACAAAAGAGAAGAGAAAAAATAAGAAGAAACTTGGATCCTCGAGAGAAACTGAAAAAAAAACAAAAGTTCTGCTCAACCTGCACTTTCTTAGAAAGAATGCTGTGATACGGCCGCGAAAGTTGTTAGAACAGAATTAGATGAGAAACATTGTTTTTTTTTTGTTTTTCTGAGCAGTTGAACTTTAAATCTTTACACCAAAACTGAATTCTCATCGCTGATAACCAAAACGTCATTATATTGTATGGAACACAAAAATTATAATAGATTTAAAAAAATACATTATTTGAAAAAAAGGTATAACCTACTTTTTAAAAACAAATTAAATTTCCTCGAAGACCGTTTTAGAATGAAGATATATATCTTGTTCCACGAAACTTCAATAAAGCAATAAAAAAACGCACCTGAAGTGTGGAGAAAACTTGAGTCGTTCCTGATTCTAGCGAAACCTGAATGTACAAACGTTAGGGAGCAAAACAGATTACGTTTTTTTGTTTCAAATCCGCGTAAATAACGCCATCGATTTCTAATCATTATGAGCCTCAGTTTATGTGGTTATTGATCTAGAAAGCTATATTTGAATGCTCGTCAAAGTTCGCAAAAAATCAAAACGAAAGACTAACGATTTTTACTATTGATATTTCTCAGCAGGCATCAAGTGCTGGAAACTGATAAAAAAAAAGACGAATATGGTAATTGCAGATCAACTGGAGAGCTGTAGAAACAGGCTTACATAAAAAAACTTTTTATACAATAAACTCAAACTCAAACTATTTTACCTCAAATTGAATAACAATTAATTGTTATTCAATTTGAGGTAAAAAATAGTTTGTTTAATTAATTAAGCAAAAAAATTTTAAAAAAATAATTTAAAAAGTTAGTCGTCGGCGCGGGTGACGGTCCACAATCGTTGTCCAATACGCCCCGGAGTGACAGCTAGCGTTGGGAAATAATGTTGGCCCGTTGGTAGTACCAGCGAATAAACTGCTTCACCGTCACCCGCGCCGACGACTAACTCTTCGATTATACCATGATTCAGCAGAGATTTTCTTCAACTTACTCGGAAGACTGAATAAATTGATCAATTGAAAAAAAAAATTTTAAAAAAAATATGTTATTTGCGCGTGGTTTGCGCTGCACAATTCCCACACGAACTGCGGTAAAAGCTCTTGAATTCACGACGAAAGTTTGATAATTTTTTTCGTTTTCTTTTTTTAAAAATCATTTTCTTTTTTTTCGTAGATACTTCGACATCTGTAGAGAAAGACGTTTTTCAATCTGGAGAGTAGACAAATTAGAAATTATGGACCTTGAAATTATCACTTTTTTTTCGTAATTCTTGATATTGATTCATGTTTCATCTTCTGATAAAAATAAATAAATTTTATTTGTTTGTGCTTCTCGATTATTTCCTGGATTTTATATTTTTTTTGTATTTTATGTATTTATCTTTAAACAACCTATAAAGATTGAAAAAGATAAACTTTTTCGAAAATCATATTTTTACGCGATTTAACTTCAGGAACTTTTTTTCTTTTCTCCCCGTTGTTTCTTTTTTTGGAATAAGCAATAAGCTGTTCTTTTGTTCAAATTTTTGTCAAATGCGTTTGACAAACAACGTTTTTACCCTTCCGCACTGAAATTTCTTTCTTTTTCAATTGGCGCCTAGGGTGCATCAAATACGCTCCATCGGCCTCTTTATTTTTCCCCTATTTTTGTGTGAAAATTTTTTTCACAGTTTTTTATTAGTCAGATCCTATTTCATAGTCCTTTTTGTGATTCTCAAAAAAACGCATACTGGCCAATAAACTATAATCTTTTCTCAAGTTCTAAAAAAGGCTCCTCGAAAACATTCAAGCACCTCTAGAAAGTTGTTTGATATAAACTTGCAGATTTCCGTTATAATGCCGGGTAAAGGTGGAAAAGGCGGTGGCAAATTAACATACAATCAGAAGGTAATCACACTTGAAATGCTCCATTTTGTAATTCAATGGTTCAGGCTGGAATTTCGTTCGTCGAACAGGATGAGCCAGATTTCATCAAAGAAATGAAAGCCAAGTTGGGATACAGGGAGCCGGCAAAACTTGAGGATAAGGTTTATAACGATTAGCATTTTTTGTAGCATTTTTTGAAAAATAAAATTTTCAGTTCGAAGAAGAAGCTGGTCCAGGCGATATCGATGATGATGAGACAGAATTGATGCGGTTGAAGGAAGAGGATCGGCCTCAGGTTGATTTTTTTTTATTCTTATTTACTATTTCTGAGAAAAAAAGCGTTATTATTGGTAGTTTATTCCACTATAAAAATATCAAAAAAAATTTTTTGGTTAAAAAAATATTCCCATTTTGCATCTATTACTGACCACGAATGTCCTTCTAAAATCTAAGAATATTCAAAATAAACCTAACTCATATTTGTGACCGCCCAACCTAATGGAATGACTTCTTACATTTTAAAAATAACGAATCCGGCAATTTTTTTCCCATTTGAATGATTTTTTTCAGGTGGTCGTTCTGGACGAGTCAACGGATCTTTCGAAGGAGGAACTCCACAAAGAGTTGGCTGCGAAGAAGAAAGAAGAAGACGGTTTTTCATTACGGGAATTACTTTTTGATTTTCCCTTAATTCTAAGAGAGTTCCCTGAAAGATGATTGAAATTAAAAATCATCTTTCTTAGAGATTTAATTGTTCAAAAAGAAGTTGTGTCGCTCCAAAAAAATTTAAAAAAACTTTATACTAAATCTGATTCAAGTCATTTCTGAAGAAAAAAAGTTTTCAGGTGAAATAGTAGAACCGATTTCTAAAAATTTTTCAATTAGATCCGCTGGATATTTTCAATTTCTAGAAATTATTCCAAAAAAAGAAAGTTTTTTTCATTTGTTTTCAAACTCATGCACATCATATTTTGTTAATTTTTATAGCTTTTTTCGTTCATTTCCGCATTAACTATCTTCATTCTTTTCTCTAAAATTTTATTCAAAGATTTTTCGTAGCTAACTTTTTTTATTCAGATAAACTGATATCGGAGGGAAAGATCAAGTTCAAAAAGCCTGTGAAACGAAACGCCGAAGGGAATCCGGAGCCTGAAGACGAGAAGGAAAAAAAGAAGCGGAAAGAAGAAAATAAAGACAAGAAAGTCGAAAGAAGCCTGCTTTCCTTCGGCGACGACGAAGAAGACGAGTAAATCACCCTGTAAATATATTTCCCTTGTGCAGATCTCCATTCAAAATAAAACAGTCCCAAATAAACGTGTTAGAGAGCCAAGATCAAGTGTCCGGCAACCCGATATCAGCTATCAATTAGTATATCAGTGCCCACCTTCTTGATAAGCTTTTTTACGTCACAAATGCTTACTAATTTTCATGGTCTCCGCTTTTTGGTATGACTTTTCCATTTTTCTCAATATTTTTTTTTCGTTTTTTGGATTTTTAGAAAAGAGGCTATTATTAAATTTCAAGCAGAGCTGATTTTTTTCAAATTTTGTGATGAAATTCCTCGATTTCAGGTTGAAGGAAAGTATACTTGCTTTGAACTACACAAACTTCTGAAATTTAGCCAAGAGGAACTTTTTATATTAACAGAAGATTGTAAAAGTCATACATTAGATCTTGAAAAACGGGAAGTTTTTAAGGTCTTAACTTCTTAGAAACTTTTTCGTTGAAATATATCAAAGAATGTTTCAGCCAATAAGAACCTCTTCTCAATGTTTGTGTCAATCTTTCCACGAATTGTTCAGATTCTCCTCATCGCCACGCTATGCCTAACTTCAGTTTTATCCAACATGAACACCTACAACTTCACCAAAATTTGCATCGACACCAGATCTTCACATGGTTTTTCAATTCCTTCAGAACCTTGAAAGACCCAATTTTTCGAGGCAACTTCACGAAAAGCCAAAAAAGTTGGCTGCAGTCTTCGGTGGCCATCGGGAGCCTCGCCGCCTCGATTCCTTACACTTTTGCTTTTCAAAAGTTCAGTCATAAATACTCTTTTCTGTCCGCTGGCGCCATTTCATGCGGTAATCATAAAGGAGATTTTTCAACTCATTGAACTTTCATTTGAGTTTCAACGGCTCTGGTTCCTTGGATGGACTCGCTGGGATACGGCTGGTTCTTCACCGCTCGAATTTTTCAAGTGAAATTTTGAATTTCATAACTTAAAAATCAAGAAAGGAACAAGTTTGCGGAGAAAACTAGAATAAATGAGATCTTTATCCGTTTCAAAAGTTTCAGAAGAACTATTTTTCAATTTTAGCCGTAATTTGTCAAGCACTTTTCATGTTGGCTTTTGTTCAAGTTTTTGGTATTTTTTCAAATTGACTTCGAAAATTTAGTTGTTTTTTTAGCAAGGTCGAACCCTCATTCAAAAGATCAGTGAACGGTCAAGAAAGTAATTTTGATGAGATAAGTGGAAATTCCTGCAAAAAGATGAGGTCAGATCGTTTTTACATCAGCCGGAGCCTTTTTTTTGGTTTTTCTCATGGTTATTAAATCAAAATCGAGTAAAAATTGAAGGGAAAGTGGTAAGACATTTTGAAATATTATAAATAGAATCTAGAGTCTCTAATATATTTTCTAACTTTTTGAGGGAAATGAGTAGACTTGTAACCGTAAAAAAATATATTTATATTTTCGAAAATGTCGATTTTAGCTTTACTAAGACATTAATTTACGGAGGTTCTAAAGATTTCGCAATCTGTTATGAAAAAAACTCAATAGAAAACATTTGTTTTTTTGTAACTTCAGCGATTTCTTTTTTTCAATTGGTGAACCTGAAGACCGTACATACAAGCGCTCGTAGAAAAAACAAAACTCGATTTGTTGAGGGAGTCGCATTTTCGGCAACTTTTCCCTTGATCGGTTCAATAACGGCTCGATGGGCCTCTTTGAGAGAACACGGAGTTTTTATCGCTTTCCTGACTGGAAATACTCAGCTCAGTAACATCTTCACCATGCCGGTCTCAGGTCCTTGCATATTTTCTCTTATATTCATATTTTCCTGTTCGCAGGCTGGCTGTGTACATCCTCGTGGGGCTGGCCGGCGGTTTACTACGTCCATTCCGTTCTCGGACTTTTGGTTTTCTTTTTTTTCGCGTTGATTTACACGGACGATCCCGAGCATCACTTCCTTGTCACCAAAAAGGAGATAGCGATTATTGAGGCCGATAAAGAAGTTAGTTTTTTTTTTTTTTGGAAAGAACTTCTGAATATACAAAGATTTGTGACGGATAATTTCGAAATTGGGTTCTAGAAGGGAACGAAAAGAATATTGAAAAAAAAAACTTCCTGAGGCTCTTAAAGGAGCATAGATATATTTCAACAAGTTCACGAGTGAAAAGTCTTCTGTGCTGTTCTGGGCGTTAAAGACTTCCAAGATTTTAAGAAAAAAATAATTTCAATTCAACGGTCTTTGAACAGGCAGCTCAATTTTTTTAGAGTATGGAACCTTTAAAAAAACACAAAAAAATTTGATATTGAAAATGTATATTTTATCCATGATGATTAGGCGATGGCTTTCTAACAAACAAAGTTTTCAATTTTTTTTTCGGTTTTTTACGCTTTCTTATAAGAAGTCTTATGCCCCTTACCAGTTAGAAACGATTTTATTTATTGCCAAATTAATAAACTGATATTGATAAATCATCAGAGCTGATTCAAGCTTTAAAAAACCGTTGAAACTTTAAGGAAACAGTTGAAGTTTCATTAGACGTTCCTTACCGGAGTATATTCGGATCTTTAACTCTTTGGGCAGTCTGGATCGCGGCTTTCGGCGATTTGATCGCAGTTCAGCTTGTTTCCATGTTCAATCCGCAATACATGAAAGATTACCTTCACTATGACGTTTTGTCGACAGGTTAGAAATTACAAGAAGGTTATTTTACTTTGCGGTTTCCCTGAAAATCGGGAAGATTGCTCTTTGAAGTTTCAACCTGTACAACTTTCTATTTTTCGAGAAACGACAGCTCGAAATCTCGAAATGTTGTTTTCCTTTCGCCTTTGTGCCATTTGAGGGGCCAATTAGATGAGAATAGGTTCTGATATCAGTGATAAGCAGTGGACTGGCTCTAGTGACATATCTGTGTGGGACAGCTGCGGATTCAGGAAGCCGTGGTTTCCGACTCCTAAGACTTCTCAAACCACTCGATTGTGTCGCGACAGGGATCGAACTTTTGACCCTGTATAACGTAGATAGGCACACATCTTGTTGCGCTACGGCGCGCCAAGTCTACTTTTTACAGATTTTGAATTTTTTTTTTCCTTCAAGAGCTTTTTTCTCGAAGAGTAGGTAGATGTGCAAGTTGAGACGGAGCAGTTTTTCAACAATACCTGAAAGGGGGGGGTTTCGAACCGCAAAGTAAGATGGTTTTCCTGATCACTTCAACTAACAAAAAAAAAAACGAAAAAAGTCAATTTTTTAGGCTTCCTGGCAGCGCTTCCGATCATCGTGCAATTCGCGGTGAAGCTGACGGCCGGCGTCACGAGTGACGTCATCAAGTGAGAAGCGCCGTTGCGATTCCATTCCCAACGACCCGAGTGAAATGGCAGATGCGTCAGCGAAACCGCCAAAGTCCGAATCTACAATTCGATCGCCCTGGCCGCCTCGGCCTTGTTCTTCATCGCTTTGGCCTTCATTCCGCAACGGCAGCACCTTCTCGCCATCATTTTCTTGGTTCGGAGATCAAGCCCGAAAGTGTGACGTCATGTGATGAGACTAATTGAAGTGGAATTTGGAAGGAAGAGATTTTTATAAGGGAAAATATCGGAAGCTGATGTTTTTCGACGCTACCGTGTTCAAGGACTGTTTCAATGAAAGCCCAGGAATGCTTTCAAACATAATAAAAAGTTTACTGGAGGTTTAAAACTGAAGAATTTATCAGGAATTTTTTTTTCAATATTGTGTTTTTGACCTGATATCAGTGTGGCCGGGCTTAAAAATCTCAAACAAGCCTTGTTGAAGTAATTGAAAAAAATATTAAACTTTTTTTCTCACTCCAAACATTTTTTTATTTCATTTTAATGAGCATTGACGAACGGAAAAATTCTCGAGACGAAGAGCCGGTTTTATTATCATTTTAAGGTCTTTAGTGATTCTTACGCCTTTGACTTAGAAAAAAAGTTTCTGCCTTATATTCTGAAGGAAATAAAATATTCAAAAAAAGAAAAATCTAACAGAAAGTTTTTTTTGTCTGGATTCGTTTTTTTGAAATTTTTTTAAAAATTTTTTTCTTTAAACCTCAATTATTAAAAAAACAATACATAAATCAAGTTGATTGAAACATTAAGGTAGCCCAAGAAATTGATTTCCTTTTTTCAGGATCCTTCTTCTAAATTCTGTGAAAGTTTAGAACTAAGCTTAATGTCTTCCAACAAGCTAGCAACCTTGTTTTTTTTCTGGGAGATTAATTTGATTATTTGGAAAAATTCTTTTATGAATGCTTTTAAAGTTTGGAAACCCTTGAACTGGAAGAATTAATGCCCAGCTCTGATTAGGTGATCGCTGAAAGTCTTCTCGGCTTCAACACGGCCGGTTTCAACAAATGCGCGACCCTCCATTCGCGACAATACGGTCATTTTGTCATGACTCAGGTGTCTGACATCATCATCGTTCCTTGATCAGGCTGATCTTTCAGATCATGAACATCTGGGCGGTGACCATCCTCGTCGAGCCGTTCATCGTCAACAACATTGTTAAGGAGAATACGTATGTTCGAAGGAATATTTGGAAAAAGTTGTTATAAGGATCTCCAACTTTTTTTTGTCTTTTAAAAATGTTGGAAAAATTAATCTTTTTGAATTTTTTTAAGAGCTTCTTTTCCAAGAGCTTTTATTAGTTCCTTAGCCCCAATCTCTTTTTTTAAAGATATTTTTTTTAGCTCAGGACGTAGTTTTGTCGTAAATGATGAGAAAAAAGTTGAAATAATAAATTTCTTTCCAAAGCAACAAAAGGCCGGCCAAAGGATCTTTTATCAATTCCGTTTATTTATTTATTTAAAATAAATGAATGAATAAATTCCGTTTTGAAACACTTGTACCTCCTTTAGAACTCCGCTCTAAAAGCCTCATTTCTCCTTTTCAGATACGAAGATTGGCGCAACTGTTTCCTGGTGCACGCAGCTCTGCTTCTGGTGGTGAACGTCGTGTTCTGCGTGTTCGCCGACGCGACTCCCGCGTCGTGGACCGCCGTCCGCGAGACGACTCGCTGCTGATTGCCACACTTTTTTGCCGTTTGTAGTCGTCGCCGAAGAAAAACCTTGCATCGCGATAAAGGTTTTTCGTATAGATTCTTCATTGGCATAACAATTGACTCGATCAGCGAGAAACGTTGAAATTATAGAATTTTCACGGCTAGCTTCTCATGTTCAAACAGGAACTCCAAAAGTGAGTTTTAATCGAATAAATAGATTTGTTTATGGACAGACCAGTGTAAACGCAAAAGGCTTCACTGGGATTTACAATCTAAGAAAATACATATTTTTCCGTGTTTAAAAATTAATTTCCGCGAAAGTCAAAATAATCTCTGATTGTCCAAAATTTACTAGAAAACTACGCGAACTCGTAATTGCGGGCCGAGTTCAAATTTTGGTGGTTTATAGACTTAGGTCAGGATACATATTATGTGCTAAACCCAATAAGGTATCGCGAAAAAAATCTTTTGAAAAGGCATTTTATTTGAAAAATTTTAGAATACTGCTTTTCACCTTATTTTTTTCTTTAATGAAATCGCCTCAAATGTTTTGGCTACTACAGAAATCCCAAAAATTTTATCCAGCAAAAAATTTTTTAGTATAGCGATGCTCTGAAAAATTCCAAGACTGATCTGCTCATTTTCAACAAGACTTTTCTCGGCATCTCATCGAGAATGATAATCTCTCTTGTTTTCAAGTATCCTGATCTTGATCTACAAACCACCAAAGTTCTAACTCGATACGCGACTACAAGTTCGCGTAGCTCCCTAGTTACTTTTTCTTTATTTGATGGTATTTTTGAATTTCACGATATTAAAGTTTAACATTGTGGAAAAGTAGATATGAAACACTTAGTTAATGGTAGAATTTTTAAGGACTTGGTCGAGTGACTCAACCAAAATTCAAATGTGAGTTTGTTTCTAGTAGGAATAAATCAGTCGGAAAATGCCTAAAGAGCGAATGATTGAGTTACTGTCGGTCTAGCTATGTGTGAGGCCTTGTTGAAGATCTTGCCCGTTCTTTTGTTTTTTTAGATAACTCTCAAGGCTCAAAGACAGATGAACTTAAGAGACTTCCAATTTTTAGCGATAAAAGACCTCCTTGTGAGATAAAAGATTTTTTTTCTGCCTGCTCTGAATTACCTATCGAAATAGTTTTGACAAACTCTGGTTGAATTATACAGATTGAATTATTTCAATCCTTCAACCTGAACAAAAGACCTGCCCATGCCGTGACAAGACCGTATTTTCCACAGCGATCGGTCCGTCGCGAGATAAAATAAAAAGAGGGAAAAAAGGCGTTTGATCGGGAAGGATTGATGGGCCGCGGTCGTCTCGCAAATACGTGTTCTCGCCGTGATTACATAACCGATTTTCTTCATTCCAATCGTCCAGTTATCAGTCTCGTCAATCACAAGGTGTAACGAAGCAAAATATTTTTTTCAGTCAGCTGTTCGTTTTTTCCATAATTTGTAGAATTCAATAGGCTTTCAAGTTCCAAAAAATATAAAAATAAGGAGGCAGAGTTTTGCAGTGATTTCCTATGAAATCACTATTTTCAGATATAGTCTATTTTGAGCTGTCGAGCAAAATAAATCAAATGAAATTGTGGGGGAATCATTATAAATAAGGAGGATCCAAACTCAATGTTTCCCTAGTTCTTTCCAAGGCCTCGCTAACAAGTCGTTTTGAGTCGGGTGCAAACCTAGCAACCGATACGCGTCGATCCATTCCATGTGAGAACGAAATTAGGGAACTGCATTCTTTTTTCTTCGACCATGAGATGGAAGGATAACTTTTTGGAAACTTTTTTGAAGGTTTTCTGGAGATGGCAGAACTTTTCCGAAACGAGGTTGGTCAGAATCGAAAAAAGGGTGGAAATCTATGAAGGATCGCATCCGGAGATAATTTGCCCACTCATAAATGTCGCGGCGATTTTATCTCATGGCATTTTCGGAAAAACGGTTGCTTAAGCGCTTTTTTGAAGAGTCCATCCATCAAGCATTTCTTGCATCTCCTGAGAATTTTTTCCATAGCTCAATGAGATCTTTGAGAAAAACGAAGTAGTTCAAAGAAGAAATCGTGTTATAATGGAAAATTTCAATAAAAAAGGAAAAGCATCTTCGAACCAGAATAAAAAATAAATGGCGCAGAACAAGTCTGCGCCTAATTTCAATCGATATGATGAAAAAGTTTCGTCCTTTTCGGGATTTCATTCAAGTATAAATTCTTTCGAAAGACAATTAGAGAGTTTAGAAATTCCAAGATTCGAAAGGTGGTTTTCAGTTTCATTCAGAACCATTCATGATTTTACCTTTTTTCTGAGTTCACCAGCGGGACTTTTTTTGAGGGAATGTATCTCGCCGTAGCAATTAGAACTATAAAATGGAAAAAGTGCAGACTTTTTTTTTCATTTTGAGAGTCGAAAAGAAAGAAAGGCAAAGACGGAAATGGGCCGTGAAATCATCTGTTCCAGGGCTAGGCTTACAAGTTGCGGCGAAAAATCACGCCTCGGTGAGTTGAAATTGCCGCGAAATTCTCACGCCTAAGATCTTCCAGCTTTTCCTTACACTTTGTGTGGCGCGCAGTGAAAACTGAAACCGAAAAAGAGAAAAAAAGAAGAAAAGAGTGATTGGCAAGCCGATTTACAGCCGAAGAGAATGAGGCGTCGAAATGGGAACTTTGGATTGGTGTTTGCAAATCGCTTGGCGGAAGAAAGGTTTGAAGAACTTCACGTTTTGTAATAGTCGATTCATCGAGGTTCGGGTGTTCAGTGAAGCAAATAGAATTTCAAAACGAGTTTTTAGATTGATCATTTTTGAAAGGGTGGTTTGTCTGCGGCTTCTTGATCTCTCATCGGCGATCTTGTGTTTATGGGCTTTTTCATTTGTCTACGACCACGTCGGTGAAAGGAGAGGAAACAGACAAGTTAGACGGTCTAAAGTCGTAATAAATGTTTTTTACTTCCATCACCCTCAGCTTCTCATGAAAACCGAATTTTTTGAATTTTGAAGGCCCAAAAAAATTCAAAAACCTCCGATAAACTAGAAAAACATAAGGCGATTTTTTTGCCAGTATTTTTATTTCGAAAAACCCAATCAACCTTCCTACTTTTTTCAGGTTTTGGAAGAACATATTCTCTCTTTCTTGTTTGAATACAGTTTTTTCGAACTATCTTTCTGACTTTCCAAAGTGCCTTTATGTTTATGACAGCAATTAACTCTGAAAAAGCCATAAAAAGAAAAAAAAAACCACATTTAACCACATAATTGCGAGAAATACTCAATCTGATCATTCGTTATTTATTTTAAACTCAGAAAGATTGGTTTAGACCATTAATTCCACAGATAAAAAAATCTCACATGGTCTTAAAATAGGAAAAAAAAAGGATTGCAGAAATCGGAAAGATACAAGGAAAAGCCGTTTGTTTAACGGAAGATTGAGACTGTAATCAATCTCTGAGAGCGATTCCTTCTTAACACTTTTTGCACCGGGGCCATCCTGCTTCCGAGATAAATTATCTGCCGCCGGCAGTTCAGCGCCAGAATAAATGTCATTTGAAGCAGCGCCGCGGTTGAGAAGGAGTGAAGAAATATCATCAAAGTGACAAAAAGAGAAAAAATAGGACCCTAAGAACATTAGTGCGCTTAGAAAAAACTGTACAGCAGGCATTAATTTAGTAAATGATGCCTTCGGATGCTTTTGAGCGCAAACCGTTTTATGGACGGATGCACTTTTATTGAGACCGCTTGCAAACGATGCGTTGTGCCATTCTCGGATGACCAAATCAGTTAATTCGCAATGGCTTCAAAATTTTCAAACAAACTTCAGAAGCGGGTACTATTTATGTGAAATTGAAATTTCGATAAGTTTGCAAGAGCCGACTTCCAAATCGTAGAGCAAGATTCCTGAAAGTTGATTAATGACCGAACTTTTTTGAGATTCGAGTGTCGTGTTAACACAGAAATAGGCCGGAACTCATTCTTATCAACTCTAAAAAATCTTCAGAAATAAGACTTTGCGCAAGTAGCCACTATCAGTAATCCTTATCAGGATATTCAAAGCGTTTGAGAAAATTTATTGAATATTCGAAAATTCACACCAAAATTACCTCCTTCATTTTTTTTCCAAAGAAATTCCTGAAATATAGTCAATCCTCCTCGACTTAAAGGCGATTGGCAAGAGTGAAACGTGACTTCTTACTAGTTAGCTGGGGAAAAATAAACTTTTATCTTAAACTTCACCATGATTGCGTTTGATTTCGGTTTTCCCACCAAAAAGCCGCACGCGCAACGCTTCACTCTTTCCAATCTACCCGTCTTGATTTTCAAGTTGGAAAAGATTGACTATAATAATGAGACATTTACAATTTGAACGGTAATCTTCGGAAGATAACGTCAAATTTTGGTTCAGTGCTGTCGAATTGATAATCTGCCGAGGATATCTCGATGTCCTTTCCGCCGATGATCAACCTGTTTGGCGGCTGGGCAGCGTTGCGCAATTTTCGGAAGATTCGTGTTTTTGAAGACACGGTGGATTTTCTGGGCGGGCAGGTGCGTCGCCGTATAAATTCGCCTTGGGGCTTTTGCCACAGTCGCACCGTTTGCCAACGATTCTTCTTCCGATCCCCACATGGTGAGCTTCCTTTCTATCATCCTTGCTTTACGATTTTGTTGCCTAGATTGAAGTTTCTCTGATTAAAAGGCTGAATCTTTGGGGTTATCTGAAAGTTTGCCTAACCATTTTTCAATGAACTGTGAGGTTCCTGTAATTTTAGAAAATGTAATCGCATAAAGTTCATAATTTTTTCAAACGACGATTATTGCGTGTTAGAACAGAAAAAGAGAAGATCAATTTTAAAAAAACAAAAAAAGAGACCGAACTCGAAATTTTTTTATCTTTTTTTATTCAGTTTTTCACCTCTCTTTTTTTAATTATCAAAAATTTGAAGGGCTAGCAAACTTTCGATGAGTACTGTCTAAAGAGTGGATTTTCTAAGCTACTTAAATGAAACCCGAAGTTAATGAAACTTATTCTTCCCCCATTTCTTTCGGTAATTCATCGCCATTTCAATATTTTGATTTCAGCTGCGTTCCGTGATTCTAGTGGCCCTCTCGGCCTCACCCATGCTCGCCTGCATCGGCGGCGGCGGTGGTAACTGCTGCCCACCCAGTGCTCCAGCTGGTTGCGGCGGACCTCCATGCTCCAGCTCCAGCTACGCCGCTGCTCCAGCTCCTCTTCCAGTCGCCGCCGGAGGAGCCTACCCGACCGCTCCAGCTGGATTCGCCGGACCTGCTCCTCTTGCTCCTGGCGGCCCTATCGCCGGAGGATCTTATGCTGCCGCTGGCCCTATCGGAGGCGGTGGCGCCTATGCTTCGCCTGCCATCGGAGGACTCGGAGGTGCTGCTGGTGGCTACCAAACTCCAATTGGAGGCGGATTCCAGCAACAGCAAGGAGGATACCAAGCCGGACCTGGCGCTGCTATTGGAGGTGAGCAACTCCAGCAGCAAGGAGGTTATCAAGCCGCTCCAGCTGCCGTTAACGGAGGAGGCTTCCAACAACAGCAGGGATCCTACCAAGCTCAGCCTCAAGCTCAAGTCGGAGGTTTCCAACAGCAACAAGGAGGATACCAGGCTGGACCAGCTGCCGCCATCGGCGGAGAATCTCAGCAACAGGGATCTTACCAAGCTCAGCCTCAAGCTCAAGTCGGAGGCTTCCAACAGCAACAAGGAGGATACCAGGCTGGACCAGCTGCCGCCATCGGCGGAGAATCTCAGCAACAAGGATCTTACCAAGCTCAGCCTCAAGCTCAAGTCGGAGGCTTCGAGGTTTCTCAGAACGGCGGATACCAGGCCGGACCAGCCGCCGTCGGAGGACAACAGCAACAAGCTTCTCAGGGGGCTCAGCAGGAGACCTACCAAGCTCCAGCCCAGTCGCAGGTCCAGATCACCATTCAGGAGACGGCTGCCGTACCTGCCCAGGCCTCCAGCCAGTACAATCAGGCTCTTGCCCAGGTCGCCCACGAGCCAGCTTCCGAGTACGAAGCTCCAGAGACCGCCTCCGTCGCCCCTGAGGCTCATCACGAGGAAAGCTCCGTCAACAAAGAGGTACAGCTCCAGAACGAGAAAATGAACTGAACGACTTCTTTTCAGGCCGTCCAGGTCGCCACCGACATTGAGAACTCCCAGCAGCCAATCCAGAGCTACGAGGCCGAATCGGAATCTTCGGCGCCAGCCAAGGAAGCTCCCAAGGAGTCTTCCTCTTCTTCTTCGTCTTCTTCCGCGTCTTCCGACTACCTGAAGCAGCTCTAATTACCCAAATGGTCAGTTTTGTCATAGTTTGCATCAAAGAAAGTTTTTTGACGGAGCTGTTCAATTTTTTTAAGCTTTACATTTTCTCATTGTTAGGTTGCTCTGCTTACGAAAATGGGGAGTTTTTTGAGAAAATATTGAAAAAGAATTGCTGAAGACACTTTTTGTACTGGAAACTTGGTGTTTCTTACTTTGTTTTCGAAAAATAAGACAACTTTCGGTAGCATGTATTTTTGGGTATATTGAATGAGCGCTCGAATTGAAGAAGTCGGCTTGATCTGAGAATCCCTAGGATCTGAGGATCTCCTAGGAGAAATCCTTTCTTTTCATCAAAATTAAGAGTTCCTTTCCAGACCCAGACCGCCATCGTCATATCGCCTTCGCTCACTGATGACCTCAACGTTGCTTTCATCATATTTAATTCTGGTTCTATTTATTGCTTTCCAAAACACGTTTTCGCAATATCTGTTATCATTCCACTATATCAACTGAACGAATAAAAATTAAAATAAAATGAACGTGATTGTTGATCCGCATCCCACATTTTTTGTCATTTCATCAAGGAAAGTGGTTGGTTGCACCTTTTCGAGGAAGCAATTTGTTTTATTTTCCAGTTAAGAGCATGGGTATTGAGGATCTTGCGAAGCAGGTAAGAGATATTCCTTCACCACTGGCTCGAGACAAAAATAATCTTTTTTATTAAAAAAAAATACGTATCTATAGCCTTTTTTCGTCTCAAGCCAAATTTATTTGGAAATAATCGGAAGGAGCTCTGCAGAGTCAAGCAACCGGACCGCCGAAGAAGAAGGGCTATGACGACGTCGTTTTGAGCGACCTCACCGACGACGAAGAGTTTGTCCCTTTCCCCACATTTCCTAGTTCAAGTTCTCTTTTTCAGCCCAAGAAAGGTTGGAGAGGTGTGCAGTTGTAGGTATTTGAATGAACATATATTTGACAGGGCAAATCGAAGCTCGATAAAAAGAGCTTGAAGCAAAAGCCGAAAGAAAAATCGTCAACGGTCAACCTGCTTGACGTCGCCACAGGAAAGAAGGTCGCCTTTAAAACCCCCGCTGATGTGTTTAAAGGCGCAGGGTTTCATTTCAAAACTATTCCGAGGCGAAGAGCTCTTTTCAAATTGGTTTTAGGCGTTGTAAGATCTCTGCGGCTTTAAACTTCAAGGTGAAAATAGAAAATTTTCTAAAAAACTAGGGACAAAATAGTAAAAATAAGAAAATTTGTAGTTTCAAGTTTTTCAACGAGCAGGGTGTGAAAAGGAAATTTTTTTTTCTTAAAACTTCAAAAAAAGCAGTTTCATACTCTTCAGTAGTCCAGTACAAAAAGGTTTCAGCCTACATCGGTGCCGCACACGAGGTCAGACAAAGTGATAGCTACGTCGACGACGCCAAAGGAAAAGGACGGCGGGGCGACGCCGGTAGGAAACCGGAAACCCTCCCCGACTTCTGCAGCGCCCCTCCCCGGTAGCTTCTCTACTGTCGCTGCTGGGGGCTTCGGCAGCGGCGCGAGTGTGACCGGAGTCGGAGCCGTGTCCTTGTCCGCAGGTCAGGCTTTATCCAACAACATTCCAACTTCTGATCTTCTACAGAACAAGACAAGAAGTTTGCCATTCAATCGAGCAAGGCGGAGCCGGAAAGAAGGAGAAAAGGCGGCTGCTGCATCATTCTCTGAATCCCGGGGCTTCAATATTCATTTCTTTGATTTTCCGCTTGAAAAATGACACTCGACGCCTTTCATTTCGGACACAGAATTCAAGCTAAATAAAGAGAATCGTGTCGTTTTTAATTTGAAGTCATCACAAAAAATGCTTTCCTGATGCAAGTCGAAGTTGATTAATGGAATATAGGGGCAGGAGAGAAAATCTCAATTTTATTCTAAGAAAGAAGGCACAGGGACAGCGAAAAAAAGTGATTTCTTAAGAATTAAAATTGAAAATTTGATGAGGAAAAATCAGTGTTGTTTTTTAGGTGCAAGGAGATTAAACTACGTTTTGATCAGAAAAATATAGATATAAAAAAACGATTTTGGAAAGAAAGTTGGAAATATTTTTTTCAAAAAGGTTTCTATTATTTCTGAACGATCGTGATCTTTTTCATAGAAAAATCAAAGTTTGTGTGAGGGAAATTGAGTCATTTTTCGAGAAGTTTGAGAGGAAATTTTCCTTTTGTGAAAAAATCGAAATTTTCCGCTCATTCCCAGAGAATTGTAACAATATAATTCAAACATGGATAACATATGTACATGTAAAAAATAAAAAAGATAAAAAAGTACTTTTTTTTAAAGTCAAGCTAGCGATATTTTAGACAAATTAAATTTACTTTTTTTGTTTACAAATGTTGGTCGCACGGAGAATCGCTCATCCCGGAAAGGCTACGAATCGCAAAAACATTAAAAAAATCCGATTACATTAAGAAAAAATTGAATGAATGGGAATCATCTGACAAGAAAAAAACGCAGCGCAACCGCAACGCGTTGAGCCATTCTACGTGAAATAGGTGAGTTTCAAGAGGTAGTATACTAAAAAAGATCTTTCCAACAGCTACACGAAAAGATGAAACTCAAGTGAAACCTTGCAAATGGGGATTATAGCAAGGGTGGCCGAGTCTCCTTGAGAAGACGGGGAACTGAGAAGCGACGCTGATCTGCGACGATCGTTCCGAAGGACAAACCGTTTCGACGTCGGAAAAATCAGGTCGGCTCCTGAACACGTGACGGAGGGTTAAGGTCTCCGATATATTCAACGAACTTGCTGCAGAGCTGCCGGGATATGTAGAAGATGAAGAAAAGAGCGAAGCCTGAGGTCGAGGCGAAGGCGGCTCCGACGACGACGAGAGCCCAGTCGGAGATGCAGGTCAACGTCGACGCTTCCGGGATCTTCCGCTTGGGTCGGCTCGTCTCGTTGAAGTCGTGCCAGTTGCCGACTTCCTCCTCGTCTTCATCCTCCTGCCGTACCACCAGCTCCGACGCGACATCCATCACCTTGTCGGCCAGTCGTTTCTCTCGCCCTTCTATATCAGATGATAATAACTCATCGAGCATTTTCTTAGGAAAGACATATCTCTTTCAAAACTAGTAGAACTATGAAACCTCGCTCAAAAAAACTATTCATTTTCCTCAAAGAGTGGGTGTTTTTTTTTTTGATTTTAGTTCTTTTTTTCTATTACTTTTAAATTAGGCGTAGACTACAAGAAACATTCTACTACCACCTCCTATTAAAAAAAACCAAAAAATGCCAATTTTTCTGTGGCAGAAAAAGGGCGAAGCATTTTTAAGCCATCGGAGTTCCATGTAACCCTAGGAGTTTCTCACCGTGCTTCTCCTCCATGACGTTGGCTCTCCTGAGATATTCCAGGGCGTTTCGACGGACTTCCTCCGGAGAATGGGTCGGGATCGGCCACGGCGGCAGCTGATTCGTCGTCACTTCATCGGACAACTTCCGGTTCTAGATAGAACTAAAGTTTCTCAATGTTTTCCCTCCCACCTTATTTGGAGACAAGAGCAAGATTTCCTCAGACGGCGCTTCAGTGGAATGTTCCACAACAGGCGTGGTCGTCTCTCGGCCACTTCTAGCTGAGGTGCTCTCGCCGTCTTCCACTGGAACCGGTTCTTTGAGCCAAGGATCTTCCGGAATCTGAGGTCCCATGTCCAACGGGAGCATGTTCTCTTGAACTCCGTCAAATGTCGATATGACCTGAAATTGACTTTTACGGGTTTTTGAAGACGAAAAGCTGACCTCCGTCGGATAAACTGCATTATTGACTATAGAGTGTGGAGCATATTCCTCACGAGTCACTAGAGCACAGCGAGGCGGCTGAAAATGCGAAACCCTATCTTAACTTCACAAAAGATTCTAAATTTCATTTAGTTTTGGTTTCACAGTTTTCAGACGTTAAAAGAACACGTAGAACATTCTGGTTTTCAAAATATAAAATCATCCATTGATCAAAATCCATTGATCACTTTGGCTCTGATCATCCGCATTTTTTTCTCAGAATTTATGTAAGTCAAAGCTCTCCTCCTGAAATTGTCGAGTTCTGTACTTCAGGGTTTCATAGGAATGCGTTACCGGACGACCGCTTACCCGTCTTTGTCGTGAATCCCTCTAACTTTACCCGTCTTACTTCTTCCTTTTTCAAAAATTTCTCCTCCGTGCGAAACCGCTGTACTTGTCCACGTACGGGTGCTCACACGCCTCGAAGCTCTCCCAGCATGGCAGAGCATTTTTAAAAGCCGCTAATCCTACCAAAACTTCTCAAACCACTACCTACCTGAGCTTAGAAATCATAATTGATCATAATTTTCATAAAAAATTTGGAAAGCTGCTCTTGGACTGATAGGGTCTGTACTTTCGCAAGTATGAGCTCACCGAAACGGCGAGACATTCGTTGGCGCGTTTGTCGCAGAGTTGGATCTGACAAGCGAAAGAAATGCTGCCCTGGTCAGGGAAGGACATCGCCTCGATGACCGTGTACGCCGAGGTGATCGTCGCGTCGTACTCCAACGGCGGGAATTCGCGATAAATTGGACATCTGGAGAGAAGAAGAAACTCGCTGAGAAGAAAAACGGCAGGCCAGCGTTCATGAATCCGCTTAGAGGGTACGGTAAGCTTGGAGGGGCCAGAAACGTCCCCTCCATGTTTTACACACTGTCTAAGGACCTGGTCTGCCGTTTTTCTTCTGAATGGTTGAAAATAGAAGAATTTCTGACCCGTTGGCGTCTAAAAAAGCCACAGACTCGCCGAGGCGGGAGTCGATCATGGCGCAGTTGCGGATCAGGATTCCAAAATTTCCTGAAATCATATAAGATTTTTATAGTTTCACCGGTTTGCTCAAAAACTCAAACGGCAAAGAAGGCACAAGTTGATGAAAAACAATTTTTTTTATATTTAATGATTAAAATGAGCCGTTTATTATATTAAACACTTATTGGTAGAGGGAAAATTGCCGAAAAAAAACCTTTCTCTTGACAGGCTGAAATTCACGCATTTTTAATTTTGAATAACTTCATCGAAGGAGAATATAAACTAAATCAGCATATTTTCATCATGAAAGATCTCGACTTTTCGGCAGAAATCGAGAATTCATAAAATTGCCACGTTCTTCTATCGGACCAACTGACCGGTGTTCTCGCAGTCCCACCGATGGTACATCGGCTTTCCTATGATGGTTTCCCGGACGGGAGGTCCGTCAAGGGCTCCCTCTCTTATCGTGTATTCGCATTTCGGAACGAGAACTGTCGCCTTTTCCATCGTTTCGGCTGGGATCGGACTGAAACCATATTTTCTATGTTTCATCGGAGAATATTCGAATATCAACCTGACTGCGATATCAGCTTTGACAACAGCGTTGGTGTTGGCGTAGAAACAGCGAACCGAGAAAGCTCGGTCTTGTTTTGTCGCGAAAAGCGGGTGGAAATTGGCGACGAATGTGAGGACCATGTTGAAACCAAGAGGTTGTAACTGAAAAGAGATTTTGAGAAAAAAAAATGAAAAAAAGAAGGAAAATTCTTTTAAAAAAAACGTTCAACTCTTTTATATTGTTCATCTCGTAAACTCCTGATCATATTCGCCAAAACTTGAGACGCGAAATAGTAGTAAATGTGCTTACCGTAGTTCAGCAAAGATGGCAAACGACTCAAACTTGCTTTTCAGGAGAAGATAAACTAAGCTTTTTCAATAAACAGGACCTTGCAGCTTTTCGGCTCGCTTGAGCCCTCGAAAAAGGGTCCTAACACGAGAAAATAGAGACAGTGCACGTGTGGTGGAGAGTGCAGACAAACCAGGCCTTTTTGCGTCCCAAGCTAGCCATGAGTCGGATATATGAGTGAGAGTTTTTCACATAGGGTTAAAAAGTTTTCAAATTAGCTTCTGACCATTTTTCTCTGGTAAACTTGGTAAACGCGTATTGTACCTGTTTGAAGTTTCAATTTTATGAGTCTAGAAAAACTTCCGAAATTATATCTTATTTTCCCAATCCATTATCTCAAATTGTCCTCAAAACGTATGAAAAAGGTCCAATCGGAGTCAGGAAAAACCACCTGCCGCATCCGTTTCATGCCGCAGTCGCCAAGCCGCACACTGAGACGAGCTGGGGCGTCGAGATTCGACTCGAAACTTCGGCGGCAGTTGACGTTGTCAAAGTGGCCGCGGACGAACACGCTGCCTCTGAAATGACGTGGTCGTTCGAGAAAAAACAACGAAAAATTCTATTTGAGACCTTAAAAAAAAAGGAAAATTAAAGCGAACTTATATACCAACCTGAACGGCTTTCGAGTGGCCACGAGAAAGGTGATGTCGTCGGGATTGCACTCCAGTTGTGGAGGTCCAATAATCTCATTGTCGAACCCAAAAGTCGACACCTCACGAAATATCTGAAGACAAAAATTCCAGACGGAAAGATCAACTCTTTTCCGGAAAAAGGTTCGAAAAAGCTATTGGATGAAGACAGGTTCAAGTGGGACGTTATTTGAGAGCTTTGAGCGAGTTTTCGAAAAAGGAAATCTTGGCGGAACACTTCAAAAAATCTATTTATTTCTGGAAACTTCAAACAGGCCGATATTTTAAAAGAAATTTTCCGTTAGGTTGTTTTTATACTCAAGTTGAATGAATTGATCAAACAACGCTTGCTAAATCATACAGTCATACCTATTTGGAACCAACTGGAGAGAGAAACTATCATTGAATACGAAATCGGCAAGTTTCAGATTATGCTCACCTCATGGTTCGAATCAAACACATCGTTTTTAAAATCATTAGATCCTACTAAAATCTAGAAAAATTCTAACTTATTAAAAAAACAAAGAACAAACTTAAATACCAAATGGGGGTTAGCACCGTCTACTCAGACAATCTTTTCCTCCAGCCGTTTCCACAGATCAGCTGTTAGATTTATTTGATTGTTTTGATGTTTTATTTTATTTTTTTTGTATTTGTCGTGCTGATTGCGGAATGGCGAATAAACACTTGAAATGAATGAATGAATGAAGTTCGAGAAAAAACGTAATTGCTTGAGGCTTACCAATAGAATTCCGAGAATCGCATCTTTTGATCGCATCTGGGCGATTTGTGAGAATTCTGAAAATGAGCGTAAAAAAGTTTTCCCAAAGTATTGAGGTTCATGATAAAGATTGGACAAAGCTTATTAGACGAATTGAAAGTCAAATAAAAAAAGACCTTTTCTTTCATAACTATATACTTTTTCGGTGAAATAGACACGATTACCAATAAAAAAAGACGATAATAAGAAACGGCGGAAGTACAGATTTTAAGAAAAGAAATTTGAAGTACATTGACTCTTTACAAAGATTTTTTTTCAAATAAAAAGTACAAGCGGTTCTCAATAACTCCGAGGAAGAAAAAAAGTTATTAAAAACGATCAAAAATACTTTCAAAGCTAGAAGCTATAATAGAAACGAGATTTGATAGAACGGGACGAAGTTCAGTGGCCATTTTGGCATAGTGGCCGCATTTCCAATTGAAATTCCAAATTCCGACCAGTTGGGCTGACATATTCATAGCGGCAACAATATTACAAAACATGGGGTGTCGGAAATCGAAGGGGCGGAGCTTGACCGTCCTGACGTCATCGGATAGTCCTTCTAATGACCGGTTCCGGTTGTTTTTTCCTGAAGCCCTTGGAATGAAAACTGAGGCGGGCTTCCTTCAATAGGTCGAGAAAAGTATTGGTTGGCAGTTGCTTCAGAGAACCAAAAAATAATTACTTTCCTTGAAGTTTTCTTTGAACTTTTTTTTTATATTTTATGACTACCAAAAAGAATTGAATAAGGTTTAAAATTCCGCATTTCTTAGAATTTTCCTCTAGAAATATACAGACGCAGCCAAAGGGGTTGAAAAATTTCTCACTAGTCAGGAACCGATGAAAAACTTGAACTTTTAGCTCCAGTTTGACATAAAATTTTAATGCTAAAAATAAGCTTCTTCACGCTGATACTCTATTGTAACTGCTTTCAAAGTTGAACTTTTCAGAACTTATGCAAAACTTTCACAACTCGAAGGAGAAACGATAAAAGGATAGGCCGAAACTAAGCTTTCAATGAACGGTGTGACGAGAATAAAGGAAAAGAACGACAAGACAGGGGGGACTCGAGTGGCTGGACAAAGTAGACGTGCGGATCTGAATACGACAAAGAGTATAATGGAGTGACTATTTGCTCAGACACTGGCATCAATGAAGTGCTGACTGCCCTCATCTGCTCCGGCCACGCGAACAGGTGAGAAGTGCGACCTGTTCAAGGGCCGAAAATGGCTGCCGATAGCATTCAAAATGAAATAAACTACCAAAAAAATGCATCAATAAAAGTTGATGACAGTTCAAATTCGAAAACTCCGAAGAACGCACAAAAACCGAACAAAAAAATAACCAACTGTTTGGGGCCGTCCTGCGAAAAGCGGCGTTTGCACCTGGCTGACCTCGGCGTTCAAGCCTTTAATGGCTTCGATCACAGGTGTGCTTAACAGTCTGCGCCTGCCATTTTTTTTTCTGTAAATGTGCTGATAATTAGCTCATCGAGGTAAAAAAGAAAAACGGTAACAAAAAAGCAGAAAAAAATCCAAAAAACTCAATTTGATAAATTAAAAAAAATTTTCGTTAACGAAAATTTTCATTTACACAGTATGCCGAGTGAGTGAAGCCACGGTAACGTAAACAGGGCAAAAAAGGTTTACGACGCTTCGCGCGCGCAATTTTTTTTTTTCACTCCAAAAACAAACCAAATTTAAGTTCCTATTGTTTTTCTTTCATTTTTTTCTTGGTGTGTTTTTGACAAACTTCTTTTCAGGAATTTTCGTTGATGAAAATATCTTTTTGAAGAAACAGCATGGGCGCTTTCACGAGTATGTTCTAATTTCTTCTCTTTTCAATTTCTGCTGAGTTAAGGACGACCGAAAGTTGATGAAAACGCGATTAAACGTGTCAGGCAGAAATCAGAATCGTCTTGCTCTGTAGAAATAGAACTTCTCCGTGAATCAATAAGGGTAAAGTAAATGAAAAAAGTGTATTACCGTTTATAAAAGGCTCTGGTTGCGGACAATCACGATTTTGACGCCGATTCCATAAAAGGTAACGCCTCCATGCTCTCAGAGAAATTCAAAATGGCAAGTTTAAAACTATTTTCATCAGGGTTTTTCCTTTTCTTGACAAATAGAAAACAGATCATTTTCTGGTTATTTATGAGGATTTTCAGAGTCCTGAAACGATTCGCAAGATGATATACAACCGAAAAAATTTCATAGAAAACAAAATAAAGGTTTGAAAGTTTTCATTCCTTCGTAGACGTTTAATTTAGTTTCCGTTCTCAGTCGACTTTCTAAAGTTTTTTTCTTGATTTATGATGAATGAGAAAAAAATGTCGAAAAAAATAATTAAAAATATTCAATTTTTCAATCCTTTTCCAGAAGCAATTGATAGACCTGCAAGTCGTCGATGCCGAATCGCCGTTTCTCAACGAGATATGCGGAAAAACTTCAGGTTTTTGAAATTTTTTTCTATTTTGGATTCGAATAATTTTCCGCTAATATAGTCAATGTTTCCCGACTTGAAAGGCGAGGGAGGCGGGGCAAGGGGCGGGACGCGTAGCGTGTGCGTTCGCGGTTCTTGCCACGTGTACAATTCAACCGCGATCTACTCTTTGAAAAGCCCGTTTTTCGCTTTTTTCATTCCTTTTTTAATTATTTATTGATTATGTTCATGTGTGCATCAAAAGGAAAACATTGAAAAAGAGCGGTTGCCGAGCTTTTTAGATAGTCGGCGACAATTGAATTGAACTCGTGCCGAGAACCGCGAACGCACACGCCACGCGTCCCGCCCCTCCTCCGCCTCCCTCGCCTTTCAAGTCGGGAAACATTGACTATAGGTGCCTTTTCGGTACGTATGCTCGTGTTTGGAGCGGAACCTGAAGTTCATAAAAGAAAAAATAAAAGAAGCTCAGAAGTGAGCTAAATATCATCTGCTGAAATGTGCTCTTATTTGTACATTTCTCAAAATTTAACTTCCACTGGTTTACGTTTTTTTTAATTTGCGGGCTTCTATAATACGGCCTCTCGGGTTAGAAAAATCAATATGTGTTTTTTTTCTCATTCAGTCATGACCTCAAAATCATAACCTCTGATGATTTTCACACTGTATGCCATTCCATGTACATTTACCCATTACTCATGTTATTTTTTAAAATCTCTTTCTCTCGTTGTATTTGTACATACTTTTTTAATTTTTACACAAAATTTTTTCATGAAGTTCTCATTTATTTACTAAAAAAATATTTATACAAACAAATACAGAAGGAACATGCAAAAAAATAAATATTTTTTTGATTTCAAAACTTTGGCGTCTCAATAAATTAAATTGGCAGAATCTAAATGCAGAATTAAGGCAACCGATACGGTTCAAAACAAATTGAATAGATTGAGAAGAGGAAAAATGTTAATTCGTAGCATAAACTAGAAAAATCAAAAACCGAAAAATCGATTGATTTCAAAGTATCAAGATCTTAAAAGTCATCACTGGAAACAAGAAAAAACCGAGATGAAAACGAGACCGAGTCGAGTTTAGATCTAATTTCGAAAATCCTTGTTAGATTATTTGGAGAGGCAAAGTCTATTGTAACCTGGAGAAACCAGTCTTTGAGCTTTCAGGAAATTTATCGAAATCTTATGGATTCCAAGGAACAAGGATTTTCGAAAAAATAGGCTACAATAAGTTATGCAATAAAATTATGCGGAATCGAGTAGTTTAGGCTTCGCTGGTCTCTCCCATTTGAAATGAGAGCATTTGACGCGCGACCAAAGAGTGGTAGAGACCGGCCGTGTCTTTCATCAGCTCCGTATGATTTCCTGTCTGAAAACGTTCCGCAATGTGAGAAAATTCGAGTGTTTGTGAAAAATTGAAACAGTTCCTAGACTTAAAAAAATTGGACCTCAAACTTCAATGTCATTTTTCACTAAGAACTTGTTTTTATCATTTGCGAAAAGAATATTTAGACTCAATTTGAAATTATAATTCAATCCGTTAATTCATTACGATGGGAGTAATTTTCACAAAAAAAAAAAACTACTTTTGAGATTAAAATTTTTTTTTTCTTAAACGGAACCAAAAATCAAGTTTTGTTGTTTAGCCCGTTCTGCGTCTTTCGGAGGCTTTTTTCAGTTTTGTACAGAAAATTTCAAAAAAAGCTTTTTACGTTAGTTTTCTTTTTTTCTCTGCCTTCAAAGCTTGACTATCTAGCTTGAAACAGACTTTAAACTATACCTGAACGAGTGATCCTTTATAAATGACGGCAATCCGGTCAGCTTTTTCGATTGTAGAAAGCCTATGGGCAATGATCAGAACCGTTCGCTCCTTCGCACATCTGAAACATATTTTTTGGAACTGACGACGTGGAATCAGTGAAAAAAGCGACTGAAACCCATGCGTATGCAGCTGTGCACGCTCTTTCAAAGTTAAACACAACATACATTGTTTTGCTGAAATTTATTTTCTCGATTTTATGCAATTCAAATTATTTAGGAACAGTACGGCGCCCAGCTTATCCAGGGCTGACGGGCGTCGGATTGAATCTCGGACGAGACAAAAAGTTCAAAAAAATGACCTGGTCAGAGCCTGCTGGACCAAAGCCTCGGATTCGGCGTCCAGGGCACTCGTCGCTTCGTCCAAAATCAAAACCGAAGGATTTCTAACCAAAGCCCTGGCGATGGCGATCCTTTGCTTCTGACCTCCTGAAAAAGCTCATCAGATGAGGACCAATTTCGTTCTCCGAGGCGCACCCGACATTTGGACGCCTTTTTCTCCACAGTTTGTGTCGTATCCCTTCTCGAGCTCCATCACAAACTCGTGGACGTTGGCCGTTTTGGCGGCCGTCAACATGTCGTCTTCCGTCGCCCAGTCGCATCCGTACAAGATGTTGTATCTCACCGATCCGTCGTATAAGACCGGTTCTTGGGCGACCAAGGCGATCTAGAACTTTTGATGGTATATTATCACCAACTGATAAAAAGTTCTTGATTGAATTTTTTTTTACGTTTTCTGATTTCGGAAAGAAAATACTAAGAAAAATACGATTTTTACTGAGAAAAGATTTAATTCAAAAACAGAACAAGAACACGAAAAAAAACGACCAACTGTTCTCGTAAAACTCAGAAAAAATTCTATTTTATTTTAGGTCCTTTTTTCTCCGCAAGTTATCAATTCCAGTATTCTTCATATTTTATATACTTTTTTGAATGAGGAAATCAAAAATAAAAAATAACTTTTCACGAGATAACTTTTTAAATAAAAATTAAAAAAAAAATAATGTCGATCTTCACATTTCAGTAACGTCTTACTCGGAAGAAAAAGTTTGCACTACAGTTTTGACACATTTTTCAAACTTCGATCCGGTTTTTAACTCGATTATCTTTTCAATTGAAACGTACCTTCTGATGATAATAGATATGTGCGATATCTTTTATCGGAATGCCATCTAGGGAAATATTGCCACTTTGTGGTTCATAGAAGTGCTCGATGAGAGAAACGATGGAAGATTTTCCGCCGCCACTGGGTCCAACTAAAGCCACCGTTTCTCCAGCTCCAATTTTCAAGGTGAGATCCTGGAAACTTCTTTTTTTTATTGAGTATGGAACACTTCGAAACCTTCAAAACTGGGTTCTTAGGCCTGGATGGGTAGGTGAACTCGACATTTTCGAAAGAAATGGCTCCATTAACATCGGGCCGCATCTTTCCGTTCATTTCGAAGCCCGGTTTCCTGTTCATGTACTCAAAGACCTGAAAAATATTAATTTTCTTTAGAAATTTCAGAGGAACTACTTTTCTGGATGCTCCAACCGACTCCATCAATCCACTGAAAACATAGGACAAACTCTGAAAATCAATGAATAATCATTATTTGACAAAAAAATTTATACGTATAGATTTTCTCCGAGTTGCATTTGGTATAGAAGGAAGGTGATGAACTGATCTCCAGTCATTTTATCTGTTGAGAACTGTTTTTTGGAACTATTTTGGAAGACGCAAACTTGTCATGACCAAATGTCCACCGTAGAAAAGAACTCCAACGAGAAGGGCGTTGTCGAAAAATTCGTTGGTCCAAGTGTAGCCCATGTAAGCGATGGACCTTCAAGTGAGAAAATACAGGTATATAGCCATTCCCTCCCGACTTGAAAGGCGAGGGAGGCGGATAAGTAGGCGGGACGCCTAGCGTGCGAGTACGCGGTTCTTGACACGAGTTAAATTCAAACGCCAGCGATTGTTTAGAAACCTCGGTCACTGCTTTTTGTGTCTATTCCACTATTTTTAGAAAAAAAGCAATGAAGAGTTTAAAAAAAAGACATGAAACGAGCTCTTCAAATAGTCTCCGGTAATTGAATTGAACTCTTGCCAAGAACCGCGTACGCACACGCTACGCGTCCCGCCACTTCGCCGTATTCTCATAATCTTCAAGGACATAATTGATTTTTTTCATTCAATTCAACTCAAACCTTTTTAATTATCAGTTGAAACCTACCTTTTCTTATTGACGTGGAGCGTAGAGTTGAGGTGTTTCTCAAACCGTTTGGCCTCTCTTTTCTCAGAAGCGAACGATCTGAATATTCTTTCTTTGTGAATTTCTTTTTGAAAAATCACGAGAAAAAAATTGTCTTCATAATGAAAATGATGAGAAAAAAAACCAACCGAACAGTCCTCATCGTTGACAAAACCTCTTCGGCCATTTGATTCGCCTTGGCAATGGTGTCTTGCATTTTCTCGGAAATTTTCTGAGGTTCAAATTCCGGTAGGAAATCAAAAGATCCGTTCTTACATCGTAATAGGTTCCATACCACTTTGTGATGAAACCAATGAACGGCACGGCAATAAATGTGACCTGGAAACGCATTTTTTGAATAAAAGCTGCATTTGGTAAATAACGCAAAAAATTGAAATCAATTAACAAAAATTATGAAACAACTGTACTGATAACTTTGAAATCGTTTTAAAAACCATCATGAATATAAATCTTTCAGCTTGGAAAGAAAGAACCATTCTTGTTTGCTGTGGAATTGTACAAATTTCAGCATGTCTACTCTTTTTCTCTATTTCATTAAGAAAAAAACTTTTAACGACATTTTTTTTCAAAAAATCCACAGCAAGTATGGTTTTTTTCCCGTCGGCGAGCTCATCCTATCAATTTTTAGAAAACTTCTCTCAGTCGAGCGTCCTTCGAACGTTTTTTTTTCCATCCACTGAATCGCAAAAAGGCTCCGTTATTCATTAAAAGGAAGAAAAGCATTTGAAAAAAATATCTCTCTATCAACCTCAAAAGGAACACTTTGAATGTTGAAAACGCGGCTCCCTTTTAAGCCACGTTCAACGGTAATTACTTAAATCGGCCCCTTCGATATATGTGATCGAATTCTCACCATGGCCAGTCTCCAGGACATGAAGAACATGTAGACCAAGGCGCCGACCAACATGACGCCATTCCTCAGGAAAACGTTCAGGTTGGTGGAGACGGTGGAAGAAATCGTCTGGCAATCGGACGTCAACCGGGAGACCATTTCTCCGGATTTGTTGACGTCGAAGAAGGCGATGTCCTGGTTGACGAGCGAGGAGAAAAGGTCCATCCGAATCTGTCGGCTGACCAACGCCGTCGCGTAGTCGAAGCAGCCGCCTCGCAGTCCTCCGAACAGGGTACTGAGAGAAAATATAACTCATGTAAGGTTGGGCTGACAGTTTATTATCAAAAAGTCATTTTGAGCAGCTATTTATAGCTTTCCTGCCGCTCACACCACTGTTTTGGAATTCAAAAACGGCTCCTACACTTTTTTCCCTCTCTATAGGACGCATTCTCAGATTAAACTTTCAAATTGAAAATTTTTTTTTTCTGAAAAAGAGTTGAGGTTCGAATTGAAGCTTTTCTATTGGATGAAAAAGAACCTTGTCAAGCTCAAAGCAGTCATGATGGCGACGGATCTGAACAGGACCTCGAAACCACGCAAGTTCACAATGTCGGAGATAACTCTGCCCGTGAAACTTGGAATGAAAACTCGTGCTGAGAATATAAAAGGGATTATAGATATCCTGCTGGAAATTCCTTACCGAAGGCGTAAATCAGAAGGAAAACGAAACCGGAGACGAACCACGGCCATTGCTGGCGACAGTAACGCAAGAGCCGGCAAATGTGCTCGAATGTAGAGAGTCGTTCCCCTTCTGGCAGACTTCCTTAAAACTTGTCTTTTGCAACTTTGAGCCAAATAAATATTTTCCAAACATGAGACAGGCTTCTGCGAAAAGTCTATACCGACAAGAGTAATACTTTTCCTATGCTAAAGCCTAAAAAAAAAATAAAATAAAAATTAAACTGAAACATTTTTTAACACCCGGTGCAAAATTTTTGAATCAGCTAAAATTTTGTTTACAACCTTCCGAACTAGTCTTTCAGCGACTTCCGAGAGGACAAAGCAATTTTTTCAGGAAAAAATTGATTCTCTAAATGAAAAAATTGTAATTTCCTAACTAAATCTAAAAAATGAGGAACTCTTTTTTTTCTTCTGATTTTACCTTGTTCGGCTTCGGATTCTGCACTGCTCGTCGTCGTATCATGACGTTCTCTTGTAGAATCAAGAGAAACGAGTCTTTGATAGTTGACCGGATGTGAAGACAGAACAACATACCAGAGGAAGGCCAGCAAAGCAGACGACAAAATGCACCAAACAAGAGTGAACCACAAGCCAGAAAAAGTCAACAACTCGGGATGCTCAGAAATTGCTAACAATTTGACAAGAGAGAAAGAATAGCAAAATACGGAATAGCCGAGAACCGGCATGAACATGTTTTTGACCACGTTCTCGCGATGGAAAGCTATCAAAAGGAGAGCTAAAGCCACTAGAAACAACCGAATCGCACAAAGGATGAAAAACTCGAACGGATTTGTGAGGAAATTGTAGCCGTCATAGAAAAACAAGTATTTCAAGATGGTATCTATGTCGAAATGGAAGCCGTTATTGAAAAAAGCTATGGCGAGGAACGTGAATAATACATCAACAATAAAGTACAAAATTATGAGGGGACCATACTTCTTCATCTCCATTTTGGAGCGCCTGTAAAAAGTTTCGTTAGTTTATATGTTTCGTAAACAACTTTTATGGAAGCAAAACGTTCAGGAAAATCGAAGCATGAAAAAAAGGAAAGAAAAAACTCGAGACAGATGAATTTCTGCTGAAAAGGATGGGTCCAGGTGAATTATTCCTCACAGGCAGGTGTCTAAGAGCCAGGATATTTTTTATATGAAAAAGTTTTAGCCAAATTCTAGAAAAATTTTTATCACGAAAAAATTAAGTCTCATTGTAAGACCTAAATACGAATTAACCCAAAAGCTGAGCTATCCATAATCATATTTCTGTCGAAAAATTCAAGTCTTTGAAAAAAAAAGCCTTTTTCAAATTTCAAAATACACAAGAAACATTGCGACATACTAGAATCAGAGAAAATCGAGAGAGAGAAGAGGAGAAAAAAGCAAATAAGAGAAAACTTTTATCATCCATCGCGTAAGAGGCCTGTCAAAAAGGTTTACACAGTAGGAAAACAATTTTTTGGAAGATTGCATGTGTAGGAAAACCAAAAATGACTTGAAGCAAAATCGAGGAAGTCGGAAGATAGCGATGACGAAATTTTCTCAGCTAAAGGCTCAAAGACCGAGAGTACCAGACAACAAAACAACAAAAAATAAAATAAAATAAAACTAATCACTTTCATTTATTTATATGATTAGAAAGTCATTCAACTATTTTTTTCTGTCATACAACCTCTTTTTTTTTCATTTTTCATGTCTTTTATACCCTTTTCCCAATTTCGTTAGCTTTTGATGAGTCACCCACGATTTCATACTCGGTCTCCCAAGAGCTTCAGGCAATTTTATTATATCATGCGCTCAAAAATAATTCTATCGTTGATTCATAAAACATTCTGAAACCTTCGAAAGCATAAAACGATGATACGATAGATCAGTTTGTAAAACATGAAAGTTTTTGATCTATTTTGCGTGAAAAAACTGAGATCAATGTTCGAAGGCGTTTGAGCTTCAAAATATTCGTTCTGAAATATTTCATACCTTACTCGTAAAGCTTTTGCAAAGTTCAAACAATTCCGTGAAAATCTCTGCCTCTAATTTCTATCCTCGTTGTCACTCGTTGAGGGTTATTTCGAATTCCGCTGAGTTCCTTTGGATACGGCATTAAAAACGGTTTTTAGAGTTTGATAAAACTGATAAGTTACACATTTTCGATTGATAAGTGATTGAGTCATCTTCGAGAAATCAAAAAAAGAAGGAATATCCTTCTGAGAGCACATTTTGTTTTAAACCCATTTAATTTAGAACGATTTGAGCAAAAAAAAATCAAAGCGAATTCAGAGATCATAAAGTTTTTGAAGAGTAAAGAACCAAGTTTCAGGATATAACATAAAAAGATAAAAGTTCAGAAAAAAACAAACAAAAAAAGGTTTTTTTAGTTATCCATGGAGCAAAGTTCCCTGTAAAAAGTTTTTCAAAAAGTTTCCTGTTGGATTTCAAAAAAACTGCTTTCTTCTTAACTTTTTTTCGTGAATTTTGTTACTTTCAGTTTTTTTAATATTTCATTCTCATTTGAAAGAATTTCAAATTAAATTTTTTTGATTTGTAAGTTTTTTTAAGTCCAATCGTGCTAAATCATCTAGGTTATGGAAAAAAGAAAAAAAACTTGATGAAAAAGTGAAAGCCTCCAGTCAGATTTTTTATTTCTCCGTCAATTTTTTTCTCCTTGCTCTTGTAATTATTCCAGACTCACATCGTTTCAGTAGTCGATGCATAGAGTAGAAGTAGCTGACGAGGAGTTGAACCAGCTCAGACGATTGATCGCCGGGGATCCCAATTTGATAAAACCAGAGAGCTTAGTAGAAACCTTCTCGACTTTATTTGAAAGTTCCGAAGAGGCTGGTGATTTCAGTTAAGTATAAGATTTCAGAGAACCGAGATGAACGAATTTTCCTAGAAGCAGCTCAGTTGCTGGCCAACTACTACAGGAAATCTTCCACGTACATAAGATGCAAAATCAACTGCTGTGTGAGTTTTTTGGGCATTCCTCTGAAAGGGTTCAGTTTAAATTCAAAATTAAATTTCAGCTAGCCAAGGCGAATCCAATAGGACGAGTATATTTTTGCAATCAGTTCTTCTCTATGACCGACGTTCACGTTCCACGATCTTTGATTCTATCTCATGTACAGATGGAAAAGTTTTTGGCAGTTTCAAATGAAAGTGCAGGTTTGCTGAAGATTTTCAATGGTGGAAAATTCATATTTTTCAGTTTTTCCGTCTCAAGTGTACGCTTTTGGAACGAATCGAACTTTAAACTTGGGGGTCATTTCTGATGGAAGACCGGTTATTGAACCTAAAACTGTGAATATTGAGACGGTTAGTCTGCAATTTCGTACATTTTGTCAAAATCTCAAGGCGAAGAACCGTTTTTTGGCCTTTTAAGACTGACTCTATAATTCAAGTTTCACAGGTGGTGAAAATATCGATGTCGAACAGTCACACGCTGTTTTTAACAGTTTCCGGGCAAGTCTACGGCTGCGGAAATACAGCCGACAGTCGCTTAGGCGGCGGAGAAAATCGGGAAAAAGGCTTCGTTATGACTCCGTTGAAAATCGACTTGCCAGCAGCAGCTAATGAGGTATTCCTTACAAGGAAAGTCATTTCACTTTGTGCTTGGGAATCTCCTGGAAGTTGACGAGTGCACTTCTTGACGGACCGGAAAAGTATTTTAAAAGTTTCGATCTGCACAAATTTATAGTTTTTGATAAATAACATCTCAAACCAAAAAAAAATTATTAAAACCGTGAAAATGGATGAAAACTTGACGTCTTACCTCTCGAAAACTGGAAGGTTTTGCAGTTCGAGACTTTCGGGATCTTTCTTTTCCAGGCGTATTCTGGCCGATTTCGGGGGAAATTCCCAACCTCAAAGTAACCTTCCTTGTTTCATTTAACTGCTGGAATAGTTTAACAAAACGTTTTTCCATGAAGATTGTACTCGACATCTGGGCAGGAGATACTTACTCAATGATACTAACCAAAGGATTGGTTTGTTATTAAACTTTTTTTAAAATTTTTTTCGACTTTTTGATTTTAGCTTCATCTTTTTGGCAAATGTGAGCGTTTGGATGCCTGTGGGTCTAAAATTTCTACGAATTATTCTGTTTACAAGTATTTTGACGGTTTTAATGCGGTACTGAATTTTGTTCGGTTATTTTATAAGTTGTTCGATCAGATCACCAGGAGCGAGGACGGCACGGTGTCTTTCCGAAACGTTCGAGGTATCGTTTGTGGGTCAAAAAGATATTCTTACTATGTTTTCTGAGTGATGATCAGAATAGAAAGTAACACCGCGGAAGCTTCTGAAAATTTTAATTACTGAATTTAGAAATTTTTTTTTGCTTTCCTCCAATAACATTTTTGTCATATACATTTCTTATGATATTTCAGCTTATTTCCTTTGAGTTTCTAAAGATCAACATCACTTTTAAAAAGTCAATAAAAGCTGCATCCTTTTTTAACAGGTCTGAGCTTTTTTTAAAAATTTTAAAAACTTTTGGATTTCTTTTTACTTTTTTTTTGAAAAAAAAACCGGTTTTTTTTTTCATTTCTCCTCAACGATTTTCTATGTTCATCATTTTTTCGAAACAATATCCGCTTTTATAGTCTGTGTATTACGACTTGGAATTTCGCCGAACGACATTCCGCTGCGTGCTCGGCCGCGCGCCTTTAAATTTTGATTTTAATAACTCGACCAACACGTGCTCCTAGTGGGACAGTCCATCTTTCAGAAATTAGAACCAATTCAAAGCGAGACCGAGGCTCGCACAAAAACGCTTCGCGACGCAGCGGAACAGCGGAATGTCGTTCGGTAATGTTTCAAGTCGTGGCACACATACTAAAATAGGTTCTTTCAGAATTACAGCTTGAGGCGTATGAGTTTATCTTTTTGACCGATACCCTCTTCACGGTATCGAAGTATGTTTTCAAAATGTTCTTTCTCAGGCGACCTCGATTATGAGATAGATCGCAGTAAACGATTTTTTGAGAGTCCAATGAGGGCACCCCCAATTTGGAAAATAATCAAAACGACCATTTCAATAGATGATCAGCCGTTGGAGGTTGCAAAAAAGGCGCTAATTCCAGGATTTCCTGAGTTTGCAGATAACCTTGTCTCTTGTGCACGGAGTTTTGAAGTGGAGGTACGGGTCCATCGGAGATAATGTCGTTTTGAACGTCACTGGACACTTTTTGCAAAAAAGCCACATTATCGATTACAATGTGGATTCTAAAGGTTCAAACTTCTGATTTCTTCTGCTAATCTGGAATTCTCAAAAAGGGTGCTAGAAAAAAAGAAAAATCCAAAATTTTCGAAAAGTTTTGAACGTGTTCTTTTGGGCTTTTGCCTTCACTCCTGTTCGTCTTTTGGGGATATTGATCTTTCATATAATATTATTTATTTACAGACGGAAAAAAATAACATGTACAAAAACAGAAGGAAAAATTGGCATTTAGGCCTGAAATAAATAAATAAAAGACACTTGAGGCCCTCACGAGCCTCTGAGCCAGTAATGAAAGATGATGAGGTAAGAATAAGAAGCGAGGATTGCACAAAAGTGAAAAAATAAATAGAAAAGAAAGCATTATAAATTATGACACAGTGTAGTACACGTAAAAGGGGAATTTAATTGGTTGTAATGATATAGACACGCATTAGATGGATTAGAGTAGGGATGAAGCACGGGAACCTGGTTTAACGGAGTCTGCTGGGAATAGATCCAAAAAGGAAATTGTTATCGAGGGATAGTAACAAAGACCTGAGACGATCTGGAGAAACATTGAGGTTTCCCAGTGTAGCCGGTTTATTCCAAAGAGGGATGAACGTCTCAAAGAAATTGTCGAAACGAATCCCTACTCTGACAAGACGTGATGGAGCACGTACGGAATTTGATCTCCTGAAAATACTGTGAGCAACTGGCAGACTTTCCTTAATATAAATTTTATGTAGTGTTCTTAGACAAAGTTCGACTCTTCTTCTAAAAAGAGAGTTTGTGTTAATTTGAGCTAACCTATCTTCATAACTAGAAAACCTAATGTTTGATCTCATGAATGTTAGACGAGTGAATTGACGGAAGATGTTTTCGAGAGTGTAAGATAGTTCTGAAGCTAGGAGGGGGCTGAAAAAAACTCACAACAGTAGTCCATATAGGGAGCAACGTGAGTAAGAAAAATCCGGCTCATTAGAGGGAGACAAGGCGCGGAACGCTCTGATGATTTGTTTACTTTTTAGTTTGCATAAGGCTACAAACAGATTCATCTTTTCAAGAAGAAGAAATCATAAAAAATTTTGTTCGCTTTCTTAACTATTTCCAGTTGTAACAATATTTTCTAGGAATCATCTGGATTCTGCTGGATAAAATGGGACTCTACCGAGGTCGCTTGCGCGCTTTCGAGAAATTGAATGAAGGTTTTTATATGAAAACTTTAAAAAGCAACAGAAGAAACCAACGCATCGCTGAACATGCCGTTTTTGCCTTATTGGAGGTTTTCAAATGTTTGAGGCTTCTCGATAAGTTTCCTGCTTCAGGAAATCCCTGGGACTTGGGGAGTCGATTGTTTCGGGCTTTCACCGGACGGATGTAACTGCATTTTTCAGGTATCGCGTTTTGAAAAGGTCTCATTGTGTCTACCGAAGTTGAGCCTTGTAGTTCCAGGTCTCTCTCAACTAACGTCTTTTGGGTCCCGTTTAGAGTTCTGATGAAACTTGGCGGGAATTCAGGGAATTCCAGAAAACGAGAAAAAAAGCCCGCCAAGAATTTTTTTTTGCGAGAGGTTTCAAGCTTCTTAACCCGGAAACAAGATTTTTTGCCAAAAATATTTCTTAAACTCTGAAATCAGAAGGCTCTGAAGTATACTTGAGCCAAGTTTCATTAAAAGTTCAAAGGTGGGCCAACAAGTTTCCTAGTAAGAATAAGAAAATCATTAAAAGGAAAGAGCTTCAAGTTTACATCAAATGTAATCCGAGTTTTTGTACTACGAGGTAGCTTCCAAAGTGAACGACTTCAGAACGAGAATAATTTTCTGTTGAGGTGGCCGAGAATATCGAAGTAAGCCTGTTGATAAAGCATGGAAAAAATTTTAAATTGCTTTTCATCGAACTTTATGATAAACTACCCTTTTTTCTCATCGTTAGGTCTTCTATTGAAGTTTCTTTCAACTCGAAACAAAAAACGTATTTCCTTCCATGTTAGCTTTTTCTGTACATTTTTGACAGAAGTCAGATCGTTCCGACCCACTTTGCCTTGGCTATTGGTTCTATGTAGGAGTGAAGTCTGCATAGATTGAATTTATTTTGCCTTATAAACTCGTGCAAAATCAAAGTTTCGGTTTAAAAATTTTCTCTACAATTTGAAAATCTAGAGAAATCTAGAGCTGAACAACTATTTATTTCAGATCGGCAGTTTGGGTAGAAAGGAAATGTCGAAAATCGAGTGGGACAAGGAAAGTTTCGCGGCAACAGATTCGTACGACTCAGTCCTGGGGGAGATCGAGCAGAGAACGAACCGATCGGTCCGACCTTCACGTGTTCTTTTGTCTATACAGATCAATGGAACGAGGGACCGTCTCGCAGAAATCCACAGCAAGTTCAGTAGCAACCAACTGCAGATGACTGAAGGTTGCCGATCAAAGTCGCCAGGGTGTAATGAGAGGTCTTAGATCACACGGTGATCGCATTTGATCTACGAAATCGTGTCGCCTTTCTTTTCTGGCTGTTGGACCTGGAAAATGGATCTGAGCCTGCGCGACTTGTCGAGAATATTTCCCCTCCGGAGACCAATTTCGAAGAGTTTATCGATGCGAGGATCAGAAAGCTCGAGAAAAAGTTCATGCAGCTCTACCCTGACTACAATTTACGATACTATTACAGGAGTTGGTTTTTGGGCATTTGATATAGTTTTTGATGTGAATAATTATTTCACCTAAAATCTCAGTTTTTTATATTATACTTCCAATATTAAAAACTAAATCGAAGATAAGAATAAATTAATCGGCTAAAAAAATAAGTCATTTATTGTCGCTGTTTCGAATTTCGAACAAAAAAATTATCGAAAGTTTGCTTCGAAGATTTAAATCCTCCAGAGTCTCCCCCTGCCTGTGCATTCTAACCTTTAGAACTACGACTTTGAAGCTAAAAATTCACCACAAACACTGGTGTAAGTCGGCTCGGCTTGGCCATGCCGGGACCCCATCGGTAGTTTCGATGTGGTCGAAGAAAAATAGATTATAATATTAAATATTCATTAGCTACAAATAATATAATTAGAATAAAATATATAAATATCGAGATAATGGGCCCAGGCCGGGAGACTTCGACCCAGCTGAAGATCGTCCCTGCCTTTTATAGGTAGAAGGCTGTCTTCCCCTGCGTCTCTTGCCTCTGCCAGGGGCATTACTTCACACTGGTCTGAAACTGATGAATTTGAAGTTTGGATGAAAGTTTGCAGCTAACCACTATTTGGAATTTTAAACTAGACCTTGAGAGATTGTTTGAGAAAATTATTACGAAATTCCCAACCGCAAACTTGAATGACCTCCCTTTCATGGAGAAAAAGTCCGCCAAAAAATTCAGTAAAAGCTAAAAACTTTCTATCGCATTTAAAAAAATTAAAAAAATTGTAAAGGAAGATCTCATTACGAGCAAAACGACAAAAAAACTTTTTTTCCATCAAAAAATTCGAGAAAAAAAAAGTTTTAGTCTTTATCTGTTCGGTCCTCGATATCTTTTATAATAAGCGAATACTATTTTTTTTTTTCTAACTTTTTTGCTTTAAGACGACTTTACATTAAATTTTTAGAAAAAGACGCGATGAAAGTCTCAGTTGGAAATTTTTTTAGTTAGATTCATTCTAGTTTCCATTCACTTATATTTTTTTTGAACATGCATATGAAAAACTGATTTTAAAGAAAAATAGCGAGTTTGGGTTTCTTGATTAATCATTTACTTCTTTCTTTTGAACATTTCAGCCTCATTTATTTTGCTTGAGTCATTCTAATTGAAAGGGCTTTTATGCTTCTTAGATGTGTTTGTAAAATATTACATGAGCATTCGAAATAATAATTCAATTATTTCAGTTGCAATAATTATGATGAAAGAGTTGCATCAAAAGCGCTCATCCGAATCTCGGGAATTTGATAGTGTTCCCTATTCGAAGGCGTTTTTCAAAAGAGATTTATTTCTGGAAAAGTTATTAAAAAATATTTCGTTTTTAAAAGAGTCTCTAGGGATGATGGTTATCTTTTTAAAATGTTTAATGGTACTCACATTTTTCATATCGGGTATACGATAACCGGGCCGCGAAAATCGAGCCTCCATTTCTGCACTATTTATTTTTCTCTTATCGTCTCGCCCTGTAGAAATGGCGGCTCGATTTTCGCAGCCCGATTATCATATACCCTTTATATCTTTCTATTCTTCAGGAGCGTCCATGAGTTCGCTCGTATCGCATATAAAGGCGAATAGTGCTATTTCAAAGTGTGGAGTCGGGTTCGAAGATGCGTTTCCGGAGGGGAACATCGGTCGCCTCATCATGCTGCCGGTTCTGTACATACCGCCGCCGCGCATCATCCCAGATACCCCAAACGAGACCGGTATTTCTTATTCTCCACATCTGACACAATAAAGTATCAATTTAGGCGTCTGTCTGTCTTTTTTGGAAGCTTGCATAAGAGTTGCGAACAATTTCTTCCTCTTCTGCGCGGATTCCGAACCGCAGCGCCTTTATGACCTTTTTTTTGACAAGCAAGTTGAAAATTTCTTTCCAGATATTTGAAAAATTACACCTGACAGAATAGTTGTTATCAAAGTTGGCTCTTCTTATAGACCAGAAGCATTCCAACTCTTGATTCTAGCTATTCTTCTCTTCGCATTACTTAAATTAAAAAGGAAAAAGTATAAGAGTTTGCGAAAATCATCGAGCCGATAAGATGCGGTTTTTTGTCTACAATTGAAATTTTCACGCTGCTTTGTTTTAGACCCAACTTTTGGATTGAATTGTCTAGTTGTTCTTCAGAATACGATACTATTTCGAAATGTTGAATTCCATTTTGGATGATCTGGAGAACGACATAGAAGGATATCATTTGAAAGTGGGAGCGAGATTCGAAAAAATCGATAAGAATATCAAGCCAGTTGTTCTTCGAACTGGATTTCGCCTGGCCAATGTACAGTTTATGCTTTTTTATTTTTCAGAACATCCCATTTCAATATCACGTTGGGATTATTATTAAAACAAAGTCTGGTTTGTAGAAGTTTCCGAAGGAACATTATTTACAGATAGAAAAAATTTGGAAAGAGCGAGTCGAAGAGGGTCGTTTCACAGCAGCAGAATTCCCGCTTGATTGCGAGGTTTTTATCTGATAATTTATTTCAGTTCACTTTATCCTTGAAGATTTTCTGCAACCTGACAGATAGAGACATTATGAGAATTTTCACGAGCTCTAAAATTTTGAAACTTTCCTTCCCCGAAGTCGACAGCTTCATGGAAAATGGCAAATTGGACCTGTCCACGGTTATTTGAATGTACAATTTTTTCAATTGAAGGAATTATCTTTAAGCTTTCGAAGTCGGAGGATGCGGAATTCCGCGGTCTTATCGCGGCTTTGGTGTACAATTTTCTCGTTCACCGTCACCAAAAGTTTTTCAAATGTACCAATATGTTGAGAAACTTCCTTTCTACTCTTTCCCTGTTCTCTTTCAGTGTTGAGAAAAAGAGGTTTGGACGGAGGATCTGTAAAAGCCAATTCACCATCCCTCTACAAATACGCTTCTTATGATGAGATCGAAATGTTTTTCCGTAAATTCGGGCTCAGACTAGTCGCCGTTCAGTTAGTTGACTGTCATGTGCCGTTCTCCCCGATTCGAAACGCTAAAAAAAAGGTCTCACAAGTAAAATAATTTATTCAAAAGTTCGTGAGAAGTCAAGTCTTGGGTGTAGGGTAATCCTGAGATTTAGTACTTAAAAATTATATCAAGCGCAAAATTACCCTAAAGCGACACAAGATAAAAAAAATTTTTACAAAAAGGTAGGTTTTAGCTTTTTCCAACGTAGTTTTGCCTTTTCTCGTTACTGCAGATTGTCAGAGAATATTTTCTTTCTCGAGTACTCTTACCTAAAGTGACCTCCGTAAAACTTTTAAGTTTTTTGGAAATTTTCTTAATTGGTCTCTGGAAACTTCTCATCGTTACCTGAGCAGTTTTTTTTTTTAACTTTTTGACTTTTAAACTTCCTGTTTAACGAATTCGCAGCCTTCAGAAAAGCTTTGGTCAATAGTTAAGCTAAATTCATGAGTTCTACAAAAACGAAATCACTTGTGAGTCTCAAAGATTGGTGGTATGAAAGGAAAGCCAGCAAATTTTCGAACGGCGATTTTTTCATATCGCTAGGGAATTTTCCGACGGCCACCCTCCCGACAAAATCCTTTCCGACTTTTTTCCCTCATATTTTTCGGTTTATAAAACATCGATTAAAATTTTTTCCTATTTCTTTGTGTTTTAGTCATGAACCAACTACCTACTTTATATAGAACGCTTTAAAACGAAGAGTTTATCGAGAAACGTCGGAAAAAGATTCGTCGGAAAGGTGGCCGTCCGAAAGTTCCGCAGCGATACGGAAAAATCGGATCGGAAAAGTCGCCGTTTTAATTATCGCTGATCTTTTTTTCATACCACCCAAAGATTTCCTCTGCATCAATTAAGCGTTTCAAATTGCGGATAACGGAATATCTTTTTCTAAAGTTTTTTTTATCGATTATTTTAGGTATAAAGATCTGGAGATAGGCTATTGTTTGATGTATGATCGAGAGGAAACTCTGTTCGTTTCGCCGTCTGATGGGCCTTCGGAAGTTTGGAATCTGATAAGCAGCGACGGCGTGAAGATTCCTTGCTCGAAGTGATTGCCGAGAAATTGGATCTGAGAGTTCAACCGTTCAGATATCTCCTGATGCTCCATTCGGCTTCTTTGATCGCTAAAGTCAACTTCGATCAAATGACCAAAGAAGTGCAATTCGGCGGAGGAAGCGAAGAAGAAGTATTCATCGACGTCGACCAGCCTGAAGAAGTCGTCAAAAACGCCCTCACCGGTCTTGTCGCTCCAACTTCTTTGCGCAAGCTGACGTCCGAACAAGTACTTTCACAATTCAACGTCAAAAATACTTTGTTTTTCCGCAGCTGGTCAATGTCATCATTTTCTACGACTTCCATTTGATGCTCGAAGCCAAGGACGACGCCATTGATACGATTTTCGAAACAGGTTGATAGATTGAGTATATCATTAGAAGGAGTAAAGTGTTGAGGAAATTTGATTAGTTCTAGAGATTTTTTATGAAATAAAACAAGCAATTCTTAAAGCGCTTCCTTACAATCATTTGATAGAGTGGGAAATCGAGAGTGACCGTTAAATGGTTATTCAACTTGGTTTCAATTTTTCTTTTAAATCTAGAATATTCACAAAATTAGTATATACAAATTGCTTGGTCTCGCATTTTATATATTCAAGTTTTTTCATTGGACATTTTTCCCGTCTTTGCAAAAATGTCAAGCCTTTTAGCCACCATCCACTGGCTTATGAAGTCTTACGACGTTCTGCAAAATTTGATGAGTATGGATGAAGATTTTGGCTCTCGGTTCGAAAAACATCCGCATTTGGCCATTTATTTACGCGATTCCCATGAACTTCCATTTCAATGGATTAAAAGGTTGCCCATACAACTTTTGGATTATTTGGAAGGGAAATGGATATTCAGAGCTACGACAGCCGTTTACACAGAGAAAGAGACTCACGTGCTGGATTTTTCTCGAACCATTGCAAATTGGAGAATCTACAAAGGCGATGGCCTCATGCAACTTCTCTTCGATGGAAAAACGAAACCGGAAATTGATCCGACTGTGTTCCTAGACTTTTTAGTGAGCTCGATCTTGTATTTTGGAGTTGTCAATTGATTTGAAGGAGGATTACGGTCATGAGTTGAAGATCAGCGAAAAATTCTCGCAAAAGGTTTTTTTCTGTCTTTTTCCTTGTTGATTCAAAAAAAGTTTAGCCTGAAACAAGTCCACCTCCATCGACATCTGGGACCAGCAGAATCAGGACAACTTCAGAAGTGAACTTTTTCGAAATGGAATCATCGAATGTTTCCCTTTTGCAGGCCTCACATAGCCTTCCATCCACGAAAAGAGAAAGAGAGAAAACTGTATCTGAATCTGTTAGTTTTATTTTGAAATTCGATAAAACTCAACGATGATCAGGTTGCAAGGACGAATGAAGACCATCAAGAAAAGATTTTGGAGAATACTGTTTCGACTTTGGAATTATCGAGTCCTAAAAAAGAATTGAAAAGAGAGGTATCCTTCAAATGTAACGATCTGGCATGCATCGAGGCGTGAAAGTCGGTTTTTCTTCGACCAGCAATTTTGTATTGTACTTTCCTTTAGCTGGGCGCGCAAGTCCTTTTTTGGTCGCTTTTTAAAAGAAGCATAACGAGCCATTCCACGGAAAAAAAAGAGAATTTTTGAATTTGAGGCTTCTTCTCCAGTCGATATGGTCTCTCCAAGGTTGGCGTCATCTCCCAGCCTCGACGACTTCCGTAAATCTCAAGGAAAAAAATTTTTCAAAACTAATCATTTTAGCTGTCGCTTCGACCAGTTCTCCTTCTTCTTCGACTCTCAAAAATAAGAAGTTTTATCTCAAAGGCGCGAAGTTCTTCAGAGCGAATCAAATGCTTCAGCCGGCATCTCCGAAAAACGCCTGGTTTGTTCGAAAATCCAAAGAAATTTGGAGAAAGAACAGTTTTTTGTTGCGGGAAGATTCACAAACAAGAAAAAAAAAATGTTTTTCCAAAACATAAGCTTCTGTATGATTCAAGAACAATAGAAGCTAGAAACTTATTTTATTGTTGAATTTTTGAGAATAGTTCTATTTTAGGCTGTTATAAATCATTGAAAAGTATTTCAGGGGTTTTAGCAAAGAGAAAAAAGGATCTGGTTTGGAATCAGAAAGCTCGAAAGATCCTCAAGTAGTTGAAATTACAGAAAAATTTTTCTTTTTTCTTTACATTCGATAACTTTTTTTAAATTGATGCGCAACGTGGTTGAGCCTTTCCAAATGCAACCAAATCGTTTTCAAACGTCAAAATTATATCAATTTCTTCTTAGGAGTGTCGAAAATTCCCCGGCAGGCAGCAGTAAAAGCAATCCGACCATTGATTCAAACGCGGTACGATTTCGATACTCATCCAATTCAATTCAAACTTTTCAGCCTGTTGCAAAGTCTCCAACAATCAGTTTCAAAGAAATCATTGACGAGCAAACGAGAAAACAGAAGAATCGAAGTTCATTTTTTTTTAATCGAGAAAGCCAAGTGTATTAACTCAGATGTTCGAAAAGCCGTTCCCCTGGAGGATATTGAGAAGGAAACTATGGCGAAAGATGAGATTTTGGAGACTTATAAGCAAGGATTCAACCGTGAGGCTGCTGTTTCGGTGCGTTTTTTTTTCTGAGATTGAGTTTAGAATAAAATTATTTTCTCTTTTTGTGAAATTTTCGAAAGTTTCTTATTTTATCAGTTCAGGTCGACGTCGTCGAACGAAAGGACGATGATCAGGAAGACGAAGAGCCGGAATGGGTCGATGCTCCGGCTTCCTTTAGAAAATAAAACCCTTTTTCCTTGTTGTCAACCATTTCTTGAATAATTTTCTATGTTGAATACAACCTTGCCATTATAAATCAGTATATGTAAATATTCTGTTATAATTTTTTGTCTAATAAATGTGTGCACTCGAGTTTTCTGTTTCTCTTCCACAGAAATCAAAGAGGTTCTCTTTTCTTCATATTCAGAGCTTAAAAATAAAGAACCAGTGAAACAAAAGACAAGTTCTTTTGGAATCAACTTTAAAATTTTACATTTCTTGGTTAAATGACGAACTTCTGAAGCTAGAATTCTGGAAACGATGAGAAGCTACGAACATTTTGGCGAGACGCCAGTGTTGTGAAGATTTGCGTGAGAATGGTCAAAGTCCGTAGTCGTCCACTCAATTTTTTTTTCGATTTTCATAATTTTTCAGTTTTTCAGAAATATCTGCAATTAAAGCTTTCAAAGCTTATTTCTCACCGTATGATGAAACTAGTATCGATCATTTTAATGTGGAGGTTAGACAATGCCTCTCTGAATCATCGCATACTGATTTTACTTTTCTCTGTTCTTCGTCGCTTGTTTGCGTTTTCGCTTAATTCATGTCGTTCCCGTGCTAATATCAATGGATTTTAGATATTTCGTTAATTGGCTAGAAGCTGTTGTCAAAAAGAAAATTATTTTGTCACCGTCGTCACGATGGGCCGGTTTAAACCGCTTCCTCCGGGCGGGGAAAGGAATGGGTGATTATTTTATAATTTATCGGCCTCATATTAAAAAAAATTTTTTTATAAATAGTATTATACTTGATCTATGAGAGTAATAACTTCACTTATCAGGTTCAAAAACCCGACGATCACAAGAAACGCTCTTAGTGATGCAGAGTTCGAGAAAGAAGTCAAGACTAAGCTGGAGCAGTTCAAAAAGAGCGATAGTAAAGGTTTTTTCTTTTCGAAATTATTAAACGAAATTGGAGAATAATTTTTCAGAAATGATTTTGCCGCCGATGGACAGAACCTGCAGAAAGAAATGTCACGAGATCGCGTGTATGATGGGACTTTTGACGAGAAGCTCCGGGTTTGAATAAGATAAAGGTATTCTCAAAATGATTCCAATTTACAGGGAAGAGCCGGATCGCAAAATAATGCTAACAAAACGGATTTACGGCAGGATCATCCACAAAGGAAGCGTCGTCGATAACAATCCGATTGAACTGACTCCCAAGGCGAAATCTGCGGTAAGCTGTTCCGGACGTTTCTGTAAAGTTCATTCAGGGGCTTCAAAAAAAACATTTAATAGAAGTTTTCAAACTTTCTGGAAATATTAACAGTCCGTATTTTCCTGCAGATCGAAACTCTGATCGAGCAACATCCAATCAGTGAGGACGATGTAGATGCCCACCTATTTCAATCATCTAAAGGTAATCATATCATCGATTCGAAGTGAGAAAAAGAGAAAGTTTAGCCCCAAAGGAGAGAAAAACAACAGTCGAATTCCGTGGCTCGATGCTGATTCCCCCAGCCATCCCCGATAACCCGCTTCACAGCTTCAGGTATCCGATTTTTCTGTTTGTTGAATGTCAAGGAGGCAATTTTAAGGAGAAAACTACCTTCTTTTGCTTTTCGCGAAGAAATTATTCAATCGGTCAGAAAAAATACGGTCGTCATCATCACAGGTGGAACGGGTTGCGGAAAAACTACTCAGGTAAATGACTTTTTTCTTTTATTTGAATATTTCCCAATCTCCAGGTCCCACAATTCCTACTGGAAGACGCCCTGTCGAACCACGAAAAGATCCGGATTTTCTGCACCCAGCCGCGTCGTTTGCCCGCCATCGCGATTTCGGAAAGAGTCGCCAAGGAACGCGACGAGAACATTGGAAAAACTGTTGGCTATCATATCCGGCTCGAGCAAAAGTCAGTATTTCTCATTATTTTAGAGGACTCTGTGTAGCTTGTCCGTTATCATGTCTCGAAAATGACTTTTTTCTTTTCATCATCATTAAACACTGTCACAAAGTGTGAAAATTGAATGGAAAGTTCAAATTTGAATGAAATTAACTTATTTGAAGATTTTTTCGATTTTTGATGCACATTTTTGTAAAAATTGGAAGAAGTATGTAAGAATTGAAGTGAAATAACTCATCTTTTAGTGCACCTTTCTTGCAGAAAAAAATAAACTTTGGGAAAAATAAACTTTTGGGAATTTTTTTCGTTTTTTTATTCGAATTGCAATTCGAATAAAAAAATCGATCATAATGTTTTTTTCAGAACTTCGCCACAGACGATTTTAACGTATTGCACGAGTGGAGTTTTGCTGAGAATGTTGTCTCACGACCCGACCGCCAAGGGCATTTCTCATATTATTTTGGTTCGTTCTTTTTCTCAAAAAAATGATTCCCTCCGAAAAACGCTATAAATCATCCAAATTTTCAATATTTTTCAATTATTGGGCTTTGACAACCCAAAAAGAGATCACTCTTCAAAACGGTCACGATTCAGAATTAAAAAGAAAACCGTTTATGTTTTCATTTGGATATATATTTTTCAATTCTGCTATTCTTTTCTAACACTTCACCGTTTTTTTTTTTAAATTTTTTTAAAATTAATATTTTCCAGGACGAAGTTCACGAGCGGGAAACCAACACAGATTATCTTCTCATAGCCTTGAAACATGCTCTACGAAAAAGAAATGATCTTAAGGTGAACAATAAAATGGAAAATGTCGTTGTTCAATCATTGTTCCAGGTGATTCTGATGTCAGCCACGTTGGAAGGAAATTTGGCCTTGTTCAAGAATTATTTCGACGCTCCCGTCAGAGTTGTTCAGAGTGCGTTTTGATTTTTCTGAATTGTGTCGAAAATAGACATTTCAAACTTTTTTATTTTCGAGCATTTGATCAAACTTCGCGCAAAGTGACCAGGTGTCTCAATGGGTGTACCCGTAATAAACCCGTGTTTTTAGGCTATTTCAGTCTCAGTTGGGCTAAAACGGGGGAAACAACAGGTGTAAGAAAAATAGGTGACCCAGCTGTGCTGAAGCGGGGGTAAAAACTGTCGAAAGTTCTACCAGCTGTGCTCCTACGGGTTCAATATGGTTTACCATCCCCAAAGGGCGGCCCATTTCAGCGCATTTTTGAATTTGCGCGCAAAAGGCTAGGGGAGGATCCCAGCCATAGAATGCTCTAGTGACATGTCCGCCCTTTTTTTTGACGTGAAAACGCGATTTTCTCTCTACCAAAATATCTGAATCTCCTTGGTTGGATCGCGACGGGGATCGAACTTGTGACTTTTTGGATCGTAGACAGGCACACAACCTGGTGCGCTACGGCGCGTCGTACTTTTCTTATCACTTTTAATGAGTTGGGAATCGCACTTTTTCCAGTTGAGTCCAAGTGGTTCGACGTGCAGCGGTTCTACGCAGACGACGTCCTGGCGATGGTCGGCTACGTGCCTCCGAAGGGAATGTTCGACACAGTGCTGACCGTCGCTGGGTCTGACTTCCCTGTTATGGACTCGTGGACCGGAGCTCCGGAAAAAGCCGAATGGACGGCTTCTTCCAGCGGCAAAACCCATTGGGAGCCGCCTCACATGCATCAAGCCCAGGTTCATCTTTCTCACTTCGTTCTTGTTGAAATATTCGAAAAAATTTTGAGTCACGTTTTATTTAAAAGTCGAGTTCTTCGAATAGGTTGGCACAAAATAACGGGTCTTTTAGAGTGTTTTCTCAATTGGAAGATGATGAAAATGTGTAGATCCAAAAGAAACTTTCTAATTTCAAATGTGATCTCTAATATAAACCAATGCCGTTCGGAACGGTTGTCCTCTTTGAATCCTAGCTTGGGAATGAAATATTGATTGATAAACTCGATGATAATTCTCAGAAGACCATCCTAATATAATGTATTACGCGTGATCTTTTGTCAAAATCACCCCAGAATTCATTCAGACGATGCCGAACCTGGGCCGAGGCTACGTCCAAGACGTCGAGAACTTCTATCCGCCTCAACATCCTTCCATGAGCTCCAATGATCTGAATCATGTGGAACAACACCAAAACTACATGAACATGGCTCATAAACTTGCGAGGCATGTAGACTTTTGTTTTGATTTTAATCCCTTTTTTTGCAGTTCTCAATCCTCTACCCACCTGTCATACACTCAGCCGGTCCAACCTTTCGCTCAAATGTCCGTTTCCCACGACCACTATCCCATGCAACAGTGCAGCTTCTACCAGGTATCCGCCTTTTCCAGTTCAACGAGATAAAATCGAGTCTTTCGCAGAACCATATGCCGGTGGAAGGTCCCTACAGACAAGGCCAACAGCAGATTTTCGAGAAATGGACCGCCGGTCCCTATGTGATGGACGATGGATTCGTCGTCAGCGAGGACTACATGAACCACATGCAGACCCAAATGGGATTCTATGGTTATTCATTTGATTTGATATATTTATCTGTGTACAAGACCAAGATAACATGTACATGATTGATGAACAGGAAGAAAATCAGCAGATAAACCCTTTTTTTTGTTTGAAGCCGTTAGGAGCCTCTGAGGCTGTAAAGTAAAATGGAGGGAAAAGGTTTTTCTTCTTCTTTTTTTTGCCTTCTCTTTCAAAACGATTACCATTTTCTGCCTTTAATTTCATTTATTATGCTGCGTGTAGAGTTAATTTAGACGCGACGATTCTCTTTAGGGCTGGTAAGTACGCTTAAGTGGCCTCTTCAACATAATTGCCCGCGTTTCCCCGAATTTCCTTGAACCAATGTTAATTTCATTGATTTTCGAGTCTAAGGGTTTCATGGCCTGGAAAAAATTTTGAATTTTTTTCAGCTTGAGTGGTTAGGTTATTTATGCATTTTTTGCGACTTTTGAAGAAAATACAGAAAACTTATTGAAAAAAAACTCAATTTTTACTTTTATAATTTCCCACCAGAAAAAAAACTGATCAGGACCGGAATTTATGAAAAGCTTTGTTTTTTTTCATTTAAGAATTTCTCTGTTCAAAAAAAGACTTGGCTTTCACGTCGCAGAAAAAAAAAACAACAAAAGTATAGGAAGAAAAAGGAAATAGTTTTTTTTCCTTGAATCGTTTGAAAGATGAAATGAAATTAGAAAGAAGTTCAGAAAGTCTTTCTACAGAACACCCGATGCAAGCGGTTCCTGTGCAGAACTGGCAGAACGACGGCCAACAGACGCAATACGTCGACTACGGAAGTTCCTCCTACAGTAATGGCCATTACCTTGCAAGTTACCCCTCTGCTGTTAGTTTCTCTCTTGGCTCAAAAAGGTGCTACGACAAGTGCGATATTTCCATTTCAATCATATAGCTTGTTGTTTTAGTTGTACTTGACTAGGCGGTGAACAAGAACTCTTAAAGACATAACGAGCCTCCGCTTTCGGCGAGCTAGAAGCCTCAATATGTAGTTGATCGAGAAAAAACTTTTCACGGTAAAAAATATACAAAATCCGGTTAGGACTTCATCGGAATGTAATATAACGACAGGAAAACCGGTTCTAGGAAAAATGCGAGTTTCAATTTATGAAAAATACTGTAACAAAAAAAAGCGAAGCGCACGCTTGTAGCACCTAGAATAGTTTCATTTCAGAATGGCCGAGCAAATGAGCCCATGTTCTACGTTCCGTCGACAAGCGACTCGGCTTCGAATCAAGTTATCTATTTTTGTGTTTCGGATTCCACATTTTCCATTTCAGATGTCTTATCCGGCCCCTCAGAAGAACGAAACTCAGCCGAGAGGCCTCAGCGGCTTCGGAGCTAGCGACTTCGGGGTAATTCGCTTTAGAAGAAGAAGAAAAAATAACAAAAAACGTGGCTTGCGTTTAACACACGTTCTCCGAGATTTTCGATTAACCCTTGGTACAAAAATTTCATCTTTGTTCCTGAGAGCTCTCCTTGCTATGATAGATAGTGGACAACCTCTTGAATATTTAGAACCAGGTTTTATTAGGCTCCGCCCACTTTCAGGCTTACTGTAGAAAAAACACCGTAAAAACCAAACTTTTTTCCTAGCGGAGCAAATTGGTCCAAACCAATTTTGAAACAAAATATGTTCCCTTTTGACCATTTAAAGTTATAGAACTGACGCGGAAAAAATTTTCTTTCAGAAGAAAAAAATTAAAGTTTTTTGAAAAATGACGATTTTCGCAGTCTTCAAGTCATAACTAGTACTAGAACCCCCGAATGCCTGGATTTTTATTTTTTCAATCGACGCGTTAGGGTCTTGTGAGTAGAGGAAAAATGTCTAGAAACTCTGAATCCGGGTGATCCAGTTGACCTCCATCTCGGAGAACGCGACCAACTTGAAAATCGCAGAACCTTTGAAAATTTCTATTTTTTGTGAAAGCCGGATTCTGTCTTGTTTCTTATTTTTGTTCAACATACGACAGCTTGCTGCAAAATTACAGCTCAAAAGTAGCGAGCTGGAACCCTTTAAAAAAAAAAATTTCTGACGTTTTTCCAATTTTTCGTTTTTTCGGCATTTTCAAACTTTTTGCTCTAACTAGTACTAGAACCCCCGAATGCCTGGATTTTTATTTTTTCAATCGACGCATTAGGGTCTTATGAGTAGAGGAAAAATGTCTATGAACTCTGAATCCGGGTGATCCAGTTGACCTCCATCTCGGAGAACGCGGCCAACTTGAAAATGACTAAATTTTTAAAAATCAGTTACTTTCTTGGGAGCAGGATTTTCCCTCACTTCTTTTTGCCAATCAGACACAATCCACTCAACAAAAAATTGGAACAAAAAGTTATGGCTCTCAAGCATGACGAAATTTTTTTTTTCCAATTTTTCACTTTTTCGGATTCATTGTTTTTTTCTTTCCTTTCCAAGCATTGAGCTCTACTGGATTAGGATACCAGGAATGCTTAGAGTTTTTTCGTTGTACTGATCCGTTACATCTTCCCAAGTTCTTTAAAAATATTCCCAAGCTCTGTTTCCGGGTGATCCAGTTGACCTCCAAGCAGTCGAAGCGGTCGACCTCGAAGTCGAGCGAAATTAAAAAAATTTTCCAAACCGTTTTTTTGCTTCCTAACCAGTAGTTCTCATCATCTGGAGGGTTTTCAGTGTAGTTTCCACCAATTGCTGGCGTCAATTTTTATTTTTAGCTCTGAAAATCGTCATTTTTCAAAAAACTTTAATTTTTTTCTTCTGAAAGAAAATTTTTTCCGCGTCAGTTCTATAACTTTAAATGGTCAAAAAGGAACATATTTTGTTTCAAAATTGGTTTGGACCAATTTGCTCCGCTAGGAAAAAAGTTTGGTTTTTACGGTGTTTTTTCTACAGTAAGCCTGAAAGTGGGCGGAGCCTAATAAAACCTGGTTCTAAATATTCAAGAGGTTGTCCACTATCTATCATAGCAAGGAGAGCTCTCAGGAACAAAGATGAAATTTTTGTACCAAACTTTTTCGCATTCGTTCGATTTTCTGGGAGAATGCGTGTTAAATTCACGTTCCCCGCCCTATTACCGCGTTGCGTACGCAACGCTTCGCCTTTGCCAATCTACCCATCCGGCTTTTGAAGTCGGGAAGGATTGAGTATACAAGAAAATAGAGGCCTTGCAATGTATATTCAAATAAGTATTTAGATGGTCGTGAAACTTTCTTCAAATTTGAACTTTAATTTTTCCATCATTACTGAATCAGACTGCCTTTAAAATATGGTTGCTTCCCCTTGCAAATTCTCTTATTTAAGTTCAAATGAATTCATATTTTTGAGTGATCCGCTCCACTTTGAACGGACATCGATTGATATGATATTTTCCAAGTTTGCAGCTTGGATAATAGCGTTCTGTTTCAGGAAAGCATGAGAAAACAACAGGAACTGGCGGACAGGTACCGCTACGACCTCAAGACTCTCCTTCCCAAGAAACCGTCCCATTTCGAGCCGAGCGTCGTTTCCATGATCAAAAACAACCGACGGCTCATCGATTCGGCGAATCTTTACTACGTAGGGAATTGCTTCGAAGAAGATTTTGATATTCTAAAAGAACTTCTTCTTCGTTTTTTTCCTCCTGATTTTGTCGGGCCAACAGTTCACTTTCATTTGCAGTAGTATAGTTGATTCGATCATAAAAGTCAAAATGAAGTCTTGCCGATCATTTTAAATGAAAAACTCTTCAAGCCAGGCGGTAAATTTGATAAAATTCACACTTTAAAAATAGAAAAAAAATAGAGAATAATCTTTCATGGCTATTGTCTTCTTGGAAGTTGTAGAACAGCAAAGTGAATTTCATTTACTACGACTTGAGACATTCCAACCTGTCTGCGCCCTCTTTTCTCTCATCTGCGAGGTCATAAACATATGGAATTAGTCCTTAAAAAGGAAACCGTCAGAAAAATTAGACAGTGCAGAGAATTCAGACTGGGAGGAATGACCTTTTAGGATGAAAAAATACCAAAAATGTCCGATTTTTCAGAAATACCGAGCTGTTGGCGCCGAAACTTGGGCCCAAGGCGTCGATCCGGATCTGACTTTTTCTCTCATCAGTTACCTGGTTTGCAGTCCTATCAAAGGTTTCTTTGATGGCTGACGGACAGAAATAATAAATTTCACTTTTAAGGGGCGATTTTGGTCTTCCTCCCCGGCTATGAAGACATTCAGGCGCAACGGGATCTGGTACTTTTTGGTCCTCACTTATTTTTTTTTCAAATTTTCACTATTTTAGCTGTATAGTTACAAGCCGGATGGAACAAATGGCTACGAGATGATTGAAGTCTACCTATTGCATTCACAGATGAACTCTACGGACCAGCAGAAAGTTTTCGACCGACGGCCTTCCAACATTCGTAAAATCGTTCGTTTTTCGCTTTTTTTTTTCGTGTTTCTGATGGAAGAAAGGTAGATACGAAAAGGTTTTGGGTCCAGTGCGAGAAAAAAATCGACCGGTTTCTGGTCTCCCCTCGAGGTAAAAAAAGAAAAAAATGAAGAGAAATGAATAAATACATAGTGAATGAAAGAAAATATTTCAACTTCAGTGCAGGCCTCCGCATTCTAGTAAGATCGTCCGTTTGATAGATTACAAGCTTGAAAGGTTCATTAGAACTCGAACAGCACATTGAAGAGATGATTATTATTTGTTTGACTTGTGTATACCCTTCCTTGGAAAAACTTCACTTTACAGATTTTGTCGACCAACATTTCGGAAGCTTCATTGACCATTGATGACGTTGTTTTTGTTATCGATACTGGAAAGGTTTTTTCTTCAGATGAGTCAAAAAATTGTCTATGTTTCAGGTCAAAGAGAAGGTCTACGACCACAACATGAAGTTCAGTCAGCTGAAAACAACTTCTATTGCGAAAAGCAACGCTGAACAGCGGGCTGGTCGGTTTTACAGAAAGATTCAAGTTAGCTGAGGGGATTTCACCGTAAAAGATTACTTTTCAGTTTCTACTTCTAATCTCAAAAACTCGATGCCTAGATTTTGTTTATTTCAGAGTTTGAAAATAAGGAAAGTATTGCTCTCAAAAGGGAAATTTGCGAGGTGAACATCGCAGATTTGGTCCGAGCTCCTATGTTAATTGTTCTTCGTTGTCGAATAGTCAGTTTTTGGAATCTTCCAGGCCGTGCGGGACGTTGTTCTGAGGGTTACTGTTTCCGATTGTACAGCCGAAAAGAGTACGACGCGATGCCGACAACGCAGATCGCCGAAATGCAGAGATCTGCCATTCATGTGGGAAATTACTCTGTTTTTGGTTCAATTTTGAAATTTCATCATAAAAAAACCGATTCAGAACCGTAAAGAAGGCTTTTTTGAATGTTTGATTTCCCTCTTTCCTATTTCTTCAACCACCCTGCTATATATGTTTGATAGCTTATTGTGGTTTTTAGGACGTCTGCTTGCATGCCAAAATGTTTGCACCCGACCGGATACGAGTTGCGGATTTCTTGAAATCGGCGCCAGAACCGCCGTCGGAACAGTCCATCGAGCAGAGTCTGGAATTCCTTGAGGTTTCTGAAACAGTAAAAATATAATAACTTATTTTCTCCACCAGAAAATCGGCGCCTTGTACTCGGAAGCGAAAACCAACGACTTTTTCAACGACCTTCCCGCCAAGGAAGAACCTCAGCTGACGGATTTGGGCCGTCTCATCGCCCACATGCCTTTGGAACCTCAATTAGGTTAATATCAACTTTTTTTTTGTTGATTTTGATAATTCTGTGGCTTCTCATGTATGAAGAAAGTACGTACAGAAATAATTTCATGCCCACAACTTCCTTGTACGGAGCTCAACCTTTCTGAAACTTTACAAACTCCGTTTTTTTTTTCCTGCGAACTGAAGTTTCAATATAACGTTAAAATTAACGGTCATCGCAACTTCAGAAAACTCCAGAAAGATTTAATTCCATACAAGAAAGTTTTATTTAGAATTGTTTTCTTCTCTACTGGCGGAACTGTAATTTTGAGCTAGAGATTTGGAAAAGTTGCTCAACGGCTATTTAAGACCTACCTAAGCTTTCAGTGACAAAATTGAAGATTTTTAACGCCAATAATCGTAAAAATTATCTAAAAATACATCTCATTAAGCATATTATCAGACTGAAGGAAAAAGCTCTTGTTTTTTTCAAAAATTCTTGTTGCTGTCATTTCCGTTACTTATTCGTTCCTGTCACAAAAAAAAACGAAAACTTGGTTTTCGACAAGCTAAAAAAAACTTTTAAGAAGTATCTGAATCGTCTAGAAGATTCGATTTCCCTGTGAGAATCGAACGTTCATAAATTTTTAATTTTTTTAAATTTTTTTCTTGAGCTTGTTTTTTTTCAGCCCGATTACTTGTCTTCGGCGTCGCTCTGAAATGTCTCACTCCTATCGTTGGCCTTGTCGCTATTCTGTCCAATAGAGACCCTTGTGAGTTCACATCCGAACTATTTTCAACACTTTTCAGGTTTTCAAAATAATATTCACCCGTTTCAGTTATCATCCCCGGTCCAAACGAGCGCGAATCGGCCAACAGAAGTCGTGATTCGTTTGCTCGTCGCGACTTTTCAGATCATTTGATGCTCATTCGGTTGGTTTTTAGGAATGACTGAAACTGGGTTTAGTAGTTTTGTAACAAGAATAATATCTGAGAAAAAATGTCATGAAGTTATCGGTGAAAATGAAATTTGTCTGATAATTAATGGAAATAATGAGGTTGTAAAAGGAACTTTAAAGTTTTCTGTGATCCAGATTGAAAACTAAGTTTGAGCAGGAATTGATCAGACTGAACTTTTTCTTGACGTTCTTGTGTTTTTTATTTTCAATCAAAGCTTCAATTTGCTCCATTGGCCTACGTTTTCAGAGCTTAGTAACGAATTCAAGTTGGAAAAAGTTTCATCGTTCAGTGTTTCGTGGAGTGTCACATACAAATGATAATTCATTAATTTCTCAGGCTTCTCGACGAATATATCAGAGTGCCGATGAGAGAGCAGCAACGGTTCTGCCGGGACAACTTTCTCAACTTCAGCAGCTTGAGAATGATCTTCGGCATTCGGTTTGTGTTTTCATTTCTTCAGATTGTTTGTTTAAACTGTTTATTGCATCTTCAATGTAAGAGTACATGTGCAATCGACTTTCATTGAGTTAACTGTGTTTTAACGGCGGCAGGAGCTGTGGCTTAGGCCGAGAAGCTGTGAATTTGGCTCGTAGAACATCAGGTACAAGAGAGGTCGTAGGAAGAAGTACGGTGCCGGCTTTTCAAAGGCCGATGGCAGAGATTGAGCCTTTTCGCTGCATGCAGCTCCCAATTTTATCTACTCCGGAGGGATGAAAGGCTTGGTCGACCTCGGGGGGACTCGAACCTACGATCTTGCGGACGTTAGAAATGAGTTATGCCAGCTGAGCTATGTCGCCCCTTCAGATTACACTTCAGAATTTTGTAATAGAAACGAGACAAGAAAAATAGGAATAGAAATGCAAATTTGAAAAAATTATATAGGAACTTTATAGAAATGGAAAAAAACGAATGAACTTTCAAAAAAAAAAGCGGGATTCTAGTATAGCATATGCAAAATTGCATCTTTGTAGCTATCGCCGTTTGACCTTTATTCTTTTTTTTTTGGTCTACTGCTGATTGAAAATTCTTAGGCCCAATTTCTTACCAATTCAAATTCTATCGTTAAAACTTGAGGGAATAGTTTAAAAAGTAAATGATGAAAAATTGGTAACAAAGTATATGTTGAGAGTTGAATTTTCGGCTGTTTTTAAAATGACTTGTGTTTGAGAAATAAAAATTTCTAGCACGTAAAAAGTTTCTGTTTTTCATAATTTTATGTGAAGTTTGTTCTGCGATTCACTTCGTTATAAGCATTTGCAGACGTCAACTCTTGTTGGAGCTGTACCGAGCGAAACTCATCGATATCAGTGACCCGAACGCGGCTTTGAAAGACTTCAACTACAACCTGTTCGTTCCAGTTGCCATGAACTCTTTATATTTTCTTTCTCTTCCAGTTATTCCGAATGTTGGCCGGTGGTCCAGGCGGCGATCGTGGCGGGGTGCTATCCCAACATCGGAATCGTCAAAAATCAGAACAAGCTCAAGAAGATCCAGACCTTGTAATTTTTTTTTGTTAGTAGTGAAATAGAGTAACGGTCCATTATAACTACAGATCCAAAGTCTTCTTTTTTTCGTTTCGGCGACTTTTTTCAGAATCTTAAGTATCATTTCATTCAGAGTTTTTATTCAAAGTATCAGGCGTAGATCTATTTTTCAAAAAAAGAGAAAAACTGAGCTTGATAATTATGGAAAAATTTTTTCACGAGTAAAAATGGAGGTTAAGTAGATTTATGGAATGAAGAGTCTTCACCCGAAAAAAAGAACCAATTTTCCTATTAGATTTTTATAAAAATTTCCCTTTTTTCTGTTTTCTCGTTTTAACGTATTTTCGTGCTGATCAGGTTAAATTTCGCGCATCCTTTTATAAACGAGTATCATGTCCTAAAGCTTCATTGATGTTCGAATTTTTTTAGAAGAGTTTTTTGACAAAAATATACACTTATCAAGTCTTCAGAGAAGACTGTCTGCTAAATAAGGAATAATTGAAGACTTTCCGGTTCCTGAAACTCTCGATGATCAGAAACGGCGCGTAGATCATCAAGTCTTTTTGGTGATAGTAGTAGAGGGGTTTTGAGCGTCTCGACAATCACTGATTTCCCAGTTCTTTTTGTATCACATTATTTCTATCACTGTTTTCTTTGTTTCAGGGCCGAAAGCAACGCGACGCTCCATCCTTCGTCCATTGTCAAGCGCCAAGTTCTCAACAAAGGCAAAAGAATCGATGTGAGATTTTCTTTGTTTTCTTTTGAAAACTATTTCTTAAACTTTCCGGATCTCTACAAGGTGATACTTATCTATAATTTTTCGAGACTACACAAAAAAGTTTTGATAAATGTTTGAGATAATTTCGCAGGAATTTTTGTTCGCCTAACACTATTGATAGGACTTGAGAAATCAATATTGTGATCACTGAAATAATGAAAAATATTTTTCAGGAGGAAAACGAACCTTCGTTGGAATTCCTGGCCTTCCACGAGCTTGCCATGATTGATGAGGGCTTGACGGTAAGCTCTCCAGTTTTCTTTCAGTTTTCAAGTTTCGAAAAGTTTAAGTTAACCTGTGAAAGGTTAAAGCTGTTTTATTAGCCTGAAATTTCTCCGTAATGAATTTATTGAAAAATCTTCTGTGTAGGAAAAATTGAATGGTATTCAAGTTTAGATAGAATTTTTTCCCCGGTTTTTTGTGGTTCGAAAGTTTTCTAAATAAAAGAAGCTCATAATTGTGAAGTTTCATTTGGCCCTTCTGCACGTAATAGTTTCAGGTTCGAAACGTAACGGTTGTCCCTTCAGCGACAGTGACGTTGTTCTCCGGAGCCATTCGCCTCAAACACAGCATCATTCACGATTTCGGCTTGAGTTCGTCATAAAATTCATTCCTCTTTCGATGTCTATTGCTTTGAGAGTTCTCAACTAGATCTCTAAAAATTGTTCAGACTATAGGAAGTTCTTTTCAACTGAAAAAAACCTCGCATCAAAAAGTAAAGATGAAAAGAAATAGATGGTGAAAAAACATTGAGAAACATGAACATTTCCAGTCATCGGCGAGTTCGAAGCGGAAATGCCGCCTCCGAAAGATCCCGAAGACCGATATTACGACAACAGCGAGTATTACGAGATTGAGCCCTGGTACAGCGTCAAGGCAGATCGTGAAGTCAGTTTTTTTTTTCTCCTTGATTTTTCGAGGAGGTTTTACGGTCAAAAGGAAGCACCAGAAAAATATTTCTGAAAATCCATAAAAAGCAATTAAAAATTAATATCCATTTTTCCTTATGCAGAGTATTGAAAGAAAGCTTAAAAAAAGTTTTCAATAGCTCAATTTAGATAAGTCGAAAACTTGAACTTCTTTTGCTCCTGCTCAGGACACCCAATTGAACACAACGAAAACTTTATTTAAAAAAAATCAAAACAAAAAAGGTTAGGGCAAAAAAAAAAATGAATTGACAACAACGTAAGAGCTTGGTTAACCCGGAAAACTGTTATTCTTGGATGCAAGTATGAAAATATGAAGGCAAAAAGGAAAAACAAGAAAAAAAACAAGAACAAATAGACCATAAGACTGGTGTGCTGGACAGGCGTGAGAAAGAAGAATCTTCAGAATGAAACGCAAGGCTAGACAAGAGGTGAAATAATCAGGAAAAAATTAATTAAAATTTTCAAAGAAAATTTATAATTAGTCCTAATTTTTTGAAACTCTAACTGAACTTTTCAACATAACTTGATGGTATTACAATTTAGAGTAGGAGTCTATCGAGTCGAACTCAGACTCTTCGGCGATTAACTTTGATGAAATTTCACGAGGGTTTCAATGCCTATTTGTTATAAAAAAAAACTGGAACTTCATTTTGAAATTTGACGCGATAACCTCCCAATAATTAACACCGTATAGTGAATTCTGCGCGAACTATTCAAGTTTGAATAAAAAAGAAATTAGGAAAAACCACAGTACACAGAGCTTTTTCGCGTGCTTCGCTTGAAGGACTGTGACCTAGGAATACGGTATTTTGATCAGAAAAAAAAACGTGAGAAGCTGGCGCGGAATAGACCATAGGAATAGACACCGCGTCTCCTGATTCTTTGTTCTATTCTTCCTCCTCTTCTTCCTCCTCCTGCTTGACTGGCGACGCGTCGTCGTCGCAGTTGGCGTTGAGTTGGTAGGCGGCGTCGACGTCGGCCAGCCGCATCTGAGTTCTCTCGCCTTTCATCGCCGGCGCCATCTCCGGGAAGCACTTGAGCACCACTTCGCGCAGTTTGATCCCTTCTTCTTCCGTCCTGAGAGAATTTTAGATCAGAACTAGGTTCGGAGTTTTCAAAGATTTTTTCAGATTCCATATCAAAAAAAAAAACATTCTGCTTGTTAAACAGGGCCTAGATAAAAACCTCTAAAAGTCGCCAAAATTCAGCTTTGAACATTACATTTTTCAAAGGCTCGCTTCCAACAAAGCGAAAAAAAGTCCTTTTGTCAGCATTCTCTCCCTAAAAAACTCAAGTCACAGTAACTGTTAGGAAAGACAAAATGCGATCTTTGCTGTTTTAAAAAAAGAAATTATATCAACGTGATATTAAATTAGAGCATTTAGAAAAAAAAAACTGGCTTCGAACATTTCGATTAATCCGATTCTATTTGAATAATGACATTTTATATTTGGAAACTCACATGCACTCAGGAATCCGAAGATAGTTGGGGTCGAGACCGTGGGCGAGCCTCAAATGCCGGCAAATGTCGGATCGGTGCCTATTTTTGAACGTACACCCTTCGTAGGGACATTTGTACCTGAATATGTTAGGTGAAATTCATTTTTCTTTATAAAAGTGATTATAAACCTCAAAATTTCCGAATGGATGATAGCGTGGGTGCTTCGCTTGTGATAGTCGTAACCACGGACTTTTATGTGAGCTCTACACATCTGAAAAAATTGAGTTTGAAATATGAGTATAAGATGCTGAATGATGGCTGTATGGAAAGAACTAAAAATAATTTTCGCCTTAGGTTGATTTTCAGAAAAAAAATGATAATAATACTTTCAATTCGATCCATCATGAGTTTCTGAGTGATTTTTTTAAATGCAACGTTTAATTCTGGCTATTTTTCTTCAAAAAAATGTTTCATTCCAATACTAATCATAAAAAAAGAACAAGAAAAATATTTTGAAAAAAATCATAATTTCTAGAATTAATCAAGACTCTCTAGACTTCTTCTTTTTATTTAATCTTTTTCATGGCTCACCCAAGACTATAGAAAAAATTTTGAAAGGAAAAAAAAAATCAAGAGCAAATTTAGATTGAAGTTTCATTATACTTTCTTCGCAAATTCTTTTCATAATTTTTTTTCCCACATTTTCCTTATTTTCCAAAACATTGCACCCCTTCTGACTCTATCTTCTGGAGCTCTTGTGTCATCAGATAGCGTTGTTTTCGATCACCTTGCACTGGAATGACTGGTTGGGACGCTTGCGTTTGACCTCTTCGCGGAGGCCGGCCGCGACGCCACGACGGGTCAGATGATTCCGCATCGCCTCGCTGTTGTTGTAGAACTTGAGGAGGTTGGCCGGGTCGAGAGCGCCGAGTTCAGACTCGGGCTCCATCTCGTCGCTGCTCTCCACCTTGCACGAAGGCGTCTCCTGCTCCGGCTGTGGCCCTTGGGCCGTCTTCAGAATCGCCTCCAGCGTCGAGTTGTTCTCGACGCCTTGGTCCCCTCCCAACAGCGTCAGCAAGTCTGGCTGCAATCAATCAATGAATATAGGACGAATCATGCCAGCTTATCACGTTTCTTGCTCTGAAGATGGGAAAATCTCAAATGCCTTGAAATACTACTAAAACAGCTTTTTGCGAGGAGACCTACAGAAAATTTTTCTGTGCTTCTACGTTCTAGCAACAGTTTTGGCAGAGACTGATAGACACCTTGACGTCGTTCTCCTCTTCGACCTCTATTGACGGCTCGGCAATTGTAAGTTCAGATGTAGTGGCTACTTCAGGGCTTTTCTCAGCACTTCGCATCACTTTTATCACCTCCGTCGTTTGCGGCAGGCTTCTTTTCGGAAGTCCTCTTTTGTCTATAAAACTTCAGAAATTCCAAATCTTTAAAAATTGCTCGGAATAATTCTCATAATGCTCAAAGTAGTTTTCACGAAAATCATTCGCATTTTTAAGCTTTTCCTAGGTTTTCATAGAAAATGAAAAAGAAAAAGCAATTTTAAAAAAATTGGAGAGCGTAATAAAAAAAAAATCAAGTTTGAAAGAATGAATGTCTAAAATGAAATTGAAGAACTTGATGAATAATACGATTACAGAAAAAAAAAAGAGAAAAGTGTTTCAAACTTACAACTTCGAACTGGAAAAAGAGGCGTCGGTGTTGTATTGAGAGACGGAATCGCGTGTCTGACAATAGTTCTGACCGTATTCTCCGCCGGGACCGTACCATTGAGCATTTGATTATTTAGAAGATTCAGTTTTTGATAAATTGGATTTTTTCTGACGACTTTCTCGTCTTTTTGCATTTTCATGAGATTTGGTTTTCGACTTTTGGCATAATCGTCGAGGTCATCGGTTACTGTGAACCGGCAGTTGGTGTTGATCTGAAATAGCTTTGATTTAAACTTTTAAAGATAAATTTAATAATGATTAGTAAAAAAATAAAGCTCTGGTTTGGACACAACAAAAATTTTTCGAATCATTTTCTAGAATAATTTAATTCTTTTCACAAGTTTAATGAAAGAAACTTACTAGTAAACTGACGACATTAGCGACTTCGTCTTTCTCTTTTATTTCCACGATTACGTAGGTGCTCGGCATCTTCGCCGTAAAGAAATGTTAGTGATGTTAATATAGTGCGACAGCTCTGAAAAATTAATTTGAACGAATCTTTCGCGAAATTTTAAGTATTATGCGAGCGTTCACCTTATTTATAAATTTCAATATAAATTTCAGGCTTGATTCGAAAGCAAAATAAAATAAAACTCAAAAAAAAACGAAGAAAGTTAAAAAGAATTTTTTTATGAAAAATTGTCGTGAGTTTAAATGTTTACATCTTTGGGAGTGCAGGCACACGAATAGCCTACAGTAATTTGCAAATTTCAAAAAAAATTATCTCTTAAACTTTTTTTCATGTTTCTGAGTTTTCTTTTCAAACTCGTTATTTTTTCGGAATATACCAGTTTTTATTTATTTTGTATCGTGAGTGCTCTTTTTCCAATGCCGAAAAAAATAACATTCCTTTTTTTAATTCGAAAACTTGAGATGTGAACTTTCATTAAAGAAAAAAATTTCTTCGTTATCAAAAAAACTACAAACGAATGCGACGACCTGGGACAGAGAGTCAAAAAAAATTGAAAAAATACCGCGAAATTGGACTCGCAAAATTTAAAAAAAATTGGTAATTAAGTATTTGGGAGTTAACTAATGGAAATTAAGTAATGGGAGATTAATAAGGATTTGGCAAATTGAGCTTTTCTCTGATTGGAAGATATAGAAGAAAGAAAGAAAAACTCAAATCGGCCAGAATGGACTCACAAAAAAATTTTCAAAAAAATTTAAAGGATGAACGTTTATATTGAAAGAATTTATTGAAAATGAAAAATAGAAAAAAATAATGATGAGTATAATTTGGCAAGTTGGGCCATCGCTATTCTAGTCGGAGAAAAGGAGAGACACGATGCGAAAGAAGAAAAAAAGGCAAATCGGCTGGGATGGACTCGCGAGAATTGGAAGGAACGGGTGGACCATGATGAGGTAGAGAGTTTTGAACTTGAGCAGGTTATCTGGTTGGTCTAGTCGGGCATTCGGGTGTGGCCGGCTGGTTGGGTGTTTGTGGTGGATGCCTTCATCGATCGAGGTTGGAGCGCGATGGCGAGAGAGCGGGCCAAAAGGAGAGAGTCCCAGGCGAGCAAGCGACGCTCGTGTCCAGCCCAATCGCCGCGGCTGCCGACTCCCGACGGTTTGCCTTCCCGCTGGGGCCGATGCCACCGTGTTTGGTCAGAAGAGGGACCTTCTGGTCGGCCTCGAGGAAGCCAATCCTTCTCTGAGTATACTTTCAGAGGGAAATGAGGCTGGCAATAATGCTTGGGACTTGGCGTGATCATTGATGTTTCGTTTGCAAGTTTAAACTGTTTTTTTTTAGATTTATTTGAGCAGAAAAAATGCTTTTGTAAGCTTCAATTCTGAGATCATATGCATAAAAGTTTAGCCTAAAGTATTTCAAAAGAGCTGAGCTTTAAAACTTTTCATTAATATGCAAATTTTATAAGCTTGAAGCGATGAACAAGAGTAAAAAAAGAAATTTTTCAAACGGGAAACGCATTCACGCAGCATACAGATTGATGCAATTCTGAGACATTATTTGATAAAAGTGAAAATTTTAACTTACGGTTTTTTTATCTACACGCCGTTTATTTTGGTATAATTATCGGAAGAATAGCTTCCATATGAAATGAAGAAAACTACACGGCCTATTCATATTTCAGCTGATAATTTTTAAAAAAAAACTGAATTATGTTATCAGCTTGAAACCATCGAGGATGCCAGAAAAAAAGAAAAGAAAAAAAAAGACTTGAAAAAAAGCCAGAAAAAAAATTTATATGAAAAAAAATGATTCTTTTATATTTCGCGTTTGACTTAAAATAGTAACTGGTAAATGTACCTTCAAAATATATTTCGAAAAGGTTTAGTTCTTTTCAATGAGGTTTCCTGTTGTTGTTTTTTAAATCTGATCTAAGAATTGAGGTTTTTCTGTTTCAGACATTGCAACGGCTCCTGCGACTACGGTTCAAGTTCATGGAATATTTCCTGGAAGGTCTTCAAAATCCGACAGCCTTCTCCAACACAAGCTCCGAGCACAGTGTTCGTATTTTTGATATATTATTGATTTTCTTAGGACTCAAGATTTTTTTGAGCAAAAATACAGCGTACTCTCCTTTATCAGAGAAAAGGAGATTCTAGCTAATTTTTTGTTCTTGTTTTTAGAAGATGGAATCCTTATTATTATTTTTTCTTTCATTCTTTCTTATTCATGGGAGTCCTTTTTATGGTCTCAACTGAAAGACGAAGAGAAAACCATACTTCAATAATTTCTTCTCAAGTAATTCTGATTATCCAAGCTAATATTCAATTATAATTCAAAAATGTTCGGAAAACTCGGAGTTATATTGCAATTTGGGTGAAAAACAGTTTGTGAGACCTTTGGAATATTCGAAGCTGCAGTTTGTTTGGGTACTTGTGTCGCTTTGCACGCGCATCTTGTCTACTTTAATACTCTGAACGAACTAGCAAGTTCGAAATTCCGCAAATTCTTCGATTTATATCTTAGTGTATACCTCGCCCGCTCTGATGCTAATTTGAAAGGTAGAAAAAAAATTTTTTTTTTGTGATTGTTACTTTATTTTTTTCCTCATCAAATGCACACATCCAACAAAATTACTTTCCAGGAAATGCTGGAAGCGGTGAAAAGCGTAGTGGTAGAAATGCACAAAAAAGGCCGATTTTCGGAGGCGGAGATGCCTCACGTCGACCTCGCCCAGAGACGTCAGCCCCCCTCGCAGTCGAACACGAAAGAAGTCGAGCAGAAGATTCCCCCTGTTCTGGCCGATATCTTCAACGCATACCCGAAGTCTTCTGCCAAGAGAAACGAGAAGAACGGCTTCACTCGCGAGAAACTCGAACCAATGCCTCAAGTGAAGCCGAAGGCTCAGGAGAACGGCAAAGCTTACCGACAGAAGGAACAAAATTCGTGGAAGCTGGAATATCCCAATACTTCTCTCGAAAGGCCGGGCTCAAGCTCTGCGAAGCCGTCAAAGCAAAAAGGCTCGGAGAGGTGGCCAGAGAAGTATGGAAACGGAAAGGCGGCACGTCAGAAAGCAGTCGACGAGTGGAAGCCCGACCATCCCGAAGAAATGATAGACTGGCAAGGAGGCCAAGGAAGCAGACCGTCGAAGCAGCGAGATCCGGAGAGGTGGCCGGAATCTCAAGGAAACGGAAGAATGTCCTCCCAAAAAGGATCCAACGAGTGGAAGCCAGACCATCCGAAAGATAAATACGATTGGCAAGGCGATCATGGACACGCCAAAAACTCGAAACAGCGAGAATCTGATAACTGGAAATCACAGAAAGGATCGTTCGACTGGCAAGAAAACCAAGGAAAGTCGTCAAGGCAGAAGGAACACTATTACGATGAACGCGGAACTAAAGATTATTTCGAGGAGAATGGCCAGGGAAGAGCTTCGCGAAACAAATATCAAGAAAAGAGAAAACCTGAACCTTTTCGTCATCCTGAGAACTACCAAGAAGAGCCGTATCAGAGGGACCGGTGGAGTCAGGACGATCGAGGTCGCGAAGAGGAGTTTCCACGGTCCAAGGGACAAGACAACTGGAGATACCGTGAAGATCCTTATTATGAACCGCCGGAGAAGTTCATCGATCCTGGGGTTTGTTCTTGTTTTTTTTTTCTTTGTGAATTTTTTGCAAACTTGGAAAATTAGAGCTTTTTATATTTAATTCTTCTTGTGGCCTTTTTTGACTTTGTTTGTTTCACTCTTCGAGAAAACAACTGAGAAAGTATTAATTTTTTTGTATTCTTTTTAAAAACCATATGCTTTTTATTTTCTTACATCCCTTAAATAAGTGATTTATGGGTCAATGATTCAAAAAAAAAAACCTTCTTGTCTTATTGCTATAGCGTTATATTATAACGCTATTCAATTGAATTGAATTGAATTGAATAGCGTTATAGACAGCTCTAAAGTTCGACAAATTGGAAAAATAATGTTCCGTTGTCCAAATTGCTTTTGTTAAAATTCTAACGCTCAAACTAATGAACTATGAAATGAAAAATGCGATGATAACAATCAATATTTCAGATATCCAAAATTTTGGAAGTTGTGAACAAGTTGGAAGGGAATCGTCCCGGAACGAGCTATCGCAAAGAAGTAATTAGATATATCTGTCCTGAGAATGATTATATAATTTGCAGAGTTCGAGACAGAGCGATGTGAGACACGGTGGTGATGACAGGAACGGGAATAACCGAAGAACAAACGGACCTCTGTCCCGAGGAAACCAGCCGGACTTCGAGCCGGAAGAAGAGGAAGAGCTCGACGAGCCTCAGGCTCCTCCAGCTCCTTATCATCGACCCGGTGATCGAAATCGACGTCAGGACTCTCAGCAGAGGTCATACCGGCCTGGCAATGAACAGAGGTGAGGTTTTACTCTGTCGGTCTTTGATGGTTCAGTTCAAATCCGATGATAAAAGTGTTATTGATTTTTTCAGCCTTTTTTTCTTCATATTAATTTGAAATATCATTTAATTAATGGAATCAATGGAAGAAATTGGAGCTTAAAAAGTGTCTTTAGACCCATTTTTTGGCATTCGAAACATAAAAAAAGTATTTTTTAGAGATAAATATTTTGATTTTTTCTCGTGGCGATACTGAGAAGATTGATTATGCGAAATATTCAAAAAAGCTCTGATTTTTCCTGACTTGACTGAATGACTTTATTAACTGAGCCCATCATCATTTTTATTCAGGAACGGGGACAGAGAAAATCGTGAAACGGCTCCCTCTGGCGGAAGTTCTTCTCAAAGAGGCCACGGTCATTACCGAACCTCAAATATGGTATTCTTTGCCTTCACCGTTATAACTTTACGGAAGTAAAACCATCAGATACCTAGAAAGAAATTTGAAACAAATAAACCGCGAATCGGAATAATTCAAACTCAGGAAATTCCTGGAATTGTTTGGAAAAGTAAAAAAAAAAGTAAAACGTCTGGCTTCCAACTGGCTGTAAATTGAAAGGTTCGGGAAGATATGTGGAAGTTTGACCACTTGCTTCGAAGCTTCCGAAAGCCTTCCGAGGAACTGAAAACACAAGATTTCCAATTTGTACCATTGAACATTTTTAAAGAAACTTTTCCAGTCCAACGACGGCTTTTCACGAAATTATCGCAAAGATAACTATCATCCTAATCGATACGATAATAACGGTGATTATCACGATCCAGCCAAGGTTTGTCCTCAGTTTAAAAACTGAACACTTTTTATTTATTTTCAGAAAAAGAATTCCAACGAAGACGTCCCCAGGCTCCCTCCCAAGAGGGACAGGGACTTTGATGAACCGAACAAAGGTAAAAGATTTCACCGAGTTCCAATCAATTTCATTATTTTTAGGCCCTCCAGTGGGCTCGGAGTACAGGAAAAACGAGAGGCGGAGGACCATCGTTTGTTTTTAATTAAATTTTATGGCAATTAGAAGAGTGGTGCCGGAGCGCGTTTTTTCGTTGAACTTTTCTTCAAGTTTTTTCAGGATATTTCCGAACAATTTCTCTGTCAATTTACGTCGAAAAAACTTCTGAAAAGAAGAAAAAAACTGGAAAATTAATGCAAGTCGCTCAGCCAACAGAAAACTGGAAACGTATGAAAAAAAAGGAATAGCCCAATTTTTTAAAACTTCTACCATGCTTAGTAAGTTAAAAAAAGGAAAAGATATTTAAAAAAACCAATGAAAGCCTTTTTTTATCTTATCCGACGAGCACACTGTTTTTTTGTGGGGTCCGGACTTTTTTTTAATATTTTTTTCCACAGTTTTCGTGTTTCACTCCAATTTCTTTGAATAGATGACCTAATGAAAAATATATTTGATTTTTGTAATATTTTTAACTTGGACAAAATTTTTAAGTTTGTTTTGAAAGTTCAAAGGACAACTGTGAACGTTTCCGTCTTTCATCGAGGGTTAGAAAGAAGTTTTTTTAAAAATTTATGATAGGTTTCAAAACAGAAAATCATTAAAACTGAGGATTTTCAGCAGACAAAACGACCGTGGGAAGTACAGAGATAGAAACCGTAACAGCGAGAATGAAAAGAACCCCAGGAATGGATCCAAAAAAGGTTTCTGAGCAATTTCAGCTGCTTCTGGAACTTCCAATTTCAGGCCCGTACTACCACGACTGAGAACTGAATCAAACTGAAGACGTCCCGGTTGGACGAGAAACTCCTGGAAACTTCTATTTGGAAAGTTATTTTTCGAATTTCGAAAATTTTCCGTTTTTCTTGCCCCCAATGTCCGAAAACTTTTTTTAAACTTCTTTCTTTTTGTTTTATTTATCTGAAGCTTCTCCAGATGCTCATATTTTTTTTTTCACTTTTCAAATATTCTCATTAATTCTCACGTATGCCTTGTATTTATGAGATTATTTAATTATTATTTCTATTTTTTATGTATGTTATTTTTATAATTACATAGTAATTCATACCTACGCATTTTTTTTTTCGAGTGTCTTACCTTGATCCTTACGAAATTGCTCCTCAAAAAAGATGTTTACTTCGAAAAACGGTCTTTGAAAATGATGTGATTGATTATATATTTATTCTTTTTGATTTTATTTTGTTGATTCACACAATCTTTGCCAATGATTTTTTTTTTTCGTCATTTTGGTTTTAACCTCGGTTACTTGCGTTCTTTCCGGCTTTTTTTATATATATTTATTTGTCTATGCCTTTTTAAAAGTACAGTTTTTTTAGTTGATAACTATCGCAATTATATGCTTTTTTTGCCTACAGTACTCCAGTTGATCTTGTTTATCCAGCTTTCCTTTTCTTCCTCTCCAATCCAAATGTTATTTTACGCATAAATAAGGTTTTCCCAAATATTCTGGTGCAAATAAATTTTATCTCGGGGTCTTTTTTGAAAGTTTTTTTTTGTTCGAAAGACGTTTTGAAACGATTTTACTGTGGTGCTTATGAAGTTTTTCAGAACTATTTCCGTGGAAATAATGTAAAGGTCAAATATAATGAATTGAATGCGAAAAAAACATAGAAAAAAATATCGTTTTTTTAAAAAATGAAGTTGATTCAGAACATCTTTGTCGTCAAATAAAAAAATTTTATTTATACGTTTTCGAACTTTTGAAAAAGCTTCAAAATAACTGAGATTCAGAACGTCTTGATGACGTCGAACGATGAATCCTCCTCGAATACTACGAACACGATCAGTTATGTGTCGATATTCAGCGGCCAGACGCTGATTCTCCCTCAGGTGGGGAAAAAGAATGAAAGAAACTTTGACATCGACAAACTCGACGATGAAACCAGGAATCGATCGGATACGGCAAATGCAGAAAAGTCAACGACTACGTCAAAATGAACCGTATCGGCGAGGGGACTTACGGGGTTGTCTACCGCGCTCGCGACAACGTTTCTTCCGAAATTGTGGGTTGGAGTAGATGTGAATTGACTAGGGGGGAGAATTTGAAGTTTTTTGGAATTTTGCTGGAAGGGCAATATTTTTTGTAACAGTTGAAGGTCTGGGGATCCGCATAACTCATTAATGGAAAGTTAGGATGTTGATGAAAAAAAGGCGATTTTTTTTTCTGGTGTTCACTTGTAGTGTAACCAAATAAGGAAGGTTTTTTCCAATCGACACTCAAGAATTTTCTGGAAAATGTTCGAAGGACTTTTTGAGAATGTTTACTACGAAAACTTGATTTTTAAAGCTTCTTTTGTTCTCAAATATGTAAGTTTTGGCAAAATAAGGAATACATTTCTAAATATTTTAGATGAAATCGAAAGTCGCTTTTCCTACATTTTAAAGCGAGTAAACTGACTTCGTAAACTCTGAAAAGTCCAAAAGACTCTGCAAAACTTTCAACAAAAAAAAAACCAAGCGATCCCAGGTGGCGCTGAAACGAGTTCGCATCAACGAGAAGACGACGGAAGTTTGCGGGATCAGCGAGTCGGCTCTCCGGGAGATAACGCTGCTGAAGAAGGTCCGCCACCAGAACCTGGTGCTGCTCAAGGTTCGGCGTCGTTGGCAACGAGGCGAAGTCTCCTCTGAAATGTGTTTGCACAGGATGTCGCCGTGACGCGCGACCACAAGGGCATCTTCCTCGTTATGGAGTTCTGCGACAGGGTCCGTCTTTTCCGAATCTATTTTCGAAACAAAAGTTTCTACCAAGCAATATTCGACCATATTCCGGATATCTGAGAGCTTGTTTCAAATAGTTTCGAGTCGAAGCTCAATATTTGAGAGTTCGGTTCAGAAACGCTTTTTTGAGGGTCATTTTTCAAGAATTCATTGTCTCAAAATAGAGGTCCAAATGTTGAGAACCGAAAGTGTTAATTTTTGGAAAATGCTCACAAGGAAGGTCATTTCACAAGTTGAGATTTTTCGAAAATTAGCAAGAACACTGCTTGACATACCAGAAAAATATTCTGAAAGCCTCAATCTGCACAACTTTTTAATGTTTGAGAAACGACATATCGAAGTCAAAGAAGTTAGAATAGACCGCTGAGGGCCTTTATCTCTTGAACGTTGTGCAGGTTGAGACTTTCTTTTTTATGGTAAACCAATGAAGCTCAAGTTTTAGGAAATTCCCAAACGCAAAGGAATCGACTGACCTTGTTAGAAAGTAAAAAAAGAATATTCATACCAAATTTAACTGATAAATCAAAAAAATTCTTCAGAGAAATCTCTCAAAATTTGCTGATGAGAATTTATGAAAAAGCTCCAAATCAAAGACTCGTTCGAAGTTTTCAAAATTTGCAAGTTTGATTTAGAAAAGCTCTTTTTTTGAAGTAGCTTCGTTCAGAAATTTTTTTCTTTAAACTTTATGTTTGAAATTTAATTTTTCTACAAAAAAAGGTTGAAAAAAAGGGCAGTTAAAAAAAGTTGAAAATGAATTTTTCATTTTGAAATAAAAAGTCCTTCTTGGAGCCTCTATCTGATAGAAGAACCTCTGATTTGAGGACCTCGCGGCGATTCTCGACCACATGGACACGCCTTTCGCACTGCCTGACATCAAATGTATGACGAAGCAGCTTTTGGAAGGTCTGGAGCATCTCCATCGCCATTTCATCATTCACCGGGACCTGAAGGTTCACAAAACAAGTTTCCTAAAAACTGTTTAAACTGTTTATTGCATCTTCAATGTAGGAATACATGTGCAATCGACTTTCATTGATTTAACTGTGTTTTAACGGCGGCAGGAGCTGTGGCTTAGGCCGAGAAGCTGTGAATTTGGCTCGTAGAACATCAGGTACAAGAGAGGTCGTAGGAAGAAGTACGGTGCCGGCTTTCCAAAGGCCGATGGCAGAGATTGAGCCTTTTCGCTGCATGCAGCTCCCAATTTTATCTACTCCGGAGGGATGAAAGGCTTGGTCGACCTCGGGGGGACTCGATCCTACGACCTCGCGGACGTTAGAAATGAGTCTTACCAGCTGAGCTATGCCCCCCTTCCTAAAAAATTGACTAAAAAAACCTTCTGAAAAAAAAAATGTTTGAAGAATATCTTCAATATCAACTCATTAAGCCAGTGAATTAACAACTTGTGGGAAAAAAACAGATGTTGCTAGGTCTCGAACTTACTGTTGACCACGGACGGAATTCTGAAGATTGCCGATTTCGGCTTGGCCAGGATGTTCGGCGACGAAGAAGTGGTGATGACGACCCGCGTCGTGACTCTATGGTCTCTGTGAAATTAAATATAACACCGTAAATCTTTTCCTCCAGGTATCGGCCACCTGAACTTTTATTCGGCTGTAAGAAACAATCGTCCGGCATCGACATGTGGGCCGTCGGCTGTATCCTCGGAGAACTTCTGCTCCATCGGCCCTTGATGCCTGGGAAGACTGAAATCGACCAGGTGGGAGGCTAATTATCCGGATTCGCTTATCAAAGTCTAACGGTCGTTTAATAATTTTCAATGCTTGGTTTGAGAATGTTGAGGTTGAAGCTTCCTTTGGAAAGATGGATACTTGGAAATCGATTTTTGAAAATAAAGACTAATATCAAAGTGCGATTGGAATGATTAATTGAACATGTTTATTTCAAAAACTTCCTTTTAGCAAACTTTACCACCTTGAAATCTACAGATCGACAAGATCATACAGCTTCTTGGCACCCCTACCAAGCTCATTTGGCCGGAAATCGAGCAGATGCCCTTGCTCAAGAACATGGATCTCAAAATACAGCAGTACAACAATCTGAAGGTCCAGGATGGCTTCTGAATCACTGAGACTTAAGCTATTCCAGAGGGTTTTCGAATCTGCGTCACCGGCCGCCTTGTCTTTACTCAATGAACTTTTCGCCTACGATCCGGCCCGCAGAATGACCGCCTCTGCAGCACTAAGACACCCCTTTTTCACGGTTGGAATCAGAAAGATAAGATTGAAACCCAAGTATCACTTATTTTTGAAAAAAAAGCTAAAGTCGATTCCATCTGACGAAAACAGCCGATAAACATTGATTAATTGATGAAAAAAGCAAAAAAAAGATGCACTAAATTTCAGGAGCTAACCTACTAAAATTACAAAAAATCTCTATTTGTGAAGAAAGTAAGTCTTTGGGACTGCGAAAGGGGTGGGGTAGCCAAATTAACAAAAAAATGTCTATAATGAATGTATTTTGTCTGCAAGAAAGGTTTGAAAAAAATTTATGCTTTTTTTAGAAATACCGAAAAAAACAAAAAAAGTTGATAAAAAAAGTTAAGGAAATAACACTGCGTATTTTTTTCGCAAAAATTCAGTTTTTTTCTTTCAAAGTTACTCATTTTGTTTAATGGCAGCTTTATGTTGGAATTTTCATCAAACTTCGAATATAAAAAGGACTTCAGCTTTGTTATAATCCTTCTTTGTATAATCAAATTAGAGTGTATTTCCAAAGCCCCGGCCTTAATAGACGCAAGCGGAGTTTTTCACCTTGAAAAAAAGTTGAGTTATTGATTGAATGATTTAATCTCAAATGAATAGTTTTCCTTCAGGAACTCCCATTGCCATGTGATCCATCGCTCATGCTTTTCCATCCAGGACGACAATTGGTGAAGCTCAATCGATGACCAAACTTTAACTAATTTTTCGTTATCATCTTTTCGTTTTTTTATAATCAAAAGCAAAAAACGAATAATAATTATACGTTTAAAAAAATCTTGAGCCCTTTTTACGATAAATTTTGATCTCATCGTTAACATTTAAAAATTGATCAAATCTCCGTTAACCTATTCATTTTTGTTTCTGTTGATTTATATTTCTGTGAACGTTGTGAATTCGAAACTTCTTGGAATGAATGAATCAAATCGAAACTTTTCATTTCTCATCACAAGAACTATATGGACGAAAGAAAAAAGCAGTTCAGAAATGCCTTTTTCTTTGTTGCTTCTTACAGCTTTTTTCCGTTGTTTCATCTCGTTGCTTCTTTTTTTTCCGATTTCGCATTTCACATTTGGTCTCGAAGAATTCGTCGGTATCCAAGGCAAAGGCCTTCGACGTCGTCAGGACGACGTCGAATCTGCTGGAAACGCCTCCAAAGAATACACGTGCTGAATAATGCCGGAGAAAAAGAAGAGCAGCCGACCAAAGAAGTCTCCGAGCAGTGCGACGTCATCTCTCACGTCTTCTGATACTGGATCCAAGAATCAGAAGGAAGAACGTCGTATGGGATCGCAGCCGTCGAAGCGCAACGGCTCCGGTTTGGCTGAGCCAGTTTCGGTGGGTTTTTGATTAGGTTCAGGGGTTGAATGTTGTGAAAAAACAGCGCGTCAGTACTTTAACTGTTTTAGATTTCTAGGAACTCGACAGTGGCCTCTATAGGGGCAAACACAGGTGTCCTTGTAGGTCTCTATGAGAAAAAGCATTTCCATGCTAAAAACTCGATGAACACTATTTCCATGAAAAATATCAAAAGAGTCGTGGCAGACTATACACTTTTAATTTGAATCTGCAGATATCGTAGATTACTGTTTCAGAGTACTCAATTAAAGGGTAGATGGTCGATTATTGCTGTGCCGGAAAATCTTCTTAACAAAATTCTTCCTAAAAAAATATTCAAAAGCTTTTTTTCAAATCTCACATTTTCGCTGAGTAGTTGAAAATCAGACAGTTTTTATGAAAAGAGAAGCTTTTTATTCGAAATATGTACAATCCACAGTGAAAAATGCAAAGATTTCCTGACTTTTTGTTGAGTTTGATGAGGACTTTGAAAACTTCAGGAAGGAGCTGAGAAATGGGCGGAAGCCGTGATTCGTCCAGACGACCACGATGTTCCGTCGATGCGAGAGCCCATCAAGAAAAAAATGTCAAAGGTTCTTATTTTTATTTTATTTCATTTGATTTTTGGTCGACTGAATTTTCAAAAGTTTTGATTTTTCAAGCTATGCATTTTACTAATTCAATTCTTTCTGAGAAAAGAAATATATCCACAGGCAAGCGGAACCCGAAAGTTGGGCCTTCTCCTCAAGAAAACGGTGAAAACCGAAGGTTGAAGATAAAGCTAACCGAGGGAGTCGTTCAGGTCAGCTCTTTCCTTAATAATCACGATCGACCATGTTTTTCAGGACTACATCAACTTGGAGAAGGCAATTCATCGCCTGGAGCGGAAAAACGTGCTGAAGAAGTACGAGTCGCAGACGATCTACTCGGACAATCTGAAAAACACGGTCGAACAGCTCGAAGCCGTGCTCAAAGAGCTGCGGAAGCAGACTGAGCGCGAGAAGTCGGACCTGAAGAACATCGAGCAGCCGTCGGTCAAAGATTTCTTGAAACAGCAGGTTTGGCTTCCGTTTTTCTTCATGCAAGTTGAACTTTCAGGGTCAATGGGATGAGAGGCACAAAAAAGAGAGGACAGAGTATATGGAGGCGGAAAATCGACAGGAAACTGTTCAGAAGGTTTAAATAATGGAACAAATTTTTTTATTCAAGATAGAGCGGCTTTTTTGTTACTGAATCTTAAGCAAACATTTTTTAAAAACACTGGAAAACAAAATTTCATCATAGAAGGGCTAACAGCGTCGCAGTCGTCCTGCGGCCAGGCCTCTCCCCGAACCAAATAATTTTATTTATCACTTTAAAATTCTCTGCGCGCAAGTCGTTTAATGTCGGGCGCTCTTCGAAGCAACCCTTTGCTGTTGTTCCGCGTTCAGCCCTTTTATGTGCATCCGAAAATAGTGTGCTCAAAATGTTCTCACCAGTCTGTTCAAATGACCAGAAAAAAATTATTTTTTTCAGGACTTTTTTTCTTTTTTTCCGAAACGTTTCAATATTTTTTTGACTTTCATTAATAAAATAGTATTAAATAAATTTAAAAAAATATATGAATGATATCAAGGAGCTCAACTTGGCAAGGATAAACTACGACAACGCCCTGAAGGTCATGGAAATCTACAAGCAACAGACGGACAATTTGAACGCTCTCTACGATAAACAGGACAAAATGCTTGGTTTTTTCCCAATTAAAAATTATGAATTTTGTTTTGTTTTTAGAAGGGATTTTTGGTCCGGATTACGCTTCGGAGAAGGAAAAATGTACTGGAGGGTGAGGTGAGGAAACAAGTATTTTTTTAAAAAAATGTTGGTTGAATAACAAAAAACCTTTTTTTTATTCTTTGAGTTTTTTTCAACAAAAGAGATTGCTATCAGAACAGAATGAAAAAAACTACACGATTGAGGTTTTTTTAATATGTCTTTTTGTTTTTTTATGAAACTCCCTGGTAAGAAAAACTGAACCAAACAAAACTTTCAAAAAAGGAGAGCTTTTTTTTGTAAAAAAAAAAGCAAAAAATAAGGTCAGAAAGTAAATTTCCACTTCCAGAATTAGCAAAATTTGACGCTCATCAATTTTTGGACATTATTCAATTTTTTTACGGTTTCTAGAAAGTTTTTTTTAACGGGAGACTATCCACCTGAAAACAACACTATTTCACCCAATGAAAATTATCTTAAAGTTATTCTTAAATTGAAGCATTTTCGAGACAAAAAGTATGTTTTGATCAAGGTGGACGACATGGTGGATTGGCAACAGCGAGTCTCTTTGGCAATGTTCAAATGGGCGAATGGCCGAGTACTTCTGGTACACGCCCTGACCCAACTCACGTTCGGAATCAACCGCTGGCAGGACATTCAGTCCTTCGAGAAGGAGTTCGTAGCTGAATCTTTCGGAAAATAATGTTCATTTCTGACGGGAAGGATCGATTTTTGCTTTGGGAATACATCTGAAGTTCACAAAAGGGAAAGAAAATCGTAGAAAGTGTACTGTTCTTGAATACGCTTCAAGTGAACTTATCTATATATTTTTATTTTGAAATCGTCTTTGGTTTTTTTTAAACCCAGATTTTCAAATATATTGCAAAATATTTTACATTTCGTCTAACTCATTTTTCGTAGTTATGAAGAGCTGAAAGCAGGGAGAATAAGATATAGTATGTTTATATTTTGAATGTCAAGTCGTCGCCCAAGCGCCGCTCCTAAAGCCGCTATAAGCCAATCAGAGCCTTCACAGAGCGTCTTCGAATGACGTCATTGAGCTTGAATTTCAAAATCTGAACAGACTATACCATTACTAGGAAAGAAAAAATGATTTCATTGAGAAAGTTGTACCATTTTTTTTCAGCAACCAGAGAGGACGGTACTTTGCCGCGGCAGAAGCCAGGAACAATTTCGTCGCCGCCGCACAAAACGTTCAGTCTTGTCGCATGTACCTTCACAAGGTCATTTTTCGATATTTCGTAGGAATTAGGAGAAATGAATAATTAAAGCTGATTAGAAAATAAACTTCGAGGGAGAAAAAGCGGCATCTGATGGGAAAAATTGTAGGTGAGATTCAAATAAATGAAACGAAGGATGTCTCATGAACTCTTCGGCGAGACTCCCATGAAAAAAGCAGCAAAATCTTAATCTTTATTTTTTTTTTTCCTCAGAAGCGTTTCCTCGAAATTTCGCCGCTTGATTCAAGACAGCCGTTGATCATTTTTTTGAAAAAAATAGATTATCGATTTCTAATAAAAATAGTTCAGCGATCGATCTGAGGTTTCAGATGGAATCATATATTATTTGAATGCAATAAGATGAACTGCAGGTCGAATTCCCATACGCGACCGAGCAGGAAATAACTGAACTCGAAGATACCGTCACTTCTGCTTTCAAAAACGTCCAAGACGACGCTGCTTGCAAAAAATTCAGTTTTCCTCAAAGATCCCAAAGTTATTATAATATTTTCCAGGCTCTGAAAGTTTTCGAAAAAACGCAACAAAAAGTCGCTTCGCTAATCCAGTGGTTCGACAAAGTCATCAATGAAACTATCAGGAAAGATCTCGACACGGCGAATAATGCGGTTAATCTTCCAAGTTTTGGAAAGATAAGAACTTTGTTCCAGGTAATTAAGAAGCAAAAAGCCTTGCGAGAAGAACGGCTAACGTTGATGAAGAAATTGGTTCGTTTTCCCCTTTTTCCAGTAGCTTTTCGTGATCTTTCTCAGGCGAAAAAAGAGCTGGATCACGATATGCACATCGAGCACGATGATTTGGAGGACGACGAGTTGGAGCGGGAGCTCAAGGAACTTGAGCAACAGGCTCTCAGCCAAACCAAGGGCAACAGCGACGTCAAGGTTGGTCCTTGTTGGTTGAATAACTTATAAAACGAAATAAGTATTTGTAGAAAACTACAAGGGCTCTTGTTTGAGGAGCCGGATAAAACTTATCTGGTTCACGGCTTGGGGTATCAGGACAAAATAGATTTTTTTTTTTGTTAGAGCCACGAAGGTTTTAGAAAAAAACATGTTGAAACTCGCCAGGTAATAGCTTGAAAAGTTTCATATTACTGTTTTTATACAACTAACACTTTGAAAAAATTTCCTTGAAAAAGAAGCACGAAAAAATATTTTCCATCAAAAAATCATCATGATTTTTCTTGGTATCTTATTTTTTGCAGGCAATTTTAGGAGCGTCAGAATAGCCCCTAGGGTGGTTAGGGGGAAAACACCCCTATAGGTGACAAGGGGATCTTTTCAAGCTCGAGTAACCCCTTTAGGTGGAAGTAACGTGGCTTTTAAAGGGAAATGTTCAAGGATACTAACACGGGAAGTGCGAAAGGTCGAGGTATTGGAATTTAATGAAACTTGGTATATAGGTACTTCCGAACACCCTGAATCCAAAGCAGTTGAAAAAAAGTGCGCCTTTTTGGTTCTAGTCGAGTTAGGGCGCCTCAAAGTTTGCACGCAAAAAATGCATGGGAAGGGAGGAGGGAATGTGTTGCGGCGGCAAACTCTAACTGCCAGCAGGCGGCGTGGTGTAGCGGCTAGAGGCCTTGTGCTGTGAAACCTATGATGCAGGTTCGGTCCCTTTTTGGTGAAATTTTTTTTGCCAATTTTTTTTATTTGAAAAATGAGGAAGTTTTGATGATGGAGTGAAAGAACAGCTCAAAATTTTGAAATTCACCATTTTATGCCCATCTGAGAAAGAGTTTCGACAAAAAATTTTTTTGCTCAATTTTCTTTGCCTAACCATAAGGCTTATGGTCGACCCATTCCTTCAAAAAAATTCCTGATGAACCAAGAAAATAAAAGTTTTATGAGATTTATTCTTCTTTCCTTACTTTATGACGTTATGTGTTGAAAGATGTGAATCAAAGTCCAGCTTCACTTCATTTTCGCAATCGAGATGATATGGCGATGCTGCAGAGGAGGAAAAATACCAGGAAGTGGATTAACTAACCGCCATCTTTGAAGAAAAAAATTGTTTGATGAATAAGAATAGAAGCATAGAACTACAACAAGTTGTTATTTATGACATAAAACTAGGGACCGCAAAGCCACGCCCCTTTTCGCGATAGAAAAAGTGGCTTTTTTTTGGTTTTCAACTTTCATTTTGATGTAGTTGTAAAATATGTGGAACTGGCAAATAAAATTTGACACACTTGTACAGAAAAAGCTTCCTCTTTCGTTTAAAAAAATATTTCACGCTTTTTTTGATGCGTTCGCGCGGAATGTCGTACAAAAAAACGTGAATGGAACTAAAAAAATTTTTGTCGTTTTTTTGCTTTTTCATGTGTTTTTCAGGTCGAACGCACTCTTTCTTTTTTTAAATAATGATTTTGATTCAAGTAACGGTAATTTTAAAACAATAAAATAAAAAAATTCGTCTTTGCCAAAAAAATTTTTAGGGAGTGCCGAAAGTCGTAATTCAAAATATCGTTAATATGCGAATATAATCGAGTTTTTTTCTTTTTTTCAAAAATTTAGATCACGGGCTTACTTAAATATTTCTCCACAGAATATGTGCTTGAAAAAAAGTTGTTTAATACGCAAAAAAATGCTCTTGAAACTAGAGGATAAAATTAGCGGCGTTTATCACACAGAAAGCGGTCGAACGCAGGTTTTTTTAAACGATTATATACATTTATTAGTAAAAAAATCTTTCAATTAAAAAGAATAAAAATAAAAAAATTCGTCTTTGCCAAAAAAATTTACGGGGCCGTTTTAATGCAGCGATCGTTAAACGAGGCAAAAAAAGCACTAAAAAAACAGTTTTTTTCGAAGTGAATTTCCACGAACCGTTTGAGTAAAGATTTGCAAACATATTCTGATAAAAAAATAGCTAAATTACTTCAAGTTTTTTTCTTTTTGAAATAGACAATCTGTGCTATTCAAACGGCTCAAAGGGTATGGCGGATGGAAGCTCCCCGCGTTGGACCTAACAGCTTGGCGCAACGCGTGCGCTCCGATTTTACATTTTGAGGTCGCGAGTTCGATGCCCGCAAGCGGCAGTTTTTTTGTTTTCTGGAAAAATACCGACTTTTTCGACAAACTAGCTGATTAGCATCATTTTAGCACTCTAGTATGATTTGTTACATCATAATAGACCAGTATCAAAAATTTGTTCTAGAAGAAAAAAATCGAAAAAAATGTCAAAAAAATGGATAATACCAAAATTTCAGTACTAAAAAATGGTGCGCGGCGCGCCACCTTTTCCGTCATAACTTTTTTTCATCCTCAATCTTTTTTTGAAAAAAACTAAACGGTTCTGAGTTTTTGAATCGAAACAGCTATCGAACCATACAAAGCTCAATGCTGAAAAAAATTTTTTGAAAATTCGTCTGCGGTCCCTACATAAAACTATGAACTCTCGCAAGAATAATCACGACGCCCAAATTTCCTGCACAGAGCATGACAAAAAAGGAAAAAAACTTTTTTTGTTGAAAGTCTTTCTCAAAACGACATAAAATAGTGAATTTTAACACTTTGAACGGTATTTTTCGTTCCATCTTCAAAAATTCATCAATTTTTTTGAAAAAATTCATGGCAGAAATAAATTTCACCAAAAAGGGACCGAACCTGCATCATAGGTTTCACAGCACAAGGCCTCTAGCCACTACACCACGCCGCCTGCTGGCAGCTAGAGTTTGCCGCCGCAACACATTCCCTCCTCCCTTACCCTATAACACCCTTTTTTTTTATCAAATAGCTCCACTCCGTTCTGTAAACCACAAGAGTTCCAATTTGGTCGGAAAAAGTTCTTCTCACTTTCAAAGTTCGAAAACAAGAAAGTTAAATTTTTTGTTAAGGAGATCCTGGAAATGGGCCAGAATGAGAACAGCATGATGCCGTTGAGCAAATTGGCGCCTCTTCCTTCAAAAGACGCTCTTTTTGGTTTCCCATTCTCGAACCACCTTATATTCTTCAGCTTCTTTCAGGTGACGTCAAACAGAAACTGGACGAGCACGACGAGACGCGAAAACAGTTTGAGAAAAGGAACCTGGCACAGCGCGAGAAACAAGCAATGGCTTTGCAGGTTCTTTTTTGGAGAACTTTCAACAGAAAATCTCGAAGTTTCCAGGAAAAGCTTCGACTCCGACAGCAAAACGGCCGACGCAATCGGAAAGAACGACGGGCCAGCATCCGACCCATCAATCCCGACAAACTGTCGCCGGTCAGCGTCAAGAGCAAGAAGAAGCCGCGATCGGCTGAATAATCCGTTATTTCCATTGATAAATATTTTTTGTTGGAAAGAGAGTAGTGAAGTTGAACAGAAAGGAATAATTCGAAACTTTGATATTATTATATTCATAGCGGCCGCGAAGAAAAAAATAGGGTTCTGGAAAAAGCTGAAGGGGGGTCCTATAGTGAGTAGAAAAGTCCGCTACTCAGGTATACTAAAGTACCATATTTTGCGCTCTTATAGGACTCCCTAGTTTGTCGTTTGGAACCCACTATAAGGAGTTTGCAGAAAGTGGCTAGTAACACATCTCTCTACACAAAAAAAAAATGAACTTTGAAAATAAAGATTGAAATTTTCACAAAAGTTGAATCGATTTGATAAGAAACGTAAAAAATGGATAAAAAAGAAGATCCGTAGATTACCCCATCAGTTGATTAAAATTGAAGTAATTTTTTCCGAAATTTCATCAAAACCCATATTTTCTGTTTCCCGATGTCAAAGGAAATTCTTGCAAATTAAAAAAATCCACTTCAAAAAATGAGTAATCGAAAAAAAAAGAAGACTGAAGTTTGACCCAGCGAGGTTTTGAGTGGAAACGTTATTTAGTCAACAGCTCTTTTTTGACATCACTCGTCTCTCAGAACATGAACTCATCGAGCACGGGCAAATACGTTGAAGAGCGCCAAAATATTGTTGGTCTAGGAGTTGAGGCAGCAGTTTTACTTGTGGCAACTACGTGGGAACGTTCTGCCCAAATGTTTCATTAATTGAAAGCCTTTCTTCAATTTCAAACTAATCAGAACATTTTTTAGGCTTTTGAAGTTTTTTTTTTGCACAACTCACTTTTTTTTTCGATTTTTTGAGATTTCTAGTAGTGCAGTTGATGCCTTTGAAAGCTTTTGCTCGAGTCATTCCCAAAACTGAAATTTTTTTGATTATTTACTATTGGATAAGACGTTTGCTTGGAAAGTCGACCCTTTGACACTATTTGTTTTCTTCTTAGGAATCCCCTGCGTTCGAGTTGAGTTATACTGTCGAGAGTTGGCTTTTTCCTTTCAGAATTCCCATTTTCCCTGCTTTTCAGAAGAGTCAAGCTCAGAATGACGTTGGCACGAGAGTCAGTTATCGAGGCGAACCAAAAAGAAGCCGTGACGGTTCTGGAGACGGAAAACGACCGGCTAATCATGGCCCTGCTTCTTATCATCATGCCTGTGAGTTTTCGTTGTTTTAGTCGAGAGTTAGAATTTCCAAAATCACTGCTAATGGAATCAAAAAAGCGATAAAATAGGATTTTAAAATGAAAATTTGAATTAAAAAGTACACTTAAATACTATCTATTTTGAAATGTCCTCACTGGATCTCTTCAAGGTTATTACGAAAAAACATTCTGTTTCACATAATACAGAAAAAGGAGAAAAAAATAGACTTAAAAGACTTATCGCTTATAGAAAAGTGTATAGACGAAAAACCAGTCAGTTACTAAGAAGGAAATAGGAGTTTGATTCAATTTTTCCTGTTTTTCGATCTTGATAGCATCTCAATCCCAAGAAGGTTGCCATGAATTTTCTACAGTTTATTGGAAAATTCAGTCGGAGGAACAACTTTTGCCGAAAGGAGCATTCCTGGCGTTTTGATACATTCGAGCAAAAATTGAAAAATTGCAGCCACTCGCCGTGTTCTTCAAGTGTCGCGGCTGCTCGAAGCACATGTGCATCAACATCTTTTTGCTGCTGCTCCTGGTCCTGCCGGCGTACTGCCACGCCGTCTGGTTCTGCTTCATCCGCAACCAAAACACAGTCGTCGTCCGTGACAGTCCCTCCTCACCGGCCCACATCTCCTTCGGAAATCGCGGATTTGTCGAGCATCGAGTCGCCGAAGTCACTTACGTCAAACACTGAGTCATTTTCCTGGATCTGTCACTTTTTTCGTACGAGTTTCCGATTGAAATGTATAAACCTGTTTACCGCAACACATGGCTTCCAGCTTGGAAAACCAAGCTTCTCCACTTCTTTTAAACAGAAAAGAGTTTTTCAAAGTTTGAGCACCAGTTTTTTTGGTTTATCTAATTCCTGGAATCAAGAAATCGTTACAAATTTTTTTCAAACTGTTTTTTTAGATGAACTAATAACTTTTCGTCCCGAATTTCTACTTAATCTAGCCTCTTTGAATTTTAATTTAGAAATTTTTCCTCTTTTTCTGTTGCTTTAACGAATAAATTTTGTTCTGAATCTCCTTTTCTCGACTGATACAACTTCTAATATGTGCTCAAATCAGACTTGAGCCCACTGAAAAACGGAAATTTGAAACATACGGAAACGGGGCAATGAAAGAAAAAATGAAGAGAATGGCATCTGGAGATCAAACTTGAATCTGGTCATGAAAAATTCAATTTTTTCCCTGTTATGGAGTTGAAATGTTTTTAAGACTTGGATTCTTTGAAAAAACTAAATAAAATCTCTACTCCGGTTTCTTATAATTATAAATAAAACAAGGAAAGTCTCGAAATAAAAATAAAATAGAAAAAGACAAACTTACAAAAAGTTTTTCGATTTCTTCATCCGATCTGCCTGCCTTTTCTTCAAGGCTTACTTAAATATTTTATCATCTTCAAAAAAGAGCTCTTGGATCTAATGCTTGAACTATATCTAGAAGAATCAGATGAAAAAGAAAAATCGCAAAGGTTTTTTTGCAGGTTTCGAAAAATTCATTTTATGACTAACTTGAATTTTATTAGAAAAATTGTCTTATTAAAACAACTTATATGACTCAAGGTCAAGTGAACTGTGCTTTCAAACTGAAAAGACGAAAGTTTTGCTCAAATATTTTCGCGCACTTATTTGCCCTCCATTTCCTGGCGGTACAGGAAAAGAATGGGTGGAGTCCCAACAAACATACTTTCAACTCAAAGTTGTTCACTTACCGCGTTTGTAAACTCTTTTCAAGTTGCTCCCAAGTGTTTTTTGAGGTTTTGGTTCGAATTTTAAAGCAAATTGACAAAAAGTAAAAATATGACGTTAAAGTTGCCTCTTCATAAAATTATAGCGCTCCAAGAGAGAGTTTCAAGCTTCAACTCCAACTTTTTAGAATTGAAAATCCTTCTCATACATCTCCTTACGTGTCTATGAAGCTACTTGAGAAATGAGCAAAAATTAAGAAAGATGTTCAAATGACATGAATCGCTTTTTCGACCTTTTTCAAAAAAAAATAGTAATGTTCCAAAATGTTTTCCTATGCCCTGTCATCCTCAATCATCTTATTCGCACTTCGAATGTCGTGAAGATGCAACCGACCCAAAACGACTTACGCTTCTTGAAATCGAAAAACATTGAAACAAACTTCTGAAGATGAACTTTGTGAAAGTATATTTAATCGGGAGTCATTCCAAGTGCGGCCAAAACGTTTCACGTTCTAGAAGAATATCAAAACTCTTATATAATCCAACTAGGAAAAGTTTTTTACCCCCGGTTGAACTTTTGATGAAACTTTGCTGAATTGTACTTTGGGACCTTCTAATTACAGAACAAGAAGAAAGTTTCTCGCAATAGATCTCGTTTTCGAGTTAGGACATTTCAAAAGCTCAAAATAGCGCTTTTTTGTCATAATTTGCGTATTTTGCGGACTTTGAAGCTACATAACTCAAAAACAAGATAAAAAGGCGGTGAAAAAAAAGTTAAAAATTTTTGAAGTAATCTGCGTATTTTCAGCGAAAACATGATAGTTAAAGACTGTTCAAAAAAAACTCACAAAATGTTTTTTTTTTTCGGGCTTCTCCGAATTTTTGCACTGTTATGAAGAGGATGGAAGTGTGATATGAACCTCATTTCCTGAAGCCAAGCTCTTCCCATCAATGTTTTTCCAGACCCTGATAGCGTCTGGAAAACCTTGTTTCATTCTCTTATTTTATGCTTTGTCTAAAGTACTTGCCGCGAAATTGAAAACTATCTTTAACTCTCCATTATTTGGGTATCTTTTCCCCTCTAGGACGGCTATTTTGAATTTCGCGGAATCACTTTAAACTCGACATTATATCTATCGCAATGTTTTCTATACTTTTTCGAATCTCGGTGAATCTCAGAATGGCGACGACGATAGAGGTTCAGTCGCAGGGACCCGTCGGGTCTGCCCCGGTCGCCCACGTCGTCCGTGTCGAGAGCGACACGGACCGCATCATCATGGTCATTCTACTAATTTTCTTCCCAGTGAGTTTCGAATCTTTTATTGAAATGTAGACCAGAGGACCCAGATGGGATTTTTTTTCAATGAAGCATTTTTCGAATTTAGAATCACAAGGGAAGACCAGGGAAGAAGAAAACAGTAATCGCAGTAAAAAAACAAAAAGTTTTCCTAAGCATCTTGAAAATTTGGAAAAAAAGACAACTTTCTTATTGACTTGTAAAGTTGGACTTGTATTGATATTGACTTGCTTCGAAATGAAGGAAACTGTACCTGGAAAAAAAAAGCCAGAATAGTTGGGAGAAAAAAAAATCTGCTGTGAAGAAAGAAAGCCTAAATTAAAGAAATTTTGTAAAAAGGGAAAATTGCGATCTTCGATTTCAATAATTGAGAAAAAATTCCTTGAACTTCAGTTCAAAAAAATAGATAATTATAGGAAAAAAACGACTTGTCATAAATAATGGAAGGAGAAAAAAAGTTTCAATAAAATTGAAAAACCAAAATATTTATGAACAATTATTCAAAGTTAAAAAGTTCCAAGTGCGTATTAACGATTAACGCGGTTATTTCGGAAAGTAATTAAAATTTTTTGATTATAGTCTGTTCAGATTTTTAATGTCAAGTGCAATGACGTCATTCAAAAACACTCTGTGGATGGCTCGCTCTCTGATTGGTTTATCGCACCATTATGGGCGGAGCTTGAGCATCGACTTGACATTCAAAATCTGAACAGACTATATCCCGGGAGCAAAAATTTTTTGGAGCAGTATTCATTTTTGCGGCTATTTTCTCTCGAAACGTTTCTCATCTCACCCCACCTGTGAAGAAACAACATTTCACTTTTCACTGGGTATTTCATTAGCTTCACGTTTCAGCCCTTGGCGGTGATGTTCAAAGACGGCGGCTGCTCGAAGGCGGCCTGTCTGAACATAATTCTGCTGTTTCTGCTGGTGTTTCCGGCTTACTGCCACGCCGTCTACCATTGCTTCATCCGCGACCGCAAAAACGAAGTTCGAACCCAAGTTCTTGGCTGATTACGAATACTTTTCTACAGTTCTGTTCTAAGCTGAGCTTAAGCCTCTTTTCAGTTCTTGAGATATTTAAGAATGTTAAAGTTTTTCTTTAATCGTAGTGACACAATTTTCATTTCATTTGAAACAATTGTCGATCTGAGAGAATCAATCTGTATCAATCTAGCCTGTCTGCTCCCTCTCTACTCTCTTGTTTACATTTTTTCATTTTGGCACCAAGACAAAAGAGAAAAACGGGACAGTTTCTATTTTGAAAAAATATTTAAGGACCGTGACTTTCCATTTCTTTTATCAAATTTTCATGTCAGATTCAAGATTGTTATTTTTTTTTCTATTCTTAAAATCATGTTTTGTTCTCTAAACTATCGTCTTGTATAAATAAATATTCCTCGACCTTCTTTGAATTTCGCAGCCGTCGCTGTCTAATTTCTCCATATATCTTCTGGAACTTGAGACAAGCTGGCCGTGAAATCGTTGGAATTCCTTCATTATCAAGTGAATTTTGACGAGGAACAAGGACAATAGGACATTCTCTCAGTTCGGTTAACATAATAATTAGAAATATCATGTGAGAAGATTCCATTTTTTCAACTTTCGATAGGTCTTATCAAAAGATTGAAAGAACGCTTCCGCGTGGTCTCGTGATGATTCACGCGCAACCGAATTCCCGTTTCTCAGTACCTTTCTTCGAACATTTCTCAACAAATGATAACCCATCGCGATCGTTTGCATTCATTTCGCCAACGACTTACGCTTTTTATTTTATTTTTTTAATTTTTAAACAACGTGTTCGTAGTTTTTCTTTTGAAAATAAGTAGCTAATTTATCAATTATCAATGCTATATTTGGATGAAAGGTCTGAGATTTTTGTTACTAAGGATTTTTTTTCATCAAGAAACAAAAATGAGTTTTTTTTTTCTCATGTGTCAAAAAACATTTTCTTATTTGAAAGCTAACGACATTTTACCCAAGCTCGAGAAAAAATACTTTCTTTTTTCAACTTTTTTGAACCTTTCTTCTCCCTATTCTTCAATCAACTGCATTAATATTACATTTGAACCCATTTATAACTGAATATTGGGCCCAGAAAAAGTGATTCAAATCGAAAATCACGAAGAAATGTCGACTAAAACGACGCGAAATGTGGCCTACGAGGCCGCCATGATGCTTCTTTTGGCCCTATTTTTCATACCGGTGTGTTGAGAAAAAACTTGAAAATAAATCAATAAGGTTTTCAGAAGAAGCTGTACGACTGTTTCCAATCAATTCGAAATTTGTCGCCAAATTCTCGATCGAAGAGAAGATTATAAAAGAAATTTAATATCGAATTGTTCATTTTTCTTGTACAAAAATGTGTCATAATTATTTGATAATAAAGTTTACAAAGTACCGATTGCGAAAGTACCATTAACAACAGATATTTTAAAATCAAATTCAAAAAATACAGGTAAAGAAAATAAACCACATAAAATTTGCTCATTCATTCATACTCTCTCTCATTTTGAAAAAAATAAAATATACTATTGAAAGGTAGCTTATTTATTAATTATCAAGGCAAGATTTGGATAAGGTCTGAAATGTTTTATGAGCCCTCGATGATAAGAATTTTTGATAAGCTGCCTGCAAATCACTTCAACTTTCACGGAACCGGAACATCTGTGCTAGAGTTGAAAGAATCGAACTTCCTATGAGAAATTTACCACAGTAGGACAAATTGTTGAGAAAAATCATGAAATTCAAGTTTTTAGATTCAGAACTTTCGATTTTCTTGGAAAAGAAATGTTTATCATATCAATATGATCCAAAATAACAAAGAATCAGTTTACAAATTGTGGAAACGTCCCAGAAATAAGGTTTTTTTTTAACTAAAAAAAAGATAGAAAGATTAAAATATTTTTACAATAGAAATGCTTAACTTCAAAAATTTGTCAGTTGAATTTCGCTGAAAGCTCCGAAAAACATTCCTAAAGCAACTATACAGAGAAAGGAGAATCACTGGAAAAAGACTTGCAAAGAACCAAGATAGACTGTGGTAAATGTTGCCATTTCTCACTTTTTTCTCCACTAATCTGTAATTTTCGGCGTGTCGCCTTGTCAAAAACTGATAAGAAGCGTGCCGTTTTTGCATTTCACTTGATTTGAGTACCCGTTTTCTCGCCCCTTAACGGAACTTCCAGTTGCAACGCTACTATTTCAAAAAATTCTCATTTTTTTTGTATTTTCTGGTGATGTTTGATTAGAAAAAAAAGTTTAGAGCAGAAAAAGTGTGAAGAAAGCGCGGGAAATAAAAAGAAGAAAACATGATATATTTTTTTCATGATTTCCGTCAAAAAAAGCATTTTTCGTTTCTTAATAATTTTTTTAAATTTCTTTCAAAACGTCGACTTTCTCAGATAATATATCAAACATTTAGTTTCGACAAATTAACCTTTTTGAAACTGTTTTTTTGTGCTTCCAGCTTTTTAATTCCACTCGCTTTTAAAAAAATAAAGATTTTTTTGAAGCAACTTGACTTATTCAGTCGACAGTTGATAAAGTATTAAAAAAACGTTCTAGGAAGAATCAATAATTCAGTTTTGAAGGAACTTATAATTATATTATCAAAAGCCGAAAAAAAGAAAGAAAATGCTACATGCAATCTCAAGATCTCTGAAAAAAATCGTAAAAATAAAAAAAGTCAAAAATATTTTTTTCTCATTTTCCATAAACAATCAGAACTGACTCTGGTCGCTTGATGGAAAATCGGAAAGCTTGAATTTTTCGCCCCTAAAATTTAGAATCTTGAATATTTCCAGGCTCTTTATACAGCATATCAAAGACTATTCTAGCAGTTTCAAAAAAGTTACTTTATTTCAATTTGAAAATTACTCGAACATTGAGTCAAAAAAAAACTTTTCTATCATCTATTCCGTGGCAGCTTGTCACTATTTTTTCTTCCGAGCTACAGAACCCTTTTTCTGCAAAACGCACGTGTGGTTATGTTCATGCGCTTTTAATTTAGCCTACAAATTGTCGTTATTTCAAAAGTGGATGCACCCAGACATGCGTGTTAAGAAAAAAGTCGAACCTCACTAGTCAGAGGAAAAAACTGTGGCAAGCTGGCGCAGCTATGAAAAAGTCTCTCCCGTACTTCTTGAGCGCTCTAGAATCCTATCTCTTCCAAAAATGAAAAAATGGCAAGCAAATATGAAATTTCATTATCCAAAGGTAACAATGCACCTGAACGTGGACAAGCCGGACACGATGCAGACCGAAAAGGTCCACATCACGGCGACCGGACTGGCGCCTCATCGACTGTTCACCATGGTTATGAAGTGAGTTGGAATTATTCTTAAAAGAAGTTGGAAAATAGTTGCGTGTGCATTGGAACTTGGAACTTAAACTATTTTTGATACGCAGATTATTGTTCAGAGTGAGACACAATTACGGAACTCACAGCGCCACGGCGACTTTCCGTTCCAACGCTGCCGGATGTATCGACTTGCAAACGGACGCTCCGATAAGAGGAACTTATTCGGGTATCAATTTTCAAGAGAAAAGTGGCTTGAAATCCGGCAAAAACTTCATGCCCTGCACAATCAAAAGAGAGCATCTGTCTTAACGCACGACTCTAGTCTGTCTGCGTCTCTTTTCCCTCAGTCCGCAAGGTAGTAAAAACAAAATGCAAAAAGGGCGCAGGCCAAGAGCAAGGAGGATCCAGAAAAAGCAGACTGTTTTTGTTGTAGCGTGATTAGGACGACGACAAAACTTCGTTGAAAATTTTCAGCTCAGCATTTCTTTCATTAAAATATGGCTTTATTCAACTTAAACCAGGCTTTTGCTACGTAGGCGGCCTGTGCCGGTCCGCACTTCGGGCTTCATTCGTTTGCAAAGAACCCTGCGCGGGCTTTGGCCAGGCTTCAAATAAAATTATTGAATGCAATCAAAAAAATTTCTATTTTTTTATTCAAAATTTTCACCAAAAACATTCATTTTATTTTCATTGCACTTTAAGTGAAAACGTGATATTTGTCGTAAAAAAGTCTGACAGTTAACTTGAAGAAAATTACCGCTATTTGGGTCTTGCCGACCTTTTTTTTTAGTCGGAATCAAAAAAGGGCCGATTGACGGCCTTTGCACGAGCCTGGCTGCTACCATATTTATAAAACAAAATATTTTTTTTTCTGAAATTAGGAGCCGAGCCGATGGGACTTTTCATGTCGCAAATGCCACTGGAAGACTTTGCCTACGGCGGTTATCTCAGGTGCACTCCGCCAGTTCCTTTCTACTACGAGCTCTCGTGAGTTTCTCGATTCAAAAAGCTGAAGAATGAAGGATGTCAGATTGTACGATGAGAAGGAGAAGGAACTGGACCACATAGTCATCAAAAAACACTGGATGCACCCAAACTTGACAAGAATGGAAGTCGAATATGAAGGCTTCTATGGAACGCTTTTCAAGCCCCCAGGTATCAGAAGGTTGCGAATACTTAGTGTTAACTTAGGTTAACTTAGGTGGTCGACTAAAATTTGAAAGTTTTTCAATTCTCGGCTGTTTTGAATGTATATATAGAGACCGCAGAGCCACGCCCCTTTTTGCGATGGTGAAATGCACTGGTTTTTTAGATTTCGTGTTTGATGTTTTCGTAAAAGCGCAATACTGAATCAAACACAGAGAAATTTGGTGGAAACATAGAGAAAACCTTCCTCTTCAATCTCATATACTTTTCATCCGATTTTCAAAGCGTTTTAGCGGAGCGTCGTACAAAAAACCAAAACTACTTTTTTTCTTCGGGTTTTTAACCTAGTTCCATGTCGTTGGCGCCTTTTTTTATTTTCGAATTCGATTCTTAAGTGAAAAAAACAAATCTTTTAAGACAAAAAAATTAAAAATTTTTTTACGGTGCCTAATCTTCGTGAGGCCGCGCAAAGTTGAAAATGTTGTACTCGCTTTCGAGAGCGTGTAAGTAAACAATTTTTTTATTTTTAACTTGTGGATTAAATTGTAACTAAAAATTTTATTAATATAAAACTTATTCCGAAAAACTTTGTTTTCTGAGAAAAAAAGACAGTGAAAAATTTCGAAATTCATTTTAACATGGTCAGATGTCGTTGGCGCCTTTTTTTATTTCTTAAATATTAGCGTATTTCAATTTTTCAATCAATTAAAAAAATAAAATAAAAAAATTTTAGCGGTGCCTAAAAAGTTTAATCAGTGTTAGTTTGAAGCCAACGTTAAAAATAAGAAAAAAACACCGAAAAACGGAAGCATTTTTGAACTGAATCTCTATGAATAAATTATTTTTTTAGGTGCTCCGAACACACGTGACTAATAATGGTTCAACTATCATAACTTTTTTTAAAAACAAAAACAGACGGTAAATGCTGTACTTTGAGGTGAAGTGGTGTATAGCGCGAACGCCTCCCATCCCCGAGGGATGGACGTGGAGCAGCGCAAGTGCCCTTGCATACAGTTTTGATATCGCGAGTTCAATCCTCGCAGCGGCCATTTTTTTTATTTTTCAAGAAAAAATAGCTTTTCTTTTCAAACTTGTGGTTTTATACTGTTTTAATGACTTATTACGACTTTGAAAACCAAACTAAACTACTAAAAAATTTAAATCCGATATGAAAACAAAATGAACGACCAAAAGTGTGAAATCTAAACTTTCAGTACTAAATTTCGCGACTTTTTTCACTACTGTTTTGACCATAACTTTTTTTTTTCTCAACCTTTTTCGAAAAAAACTGAAACTGTTTTGAATAGTAAATTAGAGCAGCTATCCAAACCATAGTAATATTGAAGTTCGAAAAATTTTTTGAAAATTCGTCTGCGGTCCCTATTAGAGTTCTCAAAATGACCAATTGAAAAAAATGACATTTTTTTCAAAAAAACGAAAAAAATTTTCTTTTTGACATTTCAAACGAATGTCGTTTTTTTGAAAGATCAACCAAAAATTGATCACTTTCGTTCTTTTTCATTTTGTGACTTTTTCAAATAATGACTGAAAAAAATAAATGGTCATTTTCTAAACAATCATATTCTGACTAGTAAATAAATGTTCGTCCTAATGACCAAATTTTTTTCAAAGTGAAAAAGTAAATGGTCACTTTTTTTGACCAAAAATTTCCAAAATGAATTTTAAATGTTTACTTTTTTTTGACCAAAAATTTTCAAGAGAGAAATTTAAATGTTCATTTTTTTGAACAAAATTTTTCAAAATGAATTTTAAATGTTTACTTTTTTTGACCAAAAATTTTCAAGAGAGAAATTTAAATGTTCATTTTTGACCAAAAATTTTTCAAAAACGATTTTTTTAAATGTTTACTTTTTTTCTTAGAAAAAAATTTTTTTTTCAACTGTGAAAAATTAAATGTTCATTTTTTTGGCCGATAATTTTTCCGAACCTGGATTTTTCCGAACCAAAATCCAAATCAATACTTTTTTTCTTTTTTTCCTCATTCAATTAATCCAGATAGCACCTTTCTTTCGTTCTGCTCATTTTTTTGACCGGTTCTATATAATTTTTCTCGGCCTTAACCGGCTTTTAGCTTTGCCCTTGACCATCCAGATCACTGTTTTCCAACAGATTTATTAATTTATAACCAGAAATTAGTTTGAATTTCGAAGTAATCGATTCAAGATTTCATTTGGAGAGACTGAGATAGAATTGACTCTGGCACAGATACTGCCAAGTGCCGTAATAGTAATGAATTAATTAATGAATAAATGTTTACCTTTTTTTAAACAAAAATTTTTCAAAGTGAAATTTGATTGGTCACTATTTTGACCAAAAATTTCTAAAATGAATTTTAAATGTTCATTTTTTTGACCAAAAATTTCTAAAATGAATTTTAAATGTTTATTTTTTTGATCAAAAAAACTTCAAAAATGAAATTTAAATGTTCATTTTTTTAACCAAATTTTTTTCGAAAAAAATAAGTAATTGTTCATTTTTTTAAATGCTCAGTTATGAAATTTAACCAAAAATGAAGTTTTTTTAACAAACGGTTCATGTGAAATTTAACTAATTGGTCGAATTCATCAAACGTTCGGAAAAATGTTTGGTTGAACGTTCGTTCAAACATTTACTTTTGAGAACTCTAGTCCCTATGTATATAAAAATCGTAGCCGTTTAAAGTCTATCAAAAATATGTTTTTTTTTCAAGTCAGAAGATCTATCTGAACGTAACTCCCGCTGTTCTTAAAATTCTCTATTTGACTTGAAATCATAAAACCAATAAATAATGAAACCATATAAAAATAATGAAATAATAATCTCTTCTGTTGAAGACCCACAGAAAGAAAAAAAGTTTGAAATAAAAATTGGCAACCACTGGAGGGAAAAAAATATTCCAATCCGACCTCAGACGCTTGATCAAACTTTTTCAACTTCACGAGTGAATAATTTCGATTTAAAAATTTTTGAAAAAGTAAAAATTTTTTTTTCCTCTAAAAAAAGATTGAACTAACTAACTTTAGGAGATGGGCCATTTCCTTGCGTCATGGACATATCTGGAACTGGAGGCGGGATTCACGAACATAAGGTTTTTTTCAAAAAAACTCCTCGAGAATCAAAAACAAAAATGGAAACGAACTCAGGGATCAATGTTGGCCTCCGAGGGATTCGTTTGTCCTTTGCGTCGCGTTTTTTTCCAGTTCAAAGACCTTCCCTGAGAAATTGGAAGACGTCGATATCGACTATTTCAAGGTATTTTTCACTTCATATTTTTTATTATACGGAATTTTAAAGAAACCAATCGATTTCCTGTTGAGCTTGCCTTACACAGGGGATCGATTCGGAATTCAAGGAGTTTCTTTCGGAGGAACTCTTGTCGACATCATCACCTCGCGTTTCCCTCAGGTATCCGTTTTATCTTACTTTCAAAAATAATTTTTTTGTCTCACAGTCCATAAGCAGATACAAATCAAAAAGGGAAAAGGAATTACAGAGAGATAAATAAAAATATATTCGGACTATTTCTGTGACTGTGCAAATAATTTACTAAAGAAAAAAAGTTCAATGGAATCCAAAAAAATTTATGCGGTTTTTATTTCTTGGCTTTCCCAGTTCTTCGACGTTTCAAGAAAAAAAGAAAAATTGAGGATTTTCCTTGTTTTTTTCAAATCAAAAAAATAAGTTAATTTGGCTCAAAAATGATTTTTGATGTAAATAAGTTCTATGAAGTTTTGAAATGTTCAAAAGGTAGAAAAAAACCTTTTTTTATCCAACTTGGTAGACCTGACTTTGAAGTTTATTCGAATTTAATTTTTGTCATAAAAATTAACGAAAAGCAACATAATTTTTAGTTCAAAGCGGCTGTCGTTATCAACGGACCACAGGGACAGTGCTCCTACATGCACATCAAAGAGCACGGAAAAAATATGCCCGTCATTGGGTAATTCATTTATTCACAGCAGTCTAACATTTCAGAAAAAAAATGAATGATTTCTAAGAGTATAATAGACTAATTTTTCTACAGAATGGACGACACAAAGTGGTATTTCTTAAACGGTATCATTTCGACACAACTTTGCCACAAGACGATGACCGACTACATGACGGAGGAGACAGAAACCGAATGGGCCAGAATTCCCAAGGACTGCGTCTTTCGGCTCGTGGTCAGCATTTTCGCTCTTGAAAAAATTTAGAGAAAAACGGTTTTCAATTTGTAATTTTTTGAAAATTGGCGGCAAAAAAATTTAGTTCCAAAATCATATGAAACTTTGAAATGAAAAAGATTATTGAACAAAAAAATCAAAAGAATTTGTTTTTTTCACTGAAACAGTGGAAAAACTTCAAATACTTTGAAATATGAGTTAGCATACTTAACTCGGTGCTTCAACATGACTGGTAAGTAAAAAATGTCTCAACTAGTCAAAATTTGTTTTAATTTGTAACTGCACCGAACTTTCTTGTTAATCTTTCAGAAAATAAAAAATAGTCGAATTCATTCTTATTATCTTCAGACCTAATGAATACTTGAGGGCTCAATGGACGATTTGTGTTCTCCTTCCATTCATTCGACTTTCTACCGGAAGAAAAGACTCAACGAGACCGGACATGAAGTTGAGGTGAGCTCAAATTCAGTCGTATGCGTCAACTTTGATACTTCTAGAATCAGAGTCCTTTTTGTTAATGAAAAAAATTGAAATGGTTAAAATGAACTAATCTTGAATAATTTTTGAAAAAAATGTGATCAGTTTCTAGGTGGAACTTGTAAACGGAGGTCACATTATGGAGCCGCCCTACTTCCCGCATCACCAAATCGTCTACGCCAAGTTCCAAGGTTACAAAAAAACAACTTTTATTTGGATTCAATGAAAGGATATGGTTAAAAAAATAAAATAAAAAATAAAAAAATCCAACTGCGCATGAAAAAGTAGGTAAGAATAATATATGGAATTTGAAGTTCAGAATGTTGTCAAGCCGAAGTCAAAAAAATGGGTTTTTCCGAAATTATGAATTTTATCAGGTTTTAGACAAGTTTTTTTTATCGAAGAGTTAGTCGTCGGCGCGGGATACGGTCCATAATCGTTGTCCAATACGTCCCGCAGTGACAGCTAGCGTTGGGAAATAATGTTGGCCCGTTGGTAGTACCAGCGAATAAACTGCTTCACCATGTTGGAACAGTACGGCGCTCAGCTTGTCAAGGGCTGACGGGCGTCGGAATATTATCCCATGAGAGAGCGGCAATGAGACCGACCAGTCGACGTGATGAAATGAGATAATAATATGATTCAGCAGAGATTTTCTTCATCTTACTCTGAAGACTGAATAAATTGAAATTGAAATTGAAATTGGCTTTTTTGGATGACAATCTATCTATTCAAAGATAAAGACTATTTTTTTAATATAGATATAAACATTTTCTCAAAAATTTCACTGCTGAAATATTGCTCAGGCTACTGAAAAAAGGATAAGAAATTCAGCAAAAAAGGCTTTGAATCTTCAGAAACTGGCTGATTTTTGAAAGGACCGTTTTTATTTTCAAAAACTGGATCGGCTTAACGTCTAAGAAAAGAATCGTGAAACTTTTTGGGAGCATTTTTCGCGCCTTTCGGACACGCTTTTACTTAGTAATCAGTGAAGAGAGTACCTGACAAAAGCTCGTTTGTAGCTCAGTTTGAAAACAACATCTCAAACAAAAACTTCAGCTTTCTACTGCGGCTACGGAGGCGAGCCGGTTCTACACGGGAAGAGCCAGGAAAAGTCGTGGGCCAACACGATCAGTTTCTTCAAGAAAGTCCTCGGAGACACGCCGAGAATGCCTGATTGGCCACGGCTGCAGCACGTCCAACGGCCCGTCGACAATCGCAGCCATTTGTGAAATCGGGAGTGTCCAGATGATGCATTGTTTATTGCACGTGTTTATAAAAATAAAATCATTTTTAGAACAATTTTATTCAAGTTATTGCTGAACAGAAAGATGATGGGAATAAATTAGGCGGGTTTTTGGTTCAGAAAGAGAGCTTTTTCAAGTTTCTGAGTTTCTACGCCAAACTTTTGAAAAGATGAAAAAGCTAACCTGTTAAGATTTTTTTTCCAAAAAGCTTCGCAATACTTTGAATGAGAAATAATAAAAAAAGTAGACTTCTGAAAACAAGAAATAGAATGACGATGTTTCCCAGTAAGTGACTTTGCTGAAATTCCTTTTATTTTTGGAAAATGTTTATTAACAGACCAACTGTTTTCTTCAAAACACGTGATTTCCTTAAAACGAACAAATGACCCACATAAACAATGTTCGTATCTTGTTTACCATGTAAAAAATAGAAAATAGTACAGCAACGAGAATTTTAAAAAAAAAATCGGATGGAAACGATTTTAGAGCTCAAAATGGTAAGATTCAAATATTTCAATCAACTGAAGTTTGACCAATTCATAAAGCTTGATTTGAACCGAATGAATAAATGTAAAAATCATACTCTGATTGTTCTCTTGGTTTCAATTAGCTACCTTGACTACCTTGAGCTACCTACTATTATGAAAGCTTCACTCAAAAAAGACGGTCAAACCATTCGGAAAAAATTTATCTACTCCGACAGGTCCAATGTATCGTTTCCTGTGAACCTTTGGCCCACCTGACATCATACAAAAAGAAACCACAAAGTACCCGGAGACCTTGACGTCTCTTTTTCAAAAAAGCGGCCAGAAACGGATTCGACGTTCTGATTACCAACACTAGTTGATTTTTTGAGCACTGATAACGATAAATCACGCTGAAAAGCTGACAAGTGGGCCGGGTCTCGTCATTTAAATAAGCTATTTTCGAAATCAGTCTCCGTTTTGCGTCCTGATTTTCTTATCCTTATCATTGAAGTTCGATAGTTTCGTTGGATTCAGTGAAATTGTACTAAACCCATTACTAGATTGCCAAAAAACCTGATGTACAGGTTACTGTAGAGGTTTTGTTTCTCTTGTTCACAATGTTCCGTGAAAAGTTCCGATACCATTTATGCGACAAATGTTTGGCTTCATTTGTCAATTTCAACTGGAGCCAGCAAATGTATCTTCAACTTTTCTTTTTACGTCGGTGATAACTTTTCAAAGTCATCTGAAATTTATCTGATTTATCTCTGGCGTCCTTAGAAAAATATGATCTCATTTCTAACCTTCTATGTGAAGCATTCTCTAGAAAATTAAAAACTTGCTGTCCAATTTCCTTAACATTTCGTAATAAACTTTTCCAACTAAACTTGAATACATCTTATTAATAAAAATACCTTTCTACAGAAGTTACCAATTTTTTGAGCTCTTTCCAGAAAGAGCGATGCATCTTCACGTCGATAAACCGGATACAATGCAGATAGAACAGGTTCAAATTACCGCTAACGAATTGGAACCGGACAGAGTCTACACAATGAACATGATGTGAGGAGTATCTCAGCTTTATTTTTCTTTTGATATTTCTAGGGAACAGCAAATGAAGGATTTAGTTGCACTTCTTTCTGGATCAGATCAACTTCATGATAAAACGACAAAATATTTGAAAAATCGATAAACTTTCCAGACTAAAGCACAACTATGGAACTCACAGCGCCACTGCAACTTTTCGTTCCAACTCAAAAGGATATATAGATTTGACGACGGATGCTCCAATCAGGGGAACTTATTCAGGTGAAAATCAACACCCTTCAATCTCATCTACCATAATTTTTTTGTAAACTCGTTTTTCATAATCTTTCCAAGACTTAAAACCAACTTTTTCCCACGGTGAATTAAATCAGATTTTGACGAATTTAAAAGACCGACCACAGAACTACTTGCGCTAGCCGATGTTGTACAAACTTCGTAATTCTAACTTTAACTGTAAATGAAGTAAGAAAAAATGTTGAAACTCGGCAGAATTGAAAATAAAAGTTCTAGGAGTCGAGCCGATGGGTCTGTTCATGTCCCAAAGGCCTCACGAGGACTTTGCATTTGGAGGATACCTCAGATGCACGCCGCCTCTACCATTTTACTACGATCTGATGTAAAGGGAAAACTGTGAACATCAAATGAAATAAAATATTGGCAGACTGTACGACGAGAAAGAGAGCGTCGTTGATCAAATAACGATCAAAAAGCATTGGATGCACCCGAAACTGGAAAGAACTGAAATCGCGCATGACGGTTTCTATGGGACGCTTTTCAAGCCCCCAGGTGAGTGAATCGATGAAATCAATCTAACTTATTTGGGAAAAGTTTTTATTATAAATTCATTCAAAAAGAATTTTTATCCGCAAAAAAACTAAGTATCTAACTACAGAAAAATTATGAATGAGAAGTTTTTCGAGTAATTTGATCTTTTCTTTTGAGTGCAAAAAGTATTAAAAGCAATTTTCAGGGAAAGGACCGTTCCCAACAATTTTAGACATGTCTGGAACTGGTGGGGGTATTCATGAACACAAGGTTTTTTCTACAGTAAACTTGAAATTCAAATTGCCACAAATTTAAGGGCTCAATGCTAGCCTCCGAAGGATTCGTGGTGCTTTGCGTCGCCTTTTTCCAATTCAAAGACCTCGTCAGCAAGCTTGAAGACGTTGATATTGACTATTTCAAGGTTTGAAGGCCGATGAAAAATTGGATGATCAACGAATCTTTCAAAGAAACCTGTGGACTTTCTGCTCAATTTGCCTTATACCGAAAAGAGGTTCGGAATCCAAGGCGTTTCTTTCGGGGGAACTCTGGTCGACCTCATTTGCACACGATATCCGGAAGTTTGTTTTTTTTTGAACCAGAAAAGTGTATACATAGTATTTTATAAACGCTTGTCTGCGTCTTCTAAGCGCAAAAGTCGTCTCAATTAGCGTTGAACGAGGTTGAATATTGAATATTGAATATTTATGAGGTTCTTCGTCTTATTACCTAACAAATTTTTCCTATGCACCTTTAAATACTCAAAGAACATTCTTTTTCTTATTCAATAGATTCCCAAAATATGAAATTCAGTTCAAAGCAGCGGTCGTGATCAACGGACCCCACGTTCAGAATCACTACTGCAATCTGAAAGAGCACGGTCAGCCGATGCCCGCTGTTTTGTACGGACCAACAAACACTCTCACAATAAATGCGGATTTTTCAGTGTTGACGATACGAAATGCTACTTTCTGAATGGATTGATGAATACTCACATCACTTTGAAGACGTCCACCCCTCTTCTGAATGCGGAAAACGAGACTCAGTGGCATCGCATTCCTAGGGATTGCAAGTTCCGGCTCGTGGTTTGTAAAAATTTGGAAAAAGGTTCTGAAAAAGGTTTTAGGGATCAATGGACGATTTGTGCTCTCCTTCGGTCCACACAACGTATTACAGAAAGAGAAGACTTGAAGAGACGGGTCATGATGTAGAGGTTTGAGAAAATCGTTTCCAATACGCGTGAAGCAAAAAAAGTTCCAAAAAAAGAATTTATTTATGAAAAAATGACCTCACGAGAAATCGCACATTTTTAGTTTTTAATTTGATGGATAGAAGAAGACTATTCTGGAAGAAAAAGAAATCAAACCGACCAAATAGGAGGCAAAAAATTGATCTAATGAGACCGACTTGCTTTGTAAATTTTTTCAGAATCTCTTTTTGAGATCCGCTATCTTTTTCAGCTCAAGTTAGCTATAAATAAGCTGAATGAGATTATTACTCCCAATACGAGTTGAAATAATGAAAAAATTGAAATAGAAAGAAACTCAAGTCTTAAGGTCGAGCTCGTCGGCGGAGGACACATCATGGAGCCGCCCTACTTTCCACACCACGAGCACGTCTACGCCAAGTTCCAAGGTAATTATATGAATTTTATGGAAATTCTACAATTTCACTCTTTTTTTTAGCCTTTTATTGTGCTTACGGCGGCGAGGTGGTTCTACACGGGAAAAGTCAAGAAAGGACCTGGGCGAACACGATCAAATTCTTCGTCAAAACTCTGGGAGCTCCGCGAAAAATGCCAGACTGGGATCGCCAAACTCACGTCGTGAACCCCAGACTCGCCGAAAACCGAAGTCATTTGTGATGTAAATATATGTCTGTATAAATTTCTTTTTTCGTGTATTACAAGTAACTATGAGAAAAATGAGAATTGGGAAAAAAGAAAAATCTTCTTTTTTCCACTTTTTTCTTTCAATTAAACTTCATACAGTCATTCTTAAGACCCGCCGAAATACGATTTCCAAAGTTCCAATTCAAAAATTCGAAAGTTAAACTGTTAAAAAAAGCCCAACAAATAGAAACATCAGTTTATTCCAGTTTAAATATTGAAACGAGGCGAAATGAAACTTCAAAAAAAAAACGACTGATAATATTGGCCATCGTATAACTCATAATTTTCCCACGAGCAAAAAATAGATTGCTGCAGTAACTTATAAATCGTGTTACAGAGTGATTTTCTAGGAAATTCATCAATTTTAAACCAAGTAGCTTAGAAATAAATTACATAAGAATGGAGAAAATTCCTGTGAAATTATTCGGAAACCTTTTTTCCATTTTTTTTTCCTCATAAATATTATTTTGAATTCGAAAAAAAAATCGGTTTACTTTCAAAAACTGCGATTTAATTTTACTTCCACCAATCAACTATCTGAACCTTTTAGCTGATAAGCTGAAAACCAAAAAATCAAAAAAAAAACGGCTTATGCTAAGACGAAACCATTTTCTTATCATTCGTAGACACTTTCCTGATTTCTTGAACGATTCAAGTTATGAAAAAAAAAGTTTACGTGCCCCGTACACTGATAATTGTGCCAGGAACAAAGTGTCAGACCGTCAAAAAGCTTATTTTTTCGAGCCGATAGCGATGAAAAGGTTTGTGGACACTGATAAACTACCGCACAGGCTTTAAATGGCCAGCGGGAGCAATGATTGTCCACAGTTTTTGATTGGGAAGTTTATTTTCGATCGTCCTGTAGGTTTTCGTCTGAACCTATTTTTCAGTTATATGCAATACCTCTAAAAAAAAAGTTACTTTTAGCCATCCAAATATTAGCTGAGAATTTTCTGACGTTATAGGTTAACACTCTCTCTAACCTCAAAATACAAAAAAATCTTAAATTTCGTAGGCAGAAAATTTAGAATTGGCTTTCATAACCGTTTCACTTTTTTTTATCGCTTCGTCTAATTTTTTTTTTCAAATATGATCTCAGGTTCAAAATGTTCCTCCATGTTGACAAGCCAGATACGATGCAAACGGAGCAAGTCCACATAACTGCCACAGGACTTGAACCGGAAAGGATCTACACCATCACCATGACGTTAGTTGAGCTTATGAAAACTAAGTATCAAATTTGAAATATTTTTCCTATTTTACAAGATTAATCAATAGCTTTTGGCGCAGTGTTATAGAAAAATCCACCTATCTTTTACCCTGTTCGGTTCAATGCAAAAAAAAGTATTTTTATAAAGCTTTAAATTAAAAAATGGCTTGTAATAAGTTCACAGGGACGGTCTTGGAACCCTATATAAAATAACGATGTTCTTATAACTATTCAGAGAAGTCAAACCCCCCTTTTAATAGAAAAACTGGATTTCAAAATAACATCTTTGAATATGTATTAAAATTTCGAAAAAAATCAGGACTATTTCTTAATTTTTCATCTTCCATTTGAAAACCTATAAATTTCAGTGTAAAACACAACTACGGGACGCACAGCGCCACGGCAACCTTCCGTTCAAATTCAGCAGGATATATCGACTTGCAAACGGACGCCCCGATAAGAGGAACTTATTCAGGTAATTCTGACCTCTGTGCTAAAAAAAATCTTATTCAATGCCTGATCCGGAAAACAAATTCAAACACAGCCCCCGCAAAATTTTATCAGCATCTATCGATAAGGAGTGCTTTGACCATAGTATTATGAAATTCGTCACGAGACAATAAATAAAATGTGATTCCCTGGTAATGATGTTTACTAGTTAAACTTGGCATTTGAAGAAGATGAGTCGAACTTCCGGTAAAGATAATAATGATAAATAATAAACTTTTTTTCACTTCCGCCGAAAAATAAATTCAATATATTTTTATAAAAATCTCTTCACTGCTCCTTTAGAATAAAAAAACACTTCAAAGCTTCTTGTATTGTATCGAGTGGGTTGTGAATAATGGTAACACATTTTTTTAATTACAACACTGAAATAACTTTAAAAAAAGCAGGTACTTATAGGAAAAATCTCTCTTTGAAAACAAAGCAGTCTTTGAAATACACTAATTCGAAAAGAATTATTCCAGGTGTAGAGCCGATGGGACTGTTTTTATCTCAAAGGCCACTCGAAGACTTTGCCTTTGGTGGATACCTCAGATGCACGCCTCCAGTCCCGTTTTACTACGATCTTTTGTGAGAATCTTATAAAAACTATAACTATTTCCAACATTTTCTAGCCTTTTCGATGAGAAGGACAACAAAATAGACTCGATGACGATAAAGAAACATTGGATGCACCCGAAACTGGAAAGAACTGAAATCGCGCATGACGGTTTCTATGGGACGCTTTTCAAGCCCCCAGGTGAGTGAATTCTCACGAAAAAGTGAAAATTTCATTCGAATAGATATTTAACACAAAAGAGGTGAAAAATAATTAGAAGCCAGAAAAGTGAATGGAGTAAATAAGTTGAATTACGTTAAACGTCAAAGAGATGAAGCATGCGGTAGCTCTGTAATTTTTCGATAGGTCCTAAAACTGCGGATTGATAAAGAATTATTTGAAATTAATCATATGAACGAGAGTCCTGGCCCTTTCCGAGTGTTTCAAAGCTTTTCACTGAAAATGAAAATAAACCAACTTCAATGAGAGGGGCGAACAGGGTCTTTGATTGCCTCGGCAATAAAATCGAGCGATGTGGAGGCTGCAGATTTCGCCTGGATTCAAAAAATAATTACTGAAAAGACAATCCAATTCACGTGGTCAAGCGCGGAGCCAACTTTGGCTTCGAAAGACTTGAAAATCGAAGAGTTTGTCACGCCCTGCCATTTTTCCTTGACCGTGTCTGCGGCTGCAGCGGTGACCTCAGCCGTGAGCTGATAGGCTTCAGAATCTGTCACGAGCTGAACCATTTACAATTAAACTTCTTGAAATCCTATAAAATGAACAAAAACCTTTTTGGTACGGTTGATGTCGTCAGTGAGATCAGCAAAAGGAGAAATACCGAGTTTTCTCTTGAGCTCCGCAGCGTGCTTCTGACGGTTGGAAAGCGCGAGTTTCAGCGATTGAATCTCGCCCTCGACATCCCTCAACTCTTGTCTCAGGAACTCCTTGTCCGCTTCGTTCAGAGGAGAACCAGTGGTGTTCATTGTTGACGAAATTCTCAAAAACATGAACGTAAAATCAAGTGAAACCATTTCTGTCGCAAATTCTATAAACGGGAAAAATTTGGAAAAACTGCTTCTCGATGTATTATATATCTGTACGGTAACAAACAGAGGGAGAACAAATCAATATTAATATTGATGAGTAACATGTTAACAAGAAGAGAAAATAGATATCGAAACTCAGGCACTGACGGCGCGTGTTACCAAAAGTGCGCGTGCACGCGCGGGGTGCCTTTTTTATTTTTTGGCTTTTTAACTAACTAAAAAGTTATAAATTTAATATTTTTCATGTCTGTTCATCTCCTATCATTGCTCTGCACCAGTTTATAACAATTAGAACGCCCAAAAATTTGAAATAACAAAGTTTCCCTTGACAATTGTTTTTCATAAATGTGTTCGAAAGTGCTCGGAAGAACTTTAAAACGTGAGCAGGGGCACTGGGTAGTGTTAAAAAAATATGAAAATTATATTTCAAAACCGTATTTCAGTGGAAAAGGCGAAAAAAGAATCAGTACCCCCGCGCGTGCGCGCACCATTGCCTGAGAACTATTTCGAAAAAAGTGCCTGAGAACTATTTCGAAAAAAGTTACAGGGCGTTTGCGCTCCAAGGTATTCTTCATGGAGCGCACTTGACCTTAAAAATTGAATTTTTCTAATCACTAAGAATAACTGACGAGATAAAAGCGAGGTCGGTGGCGGTACATTGACGAGCTCGCAAACATCTCGCTTTTTTCAAGGCGCGATCTTGCATTTCTCTCGGCGCGACCTCGCATTTTTCTTGGCGCCATCTCGCATTTATCTCGCACTTCGGAAATTTTCAAATTGCGAGAGAAATGCGAGCTCGCGCCTAGAAAAATGCGAGCTCGCGCCCAGAAAAATGCGAGACCGGCGCGAGAAAAAAAGCGAGATGTTTGCGAGCTCGTCAATGTACCGCCAGTGTCTCGCGTTTATCTCGGCAGTTATTCTTAGTGATCGCACCCAATTTTGTGGACTATATCGCAGCGAGAGTAACGCTATACCGCGGGGGAGCCGCGAGCGATCGCTAGCGAGAAGCCTTGGCTATATCGCGTGCGGCCCGCTGCGATATCGGCAATTATGTTAGGTGCGAAATCGGCAGCTCGAGCTGGAGCCAGGCTTGTGCGTCAGGCCGGGCGGCCCGGGCCGGCCTGGTCCGGGCTTTGGGCTTCATTTTCAGGAAAAAAAAAAGCCCGCGTGGGCTCGGGCCGGGCCAGGCTTCGAAAAAAAAAAATTAAAAAAAAATCCACTTGAAATTTTTCACCGAAATGTTACTTTTACTTTTGAAACCATAGTTTTTGTTAAACTTTGAGTGAAAAATTGAGCAAAAACGTAATTTTTGTCGGAGAAAAACTTGATATCGACTAGAAAAAAATTGCGCGTTTTGTGCCGGGCGGGCCATTTTTTCTTGAGGTCTCGCTAAGGCCGGGCTCACGAAATGGTCGGGGGGCCGGGAGGGTGACGGGCCGGCCCTCGCACAAGCCTGGCTGGAGCTAGCTTAAGCAGCAAGCAAGCTTTCATAAATACTTCAAGGTTTTATGTTTTCATCTAAGTTATGTGTTATTACAGGAGATGGACCTTTCCCCTGCATCATGGATATGTCAGGAACTGGCGGCGGTATTCATGAACACAAGGTTTTTTTGTCCAAATTTTATCGATACTTTTTCTTTTTGTGAGCGAATGAAACAACGTTTTCAAGGGATCTATGCTCGCTTCTGAAGGATTCGTAGTACTATGCGTTGCCTACTTTCAGTATAAAGATCTTCCTGACAAAGTCGAAGATATCGACGTTGAATATTTCAAGGTTTTTCTCAACTAACGTTGTCACGAGAGTTAAACAAAGAAAAACTCAGAAACCCGTAGAATTTCTGCTGAGTTTACCATACATCGGCGATCGATTCGGAATTCAAGGTGTCTCATTTGGCGGAACTTTAGTGGATATTCTGACTGCACGCTTTCCAGAGGTTTTTCGAAAGTTGCCTGTATCTAAAAAAATGAAAGTTCCAGTTTAAAGCGGCTGTAGTGATCAATGGGCCACATCTGCAATGCAGTTACTACAATATCAAAGAAAAAGGAAAGCCTATGCCCACCGTACAGTGAGTCAATCAGAAAGTTTTCATGGTAGCTAAAAAAATCTTTCAGTGTTGATGATACGAGGTGGTATTTTTTGAATAATGTGCTGGCCACGCATCTCTGTCACCGCACTTTGACCGACAACATCACCGATGAAGCAGAAACTCCCTGGGAAAAGGTTCCCAAGGACTGCGCTTTTCGACTTGTGGTGAGTTTTTTTTTTTGCTTTTTCACTTTTTTCATATCAGGTAGCGAAGTTTCCATTCAAAAAAAAATTCTTTGGTTCCGGAAAAAAGTTTCGAAAGAATCACGATAATAAAAAGTTCATTAAACGAAATAAGAGAAATTTAGAGGTTAATGGATTTTGACACAACCTTCTCATAAAAATGTCTTAAAACGCGAGTTTGGAAAAAAAAATTTTGAACAGCCTCTGGTCTGAAACGATCTTGTTGCTAAGAAATCCTAAAATTAGTTTTTTTTTGTTTTGCAGGGATCCGTAGACGATTTGGTGTCCCCTTCTATCCATACGTCGCTCTACCGGCAAAGGAGGCTACGAGAAACCGGTCACCAAGCCGAGGTTCACCTTTGCAACCCCTGATCATTGGAAAAGTTTCACTTCCAGGTGGAATTAGTGAATGGAGGTCATATTATGGAACCGCCTTACTTCCCTCATCACGAGCTAGTCTACGCCAAATTTCAAGGTTTTCAAAAGAAATATTCAAGGCTCGTTTGAATGAGAATTTACAGCTTTCTATTGCGGTTACGGTGGAGAAGTAGTCTTGCACGGAAAAAGCCAGGAAAAGTCCTGGGCGAATACAATCAAATTCTTCAAAAAAACGCTGGGAGAACCGCCGAAAATGCCTGACTGGGACCGTTTGACTCACGTCGTCAATCCCAACGAAAACCGAAGTCGTTTGTAGAAACTTGCCATTTTTCCATGGATAATCATCCGATTATGTGTCAGAAAACCTTTTTTCCTTGGAATGAAGAAACGCTCATTAGTATCATTCACCTGGCTGATGTTACTAAATTTGTATAATTATACTCGAAAAAGAACAAAAATCAGAGAAAAAAAGAAATAAAGATGGAAAAAATCGTTCAATCAGAGAATCATTTTGCACCGTTTAGACCCTAGAAGTAGTTTTGACCAACAATTTTGAAGAGAAAAAGACGGATTAAACGACTTTTCAAAATTATAAACAGAAGGTCTGATTAAGTTTTCTCGATAATTCTTTTCTTGTCACTGATTTTTTGGCCGATTGTCACAAAAAACAAGAATTTTTCCGTTTTATAAACAATATTTGAAAGAGATCCACCTCTTCCTTTTTGTCGCAGTGAAAAATTTATGATTGCCAAAAAATAAGAAAAAAAATAACGTCCTACGTTGGTAACTCTCAAAATGGATTCATTTCTGTTTTGCGGCTATCCGCAAGGCTTTCGCTGGTTTCAGCGCTAAATTACATTCGATTTTTATTTTTGCGAGATGTATACATCCAAGAAGGAAGAAGATAAGCGTGATTGCTTTTCCCTTTATGGTCTCGATATCTTTTTTAGTGATGATGAACCGGTGAGCTCACTTTTTTTTTTGTCTTGTTTCAATTTTTTTGGAATTTTCAAGGGCGCATTAGAAAAAACTTTTGAAGGTCCCAAGAATGCCGTTTTTAATAGAGTTTTAGACTATTTCAGCGCTTTTGAACATCCCAGTAAGCGTTTTGAACAGACTTAACTCATCAAATAATAGATTCTTCTTCTGAAACGGATTCAATTTAGGTCCTTATTTTATTGCTTCGATGTTTCACTTCCGCTGTTTTCTTAATCACGACAATAATCACGATTTATTTTTGCATCAGCGCGCAATTGACGGAAACTCTCAATAATTTATTGAAAAACGCAGGTTTGCCCAATTAAAACAATAGTTTTGAGAAGGGAGGTATTGTAGACAGTGGGACCACGGCTAGTTTGGCATTTGAACATTGCGTCCTGCCGAAGTACGACGCTTGGGATGATCCTGTTCTCATGGTGAGTTTGTTAACAAAAAAAAAGTACGTTGATCTGAACTTTTTTGGGTTCAGAGAATACGTTTTTTTAATGTTCGTAACGTGGTCATTTTTCAATGACAGTTCGGTGAGATAAGCGCAAACTCATTGATAAGAGATATAAGACCTTTTTTATCATTCAGTTGTCAAAAATACTTCATCATCATCAGAAATAATTTTCTCTGAGAAGGGAGATTAGCTCGAACAGTAATTTTAAAAGTAGAAATGTCAACCAAGCTAACCAGAAAAAAAATTTTTTTCATCAGAAACAGGAAGTTTCTGAAATTGAAGATCAACTCGTGAATCATAATTTTTATGCCAAACTCCCGAAAATCTTTAGAATTTTATGTAAAATCAACTTCATTTCATACTGATAATGGCGTGTTTTTCGAAGAAACGGAACATGCTTCTAAACGAAAAATCGTGTTCATCGGCGCGCCAAAGTTGCTCCAAAACAGTACTAATTTTTGTTTTGGAGCAATTTTTTTGCGTTTCGAAGCGTTTCGAAGCAGTCCGATGAACACGCCATAAAAGAAAGTAGTCTTCCGATTTACTCTAGGAACAGATAAAACGAGGAAGAGAGTTTTTTTTTTCAAAGTTTGCTGCTTTTCTCTAATATTAAATAACTTTAACCGCTGAGATAGTTTCTATAACACCGTCTGAACTCTCAGGACCACGACCACAAATTCGATTATCGTAAAGGTTGTCCTCTACCGGAAAAGCCCGTGACGGAACTTGCCAAAGGAACTTTCAAAGTCGTCAGAAAAGGCTTTGAATGTCAGTTCAGGTTCCGAAACAAATCATAAAACTCTTCGTAAATTTCTTGTTTAGATGTGCTTTTTGGGATAGTGAATACAGCAACAAATACGGCGGTTGGGAGAAAATTGCTTTCGAGGAAAAATTGAAAGTCGATTGCGAGTTTGTCCATTCGATTTGCAAGAACAGTAAAACCAAGGAGAAAATGGAAAATATTCAAGCTCAGATTCTTGAGAAAAAGGGAGTTAATTTTTAATCAGCATCAATCGAAGCTCTTAAAGTGAACCTATGTGAGATGACTCGCTTGTAAAGTTTTTATTTTTTTGAGTTTCACCCGACATAGAACGACTTGCGCGTAGTGGTATTATAAAGAGTTTTTATTCCTATTTTTAGACGACTTTTCACGGCTCCGCATCTTCCTTGCGGCAAGTACAAGTATATAAATCCAAACCTTCCAGATTAGGCAAAAATGAGACAAAAAAGGATCAGACGGCTTCTGGGAAATTTTACAGTGTCTACGTCCTGCTGATCGATTCCATCTCCACTCAACAAACTATTAGGTTATTTTCGATTCTCTTTCCTTTTCAGTTTGAAATAGATTATTGTAGAAACATGCCAGCAACGTTAGCCTACATGGAAAAGCAGATGAAGGCCATAACTTTTCCATTCGTCAACAAAATTGGACTCAACAGCTATCCAAATGCAATGGCTCTTTGGTTCAGTGAGTTGAAAAAATCTTTGTAGAAAATTTTAATTTGTCCTCAGATAAACAAATCAAGGACAATAATCAGTTAGTCTTTGATTTGCCTATAAAAAAAGCAGACTCACCTGGATATTCCAAGGTTTTTCTAGAACTCAAATCATTTCTAGCTTTGCTCATATTCCAGACTTGTCACAATTATCTGAACAAGTCTGAATTCATCATGAATCTCTACGAGCGAAAGGGTTATAAGGTTGAGCTTCTCCTGGGATGGAATCATGAGGAAATTCAGACGTTTCTGGCAGAAGACTGGGCCAAAGGAGCCGTGGTTTGGCCGAATTGTTATGGATTCCAGGAACAGCCTACTCATCATAATATGCGGTACCCTATAAAGAGTTTTGAATGAGTTGGGAGAATCACTAGGCCTTATCATGTTCTTCTGGAGTCGAAGCAATGTCGCAACCTCACCCAGTACCAGAAGAAAAATTGCATCGAAGCGCATCCGATCCTTCTCGATTACCTTGGCCAGTTCGCTGAGTCTTACGAAGGTTGAGTGTCTTAAGACGTTTCATTCATCAAATGCCCTTTTTTTCATGGTTGAATAAAGCTAACAGCATAAAAAGAAAGAGTTTTGCTGACCTTGGAGGGCTTTATCTGGAATTGTCATCACTTCTAATAATGCGCACGAAATTCTCCATTTTTCAAGCACGTCACGGTTCATTTTTACGCCGAAAGACGAAGGAAAAAAAAACTTTTGATAAACTTTCGCCGCCAAATAGCCGCGTCGCACACGCAACACCTCGCCCTTGCCAACCAGCCCATATCACCTTTCAAGTCGGGAAACATTGACTATAGTAAATCCTCTAAATTGCGAGCATGTCACTAGAATTCGCCATTGGCATGAAACCATTGCAGTTCTGCTTCAAATATGGAATTATTCAATTTAAAATAAAGTTCTGGTCATCATAAACACATTCAGTTTCTAGAATCTTTGAAATAGAATTACAAAAAATCAGCAAACAAAATTCATTTTGAGTGGTCAAGGTTTCAGAATTCCATCACAATCAATAGCAATCGAGACGGGAGAGTTGAGAATGACATGAGAAAAAATTAAAAATGGAAAGTTTATGAAATGAACAAAATTGTCGTTTTGCAGTGATACTTTCTTTTTGCAGCTAATAAATTTCACGGCCATTCTTTTTTTTCATTTAAAGTTCTTCGAAAGAATAATTTTTCATGAAAAAAAGTTTGTTGTAATCCATCTGTTATTAATATGGTTTTTTTTTTCCTCAAACCCTATTTTTCGCTCACACGGCTTCAACTCCTTCAAAAAGATCAGAAATAGTGAAAGATCGGAAATGAATAATAAAAAGAAAGTAAAGAGAAAGTTTGATAGTTTATAATCGTATTTGATTGCGGTTGTATATAAGGTGCAATTCTTGCAGGAGTTCCTAAATTCGGATGGCTTTGGTCGAGTGAAGCGTCGCATTACTACGTTGAACAAACTGTTCATGTGGATTTGGATTTTCGCAATTTTCTGATCGATCACCGCAAAGAAGTTTTTCTTCTCGACTTTCTCCTTGATTTTATCCGCTTTTTAGTTTGAAAATTCTTTCGTGATTTTGATGGGCGACCATGGCCTTCGATTTGGGAAGGTATTCGAGTTATTCTAGAGGATTTCCCAAGTTTTATATTAAAGTACGCCCACTCGGAGAATGGAGCATTTGAAGCCAAAAATTCGCATTTCACCATTTCGATACCGAGGGAACTTCGGGAATCGACTCGGCTTTTGGATATTCTCCGTCTAAATGCTCAGAAGCTTCAGTCAACTTTTGATGTTCATGCCACCTTCAGAGATATTGTGATGGTATAATAGTTCAAATATACCATTGATGTGGAGAAAAAGAGGATTTGGGCGTCTTTGGGGCTTTATACCCTATTTGACCGCTCAATAATTTATCGACAGATCAAATGAACCCTAACGAGTTCATCTGGATCTGGAATTTAAGAGAATACAGTATATAATTATTCATCAGGTAAAAGGCAAAAGCCGCAATTTCCTAATGAATTCAAATTGAGCATTTCAGAAAGAACATCTGAACAAAGTTTCTTTGAAACCTGATACAATCACCTTTCGCACTGCCCTAGTAAATTGCGTTCGACCTATTTTTTGTCGGGTGCGCTGAAACAATCGTTTCCAAAGCGTTTCGAGCCAATATCTTATTTGCATATGAAGTTTTTAATAATATCAAAACATTTTCCTCAGTACCAACCCGAACAAGCGTACTCAAACTACGATCCGATCGCCAAGGCGACGGACCGGGGACATTCTTTGCTTCGGCGTCAACCTGAAATTGATCGAAATTGCAAGGTTATCCTCCCGATTTCCCAAAAAAAACGAGTCCGTTTATTTCCTTTCAGACTCTCGAGATTCCATTCTCCTTCTGTATGTGTAAGTTTGAAATGAAGAACGTCACAACGTAATTTTTTGCAGCCAAGAAGCTTTTCATCGTAGTTTTTCAGTTTTTCGCAAGTTTCCAAATCCATTGGCTCTTACATAATTGGAATTATTAACAAGGGTTTGAAGGAAGCAAACATGACAAATAAATGCGAACCTGTGATTTTGAATAAGGTTATTATACAAGAAAGACTAGGGAAATCAGCAGATTTTAGGCTCTCGATATCCGCTCTTATAAGTACTCGAAGGAGGGCAGGTACCAAGTTTTCAAGGCGACAATCAAGGCTGCGGCTCCTCACAATGGAATCTTCAGGGTCGGTTTTCTTGATAATCTTCTGAAAACCATGAAGGATGGTTTTCTCAAATGATTTCAGTTAGACGATTGAGAGCAATGATTTCTAAAAATCTGAAAGTCCAAGCATAAACGATTGAAAAAGGCACAAATCCACTTAGTTTGCATATAATAAAATGGACTGATTTTTCACTGTTTTTCCGAAAAATATAAAAACTTGTTAGCTCGAAAATTAATTGATTTCGTGAGAAAAAATAGTTTCATAATATAATCTGTATATAACGACTCAAAAAGATGATTGTATTTGTAAAAAACTCAACAAATCGGGAAAACTTTTATCAACAATGAAAAAAACTTCAAAATTAAAATAAAATATTTCGACGATAAAAAATTATTTTGCTCGCTGGACAGAACTTTCAAATCATCTCAAATTGTTAACTTTTAATTTTTCGAGAATAATTCAAGAAAAAAAAACCTTCAATTCAGGCACACATCCGGAAGTCCGATCCGACAGACCCATCACTACCGCCAACTCTCGACTTGGTCAGTGATTCGATCGAGCGACTCGACAAGTATGGAAACGCCGGGAGTTGCGCTCCGTACGCCGTCGGCCACTACTGTCACTGTCTCAAAACTGAGAAATCCACTATTGAAATAAATTCTTGACTACTACTTCCCTTGACCTTGTTTTGGCTGCAAAATAAATATTCAAGCAGGCGAAAACAACACGTTTCCCCGGTTTATCAGTGCTCTTCCTTCTTTTTAGCCTTTTTTGAATGATTTTTATCATGTTCGTTTTCAAGTTTAATTTTTTACGGATAGTAGAATATATTTGAAAAAGTCGGTTATTTCGGTAGGTTTTCAATGAATGTTCAATTTTAGAAAATTTCGAATTTCGAAACATTTTTGAACATTTTTTTTAGGTGTAAATGGCTTTGAAGTTAATATTTATCCATGATAAGAACAATTTCGAAGTCTGATTTTCAAAATCCGGTCATTAATTTTTCAGAAGCTTCTTTTTCTTATGTTTCCTACTTTGCCAGAAAAAATGCTCTCAAATCTTGCATGTCATTTTCTCAAGCAAGGGTTGAATGAATTAATTGTGCCATCGTTTTTTTTTGTTCAAAAAAGGATGCCTGTTCAAACTAAAAGTGTGTGGTAGACTAGGAATGTTGAAAATAGATTTAGTTCCTCCTGAAATGTATTTAATTCTTCCTTTTCCAGTTTAGAACTTTGTGCTTCGAGGACACGTTTTTGATGGGCCGGCGAGCCTCCTACAAGGTTGAGAAAAAAAATTTCAACTTTTCAAAAAAGTCATTTTCAGCGGCTTCTCGTTTTGATAATCGCTTTTGCTCTGGTGACGCCAATATTTTTTCTTTTTCGAAATCCATGGTTTTCTGAACGATGGGTTGACGATTATTTGGCGGAAAGAACTACAGGTATGATTCACGGAATTCTCTTTCAAAGTTCGAAGAAAAGCAGCTCATAAACAGAACATTTTATATACCTTGCAGAATGAGGTACCCGAGAAACGTTTTGAAAAGAATTAATTTCACAGGGAGGCCATCGTCATTCGAGAAATGCGTTTTGCCGCGCTTCGATCCATGGGATGATCCTGTTTTGGAGGTTGGTAGCATTTTATTAATTTAGTTAAGAATTAATGAAATAGCCTTGCGATGTAAAAACCGCTTTTGATCAAAGAAATTTTTTTCAAAAAAATTCATTAAAAAGTTAGTTGCAGGTGTTAATCAAAAAAATATATGAGAAAACGGAATATTGAAAGATTTTGTGGTTTTCGGAACATTGTGATAACACAATTTTTTTCTTTTTCTCTACAGGTTTCAAAAAAAACGCTTTGAATAATTTTGAGGTAAATTCTACCGAACGAAATAGTATTTTTTTGGAGTCAGTTCACGCTTATTTTGAAAAACTGTGTCAGAGATAGCAAATGTATTTTTCCATTGAATTCTGAATTTCCTGCCGTTTTTGAACACATTTGCAGTTCCACAACTACACAATCGGATGGTTCAAAAACTGTTCTCAAAAAAGCGAACCAATGGCTGAGATCAGAAATCAGACAATAATACTTCTAAGACCAGGACTTCAATGCAAAGCCAGGTAATCCCAGCATTCTGTTCCCCTTTCAAAGGCCGAAATAAGGTGCGCGTTGTGGCTGGGCGAGTATCACAACAAGTACGACGACTGGAGGGACGTCAAGTCCGATAGTTCGTTCTCCTGCGACTTCGTCCATCTCAACTGCTCCAACAACGCAACGTCCGAAGTTCAGGAGACGATTCTCTACCAGATTGTTGAAACACAGTAAGAAGTCTTCCTAATCTTCAAACTATACTGCGTTTTCTCAAACGAAAAATTGAAAAAAAAAGTTTCTCATGTTTGGACAGATGACTTCCTTATAAAAAAGTTTTCTCTTTTTTTTTTAATTCTAAAATTTTCTGAAAGTTCTAATTTATGTAACTTTCTTAGTCTTTAAGATATTTTAGCGAACTTTCAGACAGTTTTAAATTTTGGAGTGATTCACCTTATTAGCAATTTATTGCCATGGCTTCCGTCAACTACAAAAAAACTTCCGACAGTTTGGAGATCAATGTCATACTAAACGCTCTGAACACTGTCGGTATCACAGCATAGTACATCGACCTCCCGGCCGACTGCAACGGAAAGACCTCGACAGTAATAAAAGCTCTTCGAGAAGAAACTGTAGATCCCTAACGGGAAAGGAGTAAGACAAGGAGACACCATCTCTCCAAAACTATTCTCGAAAGCCTTCCAAGACGCGATGCGACTACTTGAATGGAACACAGACAAAAACCACGAAGTCAGCGAAGAAAAAGACATTTCCATAACAGCAAGTCTCTCACACACATTCGCTCTGCTGATGACATTGTCTTATTCGCCAACACCAGTGCCGACCTCACGTCAATTCCCAATGACCTGGACACCATAGGAAAGAAAAACGGCCTTTCGATGAATCGCAAAAAGACGCAATTCATACGAAACCATTTTTGCGACAATGGACCGGTCTTCGGTCGGGGTCGGCTTCTTCGTTTACCTCGGGCGAGAAGTCAAGATGACTAACAATCTGAGAAAGAAAGTCGGAATACGCGGAAAAGCCGGTTAGGCTGCCTTTAAGAACATTCGATAAGTCACGAGCCAACTAAAAGACCCAAGCTAAGTGCTCAAATCTTTGAAGTCTCTGTCATTCCCGCCCTAACCTACGCGTCCGAAGTATGGGCAGACTTCAATTAGACAGCCACCGCCCTGTGTACCAGCTATCGCGCGCTCGAAAGATTTCTTCTCGACACCACACGTTACCAACAGTGAATCCAACAACAACGAAGCACGTACCTTTGACACAAGTCGCAAATCCGCGAAATCTAAACTGAAAAAAAGCCGAGGAAAACACCGTTGGAAACGTTTTGAGAAGAGCTGACGATAGGTAGAGCACTCAAACAGCTTTCTGGATTCCAATAGACAAGCAACCCATCGGAAGACCACCGACCAGGTGGGCAGACCTTTTCCGGAGGAACATCAGCCGTCCTCGTCAACATTGAATAAGCGTGGCGAGAGACAGGTGAGAATGGAGAACGGTTGGTCCGCACTGAGCACATCAGAGAAAGCGGACCATCAAGGTTCGTAAGCATATTCGTCAAAATGTTCTTTTTTCTTGAACAATGTTTCTCAATCTTATTTTCTCGATTTTTCAGATTCGATCTCAAAAAACTGGCAGAGAGCCAAGCAAAGAACGGCAAGCAGTACAGTGTCTACGGGCTACTTATTGATTCAGCTTCTACTCCTCAAACTATCAGGTTTTAAATTTTCTGTGGTTAAAAGCGAAATGAACTTTTCCAAGAAACATGCCAGCTACTCTGTCTTATTTGGAAAGACAAATGGGAGCTGTGACTTTCGAGTATTTGAATAAAGTTGGCCTCAACAGTTACCCGAATGCGATGGCCTTGTGGTTCAGTTAGTCAGATTTTTCGAAAAGAAATAATTTTCAAAGTTTTGACGAATTCAGACAAGCAAGTTCACGACCTCAACCGACTTGTATATGACTTGCCTGTGAAAAAAGCAGATATACCTGGACACGAAAAAGTCTCGAAATAGCTGAAGAAGAGATATTTTGGGTTGTTATTTCAGATTTGTTACAACTACCTGAACAAGGAGGAGTTCATCATGCATTTCTATGAAGATGCCGGTTACAAGGTGAATCGAGAAGCTTTTCAAAGAAACTTGCCTGGGTTTTTTTCAGACTTTTCTCGCTGAAGATTGGGCCCGAGGCGCTCTTTTATGGCCTAACTGTAACGGGTTTTATTATCAGCCAACGACCCATTTTAATAGGTAAAAACTAAGATTTGGAACACCACAGTCGTAGAAAAAATACAGCATATAAGGCTCTGAAGTAATAGTTTTTGCTCACATTCGAAACACGACTTTTATTTATTTTTTGGTGTATCAGAATCCAAAAAAAGTTTCAGACGACTTCAAAAAACACTCATAAAAGCTTACCTTAAGACATCAAATAATCCGTTTACACGGCTTTGAAAATTTTATCATATGTCTATGAGCAGGCTGTAGAGGAAATGGTCTCAAAACCGACTGGTCCTATTTTTTATGCGCACTCGAAATGGCTTCCGCAACACAGATTTTTCTTATATCTTTCTTTTGTAAAGAGAAAAGTAGAGAAAAAATTTGTTTCGAATTTTAATTTAGTAGTTTGTCCCCGTAATTCTGCAATATTTTTTTATTGACTGTGGAAGGCTATGAAACTATATTATTTATTATTTAAAAAAACTTCCACAGCGTTTTTGAAGTCAATAAATAACTTAAGTTTTCAAATTAAGACCCTACCAGATCCTACTGGAAGAATCGAAAAAGATTATGTCGGAGCGGAGTCGAACTTGCATGGAACACCATATCGAGTTGCTCGACTACCTGGGAAAGTTCATTGAATCTTACAAAGGTATATAGTAATTTATATAATAATCAAGCAGAAATTGGTCAGGGGTTCCGAAATTCGGGTGGATTTGGTCTTCGGAGGTGTCACATAACTATCTCATAGGCTCCGCCCATATGGACTTGGATTTCAGAAACTTTCTTCTGAAACATCGTGAGGAAGTTAGTTTGTATACTGTACTTCATTTGCTGAAGTTAGAAACTCCCTGGTCGCACTAAGAATGGCTCAAAGCGTTGCGGTGTCGCTGGATTTCAATTTAGAATTTTTAAAATGACACGGCTAGTGACGCCAAAGCTAAAGTCTGAACGCCGATGCGCGCAAGTCGGTTTTTGGTCGGTCACACATTCAAAGTGACTTCTACGAGTTGAGCCATTCTCCATGCGACCGATGAGTATAAAACCGAGGTAACTAATTTATTTCTTTTTTACTAATTTTTGAAATTGAAGCTGGACAATTCGTTTGTGTTTTTCATGGGCGACCACGGTCTTCGATTTGGCAAGGTTAGTTTCTAAAGTGGAATTTTTCTGAGTTAGCTTCCGAATTACTTCCTATGGAGATCGTAGAAAAAAATAATAAATCATATTTTATATGTTCCATTTAAAAGTTTTCACCAATCATCTTCTGCTACCTTGATTTATTTTTATAGAATTTTCGAAGACTTTCTCATATTTTTAGCGTAATTTTCTCAACTCCTTTTGAAAGTCCTCAAAGAAACTTTTCCATTTTATCTATGAAGAAGTATCTCGATTTCTCACGTTTAAGAAACTTCTTTAATACTACAGTACTCTCGAACGCCTCACGGCAACTTCGAAGCGAACAACGCCCATCTTTCAATATCCATCCCTCGAGAGCTCCGAAGTTCCACTGAAATCATTTCGAGGCTTCGCGAAAGCTCCAAGAAATTACAGACCCACTACGATGTGTTCGCAACTCTCCGCGACATTGTTGAGGTTCGAGAAAAAGTTTTTGTTGTTTAAATACAATTTTCCAGTTTCAACCATCAAAAAACTACCGAGACTACGAGCCTATGGCGGCAGCTTTCGAACGAGGACATTCTTTTTTGAGACATCAACCAGAAATGGACAGAAATTGCAAGGTTTCGAAGGCTTGAAATGAAAAACATTATTTATTTGAAGACACTCGGAATTCCTTTCGCCTTCTGCCCGTGTGAATACAACACGACCAGAGTTGATAAGTGAGTTTATATGTCCAATATAGACTTTTTCGAACATTTTTCGACTGAGTTGTAGTTGAGACCGCTCCTAAAATTGCACAACTTAATAGCTTCAAAATAGTTTGAGACGCCTTTTGTGGTCAGATAAATGATTTCTTCTCGGCTTATTTGAAGGATATGCACTAACGTGGCGACTAGCTCTTCGACTCGAGACCTTTTTTTATTTTTCTGCGTTTAAACATTCTAGATATAATTCTTTGAAAGACCGGCCCAAAACTGTCTGGTCTCACAAAGATTTTGAAATCTGAACTCCTTTCTGAATCAGACGCTTTTCAGTTTAATTTCATTTTGTTTCGGAATCACCTTCAAACAATGCTCTCTCACAACAACTCCAATTCATAAAAACGACAAATTTTGTTCAGAACTTCAAAACTGGCTGAATCGATTGGTCGTTTTCTCATTGCGCACATAAGAAAATCTTTAGAGAAAGCTGATATTGTGTACAAATGCGCTCCAGTAGTCTTTGAAACGGTAAGTCTCCAATAGTATTATGGTCGCATGTGGAATGGATCAGAGCGTCGTGGTTGAGAAGAAATAACACACTTGTCAGTACCAACTGCTTTATTTGCATTATTCAAGCGCAGAGCCATTCTACGTGCTACCAAAGTTAAAACACTTCACCTGAAAGAAAAGTTTTTTTTGAGGTTCTTGAAGTGCAAGCCTACGAGTATATGGAGTCCAAAAAGTCTCAACTTTATCATGTCACTGTCAAGGCGGCTCCTCCGAACAACGGAACTTTCAAGGTTTTCCGAATTCCTTGTTAGCTTCAGTATTCAAATATCGGATTTCAGACGGTGATTCTGAAACGCGGCTCACCTGAAGACGGTTTCAATGAACCTTCCGTATTTGGAATCGCCTCCAGAACAGTAGATCGACTAGATTTTTACGGCGCGAGTGGTAACTGTGCTCCATACGAACTCGCCCATTTCTGCCACTGTATTCCGTTTTCAACCACAACTCAAGCCGCGACGCGGACCGCAACGCGGACCACAACTCAAACCACCACGAAGTTTGTGACCAAGGAGTATGACCCATTCGATGTAGAACCCTACGATTACCTCGGCTAGTAGAGGAAGCTCAGAACTTCCGTAAGATTCGATGAAAGGAGATATTTATTGAAAGAGACCCCGAAGCCGGTTTTTCGATTTTGGCAGCATAAATAAACCGCTCTTAATTTGTTTACGGTTTTGAACGGTTTGAAAAATAAACTATTCCTTAACTTTGAAGAAAATTTGTAAAAATGCAGAATAAAAGGCTTCATTCGGGTATTCCTGAAGATTAACTTCAAGTATCAAGCTTTACTGATTCTTTTTTTTTGCGTTGGATCTTCTGCAAATTTTTTGCGTTGGATCTTCTGCAATTTATTTCTTCTCATTTCATTTTTTTCATGTTTTTTTGATTTTTTTATATCCCATAAATAAGTCATTTCTGCCGTTTAAAAGTTGAAAGCTATTTATGAAGTTTTGAAGATTGTAAACGGCACTCAAAATGACTGCGGTCGCCTCGCGGTTGGAATCAGGCTTAAAACCGACTGAAAAATCTCAGCTCGCTCTGATACTTGAGGATGTCTACGTGCGTAAGTCGTTTTGGGTCGGGAACAATTTGAAGAAACCTCTACACAACCGTTGCGCGTCGCCGAGTCATCACAAGTTCGGCCTATGGTTCTCAAATTAGGACGTTTTTAGTAAATGTATAACATTCGAAATTGCTAGAGCTGAGAGTCTGGCTAATTGCCAATTATCAGTCGAGTCTGGAAATTTCTGATAAGTTAATTGAGCAGGTTTAGTTGATCGAAAAACTTTCACTCGTTTCATATCAATGAAGCAATCTTCTCGAGAGATGTTCCCATGGGGGAACTTCATACATTTAAAACGAGGCGATTGTTGCAAAGTCGTCGTTTTGAAGCGAATTCCGAGGCAGGTGTAGAGCGGGATTACGGCTGGCTCGCTGCCAATTCGAGCATTAAGCCTCCTTTCCCCCCAAGACGTCATTGTTTTTCGCTCCACTGCACAAACTCGCGCACTTTTCAAAAGCGGCCGTGATTGGCTCCTCGTTATGTGCTGCCCTTTTTTTTCCGGGAGGAGAACTCTGTGATTACTCCGAGTCCGGAGGATATTTGATTAGCTTTTCAGTGGGTCCGCCGAGTAATATAATGCCCTCCGTTTCACAGATGCAAATTGGATTTCGGACGGATGAAATAAAATTTAGAGAAAAGTGGCGAAGTTTTGTGTAGGAGTTTTTGAAATAAAAAACTATTCAGATAAGTCCCTTTCCGTTGGCTTCATTCCATGAACACGAGGAAAATTCAAAAAAAAGAACATCTATCAAAAGATCTTTGAATTGAAGGAAACTACTAATCATGATGTTACATTTGATTTTAAGATTTCAAAGTAAAAATAAAAGGAATCTCAATTCCTAGAGAAAAACTGCGGAGAGTGATCTTTCGACTTCCTTCTTCGGCGGAAGTCAATTTGGCAAAAAAAGCATTCGCTCGAGTTCAAAAGGTTCGGTTATTTGCGCATTGGGACAAAGCAAAGGAAATTCATTTTATGGTGGTGGCTTTTGAAAATTGCCAAATCATTGAAATATTAGGTATTTCAGAAATAAAAGTTCAGAGGACAGCATTTTTTAATGAAAAATGAATTTAAGGAGATAAGATAGGGATTTTATCTTCAGAGAATTTCGGTTGAGCCGTCGAGCGCAGTTTTTCAGCTTTCGGAGGCTATTTCTTGTTGCCGAACTTTTTTCTCATCTATCCAACTAAAATTTTTTATATCCTTATCAAACTCGATAAAAATTGAAAATATATTGTTTTGAAAATTGACTTTTGAGAAAGGCCAGATGAGAAGCTCTAGAACATCCGTGCAACAAATTTAGTGATCTGGTAATGACAGCTTAAATACTTTTTCATCATTTGCTTTTCGTCAACTTTTTTTTCCCAAGCTTCACCTGAAAACTGGTTGAGACAATAAAGTTTCTCACGACTTTTCCAGAAACGACTAGATCTACCAGGCATTTACTGGTTGCGGCTGAAGGGACCAAACATCTGGATTGATGAAGCCAGGTAGCCAGACAACCTTTGGCATCGGCAGGAAGTAGAGGCAGTCCCTAGAGAAGATGAAGCCGAAGACGTGGACGACCCGTGGATGTCGGAGGAGAGGAAAAAAGGCCTAAAAAGGCGAGGAATCGATAGAGACACGCGAAAATATGCGGCCATGTGCGTGTATGTGTGTGTGTGTGTATCTCTTTTTCGACGACCGCTTTTTTTTCCCGCCTTTTTTCGCCTTTTCCCAGCTCTCCGAAGCGACAACGAAGCCTTGGGCGATCTCTCGGCTGGCTCCCGTTGGAATATACACACGCGGCTCATTTCGGCCGCCAATTTGTCGCTTTTCCTGTGCCCCACCGCACTCCTCCTCCTCCTCTCCATTTCTTATTGAATGTAGTTTCAGCCGTTCTGTTTGCCTTTTTTCGAGTGATACTCGATCACTTTGTTTTTTCGAGCTCTTCCTTTTTTTGCTCATGTTTGCCTTTGCCCGTGAAAATTTGATGAATTGTGTACGAATTGTAGTGAGCCATTTGTAGTTGTTGGAAAAAGAAGGGTAACCCATTTTATTGCACCTTTCAAGGCTCTCCGATGGTTAGTTCAAAGTGGCTTTGAACGCTTTTCTGAGTTCTTCAAGGATATTTTAATGACCTCTTCAATATATCTTGTGGAGATTTTTTCCAACGCGACAAAAGCATCAATTCTTCGGTAGTTCTTTTGTTCTCAAAAATAAATTTCCACTCTGATGATTTACCAAACAGGAAAATGAGATAGAAAGATATTTTTGATGTGAAAAGAAGGGCATTGGAAGTCTTTGTTGACTATTTTGAACTGAAGATTCTCCAAATTATGCCCGGATCAAGAATAAATGTGGTGTTCTGACAACTTATTTTTGAGAGAGAGTATAATATCACTCTGAATTTACAGATCAAATCACGTCTATACCTTATGAATTATTCGAAACACTGATTTTTTTTTCAAAAGCCTTAACTTTTTTTAATTCTTCAAATAGAAAAAATAAGATTCAAAGTAATTGTCAAAAATTTGGACAATTCTCAAAAAACTTCAATTCTTTGCTGTTTTTTTCTTCTCATTTCTCACACATTGTAAGAAAACATCTTCCAATAACGGTGCGATTCGTCTACGAATGAATTATATCTTCGTTTTCAATCTTCCAATATTGGACTCGATGTGAAAAATGGCAATTTTTTCTGCGATGGAATCAAAGGACAAAAATAAATGGATTTGGCCCTTTTTATTCATTTTCCGTCCGTGTTTCTTTTAGCTTTTCAAGCTGATTTTGGCTTCGGGTGTATTGAAAAAAAGGCACATTTTTTCAAAAAAAACTTTTTTTTTTTGAACTTTTTTGCAGCTTAGTTGTACCTTCGGTTTTCTCTCAATTTTCTCTTCTCTTGAAGCTTTCATTTTTCTGCGCCAGTCGTTTTTTGGCAGAGAAAAATTGTGCAAAAAAGTCATTCGGTCCAGGGAGCTGAAAAATGGTTGGAGCGTAATGGGACGAAAAATTCAATTTTCGCAAACACAAAAAAAAATAACAGCGGCCTTCCGTTTTGGCTTTTCCTTGAAAGGCATTTCCGTTCAAAGCCTAACAAGGAAACGAACGCCAAATTGCTCTCATACATGTACAATGCAAGAGGCGACATCCATGGTTTGCTAGCAGGTCACAGTTTGTCCAGACAGTCTAGGGGTTTGTATTTGTGATTATCTCACATCCGGCCTGGGTTCGATCCCCCGGCTTGTCAAGATCATTTTTGCTTTTACTTGTAGGTTCCTCTTCCCTTCGTCCATTGGCTCTCGGAGTTCTTTCGACCGTTTTGAGTCAATATTTGTTGCCTGCATTTCGGACACGACAAGACGCCTTAACTTTAAACCCCACGCAATTTTTTTCGCTTTGTTTTTCGTGTCGTTCTTCGCCTCAAGAATTAAAATTATATTGCTTTTTTTTCGGCTGATTAATGTAACTATCCTACGAAATCGCTCAAATGTCCTATCAATAAATATTTCGAGAGCGAAAACTCGATTTTTTTAATTATTGTGAGGCCTTCTTTAGAGTACTATTCTATAAGCCCTAGGAAAACAAAAATGAGAGAAACCTGGTGTTCGAGAAAAATTTTTTCTCAAATTTTAGAAAACTTTTTCTGCCTCAAAAGTCCTACAACTGAAATTTTGGGGTTTTTGGTTCTTCTTTTTTTTTTTACCGTTTCTAGGTACATGCGATCTTTCAAATTCCCAATCAAGCGGAAATCATTTCAAGGAGCAAAAACTCCAATTTTTCAAAATGATCACGTGTTTTGGCATCTTTTTCTTCCGGTTGCCGATCAGATTGATGCTCCTGGGAGCAGCATTTTCCCCAGACATCACGCTCGTCGCTGTTATTTCCATCGGCATGAGCCGAGATTCCTTCTATCGCTGGATTCCATTACTTTCCTCTTCAGATAAATCTTATTTCGAACTTCTTTTTACCGTGAGTAAAAAGAATTTTTCCATTAACAGCCGAATCATTTTTGCCATTCGGGAAAAGCTCATTTTGTGCGTGGGAACCGTAGGAAATGATATCAGCTGACTTTCAGTAAAAAAAAGAGTTTTTGATTTCATTTTTTAAAGAAAGTACACGCGTGGGTAGATAAGAAGCCTTGCAAAAAGTTGAAATGAAAGAAACCTGTGGAGCGAATCCTTGCAAGGTCTAAATCTGGCTCTTTATAATTAATCGAAGAATCCTTGTGTTTTGACCTGTTCCTACCTTGTTTTTCGATACCCTGGCGACCTTCATTCCATCATTTCTTTTTTAAACAATGAATTGTTCATTTTTCTTCCTCCAGGAGCCCCTCTTTCTCGTGTTTTCGTCGTGCCGACCCTACCGGTGACCAATTGCATATTTATTTCCGGTGCCATGTCTTTGTCCCCGTCTTTCTTTCTTTCCCATGACTACTTTTCGATTTCTGGACAGAAAACCATCTCAAGACTTTTAGAAGATTCCCAGAAGACGGCTCTTCGCAGTATTATTTAATCAGAGATTTATGCAGTATCTCTGAGAATTTTCGTTTGAAAATAAGCTTAGAAAGAAGAAAAAACAACTCGCAGACGCCCATAATGAATGCTTTACTTGAAAATTGCGTATTCTCCAAATTGCAAGATAAATAAATGGTTTTCCAGACAAACCCACACATTTTCTGTAGTTTATGGCTTACCTGTTTAATTTGTAGGTCTTTTGGAGAGAAATTTTCGTTTGGTCATAAATTTAGCAATAGCTAAAATTGAAATTTCAAGCGAAAGCTGAAAAAATGTCTTTTTTGCTGTTTTCTTTCGTGCGAGTTCTTCTCACACGCTACAGTATTTTCTCCATAAAATGAGCTTTTTTTGTTTCAAAAAGGTTTTGTGGGGCAAAATCTGTGGTGATGTTCTAAGTCAACAATTCAAAAAGGCAGAGTCTATCGTTGAAAATTACCAAAAAAATAATAATAATAAAGTTTAGCTTTAAATATGAGCCACGTCTATAGAAAACGACTCAAAAAACTTCCAGTAATAAATTATTTTTTTGGTAGTTTTTTTCGTTCGAATTAAATTGCTGAAAAGTAGATGCCATTAAAAAGCACTAATTTTTGAAAGTTCCTCGAAATTTGACAGATTTCAGATCCTCGAATGTGGTCTCTGAACCCCATATCAAAACTGAAGTTGGTAAATTTGGAAAAAAAAAATTCCGAATGGGAACTTTTCTCGAGCCTGTCCTTTTTTGCTGTTTCGTCGGCACCTTTTCATCAGTCTTCAGAAGACGTGACATCATGCGACGGAACTCGTTCGAAACCCGCATAAATCTTTCACGTTTCACGAGCATCTTCAAGCACTCCTCATCCCATTTTCCCTCCAAACTTTCCTTTTTTACCTCTTTTCTCGAGGCTTTTCGCCTCCAGCGTCTCTTTTTTGCTGATGTCCGAATAGTTGTACAGTCTCCTTCAGAAATAACTTCTAGAACATTTTCTGGAACCGTGGCTAGCGGAAAATGATCTTTCCAAAAAAAAGAGAACAAACAGACGTGTGCCAGCAACATAGTTCATCCGCCGAGTTCAGACTGAAAGTTCATTTTTTCCTAAAGTTTTTTTCACTTCTCATCTCACTGCTTTTATCTGTTTTTGATATATTTTTTTTTTTGATTGAAAAAACTTTTTTTAAACAATTTTCTGTCGCTTTGTTACTATTATTTTATTCTTATTGCCAATTTCCTCAGCTGATGTTCTTTTTTCCGCAATATTAGAACTTCTATTGCGCTGATCGGTTCTAATCTGCGCGTATTTTCCTGAATCTAAACTGAATTTGAAAAAAAAAAATTAAACCTTTAATGTTGTTCTATAAAAAGAGAAAACTTTTTTGCACCGAAAATTGTTTTCCGTTGAAAAAAACCGGATGATCTATGTTTTCAAAACTTTTTCGGGTTTTTTTCATTTTTGCTTTTTATTCCCTGGCTCTTAGGCTTCTCCCTGAAATCTCGTTTGCCGTGGCCTTTTTTTAGACAGATTATCCATTTCTTTCGCCTCCTCCAAATCCTCATCTCATTGATTTGAACCTTTTTTTTGATCTTGTTCAAAAATGAGCTCAACTACTGTAGCTTTCAATGCGGTAGTTTTTTTATTGGTGGATAGAATAATGGAAAAAGATGATGAGTTATTATTTTCAATTTTTCTTTTTTTTGTTTATACTTTACTCGAAAAACTTTTTTTCCTCTTATCCGAAGTCCAAAGTTTGACTTCCTTCAGAGGAGACGTGGGACGGAAAGAAAAAAAAAGATCGAAAGATGTCTCCTCCATTTTTTTTTCTTTTTTTCTCATTCGAGCTGAAATTCAATACGTCCTGAAAGCCAAGATCTCCATTTGTGATAAAACTTCCTCGAGGCATCTCAAAAACATTGCAAAGTGCTGAATTCCTGTTGGTAAAATATGAAGTTATAAAAAACTTCATTCGCCCTTTCTTCAAAAAATGTGGTCGTGTGTGAAACGACTTGAACTGTCTTGGTCGCGTTTCTGCGGAAATAGAAACATTCAGCAGCTCTCAAATGCTTTGAGATGCCTCCGCTCCCAAGTCGTTTCAAGTCCGGCGCGCATCAAAATATTCCAAACCCATAGCCGTTACGAATGATGGAAATGCTTCACGTAGTAATTATATTTTTTTATTCGTTTTTCTTTTCTCAAAACATGACTGGTTGAAATTCTCCCATTCAAGAAATTAATCTGGGAACTGAACTTCCTCCTTCTTTCATCCTATTAGACCTCTCTCGTCTGCTTTTCACCTTGTTTTTCTGCGCTTGGAGCCTCACAAACACTCGCGAACGTCTTCTTTGATGGAATTTGTTGCGAAGTAGGCGTGGCGGGAAGGAAGCAATCTGTGCACACTCTCATGTCGACGTCCATCACAATCATTTTGCCTTGAGTCGCCCCTTTTCCACTTTCTTTTCCACATATTATGATGATGGACCAAGTTTATGAGTTATTTTCTGAAATAGGGTAAATATAAATAATATTCCATGAGTAAATAAGAAGGTTCAGATTATTTTTAATCTTATTTCACAAGGTTTTATAGTTTTTCTTTCACCTAACCCTAATCCTTTTTTACACCTTTCCAGAAATATTCTAAGGTTGCTCAAAACTGAAACTTTAGTCATGAAAAGGAAAGGGAGCACTTTCTTTCAAAAAAGGACGTTTTAAAGGATCCCAAATTAGCCATCGAACGAAGAGCCTTTGAAAATGAAAAACCTTTCTTGCTGCTATTTTTCCGTGAACCTTATTCCCAGAATCCAATGGCTCCTGGCTTTTTGGTCTATTTGTAACCAACGCAGTCATTTTTTTCTTTCTCACGGAATAAGCCCAAACGGCCAACTCTCATCATCCTCCAATGGGTTTTTCTTTTCAATTCGGACCAAGTTTGCCTCTCGGTTTTTTGCTTCTCATGCATCTTTTAGTGGAGAGTGTCGTTCAAAGAAGAAAAAAAGCAACAAGCTTTTCCATGGTGTATATATTTTGTTTTATATTCATTTATTCCCACCTTTAATCTTCTTAGAGTTGTGTCATATTAAAGCTAGCTCTAATCGCACAAATCTTCCCTTTTGGAGCTCTGCTCTTCATTTTTTTTTCCTAACTCTTCTCACGCAAGCCCGTTTTTCTTTTACTTCGAATGATGAACAACTCGCTCTCCTCGTGACAAATTGTCATTTTGAATGATGTCCTAGTTGAAAATTAGGATTTTTTTTTGCTTTTTTTCTCGAAAAATAATTCTGAATGGAAGCTCTTTTCCCAAGAAGTTCAATTTACGAGTCTCGAATTACATAATTTTGTGGCTGAGATAAGGTTCACTTTTCAATCCTTCTACTCACTGTGAAAAAAGAACACGACTTTTTTTCCTGATACTGTTCTGTCCTTTGAAAAGCTCGTTTTATTCTGACGATTTCGGGAAGTCATTACTTTAGGACAAAAAATTTACAGTTCACATTTTATAGACTGAAGAGCAGATGAGAAAGGAAAAAAAAAATAGGTTGCCGAAACAAAAATGAAAGTTTGAAACTTTTCTCAACTAAAAATCGCCGTGAGACTACGCGCAACGAGCGCAAACACTTTTCCGCAAAATTTCATGCCGAGAAAAATTTTTTTATTTTTCAATTTGCACTGTTCTCTCTTTCTCAACACATTTTTCCTCCTGTTATCTCGTCCGTGACGTTCAAATTTTGTTTCCTTTATGTGGTTTTAATGGCTCTTCGTTTTTGCACAGCCATTATTTTGCGTTCCGATCTATTCATTCAACGATTCTTTATTTTTTATTGAAATCTATGAATGTTTTCCAGATCAAATAAATGGATTTAAACCAGTGCTGACTTGGATTTGAAGCTTTTTAGCGTTCAAAAACCATGGATCGAGCCAAGAAAAAGTGCGTTTTTGAACTTCATTGCTGGCAGTTTCAGATTCCGATTTTTTAATGAGATACTTTTTGAGGTTCGCCTCGGCGATTGACGGGCTTCGATCTTTTCACAACAAGACGGACATAGTGGTGGACGAGAAAGTACTTCCCGATCACTGTTCTCTTCACACGGTCAGCTTTTTTCTTTCCCAGAATATTTTCTTTGAGATTTTTCCCGTGGAACTTTGATTTAATGGCTCTTTCCAGTAAGTTTTTTTTTTCTTTTTTTCCGAGAATTTATTCATTCCGAGTAGTTCAATACTTATTTTTGAATTTTCGCTCTTATTATTATTTTTTTTTCAATGGAAGACATTGATTTATGAGCCTCCTACTTTCCTGTTATCAATTTTATTCTTTTAATCCGCTTTTGCCGCTCATTTAATTCCGGAGAAAGTAAAATCAGAGAGAGAGAGTGTCTTCGAAAAAGGCTTCCTTCCAGATAAATAAGATTTTTTTCGAAAAACTTCTTACTTCCAAACAAAGTCCTTTTTAAGCCTCCAAAGACTATTAATTATTTTTTTCATGATAAGGTCACATGTACAGAAACCTGACAAAGTTTTGTTTTTGTTTTTGTTTTTGGGGGGAAGGAAGATTCGATATTTTGCGAACTTTGCTCGAAGGTTGAATGATTTCAAAAAAAGTTGAAAAATAAATTAAGTTCGATTTTTTTAAAAATTAAGAGCTTTTTTTGATAATCACGTAAAGAACCTTATCGAGTGTTTTCGTGATCCAATAGTGAACGAATTCTAGAAAGCTGATTTTTGAGATTTTTATTCATTCGAAGGAGTATGAAAGAAGTAAAGGTTTTGCTATGTGTAGGTTCATTCTCGCTTTCCTTTTAACAATCAAAATTTTTCGATTTCAAATTTTCTATCAAACCAAATTAAGTTTCTCGATGTGAAAAAAAACGTCTTTAGAGTGAAAAGTTAGTTTTGAGCATTTTTTTGCTTATGAGAAAGTGTTCTTCTGGATTTTTTGGTGCAGCCGGAACTCCTATGCCTTTTTGCGGCTTTTTGTTCTTCATTTCCTGGCGGCTTTCAATAATTCTTTCTTTCGTCGTGGGGTCAAAAATCGGGCCGGAAGCGTGATTCCCGGCGACAGGAAGCGGTGTTGTGTTGCAGCGGCGCCGTTTCTTCTGCTTCGGCTCATTCCGCAGTGTCTCGCCAAGTTCCCTTATCCGGACGTGAAATCCAACAAATTTTTATGCGAAGTTCCTCTAAAAAAGAGCAAACTTGAGAACCATTTTGAAAAGATATAATGTTTAAAGGACCATTCAGCAGAAGTTTTAAAGGCATAGGGGCAGTAAAAATGGGGTTTCAGGTGAAAGCAGTATCTTATATAGTTTTTCTTTGCGAATCGAACGGTGTACTCAAAAAAATTACAGATGTGACAACTTTAGAAGAAAAACGCGATTTTACTTTCCCGCCTTTAATTTTGAAAAAAGCTTTGGATCGGTATACAGACAAATGTTTACAGTAGCCGTGCACGAGATGTTGCGGACGTCTCATTAGACTCGCATTTTGTGAGAAATAACCGGATATCTGCTTCAAATCAAGGGTTTCTACTCTGAAAAATCGATTAAGAAAACAGAAAACACACATTGATAATAAAGAAAACACAAATAATTGCTATCCCAATCTAAACCTGTGTAAAATCATCATTTTTTCACGAAAAACGCTTTTTTGCGATCAAAGTTTGCAAACTATACATGAATAGAAAGCTTATGTGACGAAAAGAACTTTGGTGACAACAGAAAAAATTGAAAATTGAAAGAAACGAAGAAAAAAGCGAAAATCCGGAAGATGGCGAAGCCTGTTGTCCATAGAGCAACTTTACTGCAAAGTGCCCTTTTCGCGGGAACTCAAACTTTCTTCTCTCCGACTTTGAATTATTTTTTCTCCAAAACTAGGAACTTCTGTACGTTTCCAAGTTTACCGTTCGATTCGCAATGAAAAGCTCTACAAAGTACTGCTTTGAACTGAGACACCGTTTTTTACTGCCCCTATGCCTTTAAGCCGAAAATTGAGCAAGAGGAGGCTTTGATATAATTGATTCAATTTTTTTGATATTTTTCACAGAAAAAAATCGTTTTCAAATTGTCTTTCACAGTTCAAATGCAGGAAGCCGTTTGAAAAACCGGGACAATTCGAAGTTGAAATCCAAAAATGAATTATGATTTCTTTTTAGAATTCTGCTTTGAGAGTAGAGACTTCTTTCACATTCTACACTGCTAAAAGTTCCAAAAAAATCAAATAATAACTGGGAAACTTCAAATTTAGTGCGTTCCTGATCTTTTTCTCACTATGAATGCATTAGGACTGGCCTTCCGCGTTTCTTGGATTCACTTTTTTCTTTCCTTCTATCAAGCAGCCCCATTTCCTGGTCTCTTCTGACAAACGTCTAATTCGTTTTAGGGGTCCGTTGTGGGGCGATTGAAATCTGATTATGTGGTAATGCATTTGGTGCGGATATGTTTCACCTTTGACTTCCGGCTTTCTTCTTAACTCGATTAGTCTTTCTTTTTTGGATTTTTGGCTGAATTTAGAGAGCTGAGGAGTAGAATTGGGTTCATACGTCATGACCTGACTTGAGCTTGATGGCTCAAAAAAACTCACCTTTGCTCATATTTTGAAAAAAAGGAGAGAGGGAAAGAAAGAATTTTTCGATTATGGTGAAAAGATGAGGAAAAAGAAAAAAACTTTATTTTGAACAAGCCACAACAAAATTTCAGAACAGGTTTGCGCGAAGATTTTTTTAGAATTTGAGTAAAATTAAAAATAAGTTTTCCTTGCATACGGTTTTTTTTTTAAATCCATTTTTAAAAACTTTTTTTTGAAAATTCAACAATATTTTTCCTGAAATCATCCTGAAGTGTCATTGCAATACCTAAGAAGCGAAAGTTAGCGGAAGCCAGGAAAAGTTTGAAAAGCTCAAGCAAAACTTCTTGATTACGGAAAGAGATCAAGATTAGAAAAGTCAAAAGTATTTGCTTTTTCAATGTAAAAAAAAACATTTTTTCATACGAATTCCCAGTTTTTTCGACCCATGGTTGGTTTCAGGTGGTCCGGCATGGTTTTCCGGACGACGCCCGTTGTTTGGCCTACGACCCGGTCCAAAGACTTCTCGCCATCGGTTCTGGACATGGTCATGTCAGAATCATCGGTATGCATTACCTACAACCAAGAAGGATGTCTGAATCGTCCATTGAATAACCCGATTTATAACTATTCATGAAGGAGAAAAAAGCTTTTTTTTTCGCTGTTCAAGCTGTGTGAAAATGAAGATCTGATACTTCCTGAAAATAGACGGCGGAACATTGACGATATCGCAAAAGTGCTGCTTTTTGGCCGCGCCGGATTCGCTCTTTGGAAATTTCCAAATATTTTTTCTGGGTACTTGAAGAGCGAGATCGCGCCGAAAAAAATTGCGAGTCTGGCACGACGACAAGACAATTCGCGAGGCTGTCAATGTTCCCCCAGCTACCTCTTGTCTTCAAAGTTATTCCCAGTGTCCGGAAGAATCTGTTGATCTTCAATATTAAACAGCTTGCCTTACTAAAAAAAAATACTTTTTTAATTTTTTCTTCATACAACAAAAAAAATCGGGTCGGACTAGGCGGACTTCTTTAGGATGCTAAAACCCTATTTTTCCAAAAGGAATTTCATAATTTTCCAGGAGACGCAGGTGTGGATTACTTGTTACGGCACGAGTCGGAGCAAGCCGTTCTACATATGCAATTTCTCATAAATGAGGTGAGAAATACAGGGAATTGAGGTTCATTGGAAAATTCCATCAACTGTCAGCTAGGGCATGGCTTTTATTGAATAAACTTTGTTTCTGATTGGCCGCACTTTCCAGGGAGGTCTGATAACAGCCTGTGCAAACGACATGATCCATCTGTGGAACTACCGACAAAAGGTGCCGGAGATCGTCCACTCTGTGCAGCTGAACAAGGAGGCCGTCACGGCCATACATCTGCCCATCTCCAGCAAATGGCTCTACGTCGGCACCGACAAGGTAGTCTTCTTCATCGCTCTTCATCGAGAAGTCTCCGTATCACTCAGGGAAACGTCTATTTCGTTTCTGTCGGCACCTTCCAGCTCAGTCCCTACGTCATCAACTGGAACAAGGCTATAGATTTGTGAGTTCATTTTAAAGATCGGTTCCGGTGGAACTTTGGTACTCTAGGAGCTCTTACGTCTAGAAAAAAATAATTATTTGAAACAGATATTGCTTCTAAGTTGAGAAACATGAAAAGCCCTACGAATACCCTTTATTCATTATCTGGGTGTTGCGGACTTGAAAGGGTGTTTTTAAAAAAAAAAAACAACATGTCAATTTGGAAAAGAACGAGCTTACTTTGAACACGGAATGAACTTCATTATCAGCGCAAATTCTGAATAATTTGTCCTTCAGAAGCTGTCGAGTACATCCGGGTCCAGTCCGACAGCTGTCCGTGTCCCCGATCGACCCTCTGAGGATGCTGATCGCCTACGACAAGGGCATCCTGGTGCAGTGGAACCTGGCGACCAAGGAAGTCGACCGATTTCCTCTCGATCCGCCCATCAAGAGCGTCAGGTTGGAATGATCAGATTTGTGACGAATTTTTAGAAATCGAAACTTCTCTATCTATTTTTGTTGATAAATAATATGGCTCGAGCTATTATTAATTCTTTTTGAGTCAGTAAGCTCTGATTTAGCATGGGAAATTTTGAATGTTTTGGAAGATTTGACGATAGTTCGGAAAAAAAATTTTGAAAACTTGTGAAAAAATTTCTACCTCTCTAAGTTTTACATTCGGTTTTCTCCTAATTCAGCTCCTTTGGTTTATTGATAAAATCTTCAATGTCATTGAAATAAATCATATAAACTTTCCCTTAGTCCTAGATGGTAGCTTTTGAGTTTTCAAAAAACCTGTCGTGAGACGTATCGAGTACCATTCAAAAGCCTCACTATGAGTTTAGATCTTTTTGCCTGAGAAGTGACTAGGGATTCAAAATTTCAAAGATTCACCTCCGCCTGATCTTCATTTTCTCCCCTACAGTTGGCACTTCGACGGTCGCCAAGTTTTGACGGGAAACGTCGACGGCTCGATCAGCATGTACAACGTGAAGAAGACGGGCGAATGTGTCCAGAAATCGACGCCCCACGGATCCGGCGCCTGCAGACCGATTCATCAGATCGAGTGGAAGCACGTCAACGAAAACGAGCAGATCATCGTCTTCTCCGGAGGTCCGAGCTGACCTTCATTCGACAGAAATCTGACTGTCTGCGCTCTCCCTTCTCTTGTCATGTTAAGAAATAACCAAGAGAACATGAGGCTGAGAGAGCAAGAGAGCGCAGACAGACCAGGCTGTCACACCGAGTTTTGCTCAACGAACTTCAAAATATCGCAAAAAATAATTTTATCTATAAAAATAATCGCAACCTGTTCAACTTTTTTTATTTTCGAATTTTGCGATGCTTCAACATCGATCTTCGAGACGCTGTTAAGTTGAATTTTCAAGCTCCCATTCTCGAAAAAAAGAATTCGTCATATGCTCCTTGAGCTTCAAAGTATCACAAAAAGCTCCTTGAGCATATGACGAAGTTTTTTTTTTGATGGCTTTTTTTCGGAGAAAAAGAAAGAAATCACAACGTTTATTGAAGTTCTAAGTTGATTTGGAACGTCTTCTAATCTTGAAATTCATCAGGAATGCCAACGGATGACGGTTTACCGGTTCCGGCTCTGACCATTCTTAGAGGCGGCCGGTCGGCGACGGTTCTCGAAATGGATCATCCCATCATTTCGTTCATAACTCTTTCGCAAGTGAGTTTTGGATTTTCGAAATGCAAAAAGGATCAAAATCAGCTCCAATAGAGTGATTTATAAATTGAAAAAAATGTTTTGGCTGTTTGATAATGAAAACTTAGCTGTCGTACTAATAGATTTTGTGAAAAGTGGTGATCGAAAAAACTATCTCGAATACATAGGAACAGGGATAATTTTCAAAAAGTGGGAAATTTGCACGAAATGGCTTGAAGGTGGCCTTCCCTTCATGTCCGCAACAACCTCACGCCGTGGCGGTTCTTCTGAAGAACGACCTGATGCTCCTCGATTTGCAACAACAGGGGTTCGTTTCAAACCAAGTTCTTCCACTGAATAGAACGAAGTAGTGAAAAATAGGATTTTTGTCGAATTCGTTTTATATCTATTTTCTTCGTTAACATGAGATTATAATCTATCAAAGAAACACGTTTCACTAAATCAGAAAAGAGCAATTCCTATGTTTCCAGTCACCCGATGATCGAATCGCCGCACTCCATGAACATCCACGAGAGTCCCGTCACCTGCGTCTCTTATCACTCCGATTGTCCCTTGGACTTGATAGGCGCTCTGACTTTGGTCGGCACAAAGCAACGGAAAAAGGACTACAGCTCAAGGGTTCGTTCCTTTTCTCCTGTGAGATGTGACATTTTCAGAGTCAGAAGGTTTTCGCATCATGTATAGAATACATGATCAATTAAAAATGTTTGGTGAAACTGAGATGTGATATTATTTAGGAAAAAAACGGTAAAAAAATAATTATTCATTTATTGGAAAAAAATAAAAAAACAATCATGAAAAAAACAACGAGGAAACAACAAATTGCGAAAAAAATTAAATAAATAAATACCGACTAAGAAGGTTTACACGTCAGATGAATTTAAAACATATCGTAACACAACCCATTATCGACAAAAGTGGGATAAAAAATAACTTAGAGGAATCTTTTTGTAGAGTCAAACCGACAGTGAGTAGTAAGGCTATCCGCTGGTATGATTCACGATTCTTTTGCCATCTATTCGGCTTTGCTCCTGCAGAGAAAAAAAAAATAAGTTTTGGAAAAATATAAGAAGCATACTTCCGCTGGTCGGCGATTGCTCGGAGAACGCGATTTCCGGCCAAAAACGTGACAAATCCCAGAATCGCGAGGTATTTGAGCGTCTCGAACATGTTGAGTTGCAGCCAGAAGACAAAGTAAAGGGCGAAAATTCCTGGAAAAATGCCAAAATTAATAAAGAGTTTTGTAAACTACCAGTTTCAGTCAATTTTTTTTAAGCAAAAATTTTTTTTTCGATTTGAAATGCCGTTTTTTTCAATTTTTTTAAAAAGAAGAATGCCAAGAGTTGAAAATACAATGAGAAATGTTAAGCCATTCAAAGATTTTCTACCGAAAAATCAGTTCACCAAAAGAAAATAGTTTTTGAAATTTTGGAAAGTTTTTAATAAATTGCTTCTAAGAAATGAGAAAGAACGAACCTGCGAGGCCAATGTGGAAAAGGGGGGTCCAGATGGAAAGAGGCGCGTTGTTGAAGTTGATGCCGATCTTGAGCCACTGGAAGAAATAAGATGAATGAGTTTCTGAACTGTTTCTTACCGCCAGAAGAAGGAATCCGAGAGGGGCGAGACACAGGAGAGTGAAGGCGTCAGAGATGACGGCACTCGGACGCTTCTCCGGCTGCCGGAACATGTGTTTGATCTCCGGCAGGGCGTCGTAAAGGATCTCCTGCGACTTCGGAATGATCACTGGCGACGTCGGCAGTTCCAGCGTCGCATCAGCCTGAAACCGTTCAAAATTACCAAGAAAGACAATCGTTTTCTCACAAAGTGCCAGTTGACGGGCGTCTTGATCGTCGAACCGCCGACAATCAGGCTCAATTTGAACTTTCCGTCGAGGTTCAGCTTTTTCAGTGACGATTTCAAAGCCTGAAGACTTGATATCTGATCAAGCTACGTGGAATAAATGCTACCAGATCCAAGACAAGCTTGTCTCCCGTCTTTTCGGCGATAAAAACGGCGTCCTTGCCGGTTTCCACGTGTTCCAATGTGATGAACGCCTAAAATAACAGAATAATAATGAATAAAATATCTTTTCACCTGCTCTGGCTGGACAGCGGCGCCACCGGCCTTCTTCTGAACGTTGAAAGAAACGTACAATCGGCCACTGGCGTCTCCTTGGAGCACGTGAGAGGATTTCGAGAAGACAACGATACTGGACAAAAAATATGATAGAAAACAATGAATTAACAAAAAAAAACCTCTTAAGGGCTTCATCATTTGGCGTCTGCTCTTTGGCTAAAATTCCGGCCTTGAAATTCGCGATGGTTATTTCCTCAGAGGCTTGAGCACAGAAAGCAGCGCCCAATAATGTTGCCAATAGGACAAGGAGCTTCATTTTACCTGCAATTTTGATTTCCAACTCAGGCTGAATACGTAGCTAAATTCAAGTTCTCGCATTTTCTGTTCAAATGCTTTCGCTGAAGCGTTTTGAAGCGCAAAAATTTTCAATTATATCCGATCGCACTTTCATGTAAGTCGTTTGTACTTCTCTGAACACGACAGCAAAGATTTTGGACAGTTTAAAGTAAATCGTAGAACAACTCCAAAAATCTGCGAAAAAAAAGTGGGAAAATTTAAAATTCACGAGATGTAAAAAATAACTATATTCTTTCAAAAACTACACAGACGAAATTTTGACGAGAGTTTAAAAAAAAAAATGGAGAGCCCTCGCGCGGCCTCGTTTGCCATGTACACGTTTACCAATCAATGGGGGCAGGGACTTGAGGAGCGAGAGCACAGACGAACAGACACAATCCGTCTTGGCCAGTATTGTCGGCTCGTTTGCAGTACTACTTAGTGACAATTCATTTTTATAATAAAAAAGCGAATATGAAAAAAAAAGAAGGAAAACAATGAAAATAGGAATTACACGTTGGATTGTGAGCTGCTCGAAATTTTGCGGTGATCGCAGACTCGCACAACGGAATCGCCGACAAATTGCGTATGATACTATGTTTCTCACGCGCATTTTCTTAAAATCTAATGAAATTTTTAACTGACCATGACACTAAGCACTGCTATTCGAAAAAAAAAAAATGCTTTGACGCTTTTGAGTAAGATTTTGAGTACTTTTTTTCTCTGCTACCTACTTTCAAAAAAAAGAAGCTAATTTTATGTTTTAAGACATGGCCAATTACGGGTGGCATCGGCAGAGAATGCGCGACGGGTCATCAAGAGCTACTTATCACTGGGTATTTTTTGTAACCTAACTTGAAAAAATCCAGAGTTTCAGCCACAAGGATGGCACCGTTCGGTTTTGGCAAGAATCAGGAGAGCATCTTCAAATTTTATATCGACTCAAAACAGCTTCTCACTTTGAACGGCTTGAGGAAATGGAAGCTTCTGATAAAGTTTCTCACGCTGTGAAAAGTATTGAACTTTGTTTGGAGGTTAAATGAGAGGAATTCTCGATAAAAATGAGGATTTTTGCAGTCGCGACAACTTTTGGTAGCCGGAATGTCGGGCCAAGTGACGTTGTTCAGGTTTTCCAAAACGGAGAACATGAATTCGATAGCGGTGGTCAATATTCCGCTGCTGGGCAATCCGTCGACGTCGTGGGCCTCTGGACCGGGCTTGACGGGAGATGAGAAGACGAACGGCCCGGCCGGCGCCTCCAAGGAGATCCGACGGCAACGGAAGGTTAGTTGGAAGCCGTGTCGTCTCCTTGGATATCTCGAAGCTTTTCGTCGGTCGGATTCTCAGTCAAGGATTTGAAAAGAAATTTATGACCATTCCACTCAAAATGATTCGATATTGGAAGATTTTTCGAAACCTCAAAACATTTTTTTTTTTCATTCAGCACATCATCTTTAAAAAAAAGAGAAACATTTCTAGGTCATTGATCAAAACATTCATTTTCGAGCGGGAAATGTTATCTAGAATGGAGAGTCCTTTTACCTAGCATACTGGGGGTTTCTATAGATTTTTCTAAACAATCTTCGAAGAACTGGAATCGATCACAATCAATCGCTCTCTGTGCAAACTTCTAGATTAGGAGATTTAGAATAGTTTCAAATACCGAGTTTAGGAGAAAGCTCGGTATGAAATCCATATTTCGCAACTTGAAAAGTTCATTTCTTCAAAAATCAAAGTTCGCGAAGATAGCGACTATGCCGGTCCGAATTCTATTCCACTGCAAATTTTTCGAGCAATTTTAAAGAAATTTTCAGAAAGCTAAGTAGAATGATTCTCCATGTGAGTACATAGTCTTTTCAGAGACTTTTTTTTCAAGTTTTTTGAAAACTCAGAAGTCTTGCATGGCCTTAAATAACACTGATAATGGCTCTTCGTTTTGATAGTATTAAGAAAATTCAGTGGGCGTTTTCAAAATTCCTGTAGGGTTTCTGAAAAGACAGAATAATTATTGAAAACTTATCAGGGAAAACCTTCGAAAATCCACCGACACGTATAACTGTTGAACTTTTATATTATCGTCGTTTTGGAAATTCCGGACTCACTTTACTATTTATCAGAACTGTTTCAAGAAGGAATTGACGCGGAAACGATTCCGAAGGGTCATTTTTTCCAAAACGACAATGCAACTTGATATGCCTAGCCGAATAACAGGAATTAACATAACTACGTCTTTTACCACCCCCTTTGGATCGTTTTCAATCTAACTTTCCTTTGTACCTTTAATGATTGCTGTTTTCCTTTCCCGTTATAACTTTGCTGATGCTTTCACCGGCTGGTTTTCATTCAGAAGATTTTTTGAGGAGATTTTTGAACAAATTTGAAACCAGTCGCAAATAACGAGAAAAAAACGCTTGAATTTCCATTCCACCTAACAGCAAATGATGGCTCGTTTGAAGTGTTTCTAGTTGATGTGAGTCGGTAATCGAGCATTCCAGAAATTGTGTCACATCGGACGACGACGATTTTCGTTTCAATTTTTGCCGACACAACTTGTTGAGTTATGGCCCGGTTTCGCTTTTTTTTTTTCAAAATTTCATCGAGGTTTTTTGAGAACGTGAAAATTCAGCTGAAAACTTGAGGCTTGTCACTAGAGAAATGGCAGCTTTTTTGCTTGATTTTCATGTTCTTTTTTTCGTTTTCTCACTACTCGTTTTGCACCCTTTCCATGGGCACTGAACATCTGGGACACTTTTAACGATTTTTCTTGAATTTTAATTTTTTTTTTTTCGGTTTTCCTATGGAACATAGTTTGAAAAAGTTCGAGTTAGATGAAGTAAAAAAACAGTTTCCTTTTAGATATCTCCAGTTCAAAAATTGTGAAAAATAAACATTTTTTTCATAGAAAATAACAGTTAGCCCTTTAAAAAGTTATGACTAAGTCATAGTGAATAAATTTATAATACAACTTAAAAATAGATAATTTGAAATACAAACACAAATAACATGCACCTTTTTCAAACCTTCTCACGCTCACCTGCAAATTTTCCTCCTCATTTTAACTTCTTTCCTTATTCTGTTATTTAGAATGCGGTATTCCATTAAATTTCTCCTCCATCATCTCTTTTCTTGTAATGCTATTCCTAATTTCGTTTTCATTTCCGTTTTATTTATACGATTCTTATTAAGTCACTCTTTGAAATACTATGGGGAAAAAGATAAAGAATAAATTTAAATAATTTAAGAGTTAATTGAAGGATTTTTAGGTGATGAGTCGAGATTCGACCAATTCCTTCGATACCAGCGACTCTGGTGACGAGAGAATCGTGCCTTTTAAGGTTCGAGGTGCTCCCGTAAAACGGCCGCCGGGATTTCAGGTTATTATACATATATTCGAAATGCGCAATAAATAATATACCAAAAATTATACAAAACTCGACTCCACTTTATCAATTCAAGTTGAACTTTAAATCCCGCAATTTTTTTTTGTGCGAAATGAAAATGAATTTATAATGTCAACCGTAGACAATATTTGAAAAAGGTGTTTGAAAAATGTCAAAAATGAAATGTCAGTACAAATTACGTGAAATGAGATTAACCCTTTGAGCTTTTAAAAAGCAGCGGAGACGATAGCGCTAAAAGTCAGACTGTAATATCGATGTATAGATAGATATTTGCAGCCCGAACTAGCTTGTTTCATTCCTTGGCCTTCACATGCGAAAGTCGACAATCTGACGTCGATAGCGTTGAATTCAGCCTACGGAGTCATTGCCCTTGGTTTCACTTCTTCCGGTCCAACAAAGATGATCCACCCCTTTCCAGGAACTTCGAGTGGCCTGGCCCTCGTGGACATCACCCAATGCGCCTTGATCTACGCCTGGACCAGCAGCGAGCTGTACGGCTCCGAGCCGACGCCGGCCATCCAGCTCAACAGCCAGTTCGGCGACGCGCCCAGCCCTGTCGAGGTACGGCACAGAGTGCCAGCACCGCCCAAATCAGACGACATCTTTCACAAAAAGAGTTCAATTACCTGAACACCTACTTAACGAACTAATATTGGACCTATTACTAACTTGTCTAGGTTTATGACAGAATCAGCTGCGTGAAAAGTGGACGATTATGCGCTCCATGGGAAGTTCAAGGCGCAAAAACGTCTTTTTCTCAATTTTTCTCAATTTTTTTTAAAACTTTGATTCAAGGCGTCTCATCCACTCAAAAGCAACGAGAGGAATAAAAAAATTTTTCAAAAAAAGTTCAATTGAAAAAATTGTTTTTAATTTCAATGATTTCTATGACGAAGACAAAATGATGCAATGAAGTTTGAAACAAAAAAGTAATCTTTTGCGGAAAATAGCCCTAGAGCGCATATTCTTCTCCGCCATTCACGGCTTCTTCAGCTGTTCTGTCATATACCCTCCTGTCTGACGTGACGCATGTTGCATGAAAGGATCTAACTGCATGACGTTTTGCGGTGGACTCAGTGTAGTCGTGTGTTTTGTATTTCAGTCGCCGGAAGAGCCTCGATCAGGCAGAGCGACACCGGCTTCGCCCATACCGACGCCTACAATCACGACGAAGGCGACCTTATCGACGAGTGTGACGGTGAAGTTGTCGAATGGACTTCTGACGGCTGGAGAGACGACTTCGATCGCGCGCTGCAAGTCGATGAACAATGGGAAAGGCTCAGGAATCGGTGGCATCTTCCGAAGGAACACGGCCGAGCTGGCGGCCACCATCCGAGAACGTTACTCCCATCCGACGGCTCAACTCACTCCTGACCGGCCTGACGTCGAGCCGCCGCCCTCAAGAGGTCAGACTCCTCCGCCAACTCCGAACGAAGCGGAGACGGTCAAGGCGAGAAGCCATTCCGTCAAAGGATCCATCATGCGCCGCTTCACCAAGGGATCTTCGACCAAAGAGAAGCCGACAATGTCTCTTTCTCGCTCCAGAAGCTTCCACTCGAACATTTCTGAAGAAGGTGAGCAGGGTTCTTACCTGGTTTCTTTTTTGCTTTTAATTCTTTTTTCGACTTGCTTGGTTAAAGCTTACTTTTTCGATATCGCTCGTTGAAAAATTTATTACCTTTATCGCTTTCATTGGAATTAGTTGTGCTGTCTTTCATTCTTTGTTTTTTCTTCAAATTTTGGAGAGATTTAATTTTTATCGTTGTTTCAAGTGGACTTTTTAGTGCCTCTGTTCCCTTAATATCATTATTTTTGTCTGTCTGTCTGTCGTGTCGTGCAGTTCTCTTCTCAATGTTAGGGGTCCTTTGTTACTTCTGCGATAACTTGAATTTTCCATGATTTGAGTAGATGGAAGGTCGTTTCTTGAGTAAGCTAGGTCGGGAGACAAAGGTGGTGTTGTAGTCGCCGAGCAGCCTGGAGCCGCCGCGGAGCTCCCTCGTCCGCCTCAACACCGACGTCAAGCAAAAGTCGTTCGAAAGCCGACGGCCGCAGTTGTTCAAGACGCAAAGCGTCATCGAACACACCAACGGCGGTAGTCCGCGAGGTTTTGTTTGTAAATCCCAACAACGCAGAAATTTTCTCTAGATATTCTGCTACGATATTCCTATTACAGCCCCATCAAATAGATCAAATTCTAAGAGAATTTCGTTTTTTTTTCATTGAACAGACCTCAGTTTCTTCTCAAAAAATATAAAAATAGATTTTTTTGAAATTCACTTCACTAGATCATAAAATAGGTAAATTTAGCAAAGTTGGTAAATTAGCATATTCTACAAAAATACTTTGGTTTCTTTTTCAAGTTTCTGCCGATTCTTAGCAATTTTCAACACCTATTTCAGAATTTGGGATCTCTTTTCAGGAAAAACTCCATTTTTCAATCATCCAGAAAAAAATATTACCACACTAAAAAATACTCCTATGAACTCAATAATTTGATATTTTGAAGATCTTCGTCTTCTATACCTAATCTCAGGTTTTTTTTTGTTCAAACCTTCTTCAATTATATATTTTCTCCTTTTATATCCTCTGTGCTGTTATTTTTTTATCATTTTCATAAGCCTCTATCCTGTAGAAACTTACAAAGAAGGTCGTTTCTCATCATTTCGAATTTTCAGTTTGATCTCCTTGAATTTCTTCGAAGGACTAGTAAAGTTTGAAAATAATTTTTTTTGGGATGCATAGCTCGGAGCTAATTTTAACACGAAATATGGTATTTCGCATCTCTAAAATTATAGTGAAGCGATTTTGAGGATCTTTGTCTAGAACTTTCAGAGAGTCATGAAAAACATTTCTAGTGGAATAAAAGCTGAACGACCTCCTTTGTAAGCTTTTTTTAATTCAAAGATAGTGGAGGTAGTACGCAACTTGGTTAAGGTGAGAACTCGCCGGGACTGTCGCGGGCCGGAAACGGGTCGCCGTCGACGAGCAGCCTGGAAAGGGCGATGGCGCCGCCGGTCAACGAGAGCGTCACTTCGTTGCAGTTCATCCATTCTCACTCTCGGAGGAATGGTCCGTTTGAGAGTCTCATAATGAAAAAACCTCCCGAACAGTTCAAATCATGCCTCATAAGGGATATTTTTTTCGCTTCAATTCTTAAGTAAGCATTCCACGATTGACATTTTCAGAACGAAAAATTTTGGTTTAAAATGAAGAAAAGCGCATGATAAATTGGAGAAAGTCCCTCCGATCATTTCAGACGCGAAAATGGCGCCTTGTTTGTGGGTCGGCACTTCGGCGGGAACAACGATCGCTTTGAATTTGATCTTGCCCGAAGATCGATTCGTTTCCACGGTTGTTGTGGCTCCGTCCGGTTGGTTTCGCACTTCTTTTACCGCAAAATATCGACTTTTTTTCAATAGAGAAGCATCTAGATTCTAACAACTATCCGTAGAGCGCACAAAACTCTATTGCTCGGATCGCGCTTTCATCTATCTGCATATTTCTTTCCATTTCCTTCTTTCATTTTCTCAAATTCGATGTGTTATTCACACGCTCAGGCTTCTTTTCTTTCTTTTTCTGCTAATTTGCTCATGCTATCGCCTTTCTTTTACCCACCAGCTTTTTTATATCTTTATTAATCATTTGCTGGCTAATTCTAATAATTTGCATCTTTTCCCAAGTTAATGAAAGATGAGCTGAAGATATAAGGATGAAAATTTAAGATCTCTAAATTATTCGGGCTTTTTTTCGCACTTGATCGTTTCTTTGACAAACCAAGGTGTGAAAAATTAATTTTTTTCAAAATATCAATCAAAATGAGAAAAAATAGAAATCATTTACCATGGAGCATAATTAAACTAAACGACTGATTTAACACGCTGTCTCCGTTATTCTCAAAAATTTCTAAAAGCAACGGGTACAATAAAAAAAATTTTTTTTGATTTTGACAAAACTTCATCCAGTGTGATAACCCATCATCAGAAATGCGGACCCAACTTTTTGAGCCATTTCCTCTTACTGTAGCCGGGTTACGGTAGGCAGGTGGGCACCTGCGTATCTCAGTATTTATGAGTTTTTATTAGGCAAGTGATATATCAATCGATAGGTAATCCAATTTTAGGAACTCTTACAGTACATACCATCATGGGTTACGGTGGGAAAATTTTGAGTTACGGTACTTTTTGTGTCCGCCGAGTCAGTTTTTCGACCACCATGAGCTTGAACCGGGAGATCCATTCTTCCTAACTTCTCAAAAGATACCTTATGAGAAGCTGTACAAGCTGTTACTAGTTTGAAAAAATCCTAGGTGGACCATCATTTCGAAAAATCGCCTCGAAGGCGCGCAATCGTGGTCTTGCGGCGGCCAAGTGGGTGAAGTCCATGATGCCTGACGGCTCATTCTTCAGAGATCCATCCCAATCTTTGTTCCCATTTCACTAATAGACATCTATTATTGATTTTTATTTCAATTTGAGATGTTTTCGGGTTGACCATCATCTCGAAATTTCATTTTGAACCTAAATTTGGCCTAAAATGGCCGACTCGGCTTTTTTCACGGGATCCCTGACCCCGTATGTGACCGTTCTCAACTTTTTTCTTTCTTAAACATGAACAAGAGTGTCTGAACAACAGTTTTATAACAATCGGAAACCCTTTTGAGAGGACCATCATCTCGAAATATCGATTTGAACTCAAATATCGGCTTAGTTTCCCCATTTGAAGTTTTTATCATTTACATCGAAACCTATTCTGCCAATTTCTTTTCAAAACAGCTAATCAAAAATGAGAAATGTGAAATACCAAGAAATTTTTTTCATAAAAGAGAAAACTCGTCTTTCTGACTACCGGTGAGGTTGAAACTTAACTTTCAAGGCTTTCAAACTTAACTTTCAAGGCCGTTGTTTTTTTGAGAATAACGGAGACAGCGTGTTAAGTTTCTTTTATAATTGAAATATTTTTAATGGAAAAAGTTCCCAATTTTTCAGCTCAGCTTTCATAAACCTCGTTTTTTTTTTTTCCTGCAACGCTTAAATCTAACTGGTTATTTTTTCAGCAGTGGAAGAAAGTAAGTTAACGACAAGCTGAATGTTGTAAAACTTATTATTAACATACGATCTGTGCGTCTTTTTGTGGGGCGTTCCGAAGGTGTTTTCAGTTGTTTTTTCGCCTTTTTTGCAGTGTGTCGTGTTGCTTTTTGCTGGCTTTTTCCGCTTCTAACATTTATTTGCGCTTTTTTATCAATGTTATTTTCAACAAGTTTCCTCTCGGTTGGTTACTATCGCTCAGTTTTTTCTTCAACTAATTTCAAAACGAACTAACATGTGAACTTAAGCTTTAACTTAGTTAATTTCCTCGCAACACTTTTAAATGGTCCCTTGATTCTCAAAATCTTCAGTTCGGGTGAAGGCGACGATTTCAACTATCGGTACGTTGTGGTTAGAACGGATTCCCGTTTCCTCCCTGGTTTCCAACGAATGCTTAGAAATCCCACTGTGTAGTTTTGTAACAATAGAACAACGCCTTATTTCTAACCTTTCTGTTTTCAAATCCATTATGTAGCTAACAAAAAGTAAGAAAACTCTCAAATTTATCATTTTGAAACTTAATTCCTAGGTCTGCATGTTTGTTGAGCAATTTTGTGTTAATTGCAAAAAAAATTTCAGTTCTGCATGATTTTCCGAATTGCACATTTCGATTTCAAAAAATTATTGAAAAAGACTTGCTTAGATAATTGATAATAACTTTGTGTTTGTAGCTATGTAACATTAGCGTTTTTATTTCTTATTTTTTGGCGTTGATTCGCCTTGATTCCTGGTTTTCATTGTGATTTTGAGCTCTTCTTTCCTTTTTTGATGGGAAATGACTGCGTTCAGGCACGGTGGTGAAGCTGAAAGGCCAGGTGCTGTACCAGACGTTCATGGACAGTTCGTTCTGTCTGGTCAGCGCCGCCGTCGAGTCCTACAAGGAGACGAGCCGCGAGAGCAAGGACACCAACAGTCCCGAAAGATCACTCACTAATAGGGTTTGTGGATGTTCCGAGGGGTTTCCAGGAGGCGGAAATTTAGTATTTGTGGACTTCCGTTTCACAAGCAGTTCATTTTACTTTCCATTCGAGAATTTTCTAAAAATTAGCCAGTTGGAATTCCTGGATTTCCTTTTTTTTAATAAAATGGATAACGGCATCAATAAAATAAACATGGATAGGAACTTTATCAAACAAATAAGATTTCACGCAGGACTTTCCATCTTGAACATGAAAGAATGATCTGATAGATTTTTTTAAAAACTTGAAAAAAATTTTTTAAGGCTCGCAAGAAATCTCTTCAATAGCAAATTTTTTTCTCGAAATAAAATAACTTTCAAAGATTTTTTTGGCTTTGAGGTGACTGCGTGATTCCAAGTAACCCAAAGGGCAAAAATTCAAGAATAAAGGAATTTTTTTCTGTTTTCTAACTAAATTTTTTTCTACTTTTTTTACATATTATCAACGAATTAATCTCGTTGAAAAGTTACCGAATCCCTTTGTAAATAAGATCCTTCCTATAAAAAAAAGTTATTTTTCACTTGTTCCAGGATGATGAGGTCTGGAGAAGATCTAACCAAGCAGAATTTAATCAAATTTTCAAACTTTTTATATCTCCCTCGTCAGATTTTCTTTTTACTTTTCGAAAATTGGATTGATTTTTTCAGACTCTGACAAAGGGAAGCCTCGCTCCGCAGTATTCGAACTCGATCGACGTCAACGACGAGATCTCTCAAGTGCTGGTGGTGGTCGCCGAGATGGAGGTCAAGGTGATCGCCTTGCCCAGCTTCAGCCAGCTCTTCGTCCACAAATGCGATGAGATTCCTCTCGTCAAAGTGAGCTTCCCTTGAAGGCCTCTCGGATCTTCAACTAGCAAAATGATTTATTCAGGCATAGGGAAACTAGAACAATCGCTTCAGAGTTCTCAGTATTTTTTTTTAAATGTTTTTTTGTTTGCGGATATTCTGTGAAATTTCGCAAATTACCAATTTTTAGAAAAACGTCTGAAAGTAGGTTAAAGATCATTTTCCTCTGATTGATTGATTGAAGTTTTTGATTAATATACAGTCTGTATTCAATTTATACAACTTTATTGTTTTCTTCCGAGAAGCCAAGCGCATTCATCTAATTTTTCGGTATCCTCTAATATTTTGCAAAGTTGATGCGTGTGAGGATAATTTTCTAAACTTTAAGATTTCTCGAATAAGAATTTTTGTGGAACTTTAAGCAAAGTAGTGCCGCATCAAAATCTATTCAAAAATGTTGTTTCTTGAAATGAAATTCATCGAAATGCCTCTGAAGACTCATGACGACGTCTTCAGGCCAAAGCGACGCATGTCCGCGGATTCCCAGTCCTGATGTGTCTTTCTGCGGCCGGCCAGATGGTGGTCCTTTCACTGCCGTCGCTCCGCCTCCTCCACACTTCGGCCCTGCTTCCGCATTCTGTCGAGATTGAAGACTCGTGAGTTATCTTGACGACAGTTCGAGAAATAACTCGAGAAAATAGAAGAAACTCGAAAAACCTTGTAAAAAGGGGAATTTTCAAATTACCGCAGTGTCGTAAATAGTCTCAGGTTGCTTCAGAACAAAAAATAAAAAAGTGGAAAAAAAATTGCTAGAAAAAATTTGAAAAGGGTGAAGTTTTGAGAATTCCCCATAGTTCGCAAAAATTTAAGGGTGTATAACACACGTTCTCCGAGAAAAGGCAGAAAAGGCTTTTTCGAGCTCATATTTGTAATACAACAACTACATAAGCCTCTGGAACTTTTAATTGATGTTTTGACAAGCTCCGCCCCTTTTGAGGATTACTGTAGCCAAAATACGAAAAAAAAAAAAGTAACATTTCTCTCCGTGGTCCAAGCCGAACGAAAGCTAGTAACAAAATGAACATTTTTCTGTATATTAACTTTTTATAAAAATATTTTTTTCACACAAAAAAATTGATTTTCATTGGTTTTCATTGAATTTCATTCATTATCGGGCAGTTTTTTTAGTTTTTTTGATGTTTTCAGGCAGAAAAAAACCCCGAATCATAAGGACAACTCTTCCAGAAGTATAAAACTTCACGATTCGGGGGTTTTTCTGCCTAAAAACACCAAAAAACTAATAAATGCACGATTTTTCAATGAAAATCAATTTTTTTATGAAAAAAAAATTATCAAACAAAAGTTAGTATACAGAAAATGTTCATTTTGTTACTGGCTTTCGTTTAAAAAAAGTTTCATTTGATTTGGACAACGGAGAAAAAGTTAGATTTTCATCAGTTGGGTCAACTTGTGGTCTTAAGATGGCTTCAAATTATTTTCTATCGTATTTCCTCCCTTGTCGATGCTTCCGTGTGAAATGGAATATCTGGAACCAATTCAAGTTTTAAGAAAAAGTTGAAATTTTGAATTTTGAAAAAGGCGTTTATTCAAATAGAGGCATTGTCAATTATCAGCCATAGCGGTTTTCCTTTTCGGTGCCGGTCCATCTGAAAATCAGAAAATCATCGAGAATCTCTTCAAGACGACATCCACCTTTTCCTACTTCTTCGATTTTTCCTTTTTAGACTTCTCCTTATCTTTCTTGGTCGACTTTGATTTTTCGCTGAGAGTTTTATTAAACTCGCTGTTTTCTATCACTTTGTTCCAAGTCTTGTAGTCACCCTTGTTGTCAACTTTCTTCCCCTCGATCTTTCAATGAAATTGATGAAATTTCGAGAAAGGTTTTAAAAAGAAACCTCTTGCTTTCGTGCGGTCTCCAACTTCTTCGGCTGGCGTTTTTCGAACGAATCCTCCATCTTCTTATCGTCGTCTCTACGGTCTGCTGAATTTTCGAATATCTTTTGAAAAGTCTACTTTTTTCGGCTGCTTTTTTTTTGGAAAAAAGTATCATTTTACCCATTGAACGATTTGCAAAGTGCGTTCAAAGCTCGGTTCAAAGTAGAAACTGCAACTGCAAAGTGTTCATTCAAGGCGCTTTCACGGCAATGAAGAAAAAAAGATACGAAATTCTTTATGTAGTAACTTTTTTGTCTGAAAAATTCGAAAAAAGATGCGAAAGAGAAGTCTCAACTTGGAAGTTCATTTCTCAAGTCAGTGTTTTCGTCCGATCGGAAAGATTCGAGTTTTCGTTAAATCGCAAACCGCTACTCCCTGACGTCATGACACCATTCGTAACACTAGAAGTAAGCGTAATCGAAATATTTGGCTATATATTCATTTCTTTCACGTGAACGTGATTCAGCAGATTATTATTATCTCATTTCATCACGTCGTCTGGTCGGTCTCATTGCCGCTCTCTCATGGATAATATTCCGACGCCCCTCAGCCCTGGACAAGCTGGGCGCTGTACTGTTCCAACATGGTGAAGCAGTTTATTCGTTGGTACTACCAACAGGTCCACATTATTTCCCAACGCTAGCTGTCACTCCGGGACGTATTGGACAAAGATTGTGGACCGTAACCCGCGCCGACGACTAACTCTTCGATTATACCCTGATTCAGCAGAGATTTTCTTCATCTTACTCTGAAGACTGAATAAATTGAATTGAATTGAAATTGAAATTGAAAAAATTGAAGAATGGGAAGAGCCTGAATTGCGCCTTTGCATTAAAACTGCGCCTACAGATTCATGCATTACTTAAGAAAATAGGCTTAGTTTTAAGGCTTCACACGGAGGCGGAGCGCGCATAGCGCGAAGCCGACTGTGGCTCGCTTCGAAAAAACTGAGCCACAGTGAAAAATTCGTCGAATCTAATTTTATAAATTGGAACGTAAAAAATCATGTGATCGGAAAAGTTTTCACGTCGAATCTAATTTTATAAATTGGAACGTAAAAAATGAAAAAAATGATATGGCTGCGTGTGCGAATTTTGCAAATGAAGGTGATGTCATAGGGATGACGTCAGGGAGTAGCGGTTTGCGATTTAACGCGAAGTAAAGATTTGCGCGAACAACCTGGACCTGTCTCGGCGCTCTTCTTGCTCTTTTTGTCGTCGGTCTTGGCAGCCTCGGCGGCTGCAGCAGCTGCTCCAGCTCCACCTGCGGCCACAGGCTCCTTCTTTTCCGAGGATTTGTTCTCCACAGAACTGCCTTTCGGGGGTGCGGACTCTGTTGGCGCCGGCAGAGCAGGAGACTTTGGCTCTTTCGACTGGGTTTTAGCCGGTGACTTCGAATTCGTTTTTTCATTCTTAAAAAACTTTTTGACTTTTCATTTTGGGAAAAAGCTTGAATGCGAGCTATAAGTACGGTTGAGCCGTAGAAATTGAGCCATTGTACTATGACTGAAAGAGTAATTACTTTGGCAGTTCAAGTTTGCTATTTTTTTTTTTTAAATGGGCTCCGTAGACCTTCCAAATTTTTCATTTCCTTTTAAATCTACTTGGTATGTTTTCGTCACGATTCCATGATCAAAACACCCAAAAGAAAACAAACCGATGCTGAAGAGCCATTTGGAGCTTTCTTAGACTTGCCGCCACAGTTTGAGATCACAGAGAGCGCAAGACTTGCGAACAACCTGAATATTTCTCTTTGCTAAATAATTTTGAATTGGTTCAATCGAGGGATTCCAAGAAAACTTTATATAGTCAATGTTACCCGACTTTAAAGGGGAGGGAGGCGGGACAAGGGACGGGACGCGTAGCGTGTGCGTACGCGGTTATTGGCACGAGTTCAATTCAACCGCCAGCGAGCATTCAGACAGCTCATTTATCGCTCTTCTCACTTATTTTTTAATTATTTATTGATTATGTTAGTTTGTGCATCAAAAATTAGTAGAAAATACAGAGAAAGAGCGGTTGCCGAGCTTTTTAATTAGTCGGCGGCAATTGAATTGAACTGGCGCCAAGAACCGCGTACGCACACGCTACGCGTCCCGCCCCTTGCCCCGCCTCCCTCCCCTTTCAAGTCGATAAACATTGACTATATTGTCACAATGGGGTTTCTTGGCTTTACGAAGGAGTACGAAGGATACATGAAGAAAAAATACACAAAAAAATTTGATAATACCCTATTGATATTCTTAAAACCCACGGAAAGAGAAGATACTGCAACGTGGACGGCGGAAAAAACATGTTTTCGCAAAGACCGCCAAAACTGAGAATGAGTTGAGCTGCTGACATCGAACCACGTCGATTTTCGTCATCCACTTTCTGGATTATCATCTTTTTCATCGGTTCATTTCAATTCAAAATGTCGATGACGCTTAGTTATTTACTTTCTCCGTTCACTGGTTGCTTTGGGTTGGGAGCTGAATCTGAACTAAAAATAATGATGGAAAGTTCTTTTATCAACTAGAAAAGTTGCAGGATCTGCCAGAAGACGGATTTTTCAGATCACGGTCTCGGCGTGTACATGGCGAGTCCAACTGAGGTAAAAATCTTGTAGAAAGTTTTAAAAAAACATGCAAATTGTCGAGGTTTTGAGTTTTTTTCAAACATTAGAAAGCTCTTATTAGTTAGATTAAAAAAGCGGTATTTTTGTGGAAAAAATTGCCGCATGCACAATTTCATAAGAGATTAATTTATCTTTCTTTTTTTTTCTTTTTTTTTGCATGGTAGAAATTTTTAGATCGAAACTCAAAAGCTGAAGTTTCTGTCATTCTTTACATATAAATCTTCATACATTATCAAGATTTTTAGCCATCTCCCAGTATGTGATAGTGCGGATTTTTTTTTTCAAATAAGTTTGTAGTATTTTTTGAAAATTTAACTCAAGTTTGAATTTCTCTAATTTATTGAGCGTCCAAGTTTACTTTTTTTCTCAAATTAATACTGAATCGGTCTGGCTCAATCCCAAGGAAAGTTCTATCCACTTGAAAATGAATGAACTCAATCGGATAATGGAACTTTTTCAACTTTGAACTGACTACAACTCAATTTGGAGTAGTCGTGTAGAGTTTTTGAGCTAAAAACATATAAAAACGACCAGGCTGTTTTTAAATTATGAACGTTCCAGGTTGAGAAGTTCACAATTTGCTCCGAACTGGCTGATCAGACGGCAGACTCGTTGGGCGAATTATTCGTCCCATGCGAAATGCCTGAACCGCCAAAAAATCATTCTTTCCTCAAGGTTTTTTTTTCCCGCATTTTGTTTGGGAAATGATTCGATTTTGTTTTTTCAGGGCCTCCAAGGCGTTTCGTCCATTTTCAGCGGGACGCCGCGTCAGGATTCATGTGACATCGACACGATTTGTGAGCTTTAGAACCATATAAACAAATAACTATGAAAACTCCGATATTCCATTGAAAATCACTAAAAATGTAGTCCACTATCCAGATTACTAAGGGATGAAATTAGATAAATTAGGTAGAAGATAGACGAAAAAAAAATTGAAAAATAAGCGTTGTTACAGTGAACTTGAACGTGTACCTCTTTCTATCAAAAAATTGAGATATTTTCGAGATTTGAAAAGTTTTTATCTATCTGCTGCATCGTAAATTTATTTTTGTTGAAGAATTCTTCTCAAAAAGAGAGTTTTGGGCAGAGGTGGAGGATGGCTGCCCACTGGCCGCCCTGCCTGCCAAGCCATAAACGCCCAAAAGGCAGAAATGACTTTTTCAATAGTAAGTCAATGACTCATTTCTATCGCTTGGCCCAATGGCTTGGCTTGGCCGCCAAGCCAAGGGCTGCCTTCCTAATCCTCCACCTCTGGTTTTGGGAACCATTCTCACAGCGAAATCACGTGAATTTTCTCCTCTTTATTTGTTTTTCGGCAACAGTTTTTGAACGTGAAATATAAACATTTGTAGGGTGATTCCCATTCTCGTCCATTTTTTGTCATTCTCAGCACGTTTCGAAGTTTCTCGAAGCTATTCATTCAATTTTTTACAAAATATTAAGAAAAAAAGAAATTGTGAGACGTTCTGAAAGACATTTTTCCAATAGTTTTTTTCAGGTCCTTTTTGATCTTGTCCGTGTTCGTATGTTTATATCAATGGGAAAATTTGTTTCAGTGGCGGACAGCAAAGAGAAGAATTCCATCGGATCGACGGGTATGAGAAGCGTTGCTAGGACAATTCCCGGTACTTTTTTTTCGAACTTTCACTGGTTTTTTAATTTAGTACATAGTGTTTAGTTTCGGAAAATTTACACAATAGTTTATTTTTCAGGGCCCTCGATGTCGATGGACCGAGCACATGCTGGGGGTGTTTCAGCGGGACAAGCGGCCGCCATGGCTCTTCAGGTGGGAAGAAAAAACAAAATCTACCTTCACCGAGATATCACAAATGCATGTAGCCGATTTACGACAAGTTTTGGGCGTGGTCTCTCTACGCTCTCCACCAACCACGCACTATCTCTTTTTTATCATGTCAGGACTCTTTTTTCGATGGCTCAAGCCCTGAATGAGCTATCTCAACGCGACTTTACTCACATCAATTTTTTTTTTACTTTTTATCGCTTCGAAAAAAGTTTCCTAGAGCTGAACGAGCGAAGGAACAAAAAATAACACTCTAATGACAAAAAAAATTTCAATTTTAGTTAAGGTTTTCAAAAGTTGTCACCGATGATAAAGGAGAAAAAGAGAAGTATATTTTTAGAATTCAGTTTTTAAGCCTAAAAAAAGGTGAAAAGCCCAACTTTGTGACCAGACCCCGTAGTCAGCTCATATATTTAGAAAACTTAATAGAACAACTTCTCAAAAAAATATTTCTCAAAAAAATTGAAATTTTATCGAAACCAGTTTAAAAATAAGGTTCAAAAATTGTAGGAAGCTCTCCGGGAATTCGAAAGTTCAGTTCTCAAAAACTTTCTCTTTCTTATGGTGAATAAGAAATAAACGCTTCAGAACTTGAACGAAAGAACGGAGAAGCTGAATGCGACGGTCGACGCGACAGAAAATCTGAAGAACAACGCGATGAATTTGTCTTCGAGAACCGGCAAACTGGTGGAAAAGTACGAGAAAAAGAAGTGGTACAACTTCTGAGCCCCTTTCGCTTCAAAAGGCCCCTATCTATCTGGATTTTTTTCCTTCTTTCTCAATTCTTTCTTCCAAATCTTAGTACTTTAGCGGTGTAATTAATTCGGTATGCATATGATATGATATTTATCGGGATAGAAATCGTAGCGCATTGTAGAACAGATTTCATTTCCATTATCTTTTGTTATTTTATGCGACTTTCCATAAATATCTCCTTCCTAAACTGTCATTTTTGAGATGATTTCCTGTTGAATGTAGTTTTCGAATAGTTAGGTTCTTTTCAACAATAATTTTGGTGCATTATAATTTTCTCTTTTTCGGGATTCGTTCCTACTTTTTTGGAGCTTCTTCGTTTTTTGGAGCCCGAAAAAAACGACTTTTATTTCGTTCGAAACTGGTTTCGCTGTTAGATTCGCTATGTACATAGTTTATTTTATTCCCTATTGAAAAGGTTGTGGTGGTTCGGTGATCTTTTCCATTATACATATAATAATAAGCTCGGCCAAAATGAGAACTGTCTTTTTTTTTCTCAATATTTTCTTCTTAACTGAATTGCCTTGTGAATAGAAAGCAACGAAGTTGACGATACCGGTCTAATCGCTCGAGATGCGGACTTTATTTCGATTAAATGTTTATTTTCTTCTAGGGTTTTCAGTATCTAGTATTACGGTGCATTTTTTTAAACTTGTGCCATATAAGTCTTTCTTTAGTGTATCTGGCGCTTTTTCATGTACTTTGAAATAGAAACAAGATAAGCACCAAAAAAAAAAGAGGAGAAAAGTCTACTTTTAATCGCATCAAAGTCTGCTATTCAAGCGATAAGTTCGCAATCGGTAACTTTGTACCATCAAGAGTTTATAATCAAAAGTCCTAATAAATTGCCCATACATTTCTATCGTCCCAGATTCTGACATATTATAAAACAATGTTTTAACTAATTATGCCATCTTCAGATTCTATTTATATTTCTGTATGTAATTTGCTGAATAAAACTGGTGAAACGGTGTGAGAAATCGTTTACACCGACAGACCGCAAAATAAAACATAAACAGTTGGAGAAAATAAACATAACAAACATGTTTCAGGCAGTAGGCACCCAGGGAGATGATTCAGTGAAGGCGGATATAAGTGAAGAGAAAATATACCGGAAAAACAGTTGGCCTTTGAGCAAAGATGATATGAGAAGTCATTGGAAATAATAAAAAAAGAAACAAGAATAATTCAAACAATAAAACAGAGCAGTTAGAAGAAGAAGGTGTCTTCAGCGTTTTCAGTCGGTTCCGGTCGTGGTGGCGGGAGTTTCCTGCAATTTTCAACCTTTTTGTGGATCTTCAGAGGAAATGAAAGCATTGGGGGGAGATCTGCTGGCCGAATGGGAATTTGCGTAAAACCGTTAATTTTTAACAGCATCGCATCATGAAGCAAGCATGGTATTAAAAGATTTGAAGTCTAGAAACAGTTCAAAGGCAAAAAGCCAAAAAAATCATATTCCGAAAATCTTTCCAATATCTTTTGCATTTCTTTGTCAAAATTTGAATAAATATCCTTATCCCAAAAGTTTTCCATAAAACAAATAAGCCGCTCATTCCGGCAATTTGAAACTTAAGAAACAGAACAGAAACGCAAAAAAGCCATAAAGCATGAAAAGAAATTTACAAATAATACAAGGTTTTTTTGAAGCTCTGTAATGAAGCAACATAGACAAAGGCTGAAAGATCTTTTTGATGTTACTACCTGCGTAAAATATCATTTTTTTTTTCAGAAATATTAGTTTCAGGATCGATTAATAGGAAAATCCAAACGTCACCCACAAAAAAGCTCCCCTGTAAAGTTTTTCGTGATTATGTGCCTTTAAATTTTGAGAAACTGAAACATCATCGAAAAAAAAATTTTTCGCTCCTTTAAAACTATGCAAGATCTTTCCGACTTTGTCGATGAAGAGGAAAACCGTGGGAAAGAAAAGACAGGGAAAAGGTTAAAGTTACGGTGGAAGATCTCTGGGTTCGGACGCGTTTTCTTCCTATAATTCGCCGTTTGGCATTCTTTTCCTTCTTATCGAATACGTAAACAACCATGTCGTCGGGTTGACCCGAAGGGCCCGATGGATGGATTTGGCGGCCTGGAAAAAAGAATTCAGATTCGTTTGAGACAAATATTCTCTCACCGAACTCGGCCGCGCTGACCGGGCCTCGCCTGACCGTTGCCTGAAAACGAAAAAATTCAGAAATTGGTTCGAAAATTAGTAATTGAAGATGTGCAATAATTTCTAAATGCACTGACTGTTTCGAACTTTTTCGAAATTCCTTTTTGTATTGTATTTGAAATCATACCGTAACTATTGAATGAATGAAACTCTTTTTGCTAATTAAAATGTTAACAGTTTTTATTTGAAGCTTACTTTTACTTTTTAATTCTACCTTTTACCTTCTAAACTTACTTCTATTCATAGGGCCTAGAAACAAAAATTCGCGCCTCAATAACTTTTTGAGTTTCGAAGCATAGTAATGAAAAATTTTTAGGCTTTATTAAAAAAAGAAACTGATTTTCAATTTGAGATCATAGAGGACTTTGAAAGACCAGCAGATTATTCCCAACTTTTGCATTTTTCAGAAATAATCGATTTGAAAAATGTGAGAACTTAAAAATAAAGAACTATAAATAGAGAACTTTGAACTGAAAATAATAAATTTCCTTTTCTTTTCCTCCAGGTCGAAAAAAGGCGCAGAATCAGCAGAAACTAATGCGAATGTCTCTAAACCTTAATTCCCAAAAAAATTTTTTCAGCCTTGTTTCTTTCGATAGATGCAAAATTTTCACATCTCCAGTTTCGGATATCCAATCTGAATAATAACTCGAAAAAGTACCAGCTCTACGCTGGGCAGCGATAATTCGTCGGAGCTGCTCCTCGTTGACTCTTTCGCGCTCCATCGCACTCTCAATGTTGGGATCGATACCCGTGATCCTGGATTTGATGGAAAATGAAGAGAAATCTTGAAAATCGACCAACTTCACATCGTGACCCCGTTGAACCGTGTTGGAGCTCGGGTCGATGTACTCGTAGTAGTAGGTGCGACTGCAAAACATTATTCATTGCTTTGAAATCAAAAGTCCTATTTCGATATCAACTGAATACCCTCGAACTGAGAAATATGGATGGGAAATATTCCCACTGAAATCTAAAAAAACTTTTGAATGAAAAAAATGAGACCACCATTCAATCAAGAATCTTATGAAAAATTAATTTTTTTATAAACATTTTAAATTCGAAAAATTAACTGACCTAGAAAAAAATATTTAATAAATAAAAAAACATTAAAAAAAGTCAGAAAAAAATTAGGCGGTGCAAAAAAACTTTTTTTCTAGACGTAATTGAAGCCATTCTAGACTGAATGGCTTCAATTTACCGAGTTAGAAGGAAACTTATGATTTAGTCATTTTTCAGAGTAAAAACGGATGAGTTTTTCAGAAGTCTTGCTTCCCTAATAATTAAAAAAAAATCTTGCAAAAAAATGGAAATATTTTTTTTTCTGTTCATTCAAGTCCTACTATTTGAATGATGAAAACCGCTTTCAAAACGCGAAAATTTTTAAACTTTTTCAAATAAAAAGGCACTATCACAAAAATTCTATCCAAATCGAGAAAAAAAGAATGAGATTTTACCCATTCTCAATGATCTGTTCGTAGAGGTTTCCCTTTTTGTCGCGGACGAGGGTCTTCGGGCGGACTTTAGCCAAGTGGACGCTGAATTAGGAATTGAAAAAGGTCAGGAAATGCTCTGAAACGTTCCACGAGACGGGTCGACGTTGTAGTTGACGGAGGGCGGCTGCTGGACGGCCGGAGCCGAAGCTTCGTCTTGTCCCTGACCGCGACGGAGAACATCAAACGTCGATGCGGCTGAAGTTGGACAGTAATGTGCAATGTTTCACCAAGGATGTGTACAACTTCCATTTTTTTTTAGGTTGCTAGTACCTTCCTTCTGAAACCGAACAAAGAAAAAAAAACGGGGTCTGTGAAGCGAAAACGGTTTTTTCTTGAAAAGTTCCTCTCTCTTGTGGTCGTAACTGACCGGTGTCCTGGCTGAGACTGTCCCGCTCGGCTGGAGACGATGCACCCGGGCTTTCGAGGACCTGTCGACCGTCCTTCTGCAGCGGATAGGTTTGGATGGGGTACTGCTGGACGGAGACTTGTTGGCCGGACGGTTGGTACTGATTCTGCTGTCCTACGCCTCCGACGACCGGCTGCGAAGAGCGCTGTCCACTAGCGAGGCGGTCGGGTTGCTGCTGCTTCTCGAGCCAGATTCTCTGCTGCTCGTAGTGCTTGCGGAGCGCCTCGCGATAACGCTCCTTCTGGAGCTCTTCCTCGCGTTGACGGTCGAGGATCATCTTCTGTCGGACGGGGTCCTGGTACTGGTAAGAGTCGTCTTCGCGCTGCGCCTCGACGCCGCTGCCCACAGCGTAGCCATTCCGATTGTTGTAGGGGATCTTCAAATTTTGATCATTTTCCAGGGTTTTCAATCGAAATTTTTCTTCTTTCAAAATTAATATTTTTATTTTTACTTTCGAAGCATAGATGATTCAAAGTCCCCTCTCATGCCTTCGTGCTGTGACTCTAAGGCTTCTATTCTTAAAAAAACTTGAAAAATTGGTTGAGTGTTGTCATGTAATGAATATCTGAATGGATTGGTTCACTTCCTGTGAATTCAAAAAAAGAATAACCGAACCTTCGAAAAACATATTTTCCAGTTATTTTAAAATTTTTTCAGAATTAAGGCTGAAACTTGAAATGAAAGGATTTAAAATTGCGTAACTGACATGATAAATACAAATATATCTCAAAAACTAGAAGTTCGCACAAATAGATGAATATGAAGAACATTAATTAGAACTTTGAAGAGTTTTTCTTCACGAACTCATAGAAAATTTTAATCTTCACACAAAAAAGCCTCCTTTGCGCAAAACATGAAATAATTCATTCACCACGATTTTATCCCCGGAACCTTCGGATTCTCCGCCTTTTTTCTTGGTCAGAGCAGGCGCTTGCTGGGGCTGACGACGTTGTTCTTCGAATCCGTCCTGACCACGACGGAGGTCGTTGCCGACGGAATAACCGCTGTTGGGACGGAGGTCGACGTTGGCGTAAGGGTCGAAGCCGTCGCGAGGTCTGCCGTTCGCCTCCCCGGAAACTTCCGAAGACTGCTGGACGTTCTGGTTGGGGTAGCGGTTGCGGTCCTGGAAACAAATGTAGATTCTTCCTTTGGCCGATTAATGATAACACTTTCGACCTCTCAATTCATGCAGATTTCACTGAAACCCGCTGCAAAAATTACTACTTTCCAAAATAATAGATCTAGGGAGGCCAAAAGTGGTCTAGTCCACTAATGAGCCAAGTACCGCGTAGTAGGATTGATAAGACGGCTGGTATTGTGGCTGATTATACTGGTACTGGTAAGGATATCCTCCGAAATCGATAGGTTCAGGTTTCGTCTGCGGATCGGCGTACAACATCAAGGGGCTCTGAAAGAGCATTTATCTTCGAATAACACGAAAAAGACTCACCAATGGCTGTTGAACTACCTTGGGCACGGTGGTTTTAATGAACTGAAAAAATAGTTAATAATCCATCACATTCATTTCTTCGAGAGCAAGCTGGACAACGATTCTTTCGAAAATCGCTTTATTATTAGACGAAAGTTCTGAACGAGGACAATGAAAAGCTGAAAGATTCGAGGGACAAGCAAGTATCTTATACTGATAAAGGTGCCAAGACTCGGCTTATATAATATCTAGCGAGGTGAACAGCTAAAAAAATCAAGTTTAGAAAAAGCTCGATGGATCAGAAAGAATGGCAGTCCGTTAGCTCATTCGACATAGAAGTACAAGCTGGAACAATTTCATTTCTAAAAAATTAGTCTGATTTGAAATCTATCAATTTTCCGGCCTAAACTATAAAAAATGACCGGGAATTTAAGCATTTCTTTGAAAGAAACTATTGAAATCACCTGGTTCCAGGAATCGTGGGTTTACTTACATAACTTTTTCGACTTCGAAGTTTTCACATGCGTTAAGCAAAAGTTAGACAAATGATTGGACAAGAGACAAGATTTCAGCAGCATGCAAGGGATGTTAGTAGAAAAAGGGACATGAAAACACGAGAGCAAAAATCGAAACAACGACAGAATGAAATACAGGAATGAATGTCGTCCCTCAAAGCTTGGGATAGTAGTAGCCGCGTTGACCTACTTGGGGCTTTCTTTTGAGGAGCCAGACGCGGGAATCGAACTCGGGAGCGTTGTCGACCTGGCAATCCGAAAATACTCGCGGAAAATGGCTTGAGGAGATACCGTGGTGAGACGTGGAACATCGGGAGAAACGCCTTTGAACCTCTTGTTCGAAACGTGGGCGTCGCCGTAGACGATCTGAATCGAATATTGAAGATCGATTTTGTACATTTTCAAGTAGCTAAACGTATAAAAAGCGGAAAACAGAAAAAAAAAAGTTCGAAAAAAGCGAAACGTGAAGTTTTTCGAGTTTAAGGACTTTCGAAATTTAGATGAGATGCCGCTCGCATTCAATACTAATGTTCCATACATCACAATGAATAAATGGACGACTCCCGAAGAATTTTCAAGGAATTAACCTTCAAACTTAAGTTATTCACGGTTCTGAATAATCACTTTACCTACTAATCCATCCAGGAATTATTTTCAGGCTAATTCCGTGTTCGAAGTGTTTTCGCGAAATCCGGAATAGCCATCAGAGTGTGAAAAAAAAACTACATTTTAGAGGGTCAGAGAAAATTTTGCATTTCGTGGGAAATACTTTGAACACAGCATAATTTTCCAATGTTCGATTATTTCTAGACTAGACATTTCCTTCATCTTTTACCTGGTGGTTATCCCCAGCTCCCTCGTATTTGGCAATGCGATGGTGGTGGAAACCGACAGTATCTCTGTCGCGCAGATTTGCGCCTTGAGCCCATTCGAACCTTCAAAACATCGAATGTTCCATTTTCAGCTCTCTTCGTAACTAACGGAATTTCCTCATTGGGGTTTCGGCTGCTGCGACTCAAAATTCTGAATCCCGAGCAGAGCTGCACGACCTCCTTGTTCAGACCGACGAACCAGCCGCAGATTTTCTGAATTCGCCAGCTACTTTTTGAATAATCCAGGTAGAAATGCCTGCTGGCCAGCTTCTTCCTTGATGAAAACGTGGCCAAAAGCTTCGTAGTGCTCGTTGGGACCGTATCGAGTGCGGGTGATCCTAAAAAAAAAAATGGTTTCTGAGCTTTTTTATTCGAACCATCAACATTTAGAAACCTCAGAAAAAAGCTTTTAAAATTTTTTCCATCCTCCTTGCTAGAGCGTTCATCGATTTCAAAACCTACTTTCTAAAAACTTGAACGTGCTCAGCGAAGATAAGTTTCTGTCTTACTTTCAACTTTTTCATTCTCTTCTGTTCGCTCGGTCAGGCTACCCACCAGAATCCGATGTAAGACTGATTGTAGTGTTGGCCGTCGTTTTTGTCGTGCGGAATGACGAGGAAGTCGTTGACGGTGCGGCCTCCGCGGAGGACGCCATCTGGAGCCACCGTCGACCAATATTCTTCGCCGATTTGCGACGTCGTCGTCGGGCAACGCCGTGGCTGTCGAGCAAACGCTTCAGGCTGCAAAAAAACACAAGTTATCTTTCTTTGGTTTTTTAAATATATTTTTACGAGACAAAAAAAGTTTTCCCTTTACTTTGTGAGTTTTTTTGAGCTGGAAAAAAATACAAAACGATGATGGTTTTGTTGAAATATGGCAACTAATAACGTTTATGACTTCAAATAGTTTTCAGGGGTACCTAAAGATCTTAACCTGGTGATCTCTCCTAAAAATTTTCTTGGAATTTATTTTTTTAAAAAGCTTCTTTAAGCTATCTGTTAAAGGTCAAATTCTTGAAAGGAAGGTAGAATGTGACAATAAAAAATGAAAAAAAAATTTAATTGGATTTTCCTTTTTCAAATTTCAATATACTTTTTTTTTTTAGCAAAGTCATCTTAATCTTTTTAATGACTCGGACTCAAAAAAACTTTAAAAAAATAATCTTAACTTTCAGAATATCAGAATCCAGGTGGAAATTTTTTTTCAAACTTCTGTTGACTTAAAAACCGCGAAACTTAAGTTTTTCCAAAATATCACTGATCAAAAATAAAAAAATTAAAAAGGTCAAAAATTCAAAAATGAAGCGTTCCAGAATAAATTCTCGGCTTATCGAAATTTTCGCTCAGTTTTATGACTCGCTTTCTTGGTTGTTGGACATTCTTTGTTTCGATGGCAATCTCTGATCACCACAATTTCCATCGTTAGCTAATTGAGCCACTTGCAAACTGATAAGATCAACGTAAAAAGAATTGGAAATCAACAAATCAACGTGGAAAGAATGGGAAAAAGAAGAATGAACGAACCGCCTGTTTGGTTTCCAAATAGCGAGGACGGCATCTTCGAGGAGAAGCGGCGAAAACGGCGCCGATCAAGAAGAAAGCCAACCACCCACGCATTTCCTGTAAGAGAACGTTCAAACTTTCGAAGAAACTTTGACAAAAAAGCACGAAGTTATTCTAATTACTACTGATTTTTGTTGAAAATCAAAAGTGGCGCGAAAAAACAAACTGATCATTAAAAGGGTTTGATGAAGAACGAAAGAAACATAGTTCATTTATCCTTCGTATTTGGCCTAAAAAAAATCTCGTCTTGAATAATTATTTTTAGGTTTTCAGAAAAAAAAATCAATAATAGAAAAAAAAACGAAGCGGTTTTGAAGTGTTAAAACTCAAGGGGTGCTGTGATATACTATGCTACTGGTAGCTATAAATCATTAAAAAAGTGCAATCTGAAAAAAAATTTATTTGGATTACCAGTGTGAAAACCTAATGAGACTTAGAAACAAGCGAAGCTGAGAAACTCAAGCTGGTATTCGTCAGATTTCATGGAAACGGAAATGAAATATGGTTGAAAGCATGAGGCAGGAAATATGGTAATGGGCGGGTGATTTGCATGGAACCGGCAGCGCCATCAATCTCGTGTCGTCACTCCTCAGCGCTGCTCCGAGATCGGTTCGATTCGAGCAAAAGAGAAAAAAAGAATAATCGTGCCCCGGAGGACGTTCGGAGAACATTTGTGTGCACTTCGTTTCGGCAAGTTAGTCCGTCTCCCTCGGCGCCAAAAATGGATGGGTGGCTTCGGGCAAAGAAGATATATAACAAAAAAGTTCTGTAGTTCTTCATGAGTTTCCCGTCCGGGATGAGGAAGATATAGTAGCGTCCAAGCGAGAGGATTCGTCCCGAAAATAGCTCCAACGCGAGATTTCCTTATCTTCCAAGGCTCAACTAGACAGAAAATCTTTCAAAAGATAGAAAGTTGGCTGAAAACATTATTATTTGATTAAGAATCGTAAAATTCAGTTATAAATTTGAATTTAGTTTTGTATCTGTTCAAAAACGCTATAACTGTGCAAAGTTTGTGTGAAGAGCAGTTAATTTTCAGAGTTCCTTTCGCCCAGGGTTTAGGACCGCATAAAAAAGAAAAAACTTCAAAACCTAATTTTTTTTTTCGAAAAGTGGCTGAGTGTTTTCACTTTTTGATAAATACTATACCATATTCTTCAACGTTCAACAGGTTCCTTTTACATATTTGAAATAAATTCTTAACGATGTCAGAATTGAAAAATAAACTGTTGAAGAGTGAAAAATGAAAAAAGCGAAATGGCAGTTCGATATATACAAAAATCCGTACGTTTGACGAAAAATCATGTTCCAAATTGAGATCAAATTACATAATCAAACGTGTGAAAACATGAAATTTTCGTCAAACCATTCAAATCGTATCAAAAGGAAACAATGAAAGTGCACAAAACTGTTTTCTTGGGCGAGTAACCTGTACAATTATACATTTCCTCCAAAAGTACAAGGTTATGTGGTTTAAAAAACCTCGAGACAATCGAATAATCGATCACTCCCGACTTTTTAAACGTTTTGGGCCAGCAAGGGTGATCAGCGCGTACAAGGCTTTTGGCAAGGGATTCGAAGTTAAATTTAATCGTGAAAAAAATTTCTTTTTCTTTTTCTCATTCAACTAAATATTTCGAAACCATGAAAAATAAGTTTTCGAAAATATCGAAACAAGGGAAAAAAGTCTCGCAGTTGACCTCGATTTTCCCGTCAGAAGCCTACGCAACAAGTCATTCTTGTCAATACCATATCGAATTCCAAGTGAGGAAAAATTGACTATAATTTGAGTTATACAAGAAAGCGCATCAATAGACCCAAGGATTTTCGACAGACTTTGATGGTGAATACAAAAACCAACGGAAAAAACGCGCTGTGCTCCTCTTTTAAGGCGTGAACGAGGAAAGCTCCCAGGCGTGTGAAACCGTTATCATTGAAGGCAACTTACGACATTCGGCAAACAAAACTGGAAAATTCCGAGCATTTCACACAGGTACACCCCAAACATGACAATAGTAGACGGTCGTTCTTCGCGACGTCATTGACGAAAAACGTGGGAAATTCCGATGAGTAAGAAGCCGAGAAAAGACGAAGAAACACAAAATGATATGATCGAGTTCAAGAGCTCAAATTAATTTCTGACTGAAGTGAAAGCCTGATAATTTGTTAATGACGCTTTACGACTTAAGTGGACTGGACGCGCAGAATAGTTTCAAATAATGTTCGGGCAACATTTTTTTGCTGAAAAGTAAAATAAAAAAACTTCGAGATATGTGAGGCGTCGCTGATAATTTAACCAAGTTCTGAGAACTGTTAATTTTTATATTAATCTAAAATAAGTTCTACGCCTTCAAGGAAAACACTGTAACGTATTTTGACTAAGAACCATCTGTTTGAAATTCAAACTAGTTTAAGAAGATTGAAAAAAAATTTTTGAAAAAGAACATATGAATATGTTGTATACATACAGTACAGTCAGAAAAGATTCAAAAAAAAAAAGTTTTTTTTTCTCACAACCATCGTTTAGAGCTCATCTTTTTGAAGAACTCTACAAAGTTGGGTTTTATTTTTCTACGAATTAGAACTCCACTCGAGTTTCATGAATAACAGTCATTACAAATACAGAGGATTCAGAAATATTAAGCTCCATATAAGGAAATCTCGATAAAAAAAAAAGAATTTTTCGAGTTTTTTTTTTCTAACTGGACTTAATATATAAAATAAATAAGAACTACAGTACCGCTCAAAAGTATATTAAGTTTTTGGTTTTTTTGAGGATATCTCAGCGAGTACTTATCCGATTTATATATAACTTTCAGGGATAATGTAAAAATATACTTTGAAACATATATGGTATACAAAGACATGTCCGCAATCACTGTGACGCGTTTTAGGAATTTTTTTTATTGAATTCAATTTTGTTTTTTTATGCTTTTTATTTTTTTATTTATTTTTTTATCAAATTTTTTTAAAAAGTAATAATGTTGCCATATGTTTTTTTCATGTTTTCAAACATGGGAAGAACCTCTGAAAAAAAGGATTTGACTGATAACGACAAAAGAACCATCGTTGTGGGTCGTCAAAATGGACTGACCATGATGACGTTCGCAGGAATGTTCGGCGCGACAGAGGCGTGCATTTCTCAGTTCCTAAAGCGTCGGAAAGCTCAAAATGACTCTACTAACAGCCAACGCACTGAAAGACCACGTGTCACTGGTCGTAATGACGATAGAAACGTTTTGAAGACGTCTAGAACCAATCCAAGACTCACCGCCCCTGCGATCAGACGGGAATTTTTCTTGAATTCGCCATCTCCGCCATCCGTCTCGACCGTGAAACGACGTCTGAATGCTGCTGAAATCATGGGAAGACGTCCAGTGAAGAAACCGCTGATTTCTGAAAAGAATCGAGCCGCCAAGGTGAAGTGGGCGAAGGAGCATCCCAACTGGACCCGTCAAGACTGGAACAAGATTCTGTGGTCCGACGAAACGGTCCTCCACCATGTTTCACAGTGGGTAACTGGTATTTTGGATGATATCTGGACTCAATTGGTCCACGAACCCACTGAATTCCGTCACTCCCGAAGAGGAGGAACTTGCTTTCGTCGGACCACAGAATCTTGTTCCAGTCTTGACGGGTCCAGTTGAGATGCTCCTTCGCCCACTTCCCCCTGCCGGCTCGATTCTTTTCAGAAATCAGCGGTTTCTTCACTGGACGTCTTCCCATGATTTCAGCAGCATTCAGACGTCGTTTCACGGTCGAGACGGATGGCGGAGATGGCGAATTCAAGAAAAATTCCCGTCTGATCGCAGGGGCGGTGAGTCTTGGATTGGTTCTAGACGTCTTCAAAACGTTTCTATCGTCATTACGACCAGTGACACGTGGTCTTCCAGTGCGTTGGCTGTTAGTAGAGCCATCTTGAGCTTTCCGACGCTTTAGGAACTGAGAAATGCACGCCTCTGTCACGCCGAACATTCCTGCCAGCGTCATCATGGTCAGTCCATTTTGACGACCCACAACGATGGTTCTTTTGTCGTTATCAGTCAAATCCTTTTTTTTCAGAGGTTCTTCCCATGTTTGAAAAACATGAAAAAACATATGGCAACATTATTACTTTTTAAAAAATTTGATAAAAAAATAAATAAAAAAATAAAAGCATAAAAAAACAAAAAATTGAATTCAATAAAAAAATTCCTAAAACGCGTCACAGTGATTGCGGACATGTCTTTGTATACCATATATGTTTCAAAGTATATTTTACATTATCCCTGAAAGTTATATATAAATCGGATAAGTACTCGCTGAGATATCCTCAAAAAACCAAAACTTAATATACTTTTGAGCGGTACTGTATGACCTTGGGCATCTTTTATCAAACCAATTTTTTGTCACCTTCCTCGGAAGTAATCATAAAATTTAAGTTTTATCACGCACCATTTGATCATAAAAGTCAACCTACTTGGAGCCAAACACCTTTTCTGACATTTTCGCCAGCACAATCTCTTCTTTTTTGAAATAATCCACCGATATGTCATACGCCTTGGCCATCATAAGAAAAATCTCAAAGATATTTCCGAACTTCTGAACGCAAGAATGCGATTATGATGCACCTCCGGTCTCTTATCACTCACAAACGTCCTCACAGTGATGAAAGATTTTGAAAAAATTAAGTCTTTTTTTGAAGAACTTTATCAATCAACTGTCATTCACGTAGAGAGAGGCGTAGCCTACAAATGATCTAAAGCCCACCTGTACGACAAAAACTATCGAGGGTTGCAAAAGAAGAATTAGCGATAATAAAGGAGGAAATTTTTGCTGCCGAAAAATAGATAGAGCTGAGAGGGCTTGAAATTGATAAAAAGCGATAAATTTTCTGCTGCTCGTTAATCAAAGCTGAAGTACAGTTTTAGAACAAAGAAATTGCCATTATCGGTTCGTTCCCGTTGTCCGGCCTTAAGTAATGATTCAACACTATCAAGAATTTCAAGAATGACAATTTCTCAATGCAGAATGAATGATTCAATCATAATATAAACATATCTCGGAAAATACGCCTTTCCAAGCAAAATGGACATTCCACGAATTTCGAATTTTCTATGAGAATAGCTAAAATTTAGTTTTTAAAAGTCATTTTTTTGAGTTTTTTCATCTTCGATTTAATCCAAAATGAATTTCAAAAAAAAAAAGTTGAGACAGACTTTAAAAAAAAATAATTAAAAACGCATGAAACGCCATTTCCTACCTAGAATAATCACATACGTTTTTTCAAAAAAATTGAAAATCGTTTGAAAAAATTATAGATACATTTAATTTAATTTAAATTTAAGTAACAAGGAAAATAACTTTTTAAAAAAAGATCATACAAAAAACCTGAACAACTTTTGAGGAAACTTACCATAAAGAAAAAAAAAAATCATTTTTGGTCCCCCTATTTCTTTTCCAACTAATTAAAAAAAATTTAGCTATTTGATAAAAACTTCTTCGGAATTTACGGACAATGAAATGTCTCTAATTAACGACGACCATCAATCATGATGACTTAAAAGACTCGTCTTGAAAGTGAGCCACAGAAAAAATTTCCTAAAAAGATAAACACGACGAAGACAAAGACGTGAATACGGGGAAACGACTGGCACAACGCTTAACATCTTATCTTCGCTTTTTACGCAACGGCGGCGTTTTTTCTCGAGCTGCAAGAATAGACACTGACACTGTTTCTCGACAAATAATAATAGTCAATTCCTCACATCAAACCATTTGTTTCAATCTCACCGCTTATGAAGCAACTTTATGAAATGAAATCAGCCTCCAGCCAAACCACCTCCACATTTACTTTTTTGAAGTTAGAACTTTTTTCTCTAAATGTTAAAAAAAAACCTTTGTATGCCGAGTCCAAGAGCCCTAGAAGTCGTTAGATCAGCTTCGATGTTTCACAAAAACGTAGCATAAACGTGATACTGTTTAACTGAAAAGTATAATTGAAATTCACTGCAACATAAATATTCCAACAGTTATATTCCAACTCTACAAGATTGTTGTCTTCAGTTTCAAATAGACCCTGTTTAAGTTTTGAAAAAATAAAAGCTTGTCCCTTTTTTTCGGGTTTCAGAAAAAAACTTTGAAGACATTTTTCAAGGTAAAAGAAGCAAAATTACAATTATCTTCTATGACTATAGTTCGTACTATACATCTACGTTTTGAACAGCTTTTTTTTAACAGAGTACTATCAAAAACTGTTCTATCTGAGTTTTCACTAACTCCACTCTCCTACCTTGAACGCTTCAGAAAGAGATTAATAAACCAAAAATGAGCAAGCTGCAACAAAAAAAAACGGACAAAAACGACAGAAAAAATTAGAAATTTCTAAGCACGACGAAGAACGCATTGAATTAACGCTAATAATCTTTATACCGGGTTTTTTTTTCTCATTTACGCGAAACAGAAAAAATCCGGTATTAAGCTACATTACAGGCAGTGCAATACCCAACACAGCTGACAATAACGAAACGAGCCACAGGCGATATCGCCAGAACTGCATAATGTGACCATGTCAAGGTATCGTTCTTATAGATTTAAAGTTTTGAAAAAGAAGAGAATTTTTACGCTTCATTTTCTAGATTGCTGAAAGGATATATTAATTAGAAAAAAAATTCGATGCATCGCTGGAAATTTTTCAGAAAGCGATATAACGCAAGACTATGGCGAGGTCGCAGCGCAATTCGGGCGATGTTGCTGTGGATTGCGGCTCCGCTGCGACACAGCGTTGACGTTAACGTTACTCTCGCTGCGATACAGTCCATAATATCCCCAATATTGTGGACTATATCGCAGCGAGAGTAATGCTATACCGCTCGCGAGCAATATCGCTCGCCTCTCGCAAACGTCTTGCGCTATATCGCTTTCTGAAAATTTTTTCTTCAAAAACGTTTTTTACTTGAATTTGATTGATTTCATCATAAAAGTCAAAAATTAAGCAAAAAAATTTTTTTCAAATTTAAAATTTTGAGAGGGAGCGATATGGCAGCGAGACTTTGACGAGGTCGCATCGACATATTGAAGAAATCGCAGCAAGAAGAATTGGCTATATCGCCTGCGGCCCGCTGCGATATAGGCAATTATGTTAGGTGATTGGATGAAGTGATAAAAAAAAGAAGCAACGCAACGCAGACGCGCGCGCGGCTTCTCCATGGAGCGTGCTTATCACAGCATGTTTTTTTATTCTTTCTTTTTTTAAATTAAAAATTGATGAATGATAATCAATTATATAATGTGTTATAACTTTATCTATATTAAATATTCTGATGAAATAGGAAAAAAAAATCAACGGCCGGAAGACACAGTGAAACAGGGGCAGAATCGGAAACGGTTTGACATAACCCGCAAATTGAAATTAACATAAAAAAAGCGAAGAAAAAATTTTAAAGGATTTGTTAAAGCTCTATAAGAGATTTGAATGAAAAAGACACGACAGAAAGATTTTTTCTGTACAAATTTTCTGAGATTGAAAAAAAAATTTCTGTAAGTGAATGAAAAAAATAGAATTCTAGTGAAGAATCGAAAATACACGTGAAACAAACCCAAAATCAAAAAGCGAAATGGCCTACAGGTTAAATATGGCGGCTTATGGCAGTTTCACGAAAAAAATCCTACCTTAACTTTTTTTGAAAAAAAGGGGAAAAACATGATATTTTTTTGTAATATTTGCAAAGTTCTGAACTTTCTCCAAAGATTATAATTGGTTCGCAACAGCTTTCTGGATCTTTCAAAGACACAAAACTTAATTTAGACCTAATTGTTTTTCTCATAACAATGGAAAATTTGAGAATTCAACTCAGCGAAATGAAAACATTAAGGATATTCAAATGAAAAGTGGAAACAAGGAAAAAATAGAAGCGACCAGAAATGGAAAAGAATTGCGTACAGTGGATTTGATCATGATCTTGTACTCTTCGAGCTTCGAAGGCGGCACTCGTGGAGACTTGGTCGTCACGCGTCGAGCCGTCATTGTCGTCGTCTGAATCGTCGACGTCTCCGTAACATCTTCTTCATAATAGTCACTCTCATAATCTCCTTCGTGAGCGATCTGGAAAGAACAAATGTATCAAGGTGAGAACCTTCAGATGAACCTCGGTAAGAGGTTCTTCAGCCGTCGGGGGAAGTGTCGTGGTGGATGTCGTCGTTGTACTCGTGGTCGTAGAAGGTCTGGGCGTGGTTGTTGATGTTGTAGTTGTACTAGTCGTAGTGCTAGCGGTGGTTGTAGTTGTGGTTGTAGTTGGAGTAGGCGTCGAAGATGTTCGACTGCGTATTGTGGACGGCGGGAAGACAATAGCGTTGAAGTTTTCGATAGAAATCTGCAAAAAAAAACGTTGAAACACGTCGAAAGATTGAGGAAAGAGAAGTTTGAGACTCACAGGAGAGGGATTCAAATCGAAAGGTCGACGGTACTGCGAGGGACGCTTGTAAGAGCTCGGCTTATTTTCTTGCGTCTTTGGCGCTTCTTGGCGGTCCTCTGGAGGACTGACGATGCTTGACCAAGATTTGACTGGTGTTTCTTCGTTCTGTTTGACTTCTTCTTCGCGTTTCTCAGATTGCGGAGGTCGAACGATGTTCGGCCAGGACCTGACTCGCGACTCTTCTTTCGGCTTCGGCTGCTCGGAGCGCGACTGTGGCAAAGGCCAAGACAGCTTCTCTTCGGCAAACTTCCGTCGAGATTCGTGTTGGGCTTGCGCTCTGAACCATGAAACTTTTTTTGAAACTAAGAGATCGTATACTTTTATGCTCCGTAAGTGAGTTGAGAATGGTAAGTTTGAATTATTCTAGATTATGCGAGCCTTGTAGGAAGCATATGTCAAGTCAAAAGTAGAAACTGAAAATTTTCAATCTTTAAACTGTTCTACCCTCAAATTTACGTTGTGTAACTGCTCATGCAACCGGTTTCAGAATATGGACTTTCTAAACTTGAAAAAATTGTCTGAAAAAGCGCAGAACGATCTTATTTTTCACAGATTCTTACTAACAAAAATGAACCTACAAGTGTCTTAACTCATTTTTCAGCAAAATTGTGTGTTCTGAGCAGAATAACGCTTCTTCTTTTCCCAGGTAGAGACCTCTCAAGAGACTCCTTCCAGTCACTTTCTCAGGTAAACCTTCTCCGCTCCTCCTCTTGTCTTCTCCGTTGCTCTTCATGCCGTCGTTCTTCCTCTTCTCGTTGACGTTTCAGATGCTCGTACTCCTGTCTTCTCCGCTGTAGCTCTTCCTCGTACCGCCGTTTCTCCTCTTCATAATTTCTGGTTGTGGTTGTCGTCATAGTTGTAGTTGTCGTCGTCGTCGGAAGGGCTTTTTCTAAAATCGAATTTCTTCCGAGGTCTTTCCCCCAAAAGAAACTTGGAGCAGGAGGGAGAGGAGGTGGGGGCGGAGGACGCCAAGAATCTTCCGAAGCGTGAGTATTTTCTCGTCTCCAAGGTTTGATGTCACTGAAGAAAAGGATTTTCCGTATTCCAACTGATTATTAAAGGAGCTCACTTTTTCTCTTCCCCTGGAGAAGTCTTGCGCCGTTCATAGACCGGCATCGGGGGTAGTTTTTCTTTAGCGAAATCTTTCACGTCTTTATCGTCCTCATCAAAATCTTTTTCGAGGTTGATGTTGCTGGAAATGAAATGCGTTTTCAAAAATAGTTTTTTTTTAAAGGGACAGAACATCAAAAGTACTTATTGAGCAACGATCATAGATTCTAATTCGCTTAGCTTAGACTTTCAAAATCCTTCAACGAACCCATCATTACTGTCGTAGGTTTGCTCGATGATCATCTCGTCTTCTTTTTTGACCGATTCGGCAAATGAGGGCTGTAAATGATCAAAATTTGAATATTCGTTTGAATCTATACGGAAATCAAAATATCTGATAGTTTGAGGGAAAGAGTATTGATGCGAATCATGAAAATTTTGTAGTAAATAGTCAATATTTGTTGATGAAGGTTACTGGAGTGCTTTTGAAAATCTCACAAAGCTCAAAAAAAACTTTCCTGAAGTATTTGAAAAAAAACTTCTTCACATTTGGTAGTACACAAATTTTTTTCTTTTTAACGCTTACTCAGCTCCTTTTTGTGAAAACACAGTGGATTTACTTTTTTTTTTTCTGGTATGTGTCTTTCATGCTGTCGACTTCAGGAAAATTTCGTAACTCTAATGAAGTTTAAGTTTCAGGAAAATAGCTGAAACTAACGCTGGAATATTCATCCTCGTCGTCGTCATTGTAGTCATCAGAATCTACTCCGTCTTCGACACGCTCAGCGAGGTCGACATTGCAGTAATCTTCGGCGCGGCACCAACATCGAGTCTGCAAGCTTTTTTCAATATAAAATCCAGTCCACAGTTCAGAGAAATCATGAGATCGATCGTTGACCCGAAGAGCCGGATGGCCTTGCCACCTTTCAAAAAGACTGAAGACGCGCCAGCCGTTGTAAAAAGTCAACAAGAACACCGCACCTGCGTCTTTTGTTCGTCGGTCCGCCGCGTTTTGAAGCGAAAACTGAGCCGACGAGGATGGGAATTTTTATGCGCCGCATGTTTTCGCCACGACCCCCAAAAAGAGCCGTTATGTGACTTACGGCCACGTGCCGCAATAACCCTTACAACTTTACGCATATTTAGGGAGAGAGGACGGGTTTCATTGATTTCATGTGAGGAATTCGGAAAGTAGGTGCTCGGTTTTTGATTTTTTGAAACTCTTCCTGTTTTGCTCTATAAGATGGCGGCTTTTTTAAAGTAACGAATAGCTTCTTCAATAGTTTTCAGATTGCTTCATTAACATCTAGCGTTGATTACAAAAAGATATTGTTAGTTTTATGAGAAACTGCGACTTTTTTTTTGTAAAAACTCTTTTTTTTTTATGAAAATGGGTTGAAGAACTTTCGAGTATCAGTTGAAGCTTTTGAGAGTCTCAAACTTCAAGTTATTTCCTTTTAAAGAGAGATATTTTTAATTTGGTGACGTAAGCTCCTGGAAACGAGAGAGTACTAATGTTCAACATCCATGAAAACATTTCTCTAGTACTTTCAAATAAATTATCATACATTTTCGTTAATTTTCGCAATCATCAAGCTTTCCTCGTATTGCTCAACATTGACTCCCGATTTCATAATATTTGATGAGTTGTACCGTATTATTTGCTCCACTCTCAGAACCAAATCGAAGAAAAAACCCTCGTGAAGAGCTTCCACATGATTCAGTGACTCACAATCCTTGGAAATAATTAACCGAGAGTCCAACAAAACAAAAAGAAATGTGTGGGCGATTCGATGGAATCGTTTCGAATCGTCTCTCAAAGAGATAAACATAACAGAAGGTTACGAAACGAAAGTTTTCCTCTGGAAACCGAGCACTTCCGTCCGCTTTTCGTAATAACAATGAGAGCCAAATCAGTTGAACTAACTGTCGACCGAACAGCAGCCGAAGCAAACATTGCACAGATGCGCCAAACGTGTTCCGTTTGCCGAGTTTAATTATCAATGCCCTTTTGAGTCAATAGGTGGGCTTTTGTGAGTTAATCCGCCAAAATAAATAAGCCAGAAATATGTTCAATATATATCGGTGTGACGAGAATCTATGAAAATGGAAATATAAAAACTTTTATATAAATAGACGTTTCATAAACTTCTCTAGGCGAAAAAATGTTTCAGTGGCAATTTTTGAGAAAAAGATCTTATTGGATATCGATTAGTGTTACGATTGTCCAATTTGAGTGATGTGAAGAGTAAAAATATCTTGTGATTCAAAAGAAATAAATATGTTACATAAGCTTCAAAATAGAAGATCTGAAGCATCAGTAAAATAATCTTTTTAACTTATTTATAGCCCAGTTCAACCAAATATTGACTGATAAGATTTTAAGGAAGTAGGATTGAAAAGATCAGAGATATAATCTGCAGGAATCAATAAAAAAATTCAACGACAAAACTTAAGCAAAGTCTTCAAAGATGAAGCATTAAATTTCGAACCAATTTAAAGGTTTGAACACTGTTTTTTTTTTACTTTTTCTGTTTCTTTATATCTGATTATTTATAAGTTAAACATAATTCTGCGGTTTATAATTGTGACTCTTCACTTTTTTTGATTTTTTTTCTCCTACAAGCTGCTCTTTAGGCTTCTTCCTTCTTCCCTTTTTTTTAGGCTGTCCTTTCTCACACGAAAAGTCAAAACTGTGAACACTCCAGTAAGCTTTCTATTCCCAGAAAACCATGAAAAACCTTTCTCAAGTAAAAAAAAAACACAGTATCTTCAAAGTGCAAAAGTGCTCTCAATGGTGTATTTGCACTACTTGATCTTTCGTTTCCTTTACAAAAAAAAAGTAAAAGCTTTCGTTTCTGGCAAGAATTCGTCTGCTTTTTCCATTTCGCTTCAGGAAAACTACGAAATTTGAATAATATTCCATTTGAGGGAAATTTCGGCAACATGAGTCATAGACGCGCCAAAAAAAGTTTCTTAGAAAATGCGACAACAATGAGGCAAATTGGATGGCTCATCAAAACGTTTTTTTTTCTTGTCAGATGTCTTGGCTGAACGAAACGCGAGACGGAACCGAGTCGAACGATTTGATGAGAAAAAAAAGGAAAAAGACGCACCTGGAGTCGGCCGTTTTTGCGGTCGACTCTGCAGGAGTCGGGACTTGCGTGATTGACGCGGATGCACGCGAAATGCTGAACGCCGCCGATGCGGACCATCGCACAGGCCGCCGCCTGGAAAGGGAGGATTTGAGAGGGAAATATCGTTTCAGACTTAATACACTCTCAAAGAACTAATCAATTCAATCACAAGGTCAAAAAATGCTGCCTTTGAAATTATTCAGATTTCTTCTCAAAGAGAACAAAATAAAATTTAGAAGTAAAACGAACAAGATTTATATTACCAGCCTACGTTCCTTCTCAATAAGAGAATAATTTCAAAGATATAGAAGAGATGATAAATGATTTCATATCTTTCTAGCACTTTTTGAGACTTCTTATCAAATATTTTGGAGTGAACAGTTAAAAGAAGATTTAAAAAAAAGACAAGAAAACTGAGACAGATTCACCAAAATAAACCTTTTCAAGCTTTTCTCGCTTTTTGGAACTTTAAAAGTACTTTTTTTTTCTTACTTGAGCTTGTAAAAACCTTCTGATTACCAGTCATTGACACTTTTCTAATATTCTCTTCTTCTCTCAGATAAAAGAGTCAAGAACCTTGTCTGTGGTATTGTGAACTTCGCACCAATTTGAGTAGCACCGGATGCCGCCGCGGTCCGTCGTACACTGACATCTGCAAAAAAGGTCCACATTTTTTCCCACTTTCCATTCACATCTGCCTTCTTATCGACATTTCCCATGTACTATCGAACGATGGTTTCGCTTTTTTGCAATGGAGCGCAAAGGACAGCGTATTCCCACAAGCGATATTCGAATAATGGGATGGAGGCCGCGCGAAACAAGTGCAGACGGAATTTTCTTAACAATACTACCACTGGTCGCAAAGTTGGGGCTGTATTATTGAAAATTAGCAGAAAAGGATTCTGCAAACTTAACATTTTAATTGGCAGTAACCATCAATAACATCAGCTGAACTCAGCCGATCAAAAAAAAACTGCAAAACGGTTCAAAGTTTCGAACTTTATTTCTTGTTAGCTGGAAAGTTCTGACGTCAGTGGCAAATCTTACAAAGCAAGTTGACATTCTAGTTGTTTGTGTTTCGGACAAAAGGTCGTTTCTTTGTGATCTCAAGTTTGTTAAGCTCCGAAAGCGCTCAAAAGTACAGAGGATACAAGTTCACAGAATTTCATTCAGGAACTCTGGTCAATCATAGAAAGAAAAGGGATTGCAATCCTCTAATAATATCAACGGACAAAGTTTCCCACTTTTTCTAGACAAGATGGGGGGAGAATCGCCCTGGTTGCAATTCGAAAGAGTTGAATAGCAAACAAAATTTAGCCTGAGCATTTTTTTATTGCAGTTCGAAGTCAAAATGATTTCCACAACAAATCAGAAAAAAACTGAGATGTTGCAGAAAGTATTGCAACGCAAAGTAAAATAATTTTCCTATCAAGCGAAGCTCAAAAACGCGTGTTGCAATTGAAACCTTCTGAAAAAAGCGTCGAAGAAATCATTTGCTGATCTGAAAGAAAAATTTACTAGAAAAAAAATGATATCATCGACTCAAAGTTTGTACTTTTTCCTTGTATACTTTTTTCTATTTTCGGTTATTTTAAAAATTATCGAAACGTTCTCAATTCATCTATGTTGTAAAAAGACTTTTAAAAGGAAGAAAAAAAGGTGGAGAAAAGTTCTGTTAGTCAGACTTGATATGGTTTATTCACAATATTTTGCCCGGGTTTTTCGAAAAAGGCGGGAATTTTCTAAATGTTTGTAATTGACTCAAGTTTCCACCTCAAGACTTTCATGGAACATATTCAGATGCTGTTATATCGAGAAAGATGCTCGAAAGTCTTTTCAAGCGCCTCAGATCAAAAGAATGTCGGGTTCGTGTGCTCATTTCGATTATTTCGGCTCATCATCATGCGTCGGAGAACAAACGGAATCAGTGGTCAGTGTGTCACCGGGATTCCGACGCACAAAAGACGCATGGAATCGGAAGAACTGATGAGAGGCAGAAGCTTAGGTTGACCGACGAAATGTCAAACAAAGCCACCGAACGGACACGAAGCGCGAATCGGCGGCCGCATGTGCTGCGGCTTGCATTTCAAGGGGTCTGGACCTCTAATTGAGCCTTTGCTGACGCCGATTCGCTTGGAAACTTGAGTTGAGGGCAAAGTATCACAGAGAAGTTGAACAAAAGAGCGGCTGGACGCTTTGATGGCAAACGCAGTTTTGGACGGAAACTTTGAAACTTCAGGCGTTGGCGCCTTCGGAATTCGAAATACTTTAACTATTGAATCAATCTGATTGTTTTTTTGAATTTCGATTATGTTGTCACTAAATCAAAATAAATGTGAAAAAGAAAAATTTACCCAACAAATGATCAATCAAGTTTTTTTCATGAGTAATCAAAATTTCTGCAGTATCCAAAGACTCGGAAGCCTTCCGGAATGAAACCGAGAATGGCTTTTTGATTGGGACCATCAAGGAATAATTCTATGCTTCTTTGATAACCAAAAAAAAAAGAATTTCGAAAACAAAAGGTTTTAGAAAACGCGAAACTAAAAGCCAAAAAAAACCCTTTTCAACAGGAAAAACTCAACACAAAAAAATTGATACACACAATATAAATTATTTGGATAAGGTTTATGGCTTGTCACGCTTATCGCCGCAGGAAAATCTGCAACACGACAAAATCGAAAGTCGCCACGGCGATGATTTATAACAAGCGTAAAAGACATTTGTTTCCTCACACACCTGTTATTAGAAGTTTGTTCGATACCTGTGCATCCTTGAAACAGGAGATGAAAGGTTTTGGGAGAAAGAGAGAGCGAATATAACGCGAATCGTACTTGAACTAAAAATAGTTCACTTCGAGGGAAGCAAAAGAACAAAATGAAAACTATCTTTTTTTTAAAGACTCCAATAGTTTGGAAAGTTTTGATTTTTCAAGCATTAAAATTGGGGATCAACGCATGAAAAGATCTTTTGATACACCGAAAAAGTTTAATTGAATTCATAATTTTTTTGTATCCTAGCCCTTTTCATATATTTTAAGGCTGTAATATTTTTGATTTTCTCATTTTTTTTTTGCTCGTTTTGATTCTCACTGAAAAGATCTTTATAAAGGTTTAGAAGTATGGAATTTAGAAACAATACACGAAAAATTAAAAAAAACCACTGGGTAACTTTATACTTTCAAAGTTTTCAAAGAAACAAGGCGAGTAAAAATATTGATTTGACAGTTTCAAAGCAGAGAAAAAATAGTTAGCTTTGAGGATTATGAGAATAGTAACACACAAGAGCCTTGAGAAACACCGCAAAACTAAGATACCCTTCGAAAAATGCGCGCTAAAAAGGTCTGATATAAAACTGATTGAAATTTCCCGTTTTTTTTTGGAAGTGAGGGAAATCAAAAAAATAAAATCCGAGAAAGTTAAAAAAAAAAGGCCAACCTCAAAGAATGGATAACTGGCGCAAGAAGAGCTATCGAAAACGCGATGAGGAACGTCTTCAGGCGCATCGAGTGGAAAACCAGGCAAGTTTGCTCCAGCGAGCGAATTAATTCGATCAATCACTCAAGTAATAGAAAATAGCGTTCCAGTAGCAGAAAACCAACAAATTGAAGAGAAAAGTTGCTCGGTTGACAAAAATTTACGGCAAAATTCAACAGTCAGGTTCAGCCAATAATGACGGGATCAAAGATGACCGGAGGAAGCTGAGGTAAGATGAGCAACGGCGGAGGCAATGGTCCGAGGGCCTGCAGGCTGCCGCGAACTGTGTTGTTGTTGACGGTCGAGGAGGCGGAGCTTTGGCTGGAGGCGTGGCTTCGAGGCGCCGCCGGCTCTTTTTGTTGGATTTCTTGGCGATGCAATACGAGTTGACCTGTCTTGAGTGCCAGCAGATTGACGCCCCAGGCTCTGAAAAAAAGAAGATTTTTTGATAAAAAATAGGGTTCTATGAAGGAAGATTATTAGCCGAATGGTTTCTTTTTTTTTTTATGAAAGGCAAAAAAAATCCTTCGGCTGATTGATTATAGCGCAAATCGATCAGAGAATCTTTCACCAGACTCTGATCTCCAAAAACAATTTAGTTCCTACGCCACAAACTCATCCCAAATAATGCACAAACCATTGGTCAATTTAAAAATCCCTCCTGTTTCTGTTTTTCTAGTTTTATTCAGACAATTTAAGCGGGACACTCATTAATCCGTATATTATTAGCTCAATGAAGGCAGAAGACCTTGGAAGCTCAAGAATTTATTCTTTGTTTCATTTGAAAAGGGTAAAGGTAGCTCTGAAATGGGAAAAAGAGAAGAAACGTTTTTCGAGTTCAGTTCCAAGCCTTTTCCCAGGGAAAAATTCCTCAAGCGGCCTCCTTTTGATGATCTTTTCCGTCAAAAGTTGTTTAATCTTTGCTACTTTTTTGAAAACGAAGTAAATTTCCGCCTTGAACGGTGCCATGAACTTCTTTTGAGCGTCTACAGCTGAAGATCCCGACTTCCGATCTCTTTCCACCTGTTGCCACAAACCCTGCCCGAGTCCGAGCTTCTATCAAAAGATCATACTCGCAATCGAATCAAGGAAGCGACAAGAAGCCGACGCCACTGAAGAAGCAGAGGAAGAGCCGCGATTTGTTTGCTGCCATCCGTGGGAACGGCCTCATTGTGCGACTGTGTTTGTATGAGTGTCCGCTGTGTGTTTGGAAACATCCGTTCCTTCACAGGCAGACAAAAGCGTCTCGATTGCCCCGGGTGTTCAGCCGTGCACAATCATCTTATCTCTACCGCCTCACCTTATGCAACTATTTGCGGTATCCTTCTCAGAAAATGCTATTGGAAAATGTTCCCAAAATATTTGAAGGAGACGGCTGGACAGTCGTTATTTCACAGTTGGCCGCGCTTCAAATGGTTTACAACTGACTTTTTGAAAACTTGATCTTTTATGAATCTTCTTTCCTGTCAATTTTTGCTTCTCAAGAAAAAGTCAACAAAGATTTATAAAAAATCTTCGAGAGTCCTCCTTTTGTACATTTTCTACACTTCTCAATAAATGATGAGTAGCGATTTCGAACCGATCCATGAAGCAACACAGCTGAGCTCACGCAACTGCTCTGATTGCTCTAAAACAAACAAAACTTGAAAAAATCGTACTGGTGCGGCGAAAACTGGAAGCGAGAAGGTCCACTCCTTCTAATTTTCGACTGTTTGCCAATTCTCAAATTACCACCGCTGGCCGTTTATCCGAGTCACACGTTTCGGTCGATCAAACAGCGTGTGGACACACCTTCAAGCGTTATTTGACTGGGAAAACCCTATTTTCAGCAGTTCTCTTTAGTTTCAGCTTTGACAATGGATCTAATTGATATGAAAGGGATCCTGCTATGGTACTTGGTCATAACAACTAGTGATACTCATTTCTCATGTCCAAAAGCTCGTTGGCTAAAGATCCCAAAGGAGAGTGTTCTTGAATATTTTCGAAATGGTCAAAAACTAATTCATAACTCAGCGCAAAAGCTTAAATCTCGCCCGTCTGTCAATGAGAAGCTGAAACCGTACAATTTCCTATGGCTATTTTTGATTCTGAATTCCCAAAAATTACAGTCAAAGTCTCTGCCGTTCAGACTTCAAAAAATGGTCATTTGAACAATTATAATTACATTTAAAGAGTCTCAATAATCATTCGCAACAAAATTTTCGAAAGTTTCATCGCCATGGTTAAAAAAGTTGAAAGGAGGGCCGCCGCCGGAAATTTCCATAGATAGGCACAGCTTTTGCGGCGCCTGTTTATGTGCGTCTCGCCAAAACATTTGGTCGCAAAAAATGCAGATATAATAGACGTTTTCTCGGAATTTTATTATCCAATTTCTCAAAGAAATTGTCAGAATGACGCTCCTTGTACGAAATCTATTCATTCAGTTTTTGTGAGAAGAGAAAAACAAAAACATTTAATAAACATTGAGAATATTATTTTTCTCATCAACCTCACTTCTTTAAATTATTAAAACAAGTGAACTTTGAAGGAAATCAACCCTTTTTTGAATTGATTTCTATGATATGAAGCTAACACGTAAGCTCTGCGCATTTAAACGTTCCTTCGAGATAATCAAATATTATTGCCTAAAAAGCCCAAGCCAATCATAAATACAGCCAACCAGACGGAAAAATCGGTTTTGAACACACTAGTAAACTCGTTATTAAAATCTCAGAATTCATTTCAGCGGAGTCATAAATGACAGCGATCCCACACTATCTTGATGTTCCCATAAAACTATCATAAAGTGACCGGCCGAAATTGCAACATTCAACACAATCAGCAGAAAAACGGCTCCAACTTTGCTTGTGATTAATACCGCCATTGATGGAGTTGTGATAAAAGAAAGATAAGAGTTACGCTCTTTGCTTGGAACACGACGATTTTTGAATGATAAATGATTAATAGGCTTATATGGTTCTAGTCGAGGCATCGAAATTGAAAAAAGAAAAAACTCACGAAACAGTTTCGCCGGTCGGCTGAAGCTCAATGATTGGTCTTTTATTTCTTCCGAGCCGGAAATCACTTCTCGCTTCGTCTCTTTCCCACTTCAACGAGCACATCAACGAGTTCAACTCTCCTAAAGTTTTGAGCTTTTTGAAGAACAAAAGAGTCAAAAGAGTCAAAAAGAGAGAAACAAAAGAACTTTGTAAAACTTAACCTATAAGAAGTGAAAAATGAGCTGAAAGTTTTTTGATCGAACCGGGAAAAATTTATTTAAAAACTTAATTATCTAAATATATAACGTTTAACCGAAAACATTCAAGCCAAACCACAAAATTCAGTTCGAAGCCAAATCTTTTTTTTATTCATGACGCAGAGCCGGAAACGATAGAATGAATCATTCTGCGGCGGGAGAGAATCAAAACTACATGACGCAAACTGTCAAAAAATAAGAAAGGAAGGAATGAAATGGCGTGCAAACACGGGCGGACAGAATAGTCACATACTTATCTAAAATATCTCTTCAGATCATGAATTTATAATTCGAATCAGCCAAAAGTTCCGTACTTCAAATTCCATGAAAACGAAAAATATTTCATTGGGCCTTTCAGTTTTTAAAATAAAATTCATTAGAAAAAAAACAAGTGAGTTCAATCGTTTTGACGGAAAAAAAAACCTGAATTTTCGATCTTTTTCGGATTCGAAACCATTTTAGCGCGAATAGAATTAATCAGTACTGAGAAAACGAAAATTCTCGACAAACTCAATCGATTGAACTCTAACATGAGCAACTCACTCGCCATCCCGACAAGCTCATTCCGAGCGATTCGGCTACCGCAGATCTCATCATCAGCCAAATCTTCTGGATCTTCAGATTCGCTCGACTTGATCTTCTCGGGCTCTGGAGACACTCTGCGGGTCCAAGAAGTGAGACTCGTCGCAGAGGACGACGCTGAGACGCGGTTCTTCAAGGGAATTTTGTCGAATTGCCGAGAATTACTGATGAAGAAAATTGGAGCATACATATTTTGAGATACGGTCAAACTTTGCTAACTAGAGAATTTTCTTAATTCACAGTGTAACTTCTGGATGAGACCAGATTTAATAGATGCAGTTTTTCACGCTGATTCCAAATCTGGTTTCAAAAACGACTCTCAAGGCCTGTGAAAAATGTTAGGGACTCTCAAAAGTCCGAAAATTCAGTATCTCAGATTGAGTATTTTCGGAGACTTTTTTTATCAGAGATTCGGAATTTTGCGTGAAGAATTGCATCTACTGAGGCTAGTTTTATCAAGAAGCCCCACTGTGAGCTGAGACAGAACGTTCTCTAGTAAGACGAACTTCAGGAAACTTTCTGATTCCCAATATTTTTCGCGTTTCATCGAGTTTAGTGGAGTCGAAGATATCTCTTCGAATAAACTGCTCGCCTAATTCGCCATAAAAAGTCTAAAAATGTCGACCGTCTAATTTTTTTTCAAGGACTTTCTTGACAACCACTTTCTGCAGGGTTGAAATCAGCAAAACAATTCGTATATATAGTCAAGCTTGTGCACGAAAAGCTCAACTTTTTCAGTGATTAAGTTTTGAGACGCCAATTTTCCACGAACCCACCATTAATCTTATTCTCTGATCTTCTTCAAACTTGGCCGTGTCTGAAGTCAGTCTTTTTTTTTAAATAACTTCTTCCTCTTAGAAACCGTCAAGAATCGCGCACGTCGCAGCTTCTTCAATCAGAAACTCATGGGCGCAAGTCTGCCGAATCGGCGAGGCGTCGTTGATTTCGATGGAATTTTCCTAAGAACTGAGGAGTCTGCAAGTTGTCAGGAAAAAAAGAAGACCTGAAACGGGAAGATTCCGTCGTCTGAACCTTTGGAAGGCGTGAAATTCAACTTGATATCGTCTAGTAATGGTGTGTTGACCGGCTGGGAGAACGCTCCTTGTTTTTCAGAAGCTGAAAAACTTCAAACGACCGTCCTTGCTTCATTTTACCTTGAAAATTATGATCAGAAGCCGAAGTTAGTCCCGGCGGAGACGAGAACCCCTTTCTCACTACTGGGAGAACAGGTCTGAAACTGTGATTTCAAGAAAAGTATTGATTTCTGGAAGACACTTCAACTCGTCGACCCATTTTTTCGTCGGGGATATATCTTCAATGAGAAGCACACTTTGTTCCAAGTCCTCTCGAGTACACGTAATACTTGATATGTTTTTGAAAGATCGACGACGTTCTGAGAAAAATTCAGGTTTGTGTGGATTTCGAAGTAGACTTGAAAAATTCAAAAATAAAAAAACTAACCAGATCTAAAATTGCATTCTGAACCTTGAAAAACAAACAAGAAACTTACTGGGGGTGTCGTTTTTGGGTGAAATTCCTTCGAAAGTACTGAACAGGGATTCGATGGAGCGTCTTTTATTTGAGAGCACGGCTATAATCGAAAAATATATATAAAATATTTTCCAGAAAAAAACTCTTCTGTAACGGCGGAGTGCTGAACATTCTGAGGTCGCTTCCCCACATCAAACTTTTCTTTTTCGCCGGCTGAGGCGTGTAAAAAGTTGATTGAGAAGTCGAAGGTTGCAGATCATCAAAAATATCTGACACATCTGAAAAAATTGTTCAGTTTTCACAGTACCCACGTGATTTCATCAGACTGGCGAGAATGTTATTTCATACAAGTGGTTGAAAAAATGTTATCCAGAGTCTGAGAAAATCATTAAAAAAACTGTAGTTTTTGATTTCAAAAAAAAAACAGAGGTGATAAATCCCAAACTAAAAACAGCTTTCTTTTCTTTTTTTTTTCAACCTTACTTTTTTCAACTCAACTTTTTTTTCGACTTGAACCAACTTTTAATACTACTTTGGAACACGAGAAAACGACAGAACTTTCTCGCCGCCCGAATATCTCACCGCTGTCCGCGTCTTCATTTTGTCGCGAAATGTCCGACTTTTCTTTCTTTTGATTGGTGAAGTCAACAAGAGACCTTCGTTGGCGGAACCTTTCGAAACCCGTCGGAGTTTTTCGAGTAGAAGCCGAGGAAGCTGAACGATTCAAGTCTTGAAGCTGTGAAATTTTTAGAATTACATTGAGTGGAATTTCTTTTAAGCAAAGAAATAGTGGGCGTGTTGGTTTCCGAAGCTTGAGCTTCCAGGATATCACCAGCTAGAAATAAATCCGTGTTTTATTTTTTTTTTTAGGCGATATTTACTTTTCTTCCATTTTGGCGGCGATTCGGGGTCTTCAATATCAATATTCATCTCTTCTTGAGAAACTGTTTTGATCTTGAAACTGTGCAACTTCTCGAAGTCGATCGATTCGGAGAACTTTTTGGCTGGAATTTGAAAGATTCATGAAGTTTTTTTCGGGATTTTTTTTTTCGTTTCGACAGCCCTAAGAACGCTTCCAGGTCGTTTTTTGCTTCTCTTATATCAAAGAAAAAGCTCTTGTTCAAGCTTTGATAGATTTCGAGAGAGCTATGGAGAGTTGAGAATTACCTTTTTTGAAAATATTTCAACTCACTTCTTCTCTCCTTATTTTATTTCACTCACTCGGCCACTTCTCAAGTTCTTCACTTTTGGGTAGTTCTCGTTTCAGTTGATTCCTCGGTGTTGAAGGAAAATCAATGGATCGCCTATTTCTCTTTTTTCGACGACGAGCCGAAGAATTTATCACTAAACATTTTTAGTTATTTTTTCTTAGGTGTTTTCTTGGAATACTTTCATCTTTCTGAGGTCGATGAGTAGAAGAACAGAGCCATTCGTCACTTTTCTCGCTACTAGACAGCGACTGAAAGTGAGGAATTTGAAAACAGTTCAAAGTTCGAAAAAATTAAAAAATTGAAAATGATGTATTGGATTTAAAAAAATAGCTTATTCCTTAACGGTTACAAAACAATAACAAAAAAATCCCGCTCACCAGTTTTCTTTTGACGGTCTCGTCTAACTTCCGGTTCATAGCGATTTCATTTGAGATTCTTTTTTTTCCTTGAAAATACCTTGATAAATTTGAAAATTTTTCTTCCAATAATAACCGAGGAAAAACAGAAAACGAGTATACAACTTGGTTGTTGATAAAAATTTATGAAGCATCTCTGTCGATTATTTGGCGTCAACAATTATAGCTAAATACCCATAGCAATAAAAAAAAAATATTATCGAAATTTGGCTAAATACATTTGAGGAAGGCAAAAGCGTCCCGTAATAGACAATTGAAAAAAAAAACAGAAAAAAAAATTGGTTTGGAACTCCATTCGTCCTAACTTGAAGATCGCAGTCCGCAACCGACTCAAAACTGCTTGCGCGCAGATTTTATGCCATGGTCAAAGTAATCCCGCGAAATTCAGAACAACCGTTAGAGATAGAAAAAGATAACTGAGTTTTGGAGAGTAAGAGACTAATTTGCTTTTCGCGGAAGTTAATTCAAAAAAAAAAAGAGGGAGCTAAAGGATTTTCAAGCTAACCGCAACGCAAAGGCGACGCTTCCCAATTCACATTTTTCTTTCAACTCACAGCGAATGGAGTTTACCGTTTCCTACTGGATAATTAGTTAGAAAAAAGTAACTAATGAGAGAAGGGTCACTTTCAAAGTGAATGGAGGGGATTTATCGACGTCTTCGGTTCATGATCGCATTGCCGACGTCAGAAGACGAGCCAAAAGTGAAGGATTCAGAATCCGGACTCGCCGTCGCTTCTCTTGACGACGTCATTGCTTCCAAACGTTTTCTGGAACAGAAAAATGAGATTTGATTTTCGATTTCATACAAACTTGACACAATCTTTCAGTTCTTGGGGAACGTTTGGCGTCGCTTCCACATACATCGCAGCCCGTTCCAAGTATGCAATTTCTTCGTCGCGCTAAAATGAAATGAAATAGAACTTTCCCTATGAGGTACCGTCAATAATTGGATCAAGATTGGAGATATCAAAAGTTCAACTCGATTTTTTGTCATTCATTTCCTAGTCAAGTTATAGAACCTTGAAAGACTCTGAATAACCTCATGTCTTTCTTTTTCAGAACTGTACTACAAGAAACTCAGTTTTTTCTGGTTGTACTTGGAACACTTAAACACGACCCCGACATTTGTTCTCTTATTATTACTAAAAATGGATTCCTCAACATACGGATTTGATGGCGACCAGTTCCAAGAACTCTTCGACATCTCTTCTCAGCAACAAGAACAAAGTCAACGGATGCCCCGGCGGCCGAACATCCGTTCCATCCAAAAGTTGACGGGCCGCCAATTCACAAGCCTCTACCCCAATCTGAAAGTTCAAACTAGAGCTAGTTCTACTAAATCTATTTACCGGGATAATAAGGAAGACATCAATCAACGACCACAAAATCTTGTCGGGAATAGAAACAATCAGATTCGTGAGGTACTTGACGTCTGTGAACATTTTCACCGCTTTGACATCTGAGGTGATTGTTCAGTTTTTGCGAGTTTCACGAGACAAAACAGACCTTTCTTTTTCTCAAGAACCTTCTTCAAGACCGGAGACGCCTTCTTCTCAGGCTCGTTCTCAGAAAACAAGGAGAGATAGGCGATGAATTGTTCATTGGAAGACAAGAGAGGCAGGACCGAGGAGCGGAGCGTCTTCTGGAAATCTTCAGGTCGAGTCCGAAGCTTGGCCAGATGCCCTCGAGACTTCAAGATTTGCTTTGCCTCCGCAATTGTGAGTCTGAAAGCGAAAAAATGAGCTGGAATCTCCATTATTTTCAAACGAAGTGAGGGCGTTTTCCAAAGAAGCCATGTGAAGATCCCACGCGTCGAGATGGTACTTCTCAGCGAGTTCTAGGGCGTCTTGGAACTGCTGCTCAACTTCCGTCCTGAAGACTTCTGTTGTCCAATTTCTTTTTTCTTACTTTTTAAATGATATTTTGAGTGAAAATATTAAACGAAGAAACATTAGTCGCAGATGCGAGCTTTCGATTAGAACTTCCTCTCAAAGAGCTCGTATTCGAGAAAGACCCAAAACCTACAGGTTGAGCCTTCACGGATCAAAAATTCATTAAAATCTTGATATTTTTTTAAAATATCACTTTTTTGTTTTTCAAAAAATTCTCACATCGCAAGTCCGACAATCGTTTCTTTCCGATACTCAGCATCACCCACGAACCGCGACTTATCGCATCCTGAAAAATTGCTAAATTTTTTTTTTGAAACTGTTTTTGAACGTCAAATCGCTTGAACTTGACAAAATTTTGCCCGAGCGGGGATCGGCTAAACGAATAACGTCTGCCTATTTTATTCAAATCGGGTTTACCGTAGTCCGCCAAACGATCGATGGCTGTGATCGAGGAGTCCTCTTGATTCGCAGCGGCAAGGAGATTTCCAGCCGGGATTTGGATGATAGTAGATAAAGGCAGCCGGTCAGAGAAACATCGGATCGACTAAAAATTAACTTTTGTGAGAATCAAAACAAAAGCCAACCTTCTCATATCGCAAAAGTTGGTCGCTAGTTGTCCAGGAAGGCTCATTTTCGTCAAAATCGGCCAGAAGCGCCATACTCAAAGCAAAGGTCGCCGACTCGTGCGCAGTGATTCTCGTTAGCTCAAAAGAATCGGTAACTAGTCAGAAAGAAGAATTTCCAACCTCTTTGAAGGACAAAATCTGTGAAGCCCGTTTGAATTTGTCGAGATCGGCTTGTACTTCACCCGGTATTAAAGTTTTACGGTACTTTTCAAGCTGAAAATGAAAAGATAATTTCAGCTATAAGTTTTCAAGAAACCGTTGAATACATTGGATCCTGAACGAACTCCGAACAAACGGGGATATATTTCCGCTCTTCTTCGTTGATTTTAATTTTTTCCAGCTGAAATATCATAGATGAAAATATTTTCATCTAGTGTGAGTATTTAGTTTTTACCGGCTTCGGTCTTGAATAACATGATTAGCTAATAGAAAAATCGCATGGAAAGGCGTAGTCGCGAATGAAATGAACTGGAAGTTCTGCGATTCTTTTTCAGAAGCGCGTCTGACTTGGAACGACTTGCGTCGGGCTACTGAATACCCGGCCAACTGTAGACCTAATAAGATTTGAAACGCATCCGCCTCAGACATTCCGATTGCGACCGCCGCTTTCCAAGTCATAGGAAAAAAGAAAACTATATTTACGAAATTAGAGCCAAAATTATAACTTCCTGAAGTTCAATACATTCATACTCTGATACTTTTTCACTACATTCTTGCCTTTTCTTGAAGTTTAGCCTCTCGAGATCGATTTATCGCTTCCATGGTTTCCATCAAGTTCAAATCGGTCGAGTTCAACACCGCACAGGCATAAATATCATTCATATCCTGTAAAATCCGAAAGTTTGCCAGCCAGGAAAGGATTCTTACCGTTGGAACATGCGGCGAATTCATGATCTGCATGCACAATTTATGAACAACGGGTAAATTTCGAGCCTAAAAATCAATAATTAACAGCCAAATTCAAGTTTTGCTTGGAATAAACCTTGCTGATGACTTCTCCAATATATCGACTCAAATAAGTAGCGTCATTGGCTTTCAGGGCAGCCAGGGCGCAATGGGATAAGGCCGTCGCCACTGGAGTTTCCACTCCCAAAAGCTGAGCCAATTTCGCGCATTTTTTGCCCTCAACAATGTTAAAAAATATATATTTTCTCTTAAGCTCAAACCTGTTTGTAGTTAGAACCGATACGTACAATATCCGTCAACAATTGATCATGTACGGCAAATCTGAAAAGAAATAAAAAAATAGTTTTGAAAAAGGCTGTTCTGATTGTAAATTTGGAACGGAATTTTAATATTTTCTTTGAACTTTAAAAAAATCTTACGTTCTTAAAAAAACATAATATATATTTCTATTATAAAGAATGAATTTTTAAAAAAACTTTTTTTCTCGAGGCGAAGCTATGGAAAAAAAGTGAAATTTGATGATAAAAAAATATGAAAGCCTCATGATATGGTGAAAAAAAGCTGCTTGAGGAGTAAATTTCACAAAAATTTTGAAAAAAAAAAAAAACGTCATGAAGAAAAATATATTAAAGTCTCCCTCTCATTTGTAAACTTTTTTGGAAGCTCTGTTTAGCAGTTCTGACACGAGGGTGAATTCAATTTTTAATGGGGAATTTTCTGAAAACTGGCCAGTCCTAGTAAGTAAACACCTGGGTGAATAATCAACATGAAACAACTAAATATATTTTTGGTAGTAGACATAAAAAAAAAGTCAAAGAAACCCATACCGTTGTAATAATGTAGTTTTGGAACTTTGAGCCCTCGTTTGTTATAATTAGAAACTGGAAAGTTGTGCAGGTGGAAAATATCAGGATCTTCATGTGGTACATCATGAATTGGCCAATCTGGTCAATTTTCAGAGAATTCCCAAGAAAGAAGTAAAATGATCTTCGTCGTGAGCTGATTTTTCCTACACTCTTCAGAGAAAAAGAAGGTCAAACTTGATTCCGATGGGCATCATGGTGCAGCCGAGTTCCTGTGCCTGTTCGACGGCGTCGAGCCATCGAAGCTGCTCAGCCGCCGCCTTCGGGGCGATTTCCCGAGCCGTGACGGCGAAAAAGCGAGACCGACCGAGGAGAGGATCGTCCCGATGAGTGGCCTCCGACATCAGCTCAGCGCTTTTGGCCAGCAGCACCTATTACCTCAATTCTCTTATCTCATATAGATTTTCGCCAACTTCGCCGCTCTTCGTGATGTCCAGTTTCCTCTCCGGATCTTCCAGAAGCGACGGCGTGCTCTTTCGATTCTGGCCGCGCAAGGTCAACACCAGAGACATGAGTTCTGGATTCTGGCCAACTCGTTCGTTCTCCAGAATCTCCTGCGCCAGGAGCATCAACGCCTCTTCCTTCGTGATCAGGTCTTTGAAAATGCTCAAATATGAAATAAATAAAGTTAGTTGGTTGATTAATCAGCTACCCCTCGGCCATGTCGACGACGTCATCGCGAAGGGAAGCCCAGTCGGAAAGAGTCTCACAGTGTCCGCTGCGGGTCATTTTGATCAGAACTCTTCTAGCGCCGTCTCTATAATAGAAAGTCCAGAACTAAAAGCACGATTCCACCAACGCGTCGTTCATACTCTCGAAAATAGCCTTGAAAGTCATTTTGACGTCGCGCGACAAGAGACAGCCAAGAGCGCTGCGAACGTTGGCGTAGGCGTCGCTGGGAAGTCTTTGGAGCGACTGAAGGAGGTCTGCTCCGGTCGCCGACAAGTTCAACAGACATTCTGTGATCTGAAATCATCACCTTTTTTTTCTGAAAAAGCGGATATTCCACTGTTATCAATGTTTTATTTTTCCAGACGAAAAAAATAAAAAGAAAAAAATCGCGAACTGTTTGAGAAAATTAAAAATGAAGAAAGACTAGGTTTAAAAATCGGGATCGGATTTTTTGAGATGAGTCGAATTTTTTTTTCATACTTTCTAGAACTTTTCCTCTATGACTTATGATACGTGCTAGATTTATCTCTGAACATATTGAGAGTTTTAGAAAAACCAATTGAAACCATTTACTTTTTTTGAAAAACTTGTGAGACCCTGAGAAAGCTTTCTTGAAATTAACGTGAAAAAACAGGCTGCCATTTTTTGTTGATCTTTTATAATAAACAAAAACGAATGATCACAATTTGACGATCTTTTGCTCTCTTATTCAATCTGAAAAACTTTTTGCCTGAGTTGATAATCTTAGTTTTCTTCAAAAGAAATTATTTACAAACTTTTCGAGTTCAATATGAGTGAATGTTTACAGAAGGTTTTAAGCGTTGCTTTTTTGAGGAAAAATAACTAGAGTGATGTTCTTCACAATACTGACCATGTCCTGATCAACGACTTCCGGCCGAACTTCTCTGAAAGCCGTCAGAACCGACGAACTTCTCTCCGTTGATTGGACAAGCAACGATTGGATGTGAGATCGAAGAGCCTTCGGGTCATCGTCCAATTTCTCCACCTTCCATTCGATTATCGAAATGATCTTCTCCGCATTTCTGATCCTCTCCTCTTCAGTGAGCTGAACACCGAACAGATCAGTCACAGATCTTTTCTTTCTGATCAGACCCTCAGAAAACGGTCGATCATCGTTTTGACGTCGCGCGTTTCAAATGATTCGATGCTCTCATTGATAGCTGTGCACATATTCACATAATCTGCAAATCTTTCCCAAACGGCGACGTCTTCTTTCAGTTCCTGAATCACTGGTACTATAAAAAGCAACAGATTATATCATTTGAATACCTCAAAACCGCGAGAAATAGAAATAGACAGGAGAGTCAGAATATGTCGCGTCAATCCGCATTCAAAGTCAATCTTTCGAACTCGTTCTCGCACCCATTTTATGTAGTCAAGGCTTCTGCAAATGTTTCTTCCGTTCAATGAAAAATGAAACGGAGTTGACAAAAGATGTCATTTTCTCATTAAAATACTCATTTTTTATTTATTAAACATTTTTAAAATGATAACTTCAAGAATTTGGAGTTTTAGAATGAGAATCATATTTTTGATTTGAAAATAACTTTCTAAATATAAGTTCATGTGCTTCCATTGATTTGCATCCATTATATTTTTGAAGACTATAAAAATGGGAAGAAATATTGATTTCGTGTTTAAAGTAATTTCGGCAAAATTCGAAATTATCTCTGACCCTCTAAAAAGTTATCCTTTTCTTTCTCTGAATCACTCTGAACACGCCAAAAAGTCAACTGGATCTAATTCAAATCATACAATTACAGTTTTTGGTCTTCTCCTTCATTTCTTCAGATTTTCCTATTTCAACTCACCCGTCATCCGATTTGACGTCTCCTAGATCGGCCAAACGGACAAGGGAAGCTGTGTCGACGCCTTCTTCAGCCAGGCTTTGCAAGTTCGATGTGAACTCGCTGGAAGCCTGAAAACGATTATTTTCTGGCTTCACTTACTTTCAAAATGACCTCTTCGACTTCCCAGGCCGAAATCGCGCCATTTTGCACGATCGGCAGCAAATTTTCATATCTAGACGGCTGAATACAGGAAGGAATCGCGGAGATGATTCTTTCTTGGAACGGAGCCAAAACAGGGAGGTTGGTCGACAGAATGCGGTACAGCGATTCGAGTTGGGCTTTCTGTAAGATGACCAATTAATTATCGCAGGTGCGTACATTCAAATGTTTCGTACGCAACGTTTTTGATAGAGTGTTTGCAGAAAAAATCATTGTAAAAAAAAAGATTGAGTGATGTGTTTTTTCAATATCCAGCTTTTAGCTCTAAACACACCACATAAACGTAGAGTACGTACAATGATTCCAGCTTGTGCTTCCAGAAAGGAAAAAATACCTGGGCGAAAACGACGGCCGCATCGAGACAACTTTTCTGTCGCGTCGTCAAAAAACTCTCGACGTCTTCACAAACGGCCATTATTCTGGCGTTGTGCAATAACTGGATGCGCCAAATAACGCTCACTTCTTTCGTGTCCAGGGAAAGACCTTAATTTGCGAAAAAGTGACTTTTAAAATACTGATTCACAAATTATCGTTTCAACACTGACTTTTTCTTTTTCAACTACAATCGCTCTTCTTATTATTGAGCTTGCAAGCGTTTAAAAATAGTATTCTGAACACTGAAAAAAACTTGATAATGGACTTTGATATGCTTCAAACTTGAAATTCGTACGATTTAATTGCTCTTTGAACAATCTTTTTTTCTGGAAAAAGTTTCGACTGTGAAATCTTACCCAAATCAATCAACTCCTTCTGAACGTCCATCTTCTCGACTTCCGTAGAAGCGCATTGTTGTGCCACCCACTCGCTATCGTTGCAGTTCTTCTGAAAACTTGAATCTGAGAGGGAAAAAATATTTCAATGAAACTTGTTTCAAAAAACAATTGGCATTTCAGAAGCCGTTTTACAAACCTTCATCTCTTTCCATATTTTGGTCTTATGCGTCCCTTGGCGCATTTCAATTTATTTTTTCATCCTCTTTTTTTTATTATACACATGGCGAACCAAGATGCTGTCGATATGATCAAGTGTGACGGCTCCGATGCGGCAAAGCTCGCACCATTCCGACTTAAGAACGAGGTCGAGATCGATGGAATCGTAGGCGTTGGCAAGGTCTCTGGCCCTCGCGTAGTCGTGCTCACCCAACTGCAAAGAATTTCGTCCAAAAACATTATTTCCGGGTTTCTCTTCTAAAAAATAATTTCAATCGATGTTCCAAGAAAAGCTTTCAAAAAAAAAATTCCAACAAAAAGTTTTTTTTTTTGCATAAAATTTTAATCTTTTCCGCAAGCATGTCTGTACTACTCACAGTTCTCTCGAAAAGTTCCTGGAGAGATCTCGTCGGCGAATGAACCAAGGAGAAGTGGAAATGAGCGACGTGGGTGGCCATTTGTAGGGGTTGTGCAGCATCTCCGACGGCGATTCCGACCAGCTGAAAAAAAAAATCCGTTTACCATCGATAATACAAAAAGATTATCGAAAACAGTAACTTTCCCATTCAACTTCCTTTACAGGCCCTAAAAATAAGCTTTTTCAAGTTCTTGATTCGTTCTAGAGCGATAAAATAAGCAATAGTTTATCAGGAAAGAACCGCCTTTGCCTCGGGATCTTTATCAAAATTTGGGAGAATTATTTCATTTAGCACCTTCCAACTAAAATTTAAAACTTTCACTTAAAAAAAAAGTTAGATAGAAAAAAAGGTTTAAAAAAATGGAAACATTTTTAAATGAGGTCCAAAGTGTGAAAATCCACAAACGACCGGCCAAAGTGACTCTTTTGTGGGCCGCTTCCCGAAGAACCGAGTTGTCGCCCTGAAAAATTGTCGTTTTTGATGATTACCGATGGTTCGAACCTGCGAAGAAAGTAGGAAAACTTCTCGTTGCGCCGGAGCAATCATGATTGTGTGGCCAGAATAAAGTTCGCACTCAGTATCTTTTAAAAAAAATCTATTCCATTTCAAAATGTATTTGAACCTTCGGGGTCGAATTTTTTGGATTTCTTCACAGTGTGAAGTTTTTCCTCCAACTCATCCGGACTACATCGGATCAAAGTCCCCGTATCAAAGATGATAACCATTTCCTGCAAACTTTTTTTATTTCGATAAAAAAAGCTAAAAGTATGAAAAATTCCAAGAAAAATATATGAGTGGAAAAAAACTTCAAAAGTAGAAAAGAAACTTTGAAAAATTACAAAGCAAGAAATGGTAACTAAAAATAATATGTTCTGTTTTCACTAAAAAAATCAATTTTTTTGAACAATTTTTTTCTAAAAATTTTTTTAAAACCTATTGCGAACCTTTTTTTCAGGATTTTTTAAAAGCTCGAATAATCTTATTTTCAAAATTTTTTTTACAAAGGCACAATTGATTGAGCCGTTTGTTAGATCGAAAAAAATATTCTTAAGGAATTGCTCAAAATTTTTACATTCTGATAAATTAATCAATCCTGATCGTAGGCTTTGAAAAAAGCTTTAAAAAACGAATTCTATCATTTTTCTTCTTTTTTTAGGTTTGAAGAACTTCCCTGTTGAACATATTCTGAGAGCTAAACCCATCAATTTCGAAAAGAATAAAATTGCAAGAATTACATCAAAATCGGCATAAGAGATCTGAACAGGGCGAGGTCCGCTGATATAATTGTACACCATTTTCAAGCGAGTTGAGGGAACCTGAAACTATTTTACGAAATGACAGAAAAATGTCAGGTAACCTCAAAAACGTAGACAGAACCGGTGGTGGTGATTCCGACCAATTGAGTGGAATCCAAGGAAAGAGAAAGACCCGTGAAGAAAGTTTTTGTGATGGCGCTGAACGGCAATCTCGAAAGCCAACCGCCTCAAAAAGTAAACGATTTGTTTCAAAAAACTAAAAAGATTGAAAAAAAGATCAGTTTTTATGGAGCAAACAGAAGCATGATTTTCTAGATTTCAGGTGAGCCTAAAGCTATAAAAAATAAAAAATAATTTTTTTTTTCTCATGGACGCAAAATTTTTATGTCGGTAGCGCTGTGTTTAGAGAATAATAGGTTAATCAAAAATTAAATGTCTTCCTCTCGGGAATCTTTCAAGATTTTTTCACCGAGAAAATCAACTCGTAAAATAAAAACGGATGGAAAACATTTTCCAGTTACAGATTATTTCCCTTTTTCGGAGTTTAGTCTTAAAATTGAAAAAAACATTATTTAGTGCCGTGTATGAAGTAATTTCCGCGAAATGCAAAATGATCTCTGGCTTTCTAAAAATTCAGTTATCTTTTTTTCTATATCTGACGGCTATTTTGCGATTCGCGGAACCGCTTTGAACACGAAATAACTAATGAAAAAAATTTCATTTACCAAAAAAACTTTTTCTTTTTGAAATTCAGAAGTTTTTTTATCTTAAAAGTTTGGAATACATCATCAAAAAAAAATCTCTCCATTTTAAAAGTTCAACTCCAATTTTGGAGTCTTCGCTTTATCCTTAAAAATATTGCAAATTTATATTAAGGTTTGAGAAAATGAACAAGGGCTATTATTTTGTTTGAAGTTTGAAATGAAAAAAAAATGAAAAAAAAAAATGTTTTCTAGGAAATCCTACCTTCTGAAGCGATGACTCTGATCGGCTCTACGTGAGGTTCAGAATCAAGAAGCCTGAAAGAACAGAGTCCACCTGGTGGATTTACCTGAAAATTTAATTCTGTTAGCTTGAACGAAAAAAAAATTGACCTTGGAATAAACGCTGTGATGAGCAGCGACCAAAAGCAAATTATATTGAGGCAAAACTTTGAAAGTCGAAGTCAAACCGATTTCCAGCGGTACGGACCACAGTTTCTCGAATTTCGAAAGCCTCCTGAATCATATAACCATTATCGTATTTTTTCTTCTTTTTAAACCACGAACCCAATTTTATAGACGGTAAAGTCTCCAGTATACTGCAAAGTGTACAGAATTTCCGTAAACTTGTCGTTGGAAGAAATGGCGTGATGTGGAAGTGTTTGCATACAAGAAACCGCAGAGGTCGCATCGAAATAGCCTCGCGAAGATTCCTGAAAAAGAATTTAGGAAATTGAACACTAAATTTTCAGATTACCATCGGAATATCATAACAATAACCACCCATTTGGTCAAAAATGTCCAAATGAGGAGTACTCCTAGAAGAAATAAGCAAATTTCCTGTTGAGGAAAACTGAAGAAGACAATATTCCGGAGCAGACTCTTCCAAAACTGTAAATATTTTTGCTTTATTGTTTTTATTTATTTTTTATTTTATCACTTTGAACACTGGATTCATGTTTCAAACTTTCGCCAACCACTGTGTAAATGTCTAACAAACGTGCATGGCTCATTAGAGCAACGCGGTCACATTTTCTAAAGAAAAAAACTCAGCCAATTATTAGAAATAATTCTTACGGTGAAACTGCAACTTTACAAAACGGTAATGATTCCACGTAATTTGCAATTTGCAATGGAATCAACAAATTGGGTGATTTGATCTCAACATTCGTTGTCCATTTCATCAATTCATAGCTGTAAAATACAATACAAAAACGTTTAATGCAAGAATACCTACCGTTCTTTGATGAAAATTGCTGAATTTTCAGCTTCATTTTTCGACATATCGAGCGAGACTTTGCGTGGCTTCAGCATTCGACAACTGAAAACTCCGAATGAAGAAGTAGAGAAATCCTAAATAAGGGAGAGAAAGAAGATTTCCAAAATGTGGATGATGCTACATGTAGCTACAGTGGAAGTGCGTATATCTACACGAGGAAATCGGTACACGCGAGCACTAAACTGCGGGATTCGGAGCTACAGTAGATAGCCTTTAAGCGCGCGCTAGTAGTTTTGGAACAGTTCCAGTACCCGGCTTTGCTAATATTAGCTTTTCAATGTGATATGTGATTCTAACATCTCCATTTCAGCCATACACTTTCTAATACGCAATTGAGAAATTTTTACTATAACATGCAACATATACCCGAACAGCAAAAACAAAAACAAATAAGTTGAGTATAAAATGTGAAAATTCAACAAATAAACGAAAACGAAATTATTTGAATTTCGCGATCGACTGGGCGATGATATCAACTGCGAAGTCGACATCCTTCTTCGTTATACACATAGGCGGCTTGATCCGTAGCACATTGCCGTAGATTCCACCTTTTCCGATGAGCAGACCGCGATTCTAAAATAAGTTTGCTTTCAGTTTCAAAAGTGAAATTGTTAATGCTCACTTTGGTTTCCTCGAAGATTGCGGCAGACTTGGCGGGCGCGAGAGGCTTTCCGTCGGCCTCGTTGAGTTCAACTCCGATCATCAGTCCCTGAATAATTGGTCATCTCACACTATTCAACACTTGGATTTCGTTGAATCTTTACCTTTCCTCGGACATCTCCAATCGCAGGTTCGTCTAACGCCGCAAGCTGTTTCAAGAAATAATCACCGACTTCAGCACAATTATCTTGGAGCTTCTCCTCCTCAATGACCTGCAAAAATTTGATTAGAAGAAAAAAATGCTTAAGATCATAATTCATATGAATGGAAAAAAGACCTCAAGAACAGCTTTTCCAACAGCACTGGCCAATGGATTTCCTCCGTAAGTGTTGAAGTACAGAGACTTGGAGAAAGGATCGGCAATCTGAAAGGTTATCTGTGAAATTGGAGCTTTCTGGATTGATCATCAAACTTCTTTAGTGGTGACGACAGCTCCGATCGGGAATCCATTGCCGATTCCCTTGGCCATTGTCACAATGTCCGGCTTAGCATTTTGGGCTGCAATACTGATCTATTTCCAAGAAAAGAGAGAGTTTTAACAGTTTATGAAGAGCTCAAAGATTGCGACGCAGTTATCATGTTCAAAAAAAGCTTGTCATCGGTATTTTCAGTATTTCTACAACGCTGGCGTTTAGAGTTCGCAAATGATAAAACTCATTTAATTATCAATTTATACTCCATTCGTCGGAATTTTAAAACTTATGGGTCTCCCTGAAAGAGTTGCCGTCGCAACGCAGTTAGTTAAGTTTCAAATATTTTTTAGAACTTTCAATAGGTACTATCTTTAAAAAAACTCAAAAAACCAAACATACACTGGAATCCCCAGAAATGAGATCCAAGTCGTCCGAATCCGGTCTGAACTTCATCGGCGATGGCGACGCCGCCACGCTTCTGCACCGCTTTGTAAGCTCTTTCCAGGAATCTGAGACGTCCCGAACATTCAACCTATCGTCCAGGGCAGACTTCAAACCCCTTGGGATACTGTACAGTGCCGCCGACGCCTTGTATCGACTCGGCGAGGTAGGCGGCAGGTCCGGAAGAGTGGGAGAAGTCGTGGAGGAGCATGTCTTCGAACTGCTCGACGTACTTGTCCGACGCCTTGCATTGTCCTGGGCTGCAGTCGCAGGGTCGGTTTTTCACCTTCAAATGTACAAACTCATTCTCAAGAACTTTTCCGGAGACCTAACCTGAACTGGACCATCACGACAGTTTGCTCCACCCCAAATACCTCGGTAAGGATCGGCGTTGAGAGTCTTGAAAATGTTGAATCCGTGTGGAATCGTCGGTTTCCAGTTACCTGAGAGGATCACCTTGACTTTGTAGAGAAGGGATGACTCACCCAAGTTAGTGGCTCCCAAGACGGTCTGAGTCATCCCGTGGTAGCCATTTCTCATGGAGATGACGTCAAAACGTCCTGTGTAGTTACGCGCCAAGGCCAAAGCCAAGTCGTTGGCCTCCGAACCCGAGTTGACGAAAAAGACAACCTGCAGAGTTTTTGCTTTGGAGCTATCTGAATTGGGAACTAGATTGACCGATCAAAGACTCACAAAACCTCCTCTAGAGAACATTTGGACCTAAAAATTAGGTTGATTTCCAAAACTAGTCCAAAACTTAGGTGGTTTTTTTTCGAACTTCCTGTCACTCATAAAATAGACCTGACTGAAATTCCGCTTTTTAGTCGAAGAAAGTTGTTTTCTTTGCTTTCTTTTTTGTGTTCATCGCCATTTATTACATTTGAACCTCCAGATATTGAAAAAAAAGGGAGAAATAGAGAGGTAAAGTTACTCCCCTTGTGCTTTTGAGTACTAAAAAAATAACAAAATGAATCTCTTCATTTCAGTTTAATAGTTTTTCAGTTTAATAAAAGTTTAATAATTTTCAGTTTAATAACAGTTTAATGATTCTTTTACTACAAAAATAAATTCAACAAAACTCTTCCAATCCAAAAATAACCGAGAAACTTTTTAACCAGTTCGAGCGGTGGCTATGAAAAAAAGGTTCAAAAAGAAGAAGTTTGATTATATAGATGCTTTTTCCGGCTGCTCTTTTCTCCAGAATCTACCTTCATTTACCAGGATAAAACCTTGAGAGGGTCATCAAACTTGGAGGTGAGCTTCTGGGCGTACTCGTAGATCGGCTCTGTGTGGTAGATCGAGGTCGTGTGCCACAGTTTGTCGACTTGAGCCTTCAGTGCGTCGTTGACTTTCCTGTGATTGCAAAAAATCTTTGTTTTTCACCGTGGTTTGAAACAATTTGGAATGGTCACAGTCGAAATAAAATGTTCTACAGTTATGTTTTGGGGAAATACACAATATAAAGCAAAAGCTTCGCCGTCACTAAGCCTTGATCCATTCAAATCAAAGATGACTCGAGCATGTTTTACGAGTCGAATTTTTCTTTTAAAATAGCTCTCATGGAAGGTTGGAAAAACTTAGATTGATGCTCTTTTTTCTTTACACTGAAATGAGAAAATCGACAGTTGTCTAGTGCGATTTCTCACTTTTCCACGTGGCGATCTGATAAAATGCAACTTCTTCGGGTTTTAGATTTCCAAAACTAAAAAGAAGAACCATCAAATGTGATTGATCATTGACACGAACCCAACAAAGCTTGAAACTTTCTTCAAAGTGCGGCAAGTCTATTCTACCTTTGGTTTGAAAAAAATAGAAAAATATTAAAAACAAACGGATGACAGTGTCCGACGGAGACTGTGACGATCCCGCCGAAGAAATCGAGATATTTCTTTCCGTTGCTGTCAAATAAGAACTGCCGATCTCCTCTAACGATCAGAAGCTGAAAAAATATTACAAGTGATCCTGAAAAGGCCGCATTTGGAATGGCTCGACGTGAAATGACTGTCTTAGCGGATGAAATAGGGCTTTGATTAAGAGAACCTTTTTGTAAATTTTCTGACGCCAAGTAGTATTCATTTTATTATCGAAACTACCTGATCTTTGTAGTAGGAAACTTGTCCTTTGGGCAGAAGACTTCGAAGCGCGGTTATTCTGTTCATGGCCACCTTTAAAATGTATTGGAAATGAAATTATATCATACTGACAATTTTGAAATAAGGAAAAACACGTGGCGTTTCAAACTAAAAAAGTTCAACTTTCAAAGAAGACAACTTCTAGATTCCGAGAACCCTGTGGTTCTAATTTATTTATTCAAATCTGTCAAATATTGGTTTTTCTGTGAAATAGTTAAGTATTTCGGAAGCTTGAAAATGTTTATTCTTCATGACAAATACTGAAAGAACGCATAGTACTCGATCTAAAATCAAAAAATCATCCAATTTCAAAGCCAACCACTGAAATTGTTGTTCTATCTTTTGTTTTATCTATTTTAGAAAGTTTCCTGAGTATTTGTAGCAGTTCAAAAATTGTTTTGGCCTACTTGCGGTGTGGAAATAGTAGCTTGCAAACTTTATAAAGTTAGGTCATACTCCTTCGAAACTCTAGAAAGGATTTCTTGAACACTATGCAAGTAAAAGAGTTAAAAAGGGAAAAACTCGGAAAAGAGAAGGAAAAGAAAGATGAAGCCGAATGGAAGGAGCAGATGTCGAATGACCGATCTCAATCGGTTCTCCTCTGCTAAAACAGTTGCTCTGGTGATAAAAAGAGTGAGAGAGATCGTAGATAGTGCGGAGGTCAAAGAGGGACTCGTCTCTGAAAAAAACGTTGCCAATCGCGTGTCTTTTGATTCGTCCGCGTGGGTTCAGGTTTTATACTCGAAACGAGACTGATAACGCTCTTTTTTCCTTGGAAAAAACCGCCAGACGCCTCTGTTTCTGCAAGACCCATCAGATTGGATTTTTTGACTCTCCAATAGGTCGAAAAACCCCTTTTTTCAGAAAAAATCCGTTTTCCTAACTCCAAAAAACCAACATTATTCGAAGGAACTTTCCCGTAGTCAAGATCTCTGTTTGATAGCAAGTTTTTAATTCTTTCGGTTGATTGAAGCGCTGTATTTTCTCAAGATATCTCTTTCCATGCCATAAAACTAGAAATCGGTTTTTTTTTCTCAAACTCAAAATAAGTTTTTTTTTTCCAACTCAGCCTAAACCCTTTAACATTCTGAAATATTCAAAAAACTTCGAAAACTTTCGCATAGGGGTGTTTTGGTGAGTCAAACCCCAGTTTTAGTGAACTTCCTGAAGCTTCGGGCTTTCAGAAGTCCTAGCCTCCTGAAAATGTATTTGACCACTGAAAGATTTTTGAAAAGCCTATAAACATTTTGCATAGTGTACGCCTAACAGAGGTGGTACACAAATTATCTGAAAATTGACCAATAAAATAAAAAAAAGGGGGAAAGAATGACGGAACGGTCAGGCCGGGGCGAGTGCAATATTAGCAAAGCAAAGCAACATAGCAATCGGCCAGGCCTAACTGTATTTGGTCGTTTTCAAAAGAAAGGGGTATGCGGGGAAAACGAAGAAAAATGGACGTACCTCTTGCAATCTGAAGGGATAAATCTAGAAGTTCGCGACAGCCTGGGTTGAAACAGCTCCTGTTTTGGTAGAACTAAGTCCAAATTAAAATTAAAAGTTTGTGATTTCGGAACTCTTTTCTGGATTGTAAACTTTAACGGCCTGAGAGTTCTCAGAGAATTGCACCATTCGAGTAGACGAAAAGTGAAATTCGGATGTCGGGTGAAATGGGTCGGTAGGAATGGAATGGTAACAGGTGCGGCAGACGGCCAGACACGCCGGAGGCCCAGAAGAAGACGTTGGCATTCGGAACGAGTTTTTTGCCTGTTTCAAGGGCCGCCCATCTCTACTTGAGCTGTGTAATGTTCCGATCCTCTCAACAGTACTGACCGCCCACATTTCGGAGGAAAAATGATTCGAAAGAAAGTTTTTCTTCAAAAATCGAAGTGCAAAAAAGCAGAGGTGATTTCTAGTAGCTACGGAACGCTAAAAGGTTTCCTCTTCTTTGAAAAATAATTTTTTTCTTTTGCTCAGATATAGGAAACCAAAAATAAAATCAAGTAATATTTCAATCCGTTACTGAATGAAGTAAGACTGATTGAATTCCGCAGATTATAAAGACTTCCTGAGAAGTTTCAGCTTTCTTGAAATTACACTAAAGGAATGAAAATTAAAAATTAAAAAAGTCCACAGGAACCAATCACTGAAGAGGTTTTCTCCAACTCAACTCAAGCGTAAAAAATCTGCAAAAAAATACGTCAGCAGTTCGAAAAATATCCCTGGAAGGCTCAAAAAAATTATGTTATTTATTTTTTTGGCAGCAAAAATCTCTCAAAAAAATTGAAAAACAGTCTATTTTATAACTCATCAGCTCTAAAAAAATACATTTATATTTTCTTTCCCTAGAAGCTCAAAAAAACATAGTCTCTTGAAATCAAGTTAAGGATGAGAAAAAAAAAAGGAAATCTTCTGTTCAGAAAGGGAATTTTGAGTTGATTATCAACATACTTCAAGTAAAGATCCATTTTCCGTTATTTTGAGGATAAATTGTTTTTTGGAATGCATGCAGCTTCCAGGTCTTCAGAGCCGCTAGGTACTTTCTCAAGTAATATTGAATATCAAACTTCTCATTCATTTTTTTTGAGTGTAGAAAAACGCTTAAAAGAACCGTGTTTGGAACGATGAGGAAGAAGGTGTTTGGAGTGGTATGAATAAATTCTGAAGATATGTGGCCTTCACGGCGACGGCTTCAACCGGCTTCCGACGAAGCCACGCCCCCGTGTTGCGTCGTCTTTTTTGCTTTTCTTTTGCCAAACACACACACCGATCTTTTTTGAATCCAAACCTGCTCCACCGTAATCGAACACGATTCGCAGGATCAGAAATACAGCCAAAACGTGTGAAACTGAGACTAATTTCGATTTGGAAAAAAAAGACGAGGATCTTCTGGTCGCATTTAGAATGGCTAAACATGCTGCGGCTCAATTTTAGGATTATTCTTTTTGTTCAACTTCCTTAAAGTTTCTTCCGAGCATATAGATTCCCATCATCGAACCAAGAAAAAAAAAAATGAATTCCTCGGCCACCGTAATAAAAATCGTACGATTTTCGGTCGTTAAATGTCTCTTTTTTTTATTTGAAATACAACCGTCATGTGAAACAATTTTTATGTTGCCGATTGGCCGGCCGGACTGAAAAGTTTTTTGAAAACTGGATCAGAAACAACATTTTTACTACTCGATTTGATTGATGAGAGTTCGAAAATAGATGATTGCTCAGTTATTGATGCAGACATTATTGGAGACGGAATGTATGAAATTCATCAGTTCACATATTGATTCAGAAGCAAACATTTTGACGAAAAAATCTAAAAAAAAAAACATTTAAAACGAGGTCCGAGTGAGACGAAAGCTGCTAGAAAAAACATTTTTTTCAATAATTTTTTTCGCCCATAGAAAAATGAAAAAAAGGCTTTTTAATGATGACCAAGGTGAAAACTGTGAAGAAGAACTCATAACTAAAATATTTTTTATGTACTGCCTCATTGTTAGGATAAGATTCTAGCTTTAAAAAAAAACAATAAAAATGAGCTTAAAACTCTGAAAAACACAGTAAAGTCATAACTTCCAAAGCATCCGAAACTTGAGAATAATTTAAGTAGATCTGAAAGTTATGAATATCTCCGGAAACATCGGGTACTCTCGAAATACAAATCCAAGTCACGAGGCGCGAATTTTGAAAGAAAAAAAAAATACAAACTCTTCTCAAAACTATGAAGTTTTGAGCATACAACTAAATTATTTTTTTTTCGCGAGAAAAAATTTGAAAAGCTTTTCTACTTTCAGAAGGTGGGAAATTTGAGAAAAGTTAAAAAATCAGTCTGACGAGGGAAATCCATTTTGAAAGCTCAAATATTTACGAAACTGAGAAATGATCAGGACCCAAATGAAAATGTCTGCCAACCTTTTTTTGGAGTTAGAAGAGAGGAGAAGCTGATTGGAGGAAGTGTGGGCAGAGGGGACGACGCCCGCATAAGTACCGACACGGGCGAAGGGGCCGTCCAGCCCACTGGTCAGAACTTGAATCTTCCTCCCATTGCCATTCAAACACTTGCCACGCCTCCGGTGCTTCTGATGCGGATGCAGCCGCTAACATGAGCAAACCTCGAGCTGGGGTTCTAAATGAACATTAATCGTGAATTAGCATTTTATAACTAGTTTCGATTGCTCACGCTCAAAAAATTGAAAACGTATACGAAAATTTTGAAAAAAGACAAGAAAAAAAAAAGTTACTATTGAACAAGTAATCGTCCGAATATCCGTCTCAAAGTTCAGAGAAATCTAACTTTTAAATATTATTACAACTTGGCATATCTCTTCAACTTTTTACCGACTACTGGTGATAAAAATAGGTTTAAGGATAAAATGCGGTCGAAAAAGGTCTTCAGATTTTTTTTTCATCAAGTTCATGAAATTAATAATCTCGGTCAAAATAAAGTTGAAAAATGTAAAGATACAGGACGATTTGAACACCAAAAAGTGAATGAAAAATACCAAAATTCACTGTTTTATACTCGACTTCAGCCATTCTATACGCGACTCAAACTTTATTTTTAATTTTTTTCAAAAAGAAAGAATAAAATTTCGCAGAAAAATCTTCGAAAGCAAATTTTTGGAAAGAAATAATTTATTCTATCCATGATCAGTACGACGTATTTGATTATTTCGGTGACCTACAAACATTTTTTTAAAAAAATTCTATTAATACATTGAAAAATCAAACTATTGTTGATTTGGCTCATTTCTCCAGACCGGTAATAAAAAAACTTTAATTTGAAGGTTTGAAGAATTTTTTTAAAGCTTTCACCATGAGAAAAAGAAAAAAACATTATATCAGAAACTTTTAAGTAATTCGGTGGAATTGAATTATTCGAACTTGTGAGTTCAATATTTCCCTTTGCAATGTTTCTCTGCTGCTTTGAACAATAAGTTTTTTTATATATTTTTTATCTAAAAAGCCTCACTTCAGGTTTTTAGTTTTCCACCTGGTAAAATATAATATCTCAAAAAAAGAAGCGTTCTCAAACAACGACTTCAATATTTTCGAGGTTTAAAAAAATTTGTCATTAGAGCGCGTTTGTATCTTCCTTTTTAGAAGCTTTTTCCTCATCATCTGCTTATTCGTTATTTTTTTATAACCGGGAAGTTTTTTTCTTTTTCTTTTTTTCTTTCTTTGTGATTTATTGTTGGCCTAGAAAAGGTCTTTGAGCTAGGGACTTCAGAAAAAATCTGAAAATAAGTCAAATGAACTTCTCCTTGAAGGCATTGTCAACCCGATCAATCTGTCATCTTTCTTTGTTACAAAACCCAACTTCCTTTTCCGTTCCGCTACTGTCGGCAAAGCCGAAACCTAAGAACTAAAAAATGTCCTTGGGACACGGCGAAGACTGGTTAAAACAAATCCGCAGCAAATCGTTTTTGATCGTATCGTATCACTCGGATGCGACGCAACAGATTGCCATCGGCGCGTATGACGCAATCTTCGCGATTTCCCATTCCGTTTCAGGGCTTTCGAAGCATAAAAAGGATTAAAGAATCAATTTATTGTAGCAAAATGGAGAAAAAATCAATTTTCAAAGAATTGTCTATTAAAAATTGGATCTTCAGTGTAGTAATGCATGTGGAATCGGCAGCTTTAGTTAGCTAGGTTTTCAATAATTAAAAAAACTTCGGCTCAGAAATTAAATTTCTCGAAACATCAGAATTAGGGGTTGTCTTAGGAATTTGTACATAACCAGTTCACTACTTCTCTTTTTCATCTGGAGGTAAATTGCATGCTTAATTTCAGCGGGCTTCTGAAAGCGCGAAATCTTTCACGAAGGATTTTGAAAATGTTGAGATTTCTCGAAAACCAAAAATTTGCTTAGGTGATTTATTTAGGTAGTTTTTATTATAACTTGGAGCTAATGGTGTTTTTCTTTGAAAAAAAAAAAGAAGTGCAACTCTGATTTCAACCAGATTGATTGAAAATTTGAGTCCCCCAAGAAGATCAGAATGCAAGAGCCTATGAATTTGAAGCACTGTACAAATTCTCCCCATAGCTCTTGCTTCTAAACTTATACAGGAGAAGTTTGCAAATTTCAAGCCACAGTTCCGTCCAATCGAAGTATCTACCTCGTTATTGCAAGGAAAAAAATGATCACACTGATAATCCTTTCAGAGTAACATCTACTGTCACACCATCTCTGTCCAATTTGTAAAGAGACCTCGTCTGAGAAGCATGTCTGTGTTTGTAGGAAACGGCGCCGCGATTGCATCACAGCAAAAAGCGAACAAGCAGCAATCTTTGCAGCAGAAAAAAAAAGAAGCCGCGGCGGATAGATAAACGAGCCACGTCTCCTGCCGAGGAAACCGCCGACCGGTTCCGTCCTCCTCCTCGTCGTCGTCGTCGTCTTCTTTTTTTGCTTCGATTCGCGCGCGCCGCGGCAGATCCGACGCCTTTCGGAAGTCGTTGCGCCTTTTCCTACTGTTTCTTTTCAATCGGATAAGTGTTCGGAAATCGGAAAGCGTTCAAGCTTCTCGTTTGAAGTAGACGGAAACAAAATTTTGGAAAACCACGAGAGATATATTGAGAATTCAGAAAGAGCTACACTTGATAGGTAGGCCATTTTTCTACTATTTCTCTTTCCTGTACCAGATATAATTCCAAGAGCCTAAGCTCACACGCTCTCTAGTTTTCGAAAAAGATGAGATCGAAGTCTCAAAATAGCCCATCTCACCAGCTTTCGATGGTTTTTAGTGGCGACTTTTATCGAAAACTACGAAGCTGTACAAGTTGTGACTTCGCGAGACTAAAGAGGAGACTAACCAGGGACTGAACTTTCCTACCAGGCTCAAAATAGTTGGAAAAACATCCGTCTTATTGACAGAGCCCTAAACTATCAAAGTTATCGAAGAACGTTCTTGCAAAAAATGTGTGTTCAGACCAAAAGAAGAGAAGACAAAAGCACTCAGGACAGAGCCTTTTGGCTTCGGGGACAGCCAACGAAGAAGTGTTTATCGAGAAATGCGGTTAGTGGAAAGACAGAAACAACGGGAAAAGCGCCGTTATGTTCCAAATCTACACAATCAAACAGAGTGATGACGAGCGACACAAAAATCAAAAAAAAAACGTGCCCAATAGCAAAAGAAAACTGAAGTGATATCGTTGGAGGGCCGACCAAAATGCGAAAAGAGCTACTTACTCCTGGAAAAAGAGAAAAAAAGTTTGAGACTTGAGGTGAGGCTAACTTTTCGGCCTTGGCGCGGAGCTCCTTGTCAGAGTAGGAGGTGACGGTGGTGACAGTCGTCGAGACAGTTTCTTCCTCCCAGTCCCAACACTCCTTCTCTCGCAGCTGCTTCTCCTCTCGAACCTTCAAGGAAATACTTTCATTAAAATTTTTTGCCCATTTCTTTTTTCAATCCTTACTTTCATACAATATACTCAGATAAATGTAGAAAACGTTTTTCTTTTTACTCTACGCGATAGATCGTTGCTCATGTCCTCAAAAGAAAAATTGATTTAAAAAATTTGCGTTTAATTCAGGTAGATCTTTGAATTTTAGAAAGATTATTTTCCATAACCTTTTCCCGTTTCGTTAAGGACCCACAACAAAGCCTAAAACTTCTGCAATAAGTTAAAAACAAAGCCTTTCAAATTTCCATTTTGTGTTCAAAGTGATTAGTTGTCAGCAAGTGAAAAAAGATAACTAGATTTTGGAGAGTCAGAGACTGCTTTGCAGTTCGCCAAAATTACTTTGAACACGGCACCACTAAAATCAACCAAACTCTGACTTCCGAAAAGAAAAAAGTTGATCGCAAGTTTTTTCATGACAACTTGGCGAAGAAGTTGAGTACCAGTGTTATTTTTTGATTTCTTCTGCAAGGTTCCTGAAGCAATAAAAGCCGAAATTGGCCCAGTCCTTCATTCCTTCGAGGTCTAATGCCCATTTGTAAGATTCTACATGAAATTGAAAGTATTGGTTAAACAAGATAAAAATTAAAAGGACTAATCGATCAAATAAATATGAGTTTCTGTTGAAAGTTGAAACTTCAGTCAATATTTGACCAATTGCTATTAGAAGTTTTGCCGGTCTCATTCCTGCCAAACCTCCTCAATCAGCTTGCAAAGGGCATTGTAGTCGGGAGTGGCTTCGAAGCTGAGGGCGTCGATGAGGCTCAGGATCTTGTCGTACTGACTCGGAACTTCGAACAGAAATTGCTGGCGGCCACTTCCTCGGGCCGCTTCCTTTGCCTTCTGCACTGCCGTGCGGTCTGGAAACATCTCTTTTACCGCGTAAATGCTTCCGAAGTTTGCCTGTGACCAATCTCCACGGGATCGTCCCGCGAGTCATTTCCACCAACATGTAGAACCAGCTCTCAAGATCGTCTCGTCGGCCGAGGTCCTGAGCCATAAATTCAATATCGAAATAATTCGTTCATGTCTTTCAGGTCAATTAAAGTTACTTATATTCCACAAAATGTTTCAAAAACGTTTCAAAAAATACCAAACGAAGATGGGCGTTGAGGCTGCCGTACCGCGTGGTTCCTCTCCAGCCAATCTCTTTCCTCGACGGGAGAACATTATTATTCTAAATTCCGTTCGTTTCAGTACTTCCCAGTCGATTTGTTTCCTTGTTTTTTTCTTTTTCGATTGAGTGTTTATAAATAGAAAAAGCACGAACCCTGTCGATATATTTGCGAGCCAAACCGAAGTCATACATAAAGATTATCTTGGCTTGCTTATTCTCCTTGAGCCCCGGAGCGAAATTTCCAGGTTTGATGTCACGGCTGATGTACCCAACCTTGTGAAGCTCTTCGCAAGCCTGAAAATGGCTAATTTGAGTTTTTTTTTCCAATGAAAAAGAAATTTTGTGAAGGGGGAAATCAATTTAAAAAATTGGTGGTCAAACTCAAAAACTGGAATCAAAAAGGTGTTATCCGATAAAGACGAAGTACTTCGTCTGAAAGAAACCAGAAAAACTATTTTTCCACTCAGACTTGTTTCATACAGAGAAATTGAATATTTCTGATCATATCCAGATCTTACTCTCAGGGACTGTATGCCGAGTTTGGTGGCCGTGTTGAGGGAGAACTTCCTGTCGGGAAGTTCGCTCCGCAACTTATGCAGGTCCTTCCCGAGCAGCGTCATCACTACGTAAACGTAGTCAGGCTTTTTCGAGCCCTGAACTTAGGAAACTTCAATTATTCTCTCTTCTCGAAGCCCCACGTAGTCCATGAGATCGCAGAAATGCTTGCAACTCGCCAGATTGGCCGCTTTCAAGACGTTCACTTCGATGTGCAACATCGACCTGCTGTACTTTTCCGTTTTCACGGCCACTCGTCTAAAAGAGAAAAAAAAACATTCAACATGAAAAGGTAAGTTCAACGTTTCTTTGTCGTGGCTCAGAAAAACGGTGCCATAGCCGCCATCGCCCAGAATCGACTGAAGTTTGTATTTTTTCTGGTTTTCTGTCTGAAATTTCGATTTTTTTTTCTCGTTGTGGTCTCTGGGATTATTTTTTCTCTTCCAAGACTCTCCGCAAGATTTTTTCCAAGAAAAAACCCGTAATAGGAAATGAGTCATAACATCTGCGTCTTAGTGATTTTTCTTCGGTACTCTCCGGACTTGAAAAATGTTTCCGATTACTTCGGGATAGTCAAAGCTAAGAGCTTTTGCTAGCTAAAAACAGCCAAAATGAACAAATTTAATAAATCAGGCTCTAAAAACAAAAAGGGTTTGATAATGATGCTCTCACTTAAAAAAATAATTCAAGTTCGATATTGAATTCCGACTCGCGAGATTTGAGACCATCTATACCTTCACAGGTCATGAATTTGTTCGAAAGATTCGAAATTAGTTACTTGGCGTATGTATTGACTTTTCCCCAAGAAATTAGAGATCGAAAAATCTAGAAAAATGAGAGTTTTCGATAAAAAAAATCTATTCAAAAAACTACACGAAAATTTCTTAATTTCGATCAAAACTCGAATTAACTCGCTCTGAGATACAGCATTGAAATTATTTTGAGTGAGTAGAAAAAACCACTTCTTCAAAATCGAATTTCGGAAGAAAAACCTTCTTCAAGAATTTTTTCAATTTTTCGCTGCTCTCAACATAATAGACGGTTTTAAATAATAAATAAAGCGTTTTTGCTCAATTCGTGGAACTTCGGATTTTCTCCTTTTACCAAAAAGTTTTTTTTTTTTTCAAATTTTGACCGTTTTTTATCGGTTTTTAGCTTTTCGGGACACTTTTTCGGAAAAACCCACGACAATTTCGTCTTTTTCGACGGGCAGCCGATCCTTTTCGGCGCCGGAAACAGCACCGCCCGTCGCATTCTCAGCTGCCATCGACACGACTCCAACCGGTGCGACGGCCGCGAAATGTCCATCCCAACTTCCCATTGGCTTTTCACGTCGTCGCACGTCACGCAACGTCTTCTTTTTTCATATGTTTTAGTCATTTGCTTCTCAATTTAACTTTTTATGAAGCTCACTAGTCAGAACTGTAACTGACGAACCGATTTTGGCATCTAGAAGTTCGAAAAAGCTGTTGATAAAATCGAAGCATTTTCTCGCGATTCATCAATGCGTTCATTTTCACGGTTCCGTTTATAATGTCTTGACGAGATTGAGGATGTTGAAGCGCATCTTAGAAAAAAGTCTTGGTTTTCGATTTTATTCGGATTTCTTTTTCAATTTCCGATTTTTCAAATGATTTTAAACTTGAACCTTTAAAACCAATTTTAACTATTCATACAACCTCTACTAAAACCCTAAGCTTTGGAAAGAGACCATATCTGATATATTTTCTCCTTAAAACTTTTCTGGTTCTCTTCTTCCTCCAAGCCACAAAATTGTCTGTGAGCGAACAAAAACATTTAAATGTTTTAACATTTCCTCTCAACGAAAGTAAAAACATCATCTTGAACTTCTAAAAGTTTTCATTCTCACTCCTTTTTAATTTTTTTGAAAAAAATCTTGGAGGTTTATTCGGCGCCGAAGTCTCAAGTCAAGATTATACTTTGAACAGCAAAAACTACTTTCAAACGTCCTCGACAACATTTGTGCACAGACTAAACATAAATGTATGCATGTGATCATGAAGAAATCACTATTCGATGAATGTTTGATGTGAGAAAAAATTGTACGATAGCGAACAATTTTGCATTTGATTCGCTGCGTAACTTTCCACAAAAAAACCCATATTTTCAACTCTGGATTTATTACGAGTTTTTCAGAATCAACACATAAATATAGTTCGACATAATGTTTGACATCAGCACATGATAGACATTAGAGAGCAAGCACAAATCAGATGAGTACAGAGTAATGGGCTCTCGGCATAAACTGGGCTCATTTCGACGAACCGAGACCAAAGAAAGATCGTTGTTTTGTTGTGGATGGTTAAATGCTGTTTGACATAGGAAAATAATAGATCAAAGAATATTTCATAACTGGGAAACTGACGCAAAGAGTGTGGGTTGAAGCCGTCCGTTTGTTTGAAAACTTGAAAAGTTTTCCAAGAATGGAAAAATGCCAACTAAACTTGTAGTTTAGATTGACAAAAAGAAGTGGAACAGTTTGGAGAAAAACTGCTCCTAACAATGAAAAAAGTAGTTTAAGAAAAATGAAAGCTTCACGGGGTTCAAGCGGAACTGCCATTCAAGAGAAAGGCGGCCTTAATACGTCATTTAAACTTCTAAATATTTTTGAATAGAGGAAAAAAATGAAATAAAGCCGCCCGTCTCTTGTGACAAAACACCTTCAACACGGCACACTCAGCTCGGTCAGTTCCGCTCTAAGACAAATAGGGTTCATCACGAGCAAATTCCCAAAAAGCTGTGATGTTTCCTAAAGAACGGCTTTTTATGAAGAACATTCTGAACTGTGCCCATACAATGAATTGGACATGACTCTAGTGAATTTTCAGTTTCTATATGAGCCCATCCAAGCTAGCCTGAGTGTAATTCAAAAAACAATCATGATATTTACAAGAAAAATCCAGAAAACTAAGAGAAAAAGTGGCAGTGATGATGCTGGTTAATGTATGAAAATAGACGGCAATGAATATAAATGAATAAGTAATTTTCGAACTTTGAGTTGACGAACATTTAAATAGTTTTAATAAAGTCAGTGATGTTGACTGAACATCTTTTTCATAGCTACCTTTATGTTGTATGGAAGATTCAAGATGAAATTTCTGAGTTTAGCTGGGTTAACACGGATGATGAGATGCGAGATCAAGGCTATGAGTAGAATGAAACCCAAAGTCACAAAAATCTCCTTGTAGTTACGTTTGGCCTGGTTGTAGACGTTCTTGGCACGACGGTAGTAAGGATAAGACTTCAGGTCGTCCACGACTCTGCTCACCGACTTGACCGCCTCCTTCGTAGGTTTCTAAATTGTTTTATGAGTCGAAAAAATAGAAATTCTTGAAAGCGCGCGAAATTCTACAATTAAAAAAGAATAAATTTTGAACGTGAACGAAGTTTCTGGCTCTTTGCAGCGAAGCTGCTCCATAGAAGAAAAAAAAGAATACAGCCAAAAATTCCACGGAAATCGTTAACGCGGAACGGACGTGTTCCGCACGTTTCTGAGAACTTCTGGGGTCACTTCAGTAGAGTAAGAACTTTTAAGTGGTCCTTAGAAATGCTCAGAAACGTTCGGAGCACGTCCGTTTAGCGTTACCAATGTCCTATTTTATTTTTATCTTTCAATTCATTCTGCTCGTGAAACTTCCCGTCTTTGGGTAACTGCTGACATCAAGTAAAGCTAGAAATATTGACAAAATTTTAAAGTGAATCTTCTGAATCCGTTAAGTACTTCAGTTTTTTTCATTCGGATTATTTTTCTATTTAAAAAAGTTTACACCATCATTAGTGAAACAGGATTTTTTTCGTAACTGTACTTTTTATATATCATTTAATTTGTCTCTTTTGAGGTCGGGACGTACCGGTAAGTGAGGAGTCTTCAAATCCGGCAACGTTTTCAGGAGTCGTGGTTCATACTTTGTGAAAGCTCGTTCGGCAGATCGGGACGCGGCTCTCATGATGCTGGACGGCGATGGAACCGACGGCGACGCCCTGGAGATCCGCGACGACGAAGAAGAGAAAGAAGAAGTCTCGCTCTTGGAAGCTGACGGCCGTTCGACCTTTTTGGGAGGACTTTTCTGTCTTTCTGGGCTAGCTTTGGAGGCTGACGGCTGATCTACTTTCTTGGAAGGACTCTTCGTCTTTTCTGGCGTTGCTTTCAAGGCTTTGGCCGCTGGGTTCTTCGGAGGACGACCACGGCTTGTGGAGCGACTTGGTGAGCGCTGCAAGCTTGGATTTTTATTACAGTTCGCTTTTCAGAAGATATCGAATGAAAAGTTACTGACTCTAGTCAGAGAACGCTGTCTTTCCTTCTCTTCTTTGGCTTTTTTCGTCGAGCCTTTCGGTCTTCCTCGAGTCCGACTTTGAGAGCGACGTCGATTCTCCGGAGTTTCCGCCTTGGTCGACGGCTCAGATTTTGGTGTGGTCGCCTGTTGCGTACGTCTGGGACGTCCTGGCGATTTAGACTGTGCCGGCGAGCCTTGGCTCCTCGATCGGTCCTGAAAAGATAAGTTGAAATTTTTCGCTTCCTCGTTTAATTATAGAGATCTGACCTTCGGATTAGCTCCGAAAGCAACACCGACCAACAACAGTGCTCTGACAGAACCGCTGTATGCTAATTAATCCGTTAGGCTCCTCGCTAACCAACTGTCTTTTTTTCGGGCACTGTGCCAAAATATTAGAGCGGCGTGCCCAATTAGACGCAGAGAAGCTCGATCAACGAGGTATCGGCTAACGCGCGGAGAGTGCGGCGACTCTGTTCTGGGCGTGCGGAGAGTGCCATAAGCAGCAGCAGACTGGTCAGCCGTTTTTCTGACCGCCCTTTTGAAGAAACCTTACCGTATAGCGTCGCTCAAGGCTGGTCCAGAAAAAAAAAAAGAAAAACAGTAGAACATTTTTTTCGGATTGGGTTTATGTTTATTCCTAGTCTCTTTATAGAACCAGTTTTTCAAATCTTGCTGGTATTCCCCAGCTTCAAACTTTGGAGGCTGAAAAAAATGACTTCATACTATTTCTACGACAGTATTCCAAAAACTTTCATCTTCAAAACTTTTTGCGCATTCTGAAACCTGAGACAGCGTTTTCGAGAAGCCTATAAATTGAAGAATTTTCATAGAAGTCGTTGTTCTTCTCACTTCGGAAATGTTATCTTTGCCTTTTCTGTCTCAAACGTCTGGAAATTACACTTTGAGGTCTCTTCTACGGTATCTATTGTGCACCTTCGACATCTCCCATCAACCTTGAGCCTGTCATGATGGATGCGTTCAAGAAAGTCTCGAGAAACGTTTTTTTCAAAATTGACCTTGATGAAGTTGGTTTGAAATTGATGGCGAGATAGCATTATCAGGTCAAAATTGACCGTACAGGTGTGTGATAAGAGTTAGGCGTCAAAATTTTCGAATTTTCATATTAAGATTCATAAGTGATAACGAGACACGAACCATTGTGTCGAGTGTGCTTCTCAAAAGTGTTTGCCGAGAAGAAGGAAGACGAGATGTCTCCAGCCGAGCCTCGACTAGTGTCCTTCTGCAATTTGCACTTTCAAAAATGAATCATTCGTCTTTTTTGAGAGGAAACATCATAAAAAACGAAATATTTATTGAGCAAACATGAAGTTCTCAAGGTGTTATTAAAAAAGAGGTCGAAATCTGAAAAAGAAATGGAAAACGATCAAAATGCTGATAAAAAAATGATATTCAAACATGAAAACAATAAAATATGTAATTCACAGTGAAAAATAAACTCTTCACGTTTTCATAACTAGAAACCTCTTTGAACGCGCTATTAGAAGTCGAAATTGAAAAAAAAAGTGAGAAATCGAAAGGATCAGAGACGGTGAGAAAAAAAGGCGGCGCCAAGCGAAGTCCGGCCAAATTTTGATCTAAAAACTTGTGAGTCAGATTTCTGAGGAGGTTTTGACCCATTTTTTCTTGCTTAAGATTTCAATCTCAATTTTTAGTTAATAAAATGTGAATTATAGTTTTTACTGGGAATTTTCATTGGAATCATGTCAATTTTTCAACTTTTTTCTAAACAGTTGAACGGTTTTTGTTGAGTGGAAATGAGAAAGTTCTCGATTTGAAACCTTTTTTTTTTTCAAATTCAGCCAATGCTCTTCGGACCAGCCTATCAAGATGAGGATTATGACGGAACTTGATGGGAAGAAGATAAAAACAGGGAAGAGAGCGTCGAGAGGTCAGACGTGTGGAAGGAGATTGTGGCGAATCGGGTGGACGGTAGTGGCGTCCTGCGAGCTGACCTCGCCATCGAGAGACCACGGCTTGACGGAGGGTGTCAGACACACGGTTTTTGGCATAACGCCAGCAGTCTTGGCCCTTTTTATGAGAGGCGTGTCTAGCGAATGGCTCGAACAGAATGGACTTACCGATGAGATACGAGGGCGTTCAAAAATTTCCTAGATTCAAAAAGGTGATATGGAACTTCCATATCAGTCTCGGGGGCTTGTTTGACAATGTGTTATTTTCCTAAACATTATTTACCTGATAATGCGGGCAAACTAAATTTTCCCAATTGTTTAAAAGGGGATTTCCATTCAAGTTAAGACAGAAATTATCAAAAATTTTGGCAAAAAACTTCAACTTACTAGATAAAGATCTTGCATGTTTCAACTTTTTGACGACTTTTTAGAAAGAACACTTCAGAACACTCAGCCGGATAGTAAGAATCTCTCTATCCATTCTATGTTGGACTCTTTCGTTATTAAAGTTTTGGAATCTTGAGCGTCAACCCACCCCAGTCAAAAATAACACCAAAGGAACTGAGACAACTTCCTCCAGAACTCTTCTCGTGTTTTTTTTCTCACTAACCATTCTAACCCATCATTTCTGCAAACATAATGAATAAAGAAACCGAGAAAATCGATTCCTAGCTCGTTGTCGCGATGCCAAATGCTTCAGATTGTTCAGCTCGTCGAGCAAATTGACCCGACGTGTTGACTGTGTCGTCGGCGGTTCCCAGCAGAAGTCCCTATTGAGATGGATGAGGACAACGTGTGTACGGCAAACAGAACACGGCTCAACGACAACTCTGACACTGGTTTCTTCTTCAGCCAAGGCGATTAGCGCTTTTCGGTTTGGTTAAGGACGAAGGAAACTTTCCTTTTTGGACTTGTTACGATAAGTTATGTACATATATCACGTGATCGCAAAAAAAGTTTCGATAGGTTTCCAAAAAGCTGAAAAAAGTTCTTGGATATATCTTTAAAGAATAGGTGAAAAAAAAATTTTTTTTCCCCCTCTTTTAGTGAATGACTGACTCTCCCCGGCTTCTAATTTTATTTTTTGATGATGTTTATCCCAGTAAGTTTTTCATTTACAGTGTTTCAATTGTCAGAACATTCACATTCCCGGGAAAAAAAATTCGAGCATAGTATAAATGTCTCGTCTCAGATTCATCTCATATCAATTTCGCGTACTTTTTTATGAAATTCATAACAACAATGAGTCATTGTCAAAGACTATCAAAAAATAAATCAAAGCTCATGTTTATTTTTAGACATAGAGAAAGGCAGTATGTCCCAAGAAAAAAAGAAACAATTTCTTGAAAAACGCTTTTTAGCGAAGACCTTCTTTTTTCTCAAGTTTTGAGGGAACCGGCTGAAAGTTTCAAAAATAAATTGTTTCATGGACTCATTGCAGGCGAAAGCGGCTAATGGACTATATAAATCAATGAAACCGCAAACGTTTTTCGAAATAGAAAACCAATTATAATAAAATATAAAAATATCCTAAAATTCATGAAATTTAGCTGTATAATTTTATATTTCGCTTGTTTTTTCTTCTCATATTGGTGAGTGCTGGTAGAAAGAAGTTGAAAACGGCTAATGGACTAAATAAAAATCAGCAATCTTTGTCTCTCCAACCACTTGCACCGATTTGAAACGTTTCCGGCCGTAAATCGGTACAAAAAAGGCTCGTGGACCAGTGATTCGCGCAGATTAATGGGCCGATAGGCGTTACAAATCGCATCAGCTCCTGAGAACGTGGCGATTAATTTGCAAAGAGAAAACATTTTCGCCTCATTGGACTGTTGGGAAAAAGTGAATGAAAAACGTCTAATTAAAAAAAGTTGTTGTACAACGAAAAGTTTTCCTTTTCCGAAAAATTCGGAGTTTTCTGGGCTTTTTTCTGCACGTTTCGACGGGCGCTTTCTCGGTACTATAATTTTTTTTTCTACTTTTGCCATTACCATAAAAATTCCGACTGATATGACACCCTCCCATAAATTCTCCATAAAGACGTTCTGTTATCCAAGATTGATATATTATTACGGCTTAAAAATGAATTTTTAAGTTTCTTTCGCTATGAAAACATGTTTTAATGGAGATTTCCAATATTTTAATTCGCAAATATGAACGGTTACCAACGATCTTGCGGGCAATGAAGGTCTTTCTCAAATCCTAGCTTTTGGAAGGTATATGAACCAAAAAGCCAATGATCATTCCTAAGAGTTCAATCTAATAACATTTTTGACATTTCATAACCAAAAAGCCAAGTTAGGGACCTTTATCTCCCACGCAATAGACAAAGAAGAAGAAGCTTCAATAGAAGGGACCTTTTGGGTAGACGACCTGAGCCGAATTGGGCGTCAAGGCTCGGACACGACCACTGAACATCTCGATGATCAGACCGCCGCCGACGCATTCCAGGAACTCGTCCATCCGGACGTAGGCCATCTTCGCCGCCTGAAGACGTCGCTGAGAGGAGACTCAGAAGACTTTTCCACTTGGACGATGACGTCGTCGGTGCGGCCTTCGGCGTGGACGACGAGGTCGTAGCGGCAGACGAGGCCGTCGTTGTTGATCAACATCTCGCTGAGAAGACTCGTCAGATGCACGGCGAACGACTTCACGCGGCTAAAAATGGTCCAGAGGAGCTGAGAGACAGGAAAGGTGGAGAAGAACAGATAAAACCAAAACGTCCTTTTTATTATAAAAACCTAAATGGTGCAGAACAACTTGCGGGTTAGAGTAATTATTGGCCTTTTTGAAAAATTTTTCATGCCGTGTTCAAAGTAATTTCCGCGAAATGCGAAATTGTCTCTGACCCTCCAAAATTTAGTTATCTTTCTCTTTCTCTGACGGCTATTTTGAATTTCGCGGAATCATTTTGAACACGGCATCAAGAACATTTTCGAAGAAAAAAATTAGATATTTTTGAAAAATATAAGTCGCTCTAAATAATCTTTTTTTCATTTAAAAGAAAGATTGAACATTTCTCCTTTCAGAAATAAAATTGATAGAAACCTCCGAGGGATTCGTCCATACATGTAAGTCGAGAGAAATCGGACAGTCTCCTCAATTTCAATGAACATCTGCAGGTCAAAAATTGAAAAAAATCATCCTTCTTGTAAAGATTTCGAAAAGTTTCGATAGAAGTGAGAAAATTTTGAAAACGTGAAGTAACCTTTTTTTTTTAAACTTCACGTTCTAAATCAAAAGTTCCAAGTGAATGATGAATTGTTTTCTTAATTCATCAATGACTTGAAAACTTTCGTGTATTGAAACTAAATTTATATCCTACTTCGTGCAGAAATTCACCGATAATAAATTAAAACGCATTTTAAACGTGATATTCAAAAAACCCCAAATTTTCTTTGTTCCTAGAAAGCCTCCTCATAATCAAACTCAAAATTTTGACTCCCTAACCTTCTAGAAATCTTTCAACATTCCGATTAAAATTTTAAAGAAAACGATCGTGAACTAAAAAGAAAGATTACCGAAAAAAGCAGGTGCCGTCGCCGAAATTCTTGACGAGTGTAATAAAGAACGCAGCTTTACAAAATGAGCCAGGGACGTCCGCATTTTCCCATTTCTGTCTTTCTATTCACGTATTCGATTCATTAAATGTCCATAGAATCCGCAAAATGAGCTTAAACAGTGAAGAAAAAATGGCAAAAGGAATTCGATCAGGATGAGATTCGAACTCACGCGGGGAAACCCCAATGGATTAGCAGTCCATCGCCTTAACCACTCGGCCACCTGATCATGCCTGGCGGCGCCGCTCAACGCCATTGCAATGCTCCTCATAGGGCGGAACCAGGATACGTAAACTTTCTCTCTTCTCGCAGTTTTCATTCTCACGATTTCCGACTGAAGGTTGAGACCAATTTTAAATATCAATTCAACCAAAAAGATTTCATTACACAAAGTTTCAACAATTTAACAACAACAAAAAATGAATCAAAGCCAGAACTGGCAATAACAGATATCAAAGACAGAAAAAGGGTAAAAAATTTAATCGAACAGTTCATAAAGTTTCTTGAGATGAAAGGGTAGTTCTCAAAGCATCAAATCTAAAGTTTTTGCATAGAGAAAACAAAATTCAACAAAAGTAACAACGTTTCAATAACAAGGGACTTCTCAAACATGACGGTTAGAATATATTTATTCGTCGTCTTCTTCTTCTTCCTCTTCCTTCACTTTCTTGTCCTTCTTCTTCTTCTTTTTCTTTTCAAGACTAAGGCTAGACAGGTCCGCCTCGTTCTCAGGCTCGTCCTTTACTTCCTCGACTTTTGGCCGCTTAGCGGAATGTCCGTTCTCGTCGTCGTCATTGAACTTCTTTCTTTTAGAACGAACCGCATCCGCAGAACCGTCATATTCGTAGGTTTCACTGAAATTATGCATTTTTTAGCATTGGGTTTCAACAAAGATCTTTTCCTTTCTCATAGGCAGTGAAAAATATCGACTTTTCATTTGCTTAAAAACAAATCTCAGTCTGACAGCTGAACACACCTTTTGAACTCATATTTATCGTGCTTGTGAGACGGAGTACGCAACTTCTTTGGTCCACGCTCCTGTTCAGTCCTCAGAACAGTTTCCAACGCCGCACGAGCTTCTATTCCAACCTGAAAAATGTATTTATCATGAAGTTCTCAGAAAATGAAAGATGTACCTCGTTGGACGTGGAATCATCAGTCAAAGCATCGATGCGGGTAGCTAGTGAACACTTGGCGGCCAGCTTTCGAGCCATCTGAAAGTCTTGTATGAAAAAATTTATTGAAAAAAAAAAAATCAATTTACCTTTCCTTTCAATTTTGGAGGGGCTTGTGTGATCAATTGTGCGTGGTAAATCAATCCATACTTCGGCGTGTCCTTCTTGGTTTTTAGGGCGCGGAACAAAGCCTTGAAAATAAAACAAGATGTTTTCTTCATAAGTTGAAAATATTAGAAAAAGGCGAAGGTGTAATCTTTGAAACTAACCTTCTCAGCTCCGAGGATCTGAATAGTTGAAGCAGGTGCCTTGGCGAGGGAAACCAGAGAGCCAGCGTGAGAAATCAACCGAGCGCCAACCAATTCTCCGAGAAGAACAGTCAAATTCGGAGCCAGTGCGGACATACGATTTTTGAGGTAGTCAAACAATTGAGCTCTAAAATTTTCGCTGCATCACAGATTACTCAAATTTTATACCTGTACTGCGAAAGTTCAATGACTTGGTCGCACAGCCCTTGGATATGAATGAGATCAATATCGGAGATGTCCGTGCCCATAGAAATTTCGGCTTCTTCTTTGACTCTCGCTTCCAATTCTTCAGGAAGAATGGCAGACAGATCACTTTCAGCTATTTTTTGTCGCATTCCAACGCTTTGTACAATCTTAAAAATAACTCTAAGATTTAATAACACAAATTTACAATCAGTAATGTTATCAAAACTAGTTAAAACTTTTTTTTTTCGTGAAATAGGCCTTTTTGATCCTTTTACATTTTCAATTATTAACACTTCACCTTGGCGTAAGCCTGGTGATCCTGGACAATTTTTCCAAGCTCGGGGAAATGCCACCCGTACCACTCCCTAGATCTCATAACATAGTTATTAAGCTCTTTATCGAGATCATCGAGCAATGAGACGGCCTGGAAGAAAAAAACGTTTCTTGTTGCAAACTCGACCAAAACCTGTACAATCATGGTGTCAATCTTCTCAGGATTGAACTTGACCCTGTACCTGGCCAGCGAATGAGCCACCGCCAGGTTCATTGCGTTCATTTCTTCTTTGTGCTCCGCGAGAAGGTCGTCAATATGAGAGCGGATTCCACGCATCAACTCCGAGATAGACGAGTTGTGAACACAAGAAAGAGAAAGTTTCTCCTAAAAAATATTAAAAGCAAGTTAAAAAAAAAGTAAATTCACCTTGATAATGTTTCCAAGTTTAGCATCTCCGACAGCAAGCTCTTCACCTTCTTCCACGGCGCTTTTCAACAACTTCTTTAAAGTCTTGTTGATTTTGCCATCAGTAAGAGCTGAAGTGGCTTCTACAGCGTCGGCAGTAGTTTTAAACTTTTTGAATGAAACCAATTGGAGCCTGGAAAAATTTATACGGTTTTCCATGAATCAACTTAAAAAAAATAAAAGGTTCAACGAAAACTTACTTTTCTTGAGCTTTTTCGGCAGTGTTAAATTCGTCCCAAATGTTGTCAACCTTTTTTAAAGCTTTTTCGTCTGAGAGTTTGAATACTGCATACCCGGCGGCGGTCTCAAAAAGGACCAGCATCCTGAAAAAACTTATGATTCATACCATATCTTTGATAAACAAAATGAGAAGAAAAAGAAAAAAAAAGAAAAAAAAATGCTAAAAGCTATTTAACAATATCGATTAAACTTTCTTGAAAGTACAAGACGATAAAGAAAAAAAAGGTCAACGGGAAGTTTATTGAAGAATTATAAATAACATGATGAAAAAAAGTTAAAAAAACAAGTTTAAAGTAAAATTATCTAAGATACCAGCTACGCGAAAAAAGTTGATATATAATTGGCAACTGAGCTCCTTTCTTCTCGGAATCTTTTACATGAAGCTGAATACATCATTGAATGCTTTAAATACCAAAAAAACAGCAAAATAGGGGCATTCTAAAAGAAAGAAAAAATACATGGCAGCTTGCCATGTGCCTTTAACTCAGCCCGATCGCTGCGAAACTTTTCGAGGCGTATGCGTGCGCCTTTAATAAGATACCCCGTTTGAAAAGAATATGTTTGTGATTTTTGAGGTTTTCTTACTTTTTTTTATCGTTCTTTCCTTGTATTTTCCTGCACTTGGTAAATTTTTCTGTTAAGGAGGCTTACATAATGATGAATATAACAATTACATAAAATAATTTATACATTAACAAAAATAAAATTTTATCGATACCCAACATGGTTAAAACTGCATTCATTGGTATAAAGTACGGGTAGTATTTGAGTAAGAATAAAATCGAGAGATCATAATATTTTGGCAATTTTTCTGAAACGCGAGTCTGCTTTCTCGATTTCTTTTCGATTCCACACGCATATTCTAATTAAATATGACTGAAGAGTACAAAAAATAACATTCTTAGTTTATGAAACAACGTTAAACTCTCAAAAAAAAAAAATGATCATGAAAAGTGAGAAATCTTGACAGTGAGATAGCAAATATAACATTCTGAAGAATCTTCGAATATGAGCGAGAAAAGCTGTGAGCATATATTATCAACAAGAACGGATCAATATATCTAAGAAAGAAAAACATTTTGGCCCAAACGTCTGTGAATATCTATAATTACGTTTGATAATGAAATTCTAAGAATAAACAATCTACCTTCCGTTTTCATACCTTCTAAAAAATTATCATGATAGGGTTTAGAGCTGACTGTATTGTTGGTTTCGGCGACCGTCGCGAACGTTTTTCCACAGTTGCATGGCACCAAAAAGGCCCATGTAGAGATTTTTCGATGAAGAAATGTTTCTAGGGGATGGAGAAGACGTCGAGTTTGAGGAGGACGAGGCGTTGAGGTCTCGGATAGGTGAGGCGATTTCTTCCCGCTGGTTTTGTCTGGAATTTTCAGATCAATCTTTTTAATGATAGCTCATAATCTTTAGTAACAACAAAACCATGGCTAATAAAGTTAAAATTTCCAAACGAATCATCAGTCAAAGCTTCTGTGAAAGTTATGATATCCATTCGTTAGGAATTTCAGTTTGGATTACATGCATAAAAATGTTTCAACTTATCTCCTAATTTCATTAAACATGCAACTAAAATTTAGGAAAAACTAGAAAGTTTTTTTTCAAAGACAGTAATAAAGAAAAAAAAACACATGACGAATCTATAGATAAGAAGCCACCATCACCAAAGCGTTCAACATGCTGTTATTAAAGCCAATCATATAAAAAGATCTTACCAACAAACATTTATTGTCCTTTAATCCGGCTGCTGAAACGATTCAAATAATTTTTTTGTTTTGTAGAAAAGAAAAAGATTCATGAGTTTTTATTTTTACACATACCTAAATGTGAATATTGGATGCGTGGCTGGTGGAGAGAAGGGACGCGGGCGGGATTTGCCTTCGAATGCTCGGCGTCCGTCGCCAAACCTTTAGAATATATTTGTAGTCGAAAACTAATACTGAGATCAAATTATCGTACTAATCTAAATTTTTTTTAAATCTGTTCAAAAGCCCTATATTAGTAACTGAGAAGTCTGAGAAAGTAAAAAATCTTTTAGAAAGTTATGTTTTCCGTGCTAGTTCATATAAGTTTTGAGTTTTGTGCTTTTGTACATCTCAGCGTACATAATGAATTTCACGAATCGGTAATTTAGAAGGAAACTTACAGTCGATTCGCGACTGGCCCTCTCGCCGTCGTTTGGCCCCCGGCCATTGATCGTGCCTCCGCGAAACTCGATTTCGTACTGAACATTTCCTTTAGAGTTGAATAACTTTTTCGAGAAGGTTTGGTAGGGCTGATATTGCAGTGCTGGGTTGGATAAATGAAAAAGTTTGTGATGGGTTGCTAATCTATGATTTTTAGATAACATTGTTGCAGATAAAAAAATTATAGTTCCATAGAAAAAAAGTTTTTTTGCAAAAATAAGAAAAAAACTTTTAAAAATTTTAAACCATTCAAAAACTATTGACACAAAACATAGCTTTAACATTTTTCAAATAATCGGACAACGCTCTCAATCACAAGACAAAAAGCACAAAAATTCAATTTTCTGATTTTTGAGAACGAAGCTGAAGCAATTTTATACATTTGAACGAATAACCGACAAGCGGAACATATTTGGGACAAGAAACTAATATTCCCCGGACGAGTTTTTGAACTTACTTTTGTTGTGGTTCCAACTGAAAATTATGCTCTTTGACGTAATCAAAACGTGATGAGAATTTTTCAAGGTCCAACCTTTGTCGCACATACAAACGAAGCCGTGACCAGTTTCGCGATTTCGTTCATCAAATTTTTCGTTTCTTGAATCACCGAGTCAACCTGAAATTTTCCCCACTATTTCTCGATATTTTTCAAAGTCAAACCTTTCCAAAAGTAGCAGTTTTGCCAACAGTTGGGCTTTTGACGAGAACTTGCAGCTGCTGGCAATGCAATGGGATCCTTTCGAGGATCGATGACAAATCGCTTTTTTCTGCGGATCCGGGGACCTGCAAAATTGATAAATCTTTTGATGAATCCATAGAAAGACCAGCCTCGTAGCTGAACTCTCTAACAGTTCTGTACATCTGATTGGCCTGCTCAGCAAAGAACTCGGCTTGAGTGAAAAGATCATGAGTCGTTTTGAGCGGACCATCTCCCCGTGTGAAAAGATACATGTTGTACGCCATAGATGACATTGCCTGGAGTCCATTTTTCCAATTTATTTCAGTGTTCCAGGGAAAATTACCTTGGCTCGCTTGACAATGTCGTTTTCGGCGTATTCGTCCCATTTTTCCGCCTCCGCATCAACTTCTGACGTCAGAAGCTTCATCTCGAGGCCGACCTTTGCCATTTTTTGCTGGTCCTTCAATATGGTTCTCAAAAAATGAAAAATATGATTCTTACTGTAGAAAATACACTAGCTGTTATGGTAAATATTAATTTAAAATTATTTTTTTGCCTACACATAGAAAGAAATACGATTTGTCAGGATCACAATTCAAACCTCGACGTCCAACGTGATTGGTTTTGGATGGTTTTTTTGCGTTGTTCCGTGCTTCTGTAAACATTTTCTTTTTCTTTTTCTTTTGAAAATGTATTCAAAGAAACATTTTCCTTTTTCTAAACTGAGTTTTTTTGGAGCGTTAAGAGAATTTAAATTTTTTTCCAAACTATATATAATTTAAAGTATTTAAATTCTTCGAATTATATCCCAATTTCGCAACACCCGTTTCAATTTTAAAAAAATTCTTTGTTTTACCCAGTTCCATCGTTCCTGAAACGCCTAAAAAGCACATCACACCATGCGTTGTTATTTCTGCATTCAGAAAAAACGATTGTACAATTTCAATAATTTTATTGCAGTCGCTTTTTACAACAACAATTAACGATCAGCCATAATGATACAACGTCATAACTGAGCAGCCACAAAGCGAAAAGGAAAAACTGAGAATTAGGGTAAAATCGAAATCACGAAACGATGAGTTGACACAATCACAACATGCTCGAAGGGAATGTCGATGGAAGTTAATCTAATTAAAGAAAAAAAAAAATGGATAAATTCAAATGAAGAAGGATAAAATTGAAGCACACAATCACACACACTTAAATTCTGCATATCTAAAATTTCAATACCTAATAAGCTTTTTTGAGCGAAAAACTTTCTCGTACAGTCAGAATGCTCCGTTGCACCGGGATCCCAGAACTACGCGTTCACAGAATTGGCATGCAAGTCATCGATGATGAGACTGATGCGGTAGCGGAAGGCGTCGACGCGGTCCTCCTCCTGAGAACCGGCCGAGCTGAGGTCGTCGCCTTGTTGGGCGACGATCCTCCTCGGCGTCGCCTTGCCTTTCTCGGCCGACGACGACGTGCTGACGACGTCTTCATCGGTGATGAGCTGACTGACGGTCTGCGACTCGAACGACCGCTGGAAGGGCAGAATCGGCGTGCTGCGGACCGACTGCTGCGAGGAGCCCGAGCCTGACGGGTGCTGCGAGACTGGGCTCGACTGACTCAGGAAACTCACGCCAGGCCTCGGCAGCGACATGTAGGCTTGCTTTTCGGCGGCGACTCTTCCATTCGCAGCCACGTCTGACTCTTTCGCCACTCGCGACAGGTCGTTTACCTGAAAAAACTTATTGAGCGAGCTCTGGGAAAGTAAAAGGGATCTTAAACTTCAAAAAAGTATCGCTCTTGGGTATTTGTCAGTTATTGAGAAACTTATGAGTATTTGCAAAGACTTCAAGACATATGTCGGCTGGTCTTTTCCGGCCTTTCGTGCGAAAATTATTCAAAAATGCACTGAAATACTTTTCAGGGGTAGGCCGCAGTTCTTCCACCACCCCGGGAAGGGATCCGGCCGACGTATGCTTCAAGATACCTCAACTTCAAAATCGAAAACCCTTTATTGTCCGTTCTTGTCTGCCTGAATGTTTCATTTTCATTCCAAAGGGTTAATAAGGCCAAGGCAAAAACTATTTTGAAATAATTTATGTCAATTCCAACTTCGATGCCTTTAAAACTTTTTTAAATAACCTCATTTCAAGAAACAACGGACTTACCATCGATTCCTCAAAATGAAAATGAAATCAGTGAATTTTAAAGAGAAAAGATCTGGAAAATTTTTTAAAAGCAAACAAATGTTCCCCTGGTCCCAAGAACCATATCACTCATTTCCAAAAGTGGGTGACTAATTGAGTTTATGGTGGAATCGTGAACTGAAAGATTGAGAAGATTTTACTTTCACTTTATTCTCGCCCTTACAACTTTCTTTCCCTATCCTCTTTGAATGAAATTTTCTTTTCCACGGCTTTCAAAATTCAAACGACGACACTATAAGGAGGATAGAGCTTAATCCCCGGAATAGAACTAACCGCTTGACCCCAGGTGTCGCAAAAAACTTCCAAATTCTCGCGAGCAATCCGACTTGACGGATGAATACAAAGGGTTCTTCCAGCTTGTAACGTCTGAAATTCATTCTAATCAAGATGTTTTTCTGGGAATGGAAACGGACCAAAGGCGCCAAAGCTCGCATGTTTCTCTCAACATGGCCGGTGTGGACGTGCAAGGCGTCGGTGATCGAAATGTGGTGCAAAAGACGACAAACCTAACAAAAATCTTTTCTTTTAAATGTTCCTGTATTGAAAAATAAAAAGCTTCTCATGTTGCCGGTAGTGGAAAAAATTCAGGGGATTGGGAAAAGGGGCCTTTTGGAATAATACTCCATCCTAATACTGAAAAGACCCTTTTAAGCAGTGTTGCTCGATTTTAAGCTTGATCCAGTCTTTTTTTTTCATTTTTCAACTTTTTTGAAGATTAGAAATTTCAAAAATGTTTTTCTTTCATAGGGTATGAGATCTTTCGCGTACTGTATATGCGATGAAATCGCGAAAAGATTTGAGGAAGCTTCGAAATAAAAATAAAGAAGACAAAAAAAAGCCAATTTACATCGACGTACTTTATTCTCCCTGAGTTCACCAGCTTGGTTAACTAAAAACAATTTCCACCTCTTGCATGTGCTCTGCGTGTTCCCGGAATTTGTGCATGTACTTTTCGACGCCGTCGATGTCTCCAGCCACGGCGCACGCCTTCATGGAAGACAGAAGTACTTGGTCTTCATTCGCCCGTAATACTTCGGAGATCTGAAACCATATCGATTTCTACAATTTCCTGCAATTCCTGTACCTGTTCCATCGCGACAATTTGCAGCTGTTTACTCAAATCTTTTAACCGCCGATTTAATCGTTCCACGGTCACTTCTAGTCCGCTCGACGCCAAATGCTCATTTTCCTGAATTTTGATTGTTTTGGGATCAAACCTCTATGAATATATATTTTAAACACGCTGAAAGCTCATTTGAAATACGAAGAGTATTTATGTAGAAAAGGAGCTTTTACATGGTACTCATTTCCCTTTTCGGTTAGGATCTCTCTAGAAATCGGGGGGTATTAAATAAAAATTAGCGAACTTTCGACTATTCCAATTTTTTTATACCGTCAAGGAACTTTCAGATTGCGAATTTTCCGACTAAGCCTTTACCGAATTTTTTTTTTCTCGAACTCCTTTTTTTCTAAATCTTCCTAAATAAAATAGGTAGTACATAATCACCGAAAGTTTCACAATTTCCTATTAATAGTTTTCTTCGACTTTGAGCTTTCTCATGAACTAGGAAGTAGTACAGGTCGAAACTTTAAGAATCGTCAGCTAGTCCCTCAAGAAGTACTCTGGCCAACTTTCAAGGAAACCGCAAAGAAAAATGAATTTCTTTGTTAGTAAGGAGTGAAATCGCATTACTGACGTCGGGCTGGATGAGGTTGGTCATCTCGAAGCGGCACTCCTCAAGGAAGTCCAGAACTTGTTCCCGATGATGATGAGGCGTGTAGGCCGAGTCGGTAAAGTCTTGTGTCAGCTGGCAGAGGGCGTCGAGGGCGGCGACGATCCTTTCTCGGACGCCGGCGCCGACCCGACTCGTCATCCGGATCATCTCCAGCATCTCCTGCAACTCTTGTTCAGCTACTGCGACGTCTGCATGACGTACGGTGAGCTGTTTGATGGCGGCGTTGGCGGTGAGTTGCAAGGCGATGTCGATGGGCATCTGCTGGTCCTCCGGCGCGTACCTGTTCTTCTCCATGGTCAGCACTCCGTCGCACACGCAAATTGCGATCAGTTCTAGTGATAATCGAATCTGAAACCATGAACATCTCCACTAACCGAAAGAACCTAGGTTACTTGATCAAAAACCCCATCTCTGCATTGCAGAGCCGATTCGCAATCGGAGTGTCGTAGAAAGGTTTTAGAAGATGTGAGGAGAAGCATCGTTAGCCTAAAATCGGAAAACTTGTTTCTGTTTTCATGATTTTGATTTGTAACATTTTTGTATATGATTGGAGTTCGATATCGAAAAAGTGAAGCTATTTGAAGCTCAATTTTTTTTTCTCAAGACTTATCAGGTTCTCTCACGTGTAGAGAAACTGTTTCGTTTCCAAAACTGCGATGAGAAAAAAAAATCTATCCGCGCTTAAGTCGTTTCAGATCGGTAGCACCTGGAAGCAACCATATCGCAGAGGCTACGTGTTAATTGATTTCAACCATCGATTTTCAATTAACGTGCATTTTAGGACATTTCGAATTGAAAGTTCAATAAGATATCGAAATTCTCACCTTTCCAAGGCTGTCCGCGCCACAGACATTTGTGCTCGTCTTTTCTCGCTTTTCAAGTCGTGTTGTCTGAATAATTGAACTGAAAACGATAATTCAAGAAAAATCCGAACCGATCCCCGCTTCTGTGCGCCAATTCAACCATTTCGCCACCAAAAACAGCAAACACTTTGACGAAATCGTTGAATGACCGCGTGGACTCCAGGCGTGATAATGAGAAGGCTATCTGAAAATCTGTCAACTGAAAAAAAAAGAAATTTCTCAAATTTATTCAAATTCGGCTTTTTCGATGAATAAAGTACTGACAAGGAAGATTATTACACTTTGCGGTAGGGAATTTCCTGGAAATTAGCCAGAACACTTTTTGATGTACCCGAGGATCACCCTGGAAGTCTCAACGTGCATAACTTCCCATTTTTCGAGATATAAGGGCTCAAAGTCGAAAAAAACCTCAAAACCCTTCAAAATGAGCCATTTGGAGACTTTCAGCTTTTATTCTTGAAAACTAGGAAGTTTTGCGGTTTGAAAATTTCAGGATCTTTCAAAATCACAGTAAGAATAAGTCTGGTCGTTTTTCAGGAAATTCTCAACCGCGAAATAAAATGACCGCCCTTGTGAGCGGAATTTTATTTCATCTATCTGGCTAAACAAGTCAAAAAACCGCTATCGGTTCCCAACGAACAAACTTCAAAAACCTTTTTCTGAAAGAATTTTGCGAGTTTTTCTGTCCAAACTGACTTTGTCTTCTGCGCGGAGGATCTGCTTGACGAGGACGCGGTCCGCGAGGAGCAGCACCCGGGTGACGCTGCTCAGGAGCTGGCGACTCGCGCGGACCAGAACCGCCTTGTCGACCACCGACGAAGACTCGTCCGTCGAACACGCACAAGAAAGATTCGCCATTGATGCTCCTGGACCTTTTTGTTATAAATTATACATCGTTTGATGAATGCCCAATTCATTGGGAACATTAGATGATCAATTGGCGAAAATCAAACTGAATATCCTAACGAAACTTTGAAAATGTCATCTGCTCGCCATGAAACCTCGAGAACTCTCGTGTGAAGTCTGGATTTCTCAATAATAAGTTGAGACTAGTCGTTCGTTTTTATATTCATTATTGTGCAAACGAAAGAAAGACACATTTTAAAAAACGAGTGAGAAAGATTCGCCCAAACATTCTTCAGAGAAATAAAGATTTTTAACGGTCGCAACCTGTGTGAACTATCCCATTTTTTTCAAAGATCTCGATTTTGAAAAATCGTATCTCTAAAATTAGGGGAATTAGCTAGACACCTCTAGAAATTTGTCAGCGACTTTTAGAAATTTCCAAAGTCTACACTAAATTAATTTTCCTTATTACAGGAAAGAAAACCAGACTTCCTTAATTCCCGAAGACTGAGAAATAATATAAGCCTAAACTAAAAGCTAGAAAAATCGGAGGCTACAAAAAAACCAAATAAAGGAAAAAAACTGAAAATAAATGCGAAAAAAGGTGTAGCCGCCGGAACAGGAGAAAAGGCCCAAATCGGCGGAAAAAGGGAACCGCATGAAATCTGAGATTTTCCCAAGCTACACTTTTTTTCGGCTCAACAAAGTTTTCTGAATATCATTTTTCCTTGCCTGTTCTCTGTTCATGAATTATTCACTCCAACAAATAAATTTTTTATTACTTTTTGATGTTGATATCACAAGTCTTCCGGAGTTGATCATAGTTCATAACTAAAAAAATTTCTTTTTGAATTCCTGAAGAGAAAGGAAAAAAAGTTTTTTTCAGCCTAATTTTTGATTCTGAAAGTATTTTTTTGAATTTTGTTCAGTACAACTATGAAATAAACAAATAAACGTAAACAGTTTAGACAGAATGACCTCTTAGCTTTCTACAAATCATTCGTTACGTGTTGAAACTCTCTGCGTTCCTTTTCCTTGTGTTGTAGAAGGGGAAAAGCATGTGAAAACCAGAATCTTTGAGCATATAGTGAGATTTCTATTCAATTCGCTAATATGAATTAGTTTTAAATCCATCAAAGTTTTTAGATTTACTTTATAAAAATTTTCACTTGAAACACAGGATAACGAAAACTTTGCAAAAGGAGAAGGAAACGGACCGGCAAGACGAGCCTCGTTGCAGGCGTCGTACATCTCCGGCTGGATGTCCGAATTCTCGTCGGCGATCGTTTCTCCGACGCAGACGAACCGTTCTATCGCCGCTTCTACTGCGCTGCCGATCTGGAGAAGTTGATTTCAGAAATGAATTCGCAATCAAATGAACCTAATTATATTTAGAAAAACGAAAACAAGCTCATAGTTTGATTGAAAATTTAACTCCTAGAGAAGAAAAATTGGAAAATTTTCAAGTGTTTTTTTTCCGAAAAAGTTGCTTTTTAATGTATCCATATGAGAGGATGAAAAATTGAGAGTTCCGAATGAAAAAGAAAAACAGCTTTTATGAAGAATCATGCCTTAAATAAAGCAAGAAAAATAATATCTAACAAAGAAAAAAACTTTTTTTGTAAATTTGAATCCAACAGAGAAGATTTAGAAAAATTCCTATCAATCAATAAATTCACAACAGGAACCACAAAAATAAGAGAAAAAAGGAAACCTTGAGGGCAGCTCGAATGGCCCTGTCGGACTTTGGTTTTCCGCTTGTCAGGTAGGACTCCTTGAAATTCACCAAAGTGGTGATCTGAAAAAATTATTTCAAAACAGGAAATAGAAAAAATGGGCCGAATGGATGGAGCAAGAAAAAAAACAAGAAGAAAGCCGAAAAGCGGCTTTCAATGGGGCTTTTGGAAGGAAAGCCTTGCACAAAAATTCAAAAAAACACTTTTTTTCAAATTTTTTTTGAATTCTTTTTTTGGAGATATTTTCGAAGGTCACTACAGAAGTCAAGACATTTTTCTTCCAAGAAAGGAAAGAGACCTGCGAAACGAGAGGGACCAGGGTCTGCTCGATGGATTTGGTCTTGATCTCGAGGTTTCTGGCGTCGAACGGCACGGCGGCCGACGACGGCAGCGTCGGCACAAAGTGCGACGAGTTCAATGACGACAAGCTTGATCGCATCTGCAAAACTTCGGACTCAAGAATGAAGAATACTGCGAGAAACACGAATGGAAAGTCACAATTAAACGATCAATCGGTTGGATCTTACAATGGACGAAGAATGAAATGGCAACGATTCTTTAAAAAAAAGCTTATAAAAAAGTAAAGTCGGTTTTAGATCTTATTCTTACCGCGATGCAAAAAATTCAAACAAATAAAATAAATAGGGAATGAGAAGGACTTCAAGAAATGCATAAATAGTTAATGGACTCCGAAAAAAAATTTAAGCGGATGTTCAAAGTTCCTTGTAAGACATAAAACTTTTAATAGCAAAAAAGTGGTTTTACGGAGCACCCACGAACTTTCGAATTACAAACAAATTGAGAGAAAAGAACCATTGAAGGAAAATTGGTAGTCTAGTCATTTCCTTTGCTGAGGGCAAAATTGGTAGAAGCCGACCGACAGCTCTAACATCTAATTTTCAAAAAGCCGATCTAGGCCGACAAAACTTTCTATTCTTTGGAGGAGCCAAAATGATACTGTTCTGAATTGTACCGTACAAATATTTTAGATGTTTGAAGGAGTAAATTTGAATTGCATGGAGTTTTCCGAGCTGTTCTCCGTGATTACGCAAGACTTTTGCTCCTTCTGATGTCAAGTCGAACCGAAAGCGACATATCAAGAAAAAGTTATTTTCTCGAATTTTTATTCATCATTCTTCATTTTGTTCGAGCACGATCCAAACTACAAGAATAAAGTTGAATAATTTTGCAATAACTTTTAATGTGACAAAGTTTGAGAAACAGCAAGAGTTTAACTTTGGCTCATTGTGATTATCAAAGCTGATATCTATAAAAAAAAAGAGATCTTTAGTGTTAATGACATGTTAAAAGTTGTTTCTCAAACTCGAAATACACAATTGAAGAGAGATTTGGAAAGAATTCATCAGAATTAGAGGCATTCGGTATTTTAATAATCGGATAAAAATATAAAAATCAATCGCTTGCTGAGTTAATAAAATGTTTCTCCTAGAATATTCATGACACTAGAACGGTTTCATTCAAAAAAGATGAAGGTTGAAAAACAGAAAAAAAGATATTTCATTGATAATTATAATTTTTTTTGCACATTTTACATTGAAAAACGATTATTTGACTCGATGACCCCATTAACATGATTGAAACAAATAGTTTTAGCTGCTGGGAAGAGTCACGGAGAAAAGAGAAAGAAAAAACAGTTGGATGTGCTCGATATATTCTAGTACGACAAGATCGCCAATGGACTAAAAATTGCGAGGCGTCAATTGAACTGAAACTTCGGCAATCAACGTGGAATACCATGTTCTAAACTTGTTGAACAGAAAATGGAAAAAAAAAAGAAATTCATTAGATTGAAGCGCGAAGAAAGCAACGCCTCTGAAACGCGATCTCCGCAGGGATTCGTCTTGTCTTTTCGCCTATCTACGAGAAATGTATTATGTTTCCACAAAGCATATTCTTTGTTTTTGAAAAAAACATTCAAAAAGGTTTAGCCAAAACAGCTGAGAAACGAAATCATTCAACCATTTTCAATTTTTTTTAATTTGTTAAATTGGCGTGAGCTTCGAGATTCTATGTCGAAAAATTTTCAAATGTCGAATAAATTTTTGGAAAAGATTGATTCAGAATGACTCAATCAAAAAAATACCTGGCTTTTCATAAAATAAATGATTAAAATCATTTGAACTTTTGAAATCCGCTTTTTAGATTATCATGATCTGTCGCCGATTCATGACAATGGGAATTCATCCAATTTTAAGGTTTTAGAAGTAGAAGGAAAATCTTCAAAACGGAAAACTTCAGCTTTGTCCAGTCTCTAATAACTCATCATTACACCTCCAACGCATTAGAACGCACTAATAGCGGAACCAAAAGTCGTTCTTACACTGGATTTTCACCCGCGGAGCATTAAATCACTGTTGGTCTTGATCGAGGCCAGATCGCCGGAAACAAATCAGCAAAAGTCAACAGTTTAAAGGAGTCATGAAAATGAAAGCTTCCTTTCACCGAATCCGCGAACGATAACTTTGAAAAATTATTCTTTTTTATCCTAATCCAACTTTTTTAAATTATTCTCTCGATCTCAAATATCGGGCTCAAAACCTATTTATTTCCATAAAGCCCACTAACTTATTCATGAAAACGCCCATTTCTAATTCCACTTGCAGAAAAAAAAACAAACAATAAGTTTTAATTGGAAAAGATGGCATGAATATAAATGAATGAATTTAATTGCAGAGTACGGAAATGGCAATTTAAAAACAAAACAATCTAATTATAAGCTTCTCTCTTCTTTTTTCTCTCATTAGAATCCATTTGATTCGATTTAAAAAAATTAAAAAAATAATGCAGAAAAAGGAAAAATTTGCAATTGAACAAAAGTAATTATAAGCTTTCTTCGATAATTTCAATAAAAATGAAACAGCTTGAACAAAGTGAAACAAGTGATAGAAATAACTTTGGTGAATGGTTTTCTAACATAAACTCCGATAAAAATGACTTCTGAAGGCGATTTTGAGATTTAGATTATACTTTGAAGGCTTGCGGAATTTATGAGGGCTATAAAAAGGCCTATAATCAACAGGTCAGAGGCAAAAAACGTGAGAAACGACCAAAGGAACACAAGGCGGAGGGTCTTTCTCTCGAATAATCGATCCCCCTCCTCTCTCTTGCCATTTCCATGTTTGGAGCGTCCAGCCCCAACCACGTCAGTTAGCCTAAGAGTCGCTTTTCCCCTCATTTTCTTTTCGTTTTCCTTTTCCCGTGCTGAAAAACGAGAGAAATCTCTCTTTTTTTTTTCAATAAGATGCCCATTTTTTGCCTTCCGTTGTTCTAGGGCTCAAATGGTGGCAGCTCCGAGGTCCATTTCAAATTGTGAGAGCGATCTTTTTAACTCGTTCAGCTATTTGAATGCACTTGACAACGAGATGAAAACTTTTCTAGTTACTTTGTTATTTTTTTGAATATTTTTCCAACATTTTTTTTCAAAAATTTTTTTGATAGAGCTTGATAAAGTTCAAAAATCAAATTTCACACATAATTTTGAAAATTTTCGATCTAGTCAGTATCCAATTGCTTGTAGAAAAGTCTGAACCTCCTATTTTCGCACATAATTTACTATTGTCATTAGGAACTGTAAAATACTTTCCAAGATTATGCCAGCGTAGTTCTTGCAAAAAAAAAAAAATTAACAGAACGAAAAAGAGAATCTTCTCAGTGAGTCCTATTATTTGAAAACAGCTTATCGAAAGTAGGAAGCTTTTCTGCGGAGTTTAGAGAAGTATAAAATTTTTATGAAGGTCTCAAAACGAAGGGCCGTTTTATTGATTTTCCAAGTATTGTAAAATCGTGCGCCAAGAGTGGTTTCAGATTTTTTTTTTTTGGAGATTAGTCAAAATATCAGGTCATCATTTTTCGAAGATTTGATCAGAAAATGAACAACTTGAAAACGTAGGAATTGTTATCATGCTTCAGCAAAATATCATATCATCCTCAAAAATTCTTTTTTCCAGAAATTTGACGTTCAAATTGTTTAAAATCTCGGTTTCTCTGTCTGTTCGAATCAAAGAATCAGAAAAAATGAGAACCTTTCACAGTTTTCTCATCTCTTCGAATGATCTCTAGGAGCCCTATCCGAAAACTCCAAGCAGAAAAAGAACAGGTAGCAGAATGGCTCGCGTAAATAACTTGAGATAGACGTCGGTAAAAAACAACAAGGTAAACAGGGAGAGCAAGGGGCGCCAATCGGACCTAGTGCGAAACGAACGACGTGTGGTCGGAAGAGATCGATCGATCCAAGGCACCACCCGCCACTCGCTTTACGCTTTTCTTACGTATCATCGCCAGGGTCAGACTCCACGCCTTTCACTAGCTCCAGGGTCCATTATCACAAGGCATGGATCCGCGGAGAATCGGTCTCGGCTTCAAATCCAAGCCTCACTAACAAACAGTAAATACTATTTTGGTAGGTTTGAGTGGTCGTTCCGAAGACTTAAGCTCAAATGACTCCCAGAGCGACCATTTTTGAACCCTCCGAGGACCTCTCAGACCATAGAAAGTTCGTATGGAAAAAGATAGTTTTCCACCAGAGAATGGCTCAATAAAGTGCTGAATATACTGATCCCAGCTGGTTATAATCTTCCAGAAGTCTCAAAAGCTGGAAAGTGAAAGCCACGCTATTTCCCATCAGCAACTGTTCTGATTAAATTTGAAAAGAAAAAATAAGATAAACTAGATGTTGATTATGAGCTAAAAATTTTATTCAAGAAAAAGTACAAATGCGATCAAAAAAATTTATTGAGATTTTTTGGTGATAAACACTGAAATAACTATGATAAAAATCTTTCAATCCTTTCCCAGGCATGGAAGCCTTCTCTTAAAAGTCTTTATAACTTTTTTATTTTCGACAATGACTTTAAAAAAATGGAAAAAGCGTTTTTGAAATATCGGAAAAATCCAACTTCTTACCAAAAAAAGGCAGGATTTCGCTGACGAGGAAGCTTTTTCATTGAAAAAAAGAATATTGTTTTACTCACTGACAAAGATTATTTTTTTAATTGGTCCTGAGGCCCTAGGTTAAGTAAAGGTCAAATTTTCTTCTAATCTTCCAACTCATGAATCACAAAAACGTGTATGCTTTCGAAAACATGACTCCCTACAATGACGCTTGACGCAAGTTGTCCTTAATAATTATTTGGTTCTTTATTCTCGATATTACTTACATTCTTACTACCGAATTTTGAAAAAAAAAATCGAAAATAACTGGATTTGAAAGTTTAAACAACTTTGTGAAACATAATCTTCGGAAAATGCTCGACTCCACCATGAGAATAAAAAAAAATTTTAAATAGAACTTGCAAAAAATGTTGAAAGGACCGTGTTTTGAACTCAAAAAGAACGCGCTGAAATAGGATTACTGAACTCAAACAAAGAAAAAAAAAGCGAGAGCTCGTTTTTTCTCCCTCCATTTACTTTCAAGATTGAACAAAGTTCCATTCCGTTCAATTTGAGTACTTTTCCGGAAGACTATCACTTTAACTTCACAAAATGTCTAATTGATACTTACTGAATCACTAATGAAGCCAATTTTCGGTTCCATTATCTTGTTTGACAGCTTTTTCCTGAAGAGAAATAAACACAAACCACGTCATCGCCTGATTCGTCAACTTCACTGATTTTGCTCCTGCTTTTTCGGCCATACTGCTGAAATTTTTTAAAACGTATTCCTGCGAAAATGTATATCAAATAACTGTCTCGCAACGGCTTGAAATCGTTTCTAAAAAGAGTAGAGTGTAACAAAAGCTTTATAAACCCGTAACGAACAAAATGGTAAAAGAGGTGGTGAGTAAAAGAAGGCACATGAAAACAAATATCTATCCAATCTCTGAAAAATCTACAATCTGTGAAAGCCTGGGAAAACATAACATGAGGAATATAGAGCTAAAGCGTCAGGTTAAATAGTTTGTGGAGAAAATTACAGAAAGTAAATATTTACAAGAGAAAAAATATTTGTTATTTCCGCTGGGATCGTAGAATATTCAGCCGATGAGCGACCTGAAAAAGTCCAACTTATGAATAAAATAAGCTCCTGGCACAGGAACCTCCAAGAAGTCGTCGGCCTGATTCAAGGCGTGAACGACGTCATCACTCGGAGGTTCAGCGGCGGGGGCTGAGGACGGCGGTCCCGGAAGGCCTGGAGGTTGGACCGATTGGACCGCCGGCGGATGAGGACCGTCCAGGGCTGAAAAGATAAATAGGCTTATGAAAGAGGACTCAGGAAAAGAATCTGAAACAGAAAAAAACGTCAAGAAAGTCTACAGCTCCTGTTAAATTGAAAAAAAAAATTTTCACAACGAGTAATGAAGAGTACCGAATCGAAAGGTTCAGACGCCTCTGTAACATCTTTTAAAACATTTGGCTGAAAACATTGAGCTTGATTTAAAATGATGACTCTCTGACTACATCCTTCTTACCAGCGACAAAGTTCTGCTCGATCTCGTCGTGCAGCTGCTGGAGCCTACGGGCGTTGTGAAGGTCTTCTGATGATCTCTCAGGCGGAGTGGGGCCTTCTGGGAGAACGAGCTCGGAAGAAGTCGCCGTGGCAGAAAGAAGCGCGCTGGTGGATGTCGGCGGCGTCGTGAGGCTGGTGGTGGTTGCTGTCGTGGTCGGAGTCGTGCTTGCAGTCGAAGTTCGAGTCGTTTCAGAATGAGCTGAAGTTGTGCCGAGGGAGGACGTCGTGGGACTCAGACTCGACGTACGTCTTCGGTTCACACCGATGCGGAATCGGCGTCTCGCCAAGATTTGGGACGTGCTCGGATGTTCTGGAAACGGGCCGAACCTTAGCGATAAAAAAATAAAGATGGATCAAGATTTTATACATTTTTCGATGATCGATTTTCGACCTCAATAATTATCTCAGCTGCTTGAAAAGCAAGTGAGCTAAACTTTTGAAGGAGTCTACCACAGATAACGCCAATAATCTATGCAAACTTTAGGCAAAATACTTCGAATTGAAAATTAAAAGCAGACTTTTAACCTAATTATTTTGATATCGACATTTCATTTTCTATCAATTTTCGATAGACTCTGAAAACCTGTCGAACTTGAAGCCTCAAAGCGAGATCTTGTGGTCGGCCGATGTCGTAAGGAATTGGCTGGCGACAAAGTTGAAGAGTCTGAAATTAGACAGGAAAAATTGACAATCCCAAAAAGCAATGAAATGGTTCTGAATATTTTGCAGTTCTAGGAAATCCACATCATACAAAGTCGTGAGCTCTCAATTATTTTCTTTTTTAACCAAGAAGAAATATCTCTACGGAATCTGAACCACAGTTCTTCTGTCAGTGTAACTCCATCCCATAAGACGTCACAATGAAAGTTCATTGAGAAGTTTTGTGAAAATGATTGCGGCCAAACCGATGACGGCGCGAAGAACGGCTTCCTCGATGCTGTCGAGTCTTGGCCTTTTCGTCGGCTCCAAATTTGGTCTCTGTCGGACATTTCTCGTAGTTGTCGGTGTGGCGACCGTTGAGATGTCTTCAAATAAGAAGTTCTGTTATACTGATCTCTGAAGAATGGTGAAGCAGAATCCATGAAACTGAATAGAACTACTTGATTAGCCAGAAGTACTTTTTCGTCTGTACCGCTCCGGGACTTTTCAACTTGCTTTGACCTCGGACATTGGTCACGCAAATCGGACTTGTCGGGGTGTTTCTAGTTACCATTTTAGTAGCGTCAACCGTCTTGAGTGACCCCTAGCATTGCTCAGACTTACGGGGCGCGTCCGGTTTTCGTTACCGCGGTCCGAGATTTTATTAGAACTTTCTCTGCGCTTTTTCTGCACTAATCCAGACCTCTTTCGAGAAAATTCGCCGTTTTTACCTCATAAATGTTGCATAACAGGGAAAAACTATAAGCATTCTTCACGTTTCGTCGTTGAAAGCCCGGTCTTGAATATTTCACACCTTTTTTTTCTCAAAACGGCACACTTTTTGAATTTGGTTTTTTTTTTCGCTGGGGGTGAGAAGTTTCGAAATATTCTTGAAAAAATTCACTCTCAAAAAATTTGAACCGTGAAAAATAGAGAATGTTTGTTGAAATGAATCAAGTCTAGCTGATCGAAAAAAATCTCCCTGGGAAAATTTAACCATTTAAATCAAATTTGAGCTTTTTCGACGCCTTATGTTTGAATGACACTCAAAGCAACTGACTACTAAAAAAAACTCTAAATATTTTCCAAAGAATTTAATCCAATTAAAAATAATCAAAAAAAACCATTGACGGCTTTGAGAATGGCGGCTTCGATCGTGTCGACTCGCGACAAATCGTCTCTTCGAATGTGTTCACCTGTGATCCGTTCATTCGTGAGGTTTAAAAAAAATCGGAAACGAGTATATATGCAAGAAATAAACTAATGAGAACATTTTTATAATTTCTAAAACGAAAAATGAAAAAATCAAGCTGGAAAAACTCACGAGACCGATCTGAATGTTGAGAAGACGGTGGACGGCGATTTCTAAATGAAGTTCTATTTAAAATAAAGAACTTTCCGAGACTGTTGAATAGTTGAATGTTACTAGTAGTTGTAATCAATTCTCCATTGAGAATTTCAAAAAGTGCTTTTTTGTTAATTAATTAATTTCAGTTCACACTAAAATGTTAATTGAAGTTCAGTTGTAAAGTTAGTATTAGTGACTTTACAAAAGTTGTTTCTCAGTAATCCGTCAATGAGAATAAACTTTTTCTCATTTTCTATACGTTCACCATAACACCTTCACCATAACTTCTGAAACTCAATTTTCTAGCCCAAAAAAATAAAGTTCATTTAGATCTCGAGTTTTTATTTCATAACTCACTCTCATCAAGTCAGTCAGAGTTTTTTTTATTCTGAAAAACATATCATTTCTCGAAAATTCTCAATAGGAAACTTGTGATTTCGAAGTAAAATGATAATTTCCTAGGCTATCTTATTCCAGTAGACATCACACTCAGTTATCAACGAACTGACGTCAAAAACGTGAACGATCGATGGTAAAAGGATTTTTGCTTCAAAAAGTAATAAACTTAAAACTTTCAAATGAATGAACTCGAAAATAACGTTTAATTGTTGAGTTAGAACCTTGTGAAAGTCGGTTGTCTATTGACGGGACGAGTTTGGTTAAGGAAAACTCTCGTCGGCGGTGGGAAACGAGGTCGCAGCTGAGGTCTCTGCTGGGGTCGTCGTCGCGGATCCCGAAGAACCGTTCGGACGGGGATTCTGGCCGTCGGAGCGACAACTGCTGGACGTCTGAGTGGCCTGGCGAAGGGAAGAGGCGAGGTCCGCCTCGTGAACCCGTCGGCGACGCGCTTCATCGACGTGCCTGGCCGACGTCGGCTGGCCCTTCGGTTAGGAAGACGACGTCTTCTGTTGGTTAGTAGTGGGGGTGGAGTGGGACGCGTGCGCGGTTGGTTGGTCACTGGTTGTCTGGCCGACCTAGGAGCTGGTCGAGCTCTTTGAGGAGCTGTCGGAGAAGCTTTCGAGGGGCGGCTGACCTGTTTCCGCGGTCGATTCCTCACCCTCAACGACTTTTTATCATTTCTGCTCTAGAACGGACTGGAAAAAATTCGAAAAATTAAAAATAACTCAACGAAATTTCCAACCTAGTTTCGCATATTATCGTTGATTTTTCCCATGATTTTTCTTATTTCTTACAAGAGATGTATGTGACACTAGAGCTTTCTGCGAGTTTGTGGAGACTACTCTGATTCTCTTATACTTTCTTCCTTGCATTCATTCAATTTTTACTCTTCTACTCTTTACCTAATTTTTATAAAAAAATACGCGCCTAGGTTTACAGCTAAAAAAATTTACATTATATTTTGCTATAAGCAAGAGGGAAAAATGCTGACGATGGGTCGCCCTCTAAGCCGTCCATTTTTATAGACCCGAAACGGCTGCGCGATACTTAAATTATTCATTTTAATATAATACCGTATTACTCTTTCCCAATCTCATTGTAATCACATAATTTCATCCTCTTAATGTTACATGAATGAATAGATAATTTTAGGGCGCTATGTTGAAAAAAAGGAAAAACCTGAAAAGCTCTTCGTCCAGTTCGTCGCTGAACTCGTTTGAATGTACCTCCCCATGCTGGAAAAATTAATTTTCTCACCTTTTAATCTCCTCTTTTTGATCTCTTCGCGCCAAATTTGTTGATTTGATTAGGAAAACTTTTTCTCACATCTCGCTCAATTTTTGATCATTCAAAAAAAATAAAAGAATATTTGCACAGTTAACAGGAAAAAGGACATACGGAACGCTGAAGAGTGGCCAAAAGTCTGTTGATTTCTTCAACTTCGTCGTCAAATAGGACGGCATCGTCCGTAGCTGTCAAGCTCGCCTCAATTCCAAATGTTAACTCTTGATTCGATATTGGATTGGTTGATATATGTGTTTTTCGCAGTGATTTCCCACTTTTATTCATTGATTTATAGTGAACTCAATTCCTGATTATTCAAAAAAAAAAACTTTCATGAATAAAAAATCATTTTAATAACTAAGGATGCGTGATAGATATCATTGATTGACTATAACTGGTTCCGGTTCTAATCAGTTCTAATTTCAATCCATCTATTCCATAATGATAAGATTGAAGTTGACAAAGAAACTTTTGATTCAACTAAAAAAAAGATAGGATCCTTAATGACCTGATACGTAGATCCGAATTGTTCATGATTCCAAATTTTCTTAAATTCCTGGACTTGAACTTCAATTTAAAAAAAATCCCTTTATAAAAAATAACTTGAACGTTATATAAAAGTTATTAAAATTAACGAAAATGATAAAAAAATAGGACAACTTTTCGAAAGTAAAATTATCTCATTAGGCTCTCAAACGTTCCTCAAAATGTTGAAGCCATGAAATCTAATAATACGCCAAACGACTGTCTCGATGATCGAATTTTAAATTTGTTGCAGAGAAAAAACCTGAACGAGAACGGCGATAGTGATGAGAACGATACTACGGCGGCATCGTCTCAGGCAATCATTCATCTGCAAAATTCGACAAATTTTCAATTTAACATTTCAAAAAAAGCCTTATTTCGGTAGAAAAATAAAGAGAGTTCAAAAAAAGTAACGACCGTCATTTTTTTAAATTTATATTTTTTTTAAAAAAAAAACATATTTTTTATCGTTCACTGTTAGAAATCTTCATTTGCCGTTTAGAAACCAAGAGATATGAAATAAAGCTTTAAAAAAACTTGAAGTCTCGAACTGTTAATGGAAAAAAAAATTCTAGTTCGAAAATTCTTGCTCGGATATTTCAAGAAGCTTGGTGAGATTCACACATTCTAGGCGAGAAGACCTTATTATTTTTTACTATATTATTTTTGTCCGTGTAAAGTTTTTGCGCCTTTGAACGCTCTCGCGAGGATTTTTTGACCAAAACAAACAGTTTTAGTATTTTTCAAACGTAATTTAGAATTGTAATATATTATTTGAAAGAGAAAAAAAGTTCAGAACTTCCGTGAAAAAGTTTTGTTGCACCAAAAGAAACTGGAAAACGACTGGTTCGCTTAACTTCTTACGGAAAAGACAGTCCGATTTCGATAAAATCACAAAACATGTGAACTGAAGTTCCAAAAAAGAAAGAAAAAAACTTCACGATCTGATTTTGCGGGAGGAAAACAAGAAAATAGCCAGTTTCAAGACTGTCCGTTGAGCATCAGAACGCCTTTTTAGCTCTTTTCTCTCCCGAAAAGAGAAAATTAAAACTTGAAAAAAATTTTGAAAGTGTAAACTCTGTTAGCACGCATTACAGTTCTAGAACAATGCAAGAAAGAAGCAATAGAAAATTCGAAAAACATCCTTTTGTTTTTCCGTTTAAAAATGAATGAATGAAATCGGAGCTTCGAACTTAACTGTTCTCAATTTCAAATGAATCGAAAGCGGAAAACGTTAAACTGTAAGAAGAACCAATGAAATGAAGTGGGTCAAAATTGGCATGCAGATCAAGTGCTGTAATAATTTTCTCAAGTGATGAATAATGTCGGTCGGCCGGTTTCTTTTCAGAAATATTGGCCGTCTCAAGGAGGGAACAAAGAAAAATAAATCATAATGAGGGCGAAAATTATCCATAGATAAAACCAAAAATTAAACTTTTCTTGTAAGGTATTATTTTTGAAAATACAAAGAATCGACTTTCGGAAACTTAAGAAAAATCAAATCGGGAAACTAAAACGAAAGATTCGAATTTTTCGTAGAGGAAAAATTTCAAACAAAATATTACGAGATTCACAGTATACTGTCCTTAATGTGTTGACTTTTTTTGAAAAAAATTTGAAAAAGCTGTATTTTCTGATGGTTAATTTTGTCCTAGCGCCAAAATCCGAATTCTTGAGGAATTGGCAAGAGGTTTCTGCGCTTTCAAAAACACAAAAAAAAAACTCGATGAATTGATCAAAAAACAGATAAAAAGGAAAAAAGAGGTATTCAGAATAAGTTTTCAATATATTAGTTCAAAAAACATTGAAAAAAATATTTTTCAAAACCTAATAAAAATTTGAATCTCGGAAAAACTGAGAGAAAACGACTAACCCCAGGATCGTCGGGAAAGTGTCTTTTTTTCCGCACTGTACTTGCATGTCTTACACCTCGGGAGAACCCGATGCTATCAACGTTTTGACGGAAACGCCAGGAAAAAGCGACTTCCCTTCATTGCCAAGACGGATCCTGTGACCTTTTCGTGAAAAAACGAAGTGAAAATTAAGTCGCGCGAGAAGTTTGTTTAGAAAAAAGCGATGACACCATCGACAATGCAAAGTTTAAATATATCGTTACTTTTTGTTCTCCACCTATAAGCTTTTCTATATACAGACTACCTTTGATGATTTTATTCATGAGCAAAACCCATGAATAGTTATTTGTATTTGAACAATCGTCCACCGGTCTTTCAGAATTTAATAGTTAATTAAAAACCCTACTCAAAAAATTACAATAGGTTCCTCAAAATAGAAAAAAAAACGCAGCGAAGCAATAAATATTTATAGATTTCTAAACAAATAAGTAAAAAAATAAGTTGATGCCGTGTTCAAAGTGATTCCGCGAAATTCAAAATAGCCGTCAGAGAAAGAGAAAGATAACTAAATTTTGGAGGGTCAGAGACCATTTTGCATTTCGCGGAAATTACTTTGAACACGGCATGAAGATGCATCTTGCATGCAAAAAAATTGTTTAAAAGTCTTGTCAAGGGAAAGCCTGACCTATGGCTAAATCACGACGAAACGGTGCGAGTTTGAAAAAAAGTGTTTTTACGCTGTGTTCGGAGTGATTTCCGAGCAAAACATTTTTAAACGCTCATTATTCGAACTCAGTCCTTTGTTTCTCGCTTTTTGATTGTTCACTGTCAAAAGATCTATAGAAAAAGAGAAAACTAGAGAAAAACAGCAGCGAGCGCACGCGTTGCGGATGCAAAGATCGGAATTTCTTCTAAATTTGATGTTTTGAACCAGAAAGTTTTTTATGTCTTTTGCCCTAAAATCACTTTGAACGCAAAAATAAAATCGCGGGACACTCGTTTTTCCCAATTTTTTTTTTCAAGTTTCAGACTTAATTCAACTTTAGACCTGTCGTTTTTTTCAAAAAAAAAAGCGAAGTTTTGAAAAATGATCGTGCTAAAGGGCAGATCTCAGCTTCAGGCTGAGAAAAAAAGAGAAAAGCATCAATGCGTGGGCGACAAAAAACACGAAAACTGCTTGACACTTTTCACTGGAGAGCGAAGATTTTCAACTTTACACCCGACAGTGCCTTTTTGCCCATATTTGTCGAAGCGAACCCCTCGAGCCAAGATTTTACACTGGAGTTTTTATCCGATCGACTGCAAAACAAGCCTTTTTGCAGTCAATGTCAATGCAGTAGTGGATTAGTTCAAGACTAGGAGAACTATTCAATTATTTAATGTATCACATACGAGATTGATTTGCGAATGAGAAAAGAATATTCGATTTTTAAGCATTCGTTTGGGTTCTGAATTTTCTCAATGAAACAATAGATCCTTATGTGCAAAAAGTTATCGTACTGCGCTGAAGCCGGAGAAGGAAAATAGAAAATTAGTTGGTTGACCGGTGACCATCTAAAGTGAAGTATTGAACGTCTAATATTTGAAGTCGTTTAGAAACCGCCCATTTTTTGGAGAGTTTCATGAAAAAGACTGCAAATAGAAACATTTTTAAGAGGAACAGCGTCCTTGTTCATCAAGGACATTTTTTATATCTGAAATATTTAAAGTACGCGTACTCACTTTTGATGGAGAACAACGAAAGTGTAGGGAATTCTTGGAAGATTATTGTACTCGGAAGTTTCCGAAAGGTCGAAGAAAGTTTTTTCACATGGCAAGTCTTATAATAGGAATAAGAGCATAGATCACGATCCTCAAGAGAATTTTTCATGAATTTAAAAATGAATTATCAAGATGATGAACCGTTTTCAATCTTAATTCAAGTCTTGTAAGGCTTTTGCATATTCAAATACATCAAAAATTTCTGAACTGCTCAACAAAAAATAAACGAAATTCCGGGGTAATTTCGAAAAAAAAATGAATGAGAGCAATAGCGAAACAGCGTTCGCGTCAAAAACTGTAGAAGCGGGCAATAACTTTGAAAACCAACATTTTTCTGTTGCAAAATGAGATTGAAGTGAACATACAATAAAACGGAGGTCAAAACGGTCCGATATTATTCAAATTCGGCGCTTTGAAGAAAGCGAACAACGTTTCTGGGTGTGACGGGAGAAAGGACCAAGGTTGAAGAAGTTGAACCATAGAAATCTTTTTTCAATTGAACAGAAGAAAGAAGTGAATCATGTAGGTAAAGAAGCTTATTCGCATCGTTTGACAGAGAGTATTTCCATCAAAATGTAGTTTCAAGATCAACGGAACATTTTCGAATAGAAAAGAAAGCAAAAGATCGAAGAGTTTCAATGACTTCGAAAGACTTTTTGCCACTTGACAATTGCAGGCGCCGCTATTTTCTCATCTTGAAAGCAATTTATAAGTTATTTGGATGAATAAAAGGGGTTCTACTTATTAGTGAAGAGAAATATTCTTTCGAATACAACTGGTAAAGGCGAAATGGCAGGTTATTCATGAAGAAAATTACTCTCTGGGCACTTTTTGCCTATGGAAAAACTGGACGATGCGAGGAAATCCAGTGAAACTCTTCTGTATGGTTTGACCAAGGGTTTTGTACGTTTTGAGGGAGTCAAAAGAAAGTAGAAAAATGAATTGATTAAAAAAAAATTCTGAAAATTTCAATAGGACCTGAATATCAGTTAAGCTGCTTAACTGAAGAAAAATTTTAGGCATCTTACATAAGTTCATATTGAATAGTCCTTGCTGGGGTTTTCAGAATACTAAAAGGTCTACAAGTCCTTTTTCAGAAACAACAATGAAAAAAGCTTTTCACCTCGAGATCCATCTGAAAATTGAAAGTGAATAAAAACCTCGGGTGCCAAGAGAATTATTCCAAGAGAAAGTTATTTTATGAACGATGTACAATATTGCCCAACTAGGTAAAAAAAAAATCATACCGGTCCATCGGACGGTGCAATATTCAAGTGCGTACGTTCAAGTAGCGTTTCCGTTACCAATTATTTATTTTTTGCCCCCAAGAAAAACGATAATAAACGTGAAGGACACTTTGTTCGTATGGTTGCCATATTGGACCTTTTGCGGTCAGCCTAATGTCATTGAAGTTCGTCTTGCGAATAAAAATGGAATTTTTTCGAAGAGGATTAATCCGCCAAATCTGCGAATTCGAATAAGATCCTTACAAGAAAAAGCAAGACTGAAAAAGGCGATTCTGGCGCCTGTCCAAGAAAGCCAGCTTCCGCCCATTTTTTTTCCGTTTCATTTCATTTTTACATCCCTCGCTTCCCGTTTCGAATGTTTGACTAACACTCAAGCAATTAGGCCATCTTCTACGCCACACGCAGGCTTCGTGCAGGTTTTTATGAAGTGGAAATCCTAGTTTGTAAACCGCGATAATCAAGTTAGGAAAAACTGGAACAAAGATATAAAGTTTTAAGTTTTTTTTTAAATTTTTAAGCCATTTTTGGACTTACAGTTAAGATCTTATCGAGAGCAAAACTGAGAAATTTGTATATTCGGCAAACATGGAACTTTATTCCCCACGTAATTCACCATAAAACCTTCATTTTTTTTGTACAAGTCTTGGTATACATCTCTTTGCATCAGGAAAGGACTCTGACATGGGGCGTCCAAAAATCGCCAAAACTTTTTCTCTGACACAAAGTCTAGCTTCGTGAAAACGACGAAACAGTGTAGGTCAGAGAAAGAGTTATAGCAGAATCGGACGTGCCGGGGCATTTCTAGTGACCATTTTTGTAGCGTCAACATTCTTAAGTGATCCTAGAAATTCCCAGAAAAGTCCGGAGCACGTCCGTTTCGCATTACCAATGTCCGAGTCAGAGAAGCAGCTCAGACCTTGGTAACGCGAACGGGACGCGAAACGGACGTGTCGGGGCATTTCTAGTGACCACTTTAGTAGCCTTAACGCTCTTAAGTGATCCCTTGAATCGCCCAGAAACGTCCGGAGCACGTCCGTTTCGCGTTACCAATGTCCGAGAGGATTTTAAACTCCCGCCGGTTTGCGATAGGGCGCAGTTCCTCCCTGATATGGCGGGGAAAATGAGCATTCAAATTTGCCAAAATATATGAATCCTTCAACTTTTATATTTTATGGTTTTTTCTTTGTTCTTTCCTTGTGAACTAGGATACACCTTAACTTAATCTGCTTTTTAGTTCATATGCAGAATGCTTAAGTAATAGAAATGAAAAATTTTTTTCAATCTCAGAAAGCCTCTTTTTCCCAAATTTTTTTGTTCAAAAATTTTTTTCCATAGTAATTCATTTATTTATTTCTTTATTGTTAGAACAAAGCAAATAATTAGGTTGCAGATAGGAAAGTAATGAGATACCATTGGACAGAGAAAAAAGCTAAAAAAAGTCATAAGTAATTTGTATTTTTTTTTTTTAGAAGGATGGCTCCCGAAGAAGAGAAATTTTCGCCGAGACTATGCGATTTCGCCATCGAGTGGGCCATGATCTGTACAATAAATGATCGGGATGATTTAGCCGTTAAAAATCTTCAGTAAGTAAAAATATTTAACATATACGTAACATTTTTCAGAGATTTTTCTGGTTGGTTTATGGAAAATCTGAAACGGGAAGCAGTTCAAATTGGCGTTGCGCTGAACTACGAGGTTATTAAATCAGATTTTTTTTTCTTAATTTTTTCTTTCAGCCGTTGCCTGTCATGATTACTTATTCCACGCCAAACAATATAAACTCGTGTCACGAAGCGTATAAAAATGTTCTAAAGGTGAGGCTTGTTTTCTTCGGAATAAACCTCGTAGAAATTCCTGGTAAAGACTTACAAAGGTGCATAGAGGAAAGAAAAATGACTGCTATTTAATTTTTTCTTCTTTGGTTTCAATTTTATTTTCAGTACCACCCGGAAGTCACGTTTGTGGTCCACGTTCTGCCGGGCCAAGGATCCAATGAACATGTTTGGATGAAAGGGCTCGCCGAACGATACGGCCTGATCCGTCAAGGAGTTCTCTATGAAAACACTATCACCCGCTTTGGCGGGCTTGAAATAAGTGGTGTCTTCAGGTAAAGCCGCTAAGTTTTCGCGCTTTTTTTTTTGCAAAATATTCAATACTTAAATTCATTTTTTTTTTTTCAGAAACATGGTCCAATGGATCACTCGCAGTGGCTTACACCTGGTACGCCCTGGTCCCACGTAAGTTACATTTTCTATTTCTCTCAGTTCTAATCATTAATTGATAAATGATATATTTACAGAATGTGCAGCATCCGGGTAGGTGGCGGGAAAGAGCCAACAGTGAAACAGCTGAAATTCAATCACGGCGACATCCAAGAAGCCGTCAACGCGGGACTGCACAGTTCAAAGTCCCCTCAAAGTTTGTCTTTCATTTTTCACTTTGGGAATGCAATCATGTAGTTTTCATCGGTTTAAAGTAAGTGTATTAATGAAGGTCAGTTTTGAGAAAATCTTCCGAAATAAAATATTCGAAAAAGGAGAAAAACCTTGAGAAAAGAGTCGAGAGAATCGCTGATATTCAATGCGGGATTTTTATGGAAAAGAGAAATATAGTATCGGGCATAAAAAAGAAAAGTTTTTCGAAAATATTATGATCAGATGTTCATTATTTTAATAGACGTCAGTGAAAAATCAGGACCATCGCCTAATTAGGAAAATCGGTTTAGTTTTTAAAAAGTTTCCTGAAATTTCGCTATATTACTAGTAAAAATTCTGAAAACCTTTATTTAACCTTTTTTGAAAACGTCCTTCAAAGTTTTTGTTTCGGAAATCGTAAAAATAAATTCATTTGATACTCTCAAAAACTGTAGTTGGTTGAACGTCAACTTTTAAAGTGAAAAAAAGGATTTTGCAAAACTGCGTGGCTTGAAGACGGTGGCATCAGTTCTTGCATTATCTTTTGCTTTGGAACATCTCGAAAACTGCAGACAACATCTCCAACATTCTGGTGAGCGGCTACCCGAGCATGCACAATCAGTTCGGCGTCGCCCAACTGCTCACGCCTTTCCGCGTCATCGGCGTCATCCAACGCTCCGACGGCACGGCCATCGTCGAGATGGAGAACGTCTTCCACGCGATTCAGGTGAGATGGGCGAAAATTGTGAGAGAAATCCAAAGTATCTCACTTTTTTTTCGCTTTTTTAATCTCCTAACTGCAAATTCTCAATTATTTTGAACTGCTGTTTTCAAATGAATGTCACTCCTGGGAATATACAAAATTCAACTTTTGGTAATATTATTTTGAAAGAATTTTCAAGTTTGAATAGTGGAAAAAAGATTGTACTGTAGGTTAATAGCTTTCATTTTTAAAAAAATGTTTGAGCCCAGGGGTCACCCGAATGGTTAAATAACGCCGGGTGATCGGCATTAGCACTCGTAGAGCATCCGTTTCGCAAAATTATGAAGTATGAGGAGCTACTGGCTAGCTTAGAGTACTTGTAATCTCCAATTAATACGTTCAATATTTTTGAATAAAATAGTTTAATCTCGAGAAACTCTTTCAAAGCTAACATTTTTCTTCGTATTTCTCTCATCTAATCATTTTCCTTTCAGGCAGCAAAAACCCTGAACGGCAAGATTCTTGACCGAAATCATACGCTCAAAGTCGAACCTTTGAACGAATTGACTCGTGAAAAGTTGGCGGCAATGACGTAACTCTTTTTTCTTTTTCAACTTTTGTTTGTAATTACTCGTTTATTCGATTCTACATCTTCTCGAACACGGGCAGCTCTGACCTCCACATTTATTCTTGAATCATTTTGCGAATCATTCGATTGTCTGAAAATGTGCTACACATTCTTTTGGCTTGACCGTATGTCTTATAAAGTTGGTTTAAATAGTGGGGAATGGTTGAAAAAAAGTTTTACTGTGGGAAAATCCAAAACATTCTAAATATTTTATTATGTTGGGAATGAGATTACTGACGAATGAAGCCTCCGACAACTGGAGCTTTGTTTTTCTGAACTTCAGATTCGGCTAGAGCTGGTATTCCTGGGGTGTAGACGTTCCTGTAAGATTGATTCAGCTGCATCGGGGTTTTTCTTTTCAGTTAAATAAAAGGGGATTAGGAAATCTTGCTTAAGATTTCTCATATTAATTCGAGAAATTTTCATTCGTGTGTGTTTAGTAATATTGTCAAAAAGCGATAGTTTTGAACATCGAAGCGTTATATATATCCCTATGCCCATAGCATTTAAAATCAGAATGAGATTTTTTGACAATCAACTAATCTGTGTCTTCAGATTTTCTTTTTCAGCAGGAGTTTAGTGTACCTGTTAAGAGTAGTTTGGCACACGCTTTCGACTTGAGCGAATTGCTTGACCGTTGGAACTTTCCAAGTGCCGAAAGGACGGAAATCGGTGTAAGTAGGGGCGCTTTCTCCTGTGACTCCACTGGCGTAGACGTTGTAGTACCAGACGAGGATGTCAGAGGGAAGGCCTTGATAGTTGGAAGTGATGGTGTACCAATCCGAGTAGCTCGTGTAGATGCCCACGGCGACTCCGTATTGCTGGAATTCCGCGTTGGTAGGGATAATATTTTAGACTATCGGTTACTCTGGCCTGGTTGATCATCGAGAGAAGGAAGTTGACGTTGGTGCTGTTGGTGTACCAGTTGGCCGGCGAGGTCACCTGCAGTTTTAACTTTTATTCTGAACTTCGAGTCTCGATCACTTGAATCCAAGCGGAACGGATAACGATTCCGCTGCTTGTGAGTCCTTGATAGACTTCCACGAACTGCTGGGCGCCGGTCTTAGTCTTTGACTTCGGCTGAGGCGTGATGTAGGCCTCGACTCCCAGGCCAACTTAAGTTTCGGGTAGATTCCCATAAACGGAAGATTCAAGTACCGGTGTTGGCGTTTTTGATTGTGGTGGCAGAATTCCTGTCAAAGGAGCCGGATCCGCTGGGGTTGTATGCACTGGAAAATATTCTGGTTATCATTTTCTGATTTAAGTCTTTAGAGATAATAAGCTAGAAAGTGAAAGTTTGGCTTCAATTCTTCCATCGCAAAGATGAGCCTCAGGAGAATTGTTTGAACAAGATAAACGAGATAATAAAATCTTTACAAAACGTTCATAAGTCAAGGATGAAAAATGATAACCGAGTGAAAACGACGCTGTAGCCACCGCTCTTGAGGCAATTCAAAGTGGTTGTAGAAGCAGAGACAGAGAAGTCGACGGCGTATCCCAGAGCTGCCTGAATAGAATCGAAGAATGATAACTGAGAGCTGAATTAGAAAAACCGCGTCAGATGGAACATCCTTAGATGGAGTTTCGGCCAATTTGTGAAGAGTTTCCGCCTCGGGAACTTGGAAAAGAGCCGCGGCGGAGGTGTAGCACACAAATGCCGCCAATAGGACTAGCCTCCTCGTCATTCTAAATTTGAGAGAAAACGTTCACAAATAATTAGACACGCATAGTAATACATGTCTCATCCCGAATAATTATTGAGTTTAATTGTATCTTAAAGTTCTAAAGTTTGAAAAAAGTCTTTTTTCGACTTTTTTTTCAATTAAAAAATTTTAAAGATCGCAAGGAAAGAAATGACAAATATATTTGAGAATAAAGTGAGGTTGATAAGAATCGGTAAGCAGGCGCCTTGATTAGATTTCCAGCCTCAGGTTTTATAGGTGCATCTGTACGAAGAAATTCTGATAAGAAATTATTGAAAATGTCAAGATATGACGTTTTTGCCATTTTCAAAAATGTTCTTGATTTCCGTCTTGCGTGCTTTAGTCTGGGAAGAACAAATGAGACTATTCACTCGGATAGTTCGGTTTGTTCCACATGTTCGAAAATAAAGCTTAAAAAAAGAGTAGTTAGGGCAAAAAAGTTCCTGTGAATATAAGTTTGAAGAAGTCGCTTGGTCTGGCTTGGTCTTAAAAACCAATTTTTTTTTTCTTTTCTGTTCTTGGAAAATTCCAAAGTTCTCACATTGTTTTAATAAATCGGTTCCCGCAGAAAATCGAAAAATAAGATTCACCTTCACTAAATTATTTATTTCTAAGATGTGAACAATAACTTTCAGAGTTGATCATGATACATACAGATTTTAATGGATTAAAAATATAATACTATTGAGGAATAACTTCTGAATAAAAGGGAAAATGTACAAATGGGGGAAATCGAGCAATGCTATCCAATGTGGAAATACACGTTTTTAGCGACTTTGGCGGGTTTAATTATAGTTAAATCAACAGAGAAAACAAAAGTAGGGATGAAAAATATAACAATTTTTAGAGAATAGCATTCAGAATGAGCTTGAAGGTGCAGGAATGAATTTTCTAAACAGACTTTACTTCGAAAACATGTCATAAAAAGAATATTTTGTAACTTTGCTTCGTACCTTCGAAAGCTTTTCATGAATGCACTATATTTTAAAAAAATTAAGAAGAAGGATTGGCTTCACGATGTGAAATAATGGCCGCTTTGAGTTTATCTCCGTGGAGCAGAAGGGAGATGACGACGTGGTCGTCCCGTCGTTGAAACAGCATTTCACCTTCGAAGTCGACCATTCCGTGTTTCCTTGCTCGCAGGAGGATACCCACAACCTGAATCGGTCATATTTTCGTGTCTAAATTTGAAGTTCATTCATATTTTCCAAAAAGAAACCGTTGATCTTCACTCCTTCAATGGTCCTAAGACAATAAAAGTTAAGATGAACATAAATCAGCGTCATGTTATATTTGATAGTTCTTGTTTAAATTAGTATTTTCAAAAAGCTCCAAGACCGCTACGATAGTGAGATATCACGAGTTTGATCTCAGAAAAAGAGAAAAGATGCGAAAAATTAATTTATTGAACTTTTGAAAAATTTAAATTATTTTTACTTCATATTACTTCAAAAGAAAAATGTCTCTTTTGATAATTATTTTCAGTATTCTAACGAACCTTGTCTGAAATGTGCTCGTATACACCGAACAGTTTTCCGAAAGTGATGTTGACCTTCTCAGGATTGCTCCGATCTCCGTAATCTTCTATGATTTCACAGAGATAAAGCATCTCTCGAGCCACATGAGAAGCTGAAAACTTGAAATTTCATAGAGCTCAAGTTATTAGGAAGACCTCTCACAAGGAACCTCAGTTTAGTTGGAAATTTTCTAAAGTTGGTCAGGATACTTCTTGATTTTCTCTAAAACTAGAAAATTGTACAGTTTGAGACTTTCAAGACCCTAATTAGGTACTTCGAGGGATATTATGACAGATTTTCAAAAAATTTCCAACCGCAATGTAAAGTTATTTCCTTGCCTGGAATGAGCTACATGATTGGAATTTATTTCCCAATTGAAAAAGTTGGATAGATCTGGAAGTTATTTTCCAATTGAAAGTATATGTCGAAAAGTCTATGCGTAGAATGAAGTCTCTTCTCAATCCTCGTTTACTTTGTAGTTGGAGATTTGGAAAGGAATAGGAATATTTGAATCCAACTCTCGTTTCTAACAAACCAAGGTTACAGTTATGAATCCAGACACCGTGAAACAAAATTAAAAGTAAAAGATAATTTTTGCGGTCTCATCTAGTCATTGATAACAAGTATGAGGGTAAAACAAATTTTAAGAAACGGATTTGAGTTTGGGATCTCATTGACATCACTTCTTAAAACCGACGTACCAGCCTTCTTGGCACGCGCCTCGGTGAGAGTTCCAGGCTTGGGGGTTCCGTACTCGGCGCTGTTCTTCTGCGTCTTCTTCGGCGTGTATCCCTTGGCGTAGACGTCGTCGGCACTCGCTACGGCTTCTTGGTGCTCCATCGCGCGGAACTTGAAGATGGCCTGGCCGACGCCCGACGCTGCAAGCTTGTCCGATTGGAAGACGAACATGAAAAACTGTGATTACACCTAATCTATCAGTCTTTTCCAATCAATCGGCTATGAGATGAATTAGAAACTTCTTTAAAAAAAAACTCAAAAAGGAGATTGAAAAAAATATCAGACTTAAAAAAGTAGAAGTATTTTATCGTCAGAAGAATTTTTTCTTCAATAATTTTTTCTCAATTCCCAATTAAAAAAATTTTCAGCAAAAAAAGTGTTTGACAAAAAAATTTATGTGAATATTTGAACATACGATGTTTTGAAGGGATTTCTTCAATTCTTCCCATTTTCAGACAAGCCTGATCCGTTTTTGAAACGCGGGCTTCCGGAAAAAGAAAAAAAGACCATTCAAAAAAATTTAATTGAAATTTTCTTCAATCTTATTGAAATTTTTCTCATTAAAATGAAAAATGTTTTTTTGACATAAAAAAATACGAAAAATAAAACTATTTATATTTTTTTGAGCGGAAAGAGTTCTTCTGAGAACTTTCCTACATTTCCAATGATTCAGAAAAAGAAGAACAATCTGAAAAAGTGAGAAGAGACGAAATGTTTGTGGGGAAGCCCGGGGATCACGGATTTTCTTTGTAATGCGGCGGGTGGCAGCTGACACGGGATCTTAGTGTTTGACCTCCTACTCGAAACCGTGAATCTCGCCGGTAATTACTCCTTTTCTTCTTCCGACTCGTGTACTTCATAACCCGAACTCAAAAATTCTTTTTTTAAATGAAAACCAAGACTTTCAGAATTCTAGACAAGGTTAAATTTAGTTCACCGACCGTCTATTCATAGTTATTTTCTCAAGACCAAGAAACCCGATACATTCAGTTCTTTGGTTACTTTGTGTGCGGCGGAAAAATATTTTTCTTTTTTTCTCATGGTCACAACCTCGGTTTCTGTTTTTTTTTTTGCTTATTTTGTCGGTCATTCATATTGGATACGACCAGCTTTGGCCCGTCTCATGACTCAAAAAAAGAAGATTTTTTTATTATTTATTATTCGTTTAAAAAGAAGTTCCAGAGTTTTTTTCTCATTTCAGAAAAAGGCTGTACGAAATTAGCGCATTATAACCTATTCGAGAAAAGTTTTTCTCTCGTCTAACGAAAGTTTTTTATTAAATCAAAAAAAAAAGATTTTCAGAAAGAAGTTTTCTTCAAATGAAGCTAAAAAAAATTGATTCTTTTTCACAATTTCTTCAAAAAAATAAAAATTGCTTCATCAAAGACTGGCGTGATATATAATTCTTCCAGAACAACTCTGTGAACCAGGAAAAAAAGACTAGTACAACGTAACCTAGGGATCTTCGTACCTGATGAGCAAGCTGCCATTACCAGAAGCTGAGGATAATCAAGGGACCCGAGCTGGGAGACGAAATGGGAGATGAACGGACGGATGGGCTTACTCGGTGGAGTACCACTTCACTTGAGGCTCCTCCTCACTTCTCCGTGTTCGTGGAAATCTCTTCCCACACGTTGAAGTTCATCTTTTGTTTGTTTGTCGTCCACGACTGATGTTTCGTCTTTGCTATTTTTTACTCGTGTCAGCCGATTTCGCGGATTTCAAAATATTAGGTATTAACGTCTAGTTAACTGAAGCGGGGTTCAGTTGATAAGACTTAATTTCAAGGGTCACGGGAGACGACAAAATTCCTTACTGGAAAACAAACTTGGAAGCAAAATTAGGTGATGCTTAAATTTCAAGATTCGGCCTTTAGTGAACCGTTTCCATGCGGAAAACCAGAAAAACTCAAATATTTTATTTATGTCTAGGTACAGTTCTATCTTTTGAACTTCCGTTGGTTTGAGACGTCGATAGCATGATATTCAAACATCAGAATTTCCGTAATAAGAGTTTTTCAATGGGAGGAATCTTTTTCAGTTTCAGGTGATCTCGAATTTTAAGGATTGCGAAATTTCAGCGATACTTATATTACTAGTCTAATCAAGAGAGTTTTTTCGGTATTTCAAAGGCGAAGAACAAGTTTGTGGAAGAAGAAATTCCTCCCATTAAACCTAACACTGAAAAAAATCCTTCGCCCTGATACCTTTTATCAGTGATTCTTCGAACATTGATATAAATGCAATAAACAGTTTTTTCATACATTTCATCAAAACTTTATTCTAAGGACGTCTTTCAGAAACATCTGATTTTCAATTTGGACCTTTATTCGCTTTTAAAATGGCTAAGTTTCGCGCTGATTTTACCCACAATATCAACTGAATGTTCTCTTGAAATGATAATCGAAGAATATACAGAAAGAAAAGTCGATTCCTATATGGGGAAAAAGGAAAGAAATGTCAATCAGGAGGCTGGTGAAAGGTATGGGAAGAAAAGTCGACGGTGTGTTGATGATCCCACACAAAATCGCCTTGGTTCTTCTTCCGAATCTCGATATAGACGTGCCGGTCGTTAGGAGCTGAAAATAGAATTGAGAAGCAGTTTGAGACTGGGAATGGATTAATGGGATTCGAAAGAAGGCATTCAGGATAGGTGACGTGCATAAACATTCAAAGCAAATTATTGAGGTTTGAAGTTTTTTTTTTGCATTCTCGAAAACTAGAATCGAAAAACTTTGAAAGTATCAAAAGCAAGCAGAGATTGTATCACATTCCATTATCAAAAATAAACCTGACATACAAGAATTTTTTAGTTTCCCTTCAGGGCCGTTGTAAGGGTTAGTTTGAAGCGTTCAAAAACGTTAGAGAAAATCTTTAATTTTGTCATGTTTCAACAAAATTTTCCCAGAACTTTTCCCACTACCTAAAATTTACGGTGAAAGAAAAAGTGAAATATTAAGAAGAATATCTTAAAATACTTTTTATTTGTTAATTCGGTCCTCATTTTTCCTTCTGCAACCATAAAAGTGTAGATCTTTGAGAATATTTTCTAAACATTTATTTCGTGCCCTCAATATTTTTTTTTCAAACTTCACTTTATCACAATAAAAATTAAGTGGTTCGATTATGGTGTAAAAAGGTAGTTTAAAAAGTGATCATTAGTAGTGATTCCAACCGCTTTGCGTCTAAATAAACCATGGAACCAACCACATCAATCAATCTAGTTGGTAGATCTACAAAACTTTCGTTCTAGTTCTAAACTACGTTTACGTTATATTATGACCAACGCTCGAAAATTCTCACTTGAATTTGCCTTTTCAGGAGTTCTTTGACAGGTGTGATCGCACTTCATTGGATGCGGGCCCGTGGCATTCTGAGAAGCGGATCATTGAAGCAATTGTCACCTCAATGTGCACCTGAGACTTGGGAGAGCTCTGACAGGTCTCTTGCTTCTCTTTTCCTCCTTTTGACAGCAACTTCTCATTGATTTCCGAGCTGTTCAAACGGCAAGAAGCGAATTTGGGAGGTTTTCCGGGTTCTGAAAGAAATCATAAAAACGAACAGAACGCGAGACTAACGGCAGAAAATGGTGACAGTGACGGTGATGAGCTGAGGCTCGCGGATCTTTCTGTAGAGCATCTCTGGACAATCTTTCAGTATTGTCAATCCATCTCTGAAGCAATCAGCATAGAAAATAAAGAAAACTCTCAGTTACACAGTCGAAAAGGTAGGAGCCGAGTGAAAAACAAAAGACGATTTTTACAATTCCTCCCGGATATTGGGGCAAAAAGCGTCTCTGAAATTTAAGTGAAACATTGGAAATGTTGACTTTTCGCCGCGTTTCCGAGGAAAAGCCCGTTTTTTTTTTCAATTTGAAATGGATCAATCTTTCGTGGTTCCAACTTTTATCTTTCAAAAAAATTCGTCTGAAATAAGCTGAAGAAATGAGGAGAATTTGAGGCAGTCTGCAACGAATTTGCGAACGACACATCGTTTGGATTATGCGGTTACACCTAAATGCATAATGGGAACCTCATGTTGACTTTACTGCTTTTCCCTCACACATATTAATTACAACACCAAAGTCAGAAATCAAGTAATTGGTTTCCATGTCAACACTACATGTATTGTCTTCAAAAGGTACGCCGCACTCTCTCCGCCCCTTTTAGCGCCTTTTAGTCCGCCCACATATACCATCTTAGAGTCTTATTTGTGTCTTTTGTGTTGTTACTACATTATGTTCCCTCCTTGTTAGCCGTTTTTTTCAATTTATTGTGTAGTATATAAGTCAAAAAAAAAAACGTGAAAACAGTAAGATTTAATTCTTTTTTGTTTCGCCTTTTGAATATTGCCATCTTTTACAAAAACCCTCAGGCCAAATTTAGCCCAGAGGCACGCTGTATAAACTTTCATGTGCTCAAAAAACTAAAATTCTAATGAAACCGATTCCAAATACTATTCATTCAAAGGTATTCATTCAACCTTTCATACTTTCTACTTGTAAGTTTTGCATCAAAGTAGATTCTGAAAATTATAAAAATTCCGTATAATTATTTTAAAACGGTTCGAATCGTGAATCGATTCATTTCCTTTTCTGATGCCGTGTTCAATTTGATTCCGCGAAATGCGAAATGATCTCTGACTCTCCAAAATCTAGTGATCTTTTCCTTTCTCTAACGGGTATTTTGCATTTCGCGGAATCAAATTGAACACGGCATGATCATTGCCTTCTGTAAAGGTTAACCGCGCAATCGCCGCATTGGTACGCCGGAGTGCGACTCTGAAAATTATTGATTTTGCCGCCAAAACTGGTCCTTGTTTGTTTCGAAATTCAGCAAGGCACGTGAGCTTCTTTTGCTTTAATTCTCATACTTCTCCATTTTAGGTGTTATCAATTATCATTCTAGTTGGATAGTTTTAGTATTTGATCCAACTTTTCGTCTCCGCCTTGTCAAAGTTTAAATATTTGAGTTAATCATTTATTTCTGAAATTTGAACCTAAAATCTTATTTCATCACTTTCGTTAGTTTTCGCTTTGTATCTTTCTCTTTCATTCGAGAAAAATAAATTAATAAATTGAATTTTATTGCAGGTGTATGACGATATAAACATGTCGTCAATCCACTACAAATTTCGAGCGACGCTCGAGTATAAGACCCTTCAGTTTGATGGTCTTCATATTTGTGGTAGTGACCTAGTACGGGAAATCTGCGCAAAAGAGAACATCAAAGCTGAGCTTTTCGACTTATTGTTGCAGGTTTTTTTTTACTGGTGGAAGAATGAAAGTTTTATTCGAATTTTAAGAATGCGCACACAAAGAAGAATTATGGGTCCGATGAGCTGATACCTCGAAATTCTTCAATAATTGTGCAACGGGTGCCTCGCACAGAAGCTGTTAAGATACAAAAAGTCCAGTGAGTAGTGATTTAGACTGGTTTACTTTTATGTTTCCCTTGTAAGACTATGGATGCTGAATCGACGTTTTTTTCAGGAACGGTGTGAACAGCGGAATGATAAACCAACCAGACGCCACTGGAACTTCTTCTTCGTTAGTTAGTGGCCATATTGCTGCAGTTAGTTTGAAGAATGAAGAACATATCTTCACAAGCTCATTTCAGTCGGAATTCGAGATGATGGACGAGAACGAACGCTTGAATCACGTCAAGGATGTCTCCACGCGTGCTTATGATGCGTCAAAGTATGTTAAAAACACTTCTGGGAGGAAACATATAAAAAAAATTTCAGTTATCGCAAGAAGACTGGAGGGATAATGAGTGGACCGCCTCCACCAACCTACACGTGCAACCGCTGCTACCAACCAGGACATTGGTACAAAAACTGCCCAATGGTAATTGAAGAACTTCTTCTAACCATGTGGAATGGCACTCTCCGGTTTGAAACATCGTTCCGGTGGATTCTTCCGAGTGTGGCCTCTCTCTTCGACTGTTGTTTTTTCGATCATTTCGTTGTTTTTCATTCGTCCTTTCTAGACGGCCCTTGCCGTCTTTTATATGTTGTCGTTAAACAACGTTTTAGAGATAAATTGGAATTTTTAATCAGAACTGTGTTCTTTGTTATTTTTTTTGCTAGGTTATTTTTTTCAACTCTTTTCTCTTTGAACAGAAAATGTATTACAGATAGTTCGAGGTATGTTTCAAAAATGTTTGAATTGAAAAATGAAAGCAAGAGTTGTTTCTACTCTTTAGAAATAAGGGAAAAAAAGGAATCGGTAGATTTTGATTTAAATTGAGAAATATTTTAATTTGAACTGTTTTTGATCAATACGTGTAAAATATTTTAGTCTTCTATTAGAGCTTTTCGTGCCTAAAGTAAACTTTAAAGTCTTAGATTCGCGATTACCAAAAACAACGTTTAAGTTTTTGCATTAAATATGTTCATATAAACGGTTATATTGCAACAAAAACGGTAGGAGTAAGAGCAAACCGGTTGCGGAGATAATTAAGGTTTATGAACTTCTCTAAAGCAATTTGTGGTTTTCAGGGTAGTTCCAACACATGCTGCAATACATGATTGAGACTTTCTCGAAGAACTTTCAAGTCCTCTTCTGGAAACATTTCAATTTTTTGTTTTCGCAGCATTTGTGGGATTACTTTGAACAAGAAGCTGCTGAAAGTATTCTATAGAACTTGGTAAAGCACTTTTTTCAATGTCTTCACCACGCTTGTTTACTTAGTTTGTATTGAAGCTTCATTTCAAAACTAGTTTCAAAAGACGGCGGATGACATCGGGTAAAATTAAATGGTCGCTGAGAGTTCCTTGTTCAACCTTTGTTTAGGCACTGCACTTTAAGGCCTGAACAAATCCTGGTTCCACCTAATGGATAACCGCGACGGCGATGTTGATTCCAAGCGGAATCCGTCCTGCGGTCGTTCGTCATGTAGTTGTGTTCTTTTTGCAGCTGAACACCAAGCGGACGACTGGAATTCCGGCACAAGAACTGATGGAAACGACGGCCGACGATCCGTTGGCCATGTTGCATCAAAGCGGGAGATATGTTATACCCATTATGCATTGGAAGGCTCGGCAGGAGAATAAAAAGGTGAGGAATATTGAGAAAAGTTAATAGTCCGAATAACTTTTTGCTAAATCAAAAAAAGTTTCTTTGTAATGTCACTTAATACTCTTAAGCAGTTCTTCAGTATATTGTGCGAAAAAAAAATCGATAATATATGGTGTTTTTTTGAACTGGTTGAAAAGTTTAAAAAAAAAACCGAATAATTTCTTCGAAGTGTTTGGAGAGGCGAGCGAAAGTCGGCCTTTTCTTTAATTGGAATTATAAGAATAGCTCCCCGCCTTGAGAACTTGATAGAATTCGCCTAAGTTCTTCAAATAACTCCAGAAAGCAGCTTTCGAATATGTAGTACATGAAAAATTTAAGTACAAAAACTGAGAAATTATATGTTCTTTCACAGAAAACAGTTTTTTTCAGCTGGCGGATGAATCAAACTCCGCAAACAGATCTGTTCCGCCAGAGTTGACGTGCCCGATTTGCTCGAATTTGTTGAAGGTTTGTAGAAAGAAAGAAGAGGATAAAAAGCTTCCTTGTTCAGGAAGCCGTACTGACGACGTGCTGCGGCAACTCGTTCTGCGCGGACTGCATCGGGCAGAAGATTTTCGAGACGGAGGACAAACGGTGTCCTGGCGAGGGCTGCAACCAACAGCAAGTCTCGGTCGACGCGCTCATCCCGAACAAACTTCTGCGACAAGCGGCCCAGGCGTGGAACAACCAGGCGCCGGCCGTCTCGGCTCCTTCCACGACGTCGACGAACACCGTCGCCGAGCAGTCCACGGAGCACATCCGAATTCGGTTTGTTGGACGAAGAAATGAACAAAGTAGGGAAAACGACGCGTTCTAGGAATAAATTGTTTTCATCGTTATTTTTTGCAATAATGAAAGTTTTTTCTTCAGAAAAGAGGTTTTTTTTTTCAGATAGTAGAAACTTTTCGGAGAATCCAACTTTATGCTGGAAATTTCGAAAAAATAATTTTTTATTGAAATAACCCGTTAATAAAAATTACGATATTACTGAAGAAAAAGTTAAGATATTGTATTGGAAGGTTTTTGAAGTTTTTTTCGCATTAGTTTGTTGTTGCAATTTCAAAGTAGAAAATTCCGCACAGTAGTTTACAAGATATTATGAAATTGTATATGCTAACTGAGTATATAATAATATTATGTGAAGTTCAGAAGTCAAGATTCATTGGATTACAGAAAACGGGAAAGTTGTGAAACCAACAATTATTTTTTATCGTTTTAAGGATTGGCCTACAACCTCGTGCTCAACCTCAGCCTGCAGCTCAGCCCCAACCAACGCAGGCAGCTGCTGTGACGGCTCAGCCTCCACAACCACAGGCCTCGAGTTCGCCGTTGACCGTGCCGATTCCCGCGACGACCGTCGCCGGCCTCGTTTTCTCCAATTCTCCCGCCTATGCCTCTCCTACGACGTTGGTCCATCCGACAATTCCTGTCTCTGTGTTCCAGGTTTCTATTTTTCTTTGTTTTCCTTCTCATTGAGTTGTTGCAGCAGCAGCCGATGCAGATTATGTCTTCTGGAGTACCGATGCAAGCCTCGATGGTAATTTCTTTCTTTTTGAATGTTTTATCTCTTAATATTCAGAACACCATGATACCCGGCATGCAAACTCAACAAATGCTCCAAACCACTGAAATGGCTCCTCCAGGCGTTCCTTCTCTGAACGCGCCCGCGATTCCTGGTGTTTCAGGTTTTCGAATGCGATTATGAAAATCTAGGAAGTTTTTCATTTAGTTCTACCTTCCACCGCCATCTTGCCAAACGTCAATCTCTCTATACCTCCTCCGGCTCAACCGCCCATTCCCGGAGTCGGTATGACTCATATGATCCCCCAGACACAATACAAGTTTGATTCGACTTTGGATCTAATATAATAGTCATTTTCAGTCTCCCACCTCCGAGTTACACCATCCAGACGGCGCTCCCTTCGAACCAAATCGGCCTGGGAGGCTTGGAAGCCTGGGAAGCCTATCTGAGGAAGAAGGACGCCGGGAAAAAAAACAAGAAGGACGATCATCGCGACTCTCACAGGGACTCTAGGCGCAGAAGAAGGTTTATAAGGGATCCCGGAGTGATCACTTGAGGAATGGTTCGAGGGAACATTTAAAGGATTATTCGCAAGAAACGGAACTTTCAATTTTTTTTTTGCTTCTTAGTGTATTCCTGGGGTCGAGTAGAATCAAATAAATCCATAAACAAAAACTAATAATGCATTTCCCGCGATTTCTCACTTCACATACATAAGTTCTCCACTACTTCACTCCATAAGTACGATATTAATTTTATGAAAAATGAAAGAAAAAAATAATTTCTGCCAGCGAAAAAGTTTTCGTCCCTCGGAATAGTATTAGTTTCTGGAAATTCTCGTCTATCTCGTCACTTTTTTTTTTGCTTCTTTCATAAATAAAAAAAAATGAACCGACTGCTTACTGAATTTTTTCTTTGAAACATTTTTTGTAACGAGAAACCTTAAAAGGAATCTAATTTTGTTCGCAACCAGCTTTTTTAGGAGCCGTAGCAAATCAGAATCCTCCTCTGATGAAGATCGGCGTCGGAAGAGAAAGGACAAAGAAAGAGATCGCGATGAATATCGACGGGAGCACAAAAGAAGTCGCAAGAACGACGAACGTGGTCACAACAGGGACCGGCATTCGGATGAGTGAGTTCACGAAGACAATTGATGAAAGTTGATAAAAGTGTTTTTTGATTTCAAGTTGTGAAGAAAATGGTTTTAGCTTTTTAGAGATAATTTCCCGTAAATTCTCAGTTCTTACTCGCTTGAAAAAAATTGGTCAGGTTTCATAGAACTCTTGGGGAAAATTTCTATCAGTTTTTTTGAAACCCAAACTAAATAATAAAAGATTAACGAATCTTACTTTTACGTCATATAAAATATTATTTTTCCCACAATAACAGTCGATTTGAAGACGTCGCGACCTGCCATCTTTGATGGAGCGCAGTTTGACGCCGCCCTTCCACCTACGTCACCTTGATGAAGAGTGGCTCCAGGAAGACAAAGAGAAGGAGACGAAGAAGGCGTCGAGACATGAAAGAGACCGAAAGGAGAAGCCCTCCAGACGGGATCGCAAGGCTCCCGAGGCTAAAGGACGCAATCGGTTCGATTTATCGTTGAATGTTCACCTCGATTTCAAACTTTTAGAAGGTCTGATGAAGTTCGCGAAGAGGATGATGAGGCTGCGATTGATGGCGCCTTGGCTGAGGTTTTGATCATCTCCCAAATTGATATTTAACTTTTGTTTACAGTACGAAAAACTGAAGCAATCTTCGACCTCCAACGAGGATTTGAGCGCCGAACCGGCCGACAACGCGACTGGAGATGAAGACGTCGTTTCGGAAAAGAATGAGACGGACGAGGTGGAGGAAGATGAGGAGCCCAAGGAGAACGACGGCCAGTCCAGTCCCGAGTCTGTCCACAGCGGTCCTCCTGAAGACCCGGAATCCACCGTCAAGGTGATTATCTTCAGTGGACCAAGTTAATTAAGCAAGGGCTTCAAGAAAAATCCCTCTTTCATTAACCTAAAAAGTTAGGAAATGATTTTTGCGACTACATATAGTCCTGATATTTTATTAGAAAGGTAAATACGACGCCAAAAACACAGTCATAAATTATTAGTAGAATAACCCAGACTTATACTTTCTATTGTAGCTGCAGTCTGCACTGGAAACGAGTGAAGCTGAAGTTGCCGAACTAACCGAGAAGACCGACGTCGATTCTTCGGAGCTCAGTGACCATCACGATAAAAATCTCATTCAGTTAGTTGAATTCTTTGAGGAAAAACTCATCATTTTCTTACAGCGAGTCGTCGACGAACGAAGACGAAGAAAAAGAAAAGTTGAAGAAGGACAAGAAGCATAAGAAGCACAAGAAGAACAAGAAACGGAAGCACCACAACGAAGAAGACGGAGACTCCGAAGAGAGAAAGAAGCGCAAGAAGCACAAGAAGGAGAAGAAGACCAAGAAGGATAGAAAAGAAGAGGAGGAGGCCCACGAGGACGATGACAAGGTGATTCGTTTGCTCTAGTGAAGGATTTCAAATGTCGATTTCAGAAGAGACACCACAAGAAGAAGAAAGACCGCAAACGCTCCAGAGACTCGGATTCCGAGGAAGATGTATGTTTTTTTGTTGAGACTTTTTTAAGATTAATATTTGGTTCTCTTTATACGTTTGAGACATTAATTTTTGTTTTTTTTTATTCTCAGTTTTTTCAGGAGGTTCCCCCGAAGCGACGAGCAAGAAGCAAAGAGCCTGAAGCTGACCGACAGCGAGAGGTTGAACGAGCAAAGGAGCTTCGCGACCGAGAAAAACAACGTGAAGAACGCGACCGTGAACGGGAAAGAGAACGGGAACGCGAAAGAGAGGAGAGAGCCCGCGAACGTGAGAGGGAAGAGAGAGCTCGTGAACGGGAGAGAGAACGCGAGAAGGAAAGAGAACGTGAGAAGGAACGTGAAAGAGAGCGCGAGAAGGAACGAGACAGAGAACGCGAAAAGGAGCGAGACAGAGAACGCGAAAAGGAACGAGACAGAGAGCGCGAAAAGGAGCGGGACAGAGAACGCGAGAAGGAACGTGAAAGAGAACGTGATAAGGAGCGAGACCGACAGAAGGAGCGTGATCGTGAGCGGCAGAAGGAGAAGGAACGCAGTCGTCGGGGCGCTGAAAGGTCCAAGCAACAGGCCCCGGAGCCGGCGAAGGAGTCTGAGCGGAAATCGGAGAGACGTCAGCGACATGAGAGTGCCGTCGCCGCCACCGACGTCGAGTCTGAAGATCAGAAACCCAAGGTCAGGACTAAATCGGACATGAGAGAATAATCTAGAAAAAACTCAGTACCTTTTAAAAATTAACTAGTTTTTTTATCTATTTACTCGCGTCACTCATAAGGCGAAATCGTGTAAATATACCAAGAAAAACTATCTGAATTAATAATATTAGGTGTCAAGTTTTGATATTCCATTTTGGAAATCCTGTTTTTTTCTGTTTCACCTTTTTTCTTTAAACCTGATACTTCAAGATTGATATTATAGGGTTGAGTTAGCAATGGTGAAAAACAATGGTTCCGAGAAAGCTCTTTATGCAAAATAAAAGCAAAAGTGACACGATTTGGAGCTCCTGCTACCGCTCGTCATAGATATTATTGAAATAAAATCAAATTCGATATTTCTTGAATTTTTTTTTATCAAAATTTCTCAATTTTTCTTTTTTGTTGAAAGTTTGGAAAATCATCATTTTCCACTTGCCAAAACCCTAATGAAGCTATTTTTGTGTTGCATTTAGTTCGAAAATATCTGAAGAATACTGTAGTCAGCCCTTTTCAACTCGTTAAACAATTTGATTTTTACAGGACCCCCAAAGACTGAAGGACGCATTCCCTTCGTCGAACAAAGTCGTCGTTGACAACAAGAAGAAAAAGATGAAGATTACCCTGAATCTCTAAAAACTTTCCCATTTCATGTAGCAATCATGATAATCATGTGTAATAACTTTTTTTCAAACCATCCATATATCTTTTTGCTTCCTCAACCCTCACCACCAGAAATTCTTATCGTGTAGATTTTTTTTTTTGCTTAAAGTTTTCCATCTGTTTTTCCTTGACAATTTTAAAACTGATCGGGTATTTAAGTGAAAAGTAAGTGTTTTTTTTTGTCAGGTATCATTAATAGTTTCTTTCTGAGTAGGTCCAAAGTCGGTGATGTTTTACTACGCCTTTCAACGGGATCGTCACAGGATGTACACTTTCTTTTTTTGCTAATTTTTCTAAAATTTTTCCGCCGATCCCGGTTTTTGTTGTAGAAATCTTTCTTTCGAATCATGTTCCAGACTTATCAATTGAGCAATTTCTGTTGATCATTTTTCTGTTTTATTTATTTTTGAAAATGGTTCTTTTTCTGTAAAACGGCCTCATTTCGCCTTTTGCAATTGTTTTCACATGTTTGCTCCGTTGTTGCGTTCTAATAAAAAAATTTAATAACAAACTGATTTTTTTGAAAGTTTTTTTCACCATTTTGCACATAAATGTGTACGGTTCCGACCGCTACGTTATCGCACTACGAAAAAAAAAAAGAAATTTAGATATTTTGAGGATCAGGTTAAAAAACTCCTTCCAACTAAGTTTGAAAAAGAACCGAGAAAAGGCAAAAAATAATCGGAACGAAAAGTTTGCTATTTTGCTATCATTTGTTTACTCTGAATCGGTTGCTCGCGTTATTGATAAGTCTTTGAGGTCAGTCAAAGGACATCTCAATTTTATTATGGTTTTTCATTTGTTTCTTATGTGTGCTCATTCATCTGAACGCTTCAGTCCATCTAGTGGTTCCATCGAACAAGGTGAAACATTTCTGAAAGTTCAAAAGGTTCGATAAAAGAAAACAAATTGAAGAAAAAGCTTTTTCTGCAGTTTAAAAAAAAACTAGAAGAATAAATATTCAAAATTAGCTGAGAAGGAAAGTTCAGGTCAACTTTTACCTCCGATAAGCTGAAATATTGATTTCTACTTGTTGCTCAGCTTATTATCGGCGTGATTTTTTCCCTGTCGCAGTTTGACTCCATTTTGAACGTGTTTTCATGCTTGAAGGTTCAATAAGGAGATCTCGATCTCCGTTTTCCACAATGGAGATCCATTTCGAGGGCGACGCCGAGGAATGTCGCGCCACTGTGAAAAAGTCCAGCGAAGGCAGCTATGTGCAGAAAGACGCGGTTCGACTCCAGAATACGTTCAAAAATATGTTCAAAGCTTTCGTTGCGAAAAAAAAATAAGAATGTACATGGAGGACTTTATGAGCCGTTTGTTGTAGCATTTTAGATCTCTAACGCCTTTTCAAACGTTTTTAAACTTACTAGCCACCAAAAATTCAATTTTAATCGTGTAATAGAATCGGAACTCTTGTCCTGTAAATCAAAAAAAAAGTTATCTTATTTTTGAAAAAAAGTCACTTGAAAAAAAGTCGAATATTGAGATAACCGCTGAAAAAATATGAGTTAGATTTCTAACAAGGCTGTCGCCAAACAGTCGTTCAAAATCTGACCTCATTTGGCGCTGAAAAAAGTATATTTCTGGTATACATTGATTGTTTTGAACTAGATACACGAAAAAAGGGTGTGAAAAATTTTCCAGTTATGTATGTTGTACAGGTTCTTTTCATAGTAAAGAACCACTTTCAGAAATTTGGGGAAGAAAAAAAAATCATATTCTCACGTTTCTTGAAGTTTAATGAATTCTAAAAAGAAATAGTAAATTTTTCTCTTAATGAAAATAACTGTTTCATTTTTCAACCATTCTATCGGAATAACACGGTAAAAATTGCCAGGTGCTACTGGAATACAAAAGCTCGGACGGCACGGTCGGCAGGATAAAAACGCCTTCAGAAGGCGTCGTCAGATTCACCGCCGGACTTTCTAGAGGCGTCGCCTTGGTCAAGGTTTTCTATCCTTTTTTTCCTGGGATTCTCTTGTGAATTTTTTTATTTATTTTTTTCCATTTTTTTCCAGGGGCAATTGATCGCGAAAAATCGAAGAATGCACCCATGCGATCGTCATCAAGGACATGTGTGCAACTTGTGGAAAAAGACTTGCGACAGTAAGATTTATTTCTGAAAAAAATGCGAAATATTTTTTTGCGACTTGAAATTTTCCATAGTAGCAACTTTTTACTTTTTATAATATAAATCAAAAAAACGATTTTAGTTCGTAAACAATATCCATTCGAACAAGTAGAAAAAAATTGAAAAGAATTGAAAAATTTTGTGTAAGTATGCTCGATAGAAAGATCCATAGTTTGTGGTTTTTTTTTTTCGAAGAAAGCTTATGTTCGAAGTTGATATGGGGTTTCAATGCTCAAAAAAGGGCAGTTACAATGGTTTCGTATGTGAATCGTCCTCAGAAGAGGCGGCCGAGCTGGCGAGCGGCTGGAATCCTCCTCGGCCAACGTTTCCATGATCCATCACGTTCCCGAACTCATTGTTTCCGACAAGGTTTCCGTCTTTTCCGCCAAAATTCAAATTTTTTTCAGCTGGCGAAGGAAATTGGCTCGCAGGACGAGAACAATCTTCTGGCGACTCGAAAATTGGTGCTCCTAGTCGATTTGGATCAGACCATCATTCATACGACCAATCGGCCGATGAAGCTTGATAAAAAGAAGGTGAGAAGTCGTCAGAAAAGGGGAATCCCCCCAAGAGGTCATTTCCGTGGGAAGTTTGCAATTTTCTGAAGGTTCACTCAAACACTCGGAAGGTGGAGATTGAGATTCCTGACCTACACAAACTTTTTGCGATGATTTTTACGATTTTAACACAAACTTGAATATTTCTTGAGATTGAATGTCTCAAAAACTAACAATTTTCGCAGGTGGAAATTTTCATGAAAAACAAACCTTCAGGGACTTTTTGGGAAAGTCTTCAGAAAATTCTAGACCAAATTGACTTATCATCTTCTTTCTAGCTCCTGAAAGTTATTTTTCCAAATAAAGACAAAAATCTGCGTGTTCAGCACTCGGATATTGTTCGATACGAGCTGATGGGCGGCAGATACATGACAAAACTTCGGCCCAACACGACGAACTTCCTCCAGAAGCTCAGCGCCTTGTACGAGATGCACATCGTGACCTTCGGCCAGCGACAGTACGCTCATCGGATCGCCGAGGTCAGCAGAAAACTTTGAAACTTTTATTCCGTCTTCAGAGTAGGCTCTCTGCTGAATCATGGAATAATTGAAGAGTTGTTTGTCGGTTCGCGATAATGTCGTTGATCAAGCATAAACGGTGCGTAGAGCATCTCGTCTCTCTTGCCATAGTAGTAGACGAGTTTCGAGCGTTTCCGACGATCACTGCTTCTTCATGTAGGAACAGTAAGGCGCCCACCTTGTCTAGAGCTGGCGAGCGTCCGATTTTATCAGGCGAAAGCCGAAATGAAGACGAAACACTCCGAACCTGGAATCTCCGAAGCTCGAAAAGCGTGGAAAAACTGCAAAATTTTCCAAAGAAAAATTGAGCTGCAATCTTTACTATTTTTCAATTTGACATGTGCGCAGTCAACGAATCGCATCGATTGAGATGAGATAAAGTATGCTAAAATTTAGGGAGTATATTCTTTTTTAAACATACGGTATCTTTGTTATAGTAATATTTCTTTACAGCCAGAGCAAAAGATCATGTACAAAAATGGCTTTTTCAAAAACGAGCCTGAAATAAATGAATAAAAAGCACTGCCACCCTCCTAATGTGTCTAAAAATAAAGAGCGCAACACATTTAGAGGCCGGGCGCCCTCTAATAAATACATGGCCCCTTTAGCTTTCTCACTTTTCTCAGCCAATCTTCAAGTACCCACTTTTCAGAAAGTTACCCGAGAAACTTCCAGATCTTGGACCCGAATCAGAAGATTTTCGGACATCGAATTTTGTCTCGCGACGAACTTTTCTCGCCTCAACACAAAACTCGAAATCTTCAAGCCTTATTTCCATGTGGAGATAATCTTGTAGTGATCATCGATGATCGGGCTGACGTCTGGCAATATTCAGATGCTCTTGTTCTGGTAAATTTATCAGAGAGATCCAAATTTCACCTTGCAACTTTTTTTTAGATCAAGCCTTACCGGTTTTTCAAAGAAGTTGGTGATATCAATGCCCCCAGTGCGGCGAGGGGAAAGGAGCAGACGTTACCTGTCGAAATAGGTTGATTTTAGTTTTTATCTCATTTCTCATAAGATGAGTAATTATTCAGAAGATGAAGCTCACAAAGACAACATCCTGGAAGAAATGGAGAAAGTCCTGACGAATATCCATTGCAAATATTACGAACTTCACGATGCCAAGCCCAGCAGCGATCCCTTGTATGACGTGAAGGTAAGAGACAAAAATAGTATTATTTTGTTCCATTTGTGGTCGCAAATGAAATGGCTCCCTGAAATGGCCTTCGGTTGTATTTTTGCAACAGTTGAACTTTTTTTTTTCGATTCCGTCCTCTAGCCAGAACCTTTCATACAGAAACTGAATAAAAACCTACAATGTATTTTTTTTATTCCCCGATTGTGGGAATAATGAAACGTAGGAACTCATAAAATCTTGTTAAAGTTTTCCGAGAACGAATTTTCAAATTAAGAAGGTGTTTTCGAAAAGTTTCCCGTTTTCTTAATGCTTCTTAATAATTGCGAAAATTTGAAAGGTTTTCTGATTCTATTTCACGAATGTTTCCCTCACATTCGCCTTTAATTCCAGTTTTAAAACCTTGAATTTTTCTTGTTATAAACGGAAATAAAAAGGCTGTTCGGATCTTCATTATAACATTGAAAGGCATAACCGAAATCTGATTCTCCAGAGTGTGATAAATCGTGAACGACGAAAGATTTTGGACGGAGTCAACATTGTGATGTCCGGAATAGTACCTGTTGGAGAAGCGATGGAAAACACGGAGGCCTATCGTCTCGCCGTTCAATTCGGAGCTGCGGTTTTCAACTCTCCTCCTTCTTCTATTTTGTTGATTTCAGGTCGCTGCAACTGTTTCGCCTTCTGTGACGCACGTTGTTGCTGCGCGGTGGGGCACGAAGTCCGTTTTTTTCTATTTCATGATTTTTTGACCAGTTGTGGTTGATCTTTCCTGAAAGATTTTGAAAGAAGTATGGAAAATTAGAAAATCAGCCGAAAAAAGTTTGACTGTCCAAACTTCTGCGTTTTTGTCAAAAATTCAATAAGTATGTGATAAGATGATATACTTTTGATGCCGCAACGCGTGAATTTGCGTTGAAATGGAACTGCTCTGAGAATCTTTTTGAGAGTCATATAAGCTATTTTATTTATTCGACTCACAAGGAAAGTGTCTGGGGTGAACATCGCAGATCTGCTCCAAACTTCTGTGGTAGATGTTCCCAGGTATGAATACTCTAAAATGAAGAGAAATATCTGCTAACCAGGAAACGTTTTTTACCCCCCGGTTGAACTTTCGCTGAAACTTTGCTCGAGTGTACTTTAGGACCTCCTGATTCCAGAACAAGAAAAACATTTCTCGCAATAGATCTGGTTTCTGAGTTTTGGAGCTTCAAAGTGTGCAAAATACGCAAATTAGGCCAAAAAAGCGCTATTTCGGGCTTTTGAAGTGTCCTAACTCGAAAACGAGATCTATTGCGAGAAATTTTTTTCTTGTTCTGGAATCAGGAGGTCCTAAAGTACACTTCAGCAAAGTTTCAGCAAAAGTTCAACCGAGGGGTAAAAAACGTTCCCTAGTAAGCGCCTTAGAGTGTTGGGAAACAGCCTGTCGAAAATGTACAGGAAAAGCTCAAAAGCTGATTTTCTTTGGTTTTTCGATTTCTTAAACTTCTACTTGTATTCACTTCATATTTCTGCATTATAAAAAAAAACAAAAAATAATAATAAAGCACGAAAATTACGAAAAAAAAAATCAAGAAAAATGGCTCTTTTAAATTAGTAAGCGAAAAAAAAAAACCGAATTCGTTTTTGAGCTTTTCCTGTACATTCTTGACATGCTATTTATCCTAAGGCGCTTAGCAGATAGTTCTCTTTGTTTTCGAAAACACATACTACCTACAAACAGAAGTTTGGACCGTATCGGTGGTATGAAAAAAAGGACCAGCGAAAATTCAAACGACGACTTTTCCGATTTTTTCATTTCGCTAGGGAACTTTCCGACGGCCACCTTTCCGACGAATCCCTTTCCGACTTTTTTCCCTTATATTTTTCGGTTTATAAAACATCTATAAATATTTTTTTCCTATTTCTTTGTGTTTTATTCATGAACCAACTACCTACTTTATATAGGAAGATTTAAAACGAAGATTTTATCGAGAAAAAAAGTCGGAAAAAGATTCGTCGGAAAGGTGGCCGTCGGAAAGTTCCCTAGCGATATGAAAAAATCGGAAAAGTCGCCGTTTGAATTTTCGCTGGTCTTTTTTTCATACCACCCCGTATCTGCGATGTTCACTTCACACACTTCTCTTGTCAAACACAAATATACATAATTCCATTTTCTCTTAATCGTTTTTTTTTTCATTTCAGCAAAGTTTACGCGGCGAAGAAACTCGGAATTCACGTCGTGTCTGTCTTTTGGCTCTATGCTTGCGTTGAGAAATGGGCCAAGGTAAGAGTAATTTGATCAGTTGACTGCAAATCGAACGGCTCTTTTTAGGTAGAGGAAGAAGCGTTCGAAATGACAGAGGACACGGTAGCGCCGAAGGGCCGGCCCTTGGGAAGCAAATTTATCGATTTGGCCAATGTTAGCACTATCGGCAAAAATGCCATTGCCGATATGAACTCCGAGGTTTTCTAGGTTCCTTTGTAGATTGATTTGAAGGGAGAGAAAAACCGAGAAAGCTATTGTTTTGCAAATGCCCCTGACAAGGAAGGTCATTTCTTTTTGGTTGGGATCATCATTATAGCTGCATTATACGAGCAACTGGAAAACTGCCAGACGTTCAAACAAATTTGACAGCATAGATCCTTCATTATCACCTTTTTTTGAAATTTTTTTTTTTTAAACTTCAATATGCTGTTTTCAAGAAATTTAAGAAAAGAAATCCTCTGGATGTCACTGGTAAAGTTTTTTTTTCAAAAAAACATTTTGCTTCAATGAATTTTCTCCCTGTTTATGAGATGAAATTCAGAATTACGTTTTAAAAAAACGGAGTACTGAGCAAAAAAGTAGCGACCCCGCAAATGGGCGGGCCTTGGCGGCCCCTAGCTATAGTACTCCCTAGACGTAGGTTCTCTACGCAAACATTGTCTCTACGCAGAATTGCATTCTGAAAAATTGGAAACTGTGTTTAAAATCTAATGAGGTCTTTCGTAGCTTTTCGGTGCCTATCTGCTTTCTTTTATGGTGTACTATTCAAAATAACCAAAAATCCATCAATTAGTGCCTTCTAAAGTTTTCATCCGCAAGTGCGTCAAGATTAATCTTTTTTCAAAGAAATAACATGTTTTCTTCCCACAACAGGTTGACGAGGCTTTGTCTGAAGACGATGAAGACGAAGAAGAAGATGACGAGCCGTCAAGCAGCGGCGAGTCCAGCAAGCCAGTTGCAAGTCAGAAGACGTCGGATCAGGCTCCTGAATTACGAACTCCAGTCAAGCACAAGACCGACGACGGCGACGAGGCTGAATCGGCGAAGAGGCGCAAGCACGCGCCCGAAGAAGAGTATGAGAGCTCTCCTGAAGTGAGATTCTCATTCTTAAGTTCCACCATCTTCTCATTGGTTTTCAGGAGTCTGATGACGACAACGAACCTCCGATGAGCTACCGCAAGCTCGTTTCCAAGTCGAAAAGAGAGGGGCGGATGGTTGAACAAGAGGAAAAGCTGGAAGTCGAGGAGTTCGCTCCGAAGACGTCTGGAAACGAGGAAGACTCTGAAGAGGAAGCCAAAGAAGACGTCGAGTCGGATGACGTCAGCGGCGGGTCGACCGAAGACGAAGACGACGAGGAGATGGACAGCATGGCGGCTCTCATCGAGAGGCAGATCAGCGGCGTCGAAGACCCGTCTTGATCTCAAATCTTTTTCGAGATTTCGATTCTTTTTGGAAACTTTCCGAAAATATTTAAAGTAATCATTGGCTTAGAACTTGTCTCACTTCAGGAGAAAAGAAAATAATCAAATTTCGTGAGAAAAGCTGAAACTTCTTAATTATCCATGGCTAATTACGGTTTTTGAAGGCTGTAAAAATCTTATTGTGCATTTTCTTTTAATTAAATTTTGTAACAACGAGTTTTCATTAACTTCAATGGCTGTTTAATGTTTTTGATTAATGTTTTTGTTTTACTTCGATTGTAGCGTCTAATTTTTGTTTCATTCTCTTTATCTATTCATTTTATACTGCTTCTCATCGGTGTATTTATTTGATGCTAATTTTCTGATTTAAAGTTTCGTCGACTCATATCGTTATCTTTTTTTGTGCCTCTGCTCTTCCCAGCGGGTAAGTTTTCGTTTTATCGATACTCATTCAAAGGTTGTTTCTCATCCGAGATCACTTTTTTTCTCATTTTGCTCAACTACGATTAAGTTTTATTAACTATTTTGTGCACATTCATTTGATCATTATATTTCAAACACGAAATTTTGCTCCGATAACTTTCCCATCCTGTTACAATGATTGCGATCGCAATAAATCTGAGACTGTCGTTTATTTTGAATTTCTGTATTAGTTCGTTGACTTAAATATTATTTAGAAGATGAAAGTTACTTGAAACAATAGTCGGGACTTTTCAGAATTATGACGAGTTGGAAAATAACTTCTTCTAAAAGTTTATTCGTTTTTGCGACAATTGTCTTAATAGCTTTCGCAGCAGAATCTGAAGGTTTGATTTAATTTTCGAGGTTTTTTAAGGACGGCTCTATCTAAACTCACTGGTTATGGGATCCTCAACATTCCAGTTCATTTTTAGGACGAAAAGGTTGGCAGAACCCCAATGATCCCACATTTGGTAGGTATAGTGCTCCTTCTCTTCAAGGGAAAATAATCGACTCCCGAGGGCTTTCTGAGGTAAAAAAAAACAGCGATCGAGAAATTTTTCACATATTAGGTAACTTCACCTGCTCCGCCCACAACAGATCAGAATTTCAACGTTTTTCGATTATTCGTTAGCCAGTTGATGCGAGAGTTAAAAGTTGATGTGGATGAGCCGGATCGGGTTGATAAAAATATGCGGTGAGCTTTTGAAGACTTGAGAAGAGGAAAGCTACGGCAAAGTTGGAAAATTGTCGTCGATTATTGCGTCGGGCTCAGCAGACTTGGAAAGTCAAAAGTTTCTGATTTCGGTTTTTTTTTCAGAAAGTTTTTTTTTGCGAAGAACTTCAATTATAAAACTCATTCACAACTTCTTGCTTCTTCAGAATTTCTTCTTCAAATCATCACAAAGAAAGCTAATCTTTTTTTTTTCATTCACTGATAGTCAAAAGAAGACTGGTAGGCGCGGCAAAAAGAACTCTATGAATCATGAGTCAAAACGTCAAACCAGCTGTCTGCATACCAGATTCAGACCTAAACGGCAATTTTTCGACTTATTGAAACGCAGCTTTTTTTTCGTCTTTGAACTTTGAACTCTATTCTGTAAAAAGAAACGAGACGATCAGACTTTCGATGTCGAAGCATGCCGTCTCCGTGTTGTCGAACTACCTGAACGGCAAAAAGCCAGACAACCAGGCGAGTCGCGAAGAAATCCGCTCTGTCCTGTCCGGCGTCTTCTCACTGGTGGAGCAAGTCTGCTCTATCGAAATATCATCCAGTTTTATTTCAAGTCTGAAGAGCAACTTCCGACGCGGTTCGAGGAAACCATGCAGAGGATGTGGCCCTGGATCGCTACCGGCAACTTGTTCATTTTACCGGCCGCCGTCTTTTTCATTGTAAAGTCCATTTTGAGGCGAGTTAGTCCTCTTCAGGAAAGTCAGAAGGAGTTGTTCCCTGATTATAATGGATTATCTCACGAAGGAGCTGTTTTTCAACTTATATTTATAATTTTCAGTTCAGGGTTATGCTGTTTTTCAACACTTATCTTTACAGGCCGAGAGCTTTTTGGGTCATAATTGTTTCTACCATCTTCCTGGTATCTGTATATACTACTTACAACAAGAAATATCAGGTTAACGGCAAATTTCATTTCAAAAAACCTTTCTTTGCTCAGGAAGCTGAGGCTCGTCGGTTTGCCCAAATTCAAATGGCCAGAAAAGGCGATCCTTGCGCTCCAGAGGGCCTGGCCCAGCGACTGTTCGATTCCCTCACCTCTTTTGTTCATTTTCGGAGGAAGACTTCTTGTCAGGAGTACATTGAAGTATTAATGAGCCAAATTCCCTTTCAAATGGTTGGTTTTAGGCTCAAACCATGTCCATTTTCAATGAAATATCATTAGTCGAGACGTTTTTTGAAGTACTTTCAAGCGGATTTTTCTCCATGTTTTCTGGTAGTGCTACCCACATCAACAAGTTCTTCAAGTATAGTGAGAACTCTCGATTCTTGGATCAACAGTATTTTCTAGGAATTTGTACGATGGAGCTCCATTGCTCGCCCAAATCGTAATGACCGCTTTCCTGGTATTAATTTTTGATTGAAACATCTAATTCTGATAACTCAGATCCTCGTTGTTGGCAAAATCAAAACACCTTTCTTCTCCTACGAACCGGCAGGTGGGTGGTTAGGAAATTGTTGCTCGATGATTGCTTTTTGTTGGAATTTTGAAGGAGCTTCAGCTTATTTTGAGAAAACCCCAGGACGAAGAACCGCTTTCAGTGTTGTCCTGACTGACTCACGTCAAGCTTTTGCGTTTTTGAACTTCGAAGATTTTCTTAAATCTCGATCTATTTTCAAAAAGTTTCAGTCACTTTGAGCTCCGTCGGAGACGCCATGGGCGCTATGGTCAATTGGGTGACGGAAGATCGTCCGGAACATTTGAGAATAGCTGAAGCACAGCCAACGGCTTCTTCGACTCACAAATCTATTTCAAAGTTTATTCTCAAACGAAATGTCCATAAATTTCGTGTATTAAGACCGTCGAGAAGAGCTATCGAGAATAAGAAAGAAACTGAAGTCACGAAAAAAGGGAGAAAGTTTATTTTTTATTTTGTTCGAAACTCATATTTTACTTCATAGGATTGAAAACGAGGATTATCTTCGAAAAAAGGCGGAAGGAGAAAGCGCAGAGAGTTGTCTGAGCGATTGTTCTCAGGTGAACCATATCCTAGTTTTTTTAAAACATAACTTTCAAGGAAGTTATTCTGGAAAAAAACGTACGAGCATCATTAAGTTAGACAGTTATTATTAAAAATGAAAAGGTTCTACTGGAAATATAAATTTTTTTGGAGTTGTAATAATTTTTTTCTGGACTTTTCGAAAAGATTATGTCAGTAGAAGAAAGTTTAGTTCATTTCATAGAAAGTTTAGATTCATTTCTATCAATAACGGGTTTTTATGCTTTTCAAGTGTTCTTAGAAACGCAATTTTAAGTGTTTTTAGATACCACATAATGGAACTTTGATCTCTGTCCACTTTTTACTGTCTGCATTTTCTAACTTTTACGAATTTGATCGTCTATTTTTCGGAAATTGACGCAGTTTTAGGTGACCGACGATGAATCCTCTCTAACGCCTTCTGGAAGCAACATCACCTTCAGAAAGAGTCCGCATAATCGCGGCAAACCTTTGAGAATCAATGACGATGAGAGAAACTCTTTGAACACCTCGAGCTCGAAATCTAAATAATTTAGAACTTGTCAGCTGTAGATAACTTTACGCTTTACCATGGGGGCCACGCTTTACGTCAACTAAAATTAGACTTGCCAGTTTCATTTTCTCTTATTTTGCCATACTTGTGTCTGACATTCACTCGTACATTTTATTCTTGAGATTGCCCGAACTAAGTGAAATTTAACTGATATTATATGAATTAAAATCCTTTCAAACTAAGAAAATGTTCATTTAGAAACATCTGAGTTCTGTGCTCGAGAAGAGAGTTTGAGGAAATCGGACGTGACGTCGTCGAGGGTCGAGTAAGAGACGAAGGCGTCGCTGGCCGGCCGCTTCTGCGCCTCGGCGTTTAGAATCCCTTCGATGGTTCTTTTGTGAGTTAAGATCTGAAGTTCTATCGGAATAAGACTCTGAATCCCTTCAAGTACCATGTCAGGAGCATCTTCGGCCAGGAGGTCTGGGTTGATGTGGGACAGGATTTTCAGCTGTTCTAGCATCGCATACTGTAATACTGATATAACTATAGTAAATGGGCCTCTGTTAAATTTTTTTTTCATTTTTCGAGCCGGTTTTTTGAAACCTAATCAATTATGAAGGACACCCTATGTTGGTTCAAAGATCACTTTTTCTGGTACCACAGGGGCTCTAAAAACCCAATATGGAAAGCATTTAGAAACATTTTTCAACTTTAGAATCTATGAAAATGTTTCAGACCTTCGCAATAAATCATAAGCTCAATATGTTTGAGCGAAATGAAAGGTGCAAAACAATTAAAAACGCACAAATTTCACGTCTGAAGGGGCCGAATTACTTAAAAGTCTCATGGTGAGATGAGATCTTCCCTTATAAGTTTATTGCTTGATTTGTTTTTCACCTGGTAAGGCCATCTTCGAAGAATGTTGACAGCCGCCGCGAGAGCTTTCTCGTTGAGTCTGATGTCTTCGGCTTGGATCAGAGCCGGCAGAATCATGCAAACTCCCTTCAATAGAAGCTCATTATCCTTTTTTCTCAAATATGGAGACCTGAGACACCAGCCAGTTGTAAGTTTCGTCATCAGCAGTCGACAAAAGGTTGGCAACAATCCAGAGACACTCCTGGAAAGATTTAGATTCGGATGAAGTCCCTTTGAACGGAAACTTTGCGGAAACGAGTATGAGTTGAATGGATGCCTTCCAATACCCAGATGTAGAAGTTGTCGTGGCTCATCACTGGGAAAAGTGCAGTTGAAATAAAAGAATATTTGAAGCTTTTAATTTCATTTTATTCTTCGCTACTGTTTTTTCTCACTTTTCATAGTTAATAAAATAATTTAGCTTTCTATCCCAAAAGAAGAAATGCTTTACAGTTGATAGAGACACAACGTCTATTTCTTACGATATTTGACGTGTCGATGCTGTCCAGCGGCGATATTCGAGCAGATCCATGCGATTTCACAACGATGCCTTTCGCTGCCCATCGCGACGCCCTGAAGCATCTTTGTGTCATTTTTTGTTTTTTTTAAAACTTGCTCAAACATTCCCTGAAAACCTAGAAAAATCTCCCTGTGCAAACTTATACTTTGGAGCTGTGAATTTTTAAAGTTTCAGAATGTGAGTGGGGCCTCATTTCGTTTCCAACGAAAACTTTGAGAGTATGTGTTCCAAAAACTAGAAGTTCTCACAGGTTTCAGGAATCCTACACCAGACTTTCAGCGAGTGTTTGAGTAAATTTTGAAAAAATTCCAAACACTAAAATGACCTCCCTTGTGAGATCAAACTCACGATGACGTTCTCCATCTGTGGAAAGCCAAGGAGTGTGTCTGTCTGACTGTCTGTCCCGACAGCGATGTTCCCAAGAAGCCGCAGAGCTGGCACGTGCAAATGCTTCAGGCTTTCGTCCTTAACGAGGATCGGGGTGTCAATTTTTTTCATTTGAAATAAATTCGTCACACGGGCAGTGGCTCCGCCGTAAAGCTTTTTCACTATAAAGATGCAGTCGACCGAAAAATCTTGGTTGAAGCTCAAAGCTTTGACTAGAAAATCAGAGTGACTTAACTTCCACTTGCGGCCAGATTTTGTTGCGAAACAATTTTTTTTTCAACTGTAATCATAATGAAACTGACCAGAAATATCATCATGACGTTTTCCAACAACCTCGGTTGTCTCGTTATTATTTGAATCTGCAAAAGTATACTTGATTCGCAACGGCTTGAAAAAGTCTGACGTGTCCGCGCTTTTTTTTCCCTTTTTTGCTTTTTTTAAATGTTATTTTCCTTTTTTACTGACCACGACAGCAACAAACAATTTTACGGACAGATCAGACTTTTCAAAATATGAATTTCTACACCGCTTCCCGCAAGTTGAAGAGTTCAAACCTTGCTGAAGTCGTTGACGTCGTCGGCCATGTGGGCTAGAGACCAGAGGATTGCATTTGCCTGAGTGCTCAGTTGGTCGTCGAAAGAAATCAGCCGCGAGTTCAAAGCCCGGACAACGCAGTCGGCCGTCTCAATTTTGAGTTTCTCAAAGTTTCTCCAAATAATGTTGACTGACCGATTTTGAAATCGAGACTCTCCCTCCTTGAACAATGTTTTGAACGCACCACACGACCGTTTGAAGATTGCTTGTCGATAATGAGCGGTCGTTGAGTTTGTGAGCGAGCAGCTGCAAAGGTTACTTCATTCACGAAGATTTGAGATATGGTGGATTACAAAAGGTGCATCAAAGTTAAAAGCGCTTTTATTTTGGTGAAATGTATTGAACCTTCATCATCCTGGACGTCCTGCACTTATCGCGGCATTCGCGACAATCCGCCGCGATATTGGCGACGACCCAAACGCTTTGCAGGGCCAGACGACTGTGTGAAGACGTCATGTTCTGCATCAGAGTGCGGAAGCAGCTCTGCACTATCAGTTCAAAGCAGAGGCTTCCTTTGCCCGAACCGTCTTGACTAGTTTGTGATTGATCTCCTGGCCGATGCAGCTGAGGTTGGTTAGTGCCCAGGTGGCTTCGAATTTGACGTCGTCGCTCGCCAATTTACATCCGATTATTCTCACCAGCTCTTCTATCTTCAATTTTCGAAAAGTTAAGGTGTCCATCTTATCAATTCTTCTTACAATGTCTTTATAAAAATCGACTTCTTTTGGCAATGCGTTCTGATCCGTACTAAAAAATTGACGAAAATAGTGAACAGCTCCAGCCTGACGTCAGGGTCATGACCCAAAATTGTTTTTTCAAAAATTTGATTTTCAAACCTTGGCACAAGGACAACTGTCTTTCAGTAAAACTGTGTACATTTTTATACGAGAAGCAAGTGTCTGAAGTTTTTTTTTTCTTTTGGAACTTTATTTAATTGAACCTCTGAAATCGGCTGTGGAATGACAATCAATTCAGTGTCTGATTGTTTAATGACGTTTGCAGCTTCCTCTACCATCCTGCTGAAGAAAACGTTAAAGAAATGCTTTGAATCACGTTAGTTTGATCTTTTTTGATAATGATCTTCAGAAAGGTTCACACCGCTTTGATTTTCGAAAAAAAAAATTAAATTTTGGAGAGCTGCTTTCGTTGGACGGAAAAACCGAAGCGGAGCCGCCGGGGGGTGCAACCGCTCAGTTGTCAGAGCGCTTCTATTTCTGTTACTGTAGCCCATTCAGCTGCAATGCACACAAAAACATTCTGTTCGACGCCATTATTTTTTTAACTCTGAAATATATATATTGAAATATAAAAAGTTATAACTTTTTTTATTGTATACAATTACCTTTTTTTAAATAGAGCTTCACTCTTGTAGAGTTACTTCCAATTAAACCTAACGACCATACCTTACGAAAACAATACTTTCCGATCGATGACTGTTTTTTTTTTGCTCAGTCCTTGTGTCACCAGAGGGGCATCGAGTTAAGTTTTGTTTTCTCTCGAATTTTCACCTTATTAAAACAAGTCGATGTTTCATTTGGAAATCGGCTCGATGAGTTTCTAAATTTTTTCGATAAAAATGATTTGCGAAAGTCCCGTTTTTTTTTTTCCATTCTTGTTCAAATTTATGTTAACCAATGGTTTTTCAGCTTAGCCAGTAACTTTTTTTTTCAATGACCAAACGTTGGGCAGAAATCGAAGCTTTCATTTTTTTTTTTTAAAGTTTTCTACCGGGTAATCAGATTCTCAAGAATAATTAACATTTTATCAACCGTTTCCCATAACTTTTTTTTGTAAACTTGCATTGTAGACGACAGCTGTTTTTGGTATCATCACTAAGAATAACTGACGAGATAAACGCGAGGTCGGTGGCGGTACATTGACGAACTCGCAAAAATCTCGCTTTTTTCTCGCGCCGGTCTCTCATTTTTCTGGGCGCGACCTTGCACTTTTCTAGGCGCGAGCTCGCATTTCTCTCGCATTTTGAAAAATTCCGAAATGCAAGATAAATGCGAGGTCGCGCCGAGAAAAATGCGAGCTCGCGACCAGAAAAATGCGAGACTGGCGCGAGAAAAAAAGCGAGATGTTTGCGAGCTCGTCAATGTACCGCCAGTGTCTCGCGTTTATCTCGGCAGTTATTCTTAGTGGTTTTCTCTGAGAAATTTGTACGAGAGAGAAGGTAGCAATGGGGCGAACTTTCACTTTTGTTTAGGGAAATGGTTCGTGAAGGCTGACGTAGAAGGGAGTGAGTGTGACGAACGCAGCTTTTCCTTTATTGATCAAACTTTTATGTTTGCTTTTTTTAAAGATAAAAGTTTTTAAACTTCACAGTAAGACGTTATTTTTGTCCAATATTCTTCACATTTTTCTATTGATAATCGGTAGTTTTTGCTGCCGTTTTGTTTATTGTTTGGCCTGTTTTTTGGTCTTTGATTCGTTGAACAGTTCTCAAATTTTATTCTTTCAAAGACCGATACGTTTGAAGAGGTTCACCATGGATTTCAATCGAGATGAAGGGAATGAGACTATCAGTCAAATCCAGGTCAACATTCAACAGCTGAACCAGCAAGGTTTTTAAACTTTTATCAATTTTTTCAAAACAATTTCCTCAAAGTATTTTTTTTAAGCTCTTTTTGATAATTTTATTTTTTGGACGAATTCATTTTTTTTTTCTTGCAGTCCAACAGCTCGACTCCTTCATAACCCGTTTGTCGGATAGCAGCGACAGTGGCGAACGCAACAGGCAACTTTTTAATGAGGTATCTTTGCGAGTTGAAGAAGCGCTAATAATACAATAAGTTTCCAGAAAGCGCAAAAGGCTCAGGAACTTTCGAAGGAGACGAACGCCCTGATGAAGAAGCTCGTTGGTTTCAGTAACACGAATGTAAATTATATTCTTTTTTCTATAACGCCGCCTTCAAAGCGATTCCGCGAAATTAGAAATGATCTCTCAATCTTCAAAATTTGGTTTTCTTTTTCACTCCGTGAACGTCATTTCTATTTAGCTGAAATCACTTTGAACGCGGCACAATAAAATTTCGAAAGTTTGACGTTTTCATGATATATTACGCTGTTTGCCGAAGTTCATCATTTCAGCGAACACTCCGAATACAGCGTGAACGTCTCCAGAATGAATATATCGGCGTGTTGAACAAACTGCAAGCTTCTCAAAGGAAAGCCGCTCAGACTGAGAAAGCCAGCATGAAACAGGTGAATATGCGATTGAAACGCTTGGGTAGTTTGAGATGAGCTTACGAACCGCGTACTCAAAGAAAAAACTTTTTAGAGCGGTTCAAAAAATATAGCCTCAATCGAATCAAGCCTTTGAGTTTATCAAGAATAAACAAGTTTCGAACTTCTGGGAAGAAAATTTAATAAAAAAAAATTCACGAAGTTGTAATTTCAAGAGTCTAGTGATTGAAGGAAGCCTGTTAAGATGGTACCGACTAAGTTGAACGAAGTTTTTGGACTAATTAATTCTTTTTTCTAAATGATATTGTGAAAGAGTTATCTCTTTCTTATCAATTTGTGATGCCGGTTTCATCTGTTATCGATGTCTCAATTCATAAAATTATTTGTTATCATTTTTCCCATCGGAAGTTTGATTTTGAAGGTGCGAGAAGCGGCTGAAATGGACGCCGAAGCAAGTAGAGCCGCAGAAATCGAAGCTTTCGGCGGCCGAGAACAGCAAATGTCGATGCAGCGACAGCAGAATGTCAACCTTCAAGAAATCAAACAACGCCAGGAGGTCTTCTGATCATCTTCCGATTTGAAAAATATTATATTCTTGGTTTCAGGCGCTCGTTCAGCTTGAACGTGACATAGGAGACGTCAATCAGGTTTGTTTATATTTCTCTCCACAGTAAACATTGTTGGGATTGTTTTTTAAACTTTGTTCCCATCAATGTCATAAATACTCTCGGATGCTGATGAGGGTAGACCAGCCGTGCCACAAAGGGGTATCAGCGGGGGCGCCCGTATTAAAACCCGTATGAGCACGGCTGGTAGAACTTTGCACTTTTTAGCACAGTTGGGTTTTATATTTTTGAAATAAACATAGCGGGGACAGCTAATTCTTACCCGTTGTAACGCCACAGAGACTCGAATAGCCTTATAAAAACGGATTATATCTTCGTTCGAGAAGTTGTTTTCAGATTTTCGCCGATTTGGCGAGCATCGTTCACGAGCAAGGCCAAGTCGTCGACAGTATCGAAGCGAATGTCGAACACGCGCAGATTCATGTCGAGCAGGTTTGAAAGTCTATATCGAGAAAAATTATACTTTTTCAAAATTATAAAGGCCTGAAACACCGATTATATAAGTCAAACGAACAATCAAAAGTAGAAAAAAAAGCAACGAATGGGTTTTTTTTTTCAAAAAATTTCGGATTTGAAAAAAGCAAAAAGATCAGGGATAACTTTTCATAGGATTCCTATGAAAAAAATATTTTATAATAGGACTTTTTTTGCTCGAAAAAAATGTTAAAAACCGAGTTCAATAAAAAGAAAGACAGGGATGTGAATGTGTTCTTGAACCACGTTTTAAATATTTTTCTATCTCCTGAATTTCGAATCCAGTTATTTTTCAAGCCTTCTTTTCTCTTCCAATCTAATAGGCTCAGCTTTTCTGAAGCTCTTTATTGAAATATTAGTTTTTCGAAATATCATTCGTTTCTGAGAACCAATGGAAATTCCAATTTTAAAGGGAGCTGCGAATGTCGAACAAGCCGTTTACTACAACCAAAAGGCGCGACAGAAGAAACTCATGTTGTTCATTTTCCTCGTTATCCTCATTTTCATCATTGGCCTCACCATTTACCTCGCCCGATGAGGTCGGAATCCGGAATCTTTGCTTCAAGTTTCTTGCTTCTCCGGCACGTTCCAATGTCTCTTTCTTCTCTCCTTCTTATCATTTCTATGGGATTTTTTTCTTTGAACTTTTAGTTTCTGCCGCCTTCTCTATCCTCTTTTAGCTGTGATATCTCTTCATTTTCTCATTACCTATGCTTTGAAAATTTCTATTAGAGCTTCTTTTGCGCTTTTTAATTGATTGCTTTTTATTTGTAACATAATTTTATGAGCTGGTTAGAGATTCGAGGTTTCCATCGGTTTTTGTTTCTAACACATTTATTTTTATTTTGAAACTGGTTCTATTGTACATCTTTACTTTTAGTGCCAAATATGTCTGTACTTATTTGTACGTGTTCTTTCATATTTTATACTAACAATTGAATTAACCCGATAAACTTTTTTAAACTTTAATTTCATGTTACGAAAAATGGTTCTGATATTCAATTTCGTATGGGATACATTTATATAATCAATTCTTCCCTTGAAAACCTACGAAAGAAGAAAATCATGGTTTGAAAACATATCAGAAAAAAAGCAACCGTATTTTCATCTTTTTTCCATCTTTGCTCTGCTAAACTGTCAACTAATTTTTCTATGCCTTCAGAATTTTAATTAACACACGTTCTCTGAGATTTTCGAAAATACGTTGGTACAATAATTTTCAAGTTTGTTTTTTCGAGCTGAAGTTCATGTCACATATACTACGCGACCTTCTTAACACATGACACCCGGTTTCGACAGGCTCCGCCCACTTTCAGGGTTATGGTGGAGAAAATACCGTAAAAAGCTAACTTTTTTCCTGGTCGAGCAAATCGGTTCAAACTAACTGTAACGCAAAGAGCACGTCATTTTGAACATTTTTCATGTTGGAAACTACTCTGGAAAAAATTGTCTTCTTGTGGAAAAAAATCGCTGAAAGTTGAAAAATGTCAATTTCCGCAGTTTTTGAGCTCTACTAAAACGGGGACCCCCGATGGCCTTGATTTTTATTTTCTCAATCGATGTATTGAGGTCTTGTGTGTTCGAAGAAAATATCCCTATATTCAAGTTTTAAGTGTCGTAGTACATCACCATCTCAAAGAACGCGTCCAACTTGAAATTGGCCAAGACTTCAAAAATCCATAACTTTTTTGAGAGTTTGATTTCAGTTGAGTTTCTGTTCTTGATGTACTACAACTAACTTGTTTTCAACTCAGGACAGTAAAAAGTGGAAAACGAAAACTTGAAAAATTTTAATTTTCAAGTTTTCGTTTTTGGACTTTTTTGTTTTTCCCCCAGCTTTTCCGTTTTTAAGCTCTGCTGAGGAGAGGACCCTAGAAGGCCTGGAATTTCTGAAAATTAGAAAAATTTGGAAGCTACTCCCAGCTCCTGGCAATGAAACAGACTGTTTCTATAGCCTAATTTCTCGACCAAGACATAAATTTTGCTGGAGCCGTTTTGCACGTGTGCCAGCAGGTCGTTATAGGATATTCATGTAAATTGGTTCGGCGAGACGGGCGACCCACGCAACTCTCCTGCCGCTTCTTTCTTTGGCCCTTCCTTGCTTTTCCTTTCTTTCTTCTGCAAATTTTTAATATTCATTGTGCAGACTTATCCACTCAAAGAATATCCAAGAAATTCGAAAAAAATATTCTTTGAGAAAAAAACGAAAAAATAGACTTCAACATTTTTTTGCTCTTATTACAATTTCCTACGCTCTTTGATGCAAAAGATGCCCGGAAGAGCGTTCGATTGTGGTAGGAAGTGAATAAATCTTAGTGCGGGATGTTCCACTATCGACTCTGCCATCCACGAGTCTCACGCTCCAACTTGCAATCTTAATGTCGAAGCGATGTAGAGAGACTCTCTTTTGACCGAACTCGAGATAGCTCTAATTAAGTGGCCAAGTGAACGGCTCCCCTTAAATCGAATCATATGCGCGATGATGCCGAGAGTTTCCCATAAATGACTCGAGAAAAACGCGGCCTGGAAATACGATTTTGAAAACGCCTCCCTAGACTTCTTCTCTCCTATCTGTCGTTGTTTTTCGTCTTACTTCATTTTTTTGCACATTCTATTCTATTTCACACTATACGGGATATGTTTTGTCTATCCTTGCTTTTTCTTCCTTCGAACCTATTATAGTTTTATGAAGCTCGGTCGTTATGTATTTTTTTCATTTTAATAGCTAAGGCGATATTCAAAAAGGTTTCGCAGTATCTCAAACTTTCTTTCACTCGATCCAAAATGGAACCTTTCATTTCTATCAAAAAACTGCAATTGTAATTCGACGGTTCCGACTAAAACTTTTTAAACAATTTTGTAACAACTTCGGCTGAAGAATTGCAAGGTAAAAAGGCGTTTTTGCAAACGAAGATGCGTGAGAAAAAAGCGCTTAGCTCCTCTGCCCAGCGGCTTCTCATCGAGTTGAGAAAATTCCTGAAGCGTCATTTCAAGTTTAGGTTTATGACAGAACATGTATATTTGGCTCTGCTAATCAACTTTTGTGAATTATTCGAGGTTGAAGACTCAGCTCGAGAAAAAGTGGCAGCAATCAATCAAAAGAAACCTCCATTACGGATTCATAATTTGAAACGAAAAGGCCGCCTCTAAATTTCACACTCGTTTTGTGTGACAGTGATGAAGGAAATATGGCAGAAATTGGGTTGGCGAGCCAATTTTTGATGAGAAAATGAGAGTCTTCGATGCCCAATTTTGCATTTTCCGTCTGTTTTACACTGGCACCTTGCCATTTCTGACCCTCGGGGCTTTCGACGCATTTTTCTTGCGTCCGTCACGTCGATACTACTTTCATCCAAAAGACCTTTTTACTCGAGACTTTGAGATTTCGCCGCCTTTGAATTTCAGTCTAGATTAGCTGAATATTGGAATGATCAGAAACGTTTAGAGTATCATTTGATGTCGCTTTTCAACCTTTACCTTCGCGATAAAGCGCAATCTAACAGAAGTGCTTCTTCTTCCCGGTCGCAAATCTCGACCTTATAACTGAATCGAGCGCTTCATTGGCTAAGAGAAAATATTGGAAATAAACAGGCATTCGACCGCTGGCGCGTATACTGAAAGAACCAAGTGCGTGCCGAAAAAGAGCGGAAAAGCCACTCGGAAGCCTTGGCCATCCAGATATCTCTGCCCATTCATTGTTTTCTATTCCCCAGCCACTTTGATCTTTCCTTTTTCTTTTTCTTTGTTTCCCGCTGACTTTCCATTATAATCATTGTTTTTTGAAAAATTTCCATCCTATCCCAGATCTTCTTGGGTTAAATTCAAAGTTCTGTACTTTAAAATTTTTTTCCGCTGTGAACTAATAAGATTGTCTAAGATTTTTGAAAGAGGAAAAAATTTTTACCGAAAATTCTTGTTACTGGTTGAATCATAGTTTTGTTGAACTCTAAGTGAAAAAAATAAGCAAAAACATGAATTTTCTAGTGAAAAAGCCCTATATTCGACGAAGAAAACTTGAGCTTTTTGGACCATGCAGGCCATTTCTGCTTGAAGCCTCTCTAACTAGGGAACTACTCGGACTCGGGTATGCGGATCGAGCTGAAACTTTAGTGGTTTATAGACCTAAGTTAGAACACTTGAAAACAAGTGAGAATAACTGCTAAACACAATGAAGAACTGAGAAAAAATAGTAGAAAATGTGAAAATTAGGCCTGAAAATTTTCAGAATACTGCTTTTTACCTTATTTTATATTTTAATACAATCGCGTTGAATGATCCGGCTATGATAAACTCTAAAAAACTTTTTTCAGCCAAAAGAAGGAGGAAAGCAAAAATTTGATAATTTTTAAGCCTAAAATGTTCATTTTCAAAAGGCTTTTTCTCAGAAGCCTATGTTGTTTAGCAGATAATTTCTCTTGTTTCCAAGTACTCTTACCCGGGTCTATAAGCCACCAAAGTTTCAACTCGAAACGCGTACCCGAGTCCGAGTAGTTCCCTAGTAAGGCCGGGCCGGGCTTGGAATATGGCCGGGGAGCCGAGAGACTGACGGCCATCGCACAAGCCTGAAAAATAGGGTTTTTGCAGGTTAAATTTCAGGATTTTCAAAAACATTTTTAAAAAGTTTTGAGCGTACTATTTCATCTCGTCGTTGACTGCTCAAAACTCTCTGGTTTTTCAGATAGGATTTTTTAAATGTTTCCATTAAGAGTATAGTTGAGTATCCGAAATTCACAAGGCTAGAACTTTAAATTTTCATATCATTATAACTATAAGTTTACTAAAATAGATAATTTGAGATAAATCGGAAAATTCAAGTTTTTTGAATGGATTTCCCGAAAATCCAAACTTCATCCGTGACGAACCAGCGAAAAGAGTTACTCTGCCGTAGTTCGGGATAAAATATGAACAATGTTAGAATAACTTTGCCAATATTTCGATTTGCGATCCACAAAGGTTTTCACTATGGCAACCAGGCCTCCGGGCGGATAATTGATGACTACTCGAGTATATTAGAACAAAGAAGAACCCAGGACGACGGCAAGAGCACTTCATAAATAGTTCCGTAGACTCCCATTCGAGGATCCGCCGCCGTGGTCATTTTCCTTTAGTCCGTGCCCTGCGGCACTTTTCACACTACTATGCCAATCCGAGGACTTGATTTCCGCTCTGCTTCTCCTCAAAACATTATTACTTTCGAGAGTTTGTACTGTCGGTTTTTGAATGTTTGAAAAGAAGGTATACTACTTATTAGCCATGAACTGATTTGTTGGAGAGCGAATTTTCTTTCCGATACCAGCATCGAATAAAAAGCAGAATTGTTCAAAACGTGTAAAAGCACATCGATTATAGCCTGTCCTCCTTAATTTGTTTTATGGTACTTATTTTATTATCATTAGTTTCTCTTTGATCTTTAGAACCTCATTTCTGCCTATTGCTTTTGAAGTTCTTTATTGAACCAATTACTTTTCCAATCCTGTTTCCCCCCAAAAAATGAAATAAATTTTTATTACCTTTCTTTACGGGGGAGATTGGTAGGGGATAGGAACACAAGCGGTTCGAAACGCCTTGAATAATCAAGCACTTTTCTCGTCCGGCTGCACATAACCCGTTGTCGTCGCAGAGCGTAGTGAGACTTGTCAAACTTTTTTTTTCCGTGAATGGCTTCGTTTCTCTTTTTGAGGTTCATTTGGCATTTTCAGGCCGGTGGCCGTGAGCCGGATGGGAGCTCGGCTTTCTTGTTCGTGTGCACAGCCAAACTGCTGGCCCAACGACGACTCAGCCCTCAGGTGAGGTCCTTTCCACACTTTTCTATCATCTCCATTCCGAAAATATCGGAAGCTGATCCTGCAAGTTTGGAAATTCAACGGTAGCAGATCAAACCCAATATGAGAATTCTTGCCCCCAGAAATACCGGAATGCTCGTTTTGAAAAGAATGAATCGATAAAAAGGTTATATTTTTGAGCCGCCCGGTTTTTTCTTCGTTTAGAAACAAGTCTTAATGACTTTAGTTCTTTCAATACGGAAGAAAGATATTAAAATTTATAAGTTTGGAAATTTTTTTCTTAACTGTTCCTTTCTGAAATGAGCAAGTGCTAATTTCTCAGTTCATTAACAAGTTCTCGTGGAGAATCTTCACACATTTCGAAATTGCCAAAAAAAAATTTTCTGCGATTCTTTTTTATTCTGATGTGAGGATATCGACGTTTTTCTCTTCGGACACATGACGGAGGAAAATACATCGAATCAGAAATAGTCCATTCAAATTTTTGTAATGATTTGAAAAAAATGTTGTGTAAGAGATTTTCAGAATAGAAAAACACAAGTCATTTTATCGCGAATGGCTTTATTATTGTAAAAATATTCCACATCATGAAAAAAGCAAAAATAAATTATGAAATAATACTTGACAAAAGCGGAGCAGTTCAGAACGTATTTTGAACTCATTCTGAGTTTAGACAAGACAATTGCTATACATATAACGAAAAAAAATGATTATAGAGGCGAACTTACTTTCCTTTTTTGCAAAGAATTCCCAAAAGTTGGAGAAAATTATTGACATAATCAAGCTGGCAACGAAGATATCCAAAAGAATTCAAAAGATAAGCCATAAGAGGAATAATGTATTCTCTATTCATTGCTAGCTTGGGAAAAAGTTATTATGATGATTATTATTTTATCGAAGTTTGAAATTTATTTTTTGCGTTTTTTTTAAAGAAGATGAAAGCCTTGGCAAATATTTTCCAGATATAGCGATGAAATAAATAATAATGTTACAAAAATCATTGGGTAAAGGCACAATCTTTCGGTTGATCAAATTCTTAACACTAGGATACGACGTGGGCTTCAGAAAAAATGTCAAGCCCTGATGGAGCGGAAATTACGCGGTCTGTCGCGGCTCGGGAAAAGTAGCGCCCAAATGTCGATCCAGAGTTGCCAGGAGCGGCGCGGCTGCAAAGCACGCATCACGTTCCAGACGTAGTTTTCTGCAAAAAGGGCTCGAGATCGTAACGAGAGGAGGCAGACAGACTGTAGTGAAGAGCGGAGAAGTCGTACTGGAGCTGGGTGAGGTAGGGGTCGGCAAGAAGAAGCAGTGGACAACTGCGACAAGGGCCGATATACTGATGTCCGTCGTCCTCCATCTCTTTTGTGTGCACCGCACTGAACGTTTTTCTTTTAAGTCTTCTTTCTGATTGAACGAACTTGAGAAAGTTTGCAACATTGAATCGATCCGTTGCTCTCGGCGTAAAGATGTCGATAGGAGGAGGTGAAAGGTCGAAAACACTTCCTGTTTCCGCCAATCTGGAATCATCCTGTCTATTATTAATACAAGTGAATGCTCTAACGTACGCGTCATCGACAGACTGTTGGATTTTCTGGAAAAGCTCAGGACGGTCGCAACCCGGCACTAAACGAAGTCCCATCAAAAAACTCTCGGCTGAAATTCTCGCTCGTTTTCCTGGTTTTCCAGAGAGAGGATAACCGCTGGCATGTGGAATAAGTCGTTCGTTGAAATAGACGCCGTTTCGTTCCCGCAAAGTCTCCAGTCGGTACTCCCAGCAACAGACGGTCGGCGCTATCGAGTGTGCTGCAAATTGATGGATTAGATATATTCTCACTACTGCTATCTCGAGCATAAACTAAAACTAACGGAAGTGGTAGTCGCCTTTGGCGAGCTGATTCAAGTGCTCGAAGCCCGCAACAAGTTTTTCCACGGCGTCTCTGGAAAGAAAAGTATGAAAACTAAGAAAGAAGTATCTGACAGTATAGTAATGATCTTCAGGAAAAATCATCAGCAACATCTAAGCCATTTACTCATTTTGCGCTGAACAGAAATTTTTCCAAGCTAGTCGAATTTCGCCAAATTATTACAAAAAAATTGGAAAAAAAAAGACTTTTATCGATTCGAAAGACACATTTTCTTGATTAACTTCCCGAGAACCAAACCTCATCCGTTGCATGTGTGCTTCATGACCGTCTTCGCGACAGCTGGCACTTCTGCGATAAACGATTTCGCATTCACGCCGGTAGTCTTCTTCCAGTCCACACCGTCGTTCGTGCTCTTGAAGCCAGTGGTTTGCCTGCTTTAAGACTTCCTCTTTCGTCAGGACTGGAGCGAGCATTTCACAACAGGAACTGCAAAAGACACGGATATCAACGAATGAAAATAAAAAGAACGAGTGGGAGAGCTAAAAAAGAATGAAGAGCTGACACGGTTGTGGTAAATGATACCTGGCAGTGGTCTAGTCGCCGCCCTTTTCGCACATCTGAAAATGTGACAGTTCCCAGGGGCACGGCCAGTAGGCGTGTAGAATGTGTCAATTGGAGGAGAACCTTTCAAATTCTTGGGAAAATGTTTGAATTTGCTCCTTTTTCTTCCAAAGTCTCTCAAAAGTACTGAAGGATCACTGCAGTTACTTTTTATTTCTCATAAAAGTTAGAGTCATCTTACGGCTTCTCAGATGGCAGTATTCAAGCATTTCACTCACATTTATGGAGAATACGTCATAAAAAAATATCAATTTGAATTTGAGATGAAAAATAAGACAGTCTCGATGAGGGAATCTTGCCATTGGCCACGACAGTGGTTTTTTTGTCTTTTTTCAATACTCAAAAAGTGGATTCAGTGTGAACATCACTGAGGAAAAAAATTTGCTTAAGCAATAAATTCATATTAATTATAAACATCACGCCGGTTTCAGAGTAGAAGCCGAGGTGTTCGAGTTGTCGCCAGACGGCCAACGCTGGCAGCGGATGGACGCCCGCCTGGCTCGCGTCTGCGTTTTCAACGGATTCGAAGAGTCGCAGCCGCGATTTGTCGCCACGACGCCAGGCGGTTTGAAGCTCATCGACGCCGTCATTCCCTTCGGTGAGAGAAAGTTGGAAACGAAAATTAAGTAGAGAAGGATTGGGATCCTAAACTACCAGAAAGGCTAATGAGAAAACTTCGAGAGTTTAGAGCACTCGGAATTTCTTCGTTTTCTGAAATATGGTTCATAATTTCTTTAAATGTAAGATATGAGAATCCGCAAAGTCTCAGCCTACATAGTTTTCCAGTTTTTGAGAACGGATGCCTCAATGACTTAGCCAGAAAAATAAAATCAAGAAGTGTGAAACAAACTAAGTCGAAAGTTTATCGCCCATTTTTTTTTCACAATGAGCCATATTCTACAAAGTCTTGAGCGAATTACTTTTTTTATCAATTTTTTTTTATTTTCAACTCTTTTTTTCTGCCTTTTTAATTCAGCAGAAGAATACAGACTGGAAGTTTCCATTCGTCTCATATGAGATTGCCATATTCAGGTCGAAACGGAAAGAGCGGTTAGAGAGTGAAAGATTGAAAAAATCTGAAGAAATTGGGCGAGCAACTAATCAAAAATGCATTGCTACACCTCGAAGCGAAGATTGAAGTAGATGGGCCGAATGCCGAGGAAATTCGGCCCTAGAAAAGAAAAAAACAAGCGCCATTCTCTCTTTTGGTACTTCACCACTTTTGTTTACACGCAGATGTCCGCAATTTTTACGTCTTCTACTAGAAAAATCATCTTTCGACGTTCTTTTTCTGAGAAATTCAATCAAAACTCATCTCCACTTCACTGATTCAATGTTGCTTGGAAATGTTTGTATTTACTTTTGTATACGATCGCCCTACTTCATCGAAGGTTGATAATAGCTGAGCGAAAAAAGACTCGATCGAGTGTCGCCACTCGACGCAATCGCCCGCTTTCCCTCCAATTCCTCTGTTTTTGCGGTTTCTAAAAAATGAATATCGTACAAAAAATCGATTAGAAATTTATTTCCAAGGTTTATTAGAGAAAGAAGTGTCTTGCGTTGTTTTTTGTACTATAAATCCATTAAAAATTAAGGTAACCATATTTGTATTTTGAATGTTTTCACTTCAAAAAGGGTTGTACACTTTGTTCTCTAGAATGTCCCGGAAATTTCCTTGAAAGATTTTTATACCAAAGAGGAAGATAGTGGAAGTCCCAACTTGCCTAAAGACCCTAGTTTCCGAGAAAATAAATTCTTTGCAACGCTTAATAACTGAGAAATCCTGATTTCAATAAGTTGATTTGAAGGTGAAAAGGTGCACAAGGTGAGCGAGTTCTTCGTGTACTTCCGTCTGGACGGACGCACGATCGGACTGAACACGTTGAGCGAGAGGGACACGAGTCTCCTGGTCTCTTTCGCCTGCAACACTACCCACTTCAACATGTTCCAGCACTCCTTCACCGCTTCCGTACGTTCATTCTGAGAACCCAAAAGTCTGTTGAAGAAACACGGTTAATTCACAGCCATCCGAAGGAAATATCAATTCAAAAAAAGAAAGATTACTGAATCGCCTGGCTTTCAGGACTCGTTTAAAAACGGCTTTCTAGCTCCGTTATTTTTTTTTTCGATTTATGCATGCCTTATCAAAGTTGGCAAAGGTAATAATTTAGGCAAAGTTAGAACATGGATTTTCGTTTTTAAGTCTATTCTTACTATCTGATTCAACTTTGCTCAAAATTGCGCTACCGTGATTTTCTACGTCTCCTTCTTTCTCCTTTTGTTTGCTCGCACAGGCCGAAAGTCTAAAAAAATCTATAATCGCATTTATATTGATTTATAATAGTTTGCTTGATTTTATTTTTCATTTGTTTCCCGCAGTAAATGATATACGAAAAGCTTTACTATTTATTCCGGCTTCATGTCTTAACACTTTTGCAGAAAGACATTTTATATTCGCAGTACGTAACAATAAATCTCAGAGGTTTCCAGACGAGTTCTTAGAGATCGGCGATTCAGACTGATTCTCCAAAGATTTTGTAAGACAGCAATGTTGAAACGTTTCGTCAAAAACTTTTTTTCAATGTGAGCATTCCTTTTTTTTCAAATTGAGATAATAAAAATATTACCACACAGCAAAAAAATACTTCCTGAGGTCGAAAGCGTGAATGTGAGGTTAAAATAAGATGGAAAGCATAAAATAATTATTCAAAATTTTGCATACAGTTCATTCCTTTTTTCCATTTCGGAATCTGCCACATTCAAACGGAAAACTGAGAATATTTTAAAATTGCACCGAGTTAGTGTGTTTCGTTTTTCTCATCCAGTCGATTTGAGGTGTCGCGGATTGCTACGTTCGAAGGCGACAGAGTCGTTGGTTGTGAGGAACCACCAGAGCAGTCGAACGTTCGTTGTGCCTTATTTCCTCTCTGATTATTTTTTTCTGATCTTTTTATTCACTTTGTTCTTCTGCAGATGTCGCTGAGTCCTTTGAACATGAGCTTCGACTACCGTGGATCTCCAGTCGTTATAGACTTGGTTCGTTTCAGATACGTAGAAGTTGAGCCAAAGAACCTTTTTATCATTAAAGAGCGCTGCATTACTAGTTCGAAATTCTCTCAAAATCGACCCTTTTTTTCTATTTCCCTCCTCAAGTACAATAGCCAGTTTGCAGATACAAGCAAGTCCAAAAAAGTGGCTCACAAGTTTTGAGTGATCAGTACATGTACACTTACAGTGCGCGTCATGTATAGGACCTCCCCTTAAAGTTGAAAAAAACTTGAATCGAAATGCGAGCGGAATAACCGAAAAACACGTCGCTTCAAAATTATAAGACCCCTCTCCGAAAATCTGTTTATGACGGCACTGTATAGAAAAAATTTTTACCGAATGCACATATTTTCGAGAGTTCTAGGGCCACTGAGTCATTTTTTCTTAGCTTACAAAAAAGTTTTATAGCTGGAAAGTTTCGCATGCGGCAGCGAGATGCAGCCGGACGCCGTGGAAGTGGCTCACGGAGCCAACGTCTTCCGACTCGCAGTGCCCTCCCACGCGCATCTCTTCCTCATACAGGTGCGCCGACGGGAAGTCGACGACGTCTTCTTTCCAGGCACTCAACATCTCTTCGCTGCTTCTCGCGCGGACCACCTCCTCGTCCGTCGCCATCGGATACCTCCAGCATCAGCACGAGAAGCTCCTCCAAAAAATTGCTCTGGTTTGGATTTCACTCTGTTACAAGCAATATATAACATTGTCCCTCTTTGTCGAAGGAAGTCATTTAAGGTTACTCAAAAAACAAAAAAGGGACAGAAAAGTCTTGAAGCAGCTGCTCTCGAGATTTTTTCAAAATTGAAAGCAACTATCCTGAGAGATCCTATCATTAAACCCAAGAGAGAATTTTTTCATCTCCATCTTGTGTCTCTATTTCTTACTAGAAATTCATAGAAAAAAACAGTTTTTTTAAGCTTTTTTTCAATAGATATTTCAAAGCTTCTTTTGTTGAATGTTTTTCCCTAGGACCACCTATCACGAAAATCAAGAAAAGTTGTGCGATGATACAGAAACTCAGTTGGTCACGAACTAATTGAAAAAAAAAAACTTCGGTTTTGCAATTTCAAGGAAGTGAATAAATTATTTGTTTCGAATCAAGAAGCCCAATGAACTGGCCCCTATGTTTCATTCCAAAAAAAAAATCCTTAATTTTCGATCAAAAAGCCATAATTTTTTTAGAGCCTCGAGTTTAATCGCATTCAAAAAATTGGATATTCTACAAGGTAGCCGAAAGAGAGATTTATGCTGTTTAAAGTCAACGCAGTAGCCGCTTACTTGACGCTGCCATTAAAAATTTTATGAATTTTTAAAATGTCTTGGTACTTTTTTTGGTGTTTGACGTCCGATTGATAGAATCTCCAGCTGAAGTCGACGGGAGCTTCTGAAGGGAAGATACAAGAAGACATGCTCGCGTTGAAACGGATCGTCGTCCAGCAAAGACTCGCCGCTCTGCAACAGACCTTTCTGCCCGACTTCCAGGTTCCTTCTTCCTTTCAAAGCGCCGCTCCTCTCTCAGATATCTATTTGATTTCCTTTTCCGTGCATATCGTAGGTTCGCAACATTTGAACGTGGGAAAAGTTTGTCGTTTTTATCGCCGCCGCCAGTATACAGGCGCCGCACAAGAATGCCTGTTTGCTTTCTACCTTTTGCTGCGCTTCTGCCTTTTCTCTCTTCTCGTCGTTTTTGAATTCAACTTTAGTATACGAATCATTTGAGTTCTCTTCTTCTCCTTTTTCCGACTTATAACCGAAAAATGTTTGAAAATTTTTTGTTCTTTCCACACCACCATCTTCTCGAGTCAAATTTGATCTACAAAACAACGTCAAGAATTATTTGAGAGTCAACCTGCTAGTTCATCTTCTTCATAGTCGACTTCTCATTGAAAATCCATATTTTTTTTGGGGAGACTACATATTATTTCACAACTTCTCGGCGGTTCTTTTAGGTTTCGAATCTGCCTCAAAGTTTTTCATTATCTTGTCACATTTCTTTTCCAGTTTTTTTAAAAAGTACCTATTAATAGAAATTCTTCAGAAGTTTGTGTTGGCATAGTACCTAGAGTGGGAAAGGCTCTTTAGATATCTAATTTGATGTTGTTTTTCTGATTTCAAGTTATTTATGAAGACAACTTTTTTTTATTCGTTAAACACATAGAAGTATTTTACTGGAACTGGGAAATAGACGATTTGAACGCAAAGGAAGAAGCGGACAGAAGCATGTTTGCCACTGGCGACTCTCTGATAAGAGTTTTCTCGCCCGCTTAGCCACTCGAGAGATCCTGCCGGCCTTCCAGGCCACTGCCACTGCCTTCTTCACGCTGATCCTTCTTTTTGCTCTTTCAGTCCACATATACAGTACTTTTCCTCTTGTCTTCATCGCCAAGAGAACTAGTCATGCCAGCGAACTTTTTGAATAGCAATATTTCAGAGAGAAATTCGATTCTTCATTGTAGGGTGTCGAAAAGGATCTTTGTTCCGAAGAGGCGAGACGACACGTTCTGCCTTCGAGTAGACTTCCTTCCATCTTCCTTCACTTCTTCAACATGCACTCATTCCGTGTGTAAGTCGTCAAGGTCCTCGCATTCTCAAAATGAGCTCCTTGCAGCTGGCGGAAGCAGGTCGATTTGTGCGACTTCAGAAGAACTTCGCCGCCGTCGACTTCTGCGACAACACCGACTTATCCATCCTCGACAACGTTCCAGACGTTTCCAGGAAAGACGCGCGAAGCCTCGACGTCGTTGGCCGACGCCTGCGATCACCGTCGTCGGCAGATGGCGCAAGAATCAGCCGTCCCTTCGACCAGCGACAGAATGGCTGTTCTGCAACTCGACGGCGAAGATTACCGAGTCCGGAAAACAAATGGCCGCTTGGGCCTCACCATCTACGCCCATAACGACGAAGGTGTCATCAAGGCTGAGGTGAGTGGGTCTCTCAACTGAAGCCGTCCGATCCACAAGTGCTTCTTAGACAATGAAACTTTGTTCTGGAGATTTTTTTTAAATCTTCCAGGTTCGTGGTGTGACGTCATTTGCTCCTCGTTGCGCCGCAGTGGGCGACATCGTCGTTGGTGTCGACGGGGAACTCATCTCTTCAGTTCGTTGCGCCGCGGACGTCGAACGTCTTCTGCGCCAAGGGAAAGTCATCCATCTCCGACGACGACGAGCTGCCCAGAAGGTTTTTCCCACTAATTCTCAATAGTCTGTTGCTTTTAGGTAACGGTAATAGAGCCGCCGGGAAAAACTTTGGAAAAAGCGAATTTGGTTGTGAATTGCAACAAACTAGTTCTCGCCCTCCAGGAACTTCTTATCACAGAGAAGAAGTATGTACAGGACTTGAAAGAGGTCTGTGAAGTTTTCAAGTCTTTTTTTATCGTCTTCATTGTTTTCTAGATGAACGAGGTATTTTTGTGTATCCGTTTAGTGAGGGAGATTATGCATTCTGCACTAGGCCTTGTTAAGATCCAGGTTTGTGATTGTGTCCATTAAATAAGATGATTCTTTCAAATGCTGCAGACTTCTTTTGTGGAGAGTCTGGAAGAAGCGATCGGCGATGTCATCAAACAGGAGACGTCATCTGCCCAGATGAGGGTGAGACTTGCTTCTGGGAGATGTCGAAAAAATCATCTTCAGGACTCAGTGACGAGGGTTTGCGCCGTGTTCGTCAACCGCTGCGCAGACTTCAAGATCTATGCCGAATACGCGGCCGCCTACCTCAGGCTGCAGCAGGAGATCAAGCATCACAAGGAGCTGCTCAGCAAGCTCGAGGTTCAGATCCATCTCGCGATATCGCGTTAATATTCCGGAAAAGGAGTTGCAATGTGGAGTTGTAGTCTGTGTGCCACGGTCTGAAATTTCATGGAACGACATTCCGCTGTGCCGCTGCGCGCCTTTGCGAACCTTGGTCGCGCTATTAATTTTTTTTTTCTTTTATTAAGGTACTCTACTTTCATGTGTTCCCCCAGAAATAACAATCAATTGAAAGTGTGACGTAGGTTCGAAAGACGCTTCGCGAATACACACAGCCGAACAGCGGAATGTCGTTCCGTGAAATTTCAAGTCGTGTCACACAGACTATAATTTCATTCTTTAAGCTACTTAGTTGCTTGAATATTAATGTTTGAATGGGAAAAAAACCCCGTTTGCAGGCGGTGAACAGTTCTCGTGAGCAGCACTGCTCCTACGAGTCGCGCATGATCAAGCCTGTGCAGAGGATCGTTCAGTACCCGCTTCTTCTTAAGAACATTCTCGACGCCTGCGACAAGGACGCCTTCGAACGTAAACAGGTGATCTTTTTTGACAAGTAGATTTTTGAGCTTCTCATTGAATAAAAGTTTTTGGCTGTATAGTAAATCCTTTCTGACTTGAAAAACGAGAGAGGCGGAGAAGTGTGCGTGACACGAAGCGTGTGCGTACGCGGTCCTTGGAACGAGTTTAATTCAACCGAGAGCGACTATTTAGAGAGCTCATTCAACGCTCTTTTTATTTTTTTATTTTTTTATTTTTTTATTTAATTATTTATTGATTTTTTTTCATGTTAGAATTGAAAATAGTGGAACACATACGAAAAGAGCGGAATCCGAGATTTTCAAATAGTCGCTCTCGCTTGAATTGAACTCGGGCCAAGGACCGCGTACGCACACGCTCCGCGTCCCGCGCACTTTTCCGCCTTCTTTGCCTTTCGAGTCGGGATGGATTGACTATAATTGATTGAAGAAATAATATTTTCATGGATATTTCAAGGTGGAGTCGGCCCTCCAGAAAATGCAAACGCTGACTGAATACGTTAACGAAATGCAGCGACTGCACGAAGAATATGCACAGCAGATCGACGTCGTCAGAAAGGCGCACGAAGCACTTCTTCTCGAGAAGGTCGTTCCTCTTTGTGAAGCTTCAACATGTTCGAACTCTTTCAGGGTGTGCGAATGGACACTCGCGACCTTCTCATATTCGCCCACATCCGCTGGATCGACGCTCCTTCTGAGCACTACGTCGTCTTTGTCTTCCAGACACTCATCCTACTCCTGCCTTCGTACGCACGCCGCGAAATGAAGGTTGCAGCGATAAGAGTTTGAATTCTGCAATTTCAGCTTCAGATGAAATGGACTCGCGTACTGCCGATCAACGAAGTCGAAGTGGAAGAGCTGCCGAACGACGCCGTCAACCTGCGTTTCGTGCACGCCGCCTTCGAGTCTCCCAACGGACAACTCAGCCATTGTGAGTCATCCCGTCTTCTGGCTTCCAAATGCCTCGTTCAGCCAATCCCAACACCGTGTACCACATCGAATGCTGTCAACCTCAACTCAAGCAGCAATTGATAAAGAGCGTCAAGAAAGCTCGCGCCAACTTTGTGTTTGTTCTCGTTGCTAGATCCCCGGAAGAAGAAAGACTTGCAGGAGAGAAAGTCGACGTCCTCTCAGCGGATCGAGTCAGTCCGACGGCGGATATGTTAGCGAGGCCTCGAAGGAACAAATCCCACGCCCTCACAAGTGATATCTCTACTTCATCATCGCATTTTCATTAGTTCTGATACTCTAGTTTTATTTAATCCATCCATAAATTTGCTTATAACCTCTAATTGTAACTTTTTTTGTAGAAAGTTTTCATCTTTTTTTAAAATTTTTCCAGCAGAATTGATAGCTTTCCTATGATCAAATTTCTCAGAGTCCCTATAGAAAAACTTGAAAGTTTACGGGTAGACTTATAAGAATATATAATTAACCTCATCATTTAAGAAACTCTAGTCTTACGTTTTCCAGATTTTTCATTTCACATAACGGTTTTCAAGTTTCCTTTTTCCTTTTTTCCTTTTTTTCATTTTTCCTGTTTTTTTTTGTTTTCTCTCCTCACAACAAGAAACGGGGCTGTTTTCATCAATAAAGTCAATAAATATTAACTTTGCATGTTGCTTTTGCGCGAGTGTTTTATAGTAAATAACTTTCACATTTCTGGAACTTTAATTACAAGTTTTTGCTTTTTAATATGAAAAGAAATGTGTGCTGAGGCACGTTTGTTAGGATGAAGATAAACTCAGTACTTTTGATTCAGTTCATTCTCTGCCACGACATGGGACGCCTAAAAATCGCCACAAGCCTTTCTCTGACCACCACTATTTCGTCGTTTTCTCTCAGCTAGATAGTAGTTTCTCCTAGGAGCTATCAGCTTAAAACTCCAAATTTAAATTGAAAAAAAAAAGTTTTCGAGTGCGATAATGCGTCTCGGTGTGTTTACATCCTAAGCCCCATAATTCACAGACTGGATTTTATATAAGCTTTTGGATTTTCACGGCGTTTTAAAAATATTTTGACTCAAATTTCGAATCGCTGAAATTACTCTGAATCACGGCGTTCTTGTCAGTGAAAGAAAATGCAGAAAAAAAATACCAGGGGCGGGCGCCGTAAATCGTACGGCAGCAGTAGTTTTGGTCAGATCAGGACCCGTTTTTTTGGATTACAATACCCCCCTTTAAAGCTCTCGCAAGATTTACGGAAATAGTTAGTTGAAAAAAAGCATATTTTGCTTTTTTCTTTATTAATAATTCTTTTAACGTTTTTTTTTCTATAAGTACAAGTTATTATCCAGTTCCTTTGGCGTAGTTTGAAACCAGTTTCGTGTAAATTAGAGCCAAATTGAATTTACTGATGCAGTTTGAAGATTTTTGTTATATGAATCATCTAAATTATATTTTTTTCCAGTTGTTTCAGGGTTTTTCAGATTTAAACAAACATTTCGCTATACGAGGTTTTTTTTCTGAAAATTTCTGCTTCCTATCCATTATTTGTTTTTTTCTGAAGCTAGGTTTTTCAAGGTATATAAAAATGTTTCTTTTTTTCATTTGCTCCTCGAATTTTTCCTCATTTCAATATTTTTTTCGTATTTACAGTTGCTCATTCAATGAGAGCTGATTCACCTTCATAATATTTTTTTTGTTTTCATTTTGTAATCAGTAATTTAGAGTTTTTCCCCTTCCGAAATCGTTCCTAAATTTTTTTAACGCAAGTGAATGTTTTTCACATCATAATCTTCAAACTGACAAGATTTCGAACATTTCAGAAGTTATTATCCTAAAATTGCAAATTCTAAAAATTGAAAAAAACAATTTTGAGTATGCGATAGTGCGTCTCGGTGTGCTCACACCCTAAACATCATAATTTGCGAGAAGTCTTGACCTTGCGTAATAAAAAAACGCCGTGATATATATATATATATATATCACGGCATATATATATATATAAATATATTTCATTATATATTTATATATATACATTTATATATATATATATATATATATATATATATATATATATATATATATAAATATATTGCATCATTTATATATATATATATTTGAGTGGTAAAACATTTAAAGTTAACACAATTAAAAATTAGAAATCTCGGATTCATCACGTAATTGAAATTGTCATTACAGAAAAAAAGGAGATTTATTTTTTTCTTATCAAGTATTATTTGCGATTAACCGAAGCAATAGAGTAAGGGGATTTTTGATTCATAGAAGAATAAAAATATAACAAAGCTCAGAAGAAAGCTCTTGCGATCGCATCCCTATTTACGTGTCCTTTTCGTATAAGATCGATTTTGAAGGAAAATCGTACTTGTTTCGCATCGGCTAACCAAAGGCCAGAAAGGCCTGCGATGGGCGTTTGCGTGAGCGTTTCTCTGTGTCTCCTCGTTGTCGCGATCCTTCTGCTTGTGTGGGACTTGTGAGGGAGGCAGCCACCCAGCCAAGCATCGATTTTTGTGGTATTTTCAGCGACCGGAAAGTTTTTTCGTTATTCTGAATAAGGCGTTATTAGTTTCATTGTTATTTCCTTGAATATCAAAACTCTGATTTGCAAGGTTTAAGAGGTTCTTTTTTGAGGTAGTTTTTTTTTGTTTTTGGAACTTGAGGGTACAACCATTTCATCGGGGAATAGTATAGAAATGCTGTTTTCTTTTTTGAAAAGTGTTTCGTGTATGATGGTTATTAACTTGAATTCAGTGCAGTAAAAGTAAGATTAACATATGAGTTCATCGCTGATGAAGTTTCTTATAAGTTCATAAAACCCTGCGATGCCAACTTTTACGCATTGTTTCTTCTTTTTTGTTATTTTCTTTTTTTTATCTGTTTTTCTCAGTGTTTTAAGATAAGAGTTATCATAAAACAACGTTACATTGTGCTTCTTAAATAAACGTTTCTGGCCCCGACGTTATGAATCACTTCAAACATTTTCAATTTGACATTTTTCCTTTGTTTTCCTTTTTGACTTGGCTTCTTACGATGCTCGTCCCATTTTAGAACACTCTACAATGGAATTTTTTCGACAAACGCTGGAAATCTTCGGACTATGGTTTAGGAAAACCGACTATAAAAATCCAAAATGTTGAACTTTTTTCTAAATTTTATTATGATTGCTCCACTTCGTAGAAGCCTTTTCTTCGTTACTTTCTGAAAACTTGCGTACCGCGTTTTGCGAAAAAAAAAGTGGCTTAAAGGTTTCTGGGCGGCGTCATCGGAACAGAAGAATGTCGGGCCCTCACAGCGGCTCCTCAATGGACACGACGACCGGCGGTCCTGGTTCTCCGCCTCCTCGTGCCGGTAACAACGTTTCTTTCCGGTAAGCTTTTTCTTTTTTGTGTTTGCTCAAAATTCAATAGTGTTTTTTTAATTATCTATATAATTGCGAAGTGCGCAAAACTGGTCTCTGTTATGAATTTTCTCTGCGAGTTCTGCAAACGAATCATGTCCAACAAACATATTTTTTAACTATGGAATTGACTCCGGCGAAAACTTCAAATGTCCGTAATCCGATATAATCTTTCTCTACATATTCAAAAAAATAACAGTAATTTTGAGATTGGTAAATAGAGGGGTGGTGAAAATATCATAAAGATCGGGGTTTTTAACGTTTTTTCTTCAAAATTAAAACTCAATTTTTGCGTGTAACACCAAGAAATTGCTTCTTTTTTTTCTTCTCTTTTGATCGATTTCCACATTGCAGGGATCTGTGCTGTTTATTCTGCTGTCCGCCGTTTCCTTCGGCCATAGTATCCAAATTGGCGTTCATGCCGCCCGAGTCCAGCTACTCGATCACGGAAAACAACAAGTGATATCTTGGCCACAGGTTCAGAAGGAAATCTTTACTTCAGACTCCAACTAATAGACGGAAGAGCCGAATGGCCGCATGATCCCTCGTTTCTGGTCAATTGCGTGGATATGTTTGTTGCGCGGTTTGTTTTCCATTCTTGTGTTTTCCCGATTCTTTTCGTATCCAACTCAAAATTGTTTTCAGACATTCAGATTTCGTATTTTAGTGTCTTTGATTCTATTAAAACCGAAAAAATTATTTTCTCTCTCACTTTACTTTAAACACTTCAAAACTGAGGCAGCTCTTTTAAAGTTTTTTTTTTCAAATTCTGGTCAGTTCGAAACGCTGTTTTAGGTAGTTTTGAGGCAATACATTTAGAAAATTGGTAAGCTGAGGCAAGGTAAAAAATTTGTAGAGTCATTAAATTAAGAAAAAAAAAACCTTCATACCAGGCGTTTGGTGGAGAAAAAAAACTTTATTTTTTTAGGTTCACTTCATATGTTTTGAGTTGGTTCAAAATTGGTCACAACTTGCTTTTAGAGATGATTCATTAGAGTTTCTATATTATTAGCAAGACTGTGCTCGGAAAAATTAAGTGCGAAAGTGCTTCTAATTCTCGCCGTCTCAAACTAGCGGTGAATGATGATTTCGATGGAAATCAACTAGATAAAGTGCATGGAACAAGAAAAAAAGTTGCAGGACACGTCGCCGGAACAAAATCGCCTGTGTTTTCGTGAAGCCGATGGCCAGCGCCCACTTCACTTTGCTCTTTTCCCACGGAAACGCCGTCGACCTCGGCCAAATGTGCTCCTTCTACTACGGACTCGGCTATCGTCTGGGATGCAACGTCTTCAGCTACGATTACTCCGGTTTGTTCTCTCGCAAAATCATTCCCAGACCTTCCTATTGGATTTGAGGCTACGGCTGTTCTACGGGCAAACCTTCAGAGAAGAATCTGTACGCTGATATCACCGCCGCTTTCGAAACCCTCAAAAATGAATTCCGTGAGTTTTTTGGGACTCTCCATTGAAAAATAATCTTCATTTCCTGAAGTTTGTCGTGAATTTTTCAAGTCCTCAGATTTGCATGTTCCCGGAAGTTTATCTCAAATTTCATTGACTTTCGCTTTCCATGATGAACTTATAAGTCGATATGCATGTGTTATATCAATTCGGTTATAAGAAAAACATTTAGGTGCTTTGACAATCTAAAAAGCATTTTATTTATGAATTTTCGTTAAAAGTGAGGAAGTTCGAGCTGATCGAGGGTTTTCAAGTTCTCTCAAAACTTGGAAGCGCTTTCCGTTGATCATTTCTGTGAATAAGAAGTTGCAGATGTGCCTCCGGAGCGGATAATCCTCTACGGACAGTCGATTGGCACGGTGCCCAGCGTCGACCTGGCCAGTCGGGCCAACGTCGCCGCCCTCGTCCTGCACTCCCCTCTCATGAGCGGCATGCGCGTCGCCTTCCCCGGAACTCAGCGAACTTGGTACGTCCTAGTATAATGGTAGTTTACCCATTGCCAGACACTTTAGCGATATAGTTTATTAACGAAAAAAAAAGGAAGTAGGCACTTGAAGAACATTACACGGGACGGAGTCAAACCTAGAGATTTCACAAGTACCCAGATGATTTTTCACTTGAGTTTCGCATAGAAAACGTTTATCGTAAGATTTTTCAGTTTTTTATGGTTTCTGTGAGCAGAGGCATGTGAATTTAAACATGAATTTAGTTTATCCCAAATAGAAATGTCTTTCGCAAAAAAAAAATGGTTCGAAATGAACGCCTGGTATCTCCAATTTCACCAAAACAACCAATCGAAATAATGCGTGCACTTCGTTTTCTTATTTTCAATCGAGAGCGATATGAGAATAAGTTTAGAAATAGAAACAGTTAATTTCTTCGAAAAATAAGACTGTAATTTTTTTTGTCAGTTTTGAAAGGAATATTTTGTTTAAATCTTAAAAAGGCCAGGGCGATGTGGACTTCAAAACCTTGAGATGATAATTATTTCTTTTTTTTCTTCAAAAGTGTTCCATAGATTTTTTCGAATCGTTTTCTCATAAGTCCTTTTTATTTGCTATAAAAATCATATCATCTTCTTATTCCTGCATTGTTCTTGCTGGAGAAAATGAATACTTCACAATTTCGTTCAAAAAAATTTTAAAAAGGTTCCACACATTTTTCGACAGTCATGATTTGAGGTGTTGCGACGCATTCCCGTCGATCGAGAAAGTCCCGCGAGTGAAATGTCCGACTCTGGTCATACACGGCACCGACGACGAGGTTCGCTCTGTGGAATCTCGGTTATTCGAGTGAACGTCTTTCGTTTTCAGGTGATCGACTTCTCGCACGGCGTCTCTATTTACGAAAAATGCCCGTCCTCCGTTGAGCCTTTATGGGTCGCAGGTTGGTCCTTTCAATTCCTTCAACCCCCTTTTTTGGCATTTGCTATGTTTTTTTTGCTCATTTTTCAAAAGGGAAATTGCTTGCTGGTCAAGTTTTTTTTATAGAGCTGCCAAAATAGTTCCATTTCCTATCAGGAAGCAACACATTTTTTTTGAGGTCTTAAATATGGTTCTGACTTCTTTGTTGACCCAGAGCTTTTTAAAGTAAATCTCACGTTTTGATCTTTTCGATAATTAAATGAATAAAAAAAACATTAGAATTAGCAAACTTTTAAAACAGAATAACGCATCATGATGTACTTCAGGACATATGAAGAGATGCCTGAAAAAGGGTTTTTTTTCCTTTTTTATTTTTTATCTCTCACCAATTCCCTTAATTTGTTGATTTCGTTGTGAACGATCTTTATTCTAGTCGCTTGATTGATATTTTGTTACCATTTTGTTATTATTTCTTATCCTTTTTTCAGGATCCTCTTTTCTAAATCTGAATGAGTAGTTTGGCCTGAGTTCTTTGATGAACATGATTTTCTGCAGGGGCTGGCCACAACGACGTCGAATTGCACGCGGCATACCTCGACCGTCTGAGAAGCTTCATCGAGTTGGAGGCGTCCACGACACGAGCAGAAGGCCTCAATTCCACTTCATGACTGTTTCTCCCCATCTTGGTGTTGTTGTTGATCCTCCGTTCTCCATACAGTCCCTTTCATTTAGGTTTCTAAACGGATTTCTCCCGATGTTTCAGAATTCCCCATTACGCATATTCTAGGGGTCGAGTTTGAAAAGGCCAAAATGTTTCGTTGTTTCCTCCCTAACCATCGATTAGACACTCCGAAGCCTTTGCCATTGTGATACGGAACGAAGCTCTAAATATGCTCCAAATCTTCTTATCGCATGAATACGGTACAAAATTTGCGTTTTCTTTCTCAATCTCAATTGTTTCTTGTATTTTTCTTCATCACTTGCAAAGTATTATCAGTTCGTTTTTCTTCAATCGCCCCTGCTCACGTGTAATTTATATTTATAATTTCCGCCGCTGAATTATTTCATTGATAAATACCTAAAAGTCATTATCAAGTCGGAATCATATAGTGCACCGAGTCTTTTGAAAATTTCAATTTTTTTCCTACCTTGTGTCCAACGAACTTCCTGAAATTCATTACATTTGATTAACGGGCTTTATCCAAATACATCCAATGTATAATTCCACGTGTTTTTCATCATCAATGATTTGCATTCTTTCCAGTTATTTCGAAGTTTTACTAAGCCTCAAGTTTTGATATCAGAATAATTCGTTTGTTTTCGGGATTTTTTTCTTCTTCTTTTGAGCTTACCTTTTTGATTCTCAAATTTTGTCTTGTACCATGGTTGGGCTTGATACCTTTTTGTACTTTGTTAATGAAGAGAAAGACATTTGAATCTTTCTTGCGAGAAAATGTTATCAATATCAACAACGAAACATAGAAAAATCAACAAGTCAACAGTTCGGCAGCGACGATGCTTCATGCGGCTGCCTTCCCTACGCGGAACGAGCTGTAGATGTCAAGAAGGTACTGTTCAGTTCTTGGAACGACCGCTTCCAGAGCTGAAATACAGTTGCCACGGCAGTTAATCGGGGGAAACGGAACCTTTTTGGAAGTGAGTGAAATGGACGGTGTGAGCCTCCAGATCTTCACGCATGGCGATCATGGCCGCCGTTCGACAAACTGCCACGAGTTCTGCTCCAGAATAGCCTGAGAACTCCATTCCTGTTTCTTTTTCCCATTAAAATCACCTTCAGTGAGGGCGACCAGTGCTTGGAGGCTGACGTCTTCCGCAAGCTTCGTTTTTCGAGTCCTCATCTCCAGAATCGCTCTTCGCGTCGTTTGACACGGGAGTCCGACATAAATGGCGCGATCCAGTCGACCTGAGCACCAAAGTTGTTAACTCAAAGTTTTTCTCGACACCGTCACTTTTTTTATCATTCACCAAGACTTGTCTGTCTTTCAGTCATTTTTTTCTTTTTTTTTCTCTTTCCGACGAGGTTTTCATTTTTATCGCAACAGGAGTTCGGATTATTATCTCATTTCTACCTCCCGGGTGTTCGGCCTTCATTGCCTCGTCTGAGATTCAATCTGACGTTCGCGATCCCTAGACAAGCTGGGCGCCGTACTGTTCCTACATGGAGAAGCAGCTGATCTTCGGAATGCCAAAAAGTCGTCTACTACTATCACAAAAAGATCTTGATAATCTACGCGCCTTGATCAACGACAGTTTCGCTAACCGACAAACAACTCTTCAATTATCCAATGAATCCGCAGAGACTGCTCTCAGAAGACTGAATAAGTGTAAATGTATGATTTCGGAATTTTTGAAACAGTGAGGAACTGCATGGGATCGCAAAGAAATGGCGGAAACTCCAGACTTCTTCCGACTCTTTGCTGTCTATGTGACGCACCAGGCCGCAACAAGGCGCTGTCGAGCTGATCTGGTCGGTTGGTGGCCGCCAGAAGAACCACGCGACTCTGCTTCTCCAGACCGTCCAGCTCTGTCAGCAACTGCGCCAACACGCGGTCGGACACGCCTGAACTCCGTTTTTCTGGTCAAACTCCGGAGGGTGTTCACCTGAACTTGACTCCGAGCCGCGTGAAGAGCCAACGGCGTCGATTTCATCGAAAAAGACTATTGTGGGAGAGACCTGAAATCTGTTGTTCTGCAAAAGAAGGTGAGTGTTGGAGACCTGACGAGCGCGTGAAAACAAGTCTCTGATGGCCTTTTCCGAGTCTCCGACCCATTTGCTGAAAAGTTCTGGACCTTTCACGGCCAAAAAGTTCATCTTGGCCTCGTTGGCCAGCGCTCGTGCCACCAGCGTCTTGCTGCATCCTGGCGGACCATAAAGAAGGATTCCTGAGATATTCCGGTGAACAGAAAGCGCGTTGCGGCGACCGACCGGCAGGTGGGTCGATTCCGAAGCGCTGGAAGGCGTCCGCGTGCTTTTGTGGCCAGATGACCGCCTCAAAGTCCAGAATTCATACTAGCAGGAGAGGAGGAAAGAAAGACCTGTTGAATCTCTAACTTGAGCTCCTCATTTCCGCCGATATCGTCCCAGGTGACGTTTGGCACCTGAACCGGTCATTAGAAAATGGGCAAAAACGCTTGAAACCTCCAGAATGAACTGGCGGATTCCAGTCGGCCGCATTCTCTTACGAGTCGCTTCGACTTTCTGAAAATCCGTGTTGCCACGTGCAAACGGCGTCGCTTTTAAGAGGGAACACAGGTCGCCTGCGGTGAAGCCGTGCGTCAGTCTATGTTGGATGGAAGAGAATACTTCTGGAAAATGTCTCACTTGGAAACTTCGGCCAATTCTTCTTCGGACAAGCATAAATGTTGGGATATCCTGCGTAGAACGTCGACGCGCTCTTCCTGTGTCGGCACCGTCACTTCGGCCTCAAAATCTTGTTCATTTCATTGGAAACCGCGTGAAAATTCTTGCCGTCTGTCCGATTTTCGGCCTATTTTTACGTGAATTTAACTCTTCTCATATATATATATGATATGACGTTTTTAATTCAACTATAGTTTCAGTCGGAGTAAGATACCTCAACGGGGAAACGAACTCGAAGGCCAAGATCCAAGCTGTCTGCAGACCTCAGAGCCAAAACCACGGTACACTGTAAACTTACATTAAAAATCTGAATAACACAAAAAGTTGACTTTTCAATTGATTTCGTTTCAAGAAAATAAAAAAAAACATTGAAAAAAATGGGTTCGATTGTAAATAGTAAAGATTCTTCCAAAGTACATCGTAGTTTCAAAATTGCAACTTCTATGTAAAAAGTGAACAGACAAGCTTCAAAACATTACTGAACTATCGCTAGGTCGGTATTAAGCATCCTAACTTTGATGAAAAAAAGTTCTTGTCCCTCGGAGGAGTCATTACTCAACATTCGCGATGATGGCTCGCAGAGCCTGATAATTGTGACTTTGAAAGTTCAACTGTTTTGGGTCAAAACGAAAGAACTACACAGAAAACTTGCAAAAGCAGGAAAATTACAGCTGCCCTGTTAGTTGTCGAAAAACGTGGCTAATAGGTTTGAAGTTATGAAGCACTCGAAACGAACGCGGTGTTGCGAAGACAGAAGTCGCGCCAGAATGAGGCTCGCCTTTGAGACTTCTTTGTCCAACTCGTTTATGTCCACGACGACCACGAGACTTTGAGAGCCGCCGAGTGATCCGATCAAGGCCTCGCCTTTCTCCGCGAGCTCGTCCGCGTTCTAAGAACAATTATAAAAAAATGAACCCCAAAACAAACCGAAAAATAAATGCAAGAAGATCCAAGTACTTTAGCCATTTCTCGGAGCAAAAAAGACTTTCCACTTCCTGGAAGACCCCAGAGGAGCAAGGAACAAGGGTCACAGTTGCTGGAAGAAAATTTGAATTTTCTTAATCGCTAATTTTTAGAAGGTGCAAACCTTCGAACCGGCGCGACTACGTAGTCGAAAAGGATTTGTTTGGCCGAAAACATGCCCCCAATGGAACTGAAATCCGAAGCGACGACGTCGGAGGACACAGTCGGTGGTTCACCCAAACTGACGAGGCAATCTTGAGGCAGAAACAAGACGATGGGATCCTTGAAAACATCAAAAAGTTCAATACGTACTTTTTCGAGAGCAACTTTCATGATTGTCTAGGCTTCCGAATTTTCAGCTTCCTTATTAAGAAAGTAGATCAAATTAAAAGAAAATTGAAAATAGAGAAAACTAACTTCGGATGGTTGCTGGAGAGCGAGACGAGCGAATTTCTCGTCGACAGGCTCTTGAGCAATCAAGGAAATCGACTGTCCGTAGTACCGCAGAGCACATTCGACTCCTGGCTGGACGTAGGCGTTGCTCAGGTACATCTTCGAATGAAAAATTATCTACAGAGCATAGAGATACGGTGAATTAACTCACAAGGAAATTGCCAAATTGGCAAAACATCTCTATGAAAGTAAATGGATCTCTCTCAGATTATTTTTGGAGATATAATTCACAGAATTCGACCTCACAGGAACGCAACTTAACTGAGAAAAATAAGCAGAAAAAAAACAAGGGTAAATCTTAAAAGTTCACACTGAAAAAAAATTGCGTCAGAAAGAGCTAGGAGTAGTCACCATTTAGACTTCTAAAGGTCTTCGGAAGAGATCAAGAATGATTCCGCACTTTGCAAAAACTTCATTGTTCGAAATTCCTTATTTTATCACGATACAATTTCAAACATTGAAAAATGAGTCAAGATCCTAACGGAAACTGAACCTGCGCGAAATCTCGCAATGAAGAAGTGATCTCCAGGGACGATTTCACGACATCAAAAAGAACGGAAGACGATTTTCTGACATTCGAAAGTTTTCGGACGACGACGAAACGCTCGCGAGCGATCAGCGACGACACGACGTGGACACGAAGAAGGGCCAACTCAAATAGAAATCGTGGATCGTGGACATTTTTATTATTATAACGGACAATTTTCATTCAGAACAAATCCTACTTGAAACGAACTTACTACCTGATTTCAATTCAGCCATCGTCTATAACGAGTTTATAAAAAAATTACTAATCAATTTTTTTGAGAGCTTTTTCGTAACTATTTCTCCAAGACTCAATTTATTTATATTTTAATGTTTTTTTACTAAATATTAAATTCGAAATAAATTTTTCAGAACTCACACTGATCTGTAAAAACATTAATATTAAAAAAATTGAGTTTTTTTAATCTGAAACAGAACCTCCCTATGTGAAAAAAAATTCGCGAAAAAGAAAGGGTAGTAATTTGATGGCCGTGAGTCTTTACAGTTCGGTCTATTAGAAGAAATCGAATCATACAGAAGCCAAAATCTTCAAATATGGTCGGACCTCCTTGCAAGGCCAAACGACGGCGACGAAAGAGGCGGAGGCTTGCAGGACCAGGATCGGCTGCCGAGCCAGCACGTGGAGCTGCTCCATCGTCTGAGGATGCATCAGGACGGCATGCTCCCGCTCCCAGCCGAGGGCGTCCGGCGGGAGGAACGTCTCCGCCCTATCCAGAGCCGTGTTCCATCCTCGCAGCACGTCGTCTTTTATCACGGCTGTCTGCAAACGCAAAAGATAGATATGACGATGAACATATTACTATACTATTCCGATCCATTTTGAGGTATATGCTCCGTATACTTTTATTACCTGACCCCGATTCGTCTATTTTATTTTGCAAAAAGATAAACGCAAAAGTTATGTCTGATTTAGACAAAAAGCTGCTCTCCATTAGAAGAAATAAACTTTTCCTTATTGGAATTGAAACGAATTACTTCAAAAAGCTGTTCTTACATGATCGTTTGAAAGACAATTTTTATGAAAGCTTATTGGTTCGTTGAAAAATTGAAAAGTTCAGTCAAAACAAAGACTGAATCTGATTGCAAGTCTGATCAAACTTGAACGATTTTCATGAATACTGAAAAGATGTTTCGATTCCGATGAGAATGAATGAAAAGAAGCTGGATCTTAAACGCTTTATATAAGTTCTTATATTTCAGATAGTACACGGCCTTGTGAAACAAAATTGAAAATGGAACCTCTGACTGTTCGATGGGAAGAGAGCAAAAGTCCACATGTCTCTGGGCGTCTTTGGAAAGAATCACAGCGTTGCACTTCGAGCAGGTCAGCAACGGCTTCTTCTTACTCGACATCCCCTTTTCTAGAATCAAACTCTTCAAATCTCCCGACATTTATAACGAGAATATGATGAATCTTGCCATAATTATTTGAAAAGCCGTTGGTATAAATGAGCGCGAGTTCAACAGCGTGAAGTGAAGATTCATTTCAATTCTTCTTTTCACCCTGCTAAGTCTACTGTGATATATCCGTCCTTTAGGTTAGTCAACGTTGAAAAAACAACCTTCGGAAAATTAAGTATCGTTCAGGCGAAAATGGGCTGTACTCACAGTAAAAATGCGAAAACGCAATCAAAGCGGCAAATGTTGGAGCGGCCGATCGACGTGAGAACCAATTTTTTTCTGTTTCGTCAAAAACTGATCTATATTGAAGCCGGCATTTGCGCAAAAAGATGTCAGACACGCCTCCGCTAATGTTTCGTAAGACTTTTGAACGGATCAAAATGTTGGAAAACCTTTTCAGAAGCACTTCAACTGATTCATCACCCAATGAAAACTACCACCAGCTACCAAAAACGACTAAGCAATCTCTGCCTGAAAAGCCCGCAGTTGGGGTGACAGATGACAATCATCCTAAGATAAGCGCGACGGCTGGACTTCGAGGCACTTTCCAGTTCTCACAGCCGTTTCAAAACAACTTTTCAGACGAAACGAACCAGCGACCGACCCAAACTGCTGACCCGAGACAACGAGACAAAGTGATAGGAGGGACCTCCGACTACTGTGGAATGCCGCCGATGGCGCCACGACAGTTGGAAGAGCCAAAGGAGGCTCCGCCGCCTTATGGGTCTGGCAAAAAGCTCAAGGAGCGGGAGCACAAGCGTAAGAAGGAAAGAGAACGCAAGCCAGACAAAGAGGACTACGGTACGATCTCTAGGCGCAGCTCATTTTCCGATTATTCTAGCACCTTTGTACCGGCCTCACTTGAGCGCGGAAGATATGGAATGTATTCGACGTTCAGTTCAACAAAGAAACGAGAGGTACATTTCAAAACTTTTATTAAATTTAGTTTCACAAGTAAATCAAACAAAAAATAGGAAAAAAAAAAAATTAAAGATTACATTTGCAAAAAAAAAGACTGAAAAACGCAACTACATGTATAGGAATGATTCCGAAATAAGACATCGCGAACTTCAAATAATGACAAGAAAAAAACGACTCTAAACTAAATAAATGTCAGAAACCCTTTCAAAATGAATTTTTCCTATTTTTTTATTCATTTTGAAAGGGTTTCTATTAAAGCGCAGCTGGAAGTCTCAGCTTCAATGCATCGAGAGGTCTTATAAGCAGAAGTCGAAAAATAGTCAATCCTTCCCGACTTGAAAAGCGAGGGAGGCGGAGAAGTGGGCGTGACGCGTAGCGTTTGCGTTCGCGGTTCTTGGCACGAGTACAATTCAACCGCCAACGACTATTTGGAAAACTCTTTTTTCGCTCTTTTCATTCCTTTTTCAATTATTTTTTGATTATTTTCATGTGTGCATTAAAAAGTAGTAGAACATATAGAAAAAGAGCGGTTGCCAAGCTTTTATAAAAGTAGGTAGCGATTTAATTGAACTGGCGCCAAAAACCGCGTACGCATACGCTACGCGTCCCGCCGCTCCTCCGCCTCCCTCGCCTTTCAAGTCGGGATGGATAGGTAATTAATTTGATTGGTAAGCAATTTTTGTCTCGAACAGACGCTTGAATTCGACTTTCTGAACTCGAAGATGGATTTTTGAAGCTGAGACCAATCAAACATTGCAATTGAAATAAAAGACACGAAATGAAGGGTTTGGGTTGCAGACGCGCCTACATGCTGCAGCATCGCGACGAGACCGACGACACGCTCTACGAACTCGACTGTCGGATGCCCGAGCGCGACTACTCGAGGCAGTTGGGCAACGTGCAGCCAGCGCGTTAAGTTCGTGTTCACAACTAACGCCTCTCTATTTTCCCATTATTTCTCTGCTCAATAAACGTGTCTTTTATGCATCTAGAGCTAATCACTTCTTCGAGTTTCAATATTTCTGTTAAAATGAAAATTTAAAAAATTTGAACTTTGGTAGAACGGGAGCAGCAATTATTAGACCAGATGTTTTTTCAGAAACTCTTTGAGGTCGCGGATCTCCTAAAAATTGTATGATATATTTATTCTGACGAAAAGATGAACTCACTTCATTGCAACTGCTGTGAGCCATCTGGTAAGAGTGCAGCTCGACGTTCGGGTTGAACTTCTTGATGAACTGTTCAGACATCTGGCCGATGGGGAAAGGAACCAAAAAGTCCATCGTGCCGTGGCCCAGGAATATAGGCGTGTTCAGATTGGCTGCGTGGCTCTGGAAAAAAAAAAAACGATAAAAAATGTCACTAAAAATATCTTCATTCTTATAAGCGAATCACCAACCCCAGGCATGACTTTTCTTTGTAAGAAAAAAGAACTCAGTCCGACGATGGCGCCCAATTTCCGAGGATAGGTCAGTCCAGCGAAAAATTGCCAAAGCTCCGCCCATAGAGAAACCACCAACGCAAATCTTCTCAGGAGGTATTCCAGCCGCTACCTCAAATGAAAAAAAGAATGAAGACGTGAATTAGATAATTTATTGTTGAAGTTTTTTTCTCGATAATCTTCTCTTTCTATTGAGAAAAATAAAGTTCAAACCAAATTTCATATAAAAAAGTTCAAAAACTTACTTCGGAGTCGATCAATTCATGAACATAACGCGTGGCTCTTTGAATGCCCTCAGAGTCTTCCTCAGAATTCGCGTCGAGGCCAATAATGTCGTACCAAGCAGGCATGCTCATCCCCATGTTGAGGGTGACCGAGCGAGAAGAACTGCAAACAATTTATTTCTAAGAAAAAAAAAGAGATTCCCAATTACCTATGTGGACAAATATACTTTACCGAAGAAATACGGCACTCATTTCGGAACATTTCAGCCCAGCCGTGACCTTGGTCTCCGAGTCCGTGAAGAAAGATTACCTAAGACCGTCGTTCGAATAAGAAAGAGAGGAAAAGATGAACCGTGGATGTATGGCTGCCCTTGGCAGGAACAACTTCTGGATCGCCGTTATTCATCTCGACGTGGCTGGAGTATGGCCTAGAGGAGAGTGATGAGATCGCAGAGCCCATCTCGAGCGGAAGAAACGCGGAACGATGAAAAGAAGAAGAAGAAGAAGCAATGAGCAAGGGACTTGTGGCCAGAACTGGCACGATCAGTCTATTGAACAGCCGCGGACTTCTGGCAAGCATCCACCGAGCTCCTGAGAGAGCACGGCTTCTTAAACAGGACGACAAGTGGAGCTGGAGAAACATGCAGGGTAAGTAAATTGGACAAGTTATTGTTATCAAAAGCAAACATGCTTCATTGTAATGCAATATCTGAAAGCTCATAAATAACTACAAAAAAAATAATTAACTATGCTATCGCGTGCTTATTAAAACAGTTACACACTTGAAAAAAATGTAAACGTGCAGTTATGAATGTCATAATTTGTGAAATGAAAAGAAAAACTCGAAAAGTGAAAACAGAAAGATAACGGCGTAACCGACCGTGAACTTAAAATGAAGGAGAAAAAATTCAGTAGGAATTTATTGAATAAACACAAAAAAAATCACTCGATGATGTTTCGGGTTCGAAAGTTTCTCAATATGAATTAATTTAAATAATTTTCACGTATGTACAATCAAAAAACGATATATTTCTCAAGCAATGAGCGATTTTTGATCGAGATGATACTCAATATGCGAGGAATGTGATTTCCATTCTTTGACGACTTCATCGAAGGAATCCTCAAAAAATCATATACTAAGAAGTAGTTTTTCGAAAACCTCAAACCCTTGGAAATCCAAGACACCGATGAGAGAAATGTAGGGGAACTTTTGCACACATCTGCTCAGAGTGCGTTTAGTTGCGGCACGAATGAAAGGAATGCGTTCTTCAATACATTTCCTTCTTAGAATTTGGAAATTTACCATCACTAAAAACTTTAAAAAGACCGAAATGTCGAAAAAAAGGTGGTATGAAAAAAACACCAGCGAAAATTCAAACGGCGACTTTTCCGATTTTTTCATTTCGCTAGGGAACTTTCCGACGGCCACCTTTCCGACGAAACTTTTTCCGACTTTTTTCCCTTATGCTTTTCGGTTTATAAAACATCTATGAACATTTTTTTCCCTATTTCTTTGTGTTTTTAATTATGAAAAAAACTACCTACTTTATATAGGAAGATGTAAAACGAAGAGTTTATCGAGAAAAAAAAGTCGGAAAAAGTTTCGTCGGAAAGGTGGCCGTCGGAAAGTTCCCTAGCGATATGAAACAATCGGAAAAGTCGCCGTTTGAATTTTCGCCGGTGTTTTTTTCATACCACCGAAAAAAACATACTTTTTTGGTCTCTATCGTCAATATTCGATGCAAATACAACGGCTCGTACGTTCATAGCGTTGAAATGCGTCAAATTTTCATGCACTCCACAAACTAGACGGCGTTTAGCGTGACCCTAAACAGATTATAAGAATTTTTCATTTTCTGTGAGAATCACCTTAATGTTATTGCGCATGTGAAGAACATCGCTTCTCTTTGAGCGCTCACTGATTTCAGCGAAAAACAGCTGAATGAAAAAAAGCTCGAATCGAGTGACTACTTCTAATAATAATTTAAAAAAATACCTTACTACTGCTGCTCCGTTCCGAATGAATTCTGAGCCCTTTTTGCGCAACGCAGTTAATCAAAAAAAAAAATAGTGAAAACCCTACATTGTTTGATTTATCAAGGTTCTGATTTTTCGGGGATAACATTTTCTAATTTCATTGCTTTTGCAGAACAGTCGAGCTGTATATACAAAAAAGAAAGCGAAGTGAATTGAAACACATGCATTTGATAAAAATAAAAATGGAAGCTTTTTTTCAACTTTTCGCACAGTTGAAAAAAAAAATTTGCGAGAAGCAGATGGGCGTGGTTTAGATTGTGTCTATGGCAAGTTGCGCGCAATATCAAAGTCACTTGCACGCATTAATTTTCTCTCTCGGAGAGCTCTCTCACGAGGTTTTTTTTAATTTATAAATATATACGATCAAAGTAATCTTCTAGCGAAAGAAAAAAAAAATGAAAACTGGTTCAAAGGGACATCAGATTTGACGCAAAGTTCATATTTTCGAAGTTCGCGACGCGCGTGTTTCAAAGTTTTTTTGTTCGAATTTCACTACATAGGCGGATCGAGAAAGGGTATCGTAAGACCCTCTGAGGTATATCGCAGGCTCTGAAGTCTCACGATGGTACCTCGAGTATACCTCTGAGGTTTTTGAGCAAAATAAGAGGGGGTTAAGAGAGACTCTAAAGTACCTCCGAGATGGCTCAGATATAGCTAAAAGGTATGCCTGTGATCTCAAGATGGGCATATTATGGGGCCTTTGCGATCCATTTTGAGAAGCACCTTTGTGGGCAAATTAGGTACCCTCTTGATTCGCCTGTGGATACATCTTTCGGTTTTTTTTGTGTTTAGTGTTTGGCTAGATTTGGTGGTGCACTAATATCATTGGCGAATCGAGAAAGGGTATCGCGAGACTCCCGGATCTGGGCCAAAGGCATATCGTGGGGTCTGAAGTCGAACGATGGAGCACAGGCGAATCGAGATGGTACCATAATTTGTCCACAAAGATGACTCTCGCAATGGATCGTAAAGACCCCATGATGTATCCATCGTGAAGCCTCCGGCATACCTTTTAGCTATATCTGAGCCATCTCGGAGGTACTTCAGAGTCTCTCTCAAGCCCCTCTCATTTCGCTCAAAATCCCGAGAGTTATCCTCGAGGTACCATCGTGAGATTTCAGAGCCTGCGATATACCTCAGAGGGTATCGCGATACCCTTTCTCGATTCGCCTATCCAAATTATTTCCGGCACCGAAAATCCGGAAAAAGTATCCTTAGAATTTACAATAATCAAATGTCAAATACTGAAATTGGTTCGGAAAAACATCGTCAGAAGGTGTCAGCCGGTGATTTTTGCTCGAATCTTATTGAATTTATCGCCCAGCAGCTCGAGGAGACTCGCCACAGTTGATCCATGGCAGGAGCGCTTCCAGCTCCAGTCGCAGCTCGACCAGGTCCGACTCGAGCTCGACTCGGTCCGCACTACTCTCGATGAGAATTCGCTCGGTGAGCCTTTTTTTGCGGATATTTGGGCGAATCACTGAGAAAAATTATATAATAAGAAAAATGTTACACATTCAAATGCTGTTATTTCAAAAAAAGCTTATTTCCAACTGTCCTTTTCACTGCACTACTGGACTATTCGGATAGTCTCAAAATTTTTAGTTTTTTTTTAGAAAAAAAAAATCTTTTAAATTTAAGTCGAGACGTGGAAAATAACGAACTTCGTAGGAGTTTTACTCAAAAACAATTTTTTGCAAGCTGAAAGTTTAGGGGTTTTTATTTTGTACATTAAAGAGTAATCTGGTCATTTTTCAGAAAGTTTTGAAATTATTGATAAAATGATCTCCTAATGGGTAGATAAGCCATTTTGAATTATTTGAAAGCATCTTTTGAATGAATGTTTATTTCGCTCACAGACAGATCTGTGGCGTGGAGGAAGAGAACCATGAAAGTTATATTTGCCTCCACTTCGATAAAAAAAGTTCCACTTTAATCTAAAAAAATTTTTAGGTCGAAATCGAAGAGAATCAAAAAAAGAAAAAGTAATCTATAAACGAGTTGAATCATTTTGTGAAATTTGCAGCTTCCTTTATCAAAAAAACCAATTTTTTTCAAACAACTTTTAAATCTTCTCTGGTCATCCTCAAAAAAACCATAACTCTGTTTTAAGCCGTTCCAGTATTTATACACGCGTTGCGTAATAAAGTTATAGTGAACATGATGGATTGGTGGTGGTTCGAGTTTAAGGCCGTTGCCTCTCAGTTAGTTTCGTCTATTTGATATCGTTTGTAATTTGAATGGAGATGGACACCAATAATAGCCATATATGAACTGATGTGTAATTATGATATCTTTTCGCAGACGCCTTGTCCATAGAGTGTCTAGAGAAAGGGATTTTAGTCTTACAGCATAGGTTTCTTTTGGGAGAAGCCGTTTGGTGAATTTTCTTTGAACCGATTCTAGCCTGAAGCTCATTGTCTCGGAATATCGCACTTTCCAGGATTATGGGTATAATTCTTCCAAAATTGAGAAATGGAGGGATTATGGAGCGCCGTGGGTAACTCGCTGAGGAAAAATGAGTTCTTGTAGCGGTCGAATTTCTCGGACGAGGAAGTTTTTCAGTCGGTGATCATTTGAGTTTGAATATAAAAACCGAATCCTAATTTTTTATTGCAACCATCCTGAAGAACATTTTTTCACAGATATTTATGCGAATGATTGGAAAAAAAAGTACTATGTTACTAAAACAGTACATTTGCAGCTAAAAATGCCCTATTTTCAATTTTCCAGAAAGTATTCAGTTCAATTAGTTCTTCATTTATTATGATCCTAGGCCAAAGCGCAGATAACGAGTTCTTGTAGTGGTTTGAAACGGAAAAAAAAGAACTTTTTTGTTCTCGATGGCCAAGATTTTCGAGTATCGTATAGTTGATTCAGTTCTGAGTTGAGAAATACCATTTTTTTTTCTTATAATTTAGCAAGTAGAAATACACGCATGTTCAAGGCGGCCGGTCGTATTACGGTAGTCAAGCTAGGTTTTTGGGTGATAAAATGAAAACTTGTGTACTTTTTGTGACGTAACTCATCTTGTAACTTCGAGAAATAGGTTCTTAACAAATTGCAAAAAAGGAAAAAAATTAAAAAAATTCCCTGACTTCGAAACTGACTGCGCAATATTGACCGGCCACCGGCCGCCGTAGCACTGTCTTAAACATGCGTGAATAATTATCCGATCCCCGCTATTTCTCAAGTCAAGGGTAAATAAACTTAGGGACCGCAAGCCATTTCTTCAGAACAATTCAAAAAATATGTTTTTCACATTGTTCGATAAAGGAGACTGTCCATTTTCATAATCTGTTTAGTGTTTGAAAAAAGCTCCACTAAGAAAAAAGTTGTGGCCAAAAAACTAGCGCGCGTGGCGTACAACTGGAGGCAAAATCTCACGGTTTACCCGCTGCCGCACGCTTTCTTTTTAAATGTTTTTGCGCGTTTCTGGACCGTTTTTAAATCGGTTTTCTGTTCTGAGAGGTTGTCCGAACGGAGCCTCATGTTTTGGTATGAATCTTTTGTACAATCCTCATAAGAATTTTTTTGATAAAAATATCAAAAAAACTACCTAGAAAAAAAGGTCAAAGGGATTTTTTTCAGCTTATTTTTTTCTTTTTTTCTACTCAGAAAAAAATTATTATCATTCGATTTGGAAAAAAAGAAAAAAATGAAAAAAATAATGTTATTTCGAAATAAAAACAGGAAAAAGTGCCATTTGACTCCGAAAAAAACGGCTCCTGCGACATTTAAAAGGACGCATCGGTGTGTTTGACGCAAACACTGCTACGGGCACTTGCACAAAATCTTCCGAAATTTCAAAAAAAATTGCCATTTTTTCGAGGTTTTCAAAGCCGTTATTTTTTTCGCGTCGATCGATTTTTTTCATAATTTTTTCATTGATAGAGTTTTGAATAGGGGGCGCAAAGCCCCGCCCCTTCAAGCCACCAAAATGACGATTTTTTTGTTGCAAAAACGGTTTTGAGGCGTTTATACTAGCTAAAGTCCCACTTTAAAAATGAACTGTTTCTGTTAATCTATGTAACCGACAACGCTCTACAAGACTGAATATTTTTTTAAAAACTATGTTTTTTTCAAAAAAATAAGCGAAAAAAAGTAAGATTTAACACGAAAAAAACTGACAAGTTTCACAAAAATCGTCGCGTTTCAGAAAAACCAAGTGAGGAACGCGTCTAAATTTTAAGTATGTTATACATCAACACTTTCTTTATTTTTTTTGAGTGAAAATGAAAAAATCTACCGACGCGAAAAAAATATTAAAGCTTGTAAAGTGACACCAAACTTTGAAGCTGAAATGCGAAAAAATTTCAGCGACATGGTATACTTTTTATTTGATTTGAAAACTAACAGTGTGTCCAAAAATGAAAATTCAAAATGAAAATAATTATTGGGACAGCGAATTAAATTATATTTGAATTTTACCAAAACCTCCTTTTTTCGCCTGCCTCGTTGACGCATGAGAGAATAGGATCGCGTCTATATTTTTTTGATTATGTTATTAAGCGTTCAAAAACTCTATCAATGAAAAAAATTATGAAAAAAATCGATCGACGCGAAAAAAATAACGGCTTTGAAAAACCTCGAAAAAATGGCAATTTTTTTTGAAATTTCGGAAGATTTCGTGCAAGCGTCCGTAGCAGTGTTTGCGTCAAACACACCGATGCGCCCTTTTAAATGTCGCAGGAGCCGTTTTTTTCGGAGTCAAATTGTACTTTTTCCTGTTTTATTTCGAAATAACATTATTTTTTTCATTTTTTTCTTTTTTTCGAAATCGAATGATAATAATTTTTTTCTGAGTAGAAAAAAAGAAAAAAATAAGCTGAAAAAAATCCCTTTGACCTTTTTTTCTAGGTAGTTTTTTTGATATTTTATCAAAAAAATTCTTATGAGGATTGTACAAAAAGATTCATACCAATACATGAGGCTCAGTTCGGACAACCTCTCAGAACAGAAAAACCGATTTAAAAAAACGGTCCAGAAACGCGCAAAAAACTTTTTAAAAAGAAAGCGTGCGGCAGCGGGTAAACCGTGAGATTTTGCCTCCAGTTGAACGCCGAGCGCGCTCGTTTTTTTTGGCCATAACTTTTTTTCTTAGTGAACCTTTTTTTCAAAAAAACTAAACGGATTATGAAAATGGACAGTCTCCTCTATCGAACAATGTGAAAAACATTTTTTTTGAATCGTTCTGAAGAAATGGCTTGCGGACCCTAGTTTTGAACGCTTAATAACATAATCAAAAAAATATAGACGCGATCCTATTCTCTCATGCGTCAACGAGGCAGGCGAAAAAAGGAGGTTTTGGTAAAACTCAAATATAATTTAATTCGCTGTCCCAATAATTATTTTCATTCTGAATTTTTATTTTTGGACACACTGTTAGTTTTTAAATCAAATAAAAAGTATACCATGTCGCTGAAATTTTTTCGCATTTCAGCTTCAAAGTTTGGTGTCACTTTACAAGCTTTAATATTTTTTTCGCGTCGGTAGATTTTTTTTATTTCCACTCAAAAAATAAAGTAAGTGTTAATGTATAACATACTTAAAATTTAGAAGCGTTCCTCACTTGGTTTTCTGAAACGCGACGATTTTGTGAAACTTGTCAGTTTTTTTCGTGTTAAATCTTACTTTTTCGCTTATTTTTGAAAAAAACATAGTTTTTAAAATATTCAGTCTTGTAGAGCGTTGTCGATTACATGGCATAACAGAAACAGTTCATTTTTAAAGTGGGACTTTAGCTAGTATAAACGCCTCAAAACCGTTTTTGCAACAAAAAAATCGTCATTTTGGTGGCGTGAAGGGGCGGGGCTTTGCGCCCCCTAAATAAACTATAGTCCCTTTCTCCCACTTTTTTTGTGTTTTTTTTTTTTTGAAAACTAGTCAATAAACTGTGATTAAAAAAAAATGCGTTTTTCCCTTGAAAACCAAAAGGTTTTCTTTTTTATCTGAGGATCGGAAATCAAAAACGCAATTTAGCCTCTCCACCAATTTCAATTTCAATTTCTCATCTCCAGCCTCGGTTTTCATTTTCCAAACAGAAGAAAAAAAAATTTGATTGAAAAAGGAAATCCGCGTTTTCAAAGGCAATATCCAGGGGGAAATCGCCTGGAGGGCGATTCTTGAGCTTCATCCGAAAATAGAAGCAAAATCGGGTGTGGTTACTGTGGAAAAATCTCTGATTCGTAGGGGAAATTTTGAAAAAAAAAATGAATGGATTCAATTCAATCAATTTATTTTCGCAACATCGGGATGGTATGGTGATGTTGCAGGGAGGGAAAAAGACCACTAGGTGGATTAACTAACCCCACCTGTGAAGAAAAAAGTTTTTTGTGTGAGAAAAGAAACATAGGACCATAATAAGTAGATACTTAAAACCAAGTTGATTATGGCACAAATCTGTAAACTCTTGAAAGAATATGCTCGACGCCAACATTTTCTGCATACACTAAAAACATGTCCTTAAATGTTTTCTTGTCTTCCTCTGCCAGTAATTCATGTTCAATGTCATTCCAAACATTAGTAATGCTATGTGATAAGAAATTGAAGAAAACCAGTGAAGGTTCCGTTTTTATTAATTTAAAAACATTTCCTCTGAGCTGACTGGGACGGTCAAAGATGTTATGTACCTGGATGGGAGAGTCTGACCAGCACTTATTATGCAAAAACTGATGTGATAATACCAAATCCTTAACTAAACGCCTAAACCAAAGAGGTCGAAGACCTAAAAGTTTTAACCGTTCATTATATTCCATTCTTGGGAAAAGGCGCTTCGTGAAACGCTCTACCAACCAGGAGCTGTCTCTTTTCTTATCGTGTTAGGACCCTTTTTCGACCTGCGAAATTTCGATTTTTTCCTCTTTTTTGTATTTCGTATTAACTAATGTATTTTGTTCACTTTCTTGCAGTTTCAGAAACTCTGAAAATGATGACAAAAAGACGAATTATTTGGTTCTACTGACAGTAGACTACTGTTTTGAGTCATATTTTTGGAAGTAGTATTTGAAAAATAAGGAAAAAGCTTTTTCAGAAGTGCAAATATTGAAAAAAATATGTTCCAATACTTCTTCTTTTACAATTTTTTTCAATCTTTAGTTGGGTTTTTCACAACAATATGTGTATAAATTTATTGCTCAGAAAGTTTTCTTAATAATGATTTCTGTTTTTTTGAGAGTTCTCGCGAATGAAATCAACAGTTTTTCTTCAGAAAATAAGCTCAAAAATTTCATAGCGTTTAGGTTTTAGCAGAAGAAAAAACTCTCATAAATGATCATTGTGAACGTTTTGAATGATTTTCGGTAAACATACTTAACATAGCGATTTAAAGAAGCTTATCTCACTCCAAACAAACATTTTCGCAAAACACTTTGAACATCAAAGATAATGTATTATTATTTGAATGTAGTACGACCAGAAGATCTTATAATAATGATTTATTTCATTCACAAGAATATAATCTGTGAAAAATCAGGAGACAAATTGCTGTTGAGTTTAAAGGAGCATAGCCAAATTTGAGGGAGGTCTCGAGGCGAAGAACCGTTTTTAATGTTATTCCAATATTTTTGCTCCTCAAATGAGAGTTTTCGAATAATGTATGGCTTTTGGTAGATCATATAGCTCTGAAAAAAATTATCGGAACGATTTTAATTACATAAAAGAGCATGTCTAGGAGGGAATAACAACAACAAAAGTTGATTCCCTGAAAACGGACTTTCCAGGACAATTGGCTCATAAGCTTGTGAATATTCTATTGTCGCGAATCAAAAGGCATTCATTGAATATGATGTTTTTTTCGGTGAGGCGCTAAGTGCAAGAAAAAAAGTTGTTGGAAATTAGAACTTGAGACATTTTTTTCCGTTATCGTTTTCTATTATTTCGATTTATTCATTTTAGAAAATTCCAGAATTTTAACCGAAAATATCTTTTTTTCATAAATTTGGCCAGCTTCCAAGTTTCTGCTAGCTTTTTTTCAAAATTGAGATCTGGGTATGAGGGAAATCCTCTTTTTGTTCGAAGGTTTCTTTCTGAAGATATATTACTTTCGTTGTCATTTTTTTTACTTCTTTTTGTGTTTCTGGGACTTGAAAACTTGGAAATTCGAACTCAAAAAAGACCAAAACGACGTCATCTGTCGATATTCATCGAAATTTAGAAGCAAAATCAACAGAGCTTCAGGCCAGACGGACCGGCGAAACGTCCGGTTCATCGTCGAAGAAAGTTAGATCGAAAAATCGAGCCCACATGATTCTTTTCAGAATTGAAGTGAGAGTCAAATAACTGCAAAAAAAAAATCGAACCGCAAAAATCTGACTTCGAAAATGTTTCACAGGAGTTCTTCATCAAGATTTTTGCCTGATAAGTTTTAAAAAAAAAGTTCTGTTTCCATCAGTAAACCGAGCAAGTTCAGATGTAAGAACTTTTCTCGATATTCGTTCATATTTCTCGGAAGTTTGAAACAAATTTCTACAGAGCTTTATATCAGACGGACCGAAAAATTTTCTGGATCGAAGAAAGTAAGATCATATCCTCGAGCCTACACGACTTTTTGAAATCGAAATTAGAGTAGGACAAACTATAAACGAACTGATTGATAAAATTCTGGCTTTAAAAAAAAGACGACATTCCTGTATCAAAATATCGGATATCTTTTCCCGCTCTTCTTTTTTTTTCTTCCAAATTCAAACTCAAAATGTAAAACCTTTTTTATCCACTTTTTCTTGTAACATTGACAATTTAATCTAAACAGTCTAAACTGACGTCATTTTGCAACAACTGGAACCCAAATAGGTTAAAATGACGTCATTTTTTTAGGGATTTGAACCTCAAGCCAGACTAAAATGACGTCATTTGTTGATCTTTTCCGGAAGTTCGGAATTTAAGGCAGAGCTTTAGGTCAGACGGACCGGAAAAACGTCTGGCTCGTCGTCACCGCCATACTAATTGTGGGCGCCGTCAGTTCGCCGCCTCTTTTCTCTGCTCTCAGTTCAGCCATTCCCATCCGCAATATAAGGGTACAGAGTGGGCGGAGCCTCAGGCTTCTCTCGTCTCGGCTCCGCCCATTTTCCATTCCTAGTGTTGTCCGAGGCAGGCCTTCGTCTACGTCTCGTCGTGCTGTTTATTTTTCTTTTTTCTATCATTTTTTTATCTTTTTGAAAGTTCTTTGAAGAAAAATCGGGAAACTTTTTATTTTTTTCTCCGAAATGTTTGGTGGATTTAAGCTGAAAAAAGTGGTTTTTTCTCAGTCAACTCAAACTTTAGGATAAAAAATTCTTGTTTTTCGAATTTGATTAGATTTTCCCCTAAAAATTCTTTAAAAAGGATAACGGAATTTTTTGGAAGGACACAGACGTTACTATGAATTTCCAAATCTCAAAAAAGGATGAATTGAAAATTTTTTTTACATTTTCAGGGCTAAAAATAAACACAGCTTTTCACAACAAGTTTTCTCCATCTTTTTTGACTTTTCTATATTCCAAGAGTACCATCTAGTGACCACTTGGTCCGAGTTTTCTTCATTTCTCTTCGAACGCCGCTTTTAATAGCTTTTCGTCCGAAGAACAAATTTGCTGCAAAGTGTACTTTACGGAGTTTTGAGCCATTTTTTATGAGAAAAAAGGTGTTTTGTGCAATTTCGGATTGACCGTTGAGCTAATAAAAAAAGCTCTAAAATTGTTTTATTTTTTATTTTGCTGCTCTTTTTTTGTACATTCTTTGATTGCTTTTTGAAAAATTGGATTTTGATCAAGACCTGAATTTTTCCTGTTTCAGAAATCTTCTAAATAGAAGAAAATGAGTGTATTTCAATACCGGATTTTTGATCGATTTCTACATTTTTTTTTCCAAAAAGATGCAAGGAAATAAGGGCATTCTAGGACAGTCTGCAAGCCGTATTATCACAACTTACGTTGAAGGTATCATCTTTTCCCGTATCAGTAATCTTGTAACTTGGGGATAATAAGCATATTCTTGTACCCTCTGTCGATTTATGTTCGATTTTGACATATTTTCTTGTTTCAGGAAGTTTTTGGAAAGAAGAAAATAAATATATTTCAGTTTTATCTGTCCCTCTCCTGATCCATTCTGAGCTAATTTAGACGAAATTACCAGATTTTCCCGTATCAGGAAGCGTGTAGATGCAGCAGCAGCACATGTCGACGTACCCGTCGTTGCTGGAGCCGGCGATCTGTCGACGTCGGCTGCCCGTTCCGCCGGACCCCATGATGAGTCGACGGAGCAGCTCGCCGAGGATCCTACCGACGCCGCCGCCTCTTTCCCCCGAATATCGGTTCGTTTTTTTCCTTGGTTTTTTTTTATGAAGTGGGTTTTTTTTTAAAATTTTTTAGTGTAGATTTGAAGATTTTTCGAAGAGTTTAGGATCTTCTCAAAAACTGTTGAAAGTGATTTTCACGAATTTTATCCAGTATAAGAATTTCGTAGCATTGTAGTTCTTGTTTTTACGAAAGTTACGAAATAAAAATATTTCAAAAACTGATTCAAATGAGAAAAATTTTTAAAAAAGATTAGAAAAAAACTTTTAAAAAAATCAAAAAAACAAATTGCGACTTTTTCAAAATCTTCATACAGTTTTTGAACCAATTTTTGATACACTTTTTCATTTTTTCCGATTTTCGTTATTTAAAGGCTGTAGTATTCCTCATTATCTTTTGAATTATCAATTTAATCGATGAAATTTCGCAATTTCGAAAAAAATCATACTCAAAAAGTTTCTTTTTCTAAAGTTTCATAAATGTTTTCGCAAAAAAATGAAAAGTTTATAATCAATTTTTTTCGCTATGCTTTTTTTATTATCCTTCTTTCAAATTTAAAAAATGGCTTCTTAGAATTTTTGATCCCCATAAATCCTGTCTAATTCCTGCCACGTTCTACGAAGTAATATAAATTTTGTCTCAGATTTTTTTTTATAATAGGATGAAACAAAAAAAGAATTTTCAAAAGTTCACGTTTTTTTTTGGCAAATTTCCAAAAAGTGAGCTGGTATCTGCGCGCGAAAAGTTTCTGCACCAGCCAGCAAGGAAAAACTGAGGATAACAAGGTCCCGAGAGGCCCGGCAAAAAAAAGAAGACGTCGCGGCGGCAGATTCAAGAGTGTTGAGAGTGGTCACTCAAGGGGAAAGATCATCGAACAACGCTTCATCATCAAGCTTCTTTTCGAAAAAATTCGGATCTGAAAAATGAAGTTGCCTTTTTTCGAAAAAAAAAAATTTTGTCAATTTCAAATTTAAATGAAAAAAACCTTTTTTTATGACGTCAATGTGCAAGTTAAGAACCCATTAAAAAAGGCTTAACAGAAAAATCGCAATATCATGATTAAAATTACACATTTTCGCCCAATGGCCATGTGTATTTTTCAAATTAGCAGGTGGGAAAAATGTAGGCGTTGTTTTTTCGTTATCCATCACGTCATTAATCATTTCCCCTTCCTTATTAATGACGCAAAAAGTTTTTCAAAAAACGGTTTCGTCGTCTGTGTTAAGAGGCAGGTGTTAAAGTTGGAAGAAAAAGGTATGGGTGCAAACTTTCGTGGAATCAAAAATATTTATTGAAATCTTGAAACAGGAATCTTGGAAAACAGTACATTTGTTTTTGAATTTCTTTATACTCTTTTAAGCAATTAAAACGATCTAAAAAGCTATTTTTAGGTTGTTTCTCAACAAATTTCAAGAAAAAAACTCTTGCTTCCATGGAATTGTACACAATTTTTTTCCACTATACAGTAAATCTCGGAAAAATGCAAAAGGGGCACGGCTTCATTGCAAGAGGCGCAAAAAAGGCAAGCTAAAGAGTAGAGATGAAAGGGAACAGACACCTCAGAGTGTTTCACAATGAGAATATGATTATACTGAGTTCTTGAAGAAAATCTTCAGAAGCCCTTCGACGATGCCGAATCTGGAGCGACGTCCATCCGGCCGAGTTCTACCACGACCTCCCCTCGCCAGCGACATCCTGACCAAGTCGAAGTCGGTCTCGCCGGTCTCGCTGACGCCGGATCCGACGCCGGACCCGGAATTCAACGTCATCATCGACCGGCTCATCGCCGAAGACATCGACGAGGTCGACGACATCGTTGAAGAGCCCGAAGCCTCGTCCAACGCCGACTCCTACGACGACGACGCCTACGACGACGTAAAGCCCTTGACGACCTCGACGGCCATCAACGGACACCTGACGTCACCGATGACGAATGACGTCATCTATAACGGAAAGGAACGACGTCTGTCTGCCTCGCAGTTCTCCTCTCACTCGGCGTCAATTGAGCAGGTCGGCCCGACTTTTTTTTTTCGGTTCTCAGATTTTTGAATTTCTGATTAGACCTTGCGGGGGAGTCTGCAAGGAGTTGGATTTCGAAGGGTTTTGATTTTTGAAGAATGTGCACTTTGGCTAGAGTGGAAAGATCGGTTGAATTTTGAAGAGAAAATTGAATTTAGAATCGCAGGTTTTCCGACAAAAAAGCACAGTTTTTTTAAGTTTGAGACATAATGTGAAGGTTTTTCTAATGAAAAGAGCTCATAAATGTTAAGACTTTTGGATAAATTTCAAAATTGAAAAAAAAGTCTGCAAGCTTGCGTCACGGCGTGGACGATGTTTGCAGAAGTTGTGCGTGAAAAATTTTTTTTTCATTTTTGAAAAAAGAATCTATTTATTTTCAAAACTTTCAAACTTCCCAATTTTGAAAAAGTGATTTTCCAACTTTACGAAGACTTGGTTTCAACGTTTTTCACCGTAACCTTTCAAGAGGCCCATAAAAGACGTTGCCTGGCTTTTGACCATAAAAAAAGCTCATATTTTACATTTTGCCATGTCCAAAAAACCAAACATAAAACAAGGGAGCCCCCATAAAAACTATATAACAACGGGTGGGACTCCATTTGCCTCCAAATTAGCCGTCGTCGGTCGTTATGAGCCTCCTGTGACCGGAAATCTCCACTTTCTTTTCTGCTTCTCCTCTTCTCCACAGCCAACACTAACACGCAAATATATTTCTTTTTTTTTTCTCGCCAAAATATGTTCATTCAGTTGTTTTTGGTCGGTCGCCGAGCGGGGATTTCTCCGTATAAATATGTAATTGGCTCGGCTGTGCCCTTGAGTGACCACTTCTTCAAAAAAGGGATCACTTAAAAGAAGAAGAATTTAAGGAAAAATGAGTATTTTTGAGCAGATTTTGGAACGCAATGTGCTTCTTTTTGAAATAGTTTTTGGCACTTGGAATAGCTCAAAGCTTCGCGGTCACGTTGCGGATGTACTTTGTAGACTTTGTCTTTCTGATGTTTTTACTACTCTCAAGCGTAAAGTTGACCATTTTCCTGAAAGAAAAAAAATGGAAAAAAAAACTCCTTTGCAGAGAAAAATTAGGTAGTCTCCTGTTTTCAGTGTCTGGCTCTAAATAGGTCAAATTCGCGATGGCGCGAACTTTGAGCTTATTTTTGAGCCTTTTCGGCCAAGAAATTGGCCGGACCTCGAAATTTTAATGAGGATTTTTGAGTTTTAATGGAGTTTAATTTTTGATTTAGATAGGTTTTTCCGAAAAGGGCTCGAAATTGAAAAAATAATAGGGAATTTTACGCGATTTTCAAAGCTTCAAAGTGTTTTTTTAATACTTTTAAATGGTCAAGCTTTCTGGAAGATTTGTTTTGCTGAACTTTGCAAAAGTAGGAAAACTCCTGATTGGGTTTTCATTTCTTCTAATTCAATGAAAAACGAACGAAAGACGGAAACTGTGATAATTGCATTTTTTTGCAAGACACGAACCTCAATCAAGAAAAGAAACTGACTGGATGATTTAATAATGGTTGGGAATCATTTTCCTTGCATGTTTTCCCGAAGAAAAGTCGAGGGAAAACTCTTTTTTTCTTCTTTTTCTTCTTTGCTCAATAATGTTCGAGACCAATTGTCGAGCCCCACCCGTAATTTGCCGGGTATGGAGAGAAAGGAAAATATTGTTCAGTGCTTTTTATAGGAGTTTTCGAGGTGGATTCGAAGAGATTTCGAATTTGACAGGAAGATCTTTGAAAAGAAAAACATTTTCCTAGTAAATTCTTGAATTCCTTGTAATATTCAGGATAGTTTTCACTTTGAATATTAAAAATTTTCTTTCAAAAATAATATTTTTTTGAGAAAGGAAAATTGATGTGTCCTAGAAGGATTTTTTCTTCACATTTTCTAGGAAAGTGCCGTTTTTTCTTATTATTTTGGAATTTGAGCCGAAGATCGATATTTCATCCTAGAAAGTTTAGAAATTTTTTTTCAAGATAATTATTTCAAAGAGAGGAAAAAAGCAACGTGCCTCAGAATTTTTTTTTCACGTTTGTTTAGAAGATGATATGAAGTTTTTTTGAACTTTTTCTTGTGAAAAAAAGTGAAGAAAAATCGAGTTTTGTTGATTTTTCGAAAAACGTGCATTATTCATGGAAAAATTTCATGAAAGACTCTTTTTGAACTTATTTTCTGGTGAAAATTGAGAAAAAAAGAGTGGAACAATTTTTTTGAGCAGTTTTGGTTTGAAAATTATCAGAATCTTTAGAAAAATCTTTGAAAAAAATCCTATTTATCGAAAAATATTGTTCTACCAACATGAATTGGAATTCGGGGCTAAATTTGGAATGGTTCAAAAAGATGCGGTTCCATGTTTTTTTTGATCCAGGCTCTAATTTTTTTGATTTTTTTCTGTATTTCTCTAATTTGAAAAAAATACTGGGTTCATATGTGTCGTTAATTCAAAAAAAGCAAATTATTTTTGGAAGAAAAACTGAGACAAGTGCTTCTCATTAATTATTTCTCTCACACTTTTTCCCCATTTCAAGACCATGCAAAAGAATCCGTTTTCTTTTGAAGTGAGAAAATGGCGGCAGACACATTGATTATGGGGTGTTGTTTTGTTTTTGAGCCGCACGTGTTAGAAGGAGAAGAAGAAGGGGGAATGCTCGGGGAGCCGCGGACGCGAGTACGACGAGCCCATTTCGAAGAGTTTTTCAAAGCAGCTGATGCAGAAAAATAGTGTGCCCCGTGAGGGGGGACCTTCGCGCATCTTTCTCCCTCCCTTTTCTCGCACCTCGAATGTCCAAAAGCTCAGTCTTTTTCCTAGCCAGCCATGGGAAAGTTCAAGGGGCTATCGGGGCTCTTGGGACTATTTTTAGAGTTTAAGTTTGAGAAAAAGTTCCGATTCCGGTTTAGGGAGTTTTTAGGGGAATTAGGGTTCTTTTCAGGGAGAATTGGCAAAGTTCAAGATCTCTTTGGAGCTGATATTGGAGTATCAATTTAATGAAAGTTTCGATTTCAAAGACATTAAGCAAATTTTGACTTTTTTCAGTAGATTAACAGCCTTTTCAAAAAATTTTCGAGAATTGTTCAGAATTTGGAGGTTTTTGGTCATTTTTTGTCCTCAGGATGATAAAATCCGAAGTTGAACCTTTTTATACTCAGATATTTTTTCTTAAAAGGAACTGCTTCGAAAATTCACATTTCAACGTGTTTTTTGGAGCCCAAAAGTCGCATAATTTTGTTCAAAATGATGGTTATTTGGTTATAATTGAGATTTTCATGCGCCCATTGTCGTGATTTTCAATGGGGAGAGACGATGGGAAAGTTCAATGAGTCCTTGAGGCCAAAAATAGACTTTGATTCAATTGGAGACTGATTTTAGATCTTTAATTGGTTTTCCAGAGGTACAAAAACTGAGAAAAAAACAGAAATCATATCAGCGAATAAACTGATTTCTCTCTTTTTTTGAACAGAAATTCTTTTTTTAAGTGTCAAATGGCGATTTTTTTCGAAAAAGACCCTTATTTTTTTAGTTCACTCGACCTTTTTCCGAAAAAGCAGGAAATAAAAAAATTCCATGTGGCCTTTTGGACACTAAAATTAGCATCGTTTGCCTTGCACCCGAACTTTTTTCCCAGATTTTTGAACTTTCTTTTAAAATTTTTTCTGCAAAAAATCGTTGTTGTACTTTGATTAGCAGTGGAATCCGACAAAAGAGCCATTTCAAATGCGACCAGAACACCTTGAGCCATTTCAAATGCGACCAGAGTTATTCGAACCAACTAACTTGAAACCGTAAAGTGAGAAGTACTTCTGAAGAAAAAAAAATTCAAAAATCCAAACTTCACCAATTACTGCGCCCGACTAGTCGCGACTTAGGCCTTTAACAATTTTTTTTAACAATCAAGTCAAAAAAAAACTTGAAATTCTGAGCCGCAACGCGATCTCGCTGCCGCTAGCCCTTCCAAAAACGAAAAGTCGCGACCTTTGGCCGTTCGAACTCGACTCGTTTTAGGGTACACACACTGATGACCGAAAATAGTTCTTGAGCAGCAAAAAAAGAGGACCAAATGTGCCCCGCGGCCAAATATATGATTGACAACAAGTTGTCGTCTTCTCGGCGTGAAGAAGAAGAACAAATGCATACAAAGTTCAATGTTTTGGCACGTCGACGGGTCGTTCCTCGGAAATATATTAGCGGATGAGAAAAGGAAGGCTTTGGCGTGTAATTGCTTCGAGCTCGAAAAACGGGGTGCAAAAATGAAAGGAGGGGAAAAATGACCGGAAAAGCGGATTTTGATTTTCGAGTCACAGTTCGAGTTGAAAATTAGATTTGTTCGTGAGAAAATGTCCCGGCACGCTAAAGGAAATAGTGTGTAAAAATAGGAGAGTTCAGAAAGTTTTTTTTGAAGTTTCAAATAGATGGGCGAGATATTGAGCAAGATCAGGAAAGTTTAGAGAAACGTCTATTTTTTGGTCAAAAATTTGGCGACTTCGAAGAAATAGTGTGCAAAAACGGTAGTCTTGAGGGCGTCAAGCTTTTTTTTTTTGAGAAAAAACCCTTCTAACCAGTAAGGACTTTTCAAGTCACCATTTTCGAACAAGATAAAAAAATAGCTTTTTTTAAATTTCTATTGTTTTTTTCGAACCATTAGAAATTCAGAAAATCTTAATTCTTATTTCATTTCTCTACTCAGGTCTAAAATGTGTCTTGTTTTTCTCTTGGAAAATCTTCTCGACATTGAGAAAACCTAATAGGGAGAGCCGATCAAACGTTAAGGCGTATCAAAACAATTTGCATGTTGCTCAGGCGGCTTTTTCTCTTTTGAATATGGGATTAGGCGAGCAAAAGCAAAAATGGAGAGGCTAAGAGGGGTTGGAGGAAGTTTTAACTTTGCTAGAAAGAAATAAATTGTTTCTTGATGGAGTATCAAGCTTCAATAGCAGTAGAAAAAGCGAAAAAATGAGAAAAGTTGATATTTTCGAGAAAATGGAGTACGATACGCGCAAAGTGTTCATACACCGCGACGTGTTTTCACATGATGTTCAGAAATAAAAATCGGTGGTATGAAAAAAACACCAAGGTGGCCGTCGGAAAGTTCCCTAGCGAAATGAAAAAATCGGAAAAGTCGCCGTTTGAATTTTCGCTGGTGTTTTTTTCATACCACCTAAAAATCAGCTTTTATTTTTTTAAAAGATATTTTTAGTCATTATTAAGCGAGATTCGATTTTTAATCCTATTATTTTTTTCACATATCTGAGGCCTTTCCGAACATTCTTTGTGTATAGATTTGATTTTTAAGTTTTGCTTACGATTTACAAGATTTTTAAGAGATCATTTCAAATTTTTACGAGACTTTTTTTAAAAAGCATCCGTTCCTATCTAATCATTTTCCTGTCATTATCCGTGAAGGGGCATAAATTTATCATGAAATTACCCCTGCAATTTGGCCAAACTCTCAAGTAGAGGCAATCCATTCGCCGGATCATCTATTATTCACCTCTAAGCTCGGCTTTCCATTCTTTCTCCACGTGAAGGAAAACCCAAACGAAAACATTGGCCGGACCGAGAAATTGTTCAGTTGCAGAAATGGAGAGGAATTTTTCTTGGAAAAGGAAGTTTGAGATTTGTCTTCGGTTTTTGAAATTTTGACGGATAGTATCTAATATTGAGGTTTAAAAAAAGGATATTTTGGAATTTTCAAGTGAAAGAAGGTTTTCAAAAAGACCTTTTTTTGTAATTTTTTTCGGCTATAAACACGCTTAGAAAAAAAGGAAAAATGAAATGAAAAAAATTAGGAAAAATCTAATTATCTTCCAGCTACAAGTTAGATTAAAAATCAAATTTCGGACGAAAACACGATTCTTCTTTTTTAGAACACCTTTTTTTGTATTTTCTTGCAATTTTGCTCCGGAGATTGAAAGAACTGAATTTTTAAAAAACTAGAAGTTGGATTTAGTTTGAACTTCAAATGACGTCATGTCTTTTTTTGCAAGCCTTCTTTTTCTTAGTCTCTACTCAACCAAGTCAATCTTCTTCTTTTTTTCTTCTTCTTCAACCCCATAAACACCGTTTTTTCCTTTTCTTTTATTTATCTTCACCCATTCCAAGAAAGGAAAAGTCCCATCAATTGTCGATTTTCCGGTGCCCATATCTATCCCAAAAACATTTATCTCTGCCTTTCAGTTGAGGCGGACGAAAAAAGAAGAAGAAAGAAAAAAGAGCAGGCGGGAAAAGAAGATTGAAATGAGATTTGGGTTTTTTTTTTTCGGAGGCCGGGGACCTCAACCAACAGAAAGTTTAGTTAAATCCGCTCCTTTTTCCGTGTTGCCTTTTGGGCAGGATTTCTTCCTGATTTCTTTTTTTTTGAGCTGAGGAAAGTTGATTTTCGGAGGGAGAGGTTGAAGGAAGGGCATCGAAATGGAAAAAAAAACAGCAAACAATTTTTTCTGAGAAATCATTTAATTTTAGATCTCGGTGTATGCGCACTTTGCGCGCATCGTGTTAATTTGAGTTGAAAAATCTTAACATTTGTCATTATTTTTGAATTCTTTTTCATTTTTTTAATTCAAAGTTTAGCGATAATTCCAACAAAAAAACTGGCTATCGAAAGTTTTATCGAAATTGTTTTTCGATAAAAAGTCGGCTTTTTCGAATAATCTGTTTTAAGAGAAAAAAATTGGGCATTTTGAATAATTTTTTTAACATTTAGTTGGCCCTAGGTGAACTTACAAATCAGAAAAAAGAGCTTTTTTCTACAGTTTTTGTCAATATTTTCTGTTAAGCAGAATTTTTTTAAACTAGAGCCCTCCCCCTTCTCTAGTGTTTTTTTCCAACCAACCACGCCAAAAAAAGAACCTTTTTTTCTCTGAGCTTCTCACTCTGAGGTCAGTGAGTCCGAAAAAATAGCGAGAAGACGAGAAAAAAGGCTCCCAAGGGACCACTAAAGCCTCCACTCGACAATCAAAATGACGCATTTTCCCCTTCTTTTTTTCCGAGTTGATATTTGAGAGTGCAAATTTGAGCCACGACTGCTAATTAGGAAAATAAGCTAATTAGGAGGGGAAAGAAGACGCGCAGAAAAATGATCCGGAGGGAAAAAATTGGAACAAAAAAAATTATAAAACATAAAAATTGGGAAAAATGAGGAAATAGCATCTAATGAAAGAAGTTGAACTCGAATAATTCTGAATAAAACAATCTGAATAACGGAAAATTATATGTGTTGCAAAATTTGAACAAAGAAAATCCAGATGACCTTCGATTTGGTGTAGAAAAGTCAGTTGAACTCAAGTCTATCGAAAAAATAATCGGAAAAAAGTTAAAATTTGAATTGAGGCAAATTAGTCAAGATCAAATTTATCGCGAAAAGAGTCACTTGATTCAAAAAAAAAATCTGGGAAAGATTTCAAGAAACTTCGAATTTCAGTTGAGGAGAGAGAACCCAGTGGAATTAAAATTTGACAAAAAAAAAACCGGGTGAAAAAGTTCGAAATCCTGTAATTTTCAGTTGACGAGCAAATCAAGCAGCGAAGATCCGTTGGCTCATGGACTGGACCCGTCGATGTACTCTCCGCAGCCGATTTCGACTTCGGGTCAGAGGTCGTCATTCAGTGAACGAGGCGTCACGCCGGAAAAAGAGGTCCTTTTTGGGAATAAGAAAAACAGATTCCATCGGTTTTCGGCAAATCTTAAAGAGGTGAAAAAATAGCCGCGAGCTCTTGCGCTCCAAGGATAATCAAGTAGAATAGCATTTTTGAATGAACTTTGGAAGGATTCCGTCGAAAATGGATCCACTTACTAAAATTTTATAAGAAGACAGTTGAAAATTGGAATCTCAGAGGAACGGACTTGATATATGAGGATATTTTAAATGCAGTTTCTTGAACATTTCAAATAACCTTTATTCATGAAAAAAGACAGTTGTGTGTGTTTGAAACATCACGTCATCTATCCGTAGAGCGAACATGATACCTGAAAACTATTTTTTCGTAGGATGATCGGCATTTTTGATTTTCTATAGAAACTTCAGTTTTACTGCGAAAAAGGCGTTTTTGAGTAACAATCCAAAAAAATAAAGAAATCTATTTATTGCAAATGCAAATTGAGCTTAGTGGGAAAAAAACTCGGAAACAAAATTAGAAAATCGAAATTATCAGCAGAGCGCACTTTACAGTTGGAACCTATTTTTAGCGCTTTTTTCCATATCGAATTGTCTTCCTTATTATCCCAAGAAGGAAGTTTCATCATTAACGAAAGCAATAATTTTTTATTTCTCTCATTTCTGAGAAATTCCAATAGATTCCTCCAAGAATTTATCGTCTTTCCTGCTTTTTTTCGCATCCTAATGAACCCAGGAAATTACCAAATGATGAGCTTCTGTCGTCGTATTTTCGCTTCGAAACTCTCCAAAGAATAGGGAAATAAGAAAAAAAAGTTATCAAACGACGTTTTTTTTTTCTCTGGATAATTGGAATCACTTCAGTGGCTCCTTTTTGTTTAAACAAATCATTTGAAGGAAAATTTCAACAGTGAACCAACTTTGCAGTGGTTCAAAAAATCGAGCACGCTTTTCTAATAAGACACTGTAACACTGGGGGAACTTTGCCAATATCAAAAAAAAAAATTTTTTTTTCATTTACTCTGGGAAAAACTTTGAGGTCCATGTCAGGGTCCCTCAAGGACCCTAGAATGGCCACTTGGACGTCCCCTATAAAGAGTCTTAGTGGCCCCTGTAGTAATTATCTTTGTAACGAAAAAGGAAAAGAAGAATAAACGAGATATATTCGATCAAATTTTTTCGGCCAAACTTGTTGGGATTTTTCGGTTTTCTTTTTCCTTTGGACAAATCGCCGGATGTTGTCGTCCTCCATTTGTTGACCGGATATTTATGAAAACGGCTTTATTTATTTATTTTGAGGGGAATTTTGGCGAAATTTGGAAGGGATGGACTAGAAGGAGCTGATCCTAAAAACAATGAAATCACAAAAAATGGTCTTTTTAAAAGTTCTAGCTTCCCTGCGCCCTCTTCTCTCTCTCGCCAAAACTGCCATTCTCTTTGTTTACTCGATGAGAAAAAAGAGGGCGCAGACGAGTCAGTTTTTAATTTTATTTGTATCCTTCTCAGAAACTTTCAACATTATTTGGTGTAGAGTTCATTTCCGGTTCGAATTATCGTTTTTTTTTGTCTTATTTTCCTGTTTCTTCGGCTCTTAATAGTTATAGAAAGTGCAAACAACATACACACATAAATTTGATGAATATTCAATTAATGCTCAGTGTTGCGAATATAATCTGGGAATGGGAAAATGAGGGAATTTTTTGCAGGAATGGATATAAATGCATAAACTTCATGTCATTTTTTTGGACGAAAAAATTATTTTTTCAGGATTTTAGTTTTTCGAATGTTCGACTTCAAAAAGTGTGAATGAAATGAAATCCATCTCATAAAACTATTTTGACTTTTATTTTTCGCGGAGAACGGAAGAAATCGCTTCTTCAAAAACAGCCGAAAATCCAATTTTTTATTCCGCAACTCGTTGTTTTTCCAAGCTTCAAGAGAATTTTATTTCGAAAAAGTCCTGAATGATGTCAGCTTCAAGGAAACTTTATCCGATCCAATTACTACGTTTGAAGAAGAAGCCGCCCTTTTTTAACCCAACAAGAAGACGTGTAATTTTCTAAGAAACTCGGGAAAGTGGCAATTTTTGCGCCGGTAAATGATAGGAAACGAAGATTGTGACGCACGAGTGTAGGCTGAGAAACGTCTGACCTTGATTAGGAGTTTGAAAAGATAATTTCTGAGAAGTTTTTCCAAAAAAACCCTTCTAAAAGGAGAATCATAAATGTTTGAAAGGTTATTTTTAGAAAAATTCAAGGATGTTGAGTTTCAAAGGGAAAACTTGTAAATAGATCGAGAATTGTATAAATTGATAGAAGAACTCAAAAAAGGACAAATTTCGAAAAGAAAATCGGATATTTCTGGTTGTAAAGACTTGAAAATGAACAGCCCGTAATTTATGCTGAAAGAATTTTAAAGGATAGTACTCAAAAATGAGCTTTTGAATGGTTTTGTCGAAAGAACAGACTGAGTTGATATAATTTACGGCAAGATTTTTTTAAAAAAATTGGAATTTTTTTAGTATATTTTTTTCTTTGATTTTTTTATCAATTTTTCAGTCTGGCATTTCACTATTCTAACTGCTTTTTGTAATAATTTCGAGAATTTCTCCTTTTTTCAGGTGATAACCGCTTCAACTTCGGCCAACAATATAAATCGACAACCGTCTGGATTGGGACTTCTTCACGTTTCTCTACAACATTTTCCCGTTCGGAAACGACTTCGAGTATCTTTATTGAAAATCGAAGGTAAATTCTGCTGAAAAAAGTTTTTTTTTTTTCATTTATTATTGATAAGCATCTAGACAACTGAGAATCGAATTTATTTGTCATTCAATTCATTCAAAGAGCCCGACCAACGATAATTCGATGAAATTAGCAGGAAAATCCAATCTTTTCTTTTTCTCCCGAAAGGAAGTGCAATTGGAGTAGTAGTAGTAGTAGTAAACCTCAAGGGAGTCAACTTGATTCGAGAAAAAAAATGGAAGAAAAATGAAGTTTCAGCGTTGGCCGGCGAGTTGAAGCCAGAAATGGAGATCCACGCCATCTGTCGGGTCTCGATCCCTTGGCTCAAAGGCGGCAAGGAACAAGTCTCGGAAATGAAACGGGGAAGAGATCCGGTCTTCAATCAGGTATGGTGGCAGGAAAGCCGCGATAAATCAAAAGGATAATCGAAAATGCGCTCCAAGGCTATTTTCCATGTTCTCAAGCACGGAAAATCAAAAATTGGCGCGAAAAATCAGGCCATATTGTTCAGCTGAAAGCACACGTGGTGTAGGAAAATAGCCGTCGAAAAAGAAGAAAATTTTGTTGATTGCGCTCCAAGGCTAATTTTCCTTGAAATCGCGTAAAATTGAAAAAGAATTCAGAAAAAGCAATGAAAACGTAGAGGAATGAGTTTTGTACGCTCCAAGGCAGTCTGAAGAGCAATTAAATTCAGAAAAAAATAGCCGTGGAAAATATTTTGCTTTCTACGCTCCAAGTCTAATTTCAGTAATCCTAAGAAAAATAAAGATATAAAAGTCGTTGAAACGCGCTCCACGACTAATTTTTATTGGAACAGAGTGAAAGATCGGAAAAAGGCATTAGAAAAGTCTGAAGAGCGATTTATTGCAGAAGGTATGAAAAAAATAGTATAAAGAAAGCCTAGAAACTTAAAATTATAATTTCAAAACCGAAGAAAAAAAGGCAATTGTTACTGCTAGACGTACTATTCAGAAATTCATTCAAGTTTGTAAAAATGCTCCATTTTCACATCATTTTTCCGTCCGACCAGACTATAGTTTCCTGTTTCTTCTTCTATTCAAAACCGACTTTCTTTGCGCTTCTCATCTCGGATGCAAGCAATAAATTGGCGAATCGAGAATAATACATTTTTTTGGAGGAAGAAAGTTGCATGATTCATAAGGTTTCGAGACGAAATAGGAGGTTTCGGGAGCAATTTGAGCAAATTAGTCGGCGTTTGAATATTTTGTGAGGATTACGGTAGCTGGCAATTAGTGTGACACACAGGACGATTAGAGGAATTCATTGGAAATTTGTTGGTGTTTGGGGGGTCTGTAGTTCTTTTTTTGGAATTGTGAGAATAGATTCTTATGTCATTTAAAAATTAGAAAGATTTAATCATAATTTTTTTACAAGCTTACAAGGTCTGTAAAATTATACGAAAGTTTTTGGAAAAAAATGAATGAATTTGAACCTTCTAACGAGTTTTCCAATGGAAAATTGATTGAGAAGGTTTCAAAAAAAGAAAATATTGAATTTTCGTGATTTTCGGGATTTTTTTCAATTTTCAAGATGAGTTTTCGATAAATTTCAAGGTCACACGTGTTGGGCTCTCCATTTGGAAAAGTTCAAGCTAAAAAAAGGGAAATTTTCAAAAATGTTTAGTTTTTGGAACCTGCAGCTGAAAAACATCTTTGAAAAATTTTGAGTTTTTGAAACATGAAATTCGAGTTTTTTTAAAGACTAAATGTTCAAAAATGAGTTTGATAAATTCTCCGAACTTTTATAAATCGGATGTTTTTTTTTTGAAGTTAAAAACGAACATTGTTAGCCCTTGAAAGTCCCAAAAACGGAATTCATTTGTAAACTTCAAAAGTCAAGCTTCTAAAAAAACACATTTGTTTTCTCATGATCTCGCCGTGGAAATGTGTAAATATTATTTCGCGACACACGAATTGTTTTTGAAACCATCTGCAGAAGGAGCAGATCCTTTGATCCATCCTCGAAAAAGCCGAAAGAGAGGGAAAGAATTAAAAGTGCCCGGTGTTTGGTTCGTTTCGGCAGAATTATTTGCCCACCGCCGCGCATCTCCGCAATTGTTTCGACTTTTGGTTTCCATTTTCGGCGAGATGAGTAAAGAGGGCTTTTTCGGAGGCGAGAAATCGAAAGTGGATGCTTTTCCTGGGGATTTTCGCTGGAAATTGGAGAGATTTGTGAATTTTTCGACTTGGAGGGAGTGTTTTTGAAAATATTTCGAATTATCAGTTTTTTCGGAGTCGAAAATTGGATAACGGATGCTTTTCTGGGGTATGTTGGCTTGAAGGACAGTTGAAAAAAGTATTGGGTCTCGAGTTTTTACTGAAAAAGGCTATTATACCCACTTACTATCTATCCATAATTTCACCTTTTTAAATAACTAAAAAAAAAGAAGTTCTGTTTCCACAGTAATATTTCCTCCTTGTGGGGTGGAAAAATTTCTGGGACTACTCGTGACCTCAAAAACTCCAGTTTTGCTTCTCTTGTAATGATAATAATTATATTTACGGTTTATTGTACATAAAGGGTTTTCAGAAAAATCCCAACCGCAAAGTAGAATTCCAACTCATCCTGAACCCAATTGGCGCAGAACAAGTCTGCGCCTAATGACCTTGTCAGGATTAAAGCGGAACAGTTTTTTCTTCTGGTTTCTAGTGGACTAGGAAGTTTTCTTCCTCTACCGATAACAATAATAATAATGACAATAATGTGAGGCTTCTTGCAGGAGTTCTTCTTCGACAACGTGACGCACGAGGAACTCGACACGAAGCACGTTTTGGTGAGCGCCTACCATCAGGGCGGCGCCAAACTCGCCAAAGACATCCTGATCGGCGACGCGACGTTCCCTTTGAGGCAGATCCGAGAACTCAACACCAAGAAGGAGATCCGCATGTTGGAGGAGATCCAGCCCCAAGTTCCCAAGGTCAGAGGAAAAAAAAGATGTTTGAGACAAGATTTGCAGTAACAGAGGTTGAAGGGACAGTTTTCAAAGAAAAAAATGCTTAGAAAAAAAAATCAGAGCTGCTGATTTTTGAGAGAATGAATTCATGAAAACTCCATAAAAATTTTGAACTTTCCAGGTTTTTTTCTTCTGAAAAATATAGAGCTCTTATTCTTGATTTTCAACAGGAATCTTCAAAATAGGAGATCGGGAAAAAATAGCCGTCAAGCTGTAGATTTGGTCTTGTAATCTTAAGAAACCTCTTCTCTTATTAAAAATTAAGTGAGGATGAAGTTCATAAAAAATTAACCATCATTATCGCTTTTTCCTGTTTCATTGAATTCGGAGGTTTGATATTGTTTTGATTTTTTTTATAAGATGTTCATGTAGCTTTTCAAAACCTCGTCAAAAAAACTTTCAAAAAAAAAACCAAAACAGAAATTTTTCAAAATACATATTTTTTTTCAAAAAAACTAGAGATTTCTTTGAAAAAAAGCTTCTCGTCCATGCTGCTGATGACATTTTCGACGTAGTTTCAGCGGCCTATTCTGAGCCAATTTTTTTTTGCAGAGTTCCTTATTCAATTTTTTTTTCTCAATGCAGATGTCAGTGTCAGTTTTGAGGCTAAACTAGAGAAAAAAGGTTTTTTTTTCCAGAAACTCGGAAAGATCTACACATCAACGTGTATAGAGAAGGAAGCCAAAAGATTGACGATCAATTTGAAAAAAGTGGATGATTTGCCGAGATGTGGACTGACTGGAGCGCCTGGTGAGCTTTGGAAGTTTTTTCGTGCGAAAAATGTGTAATTTCCATTTTGTTTTTGTCAAAAGTCGAGTTTGAAGCTGGAAACTGAGTATTTCAGCCAGTTTTTTTTCGTGAAACTTTTCGTACTTCCTCTCAATTTCTAGTGCCACTTGTTTGGAGTCGAACCCGGAAGCCATTCATCTTGAAGCTTTTGGAGAAAGAGCCAAAAAAATGATAACAGCTTTTTGACAACTCTCGTGAGGATTTGTCCACATAAATAACCGAGTTTCTCGTGATTGTACGGTTTTCAAAGTGGTCCCTAGAGTGTCTGGGAGTAATTAGGATTTTGAATTGAAGTGCTGAGATAGAATTCGAAGTGAGAGCTCTTTTCCGAGATTTTCTCGGTCCAAGTGGTCCCTAAAGAGTCTCGATTTAGTTATAAGGGTTTTGGAGCGAAAAATTGTGAAATTGTGAAACTCGAGTTTCATCACGATTTCTCTTTCTTGCTGGTTTTTTTTGTGGTTTCAGGACTTTCAAGTGATCCCTGAAGAGTCTAGCTGTAGCATGATATATTTAAAAAAACAAATAATGTTTTTGAAAAAAATGAAAAAAAGTTCTAAAACTCGACTTTATTAGAGCAAAACTTTTTTTCTCATTTTCTGAATTTTCCCACTAACATTTTTCATGCCAAAGTAGCTTGGTGCAAATTCTTAGGAGAGAAATCTCCACTAGACTCGGACGAATCTTCCATTTCTCATGAATTTTTTTCATCTCGAGATTTTTTTATCGCAACTTTTCTCGAGAAGAGTGTGACGTAAACAGGTGATGATGTTGGCAACAAGAATGTTTTTAGAAAAAAAGTTTTTCATTTTTGAGGGACTCCGATAGTTTTCGAATAATGAAACTATGGAAAGTTTTTTTAAAAAGTTTCCTATCGTTAAATTCAAAAATTCACGTTTTTTTGAGCGTTTTTTTCCACAATAAAAAGTAAAAAAATACGCGAAAAGTGTAGTTTTTTTCCTTCAAATTAATATCAATCAAGGCTTTCAAAAATACTTCCATTTTGATAAATTTGTGGAGAATCGACGTAAAAAAATCAACATAATATTAAGAAAAGCAAAAAAAAATCCAGCCATTTTTCTAATTAAAAAAACTGATGAATTTATAAAAAAACGTAGATAATCTCATTTGAAAGGGAAAAACGTCGAAAATAATGCAGAAGCGAGAGGTCAGCAGCTGTTTGAAGAGACGTCAGAGAAACGAGACGCTTCCTGTTTCTCTGGCCTCTCTCTAAATCGCCCTGCTTCTGCTCATTTTTTTTAGTCAAGTCAAATTTCTAACTTTGTTAATTTTCGAAATGAGGAATGCAAGTTCAAGAAGATATCAATCGAAAAAAAAAATATTCAAATTCCTTTGTTCAGATGTCTGCGTCCGAGTGACGTTGACGCAAGGCGGGACGACGAAGACGAAGTCGTCGCGGATTCTGAAGAGCACGACGACGGCCGTCTACAACGAGGCCGTCATGTTCCTCTTCTCCCCGAACAAGAACGACCTCGCCGCCACCAGCATCACCATTTCGGTCCACGACATGCAGAGGTACACCCTGGCACTACTAAAAGGCTCTGAAGTGGTCCTTCTAGGGGTATTCGGAAAGAAAAAGTTTGGAGAGGCTGTTTGGGGTGAAGAGTCCACCTCATTGATGTTTTAATGACATTTCTCCCTGAGAATTAATCTCCGAAGTCCCTCTAGAAAGTGACCACTCGTACTCACGAATGAGTAGGTATGAGATCATCCAAGTATTAACTTAAGGAAAAAACGAGTCCAAAGTCCCCATCCGATGTTCGAATAAGTACATTTTTTGTCAATGGACCATCAAAAAATGTTTCTTTTTCTCTCGGAATTCCCAAACTCCAATGAACAACCTTTGTACCCTAGAGTGATCATCGGAACTAACACATGAGAAGAAGAGAAAAAAAAAACTGGAAAAGACGGCTCAAATGTCAAACGATGCGTCGCCTTTCAATGTTTCGATTGCATTTAATTACCGTTTCGTGCGTAAGCAGACGACTTTTTTTTCTCGTTTTTTGAAATATGAAACGGGGAGTTTGTGCTGGGAATTCGGAAAACATTGCTAATTTTGGCGGGAATTCGCGAAATTTCGAATCCTCTTACGAGTGGTTTCATTTCGAAGAAAATGAACTTTGAACGTGTTTGGACGCATTTGGAATGGATAAAAGATTACGGTAGGCTTTATAGCAAGCCTTTGAGCCATTCCCAGTGCGACCACGAAAGCCTGAATCCTTCTCTGAGAACATTTTTGGACCAAAATTGCACAAAAATGCCAAGAAAAAAAAAAAAAAGTACGATTTATCAAACTTTCGTTACTTGAATTTTTTTGGGGAAAAATCCTTTTTTTATTTATTTTTTTTCTTTCCAGATTTTTAGAGAATTTCTTAAAAAGCTGTATAAGGCAATTTACTTCTCAGTCAGTCAATTTAACTACGAAAAAGCCGTAATTTTCTCCTCATTCCGATACCAATTTAGCTGCCAATAATTTTCGAAGCCAACCGTTTGATTCTATTTTTATCCCACACTTTGTGCTTTCGAACAAGGAAAATTTGGTTAAAATAAGCTTGATGTACCAGAAAAAGTCCCAAAAATCTGAACCTGCAAAATTTTCTAGTTTTTGAGAAAAGACGCCTTAAAGCCTTCGAAAACCCTCGAAAATCGTTGAAACCGGTCATATTTGGAGCTCTCATTTCTTATTTCTCAAAAACTAGGTGATTGTGCAGTTTGAGATTTTCATGATCTTCGTCTGGTAGATCAAGGAGGATTTTGATAAATTTTCGAATAATATTCAAGTAAATTGATCTTCCTTGTGAGCATCTCCTAGGGTTTCCTTGCTTTAAAAAAAGGCCAAGAGGAAAATTGTTTGACTAAACGAGAAAAAAGGGACCTGAAAATCACTTGCACTCCACGAAATGACGTGTGTGTCGTTGTGATGTTGATGAGGCTATTTCTGACATCATTTTACGAGAAAATCTTTCAATTCTCCTGTTTCAATGGTTCAAATCAAAAAGGAATTGGTTATTTCAAAGAAAAATGGCGCTAATTTAAGCCGAAAATTGAGTTTGATGTTCTAATCAGAAACTTTTGCTTCTCACAGGTAGCTCACCACAAAACAAAAGATTCCAAAAAAAAATTTTTGAATTGTTACCCAATTCTCATACTTCCTTTTTAGAAGAACCCTGAAAAGGCTCTACTTAAAATTTTTGGAAGAAATAGACTAGCTCAGATAATATTTCGTAGCGATTCTAATGATAAAAAAATGATGATTGAAACGAAAAGTTCTTTTTCCAGAAGCTGTACGGGAAACGATACGATTGGTTGCGCCTACTTGGGTGTGAACGCGGTGGATAAAAGCGAGATGGAGCAGTGGAAAAACGCCGTCGAGCACATGGGCAAGGAGTACAAGGTGGGATTCCGGTTTCAGTGTTTCTTCCTCAGGAAACAAGATCATTTCTGATTGGTTGTGCTACGGGAATCTCGTTTTTTCTTCAATTTCAAATCGAAAAGGGATTCCTCGTTGTTCCAAATTATTCCAAATCAACCTTTTTTTAAAACTAAAAATAAGTTTCCATTGAAAAAAATTTTTTTAAAAAAACCATTTACCCAAATTCTTGTTTTTTTTGAAAGTTAAAAAGCCATCTTTTTTTCGAGAGAAGGTTCTGGAAACTATTTTTTTTGAATTTAAAAATCAGCTTTTTCTATTATTTTTCCTTTTTGAATAATCGAAACCCTTCATTTTTTTCTCTATTTTTTTTCGCTGAAAAAAATGGCGTCACCCCTAATTTCCTTTGGTCATTAACCATCGACGATGAATAATGCCGAATCGGACTTCCGTTTCCGAATGAAGAAAAAGAAAAAGAAAAAAAAGACAGAAAAAAAGACCGGGATTTGAAATCCAAACCAATTTCCTCGGAAAAAAAATGACTTTTGTGGGCGCAAATTGGACTTTTTTTTGATTTACTTCCTTTTTTCAAATTGAATGTCTAGTCGTCATTTTTTGATCTTAAGATCAAAATTTGGCATTTTGTTTTTGTAGAAGTTTTTCAAAAATAAAAATAATGAAAGTTTTGCTTGATTTTTAAGGATCGATAAATCGAATGCGAAAATTCTTTGCAAAACTTTAAAAGATGGAATTGGAAAACTTTGTAGAAGCACTGTGAAAAGAAATTGAAGTCTTAAATTTAGAAAATTTTTTGATTTATGTTGATATAATCGATTCGAAATGACGTCACTATTATTTTTTTTCCGTTAAAGCGACTTTTTTTATTTGAAAAAAAGTCGCAAATTCATTTCAAGTGTTCATTCGCCATTCCACAATTGCCACAATTGATAATTATGAGTCCTTAATTTTTTTCTATTAAATGGTCAATTTTATAAATACATTTGTAATTATTAAGAAAATTAACTGAGTGACGTCATTTTTGAGAAAACCGACCGAGAAACCTTGATTGATTTTTTTGAAGAAAGATTTATTTGAGGCTCTTCTTGATTTATTTCATTTTCTTCAGGTCTAGCCATTCTTTTAATCTCTTAATCTCATGTTTGGTTATAATCCATCTAAATGATTCTTTTTTCCGGTTGAAAAGAGCTAATTGATGGATTTGCTGACGTTCCCCATCTATTTTTATTATTAGTACAAAATGGTGAAAAAAAGAAAAAAAGGGGGAAATTTGGGCTTTTGTTTATCTGATTCGGGCATTTTTCAGGAATATCTAATAACCCCTCTAGGGACCTCTCTGGCATTCCTAGGAAAAGCAAAGTTTTTTTATCTTCTTCAGAATTTTTTTCTGCATTTTACGGACGCCTTTATAAAAAAATATTTAGAGAAACTGGAAACTTCCAAAAAAATTTTTTTGCAGAGAACATGAATAATTTTTTTTATCGCTAAACTTTTCCTGGTTGTCTTGGCGTCATTTCTAAATAATTAATAAATATATATATTTCTTGGAGGAGAAAACACGATTCACTAGTTATTCATACGAGAAAAAGAGAAAAAAGTCAACGACGAGGAACTGGAGATTCCTCGGTAATAAATTAATACTTTTTCTCTTCCTTTTTCTTTTTTTTTCGTGTCGTCGTGAGAGACAATAGGTTTTTCAAAGAAATATGATGGAAACAGACAAATTTATACTCTGACAATAATGTGAGTGAACCTCGAAAAAAGTGAACTTTTCGAGGATAATTTATTCGTCGCACAGCCGCGTTGTACGTAGAGGGCGTGCACCCCGGGGCAACCGGTCGAAAAAAAAAAGTATTCGTTGAGCTACCGTAACCATTTAGGATGAAACTATAGACAATTATAATATTTAGAAAGGAGACATTCTGAAATCGCACACAGAATCTTTCTATTTGAAGCAGACGGGGTGCACATCTGGTTTCACTGCGAGGGGCACCGGCAGTCAGAAGCAAGGTGCACCCCCCCCCCCTTTTCTCAGACTTGAAATTTGCCTTGTCTCAACAGCAAATAATTTATTTTGGACGTTTTTTGGAGGGTCTCAAGTTTAAATATGTAATTTCGTTGCCAATAGCGACTTTTTTCATTTTTTCTTAAGTTTCTTTGTAAAGAGAAGAAGGAAGTTTTCCCTTTTTAGAGATGCAAAAATCGAAAAAGGGGTTATTGTCGAAAAAAGACCAAATTCCATCAAAAATTGACCTTTTGTGCAGGATTTTCATCGAAAACTGAGCAGAATTTTGGGTTCTTGAATTGGTTCTAAGTATTGCTCAGATTCAGTCAAAATCTCAACATTTTCTCATTTTTCTTGTCTAAAAACATTAAAATGAGTTTTCAGTGGATCTTCCTCAGTATTGCTTATGTTAGACTAGAATTATCTTGACATTTATATTGAGAAGGGGGTCGTCCAAAAATCTTCATAGGACGAAAATGTCACTTTTTGAAATTGCAAAGTTTTTCTGAGTACTGCTCAGGTCAGGCGTACAGAACATTTTTCTCGTTTTTCTTTAACGATAAAAATGGTCTGTATTCCTTTTTCGTTCATCATCATAGGTCAACCTAAAGATGCCTTTTTTTCCAACATAAATCTAGTCAAATATCATCTTTCTCATAAAAATAACGAACAATTTTCTTATTTTCTGAACAAAAAAAGAACCAATTTTTACAGGGAGAACAAGTGTAATTTCGAACTAAATGTTCCTTTTCCAGGGCTCCCATCATCTGAAGCCGTTGGTGACGACGCCGGCCGTTTCTGTAGCCGAGGCCAACGAAACGGGAGCCGAGAATGACAACGAAGACGATTCTTGAATATTCTTGACGTCTTCTGAAATTTTTCGATTTTTTCATTTTTCCTGACGTCTTTCGAGACTTTCTTAAGTCATCCACAGCTTTTTGAAGTTCTTGTGAAAGTTTCTAGTCGGTTCAATGTCAGCCTATTCAAAATCAAGTTTCTGGGGGTTACTGTAGTTTTCATTGTTCCAAGACCCGTTTTTGGCTAACTTTGAATCGAACATAAACTCCTTTCTTTCGACTTGGAAAGTTGTGATAGCTGACTCAAAGCGCAATTCGTTTTGAGTCGGGCGCAAAATAGAATTCAATTCTTTTATCAAAACTTTGAGATGTGCCTTTTTCTTCATTTTCCGCTTTTCAGAGCTTTCATCCTATTTTTTCTCAGCTGAACACAAAACTATATCAAAAAAATTTTTTTTTCTCTAATTCTCAGGCTTTTTCATTCTCAAAAGTTGTGGACTTTCAGTACCTCTTAAGTTCCAACGTGTGATCCTAGTATTTTTCTTTTGTTTGTGTGAAAAATTTCGGGTTTTATCGAATTTTTCGAAGATTTTGTTCCAAATCCCTTCAACCAAACGCTCAAAATTTGGCTGTCACTTTTAATAAAAAAACCATTTTTTTCACCAATTATTTATTCACAGTTCATGTTATTTTGCTCATCATTTATTGATTTTTCCTCCCAAATCAACTTGATCTCTTGTTCAAAGCATATCGATGTACTATTTTTGTTCTTGTTTTATTATTATTATTTTTGCACTTTTTGATAAAATATTTTTGAAGATCATTCTTTTTACTTGCATCGAGCTGCAGAATGAGAAAAAAATATATTTCATGGAATTTGAGAAATGGTTATACACAGTGTTCCAAAAGAGACGTCGGCAAGCCAAAAAAAGGTCGTCGCAATGGGGCGAAAAACGCGAGTTTTTTTCTAACGCAACGCGGTGCGGCGCGTGTCACCCCCACAAAAATTTCATTCACTTTTTAATACGGTTTTTTCTCTTTTTCTTGCGTATTTTACCATTCTTTCGTATTTTTTTACGTTGTATGTGTTCTTAAAACGTGTTTATCGCGTTTTCCAGAGATTTGAAGTGATTTTCGATTGTTCTCGTCACAGAAATTTGCATTAAAATGACATTTTTGATGACAACTTATTTCGCATAAGATATTTCGTTTGTTTTTTTGTTTTAGAACTTTCAAATAGACTTTCTTAAGAGAAACGCTGTGAGATTTTTCTCAAAATTTTTTTTTCGAGGCAGTATTCGACGAATTTATTCTTGAAAATGTCATTTTGGGTGACAACTTTTTTCGTACAAGCTATTATGTATCTGTTTTTTTGTTTTAAAAACGTTCAAATGGTATTTCTTAAGAGAAGTGCTTTGAGCTTTTTCTCAATTTTCCCTTTGGAAGTTCGATTTGACGAGTTTTCCTAAAAAACGACATTTTGGGAGATATTTTGTTTTGCAAAAACTTTTTCGTCTCTTTCTTCATTTAAATTTGTTCGTTATAATTATATATACATTAAAAATCTTTGAAAACTTGCGAGAACCTAGGAAAAACATCATTTAATGGTCTTTTTCCAACCACTAAATCCACAGAACTTGACTCTCATCCCCGCGCACCTATTGCAATAAACCGTGCCGCTGTTGCAGTCAGCCACGCCTACTGACCACAGCTGCCGCTCGTTTTGGGAACACTGTGTTATAATGATCAATCTTATTTTTTGAAAAGTTTTGGGAAAAATTCTGTTAATATTTTTTTAGAAGATGTCATCGAAATTCAAAAAAAAAAAAACTTCTGGCTTGTTTCTTTTTTGAGAAATTTTGAAAAAAGAAGTGTCAGAACGTTTTACAGAACAAAAAAACTCAAACTTTATCAATCAAAACAATATTCATCTATTTTTTTCCCATTATTCTCACTTAAATTCTCACATTTTCTTATGATTATGACCAAACATATCATATGTGATGCGTTATAAAAGGAAAACCGAACGATAAGGAAGAAATCAGAGAATTTGACAGCGCTGAAAAATCAAACATTACAATTTGAAGAAAACTTTCCGTCCATTTTCTTCGTTTTTTTTTGTGTTTTTATTATTCAGGCTCTGACTCCAACAAATCGGATGCGCTACCAAACATGGCGAATAAACAAACAAGAAATAAATCAGATGAGACTGGAGATGATAGGACGACGACCCTTGACCTCCGCCCCCCATCTGTTCCTCGGCGAAACGGGAACATACGTTTTGTGCATGATGAGCTCCACGGATAATACGGGGCTCGTTTTGTTCCAAATTACTTGTAATTAGTTCGTCTTTCCAACTTTCATCTCCGTCGGCCCGACAACTTTCAACACTTTTCGACTCTCAAACCAACTATTTTCCTACTTGTTTTCCTCAAAGTCCACCTATTTTCAGATATGAAAACAAAAGACCTCTATAGGGACTACTTGAGCTTTAGGGGTTTACGGGTCAAACTCTAAATAGTTATATAGTCTATTCCGCGCCAGCTTGTCACGTTTTTCTTTCCTCCAAAAAGACAGTATACCAAATTAGATCAGATTTCTGCTTTTATAACGGCAAGAAACAAAGGTCTTGAAGCGAAAGTTGGTTAAATTTGACCTGGCCTTTTGGCGGCAAGAAAAACGTGACAAGCTAGCGCGGAATGGCCTATAGGACCATCTAAATTTAACTTCACTAGGAGCCCTATTTCGTCGCCTATAGGAACTGTTTTCCCCCAAAACCCTCTAGGGGACCCTCTGGCGCTTCTGAGTAATTTATGATTGAAAAAAACGCTTTCCCTTCCCAACCAAGAAATTTATGAAGTTTTGAAAAAGAAGATAGGTTTCGGCTGAATTTTACTGCAAGTTCAGCTTTCTCTCTCAAATTCCATTTCTTCGAAATTTCAATGTCTTTACGGTTTCTCCCAAGCTATCTGATTTTTGATCAATTCAATTTTGATTCTATGGCTTCTTTCGAAATTAAAAAAATCATTTTAAGAATCGTGGTCTATAAAAAAATGCAATCTAATGCAAAAAGACATTATTTAGAAAGTTTAAATGTCTTTTTCGGTTTTCTCTGCAGTTTTTTTTAGATATATTAGAACGTTCATATTTAGTCTCTGTCATGTCATATCTCTAAAAAAATCATATAATTGAAAAAAAGTAGTGATCAAAAAAATGCAAGCTAATACTGGAAACAAGATTTTTTTCTGAAAAAGTGAAATAAATCTTTTTGAAGTAGATTTTTTTTGCTTGGTTTTTTTAGTTTAAGCAACTTGGTTATCATGAAAATAAAAAAAGCTCGAAAATTCTCTTTTTCTCGATTTTTATGGCTGGAATTTTCATAATGTGCAGCGCTATAATTCACAGTATCCTTTTACATTTTACAGTATGCCGATCTCGGCAAAAGACATTCTGAAGAATTGGTCGCCTTGGTTGGCTCTGTTGCTTTCCTGCGCAGTTATCGTCTACCAATATGAGCGAATCGAAAGCTTACAGGTTTTTTTTTCCTGATTTTCCCGGTTAAAATCGGGTTTTTTCTTTACAAGTCGTAAATGAATTTCTTATTTTCGTTGGTTTTCTGCTCCTAAACTTTCATGAAAAAGGGAGACAGCGATAAAAGGAAAAATTTAGAGAACCAAGATAAGAATTTTAATAAAACTAGGATTTTTTGATTTTTATTATCCGTGGAGCGCGAAATCCGTTTGAAGAAAAAAAGACTTCAATGGCAGTTTTTTTCGGCTATAATCCACAAAAAAAGTCTAGACCAAAATCAAGCATTTTTGAAAAAAAATTCGTAAATCCTTCAAATTTCAGGACAAGCTGGTGGATGAAGTCTCTCGAGATTATTTTCGAAAAAAAAAGAAGACCTTTATTGGAATCATTGCAAAAGTTTAATTTTTTCAGAGCATCAGAAAGAAAAGAGACCTCTATCAACGCGACACGGAGCTTTTCCTGCCCCTATTTGCTCAAATATCGGTAATCGTATGTATTTATAACAAGTCTCGATTATGATATTAAGGATAGGATGTTACACAATTATTATAGTGGATAAATTCATGAGTACAATAAAATAATAATATAACGCGCTGCTGTTTTTAGATTATTTCAAACGCTTGAAAGTTCGCTGAAAGCTGCAATAAATAGCAAAAAAAGGTGTTAACAACAAATAATAGAACTAGTTCGTTGAAGCAAACCCCAGGCTTAGAATTGAAGTTAAAACAGTTAAACTTAACAATTCTTCAGAGAAAGCATTTCCGACGGATCTGTGCCCAGAACTCGAATTACTTGGAGAAATCAATAGTAAAGTCGAAAACCGAGGCTTCGTCTAAAAAACTGGAAAACTCCGTGGCAAAAACGACAAAATCTTTGACGACAAAGAAGAAAAGTATGTTGAAAACGCCGAGGAATCGCTCAAAGCGTCGTTGCAACCGACCAAAAGAGCTCAGACGCATCAATAAACGTTTAGCAAGGTTCAAGGCGTTGAGTTTTTTTTTTTCGCAAAACGCTTGTTGATGCGTCTGAGCTCAAGTCGTTGTTGGTCGGAGGCAATTCAATTCAGCGGCGACGATTTGAGACATTCCAAATCATTTTTTTGAAGATCTCTGAGAACTATATAATCATTCAGAATGCGACCCAGGCGTTACTTTTGGACGGCCCGAGCTCGTCGCATCCCGGCCCAACTCCGAAGGAGCCGCCCTTCGAGACGGCGATTCTTGGCACGTCTTCGAGTACTCCAACGGCTACACCATGCTATCTTTCGTCGATGGAAAATCTCTGAACGATTCCAACCCGTTGCAAGTCTATCAGCTACCGTACGCTTTTGATGGCACCGACAATACTGTATCCAATGGAACTGTTTACTTTTCCCATGATGAGGATCTTATCGGATTCGACTTGGCTAGAAGGACGACTAGGCAGGGGAGGATTCTCTCGGAGAAGGTTCCTTTTTGAAGATCTGGAAATATAGCCAAAGAGGAAAACAAACAGACGTCGAAATGCTTCAGAAGCCTCTCTACACAAACTCTTCTTCACGGTTAGATGTGCAGGTCGACGAACATGGCCTTTGGGTACTGTATCGTCAGTCGGGCGAATCCTATCTCACTGCAACCCGACTACATCCAGCTTCTCTCGTTGTGAGTTTTCAATAAAAATTCATTTTCAAAGCGGATTGAACCAAAAAAAAAGTCTAATTTTTATCAGAAAAAAAAGTAGGTATAGTCCGTTTTCCGCGAATTGAAAGAACTTCTCTGCGCCCTCCTCGTCTCTCGACGACCCTCTCTTGTTGACGCGCTATTTTTGCGTTTCTGTGACCTCACCAGAGGGAAAAGAGAGATTCAGAGACTCGAAAACTGTCATTTCGCGGAGGACGGACTATAGAAGCTCCTGAAATGAGATTCAAAAGACCGGCTTTTCGGTGTGTTCCCAAAAACAACGCAAGTTCAGATGCTGGCAAGCTGGTCTTTGGCGGATCTCCCATTGGAAAATCTCTGCAACACGTTCGTCCGCTGTGCCGTTTTGTTTGCCGTCAGATGCCCTCCGGACGGTGACGTCACAGCCCAGGCGGTGTACGATTTCCACTCGCACACCTACATCAACGGACGGACTTACCTTTGGAAAGGTCGGCTTTTTGGCCTAATGAGAAGAAGAAAAAACTCCAAGGGTTCATATAATTCACACAATTCCCAAAATTCCAAGTTAATGAGGACAAAAAGAAAAAAATATGTGAGAGAAGACGAAGATAGGGAGTCGATCAATTTTCAAGCTTAAAAATGCCAGAAATCTCGAGTCTTTCCCAAACTCTCTATTTCTTCGAGATTTCCTTTAAAGCATCATAATGTTGGTCATTTTCTTCCTTCCTAAATCAAAATATTCCATTTCAAAGTTTATTCGAGCATTGTAGATCCCTCACTTTGATACTAAAAACATCTATTTTTGGGAAAACGATTTCAAAAAACTTCTGAAATCAGAGAAAGAATAACTTTTTGTTGATTTTACTTGAAAATTTTGAAAATTCCAAATGATCTGCCCTCTTCTCACACATAGTGTAGTTTTTCAGGAATCAGCGGACCCGTTTCTAGTGTTCAGTACGATCCGACTAGCCATGCTGTCGCGGTTTTCGCTTCAGGAAATATCTTCACAATCCCTACCACTAATTAAATGAGGAAAAAAAGAAAATGAAAATAATAAAATAAATTCACGCCAAAAGTAGCACAAAAGTTCATTTTCCATATATATCAGCATCACAAAAGGTTGGTTATCTCAAATCCTTCAAAACTTTTTGAAAATGCGGGCCGGAATAAAGTCGAATAAAGTCTTGTGAAAAAATAATTTCGTTGAATCGCAAACCGGTACTCTCTGACGTCACTGTATAACCTGTTTTCGAAAATGAGAAATAAAAAAGTAAAATATTTATCTAATCTTTATTCAATTTACGTGAAACATTGGAAAATTGAAAGGAGCTTGTAAAACTATTAGTTGATTATTATTCTTTTCCTCGTACTGAAGTTTAATTTATTTATGTAAATGCTTTTTTTTTTATCATGTTATAAAGTTTCTTATCTTTTTGTTTCCTATGTGACTCGAAAAATTTACTCATTGTAATCAATAAATTTGTTATTGTTATTTGTGCGAAGTGGCAGGTCAAGATGAGATCACGGAGTAGCGGTTTGCGATTCAACGGGAAGTGTGAAGAAAAAGACCTATTATTCATATTTTGATTTTTGAATTCACAAGAAAACGAGCAAAAAACGGTAATTTTGGACCAGTTTAATATTTCAATTTGAAACGCAAGTTGTAGAGCTGATTCACGATTGACTTGAGCCATCGAAAAAAAGTCATTTTCATATAGAAGGTTGACTAATATTCAATCAATCAATATCTCAAAAATAAAAACGTCAAAACTTTTCAAGAACTCAAAAGCGCAAGCTTCACATTACTATAAAAAAAATTGCATGGAAAACTTTTTGGAGCTATGTTCTAGAGTTTTCTAAGTTGAGAAGAGAGTAGTAGTTGATTAATCGACGTCTCAGGGAGAAAAAGAACTTTCCTATAATTTCGCGTCATTAGTTGTATTTTTTTTTTTCGCTTCTATTGACGAAAACAAACAGAATTTTCTCATAAAAATCCAAAGATTGCCATGAATTCATTCCTCGACCTCTTCTAGAAACAATGAACTCGCTTCCATCAGTGCTCAACGAGAACTTCGATCATCCACTCGCCCCAACTCCTCCAGAAGATCCTCCCCACCCTACTGTCAACTCTTCTGAACCTCCAAAGACTCCAAAAGCTCAACCCGAGCTCTCAAAGTCTCCTCAAAAGACGAAGGCGCCAAATCCTCCGGATCGGAACAGTCATGAAGCTCCGGAGCCGGCTCCACTCGGAGCAGCACCTCATCCAGCTCCAATGTCGCCGAATCTCAATCCTGGCGATTTTCCGCAGTTTGGTGGAGCTCAAGGCGTGGATGACGACGCTGCTGGAGAAGATCCGGCCGGGGAACTTCCAGACTTTGATCAGCATCGACATCCCTACGTCAAAGCGTTGGTTAGGGTGAGTAGGCGAATGAATAAGAAGGAATTATCGGACCTTGGTGGCGCAAACCGGACCCGTTCCGGACGTTCTGAGCATTTTCTGTGATCATTTGAGATTGTTAAAGCCGCTAAAAGGAAACGCAAGACTTTTTACTGTAACTCTGAAGTAAAAATTGAAAGAAAAAATTGAAAGCAATACAAAAAGAAAGCTGATGGCAATCGAAAACTAACTGCGAAAAAAGAAAAGATAAATATGACACGCATGTTCAAGGCCGCCGGTCGTATTACGGTAATCAAGCTAGGTTTTTGGGTAATAAAGTTGAAACTTGTGTACTTTTTGTGACGTAACTCATCTTGTAACCTCGAGAAATAGGCCTTTAACAAATTGCAAAAAAAGAAAAAAACTTTTTATAAATTTCCTGGCCCCGAAACTGACGACGCAACATTGACCGGCCACCGGCCGCCGTGTCTTAAACATGCGTGATGAAAAATGAAAAAAAAATTTATAAGCAAAAAATTGGCAAAATTAGGGGAATCATTACAGTGCTCGCGGAGGAAAAATTAGCTGCCCAAAAATCGAAATCTGAACAGGATTCTTCGCTCGTTAACCTACACGAGAGAATCCGTGCTGGCCTCTAAAATCAAGAAAAAAAAAAAAGTTTTTCCGCTCCAATTTTTGTTTATCCGTAAACGAATTGACGAGAAAAACCGATTGATGCTACTATTATGTCTAAAACAACAAACCCCTATAGAGACCCCTCAGAAATTCCTCACTCTGGTGAAAATTCCGTTCGCAGGAAACAAATCTTCAGAGTTTCAAAATGGTTAATAATAATGATTTATTTCATTCACAAAAACATCATCAGTGAAAAATCAGGAGACAAATGATGGACACAAGGAGTGAGATGAATGGAAATGAATAAAACCCAAATTTCCAGCACCCCAACGAGTGCAGATACTGGGACTGATTATACACGTAAATTTAGGAGATAGAGTAAAGATAATTTCCTAAAGGAGTCTGGCCGGCACGTTCGTATACAATTCGCTGCTGTCGAGCGAGTCGAGGATCCTTCTAAATCTTGTCGGAGAAATGTTGAGCTCATATCTAGAGCAGAATCGATTCCAAATTGGAATGACTGAGCTAAAGAAATTCGAAAAGATGGTTGATACAAGGAATTTGTGAGCAAAAAATAGTTTCTTATCTTTTCTGACGGTGAGGTTTCTTGACATGAGCTTTTTCAAAGTTGAAGTCTGAGAATTGAATCTTTGATTCCCCAGATCGTCGCTTGGTTCACAATGGGCCTGATGATCTACTTTGCGTATAAAACGTTGCCGGAAAGACATGAGAACATTTTCTGCTACTTAACTAGCGAAACTACGCCAAATTGCACCCGGTTTGATGACAAGCAAGTCTCCATTAAGGAGGTTTGTCCGTTTTTTTTCTTCAATTTATGTATTTTCCGGATTGAAAAGAAACGGCACCAAACTCAAAAATTTTTTTCGAATTTTTTTATTTTGCTTAAGTTTGCTTTTTTTGGAAAAATAATTTATTTATATAATAATTCATTATTGGCGACTTGCAAATGCTTTTTTTCTCTGCGCTCTACTGGTCTCTCGATAACCCTCTCATGTTGACGTGCTCTTTTCATGTTTCTCTGACCTCGCCGAAGAGGGAACAGAGAGACGCAGACACTCGAAAAGTGACAAGTCGCGGCGAACGGACTCTAATGCCGTTTTTTGAAATCTGCTTTTGGATATCACAGAACTGAAGATGATTTCTACAAAAAACTCCGATAATGCGAGAAATTTTGAATTGGCGCCAAAAAACGCAGCGCGACCGCTCGGCGCCCAACCATTTCAAGCTGACTAGGAAACTTCGCGAACACGCGGATCGATTTCGAGCTTCGGTGGTTTATGGACACAGATAAGGGTACTTGAAACAGTTTTATCACCCAATAGTGTACCGAGAAAAAGATTGTTACCATACCTAGATATCCATAAAAACCACCAAACTTTGAACTCGAACCGCGAAAACGAGTCTGCGTAGTTCCTTAGTGAGATAATGGATTATGATTGTTTTGAATGAGTTTTCAGATAACAGAATTCGTGATAAGAGGCACTCTGGAGTTTACCGTACCTCTAGCAACGATTGTCGTCTACTTCATCATGTGGATCGCCTACAAAGTTGCTCCGAAAAAAATGCACAAATTCAAAAACCCCGTCCACTCGTTCATTCTCACCATCGCGTTGGCTTATGTGAGTTTGAAAATTTTTTTGAAAGTTTTTTTTGGAGGAAAACGCTCGATGAATAATTCAGGAGGTCTCAAGCTTCGAGCCTGAATAAGTTTTGAGAAACTTTCAAGGGTGAACTTTGAGATAATTCGAGATTGTCAGACACTTCTTGAAACAGTAGACCTTTCAAAATTGGTAATGTTCGCTTTCTCTTCAACTTGAAGAAAGAGCCATGTTAGTTGGTTATTGTTATCTAAGGGTCGAACCCTAAACCCCTATAGAGACCACTTCGGTATTCCTAAGAATATCCATTTTGTCTTTGGGGCGGAAGTTTTTATAGTTCTCTTTTGCTTTTTTCTTACACCGTTTCGTTTTAGCTGTAATTTCGTCAGAGCCTTCTTTCCGAAAGAAACTTTTCCAGGAATGTTCATGTTTTTTTTTACTAATGAGCTAATTACCTTTTTCTATGAGCTCACCTAAAGACTTTCTGTGAACTTGCAGATCCTACAACTGATCGACTCCTTATCCACCTCGCTCTCCCTCCTGTCGGCCCTCGGTTCTACCAACGACATTGGTATTTGGGACGGTTACCTGAAGAACTCGTTCCTCTCGATCGTCTGGATGTACGCGCTGATCAACCTCGAGGTTTTCCATCGACTGACGCGTTTCGATCACATTCGTCTCGTGGAACGGGTCCAAAGACGTCAGCGAGCCGTCGAAGACGCCCAGGCTGCCTAAGAAACTCCGAACGAGGCAATAAATTGATTCATTTGAGGTGTATTTTGTTGGATTTTCGAAAAGATGTTGAGAAGATTCTATGAAAGCCTAGGTTATCTGAAAATCTTGATAATTTATTGCATTTGGAGTGGATTTTGTTGAGTTTTTGATTTTTAAAAAAATAATTTATTTTTTTCTTTGTGAGCTCACGTTTTATCCCCGCTGTTTTGCTTATCATTTCAGAACCTTTCCTCAAAATTTTCCTTATCTTCAAACTTCATGAGAGCAGATTTTACAAGAGGAATTTTCCGAGTTCGGATAGCAAGTTACAGATTTGAAAAAACCGCGCACGTTTTGCATTATAATTTTCATAAATTCATTCATTTATTTAGACATCAGAAAGAATCAAAAAGGCTCTTCTGAGTCACGGTAACTCTATCTACCATTTTAATTTGTTATTCCTAAAAAACCTACATTCTTCAAGAATATCGCAAAAAAGGCCGAAAAAAAAAGCCACAGTGTCAAAAAAGCAACCGTGCGCACCTTGCAAACTACTTGGGAGGCTCCGCCCAGCTCGAGCCTAAGCCTGAGAGCACGGCGGCAGCTGGCACGTTGCCAGCCACTTTAGCCTTCAAACGGCCGTCGCCAACGGCGGCTGTGCTGAAGCGAATCGATGTGCTTTCCCGCGGGTGTGTGGCGGGCGAGTAGGGGGAGGAGAGTCCTCCTCCTGGAGCACAGATCCTTCCCGACCATTGTTTCTTCCGCATCCTTCCTTCTTATCTTTGATACTCTCTCCCTCTCTCTTTATCTCTCTCCTGCTCTGTTTAGATCCACCTCGTGAAATGTTTTCTTTTCTCCTAATTTTCCCGGCTCAACTCTTTTGATTGATGATTCGAGGTTATTTTTGAAAAATTCTGCCCTTAGTTCGTGGATTTTTGTACCGAATAATTCGTTTTTTAAATTTACAAGACTACATTTCATCAGCTTCATTTGATAAATTCTTGGAAGATTTCAAAAAGTGTTTTTGAAGATATTCTGAAGGTTTTTATAACTTTTTTGATGCGATTTCGTCCTTATTTTGAAATTCAAAAGTCTAATGCTCAATCTTCTTATTTTAAAAAGTTTTTTTCAAGGAGTTTTTTTCTGGCTCTTTACCGTCATTTTTTTTCATTGTATCTGAGTTTTTTTAGCTAAAATTTCCTCCAAACTCTCTCATTTTCGCCCCATATTTTTTTCCAATAGATTAAGGAAGCTTTTTTTTTTAAAGTTTTGAAATTTGTTGCAAAGTTTAAAAAAGGAGTTTTTTGAGTTCCAGTATAAAATACTTGGAAAATTTTTCATGTTTTATACTTTTCAACGATTTCTCTGTATCAACTCGACCATCTTCTCATTTCTAAAGAAAAGGTCGATTTTATTGTATTAATAAGGAAAATACCAGCCCGCAAAACGAATCATGAAAAGCGAATAGAGGAAAGTCGTGAAATTCGTTATGTTTGTTCTAGTTGTATAATTGCAATTTTCTCCCAATTTTCATAATAATTTCGCTTCCATTCTTCCAAATGGATATCCCCAAAAGAACCCTATATTCTTGTCGCGAAACCGCAATCAAGCCTAAACCTCGTTTACCCATGGCAAAATCATGTATTTCCTTCTTTTTTTTTTCCTTTTCTTCTTCTCACGCCTCATTCAAATCGTCCCTTATAATTATCTCAGAAAATCGATTTTAATTTTGTCACGAGGTGTATCAAAACCAAAGTGATCAAAAATTATTCAAAAAAATTTAGGCCTTTTTTTGAGGTTTTTTTCGGTTTCATCTTGAAGTAAAGCTTTGAAAAAAATAAAAATTTAAATTTAAAAAGAACCTCGTTTTTTTCTAATTCTTCCCTCTAAATGTTCGAAAAAAAAAACCCCAATCTTCCCAACGAAAATTGCCGTGACTCACGTTCATGGTGATACTATACAATAACGACTTTTTTTCGGGGCCGTTTTATTTGCCCACTTTTCCAATGATGTATTGATCCCACAACGTCTTGATTACCATAAAACGAGTCAGAAAAAATTCCCTGGAGTGCTTTTTCGAAAAAAATTGGCGACAGCGCGCCTTTGCTACGATTTTTTTCCTAACATTCAACTAATTCGCATTGCTGTTTCTGAACTTGATTTTTAAAAATTTTTTTGGAAACTGGTTAATTCTTTGAAGACTTCAGTTTTCACTCATAGTTAAAAACTCGAATAAAATCAATAAATGGCAAATGAAAATCACACTGTTTAATAAAAAAAAACCTTTGAGCCATTAAAAATCACATTTTCGAAAATTTCCCTCTTTTAAAAATTTCTCTTTCTTCGCCTTTTTTCCTCCATCCATTCCACTGGGACCACTCGGAAATTAATTGCGTGGATTTTCCGATGGCCATCAAAGCCTATTTGCGCCGGATTCTCGTCTTTTCCTTTTGCTTCACGAATATTATACTTTTAGAACAGCAACAAGTTATAATATTGGGAAAAGAAAACAATCTTCCAGTGGCGGGTATTTGAAAAAAGAAGTTTCTCGAATGTGGGACGGCGAAGGCGCCAGCGACGGGATCGTCCCGCCGCAGATTTCCAACGAAATGCACCAACTCATCGATGAAATGCGTCGGTTTTCTCTCATATTTCGGTTCATCATGGGTAGAACGGAAAAAGTTCCTTCCAAGGTCCTTCAGAAGGAGCCGAAAAAGTTGTGCCGAAATCTCCAAAAATTATGGGAAGAATTAAAGCAAAAAAGCTTCAAAAAATGAAACTTCCAGTTTATTTTCTTTTTTAATTCTTTCTGTTCTCCTTTCTTGATATGAAGGAGCATATAAGCAATTTGCGCAAAGGTCATTCAGCGAAAATATATTTTTCCCTTCAAATTACGGTACACACTGATTTCGAAAAAAACTGTAGAATAACAGCTAAAAAATTTGATAAAGTGAATTTAAAAAAAAAGTTATGAAATAATTTTTCAGGCCTTCAAGATTTCGATTCAATACGATTCGCAACATATCGAGCCGCTTGCAAATTACGATTCATCCAACAGAAAACTAACGGTGAGATTTATTTTCTGAATTTTTACGCTGCCTGTATTTTTTCGGGCTTATAAGAAGCATATGAATTATTTCAAAAAGCTTTTGAAGGGAAACGTTGGTTTTCGTTGAAATTACGGTAGAAATTGGTTTAGATGTAATCTAGAATCATTATTTCTCGTCGGGTTTTCAAAGGAGCATAGGAATAACTTTTAAAAAAATTTTTAGGGCGAAACTCCTTTTTTAGGTTCAAATAACAGTAAACCTCGTTTTTGGTTTTGGGTTCATTATGAGTCTACGGAGAAAAAAATACTCTGATCGCCGTTAGAAAAAAATTTTCTTCAATAACTTCTGAACCTCTTATTTTTGCATACTATTTTGCTGATCCTCTTATGTCATTAGTGAATTAACTTCGCACTTTTTTTTTCGAATGAGCTGAATTATGGCGTTTTTTTTCCTCTTTTCTCAAAAAAAAATCAGATATTTCTCAACAATCAATACTAATTTCTGTACACTCAGTAAAAAATGACAACTATTCGACAATGGAAAATTCCAGTTTTTCTGAAATAATCGAGGAAATTTTCAGTGCATTTGGTCGACATCTGGAACATGATCGAATCGTTTCGCGAGAACGGCCTCAACGCGATGCCTGTTCATGCTTTGGTCGGTTTTTGTTATGGGGAAAGATCCGAAATTAGGAAAAAAAGCGAATTCGAAGCTAACAGACAGTCGAAGAAACGGAAAATAGGAACCTGAAAAAGAAAATGTTGATAGGGCTCTTAATAGTCATAGAGAGAGTGCCTGAATTTTTTTATCATTTATCAGCTCTTTTCGCGGCTTCTCAACACTTTTTCATTTTATGATGTCTAGAAAGTCCGCCTTTTTTGTGAATTTCTCGTTTTTTCTTAATTTTCCCAAATTTTGACTTACACTACTCCCAGAAACCGTCTCAAAAAAGCAAGACTTTTTTCAAAAAATGAGCCATGAACATTTCAGATCAAAACCTCACGCCTAGAACTACTTCTGACGACAATTTTCCACAATTTGAACAAGCGGCTAGTCGCTTCTCAGCACGTCGACACGGATTCTTCCATTTCGATGCTTTTGTCGTTTCTTCTCGGCGCCTATGACAAGTTTGTTTTTCAAAACCGAGTTCAGAGGCAAAAAATCGTTTGGCCGCACGGAGAATGGCTAAATAATCTTCAGTTTTGATTGATTGAAAGAAAATATTTTGATTAGAAAAAGTTAGGAAAACTTCTCGAAAATCTGATCTTTTCAGAAATTCATTAAAAATTTGACATTTTCAGACAAAACTCGGGCCGGTTAACAGTTTTCTCGGTGAAAATCGCTTTGGCGACAATTTGTGCCGGTAAACTGGTCGATAAATTGAGATGTGAGTCTGTTTATTCTTTTCAATTTATGAAAGAAAAAAGAATTTAGACATGTTCTCCCAAATCGCGGACGCCAACGGTTACATGGACCACGTCAAATTCATCGACTTTTTACAGCAGGTTTTTTTTTAATGGAATTGGGTATAGTCCGTCGACTGGACAGTTTTCGGGTGTCTGCGTCTCCTGTTCCCTCTTCTACGAGGTCAGAGAAACACGAAAAAATAGCGCGTCAACAAGAGGGGGTCGTCGAGAGACGAGGAGGGCGCAGAGAAGTCCTGCCCTTTCAAGTCGCTAAAAACGGACTATATTTTTATTAGAATTCTGAAAATGAAGCAGCTGGAAATAGTTTAAAAGGAACAGCGTGATTAGTGGAGATTTATATAGTTGTACAAAAAACTGCTACGGAGTTTCAAAGAGGTCTCTATAGGTTTTGTTGTTCTCAGGATCCCTATAGGAGGCAGTTTAACGGTACCCGACAGCGTTCAAGGGCTCCTTGTAGTCATAGCCTAGGGACCCCTATAAGGACCGCCCTGAAGTTACTCAGTAGTTCTTGTGTTTTCTAGAGGCGCAGAAAGTCAAACTGAAATTTCGTTGGGAGATTCATGACACAGACTGATTTATTAAAAACTCCTTCAAGAAATGCTGAAACGGGAAATTGCAGGTCCTAGCCCTGACGACGGCGGTTTTCGAGGCACCAACGTTTGGATTTTCTGAAGCGGCCGTCTCTCAATGCTTCCACAAGGTAGGCGACCGCGACGCACGGCCGCATTGCAACCAACGATTCTCAGGACGAGAAAGTGACGCTGAACATGTTCTTGGACACGTTTCTCTCAGATCCCTGCCCTCCTTGCATCATGTGGCTGCCACTTTTGCACAGGTCAACTACCTTTTGTTTGAGAGTATTTTGCTCACAAGGAAGCTCATTTTACTTTGCGGTCGGGAATTTCCTAAAATTTGGCCAATTTTGATGTACCAAAAGAAGATCCTGAAAGTCTTAAACTACACATATTCCTAGTTTTCTTGAAGGATTCAAAGTCCCAGAATAGCCTTTCTGGGGGTTTTGAGGGCTCTCTTATATTTTGAGGTGTCTTTTCTCAAAAAACTAGAAAGATGTACAGTGATGTACACTTTCAGATTTTTATTTAATACATCAAGGATTTTCCTGAGGAATTTTCGTTTTTCCCAGTTTTAAAGTGAAACGATTTTTATTGTGAGGAAATTACTCAAAATTTCAGTAAACTCCCCTTTTTCCCCTTTCAAAGGGTCAAAGTTCTGATTTGATTTTCTACAGGATGGCGGCCGTTCAACACGTCTACCACCCGGTGGTTTGCGACGCCTGTCAAGTCAGATCTTTCACCGGATTCCGGTACAAATGCCAAAGATGCGCCAATTATCAACTGTGCCAGAGTTGCTTCTGGCGTGGCAGGACCAGTCAGAATCACTCGAATGAGCACGAGATGAAGGAGTACTCCAGCTATGTGGGTTTTCGTCCAAAACAAAAAAGTCCAAGAGAGAAACTTGAAAAAGCGGCTACCAAAAAAAATGTAAAAATCAGACAAGAAAAATTTTACAAACATTATTCAAGTTTTAAAGCTTTCATAACCAAGAAAAATCTGTAGAATATCTGAAAAAAAAGTTGGTAATAGACCTTTTTTTCTGTCAGAGACCAATCGACGCAAGGAAAATTATATTTTATTCAAAAAAATATTCTGTTTTTTTAATCACTTTTTTTCTTTGAAGCTTCTCCTCAAGTTTTGGTCTCAATTTCCAGAAGTCGCCAACGAAACAACTGGCCCACTCCATCAACAAAAGCCTCCAATGCATTCCGACGAGCGCGGAAAAGTCCGGCGACTTCTTCACGGAAAAGCCTCAGAGGCCACTCAACCTACAGAACATCGTCCCGGCCACGCCGACTACTCTCAGGTAACATTTAGAAAAAATATGTATTTACTGGCGAAAAATCAAAAAATCTTTTCCAGATTTTGGGACAGCCTTTGATTATTTTTTAAAAGAAATCATCATATCTAGCTCCCAAAAAGACTTGAAAGCTTTGCGAAAAAATAATTCCGATTTCTGAAAGTTTTCAATCTTGTTTTTTTCTCCGAAATTCAATTGAAAAATTTTATAATAATCCGTCAAAAGTTCTGCAAAATCATCATATTTTGAAACCTTATTTTCAATTAAAATTTGTTCTACGATCAGGAAATATTTTCAAATGACAGACTTTCGAGAAAAACTCGCAAGATATTCCTTGAAATACAAACTAACGAGTTACCGCAAACTTACCTCGCAGGCCTCTTTTGAGTACTGATAGGGATTCAGTCTGAGTTTCTAGTATATTCACGGATAGTTTGGATTGTTAAAGGGGCGTGGCCTGTCTACTCTCTTCACTAGACAGGCCTTATCTCTTCAATTACCGTGCCAGGACCCTTTTTTCGATGGCTCAAGCCAGCCGCGAACCTGCTATATCCTTCAGAGACCACACTCTCGTACAAAAAAGCCTCCCGAACAGACCAAAGCTCGTGGAAATCAAAAAAGGACGTTTGTAGACGACAGCACGCGGCGAATTCCATGTCGGACTGGCCTCAGTCGCCGGTCCTCCTCCCCGGGCAGATCTCCCACAGCGGCGTCATCGACGACGAGCACAAGCTGATAGCCAGATACGCCGCCAAGCTCTCGGGCAGGGCCGACGTCCGTGCTCCATTCTAAATAGCTATCAGAATGCTCTCTATTTCCAGTACCCACTCTCCGGGGGTCGGCACCCGTCGACGTCCTCGCAACCAATGGATGAACGTAGTTTGATCGCCCAGCTCGAAGAGGAAAATAGCATGATGATGAGGGAGATGGCAAGGCTCGAAAGTCAGGTAAAATCATATGAAAAGTTCAACGCCTTGTTGACCCCTCCCTGAGTATCTTGTAACTGTTAAATTTGTGGAGAATTTTTGAAGTGAAGAATTTTCCAAAGAAACTTTTGAAGAAATGAGTTTTTCCAGACCACTTCCGACGATGGTCAGATAGTCGGACTTCGAGACCGGAAAATGGAGCTGGAGGAGAAGATGTTCGAGATGCAGCAGAGAAGACGCGAGCTTATGATGCAGCTCGAACAGCTCATGGCTCAGCTCAATGTCAGTTCATTTTACAGTTTCAAAGCACTTACAAAAACTTGAAAAAAAATTTTCGCGATGTTGTTGCAAGCTAGAACTCTCAAAACCAAACGTTTGAAAAAATGAAAGTTTGAAAACATGAAAAAGTTTGTTTTCAACATTTCGAAACAATCTCATTTTCAAACATTGATCGAAAACGGCCACATTCAAATTGTTCAAATTATGATCAAACGTTTTCCGACCGATAAACGAACGTTTGCTTTTCCGATCAAACTTTTTTCAAACATTGAATGAATTTTCGTTCCGATAAAACATTCGAGTTCGAAATTTCAATCAAAGGTCGGTTTCAATGAAAGTTTGAAAAATGTTTGGTGGAACGTTCGTTCAAACGTTTGGTTTTGAGGACTCTATTGCAGGCTCATTTTCCTCACAAGTTTGGTAAAATCCATTAAAAACACACACGGTCGAGACCTTTTTTAAATAAAAAACGTTTTTTCTGATTAAAAGCAAGCAAGACATATTGATATATCAAAAATAGACGTTTTCGAGGAAAAAGTCCTACAGACTACTGCTTTGAACATATTCAATTTCATTAATTTCTGAGAAAGAAACTAAAAATCTTCATCTTTGAACGCTTTAGCCTTCATCAAAATGCAAAAAAAGAACTTGAAATTTTCTAGTCGACACCGGTACCGACAGGAACTGGCGTGTCCTCGGCCTCATTATCTCAACTTCCTTTCATTGGCGACCAACTTTCCGGAGTCAATTCCAACGTTTTGACGGCTTTCCGGGCCGGAAGCCTTCCGGCGACCTCCCTTCAGGTACAAATTTTCAAAAAGATCATAATTTGAAATATGGCTAGAAGTTCTAGCAAAACATTATGCTCTAAAAAGGAATTTTTTCATCAAATCATTCTCATACACAATATTTTTATGAGACGCTTCCAGAACGGCAAAGTGGGACGTTAATTATTCTTCGATTTTCAAAGATCGGTATTATTCTTCAAAACGAAAAGGCAATTTTGATCTGATAAGAACAAATTAAAATTCAGGGCGATCTTCTACACGCAGCCGATGAAATTACTAACAATATGAGCGATTTGGTACGACAACTCGATCAAGGTTTTTTTTTAATGTTCTTAAATTTTATACTGAAAGCCTGGATAATGACAGATGAAGCTGTGAAAAACCTGAAAGTGTCCGAAAGCGAAGAATCAACGGCGACCTGAAGAGACGCCAGAGAAATTAGTGACGTCTGGTTTCTCTGGCGCCTCTTCAGGTGGCCTTTCCTCTTGCAGTTTCTATTTTTATTGGTTCCTATCTTCAAGCTTACTGATAACGTCTTAAAAAATAATTAAGGGATAAGAGTAAAAAAAAAGAAAGTGAGAGACCACGACGGCCAAAAGAGACGTCAGAGAAATCAATTTTTATATACACCGATTTTCAGCTCAAGCTCAAGAGAACGGCGTGATGCTCAGCAACGGTCACTGAAGATTTAAAGGCGCATGACAACGACCGAAAAATGGTCTTGCACTTAGGAACCAAATTTTCCTCCACCTAACGAATGAATAATGGGTATTCGACCGTTCTAACGCTTCTTTATGACTGTTCTTAGTTATCTACTTTTTAGGTCATTTGAGCCTCATCCTAACTCAGAAAATGTCTCAAATCTTTGAAAATTTCTTATTTTCGACAATTTTGAAAAGTATTCGAAAATACGGTATTTTGGTTTTTTTTTAGTTAAGACATGCTTCGAGACTTCAAATGGCCTTAAAAGGTAAAAAGAGATGAATGTTCGAAAAGGTGCGTGGAAAGGTAAAATACCTATAAGTCAAATGAAATTCACTTTCATATGTATACGGGTCGATATAGACCAATTTTTTCCATCTTTTTTCCATGTTTTTCCGGCTCAAAAAGGTTTATCTCCGAAGAATAAAGTTTGCTTACCCATGCATAATTTAAAACGGAAAAGAAGAAGATAGCAATTGATTAAAAGGGGGAAGAAGTAACTGTATACCTGAGATGATGGCGTATAACAAATTAACTGGGAAATAAGACGAAAAATAGAACAATCAAATCAACAATAATTAGACAATTAAAAAAAATTCAGGACCCAAAAAATGGGAGAAAATGACTTTGATAAGATTTCATCAAGCTTTAAAAAAAAGGTGAAAAATTACTTTCAACATCCACTTCTTCAATAATTTTTCTTTCTCATTTCAATTTCCCTCGACGAAATTCCGGCAAAAAAACTTATTTTTGAATTTCAACTTTCTGACAGTTTATGTTTTTCAGAGCTTCCGACTTTCAAAATCTATAAATTCGTCAAAAATGACTGAAAAAATCAGATATTAAAAAAATCGGAATACATCTAAAACCAAAAGTCAGTTCAAAATTCTCACAAAAAAATCGAAGTTCCGCCAAAAACATCTGATTTTCAGACTTTGTCACAAAAAAGTCTCTCAAAATTCTAATCAAAACCATTTCCAACAATAACAAAAAATGAAAAAAAACAAACTGATTTAATGACCGATTTCAGTCACACTCGGGGAAGATAAAGCTGCTGGGGGCGCGGTCGATCAGATTGTAAATGTCTTTGAAGAGATCGACGTCGCCGAAATATTTCTGCTCGCGGTAGCCGTTCTCGGCGCACGCGGCGAACAACGCGTCGCGGTCCACCGATTCCTGAACAGTTTTCAAGTGGAAAGGAAAAATTTCGGAAAATCAATCTGTGCAGATCTGCTGAGAAAGCGGGTCAGCCCGGGGCGATATTTTCGAAAAAGCCATTTTTTAAAAATTTTCCACGAGCTTGTTCCTTACCCACTTCCCACATTTTGACTCATTCTTATTTTTGCGAGTCGGGTCAGCCCGGACTGTTTCAAATTTCGGGTCGGCCCGGGGATTGAAAGATGGTTTTTTTGAACGCGGTTTTTTTGCGCGAACCTCGGAATTCAAAAAATAATGAAAGAATGTTGAGAAAAAAACAGTTTCTATAATTTTTTTATACGCGGCGCTGTTTTTTTGACGCAAAATTACGATACAAATTTTTTTATTTGAAGTTTTCTGGTTTAAAATTATTTTGAAATCAGAAGACAAAAATTTAGAGACTATCGTCAAAAAAATAAACTCAAATTCAAGTATCAGCTCAGCCTTCACCCAAAGTCTCTAAAAACAGCGGTCGTTATCTAGTAACGAGTTTTTCGCCTCTGAGACTTAACTGATTTTAATTTGTACTACGTTTTTGCTTTTTTTTTTCTTTATTTAGATTGTAGATCCAAATGGAATCGTTGGGGTTCACACTCATTTGTGAATAAATTATTATTATTATTTGAAAAAAATTAATCGCGAAAATAATAGTTTTCAATTTTCTTTGAAAGGTTCACTCGTATTGTCCACCCAAATCTACTCTGCAAATCAAAAGTTGACCGAAAGTGGTTCGTTCGGGATGAGATCGTCCTCGAATCGCTTGTCACACGTGTAGTCGCCTGTATGGTCGGCGACGAGGATCCGGCAAACGAATGGATTCAGTACATATCCGGCTGGAGCGCCCAGGAATGGGCTCAAAACCTCGGAAGCCTGAAAAAAGACACCGATCATAACTTGGCCAAGAAAAGTTCAGGAATACGATAATTCGTTGATTATGCTCAGACTCAGCTGTGACCTACTTTTGAGCATTCGATAGATTATTCCTCTAATGATATTTTTCATTCAAGAAGCGAACTCGAAAGGGAGCCACCACTAAAGGGACCCCTCCGGCGTTCCTAATTTAGAGATATACCTCAATTTCGGTTAAATTCGCCTTCAAAAAAGAAACATCATGAACTTGCTTCGAAAGACAAAACGAAAATCTAGAAATTCAACTGTCCAATAGAATTTTTGTGGATGAACCAATTATGGACTGAACTTTCTTGATGTGTTCTGTTCGAGTTTTATGAGGGGTCCTGAAACCTACCATTTCTCGAATTTCATGTTCACAGTCCTGCAGGAACAGGGAAACCGTCCTAATGAACGATAGCTTGAATTCTAAAACAGTAAAAATATATTCAATTGAAAAAAAAGCGACCACCTTTAGTAACATCATCACAATTGTTTTTCAACGTATAAGACAGGTCCCGAGCCACACAAAGAGCATTCTAAAAGAAAAAAAAATTAACCTGGCTTGAAGCCTTTTACGAATTATTTCTGACGAAATATGCCCGAAAATTATGAAAAATGAAAGAGTCACAAAAAAAAGAATCCCAAAAAAACCATTCTAACAATAGCAATAAAAAAAATATTGATTTTGAACCGATTTCGTTAATTATGAAATATCAGCATCTATTATCTACCAATATACAGGCCGTTTTAGGCTTGAAAAATGGCAATTTTGAAAATTTTTTTCTGAAGTGACAATGTTTTCTAGACACATCCACCGAAGAGAATCCACCCATTGAATTTGCACGATTTTCAAATATCTTTTGAAATTTTCCGGAGCGGCAATTAGACGCTATGAGTACTCTCCAACCGAAACGGCATTAAAATGTCAAAAAGGCAATTTCGAAAAATTCTATAAAAGCCTTTTTGAAGGAACTGAGTTTTCCAGCCTTGGCCTTTTGAAAAAAAAACTTCCAAACAATCGATTATAAAACTCGAAAAAAGGGACAATTTTTTTTTCCTGAAGCGAATGCAATAGTTACACCGCCTTAAAACTATCAGAATTTCTTTTAAAAACCTTCTGAAAGGACCGACTTTTCAAGAATTTCAGCTCTGGAAAAAAAGAAATCTAAACCAATCGAGTGGAATCCTCGTCGACATCCGAACATCCGTTGATCCATTCCAACAAGGCTTCTCTCTCGTCGGCCGAAGGCATTTCCAGCTTTGTGAGCAGTTTGCAGGCCGTCGATTTGGTGAATCTTGAAGCTCTTGATGATAATCTTCTCCCAAAAACGGGACCAACAAGTTCCAGAGAGAAGTTTCCGAGTAGAGCTCTTGGCGGATGAATTGACAGAGTTTTTCGCGGGACTCTTCCGTTATCATCGTGTGTTTGGGGTAGAGCAGGTTGAGAATCTGGAAAATATTTCCGACCTTGTCGTGAAATCCTTTCGAAGATGTGGTTCATGGAAAAAAGGGGAGCAAAGTCCAAAAAAAGGGTGACTAAAATGCCGAAAAAAAGGCAATCGTCGTGGAAATTTTCGAAAAAATCGAACCTCAAAGTACAATTTTTAAATAGCTGATGTTTCTGAACACCTTTATAAAACAAACAGATCGATATCGAAACATTTACGAGCCCAACTTTTGATTTTAGAACTGTTTTGGGGTATTTTGGAAAACAAATAACTGTAAGGTTGTAATTGATACATTTTTACTGCGAGTTTTTCGCTCAAAAAAATTCTACTTTTATCACATTTTTTTCGAAAGATTTTTTTGCCGACCTTAAGTATTTTATAAATTTTTTTATCGATTTTATTTTTTTCATCAAACTTCTGACGACCTTTTAAATAAACGTTTCCTCGGTTTCAGAAGATTATACATGATTTTTTCCGCCTACCCTGGCCGAGTCGACTTGCTGAGGCGCTTCAGGCAGATCCCGAATCGCCAAATTGATCATTTGAGCCCACAGATACTGAAAAAAACCATTGTTTCGCACAGTAACCGAGAAAGAAAGACCTTATTGCAAAAGTCCCAGCCCTTCTTTTGAATGATGATGAAACACTGGCGACGAGTTTCGTAGTCCTTGAGCCACGGGCTCAATTCCGCTTTCAGAACGTCATTCGAACGGAGCAACCTTTCTGCGATCGGTCGCTGGAATATTCCAATTGAAGAAATTTTTTTTTTTGAACGGTCGCACTTGGAATGAGCCTTCCTTCAATTTTTTTTTCCAATTTTCAGCCTCAAAGACGAAGCTTGCTTACAAAGAAGCCAAATTTTTTTGGTTAAAAAAAAAATTTAGCGATGGAACATAACGACCGCCCGAAATTCGCCTTTTTATCGAATGAATTTTTTTTTATAACTTTATGTCTTTAAAACAAGGTTTTCTCAACAATTACCCGAGTTTTCTTTCGTTCATCGAATGTTTTCAGCAAAAAAAAAAGACTTAGCGCACAACCACCATCCGAAAAACGGCCCTATTTCCAAATCTTACCTTAACCAAGACGGGTTTCTCTACGACGACGTCGTCCATGTCAAAATCGATGTTGAACTTGTTGCAGAGCTTCAAAAGGTAGCTGACGACAAAATCTTTCCTAAAATCTCCAATATTCCCTTTGAAAAAGAGTTACAATAGGGACCAGTTGAGCCAAATCTTGGTCCTGACGATTTCCGAGACGATATTGGCGAGAAATGACCGAGACTGGTCTTGGGCGTACATTCCGCGGACGATTTGGAGGGAAGTGAAAATGTGATTTTGCCGTATCCAACCGAATTGAATTTCGCCGATCCAACACGCCAAATTTTTGAATGTCTGAAAGATTTTTCTACTTAAAATTTTTATTGAAAAGTTAACAGAAAAAACCACGAAAAATTGAAACTTCGAAAAAACCGTTTTTTCAAACTTGCTATGTTAAGAGTTTGGTTGATAATATAAGATTTTTTTATTTCACAGGAAAAATGTTTTTCTCAGCTTTTGAAGAGAGAAAAAAAAGGATGAATTATATTAATTGCTTTCAAACTGAGAAAAATTTAAATTTCTTTCTTAAAATCCTCTTTTTGAGAGTGCATTCATATTATTTTCTCATAATAATCACTTTTAAACCGAAAAAGAACCTCAGAATCGGAGATGCTGAGCAAGGCGATGACGGCCTGGGTCCGAATGTGCTCGAACTTGTTGCGAATCGCGATATGCAAGCAGAGGGGAACGAATGGCGCCAGCGGATATTTGGCGTCAGAAGCCGTCGTCGGATAGAGATGCGACAGGATCACTAAAGGGGGCACTACGGCGAACGGACTCGAGTTCGTCCTCAGCTGTTCGACCATGAAAGAGTACAGTTCAGGGTATCTGAAAAGACTTCTGCCATTTCAAAGCTCTTTCTTGTATGGAACATGGAAAAATATAGATGAAAAAATCCGAAGTTTTGAGAAAATGAGACGAATTTCAAGCTCGATTTTCTCGAAAAAGCCGTACTTGTTGAAGAATTCATAGCCACTCTGGCGGTTTTTCGGATCCGCGTTGTAACTTCTGACAGCAGATCGGGTCACTCCGAAGACACGAGTTCTCAAGGCCGAAAATAACTGAGAAGCCGAATTCCGCTCGATGAAATCGACCGCGCAGCAGCCTTTCAACGCGACAAAGAGCAAGGACTGGAAAAATATTTATCTATATTTGTTTATGGTCATTTTGAGTCAGATTTCTACTTTGTATGATCTCTCCAGTGAGAGAAAAGAGAGCGCAGGCAATTCTGACAAATTCAAGTCGAGTCCAAATGGACTTTACTCAATACTTCGATCCTTTATGCCATGTTCAAAGTAATTAAAAATGATTTCTTACTCTCGAAAATTCAGTTATCTTTGTCCCTCTCTGACGGCTATTTTAAACTTGGCGAAATTTCTTTGAAGACGCCGTTTTTCGCGATTAAAAATTTCACATTTCCTCCTAATCGATCTTTTTTAACTTCAAAAAAAAAACCTCCAAGAACATTGAAATCGGCTCGCTCAGGCCAGAATTGGTGACCATTCCCTTCATGATGTTCATGGCGTGGATCCTGCAAAAACTCGCTATTTCTCATTATTTCTTCCCGAAAAGTTCCCTCTCACGCTTCCATTTGTTTCTTAATTGATCTCTTTTTTTTTTTAGCAAAGCCAGAGTGCTCCCTATAGGGGTTAGGGAGAAAAAAAAAAGCTCTCTTAAAGGCTAAAATTTAGTTGATCTCTAAAGGGGTTTAGGATCTGACCTTAAGGTCATAAAGCTCAACTTGTCTCTATAAGGACCTTCTTATTTGAAAGTTGAAAAAAATTCTATTCTTTATCAATATTTTTCCGTAGTTCTAAAACCCCCAGAGTTGCCATTCTCGCAAGCTTCGTTGGCCCTTACAAAGGAGGGTAAAGTGGTCCCTTGAGGGGAACCAGCAAGAATCCTTAGGGTAGTCACTTTAATGACCTCTCTAGCTTTTCTCAGGAGACCTTTTTTCTTACATCCTTTCCAAATCTCCCTATTTTTGCTCGTTTCCTTAAGACATTTGATCCAGGTTTTTTTTAAAGTTTGAAAAATTGTGAAATGTTTTTTTTCTTTTTCAATTTCAAACCTCAAATCCAAGCTTTTCATGGTCATTTCGAAAAGACACTCGATCGCATAGTCAAATGAGATACTTCCGTCGGGTTCGGTGATTGTGATAGCCACGACGAGATACGGAAGTCCAGCACTTCGACGTGTTGAACAGGGACTTAGAAGCCCTAAAAGTCACGCTTTTTCCAGGTTCAAACCTTGATGAAATCGCAGAACTTTTAATCAAATTTTAAGATTAAAAAAAAATTTTCTGTGCTACTTTCAAAGCAAAAAACCCCCGAAGACCTATTTTCACAAGCCTTTTTTCGAGTTTTTCTTCAAGCTCTGAAATTTTTCCTCTTTTTTTCTATGATTTTCCATTCATTGCCCCCTCAAAAACGCACTCTGACTGTTCTCCTCGACATCCATGATCTCCTCGAGCCATTTTATCGGCTTTGGATGTTCCTCATTCGTGGATTTCCACAAGAATCGGCACAGTTTTTCGAATCTAAAAATCTTGGAGTTTTGAAAAGTTACGATTTCCTACCCGTCGACCGACGTTTCGAAGGCGCCTTTGTGTTTTCCCTGCGTAAGTTCCCGGAGATAAAAATCGCCGACTCGTTTCACATTCTCCACTTCGACGATCCCGTACTCAGCCAACTGAAGAATCCATTTTTTTCAAATATTAATTTTAAGAATTTCCTTTAAAAAAATCATGACCCCTTTGAACACAAGAAAAAAAGAGAGAGAGAGAGAGAGAGAGAGACAACGGCGACGTGAGAGAATCCAGAGAAGTCAAAAAACTCCTCTTTCTCTGGCGTCTCTTCAAGTCGTGTTGATCTCTCACGTCTGAATTTTTTCGTCAAAAACAACATTTTTTTTTCATTATTCGTGGTTTTTGAAGCACGAACATTTTCGAAAACCCATCCGAAAATCTGGGAAACGAATCTCTGCGTTCTCCAGCAGCACACCAATAGCCTTTGCGCGAAATCGGCCTGTTCCTCGACCGAAGAAGGAACTAAAAATACCAATTTTTTCAATTTTTCTCGATTATTCCTCCTCACAGCAATCTTCCAGAGTATCCTGAGGGATGTAACCTTCCGGATTTGGATTATGAACTACTGGGATGACCTGAAAATCGAGTAAAAATCTAATTTTCGGGAAAAATATATTTCTTTTTACAATGTCAGCAGCCTTGAAGCACGGCGGAAGAAGCTTTTTGTTGCAAAAATTCGACCACCATTGCCGTTTTTCCGGATCTTCCATAGATCTGAAAAAATAATGCAACGCTTTGATGTAAAATACTAAGGAAAAAAATGAAGAAATTAGTGGTCACATAAGAGGTCCCTCAAGGGATCCTCGTCGAACACTTGAAAGGACACTAAAACCACTTTTATAGAAGTTTTTGATCAGCTTTTTTTCAAGGCCTTTGAAATTTTTTAGTTTTCTAGAATTACCCTTTCAGACTTCTTAAGAGGTTACTAAATTTTAGCCATTTCAGGGGCCACTGGTCTGACTAATATAGTGGTGGCTAAAATTTTTCCCATCAAATGAAATAAAATTTAACCCAAACTTTTTTCCCGTCACTCACTCTGCCAAATAATTTTTATCCACAGTGTTCTCCATCAAATCGGCCAGAAGGCTCAAATTCGTGTGGACCGGCGTTTCGATGATGTTCGTCTAGAAAAAACGTTCAATTTCGATTGATTTCAAGAAAAATAAGTTACAAACCAAGTTTTCGGAAGCTCTCTCGATAGCTGGGATCACCGTATCGGCCAATAGTTCGAGGACCGGTTGTAACCGATGCGGATTTTGACTCATGTACAACTAAAACGAGAGTACAAAACAGCTTTGAGAAAAAAAAAGGAAATGCAAAACTATCTCTGACACTCTCGAATTCAGTTATCTTTTCTTCCTCTCTGACGTTTATTTCAAACTCTTTTAAACACGGCATTGCTGTTCAGTGTGAATGTCAGAGTAAAACGTGTGAAAATCTGTTTCGATGGATGGGTGCTTGATTTTAAAAGATTTTGTGTTTCTTTCAAGCGGTAAACTAAGTTAAAAGAAGAAATAAACGGCACCTGCATTCTACAAGCCGAAGCCGATGTCGACGTATCATTGACAGAAGCGGTCAGTTCATCCGAAGGTTGGATATATTCCTCTTCTACCTTCAGAACAAATGATTGATTTAATTTCAAAGTTCAACCAAAAACTATTGAATAAAGCGGATCTGGTTCAAAACTCTGCGGTCATTCGAAAAAAAACAAACACTAAAAAGCACAAAATTATCCAGAATCTAAAGAAAAAAGCTGCATCATTTTCTCGGGTTATGACGCATCAGACATTGTTTCTCTTCCACGATTTTTGTATAATGTGAAACTTGAGGCTTCACGAAAAAAATTTTAAAAACTGCTTTTAATTGAATTATTAAGAACTTGAGAATAATATTCGTTCAAGGCATTATTGCAAGTCAGACTTTTTTCACCAAAAAATCCTACGAATTATTCAAGCTGGCGTTATCATAATTCAGAAGACTTTTTCCACCAAAAAGAGCGGAAAAAAAAGATTTTTGATATTGCTCATCTTCGATATTATCTCGAGAACCTGCAAATTGATATTTCTCGTTTTCCGAGCGTCTTCCTTCAAACTACCCAGGAAAAAAAAAACTGAGACCAGAACCGCTCTTATTAGTAGAACGCTCACCATTTCGATTTTATACTCCAAGGTCCTCAAAATACTCAAAGCTTTGGTTCTGATCAACTCATAGGAATCGTCCAGGCAGCTGATAATCGCATACATTCTCAGACAGTTCAGAGTTCCGTTCAAGTTCAAATGATCCACGAAACCGGCTGAAAATCATGTAATCAAGAGAATTCGCGCTTTTTTGTGTACTTTTCCCGTTGGCCGTGTACAAATCTCGGTTGTAAAGCAGTTCGATAGTGTAAAGGGCCATCAACCGACGATTGAAATTCCCTTCAGGTGCCAGGGAGTCGAAGCAACGGTCCCAGATGTATCTGAGAAATGCGGAGATTCAAACAAAAGTCATCAACGGAAATAACAATATTTCTTGAAATCCCATCGGATTTTATTGCACGAAACGAGTCTACGTTCCACCCTTAAAAAAGGGAGCGTTCAAAAATGAGAGAGCGGGCGTCTTTTTTCTCTGGGCGCTCCTTTTCAATCAGTCTAATCTAGTTTATCTGTGAGTTCAAACTACACAAAAAAGCGCCTGACTTAAAAGAAAATCGGTTTTTTGTATTTGCCCCGCCTAACCTAACGAAAGACGTGTAGAGTTTGACGTCGTCGACGCCATCCGTATTCTCGTCGGAAAATTCGTCGGCGTCGCAGATTTCGACGCGTTCCCGCTGCATACTGCCGACGCAATGCGTCTCCGGGACGATCATAATCGTGTCCTTTCCCGAGAAACTGTCGTTCTTGCGCATCTTCTTCAACACCGGCTCCGTGCACTCGCTGAACCTTTGGAGGGCCTGGAAAATCGCAGAAAGTTTTTTCCAAAGTGTCCAAGATCCGTCAACGTTTGAAAAAATCCTCCAACTCATTTTGAAAAGCCTATTTAGGTTTTCTTCGAAATTTGTAAACACTCTTTTCAACTTTTTGAATTTTGAACAGAAACTGCAAAATGAACTCAAAAACTCTATTAAAGGTCTCTAATTTTTTCTTTTAGAATCATTTTTTCATAGTTTTCTATTTATTTTCTTACCAGAATTTGTAATATGAACTCAAGAATTTCAATCTGAAAATATATTTTTATTTTACTGAACGTAATCAAATAATATTTTCAATTATTTAGCCCTTTTATTTCTTACCAAAAACTGTAAAACAAATTCTAAAACTCTCCTCTGAAAGTCTGATTTTTTTTTGTTTCCTTGGACTTTTTCAACAACAAGTTTTGAATTTTCTCGCCCTTTCCTCTCTCCTCTAATAATTAAAAAAAGGGAAAACTTAACCGAATTTCTTTTTCGGAAGGAAATCCATTCAAATTCAGCGTAAAAACCTGTTTTTTCAGAAATTTTCTGAAGCTTTCTCAAAATTCTGTTAAAACTGAACGAACCATTTTTCAAGCCGGCTAAAATGGACTGTCGGACTCCAGGCAACTGGCTGGAGAGGTTGGCCACAAAAAAGGCCTGAAAATTTGATTTTTTTTTTCCAAATTTCACTGTAACAAGGTTTCCAGAAACTTGGAAAAAGCACGGATCCCTTTATTAGTTCTACAACTCGTCAATATTTGACTAGAATAAATAAAATAAAGAAAATTAATAATTACTCGTAGGATTTTTTTCTAATATTTTACATTTAGCTATTTGAAAAAAACCTTAACCTTCAACTATCAAAAAAGTTATATGAAAGAGAATGATAGAAGAAAGTTTTGAAAACTGGGCTCAAACTAAGAGGAAGCTAGAGATACGCGGTGTTTGAAGAGACGGCAGAGAAGTAGAAACACTCTAACTTCTCTGGCGTCTCTTCTGTGGTCGGACTTCCTTTCCAAAAATCGTAAATTTCACAAGAACCTTTTTTTGAATTTTGATTATTTCTTCGGCGTCTAACAAGAGGCCGATAACTTTTCATAGCGAAAGCTTTTAATTTGGCGTAGACTTGTTCTGCGCCATTTGATTTCAGGTTGAGTTAAAAAGAGCGTTGCGGTTTCTACTTCAATTCAACATTTCCAGCTCTACAGATTCTCAAATCTGTGCGAAAAATTTAATTTTTTTTCTTTTTGAAAATCGTAAAACAAGGTTTTCACAGACACTAACTGTTCAGATAATCAACTCTATTTGAAAACAAACCTTCATGAACTCCAAATCATATTCAACAAACGCGCAAGTCCTTTTTGGGTGGTCAATAATGACATTGAACGCGGAAAGGGCCACCTGAAAAGCCGTTTTCATCCTATTTTCCCTTTGTTTCGGTACAAACATGAATATCGGAATGGAGAATCGCACAGGCCATCGTTTCGGATGAGATATATTGGGTCCACATGATGAATTCTCGTTTTTCCACCAAGGGCTTTCCGCTTTTTTGGGCTCGAATCAAGCATCTGACGATGGCCAGAACCGTGTCCAAAGTCCTGGCGCTGGTACTTCCTAGGAAACATTTTCTCTTTTTGCAGACCTTCTCATTTCTGACTGCGAGAAAATGACAAAATATCATGCGGCAAGCAGGCAAACAAATTTCAAGATTTCATAAGTTATAATCTGATTTAGCGTTGTTTTTTATAAACGTCTTATTCGAGAAAAAAAATTAAATTACTATAAATAAAGTTTTTTAAAAGAAAAAACCATATGAATTCAAAAATCAATAACCAAACCCTTCTTTTCCTCAAAAATCAACTCATAATTCACGTTTCTTAAATTTCATGCCTTTTCCCCTCTTTTTCTCATAATTTCCCGTTTGAAATGGCCTACCAGTCAGACTAGCCAATAAAGCTTCCAGGAAACCGGTCAAAGTTCCGTCTTTTTCGATCAACTTGATGAGTCGGGTCTAAAAATGAATTTCCTTTCAAAGTTCAATTCAATCAATAACCTTGAGAATATCGATCGAGCACTTTTCGTAGTCGACAAATCGGCAAATGTGATAAATATGAAGGCTCCAGCAGCGTTGATCCCGCAGACATTGGACCAAAACTTCGGAAACCTTCGGAATAAATTCGAAAAGTCACTTAAAATCGAGAATTTTCGAACAGAATTGGCGAGAGAATGGTTGTTGAGATGTCGGTAGAAAGTCTCAATGTCATTCTCCTCGAGTTGACGTAGAGATGAGGGGAAATCCGTGAAGAAAGCGCTCTGAAAAAAAAAACAGATGTTTGGAGTTTCACGTGATCAAGCTTTAGAGCTTTTCAATCTAATCCAAAGAATTTATTTTTTATTCGTTTATTCCTTTTAAGTGTTATAAATTGTATTTCAACACTTTGAATACTGGAAAATTCGACACACCAAACACTTATAAGTAGACTTGTTGGGGAAATCGGCCGAAATAAGCCAGCGGAAGACGGTGAAAGCCCAATGACAACTCGGGGCGAATTTCGTTTCCAATGACTGTACTCTGGAAAATATTTGCACGTTTCTTTTATTGTAAATATATTTTAAACACAAGTTTTAAGTATCCGCGTGAATATACTGACAATGAAAATCTAATAATTTCCAAAAAACTTTCAGAGACCTTTAAATGCAAAAAGATGCTATTTTTCCTACAAAGTCCTGAAAAAAACATTTTCAGATTCAAAATGGCCGAGCAGCGAAAAAAAGTAATCCAGAAGAGTCCCTCTCGCCTTTAAAAACCAGCTAGCTCTCTTGAATCGCTTCACTTTTCCCATTAATACGTGAAAAACAGTCATTCTTTGTTTTATAGGCGTTGAAAGACGCAGAAACCCTGCCTGGTCTTTCAAAAACTCTTTAGTCTGCTCAAAATCTGTTTAGTTTGATCAAAGTTTGTGTAGTTTGCTCAAACGAGAGCAAAAAGCTTATACGACCTTCAAGAAGCAAAAAAAAATCTGATCTTCACTTGAAGACATCCATGAAAATGTTCCTATTCTCCTTTCAAAAAGTCAGCAAAAAATTTCAGAGAAATATTTAGAAAAAACCAGTCCAATACGAACGATTTGCACCCGGCACAACTCCTCTTATGGATAATCAAGGCAGTTGAAAAAATCTCGTTGGAATCGTGACACACAGAATCGACTTTGTGGTCCCAAACCCGCTTGATATAATCGATTATGAGTGGAAAAAAGCGCGGCGGCAACGTCTCCTTGCAATCTCTGAAAAAAAAAAAATTTAAATCCCCCAAAGCATCATCAAAACCCACCTGATCAAGATCAATATCCGTTTGATGGTTGCTCCAAGCGCTAAGGCTCCATTTGTGTACCTTTCCGAGGTCATCAGCAGCTTCTCCAAATGACCAATTATGATTGAATTACCAGCCTCATCCTTCTCGTCGAGATCCTGTTTGTCGAGCTATAAAATTCGATTTTCGACTTGAAACGGGCACGAAAACTGACCCGCCGGTGTAAGTAGGTGAGGTCTTTCAAATTTATATCCATTTAACCCAGTCGTTGAGGTCAAGAGATAAGAAATCCCTGTCTAAAGAAGGCGAATGACGCAAAAATAGAAAGAAAAACGGAAAAGAAGAAAAATAAGGGTAGGCCTAAAATTATTTAACAATTTGGACTTATAGTCGTTTATTCTTGAATACGACAGACTTCGCCTTGGTTTACCTTTTATTATTTGCTGAGTAACAAAAGATTGGAGAGAGAAAAGTGAAGAAAAACAAGGAAAAAAAAACAATTTGAAAATTTTTCTGAAATAAAATGATTGCAGAGGCGCGCACATGACCTTTATGGAAAAGTTCGCGCCACGGGAGGTTTGAAAAAATTTCTTTTTTTTTTGTTGATCGAATGGTTTCCTTTCCCTTTTCTTTCCAGTTCCTTGTTCATTCATTTTCACCTCTTCGTTCTTATAAAGACTTCTGAATCTTTTTCTTCTAAACCAGTCGTTGAATAGCTCTAAACATCGAGTTTGTAACACTTAGCTTCAAAAAAATCATTTTTTAATTGTTTCACATTTCAGGGCAATATGGCTGACCATTTCACTGGTCGGCTGATAAAGCTGACCAACATGAATACAAAGATGGAATTGCCTAGCGATCAGTTGCGGAATTTCATCAATAATTCTTTATTTTTCGAAAGTAAGGTTGGAGGATTGTCAGATAAGGTAAAATTTAGAAGGAAGAAGTATTATTTGTTTTATTTTTATCATTCAGGAAGCGATAGATGTGTTGATTGCTGTTGAGGACGAGGCGAAGTTGAGGATAGCGAATGGCTTGATTTATCGCGGAATAACATCGTTCGACAACCCCGAACAGTTCAAAAAGGTTCAAAAATATTGTTTTTTTCTGCGAAGAATTAGGATTTTTAGACCTTCATATATATAAATGGCGTTGGTCTTGGGTATTGTAATGCAGTTTTGACCGCTTTGAACGTGGTTTTGTTTGGTAAGATTTTTTTTTAAGCAAAAATATTAAATCGAAAATGTTCTTTTACAGATCTTTGGCCGCATATTGTCGAGGCTTGTAAGGACCAATATTTATTAATGTTGAAGGAAACAGTGAGAATGAATGTTAATAAGGTTTAAGAAGCTTTTGAAACGATTATTATCGATATTTTGAATTATTTAGATTGAAAATGTGATGATGAACGCGGTGCGTGTTCTGAATGGCACTGGAGAGTGGAATTCGAAAGTTCGGATGGCTTCCCAGGTTAATCAACTTTTCAGTTTAAAAAAGGGCACAAAGTGAGAAAAAATCGAGTTTTCTCTGGTAAAAATGACGATCTAGCAAATTAAAGCTCAAAAGTCCTATCTTTTTCGCTTTTTTGAAAGTACATAGATTTTGAAGTACGAAAAAAGGTAGAAAAGTTTGTAGGATCCTTTGGTAAATAGAGTTTACCAAAGGAACTGAAAAATATCGTTTTTTGGGCTTTTAGAGACTATTCAGCATATCTTTGAATTATACCGTCAAAATAGGAACTTTCAGTTTTTCGTTTCGACATTTCTGTGCAAAGCTTGCTTTGATGGAACGGGATAATAATCTTAACCGAAAAAATTTCATTTTCATTAAAGAAAATACGTTTTCCATGAATGATCGCCTGTATTAAAAGCATCAGATTCATGATTTTCTCCAAATCTTCATAGTTCTGAATTTAAAGGAGAATAATGCTTCGATTGAAAATTCGCAGGGAGTTCTGAGAGAAAACAGTGGAAAGGGTTATTTAATGCTATACCAATAATTTAGATGTATAATTTTTCATTAGAAAAACTTTTTTTGGGGGGTGAGATACTCAATTTTCCCGAGAAAAAAATATAGCTTTCGTAAAAAAATCCGCTTTCCAAGCATTATCATTAGAGATTTGAGATACATTTCATGATTTTTGTTTGAGATTTTTTTCAGAGCTCTTGAAATAATATCAAAATAATATATTATCGCGAGGGAATTTTTCCAGGATATTCCGAAAAAAAAAAAATGAATCATCGATAATAGCCGTTGATAAAAAAAGAATATTGGGCCAAATATTTGATTTTCGAAATTTTTGAATTGATATCAAGTAGAAAAATTTTTTTCCGAGTGAAGTTTCTCAGAAAAATTTTAAGGAAAGACAAAGAAAAAAATTGGATTTTCAAAGCTAATTTCCCAAGTTTGTTATTGAAAAACTTTTATCCAAAAAAAGCTGACCTAATCTTGAAATTTCATCATTTTTTTCACCCATTTTTTTCAGCTCGCCACCCTCTTTATGGAGAACGAGCAGTGGCTTCTGGGCCTGAAAGCGTGTCCCGGCCTGACCACTTCAGTGATCTTGGTCTTCTCGCATTTGATCGTCGACGCCCCCGTTCCGATGACCCAACAAGACACCTTCCGATCCGCTCTCATCAACTGCGTCATTTTGTTCATCAAGTAGGTTTTCGAGGGTTCTTTTATTTAGAAAAAGAAGCTCTAGAAACAAGAAAATTTGTTTTTCGAAAATTTTCTGACTGTATTAACTTTTTTTTTTCCGAAGTTCTTTGTTTTAACGTTAATAATTAACTTTTTCCATCCTGTTAAAGTTATTAGTTTTTTTCTGGAGAAAGTTGTTTTTCTGTTCAATATTATAGATATTTTGAAACTTCTAGCTTTTTTGCTTTATAAATGGTTAGGGGACCTGAAACGCGAATTGACTGATTTTTTTATGCAAACTTCTTTTCTGTTCCATTCGGTTATTTTTTCATCATTTAAAGCTCGTAAAAAAATTTTTTAAACCAATTTCGAAGAAAGTTGATTTTTCTATTCAGTTTGGCGTTTTTTTTTTTGAACTTTTAGGATGGATTTTTTTCAAATTCTATCCTTCATAAATGTATAGGAGACCTACTTTCAAAGGTTAGACTATTTTTTTGCATTTTTTTCTTCGAACGAAATTCTAAAATCAAGTTTGTTTTGAAATACTGCGAGAAAGAGACAGAGAAGCGATTCAATTTTTTTTTCGAGTTTCACCTGTCTACTGTTTTAATTATTTTTTAAGAATCAGATTTTGAAATTTCAGAGGCCGTCGCCACGAAGTGATAATTCTCGGCCGAGATTTCCTGCTTGTCCTTATCAGATTGTCGAGAATCCCCCAATTCGAAGCGATTTGGAAGAAGTTCGCCGAAGATCCCAAAATGTTCAATGTCACCGGTAACCGATGATTACCGATTATTATCTGTCGATAATTGTTTTGAGGCATCGAGGACATGCTCCTGAGGTCGTGTCTCGCCTCGAACACTCGTCTGTCGGCCGAAGTTCAGATGAAGATCGATTTCATGCTGAATAGCTGCCGAAACGTGGCTCCTCACTGGAATTGGCTGACTTATTCGGTGGGTTCTGGGGAGAGACACGCATTTTTTAGATTTTTGTAGCGAAAAGGTGAAGAATTCAGAACGACATTGGTAAAAACTGATTTTCTCAGAGGGAAATCACGGAAGTTTGTAGAGGTAAAAAGAAAAATGTTTAACCTATGAAAATTGTTTTTTAAAGAACCTCAGGCAGAAATTCTGAATCTATTTTTGTTAGTTGGAAAAATCTGAGACGTCAATCGTGTTGATATCGAAAATTTGAGATATTTTCTGATTGAAAAAATAATATTTTTTCCCGAATCTGAGTACAGAAAGTCATGAGATGTTTCTGAGGAAGTTAGACAAATTGAGAGTTTTTTTTTTTTTTTGTGATCAACGGTTTTTTAATTCTGATCATTTTGGCCTTTTTCAGGAGAAAATTAGTTTTTTTTTTCTGAAATGTCGCGTTTTTGGAAAAAATAACCATAATTTTCTTCTCTCTCAATGAAAGTATTATGAAAACTTGCTGTTTCATTTTTTTTTTCCAACGACTTCGAAAAATTGCTTATTTGCAGCACCTCCGCGGCCCCGACGGCGGCAGTTTACGAGCCGAAATCGTCCGATATTTGATCGCCTACGTTCCTGAGAACCAAATGCAAGCCGACACCCGTGTCCAGCTCCTTTATTTCATTATCAGTACGGCGCAGGTAAGAATTGCAGTTTTTAGTTATAGAATAATGAAAAAAATATAATTGCCTTGGTTTTCAAAAAGTCCACCGTTTCCTTAAGATTTCTGAAAAGGCTGAAAAAAATTGATCTTACTAAATTTTCATTTTTTTATTTGTAGAAAGATGAAAAAAATGTAACAAAAGGCATTCCATCCGTTCGAGTAAGAGACCCATGAAGCTACAAATTTTGAAAAAAAGCCGTTTAAATTCTCCCTTTTTTTCCAAATTTATGTTTCAAACTTCAAAATTTCAATTAAAAAAACAACTTTTTTTGTTTTTGAGCAGAAAAATTAAACTTTTGCTGCCTTTCTACCATTTTTCTTTATTCAGAAAATCCCGAAATCCTTGAGCTTTTCTGCACTAAAAACAGTTTCTATATTAGTTCTTTTTGGTGGTTTTTATTTAAACTTGAAAAGTTGACGATTCTCAGCCCGGAGCTGAGCAGCAATGGCTGAAATGCTGTCTTTGGATCGATTGGCTCGGATTCGATCCGGGGACCTGCGACTTCAAAATGATGGACGCCGCTTTCGGGACAGTCAAGTAAGAAGAAAAAAGAGTCGTTGTATAACTGTTGGATTTGAGGTACGCGCTGTTGATGAACACCAGTTCGGGCCAAGTTCTGGTCAATTCTTCGATTGGACCTCAGCTGGCCAATTCTCTGCTGGAATATGTTTGTAAGGTGCATTTTCATTGAATTATTCACCAATTTCAACTCGAAAAAAGTAGATTTTTTGAACTGTTCTGTCGGTTTTTACGTTTTTATTAATCATAGTAGAGTGAATTATTTTTGATTTTCTGAAATTAATGAGCTTATTAATTGATGACTGCGCTTTTTTTGAAATTCGCTAAATTTTCATTATTTTGAAATTTATTTTTAAAATCAACAAAAAAACCAAAAAAACCGCTTGAGGGACCACTTGAGCTCTAGGAGCTTGAGGTCAGACCCTATACCCCTATAGGGACCTTCTAGATTATACCATTATGAGAGACACCAACATAATAGACGCTTTTTTCTCTCGTAAACACTATAGGGCCCACTCTAACGCTCCTAAGTGGGGGAACTCCTGTCAAAAATTGAACAATTCTTGAAATAATTTTATCGGTTTTTTTACGTCTCGTATTTTTTTGTATAAAAAAATTTAAAAAAAGTTTTTCGGATGAACTCGATTGAAAAAAATGCCTTTTTTTCAAATTTTCTCCATTAAAAAGTTTTTTTGTGTTTCAGGCCGCCACCCTGTTCTTGCCCTCAGCCTCTGAAAGTATTTTGAGAAGCCTGAATCTTGCCATGAGAGCCATTGCGGACCAATATGGACAGTTAGTTTTAATGAAAGTTTAAAAAAGAGAAACCTATAAACATTTTGTTGAACACGGGGAGGTATTTGTGTATGAATTTGGATATTTTCTGAAATTTAGCTTGAAATCAAAAATTTGCATTGAACACAAATTGGTCTGAATCTTACATTTCGCAAATTTAAAATTTCATATCCTCGAAGTTGAAATTTTCATCGATTTGGGAGATTTTTTTGGACCTGAAGAGATTTCTGAAAAAGTTCTGGAAAAGTCAAAGAATTTGTTCTCCAAAAGGAAAATTCTGCGAGGAATTTTTTTTAACCTTCAGATAATTTTCCGAAAAAGTTACAGAAAATCTCAGAAAACTTGAACGGAAATTTGTGAGAGATCGTTTCTAGACCTTCATTCTGAAAAAAATTCAGAAATTTCCAGATAAAATGTTTCGAAGTTGACCTTTTACACAAAATCAGGTCTGAAACATAAATTTTGCAATTTTAAAACTTATTTTTTTGGAAGTAAAATTTTGCACGGCTAGTGAAAGATCTGTATTTTTAATATTTTTGTGTAATTTTGACAAGGCGGATGACTTTCACCCCTGATTTCCCAGAAGCTAGACATTTTTGCACGTTGAGACTCTCAGGATCTTTTCTGGTACATCAAGAAGTCTTTTGACCAAGAAAATTCAGAAATTTCCCAGTCGCAAAGTAAAATGACTTTCCTTGCAAGAAAAGTTTCAAAAACCCCTAAACTATAATTATCTTGATAGATATCGAGTTTTCAGGAACCTGCAGCCGATCCTCGAACATCACCGGATCGACCGGAAAGTCCACGAAGGGATGCGGGAGATCTGGCGAGACTTCCTCCGCGGGAAAGAGCCGCCGACTTCTCAGCCCCAAACCGTCCCCGGGGCTCCAGTTCTGACTCCGCCCGCCGCAAATCACATGTATTTATGGCTTTTGTTCCCATAAGTATTGAATTCACTATCATTTACTAATTTAAAATTCAATAGTTTTAGGAAAAGAAATATTTCGAAAAATGTTAATTTTATCGCCCCCTTTTTTTCTAAGTTAGCGTTTTTTTGTGTTTTTTTAACGAAAATTCATCAATTAATTGCGAAGAAGTTCGAAAAAAACAAGTTCAAAAAAATCGAAAAAATAATAAATCGTACTTTTTCCAGAATCCCTCCGAAAAAAACGGAAAAATCGAAGAACCGGCCGAGGTTTGTTATATTCGAACTTTGAAAAAAAATAATTTTTTCTCTTTACTGAGCTTTTTTTTTGATTTTATGAATGAAACTTCAAAACTTTTTTTATAATTTTTCCTAGCTTAGTTATAGAAAATCATTATTTCATTGAAAGTAGTGTGTTTTCGATTTTATCTCCACAGTGATACTTAGGATCCACAGAGTGGGCACTTAAGGGGCAACCTTAGTAATTCTTGTAGGTTCATCTAGAAGGACCTCATTACCCCCACTTGTAGGGGCAGAAAAGCTTGCAAAAGTGGCCACCATAGGAGCTTGTTTTGTTTTAGTTAGTGGCCACTCGATTGGAGCAAGCTAGAGGTCTTTTCACGTCTTTTTGACTGTAAAATCAGAAGAAACACCCCTATAGAGAGCGCTTGAACTTTAGGAGCTTACCAGGGAACGTTTTTTTTTATATTTTTTCCGAATAAGACACATATTACAGTTCATCGAACTCGAAGATGACAGTAAACCTGCGAAGATTTCGGAAAAGTCGAGAAGTCGATCGAAAAACGCCGAAGAGGCCCCTCCAATCATCGATCTCAACGCGTTGATGAAGAGGCTGAAAGGGGAAACGAGGGCCAAAATCGAGGCTTTAAGGTGTGATTGACTGTCGCATTTGGAATGGCTAGCCTCGCCCGACCCGAAACGACTTGCGCATTTCGACATAGTAAAGCTTTGAATACCAAATTTTGAGGTTTTCAGCTACATTTAGAAAGTAAAGAATCAATTTTCAAAAAAAGTAATTGATTCTTATTTGATAAAAAAATGATTTTTTTCAAATTTCTTTGTCGAAAAAAAGTCGATCCCAAAGCCACAATTCATTAAAGTTTCATACTTTTTTTACAGAAAAATCAAAAGTTCAAAATTACATTTTTTTATTAGTTTTTAGTCGTTCTAAATACGACCAAGGTGTCTCAAAACGAGAACAAAATCGATGGATTCTTTCAGGGCCAAGTACAAAAAAGAGCTGACGGACGACGCGGACCGAAGCGAGGCCATTGAAGATATCATTCAGTTTATTTTCACTAATGTCATTTTTTTATTCATTGGTTAATTAAGAAGAATTTTTTCTCATATCGAATGAGATATCTATTTCAAAAAAAAGTTTTCCAGCATGCATTTAAAAAAATGTTGAAAAAAAGATATGTTGGGTCTGACCCTGAAACGGTCCTTATAGGGAATTTATAGTTTTTTTGTTAAGATTTCAAATTAAAAAAAGAGGTAGTCAGTAAAAACTTGATCGACTCTTTCGTTATTTCCGTATGAAAATCTTTTGAAGAGTTTATAACAGAAATCGACTTGCATATTCCACACAGGGGTCCCTTTGCAAGCTTCGGAAATTCATAAGTATAAAATGAGGTACTATAAGAGAATTCTGAGTTCTCAATTATTACAAAAGAGTTCATAAAGAATATTATTTTCAGGACGATAAATTGGAGGATAACGAAATTGAAAACGCCGGACTTTGTCTTTGGGCGATCGCTGGCAAAATTACCAAAGAGGGTAATTTCCAGGAAAATGAAAAATAATGGAAAAGATTATTGTTTCAAGGTGAATCGGTCCTACCTGACGGTTATAACGAGAAGGGTCCACTTGAGTGCTTTTCCCATCCGGCTTATACCATCGTCCGAAACCTTTGGTGAGTTTCGGGAAGGAAAAATGGAATGTTTTCCAAACTTTTTTTATTAGAACTTGTTACATTTTTTTCATTTTTTTGTTATTTTTTGATTTTTTTCTATGAAAAAAAGAAGAAAGAATAGAAAAAAACTGTTTTAAGTTTTTGGTTTAAAAAGCCGAGTTTTCTGTTTTTTTCTAAAGAAATTCGAGTTTCGAAGAATTTATTATTATCGGTTTTTTTCCACATTTACTTTTTAAAAGATCGGAAAAATTTTTTTAGGTTTTTGAAAAAAACCAGGAAATACAGTTCGTAGTGTACTATTTTTTTGAAAAAACGGAAAAAACAAGTTTCTTAATTCTGAAGTTTTTTTCTTCTTTATAAAAAGCGAATAGTTAAAAATGCATTCTAACTTTAAAGATTGTTACTTTCAGAAAAAATTATGAATGTGATTTTTTGATTTTTTTTTTTTCTCAAATTTTTATCTTCAAACTCGATACTTATTTTTAAAAATCTATAGGATTTTTCAGTATAGAAGACATTTTTGCAGCACCCCAACTACACCAGAAACAGCTTCCGACAACATGATCACAATGGCGGCTGGCATCAGAGAGAAAGATCCCACCATTTCTTATCTTTTCCTTTTTCACATAAAGGTAAGAAGAGTTCGAGGCTTTTCAGGTGTAAGATTCCGAAAAAATTTAAATTCTGATACGGGAAATTGGTAGAATCTCTTAAAATCTAAATGAACTTTTTAGTTTGGAATAACGTTTCAAGTTCAATTACTAAAATAATTTAACAGCTGAATGACTGATATGTCGAATGGTGTCGAAGAAGTGGTCCCTAGAGAGATAAGAAAAAAAAACAGGACCCTCTAGAGGAGTTTTTTTGAGGCAAAATAATTAGAACATAAGTAGGGAAAAATTACGCGGGAAATTTGATTGAAAAATCCGTTTTTTTCTGCCTCGAAATTTTTTTCATTTTTTTTAAGAAACGGTGATTCCGCAGGAATTTCAATTGAAAAAGTGCAGAAAAATTTGAAAAAAATTAATTTTAAAAAAAGATGGGATATCAGGATACTCCTCGATTTTTCTATTCTTTTTACTTTTTATAAATATTCTTTCTGATTCATTCGATTCCTTTCAAAGGGTACCGTAACGAACGCAGCCGGCGTCCGGGAATGTCTGGAATGTTACAGTGAGGTGGCGAGAGCCTGTGAGAAGGACGTCTCTGAAATGCTCGTATCCGATCTCCAGGTTCTTTTTTCAAAAACAAAATAGAAAATGTAGAAAAAAAGCATTTTTTTCTGAAATCAGTTCTTTAAATTCGAGAAATCATTCATAAGGCGTGTTCACCAAAGTTGCTCCCTCCAAAACAGTACTAATTTTTGTTTTGGAGCAATTTTCGTTCTGTCCGAAGAAAACGCCATTAAAAAAAAAAAAAACAACTTTCACGAAACTTTCCTGTTTCAAAACTTCATTTCGATTGTCACGGGTTCAAGAAGTTTTCTCTCATTTTCACCTGCTATTTGCACGTTTTTATGATCTAGCCCCTGAGAAGGGAGAGTGCAGATAAGTCTGAGATACGAAATTTATGAAAAAGGCCAAGACTTTTTTTCTAAGCGCTGCACTTCATTGAGATTTTCATTTTTCAGAAAAATCAAAAATTAGTTTTTTCAAACTGTTTTTAATTTCAGAAATCATTTTTTCAGAACTGCGCCATCAATGATGTCCGACTATTTTCCTATATTCTACCATTTGTTTTCCAAAAAGTTTGGAGAAGATGTCGTTTCTTCGCCTGATGTTGGTGGTATCATAGGATTTTTTTAAGAAAAAAATATATTTTATTATTTTTTTGAAATGAGAAAAAAACTTTTTGAAAAAGATCTTCAATTTAAACGAATTCTTCGCTAGGGACTTTTTATTTTTAAAAAAACGAAAAAAATAAGATAGGAGTATTCGGACTTATTTCGGTGGATGTTTCACATAATTTCACTTTTTAGAAATTTTTTTTGTTCATGTAGCTTATTTTCTTTAAATTTTTAGTTTTGTCAAGAAGTTTTGTTATTTATGAATGATCCTTTTTCGTTTCACCAGTTTAAGTAGTTTCAAGGTACATTTTTGAACTCTATGCAGTATATTTTTTTAAGAATTTCCCCACTACAACCCCAGAAAAATCATTTTAAAAGTTTGATTTTTATGCAGATGATCGAAGTTTTGTGTGCAAATGTGGACGCTACCCAGTTGAAGAATTTCATCGGTGATATTATAAGGTGACTTCCCAAAAAAAGAAGAATATACAATCGATTTTAAAGAGAAAACATACGGTTATTCCGACGGGAACAGTTCAACAACATTTTGGCGGCTTCGTTGGAATGGTCTACCGTTTCTCAATGGGTTTTCTGGCATTTGGGTTGGTTTTTTGGGCCTTTTCGGCTTGGATCTCGGGTTTTTTGAACTGAAAACCAAGTTCAAAGAAGTACTTATAAGTGGAGAAGACACAAAAAACAAAAAATTTGAGCCGGTTTTTCGGGTTTTTTGGATTCTAAAATTTTCCGACTTTCGCTCTCTTCAGTTCACGCCGAAGGGATTCCGATCGAATGGGTCGTCTCAATAATTCCGAAACTTTCAAATGAACAACACCAGGAAGCTCTCACCAACGTATTGTTGATGCTCAAAAGAATGGGTAAATTTGGTTCTTTTTCCTATTTTTAAAAAGGTTCTGAGGCACAAATAAATAAGAAATAATCGAAGAAAGAGTTGAATATGATCGAAAAGGCGATTTATAGACATTTGATCATATTAGAAATATCCCTTATAAGACCAAGAATATAAATCAGGGCTTGATTTTCGAACAAATTTTAAAAAGAAACATTGAAACAGTAAAATGTGATTTCGAACGAGGTGAAAGAGAAAAAAAGAAGGTTTTCCAGCTTCAATACAAGGGCAATCTTGTTTTTTTCTATAGATCTAAATGTGGCAAACGGAAAAAAAGTTGTTAACTTGGTCTTTTAAAAACTTGATATGAAGAGAACAATTTCAAAAAAACTGCTTCAAAATGAATTTTCGAGAAAGAAAAATTTCAGTATAATTTTTCATTTTTTTCAGACCGCGAATGTTGGCCGGCTCTCATAAGAACCATATTTTTTTGAGGGTTCCAAATAAAGACGATTATTTCACGATCGATGCGTTGAAGGTTTGTTTCAAGATTTTCTGACTGAAAAAAATAATTTCAATATTTTTTTGTCCGAAAATGATAATAATGAGATTTGAGCTTATAACATATTTGAAAAAAACAATATTCCGAATTTTTATTTCTTTTCAGGTTCTCATCGAAGATCCCGAAAATTGCCAACGAGTCGCCGAGTTGATCGGCGCTCTGATGAAAAAAAGCAACTTTCGGTAATTATTCAAAAAAAGTTTTTTCGAATGATTCAATTTTTTTCAAGGAGAACAGCATCATCGGCATTATCAGCAAGGCGCCGGGCAAAAAAGGTGTCCAGAAATTGTGTCTTCAACAGGTAAAAATTGGAAAAAAATAAGAAATTCTTTGAAAAGAAAAATGGCCTGCAACGAAATTCAAAACAGGATTTTTCAAATTTTTATTAGGAATACTCACATAAAATTTTGAGTTGATGGAAAGGTTTTGGAGCCCAAAAACTTTCAGAAAAACTGACTTTTAACAAGGTAACTCTTTTTGGCTTTCGGTTGAACTTCTGATGGAACTTGGCTAAATTGTCCCTTACACCTTACATTATTAGGACCTCCTAATCCAATGGAAAAAAAAGAACAATTATCATATTAAATCGTTTTCGATTTATGAAGCTTGAAAGTTTGCAAAATAAGCAATTTAATAAAAAAAAAAGCGCTGTTTCAAGCTTTTGAAACGTCCAAATTCGAGAACAAGATATGTTGCGAGAATTATTCTCCCTGTTCTGGAATCAGGAAGCCCTGAAGTTCATTGCAACCGAGTTTCGTCAAAGCTCAATCGGGTGCTGAAAAATCGTTCCCTTGAAAGAACCAAGAACCAGTTCTTGATATATTCATATTCAGTTTTTCTTTTTCTTCTTTTTTTTCTCTTTTTGATGTTTAATTAAATCGTTGAATCCGAAAGAAAGAAAATTTTTTGCTAGGTCCTCGAACACTTGACGCTATTCACGGAATTGTGTCTGACGAGGGACAAAAAAGTCTCGGAAATGTTCCTCTCGAAGCATCACATGCAAGAAGCCATCGCTTCGGTCAAATCGTCAGTTTTCCCCGATTTTTTGTGATTTTTCGCATATTTCGAGCATTTAGAAATGAAAAAGCGACGGTATTACGGTCGAAATATGGCCAATTATACGCGGTCATGGACATTTTGAGTGAACAGGAGCAGACTTCGTCGAGGACTTTGAGGGGGAATAGGTTTATCCATTTATTCATTTTTTGGGAAAGGGAATCGATGTAATTTTTGCAGAACTGGAACTGCCACGAGCTCGCCCACAAATGATAAAATCATGAAGAGGAAAAATGCCGATGAGGTTTGTTTCTTTCAAAAAATGAAGAAAATCAGTTGAAATTGGATATTCGAATGCTTTTTGATACAGAAAACAACAAATTTTCAATTTTTTTGAATTTTTTTCAAAAGAGTTTAATGGAGCACACTTGTTTAGAACTTTTTTTCGGATTCATCTTTTTTTCATATTTTACTGAATCATACGTCGGCTGGATCCCACTCCGGGGTGCGGCCTACAGGCACACAACCTGTTGCGCTACGGCGCGCCCCATAGACTTTAGTATTAATTTTTATCAATTTGAGAACATTTTCTATAAATCGATTTCAGGAAGAAACCAACGGGAACAGCCAGAAGAAGCGGAAAAGGACGAACCGGGAGATCATTCAGCTGGATTCGTCGGACTCGGATTAGCCTTCTGATTGTTTTTTTCAATTTTTAATATGTATTTCGGGTCTTTCACTATTTTTCGCGTTTTTTTTCAAGGTTTTCCGTCATTTGAGAGATTTCGAGAGAGAGAGAGAGAGAATAATCATGAAAATGAGATTTTTTTGAAAAAAAGTTTATAAAATTATTTCCGATTAACTTTTAGCTTGAAGCTTTTTTTCCATTCATTAATAATTATTCCTTTTTTTTTCATTTGGCAGTCAAGCATTTTTAACCCGTTCCAATCTTAAAAACTTGAAGTTTCGACTGAAAATCAGAAAAAGGGCGTTTTTGGCCATTTTCGATAGCAGAAAAGTTATAAGATTTTAGAAAAAAGGCCTTTCCAGTTATTGAAAATATTTATTTTTTTCTCAGTAGAGCGCGCTTTTCATTTGTTTCAGCGATCTTGATTCATTGCTTTTCTTGGTCCTATCGGCCTTCTATTTTTCTCGAGAGTTCGAAAATAAGTCGCTGAGGAATAATAGTCGTGATAAGGTCGATAAGGATCTTCTTTCTCTAGAACCTAAAATTTCGCGCCATCCGGAGGAAAAGTTAGAAAAAGGGGCAACTAGTTGTGTGTGTTGAGTAATTGTTCCGGAGAGCCATAGGGGATATATATGCGCCTCTGGATGTGTGTGTGTAATTGAAACGTTTTCCCCATTGGAGCGAATGGCAAAGACAAAAAAAAAATGGGAAGGGAGGGAGAATGCGAAGGTAGGAATGTAGATATTGGCTTCCGAGGTTTTTCCTCCTTCTCTTTTTTTATTAGAGAAAAGAACACTTTTTCACTTAAGTCGTCCCTCAAAAATCTCCTCTTCCTTTCATTTAAACAAGATAATGTCCTTAAAATAATTACTCAATCTCGTTCTCTCCCCTACTTTTTTTGTTGGAGGTAATAATATCACTCAAGTGGTCTCTCAGCTCAGTCCTAGTTTTTTTCTTTAAAAATTTTTAAACGACCTTTGAAACATTGTTTCTCTGAAAACTTCCTTCAAGGCGTCACCAGGAGCTGTGAATTTTAATGGGAAAAAGGCCGCATTTTCCATTAATCTCCGAAGATTTCCAGAGTTTTGGGTCATTGAATTTTTTGTCATTTTTTTCTTGAATCGGGCCTTTTCCAAGTTTTCTCAAGGTCAAAAGACCATCAATCTGAGCTATAAACATAATTTAAAAAAAGTTTTTTAAGCTTCAAAGTCCCTTTTCTCATAGGAGCGCAATTGCTCTTAAAATTTTGCTTTGAGTTACTTCTCTCCTAGAAGCTCGATTTTTCAGAAATTTTAGTTTTTTTTTTACTTACAATCTGGAACTTGAGAAAAACGCTTTTTCTGGTTTTTTTCGCCGTTTTCATATGACGAAGTTGCTTTGAATATAGAAAAGGCTCATTTTTTGAGACTCGGAACATTTTTTCCGGTTTCTGGAACTCCTGTTAACTTTGTCAATAGAGCGCACTTTTTAATCTGTGCGATTTCCATTTGTTAATCCTCTTAAGCTACCAGAAACCAGAGAGCAAACTTGATTCATCGGGGTTAATACTAATAATCAGCCTTATATTTTTTCGAAAGTTCAAAAAAGCTAATAAGAAGGGCGGAAGAAGAAGCTTTAGTGTTAGTTTGAACCGAGAACGGCCGTTTTTCGTCGATTTCTCTGCCGCCTCCGGGGCTTTTTCCCCCCTCCAACCGACTAGTTTTCTCGTCTGGCGTCTCCTCCTTCCACGCACACTCTCGCCGCTCTTCGTCGTCGTCGCAATTTTTTCTTTCTTTTTTTTTCGGCTGCGGGCGACAACGCTTTTCCGGCATGTGAGGCGTTTGTGTGTGCGCGTTGATGATGTTTCATTTTGATCATTGACTCGTCTTTTTCTCTTTTTCTCTCCCTCTCCCTCTCTCTCTTCATTGATTTTATTTATACCAGTACATTTCAGTTTTTTTGATTTCTGACTTCTCGTCGGTTTTTTTGAGTGAAAAGTGGGAGGTTTTGGGTATTTTCAGCGTTTTTTTTTTTTGATTTTTTCAAAATTATCAAGGAATAATTTAATATTGAACCACTTGGTTAAGTCAATTCAATAATCTGATAAATCACCAATGAATTTATTTATATTTTGGATCAGTAAAACCAGTTTGATTCATTTTCATCGATGAGTCGTGTGACTTTTCCAGGAGAAATCAAGAGAAAATGTTACTCTCCGGGTTTTTTTTTAAATTTTTGCTTTTTGAAAATTTCAGATCATCAATCAGTGGGAAGTTTCAATTTGGATCAATTTTTATGAGTTTTCAACCTTGAAATACTGTTTGAAACGGTTTATCCTGTTTTGATGGGAAAAATAAGGCTGAGGACCACAAATATATTGGTTTTTTTTTTCAGAAGTCAGTTTTTCTTGTCTAGAAGGGGCTGAGAGGTCACTAAAGGGCTTAATATTGAGTTCCGATTTTCATAAATCTTCCAAGCGACCACTTAAGACGTCCTCATTTGCTCTTGATTAAGTCGCTTCGCTTTCAAAAATCGTTTTTCGAAAATTTTACCTTTGAAATATTCAGTCAACCTCTAGAAAAAAATTGTAGGGACCACTTTAGAAGTATTTTTTAAACAACAAAATTTCTCCTTTTACTGATTTTGGCTAATTTTTCTTTCTGTTTTGTTTTTATATGAATGATTTTCGTCAAAAACGTCCGAGCTCCAATTTTCATCCGCTCCGGTATCTTCTATGACGCGAAATGAGAAGAACTAATCAAGAAATGACGTCCGAATTTTGGGTGACGTTTCGCAATTTCCATGACGACGAGTATGACTTATGCTGACAATAAATTGCAAAGCTCACATGGCTCGTATTACTCCGAGATATACAAGTGACCACTTGAGGGGAAAAATTTGAAAAGAATCTTGACATTTTTTTCATTAGTAAAATAGGGCTGAGGGTCATTAAACTACAGTTTTTTTTTTCTCCGGAAATACCTTTTTTTCGTCTTTTTAGATAACTAGAAGCAGTTGAGAGGTAGATGAAGTGATGGAGCTTCAAAAATCTTCCAAGGGACTACTGAAGAAGAACTTATTTGCTCTTGACTCAGTCGCTTTGCTTTCAAGCATCATTCTTTGAAAAAGTTGTTTTCGAAATATCAATCTAACCCTTAAGAGGCCACTCCAGAAGTATTTCCAATCTTCGAAATTCCAATTCATTGACGAACTCGAAAATCTACGTATAAAGTAAGTTCGTGTTTTTTTTCAATTATTCGTGTTTTTTTTTCTCAATTCATGATTCTTCATCTCGAGCTTCTCGGAAACCCTTGAAAAAAAAGTAGTGAAAATCTTCCAGAAACTCAATCACTGATATTACCGTTCTCTTCCGATTTTCAAGCGCCGAAAATTTCCGGTTCCGATTCTGATCTCTCATACTTGTGTGTGTGTTGTTTGGAGCTGAAATTGAGCACTTGAGCCATTTCATTTTCTTCGCTTTTGTTTTTCTTTTTCGTCTCCACCTCACTTGATCGTGTTTTTCTCTCCAATTTTTTCCCGGTACCTTTCCAATTATATTCCATCATTGAAAATGATTTTTTAATTTTAGTTTGAAAAACACGGGTTTTTTATATCAAAATCCTCAGAAAGTCGCCGACCTTGTGAAACTCTCCCATGCTCCTTTAACAAAATTCAGAAGGAACTTCAGAAAAATTAGAGTTAATTGATTATTTTTGATGATTATATCTTGTATCATGATTCAAAACAACTTATTGAGTTAATAAAGCGTTTTCCGATTCGATTTCGATCATTTTTGTTGGAATTCCGCGTCTTTTTCCAATCACATGCATACGATATATTGATTTATGGTGTTGATGGGCAGCTGCCCCGTTGAGAAACGAGTTCTTTTCTTTTCTCTTTTTTTCATTGGTTGATTTCCTTTTTTCGTGTAGTTGGCTCATAGAACGATTTCATAGTGGTTCTATTTTCAACTGGAAAAATGGTTATTTTCCATTTTTGTGGAATTTTCAAGCTTGAGAAATCAGATTATAACTTCAAAATGAATCAGCCCTTTTCCAATCATGGATAGAACTTTTGAATTTCGAAAAATCTTTAATAAGTAAATTCGTTTGAAAAATGTTATCTTTATTTTTTTTAACACATATTCTCTCAGATTCACGATGAACTGTTGGTACAAAAATTTCAATTTTGTTTTGAGAGTTGAGATTACTGTCACAGTTACTTGGTATAGTGTGTAACCTTTTAGACTGGTTACTGTAGGGCTCCGCCCCTCATTGGGTTACGGTAGGTTTTTTTAGTAATAAATTCAAACTCTTTTTCAAAGGTTTATTAAGCAGATTAGTAGAAACTTTCGTTGTTTGAAAACTTTCTCGATTTTTTTTTACCAATCTGAAAAAATCACTTAGTTTCCTTATCAGAAGAACTTTTGGAAACACGGAACTACGTCATAAAAATAACAGTCCCGTTACAGAAATATCATCGAATCAATATCGTTATCTAATTTATTACTCACGCATTGTCGAAATTGCAGGAGGGATTGATGGCGATAAAAAAAATTGTATTTCATTTCGCTATAAAAGCAACTTTTTCATTTTACATTACTTTTTTGTTTCAAGCTTCCCGAGAATAATTTTCCTAAAAGGTCTTTTTTTGTTTTGTTCCCAAGCGATGCACTCATTTTCACGCTGAACTCGGACGCCAGAGTACTCCCTATAGGGTAAACTTCAAGTGGTCACTCTATGGTTTTAGGGTCTGTCCCCTAGAGTGGTGACTAACTGAAACCCAAATAGTGGCCAATTTCACAAGCATTTGTTCCCCTACAAGTTAAGGTGATACCTCGAGGGAGCCTTCAAGGTTACCCCTATAGTGACCTCTGTATATTTTCTAACTAGTAAGAACTTTTGCCGACAATTTTTGTTTTCGCACCTTTTTTGTTGTAAATTTGAAGCTTTTCGAAATTATTGCTTTGCAATTCTTAGAATTTCCGCTTTTTCATGAGTCAAAAAAATTATTTTTTATTTTTCTTTCAGTACCTCTAAATATTAAATCGAAGATTAAATCGAACAAAAGTTCAATTTCTTTAATCTTTTCTTTTTCCTGCCCGGTCTGCGCCCTCTTTTCTCTTCACGTAGTGGTTATTAGGTATGAAAATAAAGAAAAGAGAGCGCAGACACGTCAGACAGCTGTGGCTAAATGGTGAATATCTTTCGAAACAATTTCAAATTTCCTCTTCCTTTCTGGTCATTTTTGCGCTGAAAAGTTATGAATTTCCGGCCCTTACACCTGTTATTTAACTTTCGCTCCAAAATCTCACAAATTTCTTTTTTTGCAGAAATAAAAGCCGTGCGTTGCCGTGCAACACGCGAGATGCCAGCCAGAGACCGTAGTTAATCATTTCTTTTTCTTCTTTTTCCGACTCTTGTCGCCACTTCTCTGTTTCAATTGGCAACCAAATACAAAAACAAAAAAGAGATTGTTCTTTGTCCGACGGGAATATGGTGACCACGACGATTCACGGGCTTTCCGCCGGTAGTGCCATTGTGAGTTTTTTTTTTTTTCGAGATGTTCGGAATTTCTTGGAATTTTATGGAATAAAGAATTTGAACACGGCTTTTTTTGAATATTTCTGGGAAGTTTGGAGAAAAAAATTATAGCTTTTCCTTTTTTTGTTCGAAGATTTTTTTCAAAAAAATACCTTTAAAAAAATTTTTTTGGAGGAAATCGGTCTTTAATCTTAAATTATCGAAAATTGAGTTGTTTTTTTAGATTTCGTAAGAAAACGGACGATTTTTTTCAAATGCTTTATCGAAGGTACCAAAAAAATTTTTGGAGCGTTTTTTTATTTATTTTAAAAAAATTTATTTAGACAAATTTCCCTGTTTCTCATTTTTGAATTTTTTTGTCTCTTCAAAAAAAGGAATCAAAATCCCGCTTAAGAAACCTGTTTAAGAAACCTGTTTATTGTTTTACAAACGATACACCGAATTCATGAGACTTTTTCAAAATCAAAATAAAATTTCTTTCAGGCAACGGAATTGTTACGGGTTCGCGTTGTCAAAGGTTGGTTTTTTTGAATTTTTTTTTCTGAAATCCAAATAAATATATATTGGAAAAAAATTATTGGGAGGACCTTAAATTCGAAGGCTTTCATATTCAAATTGGTTTTTATAAGGAAGGAGAAAAAAATGAACGATGAAAAAAATGTCTGGGAAAGATAATTTTTGAAATAAAAATTCCTGATTTTTTTACGCTCCATTGAAAAAAACTCTACCTTTCTTTCAAAAATTTTTTCACATTTCAACGAAAGAATAAAATTAGGATTTTTTGATGGTAATTTAATGATAATTCATTGATAAATCAGTGTTTGCCTTAACAAGAATTGTTCTGTTGATTTTGAGAAAAATTGACAATTTCGTTTAGTTATGAATCGCTTTGAAACGCGGCCGACTTGAAACGAGTTGCGCCAATTAGCGTTTCTTAGCCGAGTGATACACTCAAATCCAACCGCAACGCTTTGAGTCATTCCAAATGCGACCATGGCGTTTGAACTTCAAATAAGCGAAGTATCGAACTGTGGAAATATTTATTACATCCCGTTCTGCCCTTTCACTATAGGGACGGCTTTAATCTTTTTCGAATGAGTCAAAATTTTACTCCAACAAAGAAATTGAAATGGAATTTTTGCAGCCGCAAAGCTTGGCAAACGCGATTTATTCGGGGTCGTCTCGCCGTATTGTATCGTTCGGCTGGAAAGTGCCGACGGGACAGTTATCGATGAAGTGACGGTGGAACGCAAAAAGAAGGTTTCGAAATATCATTACTGAGGAATTCGCGAGGAATCCCTATAGGGTTTTGTTGCTTCAGGGACCCCTACTATAGGGGCCATTTGTCGATTAATTTTTCTCTCGACCGTTCTTGCTGGAAAATGTAAAACCACAGGCAAATTTCAATTAGATCTCGAGGCGAAGAGCTGTTTTTAGTATGACTTTAGATCTTGCAAAACTTTAGAAAATACTATTTTACTAATGAACGCCAGAGTGGTCGCTAGAGTGATGGACTTGGGGACTATTGTAGGTTCCCTCAAGCGAACATCTTACTTCCTCTTATAGGGGCACTAAGACTTGCCAAAGCGGCAACTCGAGGGTGTTTAGTTAGTGGCCTCTATAGGGGCGCATGCTAATGGCCTCTATACGTCTTTTTAACTTTCAAAGATCTGAACTAAAAATCGAAAGCCCACTATAGGGACCGCTTTTCTAGCTTCGGGGCCAGACCCTATAGGAACCACCTAAACTTCAGCCCTCTAGGGAGAGCTATTTTGTCCACAATGGGGACTTTTCCCTGACCCTCTAGTGACCACTCTTTTTTATTTATAACATGACGGTTCTAAGTTTCCAGACAAGAAACCCGACGTGGAACACGCTTTTCACGTTTCGCGTCACCCGGGAATGTTCGATCAAAGTGCTGGTTTTCGATGAGAATCGAATTGTGAGTCGGAAATTTTTGAGAAAAATCAGTTTTTTATTGCTTTTCTGAAGTCGAGACGTGAAATTGGTAGTAAATTAAGCGTCGCGACGCCGAGTTGGGACACGTGAAGATCGAATTAGGAAATGGATCGGTGCCAAGTCAGGCTGAAGCTCCCGTCGAATACTCACTTCTCGGCGGAAGACAAAGGTTTTTTATTGATTCTATTGATTTTCCCTGTCCTTAGCATTTTTGACTCGTTTTTCTAATTTCATAGCGTTAAACATTTCAAAATTGATATTCTTTGAAAATTTTTCGATCACTAGCGTGGAAAAAAGGTTTGAAGATGATTCATTTTCCTTCGATTCAAATTTTGAATTGAACTTTTCTCTCAAAAATTAATAATAGAAAAACACTATCAACAATATAATTGAAACATTTAGCAAAAAAAAAATTTCCTGAAAAAAAAATATTTTCAGATATTCTAAGAGAACGAAGCTATTTAGTTTTCAATTTGTAGAAGTGTCTCAAATTTACATGACTTCTCATTCTACCGTAAAATGAGTTCGAAAAAGGAAGAAAAGGATAGTTTCGCGAATTTCATTTGGTTTTTATGTTTTGATAAGGGTTATCAGTTTCTCTTATGACTCCTCAGAGTTTACGCTCAATATGGCAAAAGTTTTAGCGCTTTTTTTTTTCGAAATAAGTCAATTTTCAGCGTTTCAGTGTTTTCTTTTTAATTTTGAAGACAATTCCGTTATTCTCGTGCAAAGTCGGAATGGTGGATAATGGCTGCAAAAAGGGAGAGGCTCAAAAAAGGCCGCAGACAGGCAGCAAAAAGGCAGCGAAAGGCAGCAAAGAGACTCCCTTTATCGAGCCTTCCATTTTTCTGGGATTTTAAAGGCTCGAGAAATGGTGGAGAAAAGGAGAGGCAGCAAAAATGGTGCACAAGGGCTGAGAAAATGGTGCAAAAAGGCAGCAAAAAGAGAGCCTTCATCACCCTAAAAGGAACATTTCTATGGTCTTTTATGGACCCTCGAAGGGTCCTTCCGACTTTGCCTATGTTTTTTGATGATTTATGAAAATTATGCATTAATTTTTAAGAAAAAAAAAATCATGTCTTTCTTTTTTTTTACTGCAAAATTATCCACAATTTTTAAAAAAGTCTCTAAAATCTCACATTTTTAACATTTTTAAAATTTTCAAAATATATATTTACTCTTTTTGAAAAAAAAAAAGTTTTCGTCCCAACCATTTCATGTACAACTATTTTTCTTTCAATAGCAGTTTTCAAACAAGAGATTTCTCCATTTTTCAACAAATCTGTTTTTCAATGGAGCATATATGAAACTTATCAAGGCTTAGTGGAGAAAAGCCAATTTTACGAGACTTTTTCGATCTTTGAAAAATCTTATCTTCGAAGTAATTGTGTGACTTTTACGGTCAATTTTAGAATCATTTTCCGACTTGAAAGGCGAGGGAGGCGGGGCAAGGGGCGGGACGCGTACGCGGTTCTTGGCTCGAGTTCAACCGCCAGCGACTATTGGGAGAGCTCTTTTATCGCTCTTTTCATTTCTTTTTGATAATTATATATTGATTTTTTTTCATGTTTGAATTAAAAAAATTGTAGAATATGAAAAGAGCGGGGTTCGAGATTTTCAAATAGTCGGTGTCGTTTGAATTGAACTCGTGCCAAGGACCGCGTACGCACACGCTACGCGTCCCGCGCACTTTTCCGCCTTCTTTGCCTTTCAAGTCGGGATGGATTGACTATTCCTGCAGAACTCAAAATTTGGACGAAAATTTTTAATTCCCGCGCAAAAGTCACATATCGAGATATATCGTTGTGGGACTCAATTTTTGTAACGACTCTAGAAATTCTAGGAGTTCTAATTCCGCCTATTTTGCGAGATCGTTCTGAATGAATACCTCATCTATTTCGGGATCTCTAAAATTGCTTTGAACACGGTTTTTTACAATCGATCATTTAACCTCTTTTTTGAGTCAATCATATCATTTACTGTCTTTTTTGAAACAGGAATACCGGTTCTCTCTTCCTGGCCCTTCAATTCCTACCGGCCCCCAGTAACAACGACGTTTTGGTGGATTCGGCTGGAAATTCGATCTCGAATTCGGCGGCTGATCTTCAAATGAATCGTCTGGATATTCCTGAAGGTTAGAATCGCTTGAATTTCGAATTCTAAATCATTTAAAAATTTTTATGGTCAAAATGAGAAAAAAATTCGAAATGATTTTTTTTGCGCAAATATTTTTTTGGGTCGCTTTCCTATTTTAACAATGAAATAGCTTATTTAAAGCTTCAAGATGATTAGTTATAGGTTGGGAAGCGAGGGAAGACGCAAATGGAAGAACATATTATGTGAACCATACGTTGAGGACGACTCAGTGGGAATGTCCGACTACAACTCAGTTGTAAGTTCATAATCCTTTTTTGAGCTAGAGTAGCTAGATGAAAAATCTCAAAATATAAACAAAAAACGATAAAATTGATTAAAAAATGTGATCAGAATGAGATGTTGTTTTTTTTCTTTTTTATTCTCTCTTGTTGAAATTTTCTGTGACAAGGATCTTGAGGAAGATAATTTTACTTTGCGGTTCCGGATTTCCCTGAAAAATGTTCAGTACATCCGTGATGTCCCAGAAGTAGTTTCTGAAAGTCTCAATTTGCAAAAATTCATAGTTTTCGAAAAAAAAAAAAAGCCTCCAAATTTAAAGAAACCCTTAAAATCCGGACTTTCAGCTTTAATTTCTCGGAAACTAGGAAGTTGTGCAGGTTGAAACGTTCAGAATCTACTTTTGGTGCAACAAGGAACGTTCTAGTTGATTAACATGATATTTCCAAGTGCGAAGTGGAACGACCTCCCTTGTGAGGAAAGGACTAATATTCGATTTGAGAGGAAACGAAGAGACGGAGCTGGAAAGACGCCGGCAAAGAGATAATTATGAGCACAGAAGCCAAGTGACGGACAATAGCCCCGACACTGTTGTCCGCAGTCATTTACATGCGGTTTGTTTCAATCATTTCAATCAATCATTTAGTAAAATCGCCGACATTGTTCGAATCTCGCCTTAAAAAAGAAATTCCAAATTTTTTGAAGGATCATCAACAATTTGCACAAAAACTCGAGGCGATGATCATTTTGAGAATTGTTTCAAGTTTTGGAAAAAAATTTTTCGAATTATAAGGGAAATTAGATTTAGTAGTAAGTTTTTCTTGACAAACTATTTAAAGGTTTAAAATTGAAAAAAAGTCCTTATTTTTAAAAAAAGTTTGTTATTTCACCATAAGTTCAAATGTCTTCCTTTTGAAGACAATTTCAAACGCCGATTCCTGTTTTTATCGCGGAATTGATATTCAATTCGGAAAACGAATCCCTGTGAAATTCATTTTCTAGAAGAAAGTTCATTTCAAATTGATTTTTGGGATAGGGAGAGTCCTCATTTTTTTTTCTCAGAATGTTATTTGAAAATCATTTTATTTTTCTTTCGGCTCCAAAAGAAAAGTTGATGTTTTGAAGTTTTCATGCAGTGTTCAAAGAAATTTCCTCTAAATGCAAAGTTATTTTGGCTCTCCGAAATTTAATTATCGTTTTTTTTCTCTGATGGATATTTTGAATTCCGCGAAATCATTTCGAACACGGCATAATGGGCAACTTTCTTTGGCTGCCTGAATATAGTCTGTTCAGATTTCAAATGTCGAGTCCTAGTTGAAGCTCCGCCCCCTAATGGCGCGATAAACCAATCAGAGAGCGAGCCATCCACAGAGCGTTTTCGAATGACGTCATTCTACTTGACATTCAAAATCTGAACAGACTATATACTATATATTGCGACTTGAACTTTTTAATTTTCGGTGAAAGAATTTTGAAAACTTTGGAAGAAAGTGCATTGAAAGTACTATTTTGAGCTTATTAAGTCAACTTTTTTTTTCTCAGAAACCATTAAAAATTGCAAATAAAATAGTCTTCATGAGTTATTTGCTGCGTGGATTTCAAAGAAGGTGGAAAAATTCAGGCTTGATTTTTTATCCGTATTTCAGTTCAAACTTCAATAATTTATTTGAAGCTTCGAAAAACCGCGAAAAATTGGAAATACGCGAATATATACATTTTAATGAAAGAATTGCTCAATAAATATTGAAGAAGGTGAAAAAATTTGAGCTTAACCTTTTTTTTTCGCCTTTGAAGGGGTTCTTTTTATGATTATTCATTTTTCAGTTTTCACAAAAAGTTGGAAAATTGTCGAAACGATTTCGTTTTTATTGACTTTTAATGTGTTCCTCATCTTCTTTTTTTGCTTCGTACGGAACGAAATCGACCTCCGCCTGATTGTTCAAATATTTGTCAATAATTTCTGTTGACTGGGAGCGCTTACAGAGTTTTTCACTCTCTTTCTTTTTTCTGCCGATTTTTTGGAGAATTTGACGGCAAATAAACGTTGAAAACTGGTGTTCCCAGCTTTTGTCCGTGTTTTTCTCCGTCATTTCTAGCGGTTGTAGTTTTATTCGCTTCTGAAACATATTGACGTTTCAGCTTTTTTCGAACTTCGGTAGAGTTTTTGAATAGACGTTCAGATGTTTTTGTTTTAATAAAAAATGTGAATGGGCTATACAATTGTTTTTACATGTTTTTTGAAGATTGACGACGGGATGCGGGCCAACTTCGAAGGAGATCACGCGGCTGAAGAAGAAGACGAAGATGATCGATTGCCTGAAGGATGGGACATGCAGGTGAGAATTACCTTTAATTAAACTGACGAATATTGTTTTTGCTGGTTCTGTTTATTGATTTCCTAGTGTGATTTTTTTATTGCTGACACTTCCGAGTATGTTCGATTTCTTTGAATTTTCGATAGCTTCAGCTCAAATTTTGAAAAGCATCCTTTTTCAAGAGTCGTACTTTGGAAAATTAGAGAGGGTTAGAAAATTAGAGGGATTTTTTTTCTCACCACGCTTTTGTTCACCAACGTTATGGGGCATCCTCGAAGTGGAACAATGAGGAGACTAAATCTACCAGTTGTTCACGTACAGGGGACTTTCCTCCTACTGGCATGCCTAAAGGCAGAACAATTACTGAACTCAGTAATACGCGGGAGCTAAGCAAAAAATACACCAAAAATATCGGAAACTTAGTTACCAACCTAAGGTTTTGGTCTCTTGCAGAACAAGAAAAGATGGCCCTAAAGGGGAACCTTTATCGGCTTCTTAGTTTGCCCCTGTAGGAACCACAGTGCCGATCCTAAGTAGAGTATTCCGATGAATTGGTAGCTGGTTCTGGGTTTCGTGAACCGTTCAACCTTCATGGGGTTTTTTAGATTAGAGCTCTGAAAATTTTGAAATTTCCATGCTCCTTCCAATCGAAAGAGAGGATGCAGACATTTTTGTTGACTTTATCAGGTCGCTCCAAACGGAAGGATATTTTTCATCGACCATCACACCAAAACGACGACCTGGACGGATCCGAGAACTGGAATCGCGGCCAGGATTCGCGGCAAAACCGACGATGAGATCGGCGCCTTGCCTCCCGGATGGGAACAGAGGGTAATTTTTGAGATTACTTTGAGAAAGTTCATTGGAAAGGCCATGAACTCGATACAGGGAAGTTAGGTAGAGCCGATTAGGGACGTTGTTTTTTCTTGACTTTGACTGGATTCCTCGCATTTTTTGAAAATAAAATGAGTTTTTTTAAAAAAAAGTTTTCTTTCACTTTTCGTCTTTGAAAGAATATTTGATTACTTGAATTAAAAATTAATTTTTCTTTCAATTAAATTTATCTTCTTTTCTTTAGGTCCACAACGACGGCCGGGTATTTTTCATTGATCACAACCGGAGAAGAACCCAATGGGAAGATCCTCGATTCGAGAATGAAAGTATTGCCGGCCCGGCGATACCTTATTCCAGAGATTTCAAAAGAAAGGTCGTTTTTCAAACTTTTTTTTTAAAAAACAAATAATTTCCAGGTCGAATATTTCCGTTCCAAGCTTCCCAAGGCGAGTTCCAATGGGAAATGCGATTTGGTCGTCCATCGAGAGTCTCTTTTCGAGGATTCTTACCGACAAATTATGGACAAGGTGATTTGATTAGCCGCACTGGGAATGGATCGAAGTGTTGCGGTTAACTTGAAATAAAAAAAAAATTTTTCGGGCATGGAAGAAGGTTTTTTCGGTTCGGAGGGTATTGAAAACGGTTATTTTTGAGTTTTAAAAAGTTTTTGGAGAGTTTTTCAGGTTTCAGTATTTTTTTTTTTCGCAGTTAGAAAACTGAAAAAACAACCTGAAGATTCTAGAGATCAAGCTCAATTTTGAACGCGATCGTGACGCTTTGAGACATTCCAAATGCGATCATAGATTCTCGGAATCATTTTATCTCTTTTAGAACCCCCAAGAACTGCGAAACAAACTTTGGATCGAATTTTTCGGCGAAACGGGTCTGGACTACGGTGGCGTCACTCGGGAATGGTTTTTCCTTCTCTCGCATCAGATTTTCAACCCCTATTATGGGCTTTTCGAGTATTCCGCCACGTTAGTATTTATTTTTAATCTTTTGAACCGGAAGAAAATTTTGATTTGAATATGAGTTTGCAAAGATTCAAAGGGATTCCGCAAAATTCAAAATAGACGACATAGAACGAAAAATATAACCAAATTATGGAGAGTCGTTGGTACGATTTTATCTAAAGTCCGCAAATCTTCGGAGCCGTTATCTCAGAGTACAGTAATCTCATAATCTCCGAATTCTTTTATCTCCGAAAACAAAAAACCTCAATTTTTTCTCTTTTTTGCATTTTTCTGATTTTTTTTCGTGTCTTGCTCAGAAAACAATTTCCGATCGAAAATGTCTACTAAAGCCAAAATTTTTCGTGTTTCAAATTTTTTAATTCACAAAATAAAAATCGAGATTTAATTATTTTTGAAAGTTTCTAATACGAGTTTAACAGCTTTTTATGACTTTTTTTCCCACTAGATTTTTGCTCAAAACTATTTTTTTGGTATTTTCTTGGAGTCGTAAGAATAAAAAAAAAGATATTTAGGGACAACTACACCCTACAAATCAACCCACACTCGGAAGCTTGCAACCCCGAACATTTGTCCTATTTTTACTTTATAGGAAAAGTAATCGGAATGGCGGTTTATCATGGAAAGTTGCTCGACGGTGAGGACCCCAAAAGTGGAAATCGAACATTTTCCAAGGATTTCAGCTTTTTTCATCCGACCTTTCTACAAAATGGTTCTCGGCAAGAAAATCACGCTCTTCGACATGGAATCTGTCGACAATGCTTATTATAATTCCCTGATTTTTGTCAAAGATAATGACCCGGAAAGCTTGGAATTGACTTTTTCCGTTGATGAAAACGTTTTTGGAGAGGTGTGGTTTGCGGAAATTCATTGACAGTTGTTCATAACTAACCTAGAACGACTGTTCAAGGGTTGACCCTCCCAGGGGTCACTTAAGGTTTCATTCTAGGGACTATTTGAGCCGGAACAGAGCAAAGATCTTCACTCTAGTGAATACTTGCGCCTCTCTAGTGATCACTTAGGGGTATTGACGGGAAAGTGAAAATTTTTACTTTAGTGACTACTTTGCCCTCTCTAATAATCTTGAAAGAAGGATAAAAATTCCAAACTTTGAAGCGATATTCAATGAATATATTAATTCAGACTCAATCTGTTGATCTGAAACCGGGCGGGTCGGAAATCGCGGTCACCGAAGAGAACAAGGAAGATTACATCAGCGCCGTCGTGAATTGGCGGTTCGTCAAGCGTGTCGAGCCGCAAATGGAGCAGATTCTGAGGGGATTGCACGAGGTTCGTCGAAATGTCTTCTCTAGAAATGAACTCGTAGATCTTACAAAAAAGGAGCTGGATAAAGCCGACAAAAGTAGTTTCGAATTTATCCGAAAAGTTGAAAAGAAAAGCGCGCCCGACCTTGAGCTACTTGCGCGCTTGAGCGTCATCTTTAAAATGTTTCTTTTTAAGAGTGAATAATGAATTCATCTTGAGCATTCATTTGTAAAGATCCAGGCTAATTTCATGGTTTTTCTGTGAATGAAGATGCAATGCTCACGATCGTATTTGGAATGGCTCGACGCAAAGTTGCGTCGTAAGGGGAAGGTGGCTTGAGCGCGCCCGACCCGAAACTCCTTGCGCACTTTTTGAACAATTTTCTAGTCGAGACAATTGAAGTTTTGAAAGAGCCTTCTTCCTTTTTATTATTCAGAAAACAAATTGTTGCTGTGAAAACATTTATTTTTTTTTTCTTGGTGGATTACAAATCCAAAGCTTTCCAGGTCGTCCCATCCAATCTTCTCACGATTTTCGACGCCAATGAGCTCGAATTGCTAATGTGCGGACTGCAAAAGATTGACGTCAAAGATTGGAAGGCGAATACTGTCTACAAGGGCGGATATGGACCCAGTAGCCAGGTAAAATAATGCATTATTGAAGGTATACGGGAGGTCGAAGTTTGAATCAAAATGTTTCACTTTTCATACAAAAACATTGAATCGACGTTTAGATTCATTTAGAACACGCGATAAAACTGTTCACTGTAAGCCCGAATATCTACTTGAAATTCAACAAAACTTGCTATTTTGAGAAAAACGGGTTCGATGAGGAAAATTCAAAGATTCCTCTTGCCGGTGTATGCAGACTGCGCGGTTTTAAATAAAACTCGCATTCATTATTTTCATGAACACCAATACAAAGCGTTTAATGAAAGTTTTTCTCGAAAAATAATTTTTTTGTTGAGATTTCAATCTCTTATTTAGGACTTCCACGGCGAGCTTTGTCTGAAAATATTTCCAAATTTATCCGCTTTACACTCAAAATAACGCTGCGTAAACGTTCCCTTTAGAATTTTTTTTTGAACACTCTTCTCATCTCTTTTTCCTAGGTAATCCACAACTTCTGGAAGTGCATCCTGTCGTTTGACAACGAGATGCGCGCCAGAGTCCTGCAATTCGTGTCGGGGACCTCTAGAGTGCCGATGAACGGCTTCAGAGAACTCTACGGATCGAATGGACCCCAGAAGTTCACGATCGAACGCTGGGGAAGTCCCGACATGCTTCCGAGAGCCCACACTTGGTAATATTCTTCTCCTTTTTGGTTTGGGCGACGGCCCGGCCCGGAACTCATTTTTCGCGAAAAAGCTCGAGTTTCGAATGTTTTTCAAGCTTATACAGAGGAAGTACCTGTTTTCGAGAGAGAGAACCATCAAATTTCAGTTTCAACCGGCTCGATTTACCTCCGTACCCGACGTTCCAGGAGCTCAAGGGCAAACTAATAACCGCCATCGAAAATGCCGAGATTTTCAGTGGAGTCGATTAATTCCCCCTCCTCAATCATCATTTCGATACGATTTTCTGTGCATTTATCCGCATTTTTATCGCCTTGTACATTTGTTTTTTTCTGTTCCGTTCTTTCGTCGCCCTGTGCTAATGCTCACTAAATGCCATTCGTTTTTTTTTCTGTTTTTCTTGTTTCAAGTAGAAATTTGCCCCATACAGCTGTGATCCCTTATTTCTCGTTGATTTTTTTTTCAATGTGTTTTTAGATTTTTATGAATTTTATTTTTTCCCTTTTTTCAGGTTCTACCTTTTTCCCGTTTTGTTCGTGCTGATCTCTTTTTGCTGGTAGTTATAGTGTTTCTCTCCATTTTTCCTTGTCGTTTAATACATTTTGGCTTTTTTGGTATTAAAATTTTCCTTGGGGTTCAAGAAGTAGCCCTTTGATTCTTCTTTTTGTGATTTTTTTTTTGGCCGGGCAGATTCGATTTTTCGGCTTTTCAGTGTTATTTGGATGGATTTTCGAGAGAATAGTTTAATACATTTTGGCTGTTATTATATGATTTTTGCTATTTTCGAAAAAGGAATTTTTATTTGAAAGCAATTAAATTTTTTTCAATCGATTTTCAGTGATAAAATGAAATTTGTAACGCTTTTTTTATGAAATTAGTGATGATTATATGATTTTTTTAAAAAGGTTAGTTGATCTTTTTCTGATAAAAAAATAAGGGTTTTTCAAAAAGGAAGAAAACGTTCAAATTATCTTTGGCAGAAATTAGGGCTCTAGAAATGATCAGGAAATCTATTTTTATTGAAAATCACTTTCAAAATAGGTCAAAACCGATTTCAAGATTGAAAAAGACCGATAAAAATATTTCAGTTGAAGTTTATAACGATTTTCGAGAAATAGCGTAAATTTAGCTCTTTTTGAGAGAAGTTTCAGGCTTTGAAGGAATATTATACACTGTATTCATTATTGCGATTATTGAAAGTTTGAAAACTTCATTTTCTAGAAATTCCTTGAAAAATGACGAAACTCGCCCTCTAGAGACCCCTCAAAAAGCTGATCCATCTCAATAACAAAGGCCTTTTTTCGATTCTTTTTTCTTTTTTCCTACTTTCGAATGGACTCTGCGGTGGCACTTGTGATTTATTTCCTTCTCTACGTTACGAATGAATAATTGCTCCAATAAAAAGCGGTCTATTACCACTATAAGCTTGGCAAGTGAAAGAAGAACAAGAACTTTCATCGCCTCAGTTTTTCTTTCGCCTTTTCCAACGCCAATTATGATCCGATGCGTAGATTTTCCCATAAGAAGCCTTGTTTGGATGGGAAGCAAGAACCGAAAGTGAAAATATAGATGAGATATCGTTCATTCCGGCCTTTTCTTGGTTCCCGAACTAGTTTTGGCGCCCATTGTAGTTCTAGGAACTCTGAGAAACTCGAAATCGAGTGATGCAGATTTAGAAAATGATGAAGAATGTACGAAAAACTGATAAAAACTTTTAAAAACTTGTTTTTGCCAAATTTTGTGCTATTTGATTCTGAAAACGGCAACCGATTCTAATCTTTATTCTTTATTTATGAAAGATTTTTTCAAAAAAAACTTCCCTAAGAAGTTTAAAAGAGCATGGACAAATTTCATAAAGTTTTCGAGGCGAAAAGCCTTTCTCAGTGTTGTCTTAAGCTTTCGGAAGTCCTCTGCATCTTTAAAAACACATTTGAAACGTTTAAAAGTATCAAGAAGTCAATTGAACATTTAAGTTAGCTGAATATGCTTTAAAAACATGCTGACTTCGACATTCTTCACTGCTAGAGAAAATCGGTTAAGTGAAAATATCATGAAACTCCAGGATCCCTTAAAAAAAAAATAAAAAACTAGCCTCAATTATTTTTTTTTTCAATTTCGGCCTCGGTTCCATTGAAAAACCTTATCGAGACTTGTAAAAGAGTGGACGTCTGAACATGAAAGAAAAAGATAAAAAGAATTTAAAAAAACTTTTTCTTTCATTGTCCCTCAAGAAGGCACTCAAGTGATTTTATATTTACCCACGGAGCGCCTTTTGACGTGTTCCAAGATTTTTTTCAATTTTATCCCACTTTTCAATTTTTTCTCGAGTTATTTTTTAATGCTTTTTCTTATCCAAAATAGCTCAATTCTACTTTTCTTTTTCACCTGACCTTTGATATATGGCTTGAGCGTGAGGATCACGTTACGTTTTACAATCGGCCACCGAACAGTTGCTCTTCGCCTCGGAACATTTTTCTTTTCTCGATTTTGATGCGTGAGTCAGCTTGTCTTTTGTTTCCTTGTGTTGCTGTTTCGAAGTGTTTGTTATCGCGAATTTTAAATGGTTTCTAATTTCAAATACCCCTGTTATGGTTCATTTTTTGGAGGCGACTAAAGTTTTGAAAACTCTTTTGTACCTTTTTATATAAATGGCTGATTCTTTGATAAAGTAGATGAAAAACGTTATTTTTTGATTAATTTTCAATTTTAAGATCTCTTTCATTTCGTTTTTTGATAACCTGGACATTTGGACAGGTTTCATGGTTTTTAATTCAATTTTTGGGGAATATTTTCAGAAAAAAAGCTGAGACGGTAATTTCTTATATATTTTTGAGGCTTTAGCAATATTTTCCAGGGTGAAAAGGCCTTGGGTAAAGTTCAAAATAGTCGCTAAAATTTTTTCTTTCTTTCCAAAAGTTCTTTCGTATCAAAAAAAAATCTCTCTTCGCTAAAAATGCATTTCTTTTTTCGTTACTAGGAATGTCAACCTTGCCTTTTTTCTGGCCAACAAAAAAAGAAACTTCCGTTTCGCCTCTCTTTCTCGACCTCAAAATTTACTTCGCCGCCTTCTCCCTAACGAGCCAAGGACGTTGGCGATTTATCTTTTTTCCTTGGAAGCGAAAGGAAAATGGCCGCCTCCCCTCTACTTATACTCAACTCGAGGAGAAGTGTGGGTAGTCGAGCAGACGGCCGTCGAAAAGAGACTAATTTTGGGCGGTTGAGTGAGATGCCAGCCACATGGTCACTGGTTCAATGGGCCGGAATGGTCAGAAGTTTTGCGTTTTTTTTTCTTTTCTATTTGAGGATTACGGTAGTCTTGGATACTTATTTCAGAATCTTGGAAAACAACTTTTCAATCCTTTTTATGTTTTGTCTTCTGAAATTTTCGTTTTTGGTGCGTCTTTAAGGACTATTTTTCTAACTTTGGAAGCCTAACTTATTGTGGAAGCATTTCTGAAGTATGAAGAAAGTTTTAAGATTTTTTTTATTACTCTAGTCTTAAACACTTTATTTAAAACCTTGAAAATCACCTTTTAAGTTTGTTATTTTTAGTCTTCTGGATTTTTTTTTCTTCGTTTTTTCCAATTTTTTTTTTTGAAGTTTTAATGAAGGAACAAGCTACGAAGTGGGTTTTTAGAAGATTAGCGAAACAGTGTGTGATAACGAATAAATTCTAATGATCAGTTCTATCGGTGCTTCTCGTCTCGAGAAATTCTTTAAAATTGTCCGTGATTATCTTAGCAAGCATTTTCGAATGGACTATTTGAACTTCTTCTGAAACATTTTCGATCCATGTAACGCTATTTTTAGCCAATGTATAACGGCATAACCGACGGAAAAAGCGGCCATTGTCGGGGGCGAATTTCAAACAAAACCGACGACGACGTTTTGGAAGCTTCGAAACGGCCCTTGGTAGCCGACAAGAGTGCACTGAAGAGTCCTTTTCCGCAGAGCGGCCAGTGTTGGGTGTTCCTTGCCTTTTTCTCACGCCGCTTCCAAGCTCCCTCCCGATTTCCCGTGCTCTCTCGTCGGTCTGAACGCCGTCTCCTCTGTCTATCGGTCATCTCTGCCCCCTCTCGCCCCTCCGCCACCAGGCGTTTCGGATGGTGGACAAACCCGCCACCAACCGGCGACCCATACGCTCTTCTCTCACTCATTTTTAGGTTCTTCTCCTGCTTTTTTCCTCCTATTCCTTGTTTTGATGAGTTCTGAACTTGAAGATGATGATCTACAGATTGCTTCTTGTCGAAATGAGTTTTTTTCAAGTCGAAATTTCTTCTAAATTTTAAAAATTTATCTCCAATCATTTTTTTTGGCAAGTGATTTATCATAGCCAAATTCGCATATTTTAAATTAGAAATACTTATTTTCCGATTTTAATCCTTTTTTTTCCTTCTTGTAGTTTTGTGGTTAGTTTTGCACTTGAAGATGACCTTCTACTGAGTACTTCTAGAATTTTTCAAGATTTCTGACGTTTTTCGTTCATTTATCACTTTTTTTTTTAGACTTTCACTCTTTTTTTGCAGTTTAGAAAGCTCTGGCTATGAAAATGATCATCTACATGTTGCTTCTGACAATTTTCAAACTTTTCATTCACATTTTTCTATTTTCATTGTTTAGGTTTTCATTATTTATTTTCCTTAACTTTTTGGAAATTTGAAAAAAACCCTTCTTTTATTTGAATAATAACTTTCTTATCAAAAAAATGTTTTTTTATTTCGATAAAAAAAGTCATGTGGGTGTCACATAAACCATTATATAGGACCATATTGAAAAAAATACGGGCTTGAGAATGGAAAAAAATTTCCTTTCAAACTTTTTTTGAATTTTTCCTTTCCGGTGACTTTTTCTTTCAACTTTTCGTCTTAAAAAAATAAAAAAAGAGGTATTCAATAATTTATTTTTGGACGGGAAGCTATTATTCTACTAACTTCTTGAAGCTGAGAACTGAGCTTCAAAAATAATTAGTTTTTAATGAATTTACCATCAAGCTTCGAAACTGATTTAAAAAAAGGTTGTTCAAAAAAATATTTTGCCTTTTTCAAATATTTCTCTTTCGCACCAAAAAAAGTAAAATCACTTATCGTTCCACGAAGACTGAGAGAACCGAGCCGTAAATTTCGTACGAAAGAAATTTCTAAAAAAGACTATAACGGGCCGCTCTTTTCTCATCTTTTATGCATCCATAAAAGATATATTCTCCACTTTTTCTCGTTTTGATGATATTCTAAGCGTTCTTCAGTGTACCACTCTAAACTTTCTTGGATTTGTTTGGAATGTTCTCAAATTTCTGCCAGGCTTGGATTTCACCCAATTTAAAGTGTAAATGAAATCGGGTTCGAAAGAGTTCCATTTGGAAAGAAGAATGAGAAAATTTGATTGTTTTTCTCCGGCCACCAGTTCTTCATCCATTCTGAATATTCAATTATTTATCTGTTTCATAGCGCTTCTCTTCCCTCAAAATTTCGTACTAGTATTTGCCAGAAAACTTTCGAGTGGACTTTAAGAATCAGGTAAATGAAAAACATTGCAAACACAAAAACCCACTGAGCAAATAGAAAAAGTCGGCGGCCTGTACGGTTTGCGCTTGACCAATAAAAAAAGCTTTTGCCTGGCCTCCAAATGTTCGAAAAACACGAAAAAGGTATTTTTCTGCATTTTTAGGCTACAGTGTACTGGAGGGTTGCGTACACCATGCACAGAACACGTTTTATTTCACGCCACTTTCTTGATTTGCACTATTTTCCTCTAAAAACGATTTTTATCGTTTTTCGCCTTCATAATTGGACAGAAAGTTGTTAACCTTGTTAAATCGTTTTCGTGTGTTTTTCTTTAACCTCTCGGCCCGTTTTATTCTGGCCGAACTGTTATCGCCCTCAATTTTTCCTCCGTCGCCTTTTTCCAAGAAGTTTTCTCCGTTTCACTGACCTCATAATCATAAGAAAACTTGATTTTTTTTTCCAGGGGACATAGATAAAAGAAAAAATTTTCACTTGTCTCATATTTTCTGTTTCTTCTTGAGGAATTAGGCGCAGACTTATTATGCGCCTTTTGGGGTTTTTGATTCAGGGCTGACAGCTTGAACTCGAATTTTCTTGACAGGTGCCAATGGGCAGAAATTTGAGCCCCATCAACACATTTTCAACGCTGGGCTTGGAGCGTGGAGTATTTATGATGTACTTTCGAAGTCTTACGTATTATAGTGATTTATTTTTGTCTCAAGTTTTTGGTATACATATTTTTTTCGTTGTTTTTTTCCCTCAAAACTTGTGATTTCTGAGAAGAATATTAAAAAAATGGAAGAACTCTCATTTTCTGTGTTTTTTTGTTACTTTTTTTCACAATTTTTTTCGGTTATTAGCCTTTATTGAATATTTTCAATTATACGGGAAATATTTTCAACAGGCGAAATCTCTGAAAAAAATGCTCTAAAATGGCCAATCTTTGTGAGAAATCTATTGAATTGCTTTTGTTCTTGAAGAGTAACGGAAAAATGTTATTTTTGAAAATTGCCTAATTTTCAACTGTTTCTCATGATTATCTTAAATAATTATTTAAAGAAAAGTTCAAAACCTCAAATGTATCATATTTCTAACAAAAAACTGTCTTCCCACCTGCTCTGACTCACGAATGTTTATCTCGATTTTCACTGCCTTTGTTGGCTTTTTTTCGCTCTCTTTTCGTACAACTTGAAGCTTTCGGAGCCGATAATTCGTTTTGATACTCGTCGGAAAATGTATTCTGAATGGATTCTGGGGAAGGCAAGGCGATGATGACGGCCGTCTGACCTCCTTTCTTTCCCGCCGGCCATTTTCCGCCCTTTTTCTTCGTTCGCCACTGATTTTCACAATCGCTTTTCCGTTTTCTTATCATCGGTCTATGATTTTAGGTTTTTCGTGGGTTTTAAAGTGGGCCTTGAGAAAGCTAGTTTTTTCGCAGTTTCTGAGGCTTGAGAACGCAGCATTTTTAACGGCACCTTGATATTGGAAAATATAAAAAAAAAGAAACTTTTTATTTGATTTTGACGGTTTTAAATAGTTTTATATTGGTTGCATTGAAAAAAAGGTAGAGTATTGAAGTTTAGGATGCTCTTTTTTTCAATTTGGTTTTTTTCTTTAAAAATTTGGTTCTCCACGTCTCCTTTATGTACACAGAAAAAGTTTTTTTTTTCTTCAATAATCCCTTTTTTCGCATTTCAATCAGTTCCGGCCACCTTCTTGAACATACGTTTTATCAATTCCAGCTTGTTTCTCTAATCGTTTCCTCAAATTTTTACGATTTCCGCGGTTTTTTGAAACTTCAAACGGAAAATCTTCAAAGAAAGCTCAATTTTTTCAGGCCCAGAGAAATATTCGAATGAAAGCGGGCTACGAACCTTGGCCAGTGCTAAACTTCCATTAGAACCTCGGGTGATTTCTAATTTTCTTTTTTTTGACTTCGAAAAAAAAGTTGAAATAATATTCTCACACATTTTTGCCACATGTTGGGAGGTCTATTAAAACTGCCTTTTTTCCCAATTTTCCGTTTTCTAATGGAAAAAACATGTGGAGTTTTTGATAGCTTTTCCTATGCATTGAAATTGGAATCTTTTGATTTTTGTTCAACTGTTGGAAGACCTTCCTTTTTTTTTTGAATTTTGGAAGCCTGTTTTGTTGTAAATCGGGAACAGGAATCTGAAGTTGACCTTAAAATATGAAGGTTATTGAGATTTTATGAGAAAAAAAATGTTTTGACTGCGAATAGTTGAAAGAAAAATTGATTTACAAAAGCTTCACAATGAGAAAGTTGGCGATGAATTCTCAAAAAGCAGATAATTTTCATAATTTGTTCGTTAATGAAATAATTTTCTTCTCTGAAAGAGAGCTAAATGGAATAAAATCGACGCCTCCTTGCCAGTTTTCCATGAATATGAACTTGTTTTGCAGTAGCACACCGGTAGGACGAGCAACGGGCCGGAATGGGGTGCATGTTCTCGAAAGAACGCCGCTCGGGCGGCTCGGAGCACGGGAGCGGCGTCGGCGGCGGCGCGACCGAGAGAATCGACGTGACCCGGTTCAACATGCCCCAGCAGACCGTCTACCACGTCAACCCCAGCGGCGACATCGGAATCCCGATGGGCGGTCCTGCCGCGGGCGACAGTCTGAACAGTCGTCAGCAGAACGGTGAGCAGAACGAGAATGATCCTGGGAACAAGGGAATGGAAGAAATTGAGGTGTTGTAGAGAAATTCAAAAGGAAAGAGGAAAATTTTTAGGAATAAAAATGAAAAATATGGAATAATAAAGAAGTTTTTTTTGTTGGTGTGGGAAAATGGAATAAAAAAATATAAATTTGAAGGACTGAAAATTATGGAAACCGAAAGAAAATTTTAAAAAGTTTTTTTTGTCATCGGACTATGTGCCAAGGTTCCGAATAGTAGTTTAAGAAAAATAGTCGTTTAAAGTAGTATTGCCGAGAACTTTTTGATTAACGAAACAAGGGGAAGCTTGGACTGTCGGTAGCAGAATAAAGTTCGAAAATAGGGAGAAAAAAGTAATAAATGGATGATTTTTTCCAGAAAAGGACGTCTTGGTCGCCTTGTATGCCTACGATTCTCGCGCGGATGGCGATTTGAGCTTCCAGAAAGGCGACGTCATGTATCTTCTCGACCACACGTTCGTATTTTCTTCATTCATTTTATTCACGAGTAATAAATTGAAATTTAAGTTTTTGACCGTAAAAAATCAATTGTAATAGTGATTTTGAGATCGAAAAAAACATTAGTCGAAAAAAATATATGGAAGTACTGTGCATTTTTCAACGGCATCATAATTTAGCTATTTTAGGTTCTTTTGATACAAGAAAGTGAATTTTTATTCCTCGTTATATTTTTTTTATATCGATTCCAATTTTCCGCGATTTTTGTTCTTAAAAATGTTAGAAAAAGTTAGGTTTTCGTTCGTTAAAAAGTTAACATTTGAATGTGTAATTCAAAAAAATACGACTTTTTTAATCGCAGGCTGTGTTCAAAGTAATTTCGGCGAAATGCAAAATTATCTCTGAATCTCCTAAATTTGTTTTATTTTCCGTTCCCTGACGGCTATTCTGAATTTTGCGGAATCCCTTTGAACACGGCATAGCTTTCTATCCATAATGCTTGAAGGGAAACGAGAAGTTTTATCTTTTTTTCCTGTTAAAACCTCTAAAACAAAAAAAGTGATAATCACAATATTCGGAAAAAAGATTTTATCCTCGAATTAACCGAATGAAGCATTATAAAAATTAACTTACCAGTTTTCCACGATTATTATTCAGAAACTGCGATTGGTGGTACGTCAGACATCAAAAGTCGGGTTCGACGGGTTACGTGCCTCGGAATTTCGTCGCCAAGCAGCAGACGATCGAGAGCGAAGAGTTGGTTTCATTATTATTGCCTCGAAACTCATCGACAACCGAAAAGAAATATAAAAAGGCTTTCAAAGGGATTCAAAAATAGTTACTTCATGTTTTAACTTATTTTATAATTTTTTTTAAAAATCGATTTTTTTGATTTTTTTAAAAATTTGCATAGAGTTCTTCAAAAATCCCTGAAAAATCCAATCACACGTTACGGATTAGAACTATCATTTTAAAACGTTCTACCGAAAACTAATAAAATTCAAACTTTTCAGATGGTACGCCGGAAAAATCCCGAGAAATCGGGCCGAACGTCTCGTTTTGTCGTCGAATTTGCCGAAAGGAACCTTTTTGATCAGAGAAAGAGAGGCGGATGGACGGGAATTCGCCCTGACGATCAGGGATTCCGACGATCCCCGGGGCGGAGGTCCCTTTTTCATTTTGGAAACAAACCGGCTAAATATTTACTCAAGAAGAATAGAATGTTTGAAAATCACGAAAGCGTATAAGTTAAACTGGAAATTGAATCGTTTTTTTTTCCAGAAACACCAGTAAGACTTTACTCTCAAAGATAACTTCAAACTATTTCGGGAATTCGAAAGAAAAAAATTAAATTTTTTTCATCAAATTGTTTTTTTCTTGAATTCTCTCATCAAATATGTGAATTTATAGGTTCGGTCAAGCACTACAAGATCAAGCGACTCGACCATGACCAAGGATTCTTCATCACGACGAGAAGAACTTTCAGAACTCTGCAGGAACTCGTCCGGTACTATTCTGGTGGGTTCTTTCAAATATAAACTTCATTTTTTTCCAACAAAAATTTTGAAAAATCATCTTTTTTTTATGTGACTTAATTACTTTTTGAGCTATTTTCATTCATTATTCCCAGAGATTTTTGGAAAAAGAAACGAAATTGAACGCTTATCAAGCAAGAAATGTCGTAAATTTTTTCCTTAAACTTTAGAATTGCGATTATTAGCTCGATTTTTTTCAACTTAAAAAATGTAACCATGGTTATTCAGTTTCAGTGATTTTAATACTTAAAAAACTGAAATCGAACTCTTTCAGACATTGCCGACGGCCTCTGCTGCCAGCTGACGTTCCCGGCGCCGCGTCTGGCGCCAACTCGACCCGATTTGTCGCACGACACCCAGCAGAACTGGGAGATCCCCCGAAATCAACTCCATCTGAAGAGAAAACTCGGCGATGGCAATTTCGGCGAAGTTTGGTACGGAAAGTGGCGGGGAATCGTCGAAGTCGCCATCAAGACCATGAAGCCCGGAACCATGTCCCCCGAAGCCTTCTTGCAGTTCGTTTCAGAGTTTTTGCCTGGGCATGAAGAAATTATGAGGAAGGAATTCATCAATCTTGAGTTTAGAAGAAGTTTAATAAGCGCCTTGAACTTTCATAAAAAAAGAAATGAAATTTTTTTTCAAGGATAAATTGATAAAAAAATTGGCCGTAAAACTATAATTTCATGTTAAAGGGCGTAAATTTGAATTGACAGAATGTTTCTTCAGCTGTTGATTAAAAAAAAAAACAAATGAGCGATGGCCAAGTTTTAATTGTAATGGAACACAATTCTGATTCTCTGCTTTTCATATGCTACTTATCGTGTCTTGTGAAAAACGTTCTTTTCTTTTTGGATTGAATAGGCTTAAACGTTGAAATAAAAAAACATCCAAAATAGTCATGGAAATCAAACTTTTCTTCTTTTTCGAAGACATTGAAGATATTTTTGCAGAGAAGCCCAAATCATGAAGCAGTGCGATCACCCGAACTTGGTCAAACTGTACGCGGTTTGCACGCGCGAAGAACCTTTCTACATCATAACCGAGTACATGAGCAACGGATCCCTGCTCCACTACCTGAGGAACGACGGCAGTGCGTTGGGAATCCAGGCGCTCGTCGACATGGCTTCTCAGGTGATTTTCAGAAGGGAAAATGGAGATCAACATGCTTATTGCTGGTTTTTCTTTTTGAGTTGTACAGTGTTCTTCAATCAAAAAAGACTAGGAGATATCAAAAATGAATAAAAAATAAAACAACATCTTTGCCTCTTGAGATAAGAAAATAAGGGTAGTTTGAATATTTCCCCTCTTTTGACATAGATTGAAGAGTTTCAAGCACTTTTAGTTTTATTGAACCGAATGTTGGGGAAATTACTGTTTGAATAGAAAAAATTGGAAAGAAAAACTGTAAAATGAGAAAGATTATTATGAAGGGAATTTTCGCAACTTTTTGTTTTTGTTTTTATGCAACGAAATTTAAATGATATTATCGTATGAGAGGAAATAATGGAGAAGAAACAAAATTACTCTTCAACTGAATTTGAAATTGAATTTGAAGATTGGAAATTTCAATTGAAACAGCTTATCTCTATTTTTTTAGAATAGTAAAAAAATAAAAAGTGAGTAGGTGTGAATTTTTGAACCTTTTTTTCAATCATGTTTGAAAAATCGATACTAAAGGAAGCTCTTAAAAGATTAAATTTCTTAGGAAATTTTTTTATTAAACTTTGAGAAAAATGAAAAAGTTATATAGCTCCCCTAGTAAAAATTCAGGCGATAGAGGATTTTTTGAGAAATAAATCATCGAGTTTACTTGTTGAATTTTCAAAATAAAAGGGGAATAAAGTGCGAAGTTTTCAGATTGCCAACGGTATGACATACTTGGAAGAAAGAAAACTTGTGCATCGCGATTTGGCGGCCAGAAACGTCCTTGTTGGCGACAAGATTTCCGGAGTACCAGTAGTCAAGGTAAACTAGATTTTCTAATTTTTAAGGTCAATATCAAATTTTCCAGGTTGCCGACTTTGGATTGGCGCGAAAATTGATGGAGGAAGACATTTATGAGGCCAGAACAGGGGCCAAGTTCCCAATCAAGGTTTGAAAAAGCATAAAAAATGGATGATAATAAGAACATACTTTTTAGTGGACCGCCCCTGAAGCAGCCACTTGTGGCAATTTCACAGTGAAGAGCGACGTTTGGTCCTATGGAATCTTGCTGTATGAGATCATGACCAAGGGACAGGTCCCTTATCCAGGTGGGTAGAGCTCAAAGTTTGAAGGTTTTTTGGCCATTTTTTTTAGCTTCGAATTGAAGTTTAAATGAAAAGAAATGGGTTTCCTTCGAAATGGGCTTTTGAAAGAGTATTTCTCATTTTCAGGCTAAAAAGCCCTGAAGCAATTTTTCAAAATTTTTGTTCACAAGATGCGCGTACAAAAAAAAATAGATTTATCTTCTTAGCAGTTTCTTGAAATTACGGAGGCGGTGAATAGATTTAGAAGGTTACTGAGGGACGCAAAAAGAAAGAAAAAAAGAAAAGAAAACAGGCTAACAGAGAGAAAGTTAACGAAATGCCCTTTTTTTCCAAATCAACCTAAAAAAGCGCAGAACAATTCTGCGCCTAATGTCTCTCCGATTTGAGAAACTTAAAAATTTTCAAATTAAGAATTATTTCTTGAAAAATAGTCAGCCCATGTCTGTAAGAAGTGTGTGTAGTTCCGAAAAAAAAGTTTTTAAAATAGAAGTTTTCCAAAGCCCGATAAAAATTTTCCAGGCAAGCATGAAATCGAAAACGGATCGTAATTTTGAAACAAATCCATGAAACTGGAAACTTTTCATAACCTACAAAAATATTGCAGGAATGCACAACAGAGAGGTCGTCGAGCAGGTCGACCTCGGCTACCGTATGCCGATGCCGCGGACGTGTCCCGAGGCGATCTACAACGAGGTGATGCTCAGGTGCTGGGACAAGAACCCGGACCGCCGGCCGACCTTCTCCTATCTCTACCACTTCTTCGACGACTACTTCGTCTCCACACAGCCCAACTATGCGCCACCCAGTGCTTAGGACTCTTTTTTCGAATTCCTGTCTTTTTCTCCATTTCCATTGATGAAGTTGATAACTTGAGCCGGTGTTATTGGAGAATATGAGAAAAAGGGCTTTTTTCGCCTTGAAAGTACGATCCAACGAATTGAGTTTTTCATTTTTTTTCCAGGCTAAAGTAATTTTCCCAATAAAGAAGACAACGTGTTGGAGTGAAATTAAATTGACTTTTGATAAGATTTTCGCGCCATAGGGACTTGATAGGTTAGCCACGCCTACTTTCAACCGATTTCAAGGAGTTTGAGCTGTTCTTTTTCACTTTTCCAGAATTGAGGAAAAAAATTTTTTTTTAGGGTTTTTCAATTTGTTAGTCACTTTTATCAGAGAATGTGGGAAAAAGAAGAGTTTTAAATCGAAAAAAATTTTGTACCTTGTACTTTGTAAGTGCGCTCCAACCAACTGAGTTTCTCCTTGGCTGGACACGCCCATTTCCCCACTCTTTGTGGAAATTATTCAGAAAAGGTTCGGAGAAAATTTATTTTCTCCCTTTCCTGATACCGGCTCTAGTTTCTGGTCACCTGTAAAATTTCCAATTTTTTCTTCCATTTTTTATTTTCGAATGAATCAATTGAGAAGTCGTGTATCATTTATCAATAATGGGATTCCCTTGGCTCTACTTAGAACTTTCAGCGAAGAGCAAATCTTTTCTGTACCTCGATCCTTAACATTCGAAAACTGTCCTCAACCTCGTAATAATCGAAAATAATATTGATGAAAATTTCCCAGCCGGATTGCTTTCTACCCACATTGCCAGTGCTTGAATCGCTTTTTTTTCTCGATTTTTCGTAATAATTTTGAAAAAGAAAGAGATTTTCTGTCCTCCCAGAATCAGTTATGCTCTCCCTCTCTATCTCTCCTCCAAACGTGTCTTTTAGAACTTATTTATTCTTTCTTTCTTTTTTTTTCGTCTCTTCATATCTTTTAGGATTGTTTCTTTTTATTATTCATCTTGTACCTTTTGAAAATTTTGTTGCTTTTTTTTAGAAGTCGGTTCAATTTGGCTGATACGAAAAATATGTATGTTAATATTCTGTCCCGAAATGATGATGATGCCAGCCACCAACAGACAAGAAATAAAATACTTGAAGCTTTTGAAATTATATACGGAAATTGTCAAATTTCTGGTGACGGCTACTTAAAAAAAAATAAAACGAGAAAAAAGAATTTTTCATAGTATCTGGAGAAAATAATGAATTATCAATAGAGCTCACTTTCGTCGAAAAAAAAGCTCAATTTGACTTTTTTCAACAGAGAACGATCAGCAATTTTTCAGTTTAATGATTTTTTGAATGACAATTCAACTGTAAAAGATTTCAGTTATTTTTTTTTCAATTGAGCGCATTTTCCTCGGAAAGCGAGCCGTTTATATTTTCTGTTTGTGTTTTCTTAGCTTCGAAAATTCCTTTCAGAACGTTTATTCAATTTTTCAGTTTGGCCTTGTACAGTTCGCCTTCTTTTTTTTCGAAAAGATCTTCAAAAACCTTTTTCTGGAAAAAGTAACAAATGAACGAAAAATGAATGAAAACTAATAAAAGTTCATTCGAAAACGGTCCTCGGTACACGCAAGAAACCAAGAGCAAAGTCGGAAGGATTCACTGAACGACGACGCCTTCAATGTGAAGAGGTGCGCCGTTGAACGCGAGGTTGACGTCGAAAGTGACGTTGACATTATCCATAGTAGCCGTGATTTTGGCTCGCGATTCCTGGTTGTGACTCGGGCTCACCAACTGGAAATATCAAGTCAAAAAGGAAAAATCAAACATTTTTTTTGAACTACGGTATTCGACAAGTATGTTTCTTTGCTGTGCATGCAGCCGTCGGTATTTTATTTGACGGCGCCTTTTTTTTCTCAATTTTTTTCTCACCTAGGTGAGAAAAACCTATTTACATATGTTACAGGCTGTGTAACACTTTATGCTGGAAAGCGAGATTTTTTTTATGCGCATATGTTCAAGATAGTACTACAGCGGCCGGTCATTATTGCGCCGTCTGTTTCGGATCCAGGAAACTTTTTTTAATTTTTATTCTTTTTGAATTTTTTTTGATGACTTATTTCTCGAGGTGACAAGATGAGTTACGTTACAAAAAGTACACAAGTCTTCATTTTATTACCAAAAAGTCTATCTAAATTACCGTACTACGACCGGACGCTTCAAACAGGCGTTTTTATCTATGTTTTTTGTTTTGATCTCAACGGAGAAACAGAATGTTTCAAAATGGCAATTTGGCTTTTTTGAGGTGCTCAAAAGCGCTCAGTAAGTGTGAATTTTCATTTCGGATCCTTTTTTCTTCTCTCTCTTATGTCAAGTTTTTATCTTAATTTTTGGATACAGTTTTGTGCCAATATCCTTGCTGAGGTGTTCAAAAGACCGGACACATATTTGCAAAGGTCTCGAGACGAAGAGCCATTTTCTTCAGTCGAGAAGGGCTGAACACCTCAGCAAGGATTTCTTAACCGGTTCAAGTTTCCAATTTCAAATAGTTTGGTAGGAGTCTGGACTTGAAATATCCATGTGGAACTTTCTAAAAACTTTCCTCAATTTCCCGTTTTGTGTCACTTTTAATCTTCAATCTTTTTTAGAAACTATTGTTACCTGTCTTCCTCTGTTTGAAACACTACAGCATATTTTAAAGCGGAAGTTTTCATACCGTTTCCAAGGCTACATACGGAAGCGACGCAACGACATCCTTGTAGGTGTGATCCGAATATTTGGCCAAATCATGTGAAGTGGTTGTTTCCTCCTTAAATATTCCACATTTTGATCATTTCCGTAATCCTTGCTGAGAATTTAATGAGCGCAAAGGTCATAAAAGTAACACAAAACGGCTTTTTGCTTCGATACTTTTATTAAACTTTCATATGCGCCTTTTAACTTTTCAGCAAGACAGCTTATACGATACCGTGGCAGATAAAGTAGTGGCTTCTGGGGTTCGGTTCAAAAACATAACGATCGGTCTTGGAATTCTGGAAGCCTTTACCGAAGCCGTTTCCATGACTGAAAGTTTTTTGGATAATTTTCTCAGAATAAAATTTTCGTTGGAGGTTCAGTTGTCGCTATTGAAACACGTTTATTAGTTCGGAAAAAAAAAAGAAAAAAGAACCTGATGAAGCCAAAGACCCGGTGACACTGCTAGCCGATGCACTGACTGTGATTTAGTTCAGAAAAAATTGAAAAAGATGTTGCAAAAGAGTCACCTCGGCTACGGCTGGACAAAACTGGAATGCGCGATTGATGCTTTTGAGACGATAGGGAGCCCTGACAATATTTTTTGCTAAGAAAAAGGCTGTTCAATACTTTTTCCGATGAAATTTGAGTTTCTCGTGCTCTAAAATCTCAAATTAAAATTCTGAGTTTTTCGAAAAATTTCTAATTTTTGAAGAAAAAAAACTTTCAAGTTAAATAAATTCATCAAAAACCGGATAAATTAGCAATTTTTGCAATTATGGCTTCATAAATTTAGTTTAGTAGAAGTTTTCTGGCCACTTTTTGGAAATTTCCAGGCTGTGATGAGAAAACATTTCCTAGTGAAGGGAATTAAAGGATCGAACTCAATTTTTTTTTCCTAAATGACGAAAAAAAAAATTTTTCATTAACTTTTTTTCGTTATTTTCTTTGAGAATCGTTTTTTTCTTTATTTTTCAAACAGAAGAAAGTTGGGACTTACAGTACTCTCAACGGATAGCGGCTCAGACTCGGACTCAGTCACGGAACTTCGAGTGAATCCACGTCTTTTGCTTCGATTTTTGCGACCCATCTTCGGCGGGGCCAAGCTACGTTCTGTTTCAACTTTTTCGAAATCAAAAGAAGCTGAAATTGTTACCGATAGCAGAATGAATAGAATCGATTGAAACGGCGGTCCTGGTGCTCTCGTAGGCCTCCCTGAGAAATTTCAAGTATTTATGAACGCTAGAGGGCTCCCAATAGGTGTTAGGTGAAAAAAGTCCCTAAGAGCCAAAAATGAGTACCCTATAAAGGGGGAATAAAGGTGGTGTAGGTTTAGGGTCCGACTTCTAAGGCTAAAGCTCAAGTGATCCCTATAGTGCTTCTATTTTTTGTTCTGATTTGAATATCAAAAAGACAAACGTGATCGATAAATTGTATGTTAATATTTTTCATTCTAATAACGCTAATTTTTTGACTTTTTCGCATGGAAATGCTTCTATTCATATGTTTCTTAACAGTAATCGACTAGCATGTCGCTAATAAGAACCATGATTAAAAGCCCTAGAGCGGCCACTGTGACAAGCTCTAGTGGCGTCTATAGGGGAAGGTAAGGGGAACACTCTGGAGTTCCTAAGTTTATATATTTTCAAAAGAAGATTTACTGAATGTGTTATGTTGAAAAATCTTTATGAAGTATTTAAAGGAGAATTGATCAATTTCAAGAAGATATCGAAGCAAAAAGATTTATTTTCGAGGTTATGTAAGATGTCAGCGTCTTGAATGTAGCAGAAATTTTTGAACGAGTCAAAAGATTCTAGGATTTCTTGCAAAAATAGATTGAAAAATTCCTTTTTAAGATTTTGAGAAGAATTCGGCCAAGATAAATTGGAAAAGCGAATGGAGAAAACTTAAATGAAAGTTGAGGTCGAAGAAGTTTCGAATTTAGTGTACGGTATTATTCCGAAGGACATTCTATGATTGCGAAGTTTTTCTGTGACTATCTATGTATGACAAAGTTTTAAAAGGAGCAAGGACTATTTTCACAAAATGTCTTGAGATGATATTTTTGAGGTTGTGCATCTATGATTTTAACGAACATCTCGATGTTAATTGGACTCTTACCTGAGTTCTTCGTTGGCGAAGACGCAGTGTTCGGACTCTTGAGGGATCGCCTGGAAGGAAGAAGTTTTTAGTGGGTGGTGTTGAAAAGTGGGGTCGTCGTCTCTTGAGAGGATCAAAGGAGATTTCGATCGCCGCCAAGAACAACCCCCGAAACGGCCCGCTTACCATCGCCGTCGATTCTGTCGAGAAATGAGGGCTCACATGTCATTGACGTTCCCTTTTTCGTGTTTTTCGTTTTTTGGCGGTTTTCCGTTCATTTTCTGGTCAGTCTAGTTAGCATTTCTTCAGTTTCGGTGAGAAGACGAACATAAAGAAATTTTTTTAAAAAAATGTGATATATATATATATATATATATATATATATATATACATTACATTGTCGAAGGTTAAAAAAATTTGATTGAAAAATGTTTTTTTGGTTTCGTTCTTTTCAAATTACTGACTTTTTCCATTTGGGGATTTAGAGTGGAGAGACTGGTCAGAAGCAAATTTATAAAAATTTCAAAAAGTTGATTTCAAAAAAATAAAAAAATATTTTTTTCCTAGCCAGTCAGATTCTTTCTATCTCAATTTCTGTCAAAAAGAAAGTTTACTGGAGTGTCTCGAGTCTGTATGGATTGAAATATTACTGAGATTTGTTCACATGAAATTCTTTCTCTCATGTTTCGCTCCTTGTAACGCAAACAATTTTTCAGAATGAAAACAAAAATGGAAAATCAACAGAAAATTAGACGAAAACTTGGGCGGAATGTTGAAAAAAATCTTGAAATGTACCCCTTTTTCACAATCCCCTGAATCGGCTATCTTGCTTTATGATTAAGAGAAAATTCTCAAATGGATTTTCTTCTAAATTGTTTTATTCCATTTAATGCAACAGTACACAAAAACCTAGAGCGATGGGACGATTTCATTGAAGCAAATCCAAAAAATCGGAAAAGTGCAGGTTTGGCGAAGTGAAAAGAGAAAAAGCATTCAATCGCATCATGACGCCGAATCCAACGCTGGTGTCGGCAGTTACTTTTTTTGTCGTTTTGTTTTTTTGGAAAATGCTTGGTTGGCAAATTCGAAGAAATAGATTGATTAGAGCAACGCAAAGGGCGTCACGTCGACCTGCTGGTACTCCACCTCGGCTTCGGAGTCGAGACTGTCCTCACTGTCGTATTGGAAGGACTGAAATTGGTTTGGTTGGAAGGAACGTGGAAAGATGGATCTAATGGTGTAAGAATCATTAGGAAAGGTTACGTGCTAGCGAAGCGACGGAATAGAAAAGGAAACAAACCGCGAGATTGTCAATAATGTGCTCATAGTGCTTCTCGCTAGTTGAGATGTAGAGTACGTGATTTATGACGACAAAACGAGATGAAATTCTGGAAAGACGTCAGGGGCGTCGTCTGTCTTCGACTCACTTTTGAAGGCATTCGGCCAGCTCGGGGACTGTTTTTGGCCAAAGTCCCGGCAATATATGCAAAAGAATGCGGAACGGAATGTCGATCTGCAAGTGAAAAGACTCAAAAAGAAAAAAGAATGGTATAACTGGAAAGATGAAAAGTTCAATACAACTATTTTCGAATAGCTGAGATCATGACGTCATTTGGGAAAAAATTGGCGAAAAAGGGTTTGGAAATTTGATAAGAGATCAAAGTCTTGTTAACTATTGGATAAGTCACCATCTAACCATTTGATTTTATCCAACTAATCACAACTAAGGCGGAACGCATCAGCTCAGAACACATTTTCTGCCATATCACTACGGCACGTTAGGCTCATAGGGTTTTCCGACCTTAATATTCTGAGGACCAAAATGGAGAAGGAAGGCCTCGACGTAGTCGCGGAGCTGAACTTCGGACCGAACTTCCAGAGGAAGGTACGGCTCCCAGGAATCCTTGACCGTCGTGCAAATGAAGCCTTGCTTGGCAGAATCGCGAATCCGCTGCGCGTAGGCCGCAGAAGACGTCAGGCACAAAAAGTTACCCAGCATCTTCACCTGAAGCCTTGATTTTAGCAAGAGAACTAATTTGCTCCAAACATCTTTACTGAAAAGCCGCAACAGACCGGTAGACCATTGGACGATCGCGTCGCTGATAAAATAGGAGGGTAACCTGAAAAAGATCAAAAACGTAAAAAAAGAATCAATAACTCGGACCTCAGTAACGTAAACCGGACGTTTCCGAGCATTTCAAGTAATCTCAAGAGTTCTGAAAGTGATTGCTAGAATTGCTCAGAAACTTCCGTGTTTCTCCGATTTGCGGTACCGAGGTCCAAGAAGTAAGTTCATTTCACTTAGTGGTTAAGAATTTCCTTAAAACTGGTCAGAATCCTCCGATCTACTAGACGAACATTTTGAAATCTATATAGCTTCCTTTTCTAGGAAAAATCTAGATAGGCCCTTCTCTGGTCAAAGAGTATTCCGGTCATTTTGAAAAACCACAAAGTGAAATGACCTTGTTCGTAAAACAAAAATCAACTTTTTCTGAACCAAATTAACGCGGATCGCCGTCAGAGCGTTCTGATAGTGAACCATTGGCGAGTTGGTCAGCATTTCTGTTAGTTCTCTGGAAAGAAGAAGCAAATCGATTAAGCTTTTAGATTAGGAATGATAGATTGATGATAAATCTGAGAAAGAACATCCGCGATGAAGTTTCAATTTTTCTGAATTTAACAAACTTAAAAAAATCTCTAGTCTTTTTAGAAGCTTGAGAAAAGAGCCTATTTTCCCCACCGGTTGATGGTTCTATCCTCATGAATATCTGCAGTTTTTGATGTGCATCTCAAATTCAAACACAAAGAAAGCTTTAAGTCGACTCAAATTTCCTCCAAAAAGGTTATACCTTTCAAAGTGTTGAAGGCCCTCACGTTCGGTCTTGTTCCACACCGAGATGACATTTTCCTAAATCAGCACAATGAGAAGTTCAGTACTGAGACGGAAGAAATACTTGCTGAGCTTGTGTAGGCTGAGCAATACGCGCAGGTAGCCCTACGCCTGACTTTACCATGTCGACCAGCGTCGCTTCATCGCCGTACTAAACAAGAAAAGAAGTTGTACTCAGTCGCCATCGTGGGGGAGCCACGAAACAAAAGGATTTGGGTTTCCCCCGCAATTTTTCAAAATTGAATCAACCTGAACTCAACAAAAGTTTGAAAATTCAACTCATCGAAAATTTTTTTACTGAAAAACATATTCCCAAATTTTGTGCCAAAAAAACTTGAGTTTTTCTGTCATTAAAAGCTTCACTAGAGTTATTGAGACCTCAAAAGGTTAGACATTCGACTTAATCAAAATATGATTTCTGAAGCTTTTTTGAGGATGACAATTAGTTATTTTTCAGAAAGGCACACAACTTGGGAATATGTTTTTCAGTAAAAAATTTTCAATGAGTTGAATTTTCAAACTTTTGTTGAGTTCTGGTTAATTCAATTTTGAAAAATTGCGGGGGAAACCCAAATCCTTTTGTTTCGTGGCTCCCCCACGATGGCGACTGGGTTTCCCGAGTTTTGTTGGCATCCGAAGGATGCCTTTGAATTTTTTCATGTGCTGAAAGGGGAAAAATGTCTGAAGAAACATGTCCATGGATATAAACATGAAATGTCAAATCTTGAGAATTTTTACTGTCCGAAAAAAACATGTCCTAGTGATTTACTACCTTCAATTTTTTTCAAAGCTCGAAACTTCCCATTTTTACACTTTCCTATATAAATTATTTTTTTGGGAAATCCTCTCTTCATAAGGATCTAAATATAGTTTTTTTAAATACATTTTGAAAAAAATTTCAAACGTTTTTTTAACTACGAACCTAAAACGAAATCTTTTCCTCCCTGGGGTTTTCGAAAATGGCCTTTTTTGGAAAAAAATTTTTTAGTTAACATAGAATGGTGTATGCCCCTGGTTATGGTAACCGTAACGGAGGCAAAAAACTTTGTTTCGACCAGATACTTTGATTTCGAAAAAAGTTATGAGCGAAAAACCTCGAAAATTTCCATCCCAGGGCATACAAATTTTTTCGGTTCCCGGACATAGAATTTTTTTCGGGTGAAAAAATTTTTATTTTTGTTTCGATCTGGAAATGACCTAGTAGTTGTAAAAATGCGCGTTGATCACGATTTTGCTAGTTTTGAGCCAAAAGAACAAGAAATAAAAAAGTTATTCGGGAAACTTACCCAAAATTACACGTTTTTTGGAATTTTCGGGTCTTAGATGGAAAATTCGCCCAATCCATGTTTGGCTCATCAGATAGAGTTGTTTTTTTTGGTTTTGATAAGAGCGAGAAAAAACTCCGGTTCGCAACTTCATATACCGGTTTCGATTTTCCGGAAAAAATATCTCTAATATGAGCAATAACGAGCAAACATGAGATGAATGATTTTTAGAAATTGAATAAAATTATTTTGCACCTTATTACGAGCTTTGGTTGAGTTTCGTTGAATTTTTGTCGTGATATAGATTTTGAAGCTTTTCACCGTATTCGTTTGAGCTACCGTATCTCAAAAACGGCTCGAGTGATGATATTCAGTTTTTTTTCCAAAAATCCTAAAAATCGTGTTCTACAACATATTTGATTTAGAGAAAATTTCACCATAACGCTCATTTTTTTTCCAACTCAGCCTAAACCCAAATGGCGCAGAACAAGTCCCAACTTGTATACTTCATTCGCCCCGACTTGGAACAGTCTGACCGATCTGCACCCTCCTTTTCTCTTATCGACGAGGTCAAAGATCCATGAGAGGAAAAAGAAATCCTCACCGTCCCATCGACATTGCAGTACCGCACAACAAGTGTATGAGATCTGTAGTTGTAGCCGTTGAATGCCTTCATCACCTTCAGAGCGTCTTCGGGACGATAAAAATTGATGAACCTAGACCTAGAATTCTATTTCTCATTGGAAAATAACCTCACCATTTTCCCGGCTGAACGACGATTCCTTGAATCGGAAGGTCTTCCTTGAGTTCGCGCTTGATTAGTTGGAGGAGGATGTTCTTGTAGCCGGTAGGGAGGCCGGGCACGTTGAGGAAAACGAGCTTGGCCCGGACCAGCGTCTCAGAAGAAAGTAGGTCGGAAATACGCATTTCGCGTGCTTGTTCCTGCAAGATTGGAAGTTCAAGGAGGTTATAGGGAAAGCGGAGATTTTTCAGTTTCGCTTAGACTTGGAAAGCTTAGCCTAAGGGGTCTCCGCCAACCAGGAACTTTCTTTTTTGTTATCCTGTCAAGACCCTTTTTGACGGCTCAAGCCAGCCGCGAATCAGCTGTAGGAGAAGCTGAATTTTGCTCAATTTGAACCTGTATGTTGATTAATTTGGACTAAACTATAGGACTTGTTTTGTGGTCGATTCATGGCTGGCTCGTAATATTTTGGTTCTCGAGAAGTTTGGAAGGTTGAATAGTTGGTACAGCAGCTCGTTTTGTTCAGATTGAAGAGCGGTTTTAAGAAAATTCCACGATGGAAGGGAGTATTGTTGTCGGGAGAACCCACGTTACCCTGAGGAGATTTTGAAAGATTTAATGAGTACCATTGGCAAATTGCGAGAGTTTTCGTCGTTGTAGACACGTGACCAGTAGTCCCAACCGTTCAGCGATGCTTCTTTTGCTTGAGTTGCCTTCTGAAACGGTAAAAAATGAATTCGTGCAAAGAGCAGTGCCTATGCCGGCATTCAGCAAAAAAAGTTGCATGCACCCTGCAATTCAGAGCTTTGCATTTTGCATTTCTGTTTGAGCTCACTTTTGTACAGACGAAAAAAGCGCAAAATGCGAGGCACTTCTGTGCAAAATGCAAAGCGCTGAATTGCAGAATGCATGAAGCTTTTTTTTTGGAAAATTCTGGCATAAGCACTGCTCTTTGCACGATTTCAGTAGAGTAGAGGTTATTGATGTTTCAGAGACGATGTTATAGCCGATTCACGGCTAGCTTGAGACTTGTCTGCGCTCTCCACCAACCAGGCAATGTCTCTCTTCTAATCAGGAACTTTTTTCGATGGCTTAAACCAGCCGTGAATCAGCTATATGAAGACACTTTAGTTTTCGAAATACCCTTGAAAGCTGGAAGAAAGCTTTTTCAACGTAGACAACTATCACTAACCGATTGACTTTTTTTAAAGATAGGATAAAACCCACAGAAGAATATATCCGCGGCGGCGCGGCTGGTGTCGGACTGTCCCTGTAAGCTTACAGTAACCGTCGGGGCAAATCGTTTCGAGTCAAGTTCAGTTAGGAGATCAAAAACTCACATAATACGCGAGAGGCTTCGAATCGGCAATGGCCAGTCCACATGAGCTCGTCCTTCACGTAGACAAATTTATCCCCTTATCATTTTATTTCTATCTATCGTGATTTCTGAGAAGATAAGGTGTCGTATTCACGATTTTTTAAAAGAATTTCTGAGTATTTTCGAATTTCATCGAATTTTGGGGTCATTAAAAGTTGAAACTAAGGTGATTAAATCTACCTGCGCCAACTTTTTTCTTCAATTTCAGCGATGAAACTGAGATTTTTCGTACTATTTTTATCCTAAATTCCGTATCAGTCAAGCGTCGACGGGATTTTCCACAAATTAGGGCCTGTCCACTGATTATCACGGATATCAGGATAGGACCTCGTCGCATCTACTTGTCACTCAAGCGGTAGAAAAGAAATCAACTTTTTTTCAAAAAATTGTTCATTCAGTAAACGGTTTCCTAAAGGTCAATACGTTTGAACCGTTGGAAGTCGTTTTATTTTTAATCTGTAAGAGAAAAAAACATTCATAAAAAGCCGACTTCTCCAACCTTTTTTCTCAAAATACAATTGAATAAAAACACTCGATAAGGCTTAATCGATAACAAGAGTGTTATCGTGGCGGCAAAACCATGAAGACTAAAAGAAAATGTGCTCATCGTAGAAAGAGCTGAAAAAGTTTCCTGTATCTTTCGAATTTTGTCACAAGTTCACCTTTGATAGGAAGGCCAAAAAATTGAAAGAAAAAGACACAGACCAGCGGAACGGCTACAAATAGTATCGGCATAAGGATCTGTAAAATATCATGTTTTTTGGAGTCAAAAGCCTCCCAACCTGGAAAAATAACGAGTAAAAGAACTGCTTCTGCTGCTGACGTGTTTTCGCCGACATATGACTTTGGCTCTTCTGGAGCGAATAGTAGATTCGAGAACAAAAAAAAGATCCGATTAAGAGGGAAATAGCGACCAGCAGAAAAAGGGTCACAATTGTGCGATTAGTTCGATCAAAGATATAGGCTGCCGACGTGAAAATGGCTTCTGGAATGCATCCAAGTCTCTGAATTCGACTAGGTTTCCAGTTTTGGAGGTCAAATTCACCTCGATGGCCTCTCTTTTGGCAGCATCTTGATCCTCTGGCACACGAAGAAACATGGACAAAACCGAAGTCTCGTAGAAAATGAGTAGAATCAGAAAAATAGTGAGCCGTGTTTTATTGGTGAGATAAAAGCAACTGTCCTTTCGAGTTACACAGTGATGTCGGTGCTCGAATAGGGAATAAATGGCCGCTATCATTGCTTAATTCAAGGTTTTTGACCATTTTAAAGGCGAATTGGCAGTTATAAATGGAATTCGAGATAATAATCATATTTTTGTAGAGCTTTTTTTATTGTAAATTGAGCGATCTACTCAAAAAAATAACTGATACGAATATTTTTTTTGAATAAAAAAACTCCATTTATTTTCTCGCCTTTTTTTTCCGCCCATATGCCTTTGAGTTATGAAATCATACCAATGACCACAAAAAAACCGATTTCAGTTTGTATCGAGGTCGGCACGCCTAGAGTTCGTAAAAGTCCGATAGAATATCCGCCCCAAACCGGTAGATAAAACACGGGAGTGATGAGAACGGAAGCCAGAAGATCCCAAACAAGGCTCCTTAATTATTTTGATCCAATTTAGAGGAGAATAAGTTTCCAAAAAGGCGAACGAGTCGATTAACTTTTTTCTCGTTCTTTCGAACATCACAAAAATGAAATGCCTTTCTGTTAATTTTTGAACTAAATTTCGAATGAGCCATCGCGTATTTTTCTAAATAGCCCATGCCAAACTTCACAATACTTCATCAACAAATTAAATTTTGACGAGAAAGCTGATGCTGAAAAAAACTGAGCACGATCCTCACCAGAATTGGCAATTAATCAACAGCCATTTGTAGGTCTTTTGCATGGCCGATGGCGATTTATAGGCGATGCAGTAGAACGCGACAAAGTTTATCGGCAACGTGATACAAGCGGCTAGCCGAAGGGAGATCCGCAAGGTATCAGAATTGAAAAAAGAATCTGGCTCACAAATCGGAAAATCCATTGAAAATTAGCAATAACTTTCAAGTAACCAGATTGTCGGTAAACACGTTCGGGGGAAGGACAGGTGCATTTTAACAGAAGCAAACTTCAGACTAGACTTGACGTTTTTCCCGCAAAAGGTAGAATTTGAGACATTGAAAAGGGCTCTTTTCATTGCAAGAACTTTTAACGTAATTTTGAGCTCCTTTTACAAAAAAAGAGTTTTTTTTGATGACCGGCTGGACCGTTCTTTGTAGTCCATTCGCCGCGACTTGGCAATTTTCGAGTGTCTGCGTCTCTCTGTTCCCTCCCCGGCGAGGTCAAAGAAAAACGAAAATAGCGCGTCAACGAGAGAGGGTCGTCGAGAGACGAGGAGGACGCAGAGAAGTCCCGTCCTTTCAAGTCGCGAAAAACGGACTGTATGAATTCGGGATTTCAAAATATGGATGTGATGTTACGAGTTATGACATCTCGAATGCTCTAAATAAACTCTTCTCTCAATTTTTTTTTATGGGGTTTGCGACTTCTGAGTGTCTGAAAAGAAGTTCCAATTGGGCGGCGCGGGACGAGTTTTTTTTGATCGGGACGCGATCGAGACGAGATGAACCGAGCAAAAAATATTCAGAAGTTCGTCTTGACAAACCGAGGCCACTTTTTCGATGAGACAAGATCGAAAGAGCGTCTCGAAAAAAAGGGACGACGGCAAAAATTTTGGTCCAGATTTTGTTAAGGTGCATTTCCCTTGGAAAAACCCTGAAATCATGATTTCAAGTTGAAAATGATATCCCGCGATTTTTTTCTGAAAGAAAAAAACTGTATATGTAAAAACAGCTATCAATAAAATAATTTTAACTTTCCCGGATCGAATGAAATTTCTGACTTGAATCAAATATAGGAAGGTCACTTTGCACTGTAAACGTGAGTAAGATTCTTTTTTTTTCAGGAAAATTGGGAAAAATAATTTTCCACTTTATTGCATGTCGCATCAGAAAGTATTTATAAGGTGGGTATTTTATTATTTTTTATCATGTTGCACCAAAATTCGGAAAAAGAGAATCAATGCTTTTATGCGAATCGGGACACCAAAAAAGCACAAAAAGGGCGTCATTCTATTGGGTTTTCTGCTTTTTTGTCGTGGTCGTGTCTTTGGCCTTGGGCGGTTCCTTGGACATTGGCTGGATCAGCTGACGCTTCAGAACCTGTAAATTATGAATTTATCGCTAATACTCAAAAATAAATCAATTTCCGTACATCCCAAACTTCGCTCCAAGTCCACAAGTCGGCATCGTAGGATACGCGCAGGAAATGGATCGTAGTCATGAAAAGCTCCTAAAAATTTCAGTTGTTCAGTCAAATTTTCCCTTGAAACTGCATTTGGAATGGCTACACGCGTTGCGGTTCGAGTTGAACATTCAAATTTTGGACGCCCGCTTCGTTATCTAGCCATTCCCACTGCGACCCAAAATTGAACCTTGGAATGATGCGGCTTTCTGTAGATGAACAGGCAGATGCGGTAGATTTTTGTGATGACTTCACTGATCGCCTAAGAAAATCACTTAAGAGGTCCCTCAACTTTTTTGACCTCAAAAGCGGCCACGAGCAAGTTGGCTATGTAGACGAACGCCGAGATGAGCAGCATTATCAGGAACCAGACAATCTCCTGAAATGGCCAGTTTAGGGATCATTCAGGAAGTTTAACGGCAAGATAAAGGTGAGATTTGTAGATATAACTCCCAGGTAGCTTGAGAAGCCCCTTAAGTGATTATCATGAGATTCTCGAACTTCAAATTATTTCGACATTCGCTGAGTCATGCTTTTTCCCTTTTTCTCGAGAAAAGAACTTTCAAACCTGGACCTTGATTAAATTATCATTCTTGGAGGAAAAATGAAATTTTCAAAATTTTGATGAGAGCTAAGAAAAAAGGACCTCAAAACAGTGTCTCCTACTAGAGCATACTTTCCATCGATTCTCAGCCTTTTCCAACTTTCAAGCCTTTTTTTTTACCTTGATCCTATCGAACGTCGACTGTTCGGCCAACGGTGCTGAAAATTTCAACATCTTGGAAAATTTGATATTTTTTTACTGGCTTCCGGGACCAACGGCGTCTTTGGAACGGCCGTGCGAACGTCCGTCTTCGGTCCGCTCATTTCTGAGAATCTTTTCTTTTTATTTTATAAAGTATAACAACTTTTTAGACCTTTCACGAAGCACAGAAGATCGAATGGAGCTGTTTTTCGAAATGGGGTTTTTTCTTTTTTCACGTTGAATTTATTTTCTTTTTCTTGTTTGTAGTTTGGTAAGGACTTTCTGCTTGAATTATTAAAGGGGCATCTCGCGTTTTAAATAAGGTATTAAGACGAAAATCCATCTTTGACTTCTGCAAATGTAAATTAAAAGATTTTTTCATTTATGAGGGGGTTTATTTTCTAAAAAACACCAATGGCGATGAAATTTTCAAATGCGCTCTATCAGACTATGTTCATAATTGGCTGAACACGCCCCTTTTTATATATTTTATGAAGACAAAAAGAGCCAATCGAAAGAATAGTTTTAAGAGGAATGAATAGACTTTTTTTAAAAAGATCTTTGAAGCATTATTTTTTTACAAATTTTATTTATTAATTTTGAAAAAGATCAATCATGGAGGATTGAGGGCGTCGAGCTGTCGTTGGTTCCATCGCTCCTGGGTCCGAATGACGTCGTAATAAAGGAGTCTTTTGAAGATTTGCAGGTTGAGCATCGCGTAGAACCAGAACAACGACACGAACATGTACCAAAAGTAGTCATCCGTGTATTCTTGGGAGTTCTTTCCACATAAAGCGTGCACCAGGCCCATGGCCGTGCACAATTTTTCGAACATTTTGTGACCCTGGAACTTTGAAATTTGGGGTTAAATCACAAAAATTGTGAAATCGCCCGCCAAAAAGTATGAAAAAATCCCCATTTTTTTTTTCAAAACCGTTCCTAGTTTTTATCTGAATTATGAGAAACTTCTGCTCCTCGAACTCCGTAAAAAGCATTTTTGAAGCAATAATTATGAAGAAAAAAAGCTGGACTCACGAAAACGGCTCTTAATAACAGGAAAGTTTGCTCATAATTAATTGGAAGGCCAAGAAAAAGTTTGGGAAAACAGGCGTATCCGATAGCCATCACTGTGAAAAAGACCAACGACTGTATTGGTAACAAGATTTCCAATAGGATCTTCACGACAAATTCAAAGATCTGAAATCAAGGAATAATTATAACTGCTTCAATTTTTTGATTTACCCTTAGCTTATCAACTTTTTTCGCGTCGTAAATTCCACATTTCGGGTCAATCGATTGTCGAAAATAACAGAAAACATCTTGATGACTCATCCAAAGAGTAGACGCCGAGCAAACAGCCAAAATTGCAATAGAAGAACAAGCCAAAGTCTAAAAATTATTCTTACTTTTGATTTTCAAACGTAAAATCGTTTATAAGAACAGGTTCGGTTCGGGGTTTATGCATCAATGAAACGAAAAAATGAAAAGAAATAAAAACATTGGAAAATTTTCCGACGTCCCAGTGTACACGGAGAAAACTCATGCTTACGCGCAATCACTATTTTTCGAAAAAAGTTTTGTTTTCACCCAGAATTGTTTGTACACTCTTCCACATAATCATGTGTTCGAAATCTTCAAATACGTCAAACTCCTATTTTTGAAGCGCTTTATTATTTTTTTCATTGACTCGGACCATGAAGTTTCTTCTTTTCCTTTTTTCGACGTATTCGAAGGTGTTCGTAAACTCACGTGGAGGAGTGTAGTTTGAATATCGTTTTTCTTGATAATGAGCACCAAGATACGAGCGTTTCGTCGAAAAATTCTCGGAAATTTCGCACAAAGCTCACCCTGACATAGATTGTCACGCACGGATGGCGTTCGTCCTCCCAATCGTCATCAAATAAATCTTCATCAATTCTTCTCTCATCCATAACTATTGGATTTCCGACGTTCAGAACTGCATTAACTTGAGGATTTTCTCCTTGTTCTTGTGCTCTTTGAGCTACAACCGCGCAACTTGAGCTGAAGATTTTTATAAATTTAATATTGATGTCCCCTCACTTTTCGGTTCCAGGCTTTTTCTCCGGCAACATTTTTGCTTCGGAAAACGATGAAATATGCTTCAGCTCTTCTACTTTTGTATCATGCATCGATCCTCAAAAATTAACTTATTTTCTTGCTTTCAAAAAATCTCACGGTTATCTTCGACAATTGGTGTTGACATTGTCAATTTAGGAATAAAAATGCGTGAATCAAACGGCTTTTTTCTCATTTTTGATGTTTTGACACACTTGTTTATTTCAAAAATATAAAGAAGAATGAAACCGCCCTCTTCTGAAAGGAAAATAAACGGAAAAACAGTTTTCTGTGTACTTTAAAGATTTTTGGCGGCGCTCTTTTGCTGCGAATTTTCGCGAATTCATGACAAATTGATTCTCTCACCATGTAAGCTTTTTGAATCAGTTTAAACCGGATTTCATCTGGAAAAAAAATTAACTCGATTTGGATTACTGTAGAGTTTGACTGCAGAGCGTAGATCAAAGTCGTTTTTCCTGTTTTTCAAATTTTTCTCTTATTATTTTTTTGTTGTTTTATTTTTTATTTTATCATAATTTTTCAGAAATAATATTATCAACGGAGCGTATTCAATTCGAAATATTATTCTGAACCATTTTTCCCGTGAACATTTCCAAAAAAACCGTGATCAATAAACCAAGAAAAAGCTGTACAAACAACTTTTTCTTTCGAAAACTGCTATTGAATCGTCTTTCGTTTTTTTTTCCTTTCAATCTTATTTTTTGAAGCTTTTAGAAGACCTTGATTTCGCTTTCTCACGAGAAATGTTTTTTTTTTCGATTTTGCGCGTCGCTTGTCTGTTCTTTTAAAAATATTTTCGTACAGCTCGATTTTTTTGTACAATTTTTTTCTCTATTGAATTTCATCATTTGCACGTTTCTAGTGTTTTGAAATTTTGTGTTTATCGGACAAAACGAAAATTGCTTCGAAGTGCAAAAAATTGCTCCAAGACAAAAATTAGTAATGTTTTGGAGCAACTTTGGCGCGCCGAAGAACACGATCCGGCGTTTCGTCCTCCAAAACACTTATCTTTTATAAAATCGACCCATTTCATCAGTTTTCCGATAGATGATTCACTTTTTTAAAGTTTTCAAAGGTGGCTTTAAAAAGATTTTTGGAACGGTTATATTTTTCCTCGTTTCCAACTTCTTCGTTGCTCAAAAATTGATGGTTTCTCAACCTTCTAATTTTAGGTCGACAAATGCCGATAAATCAGCGCAATGAACAGCAGTTTTTCTGATAGTATCAGTGTTAGGACCACACAAACCGGCGTTTCGAGGTACAGTCGACCGGAAACCGGACGCCTCAAGCGGAATGCCTTCTATTTGTGGCTTTTCGGCCATATGCATGCGAAAGTTGGTTTTTTTTATTCATTTTTTCGGTTTTTCATTTTTTTTTTTAGTCGGTTGTGTAACATATTGAACATTAAGCTGTTTTTTTTTTTCAATTTCTTGCTTTGATGTTTAACGGAACATATACTACCTTTATAAAGGTCTCTCGTGTCTTTTCAGTGTCGTTTTCAATTATCTGAGGCAATCACGCGTTTGTAAACTATAGCAAGGACGCTCAAGTGCTTCAGAACAGAAAATAAATTATTTCCCTCTCTTCAAAAGTTTTATTTCGAGGCAATTCTCGGAGGCTTTTTCGAAAAATGTCATAATAAACTATATTGGAATCTGTATTAAACAAATCTGGAAAAAATGTTTTTCCAGAGACTTTTAATATATTCCCACTTGATCGTGACGACAATCGCCGTTTGGGGTCTGATCCGGGCCAGTACGTTTCGCGACGACTTCGAGCCGGTCTCGATTCCGGGCCTCGACGGCCGGCCCCTTTTTTGGACCAACAGCCGATACGTCCAGGACTTCACACCGGATTCTGTGTAATTTTAAAAAATTTCCAAAAATGGCTATAGAAAAAAACTTTTTTTAAAAAGTTTGTGTGACTAATCCACTGGAGATAAATTCCTCGCGAGAAAAAAGAGAAGTCGCTGACGGTTAATTTACGATCTCGCTTTTCTCACGCACGCAAAAATAAATTCCTTAGTCCGATGAAAATGCGAAACCGGTGCAGCTAAAAAGCAGCAATTTCGCAATGTCGCCAATGTACTACCAGCGACAACGCTGATTCACTGCCGTTCAGACTCATTTCAGTACAATTTTGAATTATCTCCCCCTTTTTTTTTAAATCAATCTGTCATTTTTCCAGGATCGTCACGTTACCTGGCCCAACTGTAGTCCCATTCAAAGATTTCGCTCATAATTTGCTCAATTTTTTCAGTTATTTCTATCTTCTAAGGTTCGTTTTTTTTATATTTTTTTTCGCTATTTTTAGTTTTGACTTGATTTTCTGTGCATTGAAATTGAATTCGAAAAGGTCTGCAACGTTTAATGTTTCATTGGCAAAAAAATTTCAAGTAGAAGTTCATTTTGTCTTCCTCTTCGTTTTCAATTATCAATCTATATAATTTCAAATTTTTAATCAACAACGGTGTTTTTTTCAATTTTGAACATCTCTACTTTTGCGAAAAAAAGTCCATTCTTTATTTTTATTAGTTTACATCTAGCCTAATGAGAGAGCTCAATTAATACTTTTCCGTTATTTCCAGTGTCGGTTTGTCCTTTTACGGACTTCACATCGTCGAGAAAGTCTGGTTTGGCAGACGGCCATTCTGGGCGAATTACCTCAATCCGGCCGTTTTGTTGATACCATTCCTCGTCAGCATGGTTAGTTCTGGATGCACCCAAAAAGTGATTGGTCAATTGATTGATTCTAGATCTCCTTTTCCGTTCCGTTGCTCATTTGGTCGATTCGGACTTTGCAAGCGATGGCTCTACGATTTGTGCACTTGAATGGACAGCCGAAAACGGGAGATATCATGGGTTAGAAAGAAAAAAAAAAATCATTTTTCAAAAGAAAAAGTCAAAATTTTGAATATAGAAAGGTTTCGATTGGAATTATACTGAAAACGGAAGAGTTTAATGCGTTAGAACGAAGAAAAAAAAACAGAAAAACTCATTAGAAGAGAAAATCGCGATTTTTAATACATATAAAGAGGGATTAGAATTATACCGAAATTTCTCTCGATTTGGGCTGATTTCTCCAATTTTCTTGCCATTTTAAGCTTTTTCTCAGCTCATTCTAGTCTTCTTGGCATTTTATGGGTTGTAAACAAAACACACTTTGGAGGAAAAAAGCCAAAATTTTGTATTATGAAAAAAGACCCATTTTTCAACCCTTCTGGCATAATTCAACCAAAAGATTAGAAAAAAAGAAGGCTAAAAGGCATCAATAAAACGGTTATATCTTTTCTTGGAGAATTTTCTATCTTTTTTTTTAAATTAACTTCTTCAAGATGAGTTTTACTGCTTCATAGGTATAAGCTCAAAAAAGAAAATTAGTTCTAAATGTTATCTATGAGCACTCGAAAATATACTTTTTCAGACGCTGCTCGTTTCTGTATCCTGCCCATTTTGATCTCCTGGGTCTTCTACTTGTACTTTTTATACGGTGTCACTTTGTCTTTTGTCTACGTCTGGAAACGTTCTCCTGTCTGGAAACGACGGAAAGTTGATTCCCGCTGGAAAAAGAGCTCTTTCGGAGGTTTTTCTGCTTTCTTCTTTTGAAGGGAAGCATCGGAAATTAGCGAGTTTTCCGATATCTTTGTTATCATGTGGCTACGTAGCGACTTTTTTAGCAATTTTGAAAGCAGATTAGGAAAAATAAAATTTTATTTTTCTAACGTCTACGGGAACATGCATTAGACATTAATAGAAAAAAAGAATAAAAAGGAAAAAAAAGCATGTAAAACAGAGAAATAAAGTCGGAAAAATGTTTTTTTATTTACTTATTTACCCTTCATGTTAAAAAAACCAACGATTTTATTCGAATAGGGGCATCGGAAAAGGATGAATTATCGAGAGAAAAACATCAGAAACTATTCATTTATTCATTTTTTTCGTATTTTTTTAAGAGTAACCTTTTTATTTATAGAAAAAAACTCAAAAATTATGTTAAAGTATAAATAATAAATTAAAAAAATTAAAAAAATCTTCAAATCATTGTTTTAAAAAAAGCCGGGAAGCACCCTAGCAGTATTTCAAAAAAATTGGAAAGTTCGCTGATTTTAATTTTTTTATCTTTTTTTTATTCTCAAAAAAATTTTTTTACAAATTAAAGGCACGATATTGTGGCGCCGTCGCAATGGATCAGGTAGAATTCAAAAATAAAAAAATATAAAAAAAGAAAAATTTTCCAGGGAACTTTGGCAGAGGTCTGCTCACTAGAATATCGCGGAATGGTCGAAGCAAGGAGGCTGAAAATCACGAAGAAGGTCTTAAAATCCGCAAAAAACTGGTGAATTTGTTCGAAAATTTCCAGGAAATGTTGACGGCTCTCCGCTGGTTGTTTCGACGGTCAATGAAGTTGATAAGTTAGTTTTTTCGGAATTTCTCGAAGATTTTGATGAAAATTTTGGTTTTTCTTTTTCAAAAAATTTATTTTTGCCTTTTCTTCAAATATTCGATAATTTTCGAGATTGTTGCGAAAAATGGTTTTCGTTTCGAAACAATCGAAGAAACTACTATAGTGGCCACTAAGGGGAAAATTAGTTACTTTTAGTCTTTTCTCTAGGGGCCATCTTACGTGTCTTCTTCAAGTAATCTTTGAGGAACCTCTCAAGTGACCTTCAATGCTTATTCCATTAAGATTTCAAGGTTTTTTGTCCGATAAGTTCAATTTTTCACCTGCTTTTCGCTTTGATACAGACTCAAGAGCTGTAGAGAACAGTTCTGAAAAACTCCAATCAATATATATTGGCCACCCTGTAGTTACAAATTATCTCTGTGGAAGTCGGAAGAGTGGGAGTTTTTTAGAAACCCACCAGAAGCTCAAGAAAGGCTTCTCCAAGCACCCCCGCCCGACCTGAGCCAGTCCTTCAAGACGACTTCTTGGTGCGTCCGGCACCTGGACACCGTCGAGGAGGAGATCGAAGGCGTGAGCACGACCAGCTCGAGGGACCGGGCCATGTACTCGTCGAACAGCGAGAGCTCCCTCAATCCCCACCATCGGCGGTACGGCTCCGCGTCGACGGAGGAGTACGGCTTCGGGATGGGCAGCAGCGTTTAGATTGCGTCCTTGTTGTTATCAGTGTTGTATAGGAATAAATAAAGAAAAATAATAATAGGGAGCGCGCCGGGATTTTGGCTCTTATAAACCCCATTTTAATGAAAAAAATAGGTATGGTTGAGTTTTATGCGTTATATTAGAATAAAAAAATATATAAAAAGGGAAAAAGGCGGAATTTATCAGCATATACAAACAAAATATGCAAAAAAAGAAAAGAAAAGAGACCTGGCGCGTCCCTGCCACCAGTGCCTGAGAGCCGCAAAAAAACAGAAATAACCGTGAAAATGCGTGAATTTTTTTAATATTTTTTTAATATTTGTACAGAAAAAGAACTCCTTTTTTTGCTTCCTCTTTCTTTTGTCACCCTTTGTGGCCTTTTTGAAATCTTACTTTGGTATTGCGTCTCTAAAATTGTAGCTGCAAAATCATCATTAAATCATTTTTTGCTCATTTTTTCTGATGACTCTTGCTATTATTAATTTAAAGCTTTGCAAAAATTTTTGAAAAAAATTTTTTTTTTTTTGATTTTTATCTCAACTTTCTTTTTACCAATTTTTATTTTTATTATTTTTTTGTTTTTCCCGTTAAATCATTTTATGTGCCTTTCCATCCTAATCGAGGATTTATTATCAATTTTTCCCGACTTGAAAGGCGAGCGAGGCGTAGAAGTGGGCGGGACGCGTACGCGGTTCTTGGCACAAGCCCAATTCAAGCGCCGGCTTTTTGACTGTTTGGAGAGTTCGTTTATCGCTCTTTATTTTTCTTTTTCAATTCTGTATTGATTTTTTTCATTCATGTTCTAAAAATGATAGAATAGATAAAAAAAAGAGCGGTGACCGAGCTTTTCAAATAGTCGATGGCGCTTGAATTGAACTCGTGCCAAGAACCCCGTACGCATACGCTACGCGTCCCGCGCACTTCTCCGCCTCTCTCGCCTTTCAAGTCGGGAAGGATTGACTAAATTTTCTTGAATTTTCTCGATTTTCATCGACTTTTCATCAGAGCGCACTTTCGCCTTGCCCTGTCTCAAATCTTTCAATCATCTTTTTTTTTTCGAACTTCTCGGTGCCAAGTTGTTGATCGTGTTTACGTGTTACTTTTGTTCGAGTATATCTATTTTATATATAAAAAACCACTTTTTTTCTAATATTTAGAAATTTCCCTATCTTATGTGTTTTTTTTTTCAGGCTCGTGTTAACATTTCGACTTCTTAAGATGTATAATAAATGCATTTTTACAGTTTTTTTTCGCGTGCTTGTTGTGAATTTTGTTTCATATCTTTGTGGTTACTTTGTGATGTGGGTTTTTCAGAGTTAAAATATATTTAGGTGGGTTAACCTCAAGTGAATGGTTGGTTTGGGAAATCGAGTTTAGTTTCGATTTTTTGGCATGGGAAAAATGATTCGACCGTATTCGCGTTCCAGCCAAGGAGAAAATGGGCGGAGACGTCATGAAATGGACTTTTATCGATGGTATTTGAGTAGAGCCGCGGTCTGTTTCTTACTTCACTCGGAGAAAAATGTTTGATTTTTAAAAAGAATTTTATTTTTTTAATTTTTCGTTTTGTAATTTAAGGTAAAGCTTTAAATGCGAGTTCTCGGTATATAAATATTTTTTTCTTCATATATTCGAGTTGTTATTTCAGAAAAAAAGATTGGTAATTAGTTATAATTTTTTTAACAATTATGTCGAAAAATTATTTAAAAAAATGACTTCTACATTTTTTTCATGGAATTGAATGAAGTTTTTTTCACTAATTTGGGTCTCAAAAGTTTCTTTCAGATATATGAATAACTCTGGCAAAGTATTACCTTTTGAAAAATTATTTCCAAGAAGTACGTTTTAATGGTTTCAAAATGATCTTCGAAGAAAAAATGGCTCTAACTTATTTTTTTTTGTGTTTTTAGATGGTCACCGGCGGCAAATATATCATTCTTTTTCTCTATTTTCTCCGATCTTTCCAAATCCAATTGGGAATTCCGCTGTACTGCGGCGCTGCGTTGAGCCGATTCCCTTGCGAGTTTGTTTTTACTTTTGAAATTTTTTTAAAGGCGCTTAGACAAGTTTCTTAAAGCTACCGAAGCGAACATTTTTTTGAAGAAATCTGTTTGAAGAAATTTTTCAGCTTTGTAATATATATATTTTTGGCTTTTTTTAAAGAGCATAGGTGAATTTCTTGAGGTTATCGGAAGGTTAACAAACTTTTTATAGTTTTTAAAGGTGCAGAGTCTTTCCTCGTTCTGAAACAACACTAAAATTGGATCTTAGTATTGAGACCTTTAGGAATTTTCGGTTTTCTCCTTTAAATAGCTCAAAAATATTCGGAATTTTTCAATAAATTTTGCTCAGAGCCTCGAGATGTCTCTGGCTCCACGAAATGCTCGTCCGAATGCCCGATTTTCTGATCGGCGACAAGGTTCCCTACACTTTCTGCCACTGTATTCTGGTCTTCTGCATGACGAGGTTTTTTCTTCCAAAAACAAAAGAAAACGATAATTTATAGTGTAGTCATGTTCCTCTATGCAATGTACCTGTCGATGTGTGCAGATGGCTGGACCAGTCACTATCTTCTCAAAATGATTTTGATCCTTCCGAGTATCGTTTTTGAGGTGTCTTTTTGTTCTATGAGGGGCGAAAAAGTTTAAAATTAATTGCGAAAAAACATTTTTGCACATTTTAGCTGAAAATTTAATTTTTCGAAGCGGATATTTTTTCCAGATTTTTTGAAGTATTTGAAACGATTTTTTCGATTTAGCTTTGAAATTTGAAACATTTTAACTTTTAAGTATTTTTTTTTGGATGCTTTTATATTGTATAATGTGTCAAAATTCAAAAAAAAGAAAAAAATGTCCTTTTTACAATTTTGGTTCAAAATCAACTCCTCGTTTCATTTTTTTGGAAGTCTTTTTATTCTTCCATGGGTGACATAATTTGAAGAGGACTTTCCAAAAATTAAAACAAGAAAAGAGCAAAAATCTCGAAAAATTTCTACAAAAAAAGCTCAATTTTTTTGGTCCAGATAGTCAATTTTTCGACAGTTTCGAGATTATAATAATTAAAATGCGAAAAATAGTTTATAAATTAGAAACCGTTTGAAGAAAGTCTTTCGATAAATTCATGGAAAGGTCCATTAAGTTTTGAGGGAATTTTGACATTTTTCAGTAAGTTGGAAAAAAAGCCATTCTTTTGAACTATTAAATATTGAGTCGGAAAAATTTCAAAATTAACTATTTTTCCCTTTTTTTATTAATAAAAAAAGCGATTTTTCAAAGTTTTGATGATTCAGTGTGATGTATCAGCATCAAACAACCGCTTATTTGCTAATAGTCTCCAAATTTATTTTTAAAATTCATTAAAAATCTCAATTCTTCTTTGTAATTATTCATGATTCAATTTTTAAAGTTTTTTTCAATATGGTTCTACGACAAGACATTTTTTTCTTTTTCCCCAGGTTTACTGTATGTAAGTTCCGCATCCGGCGTGTGCACTATATGTGTTAGCACATTCTGAGTGTACCGTCTCCGCGTTTTCATCATTTTTATTTTAAAAGTTTTAGTTTTGTTTCATTTTTGAACAGTTAGTGTAGTTAAACTGTTTCCGATAGTTGTAGTACTTCTCCAATCGCTGTTGGTGTGGCAGAACACGTTTTTTTTTTTTAGAATTGGCTTAATTTGTCTGCTATTTTTTCAGCTTGGACTGAGCATTTTTTCTTTCTACGCCATTATCCGCAATTACACGGGCCAATGGAACGTTCATCACGAAACGCTTTTTTTTATTCTTTGCGCCGTTTTCGCCGTCACCTTGTGCCTTTTCACTGCTTTTTTGGTTTGTTCGGAGAACGAAAATCACGAAAAAAGAATATTATTACACAGATCATTGTCTATTTTATGACCGTCTTCTACATTGTCGACAAAAAAGGCCAACTTCGTAGGAATTGGGCCGAAACTTCGTATTCCATCGCCCGCCACCCGCCCTACGATGGAATCTTGAGAAACTCGCCTTTTAAGGTCAATTTTGACGGAAAAAGTATGAAAAGGGTATTTTTTGTTAATTCGAAGTCATTTCATCTAATTTTTTTGAATTTAAAAATAATAAACGATTCTTTGAATGTGAGAAAAAATCGCCTTCGATGATAATATTCGAAGGAGAAATAAAATAAGGATTGAAAATGATTTTTCTCGGTTTTCATGTCATTTTATCTAATTCCCGATAAAAAAAGAGGAAAAAAATTTTCTTTTGAGTTTTGAAAATCGCATTTTAATGTCAAAATTCGACGGAAAATAACTTTCACAAGATATTCTTTTGCAAATTGGAAGTCATTCCATTATTGCATTGGCTAATTTCAAAAAAACAATTTTTTTGAGCGACTATAAAAAAACCTGGAAAAAAATAAGAAATATTTATTTTTTTCTTTCTTGCTGTTCCTTAGAAGCGTTTCATTTGATAAAAAGCTTCTTTTAAGCTGTAAAATTCAAAATGTGTCTTTTATTTCAATCCCGAAACCCAGAGAAAGTTTCGGAATGAAGCCTAAAAAAATGACTTTTTTTGAGATCGATCCTCAAGTTCCACTCCTCTCTACTACGGAAAGTCATGCCGCTGGGCACACGGGTTTTTCGAAGGACCCGAAAATTTAATTATTATTGTTCGAATTGATAGATGAAGCCTACAACCGTCTCTGCAACGCGATGCGGAGAAACGGCTCTTCTTCGGATGGAAGTGTTCAGCGACCGACTCCGCAGCGAAGGAATCAGGGTACGAGTTTGTGAATTAATTATCAAACTGAACTTCAAAATTTCGAAAAAAAAAACTGACCGGAAAAGCTTTTTTTTTTTGGTTTTTTCTCCGAAAAACGTTTTTGAAAAGTAAAAAGTGGTGGAACATACTTATATCCTGATTCTTAGAAAAGTGAGTCACTTTAGAAATCAGATTTCGAAATATTAAAATACCTGCTCCAGCAAAATTTCGAAAAAAAGTTCCCGTTAATCTCGGGCTTCTCCGGTAAGCTGTGTGTGTTAGGTTATAAACAAAAGTCCGAGCTCGGAAATTTTCAATTAACTTATATCAGGCAATATTATTGAGTTTTATAGGAAACTCCTCTTTTTTGGGAAAGTGTGTGCTTCTGTTTTTAGCCAAAGCAAGGCCAATTTCTTGAAGGATTAACGGTTTTCTCACGTGAAAGAACCATCTATGAATAAATTCTAGCATATATTCCCATACAAATTCTTCTGAATCAATCTTTTTTATCAGCCCCAAACCGTGCCTTCTCGAGTGGGGACGTCCTCTCTGTCACTGGCGCTTCCGGACGTTTCCTGATGGACGGAAGTTCGACCAGCGACTACGGTCAGCTGCAGACGTTCAGCAACACGACTCCTGTCAGGCCTGCGGTTCGTTTCAAGGGAGTATGAAGAAAAAAGCCGCGTGAAAAATAACCCGTTAAGTTTGAGAAAAAAAAAAGCCGGCGAGAAATGAGCGTCTAAAATTTAGCCATAGTCGGCAGAATTGGCTTGGAAAGGCGCCCATGGTTGCTCGGAATTGGGCCTGCCGCGAAAAATAAATTGCAAAAAAGAAAAATAAATTGCAAAAATTTCGAGTCGGGAAAAAAAATGGATTCCTACAACGAGATGGCGACTTTTACGCGTGAAATTAAATCGATGGCTTTGAATTACACATTACTTCCAAAATTTTGACGTTCGGAGCCTAAAAGTCTCTGTAGGACCCGATTTATTTTTCAGCGATTTCTTTCGAAATGCCAGTTTTGTGTATTTCTAGCCATTCCGCGCCAGCTTTTTTAGTTTGGTTTATGCTTAAAAAAAAGAGCGTATACCAAGTTAGATCAAATTTTGCCGAACAAGATATATATTTTTTTTGTTTTTTGTTTTTTGCAGGTTTGAAGAGGAAAAGCGAAAAAAGAGATTTTTTTCGGTCACTTTTTTTCTGCTATTTTATTTTATTTTATTTTTTTGAAAAACGCAGCGTTAAAAATCATTTTGAACGACGAAGACATCAATTTTGAATGGCCAAACTCGCTTTGAAAATTGCATTAATAAATTTTTGTTTTTTTCAGAGGAGCATCAAAAGAATCAACCCTCAGAATCGCCTCAGGGCTCCATACGTCGGGGTTAATGGGGGCGGCAGCGAACAAAACAGCGATTCGGCTTATTTGGAAGTCGTCTAAATATTTCATTTTCTTTCAAATCGATAATTTTCGTTATGTTTTCCTGCTCTTTTGATTGTTGATTTTGCACATCTTCGCCTTTTCTGATCTCTGACTTTTTTTTTCGAATTTCTGATTTTATCTGCTCCCGTTTTACTGTGTGTTCGTATGTTCGTTTTCAGAACGTTTTAATAAAAGAGTAATAATTAAAAGGTTTTCCATAATGTCTTTTTGTATTCTTCCATCAATTGCTTGATATTTTATTTTAGGGTATATGAAAACCCAATACGGATACATAATTACTCAGTATTTATGAAAACTACTTCAAAATTTTATTTCTGTATTCATTCCGGTCGGGAGCACAAGACAAGACATATCTTTCTTTTTTGGAAAAAGTTTTCATAACTTTTTGAATAATAAAAACGTGAGAATTTAATTTTCTTTCCTTTGACTTATTTCGACGAAAAAATAGCTACAACCAGAAGTACAGGGTGGCTCAAAATTACCCGCACAAAAGTTTGACGCCACACAGCAAGGCGAAAACGCAATTCTGGTGCTCGTAATACAAAAAATTTTGATTAATTGGATGTTTTTTACCATTTTGCCAAAATTCAGATCAATCGGTTTTGTTTTCGGTAAATGGCACCACCGAATCCACATCGCTCTTACATTCTGCACCTTTTCAAAGAAGAAGTCGCTCCGGTTGACATCATTAAATGGCTCGCAGTCTCAAGTAGAACCGTCTATGACTCGATTTATCGTTTCAAAAAGCTCGGCACGTTCTTGGATAGATGTGGGAGAGGAAGAAAAGCAACAGTCGTCACTCCAGACCGCATCAAAGCTGTGAAAGAGAGAACCAGAAGAAATTCACTTCGGAGCATCAGAAAGATGGCGAAAGATATGAAAATTAGTCAAAGTTTGATGGAAAGGATCCTCAAAGACAAGCTGAAGCTCACCTGTTATCATGTAAGAAAAGCAGCCATTCTTTCGGTAGCTACAACCAAGAAAAGGCTCGAAAGATCAAGCGAGCTCCTTCAGCGCGCGCGCACTGGTGAACACTTGGTTACAGCGTTCTCTGGCGAGAAGCTGTTCACGGTACAGGCCGAATTCAACTCTCAAAGTCATCAAGTACTTGCTAAGACGTCTGACGAAGCTTTTGGCAACGGAAGAACCATTCACCAAGCCCCTCACCCCGCTAGTGTGATGGTTTTCGGAGCAGTGTCTGCTGATGGCAAAACACCATTGGTATTCGTCGATCAAGGAGTCAAAACCAGCAAGAAAGTCTACATTTCGAAGATTTTGGAAAAGACACTTCTTTCCTGGGCTCAGAAGCACTCGATGGACGTCACTGGGTGCTCCAACAAGACGGAGCTCCAGCACACACAGCCAAGTTGTCACAACAGTGATCCGAGACCCATTTGCCTGCGTTCATCCCGAAGGACTAACGGCCACCGTTTTCACCAGACCTCAAACCTTTGGGCTACTCCTTCTGGGGTTTTGCAAAACAAGGTCAGCGCCAAACCCCACTCAAGTATCGAGGCCCTGAAGAAGACCCTGGTCTAGGAATGAGACACTTTGTCGCCAGATTACCTGCGTGCAACCATCGTCGCGTACCCTCGACGTCTTCGTGCTGTCATCGGAAAGAGAGGAAATCAAATGGAACAGGATTAGCTTATAATTGTTGTTATGATCATGAATAAACTTTTTGTTGATTCCCATGGATTTCTGACTTTTACTTTTTCTTATACAGCATTTATAGCTTGTGCGGGTAATTTTGAGCCACCCTGTAAAATAAAAAAAATTTTTTTTTCGAGAAGTATGGAAAAGAAAAAAAAAAGTCAAATTTTCGCGTTGAGCTTTGCCGGATTACCCTTGTGCTCCTCGGTCGCTTCTTCGGGAAGACAGGTTGCTCGAAGATACTCTGAAATCGAATTTTCATATCGTTTCTTTTTTGTGCATAGTAACAGCTGAACATAACGAAAGATTTGAGTGAAAACTGACTTTCAAAATCTTCCAGTTCGTCCGAAAACAGAGTCGAAGCTCTTTCCTTTTCGATTTCAATTATCTTCTCTGATTGTTCGTATGTCTGATCAGGCTTCAGACAGAGCTCTCTTAGTTTTTTTTGAGACGCTAAAAGAACTTTTTCAGGCCGAGTTGTAGTTTCATTGGAAACTCACGCAGGTCTTTTGAGTCGGTTTTGGAAGCAGAAGAAGGATCTAAAGCTGGGGAGTCAGTAGAGAGATTGTAGAAGTTTGTCTCTTCGAGCGGCGTTTGGAATCGAGTCTTCTTTTCGCAAGCAGTGGTCTTCGGTCGCTGCAGGTTCGCTTTTTTCAGAATTTCGCGTTTCATGACGGTCTTTTTTGGATGGGTCTTCTCAAGCTGAACCTTAATTGGTTTTTCGCTGAGTAGTTTCTCTTTTTTCGGCGGGGTTCCGGTGAACGAGATTTCCCTAGGTCCAATCACACCAGCCTCCATATTTATTTCCTTGTCCATCTTCGGCGTTTCTTCTCTCGTCTTTTCCTCTTTGATTAGGAGAACGGCAGAGTCCTTCCCAGCAGCTTTACGCTTGGGAGCTTCCACGCCCTCTTTCGACCCTTCGATCGGTATTCCAAGGCTGGACGGTTCTTTACTGTTGTTCTTTGAATTCGTGCGATTTTCAGGATTTGGTTTCACTCTTATGAAAAAAGCCACATAGGAAACGATCCCGAGAGCCAAGATCAGGAGAATGATTACGACAATGGCTGGAAGGATGATCATGTCTGTAAAACATATATTTTTTTGGGACTGAAAATAGTTTCACTTTTATTGAACAGAAGCTCATAAAAAAGCAAGAATCTTTTCTATTTTAATGGCATTCAGAAATGATAAAGCTTCATGTCAACACAGGCTTCTCTAATTTTGAAGCTCTTCATTACACAAAAAACTATGAAACTATGACGTTCTTATCATTCTTTTTTTTCTAAATTTTGGCCTTCAGTTTCAATCAACTCACTTGTCGAGGGGCATTCTTTCTCTTCGGCAGCTGGAGCGAGCGCGGCGGCCCCGACGCAATTTTGAGGCGGCGATTTTGTCGCAGTCGTCGTGGAACTGATAGCTTCGTCTGGAGCTACTGTAGTGTCCGGCGCCGTCGTCACGAGAGTTTCAGCTGTCGTGGTTCTCGTCGTTGGTTCTGGCGTCGTCGTCGCGATGGTGGTGACAGTCGTGGTGTTGATCTCAGGTTCGGTCGTCGTCGCGATAGTTGTCGTGGTGTTGACAGCTTCTTCAGTCGTCGTGGGCGCCTCCGTTGTCACCGTCGTGGTGTTAATCGCTTCTGTAGTGGTTGAAGGGGCTAGCGTCGTCAACTTGGCGCAATCGGCCAATGTCTGAAAATTACGGTAGTTTTAGTGCGCGTATGAAGATCTTCTGAGATTTTGATTCGCCAAATGAAAATACACATATTGAGACATCGGAGCTTTGAAAGTTGAAACTTTTGGGAGGCTATGGACCTATGGATCTTCTTTTGGTTTCTTATTCTTTCTCTTATTGAAGGATCTACCTGATTTGCAATTGTTTCCAGCCTTTTCCTAACAGTCTCATCAATAGTGCCTTCGATTACAATAAGTTTTTCTCCTTTGCAGTAAGGGCGGATGTCGTCGACAGTTATTTTTTGCAATTTGTCAAAAGATCTTCTTAACATCTCAACGTTACGAAGAAAAATTGCCGGACCTGGAAAAAAGTGACCAAAATGAGAGCCCTTTGACAGTTAGGCGGAATTCAATTCTGAAGACGAACCAGGTCCTTTGTGAACTAGCTCTTTCAGATAATCCATCACTATAAAAGTCATGCTATTGTCGATGACGGTGAGCGTGCTGATCTTCTCTGCTACCCTTAGGAATCTTTGAATTCCACGTCCTTCTTTATAAGAACTTTCAATAATAATCGGCGCCTCTGTGCAGCGAAGCCTTTCACATTCAGGAGGAATTGCTTCTCCAGAAGGATAGGCCAACATGGTTCTTTTGCAACATTCTTCTGCAAAAAGGAATGACGTTTAATGGGAAAACATGATTTTTTTTAAAGTTTTATCAAAGCCTCAATAGAGACCTAAAATAGGTGAGAAAATTGAACATCCAGAAAACCTCAGAATACATTTACTGGCTTGTCATTGTTCAGATTTTCTGGAGGTGAGAAGACATCTTTGAAAAATTATTGTTCAAAAAATAATTAAAACCCCGAAACGAGCATCTTTCTTGAGAAAGATGATATCGAAAAAGTTTCTGAGATTTATTCAGGAGCTTAAAAAATGTTTTTTCTCCTTCCATGTTTTCTCCTCGTGGAGTACGCTTATAAATTATAACTGATTAACTTTTTAAACAGAGTCAAAAACCTTCAAAGCGACTTATGTCAAATTATTTCAGCTTCGTATAGAATAAAAAATTGAATACCTCCAGCAGAAACTTGAAAAAGACAGGACAGCGCAATAAGAAAGAAACAAATCGGGTCTGTGAACATCTTCGAAGACCACTCTTAAAAAAATATACCAATAATCCAAAATGCTTAAAGGACACTACTGAGAAAACAAAGATGATTAAAAAAACACTTTCAAAAAGTTCGGTGCAAATTCTTGGAATTCCGGCTCTTAAAGAACTGACCTATTGGATAGACGTCCAATGGTCGCCGCAAATAATAAGCTTTGAGTTTCTCGTAACTCGCGTTGATTTCCGTTTTTCCTGTCACGTTCGTTTCATCATTTATTTTACAAGTTTTGCTTTATCGTCGAAGAATTCCTCAGACTTCTCTAAAAGAACTTTAGAAGTCTTTACATGGGATTTGTTTCTCTATGAAGTATTGCGCCATAGTTATTCCTCAAACTAATTTATCAATATAATTTTGAGCTCCCTTTCCAATTTTTAAGTTCAATATTAAAAGGGTTGCTGCTGCTCCGTGTCTCGATTTCGATTTTATTTTTGTAATTGTTGCTTTTGAAGAGTTTTGATTCAATTCTTCCAATCATACTGCATCATTGAGGTATAGCCGATTCACGGTTAGCTTGGGACGCAAAAAGGCGTGGCCTGTCTGCGCCCTCCACCGACCAGGCGCTGTCTCTTTTCTTATCGTGTCAGGGCCCTTTATTCGATGGCTCAAGCCAGCCGTGAATCAGATATACTTTTGGAGTTTAGTGAATTAAATTTATAATTTTTTTGGTTTTATGAAATAAAAAAACCAGCGAAATTTCGAACGGCGACTTTTCCGATTTTTTCATATTGCTAGAAAACGTTTCCAACACTTGTCAATCGGTGTATCCACAAAAATAGCTAACGGTGTCCAAAATTTAGTTATACTTTTCTTTCCCTAACCGCTATTTTGCATTTCGCGGAATCACTTTTAACCCGGCATTAAATACAGTAAATACAGTCGGAATGCGGTCAATCAGAGGTGGAAGAAATGAGGAGCCCTCCAGGGCGCAACATGCCCGCCCTAGCCATCAGGCCCCTCTTTTCTTTAGGCGAAATGTTCCAGATTTATGGTTACGAACCCGCTGACTAGTGAGAAAATAAATTTCCGTCGCCACCAAATTGGAAATTCAAAAAACCTTGTTTTAAAGGTTCGAAAACAACGATTTTACAAGATTTTAGAAGATTCCGATTTTTGCGCGTTCTTTTTCTTCCAATGGCGTTTTTTTGCCATCGCGGTTTTGGCCCCGGGCGCCCTGGGCAGCGACTTATCAAGAAATGGCCATGGCGGCCTACGTCGGTTTAGAAATGTAAACGTTTGAAAACGCTTAGGAGCGCCATTTCTCCACCTCTGCCCGGTCAATCAATAAATAAGGTACAGACTCTAACTTTCTGCTATTTCAGTACTCTGTGTGTGCAATCCGATACTTTCCCTATGCTATCTGGATTTGCGAGTGTTGAGGGAGCTTTAGAAGTATGCTGCCGAAGTGCACTCCGTCAGCTGTCGAAAAATATGAAAAATCATAAAAGCTCGTCAAATATTGCGCATTTACAGCGTTGTGCTCGCGGCCCTTTTGATTACAGTAACCAGGAAAATTTTAAAATCATTTCTTACTGTTTTTTTTTCTATTCTAAATTTAGGTTCATTTATTTCACCTGACACGTGTGAATTTAACGAAAAAATTAACAAGAATGGAAATGAGTATTAAAAAAACACAAAAATGAGTTCTGCTTGAATTTCTCCTTTTTTTGGGTTTAGTTTAATGAGAAGTGACGCTTCCTGCCGATTGACTGAACGAAGTTGAGAGAAGGGACATTGGGTTTCCCTGCGATGGGCTCACGCTGATTGATCTGAATTGTATTTTTAAAATAAATTCGGCGTCTCACTCGTGTAATCTATATATCTTTTAAAGGTCTAGTAGAAATTCAGTTCCGAAACAAACTTTGAGGGCGAGAAGGCGTTGGGGGTCAATCTTTTCGGTTTCTTCTGCTCGCCAAACTTCTGTCGTTGTACGAGTGTGGCATAGGTTCCAGGTTGGCTCAAAAGCTGTTCATGGGTTCCGATTTGTTCTACTCGTCCCTGAAATTGAACAAGTTATCGAAATTCTTTGATCCCAAGACTGAACCTTATTGATAACGATGATCTTATCGGCCTTCTCAACAGTTGATAACCGATGCGCAATCAATATCACACTTTTGCCGCCGAGGTTCTTGTAGATGGCTTCCTGAAGTTTTCCGGTAGATGTAAAGGCTCATTTCAAATTTCTGAGATGAAGAAAATGATGCTTATTTCAAGTTAAACAAAGAAAGTATGTGAAAAAAATGATTCATAACAGATGCCTTTTTTTAAACCCACGTCTTTAAAGTCGAAGACAGCAAAACGTAATTTTTTTGTTTGAAAAAAAGTAGCTTCTTTTGCGCTTCAAACTTTTTTTTTTGGAGACGGATGGATAAAATAAAAAACAAGGGAAAGTCAAATGAGAAAGCTTCAAATTCGTGCCTCAGTTTTCTCAAAATTTTTCTGTGATTAATTTTCATTTTTTTCAATTTCACAAATTTGCTTTTCTTATCAACCTGAACAATATGCTCCGACTCTGTGTCCAAAGCTGAAGTCGCCTCATCGAGGAGCAAAATCGCGGGTTGCCGGACCAAAGCTCGAGCAATGGCGATTCTTTGCTTTTGACCACCTGCAAAATGAATTTTAAAAAAAATTTCTTGAAATGTCTTTTCCATCTCTCTAATACTGGCCAGTAGCACTCGTTGGGCAAATAGGTCATACTTTTGTAAAATGGGTGCAACTGCCGATCACCCGGTGTATTTCAACATTTCGGATCATCCCCTGGACCCAAACGAGACTTGGTACGTTAATCGGACGTTTGCGTAGATCCACTGGACTTGAACGAGCTCTATCCGCGGCGAAAAATTGCGTTTCGGGCGCTCGGCTCGAATCAAAGGGGTGAATGACGGTAGCATCCGCGGGTGTTACTGGCCAACATGAGAGTAACCTAGTAGATGACTTAACACCTTTCGCAGTCCACGTGAAGTGTAAAAAGAAATATTTTTGAAACAGGAAAGCTCCCTCCAGAGCCTCATTTTCAGTTCTCACCCGACATTTGCGTTCCTTTCTCGCCGACGTTCGTCTCGTACTTGAGCGTCGTCTGAGAGATGAAATCATGCGCGTTGGCCATTTCTGCCGACCGGATAATGTCCTTAACCAAATTATGTTTCTTGTGGTCTATTTTTTTTCGCCACAATCAAAAACCTTTATCTGACAGAACAACGCTACCGTTCTGATATGCTTCAGGACCCAACCAGTGAAATTTCTCATGAACAATGCCATGTCAAACAGTTATGACGTCACAATTGAAATCCCTCAGCTTAACTTATCCTATGAGCTTTTCCTGAAGCTCAAAGGTAAGCTTCTCCCCCATTGAAGACGCCACCAAAAGACAAAAACGCATCATATAATCCACATCTTACAGTAACCTACCGTATCAGGAACATCAACTCCATATCGAATATTTTCCATGACAGAGCGCGCGAAAAGAACTGGCTCCTGGCCGACCAGGGCGATCTGAAGAGCCGAATTTCAATTTTATCCACTTATTTATTTTCGTAGAACCTTCCTATGAATGTAGTGGTGTTCATACTCTTCCAGGGGAACTCCGTCGACGAGAACTTGGCCGGCGTTCGGGAGGTAGAAGTTCTCGAGGAGGGCGATGCAGGACGATTTTCCGGAACCTGAGGGACCGACAAGGGCCACCGTCTCTCCCGGTTCGACGATGAAGGAGAGGTCCTTAAGAACTCGAAAAATTAGGAGTTTTCAAACCAGGAAGACCCTCAAGATGGGGAGATTGCTGCGGGTGGGGTAGCTGAAGTGAACGTTGCGGAATTCGATGCGACCCTTGACCGTTTCGGGCTGATACTCGCCGTTGTGCTGGATGACCGGCTGGCGGTCGATGTACTCGAAGACTTTACGGCTGGCGCCGACGGATTGCATCAGGCCGGTCCAGACCTCGCCCATTTGCCGGAGGTTGTCGCCGAGCTGCATTTGGTAGAGGAGGAAGGCCACCAGGAGGTCCGCCTGCGATTTCAGCTTCGTTCGAGCTTTTATTTCTATTGCTGCTTTTTAAGAATAAACGTCTGAAAGTCAGAATACTTTCAAACAAAATCCAATAGTCTGTCTCCTATGAATTTTTCATATTTCCGGGTACCTGTCAACTCTTGGTTGACTCACTCCCGTGTATTGTTATTCCTCTGTCTATCTCTCACTTGATCACTTATTTAATTATTATTTTCTGTTAAATAACGGCAGTGAATAAACTATTATTATTATGATTATAGTTTTGAGTTCTTACTCAAAAACGTGAGAACAGCAAAAGGTACTTCCAAACCTGCATTTTTCCAGTCAGCACGAGATGACCACCGTACCACAGGACGCCGACAATGATAAACGATTGGAACAGCTGAAAACTCCTCAAACTCCTCAAGACTCTTATCCATTCTCAAACCTCCGAGACCCACAGAAAGCCAATGTACGCAATCGCCTTGGTCTTGGTAACTTTCAATGTGTCGGTGAGCTTCTCGTAGAACCTGTCGACTTCGACATTCTCGCAGGCGAAAGATCGGACCGTCCTCATGGTCGACAGGACTTCCTCGGCGACGTCGTTCGACTCCGCCACCGCGTCTTGGGTCCTTTCGGAGAGGATCTGAAGTCGGATTGTCATTGGGTTGGCCAGACACTCAAGAATTTCGGGCAAAGCTTAGATCTTGTAGCGGTTACTAGAGAAATTTGAGAGAATCTTTGGTTTTACAGTTGTCACTAAAGGCTTGAGCAAGGCTTAGATCTGGCAGTGGTCACTCTTCGTTTTCTATCATTTTCTGATAGGAATGAGTTCTGCGTTTCTCGATTCGAACTCAACTATTCATTATTAAACCATAACGAGGATGCTTATTTTAAACCGGACATCCTAATAGAATCGAAATGAAAAAAAAAACAGCCAAAATAGTAGAAAACGAAGTATTTTATATAATTAGTAAACTGAAACTTGTTGCTTACCATTAGGATCTTGGCTCAAGAAAATATCTTGATGAATTGGAAGCTTTTTCTCATGGTATATTTATTGTCCTTTCTCGGAACTTCCAGTAGCCAAAAAAACAACAAAAAAACTTCATCAATTAGAACCTCTCCCAGATTTTTCGTCATTATTATTATGAAAAAAATTCAAAAAGAGTTGATAAAAACTAAATCAAGCCTTTTTTTAAAAATACCAATAAGCAATAAGCCCTCAAAATCTCATGAACTCTTCCTGAGTTTTTGGTGATTATCTTATTTATACTCTTCACTACCTTCAGTAAAAATGAAGACTTCTTCAAAAACACGGAAAATTTCATGAAACGTTCAAAACAAAGCTTCACACTTTTTGAGAGTATTTTAGAAGATTCTACGTTCCTGGAATTAAATAAGAATAACTTATTGACAGATCAGTGCAAACCCTAAAGAGTTCCCTTAGATCTGAAAGGTCAATTCAGGGGCTTAGGACGTTTGTTTCAAGTCAAACTAACATCATAATAAGTTCCGAAAATCTTCGAGGCGACGAAGATGATGGGGACCAAGATGAAGGTGACCAACGAGAGACGCCAACTCAGCTTCATCATGAACGCCATCGAGCCGATCAACATCACCGTGTTTCTGAAAACTTTCATTTTTTTTTGACGGAAAAAATAGTTCACAAGGAATTAATCCCAAAACTATTTTCACATATAAAGTTTAGAGATGCAAAAAAGAGTATTCGTCTAAAACCTCCTAAAGTTTTTCTACGCTTTTTTTTGAACAAATCAACAAAAGGATTTGGGCTGAGAAAGCTTTGCGTGAGCCAGAAAAGAAGAGAAGCTTCAAACTTTCCGGAAAATCAATCGAATCAGCAAAGTTAACACAAAAATTCATGTCTGAACGTAGAAATAATCAGGAAATTCGAAGACTGATCCGTTTCCGTATCAATTTTAAAATTCTTAGCAAAGAATCATTTCAACACACTTTACATGTAAAGTATAACTGCACCTCAAAAACACATTGACGTTCAACGCGACAGTATCCGACATGGTTTGACAATCAGCCGCGAGACGTGACGTCACTTCTCCTGGAAATCAATAAATCAACAAAATATCTTTTTGTTGAAACCACCTGTCTTATGAGCATCGTAAAAAGCAACGTCCTGTCCAACGAGACCCGAGAAAAGATCGTAACGAATGGAACGTTGAATTCTGGCGTAGGCATACTCGAAAGAGCCTCCACGGAAACCCGCAGCCACAGCACTGAATGAAGAATTGATGGGTTTCATGGTCGAGTAGAAGCATGAAAATTCAAGGACCTGGAGGTCAAAAATTCACTTCGCTTTATGAACTCACTAGGTAGAAATATTAAAAATTCCCATTTATTTTAACAACTTTCAGTTTGGACGAAAAATTATAACATGACTGAATTTCAAACCAATATGAAAATAATGCACAATAATTAAATACTATTTTTAAATAATAAAAAAAGCACGTGAAAGTGTCATTTTCATGCGAAAACTTTTCTTTGGAGAGCCATGTTTACATGGCGACGCAAATTCGCAACCAAGACGCGGAAGTAGAATCATTCCGTGTAAAATCTTCATTCGAAGTGGTCGCTCTCATTCTGAGGCTTCCACCTAGAGCACGGTCTCCGGGCTCCAGCACAAGATCTGCTACATTCTGAGCTCGTCAAGGCGCAACTGGATGGACTACGCGCAGAAGGACGAGGCGAAGGACCGTAAGACCATGCGTTCAACTCTTTCGCCTACACGTTTGGACTTCTAGCTCGCCAAAGGCGGTTGTTCGTTATAGCTTTTAAAGTTCTTGTTCACCGCCTAGTCGATTACATCAGACTAAAACAACAAAATAAATGATTTGATTTGTTTCGAAAGCAGAATCAAAAGTATAACCATTTGAAAATGATAAATTATTGACAATGTATTTCGCAAATGTAGATTAACTAAATCATTGAAATAGCCCTGACCTAACAAGGGAGATAACGGCCATGATGTAGACGGCGTTCGCCAGGGAACCATAGGATTTGGTTGCGACCACGGTGGCAATGACTTGGCCAGTGTAGTACGGCACGAAGATGCGCGCTAGAAACAATCATCACATTCTTCAGGAAAGAAGAACTAACAGGAGAATTCAATTCACTTCGTGGTCGAGGGCTCCGTTAAATTTGGCCAGAACTTCTTTATGTATCAGAAAAAGATTCTGAAAGGTTCAATTCGCACAACTTCCTAGTCTTCAAGAAATAATAGCTCGAAATGACCTATTTTAACGGATTTTAAAGGTTTTCTTTGACTTTCAGATGTTCTTTCTCAAACAACTAGAAGTGTATGCAGGTTGAATTTTTCAGAATCTTTGTCCGGTAGACCGAAGAGTGTTCTGGCCGAATTTCAAGAAAACCGCGAAGTGAATGACCTCCCTTGTAGGGAAAACTAACTGATCGAGTAGATGAACAAGAAAGAAAAGCCGGATATGTGCCAGAGCCACTCGCGTTTGCAGTACTGCAGAAGACGGAAGATCAGCTCGAAGGTCTGCTTTGGGCGGACATGATCTTCCTGTGCAAAATGGTTTGAAGGGCATAAAAATGGGATAAAAACATCGTATTCTTCATCGAGGACGACGTAGGAGGACGGGGTTCGGCTGAAGAATCGTCGCCAGGTGAAGTCGAGGAGAACCGAGGCGATGAAGTTCCAGACGAGGATACCGTAGTCGCCGACAGACAATGGGTCTCCTGCAGCCAGAAAGAATGAAATGGGCATTTCGGGGAAGTTCTTTTGACTAGATTGAGGAGTCTGAAAGGTTAGTTCTATCAAACGTAGTTTGATAGAACTCGGACTTCTGTAACGCAGAGTGGCAGATTCATTTTAGATAAATAGGAAAGTAAATTGATTGAGGACTTCGAAATTCCAAAATCAACCGGAATATTTTCTTCGAAAAGAAATCAATGGAAATGTTTTCGGTTTCATTCTAGTTCCCTCCAAACGAAGGTCTTAGGTTAGGGTCCGCAAGCCATTTCTTCAGAACGATTCAAAAAATATGTTTTCCACATTGTTCGATAGAGGAGACTGTCCATTTTCATAATCCGTTTATTTTTTGAAAAAAGCTCCACTAAGAAAAAAGTTATGGCCAAAAAACGAGCGCGCGCGGCGTACAACTGGAGGCAAAATCTCACGGTTTACCCGCTGCCGCACGCTTTCTTTTTAAATGTTTTTGCGCGTTTCTGGACCGTTTTTAAATCGGTTTTCTGCTCTGAGAGATTGTCCGAACTGATCCTCATGTTTTGGTATGAATCTTTTTGTACAATCCTCATAAGAATTTTTTTGATAAAATATCAAAAAAACTACCTAGAAAAAAAGGTCAAAGGGATTTTTTTCAGCTTATTTTTTTCTTTTTTTCTACTCAGAAAAAAATTATTATCATTCGATTTGGAAAAAAAGAAAAAAATGAAAAAAATAATGTTATTTCGAAATAAAAACAGGAAAAAAAGTGCAATTTGACCCCCGAAAAAAACGGCTCCTGCGACATTTAAAAGGGGCGCATCGGTGTGTTTGACGCAAACACTGCTACGGACGCTTGCACGAAATCTTCCGAAATTTCAAAAAAAATTGCCATTTTTTCGAGGTTTTCAAAGCCGTTATTTTTTTCGCGTCGATCGATTTTTTTCATAATTTTTTCATTGATAGAGTTTTGAACGCTTAATAACATAATCAAAAATATAGACGCGATCCTATTCTCTCATGCGTCAACGAGGCAGGCGAAAAAAAGGAGGTTTTGGTAAAAACACAAATATAATTTGATTCGCTGTCCCAATAATTGTTTTCATTTTTGAATTTTTTTATTTTTTTGGACACACTGTTAGTTTTTAAATCAAATAAAAAAAGTATACCATGTCGCTGAAATTTTTTTTCGCATTTCAGCTTCAAAGTTTGGTGTCACTTTACAAGCTTCGATTTTTTTTTCGCGTCGGTAGATTTTTTTCATTTTCACTCAAAAAAATAAAGAAAGTGTTAATGTATAACATACTTAAAAATTTAGAAGCGTTCCTCACTTGGTTTTCTGAAACGCGACGATTTTGTGAAACTTGTCCGTTTCTTTCGTGTTAAATCTTACTTTTTTTCGCTTATTTTTTTGAAGAATACATAGTTTTAAAAATATTCAGTCTTGTAGAGCGTTGTCGATTACATAGATTAACAGAAACAGTTCATTTTTAAAGTGGGACTTTAGCTAGTATAAACGCCTCAAAACCGTTTTTGCAACAAAAAAATCGTCATTTTGGTGGCGTGAAGAGGCGGGGCTTTGCGCCCCCTATCTTAGGTCCAAAAGAAACTGAGTCCGGCTTTTCGAAGAAGATTTTAAGAAGTGAAGGAATGAAAAACTCCAAAAGGTCACAACTCCCTCCAATCTAATTTTTGAAGGTTGAGCAGGTGAATGAAGAGACTTCAGTCATTTAATAATTTCCTTTTTTTTTAAACTTCTTCTCATCATTTTCATTTTTCCGATACAAATCAACCTGAATTTTGTTGAGAGAGCTCAAGCTGAATTTTTTTTTAAAAGGAAAAAAATTATTATTCTCCTTTCTCACCTACCCGGCTTCAATTTTTCCGTGAGAAGGAGCAGCTTGGTTGGACTGGCTGCACAGAGAAGCAATGCCGAGCAGAAGATCGGCTGGATTTTCCGACTTCTTTTGAATATGCAACCAGACAAACCTCTTTCCAAAGCGGCAGACTATCAGCCCTGTTCATGGCATGGATGACAGCCGGCGTCAGCCAAAGGCCCGTCCTAATGAATTGCAGAAGGAGCATGTCGATTGTACTGCAACTGTTTGGTTCAAAAATGTTGATTCTCACAAAAAAGGTCATTTTACTACGCGGTTGGGTTTTTCTGAATCCTTTCTTTCTTAAAAAAAGTAAAGCTAGAGAAAAAAACTGATCGTCAGTCATCTAGAGAAAAAAACTGATCGTGGCAAGTAAAGCTAGAGAAAAACTGATCGTCAGCCTAGCCACAGATTTATTGTAAACTCTAAGAGAAAATATTTCCGAATAAGACCTTCTGGCTATAGTTAGTACGTTTTCTCAAATTCTTTCACGACCATTTCATTTCAGGCTATTTTTCGGGACAAACAGTAGTATTGGTAAGGCCGTGTTCAATACTTAGAATATACTTAGAATCTTTGGAGGGGTACCTATAGGGAATTTCAGAGAAGCCCTATGAGGGACCCCCAAAGGTATTACTACCTCAGACTTGAAACCCCTAAAATGTTGACCTCTAAAGGGAACCCTGGTTTGTCCCTTTAGGAATCCCTAAAGCAAAAAACCCCCATAGGGGCCCTCAAAAATTCAAAACTTTAGAAAAACCTCGAGAAGAAGCTGAAATCCGTGAATTGAGACGTAAAGTTCCTGGTGGAGAACGTGCCGTCGTGCAGGAAAATGAGCAGAAGACATGCCAGGAAGTCGACGGCCGAGAAGAAAATGCCCCAGGAGAGCCGCGAGACCGTCGGCGACGACATTTCTCTTCCAGATAAATCACCCGAGTTCTATTTCGAACCATTCATTTACTATTTCAAGTTTGAGATTGAGTAAATTCAAATTGAGAAAAGGGCTTTGTGAAATTGAGAAAAAAAAAATGGATGAAAGTCAGAAAAGTCTGCTTTTTCCTAAAATTAAATGTTGGTTGGAAATAGAAAAAAAAACGCTTCAAATGACTGATTGATAAGCTAACTTTTGGGAAAAGGGAATTAGGACAGATGAAATTCTGGATTTGAAAAAAAAAGGGAAGAGACTAGAAAAGTCCCTTTCTTCCTAAATTTAGCCGTCTAGAACAGAAAATCTCGCTTCGATATAATTATTGACGAGTTGAAGCTCCAGTAAATTAAAATAGATAAGATGGATTTACACAATTTAAAAAAATGGGTAGAAGTCAAAAAAATATTTGTTTTCCACAAATAGTCTACCGAAAGGGAAAAAAAACTCTCGCAGGAAAAAATTAGACTTGGCTAAACATCAATTTTTTCTCAGACTAAAATGAACTTTAACCTAATCAGTAAGCTGAAAAGAAAATATACAAACTTTTTAATCGCTAAGTTCAAGATTGGATTATTTAAAATAGATAAAAAATCTTCTTTTTTTCGTCAATTGTCCAGAACGAGAAAAAAAACCAAAACTTTTGGCATCATCTACCTTTCTTGGAAGTTCCTAAGAACAATTTTTGAAAAAAAAACATATTAGGGTCTGAAGATTCTCAAATCATCAAAATGTCTTGTAAAAAGAAGTGAATTACAAAAATGGGCAGTAAAACAAGAAGAAATAACCTAAAACAAAACATTGGTGAGAAAATCCTCAGAAAAACTGAAAAGCCTTACCAACTTTTCTATTTTCCCAACAGGTAATCGAAGAAAAAATTAACAGAAAAAGAAAATGGAAGGAAACTTCTCAACACTAGAAAAAAAAGAGCGCTTGCACATTTCTTATCGGGAGCCCGATTCCACGCTCGGCGATAAGCAAAAATCTTCGGTTCATTGATAAAATTGGCTTTCGAATCGAATAGTAGCTTGATTATAACTTGAAGAAAAAATTGAATTTATTCTCGAAAAAGGGAGAAAAATATACATAATCAGAGAGGACCCATACAACTTGAGGCCCAAACTAAGATGAAACTAAGAAGGAAGGCCTAGGAAAAAAGAAAAAAGGAGAAAATTCAAGTTTTAGTGTAGAGAAAGAATGGAATAAATCTATTTATTGTTAATCATTCGGTTGGCGACCGTGTTGATGCTTGATGGCACGTTTTCGATCGTTGTGAAGACCTAAAAAGCTGGGAAAATCAAAGTTCGTTCTTCATGTTGTGATAAAAATGCTCGTATCAATGCACTTTCAAAGATATCAACGCTAAAATTTTTGCACATTTAAGCAAGGGAATCATAATCATAAATTGTGAAAGAAGGGACGAAGACAATTACAAGAAAAAGATTTTCAATTGGAAAAAAGACTTTTCAGAGAAATAAATATTCAAACCACAACCTCTAACAGAGGAAAGAGATTTGAAAGTCTCATGAAATAAGTATTCAAGTATATGAATTTTTTTGAGACAAAACTCAAAAAAGCAGTAGAACCAATTTAAATTTCTAAGTGCTATAGCCAGCTAAGAAAATATTGAAGCTAAATTAAGCGCAAAAGATGTTAAATGTTAAAAAAACATTCATTCATTCAAAAAATTATAAAAAAACATTCTTGAATTCTTTAAAGAACTATAAAAAAATTCACTTCGCGTTAAATCGCAAACCGCTACTCCCTGACGTCATCCCTATGACATCATCTTCATTTGCAAAACTCGCACACGCAGCCATATCATTTTATTCATTTTTTTACGTTCCAATTTATAAAAATTAGATTCGACGTGAAAAACTTTTTCCGGTCACATGAGAAACAGAAAGTTATCACACTTAAAAAAATCCCCTTTTGATTGGAAACTTTTTTTTCTCACTTTTTTTAAAGAAACCTTTTTAAAGGTTTGGAATAATCCTAGGCGTCGAGGCCCACGCTTACGCACAGTATGCTCCTTTGATATTTTTCTTTTTTGGGAAATACATTTCAAAGATTTTTTTCGCCACGCGTATCAAGTTTGCAAATCGTTTAGAGCTACCTGATAGTGTTTTTAGTGTGCACGTTTTGAAACTAAATGCCTTTTATGTCAAGTATTCATTTATTTGACGAATTTTTCACTGTGGCTGAGTTTTTTCGAAGCGAGCCACAGTCGGCTTCGCGCTATGCGCGCTCCGCCTCCGTGTGAAGCCTTAAAACTAAGCCTGTTTTCTTAAGTAATGCATGAACCCGTAGGCGCAGTTTTAATGCAAAGGCGCAATTCAGGCTCTTCCCATTCTTCAATTTTCAATTTCAATTTCAATTCAATTTATTCAGTCTTCAGAGTAAGATGAAGAAAATCTCTGCTGAATCATGGTATAATCGAAGAGTTAGTCGTCGGCGCGGGTTACGGTCCACAATCGTTGTCCAATACGTCCCGGAGTGACAGCTAGCGTTGGGAAACAATGTGGGACCGCGGGTAGTACCAGCGAATGAACTGCTTCACCATAATGGAACAGTACGGAGCCCAGCTTGTCCAGGGCTGACGGGCGTCGGAATATTATCCCATGCGAGAGCGGCAATGAGACCGACCAGTCGACGTGATGAAATGAGATAATAATAATCTGCTGAATCATGTTCACGTAAATAAAATGAATATATAGCCAAATATTTCGATTACGCTTATTTCTTGTGTTACGAATGATGTCATGAAATGATGTCAGGGAGTAGCGGTTTGCGATTTAACGAAAACTTAAAAATTCACATTTTTTTTTCCGAAAAATACGATCTAGTTATCAAGAAAAATAAGTAGAATAATTAAAACACTCTAATTCCGTTGAAAATTTATTTTAAAAAGCATTTAATTCACTCTCTTTCACATAAAAATTCTACACATGGAAAACATCAACGAATTCCTGCTCTTTTTGACATTATTTTATAAATCAAACCTTGTCAACTCCATTGTTCCATCGGCTGCCGACTTCCAATTGAACTTCTCTGGGAGATGGGAGCTGGAAAAAAATATATTTAATACAATTACTTCATTTCATCTTATCTGCAAAGTCAAACTTTGAACTCTATCTAAGACAAAGAACAATTGAGTAAAAAGAGTAAAAAAAGGATTGGGCGAAAAAAAAGGTATAATTTCAATACTTTAGCTCTAGAAATTTCAAATATTCAAAGGAATATTTCCGTACCTGTTCAGGAAAAACGATCGTGCCAGGGAGGATGTACTTTTTCAATTTTTTTGGTACAAATCGGATCCCTGAAGAAAAACAAATAAATTTTTCATAAAATAAACAAATTACCAACCTTAACATTGTTCAGTGACCAAATATCGTTGTCAATCGATATTTTGACTGCGCCGGCGACCAAGCCAACTTTAATAGCAAACCTATGAATAAAAATTTAAAACGAGCATCTAACTGGAAAAAAAGCGTGTTTCGATACTCACTTTGACAACTTCCAAAGAAAACCCATACCGTAGTTACCTGGAAAGAATCAATCAAATCTTTTTTCAAATTATAAAAAGAAAAAAGTAAAATAGTCGGCTCAAAAATCCTTGATGAAACTTTCGAAGGAACTTAAACAAAATACGTAAAAAAAAATGTCAAGGTAAATCGCCACTTTAAGCTTTAATTCAAAAATTTAAATTTTCTGCTCCTTCGAAAACCCTCACAGGACATTTTGAACATACCACAGTGTAAATTAAGTTGAAAAAAGATATGAGAAAAGATGCGCAACGCGGACTTTTGAAAGAAAAAAATCCGTGCAATCGGACGTCCGTGTGTACTTCGTCTTCAGAGAACTACAGTAATCGAAAAATGATCCTGAGCTGTTTTATTTCATTTTTAATTCGGTTTATAATGCAATAAATGAACAAATTCAATTCATTTAATACAGTATAAAAAGACGATTTTTCTCTTTCCGATGGTCAATCGATGAACTTCTCCGCGCTCGTCGTGAGCATATCATCCTCGTCTAAATGAATAGATTTTCTATTCTCGTTTCGAACATATTTAAAAAGTCTGGCCTCTTTGTTATCTGGTTTTCAAAACCTTTCCGGAGAGAATAAAGGCGGCGCAGACAGGTCAGACTTTTTCAATCACTTTCATAACTCACAACGCAATTTAACCATGATCAGCTCATCCGAAATTCGTTCCGTTTCCAGCGCCTCTTCATGAGTAGCCTTGAGAGGTTCCATCTTTTTCTCCGTGTCCTAGAAAAGTTTATTCACTTGAATCGTCTTAGCCGCGCGATGCACCCGACTCAAAGCGACTTGAAACTGACCAAGTCGAAACCTCTCTTGATGAGTTGGAAGCCATCATCGACGGGCAACCCATAGAACATGGGTTTGTGGGAAAAGTCCCTCGCGTCGACATCTTCCGTCGAGGCGACGGTCTCGATGAGGTCGAAAAATCGCCCCAGGGCGCGAGTTAGGACGAGTCCGCCGGGTGAGACCATCACGATGAAAGGGAACTGTAGGTGAGTTCATTGATTATTTTTTCGAAGAGAAAAGAAGTTTATCTCCCATTAAACTTTAGAATTCTCCAAATAGTCCATTCCAACGAATTTAAAAATTTCTTCGATTTTGAGGGGACTTCCCTCGACAAATAAAAAGTTTAGATAACGCTTAAACTTTGCTGAAATTCACTTGCCTTATTCCAACCAATAGCATAATTTAAACGCCTTCCGCTGATTTGTCAAGTTTTAACGCTTCAAAGACGCCAAAAAGCCTTTTTCGTTTTGAAGAGGAATAAAAAACGAGAGACAACGGCGGCCAATGAGTCGCCAGACACACCATATGGCGTCTCTCCAGGCTACCGTTGATCTCTCGCTCCTGCTCTTTTTTACTTTTCGTTTTTCGATTCTTTCCGTGATAGAAACTCGTTTTGTTCTACAAAAACCCTTTTTGATTGAAAATTAAAACGCTTTCTTCTTCATCTAACCAACATTAGTCTTTTTCGAAACGGCCATCAACGGATAGAGGACGTTGTTGAACGGCCTCGTCCTGAACGAGTGATGGAATCTCATCAGGTTATTGTGCATGACCGCCGAGTTTCTGGCAATCGGAAAGCGGCTTCCGAATCTGGAAGATAAAACGGAGGTTCAAAATACGGAGCAATTGAATCGGAACAGCTTCCTGAGATTTGAAAAGACAAATGTCTGTTCATATTTTAAACTTCAAGCAGCTAACTCCGCCCCTGCGGCCACAGTAACCTTCGTGTCAATGTTTTATCGCGCTTAACGATGATCCTTCAATAGATGTTTGATCCAAAAGCTTGAAAAATTAGTCAAAAAATGTTGCGCTATTAAAGGATCATCATCGCGCGCAATAAAATCTCGACGTGAGAAGTACTGTAGGCACTAAAGTCTGCAAAAATGATCTTTCGACCAATCTTTTGGTCAAAATTTTCACAACATGTCATCTTCAATATGAAATGTTAACATTTTGGCTAAATGAAAAGTTAAAATGTCAAAAAATAGCGAATTTCCTTCTTAGCCGACAGAGAAACATTTCATTTATAATGAGAGAACGTTTGAAGTCAATTGTCAAATTTTGATCTCTCAAAATGTCATTCAAAATCTGAACATTTGTGTGGGATTCGTAAACAAATAAATTCTTCTATAATTTAACGAACTACCCACGGGCTTCCGATCGTCGAGACATGGACCGCCGTAAAACCCCTCACCATATCGGAGTAAATGAACATGTTGGCCGTGTTGGGTTTCGGATGGGAATACTAAAAAAGTTTGTTTTTTCTACTACTCTTATTGTCTATTCACCACGACTCGAAAAATCTGGCAAGTCTGCGCCCTCTTTTCTCTCACTGGTGATGTCATATTTTATTCCCTTTTTATTTTGCTTCTCTCTGGCTATTCTTATGAAAACCTTCTCATTCAAAAAATGGCTAAAAACTCGTAAAAATGAGAGGAATTGATGAGATTTCTAGCCTATCTGTGCTCTCTTTTCTTCTTTCGTCATAATTCAGCTGAAAGAGTACCGTAAAAGGTTTAGTGACCACTTAAGGTATTTCTCAAGGACTACTTGGAGAGGACACTAAGGTGGCCAGTAAAATAACCTCTATAGAATCCTCAAAAACTTTGGTGGTCTAGTAGTACTACTGAGACTTCTAAAGAGGTCACTATATTTTGGCCTCTCAAGCGGCAACTGAAGCGTCAGAACCCTATAGTGTCACGTAAAAATGAGATCGTCGCAGAGAAATCAGACAATTTTCAGTTTCGGTGAGGAATTGATTCATTTCTAGCCTGTCTGCGCTCTCTCTACTCCTAGCTTTCGTGATAATTGAACAAAAAGAGAAAGAGAGATCGTCGAAGTCTGAAGAGACTACAGACAACGATAGTTCCCCAAAACCTCTGTCGTCTCTCGTTCTACCTGACGAGTGAGGGAAAAGAGAGCGCAGACAGGTCAGACTATTATTTCAAGCCGTGGCTTTTTAGACAAGGATTCAGACCCTGATCTGGATATCGTCTCGAAAGACGAGCTTCCTTGAATAATCCGTAATTATCGACAGAATCGATTTGAAACGCTGACCCGGGTAGATATATTCATCTAAAAGAAAAATTATTTTCTGACAAGAAAGGTCCTTCCACTTTGAGAACTTTCCTGGAAACTGCCGAGAATATTTCAAAAAGAGGCTTGGAAACTTTCAACTTGCGCAGTTTCTGAGAGACGGGTTTCAAAGCTTCCAAGTTTTTTTTGTGGTCATTCAAAAATTGAGAGTTGTTGCAGAGGCCTCAAAGGCATATGAGCAGTAAAAAACGGGGTTCAAGATAAATATGTAATTTTCCCGGCAAAAAGGCGTTTTGCAGTGAAGTTGCTCTATGGACAAAAACACCGCCTTTTTCTGGTTTTTCGCTATTTTCTTTGTTTCTTCCTAATTACAATTTTCTCTGTAGTCACCAAATTTTTTTCGTCATGTATTATTTGCAGATTTTGATCACAAAACGCTCCTGCGGTGGAAAATGATGATTTCGGTTGGGAAATCGAATTTTTGCGAATGATTTTTTTATCGGTGTGTTTTCTTGGTCTGAATGATTTTTCAGAGCAGGAACTCTGATTTGAAGCCGATACCCGGTCATTCCATGAGAATATATTCAACACAGTTTTCAGGGTTCTCCAGAGTAAAATGACCATTTTTGTGAATGAGAAATTCGACCAACTTTCAATGTCGCCTTGGGATCTCACGGTGCATCTGCCCATCAAAGTACTCATGACGAAGTGGGAAGGACTCGGGATCATGCTCGTTTGGCCGCCACACGTTTTAACGAGCGGGAGGCCGGATTTATGGGCTCCTATCAGTTCCCAGGAGCCTTCGTCGCAGGGGACTGCACAAAATGATTATTATTTTTTTTTATTGAATCTAAACTAGGATAAAGGTTTATGACTAGAAATTAGTTCTTTGGTTTTTTTTGAAAATACTGAAAACTGAAAACAGTTTTGAATTAAAAAGTATTTTGATAAGCCTTTGGGAATACTAGCAGGAGCTACCTGAGGGATTTAACTTCTTAGTGGCCGCTTAATTGACTAAAGTTTAGAGGTCTCTTCACAAGTCTCAGTGGTACCACTGGGCCACTAAAAATCTTATAAATTTTTACAGAAGTGGTTTTAGCGGCCACCTTAGTGAAATAGTCTTCGATAAACCTCTTAAGTGGCCCCTAAAAGCTTTTCCAAAACGAACCGAAAGTTTTCCTATATTTCAGCGCAACCGTCGAGAAACTACTTTTCGCGCGCTGGAATTTTTAAACCCTTAAGTGGTTTTTTTCGAGAAAAAAAATTCTTTCTTGACATCGATGAAAGTCACTGATAAAAAGTATTACCCTGAATGTTCGAAAGAGAATTTGATTTTTTTAAAAATTTCCGAGTGAAACCAAAAAAATTCTCACACTTAATATTCGCCGATTCCCTTTCGCGGAGCGACTGCAAAAAAATATTTATTTTTGGTTTTTAAAAAATAAATTACATTAACATCCTGAGAGAAAGTTTGAAATTTCATGGTCCTCGTGTAATCCCACAGTATGTCCTGAAAATTATTGACTTATTAAAATTGAGGTGCTGAAAATTAAGTTTAAATGTCAACTCGAAACAGTCTGACTTCTCATTTCTAAATTTCCGAGAGAGAGAAAAGAGAGCGGAGACACGTCAGACTGTTTCGAACCGTGAAAAAAATGAAAAAAAGGACGTTGTTTTAAAAAAATATACCTTTACTGGAAAAAAACATCGCCTTCCCGCATTATCTCACCAAAAAAATGACAAAAACGGGTCTGAAAAAAATTAAAAAAATAATAATTTCAACGTAGTTTTTTTACCATTTTTTTGTCCCTTTTGAAAGGCAACGTTGATATTTTGATTTTAAAAAATTTTCTTATTTCTTTTCTCTTCTTTTTTCCCAGTCTTCCTGTAACCTAAGTCTTCCGAAATAGTTTAAAAACTGATTACGGTAAGCAACTTTGTGTACGCCACCGTCTTGGAGCAAAGTTAACTCAAGACTGGCAGAGAGGTCCCTGAAGGGTTAGGGGAAAAACAGCGTCTATAGACAACAGAATAGTGTCCCTAGAGAGCTAAAATTCAAGTGTCCCATCTAGGGGTTTATGTTATGTTTATGGGTTTAGGTTATGACCAAGGGAACTTTCAAGGGCTTCTAAGGTTGACCCTCTAGGGGACACTCTCGCATTCTTAGGAAGTTTGATCCATTCTGGACAAAATTTTGCGCGGTTCCAGTAGTAGCACACGGAAATGCATCGAAAAGCTCAAATTTTTTTCTTTTTTTTTGTTCCCACTAAAATTCTTTCAAAAGTACTTCTGATAACCTACACCATATTCAGGATGAGATTCTCGTTCTGATCGATGGCCGTGGCCAAAGACTTGCTGACCGGCGCCTTCATGCTCAGGTAGTTTTCGAGAAGCATCTGTGCCAACAAGATGACGTCATCGGAAGCGCTTCCGAGGTGTTGCATGACGCTTTTGAAGCGAACGCCACCGGATGAGTGGTAGGCCGACGCCGGACCTGCAACGTCTTCTGGATTCGAAAGACGACAATGCAGAAGACGCTACCGCTGCTGGCCATGTGATAGTTATACTGTCGGATCATGTCAAACCAATCGAATTTTCTGACCGTATCTACCGGCGACGCCATGTCTGATACTTGTCCATTCGTGCTGAAAAAAATCGAAATTCAAAAGAAAACATTCTAACAACAGTTATTTTCATGAAACTTCATTCGTCATAGCTTGGAACATCTTAATTTTTCTGCGCTTCGTTTTCGTGCTATTTTCCTGTTTCTCTGACCTCAAAGGTGAGAAAAAAGAGACGCAGACAGGCCCGATTGTGTAAACTCAAGGTGAATGGACTATATTTCCGATTCATTGAATAAATTCGATTATTCCATATTTTCTTTAAAAATAAAATTGGCGGATCTATTTCTTTCTGCGGCCTTTTTTGATCCACCCTTTCAGCGGTCATTACCCATCACCCCGACTTTGCCCGATCGGCCCGAGTTTCTCGGCAAGGATAGCGCACGGTGCATTCTGCTTTTTTGCACTCTGGTGCGTAATTGGGGTCTGCACCGTGCGATTTAGGTGATTTTTTGGTGCAAAGGTGTCAAATCCGTGCTTTTAGCGTGCTGCACCAGTGCGACACCAAAAAAGCACCAAAACTGCACGGTGCAGACTCTAGTTTCGCACCAGAGTGCAAAAGAGCAGAATGCACCGTGCGCCATCCGTGCTGAGTTGTACCGACTGAGAGCCAAGTCGATTACCCGAAGTCTTATCCTGATATCCGTGGACCGGCTCGGAGCGACATATCCGTCTTTTTGTGTGACGTGAAAATGTGATTTTCCCACTACCAACATTGAACCCCTTGGTTGGGTCGCGGCGGAGATCGAACTTGTGAGCGTTCGGCCCATAGACAGGCACACAACCTGTTGCGCTATTTGTGCAGCTCGCGATTGATTCCTTCCTTCTACTCTACAAAATTTTTGCAAAGTGCAGTGCCTATGGCGGCATTTTGCAAAAAAGCTTCATGCATTTTGCAAATCAGTACTTTGCATTTTGCACAGAAGTACCTCGCATTTTCCACTTTTTTTCGTATGTATAAAAGTGAGCCCAAAAAGAAATGCAAAATGCGAGGTTCTTCTGGGCAAAATGCAAAGCTCTGATCTGCGGAATGCATGTAACTTTTTTTGCAGAATGCCAGCATAGGCACTGCACTTTGCACGATTTCTGTAGAGTAGTTATTATACCACATTTTCTCTGCCTCCTTCTCGTCTCTCGGCAACCCTCTCATTTTGACGTGCTATTTTCATGATTCTCTGACCACGGCGGCGAGAGAACAGAGAGACGCAGACACTCGAAAAGAGTCAAGTCGCGGGGAATGGACTACACAACTCACTACACGATGGTGCGCATCTTGGAGTCGAGAGACCCTCGATGAGGTTCGTACAGAGACAGACAGAGGGCCAGAAGCGGCATGATGACTTCGTTGTCGACTTCGTCGATGTACAGCGACCGGCCGAGCTCGTCGCACGTCTCCGAGTTGGATGCGATGATTGATTTCAGGTTTCTCAGCGGTGGGATCAGTTCCATGCTCTTTTTCACTGAAAAACCTTTTTTCGACAAGTGATCGCAACAAAGAAGTGGTCTGGTCTCGGAAGGAGCTTGAGTCTTAAAAATTTATCTGGAAAAAATACTGTATCTTGAAAATATGTCTCGAGAAAAAGCCTTGAGAAGGCCTAGAAAAGAATCCTGAACCTCGAAAATTGGTGTATGGAAAAGCCTGAACCTTTAATTTTTTCTAAAATAGAAGTCTTAACCTCAAAAAAAATTTCATTTTCAAAATTACTGTACCTGAAAGAACTTTTTGAGAGCTTTAGAAAACAAAGAAAAAATGGGACGAAGACTTGCCTTGAGACTTCTTATAATCCGTTTTCTTTCCAAGGTAATTCACAAGTAGAGAAATGGTCAGAACCATCGCCATTAGGAGCAACAAAGTGATACCGATTTTGTTAAATTGTCGTATTTTTCTGAAAAAAGGTTTTCTAAAAGCTGAAAATTGACCGAAAACGGTCCAAAAAGCCCAATGTTGTTTCATTCTTGAAATTTCTATATGGCGAAGAATCGTCAAGCTTTTATTCATCGGAAACATTCTGAACTGAAAAAAATTTTTCTACTTTCAAAAATAGTCTGAAGCCTTCTCACGTTATTTTTTTCGGAACGAAAAAAATTGCAAAAAAATTTACACGTTTTCTCTCAAAAAAATTGACAATGGAGCCCAAAAAGCTCGAGACGTCGACAGCAATTTTTTTGATTAAAAAAATTCGGCGAAAAAAATTATCATTAAAAAAAAAAAAACATCTAATAAAGAAAATGAAAATAAACCGCGGAATCAAACCGATGACTAAAAAACTCCACCTGTCAGAAAAACTTTTTCAATTTCATTTTTCTCTTTTTTTTGAAAAAAGCTTCTGCAAATCCGCGTTTGATATTCTATTTTTTTCTCTGTTTTTCTTGTACACAAAAACCTTCAAAAAAAGTCTCAATTTTTTTCATTTTATTTCACGAAAAAAATTACTTCTTTTTTTAAATTCTTTTTCAAAAATGAACTCCGAAAAAAATTCTCTTTTTCTATACGTTTTTTTTATGTTAGATTCTAAGAGTCCCTCTTTTTCCACAAAAACTCGAAAAAGATTATTTTCTTTCACCCGCCCCCCTTACAAAAACTCCTTTTTCCAGCTTTTTTTCAATTTTTTTATGAAACCTCCAAAAAAATTCTCTTTTTTTCATACTGTATTAATTTTTTCTTCTTTTCAACTGCTCCTCCCGCTTTTTTCTCCCCCCGAAATCTCAAAAAATTTTCCTTTCCAAGGTTTTGTCCAGAAAACCATTAAAAAATGCTCCTTTTTCCACTGTTGTTCCCATTAAACCTCAAAAAAGTCCTCCTTTTGATTTTCAAAACGTCGGCCCGCAGTTTTTGTTCCTCGAGTATCCGTCTTTTGTAATCACCGGCGCTCGTTGAGCTGTAATTCCGTGATTTTTCGAATAAATCTAGCAGAAAACCTCAAAAATCTCTTATACGAACTCGCGGAGGGCATCTTCTCGGGGAGTTTTTGATAGGAAATGACTCAAATTTGAAGTGAACACGTCTTTTTTTGCTCATTCTGCGAGATCAAAGCGTTTTATTTTAATGTTAAGAAACGGAATATATACAAAATAAATTAATAGTTAATTCAAAGATTTGCTGCCACGTCTTCCAACATCGTGCATCGATTTGCTTCGGCCTTTTACCCCGATTTCAGAAGCCTGAAAAATGCGATAGAAGTTTATTTGATATGGTTTTTTTGGATCATACTTTGTTAGAAAAATAATTATGAAAAATCGTGAAAGTTGAAAAAAATGGTCAAATTTGAAAGATTATAAAGATAATTTCTAACGAGAAATTAATATTTTTTTCTGATTTCTGAACCTCTTTCGAAGCCATGTTAGCTTTCCCAATTCTCCTATAACTTTAGAAATTATGAAAGTGAGTAGGTTTTGAAAATACTCTTGCATTAATTTTTGATTCGTATTTTTGAATGAAAAAACGGAGTGAGGAAAAATCGCCGACAAGAGCTGAAACTTTTGAGCCGAACTGTCAATTTTTATGAAATGCTGCGGAAGTTTTCTCGCAGTAAGGACTTTCTTTTTTGTTACAAAAAGTAGCTGGAAAAAGTCTCAGGAGTTGATTATTTCGTCCTGGGCTTAAGGGTCAGACCCTGAACCCCTATAGGGGCTACTAAGACTTTGACGCCCATAGCGATCGTCAAATTCCCTCCATAGGGGTTCCTAGAAAAGCAGAACCCTGTAGAGACCTTTCCGAAATTCCTGAGTAATTTTGAATTTATTCTAAAACTTTTCGAAAAGTGTCCACCTCAAGCAGTCTTTAGAGCAGATAAAAAAATACTGAAATAATTTCTAATATATTCCTGAAACGGGCTCCTGTTCTTTCATTTGATTATTCAAACCTTTCTCGACGAATCGAAATCCAGCTGCTGCTTGTAGAACATGCAATTTCGGAGCATTTCGATCGAACTTTCAAAAGGTCCGCTCGCGTTTTTCATCCCCTCGATTGTACTAAATTATATGCCACTTTCGGTTAAAAATCTTTCTTTCAAAACCTTAAAGCATTTTCCAAATCGAATTGAGCTCCGGAAAGAGCGGCCGATTGTTGATTGAGCAAAATTCGCCGTTTGACGACCCCCGGCAAGCTTCGGCCAACGTGTTCTGAACTTTGAAAAATAATTGATTTTTCTTAGGAACGCCAGAATGGTCCCTTAAGGGCAACCGCAGAAGCTCCCCAAGGTTACCCTCTAGGGACTTTTCCTGCAAAAGTATTCCATTTTTCCTACCTTGAAGTCGATACAGAGCCAACGACGGTTCGTTGTCCAATATCCTCACACTTTCCGTGACCCTTTCAGCAACTGAAAAACTATTAATTATATTTTTTTGAATAAACCCAGTAGGATGTTAAAAAGCTTCAAATATCCCTGATCCGTTCAAATTTCTTCAAAAAAATTAGAATGAAACAAAATCTTCACGAGATCTCACGTAAGTTTATTTTTTTATATTTTTTTAAAAAAATTTTTATTGAACATCGGTGGATTCAAATAAGAAAAAAAGTCCAATTTTAATCAAGCAAGCATCAATTAAAAAAACTTCAATCTATGAAAAAAATCCTGGAATCGTCTTTTTTTAATACTTTCTTTTCAAGATTCGACCTGGATAGCTTATTTTTCCCGTGATTTTTCAAGCTTCTCACCAAGAATTAAAAAAAAAGTTCAATTTCAATCAGTAAACCGACTTAATCTCGATCGGCTTTCCATATCTCGAAGTCGTGCCTGCGCTTGTTGAGCATTCGGGGCACTCATCATGATTTTCGGCCAAAAATTCTCCATTTTTGCAAAAGATAAGATGGAAGACGAAAAGAAGATATAATAACCGATGTACGAAACCATCTCAAACATCGAAAACGACAAGAAATACTTGAAAACTTCTTTATCAACGGAAAACGAACAGAAATCAACTCAACAAGGGGAAAATAACAATAATCAAAGAAGGAGATTCACTATCTAAACTTCATCGAATCTTTACTGGGAAAAGCTTTAGTGGCCACTTGAGAGGTTCCTCAAGGACTATTTGGAGGGACCCTGAAGTGGCCACTGGAACCACCTCTGAAGGATCGTCTAAATTTTCCATGATCTAGTATTACCACTTATTATTCGAATTTTGAAAAGACCACGAAATTTCAGCCACTGGAGTGGCCAAAGATTCAACTTCTATAGCGGCAACTAAAAACTCAAAACCCTGAAAAGACTTCTAAAAATTTTCCAAGTAGTAGCTTCTATAGAGGTCGTTTTAAAGACCATCTTAGTGTCCTCTCGGAGTAGCCCTTGAGGAACCTCTTAAGCGGCCATTCAAAGTTCCAGTTGAGCAAAAATAAATTGACTTTATGGATTTTTCGATCACTTCAAAACTAGATAGCACAAAAAGTATTTGAGAATTCTAGGAATTTTGAACAGCGACCTTTGAATTTCTAACGGCAGCTTCTCGTTCGATTTCCTCGTTTTCGGCCGCTCTTTTCTCCCACATCAGGCGTTTCTCGAAGAATCCGAGCTTCTCCTCGTTCTTGTCCAGTTCATTCAGCTCGGCTCTGATCTCCTCGGCTCGGATCTGAAATTTAGTTTTCGGAGGCAGCTTTTTCAAAAAATAAATCCCAAGAAGAGATTTTTAAAAAAACCCCTGAAAGCTCCACCACTTCAAAATCTTCAAGATCTACATCCTTAAATGTCATAAGTATACATAAATCTGCAAAAAAAAAATTAATGAAAAATTTGGGAATTTCTCCAAAAATGTATTTGAGATTCAAAAAACAGACTTAATTGAGTTAATTTCTTCTTCATAACATTTCGGAACAGCACAAAATTCGAAAACCCTAAAGTGGCCACTAATCATTTCCCCAGTTTTCCCTTCGAAAACCTTCAGAAGGACCCGTTCAGCCTGGGCCTTGGCCAACTGCCGCCGTCGTTCATTCCACCGCCCAAATTCCTCTTTTTGTTGCTCGGCCAACTTTTGCTCCTCGCTTGGGCGGATCTTCAAAACTCCATTCATTTTTCGGAATTTCGCGTTTCTCGAACCTTTTCCAATTGCTCAAGGAGCGTTGAACTCAAAGATTTCGCCGGTTCAGCCGAAGTTGCCGGCTCGCCGAACTTCTCAATGACTTTCTGGGCTGGTTCCGTGAGTTCGGCCCCTTCTTCGGTCGGTTGCAATTGCTTCCGGACGAGGGAAATAACTGAAGGGGCCGTTGAAGAGGACGCCAAGGTCGACGCAAGGTCGAGCCTTAAAAAAACTTGGTCATTGGACATAATCGTTCAAAACTATTTTTTGTTGAAAATCAGACAAAATGTTACAGCAAAAAATTAATAAAAAGGTTTTTTTAAAACTACGTATCATTTTTTTCAATCCTTTGCTTTCAAAAACTTGTTTTTTTCATTTCTTTTATTATATAAAAACGATAAAAAAATTTATTAAAAAAAGAGATTTTTCTTTCTAAAGACCTTCAAAAAAGGCTCACAAATCACTCACCGACTATACAAAACCGCACCGAGAAGTCTCAAACTCGTCCTCAAATTCTCGTCCAAGCATTTCGTGTCCCTCGAGATCCACAACAAAGATTTGCCGACCAAGTGATGGGGATTGTTCAGATCAAAGTGTGAATCGAAAAACTCGTTTTTGAGGTATGGGAACTTGAAAGTTCTCTGAAAATGAACGTTAGCAGAGAGGCAAAATTCGAAAAATGTCTTTTTTCATCATTTTGAGGATAAACTCTTGAGTTAGGAACTGCTTAAGCACGGCAGAGTGGTCCCTATAGGTTACAAAAAATGCTCCCCACAGAGATAAAATTTGGGTGGTTTCGCTATAGGTTTAGGGTCTAGCCTCTGTCTCCTAAAACTCAAGAGGTCCCTAGATGATGATTTTGATTTCTTGTTGAGATTTGAAAATTAAAAAGATGTATTCAATAAAACTTGATCGATTAATCATCTTTTAATATTATTTTTCAAAAAACGTCAATTTATTGAGTTTTTTCGCAAGGAAAAAAGCTTCTTCTCAGAGAGTTCATCACAATAAACGATTTTACCTCCCCTTATAGAGCAAATAAATGAAACCGCTAGAGTAACCATGTTGCAAGCTTGCCTCTAGAAAGAGGGATCCCTATAGAAGTACTTTCGTGAACTCCTAAGATTGCCCTTTTAGGGGACCACTCTGGCGTTGATCAATTATTCATTGATCTTTCAATTTTTTACATTATGATCTGGGAAAACACTAGGGGTCACTTGAGAGGACACTAAAGTGGCCACTAAAACTCCCTCTATAGAATCCTCTGAAACTTTCAGAGGTATATTAGTACCACTGAGGCTTCTAAAGAGCTTGCTAAATTCTTGACTCTGAAACGGCCACTAATGAGGCTACTATAACGGCCACTAAACGTTTTTTCCAGAATTGTGCTTTTTATAGTCGATAAAATTCAGAAAAACGAACGATATCGTCGTCGTTGACTTCCTCCTCGTCGACGACGGGCAAAGGCATCGTTTGCTGGTCCGCGGGCAGTTCCGCCCACTTGGCACAAACGTACAAACTCAACGTGTTCACCAGCTCATTGTCCGTATCTTCTTGTTGCATTATCCAAGACACAAGTCGGGCGGCTCCTAAAATGATAAAATTCATGGGAATTCCCTAAATCAGTTCAAAAATTGAAACTCCACTGGAGACTTCAGTTTACTTTTTTTGCAAAACGAGTTCAAAGCCGTTATCTTTATATTAGCTTTCTAAGATTTTCCAATGAAATCGGAAAGTGGCTTTTTTTTTGTCGTCGCAGTACGAATCAAAGAAACGGTTGAAACGGAAAACGCGAAAGTTCCTTTTTTTGAAGCGTTAATTTTTTTCGGTTGACAAATTAAAAAAAAAAAAAATTGAATCCCTGATAAAGTAAAAAAAAAAAACTGATCGGAAACCATGTTTTCCGCCACAACACCAAAGGATCCTTTTCTTATGAAAAAATGTATTCAGAATTTTGAACGTATTTTTGAAAGTAAAAAAATTGCTGAATTCTCGGAATTTTTCGAGCAGATGTTATTCCAATAAAATCATTCAAATTCTCGTTCTCCAATCTTCCGATCAAGCGAAAAGATGGAAAGTTCTCACCTTGGACATTATTGGCCTTCAGAAAGTGATCGATGGCCAGACAGGCGACATGAGCATTTAGGAAAACTCCATAATTGATCTAAAAATCAAGAGAAAAGACTTGATTTATGATTTTTATTCGAAAATACCGGATCATTAGCGAATTTGAAGACAGTTTCAGGTTGGTGGTTCAGTAGCAATCGAACGATCGCGTATTCACTCGATTCGGCCAGATCCGAGGCATTTTCGCTGTGTCTCAGCTTGTAGAGAAGCTCCAAGACGTCTTCGACCTGAGCAAAAAAAGTGAAAAATTAGAATAAATTCCCTCTTCCTTCTGTCAATTTTGTTTTTTCAACTCCTGAAACTTTTTCAAACCTGATCTTTTTGCTCGGCAATGCAAACAGCCGCATCGACGTCGACGGCACTGAAAATAACATATTTTCAAATAAATATTTGGCTATTCTATTACTATGTATTAAGTTATCATGGAAAGAAGAACAAAAAGTCTCACATTTTTTTCCCTTTATTTTCTTTTCGCTTTTTTTCAACTCCAAATTCCTACAAAATTAAAATTATTCACCTAGCAATTCCACCGCCAATAAACTTTTTCTGAACGGCGCTGATCCATTCGTAATCGCCACCAAGACCCAAACGATTCAAATCATTATGTCTTGATGTCCATTCCTATAAAAAAACATATGATGAAAAAAACATTTATTCTTTTTTTCGATGACTCAAGCCAGCCGTGAATCAGCTATAAAAACCCTCTGCTAAAAAAATCTGTCTCAAAAATTCAGCGAAAACAGTCTGAAACCGAAAAAAACTTTTTGAACACATGGCAAATATTTTTTTCAAAGGATGCGAAAAAAATTTTTTTAAATTTTTTTCCTTGCCGTTAGAAAATTACAAAAAGCGGCAAAAAGAGCTTCAAGTTCTGCTCGAAAAGTCGATTTGAAGATTTAAAATTAAACAAAAACATTTTTTTCAAGCCGTTTTAGAAAAATGGAAACATTTAAAAATCAACAAGCTTTTTTTAAAAAGCACTATTCAATTTTTTTTTGAAAAACAATTGACCTGATCAAGAGAAAAAGACGGCGACAAGACTCGAAAAACACCCGTCGTTGAGAATTTGCGTGACAGCGCCGTCGCGCATTTTCGCAACATTTTGAAACGAAAAAAAAACCTTCAAAATTTGGTCATTTTCTACTGGAAAATATTATTATTGACTTGAACACAATTTAAATGAAATGATCCCAACTTTAAACTCGCAAACAATTTATCAACATTACAGAGAACAAAAAAATGGGAAAGGAAAATGAGCCGGAAATGGTCAATTGCCTTCGAATCCCGACGCAAAAGCACAAATAAGCACAGTACATATAGAGGTAAGAAATAATTATTGAGGTTAATAACGTTATTATGCGACAGGTGTACAGTGTAAAGCAAAAATGGAACATTCAACAGGTCTTTAAGTTTGTGAGATGCATTCGTTGACTGGAAAAATATTCAAAGACAAAAAAATTGGGTATAATTCAAGCTGAAAGCTATTTATAACACACCTTCCCACGTGAAAAAAAAGAAAAGCTCAAAAATGGTGCCGCCTTCAAAGTAATTTTCGCGAAATTTAAAATTATCTGTCTCTCCGAAATTTAGTTATCTTTTTCTCTCTCTGAAGGTTATTTTGAGCTCAAGAATCACTTTGAACAAGGCATGGGTTTTCAAAGTGGAATGGAGCATTTTCGAGAAAGTTAAAGCGTAACGAAAATTGAGATATATAGTAAACTAAATATTGGTTTTTTCAGGCTTCAAAATCAAAAATAAGCTTTATCTTAGTTACAGTCGGTTCAGATATTTTTCTCGTTTCTGAAACGCTTCATCGCACTAAGGAATCTTTCACAACAATAAAGTAGAACAACGCAGAAAAAGACACAAAAGATCGGAAGTGAATCATATTCAACAGTGTAATAGTACCAAGAGCTTGAGCGAGGAATAAATAAATAAATAGATAATTAACAAAATGAAGTGAATATCATTAATGACCCAGAGATGGGAATAAATGCGTAGAACTGAGAAAGAGAGATGAAGACCTCTGAAGAGACGCCAGACAACGAGAGTGCCAGCACTTCTCTGGTGTCTCTGCAGGTCGTCCTGATCTCTCGGCGAGATGAAAAATAGGTACAAAAAAACAATAATACAATCAGATTAGGGGGAATAAACAAGTATAAAAATGAGGAAAATATTCCAATCATTCCAATTTGTATAGTTTTTTGGTTTGCAGTCGCATCATGCCGTCTGAGCACTTTTTGTATTGGAACCTGAGAAAATTGATCTTTTCATCGAATTTTTTTTGTCTAAAGTCCTTCAACTTCCAACGAAAAATAGCTTCGAAGCAGTTTTAAGAAAAAAAAACTAGAAAAATATAAAAATCAAGTCAAATAGGCTTTTTTTTTTCGATTCCAAGTGTGCTCCATTGACAACAACATGATTCATTTTTTAAACTTTTTCTTATCCACGGCGTTTTAAAAAGGCTGCAGAGGGTGGCTAGTGGGCGCGGCTTAGCGCAACTGTCGCGCAGTTTTAGGAGACGTTTCTCCGCGTAGATTTACGTGCGCGTGTAAATGTTTTTGACTGGTAAACTCTGTAAAACTTTTCTTTCCTGAGAATATTGTACGTGGAAATGTTCATCTCATGACGGGGAACGAGAGGAAACCCAAAAAAATTATAGAAGCTTATGAAGAGTGAAAAATTAGCGATTTTTCGAAAAATCTGTTTTTTGCTCCAAAATCTTGAAAACTCGCTTTTTTCTGAAAAATTACTACGGTGAACTGTTGATCAAACAATGGAGAATAAGATAAAAATCAAAGAGAGTTTTTTTCGAATAAAGATTGAAATAGAGAAATTAGAGCTTTTTCTCGAAAAAAACCTGTTTTTTTCGTCATTAAATCACTAAAAAAAGTAGTCTTTTTGAAAAATGTTTCACGGTGAACTATCAATCAAACGATGGAGAACAATTTAAAAACACAAAACAAGTTGCAGTAAAAGGCTAAGGTCCAAATTTTAGACGATTTGCGAAAACTGAAAACTTCGCGAAATCGGGAACAAGAAAAATCGTGTTCATCGAAAAATGTTCGTCTCAGATATTAACAACTGTGGAGAAAAAATGGAGCAAAAAGATCTAAAAACAACGAAATTAAGTGAAAAAAAAGAAAAAGTGAACTGAAAAATTAATAATTATCTGATAAGAAGTGTACGCTGGCGCGAACTTGCTTCCTCCTACCGTACTCCGCCGTTAGAACTTTTTCATCAGGGCACATTTTATCGCCTGCCAGTTTTTCTCTTCACGTCCACCCTTTTTAAAACGCCGTGTATCGTAAAAATCTGAAGACATTGCTTTCCTAGAAGCTCACCAGTAGTAACTTTTTTGATCGAACACTTCAAATATAGGAGCTAGAAATCGAAAAAGACATCTTTGTCCACGTTTAGCTAGAAAAAGTGTCGATTTTCAGACTTTTGATTTTTCGTTGTAGAAAAATCTTTTTTTTTTCAAAACCCCTATCACAAACCTACTGAACCCTTCTGGAATCGGGCACTTGTGCATTTTAATCAGATGCCGCGTCAAACTGAAGCCCGTCGTGTAGTTTCGGTCACACACGTGACAGATGAAGGGACTCGGGTTGTAGTTCTGAAACAGAAATAAATATCTTAAAAATCATCTGTAAAATTTCAAATTAGGCACTTGTTCCGCGAAATTTCGGTTTAGATAAATGACTTCTTTTCGCATTTTTTTCCAGTGTACAGTAATTTCTGCGATTTCAAAACTTTTTGGTTTAAAATCTCCCTAGAGGGCTGAACTTCAGGGGGACCTCATGGGAGTTGAAAGTGTGACTCCTCAGTCTCTAAAGGACAAGTGGTCTCTATAGTGGTTTTTTTAAACTTTTTTTTGACTTCAAAGTTAAAGACGAACATACTCCCCTAGAGTGCCCACTTTGAGGTTCCTAAAAAAACTTTACTCTTGAACCTCTCAAGTTCAAGTGGCCATTCTAGTGTTTTTTTTTAACTTTTACGTAAGGATGTGAAAAAAAAGAAAGAAAAGACCTGTATGGGACCAATATCATGCTCCCCTATAGGGGCCACTTATTCAAAGAAAATCTCATGAAAATGAAAAAATTTGAAAAAATTTAAGAATTGAAACAGTAATACGGTTTATATTTCTTTTTCTCGCTAATCAAAAGAAAATAATTTGCAAACCACTTCGTCGTGCGACTTTTTGTGCTGGACCAGCTGCTTTTTCCAGCGGAATTTCTCCTTGCAAACGTCGCATTTGTACTGACTTTCCGAGTGGACGGCCGAGTGTCGGTTCAGTTCAGACTATAAACGAAAATCAAACAAGTTCTTCGGGCTCCAAAAAAACCTCCGAATAAAACCACTTCGTGCAGTTTTCGCACTTGAAATCCTTCGACCTACTCGAATGTTTGAGCATTAAATGTCTGGAAAACGATTCTTGACTCCAATTTATTCATTTCGAATGGAAAACCTGTGCAAATCCGTGCGGCAAGTGACCGCCAATCCACACAAAGGACACTGCAGACTGGCCAAATGTCTCGTGACATGAAGTCCCAGGGCTCTTTCGTTCACGAAACGCTTCTGGCACAGTTTACAGACCTAAAAACTTCGGAATTCATTTTTTTTCTGTTAAAAAAGAACTTTTTGTTTGTAATTTGTTAAAATGATACTAGACACACCAAAATCTTCGAAATAGCTTTTTATACACTTAAACGCAATTTATTTTCAATTATTTAAAAAGGAAGTTATTCCGTTGACTCCCAAACTACTGGGAAAACCTCTAGTGGCCACTTAAGAGGTAAAACCACTTTAATAAAAGCTCCTAAAAATTTGAACAGTCTAGTAGTTACACTTGAAATTCCAAAAAGGCGGTGAATTTCAGCCAATCAAGTGGCTTCTAATCAGGCTACTATAATGGCCACTGAGACGACAAAACACTCAAGAGCCCACTAAACATTTTCCCAGAACATTCCTTCATGAAAGTGAGCAAAAATTCAATAAAAAGCTGAGAATCTAAAATAAAGGGGAGAGTAATATGAAAAATCGAAAATTTTAAGTGTATAAAAACAATTGAAAAACGCCGAAAATTATTTTGAACATGTATTATTCTAATTATTCCTCTCAAAAAGTGATAACCTAGCGTAAAAAAATATTTCAAAGCTTCTCCAGGAAAGAAAAAACTCACCAAATCGGATCCATCGGTACAGACAGCTCTCCTGGTCACATGTTCGTACAATTTGTCCTTTCGGGAGAAAAATCTCGCGCAAAAGGGACAGGCCAGACATTTGTCGCCGCTGTGATGCCGTACGTGTCTTCTGAAGCATGGAAAGATTTGCCATTTGCCCCTTTATTTTGGTTTCTGAACTGGAAAGTGTTCCAAAACTTTTTCTATGAGGGAATACGGACAAAAGTGAAGGTTGAGGAAAAAAATTGAAAAAGAAAACAACAAAAACTTCATTTTTTACTATTTTACCTATTTTTCAACTTTTTCAAGCTTGATAATCTCAGGGAACCGTGATTATTTAGCGAAAATCATATGAAAAGAAGCCAAGAACAAAAAAATCGTCTTCTTTTCGAAAAAAAAACAACCAATTTTTTTAAATTTTAAATTTTGGTTTATGAAGCGGAAAAGTTTTATACCTTTTCTTTAATCGATAAAAGTGAACACCAAGAAGATATTCTAACTTATTTGAGCCTTTTAATATGAGAAAACCGTATTTATTTGACGCGAAGCATTAAAACAGGAGCCAGAAACAGAAAACAAGACTTTCTCCTCTGAAACGAGCAGATTTTCACCTCAAAGTCCCTCGATGCTCGAACGACAGATGGCAAGTGCCCCATTGACACGCGTAAACCAAGCGAATATCACCACCTGGAAAAAAACATTTCCTTTCCTGTTTCTCCTATTCATCAAGTTCACACTGATAGATGTTTTAGTGAGTTTTACAAGTGCGAAAACAGAAAATTTGAATGAAAATTATCAAAAATCAGCTCGAAAGCGGATAAAAAATTTTTCATCTTTCTTTGAAATTGTCTCAGAAAGTTTCAACTTAGTAGAATCCTAGTTTCAACACTTGAAAAATGATAACTTTGAAAACATTGTGATAAAAACCCTCAAAAACAGAAATTAGCCTTTTAACGTATTGTTTATACCTATGATAAATGAAAGTTTTCGAAGTTTCTTGGAGCTCTTTTTTAAAAAACTCTCTGAACCAAAAATTGTTTCAGAAATTTCAGAACGAAATAATTCAAAAAAGAAACCATTTTACGAACTACTAAAAACATAGACAGTTTGGATTTTCGAAATTAGTTTTTCGTGAGGTTTTGGGTGAAAAGAGACCTTCCGTTGCTCGGTCCATTCGATCCTTCTCGTTCAACAGATCGATATGCTGTGTGACGTGATCGAAAAGTTGTGGAACCGATGAGAACGGCCGCTGAAAAATGCAATAAATTATATATACATATTTTTAAAAAAACCACGCAAAACTTTATAATTCTCGAAAAACAGTTCTCCAATAACAAATTGTTTTCTTAGATTTTTTTTAATCTACAAAATAATACAAGGACCCTATATTTTTCGAAAAAAATTTACGTGTGAAAAGCTGGACGTGGCAGAATAGCCATAAAAACCAAATTTAATTTCTCCTTTCAAAACTTAAAATCTCTGAAACAAAAAATGAAACTGACAAAAAAAAAACGAAAGTGAAAAGGTCACTGAAAACTTTGAAATATGGATAAAAAATCATCATTTCCGATAACTCGATTCGAATCACAGTTTCTGAAAAGTGACTCACCCCGCAGCCGTACCACTGGCAAATCAGCACCTCGCCGTCGTAGTGCAAGTTTGTCAAAGGGTCGAATCCGCAACTGAAAATTATTCAAAAATCACTTCTATTTTTAATTGAAAAACACTAGAAGAGTACTATTTCTTCAATTTTTTGAAACTTTAACTTTTCATCTGAAACCGCAAAGCACAAAAGAACATTTTTCAGCGAATTCTCTGACATGAGTGCCAGAAGATCGCCACAACTATTTCGTCGCTATCTGGCTGCGTGAAAACGACGAAATAGTGTAGGTCAGAGAAAGAGTCGTGGCGATCTTTTGGCTTCTCAAGTTATCTTCGACGAATGAATGGAAATCCTTACCATTCAATATTTCTGAGCTCAGGTTTTTCCGCCAACACTCGGCTACCTGTATATTGACAATCAGCCTGAAAAATATTGAAATGATCTAAAGAAAAAAAGTAAAAAAAAACATTCAAAGAAAATCGTTGAAATCTAGCTTTCGGTACTTTTTCTACCCTCGAAGATTCAAAAAGCCGATAAAGCCTGTGAACTGCGCCAAAAACAACACGAGTTGATTAAGAAGTGTCAAAGCAAAAAATTATATTTTATTTCTCACTGAATCGGGAAAAACATCCTCGAAAGCTTAATAAATTTAACAAGAAGCTTCAAAAAAATTTCCACAAAAATTCAGTTCATCAATTTTCCAAATTTACCTTTTTTAAAATCATGCTAAGTTTTTGAACGTGTAATAAAATGATAACCTGGAAGATGTGCATAGTCAGGTGCGTTTGGAGTTCGTAGGCGGTAGATGTGACTTTTTGGCAGCCCCGTATCCGACATTTAAACTCTTTTTCTTCTGAAAAACGCTCTTTGAATTCGAATCAATGTTCCGTCATTTCGAAACCTCCGTCCAACAAATCCGTCTCGGCGATCAGAAACTCGCAATGGGCGTGTAGATGATCGACGAAAATGTCCCGATCGTTCGAAGTTTCGACGCACTGGCCCCAGAGACAGACGAAGTGGAGGTCTGGAAATTTCACGATTTTTTGAACTAATCGTATTTTGGAATATCAAGCCTACATGAAACAGGTTTTTCGTTTTGGAGAGACTTTCAAAAGCCCCTGAAAAAGCAAACCTCTGATTAGAGGAAACGTTTTTCCCCAATTTGTGGGCTGCGTTTGGACAAAATTTTCGGTAAATTTTAGAATTCTTCTTGGGTTGGGCTTATATTTTCCTTTATATTTTTTTGTTTAAATGAAATTCCCGAAATCTCAAAATACAACTTTTTTTTTCTTCCAATGACCTGATTTCAACATTTTTTTGAACAATTTTATAAGTTCAGAAATTTTCAAAGCTTAGGACTTTTTACCATTTTCAGAGTAATTGAAAAAACTCTTCAAGTGATACGATTTTCAAGATAAAAAAAGTTTCAATGGTTTGATGATTCCGAAGTTCTACACTGAAACAACACTCTTTGCCTCTTTCTTTGACTAACCGGCATCATCGGAAGACCTCTCGACCCACGTCATGGGCATCCATTGCCTCAAGATCTCGACGTTGATCTCCTCGTCGTCGTTATCAGGACCGACGGCGAGATGCATCGTGGACTCCGCCGCGGGCTCTCTTCTGGGCGGGAGACAGGCGGCGACGGGGGTCGCCGACATCATCGGCTGGGCTGCGGAAGCCCTGGGCGACGACAGCAAGGTGGACAGATGGGATTCGAAGCTGGGATGGTGATAGGCTTGAGACGGGGAGGCGACGAACTGCGGCGCCACGGCTTGTTGATGATGATATTGGGGGATTTGCTGGTGATGGTCCTGGAGGTTCTGGTGATGATGGAGCCCAGAGGTGGAGGCCATCGTGTGGTAGTCCTGAGGCGAGGTGAAGTATGGAAATGTGGTCGGGTTTCCATCGTTTGTTCCGTCGCCGTACGGTTCTAGTCGAACTGAAAATGAGCCGAATTTTTATTTTTGTCTTTATTCCCGTATACTTTGACAACTGTTTTCAGTTTTCTGAGAATATTATCTTTTTATTCATGAAACTTTTGTGAAAGTTTTATTTTTTTATCTCAATTTAGGTATATTTTAGAAACGTCGATTACACTTTAAAAATTAAGTTTTCTATTGTATCATGGAATGTCCTCGAAGAGGTCTTTTGCAGTTAGATAGAACTTTTTGAATTTAAGACTGCTTTCCAGAATAATCTAAATACATTTAATAGTTTATTACCTAACTTTAACTTAACGTTGCTTGAAAATGAAAATTCATTGTCCTACTTAGAATGAGAACACTTTAAAAAGAAAAAAACTTATTTATCAGCAAATTCTACAGATACTCTCTGTGAAGATCTCCAACAGATCTCAAAAACTTGAAAAACGAACCCGGCTTCAAATCGGCGTACATAACTTCCTTTTTCTCGAATTTGAATATATCTGGAAAGTTGAAATTTATTTTTCTTTTTCAAGTTTTTTTCCAAAGATATTAGAAGCGCTAAGAACGCCTTCAAAACCAAATCAATTTCTGAGAATTTTTCGATTCAAAAAAATATTTTATCACTGCATAAATACAATCACACATTAGACCATACATAGACAAATACTTCGAGTAAAAAAAGATTAAAGTGAAAAAAAATCCAAATAACAAGTAGTAGAGAAAGAACAGAAAATCCGTGAGATTTCGATGAATGAAAGAAAAATTTCGAGGTAAAAATGTTTTTGCAATCCAAAAAAGCGAGAAAAATGAAATAAAATAGCCGAAAACTTTGGTAAAGGCAAAAATAAAGGATTAAAAATCTTTCTAACAAAATCTTTGAGATTAAATTACATTTGGAAAAAAAAGAACCGTCAAATCAACACGAATACGTAAATTTTTCTGGGAAAGCGAAAAAAAAAAACAATGTATAAACAGATGAAAAAAGAAAAAAAAAGTTCCTAACTTCAAAATAAAAATAAAAAAGCGACGCGATCAGCGTTTTGAATCATTTAGTGAACACTTAAGTATTTTAAACGCGTTTGTTTGAAGTGTTCACTTGAGTGGACAGAATCGTCCAACGAGCTTGAAATCATTCGAAATCTTACTGAGACACCTACAGAAAGTGCCTGCTTAGGAACGCCAGAGTGATTTCTAGAGAGGATAGAAAAACAGCCCCTATAGGGGACAAAATAATGCTCTTTAGAAGGAAAAAATTTAGGTGGTCCCTATATTAAAGATATATGGACCACTCTGGTATTCCTAAGTTTGTAAATTTCAGCGCTTTATTAGTGATCACTTAAGGGCATAATGATTCTGAGAGCTTCCAAAAAATTAGAGTTTTTAAATGCTACTCAGACACTGCTCGTGAAATGAAAGGTTCTAAGCAATTCAGTGATCTCTTAAGAGGACAGAACGCATTATCCTCCAAAAAACTATCGAAAACTGTAACTTTTTTTTTATCATATTGTTTTTTTTCCAGCTTGATGCTTATTATTATTATTATTACCATAATTATAAAAAAACTTCGATAGTAAAAAAATAATTAAGAAGATAAAAAGATCTATAGGCGATGCCTCTGACGTCGGACCCTTCCGCGTTGGCTGACAGAAGACGTCGGTTGGAAGTCTTCGTCGTCGTCGTCGTCGTCGTTCTGCGCGTAGTTGACCCGTCTTTTGGTACGCGAGGGACGTCGGTCGGAATCTCCCTCTTCGGAAAGTCTGCGGGCCGGCTTTCTGAAGAAAAATCTGGACAGTAAGGCAAGATATGAGATATGTTTGTCTTTTTTCGAATTCTAGAAGCCTTAAAGTGTACTTCAGCGAGGTTTAAGCGAAACTCCAATGGAAGACTAGAAGTTTTTTTCCGCTGTAATCTTGTTTGATTTATAAAAATTTTTTTATTAAAAAAACTTAATTTAATAAATTTGAAAAAAAGAAAAAAATTTTCTCCATAAATCCCTGTGAATCTTGCTCTAAAAGCTATTATAGTCACTCTAATCTTTTTTTCGATTATTTCGAAAATGGGTCTTATAAAACCAAAAAATTTTTGGTCTTTCTTATTTAAAAAAAACCTCTTCAACTCCAGTTCGGAACGGTGAATTTCAAAACCGGGGTTTCATCTCATATGAGCTTATCATACCGATAGACTTCAATATCGAAGCCGTTCAAAAAACATTTTCTTCCAATCAAACCTCTTCCTTCCACTGGTCCTGGTGGTCCTACTCGTCCTGACCGGCGGCCTTCTCGACCCAGAAACCGACGATGAAGACTCCGAGTTGACGTCCTCCTCCTCTTCATCATCTTCGTCTTCAAAAAGTTGAGGATAATCAGCATTCACATGGAAAAGAGCAACCATCTTCTTGCTCTTCATCGACCGTCGCAACCGCCTCGTCGTCATCAGAATCCTCAGCCGACGTCGAGTCACTAGATTCCTCGTCGTCGTACTCATCAGCCACAGGTTGATTGAATTGCACTCTTCGGCTGATTCTTCCCTGAAACGGGAGGGGAAAATAGCAACTTTTGAAAGATTAAAAGTCCGAAAAAATCATATTTACACCACAGCTTTTCTGCACTGAATGGCTTCAAATTCTTCCCCTGGGTACGGTATTCCAATGAAGGTTACTGTAACTCTTTCTCCCCAGCACAACTCACACTGCTCGTCTGAATTTGCGCTTCCTGGTCTTCCACCAATTCGATCAGCTCGTTCTGAATCTCCCTCGACGCGGCTTCTTGTCGGCGGGAGCGAGTCGGGCGCGTCGGGGGCACCTCGGTTCTTCCGTTCTGTCTTCGGCCAGTCGATGAGGAACTCTGCGTCGAAGCCCCACTTCCTTCATCTCCGGACGAGAAAATTCCTGGAACATTCGGCTTGAAATGGAAGAAATTTTCAATGAATCTCAGAATAGCCCCAAATAACGTCACGAAATCTCTCGAAAATGTCGCCCCTCTAGCTACCACTAGCATGTTCTCCTAGAGTGGCCACTTTTGCTAGCTTCAGTAGGTGAACTGCTCCCTAGATGGGACATTGAAAGGCCTCTAAGCCCGCCTCTTTAGGGACTACTCTGGCGTTCTTTTAGCGATAATAAGTGATGACTTAAGGAAAAAATCACTTTGAAAACTATCAAAAAATCAGATTTTTTCAAATGGCACTCAAAAGATCTCAGTGAAACGGAAATTTCTGAGCAATTTGGTGACCTCTTAAGTAAAATTTGCACCTCTTTTTGTGAAAAAGATTTATAAAATGAACAAAAATAAAAATCGAAGTTCCTACCGAAATGACCTTGTCTCCGATCATTCCTCGGAGGAACGACAGCAGCATTCGGAGCTGGATTCCTCCTTCTGGAGCTGCTCGTCGGCATGACCTCCTCTTCGCTGTCGTCGTTCCCGTTGAGCAACTCCTGATAGTTGGTGATTCTGGAGACTCGTCGCCGTTCTCGGTGTCCTTCCGCGTCTCCTTGTTCTCCATGCATTGCGTCGGCGACCTGGGCGATCAGGGTCAACTCCGCTCTGAAATTCGACCGTTCAAAATCGATTTTTCAGTATATTCGATATCAGCCCCATGATTTCACAAAATATTCATTTTGTAAAATTTTCCTTTGCGATTCTAACAGTCTGATAAACTTAGCGTGAAAATCATTTCTTCTCAAGAAATATGGAAGCAGAATTCTGAAAAAAATTCAATTTTATTCAATATTTCTGCTAAAAAAACAATTGAAAATTGGAACCGATTTTCTTTGAATTTATTTTTTTCCCGCCTTCAAATCTATCGAATTTAATGAAATTGTGAAATATTGGTAATGGCATCGTGGTGTTAATTGAAAAATTAAAAAATTTAATTCAAAATGTGCTTTATAAAAAAAGTCATTATTTGAATCCATGATTTGCTCAAAGAGTACGACACATTCTCTTCTCATAAACATGAAGTAAAAACATTTTTTCAGCTATATTTGCACTTCTTGATCAACTGAACCAAAAAAAAAATGTTTCGAGAAGATTTTTTTTCAGAGAACAATATATAGTCTGTTCAGATTTTGAATGTCAAGCAGCTAACTCCACCCCGAAGGCTACAATATCTTTCGCGTCAATGTTTTATCTACATATGCCAATGGCCTTTTAATAAGGCTGCTTTTTTGACCTCTTTTTCTATCTTTTAGATCGAAAAAGATCAAAATTAGTCCCGCGCGATGAAACATCGACGCGAAAAGGTACCGTCTCAGCAGGGGCGGAGTTAGCTGGTTGACATTCAAAATCTGAACAGACTATAGCGCGAGATCGAAGCGATATCGCTCGCGGCATAGGAAATAGTATTGGGTGTACACTCTTTTGGTTAATGATTATTATAATTCAAGCGACTATTCTTTCTAGGATCCACAGAAACTTATTCACGTGCAATTTTTTTGCTGGCTCGATACTCATAGCTTTTTTTCTCGTATACCCATTTTGGACCTTCTGGTTCGATATGGATGAAGCGCCGCGGATTGTCTCGCGCCGTTGTTCCGCAGCTGCATGCCGCTTCCGTTGTTGAGCGCCTGGACGTCTCTTCGGAAGGAGCTCACTTGTCGATCATAGGAATCCGTCACGTGACGCATTTTGGAGGTGAACAAATTGGAGAGGCTTAACGCCGCCTTGTAGATCTGAAAACAAAAATCTTTGTTTTTTACAGAGTAGCTCTTGTTTGTTCGAAATAGCAAAACAGGATTTTTCACAAAGAAATATTTAAAATTTTAGTACGCTAGACACTTTTTCTGCACTTAACAGGCCTGAAATCTTAGGTTCTCAACATTCGGTACACATCCCCAAGATTTCTTTCAAATCTGCAGCCCTCACCGGTGATCTCGTGTCGTCTTTGCGCTCCTTGCAGGCGGTGATCATGCTGGAGAAGGCTCTGAGGACGTCCTGAGGTTCTCTGAACTCGGCGCCGTTCTCTAGGTTCCTCAGGATGGTCGACAGGTCGCACGTCTCCTGGAGAGCTTCGAAGAGATCGTCGTCGGTGATGTTGGAGGACTGAATGAAGTTCTGAGCGCAGGGCTCGCGGAGGATCTCCCGCACGACGTTGGCGGCGTCGTTCATCCAGCCGGGAAGACGGTTTCGAGACGTCGACGTAGATGCTCCAGGATCATCGCCGATTGCCGCTGCAAGCCGTTCTCGAGCTGGAAAAAAGCTTTTTTAAGATGCTTAAGCGATTTGGATCTGGAGAGCGGATTTTAGAACTAATTTTTGGAAAAATGGTCATTTTTTGATAATTTTCAGTTTTCTTTCAAGCTTTTTCCTGTTTCCCAGTATCGGTTTACCGTAAATTCTAAGCAAAAAAAGTTTTTTTACTAACTTACCAATTCTCAACATTTATTTTGAAGTTATTTTAAGTTTCCCTATAGAAGATTTTTGAGCATTTGAGACCATAAATGTGGGCTTATATTGAATTTTCGTCAGCTTTTAAAAACTTTCATCATTTTTTGAAAATTCTGAATTTTTTAATTTTCCTCATTTTGCTTTAATTTTACAGTCTTCTCTTGTCTTCCAGCATCTTTTACTGTAATTCTAAGAGTAAAAAAAGTAATAGTTCGTATTAAAATCTTGATACTGAATGCAGAAGTCTTTTCGAAGTGACTTCTTCAGCTATACTTTTTGAAACCTTCATTTCTGTTTCTGATGATTTTTTTGATCTTTCTTCTTCCTTTTCTATCACTAGTACCTTCATTACATCATCTGGAAATAAAAAAACTTTCTAGACAGTTTTACGTGTAGTTCCCCAAAATTTACTCGAAAATACCAAAAAATTATATTGAATCAAATTTTCTGAAAATCCTTTATCATGAGAAGTCCCGGAGTGGGATCCAGCCGACGTTTCAACTTTTCTAACACTTTTTCGGTACTTTTAAATTCGATGTTCCGTTTTTCAACTCCCCCCGTCACTCACAAATGCGGTCGGGCCTTTTCCAACGATATTCGACAATATTTTCCGGCGGTTCGTCAAATGAAGAGATGTACAGCTGCTTAATGTCATTGAGCTTTGTGTCTCTGAAAAAAAAACAACTTCATGCAAAAATCAAATAATGAGAAAAGTGCTATGCATTTTCATGAAGAATCAAAAGTGAACGAAAGAAAAAGTCTTACTGAAAAACCTCTGATTTAGATGTAGTTTTTCCTTTTTTTTTTCCAGAAAGACCCTTCAAACCTTCCATTCAAAGAATAGGAGTATTTTTAAAGAAAGAAAACCTAGAAATGCCTAAAAAAAAGTGGGTGGAGCTCAATCTTTTTGAAACTTTTTAAGGCGTTTTTTTCTGCAAACTGAAATTCCACTAGAGTGTTACAAGTAACGGTTATCCCAACACCAGAAAATATGCTGTGTCACCTATTTCTTCTTGCGCCCGTTGTTCTCCCGTTTCAGCATAGCTCAGGGTTAAATAGCCTCAAGAACAGACAGGATCAACAGGGGTACACCCGTTGAGACATCTGCCCGAGAATGGGAAAAAAATCGAACCGAGAAAATCGGATGAGGGCCTCCACGACATGTCTTGCATTCCGAACGATCACAGAACCAGACTGGTTGAACTGCTCGGCGGCGATGGCCAGCCCTCTGACGTCACGATGGAAAGCCAACATGCCTCTGGAAAGTCGGAAGAATGGGAAAATCTCGCTTATATTCGGCTTGCTCTAGAATATTCTAAAAACCTATTTAGAAAAAAATCCCCATATTTTCGCTAAATTCCCTAAAATTTCCTCTGATTTTTGAACTTACTGTTCTGTTTTCAATTTTTATATTTCCTCGTTTGCAAGTTGGTTTTGTTAGCAGTTATTTCAACTCTTGAATTGTATTATTATTCTTATCGGAAAATTATGGTGAGGAAATGGTAATATTATATTGATTTCTAGACTTTTACGGCCGTATCATATCAGGTAAAGGTTTAAAGCTTTCATACTTTGAAAAAAAAATCCGAAAAATCTTCCAAAACTGAAAAACTTGTTTCCGAAACTTTTTGTTGAGCTTTTCCTCAAACTGGAAATCTTCTCAAGAAAATTGAGAAAGTGGAAAAAATAATCTTTCAAAACTCTCCTCATCACAAAATTCTATTTTATTTGATCAGCCCCACCCAAACCTATAAAATCGATTGATCAACCGCTCCTTGATTGTCGACAAATCGATGGGGTAATCGATAATCATCGGATACTCAGGGAACGACTCCAAATCGACTGGGGTCGTGAACTCTTTGACCGTTTCAAGCTCAGCCAAGCTAGAAATCGCGGCCGCCAAACGGTCCGAATGAAACTGAAAAATCCGGGGTTTTCATTCACAACCATTTTTGCAAAAGTGCTGAAGTTTAACTAAGGCGTTAATTAGGAACATTTGGATTGAAACCAAAAATATTTTTTGTAGTTATTCATGATTTTAGCCAAGTTATAATGTCTGAAAGACGTCAAATATCATTATTTTCTGCCAGAATACGAATTTTAAGAAGTTTCAACTCGACTAAAGGTAATACTTTTTCAAAAAAATCTGGATTAAAATGAAAACGCATTTAGAACTCCGAAAACGCCGGAATTGTCGAAATCAGCAGCGAGAATTCGCTAAGAGGGTCCGATTCAGAAGCTTTTTAACAAGTTTTCTATTTTTTCTAGGACGTTAAAAGCTCAAAAAAAGTAGATCGAGCACAAATCCGGCGAAAAAGATCGATAAAATGACCACATGGCTGATAAAAAGAATTGAAAAGCAGTAAAAAAAAATTTTTCACTCATTTTGCCCATGAAAACACTCCAAAAAAATTCTCAAGTAAACTCTCAAACCTGCTTAATTTCTTCGATATCCAGATGGTCCTGTTCTTCATTCATCGGCCAATCGTCTTCAAAACTGCCAAAAGCGGCGAAAGCGATCACATCTTCTTCCGTCGCCGCAACGTCTAATTAAAAAGCAACGAATCAATTAATATATTCTGGTCTTGAACTTGTAAATGTGGCCACTCGAAGTTTTTTTAGTTAGTGGCCATGCCTTTTAGAAAAACGAGCTCCTAAGGACCGCATAAATCGTAAATTTTCAAAAACATATTTTCCAAGTGCTCGGGCAAAGTCGGAATGGTGTATAATGGCTGCTAAAAGGGAGAGGCTCAAAAAAGGCCGCAGACAGGCAGCAAAAAGGCAGCGAACGGCAGAAAAAAGGCAGCGAAAGGCAGCAAAGAGACTCCCTTACTCGAGCCTTCCATTTTTCTGGGACTTTAAAGGCTCGAGAAATGGTGGAGAAAGGGAGAGGCAGCAAAAATGGTGCACAAGGGCTGAGAGAATGGTGCAAAAAGGCAGCAAAAAGAGAGCCTTCATCACCCTAAAAGGAACATATCTATGGTCTTTTATGGACCCTCGAAGGGTCCTTCCGACTTTGCCTATGTAGAAGTTTCAAAAAATATAACTCATAAATTTTTTTTAAATTGTAGAATACAATTTTTCTCCCACTTTTCATTTTTTTTTTCTTCTATAGGAAAATAAAGACTTACGGAGGTCTTGCCAAAAGTTTTAACACTACTGAAAATTACTTCACCGTACTTCTTGGACTCTTTTCAGTTATTCCCATATTTTTTTCGATTTCTTCTCCCTTACCTGATCTCCTTGTCGGTTGCCTCGTTTGCAGATCCCAAGGCGACAAAGTATCATCTTCTCCAGTGTCCCATTTGATTTTCACCGAATACCAAGAGGAGCTGAAACACATCCTTTTGTTTCCAAAACAATGAAAAGGGAAAAATTCCTGAAGAAACATTGTAAAATATCTTTAAATTAGAATACATACATATTTTTAAAAAAATTAACAAATTTTTCTTGAGTTTTTTTGAAGTATTTCATCGCTTAGAAGCCTGAAAAATACTTTTTAAAAATCAGAATGCAAGTAAAAAAATCAGAAAAAATTGCTATAATTTTTTTCAAAATTATAATTTCTAATATCTTCTTTATAACTGAATTTATCACTAGCAAAAATAAACTTGACAATTAAAAGTTGTTTCAACGTCATTTTTTCCACAGATTTTTTAAATTAGTATTTCTTAATACACTTTAAGATTAAATTTATCTCTAAAGAAAATAAACGTGATGATCATAATGTTTCACGGCCATTTTTCCAACACTTTTTTCAGAATATATATTGAAAATTACTCGGGAAACTCGTCGGAACTGGACGTGACCGCGTCGACAGTGCCCGTCCACCATTTCCCCTCGATAATCGCCTCGATTCCCGCTCCTTCTTCCAAATCCAGCGCTTTGGACTGTTCGTAGAGCTTCAGAGGGACGATGAAATCCGGCGAGTTCTCGAGGTCGTGGAATCTGTGGAAGGATCTTGCACCAGTGGATTTATAGTTGTTCAGCTCTGATGGTAGTCATGCTAGTCAGTTGTCTCTACGGGTCGTATTTTTGAGGCTATTTTTGTCTCAGTCGTGCTGAAACGGGAGGAAAGCGGGCTTGAGAATAAATAAGTGACTCAGTGTTTATTTCAAAAGTCTGAGACTCAACTGTGCCAAAACGGGGCTTCAGTTGTGGTTAAATTGCCAAAAGTTCGACCAGCTGTGCTTATACGGGGTTCAATACGGGCGCGCCCGCTGAAAGCCCTTGTTTGTCCCGACTGGTCTACGCTCATCAGCATGAGAGCAGTAACTTTAAAGTTTCACACTTTGAAAAGACTTCACAAAAAGAAGCACACAGTTATGACGAAAAATTAATTTACTTCAGTGTCTATTATTTTCCCTTTTCGAACTGGTTTCCTCACTTGACGGTCCAGGTGACGCCGGTCCTCTGATCGGAGTGATCCAGTTGGGCCAGACGGACCGACGTCAATCGGTACGGTTTACTCACATATCGCAGTTCCTCCACAACACAAAACTCTTCGGCCGTTCTTTCTTCCCTGAAACAATTCAATATCCACAAGTATTCAAAATCAAACTTTCAGGCGAGCGCTTGTACTTTACTTTCCAGTTTTTTCAATAATTTGGAGCTTAATTTAAGCCACAAAACACTCTAGAGGCAAGCTCCAATGTTCAAACACGCCACGCAGCCGCAGCGCTTCAAGCCATTCCAAACGCGAACAAATGATTGAAGAATTCCGTGTATTTTCTTCACTCGAAGTGGTAGCTCTCTCAGTCGGCCGAGGCTACCCTAGAGTGTACACGGCGTCCGTGCCCGAGCCCCACCATCACCGCCGTGCCCGTACCCGCGAAACTGAGGGATCAACTTGTGGAAGAACGAGGCGAAGGACCGTAAGATCATGCTTTCCATTCAATCGACTACACGTTTTGACTTCTTTTTCGCCAAAGGCGGTGTTAGTGCCGCTCAAAAGAGCAATTTTTTCACCGCCTAGTCGATAACATCTGACTAAAACAACCAATAAATATTGTATTGTAAGATCTCACGTCGGTCTCATTTTATGAGTGACGGCATAAAGTTTGGCCCTTTCCACGTTTGCCAGGTAGGCTTCATGGCCCTGCCGGAAATAGACGACCCGGTCGCCCAATTGAGCGAAATAGGGGAATCTTCTCGGCTTGGTCATCTGCATCCATTGCGGGAACGTCGTGCGCCAAGTGTCTGGATTAAATATGAAAAAAATTTTTCGAAGGAAAAATTCAATTCTTAAAAAAACCATTGTTTTCTTATTTCTAAAAAAAGTAGCCGTCGGAGATGAAAGTTTATTTTTTTCCAACTTTTTTTGTTTACCCGCCACTTCATGTTGCATTTTCAGAAGACCCATATGAGATTAACTTTTTAGTTTTAAATTCCAGATTTTCGCAATTCACTTCCTTTCTGCCAGCTTATTTTTTGCAGTTTCTCTTATTTTTTGGACGTGAAATTCCCGCGAAACTCGCTATGCTCTCTATATTCACCTTTGACTTTTCTGACGGGCGGTCTTGGCCTGGCAACTTGAGCCGTCGAAGGTCCCGGCTGTTCTTCTTCCTCCTCTCCGGCTGAAGCCGTCGCGATTCTTTGATTCGCGTTGACTTGCGCACGTCTTCTGGAGGTCGAGGCAGACGACGTCGGCTCGTCTTCGGCAGAGATTCCCGAAGCATCGTCTTCAGCTGGTGCCACCTATGGAAATAAGTTTTGAACTTCAGTGATTATTTTCGATTTTTTGCCGATTTTCTAGACCATTTTTAGCTTGTGGAAGATATTGTATGAAATATGAAGCTTTTTTCTGAAAATCTTCAAATTCTTATAACTAAATTGTGAAACTTGTGTTGAAGAGAAACACGCAAAGCAAAAAAGAACTTTTTCGATCCCAAACAAGTTTTAAAAAACGATTTCTTATAAACCCAAGACAAGATGAATGAAAAAAAAAAGAAATTTCCTTACAACAGCCCGTCTTCTGGAATGCCTCCTCTGGGGACTCGAAGTCTCTTCTTCCTGAAGCCGTCGTCGCTGAACACGTCGTCCAGACGCCGTCGTCACCACCGTCTCCTGACTGCTTGCCTGAATCTTCAGCTTTCCCCTTGAGGTCTTTGGTCTCTGTACGTTCTCCGCTCTTCTCGTTCTTTCGTCACGTCTTCCGAGGGAAAAGTCGGAATCGGTCGTGGGGTCCGAGTCTTCGGCTTCCTCTTCCGATGGAGCACCTGAGGAGCCGCTGAAAAAGTTCTTTTTTTTCGGATGACAAGGGTTGAGGATTTGGGTTGAGATTGAATTGTAGCGCAAAAACTATAACAGCTTTTATTTTAAAGCTTTTTCTTCGCTCAAACTTCTCTAGGCTCCTGAACCCATCCAAAATCTCAGGAAAAAAAAAAACGCACTTTCTGTTTCTACAATTGTCTACTCGCCTCATAGCTGCTTGATAAAAACTAAAACTGAGCCTCTTTTTTCTGATACTCTTGAACTTTTCTCGTAACCTCAATCTCATTCGGAAAATTCTTGTAAAAGTTCAAAATATTTTGAACTTCCGATGGAATACATATTTCTTTTATCTCAGTAATCCGTTGAAAAAAGACTGTTTTCCGGCTTTTTAAACGATTTTATTTTTCGAAAACGAACAACTCTTCAATTATCCCCTGATTCAGAAGAGATCCTTTTTCGAAGACTCAAAACGTGTAAATGAGCACTAACGAATAGGAGGAGTCCTCGGAGCTCCTGTAGCCGTCGTTGATGGCCTGCGCCCTTCTGGCGTCCTGTTCGGCGATCGCCTCGTCCAACGTCATCAGAGCCGTCGTGGCGGCTCTTCTTCTCACCGGAGCTTGGATTCCGGCTGCAAGACAATCTGTATGAACTGGAACGCCTTCTCTCATTGTTTCGCGGATGTTTTCCTCAAAAACGCACCATATCCAGCAGCCGAGGCGATTCTAGCCCTGGCCCTCGAGTTCCTGGACCTTTGCAAGTCGCTGGCCATCACGATCGGCTCCTCTTCCGCCTTTATGACTCTCCGCATCTCTTTTTCGTATTCTCTTTCTTCTTCTTTGCTTTTCAGCACCATTTCCTGAACGATAACTATACTATAAGAATATTATAAAGTTATTATCATGCAAAGAAAAAAATTTTTAGAATTTATAATAAATAGGAGAATAGAAAAAAAGGCACAAAAAAATTTTTCAGGACTATTTTTTTCTTGAATTTATGAATTTAACGCGAAGTTCGAATAATGCAAAAAAATTTTTTTTTCAAAAAAATCAAATTGTTTCTATTGGAAAAAACTGAAAAAAAGTTTTCTTTTACAACCTTTGTTGTTAGAAAAAAATTGACAGCGAAATTTGAAAAAAACTTGAAATTATAAAAAAATCAACGAAAAATAGTAGTTTTTTTCAAACGTTCTTTCAAAAAAATTTCATCAACCATTTCCAAGTAGCCGGAAACTGTCAAATTATATGAAAATTAAAAAAATCCACGTTTCCTTTTTTTCAAACTTCCCTCGAAAAATACTTCAAAAAGAAGCTGAAACTCCCAAAAATGAATTAGAATCGACTTCTCACCTCCATCCAGGTGGTCAGCTCGCCTTGGCAAAGTTTCGGACAGATTTCTCGATCCAGCCACGGACACTTTCCCAGTCCGACCACCATCACTTCTTCATTCTTGATTTCAATAAAGACTTATTCTCTGAAATCTGCCCGGAAAACCTTGAGATGCTCTCTTCCGGGAACTTTGCGTTGGATGTCGGGTTCGTAGAGATTCTCGTCGATGTTTCTCAACAGAGGGGGCGGCATCAGATGGGGCGGCAGTCCGCTGATCGTGTCCACGACTTTGCCGTCCTCGTCTTGGGTGCAGGGACTGAAATGATTGGAAACACTTTCATCCGTTTCTTGAAGAAAGAAGGTCAACGAAACTGCTCTTGTTGAGTTGCTTGTGAAAATCGAAGAATAAATTTTGAAAAAAACCTACAGAATTTATTCAAATTATTGAAAATCTTCAGTCAAAAAAACCTTCAATAACTGACAGAAACTCTTCGAAAAAAAGAATTTCAATATTTTTTTCCAAATTCAATATTCTTTCTTTTTTTCCCTTTAATCTCCCCTGTTTTTTTATCAGAAGATGTTAGAAAAATCTTCGATTTTCACTGTTTCAATGTCTTTTTTTTCAAGCCACTATTGAAATCCTTTCATAAACGTTTAGGTTGTGAAAAGAAATCATTTCAAACTTATATGGAGCTTGGAACTTATTTTGAAAACTTGATCAAATGGGACTTGTTGTTTTTTGAAAAGTTCAAGAAGCCTTCCGCTATATTTGAAAATAACTTCTCGATTTAATTTCAAGCTTTTTCAGTAGTTCTTCCTCTTGTATAATTCTTTTTGTTTCTGATAAAACGCACTTGTAGTCAGTGGTGAAAAACTGCTGTTTCGGTGGCTTTTTCACTTCATCATCAACACCCAAAGCGAACATTGAGAGCTGAATTGAATATTTTTCCTAAATTCTTTTAATTTTGGCAGATACCTGTCCATACGCATCCACCACGGCAAGGGCGGATCCATCTTCCCGGATCGACATATCGAAAAGGGCCATCACTCCGCGATTTTTGACCGTATTCGAGGTTTTCCAGGCCGGGGTATCTTGCTCCGAACTCAGGTTCCATACCTAAGATGGTCTTTGAGAAAAAAAAAAGTGAACAAGCAAAACTTAGAAGGCTCAAAAAAAAAAGGAAATGAGCCCGGGAGAAGCTAGAGAACAACGACGGTTGAAAGAGACGCCAGAGAAACAGAGTAAATTCATTTTTTTTTTTTTTCATGTAATTTTCCGATTTGTATAATAAGATGTCAGAAAAACGCAAGAAAATTCACAAAAGTCAGAGAAAACGAGGATATACTCTTTTTTCAACTTTTTTATTCCATGAAATAACAAAAAAAAAGACGAAAAACTCTAAAAAGTATAAAAATCGAAAATAAACTTCTTTATCTCAAATTTTTCTCAAACCTACCGCTATGATTCCATCGTGTCCGCAGCTGACAACCAGTTCGGGACACACCGGATGAGCTTCCAACGTATAACACTCATTTGTATGTAGTTTGTACTTTCGGACTTGCTTCCTGGTTTTCCAATCCCAAACGCGCACTGAAAAAAAGAAAATCCTGATGAATTTTTCCTTACAAAAACATCCAATATCCAAATTTATTGATATATCTGATAAAATTGAAAAATATTTTTCTTCAAAAACTCGGAAAAGACATGATAATTTCAATTAACAAAAACTCAAAAAAAAGGAAGGTAAAAATATTTTTGGAATTGCTTTGTTAAAATTTGCTTTTAAATAAACTGATTTTTTTGCTCCCAAAAAAATCGTTCAAAAACCTGACAAAAAAATTCAAAAATATAAAAATTTTCTTTGATTTTCGAATCCTCTTAATTTCCTAAAGACCTCCTGAGTCTAAATATTTTCAACTTATTAATCAGTTCTAGAGCCGTAAAAGCACACATTTATCAAGATAATAGACGAAAAAAACGTCACAAAAGTCACTTCAAAAACATCGAAATGTTTGATTTTACTTGTTGAATCCCTTGAATTTTTTTTGGATTGGTAAGAAATCTTAACTTTTTTGTTTCTCTAATAAATTCAAGGGTCAAAAAAGAACAACATTTTCCCAAGAAAATGTTAAAAAGTCACTTCCAAACTTTTAGATCAAAATCATTCAAATTCTCTTTAAAACGATTCCTAAACTTTAAAAAAAATCCAACTTCATGTTAACCTTCGATTCAAAAAACTTTATATTTTCTTCAAAAAATTGGTCAAAAACCTACAAAAAAACGACTCTCAAAATATATGATTTTATCCGTGGAAAACCTTTGAACAACTTTTTTGAACTTGTTAGTGTCGGAAAAGCTAGGAAATTTTTTTTCGTATTCATCTAAACATTGTAAATTTTTTTTGACCTCCAAAACCAAGAAAAAATAGATTTTTTCGATAAAATGGTCAAAAACCCACACAAAAAGTCGCTCCCGGCCGTCACGACGTACTGGTCGTCGAGGGTCCAACACAATATTGTCACCTAAACTAGTATAAATATTGATTTTTTTGATAATTGAAAAATATTATAAACCTTATATTTGAACTTATGTCGAGGCAGATGCGCGGTATTGATCGGATAGTGGCTGGCGTGCTCTTTCGCCGCCAATTCCAGTTCTTTTCTTCAAAAGACAATCTTATCAAGAAAAAAAAAAGAAAAAGCTTTTTTTTTTCTAAATAAAAAAACTTTTTTTTCCGTTGAATAGAGAATCAAACTTCCGTAACGCTAAAATATGAAAATCCATCGTTTTTCTCATTTTTTATTGGTTCCCCTACTTCCCGTTTCAAATATTGTATCACTGCCAAAGTCAGAAGTGCGGAAAACGGGTGCAAAAAGGGAGTGACTGCAAAATGGCCGCTAAAAGGGTCCCTTTTTACGGCCTTTATTGAGCCTTTCATTTTTGGTGGGTTAAAAAGGGTCATAAAAGGGCGAAAAAAGGGAGAGGCCGCGAAAAGGGTGAAGAAAGAGTGGGGGTTCAAAAAGGTTCTGAAAGTCTCTGTTATTGATGATTTCCGATGTTATTACTGTAGCTTATTTCGGTTCATACGCAGTCACTTGTAAAGATTATTCTCAATTTTAAAAAAATTGTATTTCTCAAAAGGGTCCAAAAAGGGTGGATGAAGGCCGATGAAAGGACGCAAAAAGGCAGAAAAAAGGAAACCGTTTAGGAACAATTTCCGGAAACAGACGGATCCGTAACGGACGCTCAAAGGGCCCGTGAAGGGTCCTTCCGACTTTGCCTATGATATAGACTTTCTGAACATTTCTGAGATGATCGGAACAAAAAATATGTTTAACAGGAAAATTCCTTATAATTACTGATAAAAATCTAAAATTCACAAAAAAGCTCAATTTTTTTTTATCAAAATCGCTTATTATAGTTTCCATGTACTTTTTTGTTCAAAACGCATCCGGACACTTCCAACTCTTTCAAAATCTTATTGATATACGATAAGTTCCATTTTAAACTGAGAAGATCTCTAAAATCACCCTTAAACCATCAAAAAATCAACGAAAAAGCTGAAAAATTCGGTCAAAATCCCGTATTTTCCAATTCTCCTGAGGTATTTCAGGTCAAAAACTTACTCAGACAGCTCCAATTCCTTGGCGATCCAATTTTTTCCGTACAAAGTCCAAATTTTGGCTGTACCGTCGGCGCTTCCAGAAAGAAACTTCATATCCGAGTTGGCCCAGTGTAAACTGTCTACTTTCTCCTGAAACATTTCCTTCAGTGGTCATTCAAGGGTTTTGAGATTTTGATTTCAAAAAAAGTTCATTAAAAAAATACAATATTTATTTAAAAAATTCCTGAAAAAACTACCAAATGAGCGCCCATCACTTCTTGGGTCTTTTCAACGCCTCGATGTTCGAAAATTCGGAAAATCTTCAAATTTCCTCGATTGTCACCGCAGACGATGATTTGACCGCATCGGCTGAATTTTTAAATGACGAAAAAAAATTATTTGAAAGAAAAACGAACTAAAAAAAATTGATAAATGCGGATAAAAACTTTAAAAAAGGTCATTCTGACCTGTGACACAAGGAGATCATCTTCACTCTGGGACAATCTCGTTCCGAAAAATATACAAATATCTCCAGGCCTGAAAATTCCTCAATTAAAAATAGCCTTGTATTATACAAGTTGTAATCTTCAAAAACCTTTTTTTGAAATTAAAAAAAAATTTCATTTTTTTTTTCAGAAAATCGTTAAAAACACCGAAAAAAAAAGCAATGAAAAAGAAACGTAAACTTATGACACAAAAATAAGGCGTTTTGTTCAATTTTTGATTTAATCTTCAGGACTTTGACGGATTATTCTCCTTGGAAACAAAAATATAGGAATTTTTCGAATAAGCTTATACTTCTTTTATTTTTTTTTATTTCGTATCAGTCCAGAAGCCATTCCTAAACCTTCCGGACTTGCTTTTCAAGGTCATTTAGTGAATTTCCTCTCAAAAACTCAGAAAAATAACCTAAAAACGAGGGAATCCTCATCGTAGGCCCGGAAGATGACTTGGCAATCGTATCCACAGGAAACCAGGAATCGCCGTTTCTGCTGACATTTTTCCGAGGGGACGTAGGGCAGGAACTTGACGCAGACCACCGAGGCCGTGTGGCTTTTGCAGGTGCGCAGAAGGGCGCCGTTCTGCAGGGACCAGACCCTGCAAAGTCTCAGAGATAGATGTGTAAGTACAATCAGCCCGGGAGGAGGGGTTGGATCGAATTGTTTCGGAAAATAAAGAGAAAAATCAAGTTTGGACCTTAAAGTCGGATTTAGTCATAATATTACAATTTTTAGCCTCCGACAGGTTTTAATATCTTTTAACTAGGAAAATTTGAGAGGAGGGGTCGGCGGCAAAAAAAAACGGTTTTCCCATATATGGCCACGAATTGAAAATAAATCAATCGATATCGAGTCAAAATAAATTAGTATACATTTTTTTTGTAAAATCAGCGAAAGAAAATAAAAAGCTACCATTTATTTTTAATCGTCCGCAAAATTTTCATGAAAATGTATTATCATATCAATGATCTCGAGATGAATCTTGCATAGTTTTTTTAACCTATTTTATGAGGAATTACTTAGAAAAAGTTAATTTCTTTTTTTCTTTGTATTCACGACCAGGCTACGAAAAAAAGATAGAAAAAAAGATTTGAAAGAAAAAAATTTCAAAAAAAGAGGAAAAAAATTCGAATTTTTTTCCCCCAATCTGGCGCTTTTATCTTCATTTTGCCCAAAAATCTGCCTTTTCGCCTCGTTTTTTCATTTCGAACTGAAAATTCCGTCTTTTTGCGGTTTTTCTGTTCATTTTGCCCCACAAAAATGCGTCCTTTTGCCATTTTCATTCATTTGATACCAACCTGACAGTTTTATCCACACTTCCAGCAGCAATCATCTGATTACAATAAGAAACGCAAATGTCGGAAACTTCGCATTTGAAGCCCCGCAAGGTGAAACGCAAGAAACCCGTACTCGAATCCCAAATTTTGACCAAATTGTCGTCAGATCCCTGGAAAAAATGAAGAATTTTTGTAAAACTTGATCATATTCATCAAAATACATATTTTGATTAATAAACATCTGCAGTAAACCCGTGAAAAATTTTGAAAATCTCGAAAAAAAATGACCAAAAATTTTTAAAGGTTTTTTTTGTGCTGTTTTCCTGAAATTTTCACGGTTTTTTCTGAACAAACCTAACTTTATATTCCTACAGTAACCCACCGTAATAATATATCTGCCAGTACGGTCGAAAGAAACACAATAGACGTCGTTGCCGTGGCCGCAGATGCAGAAATGTCGTTTCAAATCTTCGAAAATGTTCGGCCGCCCTTGTTTTACTTTCCAACCAAGTTCTCGGCCGGAAAGGTAACTGCAAAATCCATTTATATTTTCTGAGAGAAGAATTTAGCTCGAAAAATTGTTAAAGCTCTGAAAAGAAAGACAAAAAAAATTAAGATTCCGAAAAATGACCATGAAAAAAGAAAAAATATTACCAAAATCATCGGCAAAATAGGATTTTTAAATGAAAACGTCGACAGTTTCAGCTTAAAATGCATGTAAACGAATGAAAAAGGGGTTAAAAAAGTCGATAAATAGAATGTTTTCGAAAAAAATTTCCCCTCAATTTCAGTCATCGCAGCCTAATATTTCATCATAAAATAAAGTTCGAGGGAAAAAATCTAAAAATTCCGTTCGAAAACTTCAAAACCTATCGTTCCAACCATATAAAAAACGGGATTTGACCGAAATCTTCAACTTCTTCTTTTCCTTCACCGGAATTATCATCAAAAAAATCCATAAAAATAAATTTTTTTGATACAAGTTTTTTTGGTCATTTTCACTTCAAATTGAATAGAACTCAGGGATAAAAAAAAAAGCTAAAATTCCATTTAAGAACCATAAAAACAGAATTTGATCCAAATAATCATGAAAAAAATCACAAATTTTCGGCCTGACTCCCCCGCAACGTCGTCTTCCTGCGGACGTCTCTCATCACGAAACTTTTCTGGATCGTACTTTCTTCAAGATATTTCGAAATTAGGGATTAAAATGATACTTTTGAGCTGACCATTGGTCCGAATCAAAGAATTTCTGAAGTTATTGAAGACACTGAAGGGCAAGTCGGGCAGCGAAGGCGGGACGACGATATTAGATAGTTCGAAAGTTCTTCGCAAAATTTTCGGAAGCAGCGGAGTTGGAGAATTGAGATCGTTTTTGAAGGCCTCGACCTGAAAAATTGAAAAATAATGACATTGGACCATTCTTTTTTTCTCCTAAAAAAACTGGCTGTGAGAATATAAATGACCTGAAAATTTTAAAAAAAAATGACAAAAATGACGATTTCTTCTGAAAACTAATGCGAAAAATGGAAAAATGACCTGAAAATTGCATAGAAAATTGACAAAAAAATTTATTTTCTCTCCCAAAATAAGCTGGAAAAAATGAAAAGGAACTTTTAAAATTTCAAAAATCTGGAAAACAAATCAAAACTTCAAGGCCCCTGGAAAGTTTAAAGGAAATGACAAGAAAAAGGTTTTTTTTTTACCAAAACCTAGCTGAAAAGTGAAACTAGTGGCCCCTAGAGAGGTTAGGGGAAAACAGCCCTTATAGGGACAAAATAGTACTCTCTAGGCCGTTGAAATTTGACAAGCCTAAAGCTAAATTGATCACTTTAGCGGTTCTTTGATTTTTTCGTTGGCATTTGGAAGTTGAAAAGACGTATAGAGATCACTAGCCTGCTTCCCTAGAGTGGCCACTTTTGCAAGCCTTAGTGACCTCTTTAGGGGACGGCATTATCTAGTGAGGAGCCTTCCAAGGTTACCCCTATAGGGGCCTCTATGGCGTTCCCAAGGAAGCCCATGAATAACTCACATATTGCTCCAAAGTCCTCGGATGCGACCTTCCTTGATAATCGGTCCGTCTCGGACAAGTCTGAAAAAAGCACAAAAATGATTTTGAACGCATAAAATAATTCAGTTAAAAGCCGAAGAAATAACCAAGTTCCTCTCGATGGCCCGTTTCAGGGCGTCCGCCGCCTCTCGAAACGGTCCCGCTTCCAGCCATTGATGTACAACTAACGCCAAATCTAGAAAGTAATCCTTATTTTGTTTTTACTTTTCTGTGAAATCATTCAACCTAATTGCATATTATCGGCAGCTTCATCTACCCGGCGCGATGTCGCGTACGATGTCGACGGGACGACGTCGCCATCATCCATTCTACCACAAATATTCTTTCTTTCCACTAATTATTTAGATAATCTGAAAAATATAGAAGAAGTTGGACAGAAACTCAAGGAAAAGATAGCTTTATAACTTTTTTGAAAATTCATTTTCGAAGGATCATAGACAAACTTGATATAGGTCTCGAAACGAAAAGCCGTTTATCTGAGACTTATGTTCCTTTGAAAGGGCAAAAAACAAAAAGTATCGAAAACAATGAGACTTTCAATTTTTGGAAGAATAATCGGCGTTTTTTGAAACCGAAAAGTCAGCCTTTCAAAATCGTTTTTCTCTCATATTTCGCAACATTTTTCGTTTTAAATTGATTTCGAAATATTCTCTTTTTGACCGCACCGTTAGATAGGAGATCTAATTTAAACATATCAAGTTTTTTAGAGCGATATAGTCTTTTTTTCTTTTTTTGAAACTGCAAAAAACGTTGAACTTTTTGGAAAAAAATTAAAATTCTGAGATTAAAGCTTCTCAACCTTAAAAAAATGAGCTTACCAGCCCTATGAAACCAAAAAAGATCCCGAGCGAAAATCAGTATTTCTACTTTGAAAAGACCTCGTTCCACACAGAAATCAAACTACAGCATAAAATCCTTCTAAATATTCCACGAGGCCGAACTCGTTTCAAACACTAACAAGACCCAAAATAAATTAGTCAATACTTTATTTTTTAAAAAATCAATGAAAAGAGAAGGAAAAAGAGAGCAAGACAGGGTGGGAGGCGGGGATAAAGAAAGCAATATTTTTTTTTAACAGAACACTTTAAAAAGATGAATGTTCTTGGGTTCGATCTTGGCGCGGTACTCGTAACTAACTCGATCGTCCAAATCATTAAAAATTGGGGTAACTTGGAAAATTGTCTACCGTAAACAATTGAGAGAGAATGGAACAGAAAAAGTACCGGGGGAATAAGATAAATAATTGATATTGAGGAGGATAGACGGAACGATCCCTAAAGCGATGAGCAACACGGAAAAATGAAATCGAAGAGAAAAACATTTGATAAACTTTTGCTCACAGCTTTTGCTCACAATAAAAAATAGCAGGAAAAAGGAAAAAAGAAAATCTAGCGCATTGGAAGCTTTAAAAAAAAATAAAAAATTGAAAAAAATGGCGATAAATGCTCAAATCATCTAATTATGGGCTGCGTCGATCAGATGGCGGTTTCTGAAAAAAAAATTCAAAAAAGTTTTTTTTTAAAGTTATTTATCTAACTAGGGCACGGTCTCCGCTCGACAACGAGTTGAGAATTGAGACTTTGTACGTGGGTATCAGGGATGCACGAGACGGAGTTTTTGATCTCAAGACGAAAAAAAACTTTCAAAAAACATCTCGAGACATTTTGAGAAGGAGGAAACACAGAATATTGTGTCAGAAAACACTTGGAAACGACCTAAAGGCAAAAAATGTGGGAAATATCTTTTTAATGAGAGAATTTACGCAAAATCTAGAACTGCGGATGGATTTAATCGCTTTCGGTGCGTTGCGTCACGACCGTAACGTCATATAATACGCCATATTTTTCTATTTTCTTCGTAAAAACTTCTTTTTTTCTGTCCTGAAACACCTCGAGGCGAGACACGGAGCGCGGTGGAAAATACGACTGGTTTTTTGAAACGAGTATGGAAGAAAAAATTATCAAAACATTTTTTATTGAACTTGACTTATTATTTACTAGAAACGTACAATCAATTTGATTTTTCTTTATTTTGAATCTAAAATATTCAACAGGTTGATAAAAAGGGCAATTCACTTATTTTCCTAGAAACTAATAAAATGATCGGTTTAAAGAACTTTAAAAGCCATTAACAATAATTTTGATTCTAAAGTAACCACTTTAGGGAGTTCCTTCCCATATACTGGCTCTTCTTAAGTGACTTCTATCGGAACTTCTCCCCTAGTCGCCACTTCAGGAGTTTAACTTTCAAGTTATCCCTCAAGGGCTTACTTTTTAGAGACCATTGAAGACTCTCAAGTGATTTCTTCAGGGGTTTTCTCATCCTTTTATCAGTTTTCAAAGCTTTAATCCCAAAAAACCGACCAAAACATGGCTCCCTCGACTGGCTGTGGCAACTTGACGTTTTCCTTGGCCATCATCATGTTCTTGCGGATGTCCTCTAACACGTTCTTAATCATGTAGCTGCCGTTCCAGTTGCGAAGCGTCGAAACATGTCTTTTCTCGATCTTAAATCAGATATTTCTGAGTACAAACTAAAAGTATTTGTTCTATTGGATCATAAAAGACTTTCTTAGAGGTTACAAAGGCTAAAAGAACATTCGAAACAACATAAAAATGTTCTAAATCAAAAAATTACTTGCAAAAAAAGGCTTTTTTTCCTCATAAAATTTAGAAGAAAATTCAACTTGACAGACAAAAAAAAAACGCGTAAATCCATTCTCATTATAATTTTCGGATCGAAAATGTTTATGAAAGTAATCCATCGCGTTTTGCCATATGTCCTCAGATAGCACAAAAACATTTTGAGAAAAGGCTTACAACTTTTTTTGACAGAAGGTCTTCGATAGAAAATTTCCTAGGGAAAAAAAAGCAGAAAAAAGGGATCTTTTTAGAAAATGCATCAAATGTTTTTTTCTGTTCAAAAAAAAATTTTTGAGAAGAGAAGTTGAAATAACAGACCGAACAAAAGCTTATTGCACAAAGATATGTTCTAATTTTCTAAAAATAAAAAACAGTTTTGAACTCAAACTTCGTGCGACTTATTGCATTGTCCTCTCAAAACTTCTTCAAGGTCCACAGAAAAGTATTTCGAAATAAACAAATAAATAAATAAAAAAAGGCAAATAAACTAAGCGTAATGAAGTGATACTTGACTTACAAAAAAAAAACAGAAAAATTTAATAAACCACAGTGGAGAAATGATAATAAATCGAATTGTGCGGATTCTCTATTAAAACTTGTTCAAATCAAGCGAAAAGCTCCAAAATCGGAAAAAAAAACGTATTTTCGTAGGAGACGCATCAAGAAAGTTCAATCAAGTTTACAATTTTCTCAACAAAAAAAAAGAAATCTACTTCAAACTACAAATTATTCATTCGAATATGTATTTATCATGAACTCACAACGCCATTGTTCTGATTGACGCCGTTCATATGAATTTTGGTTGTGAAACGGACGCTCGGCGCTTCCCGCGGGTAGTTTGGTCCGCATTGAATTTGGAGGTTGTAGATTCGCGATTCGTACGGCGTCTGAAAGAAGAAAAATATGCATCGAAAAACAAGGAACATTAACTCACCCTGGGAGGACCAATAATGGTCCCAGTCCACTTGGTGAGTGTCATGTCGCTGTCGTCTTCGAGGCCCCAGGAAATATTTCCATCCCCTTTGCCCTTCTGACCGTCTTCAAGCTCTTCGAGAAGTCGGAAGTTGCGCGGAACGTCAACTTGAACAAAAAACCCAATTTTTTAACAATAAAGCGAAAAACTGACCCATTTTTGAAGAGCCAAATGTGGGCTGGAACGATGTTTAAAACCTGCAAAATTTCCAAAATTTCATCCACCAAAGTCTTATTTCTATTAAAAATATAAGGATGACAAGAAAAAAAAGAAGCTTTTCGGGAAAACAAACAAATAATAAACGGAAAAGCGTATTGTGCGTCACGTCTCCAGGCGCGCCGCTTTCAAATTTTTCCCGTGGCGCGCGTTTTCCTCCTTCAGGCCTCCCTTTCATTCTCTGAACGGCTACGCTGTTTTCGCCGGTACCTGTTCTCATTGATTACCACCTCTATCGAAAACTTGAACTTTTCGATTTGAATCTATCGAAAAATGCGTGCCGCCGTAGTTCGAGCCTTTGGGGGACCGGAAAACATTGAAATACTGTCAAATTTCGCAAAACCTGTGATAACAGCGGAAAATCAGGTAATAATATTGCTGAGGGATGTTGAAATCAAAAAAAAAGTTACAGATTTTGGTTAGAAACTACGCTTCGGGTATAAATCCAGTCGATACCTCTCTAACAAAAGTTGCGGTGCACCCCGCGTTGAACTCTCCTGTACACCCCGCAGTGTAACCAGGGGTGCACCGAAAAAGTCCAACGCGGGGTGCACCGAATCCTCATTTTTCAATTTTTTTGCTTCTTGCACTTTTTAAAAATACCTTTTATACTTCTATATCCCATATATATCATCAATTGAGACCACGTTTCAATTTATGTTTTATTAAATGATATATCACATAATAAGACAATGAAACAAAAATAAAAACAAAAAAATTACAGCGAATAAATAGGGAATTTGAAAAAAATATTCGAAGATAGACAATTTCATTTACAAGATTTATAAAGAAAAAAATAACAACGTTTACAAAATGTGAGAAAGAAAAAAAGGTCTCTAAAGCTGTTTTTCTGCGCCTTCTCCCCTTTTTTTCTAAGCATCTAGCCAACTTTAGACCAAAAATCGTGAGAGCATGTTAAAAAAAGTAGACATAAATCGAAAAAAATTGATAGAAACTGAAAAATTAAATCAGGAGAAAGAAATTGAATAATAAGAGAATACAACAGAAAGAGTGGATAGTACTGAAGAAAAATTAGGCAAAAAAACAGAACAGGCTTCATAACACTTACAAAGTTGACTGGTAATATTTAACACATGATTTCCGAGAAATTTTATGAACTGGGAAATTAATTGGTACAATAATTTTGAAAAATTATGTTTTTTTGAGCATAAATTCATATCACAGATACTATTAAACCTTTTTTTATTTCAGGCACCGAAACGCTCCGCACACTTTTTAGAGCTACTAAGACAAAAATTACTGTAAGAAGCTAACTTTTTTTCCTCGTAAAGCGTTTCGCTTCTAAAACGTCCCTTGGAAACATCAATTGTGTTGGCAAAATGACGACTTCCGCAGTTGTTATAGCTCTATAAAAAAACCGGGACCTCAGATGGCCTTGATTTTTTTGTACACTAAATTTTTTTTATACGGAGCTTTTTCGGTACTTGTTTACATGAGTTTAAAAAAATTTGCATAGTATCTTTGATATGAACTTCAGCTAAAAAAATCTTTTAAAAATTATTCATCAAAAATTATCACCAACGTATATTCGAAAAATTTCGGAGAACGTGTGTTCAAATTTTTAAAACATTGTCAGTATGTTTTCTCTTTTTTTCGAACGATACTTAAAGATGAAAAATTATTTTCATAGCGAGCTAGATGTGAATAAAAAAACGTTGGAAAAAGCTGAAAAAAAGGATAAGTTGTCCAATTTGATCTTTTGACTTGTGCCAACTTCACTTTAAGCCTTCTCTAAACATATTCACTAAGAATAACTGCCAAGATAAACGCGATACGCTGGCGGTTATCGACAAACTCGCAAAAATGTCGCATTTTTCTCGGCGCGACCTTGCATTTCGAACATTTTCAAATTGCGAGAGAAATGCGAGCTCGCGCCCAGAAAAATGCGAAACCGGCGAGAGAGTAGAACCTAGTGTTTGCGAGTTCGTCAATGTTGATTCCAAATGTGTTCTCAAAAACTGTCGCGGATGTCTGGAAAAAAGTTACGGACCCTCAAAGCGGATAATTTCACTGTCTCCGCTTGAGCTTATTCTTGGAGGACATATGGATCTTGACCCTCTGGTCTCAAAAAAGCTTTTATTTTCGAAAAAAAAAACTTTGGGCGTATTCTAAAGCTCCGCACATGATAAGAAAATGCGCGCGCGGTTTTCTCATATCTGGGCTTCAAAACTTTTTGAAAAAAACAGTAATTGGTTTTATGCTGTCAAAGGGACAAGATCTATAACCTTCAAAAATGAGCGCAATCGGAGAAAATGAAGTTTTCGACTTTTGAGGGTACATAACTTTTTTCCCAAATTTCCGCGGCCGTTTTCGAAACCAGATTTTTAATAAGCGTGAAAAACTATGCCTAGAAAACTTAGTCTCATTCCGATGCCCCACTGCGACTAGAGACCATTCCCTGGTATATTTCGACGAAATTCGCGAAGATTACTAGCATAGTCACTTCAAAATGCATCAATTATTTTTCAAACTACGCGCTCTTAAAATTTTAATTTTTCGTCTTAGCTAAAAAGGACAAACTCTTCCAATGTCAACTATTCAAACTTTTCATCAGCTATTAAAGAACAAAAAAAAAGAAGAAAAAAGTAACGGCTAAGTTACTCTGCTCCCCTTTATTCGACTGCAGTCCTTCTGTTTGTTATGAATCAGGATCAAGTCGTACGGCTATCTGAAATATTACAAAAACTAAAATGCAAAGCTTTAAAAAAATTACCTTCATATTATATGCGTTTTTCTCTCTTCCTTGATGGTCATAAATTTATTCTCTTCAAATGAACCTGAAACGAATTTTTCACAAATAATCGCGAAAAAGTTAGCGAAACAAATAAAGTTTAAAAAAATATTTACTTTCAAGAACAAACCGTTTTTTTAACTAAAATCTACAATAGTTTTTTTAATTTTGATAGTTTCTCAAAAAAATTGCTTGCTGGACTCGAAAAAAATTGAAAAAAATATGTCGAGGCAAAAAAATAATTTTGGCTTTGCAAGATTTCTGCACATTTGAAAGACTCAAAAAAAGCATTTTCCAGCGAACTATTTTTGCGAAATCAATGCGCAAGCCTTGATTACCTGACAACTTAAAAATGAAATGTTCAATACAGCTTTTTAGACTAAATTGAACAAAAAACCTTCAAAAAGGTTGGAATAAAAACCGATTCGAAATGTTCAATTCAAAAAGTTACATGAGCTTTTGGAAGTAAGATTACTTTTTATCCATCATTTCTAGAAGTTTGCGATCGAAAAATATAATTAAACAACGAATTTTGTATTTCAAAAAAATGTCTCAAAAAAATTTTGCCAATAAGAATAATAAGAAGAAGAAATTCATATGAAACTACTTCCATAAACTCACTAGTAATGTTAAAAACATCGAATAATAGAAAAAAACGAAAAAAAGCGAGTGGTAATAAATTAAAACAAAAAACAAATGAAAAACTTCAAATTTCGTAACTTGAAGTTTGAAAAAAACGCGTTGTTCGGAACATCGTTCCAGATGACCGAGGGGTGCACCAAGTTTTCAAATTTTCGGTGCACCGAAAACATCAACGCGGGGTGCACCCAATCGCGCTGAGTCCAACGAGGGGTGCACCCCGATGGCCGGTTCGACGCGGGGTGCACCGCAACTTTTGTTAGAGGAGTTCTACAAAAGTGTGCACGCGGAAGGAGCGATTTTGCGCGTGGCAAAGCTTTCCGAAATTATTTCAAGGAAATTTCAAATGTTTTTTTTTGTTATTTATAACTTTGTATGCTTATTGAAAAACAACCTTAAAGGTCGGATCATCGATAAAAAACGTGAAAGTTGGTGAGCGAGTCTGGTACGGGTTCAGTTCGGGAAGCAGCGCCGAATTCTCAATAGTCCAGCATGCTTTCCCTCTTCCTGATGGTAGTTTTGGCCTGTGGAAGCGTAAATTTGATTTTTTTTTTTAACATCAGAAGTCTCATTTACCGACGGTGCCACTCTCGGAGTTCCATTTCTCACCGCCTATCGAGCTCTTTTCGTTCGCGGCCGAGCTCAGGTTGATAAAAATGATGAAAATCATTGATTGAAAAATCGAAAAAGCTCAATTTGACCTGAAAATCCAATAAAATTCAAAAAAAATGGACCTCGATGAATTTTTTCGATCTGAAGCACGAATAGATTTTGAAGCTTTGAATTTTCAGCAGATCAAACTCTGGATGGAACCTGTTTTGAATGAGCTAAAAATCAACCAGAGACTTATTGCTTGAGCGACTTATTCAAAAGCTTCTAAACAAGAAATGAAGTGAGAAAAGCGAATGTGTCAATTTAACGAGTCAAAAAGTTGGGTTTTAGAAAGGAGACTTGGTCTTGGTGCACGGCGCCTCTGGCGGGGTCGGGTCAGCTGCAGTGCAGCTGGCGGTCTCTCGAGGCCTCCAGGTGGTTGGCACTGCTGGAACGGACGACGGCCTCGATTTCGTCCGCACCTTGGGAGCTTCCGACGTTTTCAACCATCGGAAGGCCGGTTATGTCGAGGAGATCAAGAAGAAGTATCCTCAAGGTGGAAGGAACCGATTCCAAGGCAGTTCAAATGCTACCAATAAACATCAGCTCGATTGTTTCAGTTTTAGAAAAAAAATCTCCTTTCAAAAAAATAATGTTTGAGTTATTAGGAGAGATCAGCAGATTTCTCAAGAAAGTCCAGACAACGAGAAGGCCCTTACTTGTCTGGCGTCTATTCGAGTCGCCATTGATCTTTGTCTTTCTCATTTGATTTCCCAATTGTTCACTTTTTTCTTCTCGTTTAATCTCAATTAAATATTTATCTTAATGCGAATAGTCCGAAATCTTTTTTCGGAGCAAAAAATGTTTCTCCTCGCACGAGCAGAAAACGAGGAAGAAAAAAAAAACTTGAATATTGCAGGCTTCAACATGATTCTTGAAATGGCGGCTCACGTGAATCTAAACGTTGACCTCGGACTTTTGGCTCCAAATGGCGAAGTTGCCGTAATTGGCAACCGGGGAGACGTCAATGTCAATGCGAGACAACTTATGGCTGTTGAGGGACAAATTTTTGGTAAGTCAAGATTCTAGGGAACGTCAGAATGATGCCTATAGGGGTTAGGGAAGAAAACAGTCCTATAATAGACAAAAAGTGCCTTTAGAATTTTTGACTCCTGAGTCCCTGAAGCGGAAGTGGCCCCTTTAGGGATCCCTAAATGTTTAATTCAGATTTTAAAATTGAAAAGAGAAACTTGATCGATTCATCCTCTGTTGATATTATTTATTCAAGTAACACTGATTTATTGAGTTTTTTGCAAGAGAATGCTTCTTCTCATGAAGCTCATAACAATAATCGACTAACACGTCCTCTACAGGGGTCACTTTTGCAAGCTTTAGTGGTCCCTGGAGGGGAGCCTTCTCTCAAGGACCTCTCTAGGGATCATTACTTTTCCAGAATTTTTGAAACTAGATTTAGAATCAGCGTAAGAAACTACTTCTCCTGGTCAAATTCAATCAAAACTTTCAATTCGAGTGGAGGCCGTTCCTTAGAAAGGGGAACATTTTTTCAATTTCAGGCGTCGCTTTGAACCGGACAACTCCGGAAGAATTCGAAGAGATGGGGGCTGGAATCACGGAATTTTTGAAGAAGTCGTCTTTTCGATCAACTGTCCAGAAAGAGTACACGCTCGAGGAGATCAGTCAAGCTCATGTGGATATCATGAAAAACGATGGTTCCCTTGGAAATCGTGTTGTCGCCATTGAATGAATTGAATAAAGTACCTTTGCATCGATTAGTCTAACATTCGATCCCAAGTGACCCGAGCAAAGATCCGTCTCTCTTTCTCTGCGTCTCTCAAAGATGCCGTCTCTCGTCCCTCGACACCTCTTGCTCCATTCGTGGTCGTGTCCGATGGATCAGGCGGTCGAGGACGATGTTGGGGTCTGTTTTATCTCTCTTTACTGTTTTATCATTATAGTTTGAAAAAAACAGTTTTTTTAATCAACCGACGATTTTCTTAAATTTCTCGAAGATTCCTTGGCCTAGACGTAGAGTTTCTGCCTCTTCCGTGCGGTTGAAGCTCGGTTAAAAACTGACTTTCTTTAATTATTGTTTAAAAAAATATTCTAAGAACTTCTGACTCTGGTCAAACTAAACTTTTGAATTTAGTTTTTTTGTTCCCAAATGAAGATTTAGTTCAAAAAAATCTTCCAAAGTAATTTTTTTCTATGCAAATTGTGTAGCAGAATTCATACAAAAAAACTCAAACAACTTCTCAAAAAAATTCTCAAATTTTTTTAGGCTCTTTTTTATATTTTTTGTTAACCGGAGTATTATTTTAGCTACGACAGATAAGTTTTTCAAAAAATTAATTAAAAACCCCACGCAGATCCAATTATCTATGAGATTTAAAGGTTCATAAAAAAACTAGGTAAAAAAATAAAAAAATATTATTTTTTTCTTCAAGTTTGGAGCCATTTTATCAGAACAGAAGAGCAGAATATTATTTCAAGCGAGTAAAATCTTCAAAGAAATCCGTTTCTCAGAAGACTTTCGTCATGACTGCCGGCCGTGGAGATCTGAAAAAGATCAAGCAACTGTTGAAAAAAAGGCGTCGACGTCAACATCGGAATGGAAGGAGGTCTGACGGCTCTCCATGCGGCGTCCTTAAGGAATTATGAAGATCTGGTCCGGTTTTTGCTGAGAAAGGGAGCTCTGGTGAACTCCAAAGACTTGGTGAGTGAAAAAACGGAAAATTAAGATTGGGAATTTAAAAAAAAATTGATCAGAACACTCCTTGAAGTACCAAAAAAGGACTTTGAAAGTCTGAACCTGCAAAACTATTCATTTTTCGGCAAAGGACACCTCAAAATCCGTTAAAATAGGCATTCGAGCCTTTAATTCTCAAAAAGTAAGAAGTTGTGCAGGTGAGCCTTCGAGGACAGTATTTCGGTATTTGAAAGGATTTTCTGACTCATTTCCAAGACATTCTCAACCGAAAAGTGAAATAACATCCTCTGTCAAGAGTTCAGGAAAATGATCTTAATAGTTCCGGATTTTTTTGAACAGGATAGTTTAAGCCGCCAAAAAAAGAGCAAACACGTAAACAAAAAAATTGAATAAAAATTGAATCCAGTTAATTTGAAAAATTTTGAAAAAAATTCTTCAACTTCGTAGTATTGGTTAGACTTTGACCAAAAAAGCGCTGCTAGCAAATTTTACTCTAATTGATTACATTTCTTCAGTCGGAACTTGAAATTATTCAATTTCTCTGCGTCTCTCGCTTTTACATCCTTTTTAGGGACCGCCAACGATTTTCTAAAATGAAAGCACAAAGAAAAAAAAATGAATGGAACATAAAGAGTGAGGCAAGCAGATTCAATAAAAAAAACAAAAATTTTGGAAAATTCAATCGAACAATGTGAAAAGAATTAATAAAAAAAAGTGAGAAATCTTTTCGGCTTGAAACCTGTTATAGTCTGTTCAGTTTTTGAATGTCAAGTAGAATGACGTCATTCGAAAGCGCTCTGTGGATCGCGCTTTAAGGGGCGGAGCTTCAGCAACCACTTGACATTCAAAATCTGAACAGACTATAGGACAGGTTGCATGTGGCACGGCATTCCTAATGGGGGTGAGGGAAGGTGAGCGAGGCGTCAAAGTTCCTGAATTTACAGAAAAAATTTAGTGCGCGCTACGGATAAAATTACGTCACAATTACACTGAATATTCAACGTTAATAACTTGTTTGTTCGATCGCCTTCGGCTGAAGTACTGTAGATTTCAAATTTCGCGCCAAAATTTTTTTAACGTCTTGCCACCCCGTTTGGGAACGCCGTGTGTGGGTGGAACGAATAATGCAGCTCGCGCGCGCCTCCAACTCCCCTCATTATTTTTCAAGATAAATAATTGTATTCTAATTTACTTTCTACATTTCGATCATAAAAGTAAAACTGATTAAAACGAATGGAAACAGTTTCAACGTGTATAAATAACAAAAAAACATTAATGCCGTGTTCAAAGTGGTGGTATGAAAAAAATACCAGCGGAACTTTCCGACGGCCACCTTTCCGCCGAATCCTTTTCCGACTTTTTTTCTCGATAAAATCTTCGTTTTAAATCTTCCTATATAAAGTAGATAATTGGTTCATGATTAAAACACCAATAAATAGGAAAAAAAAAATTATAGATGACTTATAAACCGAAAAACATAAGGGAAAAAAGTCGGAAAGGGATCCGTCGGAAAGGTGGCCGTCGGAAAGTTCGCTGGCGATACGAAAAAATCGGAAAAGTCGCCGTTTTAATTTTCGCTGGTCTTTTTTTCATACCACCTTTAAAGTAATTTCGGCGATTTCAAAATAGACGCGTTATTCGCTTAAAATGATTTCGGGAAATAGGCGGAATTGGTATTCTGGGAAGGTGAGTCCTACAACGATATATCGTTGGATACGCATTTTTACGGTGAGTTTTACGCGCGAATTTGAAATTTCAGTAGAAAATGCCCAAATAACTCCAAAATTTTGAGTTCCCGCGAAGAAATTACGGTAAAAATGCATATTTAACGTTATATCGTTGTAGGACTCATTTTTTCTGCGCATTCTCGGAATAGCAGTTCTGCCTATTTCCTGAAATCATTTTAAACGAATAACGCGTCAATTTTGAAATCGCCGAAATTACTTTGAACACGGCATAAAGCATTAATTAACCTTGAAATAATTTTGAAAATCGTTGCGACGCGCGAAATTGTTCCTCCCGCATGCATCCCTCGTAGAACTGCATACGCTTTTAATTTTTTTTTAAAATTTTTTTGAATCTTTTCTATTTTATCCAAACGCAGCCAAGCTTCATTTTCGAGTTTTGACTTCCAAAAGTTAGAGAAGTTATAGCTGATTCTTGAGCCATCGAAAAAGGGTCCTGACACGATAATGCGTGAGACAGTGCCTGGCTCGTGGGGAGCGCAGACAGGCCACGCCCCCTTACCATCCCAAGCTAGCCGTGAATCAGCTATACTCATGCTCCTCTGACTGTTCCAGTGTTGGAAACGTTTGAAAAAAAAAAAAATGAGAAATGTCAAAAGAAGCTTTGAATATTAATAAAAATAAAACAAACTTTTTGTATGTCATTCGCCACGTTTTGAAAAATTTTGTTTTCTTTACGCCCATTTTTTTCTCTGAGTCTCCCGTCTTCTCATGCTATAACATAGTTTCTCTGACCATTCTGCTGATGGAATCGAGACGCAGATGGGTCAGACTGTTCCAATCGTGGCGATTGGACTATATAAAAACTATATAAAAATAAGACTATAGAAAATAGTTTTTTTTTTTCATATTCAAATGTACTTTTTCAGAAAGGCTACTCACCATTTTTGCTGGCTTGCGTCGGCGGGCAACTGGAAGTCGCCGAGATTCTTCTGAAAAACGGCGCCGACATCAACACCCAGAATTCGGATGGGAATCGGCCGCTCAACACCATCTGCAACCATCAGATCTACGAAAAAGTCTGGCCCTGGCTTCTGGAACGCGGCGCCCAGGTCAACTACACGAACAAGGTTGATGAAAAGCTTAGTTGCTCTCAGAAGAATATTGGAAAAATTGGACTTCTTAAGCTAAATTAAACAAAACTGTCCGAAAAAAAGATAAAAATCAGAAAAAGTTCGGTTTATTCCATTTTGAATAAAAGCAAAAACGTGCTTTCAAACTTTGAAAATTTCATATGATGATGTGATGTGTAATTGGGAGATTGCAAAGATTATTCATTTCAAATCAACAGTAAAAATTTAATAAAAAAACTTTATGGACGAAATTAGAAGAATAATCAAAAATGTTCCCTATGGCAAAAAAAGTTTGAAAGAGAAAAAAATGAAAATTTTTCGAAAAAAATACCCGCTGGCGTAGTGAGTTACGTGAAAGAAAAATTGAAAGACAAGAAGAAAAAAATTTGAAAAGAAAGTGTAAAAACAGAGTACAATGAATATAAGGACAGATAGCTAGTTGTAAGCCCAGTTTTAGTGTAGTTGTAAGCCCAGTTTTTTTAGTTTAGAGGTTTAAAAATTTTTTTATTTTTCATTTTTTTATTTTCACCTACCAAACTTTTCATAAGACGCCATTCATGAGGCAGAAACATTTTGAAAAAAAGGGGAGAATATTAAGGCCTTATTATTTCGTTGTTATGTCAAAAATGCAGCTAAAAAGGAACGTCAATTTCGTTTTTTCGTCTTGATTTTTTTTTTTTGCCAGAACTCTTTTTGGTTTACCAGATAAAATCAACAAATATTTGAAACCTTAAAAAATTCCTAGTTTCCGAGGAGGCAAGTAAATCCACTTTTTTGCCTTTTTTTTCTCTTAATGCTGTGAACTTTGAAACTACCACATTCAAGGCTTTCAAGATTCGGTCTAATCGACTCTCAAAATAATCTGCAAAAGAATTCATACCCAAACAATACTTTCTAGCCTTTCAAAACAAACTTTCCTTTTAGTTGGGCACCTCACCGGCGCACATCGCCATCGAATGTGGGAGCTCGAAAATGCTCGACGCATATTTGGAGCGTGGAGCTCCGATCAACGCCTGGTGCAGGTCCAGGAGAGCGACGCCGCTCATTTTGGCCATCCGGAACCGCGGTTTCAAGTTCATCGACTATTTGATTTGCCACGGGGTTGATCAGTCAATCCCTGACGAGGTTTGGTTTATTATTCAGCTCTTGAAACTGGATTATTATTTTTAGGAAGGCAACACTCCGCTTCAGCTTGCCAACAAAGTGCTCGGTGAATTGGTTGACCAGAGGCATCAGTTCTCACAAGTTTGTTGAAAAATTATCGATAATTATCTTATTCACATTTTAAGATGTGGCGGTTCAATCCTCTGCTATCTCGCAACTTCGACGCGCACACAACTGGCAGACCGGCATCCGAATGAGAAAGAAACTGGTATTTTGGCTGGAAGTCAAGGAATTTCAAATAAATTTTGCTACCAATGAAACAATATATGAGCAGCCAACATATCATACAAGGAAACTCTTCGCGTGAGATGAGTCTTTTACGAGATGAAAATGAAAGAAATGCAATTTTCCAACCTGAAAGTCCGTTTATAACGAATGAATTCAGAAAAAATCGTTGAAAGTTTTTTTTACAGCTCTTAAGCTGCTGATAGAACCAACAAATCACATTCAGTTTTGCGAATTCAATGTGTGCCTTTCTCATTTCATCAGACAAAAAAAACTTTGAGAAACTATCAAAAATGACATCGTGATGAATTTATTTTTTTTTAGGATTTCGAATTTCTGACATGAGAGGTCATTTTAGCGTAGGATTCAGAATTTTTTATAAATTTGCTCAAACAATCTTTGACGTCAAGTACTGAAGTCAAGATGAATTCGAAGAAGATATTGCAGAACTATGAGACATTCATAAGGATTTCGAATTTCTGAGCTCGGGAAAAAATTCTAGCATTATCAAAACTGACATGATCGTAGATTCAATCTCCAATAAATAGTTCTTTTTGCCTCTCCGAAGAGAAGCGGTTCCAAAATTTATCTTGACACCAAGTAGTTTTGGGTCAGATCTAATGTTTACCTCAAACTTGGGTAATTAAACCAACGCTTCGGTCGCGCTGCCGAGGCCCTATGAAACGCGCAACCGACTGTGAACCAGGCACTCGCTAGCATGCGTCAAGTACTGAAGTCAAGATGAATTCGAAGAAGATATTGTAGAACTATGAGACATTCATAAGGATTTTCGAATTTCTGAGCTCGGAAAAAAACTCTAGCTTTATTAAAACAGACATGATCGTAGCTTCAATTCCCAGTAAATAGTTCTTTTTGCCTCTCCGAAGAGAAGCAGTTCCAAAATTTATCTTGACACCAAGTAGTTTTGGGTCAGATCTAATGTTTACCTCAAACTTGGGTAATTAAACCAACGCTTCGGTCGCGCTGCCGAGGCCCTATGAAACGCGCAACCGACTGTGAACCAGGCACTCGCTAGCATGCGTCAAGTTCTGAAGCCAAGATGAATTCGAAGAAGATATTGCAGAACTATGAGACATTCATAAGGATTTTCGAATTTCTGAGCTCGGAAAAAAATTCTAGCATTATCAAAACTGACATGATCGTAGATTCAATCTCCAATAAATAGTTCTTTTTTTGCCTCTCCGAAGAGAAGCGGTTCCAAAATTTATCTTGACACCAAGTAGTTTTTGGGTCAGATCTAATGTTTACCTCAAACTTGGGTAATTAAACCAACGCTTCGGTCGCGCTGCCGAGGCCCTATGAAACGCGCAACCGACTGTGAACCAGGCACTCGCTAGCATGCGTCAAGTTCTGAAGCCAAGATGAATTCGAAGAAGATATTGCAGAACTATGAGACATTCATAAATTTTTCGAATTTCTGAGCTCGGAAAAAAACTCTAGCTTTATTAAAACAGACATGATCGTAGCTTCAATTCCCAGTAAATAGTTCTTTTTGCCTCTCCGAAGAGAAGCGGTTCCAAAATTTATCTTGACACCAAGTAGTTTTGGGTCAGATCTAATGTTTACCTCAAACTTGGGTAATTAAACCAACGCTTCGGTCGCGCTGCCGAGGCCCTATGAAACGCGCAACCGACTGTGAACCAGGCACTCGCTAGCATGCGTCAAGTTCTGAAGCCAAGATGAATTCGAAGAAGATATTGCAGAACTATGAGACATTCATAAATTTTTCGAATTTCTGAGCTCGGAAAAAAACTCTAGCTTTATTAAAACAGACATGATCTTAGCTTCAATCTCCAATAAATAGTTCTTTTTTTGCCTCTCCGAAGAGAAGCGGTTCCAAAATTTATCTTGACACCAAGTAGTTTTTGGGTCAGATCTAATGTTTACCTCAAACTTGGGTAATTAAACCAACGCTTCGGTCGCGCTGCCGAGGCCCTATGAAACGCGCAACCGACTGTGAACCAGGCACTCGCTAGCATGCGTCAAGTTCTGAAGCCAAGATGAATTCGAAGAAGATATTGCAGAACTATGAGACATTCATAAATTTTTCGAATTTCTGAGCTCGGAAAAAAACTCTAGCTTTATTAAAACAGACATGATCGTAGCTTCAATTCCCAGTAAATAGTTCTTTTTGCCTCTCCGAAGAGAAGCGGTTCCAAAATTTATCTTGACACCAAGTAGTTTTGGGTCAGATCTAATGTTTACCTCAAACTTGGGTAATTAAACCAACGCTTCGGTCGCGCTGCCGAGGCCCTATGAAACGCGCAACCGACTCTGAACCAGGCACTCGCTAGCATGCGTCAAGTACTGAAGTCAAGATGAATTCGAAGAAGATATTGTAGAACTATGAGACATTCATAAATTTTTCGAATTTCTGAGCTCGGAAAAAAACTCTAGCTTTATTAAAACTGACATCATCACAGCTTCAATTCCCAATAAATAGTTCTTTTTGCCTCTCCGAAGAGAAGCGGTTCCAAAATTTATCTTGACACCAAGATAGTTTTGGGTCAGATCTAATGTTTACCTCAAACTTGGGTAATTAAACCAACGCTTCGGTCGCGCTGCCGAGGCCCTATGAAACGCGCAACCGACTCTGAACCAGGCACTCGCTAGCATGCGTCAAGTTCTGAAGCCAAGATGAATTCGAAGAAGATATTGCAGAACTATGAGACATTCATAAGGATTTCGAATTTCTGAGCTCGGAAAAAAATTCTAGCATTATCAAAACTGACATGATCGTAGATTCAATCTCCAATAAATAGTTCTTTTTGCCTCTCCGAAGAGAAGCGGTTCCAAAATTTATCTTGACACCAAGTAGTTTTGGGTCAGATCTAATGTTTACCTCAAACTTGGGTAATTAAACCAACGCTTATATAGATAGTTTATTCACTGCCATTATTTAACATATAATTGAAGAATAGATGATCAAGTGAAGGAATAGGCAGAGAAATAACAATACACGGGAAAGAGTCAACCCCTAACGAGTTGACGGGTACCCGGAAATATGGCAAATTCACAGGAGACGAGAGGGGATATTTTCATGAAAGGCTTCAAACGGAAGAGCATTCAACTTTTTACGCAGAGTTTCTGGGGTAACGTTAAAATCTAAATAAGAAGTTAGTTTATTCCAAAGAGGAATAGTTCTAGAAAAAAAGTCATTAGAAAACTGACCAGTAGTCCGTAGTCGAAGTGGATTTCTCTGTAACAGGGATTGAGTGAAATACTTATTGCGATCGAGAAAATGATCAGAGCCACAGATGATTTTATGCAAGGTGATAATGTCACAAATTTCACGACGAATGAATAACGGTTTGATGTTAAATTGACTAAGGCGATCTGAGTAAGAAGTGAAACTAACATTACAACGAATGAAAAACTTTCCGACTAAAAAAAGACGCAGTGAAGATTCAAGTTTGTGAGATTCCTCAGAGGAAATGGCGGGTGAGAAAAAGCTCGGAGCAATATTCAAGGACTGGATTAACGTAGGTTTGAAACATACGGAAGTAGTTAAAAAGGTGAAGAGAACTTGAAGGTATTCAGTATTTGATTAGAACGTAAGGTGGCAAAAAGCAGCAATACGGCTGATGTGTTGTTTAAAGGAAAGCTTGTCATCGATAAATAAAACCAAGGTCACGTACTATGGAGCTTTGAGGAACTTCAAGGAGGTCAACATAGTAAAGGGTGCGAGGATTATTTGGGCCAAAGTGAACAGAGAACGTTTTTGTTTGAGGCGAGTGGGAGAGACCAAATATGAGACCATTCAAGGATACCGTTAATGCTTGATTGAGAGATCTGGGACAGGAGCTATAGATTTTAATATCATCCGCAAAAAAATTGAGATAGAAGTAGAGGAATCAAAGTAATTTTCGATATCGTTGATGAAAAATGAGGAAGAGGAGAGGGCCGCTGACAGTGCCTTGGAGGACACCGGAAGGGTTGGGAAAGCAATTGTTGGCAAAAGACTTGTTGACCTTAACAATTGAACTTCTGTGAGATAAAAAATTAGAGAACCAACGGCTCAGAGTATTATCAAAACCAAAGTTTAGCATTTTAAGACGTAGCAAATTGTGATCTACTCTATCAAAAGCTTTGCTGAAATCAAAGTAAATAACATCGACATTTAGATTGGAGGCCAAGGACTTTTTTATGTCGGATATAGAAGAGATGAGAGAGAGTTTGCAAGATCTACGGTTTAAAAATCCATATTGAAATCGAGAGAATTTATGAGCGAATCGATTTCTAACCATATGGGCGATAATACGTTCCAATACACGTGATATAGGATGAGTGAGAGAGATCGGACGGAAATTGGAAGGGTCAGACAAACTGCCTTTTTTATGTACAGGTATGACCGTAGTGTGTTTTAGAGAAGAGGGGATAACACCAGTTAAATAGGATTCATTAAATAGGAGAGACAGGGGAAGGCTTAAAGATCTAGCACATCTTTTAAGAACAAGAAAGTTAATATTATCAGTGGAAAATCCACATTTCGGAGGTAGAGAGGCAAGAAATTTATAAACAACATCGGGGGAGAAAAATATACTACAGTTAATAGGTTCAGGTGAGGGAAGAGCTGGGAAAGGTTGAGGGTTAGTGTTAGAGAAATTGGAATAGAACACAGATGAGAAGACATCGGCCTTTGATTCATCATCAATTATATAATTATCATTGAAAAGCAGATTGGGGATCCCAGAATCGATCTTAAGCTGTCTTGAAATAAATTTGGAAAGTTTAGAGGAGTTGTAGGATAGAGCAACTTACGCTTCGGTCGCGCTGCCGAGGCCCTATGAAACGCGCAACCGACTGTGAACCAGGCACTCGCTAGCATGCGTCAAGTACTGAAGTCAAGATGAATTCGAAGAAGATATTGTAGAACTATGAGACATTCATAAATTTTTCGAATTTCTGAGCTCGGAAAAAAATTCTAGCATTATCAAAACTGACATGATCG